ATAATGATATACATATCAAAAAGCACGATAGCTAATGATTATGAGTTGGTAGTAATGTCATTGGAAGTGTAAGTGCAAAAAAAAAAAAGAAAGAAAGCATTATCATTACGTCAATACTAGTATCTGAATATTGGTTAGGAGGCCGAGAGGAGTGTAAGCACGGTTGAAGAAGAGCAAGATTCGTCAACTGTGCGCGTAGAAATAAGTAACAAAGATCGACCGGAACTACAAAAAAATAGCACTAGGAAAATTGAAAGTATGTGTGCAGCATAGAGTTTTTGAGCAGCAGGTTGAGCGAAAATGTAATAGGGTTATTTAGATGAAACATTATGAGCCATCTTTGCCCAAACCTTCAGGCAAAAGGTCCAAAGGAAAGGAGCGAGTGACACGATTAGAAAAAGCAGAAGAACAAGAGCCAAAACATGAACAGGAGACAGCATCAGAAGAAGAATCGATAGAAGACTGGGTAGAAAAACTGGGTTGAATGGGAAGAAGAACCGAAAGAAGAAGAAGAAGAGGTGCTCACAGCGAAAAAAAAGAAACCGATTCATTCATATCGGGAGGAATTGGCGTCACTTGCAAAATTACATTATTCCATGAGTGAAATTATGGTCGCAAGTGGGAAAGGTACGAAAACGTTGTTTATTAAAAGGCAATGGGTCAACTAAGTGTTATACTGTTTAGATGATAAGGCTGGGGAAGATGAAGCACCGGATGAGTCGGGTAATTTGCAGCCGAAATAAATTGTAATGCATGTATTGTCTTTCCAAAAATAAAAATATAAAATATTGTGCATGTGAGTAGTTGTGTGAAAGTAGAGAGAAACCTGGTTTTGAAGTAAACCGTGATGGGGGAATCATGTGTACTCTTTGTGTGGGGATCATTATTTTAAAAAAGAAAAAACAAGTGGTGAGCCATTCCCTCTTTTCCTCTTTTTTTTTCTTTTTCATATTTTCCACAATGTGTCCGCCTTCGGCTTCAGGTGATGGTGCAGACATTCAAAAAAATGTTGGATCTATTGAAATAAATGGTGTACTTGTTAAAAAAGATGGCATGCACGTTAAAAACAACGGCGCACATGTTGACAAAAATGGCGCATACGTCGAAAAAACAAATCTATGCAACTTCCCCAGTAAGTCAGTTTCTAATAGAATAATCAATAAGAGATGAAAACTAACTCAATATTCGATTTTGGGTGATCCAAAAAAAAAAAAAAAAAATAGCACCTCTTTACGCCGAAGAAGAGGGCGTGGATGTTTTAGGAGCCGAAAACGAGGTTGAGAAGTCATATAACAATGGATTCAGTCGGGGATACAAGAAGGGATACAAGAAGGGTGCCCGAGGCGGGTACCGGCATGGATACTTCCATGGATTTGAAGACGGATACGAAGAAGGATACAAGAAGAAAAAAAAAGTTTATAGAAGAAGTAGCTGCAGCGATTAAACGAGATATCGTCGAAAAAAAATGCTATGGAAGAACAAGTTGCTGCAGTTAAACCTGTCGCTAATGGCAATGCCCACGTTGATGAAGTTGAACCAGTTGAAAAAGGTAAAAAAGACAGTTGGTGCTGAGCATGGGGATTAAAAAAAAAAAAGGTGATCCTACTCTAAAACCATTTTAGAGAGTCAAGACTTAGGCAGTAAGTCATACGTGAATAAGTAGGTTTCAACAAGGAAGAGGGAAAAAAAAATGCTAAGGAAGGTTGCGTTGATGGTAGGGCGAACAAAACGGAGAAGAGGACTTTGTCTACTTGGAAAAGTCGGCAAAAACTGAGCCAGAAGATTATCTCTGTTGATGAAGGTTCTAAAAAATCAACAATTGGAGACGATGAATTGCTTTAGGATCCATACCCATTGTACAATCCTGATGATGTATGTTTAGGTATTGATTAACACGTGGGAAGAAGAGAGGTTGGTGTCTTTTATTAACTTTTGACATTTAAAAAGTTCGTTTTGGTACAAGTGCAAGGTCATCATAAAAAGGGCACAGCAGAGAATCGCGGTGTATATTGAAAAAAGGGTCACCATAAAAAGGACACAGCAGAGAATCGCGGTGTATATTGAAAAAGGGTCATCATGAAAAGGACACAACAGGGTATCGCGGTGTAATACAATCACAGCAGAAATTCCGGCATACTGTTGAAGAAGGTCATTATGCAAAGGTCGCAGTGGGTATACACTTTATTGTCTATTTAGGGTCGAGGTGGAGGTGGTGGCAGAGGTGGATGCTATGCAAGTGTTATGTACAAAGTGAGTAAGCTCGCAAAAGGTTCTGTCAAATATGAAGTGTAAGTCAAATATTGAAGGCAATAAAGTCGTTTTTGCGATTTCTCAAAACTCACTGTTGCTTGGAATTCTAAAGAATAGGTGGCCCCCAGTTTGCTTGTGCTGGGCATCACAAAAACTTTGGATGCTCCAGCTCCGTTGTCCCAGGGCAGGACAACGTCTTGCGGGCCAATGGCCGGGTTTTGGTTGAATAGGTGTTGGAAAACGATTTCCCAACACAGCATACGACTTTTGGCCGGAATCGTTTGATTTTATTGGTGGTGTGGCGAACACCTTCGGCGATTTCGTCCGCTTCAAGTTGCTTGGACGTGGTCGTCGGTCTGGGAACAAGGTTGACGAACCCCACGTTGTAACGGTCAAAGACTGTCTTGTCAGCGGTGGCATCATACTGTTCTCGAAGCAAGCCTTTTTGACGGTTGAGGTACCGGTCTCAGTGGACATCTTTTTTTTTAATTATTATTAAAAAAAAATTGTGAAATTGTACCTGAATTTGAGAAGCATGTCCAAAAGCAATTGCCGCGGCCCCCAAAAAAGTGATTCTTTGTTCGGAAGGGCGCCTTGTCGCTGGGATTGATTCCAACAAAAGAACAGGGCAATCATACCTAACGAGGTCAGGAATAAAGTAGTTGGACATGATGATGGTAAAAGTAAAAAGATGTAATAATAAAAGAGGGTGACAACAGAAAGGTCGAAACAGAAGGAATATGGAAAGAAAAACGATGTGGTGGATTTATATTAAAAAGTGGTTTGGTTTGAAACAGGGCTCAAAGTGATTTTGTAGAGTATCGTCCAAAAAGAAGAAGAACTAATCAGACAACTTTTACAAATGAACCTGTCAATATTGGTGGTTTTGGATAAAAGTAACAAAAGCAACGGACACTGTGTGTGCAGTGGTGACCACTTAATGTAAGGGTAGCTTGTCACTTCAAATTCCTGACAGTGGATGTCGTTTCTCTCTCTAATTATGGTTGGTAATATCATTGTTACCTTCTGTGAGCAAGAGTAAGTTTTGTGAGTGTTTTTATAATTATTATTATTATATTATTAGCGACAATGGTAATAGGAAAGAGGGGTTGACATTGACGTTTGAGCGGAGGCAACTCATATAGTTTCGATGATAGTTTCGATACCCAAGGTGATGTAAAACCAAGACCGATATTCCTCGGGAAACTGACCCAAAATCCTGCACAAGATATATTTGTGAATAAAAAGTCAGGGTAAAATCAAATATTTTGTCGTTACATTGTGAATGTCGTCGTGTCGACGTCCGTTAATATTTTTTCGTTAATATTTTTTTGTCTTCTCGTTTCTTTTAATGTGAGTTGGGAGGCATTGAACACAGTTCAAAGAAGTAAACGATCGAAAAGGTACAGTCACAAATGTCATTTTTAGTTAGTTGTGAGTGTATTTAACTCACACAGTGTATGGTTACATGATCTTCATTTGCTGACGGCAGTGAAAATTGGAGTAAATAAAAGATGATGTAATGATCAGATTTATGCCTAGGTATCATACATAAAAAGGGCCACCGTAAAAGGATCACCGTACAAACATCATCGTAAAAGGTTACTGCAAAAAAAGCCACTACGAAAGGACACTGTTAAAAGGACATTACTAAAAGATCACCAAAAAAAGGTCATTACAAAAATGTCACACAGAAGAGCCACCATAAAAGATTACCGTAGAACAGTCATTGGAAAAAGATCACTATAGAAAGGTCACCATGAAAGTGCCACTGGGAAATGATCACGATGAAAAGGTCATGGCAGAAAGAGTAATTTTTATGATTGCCAGGGCTAAAAGAGCCAAAAAAAAAAAAAAAACTATGTTGCTATCATTGCCCTAAATCATCTGAGCTTCTGACAACCTCAATTGAGCTTCTGTGACACCTGGTGGACATAGAATCTTCAAAGGATCAATTGGAGCAGAATTTGATAGAAGGGATGACACAAAATGAGTTTTTTTAAAGAAAAACATTCATGCAAATCAATCAAAATGAATGTCGGTATTACTGGAGTACAGTGACACAATGGGTCAGATGAAAGGGTCCTAATTCTTTATTTGCGTGCAATTTAATCGAGCTATTTATAGGAAGGTACACTGTCAATTCGATTACGTAACACCAGGCTTGGAAATCCACACACACACACCTAAAAAAAAAAAAAAGCAGGGAATTGGCACGTGCACATTCATCAATGATGATCATTACAAGTGGCATCACGGGTAACACATTGAAGCGACGCGGCGTCACACAATTGTGCATGGAGAATTCACAAACAATATTTTACAGAGTGATATATTGGTAATCACGTGCATCGATACACCCACCACGCTTGATTTGTCTTTCTATTTGTACCAAGCCAGCCCAGTGTACCTAAAGAACTTAGAGTAACTGGAAGCCTATATTTCTCTGCATAGGCCAAGCTGAAACCGTTGCTAGGTAACTACTCAAAGTAAACGTCAAAAATTGGGATAGTACCCCAAGTAGGTACCATCCCAATAATGCCGAATCAATCGTACTGAAAGTGTGTCTCTTTTCCTTGCAGAAAAAAGAAACAAATTCAATGACAAGGGCTTAATCTCAGTACATCGTAGCAACAAAGGCTACTCTAGTACTTACAATACCCCGTCCGTTTCATGTCGTCTGCATGCGATTTAACATCTCCATGCATTCGTTTTACCATGTAGGCAGCCTAAACAACACCTTTCCGCATAGCCTAGGCATACCAATTATACGGTTCCCAACCCCACACCGGGGCTTATTCTTACTCGACTAAAGCCAAGGAGACAACAAAAAAGTATCGCTTCCAGCATGGATTCTGACTTAGAGGCGTTCAGCCATTATCCAGCAGATGGTAGCTTCGCGGCATTGGCCTTTCAACCAGCCGCAAATACCAATTATCTGAATGAAGGGTTCCTCTCGTACTAACTTCAATTACTGTCGCAATACCATAACAACATCAGTAGGGTAAAACTAACCTGTCTCACGACGGTCTAAACCCAGCTCACGTTCCCTATTAGTGGGTGAACAATCCAACGCTTACTGAATTCTGCTTCAGTATGATAGGAAGAGCCGACATCGAAGAATCAAAAAGCAACGTCGCTATGAACGCTTGGCTGCCACAAGCCAGTTATCCCTGTGGTAACTTTTCTGGCACCTCTAGCCTCAAATCTTGAGGGGTCTAAAGGATCGATAGGCCACACTTTCATGGTTTGTATTCACACTGAAAATCAAAATCAAGGGGACTTTTTTTCTTGGGGGAACTAATTTTTTTTTTCGGCAATACAAACAGATCCCAAGCAATCAAAATAGGCAACCATCTTTCTCTGCTCTTCGTCAACGCCGCACGATATTTGGATCATTGCTCAGAAGGTGGATTTCAGATATCCTCATTTTTTTCTTTCTACCGCATCAAAGTGCTCATATTTTTCTTGTTCTGATTTATTATGCAAAACGTCTGCTACACGCCAAAATCGTCCTTTATTTCGCAGCCTCAATGACCTGTACCGTACGTTCGTTTTTGCCATCATCGTTTTTTATCCGGACAGCCCCACTCAACCGGTAAACGTTTTCCGATCTCCCACACATTCAATGCCCAAGGCACACTAAGCTTAACATTATTAGTGAACAAATTTTATAACTGGCACACTGGTAATGGCGGTCCATTCCCTTGACGCTGGGGGGAAAAAAACGAAACGCAACTTGGCGAAAAATTCGCAGCCGGAGATGAAGACCAAAATGGTAAGACGTTGATGATTGATGGTATTGCTATGCTTGTGGCACTCACGCATGTTTATGGTAGCATCAGAGCGGTTGTTTTATTTGGATTCTCCTTTTTTTTTTTTTCTACCGGGTTCCATTGCACAATAAACGGCAACAACAGTATCCGTTCAGCCAAGGTTAGTGGCACAATGACAAGGGCGACTGAAGATTATTCCGATTGTAACAAAAGTTTCTGTGTATAGGCAATCAGTTGGCGCCGGGCACTTTCCCTTAATTTGGACCAATTTTTGTGCTTGACGATTCATGGTGAGTTTTATTTTCATGTGAAGGCGTTATTAGAATGATTTTTTCACATGCAGTCTATCGTTCCATAGGTTGACAGGATAACGAGGCAGATCGGCTAAATGATCAGTATTCGTTGGCGCTGGCGATGTGCCATGGGCAGAATTCGCGGAAAAATGGCGAGATCTCGGCAGCGATTCCGAACTATTTGAGCAACACAAGCTGTAACTGATGGAGATGCATCAGGTAAAGATTAAAGTTTTTTCTTTATGTGGAAGGTCGAGTACCCGCATCTCTTTACTGATTATACCTCTTTTAATTAAGGTTAGCGTTACGGGTAAATTATAAGCTATTACCGGTACCAGCACTTCATCCATATCGCCGATGGGACACAGCGTTGGCGTGCGAAAGCTCACTGAAGGGAGAGCAAATGGAGGCATCGTCTCTGGCATCGTCCTGGCAATGTATAGGGAAGGTTGATTCTGGAAAAAAGTCATCTTGAAATTGCAGCAGCATTTGTAACGCGAAACCTGTTTGGGGGATATTTTTTTTGCTCTTGTTTGGCCCCATGTTGGGCGCACCTATCTTTTTATTTTATTTTTTTCCTCTTTTGTTCACCTGGCCGACCCAAAACGCATGGCACCGTTTTTTGGAATAAAGATTCGCCATGGGGTTGGGTCATTCGAAACAGCATTGTTAGCTAACGAGTCATCCGCACTAATCGCTGCGACGAAGGCAGGTTCAGATGAAGACTTGGGCGATGACTCAGGTACGAACGACGATGTAGCCGCGATGTACAGTCGAAATGCTCATTATTAACGACCAAGATTAGTGATCAAAGCGACGGTTCATTGCACTGACACGGCACTACTCTGAGGAAAGCGACTCTACGGAAGATCACTGAACGGAATTCGGAGAGACGCGTATAAAGATGGTAAGCTGTGAATATCAGACAGTTTTGTGCTCTGACACTAATGGCCATTCTATTTAGTCGCGGTATTCTTGGCAGCAGCAACAGTATGCATTCATGACTGGAACGAATGAGGCGGCAGCCTTATTTTAGAGACCATCTTTTTGGCAACTTCTTTTCAGTTGTTCATATATGGTGAGTTTTTATTTTTCAATATCGAGACGTGTTTCGCTATACTGAAAAAAAATTATGGTTTGCTAGTCTTTCTTTTCGGTTTGCTTTGGACACTGGACACTCGCCATGTCGACGGCTGGCATTGGGCAGATGGCAAGGTAAACTTACAGAAAAAAACAACCAGCGATGTAATATAGGCACTGACAGTATATCATCGAATTTTTTCGCAGACAAGCGGCATCGACCTGAAGCGAACAATCAACAGCAACGGGCAACGGATTCCAACTGTTGGAGGCAAGACATGATACACTGGGTAAGGAATAAGAGTTTGTTTTATTTGAAAGACCAAGCTTTACTAATACGATTTTTGCTGTAAAGGATGTTTTGCTGTCGTTCCGCTTTTGTTGATCCAGAGGTTCCTACGTCCACTTACTGGAGAACGCGCCGAGATAATCATGGACATCATCATGTCATGTTGCGCGTGACGGCAACAGTGCCCATTTATTCATGGTTAAGCGGTAGGAGATGCGATGAGACGTATATCTTCCTGAAGCAATTTTGTGCTAAAGTCAAACAAGTGGCAATCGTTGGACGCGTCTCGGTGATAGCTTTATTTTATTGACCAATGGTAAGTCGTTATTTTCAACTTGAAGGTGCGTCTCGGAGATCTCAAAGATGGCTTGGCTATTTTTCATAGTGCGTGAGAGAATCGTCGGTAAGAAGTTCTCTGATCAGCGTGGCGATCATTCATCATTACGGAGATGATAAGGTAAATTAGGCGGAATGACTGGAGTGCATGCAGGTGCTGGCAGCTTATGATCAAAGAGTTTCACAGAAAAGAGAATGCGGCGCCAATGATCATCGGTCCGAGCAATGAACAGCGACGGAATTCAACGATTTGGGGGAGGCTCTGTATTTGGCGGTGATACATTAGGTAAAGATTACAGTTTTTGTTGTACAGTATGTGACAGACTGAGTGAGTACCCGCATCTCTTTACTGATTATACCTCTTTTTATCGCCAGTACCGGCACTTCTTCCATTATCGTCGTTAGACACACGCCTTGGTGGGGACACTCACTGACGAGAGAGTAAATGGAGGCATCGTCCATTGCATTGTCCTGGCAATGAATGTGAAAGATTGATTCTGAAAAAGGTCATCCTGAAGTCGCTGCAGCACTTGTAACACGTAGTGTGTCTGGCGTTTTTTTTTTTTTTTTTTTTTTTTTGTTTGGTCCCATGTTGGGCACACCTATTTTTTATTTTTTTCCTCTTTCGTGCACCTAGCCGACTCAAACTCATGGCACCGTTTTTTGGAATAAAGATTCGCCATGGGTTTGGGTCATAGAAGCAGCATTATTAGCTAACGAGCAATACGCACTTAATCGCCTTGAGGAACAAAGTTCAGATGAAGACTTGGCGATGACTCAGGTACGAATCACAATGTAGCCGCGATGTACAGCCGAATGCTCATATTAACGACAAAGGATTAGTGTTCAAAGCGACGCTGCAAAAGATCACTGAACGGTACTTCAGAGACGTGCGCGTCAAGATGGTAAGCTGTCGATAGCAGACAGTTTTTGTGTGTTCTGACACTAATGGTCATTTTAATTAGTTGCAGTATTCTTGTCGGCAGCAACAGTGTGCATTCATGACTGCAATGATATGAGACGACAGCCTTATTTTGGAGAACCCTTTTTTAACTTCTTTCAGTCGTTCATCTACGGTGAGTTTTTACTTTCAATGTGGAGGCGCGTTTCGCTGTACTGAAAAAAAATATGGTTTGCTAGTCTTTATTTTTTTTTTCGACCTGCTTATGACAACGGACAGTGGCCTTCTTGATGGCTGGCATGAAGCAAATGGCAAGGTAAACTTCTCAAAATAAAATCAGCGATGTGATATAAGCACTGACAGCATATTATCGAAGCTTTTATTGCAGACAGCTGGCATCGACCCTAGACGGGCAATCAACAGCAACAGTTTTCCAAGAAGCAAGACAAAAATGTAGTTGGCGATGATTTATACCAGGTAAGAATTAAGAGTTTGGTTTTACCTGGAAGACCAAAGCTTTACTGATACAACTTTTTTTTTGCTGTAAAGGGTTTCTGAAAATTAAAACTGAAATGGCTTTGCTGTTGGTCCGTTTTTTGTTCATCCATTTGCTGGAGAATACGTCGCGATAACGGTGAACATGATCATGGCGATGAACGGTGGAACATGGAAGGCCACTCGTGACACTAAAAAATTCCATCTTTGGTGGAGTGATTTTTTTTTCACCCCTTTCGTTCTTTCCTCTCATTTCTTCGTCGCCTTTGGTTTTTTTTTTTTTTTTTTCACGATGCTGACATTACAACTGCGATTTAACTTCTGTCTTCTGTCACCTCGCTGATTCGACACTCATGGAACTCGTTACGGCAATTGCGGAACAAAGTCGAGGTGCTGCGTTGGAAAACGAAATGTTCACTGCAACCGCAATGACTTGTGCTCAAACCTGGCGACATGCAGGTACGAATGGTGTCAAAGATTCTCGCGACATGTTCTCAGCAATTAACCGACATGAACAATTTAGGATGTACGCACGAACTACCATCAAGGCGCGTTTATTCTCAATGATGACCCAGACGATAAGTGACAAATCTGGGGCGACGGTTTATTCGCCTGGCCTGGTGGTCCTGGGAACGCGATTTTACGAAAGTTCACGTTACGGAGATGAAGATAAAAATGGTAAGTTGTTGATGACTGATAGTGTTCTCCTGTTTGTGACACTAATGAGTGGTCTTGTTTGTATTATCACCAGATTCCGCCCGACGGTAATGGTGGCCCCTTTATTTATGGTTGAAGCAGTATGAGGTGCGATAAGCGCGACTTGATGTACATCTGCTGAAGCAATTTTGTGCAAACAAGTGGCAATCGTTTGACACGTCTCGGTGATAGCTTTATTTTATTTCTCAATGGGTAAGTCCTTTGTTTTCTACTAAAGGTGCGTTTCCGATAACTCAAAGATAGCTTCGCTATTTTTCATAGTGCGTGAGAGAATCGTCGGCAAGAAATTCTATGATCAGCATGGCGATCGTTCATTATTACGAAAATGATAAGGTAATTAGGCGGAATGACTGGAGTGCATCAGGTGCTGGCAGCTTATTATCAAAGAGTTTCACAGAAAAGAAAAGGCGGCGCCAATGATCATCGGTCCGAGCAATCAACAGCAACGGAATTCAACGATTGGGGGAGGCTCTGTATTTGGCGGTGATACATCAGGTAAAAATTAAAGTTTCTGTTTTACGTGACAGACTGAGTGCCCGCATCTCCTTGCTGACGATATTTCTCCTTAAGGTTAACTTTACGGGTGAAAGTACAAGCCATCGTCCGTCTCTTCATTCTTTTCATCGCTGCTGACACTCACAGTATCATGGTTCCTAGCTGGCAAATGTATCAAGGCTTTTCCAAAACATCGTCAGAAGCATGAATGCTGGATGGTAAGTCATCGCAATGTCGACCACTCATGGATAGAACATCAGAGACTTACTTGTATCACGAAATAGGCTGATTTGTTTGGGGAGAAGGCATGTTTCCTTGTCATACCTGGCAATTTTTTCACGGCGGTTTTGGGCGTTGCATATGTGATTCACTTTGTTAATCTGGCACCCATGGCGAACTTGACAGCCGTTTTGGAGCGCTGCTTATGTGCCGGTTGAAGAACAGTCCATACAAGATAAATGTATCCCCTGCTGATGCAATTGAGGTACAGATGACTACTGAAACTCAATAAGATTTCGGCACTAAAGAAAATTCTGTGGTTAGGGCAAAGAAACATTTTGACGGCGCTTTGTTTATTTTGATCAATGTTGGCTTTTGTTTTGAGCTGTCTGTCTATGGTGAGTGTTTTTCTTAACAAAGTCACGTAACGTCGTACTGAAAGTGATGGCTTGGGTAGATTCTGACCGATGTACCACATGGAGTGACATGTTACCGTGGTGATGACTGACTCTCCTGGTGATGGTTACCATGAAGGACAAGTCCAATGCAAATACCATGAGTATGTTCCGAAGCTTTCGTCGAAACTAGAAAGACATGCAACGAGCGCGCAAGAAATCAATCAACAAAACCAGTTGTTTTCACTGCTGAGTGCAAGGTAAGATTAAGGTTTCTGTTTTACGTGACAGACCAAGTACCCGCACCTCTTACTAAAATATTCCTTTTCAGGTAACTTAGGGGAGAGGTTCCTTCCATTGCTGCTGGTTGCTCACGGTGACATGTTGCCAAATCTATCGACCGACGGAAGCGTCAAAGCGAACTTAAGACATCATCCGGGCAATGAAGGCTGGATAAGATATCATTGGGATATCGAAGGCGTATGGCAACTGAAAGGCTTATTTGTATCACCAGTCAAGCTCTTTTGTTTTGCGGCACTTGGCGCTTTTCACGGAAGATTGGGCGTTGCACCTGCCGTTTGCTTTTACGTTTTGTTCATCTGGTCAGCCTGCCACTCATAGAAAAACTTGGCCGTCGCTTTGGAGCATGCACGGGTTGAAAGACAGAGACAGCCTCCCGAAAAGATCCAAGTATCCCTGGTGGACGCGACATAAGGTACGGATGACTAGCGCAACTCGATATCATATTTTTTTTCTTTTTTACTAAAGAGAATCTTGTGCATAGGGTGAAGGGGTACAAATTATTTGAGTCGGGCGCTTCTACTTGTTTTGGTCAATGTTGACGTTTGTTTTTGATTGTCTATCTGTGGTGAGTGTTCTTTTTTAATCATGGTCGTGTATCCAAGTACTGAAATGTTTGGCTAGGGTTTGACCGGTGCACCCACGATGGCCCCAAGGGGTGACATGTTGCCACGGACTGATTCTGCTGATGATGATTGCCATCAAGGACAACCCGATGGAGATACCATCAGCGAAGCTTCCGTCGAAACACGCAAGGAACGCGGAAGGAGTTAATCAAGGCTGGGCCCAAGATTGATTAAGGTTTGTTTTATGTGACATGCCGAGTGCCCGCATCTCTTTACTAATCATTTCCTTTTCAAGGTTAACTGAGGGGGGTGAAGTACAAGCCATCGTCGGTTTTTTCGCTTCTTCTGGCGCTGCTGTTATCCACATAGTGACATGGTCTACCGACTGATGGATGCGTCGAAGCATCACCAAGGTTAAGAAAGCAGGACAAAAGATTATCAGGTGTTGAAGGCGTTGGAAAATCAAAGACTAGTTTGTATCACCAGTCAAGCTCTTGTTTGGGGTCACCTCATTGTCTGTGATACTTGGCGCTTTTCACGGGGAGATTGGGCGTTGCATCTGCCGTTTACCTTTTATCTCTGCTCATCTGGTCAACCTGGCACGCAAGGGAAACTTGGTCGTCGCTTTGAAACATACAACGATTAAACGACAGAGAGAGCCGCCCGAAAAATAGCCCAAGTATCCGTGGTGGACGTGGCATGAGGTACGGATGACTGGCGTCAATCGATATGAATTCTCTTTTTTTTTTTAGTCGTCCCTTTATGGTAAGTGTTTGTTTTGCAATCAAGGCCGCTCATCCTGGTACTAAAATATTGCTTCGCCAGGCTTTTGGCATGTGTCCGGGAACATCATGTCACCCTGTCACGATGAAGATAACTGATCCTGATGGCGATTGTAACAACGACCAATGCAGTCAAGTTGCGGTCAGCATGCTTTGCAGAAAACTGGAAAGGCACACAAAGCACCGCCGTTATTTACAACTGGTGGGCGCAAAGCAAGCTGTAACTACCCCCAAGTCTATCATGGCCCTCCGCAGATAGTTGCTTGATCATCGCCCTTGAATTCGATGCCTGCAACGCAGAGCAGACTCTTCATCCGTTGTACCGAACATTGACACCAATATGGTCTTGGCGATTGCTCCGGAAATCGGTGACAGGCTTTCTTGAGGACTTCACTTGTATGGTTGACGGAAATACCAAGGCTTCCCCTCTGGTCGCAAACTTTTCTCCGACACACACTGTATGAGATCACCCAAATCAGGCAACATCTGTGGCTGTATGCTTGCCTCGTCAACAACGGAAAGGATCGCCAAGACTCAGTATTGCCGAGACTCAGGATCGCACAAGAAGTATGACAACGAAACGTTCTTATGGGGACGTTGAAGTCTTTCGTCACGATGCCATTGGATGATGGCAGAATGTGCTGATACCAACGATGCAAGAAAATTCGGCTGTGCAAACCTCCTGAAATCTGTCTACCTCAGCATTGATCGTTACAATTACTCACCTTGAACAAAATGCAAGGCAGACTGTCCATGGCTTTTATTCTCTCAGCTTTACAGGCAATAAGTGTAAGTGTCGATAGTGCTTTTTGATGATAACAAGGTAAGCGCGGTACAATAAGTAGAAAAGAATCATGCTTCAAGTTTCGTCGTGAATAAAGTCACATTTTTCAATGATAAATTCCACTTGTACCCAAAATGATATCGTGAATGCTCAAATCCGAAATGATGTTCAGGCCAACCAAAAAAATAAATCAGAATAGTATCCCATGTGAGTCGTTCACCGCAACATGAGGGGTCGCTTTGGACCATCTTAATAAAAAAAAAATCCCCAGAAAAGAAAGGGTACTTATTCATTCGTTTTCCTTCTTTGCTGATTTCACAAGTGTCGCCTTGAGCCTCGGTTGCTATGGCGATGTGTCACTGCACTGCAAACCTGGCTGTTGTGCTTGGTTACCATGAACTGTGCGTCACTTTCTCAAAGTGGTAGTCTTCTTGAACCACATCAGTTCCACTTTTCAATAAAAGGCAATTTGCCGACCGGTCACTAAAAAGAGAAAGTGAACGGAAAGAAAAAGAAGAGAAAAGGAAAAAAAGAAAAGAGAAAAAGGAAAAGGGAGGGAAAAAGAGAGAAAAAACAGCGAGAGCTTAACCTAAATCATTGCCTTTTACTGCCCAACCTGCCCTTCTCAGCCATCCAAACAACTGCAAAATTCAAAATTTTCACCCAATTGGGCATATCTGTGTTTGTGTAACGTTACACGAAAATACTGTTTATGGTAATCCAAACCCGCGCAAACAATGACACCCTGTTACACGAGCACGCGCTTTAGGAAGCACTATGCTCTTGCCTTTTCTGTCGCCCAGAACTGCCCGTTTTCCCTCTTTCCCACAGTCGGCTGCCCTTCATTGCAACTCCGACCCACAACTCAAGAATTTTTTTTTTCCTGTCGCCACCCAACCGTGAGTCATCTGCCACCGTCCCTCATCACCATTCTCTCCATCATTCACACAGCATCGCACATTGGACGCTGCCGACAATCAAACTGATTTTTTGAAGCCAAAGAAAAATAAATGCACCTTGGGCTTAAGCTTGCAGACGAGCTGATGAAGTGCTTTGTACCATATTCTCACGAAGAAGGTGGGTTCAGTTTGTAAATATTCTTCAGCATCATCACCAGTCGTCCGTATAAAAGCACAACCCTTGTCAAAGCCGGACTACCGCCAATCACTTGCTGCCATTATGTTGATCGTCGACCTAAGGAATTGTTGTTTTTCCCATGATAAGGGCTTATAAATCGTGTTTCAGACAATCGCAGGAACCTAGTCGGTGAATGTGTTATGGTATTTCACAGGACAAAGTCGACAGTGGAAGTTCGGAAATGACGCGTGGTATGATACAGCTTTCATTCAAAATCGGCATATATGCCTGCCTACATATGATTTTTCCGTTGTCTGGATGAATCGTTATGAGGGATACATTCGACGATGGTATCTGCAGGATCAAATACGAAAGAGGAATGGCAGTAGACTTACTCATGTTTATGTTACTTGGGATTATCAGTAGCAGGTGCTGATGAATGTATATTCAATGGTCACTTGATGAAGAGGGGTATTCTTCGATGGGAAAACATGAATCGCTATTACGGCGTTGTGGAAATCGATCGCCCAGCTTGTGTACCTGCCTGTCCTCATGCACATGTGCCCTTAGTTTCAAGTCCTAAACATCGCATCATCACACCTTGAGTTTTGCTACTCTAGTTTTTGATGTTCGCTACTTCTTATCTTAATTGCCGTTCCCTCACGTTCTGATTTTCACTCCAGCATTCTCTAATTTTCTCCCATTCACCTAGATACTTGATTTTTAGTATAAATATCTCAGTTTCCGATCCAAATAAACACGGTCAATAACATATCAGATATCTCACTCACCTTTCGATCCTTAGAAATATTGCAGTTGTTTTTCATTCTTTTTTTATTTTCGGTTTTTTAATTCAGACGCAACGTGTCTTCTTTTCTTCTCCTTTAATTTTCCTTTCCGTTTTCAACGAACGATACGTACAACGATCTGATATGTACCCACCATGGTATATCTGGTGCTCACTCAACAAATTCGAGCAAAAAGTTCAACTGTCTTATTCAAAACCGTCAATAACCCTAACGGCAGGTAGGGTATTTATTGTAAAGTAATATGAAACGGAACAACAACAAGATTAACGTAAATAAATGAAATACAGAGCACAACATGAGGCAAGGGTGGATACTGTAACTGGGAGGGAAGAAGACAATATGTGTGATTGATGACAGCGCCACATCGAAAAAATGGCGTCCCTCTCATATATCCTGTATCTACTCGAATGTTTATCTACTGCAATACGTGGCGATTCATCGCCAAGCACAGCTGCAGTATCCAGGTCCACCAAAAAAAAAAAAAAAAAAGAAATACCTTACATTATATAATGTCGCGGGTTTACCGTTTGAAACGCTAATCGCCAGTGAGTTTTACCTTAATTATGGACTTTTGTCATGATTTGTTAGTCAGATCGTGTCCACTTTGCAATATACTCTTGCATATAGTGCATACTAATTTTAGAAAAGAATTATATATAGATTGTTTATGTTTTTTATATATTTTATAATATTTTCTATTTCGATATAAATATTTCGTCATCTCTATAATAAATAATGTCAGATTATCTTGTCCAACCAATTTGTGGTCACATTCTTCCTTGTCTCGTCTTATCTTGCCCATTCTCTGCGGAAAGCAAATATCTGTACACCTCTGTTGACCCATTGTTAGAGGTATAATCGACTTAGTATATGAAGTGGTCAGGATTTGAGTTTCTCAATTAATTTTTAGTGACCATCAGATATACTGAGATTGACTTATATCAGATTGTTGTGTATCTTCTTTATTGGAAACGGGAAAATAAAAAAAAGGGAAAATGCAAAGAGTTAAGACGCTTTGTGTCTGAATCGAAAAATGATATGGGATAGAAGAAAAGACAGCAATACACAATACTTTGAACGTCGAAAAGATCAAAATAAGTATTTGGTATGTTATTCCTGATTTATTCAGATTGGAAGCTAAGGGTATTTATTATGAAAATTAATTAATCTAGAAGTCATTAAGCGAAGTCAAGATTATCACTAGATGAATAAGTGAACATCGGAAAGTGAGTAACGAATATCAATGGTGACTTCAGAAGATGAAATGACGAACATCGGTGAAATAATGAACATCAGCGTGAGTGAGGGTGAGTTCGGTGAGAAAAAAAAGGGGGTATCGATGCAAGCAATCAGGTACAAGAATTAACAGCTACGATCATGGCGGTCTTGCTTGTGTGTCCGTCCATACCTCCATTTCTCTTTTTTACCCAATTGGGATCGACCAATCCAGTGCTGTTCGGATCCTTTGCGCTGCCCTATCTCTCTTGTTTGTCCCGTCACAGCTTACATCACCATCAATCCTGAGTTCGCCCTATTACGACTTTTCTCGGCTTGGAGTGTTTCATTAGATCCTTCAGATATGCCTTTGAGACAGGAGTCCTCAGGAAGAAATCTCATAAACACAGAAATGTATTTTACTATATTCGATCCAAATTACAGTGTATCTGTGGTATTTTAGCCGTAAATCATGACAAATAAAAGTGCAGTACACTTTATGATCCAATAATCATCCATCACATCGTAATAAAGGATCCAATCCTTAAATTAATAATGAAGCGATATAGATCCAGAATCTGCCACCAAACTTGTGTACTCGATCCATTCAGGCACTAAAGAATCCCAATCTCGATTCGACGATCAATGACAGAATATCAGCTATCAATGTACAAATTAAAGAGCAACTTCAATGAACTTTGAGAAGGATGAAGACCGTTGGTTCGAAGGAGCTGCGCAAACGGGAAAGGAAGGGCACGGTTTGAAGTGGTCAATGCTTGGTAGTCAAAAATTAGATTAGCATGACATCACATTAATGGTTTTGGGTGGAGCTTTGAAGTGAAATTTGGAGTGTGTCAATCGTCTTCTGCGGTGTGTTCCGCCTGAATTCCTTTCTTCTTTGGAAACAAAGCACATCACTTTCGTCTACTTTGTCACGAAATCGCGGTGATCGCATTGCGTTCAACATTCAACATGATGCATCATTTGGACACTTTTCTCAATAAATCCGCAGATAAGAAAAAGCCAAACTTGGTACACTTCAAAAATCGCTTCAAACCCTCCCTCTAAAACCAGTAGCGTGGTGTCACGCTAATCGATTTCGAGCATCAAACTGTGTTCTTCCTTTCCCGTTTGCCTTTTTATTTTTTTCGAAACCCAACGGTCTGAAATTCTCTCGAACCTCTTTTCCGTTATCAGGCATGTTTCCAGGTCATGAAGGTAAAGTTTATATGTCCAAGAAATATATAAAAGGCCATTCACTTGTCAGACTTTCGTTATTCTCACTGGTAGGACTCAGTGCCTTCATCCAGACAAGTCAAAGCACCTTTCTAGCAAGCATTTGCCGTCAAACACCGAACAAAAATGTCTGTATGGTCGCTTGATCAATCGGCTCTTATTATTGATAAGAAACTGCTCGACTTATGCAGGGATACAACTCCAGAGAACAAGAAAGCCACCACCATGCTGGATAACATCAAGGACTTCCAAGCACACAGACGATCCATGAAGGGAGTTAGATCTCTTCGTCCAGAACTGTCGATAGAGTAAGTCTTTACTTCGATCTCCGTTGCTTTATTTTCGTCTTGTGCACTAACTTGTTCTTCCTTTCAAAAGGAAATAACCAATGTCAAAATCTTGGTCTGATATTGCAACAATGAAACCGACAATGGCACGTGTGAAAGCGTTTGATCCCCCTGTTTTTCCTTCACTCCCTTATTCTTTTCTCTTTGCTTTATTCTCGTAGAAAGAGACCGAGGCCAACGTATTTGGCGGCTGGGTTTAATACCCAAACTCTTACCGACCAGCTGTGGCAAGAATTTCCAAAAGAACCGGGAAAACATCTCCTTCCAGGTTGGTGACATGGCTACGATAGGTGGTGTTTGTGTCCGTGAACTAATGGCTTGATAGAGCAATGTCCAATTTGCGCAAGATCCCTCGTAAACCGCATCCAAATCGGCCAAGAATTCAAGACTGTAACAGACAGCACTACCTGCTCCTTTTTGAGATTGGGCTTTACTTGTGACGGTACACCGAAAAAATATGACGATCGCTACCCAAAGAAAATTGCAACGATCTGCCGTCCAGTTGAACCATGGTACAACACTGACGGCACAGTTGTTCCCGATTCATGGTTCGGTTCGTCTGCCATGATTCGAACGCTCAAACTTTATGCGCGTTTCGCCATCGTACTGGATGACAGCAGTGCCATGACGGTCTCCATATTACTGGACCCATGGTTCGATCAAGAAGGCAAACAATATGTTGAACGATGTGAAAGCCGACAAATGCAACCGGTTTCAATGTTGTACATCAATTGCCTCAACTGAGAACCAGCTTTCAGTATCCCCCATGTATTTACTGTGTCGGTCATGCAGTATATTCAACGTAATATCCGCTCACGACCGTATACGGTGTATACATTGCCGATTACGACGGAGGAGACCAAGACTCTGTTGCCAAAGTTGCATCACAGTTGTTCTGCGAAGTTGTCAGCCGAACCACCAAAGGCAACAAGCCAATGCTTGCCAAAGGACTTGTCGGTTCTCTGTACGATAAATGCCCAGCCGGCCAAATTAAGGCCGCCCTCTACGAGATAATTGCAATTGTATGCGCGGGTGCTGGAGAACGGATATTTTCATTCTCTACAACATGAGGTCGAACAAACACTTACAAACTCTGGCAAACTCCATCTTCACCCATCGGAACCGCCAACAAATCTGTCGCCAACACCATTGAATCCACATTCGTTGCGCAACGTTAAATCGTCATTCACCCTTATCATACTGGACGTGTGAATCTCATCAATTATTCACTCCTTATTTCATGCTTTCAAAATACACATTCGATATCTCCATTTCACTCCAGTTCTTTACTGCCTTACAAGTTTAAAATTTCTTCGCATGTACTTTCCAGACCACACCGACCAACATGCATCGTAGAGACTTTGGAGTTATCTTCATTATTTGTCTTTTTCTTTCCAGCTTAGTGGATACCGAAAGGCGTAATAAATCCGTTTATACATCGTGTAACTGAGCTCCACTGCTGCAACAACGGGACTATCATAACCTATTGAATGATCATTATGGGCATGAGAAGAATATTTTTAGGTTAGTATTCTTTTAAGATGCTAGAAAACATTAATAAAAGAAAAGTATTATAAACCACTTTTGTCTAGGAATATTTGTCATCTTTCCATGCGGGCTAATGCATGTAGGCAGATGAGCCAGAAACCAAAGTTTCACTCAAAAATTCGACTAGTGCGGCTGTCACGTCAATCGGTGGGAAAAAGATGTGTAACCAAATTAGGGCTTACTGTTTCTTTAGCTCATCTCCAGTTGTATGTATCAAGTACTGTACTTGTTGTGCGCAGAAAATGACCTGAGTTGCAACTGAATACAAGGCTTGACGCGGGTGGAGGAGGGACAACAGTCAATTGTAATTTTGATATACGATCTCCAGTAATTACTTGATGCAGAATCCTCAGGCAAACATTTATTAAAGGTCTTCATCAATTGATTCAATTCCGCTTCATATTTCAGTATGTATAACAATCTGTACAGTGTCTTTGGTGGTTTTTGACAAGCAAGAGTTCCTTCCGTCAATTCAAATATCTTTGGCCAAACATATACCAAGGTAAGACAAATTCCCAAAATAGCATTTCCTTTTTTGACCACGTGGCTTTTGGGGGATTTTTTTTCTCCATAGTGTCAATGGAAAGAGACTCAGCAATATGACTTCTTCGTTGCAGCATGTCTTTCGGAGAGATCAAAGATTTTGAGGTACTGTCTAGATAATCCAACAATCGCGTATGTAAGCATGTATAACGATCGCGTAATGATAAATAGGTTGCCTCCCCGCCCACAGATGGCATTTCGGATCTCGCTTTTTCTCCACAAGCAGATTTGCTAGCAGCTTCGTCGTGGGATAGCCAGGTAATTTTGATGGAGAAGTTCAGTTGCTAGCAATGTATTGATTCCCACTTCAGATTAGAATCTACGAGGTTCAACCCTCTGGCAACACGGTTCCAAAAGCAGCTTATAGTCACGAGGGTCCAGTCCTCTCCGTCGCTTGGAGCAAGGTAAGGTTATACTCGCCCGACCAATCGCACGGTTTTTGATGGAGGGACACTCTTGTAGGACGGTACGAAGGTGGTTTCAGGCGGGACGGATAAAGCGGTGCGAATGTATGATATAAACACCAACCAAACCACGCAAGTAGCGGAACACGCAGAAGCTGTAAAATGTGTCAAATTCCTTGACCAGGGACAGCAAATTCTGGCAACCGGCAGCTGGGATAAAACGATCAAATATTGGGATACGAGATCGCCACAACCTATTGGAACAGTGCAGCTTCCTGAGCGATGCTATACAATGGATACTGCGGGCAACCTACTTATCGCAGGAACAGCCGATCGCCATATTGTCATATTTGACCTGAACAACCCTACTAGCATTTTCAAACAGACGTTATCGCCATTGAAATGGCAAACACGCGCTGTATCCTGCTTCATTGATGGAAAAGGTTATGCTATTGGATCTATTGAAGGACGAGTGGGTATTCAATATTTGGACGCCCAAGACCAAGCGTAAGTGGATTGACGAGTTTGAAGTTACTGTCAGTATTATCCTCATTTATAAGGCACCCTTGTAGTAAGAGCTTTTCTTTCAAATGCCACCGCGACGAATCCAAGAATATGTATTCGATCAATGCCATATCATTTCATCCGGTGTATGGCACATTCTCTACGGCGGGTGGTGACGGAACGATAAATTTTTGGGATAAGGATTCGAAGCAAAAGTTGAAGCCTTTCCCTAATATGAACGGCACTATTCCATGCACAGCATTTAGTCGAACTGGCCATATATTTGCTTACGCCGTTAGCTATGATTGGACAAAGGTAAATCATGAGCGGATTGCTAATTGTGCCTTATACTTATCGACAAATTCAAAGGGATACAAGTTCGCCCAACAAAACACGACTCACAGAATCTTTTTACATGCTGTAAAAGATGAAGATATCAAACCCCGAGCACCTAAAAAACGATAAATGTCATGATGTTTTGATATATGACGCTGCCATGTAGTATAATTTGCAAATAAAATTCGAGTGATGTACAAAGCAAGAAGTCTTCTGGAAAAGGGAGAAAGATTCCTGTACAAACAAAGAAGAAGGAAGAAGCCGAAAGCAGATTACAGTTTATGCCAAAGCATACGTAAGCAGAGAGCAAGTACTCTAGGGAGATGCATTCTTAGGGGTTGTCTTTGAAAATACGCTTTGTTTGCGAAGACTTGGAGGAGCAGGGAGAGAACGGTTGAAACCAAAGTTGTTTAATTTTGCAGGTCAGTCTCCTCACAGCCCCTTCTTCGCTTTCACTTTCTTTCTTCATTATTCCTAGAAACCGACATTTTTTGACCCGGAAAATAAAGAAAGCAGAAAAAAGGATATGCTACCGGATAACGATGATGCCTTTCTCTATGCCTCTAATTTATACCGAAAGGATCCTTACCGGTCTCGGAAATCAAAACAGCAAGGTACGGAACACGCTCGGAAAACACTGCAGCGACTTTCATAAAGAAGAAAGGAAAAAGAGCCAAAGAAAAATAAAAAATAGAAAGCAGTAGAAATTGAAAAGAAATTCACCCACAAAACGTAAAAGATGACAGGCCTCCGTCTGCTATTTCGTCGTATCATCCTGCCGCCGTTCATGATGCCGGCCGCGCCAACTCCTATCTGCCATATACCAACCACGCACCTGACCTCACACATGCCCGCAACGAACTGTATGTGGAAGATGATAGCGCCACTCTCGCGGCCACAAGCCTCTACAGAATTGAAGTCATCGGCAACGATCGGAAAGATAGTCTTATTGGAGACTCCAAAGCCTTTTTAAAACATCCGCCATCGAACATTTCATTGGCAGAGGAGCTATATAAAAAGCGTCAAACAAAATTGATGAAACGTCGGACATTCTTGGTGAGTTTTCTACTGCTGTTGGCCGCTTTGGTGGCAATTGCCTATTTTTGTTGGCCACGCATACCGAATATGGATATCACCTCGGAAAAAGCAGAAGCACTTTTCGACACACCGAATTGGGGACCAGACCAACATCCATGGTTACACGCAACTTGGCTGGTCAACCTGACGATAGACAACCGCCAAAATTGGATTCGGACGTATATCACTGGAATGGAAGTGGAAATGGCTGACTCGATCACACAAAAGGTGTTTGGCTGGGCAACAATTGACTCACTTCAGCTTCCTGCTCGGGCTATCATTTCAGAGCATCTCCAATTCAAAGTCGACTATGAATCCGACTCTGTGACCGACCCTACCTTTGAGAATATATATAACGCCTGTGGACCTCAAGTCGTAAGCGCGCCGCCAGCTCTAAATATTACTGTGCATGTAAGCAGATAAAAACATCATCAAATTATTTAAACGAATTGTTTTTTTAAATTAAAGCTGTAGGCAAGTTTTCGTCTGTTTGGCATTGTCTGGGTGCCTCGTGCGCTGATATCGCCTATTAATGGCGGCCTTATTTGTCCTTCTCGTTGAGCTACCATGCGATGATCCTCTTTTGCTTTTCCATGCTTTATCGTTGTATTTTATGTCTTTTTTTTTCAGCCCTCCTTGCTCTTTCTATGATACCAAATATTTTAGACAATGGAAAGACTACATTAGCCTTCTTGGATAATATCACATCTGGCCAGCGTACGACAGTCTACTATATCAAAGGGTGAAGGCTTCTGTTTTCTTTCTTGGCTAGTAACATGATAACAACTAGATCCATCACATCTGGATGCCGCCTATTACCGGAGGTGGCCCATCTTGCACTGGGCAAATTTCGACAGACAAAGTCGAATGTACTGTATCTGCGGCAAAACCTGGGGCCATAACCTTGACGAAATTTTGGCGATTTCAAACGTTTCGCCTAGCATTTTTACAATGCCTGTGGAAACATCCCAATAAAAAAGTGGCCTTAACAGCCCGCTTCTTCCCCTGGTGATGGGGATTCTTTTCAGTCACTTTGCTCCTGTACAGTGCCCTGGCAAAATTTTTTGTAATCCCAATAAATTTGTTGACTTCCCTAATGTTTTTTTTTCATCTTTCAGTTCATTTTTCTCGGAAAAGAAAGAAATGATAGTCAAATAAATTGCAAAGGAAGCAAAATATCATGACTTGGTCCTTTATTGGCGGGGAGTGGGGGAGGTTCTCGTCATATTACCTTGGCCTGCGTAATCCTAGTGGGAAAATGCGCTGAAACTGACGACTTTGTTCATCAAAAAGAAGAGGCTATCCTCATGAGGATGACTTTTATTTCAATAAAATGTATAATACGAGTTGAAATATAGTTTAACAAACCATGCATTACGTCTGTACAAAGCTATGTGCACCTGTGTATCCGACCAGCCGATATATGAACACTTGAGAATAAAGATCTCTCTCTAACGTTATCTGAGACCTACTTCATGCAGCTTTTTCATGCGATGCGACCACACTCCTTTATCAATGGATAAATATGTCATCAAGCGATGAGAAAAGACACATGACGTCTTTTTCCTGCTTCATCATTGATGGATGGAATATGCTCCGACTGTGCCGATTTCGACACAGTATAAACATCATCTTTTCTCAAAAATGATAAGCAAGTGAATGGTCTAGCATCTTGGTTCTTTGGTTCCAGTTTTTTTTTTTTTTTTTTTTTTTGGTGGTCCAGAATGAAACTTTTTTTTGAAAGGTAATGTATTTGTGCTCAAGTGCTAAGTGCTTTCCTTTCTTTTTGAACGTTATGCCAAATCACTCACTTGCTTTGTGTGCTTCTATAGTTTAAATAACTGAATGAACAAAGCCCATGTCTTGGCGGTGTGCGGTGGCGGCTCCCGCAATGCGGTGACAACAGTTTTTTTGTAAGTGAAAACAAGGAAGAGTAAGTGTAGCTTGTCTAATGCAACCATTTTTTTTTTTTTTTTTACCCAGATTTTTTCAATTAAACTGTACCTTGATACCCATTTACAGCACGGAGCATTTGCGTCAAGTTGACGCTGTAGCATTTTTTCACTTTTGAACTAATTTGGATAATTGAGCCAAAATATGAGGACTAAGGAGGAACTATCAAGAGAACACAAGACAGCAGAAGATTGTATTAATCAAGATACTACTTGAAGTGTATTACGGGCAAGGGATGAGCTTCAGTGTTGAGAACGTAGTGCTCCAGCGGCAATAGGTCATTGGGACTGAATAATAAGTAAAGGTATTTCAGGGTTTCAGCCTATCGCAGAAGATCGGTTAGACACCATTGGTACAAACAACTCTAATGGTAAGGAAGTGATCGAGAGAATTACCAGAAAGAATGTATCCATCCGATTATCTTTCACAGGAGGAATCTGGGTGACGTCTTTCAAAGCAGCGTAACCTCCACCCGGTAATTTCGTATATTGCTCAAAGGCTTCAAAAATCTTCCAACCCCATTCTCTGCAGAAATCACCGTGAATAAGCTGTAGCTCGCTAAACTAATGTAACCATGATTACCTGTATATTTCATCGCCTGTTAGTCTCCATAGTAGGAAAATACTTTCCAAAGTTTCGGGTCGCAATATATTGTGTCGATCGCGAGGTTTTATCATTATATCCGCAGCATCCGCAGCAGCGTCTTTCTCGGTGTTAAAGTACACGATTTCGCTTGCTAACCCGGTCGCTGTGCTATTGTACATTTCATAACATGTCCGAGTAATTTGCTTTCCAACCTCCAGATCTTCTAAATCCACTTGACTCATCTGTGGATGATCAGCTAGAGTGCGTCCTTCAGTGGCACCAAGAGCAAAACTGCCGCCAATAAAGCATACGAGATGATCCATTTTCGAATGAAGTTTTGTAGGATCACTATCCAGTAGTTCACCGATATATAAAAGATTGTTTGGAAAGCTGCGGCCCAGTAGATGCGTTCTGACTCCACGCATAGCATGATCATACATATCACGATATTTCTTTTCGGTTTTTCCGGTTTGCAGGTATTGCTTTAGAAGATATTCTGCCGTGGGAAGTTAATAAAAATTACTACTCTTCAAAGCATTGCGACTTACCATAGTAGCTGTCACCGCGTGAACCGAGGCGTATTTCGCTGGTTGTAAACTCACCCGATACCGGACTACCATGATCTATTTTAGCTCAATCTTTTGATCACTTTGTTACCATGCCACTTACTGTATGAGAATAGGAACCAAGCCATCGACAGTTGAGCCCTTTTCAATAAGATCTTCCATTCGTTTCATGACTTTGTCTACAGCACCCTTGTATTTATCGTCGCCAGTTAGGTAACTCAAGTATTTGAATTCCAATTGGATCGTCGTTACTTCAGCAGTACTACTCGGCACATGGGGTTTATAAGCCAGTCCGGTCGATAGCACGACACTCGCGTACGGGATGCCTGATTCACTGTGAAAAGCACCTAACAAGCGGTTGCCTAGATCGGTCGCCTTCCCCAAGTAGACAGGATCGTTGCCCGACAAATGATATGCCGACAATAATCCTCCCAGTACTCGAATGGTAGTTTCAAAGAGATTTACATCCTGGTTTTTGTCAAAATCCAATTTGGTTGCCACCCACTCGCGGGCTTCATTGTATTCGTCCGTAAGATTCATTAGAAGCATGGTATCCAACGCATCAGTAATCATCAGCCCAAGGCCACCTGGTGCCCAGTCGTGCCCTGAATGAGTCAAAGGTTGGTATTCGTCACGACCGAAAGCGTCTGTACGGTATCCTTTCCAAGCATGCTGAAATGCTTCTACAATACGTCTTTGCCTATATGCTGTTTGTTCGTCGTTGGGTATTAAAGACATCGGCGGGGGATATTGCGAGAACAAAAATTTGGACGGATCCTTTTCAGTGAGGAATTGGTCTGTGCTTAGAGTATCAGGATCATTATTGTGACCAGTTGCGTTAACTGGCAATATGTGAAACTCGTTGTCGCCGTAATCGGATGAAGCTCGATCGTAGTCGTTGGGATTGAATTCGGTGTCGAGGATTTTCTGCGTCTCCACCGAATTTGTACCGTTATAAACCTTTGAGATGAATATACAAGCGATGACAAAGGCAAGAAAGGTTATGCAACATTTAGGCGACAGCTTCAGAAACTACGTGGTGGTGGTATAAATACATCAGCAGTAACTGGGTGAAGTACGGCATTACCGTGTAAGACCGTCTGTTATATTCTTTATCATATTTCGTGTATTTATCATCAGACGATCCTGAGTTGTCACCTTTCCATCCGCTGCGATGGATGGGGAGCATATTGGAAGTGCCCTGGAATTGAACCCTTGATGAGGAAACGACGACGGCGCTCTCAACGCTAACTTTTTCATCACGTGATTCAAAAGGCATAGCAACTGCAGAAGGACTCAAATCAAAGGCCGCAAAGATGGGAAAGGATAAATATGCCCATAAGGCGCCTATACAAAAACGTTAATGCTCTACACACCACGCATCAAAACCTTTTTCTTGTGCATGTAAACATTCTCTTTTCGGCATCATTGCATCCATCGTATAACCACTTGACTACATTGGACCTACTTACTGGCGGTCCATATAACAGTTGCTTCCTCTTTTTTAGTAATATCGTTTTTCGGAAATAATAAAACATAAAATCGCCACAATGGGCGGCAGGTTCATTTCCCCAAGAATTTGCTACCTTATTACTGGATCCTTGTATACCAAGATGACACTCATATTAACCAATACAAAAAAATGTCTGCTCTCAGCGGTGTATTTATCGCTTTATACATTCGCAGGATGTCAGAAAACGTACGTGGGGAAAGGCAGTATGTAAGTTACCTAGGCTAAGAGGGAAAAGCCAGTTGAAAAGAAAGGTAAAATGGCGCTGCCCAGAATCAGGCCGAAAGACGGACATGGCAAGTAATATTTGCTAGGAGGAGGGGAAGGCTTACTCGGTACCACGAGGTTATTGTTATTTCCGAAATCTCCCACCTTATTAAAATGTTTGGGAGTTACGATCTATCCATCACTTTCACTTGCAATCCTCAGTGGAAGGAAATACAGGACGAGCTGGCTCCTCTCCAAACCGTTGTTGATCGGCCCGATCTTTGTGCGCGAGTTTTCAATATGAAGCGTAAAGCTCTGATGGAAGATCTAACGAAGAACCATGTTTTGGGAAGAGTCGTTGCCCGTGTACACACGGTGGAGTTTCAGAAGCGAGGCTTACCGTATCTTCATTTGCTTTTGGTGCTACATCCGGACGATAAGCCGAGAACACTTGATGACTATGATCGTATCGTGTGTGCCGAACTTCCGGACAGAGAGAGATTTCCTGATCTCTAGGACACCGTCAGCAGATGTATGATGGACGGTCCTTGTGGAACAACGCATCCGAGGTCTCCCTGCATGGAAAACGGCTCATGTAAAAATTTAACGACGCTACCATCGAAGATCCCAGGGGCTACCCTCTTTACCGTAGCCGCAATGATTTCGTCTCAAAACAATGTTCAGCTGGACAACAGATGGGTCATGCCGCATAATAGATTTCTATGTGCGAAATACAACGCTCACATCAATGTCGAAATTTGTACTTCCTTGGAAAGTGCCAAATACTTATACAAATATGTATACAAAGGCCATGATCGAGCTGCAGCAGCAATGTATCGTGCCGACAATGATATAAACGTCCAAGAGCAAGTCGATGAGATCACTCGCTTCATTGATGCCCGGTATGTATCCGCTGCCGAGGCCGTTCACCGGTTGTTGTCGTTCACAATGCATCGTGAGTATCCGAGCACACAACGCCTCGCTATCCACTTGAAAACGAGCAGGTCGTGCAATTCCGGGAGGACGAAAATCCGCAGATTGTTGCAGATCGTACAGCACGAAACCACACTGACTGCGTGGTTTGCACGAAACCGACTTGATCCTCAGGCACGTACTCTTCTGTATCCCGATTTTCCAGAACGATACGTCTATCATCCCAGATCCCGTAGATGGGAACCTCGACAAGGTGGATTTGGTAACACAATCAGGCGCGTCTACGCTGTGTCACCCCGTCAAGTCGAGAAGTACTACCTTCGAATGTTGCTATATAGCGTCCCCGGAGCACAGAGCTTCGACCACATTCGAACAGTCGATGGCGTTGTTATGCCCACGTATCAGGCAGCTGCGCGACGGTTGGGACTTCTCGGGGGGAATGACGAATGGGAAAACTGTCTTCAGGAATCCGCGAGTTATCAAATGCCGTGTGCTCTTCGATTTCTGTCGCCATCATTGTTAATGAATGTCAGGCTCCTGACCCGTTTGCGCTTTGGATGCAGTTACGCCAGCCATTGGCAGAAGACTATATCCATTTTTGGAGCAATCAAAATCTCGACAATGATCATCAAATTGAGCCGCCCCAAATCGTGTACAATCGCGCTTTTCTGGACATTGAAGAGCATCTGAACCGCCAATCGAGTTCACTGCTGAATTACGATCGCTTTGTTCTTCCTGATCGCCAAGAAATTGGCAGAATTACACTTCGCCGTCAGCCCAGACTGGTAAGAGAACAATTCGATCTCATCGCAGACGCTGCCAATGTTCCCCAAACACACGAGGGCCTAAACCGTGATCAACATGCCGTATACGATGCAATTCTCCAGGTTAAAATAAAGAGTAAAGAGTAAAAGAACAACAGGTTGGCCTGCTCTGTTGCCTGATTAGCCTGTCACGCAGTTTGCCGGCAGGTCTGTTTCTGATTGGTTGAATGTGCTGGCTGACCTAATTGGTTGGCCTGGCTGCAAAAGTTCGCGATATCAAACCAGTTAAAGTTTGGATGCTCAATTTTAGAGAGAGAAGGGATATCAACTGTGTCTAGAAGCGGCCTTTGTCAGTGAACCCGCATAAATGCAAAGGGTTTCTGTAAAATTTATCTTTCACCAAGTTAGGTTTTTGCGAATTGAGTCAAATCGCGTCCCCCTTGTTTCAAACATCCCAACACAGGTCGCCTCCGTATTAGCGTAAGTTATTTGAACGGTGTTTGTCCATTACAGAAAGGTATAGACTTCGCTTGATCAATTCGCAAATCTCCAGACAACAACAAAAGGAAATATGTCGATATTCAACTTCATCAGATCATACAGTACAACAGTATCGATATTTTATTTTATGTGATGATTTGCTTAGCTTTCTGCTCGCTGTCTACGTTCTCTGCTTTTTTGGCTTCTGTGGGTCTTCTTCTTTTTCTTGCCTGTATCGAAGTCGACAGCAGCCTTATGGGATCGTCCAAGATTGTCCAAATCCTTGACTTTGTAAATACGAACAATCCAGTTTTCCGAGGTAAAAGCTTCATCCACCACTGATAACTCTGGACCATGAATAGGCAATCTTTGCTGGCGCACGCGATCTATTCCTGGCTGTCCGCCAAACAGTTCACTGAAACGATAATAGCTTAGCTTATACATAAGTGAGTTTTTCATTGCTGGAGAAGCGAGATCGTCGATTCGATATTCGCCAGACGGTGTGAAGAAGTCAGATTCCTTGATTTTATCGGGCCAAACGCCTACGAATGATAAAAACAGGATGAATATTACGTAAAAAAGGTGTTATCCTATCCAAATGCTTACCGCCGGCGATACGAATCATCCACAGATATTTGTTAATATCGTCGCCCGAATAACCAAGCAAACCTCCAAAGATCACGAGCACGTAATCCACATCATGTTTTCTCATGATTTCATAAGCGTCCTCTTCGTTGGAGGCCATGGCACGACCAACAGTTGCAATATGAGTGTTATTCCACGTGTTGTTATCCACAAGGGTGGGTCGGTCAGCCATGCCAGCAATCTGGTAGCCGTAATCCCACCAAGACATGATTTTCGCGTCTTCCTTTGTGTTTTTTCGTAGCCAATAGTAGGCCTCTCGGAAGTCGTCAATGATGTGCTGTGAGCCGTCTGGATTACGCGAGGCAAGCACAATGGAGGGACTGGAGTAAGCGCTCGAAGTAACCCATGTACAGTGCCATACGAACACAATGAGGAAAAAGCCAAAGCTGAGCAATACAGCCGCTCGCGAATCTTTGCTGAGAATACCAAACGATTTCTTGTTCGTGCCTTGCTTCTTTTCGTTGATCTGATGCTGTTTGGATTTCTTCTTTTCGTTTGATGCTGAACCAGCTGATGACGATGGGGTTGCGGGATTCTTTTTGGTAGCTGAAACTTCGGCAGCAGAACGATAGGGTTGCGTTGTAGTAAAGTCAAGATAGGTATCGAGGAGTGTCGAAATGGCGATGCCAGCACAAACGCAGACCACTGGCGTCAAGGTCAGCATCAGGCGAACCATAACACCTGCGAAGTAGGATGCGAAGATGGCATAGACGATGACGAAAACGTGTTCATCCTGCAATCGTTGGAAGCACATGAATAAACCAGCAGGGAACAGGAAGATCAACATTTCCAAATCGAAGAAGAACGATGGCCAAGCGGTAGGCTGATGTTCTGAGACAGATGCAATAATAGGAATATGAACTTTGGCGTAGCCGGTATCCCACAGAGAATAAAATCTTCCAGTCCACGGCGCGATGTAACCTCCAAGCGTCAATAAGACAAGAGCGGCGAATCCACACACAAATGACACGGCGACGAAAGCTTTCAACAGCACCTGGAACTGTTGGGCCTGAACATGGCTACGTACGAGTTGTACAAAGCCCATAATTTGACATAAGCCAAAAACGCCTGTAGATTATATTTTAGTCATCCAGTTCGAGATATCATGCACTGTTCCAAAGACAAACAAACCTAATGCCGCCATATGCTCAGAGGTACGTGTAGGCTGGAAGCCGACAAACGGGATCTGCATGGACATGAGAGTACCCAGGACGTAGAAAGTCGAATAGGACACGTACACACGACTGGAGAAACGGCCCATCACCATCAAGACAAACACATGCAGCGGAATCAGATTGATAATGAAAACGTAACCACCCCAAGCAGCCACCATATAGAAATAAAAGAAGGCCGAACAGGCAGCATACATTGCTGAGCCCAGTTTCAAAGCTTTGATCCACAGGTAGAACGTGAACATCAGAAGGAAGATGGCAATAGCTTCGTTATCGTAGGAACCGGCGACTGAACGTGAGATGTAACCGGGAGCAATGCCAATGAAGGCAGCTGCCAAAAGACCAGCGGAAGAATCTTTCAGTTCTCTCGTCAGTAAGTATGTGGCATAAGCTGTGGCTCCAGAAAAAACAGGCGCTAAAAGAACACAGACGTTGCGGATATCGACAGGAAAGTGGAGAAAATGCAAAACGTTGTAGATGGCAGCAGCTGTCACCATCAAGCCCGGGTAAACTGTTCCTCCTACGACGCGTCCGAGAGGGTACCAAGAACGATCGTCGAACCAGTTCCAAAATTCGTAATAACCGTCTTTCACCAACATGCGTGTTGCGCGATAGTTGAACCTAAAGGATATGAGAGAATAAGAGACAAGGATGTGTTTGACCATTGTGTTCCTTTCTCGTACCAAGGGTCAAATTCGTGAATGACAGATTCGTAGCGAACGATACTAAACAGGCGCGAAGAGAACGCTGCCATGGCTATTAAGCCAAGAATAGCCGTTTTCAAAAGAGTTTTCTGGCTCCTGACATCCAGCGCAGCCATGATAACCTTTCTTTTTAGTATGTAAGCACAAGAAGGGAACAGGCAAGCGGAAATGCGTGTATCTCCATCATCCTTGGCGATATTTCAAAGGGCGATATATGTGCTGACGACTGATTGGTCAAAGCCCTTAATTTTTCTGAGTGGCAGATTCTTTCTGGGAACTGGATACTTAACTGGATACTTGCATTATTCATTTAAAGAATACGCTTGCAAATAACAATAACACATTATTTGATACTCATGGTGTGGCATTTACCTCATAATAGCATAACTAATCCTCGTATAGAATCAACTTCCAAAAGCTACAAATAGTCAGCAAATGTCTTTGAGCCCCGTAACTTGAAGAAAGTTCGTGATCCTTCCGAGATGGATTGCGCAACATCCTGTAGAAGAAATTCGAAGCGTTGTATTCGTTTTTGCACAGCCAGAATTGCGTGGTCCAAAGATTAGATCGATCCCTTTAGAAGCAAAACAATGGCAGGATTTGATCACTTTTTGTCAGAAACGAAAAAGGCTTCCATAAACTGAATAATAGAAATTCAAGTTGTAATTCATCTTAGATTATGTATTATTCCCAAATGTTAGCCTATAGACTGACTAACACAGTAACCTCATGAAAAATAAAAAGGAACAGCTATCACCAACAGATCGTCCAAACAAAATGATCGGCAGTCAACTACTCCACTTAAGCCATTCGAAGAATACCAGCGGTCATCAGTTTGCGGATATTTGCTGCGACTTGAGGGTTCTTCAAATGCTCCTGGGCAGCCTTAGGATCTTGCTGCATTTGCTGAAGAATTTGCTGCATGACAGGATCCGAAAGAATACGCTACACAGTATTGTCAGTCGTCGGAAAATCGAAACAATCTTGAAGACATATGACTCACCTGAATCTCAGGATCTTGCGCTGCACGTCTAAGGACCTCTTCCTGAGATTCCTCACCACCGGAATGCATAGGATTCATTGCAGTGTAGGCTTTCATCATTTGTTGCTGAATCTCACGCGCGCACTTGCCATCCTTATCATGTAATTGAGCTTCCTTCAAAGTATCGATGGCATCTTGGAATTCCTTCTTTGCAAATTGGACAGCAGCCTTGCGAATATAACCACGAGCTGCAATATATAAGATTAGTGACAAATCTTTGTGCGCAGTTCAGACATGGTTACTTACCGAAAGTGGGATCCAGTTCAATACATTTCTCGGCGTCCTTTTGAGCTTCATGAATAGCCATCAACTTCAAATAACAGACAGATCTGTTGGAATATGGGCGAACGTCCGTTTCATTTCGCTTGATAGCTTCAGTGTACTGTTCAATGGCGCCGGGCCTGCACGTATTCCAGTATTAGCTTTTCCCGAAATTTTATAACCCCCAGTCACCAACACTTACCAGTTGCTCTCTTTGAAGAGCTTGTTACCCTCCTCGCGAGCCTTGTCGGCTAATTCGGGATTGTGATAAGCAGCCTTTTCAAGTTCCTTCTTTTGTTTTTCAGTGTCACGGAGCTTCTGAAGAGTTTCGGGAGTGCGGTGTTCCGTAAGAGACTTTCCGTAGAAATTGATAGCATCATCTAACTGATTGAGTTTGACATAGGCATTGCCAATGCGCTGAAGAGCTCTGTATTCGGATTAGACTCTGTCGTGACGATCCAAGACTATCGACGGACGACTTACCTGGCGACGAGCTTATAATCAGCTCTCAGTTCACGGCCGGTATCAACGGCCTTTTGACACACTTCGATACATTCGTTGTACTTTTCTTGCTCAAAGAGCACAGCTATAAAAAATGTAGGTCACTAACTGCAAGGGAATTGATAGCGCTCGAAGAAAGACTTACCAGCCTTGTTGGTCAAGAAGGTGATGTTGGTGTTATCAAGTTCCCAGGCCTTGTCATAATGAGTCAAAGCCACATCAAATTCACGCTTCTTGTAGGCTTGATTGCCGAGTTCCTTTTCGGCGAGCGCTTGTTGCTTGTGATCGTCAGACATGTTGTTGGCAGTAAAGAATAACTGCAAAGGAAAACGCGCAACTTATTCCAGAAGGGTCTGCCGCGTGACTTCCAAATCGTTCCAGAATTCTCGATTTGAACTCGCCAATCAAAAGGCTGTCAATGAAGCATCCGGATCTGACTTTTTTTTTCCAAGCTTGAGTTGGAGCCTGCAATAATTCTCCAAGCACACCATCGAAGAATGGGTAACTTGCAGGCTAAAGGCATTGGCTATCAGGCTAAAACATCGGCTGTCATGTGCTAAGAAATTTTATTGTCTGCATATCACTATTCTTCTTGTAGCAAAACTACAGACTTCTCAATTATTACCTGAAGGAAGTGTAGGCGACATTATGATCTAAACATATGAGAGCTTCGAGTTCATTAATCATACCATACGCATGAACCATTTGAAAACAAGAGATCATCCGCAGATATCGAGATTTATCACAGTTTACCGGCCAGGTTTTTGCCATTGCCAGAAATTTACTGTCTATAATTAAGACCTTGCAATTCCATTTCCTACGTTTATTTTTGACATGCTTTTTACACGCGACATAGATGGCTGGCTGTCCTATTTGTAGCATGTAGCATCCTTGCTGTCGATGGTATTAAATGCCTTTTGATAACCTGTTCTTCACAGGTTGGTTGGGAGCCAGAGCTACCAAAGTAATATCCTAATCAGAGCCCTGAGGCGGCAAGTCTTTTGTGACATATCCGCTCAGAGCTTAATACAACTCCAGTCACCCCATACAATGCCTGCCACTCTTGTCATAGAAAGTTCCCATAATATCGATGCGAATCATCTATTTGCGAATAGCTTCGATTATTGCCAACGCAAGCATTACTACATTTATTACGGCCGATCCTCAGATGGCGGTCATACCCTAAGTTGTGGCAAGATTTTTTTATTACAATACAATATGCTAAGGCAAAAGACTGGAAGAAGTTTCAAATGTTGATGGAGTCAAAGCACAGTATTCCTTAAAAATCCGTAGTTGTGACGACTGTCATGATAAAGCAAAAGCAGTAAAGAAAAAGAGCGATATGTCATTCGGTTCCATAAATTAAGGTAAACATCCGAAGATTGGTAGGCTATAATCGTGATGGAAGAATGGGAAGGCTTGGGTCGGTTTTAGCGAACAATGAAAAGACTTGGGTCGCCTACAACTTGAGAGAACAATGAAAGGATTTTGGTCGCTTGATATGAATGTGGTCATTGCATGCATTGTGAAAACATTATCTGATTGGTAAATAATGTGACATAAGTTCCTTCTCTTGCAAGAGTAACAATATTTCTTCCTTTTCTTCCACTTTTCATCTCTCAAGTTATATCTATACTTCTCAGCAAAATCTTCCGTTATTTTTTTACTCTTTTTGCACTTTATACAGTGGCTGAAAAAATGGTCCAAACCTATGCTGTTTTTTTATGTTTATTGCGGCTTTTGCCACATTTCGAAATTTCTCTTGTCTACATTGTTGCGAAATCCCGACGATCGCAAGCAACTGCATACAGCGGGTTTTCAACTGATACGGAGTCGATGCCAGCCTTTGTCCAGAATTTTAAAGATAAGCTTGCTTTTTCACGTTACCGGTTTTGTATTTCCTTACATCTGTTATACGATAGTGACAATTCAAAAGGACGAAGCTCGGAAGCATGTCAGAAATGTGATGTCAGTTACAGAACCTGTCACAAATCCTGACATGTATCGGCGGCAACTTGTCGACTCCAGAAAACAAAAAAACCATATTGGAAAAGAGATTCTGGCCCTTAACGAATAGCCCAAAGCAAATCGCAACTTGGGTCACCAAATCTAATCTTTGGGGCCCACGAGAATTAGTATCAATAAACGGTGATCGGATCCGAGGTCGCCTTTTATGGGTGATCCGAGAGAAATATCTGGGTAAGGATAAAAAGAAGGAGTGGAATGCATTTAGTCAGAATTGTCTTGTAGAAGTGGACGCGCTCGAGGTCCTCCGGCGGTACAACCTCCATCTCCGGAATCATCCGCTGACCACCATCGGTTATGGTTGCAAGTCGTCGGGAAAGGAGCGATCCGAAACGAGGCGCAAGTTGCTCCCAAAATGATCACGCGTTTACAGATCTGTGCCTTTGCACCAAAATATACGTTTCCCCAGACTGCCAATCTGACGAACCGCTAATGGTTCGTGACGATAAAAAAGATACGACGAAGTATCTCGCTCCGATTACTGACTGTTTGGGTGAATGGAAAGATATAATAACTTCGTCCCCTGCATGCACTTTGTTTACTCATTGCTATCCTTATTCCAGCATTTCGAGCGATGCTAAACAAAGAAGTTTAAGCCAATGAGACTCGTCGTGATTGATTATGCGGGTCTCAGTACCAATCCAAATGACGTTGGAGATTTTCTCAAGTAAGAAGGAATAAAAGGAGAGAAGACGCTAAGGTTAAATACTCACACGCTTCGTTGATTATAGGGCGTACCCGCAAATCAAGGAGTTGGTCGTAGACCATGGGCTCGCCTTCGAGCTGTTTACTTGCAATGAGCTCATCAACAATCAAGAACGGCTGGCGAAATTCAATTGCTGCACAGGCCCAAAACATCGCTCCTTGTTATAATAAATACCCATTTTACCGTAAAATACTGCAGTATTTCCAGTTTTCATTTAGCGATTTTACCATTAGTGATCCGTCTTAGTGAAATGTCCATGCTATGGTCATTAAAGAATAATGAAAATGTTTGCTACGGTACGTAGCGACATCATTACTTTGTAACAATATTTGCAGCATTCATCAATCAAATATCATAATCACATTTTATTGTGCTGACATTTATTCCTCGGCAAGGAAAGAAAAACGAGAACCGACAAGTCCTTTGGCAAGCATTGGCTGGTTGTTTTTCAGTGGTTCAGGTGACTACTTCGCAGAACAACTGTGATGCAACTTTGGCAGCAGTGTCTTGGTCTCCTCCGTCGTCATCGGCAGTCGAATATACTGTATATGGCCTTGAGCGGATGTCGTTGGTGAACACTCTACATGACTGACGCAGTAAATACGTGGGGGATACTGAAATTTGGTTCCCAATTGGGGCAATTTATGTACAATATTGAACTGGTCGAATTTGTCGCCTTTCAGATCGTTCAACAGATTGTTTGCCTTCTTGATCGAACCATGGGTCCAGTAATATGGAAACCGTCATGGCAGTGCTGTCATCCAGTACGATGGCGAAACGCGCATAAAGTTTGAGCATTCGAATCAGGGCAGATGGACCGAACCATAAATCGGGAACAACTGTGCGGTCAGTGTTGTACCATGGTTCAATTAAGCCAAAAAATGATATCATACTAGCTCACTCATTTTATCAATGAACATTTTAATATTGCACTTTATAGTGCTATCTGACCATGGAACATTAATTGGGGATGGGCCAGAAACGACATCTGGCCAAGCGAAGGACATTAAGAATACAGGTGGTGCCGAACCACTGAAACAAAGAATGAGATTACGGTTTCCTAACGGGGAGACCCCCTTTCTGTTTTTATTGGGATCTGTTGCACCCTCTAGCGTAGAATGTGAAAGCAGGCCATATCCCGATGCAGTTTACTGTGGTTCTTTTTCTTTTTCTTTTTCTTTCTCAGAAGGTTCAGTGCTATCCCGACACCGAATAGTTACCACTTTTCAAATTGGGGACGCTGATATCCGATGACTTTCTCAGACATGAACCAAAACAGCATAAATCTGCACCATTTTCTTCATCTTCATGTGCCCGCAAAATGCCCCCCCGGCTTCAAATGCCAAACTTACAGGCCCAGAAACTAGAGATCGGGCATGGTAATTTAAGTCAACTTCTGTCAAATGATATCCTGAGGATCCAGTATGACCATCTGCAATATTAACCATCGCATACGTCCAAAGGGTAAATTCTGATCGTCGATAGAGTTGTCTCAAGATTATGAATAACAGCCTCAGGTTTCTACCTTCTTTTATGAATGTTGGCAGTTGCTGGGTTTGAGTTAAAAGGAAGCAAAAAATGCGTAATCCTGATCGACAATAATAAACTCGTATCACCATGCAAGACGATGTATAGCTAGGCATTGCGATCATCTCGATATGGAAATTGACCGGCGGCGCATGTAGCCCAATAAAAGGCTTCTTTATCATAAACCGAATAATGTCTGCAGTACTATTGACGGTTTATTCTTACATACAGATGTGAATGCTGCATGTATGATCGCAGTGTCGATTACGGATGATTGAGAAACTATGGCTACAGTATGATAAAGTGTCGTGCTGCTATTCACATGGACTAGTGCAAGTGTTCTTTCTGAAGGCCAAATGATAATCGTCAAGTTGAGATATTCCACCTTTATTGCTTGAACAAGGTATATTACACTTCACCTTTTTACAGCTGAGAAATTTTAACAACAAATGCTAAGAAAGTCTAGATGACACGCAAAAAAACTTTTTTGACGCAGAAAACTAGTAGTTTTAAATCATCGTCAACATGACAATAGACACGGATAGGAGCCGATTTTCCGTTGCAGATCACTGCAAACTCGCTATAATGTCATAGTCGCCAAAGAGCTCCGACCGTTGGCCATTGTCTTTTCTCGACTGACGGGGCCGACAGGACCGATGGGCCAACGAGATCAACCAGAACAACGAGAATAGAGATTTTAGCCCATTGTCGATCATTTTGGGTAATCTAGCGTTAAAGTTTGGCGAGATGTCATTTTCCCACTTGCTACCTGGCTGATTACCTGACATGGTCCATTTCTTACAAGAAAAAATTCTCCGGTTCTTGATCTTCTTGATTTAGGCTACAGCTTTTGCCTTTCTGGGAAGTCATGACGGCACATTTGTTTCATTCTGATGAACCCATGCGAGGGATAAAAAAGATGTATCCCCAAATCGAAATCCCTTCACCATTTTATTTCATAGTCCTTTAACTCTGCCGACCTTAACTTATTCACTTTACTCAAAAATCCTTTTTTTAAAGTGGCATGATCGACGAGGGACGTCCAGTTCAAGCCGCAGCTCAAGGGGCGGTTGTGTGGAATGCGCCAGACAAACCAGATAATCGCCAAAAAGAAACCGAACGAGAAAACAATAACACAACATCGATATTCAACATCACAGACGAAACTGGCAATCCTGACCTGAAGCAAGTACCAAACAATACCCTCGACGCTTCGGGACACGTTTACCAGGCTTCCGAAAGTTCAAGCGACCAGTCAACCGATCACACCAGCGATCATTCCAATCGTCATTCCAACATTAGCAATGACCAAAAGGACAGTTTTGAGGAAGCATTTCCTAATACGAATGCCTATGCGGGCGGGGAAACTGGGGAAAACCGTATTAAAGGTGTGTACAGATCGGAAAACAGACCAAAAAAAAAGTGTCATCATGAGCTCATGCGTCTAAAATAATTTACAGAACGCACGGATGATGCCGAATTAAAGTCAGAAAATCCTGACCCCACCGACCCGCTGGCAAAGGATCGAGAATTTCGTCAGCTGCATCTGAATACAAACGTCCACGAAGATAAAGATAACAACAGTGATACCACAGGATCACCAAAACGCAGCCCGAAACTGTCCTATCCTTTACCTCTCGAACCAACCGACCCCGATACACTCATTAAAGGCTTGGAGCTGAACGCTCTCAAATACATTGTCGTAGCATGCTTTGTTTGCTATCTGTGTGGTCGATTCCGATTTGGCATCTTTTTCGGACTCCTTACTATTGCAGGAGGTAGGATATTTACAGAGAACGTCGACTCGATTGATCGCATGTACTTAGCTTGGCTACTTTAGGTGCTATGGCTTTCTGGATTCTAGGTCAGGAAACAAAGAAAGGCTTAGAATGGCAATTGGAAAAGCAAGAAGGCATGAGAACCGTAAGTTTTTCATCTCCCCGGGCCCTTAAATAAGCTTTGTGGTGGATAGATTTATTGAAATCCATCTCTATAGTTATATACTTCTGAAGGCGAATCAGTGGAATGGCTCAACTATATTGCTGAAAAGATCTGGCGTAGCATCGATCCCCAGATTTTTGCGCTAGTCGAAGATATCTTGGAAGACACATTGCAAAGTGTTGCACCTAGCTTTATCAAAGCCATTAAAGTCACCGATTTCGATATCGGTGTTCAGGCGCCTCGTATTCAAATGTAAGTGATGAAAACCAAGATCTTCAACAAATGGACGCGGGTACTCATCAGCATTATCACGGTACAGCATTCGTGTCTTTCCTCCCTTGCCAGGCCAACCCGAAGAGAGTATTGTATGTTGATTTTTTTCAGTAATGATTTTTTTTTCATATCATTCATCTGATACCGTCATTTATTATTAGTTTGGTGAGGCGGCATTCAGCTTCCATGCGGATCCCGTGGCTTCCTTGACAACCAAACGTGGCATTACGGCAACTCCTCCAGGCATTGGAATCCGGTTTCAAACGGCCATTAATGCTCCCATTGATATCAAGGCCGAATTGACAGCCGTGTCAGGAAAATTACGGTTCAAAATTTTGACTTCGCCAGAACTTCCATTCATTTCCAAGGTGACCATTGCTTTCACCAGTGTTCCTACCATTGAAACCGGCGTGATGCCCTTGACAAAGCATTTAAATATCATGAATGTAAGTGCAGGATTGGGAGCGATAGTTTCGAAATCCATGCTAACCATCACCTGTGATTAGTTGCCGATGATCAAAGCCATTGTCAATGAAGGTGTCAAGCTCGGTTTTGCGGATCTGGTCGATCCAAAGAGCATGACCATCGATATTCGCACGCTGATCGGAGCTGCAAATCAGGATACAAGTGCCATCGGTGTGGTCAAGGTTGAAATTAGAGAAGCTTACAGAGATGCTTCTATTGACTTCCAAGGTAAGTTGAATTTTCGGTATTCACGGATGATATTTTCCGTATCTCATTTCCCTTGGCCATCCATCCATAGATATGCAAGATTCGTACGCAACATTGGCTCTTAGCAACCAGCCGAAGCGTAGCATGTCGAGTAGTCGTGTATTGACCAATGATAAGGATCCTCGATGGAATGAAAACCTTTACATCTTGGTGCATGAAGGTACTGATCATTGTCAGATTCAGTTACAAATTCTCCTTTACTAATTGCCTCGTCTTAGATGATATCGTTTCGGAGACCAAGGTGGATGTCAAAGTGTGGGACGCTGACAAGATTAAATTCGATGATCTCTGGGGTTCTATTTCCATTTCGGTCAAGGAAATCGTCCAAGGCCAAGTGGACAAACTTGGCAATGTATCAGACTGGTGTAAGGAAGAACGCGTTATTTTTGATGGCTGGGCCCCGATCGACGGCAAAGACGAGAAGGAGTCAAAAGTGAAACTTAATTTCAAGATGAGTTTCCATCCAAAGTATGCCACCCGTAAACCCGATCTTTTATCCGGCGCTACAAAGAAGGTATCCGAGATGACGGAAGAGCCCGATGAGGAAGCCGAGGAGGACATTCGCGTTTCTCCTCATCATACCAATGGTATTCTCTCGGTGCAAATCCATCAAGCAGTGGACCTAGAAATCGGAGATCCCGAGGTTTTGCCTGCCGACGAATTGAAGCATCCTTACAATCCAAACAATGTCGTGAGTCCCTATGCTGTGCTTTATATCAATGATAGAAAGGTGTATCGCACTCGAGCCAAATTACGCAACCCAAGTCCCCATTGGAATGCTCTCACAGAACACTTTATCAAGAACTATGACGATGCTTATGTTCGCATCTCGATCAAGAACTCCATGGAACTGGAACGCGATCCCGTATTGGGAACGAAGACACTCAAACTTTCTGAAATCTTTGCCGACCAAGATGCCAAATTCAAGGAATCACAAAAATGGATCGCTCTGGCCAACGGTATTGGCTTTGGCAAAGTTCTTGTGACCCTGAAATACAAGCCTGTCAAACTGACTCTGCCACGTAATCTGCAAGGTGCAGGTAAGTAAATCGCTCAACACAGGGGTAATCAAATAATTTTTTAAATGACAAAATTTTGGGATGACAGATGTTGGGACGCTCATCATTGATCATGTCCGTCTGGAGGATCTTCAATCACCCTTTGACTCAAAATACGCGTCATCGACAAAGGCAGCTCTTTCTCTCAATGTGGATCCTGTTATTACCCGACGTTTGAAGGCCAAGGACCTTCAGACGCACCAGACAGCTGACGGCAAAACGGTATACGCATGGGACGGCAAACGCTTCTATTTCCCGTTGATGATGCGCTACCGAACGGCATTGTATGCTCACATCAGTCAAGGCACCATGACCAGCAACAAGGCCACGGGTCGCTACTGGCTTAAGGAAGCGGTGGACAATGAATGGATGGACATTGTGATTGGCCTGCAAGATCATTTGTCGGAACAAGGCAAAGAAGCCAACCGCAACGAAGACGATTGGCCCACGGAAGGCAAATTCGGCAAAATTATCATCCGAGCTAAAATCATCCCCGGATTTTCCCCTGTGCACACCCATTTGCATACCTTTAACCAGGATATGGTGGGCGCCGATCCTTTCCATGACGCGCGACTCAAAGCCAAAGCTCAAAAGTGGATCCGTGACCAATCCAACGAAGACGATAACGAAGAAGAAAATTCCTTGCAAGACCAAGACATTGAGGTGCAGGCCGCTGTTCATTCCGAGAAGGAGAAGCGACGTACCTCTGGAAGTTCCGCGGAAACGGAAGACGACGCCGAAGAAGAGGATGCTGAATATCTTACCGAGATGGGCGATCAGTATAAGAATTCTAAAATCAGCAAACATCGTGTGATTCGTAAATTGGCGTGGAGCACCGATGTCGTCAAGAACAAGGTCGAGGCACTCCGCGAAGGATTCAACTCGGAAACACGAGCCAGTCGTTCTGTAGCCAAAGAAGTATGATGTAATATGATCCATGTCTGACTGTGTAAATTTTATGTATTTTATGTATCGTATTTTTTTTTCATTCTATAAAAATCTTGACTTTCTCTGACGTGGGGAGAAACTACGTTTATCCAAACCACTTGATAAAATGGACCATTGGTGTGACTGAAATTGCGGGATATTTGCTGTTCCACAAATGGATGGCCGCACTTGCTATGTCTTGCGCGTCTGAAACATGCACGGATGTTTTGTGTAGCCGCCGTCATAATAATTACTAACACGATCGCATTTCATAGATTTTCATGGATTTTCCCACATACAACGAAGAAAAGAGTACATATCTTCAATAAAGGTTTTCAGTGTCAGGATTGAAGGATTTACGACTGTAGCTGCGATGCTCATTCACACTGGAGGGTGCGTGTTATTTTTGCTGGGTGCTGGCTTCGTAGACGTGAGTAAATTACCTTTGTGACGGAGTTCAATGGCGGAGATGTGTTTCTTTCACAGCACTCTATATATTTTGTGGAGCTGTCATCATTTATTCATCCCAGCGTTGCTCTTTGTTCTTCTGCTGCCTTTCCATTGTCATTCTCAATGCTTTCCTCCCGCTTACATACATTTGCAAAACGTTCCTTTGCAACTGCAGCAAAGGCTGCTTCGAAAGATGCTCCCAAGGCAGCTCCCAAGGCCGATCAGAAATTTAAAGTAGTCGTTGTCGGTGCTGGCCCTGGTGGTCTTTCCGGTATGTGTTTATTGAACAAACCGTTGATGAAGATGACAATCGAAGCTTATTCCTTTTTTTATTAACAGTTTCGTCTACGATTTCTCGCATGCTTGGAAAGAACCAAGTGGCCGTCATTGACCCTGCTTCCACACACTACGTAAGCCGACTGGATCGATACTTTTTTCCTTTTTGTTCATTCCACTGACTCGCCCTCTTTTGCATCATCAACAGTATCAACCTTTGTGGACTTATGTAGGCGGCGGTTTGAAGGATTTCAGTGAATCCAAGCGTCCTATGAGCAGTGTGATGCCTGCCAACGCAGAATGGATTCAGGACAAAGTCACCAAATTGGACCCCGACAATAATCAGGTGGTTTTGAGCAATGGCAAAACGGTGGAATACGAATACTTGGTGATGGCAGCTGGTATCCAAATCAACTGGGACCAAGTCAAAGGCTTGAAAGAAGCTCTCGGTAAAGACGGCGTCACATCCAACTACTCCCCTGACAGTGTACAAAAGACCTGGAAATTTATTCAGGAATTCAAGGGCGGCAATGCTGTGTTTACTTTTCCCAACACTCCCTTGAAGGTAAGCGAGATGGAGAATCCGTACTTGGCTGAACCATGGTTTAAAACATGTTGCTATAGTGTCCTGGTGCTCCTACAAAGATCACATTCTTGGCAGAAGAGGCTTTCCGTACGCTGGGCGTGCGTGACAAGACCAATGTCATTTATAACACGAGTTTGGGCAAGATTTTCGGCATTGATCACTATGGTCGTGTCCTTCAGCAGCAGGCTGATGAACGCAATATCAAAGTGAATTTCCAGCACGAACTTATCGAGATTAACGCCGATAATCACGAAGCGACCTTCCGCAATAATGCGGACAAGAGTTTGTCTACTGTTCATTACGATTTCATCCATGTGGCTCCGCCCCAGGGTCCGCCTTCCTTCATTAAGAACTCCAAGCTTGCTGACGCCGTTGGCTGGGTCGATGTCAACAAAGATACCCTGCGTCACAACAAGTACAAGAACGTTTTTGCTCTCGGAGATTGCTCGTCTTTGCCTACCTCGAAAACTGCTGCCGCTATCACGGGCGAATCCGGTGTTCTCAAGCATAACTTGATTGCTGATCTGGAAGGACGAACGGTGGAGCCCGCTGTATACGATGGATACACCAGCTGTCCCTTAGTCATTGGTCGTAAACAGCTCATTCTTGCCGAGTTTTCCGGTTACACTGGAAAGCCTATGGAAACCTTCCCCATTGATCAGCGCCAGATCAGCAACACGGCTCAATTCTTGAACAAGGAAGTGATTCCTTCTATGTACTGGAATGGTCTGTTGAACGGTGTCTGGACTGGTCCCACCAAAGTACGAAAAGCTTTACAGTTCTTGCGTCCCAACACTTATTAGACTTTTTTTCCCTACGACATAAACCTCTCCGTTATTTATTTGATTTAAAATTTTGTCATTTTCATCTGTACTGATTTTTAAAGTAAAAGACTTTCCTCAATCAAAGAAAAACCTCGACGTCGTATGCATGTAATCGAATGATGAAAAGCTGATTCACATAGCATTGAAAATGCTGGATGGTGTTGCAACACTGTTTTATTTTTTAGTTAAATTGCCAGAGAAAGTGGCCCCTCCTATAAGCGCTGGAAGGAGTTTCTTGGGGTACTTTATACAAAGCATGCTATAGTATATCACACGGTTAAGACCCTCAACGTCGCCATTATACAGTAAAAGTGATTCTAAACATTCTGCTAAGAGGTAATCCGCGGATCCAACATTATTCGGGATCCAGCGTTACTCGGGATACAGACTCTCCAAAATACGAGGCACCACTTTATCGGTGTCACCCTTATGGATCTTTAGTAAATGTAATGCCAGTTGATCGCAATAAGTTAAACCCTATAGACAAAAATGTTTTTTAGTGATTTTTGAACTGTTGTTAAGCTGTCTTTATGTAACTTTCTTACCATTTCATGGATTTGCGTCAACTGGGCATGGTAGCGGATGTCAAGTGGCACAGGGGTGGTGTCACTCGAAGGCCTTTTATCGCTGGGACTTGGGCAATCACCATTGATAAGAACAAACTCTTCATTAAAACATGGACGATGACAATCTACAGCATGAGGGACCTCTTGCTGCAAACTGGGATCGGATAAATCGCTAACGGAAGCCGCACGTGAATTCAGCGAGCTCGTCAACTGGCTGGGAACGTAGCTTTCGTTATCCTCTGGATTCTGAAACGAGTCGGCATAATACATATCCTCAGAATTGCTGTTAATCGTAGGACCACTTGGAAGCGTGGGATAGATCATGGACGGCTGCAGCTCGGACGATGCGACATCGATTTCATACCAGATGTAATCGCCAAACTGCCCCTTGTCGGGCGTTTCAAGGGCAAACCTCGTATTGTAACGTCCAGGGACTGACGGAGCTTGTATTTCCACCAGCACATAGGCTTCTTCTTCCGGCTGCAAAGCGGGTACAGCCGACGTCTGATACTGACCATCGGAAAGAGGAACGAACATAGCAGGCCCGCGACACAGTAGCTTCGTGTTAAGAGGCCAACTACGGCGACCATTGTTCTTTAGACGCCAAACTTTAAAATATCGGGCTTGCGGATTGACCGTTTCCACAGGCAAGTCAATGTCTTCAATGAGCTCAAAGGATAAATCAGTGAGGGTTTCCAAGGTGGAGGCCGCGGGAGGGGAAGGGACCGCGGAAGAAGGTTCATCTTTTTCCTCTACGGCGGCTGAGGGGACCGGTTTATCGGCGGTGGGATTAGCTTCAAGAGGTCCATAACGCTTTTCATGAAACACCGGAAGCAGTGGCTGCACCATGTTTGGGGTTGGCCAAATAGGGTACCGAATCTTCAGAAAGACGTGCCATCTGTCGTGAATGGAAGGGGATTGTGGTTCACAATGCTCGCACAAGTCATAGTTGGCGCAATGGCCGCACTAGTAATTGCGAATGAGTCGTCACGATCCACACATATAAAAAAGTCAGAAGCAACAATTCGTACCTTGTAGCGAACGCCTTTCACTAGACGACGGCAGTTGTTACAGACGACATGTTCATGCATAGGCGCTGCAGCTCCAGGATCGGAAGGAGCGGTGGAGGGAACGGTGGAGGGAACATTGGTCGAAGGTGCGGCCTCCGCATGGAGGCTAGTCGAAAACTGGTGGGGATGTCCGTTGCTTGCAGTGGACAAACAGTGATGACACAAATCGTAATCTACGAATGACACCACGTTACAACTAAGTTCGGAAGAGATAAACAACCCCAACAAAAAGTCAATGTTTACCTGGACACACTTGGCACGTGTGACGTTCGCCCACAATATCCGAGTGGCAGGCATCACAAACATAAACAGTGGTGGGCGAACCCGATTGGACACTATGGAGCATTTCATGCTGATGATTGACCCGGGCTTGGCAAGCCCCGCATAAATGGAAATTATTACAGGTTCCGCAATACCAATGCGAACTAAACATTGAGTCGGGTTAGTGGGTCATTTGAGAACCGTGAAACCAGCATCGGTACTTACTCTTTAATGTTAATAAAGCACTCATCACAAATCATTCCGTACTTGGTTTCAACCTGGGGGTCTTCATGCTGGGGACGGAGATCGCGTACAATATCGGCTGCAATATGGCGCACCTGGGTCGCCAACTGATTCATATTCGCTTTCAACAAGGCGGGTTGGGCCTTCAAATCGTTAATAATATCGTAAACGTAAACACTGAAGATGGAGTTAAACTTGGCATTCTTGCCGTCAGGGAGGAGGCTGTTGGCAATCTTTTTGCCCTCTTCGGTGAGAAACATATCTGCATCCATCTGTGCAGTGATATGCGTCGACGCGAGTTTTCGGGAAAATAGATCAGCAAATTGCTGCAATGCAGTAGCCACATCTGCATGGTCGTTCTTGGTGGTGGTGAGGGTTTGGGGCGTGGGGGTTGGTACTTGCTCACAAGGCGGAGGCGATGGGAGACGGCTAAAATCCTGGTTCAAAGGGGACCCATCTTGCTCGGAACATTCGTGGATTACGACTCGGAGCAAAAACCGTGGGACACCATCAACATTCTTAACAATGCTCGCACTATTCTCAATAGCATGTTTCAATTCAACGCTGCTGCTGCAAACGATTTCGTCATTTTCTTCATCAGTATACGTAAGGTAAAAGTCGCAAGTCAGACCAAAATGGCTTTGTAGCTTTCAGGCGCAGAAATAATAAAAAAAAAAGTTAGATCCCGAGAATCACTCTTTTGCAAAGGGGATTTTTGTTTTTCCAACAGACCTTTTTACATAAGCTTTTAAAGATTAAACCAGACAAGTCCAGTTCTAGCCTTCTCATCTGCTTCATCAACGGACAAAAAGCCTTGATAATAACAAAGGCTGGTTTTGTCATCGTAGAGTAAAGGGGTTTGGCCAAAAAATCAATAATTTAATCTGAATTGTCGACAAACAAGAAGAAAAAGGCTGCTGAACTATTGACGGTTAAATACTGTGGATTGACAGTTCGGGTTTTTTTCTTTTTTGTCCTCCCTATTTGTCGTAGGTTTGCCAAAGCGCCACAGTCACAGCACCATAATAAAAGTTTTCACCCTACAGCACCATTTCATGCATATTATCCTCCCTTGTGATCTTCACCTGATTTGAACCCAACGGCCGAAACCATAAACTGAAAAAAAAAGTGTGCAGCACCAAGGACTGAGTTTCTTGCCAATGACTGGTTACTGCGGCAACAGCGTCCTTGTTTGTTCATATTGAGAAGCAATCACTTTACAGGTTCCAGAATCTCCGTAACTCAAAAAAACATTCAAGGTTCTGGATTTTCTCCTCCTCACCTTGAAAAACGCGGTTTGCATGCTTTAGTGCAACTCAGATGATTTTTCTCTACGCTTTCGCCTTGATCTAACATTCGTTGGAAACGCGATATAACCTAAATTTGAAGAAGAGCATGCTGTCTTTTTATTATTTACATATGCATTAAAGATGTCGTTTAGAAACGTGATTTATCGTAAAACATTACGCTGGGACTGGTCGATGCCATAGTGTTGCGACGTCGGAAAATGTTATCATGCACTTCTTTCTGTTCCAGTTGCTCAGAAGGCAGCAGGACTGCGCGATCGATAGCCGCAGGTAAACCTAAACAAGGTTGTACATACGATGAATCCAAATGTGTGGGAAAAAAAACAACTAGTGTCAAATCTTTAAACCAACCTCGATGGCGACCACGGTACATCAGGAGAATCACGACAAACTTGCTGAATTTGTGGTAGTGCCCTACTTGGGACAGTGAACTGTCCGGATAACCTAAAGAAGCGCCGACGTTGCCAAAAGCGGAAACACACTCATAGATCACCGATGCCGTGGTGATGGGAGAACCGGATGACATGATGGCATCGGCCTCAATTACGCAAATGGCAAATATTGACACGAGTAACCAGCAGATTTCACTGGTAAGTTGCCTCTGAATCTGGGTCATGACGAAAAAATCCGGTCGTTTCAATACTTTGCGTCCAGTGGTCATTACGCTCGATATCGTCGGTAGCCGTTTCAATCGGATCATGGAAAGGCGACCGGAAGCCGCATCATCAAAATATGAGTTGGGACGATATCGGTTCATAGTGGTAGTATCATCTGCATCTTCGTCATTTCCGCGATAGATGCCTAGGGCTCTTTCCTATAATTCTTTCAGTCAAACACTTCCTTTGCTGTTGCTATGATTGTGCTTCCTTTTACCTGATACACATTACTGTTTCGCATAGAGATGGCCACTGGATACACGCTAATATACATGGCTACCATGTAAACAAGCTGAGTACCAGGATTCAGTTCACCCAGATTGAGTACACTAAAACCGGCTATTCTCATGCGGTTTGCATAAGTTCATACAGCAACATACAAGTCATTAATTTAATATAGCGTACCATTTCGAGTTGCAACCGATTGAAATAAACCGTCCACGATACGTGAACCCCATGATAATGATGCGAGTGCGGGAAGCCAATAATTGAGTGACAGGACAGAAATAAGTTCTGTCAATGTGATAACGACAATAATCGCCAGCAACCACCAGGTCTGCGTAGATGGAAACAGCGTAGTATAGCATCTTCGAGGATGGTCGAGCAGGTATTGAAACGTTTCTTTGAGCATGACGCGGGAAGAAGGTATCATCTTGTACAGACACCATATAATGAACCGGAGAAAGATGGCATAGGCTGTGTTTCCGGCAAGAATGAGAATAATTGTAAATATAAGTGGAGCGTATTCATTCTGAAATGGAACCATGCTTGCATCCAAAAGGAAAAGACCCAGATTATTGAGTGCTGATAAACTCATGAAGAAGGAAAAAAACCATGGATCCACCGGTCCGTTCTCGTTGGAGCTTCGCAAGATATCCTTTGCAGTACCAGAGGCTGCAATGTAGATTCGATACAGGAATCCAAAGATGATAATTATGGACAAGTAATAAATGATCACGATTTTGGACAGCATATCGATTGCTCGGTATTCGGCCCCGCCTAGACGGTAACGGTGCTTTTTCGTGAGTTGACTTTTGTCAATGGGTTCACGCATAATCCGTTGAAACTCTTCATCATCATCTTCTCCATCCATCGAATAACCAGCGTGACCTGCAACTTCTGGCTCTTTGATGATTTCTCGCAATAATTCGTCGTATTTACGTTCTTGCTCCAGACGTCGCCGTGCTATTTCTCGTTGTTTCTCAATATCTTCGGCAAAGGCGATTCCAGCGGGTTCTGAATGGCTGTCATGCGAAATGGCGGATTGAATAGTATCTTGAGTGTGCGTGTCTTCTTCCGGACTTGCTGACACTCGAGATGTTTCTTCCTCTTTGGTGGTGGCCGTGTCGTAGGACTGCCGAGATGTAGATCCTTCGTCAAGTTCAGTAATAGACGGTTCCCCATCATCTTTATCTGGTGTATAGATCAGTGCTTCTTGCGAGCCATGACTGGTATTGGGTATGCGTTCGTTCAAATGAATTGTCAAATGGTCCTCTGCTGGATAGGGGTCTTTGGCAGCACTTTGACTGGTATCGTTTGTGTCACCACCGAATACGGAATTCTGCCATTGCCTATTCTGGGTAAAAGGTGGGCGGTCGGAATCGAATGTCGTATCAAAGGGATGTAAAAACGACGAAAGCCGTTTTTTGGGTTCAATCATTTCCAGCGACAGATCATCGCTGCCTGCCCATTGTCGGGGTCGTTTTCTGAATGTATTCACAATACCCGACATTCTTCTGTTTTGCAACGGACTAATATCAAACGAACGACTGTGCATATGTTTCTTGAATGAACTTCCCGGCATGGATCGCGTGGACATCAAGGAATGGCGGCGTCGTGATCCGCCTTCACTAAACGATACAGTGCTGTTTCTTCGACTTTGGCTTTCTAGATCTCGCTGCATATCCGCCATATTTTTGTTGAATCTGCGTCGATTTTCTTCCAGAAGACGCTGCGTCTTGTTGTACACCAATATGTCTTCGAATCGTTTTTGGAAATAATGCTTGCGAACCAACAAGACAATGACAGATATCGTAATATGAGACGCAAAGAATGAACAGACGTACATCACTAGCTTCTGATATGTGCTGAGATGCGACATGGGGATGGTATTGAGACCTGTGTTTGTAGCGGCGGTGGTGGCCGTGAACAGTGCGTCCATGTAGTCCCACTGTGTTCCCGGCTGACAGTAATAGAGTCCAGAGGTAATAAAGGCCAGAACAGCTATGTACGCATAATGCAGCTGAAGATAGTGGATCTTGTCATCCCAAAACTTCTTGACATACTCTCTAATCGTCTCTGACCACGTTTCGAGCATGGCACAAGGCAAAGAGAACGGAACCAGCAAATAACAAGGGCTCATCGTTCAGTTTTATACTTGACCCTTTATCACCCAGAGTGAAATCAGACAAACCACATCCAATCATTTTCCGCTCCAGACATGGATCAAGTCAGGGATGTCTCGTCTCTTATGGCATATCAAGTGCTAGCATTTTGGCTTGCAAACTTTTCTTATTACTATGCACCAGCCAATTGACAACTCAATTGACAGTAGTTCTTGACAAGTCAATTCTACCGATTGCTTATATTGAAAATTTTCATCATTTCACCAAGGGTATGAAAAAAGAACCCCACCGTAGCAGCAGCGGGAAATAAAAACATTGCAAAAATCTTTTTTTTTTCTCTTTTTTCCATCGCGCCCCTTCGTGAACGTGGGGCCGTGTGGTGGGCAATAGAGTGAGACATTAGTAAACAATGGTTCAATCGAAATTTCTCCAGATGGATCAAAATCGTATTTATCGGCAGCAAAGAAGGCAAGCTTCAGTTGAAGCCAGCGGCGAATATGTGGTGATTTTTCGTGGTAAAATCATACTGCAATTCTAGTCAAGTATTTGTATCCGCTACGATTTTGCACAGACAGTGCTAGCACTTTTCGAGATCTTTCGTGTGATGTTTTTGCAGTTTGACTGCGGCAAGGGCATAAGGCTCTGGATATCATTTTTTGATCTTTCCCAGCTTTAAATTATTTGAAAATCCCAAAGGAGATCGTTCTGGATGCCAGGTAGTTAATTATTTTGAAAGATTCGCACCCGTGCATCGTACGGTGTAACCGTTTTGGACACCTGTCAAACCAGATCAAAGAACATGCAAGATTATCTTTTCTTTTTTACATTTATAAACAAATGGTTTTTAATGGATTGCAGGCATGAACACGTATAAAAAAAATATAAGCAATGAGTTTATAACAGAAAATTGAGCTAATCTTTGTTCTTCTTCTTCTTCTCCTTCTTCTCCTTCTTTTCCTTCTTGGACTTCTTGGTTTCAGTTTGAGCTTCTGCGGTAGTGTCATCGGAGGCGGAGCGCTTGCCCAGGGATGATGCAGCATCGACCTTGGCAACATCGACAGGAGTGATCTTGGGAGCAATACCAGCGGCTGCAACAGCAGCCTCGGAAGGCTTGTTGAATGCAGGCTCAGGTTCCTTACCGTCAGTGTTGTTGGCGTAATCGACATAGGCAGCCTTCCATACGGCAGGAGTTTCGTCAGTCACACGTCCGTATTTATCAAGTTTGCCTTCAGTCTTCAACTTCTTCTTGGCAAGAGCCACAGGACCAAGACCCCATCGGCGAGGATAAGTGTCACGTTCCATAATAACACGCTTCACCTTGGCAACCACACCGTGGTCGCATGTAGCCATCACAGCGGTTGTCATCTGAGCATAAGCAAGAGCAATAGCTTCACCCTTGGTGGTCATCAACACAACTTCCTCGTTCACTTCGATACCGCTTTCATAACGTAATAAACCGGGAATCATCAATTTAGCACCGTAGCAAATAGCGTTGACAGCACTGTCCTTCACAACCACACGCTTGTAGCCAACCAACAAAGCTTCCAAAGGACGAACGACACGGCGAAGGTAGCTTTCATCCTTGGTGTTATCGTATAACCATTGAGCGTCCATCACGTCATGCATAGTAACAATGTCATCCTAAAATGAACGTCAATAAAACAATCAGTTACAACGTCCCCATGTGGCGGGTGCCATGTATTTTTATAGGTGTACTTACATCTTCGGAAGTTTGACCAGAGCGCACACGACGGAGTTCTTGCATGTGACCACCCACACCCAACAAGAGACCCAAGTGGACACAAAGCGTACGCATGTAAGTACCAGCTTCACAGCTGACCCAGAAAACACCGAGATGACGATCGTTATCGTATTCAAAAAGCTTGCTTTCGTGAATAGTACGAACACGCAATTGACGCTTGACAGCAGAAATGAGAGGGGGACGTTGGAACAAAGCACCAGTCAAGGTTTCTAAAGCCTAAATTAAACCGAAAAAACCGCCATCAGCATTGCCGTACGATTTGTGAATTACCATGACTTTCTCTTCATTTACCTGACCCAACTTCTTTTCGCTCTCAATGGCGTCGTGCAATCGCAAAACGCAGACGTACTCCTTACCAGCACCCTGCTGGGACTTGACGAGACGAGTGGCGCGATCGACACAGACGATCAAACAACCGGTAACTTTGGGATCGAGAGTACCGCTGTGACCAGTCTTTTCGACACGCAAAATACGGCGAACCCAGGCAACGACTTCGTGAGAAGAAGGATTGGCGGGCTACATGACAAAGCACAGTCAGTATCAACGGGCACTGTCTAGACAAATGTTTTCCATACCTTATCCAAGTTAATCACACCATAACGAACATAGTCGTTAAGAGGACGCTTCAAAGGAGAGCATCCACTGGGAATAGGAGTGTAATGACCGGTACGAACGTTCAATTGGTCGTAGTTCTGTTAAAAAGGCACCAATGTCTAGATTTAGCAAAGAGATTCTCGAGACATGCAAGTCTTTTTTCAATCGGCTATACCTTCAAAAGAAGAGGCCAGTTGGAAGTGTTGAGCGCAGGCGTCGTTTGCGTCGGTTTAATAACAGATTCGTCCGCCATTATATTCGTGGTTGGGAAACAAAAGTTTGACAACTGGTGCACTTTCTCTCCCAGTTATTTTTTGTCAAACGAAATTTTTCCTCTAACAAGCCACTAATGACTGCATTTCCGCTCAAGCCGACCACCAGTGAAAATCGGTCGGAACATCATTTGGGTCCGATCCCAAATCAAGCATCCGGCGGAGAAAGGGGCGAACCCTTGATTCTCGCCGATGAATCTGGACATCGTTGCACTTATTCACCGAGATGCATTCGCTGTTGCTCAAGCCTAGTTACACTTGACTGGATAAACGCAAAATACCGTTGTAGAGAAATTTTGGTATTTTTTTTTTATTACAGGAACACCGTCATGGGTAGCCAAGACCACCAACGGATTCTCCATTTTTTTTTCATTAATTTGGATCCTGTTATACAGCTATTATATACAGTCTATAATTGACAAATGTGAATTTACTTAGGCGTATTTGCTGAATTCATTACGGAAGGCGTTGAGACGTTGAATGGAGTACAGGAAGTAATCGAAATCAATCTCGCTTTGGTTAGCTTGAATCAAACCCCAAAGGCCCCATAAGACGTGACCGGCCATTACCCAGACCGCGACTTCTTTGGACAGTGCTTCGACGGAGGGAGCATCGCTATGTTCAGCCTTGGCTTCCGCCACGTAAGCACTCAAAAATCGCATCTGCTGCTCCTCAGTAGGGTAGTTTTCTGTTTCCATGGAGGCTGGCGTGTCACTGTGGTAATCGTACATCCACTCGCAAAAGTGGTTGGCAATATCGAATCCTCGAGGATTATAGCCAGCATACTCGAAATCCACAATTACAAGCTCGCCATCATGACATCTGAGGATATTGCCGGGTTGTGTCTGCGATTTATGTGAGTTCATTTTCTACACAGCCATCATGCCAAGTGCTGTAAAACCACTTACATCGTTGTGAGCAAATACGATGGGACTGTTGGCGGCCTCAGTGATGGCTTTGCATTGGGCAATTTCGTGCTGTAAGCGTTCAATATTGTATTCTCGAAGCACTTTGGCCCAACCTTCGTTTTTTCGGTATAATTCCGGCAGAATGCTGAGCACCACCCGGTAAAACTTGTCGACGTTTACCCATATTTCCAATCGATCGGTGGAAGTCGGTGGATACACTTTGGAGATGGCATGCAAACGACGCATTCCCTTGGCAATCAAAACAGAGGTATCAGGATCACGAATATCATCGCGAGTTAAGGTGACAGAAGGCATGTATTCCTCGAAACGGCCATTTCCAAAGGTAGCCAGCAATCTCGGTCCTACGTTCAACTGCGACAAGCGAGCTAACCACGCTAATTCGTTTTCTCGGTCCACTATCTGATCGCACCCAATACCATATACACGCAGTAAGAGACGGTCACGGTTCGGTGCGCTCACAAAGAATACGGCACTAACATAGCCGAAAGAGAAAAAGAGATCATGACTGAGTACTTCTGCATCTTTGTGCCCGAATGGCCTCCTTCATCAGGTCCATGGGTTGAGTAACTTACTTTGTTAACGCTCCACTGACACGATCAAGTTGATATTCAGTTACGCCTTTGGCCCAGTCAGGAAATAAAGTGGCTATCAATTCAAGTACCACACTTTTGAGCTTGTCGCCTTTGAGAACGCTATATAGCAACTTTAGATTTCGCCTCTTTCCCGAGAAAAAGTGGTCTGCCCAACCAAAAAAGAAAAAAAAAAGTTGACACATGCATACAGTGCGATGACTTACGTGAGATCAATAATGGTGTCACAGGTTGGAATGGTTGGCTGATTAACGTGTCCTGCTTGTGAAGGCGCTACGCTTACCATGCCATGATGAATTGCATCGGGAGTTGCCATGATTTGGGGAAAGAAGAAAAAAGTGGTAAATGTTCCAAGTGTCGAAACTCCGGGTTTTTCAATGATGCCGATTTCTGTGGGGGACTTCCATTTTGTGTCTCTCTTTTTTTTATTTTCTTTTTTAGTATTATGTGACAAGATTTTCTAAATATGGCTCTCTTGCAGATATTGAGCCAAAATTGTTTCATTATGTACAAAGTGAATCCCATCTCTATAAAACGGGGCAGCAATAGGCACTATGGATATAGAAACAGACAAACAGAGTTGACATGTGAGTTATTGATGTCAATGCACGTGCATAGACCACTTACGGAACCAATACAGCGGTTGGTTGCCCATGACCTCACACCAGTTGCTCCAGATATTTTTGTGAAACACGTTTTTGCCGTCACGTGTAAAGTTGGGACACGGTTGCTCAGCGTGGCTTTCATCCTTCTTGACTTCATCCGTCCATTTCTGATACTTTAGATTCTCCAACGTCGTTCTGTTGACCATAATAAGCCATAGATGATACCACGAAAATAAGCCAAGGATGACCATGACCAGTCCAGATCTAAAGAAAAACAAGTATCAGATTACGTCGCCACTTTCTGTAAGTGTCATAAAGACCCTACATAATTAGACCCGCCAATATGACAGAATCAAATGAGAACTATAATACAACAAATAAAGACATTTTTCAGTAAAGTGGAAAACACACAACTTTTCAACCATCAGCAACGAACCAATCCTTGTCGGACAACGGCAGCCAAAGTGGTGCAAAAGACCCAGGTGCCAAGCATGGATGTATAGCAAATAAATTGTATAAAATATCGATGGTTATCAAGCCCAACGCATCCATTCACCCTAAAGCATCACATGAGTCGTCGCAGTTTTATGTCAAATTCCTTGAATTGGTTTACCATGGACAGTGACTGAAGAAAAAGTAACCAAAATAAACCATACGTCAGTTTCGATAATCATCCGTCCATTTCTAAACTTGCCATGACGACACTTACTGATCCATTTTGAGAACACAAACGTTACACGCACGACAATGATGTGTCCGATCCGGTCTCCACAACTCACAGGTGGAACACCACTGTGGTTTACCAAACAGGGAGAATGGCTTTTCTTGCCCGTTTTCCGTTTTGTGTCCTTCTTGTTCTTCCATCATTTTTAGTTTCTATGAAACACGTATGAGATGTGGATGCGTAGGATAGCAATTTGAACCATTTTGGTGCTCATGTTGTAACAATGGCCCGATTTGGACAGCTTGTTGCAGGGTTCGACGGATTTAGAGTGGCACATCGATAATCCAACCGCCGCCAACACTGTGATAAATACTTGCCTTTGGGTATCCAGGGCGGCAACTGACGATCCGAGCATAAGAGATAAGCACCATGGCCAGGCCGATATTCATAAACACTAAATATACAATGGCTTGCGCTCGGTGGCCCATGCGTAATAGTGCGACTACATATTTAATACAATTAGAAATTAAAATTCAGGGAAAAAAGGGATCTGCAAAAGGCTTACGACATAATGGATCAAGATACACCCAATAAACAAAAGCAATGATTGCAATAACAACAAGCACAGGCAACCAGCCCCAATCGAGCTGTTGCTTAGGTTTCCAGCCTTTCGGCAGCGGCATGGCAATGTCGGTCATGGCTGAGAAGGCAAAGATCAGCGGCCAGCAGCGTGCATACGTAGTGGAATCGGAATGACAACAGAAAACCTTTTGCCCTTCCTCTGGCGACTTGGATTGTCTGCTGTCTTCACATGACGAAGGAAATTGTGACATGCAAATGAAACAAGATGTGTTATTTCTTCCAACTGTGAAGGAAAAATCAACGTCATAAAAGCCAACGGAGTTATTTTATTTCTTGTTTGAGAGAAAGGGGATACTTTTCCCTTATTCGATCCGACGCTCAAGCCCATAAATCGTATCATCGGACAACGTAAAAGCGTGCAGTGTTGAAGGATAGGTTACTTTTTGTGCAGAGAGTATATGAAAAAAAAGTCAGTCATTCGACTCTCTGTCTCTCTCGCTAATTCAGGGTGAATGAATTGGGGCTTTACCTGTGATACGCTGTAATCGCTCATGCTCCAACTCGGGCACCTGTCGAGCAATACGTGTGGCATCGCGCAATAATCTCAGCGCAGCCTGAGCTTCCTTTGTTGTCTCCTTTTCTGTGCGAGATGTCTGTTGTCGTGAGACAAAGCGATCGCTTCACAACGTCCTTTTTTATGTGGTACTATACATGAAGAACACGACCGTCTGAAGCCGATGCTGAAAATGAGGCTATATGACCAGGTATATCTTGGAGGGCTGTAAATTTGGCGTCGGACATGATGAAATAAACAATTATCTTTACTGGACTAAGACAAAGCTTTGCTATGCGGTTTTCATGCGCTGGTTTAATCGTCCAGGAAAATTGGCATACAAAAAAAGATTTGAGTTTTCGTAAAGTTTCGGAGTTAATAAATCAGGGTGATGACGTGAATATCTAAAATTTCGATGTTTTAATGACAACCCCCTCCAAACCAGTTGTTTGAATCCGTTCCCCAAACAGTAACTTATATTATCATGGTACGTCTAGCCCATGAACGACTATAACACCGATATTGCTCATCAGGGTATTCATACTCGTGTGATTCACTTTTTATAGGGTGGTGGTGGCCGTTTCCCTTATCCTAAAGAAGTTTGGTAAATTAAAACGCATGGCCGATCTCGTATGTCACGTCGTTTTTTAATCTGTTCCATAATCGATGTAGGTCCCCTGCTGGTGGCTGGTGGACTCAGCCTAAAGCCTGGAAGTCAAACACTATGATCGCAGCTCTCGGTATTGCCGTCACTCTTGGAGCTATCTGGAGAGTCTCCGCCGAAAAGGAGGTACGATTCGAACGAAATGAAACTATGTATGCGTGACATTGATGATCTTGGGGTTTTTTTTTCCTTTACAGGTGCGTTACCAGGAACCTACACGCTGGATCCCGTCAATGATGGTATTGTATCTTTTAACAATTACGACAATGCAAAAATCATAAACAATATGCTCACATTCTCTTTTTTTTACTTCCTACAAGTGGTCCAAACAATTCAAAGATCGCAACTAGAAATAAAAACCACAAACTTTTTCTTATTTTATTGTAATCATGGAGACGTTATATACAGTTGTACTTTATGCATATTGTTTTTTTTATGCAGCTACTTTGTTGAATGTAATGAATTCATTCCACAGTGGTTGATATCCCTTCTGCACTTGAATCTCGTCCAGATAACCTTCGTACGTTGTGCGAATCTGATACAGGGCTTCACAGAGAGCTACAACAAAATCGCGAAACCTGCTGATTAGTATCGATATGGCTGTATTAAAACGCATTGTGTTTAATTACCGAGATTAACCATGTGAATCTCCATGATAAGATCTCGTCCATTCGATCGAGACGCGAAATTTGCATATTGCGGCGGAGGATTTTGCGTGTATTTTTCAGTGGTCATCAGGCAGCTCAACAAAGTATCAAGCACCTTGCCAATGTCCCGTTGCACGTAACCGTAGGGATCTTCTTTGCTGGATGCCGACACAAAAGATCCCAAGGCTGGAAAAAATCACATCAGTTCACGCGTATGTTTTTAAAGGACTTATATGCGACGTTACCTTGAATAGCCCAAATGATGACTCTGTGGTTGCGGAATACTTGGCGCATTTTGCGTTCCTTTTGAATAGCGAAAATTCCCTTTACATATTTAATATTCTGACACCTGATCTCCAAGCTGTTGAGGAAACGCGCAAATGGGTGGTTCGGAAGAGCCCGAACTTGTTGCGACAAACTGGCTACAAGTGGAGGCGATGGCAATGTATCATTGGCCATGGCTGAAATATGAGAAAATAAGCAGCTGGTTCGGTCATCCAAGGGATTGGCATCCATGCGAGGAGCAGCGAAAACATTCTTATCCACGAGCTGAATCAAATTTTTAGGCGGAGGCGCCACAGCAGGATTGGCAGTAACAGGTTGGGCAGCTACAAATACTGGGAATGAGTTTTGACATGTAAATATACCCAAAAATCTCCAAAGGCCTATTACCTGGTTTCTTCGCACCGTATTCCAAATCAATGAGTTCTTCCAAAGACTTGACGGTTTGAATACATTCACCAGAAATCTTTGCCCACAACGACTCGGATGGCTTATCACCCGCATTTTCGAAAAGGAGGGGACGGACCTTTTTGCCTTTGCAAGCAATGCGCGCAAGCTCGGCATAAGCGTAGGAGCGAACCATTGCATTATTTTTCTCTTGAAGCCCCTGTAACAAGCATTCGTAGACGTTTTCGTAATGTTGGGTAGGCATATCATTCTAAAAAAAAGCATGCGTTCATTTACGATGGTCATGAAATGCGACATGTAATTATACATACCTTGTGAAAGCACACATCGCACGTACGATCAACCAATTCCCAAACCAAGATGCATAAAAAGCCAGCCAAAAGCATACGAGAAAACAGATAGACATCGTACCACCGGAAATGAATCAATGGCGAATCGAGTATTCTAACATCACGTTTTAACATCAAGGATCGAGGATCGAGAGCGAGATAAAAACTACTGCAGATATTTTTGCAGTCACTTTACCTGGTATAACTTCCCAATGCATCTGCAACCACATGGTAAACCGTTCCGTTGAACACCACAAAGATAGCGTAGACGATGAGGAACAAGCGTGCCGCCCACTTGAATTCTCTACGTGCAACAGAAGGGAGGGTGGCTTTCACGGCAAAGAACGTGGGTTGCTGTAAGAAAACGTTTTTGGATTAGATACTGGATGAACACATTATCTGAATGGACGGCATACCTGCACCGAGGGAATAGGCTGGAACATGCGTTGTTCGAAAATACGCTTAAAGGAAAAGCAAGCACCAAGGACAACGGCATAGAGAACGATGAACACATGCTCCTGATTCAACTGTTGAGCTGCGATTTGCGATTGTCTATAACACAATGTTAAGCTTGCTGTGTTTCGGAAAATGGCAGTGTCCATTGTTACCCGTAGGGTTGCACCAGAAAGCGCGAAGTGTACTTTTCTTCGTGAAGGTATCCAAAGTAGGCATAGAAAACGGTGACGCTCGATAATACGTAAAAGACAGTGGTGGTCCAGCTATCTTTTTGCGATAACGTTAAAATGATGTCGGCTGCTGCACTGGGAGACACATTAGGTTTATCTATAACATTTTTGTGAGCTCGTGCTGCTTTTTTCCAAAGGATATTTTCGACATGATACCTGTCACAGTAATGAAACGGATGATAAAAAGGGGCAAGACCGCGATAAACAGAATCAGGGAGAAGTAGATGGTCTTGAAAAGCACGCGATTGGACCAGAATACTAGAAGCAAAACAAGTTAATACAATATGGAATTGGAAAAAGCCAAAATTTTGCCGCAGCTGTTACCAAAATCAACGCCTAATCTCGCCTGAAAGATCACGGACAGAACGAACATGAAGATGGATAGAAAGAGCAAGACTTCTTTAGCTTCTCTGATGCGAGCCCAGGTATAGATTTGATTATATGATTGACATTTCGGTTTAGGTGGTTTCTTCATTGGCGTAGAGCCAGTGAGCACTACTCGTGTGGCTTCCATTTATGCGATCGACGCGACTCCAAACGAAACCGAAAAAAAATACAAAGGGAACGGCACGACAAAAAGGAAAAAAAGACCCACCGCAAACCCGCAAGATCGAATTTGTGACGTCACTTGCCTTTTATGGACATTAATTTTTCAGTGCGCAGTTGCTTTTCCCTCGGGCAAGCGTTATAGAAAATCAGCGGGCGGCCGAACAAAGAAACTCCCTCTTTCCTTGTATCGCTACATAATGACTCAACGGTAGGTTGTCGACGATCTCGAGAATGACGAATAGCTCTATACAATCGATGGATGGATTTATGAAAAGATGGATGAGCGTATTGGATGGATGATTAGAGGGGCAGGATAAAACAAGAGGATGGCAAAAAAAAGAGACAACAGCAAACCAAGGATACTTCAACATTCGTCATGGAACGAAAAGCTGCATGCAATGCAACCATTAGAATTCAGTCCACTTATTCTATTTTATTTTCTTTTACAGTCTTTACAGCAAGGGCCGTGTCTTGGGCTACGAACGTGCTAAGCGCAACCAGAACCCCAACACCTCTCTTATTCAGGTTGAAGGTGTCCAGACCACTAAGGATGCTCAGTTCTACCTCGGCAAGCGTATCGCTTACGTCTACCGTGCCCAGAAGGCTGTCAACGGTTCCAAGATTCGTGTTATCTGGGGTCGCATTGCCCGCACTCACGGTACCAACGGTGTCGTCAAGGCCCGTTTCCGCAACAACTTGCCCCCCAAGACTTTCGGTGCTAGTGTTCGCGTGGTAAGTAGTTTATCGGTGACATCGTGAGAATTGCCATTGACTCTAATATTTGCCGAATGTAGATGCTCTATCCCTCCAACATTTAGACAATGTATTGTTCTTGCACAATAAAAGAGATAAAATTTCAAGGGACTTTTTTGAGTACACTCAACGATATGGATTCAGCTTATTTGTGAGAGTAGCAAGCCCGTTGTCGGATCGGTGCCCAAACATTAACGGAGGGAACGGATTCGGGGTCAGGGGATGTTTGCAGGACGATCTGAATAACGATGCCAGTGATTTTTATTTTTTATTTTTGGGTTTTCTTTTTGAGAAGCTTTTTTTTCCTTTCTGTCTTTTTTTTTCTTTTTCCTGCAACTTTTTTTTTTCCCTTGTCGCCGCGTGCCTCCTATCTGATCGTCTCCTTGGTGATACCGTGCGACGAATATCATGTCTACTGTGTATACCATTTTCCTCACTTTGGGGCTACTTGCTTCCGGTAACACAAATACTGAGAGATAGAGAGAGAAAGAGAGAAGAAGCACCCTTGTTAAATCCTTCGGATAGGTGTTTGTATACCTCTTATTCTTGTTTTCCAAAACCATCAGTCCATCGATGAAGGCCAAGAACTGTTTGCACAACCGCTTCTGCAAACGGCCATGATATTCCTTGGCGAGCTTATATGTATCTTGGTTATCCATTTAGCGAGCAAAACACCATCACTTTTGGACCGGTCCATGTTGGAAGCGGTGCAGCCGCACTATGGTGATAGTGGTAACGATTGGATCGTTCCTCGTACCGCCACTTTATCCTGGTCTGCAGTTTGGTTTATTTTGCCAAGCGCATGTGACCTCGTGGCCACCACGGTAACGATAGCGATAATAATGAGAATTGCATGGTTGCTGCACGATATTGATGAAGCAGTTGTCTTTTCTTTTTCTTAGCTGATGAACCTTGGCTTGACTTATACTACCGCCTCTGTTTTCCAAATGGTGCGTAGCAGTATCATGGGGTTCTCTGCGATCTTCAGTTTCCTGTTTTTATCCAGACGCTTTTTACCGCATGAATGGGTTTCGGTTACCGTCATCCTAGTTGGAACAGGCATTATTGCTTGGTCGGCGACGCTCGCTGGAGAATGGCGTGGCGCGCTGTATTTGATGATCGCTCAATTATTCGTCGCGGCTCAGTTTATCCTTGAAGAATATTTGATGGATCGCTACCACTTGGATCCTGTTCGCGCCATGAGTATCGAGGGGGTCTTTGGTGCGGTCCTTTTCTGCACGGCTTTACTCTTGGCGGCGCTTTTCGGAACGGGCGTGTTTGATGTCAAAACCGGATTTAGTGAGTTGCTGGATGATTACGTCCTCTGGCAATCGGCCTTGGTCCTGGCTCTCATGGTAGCCATATTCAACATCTTTGGTCTGGCTATCAGCACAGCGGTGGGTGTAGCTGGTCGTAGCGTGATCGATGCATTTAGGTAAGAGTCTCGAACGTTCTCAGAGTAGCCAGGATAAAAAAAAAATTCACTCAACCGATTTTTCGTTAGAATTGTGCTTATTTGGATTGTGGGGGTCCATTACGGTTGGGATAACTTCTCATGGTATGAGTTTGGTGGATTCACCTTGTTGGTACTCGGTATCTTTATGTTCAATGGCGTCTTTGCTTCTCTTCGTACCGCCGTGGTGAATCGCGGCCGTGGTGCTGAATCGGCTCCACTTCTTTCCTAAAAGTTCTACGTGTTGTTTATAAATGCTACGAGTTACACAGACGTCTTGTACTGCAAATAGTGGTCGATAAAAAAAAGAAATCCCAAAAATGGTGTAAAGTAAATTACGAATCAAATAAACAGTAATACGATATTCTGAATGGCCGCAGAAACAATGCCAAAACTATGTATCACATCACAAATTTTCTCATTGCTGTTTATCTGTTTTATTTCGAGTCATGCTCAGTTTCATTCATCTGGTCGAATTGAAGCCTCAACATACAGTATGTGCATCTTATATCTACTTTTGTATTTTATGGCTACTTCTTCCTCATGTTGTGCGTTAGTTCTCATTATCGTGAAGACAAAGGTTGTATTACTGCGATTAACGCCGATGCTGTATTTGTTGGAACCTCGTTCCAGTTGTAGGAAATGTTGATGGAACACCCGGTCATCAAGTCAAAAAAAAAAAAAAGCGCTTGGGCCAAACTGACCCTTCCTTCAGAGGGACTACGTACAGCAATCACAGATTGGCCCATCAGGGGTTGCGGCGTTTAGTTCTGGAGAACAGCAGCAGCTTGATCCAGAATGATCATCGATTTCTCGCTGATAAATTTTAAAAGTCGATCCAACAGTTGAAGTAGCCACTTGTCTTTTTGGATTTTCCGCATGATCATCTGTAGACAAAAGGCCTTTATTGTAAACATGACATTTCGAAATTACTTTGATGAAGCATGTAGCTGTATTATCCTCAATTCCTTCACCTCAAGTTATATCAGAAAGATGCCGTTCGTTGTTATCCTGACTCATCACCTTTCGCAAGCACAGCAAGTCGTTCACTTTTTGGCGTTTGATGGAAAGTTGTCCATCTAAATAGCATGAACGGCGAATATATGAATTGTTGGCATATACATCGTTCACATCAAAGGTCACATCATGGTTGGAGGGGGAATCGATATGGGTGAAGAAAAGGTGCAGCGAAGAAATAAGGACGATTCGCAATCATCTTCATGACCGTCATCTTCCGGTGGGTAGACTTGCTTTCCATGTCTCGTATTCAGTCTTCGCAACATAGCTAACCAAAAACGTCCACCATAAAATCAAGATACTGCTCTTTTTCGTGAAGCTGATAACTTTCTCTTCTTGTTCGCCGGTGGACGCTGCGCTGCCCGTTCATCCATCATCGCAGCAAATGGTTTATCCGGCAACAGAAACTCTGACGGTTTCATAGAAGGAACGGTTTTCCCGAAAGCTACAGAGGAACGACCACCGCGCCGTTTGGGTGTTGCCGTGGGAGGTTCAGCCGGTGCAGGAGCTGATTTGCTTTTGGTGGTGTCGGTCCCACTGGGCAAGGGGGACGATGTCGATGGAGAAAACTTTTGATGTGTTTCGGAGGAGGGATGAATAGAGGGTGGTACAGGCGGTCGCGCACGGTTGAGACCAAGCATTTCAAATCGGTGGAGATAATCCTCTGCGTCCTTTAGCAATTGCTCGTGAACCACGTCGAGATCGATGGCTTCCAAATTGGCCCCCGTCTGAGCCACGTCTTCCATACGATGGCGCAAAGAAGATACAATGGATTTTAGGGTACCCTTATCCAAGGTTTTGATTCGTTGAACCATCTGCTGCTGCTGGTAAAATTCATGCTGCAATCGTTCCTTTTCTCGATTTTTCTGTTTCTTTTCCTCCAATTCGTGTTTCCGGTGGCGTCGTATGTAGAAATCCTCTGGCAAGGGTTCCGGTAGAGCCTATATATTGTAACGTCATTAGATAACCCAGTAACAACAGAGAACACAAGCTTAGTCTCACCTCCATAGTGCTGGGTTTGTTGCATAACAAACGATAGTTGGGTGCCAGCTTGAAGGAAGGCATCACCGGAAGTACGGGAGCGGAGTCTGGCTCATTCATGGTATCGTGGTGATTCTCACATTTCACAAGTTCTTTTTCGTTGTCCGTAATATGGAGAATGGTCGATGTATTTAATCCTTGTTCGGCAGGTTCTGCATAAACCAGAGTGAGTACAGCAGATGAACCAAGTGTTCCTGGAATGTTTACCTGCTGCCAATCGTTCCAACACAATACGTACAGCATCCGTGAGAAAATTGTGACGCGTCGGCAGTGCGCGTTTATGGTTTGCTGGTGCTTCTTTCCGGGAAGCGCGTCTCATGCTGCCAAGAAGCGTTTTTTTTTTTAAAAAAAAAAGTGGACGTGAGGCGACAAGGACTATGTAAAGAATCCCAGAAAATCCTTCGGACTTGGGCTGACTAAGCCACTGATGGGGAGCACAGTAAGAGGAGATGGTTCCTTAAAAAGGTCAATCAATGCTACGTTGCAAGAAGAAAAAAAAATGAGAGTGTCAAGATCGATCCTAATATGTTCTATATGCTTTTGCTGATGAATCGATAGATTAATCAGTTATTAGGTAAAAAAAAAATGGTCAAGCAATACAGGGTAAAACCCGAGTGATGAAGTTCGCCATCCAATCATAAGAAGGTTCCAATTTTTGGGAAAATTAAGGCATGAAATTGTTGTAAACCTCGAGTTTTTTATTCTTTTTCTTCATTTCTCTTTAGTCTTAAGATAAGCTGAAGCGTATTACTGACCTGAACTTTCCACCCAAATACGCCATCCACACTATGACAGCAACAGCAACAGATCGAGCACTTGTGCCAAAAAACAATGACGCCATTGGCACCATTTTACTGCATGATGATGGATCGACTGCCCCTGCCACTCCTCCTGAAGTCAAGCTGGATTCCCTTTCTGGTTTTATGCATCGACCGACATCATATCATCACTCTTCAAGCTGTTCATCGTCTACCTGCTCTTCTGACGAGGATGATCACAGTGCTGGTAAGAAATGGATGCACCAAAAGCTCCCCATGATATCAACTTTTTTTGTCACACTAATATGTCTTGCTTCCCTATTTCTCTCTTTTTTTCTTTTTAATCTCTTTTTTTTTGTACTCTTTTCTTTATCCACTCCCATCCACCTACTTGCCGCAGAGAGTGTACAAAGCGCACGTACGGCACCTGCATCCACCTTTTCAGGTAATACTCTTGACTCAGAAACAAACCGTGACCTTGTCTCGCCCACGGCTGGACTCAGTGATGCCCCGCCCGAATCCAACAAAGTCGAATCAGTGGATCCAGAACAGCCAGACCAACGAGGCAATCCTGCCGCTTGCATCTTTGTAGCAAGGTAAAATATTATTTTAGGGAAAAACGCGCTCCACTCTCATTTCCCAGATAACTCACGTGTTTTCTTTTATTCTATTGTCTATAAAAAAATCCAAGCTTGAAAAAAGAAAAAAATGATGAAGAATTAAATATATCGGTCTCAAACCACTTTGTTCGCTGGGGAGCGCTTTTGAACGTCAAGGTTCTCAAGGATTGGCTAGGCCGCCCATACGCATTTGTCCAGTACGAACGTATTTCTGATGCCAAAGTCGCACTAAAGGAAGCCCCAGGTACCATCCTTGATGGTCGAAGTGTCCGATGCGAACCAGCTAGAGTCAACCGCACATTATGTCTCCTCCCTATTGATCGTCCATTGGACCGTCAAGAGGTCGAAGCGACCTCATCCGTTTATGGAAAAATTGAAGACATCACCGTTTTACAAGCTCGATCTAGAAATCAATGCGCCTTTGTCAAGTACTGCTATCGCGATGATGCTATTCGTGCTTTCCTGGTAAATATTTTTTTTCCGCACCCCGCGAACAGATCAACGGTTATCATGTTCCTCATCATTTTTTCATATGATTTAGTCACTTCACACTCCGGAATTCATGCAACGTTGGTGTGTTGAATGGGCTTCCAATCTGGATCTCAACAGCTCGGATATCAGTGCCATCAAAACCGACAAATCCAGTATCTTTGTAGGTAATCTATCTGAAGCCATCACTGACGGCGAAATGTATTCCCGCTTTGGTCATTACGGTTCCATTGTTCATCTGCGCGTTATCCGCAAGCCCACGCATGGTCGAAAGCGCGTATTTGCTTTCGTAAAGTACGCAAAAGAAGAAGAAGCCGCCGCTGCGGTTGATAATGAGGTAAAAAAAGAATTTCATCCTCTTATTTTCCTTTCAATCCTAAAGCTTTTTTATTTGATACAGAATGGTGTCTTGTTGGATGATCGACAGCTCAGAGTAGCTTATCGTGAACACCATGAATCTTCCTGGAGCCGTCAACAGCGTAATCCATTAGTCGAACGCCCACATCCTCCAGGCATGGGCTTCCCAGCTTCCATTTATCAATACCTCACTTGTCCAAAGACTAAATCCGGCGAACCTGGTCAAACCATCCCCGATCCATCCTTGGTTGACCCGTACGTGTACTACGGATCCCCACCTTCTCGGCAGCCACGTGTCACAAACAATGTGCCATACATCCCTCACAATCCAGTCACCTCCTCCAGCGGGCTTACTACAACCTTGCCAGTGGCACCCTCCCACGGGGTTCAGGACGTCAACAAGGCTCACATCGTTAAAGAACCCACTGAATCTCGGCTTTACGGTTCGGTAAGTCAAATGACTGGACTCTGAATCCACCCTCTCATGAACATGATGAATTCACCATGACCCAACGGAATGACAGGTCACTGACGACATTCCCAATCCGTATCGCACAAAAGGTAATTTCATTGTCGGTTTTTGATAATAATAGCATCAACGGTATTGAATATTTAGAAAAAGGAGGAGCAAACGGGATGTTCGAGTCTCAAGCGGTTGGTATGTACGATTATTATCCGTACTATCCTCTGCCAGGCTATTATCCACCAGCTGTCGGTCCACATTTACGCGAAGCGTTTTATGATTACAGCTATCCATCTCTCTATTACGTTTACGCTCCACCTTATCCCTGTACATCGATTCGAAACCAGATGGCCAAGGAGAATAAGGTGCCTCTAACCGCCCTCCCTCGAAAGCCGGTTGATTTGGTTGATAAGAAATAAGCCTCTCAGTTGTTCCTGACTAGGCAACAAGACAACGGCATGAAAAAAAAAGGAAAAAGATAACCTTCGGGAGTTTCTTTTCATTTGCGTGAAATAAACATTGAAAAAAGAACATATAAAAAAAAGGGATAATTTCCGTCATGTGGTCATCGGACGCTGCTTATAATCACACTGGCATCTCTCAATTTTTTCACAAATTTTCGGTTCTTCCTTTTTTACGATCCCTTTTTCTCTTTGCATTTCATTTTTTTTTAGACTCACATCGTTGAAAACGACACTATTATAATATGGAAGCCCACACGTTGCAACAATGTCCATTACGCTCCACAGCATGGCTGACGGTGGATCATCGGAATAAGGTCAATTTCTGCAGTTCAGAAATAATGGCTCACCTTGGATTCGATCCTATGCACAATTCCATCGACGATCTGTGGCAAAAGCAAGAGAACCCTGACTCTTCGACAGCCGAATCTTCAAATACGTTTATGGTGCGTACCGGTTCGTCCAAACTGCTGTACGTTTGCCGTCACGACGCCATGTTTGTTACTGCCGACGTTACCAACCTGCAAAAGTTATACGACCATCACCGAGATCTGGGGGAAGTGGCTATTGCTCGGCTGACATGTTACGGCACCATTGAGGCTTTTTACAATAACGAGTCGTTTACAACGTCATATTTAATGAACCAGCCTATAATGCGATTCGTCCATTCGGACGATGTGCAACGTTTATGTGCCGGATTTAATCAAGCGGTTCGATCCACCGTGGCATCATTGAATGTCCGCTGCCAACTTGACTTGTCCTCCCTCGAAAATCAGGGCCATGATTGGTTCCACTTCACTGTTATCTCGAATGTCACCGATCAGAGTCTTTTGTGTGTCATGAGACGAATAGCAACCCCGCCAATCGACCAACTCCATGTGATTGCCGACCAGGACTGCCCCAAAGGAATTTTGGCCACCGTGACGCGTCTCCAAAGCTGTTTATGGCAAGCCGTCCAAAAAGGCATGACGTCGGTCGCACATACCTTGATGGTCTCCCTCGTGATTCTCCTGCAGACATGTGTGCATGCTTCGCAGCTGCTTGATTTTACTTCATCCAAATATCGCCTGCGCTTGTTCCAAACGGCGTATTGGCGACAAAATGCATACTTGATGGATATGCTACTAGATGAAACCAAATCGAGGCCTGAAATAGATCAATTATGTTCATGGTTGGAATGGTCCGGTGTTGCATCGCAAACTTCATCACGAGCGTTTTTGGACTCCGTCATGAACAAAGCATCTCACTGGATTCACCAGCATTCTAACTTCATTGTTTAAAGTTCCACCATCCCTTTTAACTTTATCCCTTGTAAATAATGCATCACGTCTCTCATTGAATATTTAGAATCCATTTCTATCCGCTAACAGTAATAATTTTATCAGTTGCAGAAGAGTAACATACATCCCCTTGAAAAACGAAAAACAAAAATGTTATAAATGGACATAAAAAAAAATGAAGTGTACAAAATGGTAGTGTTTAATGAATTCTCAAGCAATCCACCACTGTGTGTTACAGGCGGAAATGGAAACTGATGGAAGCAGAATGCGAATCACTTACACTAGCAATATTCAAAAAAGAGTTTTGGCACAAAATCCAGCATGCTATCCAACAGTGAAGAGCGCGAGTTGGCCTACATCAAAGAAACAATGCATAAACAAAGCTCGTATAACAATATTGCTTGCACCATGGGAAAAATGCGTGCAAAAACGTGCAGAAATGTGCAAAATGTGCAAATCTGTGCACAAATGTGCGAGTATTCATAGTTTTTCGGACAACGCATTGCAAAACTGTGCAAATCTTCATCGTTTTTGAACAGGGCAGTAACAACTCAGCTCAGCCTCAACTGATCATTCTTTAAGACCTTCTTTAAACATGTCACCGAAAAGCTTCGATTATCATTGCTCCAAATGCAGCGTCTGGTTTAATATCGCTGAGACCCCAAGAACGAAGCATGAGAAGGAATATGCATATTTTGGCCAAGTATACTTACAGACAGATTGATGAAACGGTGTACGGCATCAGCCATCCCGCTGTAAGTTTATCGCATAACGTCCAATATCCATTTAGATACTAAAGAATATTACTGCAGTCATGCGTTTCTAGTTCTGACGAAATGGAGTGCGAGGATGTTTATGCGCTCTCTCGATCTGGAAGCGAAGTACCTGCTGAAATTGAAGACGATTCTTTGGATGGCATGGAGTGGTATACGAATGATGAGCTGGTCTGACGAAGAGATGTTGCATACTTCTTTTGGCGAAGCTGGTAACATTGATGAAGATGAAGCCAACGATGACGACTGCGACAGGCGTGAAGACGGGGACGCTCTCGAGAGTGACACCCTAGAAGAAGAAGATGACGCTCCAAATGTGCAAGTTGCCAACGAGGAGTCATCTTGGTTCAGAAGCTACCGCACGACCACATGTGATTTCAGCCTCCATAGCACGACACCTGTTGGAAAAGCCGTACAGCTCTGCATCAAACTTCATCAGAAAGCTCTCCGAAGAAAGATCCCGCGCCGCTTTTTGGGGAGCTGATCGAAGACATCAACGAGTATGTTCGAGGTGTCCTTCCGCCGTTGCCGAGCAACTACAAAGCGAAAGCTGCCCTGCTTGAGCGATATCCCATCAAACCTGCTGAGTACGGCATGTGCCCGAATGGGTGATGATGGTTACGAACGCATGGAATGATGTGGACGAAGCCTGCATCTGCGGAACACCACGCTTCGAGAGCAAAAATCCGCTGAAACCAGCTCAGCAAATGAAGAATCTATCGTTGGGTTAACAGCTTGCACTGATCTTAAAATGATCCTAAAGCTCGACAGTACTTACATCAGCGCCATCCCGAGCAATCTCGAAAAGAAAACCGACGTGTTGGACGGGGAAGCCCCAACGTCTTGAAGCAGCATGGACGTACAGACGACAGTACAATCCATCTGGGATTATACACTGACGGCTTCAACCCCTTCAACAATGGTTCAAGATCGATGACGATTGTTCACTTCGTGACCTTCGATTTTCCTCCGGAGATTTGCTACGAGAGCGAGTATATGCTACCAACTTGAATCATTCTCGGCAAAAAGCACCCGAAGAAGCTATTTAGCTTTTTAAGTCCACTTATGGACGAACTACGCAGCTTGGCACGGATGGAATGTCGGTACGAACGTCGGACGGGGAAATGATTGCGTTCAAGGCGATCCTTTTGCTGGCAGGTGGTGACATACCTGCAGTTGCCAAGATGTGCGGACATCGAGGCCATATGGCGCACTACGGCTGTCGCTTCTGCGAAATCTACGGCGAAAAGAAAAATTACCATACGGTTTTCACGCCTCCCGCCCAAGGAGTTCCCCGTTTACGCAAAAATGTGAACTTTTTACCGCCCGACGAACAGAGCGAGGTGGGCAACTCTCCCACAAGCGAAGAAATTGATCGCAAAGGTAATGAACCCATTTATAATGCTATTACCATAAGTCGCAAGTTATTAATAACAGAATACAAAAGATCTGAACGGTTCAGCCTTAGCACAATTGCCCATCATTCCACCTTTTATTTACCCGCTCGATATGGTGCATCTTCTTGGCCCTGGCGTTGGAAAGCAGATCTTCAAGCTTCTTCAAGGCCAATACGGAAAGCAGAATAGCAATAACCCTTTCTTCCTACCTCCTTCGGCCATGGAGAAAATCGGTGCGTGCATGGAGAAATCTAAGTTCTCGGTTCTTTCAGGATTTTGTGGTGATTGCGGAGACATTTCCAAGAATGCCGGATTTTACAAAGCCGTGGACTGGATTCACTTTGTGCTTTATACTGTCCCAAGACTGGTGCTCGAACGTATTGACGATGTTGATGCAAAGCTGGCAATCGCATATCTGACGAAATTGTACAATCTTGTTTGTCGTCGAAAGATCACGAGTACCCAACTGAAGCAAATCATAGAGCTGTCAATGCTGTGGCTTCGTGCTCTGATCAAGTTCAACTGTGAACGCAAGGTTGACGACCATGACTTCACTATATCGCAACATTACCTCCTGCACCTTTACAAGGTTATTCAGTACGTGGGCCTGTTGTCAGTGTATGCCGTATTTGCGATGGAGCGCACCATAGGCGAAGTTAAGCGCAACATTACTTCGCGCAAAGAACCAGTTGCGAATTCGCAAAACACTCTTGTTATTCTCGCTGCGCCTCGATATTTCGAACAATCCAGTTATCATGAAACGCGCGCCCATCGACCGCAAAGGATCATCGCCGTCAGCGACGGTCAGAACGAGCCTGAACTCTGGGGACCGTTTGGACTGGAAACTGTCGGAAGTATGAACATATCTACGACAGCATGCGCTGGCCTTGTTACGTCATGTCTGCAGCTACATATACTGGATGAACCACGGGTTGGCCCATCCACATTCAATTTCCATGCATCACCAGATTCAACAAAAATCTTTATTGATGAATCCAGTCGGCACAAGGCACAAGTACTGGCAATCCAAAGCGTGCACGATCGTCAACTCGTCTTACCTTGTTGGGTAACTAAGACAACTTCGATCTCAATTCCACCATCCCAGCACGTACATTCCTTGTCGTGCTTCAAGTCATCTCGCTTCATCACCTTTCTGCCAACCATTCTCTGTATTTACATATTGCGACCACGAAGGTGTAAAACTAATCTGCTGATAACGATAGCTCGTCGATCATTGCATTGGATCAAAACTTTTCCGAAACATTGCATATTTGGTAATGAAGTCGCCATGCAATGCCTGCATTAAGAAAGATTTTATCGTTTTTCTGCATGATCAATGCGACAGGAAAGCAAAATCAAAAGCCTTTTTGCAGAGTTGGTTGACCTTTTTGGCGATATTGTTGATATGTGTATCATTGGAAACGTGCATTAAATAGCAGTATCTTAACGAAGATGACTGCGATTGTGGCATCGGATATTTGCAAAGCAAACGAAACTGTGGCCAGCAATATCAAACGTCGAATCCACGTTATCGACCAATTTGTCTGATTTTTATTTTTAAATGATTCCTACAAAATTTACCCATCTAGCCTTACAAAACAGCATCCGAATCAAATCCACAATTGAACAAGTGATAATTTCGTATGACTCTCCAGCTGGCACTTGTAACATTCACTTGTGGCAACATTGGAGAACCGAAATAAAAAAAATTTGAAGTAGAGACAGGTGTAACGTCCAATGCGTGTATTGCATACACAAGGGGTTGTGGGATACTGTGATTCCACGGTTGGTGTCAATAAAGTTATACTTTGGAGGCTGTCCCTAGTTTGTGTAGTATCTCCAAATAGCCCTCAGTTACAACGGCTTAGCGTCATGAGTTGACCCGTATGCATTTTCAAATCATGTCTTATGAAGTCCGTCGAGGAACGTCCAGCTGGATACATTGTTACAACTCCATCGTCTTTTTAGCTTGCCCTTTTGTAAGCAAGCCATCATGCTTGTCGGCCTTCACATTTCTTGTACTTGTAAATAAGTTTCCAGTCACGGAAAGGTGATCGGTTCTTATTGAAGAAGCAAAGAGGTACTGATGAGTGGGGGGATCGGGAAAATTGAAACGAGGACACGAAGGCTTAATGAAGAATAAAAAAAAAAGATGAAGTACATGGATGCTGATATCTATGGCTCCTATGGGAATCGGCCGCCACGCTATAAATATACGGGTGAGACTTTGTTCCTCAAGGTACCATGTCAACAACTTACCGTAGCAATAGCTCCCAAAAAGCTTCTGGCTCCAAAATTCAACATGGTACCGAGCTATGGAAAACATTAAAGACAAGACACACTCGTTACTCAAATTGCAAACATAGGGCAATGCGTGAAGGTGGTATAGCAATATTACCTGGCCTGCACAGGCGCCAAGCCATGCTGCATCGTTGAGACGTCGATCCAAAAAGCGGAGAGTTTCCTGATAATTGGGAGAGATGTCTTGGGTCATGTACACTTCTGTTGCTGAATAAATCGCAGATAAAGACGCACGCTTGCTGTACCATCGCATCTAATCCGGACAAGTGTCAGTCGGCTATGCAATCAAAAAAAAATGATATTATAAATTCGTTTGAGATATCTAAACTTACATCGGGGCTTCGGTCGCCAGCATAATACCATACATCATCCGCAATTTCTCCCAGGTGAAGCAACGACGAAGATACGTTGGATGGACGTCCCATTACAGCAAGAGCCTACCGAATCGGTACATGGTCGTTTGTTGGTTAATAAAATGGCGATGTGTTGTAGGTGTAAAGTTTCGACTCTACCTCTGGCCAACGTCTGATATAAGGTTTCATCATCATCAAACGCATTGCCGTTAATTCGCGCACCTTTTCGGTCATGGATAAACTATGCAGGATTGGGTTGAGCTGACGGAGAAAACGCGCAAAAAGTTGATAAATATTTGAAGCTTACCCTTCCAATTTGCCCGAGGCTTGCAGTTCGGCAATACGGGCAACGAATTCGCGTCTGCAATCCTTCAAGAAAGCGTCAATAAGACCAGCTTCGCCGCCGGGGAAAACACCGTGCGCAACGGAAGGATATCCGAGGCTTTTGGCGCCGAGGGCAATGCTCTCCATAGACCAGCCATGAGAAGGAACAAAAGGCAAGGTGGCTTTGAGCATGGTGTAGGAGGGATCCTTGGCTGCAGGTTCAGCATTATAAACACTAGGTAATGACCGTGAGTTACTGATATTGTGATTGTTGCTTTCACCATATACGCACATTCCTTTAGGCGCCGATTCAGACGTCAGCAAGCGTCTTTGGCAAACTGCAGCGCAAGTTACAAAGACAGGCACTGCTGCACGTGCAATAAGGGGACGTGATAACGCACGAAGCACCGTTGGCATTACAACGCGACTCATGATATTGACTGACAAGAAAGATATTTAAAAAAAAAAATCGAACCAGAAAATCTGGGCCAATTTCAACGATTGCGGCCCATGCTCGTTCGTCGCTATTTTACTTTCCGACCGGTGCGACTGCCGAAATGCAAGTGGCTTTGACAGTCCCTGACATAACTGACAGTTACTTTATTGAGAGAAAAACGCAGAATTTAAGGTTAGGCATCCACTGACGAACACGTACAAGTGAAGCAAAGCAGAGAAAATTAAGCGAATGAAAAAAGTGTCCATATATTATTCACTGTTGGCTTTGATCATTCAAGACTTGTCGCAGTCCCTAGGAAATGACTGCACGTTCCAGGCGCCTGCAACCTACAAAAAAGTCTGATCACGACACAGTGGCAAAAATTCTGCCCGTATAATTTTACTTGAACATGTGATCCACTAGCTGCAGTGACAATTCCTTTTCGTATACACTGTACCTTTTAGCCAGAATATGGTGAGTGATGAAAAATAGACAGGGGAGATTCGGGGCTGTAGATGTGACTGACATGATAATGCGGAGTAGTCCCCAGGTTTTTCATCTCATGTGTCAGCTCACTTTCTTCACTGTGTTTTCGACCCAACTCAATAGTGCATGCAGTCTTTGCATCTCTACTTTACAGCAAGGCTTCTTTCTTATCTTAAATTCTCTATTCTCATTTTCAGCAGAGGTAAGTCCACTTCAGATATCGGATAATTTAGCCAGGCACTGTTTGAGCGTTCACCAATACGATCTTGCTAGGAAGACCTGTTCGTGAGATAGATAGACATTGGAATTTATTCGCTAGTTATGGTATGGATCTGCTATCGGATCTCAATTCAACGTGATATTGTTCTTCTATACTTCCTATAAATGATATTTTCATCTTATACAAAAGAAGACCGCCGCCATGGCTGACGACCTTTGATTTATGGCTAGTTTATGGTCATGGTCTGTTCTCAAGCCACATCATTTCCCTGTATACTGTATAATTGCTTACGAGGTAAGTGGCTTCAGCCAAACGAAAAAGAGGCTACACCGGGTCTGTGGATCCACTGCGAACCCATTGTATTCCATTGGAAAAGGTTGGCTCGGAGAATGAAATTTCTCCACTGCAGCAGTCTTTATCTTTATCTACAGTTTGCATTCGGATTCCTCGTCTTTATAGACTATAAACAAATCTCCCATGAAGCTTTCATCTCTGCAACGGCTTTACATAACATATATAAACTATCCTTCCTGCTTTTCGCAATCAAAGGACAGAAAAGAACAGTGAGTGACGCAATTGGCTTAACGACGTCATTGGTCGGCGTTGGAAAAAAAAGTCTCTGCTGTTCGAAAATGAAAAAACACAAAGAAATCAAAAAGGTTCCCTGTCACAAACTATTGTGTTTCCCTCCATTGCCCCTCATGTCTTCTCCTGAAAAAGCCGCACAGCCTGTTGCCTCTGCGTCTACCGATAGAATTAAAAAGTTCTTCGAGGACAAAGACTGGAAGTTTTACTGCGCCCTTGTTGCCGGTCTGACATTGGCCGGTGCCGGTGCCTATTACCTCACCGCTCCCAAATCAAATAAAGAACGCGCGAGCAAGAAGACCGTAGACAGCAAGAAACCAGAAGCAGCCGGTACATTGCAGCAAGCACAGTCACTTTTTTTGTTTTTATAAGGCTCATTAACCGTTTCCCCTTTTTTTTTCAGGTCCTGCTAAGGGTGCTGAAACTCGCGATATTCCGGCCAAGGAAAAAGCCGCTGCTACGCCTTCCGCCGCTGCTGTTGATTATGTTTCCATGGACGATGCTGCCATTGCCGCATTATCAGCTGAGGTGAGTCTTTTGAATTTTTTTTGCAATCGACGGAAAACGTCGTGACTAATCCATGTTGGTTCGGTCGCAGCAACGTTCGGAAGCTGCTCAATCGTTAAAGTCCAAAGGCAACAGTCAGTTCAGCAACAAAAAGTACCAAGAAGCTGTCGACTTGTACACTCAAGCCATTCGCTTCAAAGCCGATCCTATCTTCTTCTCCAATCGTGCTGCCTGCTATGCCAATCTTGGTCAGAACGATCGAGTCATTGAGGACTGTAATCAGGCTTTGAAGTTGGATCCCGTCTATGTGAAGGCTTTGAATCGCCGTGCGCAAGCTTTGGAAAAGAAGGGTGACCTTGCCGAATCTTTGTATGGTAAGAGAATTCATGCAATAGGGATCATAGAACGGACTCAAGACTGAACAAATACATATTTCTCAGATTTCACCAGTGTCTGCATTTTGGACAGCTTCAAAAATGATGCCGCTGCCAAATCCATGGAACGCTTGTTGAAGCAAGTGTCCGAAGAAAAGGCCAAGGAAATGATGAAGGTGAGTGTTTGTGGAGACAGTCCACTGCGATGAACAATGGACTTACAAATGGATGCGTATTTAGACAAAGAAGCCTCGCTTGCCGTCTCATACTTTTGTCAGCGCTTACCTCGATTCTTTCCGTCCAGGTATGTCTTGCAGGCCCCAAAAATAATGATATAATGAATTGGCAGTCGTAATAATGAACCTTTCATATTGTCTTAGTTGTCCACGAATTGCCTACGGAAACTGCTGAAGAATCAGGTGACGCTTGGTACGCCAAGGCGATTTGTGCTATCGGCGGAAAGAATTACGAGGCCGCTTTCGATGCTTCTGAAAAGGCCGTGGCTTTGGGTTGTTCTCCCGCTTATCAGGCTCACGCATTGAACCTCAAGGGTACATTCATCTTTTTGAAGGGCAACACAAAGAATGCTCTCGAATGCTTCAACGAGGCTATCAAGGTCGATCCCAAGTATGTTCAAAGTTATATTAAACGATCCAGCATCTTCATGGAACAAGGCGATGTTGCTTCGACTATGCAGCAATTCGAAGAAGCTATTGCCATCAATCCCAGCGATCCTGATATTTACTATCACCGCGGTCAAGTGAACTACATCAGTGGCAACTACGATGCCGCTGCCAAGGATTACAGCGAAAGCATCAAGTTGGATGACAGTTTCGTTTATGCTCATATTCAATTGGGCGTCGTTCAATACAAGCTCGGTTCCATTTCTCAGTCCATGTCCACTTTCAACAACACCTTGAAGAAGTTTGCCAACTCGGCCGATGTCCACAACTACTACGGTGAACTGTTGGCCGATCAGCAAAAACTTGTGGAAGCTATCGACATGTTTACGCAAGCCATCAACTTGGACGGCAGGAATCCGTTGCCCTACATCAATAAGGCCATGTTGATGTACCAAGTCATGGGTGATATCAATGAGGCAACCAACTTGTGCAAGCAAGCATTGGAGGGTAAGCATAACTTTTTGAACCTATACAATGTCAGGGGAATTGAAGCCACTCACACTCTTTATGATCTTTACTGTTATAATTCAATAGCCGATCCTGCATGCGACGCTGCTGTGGCTTCATTGGCTCAAATTTTGCTTGAACAAGGCAAGCCTGAAGAAGCTCTCAAGTACTATGAAATGGCCATTGATTTGGCTCGAACGGAGGCCGAATTAGAACATGCTATTTCTTATGTCGAGGCCACCAAGACGCAAATTCGATTCCAGCAGGATTATCCCGATGCTGCTGCCAGACTCAAGGCGTTGCGCGGTCAATAATGGTTCTTTTGATTGTCCCCTTTTCTTCCATCATTTGTTTTTTCTATACACAAGTTTAATTTCTGTCACAAGAGGCAGAATAAAAAAAAAAAGATTTCTTCGTCATTACGTTCGCAGGTTCATTGACAGCCAACTTTGTGAGACTCTCATAGAGTTTTCAAGCTGCAAGTTTTGTCTGGAACAGTAGACAGTAAAAAATGGGATTGAATGCGACATGGGCGGCAATGCTCTCCATTCTTCGGCTTCATGTGCGATGAATTAGATATTCCCATAAATTCCAGATCACAATGCAGATACCACGTTTTCCCACCTGTCATCGTAAGCTGTCAAATACCTCATTACAAGAACCAAAAAAAAAAGCCACAAACAAGAAAGCGAAAAATCAGACATATAAAGAGTTGCGCGATAGGCGCACAAAAGTATGTATTGTTCTCACAATGGTGGTAGAATTTATTCAACTTAAACCTTGAAACCACGGCTGGCACGCTTACCACGGGCACGTTCAAACTTGCGACCCTTGGAGCGGACATAGGGCTTCTTGTTCTTGTGGGGACCCATACCGAAATGCTTGACGGCTTCACGGCTGTTCTTGGCACCACGGACCAAGATGGTGTTGGAACCGGTGGGGGCACGGAGAGCCAACTGATCCAAAGTCAAAACTTCACCACCAGCCTTCAAGATACGGGCCTTGGCGGTCTTGGTGAAACGAAGAGCAGCGACGGAAAGCTTGGGAACTTCGAGAAGACGAGAATCGTCAGTGACGGTGCCAACGACAACGATGGTCTTGCCATCCTTGGCGTTTTGAGCCAAACGAGAGATGGTGACAGGGGGACGGTTGATGCGAGACATAAAGAGACGCTTCAAGACGACCTTGTTGAACTGGGCATCAGTACGACGGGCAAGGAAACGGTACAACTACAAAACGAGTAATATACAATTGTCAAAATCATACATTCTTTTCGTTGATTTTCGCTCCGATATTTTTTTCTCATTTTTTTACCTTGACCAACAAGGCCAAGTAGACGTTGTCAGACTTGGGGGCCGTTCTATTGGTGTTCTTGACGTGATGGTTCTTAAGGTCAATACCCTAACAAAAGAAAATACGGTTTAATATATTATTTCAATAACCAATGATTAATTGGAATCGTGAATCAGGTGACGGAATGAAAACCACCAGCCTCCCATGCTCATCCTCCCCAAATGGTGGGCGAATTGCGGGGCATGAGCAAGAAAGGTTCGGTAGCTGCGTCCATCCGGTTCATATCCATCCGTTCATCCTTCATCCAATCAACAGATATCCATTTCTTCATCATCTATAGTAGCATGAGAACATGATGCTTACCATGATTGCTAGTCGACCAAAGTCGTTGACAGTGAGACAAGGAAAGGAGGATGGACGTTCAGTGAGTCTTTCCACAAGTATGATTTCCACATCCCGCTTTTCCCGGCCGGGCGGAGAACCACCTCTGTCGAAAAAAGTCCGGAAATGGTTGTGACTGCCAATCCGGGAACGACAACCAATTTGGTTTTTGGGCGTGCTGATGCCCTTTCTGCTCAGATTGAGCTCAATGCCGTGGCCAAAGAGTTACTCTTTATACGGCCATATTATCTCAATTGTTCTTAGTACTACTTTTATGGGTAGCCCCGGGGTACAATAATTACAGAAAGGAAGTAGTCTATATTATAAAAGGTAAGCGTGCTTCATTTCTCTACATGGGAGTTTTTCCCATATTGGAAGCCAAGCCTTTCTGGGACGGGGGCCCTTTAAGAATAAAATATACCAGTGCATTGCAGCAAACTCTCTTTTTGGATGCACAAATATATGAATTTATTATTTGAAAAAAGGATCAGTGGGATGCTCATTCTGTTAATGTGATGAAGTATTTTTATCCTAAAAATAAATCAATATGAACAGCGTTTCATGATGATTAACTTGTGAAAAAAAAAAAGAAATTAATATGCAAATACAAAATGAGAAAACAAAAATATACAGAGAACGTATGGGTTGCAACCAGATATATCAGTGGACCAATTAATTATTTCGGTAGCTGCGTAATTGCGATCGGATACCCGACCATGAACCTCGTCGCAAGGTCGGACGACGATAAGGAATCACGGATTCTTGAGCATAGATAAGTGGATCTTGCTTGTTCCAAAAGTGAGTGATGAGGTCGGACACGCACTGGGAACGTGCGGGCATGTGACCCGAGTTGGTGCTGATACCATTCTTCAAGCCAAAGTCGCTGATCGGTCGGTTGGGCAAGACCGCCAGCGGTCCAGCGGCAGAGAGACCTGAAGCCATCATGGAAAAGCTTATGTCTTCACAATTCAAAATATTATCAACGTGATGATGGAGAGCCGAGTCGAGAACACTGTGAAAAAAAGGAGGTTATTGACATTGCCACCCGCATAAGAATGTTTTTGCTATCGTCTTACCAAGTGTAGGCAAAGAGGTAATCGGAGTGGATAAACATGCTTTTGGTTAGCACCATGCTGTATTTGTTTTCACGGAATGGGACCTTGTAGACGGCTTTGTACGTTTCCGGATCATACGAATGATATCGAGGGAAATGACCCACCACGCTGTCTTTTCGAGATTGCCACACTTTAAAGGTAAACGCAAGATCTTTCAAGTCGACAAAGATATCATCGTCCAAGATGTAGACAGCTTCTGTTTGCAATTCGGCGACAGGATTGAAGCGGTTGTTCAGTGAATCAAATTCTTGAGGAAGAATTTTGACACGAGATGCGTCCTTGACTCCTTCCAAGAGAGACGCGGGGACCTCCAATGCCGGGTTATGCCAGGTAATAAAAACAGTGTGCACATAATTGGACCGTAACAAGTGCTGAATCAATAGCGAAAGATGTTCAATGCGTTCAGGGTTATATGTGCTGAGTAAGACGGAAAATTTGTCCTTGACAGGGTACCCTTCGGTGTGATGTTGGTGTGGTGCATTTTGATATCTATCACACACGGTTTGTTGTCTTGCCTGATTCGCCCATTCGCTTTCTATCAACAAATAAAAAAAAAACATAAATATCCAGAATATCACACCACCAGCCATTGCATTCGAATTTTTACCGAATAGAGATTGATGCAATTCGTTTGCTTTGCGTCGCCATTGATAAAAGGAGACAGGGTCGTAATAATCACGCCAATTCACTCCGCTGTACTGATGGAAGTTCCACGGTTGCATGGAACCACCGAACAATGTAATAGACTAGAAAAACGGTAAAAATTTAGCCTGAAAAGGTTTTCCCAGTAATAAGCCAAGTTTTTGGGATGAAAAAAGTTTGTAGTGTTTATACCTCATTCACGTGTTCAGGCAAGATGTGTGCATTAGGATCCGCATAGTGATGATCTAGGAAGTCACCCATAGACAAGCCGGACGATCGGTACTGTTGAAGTAATGTGTTATAGACCTCTGACTGAGGTTCCAGAATCAACAGTGAAGGGCCTTGATGATTGGGTAAACTCGGGACAATGACGGAACCGCGTTTGTAATCAAAGAAGCGATCGGCGTTCTATGAAAAAAAAAAATAAGAATAACAGAAAAAAAAAATGTATAAAGTCAGATTGTCAAGCGTCATTATTTGCTGCGTTTTTTGTCATTTGTACCTCCGAGAACAGGACATGAGACGTAAAGTACACAATTTTGTCATAATTCAAGCTCCATAAGTGGATCATGGAATCACAAGGATCTTCAAGGCTGGGCGTCGTCTATTGCACAAACACGAAAAAGCATTTTTTTTTCGTCGGTTAGAGTCGTAAATTAAACACGGAAAACTAAAATTGAGGCGATATGGTTTCATATCCATTCGTACCCATAGAATTTGAGTTCCCAAGGAGCGGAGCTGGGAAATTGTTTCGTTTGAAAATGGAATGGCCTCGGGCAAAAGGACGATCACTTCGCCGGTCGGATTTGTCGATCCTTTCAGAGAATAGATGGAAACCAAAGTCGGTTCTACCTAATGACCAAATAACGTTTTAAATAACCGTTTTTCCTATTCGTTCCGCCATCCTCGGATTCCATTACACACCCTGCACCATGCAAGTATTTTCCCCTCCTCATTTCTTATGCCCCTGCGCAGTGACAACAACAAAAAAAGATTGTGGATCCTACCATCTCGGGTTTACAAATCATCGTTGCATACGCACGGCGACCCGCCTTTTCTTTGGATTGAACGACAGTTTGTTGGTATTGGGAAGGTGTACGACGAAAGAATATCGAGCGATCGAAAGGATAAGAGGTTAGCAGGGCGATAAGGCAAAGTAATAGCGCAAATGCCAAGATATATAATTTTCGCTGCATACTACGCAGTAGATAATGATATAAGGAAGAAGAGCAGGGACAATGAGAAAGAAGATGAAAAAGAGGTTAATATGGTGAGTTCTGGCCCTCTATTTTTTTTTATTCAATTTTTTTTAGGATCATCACAATATAGACAAAATGCTGTCATAGTTCCGAGATAAACCCAAAAGACCGCAAAAAGAGGATTTGATAAAACCCAGCCGCCAAGAACAAATCATACACAAGAAAAACTCTAAACTGACGTCAGAGCCAGAATTCTGCAAGAAAGCGCTTTGGAAAACGTGTATCCAAAAATGGTCAATGAACGGAAGGTCCTCTTTTTCTGACCGTTGTTTCAGGGGTTTAATTCACATACAATCAGATCTTCCTAGTTTCATAGTTTCATTTATTTTTACTGACACCATTTGGTTTTCGGTGATGAACCGCGATTAATAATTTATAATCAGAAATGTTGACAACCGCCCGCGTATCGATACGCCGCTTCAACTTCGACAACGGTCCATCGTCGATTTCTTGGGTACGTCGCCGTTTTTAGACCCGCAAAGGGGAACCGTTTTCATTTGTTTCACATCGATGGTGCCTTGTTCTTTGCTGTTAAGCCAGTGGAACTGACCATTGTACTTACTGAGGATTCCACTGTTCAGTTGCAGAGAAATGACACGCTGTTGACCTTGAACCCATCAATTCAAGTATTAAACTTGATCACAGCATCAAGCAGATTTCTCTGGGATTAACTATGGAAAAATAACATGCCCAGGTTTGGTTGCTTTATCATTCTGATTATTTTACCGGCTTGGGGATTCGGTTGCTCAGAGAATTTGCACGCGATCCATACTATGAAAGATGGGCTAAGTCTGTCCTAAATTTTCGACTTGGCGTACGTATACGGTTTGTGAAAAGTGAATCCAACAAATGTAATGTTTTGATAAATTCAAAGGATGATAGACTGGAAGTATTTATACATCTTTGACTCACCGACAACAAACAAATGCACGAAGCCACGGGGGGTTGTAATTTTCTGTCCAACAGCGACTGACAGAAAATCAGGAGGCAACTACTATTGCAAAATTACCGCATCATCCTGATTTTAAGCATGCATATGCTCTCGATAACAAGTGATCTGCAGGTACTGATTGCAACAATACCAAAGAGTGACAGCGGTGACAGTCTCTCCAAATCGTAGACGAGCTGACTCTCTATTGATCTCGTGGTATATACCAGCGCAGTCATATGATGGACGATAGAGTTACTATATACTAACAAGCCGTACACCCGCTGTGCAATGGATGCCGCCTGCCACCGGAGGCCGCCCTCTTACATTGAGCAACTTTCGCCAGACAAAAAGCTAACGCATACGCGGTATAACCTGGGCGAGAACTCTTGACGGATTTTGGTATATTAATGACAACATTATGGCATACGTTGCAACGTGAGTTGTTTCTGAACACGCGCAGGGCAGCACTGGTTCCCCCCCTCAGTTCCATCCCGCCCAGGCTATGATAGATCTAGAAAGATGTGTGGGTATGTTGGGTATTTAAAAAAATGAGTTAGTAAGCTCTTTGATTGATTCAAATTTTCGTAAGATATTTTACCTTTGATATTTGAGTTTGCAATAGCCATTGATCGCTTGATAGGACTTGGATTATATGACATTGAAAAATTTGAATTGGCGTACGTTCATTATATCATAGCAAAGGAAAAGAAATTGTACTTGCCTTTGAACCAAATGGTGTACCGGAAGAAAAAAAGATGAATATGGACCACAGGTAAGCTTCTTCTTCGATGCGGACAATAGAATTACTTCCAGGAACAGCTAAGCGATGGATCGGTGGTGTCAGCTTGAGCAAGCAAAAAATATTGACCTGGCCAGAAGTGACGGTAATTTCGAGCTGGATTCCAGATATTGAGAATTTCCCGAATGAAAAGAAAGAAAAACAAAAAAAAACCAATAGTCGCGTCAGTAAAAAATCTCCTAAAAAACCTTGTGGGAAAAAAAGAGGAAAAGACTGCGAAAAGAATATGTACATGAGATATAAAATATAAACTACAAAATACAAACTATAAACCACAAAATACAAAATACAATAATTGGAAGACATCTCGAATACCATATCATGAGAAGCAATCCTAAGGAGAGGAACCTGAAGAGGACACGTAAGCGTTTTTCCGATGAAAAAGAGGAGCCACACCACCGACGATGACCATTGACGTCATCCGGTTTCGCCAGATGGATGGATGAATGGCGAGAGAAAGTCAAGTTGTAGTATCCAGAACTTGTCAGGCGAAAAGAAAACGGAGAACACCGGAAGCTAAAAGAAGGATGGAAAAAAAAAGAGTAAGTGTTTTGCCGGAGCAAAATCGACGGTAGACCACTCGATGCGTACCTTTTTGAGGATGGCAGTCGATTTAACCAAGTTAGATACACGGGATAAGAATGGTCTGGATGTTGGATGCGGATGGGATCTTGATACAATGATAGTGAGGGTTTATCAAGCAAACAGAAAGAGAGAGGGAAATCAAAGAAAAAAGAAAAAATTGAAGACGAAAATATATGATTTCCCATGGATGAAACAATAGTCACCCTTCTGATGCATGAATTCATAGATCGAAGCACGTCTGCTTATGTATTATTCGATTCATTGAAAATTGAAAAAGAATGAAAGGTATAAATGACAGTATAACTGAAAGAAACCCCAAATTAAATGATGCTACAAAGACGCCAGTCGTATCATCATCCACCTTTCTTCAAAAAGAGCTCTACTCACATTTTTATTTGAAAGACGACGATGCTCTGTTTGACCACAACTGGCGCAAACGGCATCTTGCTGCTCATTGTTTCGCCTATTATCGTGAAAGTGGGCAGCGAGGCATGGTTGGAAGATAAGAAGAAAAGGTTTAACAGGTCCTGATAACTTAGTGTAGATCATGTGATTTACAAATCGCTAATTTCCCCAATTGTCATTGTGTCAGCCCTTTATCTCCGTTCTAAAAATGAAAGCTCACCAATTTTAAAGAATTCAAGAAAAATTGACAAATACAAATCCAACAAACAAATCCATGATATCTGACGGAAAGGAGCATGATGGAATAATATACGAATTGCCGATCACTTGGAGAAAATTGAACGTTGCTTTTTGTTCAGTAATTTAAGTACATGTGTGATCGTCTGCTTCGTTCTTGTCCACGACAACTGTCTCAACACGAAATAAAACACCTAAGCATTTTACAGTAGTTGCGATAAAAGTTCGAAAAAAATTTCCTTTATTGCATACAGAACTGGCGTTCTTCAGATCATAACAGAAAATCCCTAATAGTAAACGAGAAAGATGCAAAAAAGATGAGAGAAAAAGCGAGAAAAGTGAGGAAAAAGCGAGGAAGACGAGAAACGGTAAGAAAAAAAAACAGCATTCATTTTTAGCAAGCTTAACTATCATGGACTCGGCATTGCATTGGCTGTTTCTATTGATTTGATTTATTTATAATGATTTATGATGTGGTTATAGGACTCTATTATGGTTGCGTTATAAAAGGGACAGAGAGGTATGTGGGAATTCATTGGAATATGTATCCTGATGATATACTGTATGTGATAGATGTCGATGTTGTAACATTATGATAAAGGTGTAGTTGGGGATGTTGTTAGGGTTTGCAAGCAGACGTGAGTCGCGAGTGTTTTGGCGAGTATCATGGAGGCATCGTCATCATCACTAATACGGTACTTCTGATATGGGTGGAATTTCGTATAGCTGAGATCTAACCGGAAATACGGAATACTGAAGTTGGGGGACTCTTCCGATCATGGAACGTAGAGCTTTCAGCCATTCTTCGCTTTCTTCAACCTTATCGCTCACACAGTCAACATAAAAATCTGGGAAGCTGATTCTAAAGAAACCTCGTTGATTGTCTTCGCATATCGGTTCAGGTTGGAACACACGATCGGGAAGATCGACCAAAGTAACCAAAATCTGGTCCGTGGCCGCACTCAATCGCACCACATCCGCAATATCATATCGATCCACAGGTTGCCATGACGGCGTCTGTGGGCTGTATCCCACCAACTGACTACCAGTTAATCGGTAGTAACGACGCACCCACACCTGCAGCATCTGTTGTTAGTATTCCGGTGGTTGCCAAGCAGTCTCAGTTCGCGCATGGATTCGTACCTGAGTTCCTTGCATTCGTATCGAAAGGTAACCGCTGTGCCAACAGGTCTCGTGCCATTGGCGTATTTTTAGCATTAGGTCGCATTCATGCAGATTCTTGGGTATCGTCTATGGGTTAAACGGAAGAAAAAAAGAAAAAGTTAAATCTTATGTTGCATACGATACGCATCGTGTGTTTTTGTGCATGGCTTACCTGGGCCGGATCCGACATGGGTAGATACAGCATGCTTACAGCAAGGTTCCCCACCACCTTTAGGACATCGTCATCACCGAGCTGTTGTTGCCGCTGTCGCTCTCGCGCTGAACGAGCGTACCAGGAATTGAAACAATCCAAATTGGAATCGTACCTTTTCTCAGAACAAGCCTGTATCATGTGTGCTAAAGCAAACCGAGTCTGACCAATCGCTCCATCATCGGGATGGACATATCCGGAAATAGATTCCTTTTGTTTTCGTATCGAAGTGAGCCATTTACTGAGACCCGTTCGTGGTTTGACATGGTAGTCAGGGCGCACATGGAGTGCCACCGTGACAATCATATCCGGATTGGCGTCGACAATGCATTCATAGTCCAGCATGACGTGTTGTCCGAGCACCTCGTATCGCGACATGTACTCGTATTTGCCGTCGCTAATGACGCAGCGAACGTACGTAGTTTCCTTGGGTAACGGCAAAAGCAAGTTGTACGCTCCACAAACATGTACATAAAGTTTACCGTAACTAGGCACCGCCGGGGTGGGCGGCTCAACCGGTGCAACGGATTGGATAGTCTCCTGAGTGGGTGTTCTACTTTGTTCATGATACGGGTCATCAGGCAACAGTTCGATTTTCTTGCTGTCAAACGCAGCGGCTACTTCTTTTGCTGGATCCGGCGGATCGAAATTCAGAACACGGCTCACGTAGCGGGATGTCGATCGTACAGATACGCTACCGAAATCTCTTTCCTGGGTCGCCTCTGTACTTTCTTTGGTGGTCGGTTCGATATCTGTGGAGGAAGGTGATACAGGAATCCACGTATCCACGCTGCCATTCACCGATGGAGGTCGGGTACTAAAAGATGATGGGGCCTTGGAATTGATGGAATCTTCACCTGAAGAGCGTGGGTCAACTGGGCTGCTCTGAGTGGTAGCCGGAGCATCTTGCACCGTTCCGTTATCCGAGGAAACAGACCCTTTTCGTGATCGCCCATATTCTACCAGGACATGACCGGCATCATTGCGACCAGCTTTTTTTTCGGTTGGGTCCGCCGAAATTCGATCACTGATAAATTCCTGTGCGACATCATCTGTTTCAACATTTTCGACAGGCTCGCTTAAAGGTGTTTGTGTCGTCGATAGTGTTACGAAAGTATCGACATCTTCTGCATAAGCATTTGCTTCTGTTCGCAAGTCCTCGTGCGATTTGCGCCTTGTCATAGTTGGGGGTGCCTCCAGATCCTCGTTGCTGTCGCTCCTTTGTTGGTCCACAGAAATCTCTTCCGGAGCATCAACTTCACTGATCGTCTCGTTTTTGGATAGACTCAAGTAAGCACGCAATCTTCCATCTTCTTGGTCACTTTCTTGATGTACATGATCATTGTCATTTTGCGATAGGATGTAAGGTGGATTCAAAGATCGTCGCATTTCCGTTTCGTGTTCTAACCAATCCTCCTGACTATCGAACCATTGTTCGCTGTCTGTTTCGCTGTATTGAGCGACACTGTAACGTTTGCTGCTTTGAATGGATTCGCGCTTCAACACCGAACTCCATAAATTCATGCCAACCGACCAATGCGATCGTTGGCTGCCGCTAAACCGTTTTGATTCGTCCGTGGTCTGAGACATTCTTTGCTTCATTGACATTCGCTTGGCCTCGGTTAAAGGATTCATGAGCGATAATCTGGTTGATTTTCTCACAGAGCTCCTAGCTGCTGTCGATTCGTCCAAGGATGTCGCGGCCGAGTCGTCGTCGTGAAGCAAGTTGGTCAAAGGTTCGATCGGGTGTTCCTCGTCTCCCTGGGTGAGGGGCGTAATTGCAGAGTTTTCTAGTACATCAACGGACAGTGTTGCTTCTTCTTGGTCCCCGCTTCCCTCCACAATCCAGTCTTTTGGTAATTTTATGCTCGGCTCCGTAATCGATGTTGCAGAGGAATGGATTGTCGAGTCGCACGACGTACGAGACAAAGAGGAAACAGATGTGATATGCATGTTGTCTTCAAAATTTGTTGCGTGAATCGGCGATGGTGCAATGGAATGACGCTTTCTCTCTTCATCGACATGCAAGTATTTGGCATCACCATTTGATGCTCCATATGTTGGTTGCTCGTTCGTTTCCAGTTCGGCCGTCATCGTAGGTCCATCCGCAACTTCGCATTCAGAGACGAGGGCAGCGTTTGGTGCGGGTGAGTAAGAAGATCTGTCCACCCGAGAAATGTTTTCAGTTGACGCAACAATGGATGAATAGGTATGCTCGTTTTCTAAAGTATCGTCGTTGGTTGAAAGTTCTTCATCGTCGGATACAGCATTTTCATCGGTGGTCTCGTTGGCTGCTGTTACAGGCGCACTTTCAGCGTCACTGATCAACGGCTTGCTTTCGCGCGACAATCTGTTTACAATGCAGTTGGCATCTTTGTCATATTTATCGCTTTCCAGGGCATCCAGGATCGTCTCTTCATATGTTGAATCGATAACATCTTGTGATGCGAGGGCAGGAAGAGGCTCTTTTGTCGTCACTTTGTCGAACTGATGAATTGCGTTTGTCGAATCGCTTATGACTGGCGGCTCTTCTGTATTAGTTGCACTGATATTGTCTTGAATAAAAGTGGAATGAATGCTTCTGGTCATGCCGATTGACTGCCGGTCGGAAGTTAAAGGAGATCCAACTTTGGCTACATATTCCATAGGCTCACTTGGTTCGCTGCTGGCAGGCTCCTCAGCCGTTTCCTTTTCGCTCTTGTACAGGCCGTCCGCATTGAATGTATTCTCACCAGTAATGGTTGTAAAATCAGCTGATACGGCATCTTTACCGGTTTCTGAGAGGCTCTCCGTGTCCTCTGCCAAAACTGTAATCACTGTAGCGGTATCGCTTTCGGTATCCGACTGAGAATCGGTTTCTTTGTTGACACTGCCGAATTCATTCCTGTCTTCAGCGTCTGATGTGTCCTTTTCGACTTTTTCGTCGATCGACCCGGCAGAAAGAGTACTTTTTGTTGCAAAATTATCGTGGTGGTCGTCGTCCCCCAAAGAATGTGATGGCGATTGGTTGGTAGTGATGTTTTCTGTGTCATCCGTGTCCGATGCTTCCGGATCTGTTTTACTTCCACTCTTTGGGTTATTATTTTTGGAGTCGGTGGCAAATTCGGACATGGATCGTGAGGGCTTTTGTTCGGCCATATCGCGGGCTTTGCGGAAAACGCTGGCGGATACGTAAGATTTATCTTTGAGGGAGGAGATGACCTTGGAATCACGACGTAGCTGAAACTCCAAATTGTCGTTTATCAAATGTTTTCGCAAAGGGTGTGGAGTGTGTGGAGATTTTGCGTTTTGCTGCTGCTGTTGTTGTTCAAGCTGCTTCATGAAGGGGTTGTTCTTGACCGCCGATCGCTTAGCAATCTGATCCACTTCTTTCTGGCGTTTGGATCGCGCTTTTTCCAACTCGGCTTCTTCTTCTTCGTTGAGTACTTTTTTTCTTCGTTCTTCAATGTGGCCAGGACGGAAATAGCGATGCGTTGAGTTTTGACGTTGAGCGAGTTTGCCGGTTCCACCTGAGGATTCTGCCAAGTCACGTAATTGCCTAAACCGATCGGAAGGAGTGGATTTGGATGGCTTGGGCGACTGGGCAGATGGTGCCAGCAGGTGCGCCACTTGGTTTGTTTGAGCCACATCTTTGGCCGTATACCCTAGATCATTCGGGATATCGGGAAGCGCGCCTTTTTCGAGAAGAGATCGAACCATGTTTTTTTGACCCAAAAAACTGGCCAAATGCAGGGTAGTATTGTTGGCCCCCCAGCAGTAAGTATTGAGATCGCTGGATGAAGTATGCTACAGATCCCAACATTAAATAAGAAATTTTTCGTTTCCACCGTGTTCCTGTATAATTTTCTTTTTGCTTTACCTCTAGAAGAATCTCTAGTAACTTTGAGCGTTGGATCTGCGCATCAGTGAGCGTATCATTGTCCGATTCCAAGTGTTCCAGTAAAAGATATTGTATTGCGTACAGTGGCTCAAATGAAGTGCCCAAGAGTTGTAGACGATCGAGCTGTGGTAAAAGGTGGGCGTAATCGGACTCGACGGGTATGGCTACGGGTTCCCACAAGAGTTCACCATGGGCTTGCAAAAGTGTCTGGACGGCTTGTAGATCATTGATTTCGACAGCTTTTGTCCATTCCAGTAGCAATTCGTTGGTATATGACATTGCTGGAAAGGAAGCAAGATAAATTACTTTATTTGGGGAGATTGACCGACTTTATGGGATAGGTGGTTGAACTCAGTTCGCTATGAAATCTGTGTTCCATTCAAGCACGTTATTGATGTTACACGTTGTAACGTGCTTTATTGCTGTAACTACTTTGCTGAGCTTCAATGTTCATGTATTGTGCTAGTGCTTTTTTTTTTTTCCTTTCTTTCATAGGTTACTGCATGATAATGATGAACGGGGAACAAAAGACATATTATTCCTTGCATTGAATTTTGCACCATGTTTGTCGATCATCAAAAAAGGAGCCATGAATGCCAAACGTCCACCGATCATTCTTTTGCAGTTTTCTACAAGACATTTGGAGCATACATCAAAATAAACAAAGATTACACAACATGGCACAGCTAATTAATTTCGTAGGTAGTATATCTTTTGTGCTATTGTTCTATTTTACCGAGCTTAAATCAGTACTTGTTATTTTGTTCTGATACTACCATTATGTACATCTTGCTTATTTCTGCATCCATGCATGTAAACGAAAGCACCATTTGCATGAATTATCTTTAATTCAACGTGTGCTTTTGGAAGCAAAATGGAAATCAGATCAAATTCACGAATGTGGTTTTTTTTTCTTTTCACATCTGCGACCATGCAAAACCGAAAAACGCAGCAATGTTCATTGATCAGGATCCATACGTAATCTTTCAAGTATAGATTTTGGTCGGGGTAACAGCGAAGTTTCTTGAAACGACACCTCATACTTTAGCGAATGCTTCTAGTTCACTGATGAAATGCTTGTTATTCGGAGTTGATAATGCTCCGGACGCAAATGCTAATGAATTAGGGTTCGTCTTGATGGTCGCTGACACAGAATAACTTCTATACCGGCTGTCATAGCGGCATCGCAATGAAATTCGGCTCTTTTCGTAAAATCCGGTTGGCGAAGTAACGGGAGCTGTGCCAACGGTTGCTATCAGTAATTGATGGGCGTTTTCTTGCTCTTCAGTCGATAAGAACGTAGTGTCTTTGTTCTTTAACCTGCGAAGCGGTTTGGCTAGGACTTGAATATTGCAGATAAGCTTTTGAGATACACAGGCGGCAGCGGCGGCACCCAGGAAATTTTCGACGTCCTTTAAGTTGGAGGGGGAGATTTTAAATACTACGTTAATTGAATATTTACTGTGATAAGATCTACATGTAAACAGTAATGGTGGATTAAATAGTCTACCTAAGGTGGTAATGTAGGGGTCCTGGTCCCAGTTCAGGCTGCGGAGCAACCGATATAAAGCGCGCGCATCCATACCACTGGCCAGGTGGACACTACAATTGGAGGGCAATCAGCAACATGAATACAAGGGCTAATCAGACTTTGCTTTATTTTTCCACTTACCATCATTGATCAGCATATGAAAACTTATCGGAAAAAAGATAAAGTGGTTTTGGGTTTGACCCAAAGACGGCCCCAGGAGCAGATCACCACCGTTATCTCACCGCAAGATATACTGTCCCACCAAGTCTTTCTCCAAGCATTAAAGAGAATGGTGGTATCAATGCAGACTTTTGCCATCATTAGTCCCGCCAGATGCGGTAACGTAGGAGCCCTGGACCCTAGTCGGGTGCGGAAAATCCGACATAATGGCATGCATCGACGCCACCGGTCAGACGGAAGCGATATCACCGGTTGGTCAAGAAGGCAACACGGGTTTTCCTGTCGACGAGAAGAAAGAAGTAATACCGGAGAATAAATAGAGGATGAATTTGATTCGCAGATATGGAAAATAAAAGCGCGGCTCTGGTTTCCACATAAGCGAATTGAGTTAACGGGCTTTGCAACAGCAGTTTAGTGTTTTATATGTGGGTAGAAACTGAGAACGGTGAGACTTAATTTATTCTCGAAAGGATGATCTCTATACTATCTGTGTCCAAGGATAATGATAGGGATCGGGATTAAACATACATCACACAATGGATCTTCCCAGCATGGCGAGTTTAAGTAATGGAATCATACATTGGACGAAGTCATTCGCGCTGGATGGACTCGTCAGTTCATTCATTCGCCGCAATGGCACTACGTTGCCAGGGGGAGCATCGAGTATCATCAAAGTAATCTGGTTGCCTATTACATGAAGTAATGTGTGAGTTACAAAATCGTGAATTATGAAGAAAGCCAGACCACTGATTTGTAACCCACGATTCGAATGTCAGTGACGCGGATGTTCGTGGTTTTGGCAATCCTGAGAAGCATGTCTTTCATTACGATGGGCAACTTCATTTGACCGTCCTTCATGGCCTTCGAGATATCGCTTGTCCCACCGATCTCCAGGCAGCCGAGCTCCTTGTCTCCAGCCAAGTAAATGGTATCCATTCTGTGGCCCGGCTTTGCGTTGGGAGCTTGTTTCATGGCAGATAATAGTCGCTTTGGGTTCAGTGCATCAGCGTTAGCCATGCTGCCCTTTTCCTTGCTATAAATGCCGTAAGCGAATGATTTGCAGACTTTTCCTTCCAGAATCTAACATTCACCTACCTTATTGCTTGAACGGGAGAATCCCAAAAGACGCTGTTGATAGAGACCCCAGAGTAGGTAGAGTTTGTCCGTCTCCGTGGCGTCCAGCACATTCTTGTTCTTGCCGTGAATAAACAACCATGTATTTTTTTTTTGGTAGGCGCGCAATATGAGTCGAGTTTTTATTCGTAACCACGTCCTAAGGAGGGGTAGAGGGAATAAGGCGAAGAAAAATTTACTTTAAGAGGGAAGGTAGCTGTAATTCAGCGATTCGTCGCGAGATCAACTTGTGGATGCGGTTGATTACCTCTTCAGGATTGAACACAGTGGCTATTTGACATTATCCAATCAGAGCAAAGGAACAGTTACGGGACATTATGTTAGCTTTTTAAAAGCCACAATGGGTGAAATGGACCGTTATCCGCACATGAGAGGTCATTACCTCGTAACGGATAATACGCCTATCCATACATCAGAGGACATAAGCAAATACGTAGAATCTCGCGGCTACCGCTGCGCTTACTTGCCTTCATATTCTCCTGAACTTAATCTAAATGAGCAATGCTGGTCAGTGGTCAAAAGTAAAGTGAAACGCAACAAGTTTCTCGAGAAAGAAACATTGATGACCCGGATCAGTGAAGCATCTAACAGCTTGAAGCTGAGTCATTTTAAAGGGTTTACTGAACGTTCTCACAGCTTTGACGAGTGTCGTATAAAGCAAGCGCCGTGAAGAAGCTAGCAATTCACAGAAACAATGTGTAAGTTAAAAAAAAAGCACTTTTTTTTTTAATGATGCTTGATGCCAACAGAAAGGTGCGTTTATAGGAAAAATGAAAGCTAACATGATAAATAACGAAGACAGATGGGTAACTATGGACAGGGAGCAGCATACATTCATAAGAGCCGACATAACAAAAGCATTCAAATTCAACTTCAGAGGAAACAGGATTTAAAATGGGTAAAAAATTGTGGACTGATGACTAGAATTAGGCTGACTGCTTCTGTCTCTTGGATGATGACAACAGTAATGATGACGACGCAGTCGATGGTACTGTCGGTATGGAACATGGAGGCAGCACAGACTTATCGGTTGGGTTTTGGAAGGTAGGGAGGAAGCGGGACGCATGGTCAATGGCATGCAGAGTTACCTTGTAATCTAGTGTCTCTTGTCTGCTTGAACCGAGATTATGTAGTGGCATATAAGCCCTACCTATCCACATTACCGACAAACTGTACTGCAAATATAGCTTTTGTACTTTTACCAGTGCGCCCTTACAGAAGACGGTCAACCGTATCATGTCTTCATGCCGCTTGGTCGAATCACTATTTCCAGGCTTGAATTCAACGAAACCGACGGTTACCCATCGGCGGAGCTCTCGCCTCTTCTTTGTTGCTACCCGTGTCTTCATCAACTTTATCAGATCCTGGATTCATCTGTTAAACACTATTAGTAGAATCAATTTTTCCAGTCTGCGCAATTTAAGGGCTGACCTGACTAGACATATACAAGCCTTGTACCCGTTGAACAGGACAAACAAAAAAAAGCGGGGTGTCGTAGGCAGAGGCGAGGCAAGGCGGTATGAAAATGAGCTAGCCAGATTTGGAAATCTGTTGGCGTAACACAAGGGTTAATCATTAGCCCGTACAAAAAACTATAAAAAGGGCGCGAAATTCGTGACACCCCAAGAACCGTTAGGGGAACTATTGTCAAATTTTCAAGCCAAATTAGGGACCGCCGATTGTGGATGAATGGCCTAAGTAGAAATGCTTCAAACTTCTACAGTATAATGAGGATCATTGTAAGATGTAGTAAATGCCAAAAAATTAGCAAAAATAAAAAAAAGTTGCGTTCACAGAACCGGTTTTTTTTTTTTTGGTTGCGGGGCTATAAATACCCCAAAGTCCCCAAAGTCCCTTCGAATTTTCAAATTTTTCTTTCTTGTGCCTCTTCTTTAACATTAATGTAGGCCAGAAACGAATTTTCAGCCTCGATGGTTGCCTGAACGCTGCACAATGAATGGGCTTATTTTCTGGTTCGGAAGGTATAAATATGCGGGGGATGAAAATCGCTCCCACAGATGAAAAGTCGTTTCTTGCTCTTGTTCTTTACAGAATGCAAGCTCAGACCCCCATCTTGTATATTGAAGTATCCAAAGTAGCATGGGATGCGTGGATATTAACGATCGGGGTCATCGTCTGTTTATTTCAGTCGATAATTTGGTCAAAAAGGTGGGTGAAAGTGTAGATAAGGAATACCTCATTATTGCGTAGATTTAGAGACAGAGGTAAAATAAATACATAACACGTAAGATAAAGGGAAACAAGGCCGGCAGGAGAATTCATGGCAATAAATATGTGCAAAATGTTCAATGGTAATGACCTGTGCCAAGGATGATTCCTAATGTCGGTTTTATTTAGAGCATTTCATTTCCATCAGTAAACTTTCATTTTTTTTTTTTCGGACGTTGTTTATGTGGGCACAACTCGGGAACTTGATAGTTTGGTGTATCGATTAAGTACCGATTCATTGCCATTCATTTGACCGTTGACGCACATTTGATTCCAACCCGCATAAAATGAACGCGGCGTGAACACGCCTTCATGAGGGGAATAAGAAAGCTACCGTGCTTTGCTGTTTCAAAGGAATCATTTGAGATGGCCTGTTCATTTCTTTGTTTCATTTGTTCATATAGTGTTGCAGAAAACTACAGTAAATTTTTCACACTTCAATGTAGATATGCAAAGAGGGAGAGTAAGGCCATTTATCTGGAAGATGGAGGAGAAGCATCTAATTTTTGCACTTCACCTTTGATCAGGAAAAATATATTTAACGGACATATTCTAGGAGAGTGCGAGACAGAATGGTAAGCAATTTAGGTTGAGAGTGTTGGCATTATGTGACCAATATGTGTTGTTTAATGGTTGTCGGTTTTTGTGATGACGCGGGGAAGGAAATTTTGAACATCTGGCATGTCGGTTGTGGGATTGCAAACTTTTGAGCTACTGGCATGTCACACTGGAATCACTAGACTCTCCATTGCAGTGGTCATTGTTTGGGCAGGCACTGCTATCAATGTTTGGTGCTTAATCAATACACCAAACTGTCAAGTTCCCGAGTTGTGCCCACATAAACAACGTCCGAAAAAAAAAAATGAAAGTTTACTGATGGAAATGAAATGCTCTAAATAAAACCGACATTAGGAATCATCCTTGGCACAGGTCATTACCATTGAACATTTTGCACATATTTATTGCCATGAATTCTCCTGCCGGCCTTGTTTCCCTTTATCTTACGTGTTATGTATTTATTTTACCTCTGTCTCTAAATCTACGCAATAATGAGGTATTCCTTATCTACACTTTCACCCACCTTTTTGACCAAATTATCGACTGAAATAAACAGACGATGACCCCGATCGTTAATATCCACGCATCCCATGCTACTTTGGATACTTCAATATACAAGATGGGGGTCTGAGCTTGCATTCTGTAAAGAACAAGAGCAAGAAACGACTTTTCATCTGTGGGAGCGATTTTCATCCCCCGCATATTTATACCTTCCGAACCAGAAAATAAGCCCATTCATTGTGCAGCGTTCAGGCAACCATCGAGGCTGAAAATTCGTTTCTGGCCTACATTAATGTTAAAGAAGAGGCACAAGAAAGAAAAATTTGAAAATTCGAAGGGACTTTGGGGACTTTGGGGTATTTATAGCCCCGCAACCAAAAAAAAAAAAACCGGTTCTGTGAACGCAACTTTTTTTTATTTTTGCTAATTTTTTGGCATTTACTACATCTTACAATGATCCTCATTATACTGTAGAAGTTTGAAGCATTTCTACTTAGGCCATTCATCCACAATCGGCGGTCCCTAATTTGGCTTGAAAATTTGACAATAGTTCCCCTAACGGTTCTTGGGGTGTCACGAATTTCGCGCCCTTTTTATAGTTTTTTGTACGGGCTAATGATTAACCCTTGTGTTACGCCAACAGATTTCCAAATCTGGCTAGCTCATTTTCATACCGCCTTGCCTCGCCTCTGCCTACGACTTTTGTCCACCCCGATTATTTCCAAACCCTCGACTTTTTCTTTTCCTCTGGATCAAGGACAACACGCTTCTAAACACTGCAGAATTTCCACACCTCAATTTTTTTCACTTAACAAGAAATTATTAGCCTCTCTGAAAAAAATCCGGAGTCATCATATTTCATTCTATATCCACTTTTATGCTTAAAAAACATGTCTAACATAGCCTGGTTTGCTTCGCATTGTGTTTACACATTTTCTAAAGTATTCTCCCAGTACTCTTCTCCTTCGTGAAGATTATCCATCACAATCTGAAATTGACAAAGTAACTCGCGCGGAGGTACCTTTTGGAGGTAGTGATTTCAAGTTGAGATTTTCTTTTTATAGTTCCGCTATAAATGATGGCTTTATTGAAGTTAATCAAATATGCTCATGTTAACGAAAAGCACTTGTGGTCTTACTTTTTAGGAAGTGTTGATAGAAATGAAAAACAAAAGGGATAAAGAAAATAACCATTAAGGAAAATAACAGACATACTGTCCCAGTAAATAAAAAAAATAAAAAAAAAAAAAAAAAAAAAAATGGGACAACTGCTTAACAATCATCAGACTCCAAACTAATCAGGAATGTGATTATATCCAAAAAATTTTAACCGCAGATCAGTAGTACAATGTCAATTTCAGGCGCAGATTCTTCCTCCTGGCTGTTTGGACCGCTTGAATGTTGGTATTATATGAGAGATGCAGGTCTTCTTCCTCAAAAGCTGCTGATAATAGGAAAAGTTGCCCTTATGTTGAACATACTTGAAGCAATTCACTGGTGTCCACGAAAAGAGAAAATGAGTCCATAATAAACATGATGTATTGCTGATTATTTTCGGATGTTGGGAGAGGTCCGAACTAAATCCAAACACATCTTTTTGGAAAGGGAAGGTGACGTCGTATTCGTTATACTGTATGTCGAGAGCTTGTCTCCTTTGAATATGCCCACATTGGCTGCACGTCCGTATGAAGTCCTCAACTTGTTCGTCGATGTTCTCCATCAGAGATTTTCGGTCTTGAGTAGTTCCTTGGCAACCGCCGTTGACACCGGCTTTGTTATCTGTTCATGCCGCTGATTTTTTTTCAGAATCTAGGATCGCATGACGATCTTGTTGGTCTTCGTGCCGGAATGACGAGCAAAGCCTGATCTGTGGTACATGTTGAGAATCTCGCTTGGTCAAATGTTTGGTCACCCAAATAAAGAGGCTGTTCTTTGTGTGAGTGCGAGGTGTTTTGAGTCGTTGATGACAGTAATATCTGGGCGCTATTAGACCACAAGTACATAGACACTTCAATGGTATTGTACGAAATAAAGTTTATGACTGTGATTAAGAGCATCACTGAGAGACAAATGGTACGAATTTTGATGTTTCTTCCTTACTATCAAACACATGTTAATGTGCTTATTGATCAAAAAAAAATTTGATATTTATTTGGTATGTTTATGTTGAGGCCATCGCAGGTATGTAAGTCTTTCAGTCATTGAATGTATGGAAAATGAAGATGCAATCGTTTCATAAGAGGTTGACACCCTGGGGCGGCGTCTTTGATCGAATCACAACAGATAAACAAAAAAGAAAAACAATAAATAGAAAGGGAAAAAAGAAGTTGGAAAACAGAAATAGATACAAGGAGCTTAACCCAAGCTCCACTGGGTGCTTAGCCAGTCATAAGTCACGAACGCGTTGGGCTTGGAGCAATCGGGTGCACGAGCCTTCAACGTCACCTACAGAAACAGGCATTGATGTTAATCATCTTTGATTCTTATCCCCTTGGATACAAGTGGGTAACTTACTCTTGGCAAGGCAATGGTGCTGTTATCCGAGTTGGAATGGAAAGCCGCCAATTTGCCGTAGCCCTGAGGACTAATGATGCGATAATCCGCTGCACTCAAGAGCCAGTTCTCAATGACAGCGCTGTTGACACCGGGCAGCATGCGCTCCTGCGTGACTTGGACAGGGTTTGTCACGTTGATGTATTTAGATACTTGGTCGGGTTCAATGTGATCGATGGGCAATCCAGTGACGACCATACTCGTATGCTGCGATCGACCTTGCAAAAACCGTTGTGCCAGGTTGCTGTTTTCATTCATCGATACAAATTCGTCACGCAGTTTGGTGGAATCGGTGATCAAAAAGTAAACCACGCGCTTGTGATGAGCTTGGCGTTTCGCATCGGCGAGCTGGTTAGCGCAGGTCAAAAAGTAGTCCCACTTTTGGAGATTGTTCTGATCGAGTTGAGGATTGGCAATAGCGTTATCGTCCGTACGGATTTGCATGCCAATAGTTAGCACGCTATCCAGTTTAAATAATGCCTTGAAAGCATTGTAAAAGCGGCGCGATCCGATGGTGGGCTGGAAAAGGAAGTCCGTAAGGCAACCAAAAGTGTTTTCCTTACTAAGACCGATTTTGGCCATCATATCAGGATAAATAGCCGATTCTTGGTAGGTACGAATGATATATGCACGGTTGGATCGCACTTCAAGATACTATATGAAGATAACCCCTGTTAACTTTTTTTTTCAACGGCCATACACTTATCGTTTCACTTGCCTTCTCTGTCCAAAGTTCCCTGAAATCTTGATGACTACCGTTGGGAAACATCGTTTCACCGAGCTGTTTCCATTTCTGGTTCAACGTATCGACCGCTTTGAAGCTGAAAAATTCACTATCTTCCTGATCGAATAATCGTCGCATCTCGATCGGGTCAAAGCTCCAGTCAATGTTGGGCTTTTCAAATAATAACTCCAAGGGGATCGGATTTCCGTTGGCCCAGTGGGCAAGGTAGGCGCGATCCGTGATAAGACCGTAGAAAAACGTAGATATCATTCCTAGAATCGTTCATCAGTTTTGTCTGCGTAACCAAGAAAAAAAAAAGAAACTTTGGATTGTCCTACCGCTCATTCGATCCGCCAGTCCACCACAGCCTCGGTTGCTATTTTTAGGCACTTCTTTACAGTAATAAGAGATAAACATTGGCTTATCTTCGTGCTGGAAACTTTCCAGGTCACCCGCTTTCAACCGTTCCAGCTGTTCCAATCGACGTTCGTGCAAAGCTCGATATTTCGCTTGCCACGTACCGCATTCGCCGTTTTTATTATACGGTATTTCGTCCGTAAATCCACTGACGGGATCCCAGCTTTGGCAGTATTTGTCATAATCGTCGGGAGCTACATATTCCAGAACCTTGAGAAGCGAATCGTCGGGGGAAGGAGGGCTGTATGTTCCATCGGGACTCATTGGCAACATAATCTTGGATGGCAGCTGGCACTTGTCTTTGCTTTTCACGCCGCCGTAACTGGCAGGTTCCACCGGAGCTTCTGCAACGGGGTGATCCTCAGCAACATTGGACGAACCACGCCACGACAGCTCTACATTTGGAATGCGTGATGTTAGCCTTAAAAGCGAAGCAAGATAAGCACGGAGTGCGTGATCATCATTACCAGGATAAACGAGGGATCCCAAGGCCATAAGAAAGACAGCGACCAAACTCACCATGGTGAGTGCTTTGGCGAGCTTATATTTAAATAGCAAGCTATTCACTTCGCCGTTGGGCCCCACACGTTGATAGGGCATTCCAGATACCATTCGCTGGAGTTGAAGAAAGAAAAAAGAGAACCTTGGGTGACGAAAAAGGGAACAGGGAAACCTCGGGAAAAGGGGTTACTGGCACGAAAATAAAGAAGATTTTCTCGGGCGGCATCTGAAAGCCATAAATTGACGTTTTTTTCTTTTATTGCATGAGCGTCAAAGAGCGGCTCGGACAAGATCGGCGAGGGAGCAGGAAAATTCAAAAGCTAGTCTAAAATTTATCTACTCTGGGAGAGCGAGATTTCACGTGCGATCATCAAAAGTATGGACCTACAAATGGATTCTTGATGGAAAGGAGTAGCGTCGAAAATAAAGCTCCAGTGAGCCGACCGGAGACCATGCAAAATACAGGCAATAATGAAATAGGAGGGAACATATATGAGGCACACAGCGGACTTGTCATTCAGTGTGGGATCGCCTGCTTTCAAGTGAGTTTGATGGTATTTTAAAATCTCGATGCTGCCATTCGCTTACCAGGGGTGCGCGTATCTGTTGGGAAAAAAAATGATTTGACAATGAGACCATTTTTTATACGTACTCTGAAAAATCAGCGTTGGTTTTATACCGAACTCGTCCAGCAGTAAAAATTACGAGGAACCCGGAATAGTAATGGAGCGATACACTTGATCTGGAGAGAGTATCCATCGTTTTACCTCTAGCACCCACACCATCCATTTGTTCACTGGAAAAAACGGATATGACAATTGATCAAGAAGTACATAAATTTGATCATGTTTTTGTGTGCACTATATGATGAATGCAAGTTGCTGACGCTTCAATGAGCAGTAAGTGACCAAACAGTGGTAATAATGATCCATGAGCAAAGATGGTTGTTCACAATAAAATGGAAAAAAAAGTTAAATACACTGACAATTCTGGGTGAATTATCTGACCTGTCCATTCATATTCTGCATGTGGAGTTTGAACCAACGAGGCCCTCATGTATATGATAATTAATCATATGGGGCGCCACCCAACACGACAGAGATCCTGAACATGGCACATAACTTAAGCAAGACCATCATACATGCGATGTGCAATCATATAGGACGTCACCCAATATGATTCTTATGGGGCGTCACTCAACAAGACAAAGATCATGAACATGGCACGTAACCCAAATAAGGCCACCTACATGGGGCGTCACCCAACATGATAGAGACCTTTACAAAAGCAAAAGGAGTTTTTTTATTTTTCGAGTGCACGTCGTCATCAAAATTTTCATGTGCCCAGCACCATCTCCCGTTTTCTCTTTTTATTGGATCGAGGTTGAGGAAGCCTAAGACTGCATTTGATTACACCTTCAGCAGAAATCGCGCCTAAAATGGTTGTTGTTGTTGCCCGTGTTTTGGGAACGGTGACCACTGCCGGTGTACCTTTTTTTGACCATGCCATACTACGTTTCAAATTAATATGGAACGCAGACTCTTCAAAAAAAGGCACACTTTCTCGTAAAGTCCATGTCTGTATGATACCTGAAGATGGGGTTTTCAGAATGATAACATAGTTATGGAAATTGCTTACGTTGATAGAGTCACCGCGGGTCTAGTGCGTTTTAATTACAATTTATAGTGGGATTTTGCCTTTTCAAGAAACGGCTCGAGGTATCCAGTTATAATTGCTTCGAATGTGGGGAATTTCAATGTTCTCTATGGAAACATCGGTAAAAGAGAGAGAGAGAAAGGGAGGGAGGGAGAGATAAAATAATGTAACTTGACTATGGTACAATCCGTGTGACTCGAGGGATCCTGCTGATTGTTTTTACTTATTCCTGTGGGCTAGCCGTCAGCAGTGGTTGATGATCAACATCGTCTTCATTCTTTGGTGACTGGAACACGCCGTTATCTCGACGTCGAAAAATCCCAATGGTGGTTATGGAAGCAATGTAAACAGCAACAAACAATAGACTTGTCAGAAAGCCAGTCTCTGTGTAACAAAGTGCGGAACCATACGTCAGGTTATTATCTGATTTGGTAGTTTGTTGTTACACGTATCACTTACTGTATCGCGGTGCATCTACAGTAATGAGCAAAACCATCCATCGATGATGAGTATTTATTTTTTGGCTCTTGTAGATAACTCTGTTATCAGCTCTTACCCGTTACTGGCCAAAGCACAATGGGTGCCCATGTAAACATGAGGGAAGAGGAAGTGTTCATAATAGCAAGTGCCATCGCTTGCACTTCCAACGACGTTGATGATAATATTTCGCTTGCCCACGTCATGGTGATCTTGGTTTTTTTGGGTTACCTTACGAAATCTCCATAAAACGCTGTTTGTGTACATACCGCAGCCGTGGAACTAAGTCCAGCGTGAGCCAAAATAAATGCCACATACAAGAAGCCGAAAGGCTGCACGAATACGGAAAGCAAGCTGTGAAAAACGGTGAATAAACCATACTGGCAGTCCTCTTTCACTTTTTGGGCAATACCTGCAGCCAATAAAGGCAAAAAATGCGGGTACAAGGATGCACCTATCAATGAGTGTAACCACCATTGCATTATTAAGTTGACCTGACTTTCCCGATATTCTTTGTTCAATATACCATAATCTCGTCTGCAATCGATCACTAACGAAACCATTACACAGACCGCAAATCATGGTAATGATCATATCCGGCTGAAGAAAAAAAGTCCGCTTCAGCATGAAACAAGATTTGGTAGTTGTGAATTCGATTTTTTTTTTTACCGTAGTGAAGAGGTTCGCCGAGATGGCGCTGTAGCCAAGTTTCTTGGCCACAATGCCCAGGACATGTGCTGGACCTAATCCTAGATGGAGAGATGCCCAACACAAGACGAAAAGATACAAATACTTGTTAGAAAGGGTATCTTTCAGTACCACGATGAGTTTGGATCGCTGACGATTTGTTTGTTTGCCTTCGAGCTTCAGTCGGTATAGAGCCAGGTTTTTTTCCTGTTAAAATTTGTGTTAGTCATTATTATATCATTGTCGAATGATTAGCATCACTTTACTTTATCACTAAGCCATTGGGTATTGTTGGGGTAGTCGGGAAGATAGAGGTAGCCAAGGACCACTAGACCAGCGGTGATCGTTCCATCAAAAATGAACATCCAACGCCATCTGATAAAGAAAAAAATAAAGAAGGTTATCAGCACAATGATCAAAATATAACCAAGTATCAATCCTCACCCACTGATGCCGAGGGTACCATCCATTGTTTTCAGCAATCCCGCTTGGATTAAACCGCTTAACGCACCACCGAGAGCTCCACACACAGCCAGTAAGGAATTCCGCTTTCCCAGTTCCTGTTTCGTATACCAGTTACTGATCAGGAACACAATCTGATAAGAGAAAAAAAAATCGTCAGTGTCACGTTTCTGAAATCCACCTCTGCTAATACATACTCCGGGGTAGAAGCCAGCTTCTGCCAAGCCAAGAAGAAAACGGAGAATGCAGACCGCACGCACAGACTGTACGCAAGCCATTGACAAGGTTAGGACACACCACACAAATTCCATCGCCGGAAGATAAATGGATGGTCGCAACCTGGATAACAGCATATTGGACGGAATTTGCATGCTAGATAGTGTCAGCTTTTTTTTCATTGTTAAGAGCCGTTTTCTCTTTCTTACTTACACAAGGTAACCAATCATAAACATCACTACCATCCAATTGTATTGGACACCGGTGATATTTAGCTCCTCTTCCATACCACTAATGAATGCATTCGCTACAGAAATGACATGCATCGTGAGAATTCACCTCGATCGCAATATGAACCAATGTCAGCGAGTACCTAGGTTGGTGTTATCCAACGTTTTGACGAGATTGCCAAACATGACAAACAGTAGCAAGCGTCTGTCTAAGCGTCTAACAAGAGCCTTTTCCTCGGCGGAATCGATGGGCGAACCAGATACACCGCCCATTTGCCGTAGTTCGACATCATGGTGCCATTCATCTTCCGTTGCGTCACTTGAGAGAAGTGGAACAGTGCCTTGACTTCCATGTAGCATGCTCAGAGCTTAACGTTTGGAACAGGTGTAGGGCGGGTTCCTCTGGAAAATTAAAAGGAATGTGCGGGCGGAGTTCTTCCCCGATCTTCAGAAGCCAAATAATTAGCTGACTTGCAATGCTCCCGCCAAACCCGTAAGTATTATTCACTGTCATTCTGATAGCCAGGCGTGCTGTCTAAGCAGGTTGTTCCTCGGTAAAGGACAGATAGGTCACAAAAACTCTTTTTAATGACGCGATCACAAAGCAATGAAGCAAACGATACGCGTAGCCCCTGAATTCCAGATAACCAAGGATCAGATAAAACCAAAACACGTGTCAAGATAAGTGGAGTCAAGTTTGGACGGCGGGATTTTCCTCTGGTAAGTAGATTTGAACCTAAAGTAAAAGATGATTAATGCAAATGCAGTGATGCATGAATATCCGGCTGCTGTATGATGTTTGCCAAATCGAATGACAAGCATAAATTCCGATGAACTTCCTTGAATTTGGGGCCCGTTGAAGATCCCCTTAAATCAAAAAGGTTACACGAGTTATTTTTTTTTCCTGGTTGCTGACGCTAAAATAGACCTTTCAGCGTTGGCTCGGAGAAGAGCTTGTTCAGAACCCATGGATGCACTTCAATCGTTGGGAAAGTCTTGGCAATTGACTTTTGCTCAACTTACTACAGCCATTCACCAACTGTCATTTCTCATCACCGGTCTTGCCACTACGCTCGGTGTTCAATGGTTGTTCTATAAGGGTGCAGCAAGTAAGTGCCAACCCATTTCGAAAGAAAAAGCAGACGGCCATGCTCATCATTTCGTTTCGTGCAATCATCGTTTGAAACAAACAGCTAGCGACAGTTACCTGACTCAACTCGCACAGTACGTGGGTATGGTGTGTGTAGGTTTCATTATTCCATTTCTTCTCCGGAACAAAACAGCATATCGTAGTCTAGGCTCCGAGGACGACCATGACGAAGTAGGTTATGCCTTTCACCCACACGTCACGATGTTTCCTTGTTTTACCTATTTTATTTCAGAGCGTTCATCCACGTATTAGCATGGAACTATTGGCCCAAAATAGTCACAATGATGAAGAAGAGAAAAGTCCAAGACTGTACACTGAAGGAGCCGTCAATCATTTTTCTGTCATGAAACTTTCCATGCTCGATGTCGTCGCCAACTTTTGCGTAACCCTGGGTTTTGCAGTGATCGGCAGCGGGGTAAGTCCGTCAACGCGGTGAGGAGGAGTGGCAAGAAACAGATGAATTAATTGAGCTTTTTTTTTTATAGATGTACCAAGTGATATACAGTAGTGTAGTGATCTGGTGCGCCATTCTTACATACTTTTTTATGCAACGTACACTGACAAAAATACAGTGGATCGCCATCTTTGGTACAAGTGCTGGTCTGGCGCTGAGTTCCTTGGATAATTTGCGTCAGCAATCTCCGCAGGACAATGGTAAAGCAATCACCATGGCTTGTTCCCAATGATTCGGGCACACTAATGATATCCCTGCGTAGCAACCACCAGTTCTTCCCTTTTAATGTTTGGTACTCTCATGACGCTTGGTGGTACCTTTTTTTATTGTAAGTTGTCACTTTTTGTGCGCTGTTCCTACCGTGACAATTAACCGGTCCTTTTGTTGTTGGGTTCATTAGCTTGTGTGTACGTTTATTCCGACCATATCTTATCCAAACAGTTCCCGCCGCCTTTGCCAGCACGAGTATGCTTCTTCACTGGAGTTTACACCACCATTATATCTCTACTATGGATCACCTTTTATACCGTGCCACGCTTTGATCAATTGATTCACGTCGACCAAGATGTTTCGCTGGCTCAAGTGTGTTTAACCTATGCCATGGTCGTGGTTGCCAATGCAACCCATTCTTGGAATTATTACGAGTTAATTGAAAGAACTGGAAGTGTAAGTGTTCAATATAGGATGGACATATGCCCAAGATAGGACGGCATATCGATGCAAAACAAACAAACAAACAAAAAACTTTACTGTTCACAGGTCGCCACTGGAATTCTGCAGGGACTTCGCGCAGTATTGGTCTATGTCATTAGCCATGCGTGGTATTGTGGAACGGATTCTGCTCAATGTAAGTATTTTTGAGTACGCTGGGAAATCGACCGATATTGACATGTATTTTAGGTTTTACCGTATATAAAGGCTGTGGATCCTTACTTGTCGTCGGCTCGGTGTTGCTATTTACACTCGGCAACAAATCGGCGGCATAAAATTTGCTTTCCCCAATTGCATTGTTCGTTTTTTTATTTTTCTTCTTCTTCTTCTCCAATACATCTCGGTTGCATTTTTCCACTTTGAATTGCCCCGATTGCTTCATCCTTCTATGGTTCTATACAGCTGACGATATTCCCTTTTCTTAGCCGTATGTGATGCCAAGCATGTCGAGCACCAATTCCAATGTATCATAGCATCAATACTGAATAGCCTTCAATGCAATAAAATTTTATGGTCACACATCATACATCGATCATGTGCAGAAGATGACGGTAGCATTTGCACAGCAGTAAAGCAGAAAGCTCAAATTTCCATCCGAGATCCACCACTGCACAGAAACATACGATACTGTACCACAACAGCAATAAGCCGAAGATCCTCTCTGCGTTCCATGACAGCACGAAATAATGTCGTATAGCTGTCCATCCACTTTATCCATAAGCCTCCCTACAATATTGGTAACCATGAATGGAACGGTTTTGAAAAAAAAAACAGTAATATATGTATGTTCTGATATGAATTAGAAAGTGGACAAATGTAGATGTATAAAGAATATGGTAAATGATGAAAGGGATGCAGTAGGAATATCTGTGAAAAAAGAATAAAAAAGAAGGGGGGGGGGCGGTTTGTTCGTTTGACTGCCAGGGATGGCGAACGAGGAGAAAACGATGGCAAGGTTCTGTTGCCGAGAATGACGTTATGAATCATAATGATTGCCAATCCGCAACGGTTGCTTATGCGTTTCTTTTGGCCGCATTGCTGAAGACCACATAAATGCAAAGAAGACTGAAAAGCAGACAATCTGGTCGAGAATACCAATAAATGTGAGTACCGTGCACCGTATACTATTAGTTTCATACATACTATGGTCTTGATCGATATTTCATCCACAAAACTGTTGAGAATTTCAGCAAAGGTCTCTGCTAGAACTTTGGTTCTAGTAAAACAATAAGTACCTCTACGATCAGAAAGGGTCAAAAATTCAAATGAAGAAGCATACCTTCCAATCCACATGGGCCGATGGATACATTGTTCCCATGTTTTGCACTGATCTTCCATATGCGGTCGTCGCGTTGAGGGATCGCACATATTAGCTGCATAAAGTTTATTGCAGTGAATTGTCTCATCGAGCATATCTACAAAAAAGTGTCAGCTGAACGCTCATGAAAACACACGCCATCCATCAATGTGCTGTACCTGATTCATAAATCTCCAGTTTTCGGATAACATCTCGTTTCAATGCTGATGCAAACTGAATGGCGAGGTAGAGAGCGAAAAGGAACAAGACGAGGTTGATTCCCATGCGAAAAAGACTACGCAGGGTTAGTCAATGACAATGAATTTGGATGTAGAGGTATTTTTTCACATACCCTGACAAGTAGTATATCAAGCCACGGTGATGCGCAACAGGGTCGTGTTTAACGTGAATAAAGGGAGGGGAAGGGTAAGGTGATTGCGGCGAGACATTGGGAGGTGATCCTGATTGTGTGGATAACGATAACTGTGGTGGCGAGAAGGGGCTACGATCGTCGCTGACCGATCGTGCTGGTTGTTGGCAAGGTTGTTGGCAAGGTTGTTGATATGGAACGACTGGCAATAAATCCTACCAAACGATAAGTACGAATGTAACGGTTGTCCAAGGCGACAGCGCAGCGAATTACCGTCTGTACGTCAAGCGATTCCGTTTCCGGCTCCATGACAGAAGTTTCATGGGATAAACTTGATTCTGGGGCTATGGTATCTTGATTTGAACTTTGATTATGATCCACCTGGTTGCTGTCGTTTGTGATTTCTTGATCGTTATCTTCCAAGGTGATGCGGCTCAAATCGTCAAAGACTGAATATGATTTACGAAACGAGGTATGGTCCTCAGTGGATAGATAGGATTTGGGTAAAAAGAAACTGAACGAGTTGCTCTTGGGTGCCAGTTCATCTTTGCGTACTATGAACGTTGATGAGGAAAGACGATTATCGTTTTTCAATCAGTCCATGGTCAGTTACTTACAGTAAGGATGATCATCGTCACATTTGGCAGAGCCACTGAATACGCTGTACGCAAACACCGGTGGATGTTCATATTCGAACTCCATGGGGGCTTCAGTTGTGCGCTTATGATGCATTACTCAAAGGCTTGAAGAAATGCGGTGAATAGACAAACGAATTAGCGGGCCAAAAGTGAGCAACTGGCATTCCATGCTGTGTCTGCTTGCAAAACTTTGTACACCGTGACGGCCGATTGGTTCGGGCGGGCGCTTAATGTAATTTTGTCATTCTCATGCTGCGGTGATTTGGGTGGATTCCATGGATGGGGTGTTCACATCTTGCAACTTGCAACTGCCCTTTTACGTTCAAACTGAATATATCATGTTAACAGGATAAAATAAAACTTGCAGTGGCTGCACGATGATTAATATTTAACGAACCTGTTCTTGGTATTTTGACATGAATTTTCACTTGCGAGACAAACTGCTGCCGTATTTTCTGAAAATGAAAAATGTCCAGCTGAAACAGATAAGCGTCGTCAACCTTTTAATTTTCTTTGAGAAGGATGGCTTCATCAATGTAATTGTGAACTGTCTCCGTTAAGTACAGCTTCTAAACTTGGATCACTCTAATTGCTTAAACCTCTGACTGATCCATTGCCTTTTTCTCTGTAGTGTATGCAACTACCACTAGACTTTTTTGACGCACGCATGATGAAAAGATACAGAGGGAGTAAAACAGCTTTCATGCGCGATGCACTTGCACGGATATGGCTGATCGATCAGAGTCATTCTTTATCTTCTGCTTCAGGTTTCGATTGTTAAGGGAAAAAAGTAAATGCCTGCAAAACACGGCAGCTTGGACAAAACTATCGATACAAATGTGTTATATACAGTATGCCGTCCATATCGTGGGTGGGTTGGATGTGGTGAAATTACGGTTTCCCCGACGGATCCTGATATGAGCACATGATAGTGCGTACGCAATGGATCGATCTCGCATATAAGATGGGTCATAAAATTGATTCACCGACTAAGGCTCAGAAAAAGTGCCTGTATTTGTGGGGCTTCGATAAAAGTTCTGTCTTGCTTTTTTCCTGCGCTTTTTTGCCATGACGAATCTCGGAAACAAGAAATTAACCATCTGCATTGACAGAGGAGGCACATTTACTGACTGCATTGGCTTTCTCGGAAAAGCCGGTGAGGAAGACTATCAAGAGTTTGTCGTGAAACTTTTATCGGAAGATCCCGCTAATTACGCTGACGCGCCAACCGAGGGTATTCGCCGCATTGTGGAGCAAGCCACTGGCATCAAGCACCCTCGCAATGAACCGGTGCCCACAGACAATATTGGTATATTTCTGTTTCGGCACAGGAATTACGACAAAGAAGATCATTGACATGCTGTTTTAGAGAGCGTGCGAATGGGAACCACTGTCGCTACCAATGCTTTACTGGAACGCAAAGGCGAACGTTGTGCCTTGCTGATAACGAAAGGTTTCAAAGACTTGTTGGTCATTGGTAGGCTTCCCTGCATATCAGTATCGAGAAACGAGTCGCTCACGAAAATATTTCAAATCAGGCAACCAGTCCAGACCCAAGATTTTCGATTTATCCATCAGCAAGCCTGATGTATTGCAGCAAGGCGTGATTGAAATTGATGAGCGGTAAGACAGATGAAGTCGCCTATCACTTGGACTCTGTTGAGCTGATGGTTTTGGGGAAAAACAACAGAGTTATGCTAGTGAATTCTTTGGCCTCGGTGGACCGTGTAGAGGAACCACACAAGTTGGAGGATGCCATGGAAGGCATTTCGGGCGAATGGGTCAAGATTCTTCGTGAACCAGGTTAGTAGTAATACGTGCATAAGATCAATGCGAGATATTGAGAGTTTCACTTGATTCTCGATGTAGACATGTCCGTCGTAAAGCAGCAATTGCAAAAGTTACTGGATGATGGCTATCGAAGCATCGCTGTCTGTTTGATGCATTCATATACCTTTCCTGGTATGCTCTTGGGTTTTTTTATTTGTTTCACAAGAAAAAAGGCTGCATGCGAACTGATTTCATTTTTGGCAGGACATGAGCAGGCCATTGGTGACCTGGCAAAGAAGATGGGATTTTCCCACGTATCACTGTCCAGCGAAGTGATGCCTATGATCAAGATCGTTCCCCGAGGAACTTCGGCCACGGCGGATGCTTACCTTACGCCTTGTATTCAGAATTACATCAAAGGTTTTGTCAGTGGATTTGATGATGGCTTCGAAAAAGGAACTTCGACGTTGCAATTCATGCAAAGCGATGGTGGTTTGGTCCCGGTGAATAATTTCTCCGGTTTCAGAGCCATCCTGTCCGGCCCTGCCGGTGGCGTGGTCGGGTATGCCTTGACAACCTACGATGAAAAAGACAAGACACCCGTCATTGGTTTCGATATGGGCGGCACCAGTACAGGTACGATACTCGTGGAAAATTACGTGTGTGTGTGGCACCATGGTAACACGCAAGTTGAAAGACGTCTCGCGTTTTGATGGTCACTATGAGCATGTGTTTGAGACAACCACCGCCGGTGTGACTATCCAAGCCCCTCAGCTCGATATCAATACAGTCGCTGCAGGTGGTGGATCCATGCTATTCTTCAAAAATGGCATGTTTGTCGTGGGTCCCGAGGTAAGTCGGTTTGCTTTATCGTGGAGAAATGAAGCATGTCAAGCAAGCAGTCTGATCGACGGTTCGCATTCTAGAGCGCGGGTGCTCATCCTGGTCCCGCATGCTACAGGTACGTGAGTTTACACAACCTATCATGCAATACCAGTCTGACGAGTGATTTTCTTTTAACAGAAAGGGCGGCCCGTTGGCTGTCTCAGACGCCAATTTGTTCCTTGGTCGATTGTTGCCCGATTATTTCCCAAAGATTTTCGGCCCCAATGAGGATGAGCCGTTGGATATTGAAATTGTGCGTCAAAAATTCTCTCAACTGGCCAACGAAATTAATAAGCATACGGGCGAGTCGAAATCATTGGACGAAATTGTATACGGTTATATCAAGGTGGCCAACGAAACCATGTGTCGACCAATTCGTGCCCTGACGGAAGCAAAGGGCCATGATACCAGTAACCACGTTTTGGCCGTCTTTGGCGGAGCGGGTGGCCAGCATGGTAACGTCAATTGCAGGGGGGAAAGAAAACATCATCCGTCCGGGTGCTAATGTTGTTGCTCTTTTGCCCGTATGATGTAGCTTGCGGCATTGCACGTAATTTGGGTATTTCGAAAATTGTGCTTTACCGACACAGCTCAATTTTATCGGCTTTTGGCTTGGCGTTGGCGGATGTTGTGCATGAACTGCAGGAGCCTTCTGCCGAGACTTTGACAGCAACTTCGATTCCTGGACTTCGGGAACGTATTGAAAACTTATCGGCGCGCTGTCGCGAGGAGCTTTCTTCCCAAGGATTTGCAGAGGATAACATTGAAACCGAAGTGTACCTCAACCTACGATATGAAGGCACCGACTGTGCACTAATGACCTTGCAACCTACCCATAACCAAGATGACCCATGGAACTTTGAAGCCGAGTTTGTAAAACTGTATGAACAAGAATTCAGCTTCTCTTTCCCCGATCGAGCCATCAACGTAGATGATATCCGTGTTCGCGGTATCGGTAAAACGATGAAGCACGATAATTTGACAGCTTATCAAGAAATCGCCGATTTGGAATCGCAAGGCAAGGTGAAGCCTGTAGACGATGCTGCGCGGGACAGCTTTACATCTGTTTATTTCGAATCCGGTCGTGATGATAAAGTCCCTGTGTTCCAGCTCACCAATTTGGCGCCAGGATCGTTGGTATCAGGTCCCGCCATCATTATCGATAAAACGGCCACCATCGTTGTTGAACCTTTCTGTACCGCATTGATCACGTCTCAGCATATTACCATCACTGTAGGCAAAGGAGAAAAGAAAAAAGTGACCACAGAAATGGAACCGATTCAACTATCGATCTTTTCTCATCGTTTCATGAGTATTGCGGAACAAATGGGAAGAACGCTTCAAAAGACGGCCATCAGTACCAATATCAAAGAAAGATTAGGTAAATCTGTTGCGCTGTTGATACATTGTGGACTGCTGATGACTGAATCCATATATGCTTCACTAGATTTCTCCTGTGCGCTCTTTGGAGCGGACGGTGGACTCGTGGCCAATGCGCCTCATATTCCTGTCCATTTGGGTGCCTTGAGCCATGCAGTAACGTATCAAATGAATTACTACAAAAGCAACTTGCATGAAGGCGACGTGATCATGACAAATCATCCCGCTGCTGGAGGATCGCATTTACCAGGTACCGTAGGAGACTAACAAAACAGTAGATACCTAGTATGCCTTTCAAAACTGACACAGAACCATTGCAGATATTACGATTATTACACCCGTTTTCAACGAAGGCGAAATTGTATTCTTTGTTGCGTCCCGAGGACATCATGCCGATATTGGAGGCATTTCTCCCGGTAAATGACCAACCTGTACCAAAAACTTGCGTGATTTACTAACTCCTTTTTTTTCTTTGCTGCTATTGCTTTCATCACCTAGGTTCAATGCCACCGCATTCGAAAGAGGTAGGAGAAAAAGATATGCCAACATAATCAACTGATTATTAAAGCGTGCATCAAAAGCTTTATGAAGAAGGAGCTGCTATCAAGTCGTTCAAAATCGTATCTGGTGGTAAATTTGACATGGAAGGTTTGGAAAAATACTTGTGTGAAATTCCTGCGTCTTTCCCTGGTTGTTCCGGCACGCGTTCACTGCGTGATAACATCTCTGGTAAAATAAATTCATAAAATGATGCTATGTTTTGTGCAGATAAGACTAACAATGCATTTACAGATCTCAAAGCGCAAATTGCCGCCAATCACAAAGGTATTACGCTGGTGAAATCTTTGATTCAAGAGTACTCTCTGGAAGTGGTTCAAGCGTACATGATGCATATTCGTCGTAATGCGGAGTTGGCCGTACGCAATTTGCTCAAGCAAGTGGCTTTGGATCGCAAGGGTGAAGATCTTGTGGCGGTCGATTATATGGACGACGGTACCCCCATTTGTTTGCGTGTGCTTATCAATGACAAGGACGGAACCGCCACATTCGATTTTGAGGGCACAGGTGCAGAAGTGTATGGCAATACAAATACACCGCAGAGCGTGTGCCACAGTGCCATCATCTATTGTATTCGTTGCCTTGTAGGACAAGACATTCCTCTGAACTCGGGATGTCTCGAACCGATTGATATTCGCATCCCCGCTCGTTCCATTCTCAGTCCTTCGGAAGACAGTGCCGTCGTCGGTGGCAATGTGTTGACGAGTCAACGTATCGTCGACGTTGTACTGAAAGCGTTCAACGCTTGCGCGGCTAGCCAAGGATGTTGTAACAACCTCACCTTTGGCAAAGAAAATACCAAGGAAGAAACAGGAAAGACTGGACCAGGATGGGGTTACTATGAAACCATTGCAGGAGGTACGATAAAACCGATCCCATGCAGCAAAGATACGCCTCACTCAATATTAATTAGGTAGCGGTGCTGGCCCTGATTGGAACGGACAAAGCGGTGTACATACAGTGAGTGAAAAAAAAAAAGGATTCACTCGCCTACTTTTTTTTTTTAGCAAACGTAACGTGCTTATTGTTAATAGCATATGACGAATACACGTATCACGGATCCAGAAATTCTGGAACGAAGATATCCTGTTTTATTGAGAGAATTCTCTATTCGTCAAGGTTGGTGTATAGCTATAGTTTGAGACGATATCCCAAAAATGGTGCTCAAGTTCGGCCTTATTGTTGTAGGTTCTGGAGGAAATGGTTTATTCCACGGCGGCGACGGTGTTGTCCGTGATATTGAATTTTTGGAAAACGGTATCCAGGTATCCATCTTGTCCGAGCGTCGTGTGTTTAGACCGTACGGTCTGATGGGAGGCCAAGATGGTCAATCCGGTATCAACTACTGGGTGCGCAAGAACGAAGACGGCACGGAACGCTTGGTGAATCTGTCCAGCAAAAACTCGGCCTTGTTTAGCAAGGGAGACCGCATCATTATTGAAACGCCAGGCGGAGGAGGTTACGGTCATGCAGACGGTAACGCTAATAAGCCTCTTTTCGCCAAAGTTACCCAAGGCTTGAACAACTTGGTCAAAGCAGGAGGTAGCCTGGGCCTTCACAAGGCTTTATCTGAAAGCAACTAGGGCAGGGTAGAAAAAAGACTACGTACAACCTGCAACTCTTCCCTGAATGTGTAATCTTTAGAAAAATGTGCAAAAAGGGAAAAAACGATATCGATATATTCGCACAATACAATGGCTGATATGCTGTATAGTATGGTGTTTTACATGTCATGTAAAAAAAAAAAAGATCTATGCCAATTTTTTCCGTTGTTCGTTCATCCACTTAATCCAATGGCACCCAATCTCTGGGATTCTTTAATACTTCTTCCAAGTCTTCTTCCTTGGATCCCGGTTCTGGCACGTGCATGTATTCCCAACGGGCTGTCAATGGGAGGGACATGAGGATAGCCTCGATTCTGGCACCAGGGGTTTGCAAACCAAACTTGGTACCTCTATCCCAGACCAAGTTGAATTCCACGTAACGTCCGCGACGGATTTGTTGCCATTCCTTCATTTCCGGGGTGAAGCGCATATTCATGCGTTTCTTCATGATGGGGATATAAGAAAGTGAGAATCGGTTGCCCATTTCCTTGACAAAACTAAACACTTCGTCGGCCGGTTTGTCATCTAAATCATCAAAGAAGATACCGCCAATGCCACGCGATTCGCCGCGGTGCTTGTTGTAGAAATACTTGTCGCACCATTGTTTGAAGTTGCCGTAATGCTTTTTATCAAACTTGTCGCAACCTTCTTTCAAGACTTGATGGAAATGGATGGCATCTTCTTCATACAGGTAGCTTGGCGTCAAATCGGATCCACCGCCGAACCACCACATTTTCGGTGTACCGTCCGGGTTTTCAATCTCAAAGTATCGATAGTTCATATGCACTGTAGGAGCGTTGGGATTATGGGGATGCATCACCAGTGAAATACCGGCAGCAAAAAATGGGACCGGACCATCGGCACTGATATCCTTGCCTCGATCGTGACGCATTTGTTCGACCGCAGCTTTAGGTAATTGACCATATACAATGGAGACACCCACACCCGCCTTTTCAAATACGTTGCCATCTTGAAGAACACAGGTAATGCCTTCTCCACCTTCTTGTCGTTGCCACGTCGTGCGGGTGAACTGCTTTCCATCCAGTGCTTCAATATCAGATACGATACGGTTTTGCAAGCCCTTTACAAAAGCTTCCATACGCAAGCGCATAGGATCTTTATCAGTGATCGGACCTTCCGCTCGCTAGATTCGTAAAATGTTAAAATTCTAGATCTCAGTCAACTGTTACAAATACAAGTTCTGTTTTACCCGTTGTTTATCGTCATTGGCGGCATCACAATAAATCTGACAAAAATCATATATGTATCAGCCAAGGAACTCGATGCAATACGGGTGATATTTCTCTCCTTTTTTTTTTTTTTACCTTAGGAGCGGTCCATAAGCTGAAAGCTAAAGCACTGCCAGCTGCGGCAAAAGCCCAGTATCGCGATTTATTATCTTTTCTAGCAGAATTAGCTGTAGCGACTTTGGCAGTGCTGTAAAGACGCGCTCGACTCGACGAGAAACTGTGGGGAATGGGTATATATATTAGCGGCAAGTCGCACACACGCGGTCAAAATGACAGTATTTACAGATTCGTTGCGCGAGGAGTTACGAGGCGGTTGGCATGGCGTACTATTTTCAATGGTTACCAACTGTAGTTTGTCGTGTCCGTAATTGAGTTCGCTTACATGTTCGTGTCGTGTTCCCGGATAACATTGCTTGAGATGCCCAGAAACAGCGAACTCGAGTGCGGGGAAAAAAATTGGGGAAAATTTCAAAACAACCGGAAGATAGCCGTTCACCAGGAAGACTGGGATCGGAGTACCAAATCTTAGGCGATCCTTCAAGAATTACAAATAGGAATCGCTGCTCGCTGACCTTTCAGGAAGTAGTTGCAACAAACGCATCACAACATTCATCGAATATGTCCGTAGTATTTAAGCCTACTGTATTTGTGGCAAAGAAATAAGATTGGGCGCTAATCTCTATGCAAAATCATACATATCCTCGCATTCATCGATGATTGTCAACGCACAAACGGTTGTCAAATTGCAGCGGCTTGGAAAACTTGGGCGTTTCCTCACAGTTCTGCAGCCTCGATGTTGTCCACTCTTGCATTTAGGGTCACCCCATGCGTGCGCTGAGACAAGTCACGTGCAACCGTCAGATCATCCTATAATTCTTCGAGAGAAATCTTGGCATCCCTATTTGCCGCTCAATAAGTTCATAGGCAAAAAAAATCGTATGAGCAGCTCTTTTGCGTTTGATAGGTACCTGCGGCGAGTGATACAGTGCAAGCTAACTGACAGAGGGAGGCACGTGGGTAACTCCAAGCCGAGCACTGCCGCTGGACGACAGCGGGGGTTGAATTTAGCTTGGGTTATGCAGCCGCTGTTCCGGTGGCTTGCGGTCACAGAATTCCATAGTTTCTTAAAAGGTCAAACCCCGGTATCACACGTTTCTTTCTCTTGTTAGAACAATCGAAATATACACACACACCCCACAATGACTTTTACATATGGCTATGAACTGGGTAAGCCTTTCGCCTGTATAAACCCAACGGATAGTACTTCTCATCACTAACTCCACCTTTTTCAGAGTCGGGTCATGTCGTAGTACCACCACTCCTGGCCAAAAAAATTACGGTCTCAAGTGCAGCCAACACCAACCGATGGGTCTTCTTTGGCACAAGGGAAGAGATTCTTCAGTGGATGCGAGAACATAACGATATCCAATTGGAAAACTCCTTATTTGCATCTGGTCGACCCGTTTCCTTCCAAACACATACCGAAATTGTGATTGATCTTCAGTATTTCTACGATGCGGAACAGTCGTACTACAACTACTTCCGTTCATTTTTCACCAGCGACTATAGTGTGGAACGTGTCAAGGTGGAAATCCGCCCTCGTGTCGACAGCAAGGATCATATTATTAGTGCTTTGTCCCGTGTGATTGTGGCCAGCGGTTCCAAGCTGGGTGAGATTGTCGATGAACTGGAACGTGAATGGAATAAGCCTGCCGCCAGTTACTATCAGCAAGCCATCAACACCTTTAGCGATGACCCAGTCCCAAGTCATATCATCAGCACTGACGCTCCAATGACGGTCCAAGTATCCGCTGATCAAGTCAGTCCGCAAGCTTCCCCCAATCCTCTCCAGGGACATGCTTAAAGAATCTTACTTTCCTTTCTCTCTTTCTCATTCTCTCCCCCTCCATCCGTTTTTCTTTCTGTCTAGCTCTTATCCTTTCTATCGTGTAATAATATACTCAAATCAAATGATCGGGAAACCGTCGGATGATCTTTAGTGATGAAATGTTATATTTTCTCTAATTACGGGTCATTTACAAAAGAGAAATCATATGAATGGGAGGAATAAGTTAACTGATAAAAAGAAACGCGATGAAAACTAGCAGACAACGTGCAATTTAGAAAGATGCTATTGGGTATGTCATGATGGCAGCTATTAGAAGGCCGCTGAGAAGATGGAAAGGTTGAAGGGTTAGCGCCGCAACGTCGTTGGATCCTCCGGCCTGGTTCGCATTCACGCCACCATTCAAGGTTCTGTTGGTTGGCACTGCCGTGTCTTTGTATTGACAATCGGTAGACGAACATAGACACACATTGTCAATGGGATCCCACCATTTAGTACTAGCAAGTCAATGAGCATTGGTGCAACAGAGTTCATTCCTTTTTTTTACAGAGACACTTACTCGCAGTTGTTGGGAAGAGGCCATCGATAGCCAGCTGTGCCATTTTGAACAGAGGATGCTGGTGTAGGATTATCCAGGGTAGGTGCACTGCCAGGACAATTGAAACATGTCTTGAACGTGGTGGTGCCAAAGTTGCAGCTGTTAAAGTGGAGGATAAAATTGATAAGCATGATGTGCATTGATGAGTGAAACCGGTGCTCGCGCTTTACCTGTTATAGAGGTTGTCATCGATTTGACCATTGTTATCGTCGTCCAAACCGTTGCAGATTTCTTTGGCAATGACTGGTTGTTGGCACTTCATGTAGTCCTGTTTGGCAAGTTCGGATGCTTTCACGGGGTTCATCATCCACTGCAGCAACTGTTGGTTGGTGACAAACCATACATCAGGTTTATCGGCAAGCGATTTGATAAAGTTTACAAGACCATTGAGCTTGGGAGCAGGATCATCAAGACCAGGATATCCAGTAAGATGAGCTAAAAATAATGATATCTAGGTTAGCAAATATACCTTTGGTTTCATCACTGTGAAGATAACCTACTTGGATGAACGTAAATACCAAAGGGTTGTCTCCCACCATGGTAATGTCGGTTGAAGGCATCCATACTCCCTAATAGGAAATGTCAGATTGGTTGGATCTGCTCAGGGAGGAGTCTCTAGCGACGAATAAAGCCTTACATTTGGCTACGTCTTCAGGCTGACCTGCCATGTATACATCCATCAATTGCGGGATACTGCCGTTATCTAGTACTGCATACATGGGGACTTCCCATAAACCAGGTAGTTTCACTTCACCGGCCGTGCAGATACCGGTCCAGCAGTCGTTGGCCATGCCATTATCGAGTGTGTACGGCCAAAAAACATCCTCGGATACTGCACTTGCGCTTGAATCGTATAAGAAGCCTTGTTTGTGCAGCAAGCCCAGTGTATCTTTTGTGTAATTTAGGAAAGGAGCGCGGAAGCCTCTGACCTTGCCGTTGGGAATACCACCATACGTATTCAGCATGGTCTTGCAGCTACTGATTTCCTCTATTTAATAACGGTTAGAATCGCTGACAGGTTATTCTTTTTTTCAGCAAATTACATACGCTCCGATGGAGTGCCCACATGAGTGAAAGTATGGCTAATGAAAAAAAAAAAATGACAGTAAGCTCATCATTTAGCCGATGATACAAATGTTTTAACACACTTACTCGGCGATTTCATTGCCTTGGGAATACCATTCCTGAACCAAGGAAAAGTCGGTATATTGCATTGACACAAACCTAGCAAACATTATGAGCAATAGAAAATGTGAATATTCCTGTGAGAATCTTTTTGTCTTACCATGTTCCGCGTGCGGGACATCCGTTTGGATTCCTGTTGAAGAATCAATAACAAAAATTGCATTAGGATGTTATCAAAAGCCTGGTTTGAGATGGGGTTTGCCTTTGATCCAACTTACGTAACGTTGAGCAATTTTCTAGCTGTCTTCAATAGTTCGGCCTGGATACTGTCATCGTATGTGATGGTAACAAACTGTCAGGTAAACATTAATAATGTAAGTCGTTATTGGGAACGCCTGCTCCTTGTAATAATACCTGTGGCGTGTCGGCGGGTGTCATATTATTTGGAGGTTGCTTGGAGGCACACAGACATCCGTTCGCTAACGTGCAAGTGCTAGGGTCACAAGAATAGGATGATGCTGTCGACGTGGTTGGAACGGGTATGGTTCCCCCTTCCTGTTGAGCCATGGCATCTTGGAAACAGAGCAAAGTCGCAACTGCACTGATGAGGACAAATGGCTTCATAGCTATTCAAAAAAAGATGGAATGATAGGATAAAGGACACTGGTGGTGAAGTAATAGAGGCGATTTTTAGGGGTGTCGTGAAGAAAGGAGCAGTTTAAAAACGAAACCTAGCGGGAGTTTCAGGGCAACGTCGAATACTCGCCATCTTTTTATGTCCCCTTTATTTAACCCTTCATCTTCTCTATGCAAAAGCTGCGTGCTTTTTCTTTTTGGAGGATAATCGCAAACCACCGAGACTTCCTTGGCCCCCTTTTCTCCACTCCTGTTTGTGTTTCCCTGGACAGAACATGACTTGTAATTTTTTCTTTTTACTTCTTTTATTATTTGCATAAGATTCCTTGTTGCCCATGCTGTAAGGCTGTTATTAACGGAGAGAGTATGTGTAAAGATGATGCGGGTACTGTAATTGCTACTTGAGAACAGATTCATAGAATGTTTGCTTTCAAATTATAAAAATGTTATTTTCATTTTACCGCACAAAACAAAAACAAAAACAAAAACAAAAACCTGTCAAGCCGCGAACATCCGTCAATGAAGCTGCAAGGTGCTCCAAGCAATGCTATTGTTTAGCTTTTGCTGCAGTTGAAATCCAAAGATCATTGTTGTAAACAAAAAAGGTTCTGCATCATTTTCATTTGTTGTAGGCTTTTTACGAGAAGAAACAAAAATACTTTATTATTTATTATTTTCTCTATGCTTGAATTGCACCTTTATTTACGGTGTCTAGCGCAGAATTCGTCCATTCTCTTGTAAGCCTCCTCTAGGCGATCAATCGTAGGAGTGATGACAATGCGGACATAATCGGGGTAATTGAAACACTGCAAGAAGAAGAGCTCTGTGAATAAATTGAAACATTCGTAGCACTTCATCTTCATCTTCATCTTACCTGACCCGGCAAACAGAGGACGGATTCTTCAGCAAGCAGTTTTTGGCTGAATTCCACGTCCGAGGCAATGTCCTTGAACTTGGCGGTTTCAATGCCAACCTAGCGCCGATCCCAACCCGTGAGAAAAAATTGGGATCTCATAAGATGTACAAACTTTTCATCATCAGATCGGACTTACCATCATGTACATAGCACCTTGAGGCTGCACAGGCTTGAGACCATCAATCTTGGAAACAGCGTCCATGCTGAAACTGGTATTATGCTGCAGAAAGTTGAAGACTTGTCAGTCAGTAAAAATCATCCCCATCTGTCATCAGCAAGAAAGTACACGAACCTCAAGTTGCTCAATGGTTTTCTCGTAGAACGATTTAGGCGTGTTGTGCAGAATATCGGGAAGCGCAGCTTGCACGACAGAATTGGGGCCCAGGATGACCTGCGACAAGTTGAGCAATCCTTCGCGAATTTCGGCAAATGCACCCACGGGATCGTTCACCAGGATCCAGCCAATACGCCAGCCAGGTACGAGCCATTTCTTGGCCAAACCGCCCACCGAAAGAATGGGAACTTCCTTGGTCAGCGATGCCATGGGATAGAAAGTGTTATTTGTGAAGACGAGATCGCAGTAAATTTCATCAGCAATAATAGGAACATGATGCTTGGCAGCCACCTTCAACACCTTTTCCAAATGCTCACGGGAATAAACAGAACCACAAGGATTGGATGGGTTATTCACAAGGATAGCGGCTGTTTGGTCGTCAATCAAAGATTCCAAATGCTCCAAATCCACTTCCCAATTGCTTTCAGGCTAGTGCGTAGCAGATAAATTGGTGAAAAACTCTGATCTATTACAATGCATAAAGGGACAGAATTACCTTGAGATTGTAGTACTTGGCTTCGACAAATCGTGTAGCCGCCAAACTTCCGTACAAGGGGAAACCAGGACGAGGAAGCAAGATGTTCTTGCCCGCGTCACAGAGAACGTTCAAGCACAGCTCCAACGCACCCGAGCATCCATTGACAAGAAGCACATCGTCCGCTGTGAGTGGGGCTTCGGGGTGCGTGAAAGCCTTTGCCACCGCTTCACGTGCTTGAACGGTACCTATTTGTACAGACATTCTATCAGATATGTTCTTTTTCAGTTCATCAAAAAAAAAAAAAAATGTCAAAGTTATTACCGTGCGCTGCAGGATATCCGTTGGCCTTGAAGCTGTTCAGTTGCTTAATAACAGCTTCATTGCAGCTTTGGTCGACATTGAAGTTGCCGAAAATGGTAGGATCACCTAAGTAGTAGCTATTAATAACACTTGTCCTGAATGAAGAGAAGAGCCGGTTTTTCTTGTCTATGACTCACCAACCGACAAACTAATGAATTCCTTTTGTGCATTGGGGTCAAGCTTGAGGCTGTCGACAATCTTTCGAATAGGATTGTGGGCACTCTTGGCCACTTTGGAAGATTGCACTTTCCACGCCGCACGATCAGAACTCATGAGAAAAAGTAAACGTTGAGAAAGAAAAAAACCCAAGTAAAGCAGTGGTGCAACCGCTTCATGTCGAAGCTGTTTGTCATTCGACTGAGATTGAAATATGGGCCTTTTTCCCACAGTCGTCAAAAGATCATCTTTGATCATTTCCATTGAACCTTGTTTCCCTCTCTTTACATTCTCTCTTTTTTTTGTTTGCTCTTTTTATCTTGTCTATAAATTTTGGTCTATGATAGTGGTATACGATCTTGGATGAATGAACGTAATCTCCTGTACAACGATGAAAAAAAACAGTGTCGCAAAAACCCCTTGCAATATATCAAATGTCGCCAGGTATAGATTTAACCGATCAGCTGTTGCCAAGCTTCCTCGTACCTAGACAAAGCAATGATGAGTGATCATTATATCATTTTACATAGGTACTGTCCCAACTTACTGTTGAGGATCTCGAGTGTGGTCTTCAATAAACCCGAATTTGATTTGCATCTCCCCTGACACATTATTCTTTTCGCTTCGTTTGGCCAAAGTGTACCAAGCGGATTGGTTCTCGGGATCTTTGTAATGTCTGGCCAAGCCATCGGATACGCCACCGGCATTGCGGTCAAACACGTTCTTGAAAGGAATATTCACATCTCCCAGGAAATCTCGGCCAAAAGTATCCTTGTCCCATACTGTAAAATTCACCAATACAGGAAGCTTCCCGGGATGAATCGGTATATCAAATTCAGCGTCCCAAACGGGATCCAGTGTCTGCTTGATCACCTTGGTGGTGTATTTCTTTTCACTGAATGAAAAAACGGCTTATTAATTGTCACATTCCCATCGCCGCTTATTGATCCAATACTCACTTGATACGCATCACAACATAGGGATCCGAGAATCCTGTTTTGTCACTGTAAAAAATAAATTATCACCATTCCCTGGATACGACGTAGTGCTGTGTAATAATGTATAATTTTTTAGCTCTTTCAACGTACGCAGCGGCTAATCCTCGTGCACTGATAATGCCAATACGAAGTTTGAGGTTGGACATGGTTTAGACGAATGTGGGTGATGTAGATTTAAGATGATGGTTGGAAGCAATGAGTAAATGGTGAGAGAATAAGAGAAGTCGGAATGAGAAAAAAGACCTTTCACTGTAACTGGCATGTCAATAAATGTAAACATGGCAACTCGTAACACGAGCTTTTTCGCAAATCCAGACACCGAACATGCTGGCCCTGAAGAAGCACGCTAAAAGTTACCTTTCCATTTTCCACCAGTATTTCTGGGCCGTGCCATCTTGGTTTTGCCGTCGTACATGTCCCCTTGTCCGGCTTTGATCTTCAATTTGGCCCATGTTCAATAAGTGTGATAACGTTACCGACCTATTTTTGGAAATCAACCTCTTCACTTTTCTACCTACTTGGCTGAGCTATCTCTACCTTATCAGTTATATGGAAACTTTCATATCGCTTAAACCCCATGGCATGTTTTTTGATGCTGTAATTTTGCTTAATGCACATGACTCGCTCTCTTAATGGATGATGACATAATAAGACTGGACTCTCCGGCAAACAATTTAAATTACAATAAGTTGTCCAGCTCGCTGTATCATGATGAGCAGTAGTCTATGCTGGTCCAAAATACTACTCACTACTTGAGCACGGGCTAATGCATAATGGTCATCATCACTCTGTAATACCTTTTTCCCTTTTTTCATTTCTCTTTTGGCCAACCAATCTTCACTTTGAGTGACCTTTATAAGGATAATCATCATCGACCAACATAATGCTCCTCCCATTTCTGGATTACAGTGAACCGTTCCTTCTGTCGAATAGAATGTAAAAGCAGTAAACAAACATAAACCCTATCATATATGTCCCGAAATCATGCTGACGAAACCCACAAAGTCAAAAACAATGGATCTGGATCTGGATCCCTAGCCACATCATTTTTTGCATCATTTAATAATCTTATACTATTGGTTTTGTGGATGAAGTATGTATTGTCTACAGTACAATAGGTGGATATCTTGGATCATGATCTTTGTATTTTTTGATGAGTTGTGTCAAGAGGAATTGTTCTGGTAGATCTTGTTGGAAACGCAACTTACAGACTCCGATAATAGCGGCTGAGCTTTGCACGCCTTCACCAATCTTTTTGCCAAAAATGTTCTCCTCGGCACCTACAGCTCCTGCAATAAAAAGCAGTAAGCGGATAACCCAATATTTGAAATCAGGTACTGTAAGGTTGAAGGACAATGAAACCCATCTGATGCAGCAATGCATATGGTACTCATTATTAGAATCATTTTTTTTCTGTTTTTATTTTTTATTTTTCCAGCACTTATACTACTGACTACACTGACTACACTGTCTATTTTTGTCAATGTTGAAGATCAACAGCCCGTATGCGGAGATCCGGTTGTCATCTTCCAGTGGGGGTGGCTAATTGATTTTTGAACCTTTATTGCATGTCGAAGCTACCCTATATCAGCCAGCGATTCCTGCACGTGCAAGCTTTTGTCCCTCATCATGTTCACGTTTATATGCTAGTCCTATATAACTTTTTTTCTATGGGAATTAAACTTTAGGGATCTCTTTTTATTTTCTTCAGCTTTTGCTTTGCAACATGAGGGTTCCTTTTGCAGTATGCTTGGTGATATTTTTCCTTATCTGTGTCGCGTACGGTCAAGGTTGGTGCATGATTACTCAAGCAAACATGGTTTAAACAGTTAGGATCCAACAGATCTTGATATTATTATAGAGGACATCACTGTTGAAGAGGATGAAGATAGCGCCATAAATACAGATACAGGTACACATGTTTACATGCATCTATCGCTTAAGCATGCTACGAGATCCCTCGTCACACTTTCCTCGTTAATTTTATAACAAAACGCCACAGATGAGTCTCCGACGCAAGATACCACCATCCCATCTGCAGATGACGTGCTTGAACCGTCTCCTTCCCAAGACAGTGCACCCAAGAATGCAACGCAACCGCCCAGCGAATCTGCCTGTGCAGCATTGAGTCATTGGTACCAAAGCCTCAATGGCAAAAACTGGATTATCCGAACAGGATGGGAGTCACAGGATATGAGGAGCTGCTGCTCATGGTACAACGTTCATTGTAATAATCTCGGTCAAATCTTGAAAATGTATGAAGCAGTATCCTTAATGATCGCTTACGTTCCTGCTTTTCTGATCCGCCTAATGCATGATTTAGTAATCTGTCCCACAATAACTTGGTTGGTACATTGCCAGACAATGTGCAGGATGTTCCCGATATAGCCCATCTGTAAGTCTCAGAGATTTTCCGTCAGGGGAACCTTTTGGATAGAGTGATTCACGCTGTTGGAATAGGGATCTAAGTCATAACCACCTGACGGGTGGATTACCTGATTCGATGATGCACGCTCAAAAATTACAGATTATGTAAGTGGTACTCGTTATCGACCGTTGGCATGGCGCATTCATTCACACGATCGCTGATGTTGGCAGAAACTTTGATATGAATAATTTAACTGGTTCACTGCCAGCATCCTTGGGCCATCTCCCCATGCTGTCTAATATGTAATACCAAACGCGAGAATTTGATTGCAGAGGATGGTCAACCTGATATCTTTTTTTATTCACAGACATTTGCGGAATAATTCATTCACGGGGACAATACCGGATACGTGGAGTAACATGACTTCTCTCAAAGCTTTGTATCTCAGCAACAACAAGCTATCAGGTGACTTTTCCGCGACGATCACTCAGCTCCTAGCTATACAAAGTCTGCATGTATCACTACCATCATAATACCTGGGAGAAAAAAAAGTGACTGTACTTACTGACGATCTCCGTTAGAGCGCTAGACAATAACGCTATTACTGGGTCATTGCCTGAAAGTATAGCCAATTTGAGAATGCTCAGATCGCTGCAAGTATTGAAACTGTGATTTTGGAGCCATGCCTATCTTGGATATTGTGCAGCTAACGATGGATCATGCTTTATTTTTTCTTTTCAATAGTAATCTAAAGAATAACCGTTTGACCAACGGTATTCCCGCTTCCATCGGAAACTTGACATTACTTGAAACATTGTAATATTGTTTATATTTCATGTGAAGTGAGGGGACTAAAATATTAATTACTTTACGTCATTGTAGATCCCTATCGCATCAAATGTTGAACGGAAGTTTGCCAGATTCGATTTACGAACTTTCCAACCTTGAAACGCTGTGAGTTGTCGCCGTGCAGTCGATGGCGTTTTTTTATTCACGCTGAGATCAAATCATGTTACAGGGATCTATCCAACAATCGGTTGAGAGGCGGCATCTCGGAAAAGATTGGAAATCTAAAGAAGCTGAAAAAGCTGTATGACATTCATGATGGCGGTTATCTCAATGGTGGATTATGTTATTTAGTGACCTCATGTTTCATAGATCACTGGGACACAACAGCTTGACCGGACCGCTCCCCCAGCAACTTGGGTCATTAAGTAATCTAGAATTCCTGATGCTCAACTACAACACCCTGAATGGCCAGTTTCCTCCTCTGATTGCCCCTGCGCCTCTGGCCTTTTGCTATATGACCCCTAATCAGTTCCAAAGTTGTCCCGATCAGAACGTCACAAACAATCCAGATAGCTTGGCTTTCCAATGCTCGATCAATTGTGCATCGAAAAATAGCAAAACAAAGAGTGATGCATCGTCCATTACCATGACAACCTTGGCGATCCCATGGACATGTCTCATCGTCACCATAGCGACATTCATTTAACAACAGAAAATAAAAGACGAGTACGGATGAATCCCTTTTTTTATTCACTGCGGTATGCAAAAGATGGATGACAGTCTAATTAGATGCCTCGAAATGTTGTCTTGTCAATGAAATTGAGTCCTTGTTTCTTTCACTTTTTGGCCAAATGAAGAATTTCCATATTGATTTGCATCTGTGGGCTGCGATGACATGTAGAAATAAGCACCTCGATCAAGCTGCACTCGAGAAAGCATTGCATTAGTTTAGTTTTTTCAGCTGGGTTGCAGTTCAATAATAATAATAATAAAAATCCCTTAGGTTCCTCGATGCAAATGATATACTCTCGAATAACTGGGTCTAGTTCAAAAATCTAAAAACCCTAATGCAACATTGAGAAGTCGCATTTTCTTCTTTTTCTTGGAAAGTTCCCCCCCCCCATGGAATGAAAAAAAAATTGATAGTAGATGCATCCTGGAACCTTGATCAAACCGTGTTTCCCTCGGGAAAAAAATGTAGAAATAGGAACTCAAGATTTTGAAGAAGAAGCATGCAGCAACAAATAAAGAAAGTAGGAGCATTTCTAGCAAGGAGTCGTTTTGACAAATGAAGAAAACAATCTTGCGTTTCATTGCACCGCACGGTGGTGTCCCTTGACTCCTCACTCTTCGACATGCTTTTCTATCCCAAGGGGACGGTTAAACATGGAAAGCAAGACGTATTTTCCCATCCTGATGAGGTACCATTTCTGGTTTTTCAAGGAGGAGATGAAGTGATGGAGTATTGTTGTCTCTCAGTAGCTAAATGATTCATGTAAATTATGAGGCAAGCTAATACCACCATCAGTTCATCAAATTATGGTAGATGAAACTATGACAAGGCCGCCTCATGCTCTCCAAAAATAAACGACCTCTTTTATGCTTCCGATCGTTAGGTAGCAGTTATTCTGACAATGACAAAATCGATTTCATCGACTCCCTCAATTTTTTTTCCCACGAAGTTTTCCCTCGACTGTCTTCTCCCTAAAAAGCAGTACAATAACTATTTTGAAGATCAAGTACATATAAGTCGACGATATTCGTACTCTTTTTTTTCTTTCGCCTCCAGACATATCTCTGTATCATTAATTCTTTTTTATTTATTTATCATGAAGTTGAGTACCGCTGCTCTTATCAACTGCGCATTGTTCGGTCTTGTTACAGCTCAACAAGCTATTGTATCTATCACCTCGCCTTTGGCCGGCACCAAATATAAAGCAGGTCAAGATGCCATTATTTCCTGGATCAACCCTACTACATCCACTATCAGCCAGATCGTGTTGGCCAAGGGTCCCTCAACCGCGTTACAACCGGTGATGACTATCGCACAAAATGTGAATGCTGCCGATGGAAGCTACACTTGGAAGATTCCCATGGATATCGAAAACAGCGAAGAATGTAAGTTGCCGATCTCTAAGAAAGAAAGAAAAGAAAAGAAAAAAAAAAGGGGGGGGGGCGGAGGGGATCTGGAAAAATAGACCAAAATCGCTCATCATTATCCATGGAAACAGATGCTTTTGAACTTGGCACTTCTCCCGACCTTGCGTTTGCTGGTCACTTTACCATCGAAGGTGGTGTGGGTGCTAGCAGCGGTAGCAGTAGCAGCAACAACAGTTCGGCTGCCGCGCAGCCTACCAATGGTACACACACGGGTACTTCAGCATCCAGCGCTCCTTCAGGTGCTTCTGCCAGTTTGGCTCCCAGTGCTTCTGGTAACTTGGCTCCTTCTCCTGCTTCTTCCCCGGCTGTCACTCCCGCTGCCCCTCCTGCCACCCCGGCTGCCTCCAACGACAACAAACCCACCAATGCCGCCAGTCCTCGTTCATCTTCCGTCACTTCTCCCTCGTCCTCGGACTCGACCCAAAATGTGCCCATGGTCGCTAAAGTTGTACTTGCCATGGGTGTCAGTCTTGTGGCTCGCAGCTACCTCTAATCTTGTTTCTTTTTAACCCACCTTTTTTTTACATCATAAGAACAACTCCCCATTTTCTTTCTCCTTGTCTAGAATTAATACGCCTCCCTTGCAGCTATTTACCATTAACAGCTTCACTACGTGAATAAAGAGTTATCATTGTTTTAGTTCTTGAACAAAACTGTCCGAGTTTGAATATCAATGATCATTATCGTCATCTTGCCAAGAACATATCAAAAGATGTGCGTCTCGTCATTAACGTATCGCACGTTGACGGTGCCTGGGGCTATTAAACTCCTGTACCGATGCATCCTCTGAGCCTTTAATGAACAATCCAAGTATCTTTCTACATTTTCACAAAGTGATTACCCTGTGCTGCTCGCCCGCTAGGTGGTACATCTTCAAAGAATTTGATGTACACCAAATCACAGACGCTGGTCAAATATTGTTGATCGATATAAGCAAAACTTGAGGTTGTTAACGCAATGTGAAGGAAGTTCGTTTTCAGAATGCTATCTGTCATAGAAACTACATGAAAGTTTATTGAGTCGATTATAAAGATGACACAATCGGAAGCCCATGATAGAGGGATTCAACCGGCAAGGGCAAGGCTGTTTCTGGGGCGATATTCCTTTGAAGCAACGGTGCGATTTGCACTTGGTGTTATGAAATAAGGACATCTGTGATTTCATTAAATATGAAATCTGGAGGTTTGGAGAGTGTCCTCCGTCGCAAAGAGGCTGCACGTCCGTAGGATCAAAGCCAGCGGAAACAAAAAGCCAAAGAGACAAAATAAATCTCAATCAGTTACTCTGCTAATGCTCCTTTACTGTTATTCACAAGCCGTCAGTTCTAGAGTTAAAGTATGTTTCTATCCTATTTTTTACCATGTTACATATTAGAAAACCCAGTGAATTGCCTCGAAAGTAACCTCTACGGTGATTAGTATGATAATCATCCATTCCAAAGTCAACGAATGCTTTTCGGATAAATGTTCCTTGAGAATAGAAGCCAGTTCATTTGCATAATCTAAAGGCATAGTACAAGGTATAAGTTAACATTTCCCAGGCAATACGCAGAAATGGCAGAATGGGTCTTACCGAGCTTCTTGTTTAGAATAGCAATTCTAGGCCGCACATCTAGATGCCGTGAGATTTTGTGATAGTACTCTGTGGTTTTAAGAAAAAGTCAGTATTGTATAAGGGATGTGATCATTGACACTTGCTGTTACCTTCCAGTTCAGGCCGAGCCCAATAGAAATCGGGTGTATCCAAAAAGCTTTCTCCAGCGCTTAAATTCAATTGTTGACGGAAACTCAACAGCTCGCCCACTTTCATCAGAATCTCTCGACGTGTCAAGGGGATCTTTTTTCCCTGTAACATGAGGATCGGGATATGCTTTGTCGATGATAAATAGTTTTCCAACATGGATTCCAAGACGGACAACTTTGCTGATCTAGCCAAACCATGCGAGAAGGAAATCCTTGACAGTGTCAGAGAAGGGATGTGAGGGTTTAACAAGATCACTTCTCCTTTCATATCAGTGGCTCTAATGAAGCGAAACAAAGAATCCATGAGCCAGCGCTGTTTCATGCAGCTTTTTAGGCAATTCTTACTCGTCCTCGTCGATAACGTATTCAGCATCTTCGGTTTCGATCGCCTGAATGCTGTGGATTTCAAATCCAGGCAACTTGCGAATACAATCCTGCAAAAACTGTTGTTCGCAATTTTCCTGGACACCCCATGCCACAAAGGTACCATTTGAAAATACAAACATTTCTCCTCCGCCCTGACTCGGATCCACTTGAATGTGCAGAATATCGGGTGTAATCAATGGCATGACCTTGAAAGTAGATGAAGAGGAGAGATGTTTTTCCAAGAGCGACAATTGATATTCTTCAGCCGTGCAATAAGCTCTACATTTGTAGGTCTATTTTCACAAGGTTAGAAAATGGTACAATCAGTCATATTCCTTCCATATTTACATGTGGGGTGAATGGAGCGGGCATCATATCAGTCATCCCGGCGTCCACTTCCATCACCCGCTTCAGCAGATTCTGCAACGCTCCAGCATCCTTCTCTTGACCGACTCGACGTATATTTGAGCGAGTTTGAGTTGACATGAATCGCTGCGAAAGGGCATTTTCAAAGTTAAAAAGAGTGCTTGCGTTGTACATGGAAACGTGAGGCAATCACCATAGCTGTGAATCCGGATTGGGCTAATGGTCGACGGGTTGAAAGACGAACCGTTTGTGCTGCGACCGACTTGACGCATAATGAACATCCCAGCACAATACATGCCCAATTTAACAAAGTATACAAGAGTACTCACGGCCAACATGCGCGGAACAAGCATGCCTCTCATACTGATCTTTTTTCTGCTTCTTTTTATCGCGTGAACAAAATGAAGGGAAACCTGTCTGAAAGGATACACAAAATTGACTTTTTGGTTCCCGAGTCACGCATGAAAAAAGACATGCGTTGATAAAACATGCACCAACTATGGATATGATATTTGATGAAAAAGTTGAAGCCGAGTACTACTGTATAGGATACCAAGCATCAATCCAATTGCAATGGACTCTCTGTCATAGAGCCGGCCGTTATAATAGGTTTGGATGGGCCGTAATGAGGGGGCAACCAAGGAAGATCACCTGGTCATTGTCCCGGTCCCAACAGAAAGACGCGACAGTTAATAGATTACATCTCATCTTGATATGCATTCCCCAAATGGGTGATTTTATTTATTACTATTACCATTTCATTGTTCAAGCATTCATGGTTGCGTCCAAGTGGTGAAATTGCAGAACCAAAAATTATAAAATTTAAAAATTTTACAGTCCTTCCAACTTGCTTTTGCTATTTTATTGTCTCATTTTTCGCGATGGAAGTTCAAATGGAAGATGTTGAGCTGACGCCTTCCATTATATCCTCAGTACACGTTACCAAACGTTTCAAAGATAATCAGAAACCCATTACCTCTCTCTGTTTCGACGATTCCGGCGAATTTTGCGTTACTTCCGGAGAAGACGAAAGTCTCAACGTTTACGATTGCAGAGAAGCAAAGTATGACAGTGTTGGTGTACCAAAAATAAAAAAAAGCCGGTGACATTGTAGACTCACAGTATTTCTAGATTACGATCGACGCTATACAGCAAAAAGTATGGTGTTAACTTGGCTCGATTCACTCACAGCAAAAGCACAGTTGTGTATGCTTCCACAAAAGAAGATGGTAAGTTTGAAGAAAGGGCTTCCAAGTAGAATTTATGGCTTATTGATCTCGTAGATACGCTTCGATACCTGTCTTTGCACGATAACAAGTACATTCGCTATTTTAGAGGACACAAAAATAAGTACGGCAGACAATGTGAACTGTTATGCAGGAAGTGACCGGTCACTGACATGTGTTTTATGGACAGGGTCGTGGCTTTAGAAATGTCTCCGTTGGATGATCAGTTAATGTCAGCCGCATTAGACGACAGCATTCGACTATGGGATCTACGCTCATCAACGTGTCAGGTACGTTCCAAAACGGAATATGGGTCATCATGGGGAGGATAGGCAGTCTCTGACAAAAAGTCCAATCGTCTATAGGGGATGATTCAAATTAAAGGACGACCCACAATTGCATTTGATCCTTCAGGCTTGGTATTTGCTGTGGGCATCGGATCCGATACCATTAAAATGTATGACTTACGGGCGTATGAAACGGTAAGTCGACTGTGTGGAGAACGATCACCATGGCAGAAGCCTGATACTCAAACGTGGGGTATATTTTTTAGGGACCGTTTGCCACTTGGGTCTTGCGCGATCCTTACACTCAACAAGGCATGAATGAGTGGACAAAGTTCAAATTTACGAGGGACGGAAAGCAAATCATGATTTCCACTGCCGGCAACTGCCATTACATGGTCGATTCTTTCGAAGGAAACTTACAGCAGCGACTGGTCGGTCACAGTCCAACCCTTCCCGGTAATGTCGGCGAAGCAGTGGGGCTTTCTCCAGATGCCAAATACGCATTCTCAGGTACATATCTTATATTAGCCTACCAGTACTCCAAGGCAATTATCTAACATGACTGTAGGTGGATCGGATGGCACAATGGCTATATGGGATATACAAAATCCCAATATGGAAAACAAACCGTTGACAAAATTGCAGACCCCTCATCAACAAGGCATCAGTGTTTTTGGTTTCAATCCCTCTCTTCTTATGATGGTCACTGGCAATGAAGACCTGGTAAGTCCGCCTTTAATGGTTGCATCTCGTTTTCTTTTTTTTTTTCTTTTTTTTTTTGCAAACGACCCCAGTTCCCCGATCATTTCAGAGTCTGACGAAATGCTGTCGGTTTTATAATGGTCGAAGATATCTTTACCTTTCTTCAAAAATGATTTTACTCCATGTATTATTACATGGACCTTTAAATATCTCGATATTAACATTCACATAGGCTTTCTGGGAACCGAAACTGTGAGAAAAGGTACTTTTTTTTCCCACCATTTTTGTATATTAGAATCTGTCATGAACGGGTGAGCGGGAAAGAAAAAACCATACATAATATGTACTTAGCATCTCAATCTTATTGCAACAAAATAATACACCATACATATCATGTTATACCTAACAAGGTAAACTACGGGGAATGCCAGGTGCTGTAGACTCTGTGTCTCTATCCAAAGAAGACATGTTTCCTGTTGTGTTATGAATATCTGGCTCCCACATCATTCCACAATCAAAAACTTTGGTCAATACTTTACATGGTTGGCAATCGCTTTATAAGAACGTCTATGCGTGGTCAAACCTAAAACATCATCGACTGAAATGTTAGACATGGATGAATGGGTTTGAAAAAAACAGTATTTATCGTAAAAAAAAAAAAAAGAGTTATCGTGTGGTGGGGGATAAAAAAAAAGACCGATGTACCTACCATCGGACAAAAAAGTGATAAGGTGTGGTACTGAAACAATGAGGGCAAACGAAATGTACAAATTTAACAAAAAAAAAGATAGTTATCATAGAAACACAAAAGAGAAAGAGACTTTATGGCAGGTAAAAAAGGGGATTTACACTCGTGGTTTGAAGCTGTTGGCATTCTCTTGGAAGAACTTCCGCAGAGATCGACAGGGCAATGAAGTGATCACACTGGCATGTGGAACGCATATGCTGCTGGCACTTTTGTGGACCCAATCAAAGTAATCCAGGTATGTACTAATCTGAGTGGCTACATGGACAAGGAATAGGTAAATGACAGATAGAAATGGTTGACGTACAAAAAAAGTGCAACTAACCTGTAGGGATGGCAAATGCTTTGGTGCGGTAACTGTACCCTTCGAACGTGTCATGGTATATTTGTCGATTTTCTTGTTTGAGACGAGCATCAAACCAGATGTCTCTTCGCAGATTTTCAAGATAGTATCGGATATCCATTGAGCGGGTTGGCTCAAATGTAAGCTTGGTGTATCCGGTCGTCTCACACAACATTTCCATAATCTGTTTCCCCGTGACGGACTGCGGTCCCGTTAATGTGTACACCTGCCCAATATGGTCGTCTTCCAACTTTGACACCAGGTTCTTGTTCCTGTCTAATACCAGTTCTTCGATGACTTTGCAGATATCGCTCATATCAATGGGACATATCTCGGTATCATCTGGAATGGGTAGAGGAAATCGTCGGTGCTTTTCAACATAGGATGCCCAAAGGTGAAAGTTTTGGTTGATCCACTCGGGTCTATACAAGAATAAAAAATGTCATTAACCCTGTTCCCTCTGACCTATTCAAATGTGTGGAGAAAGCATATGGGCTAGCGTACCTGAGGATAATCCAATCGCAATCGGAATTGACGACTTGGTCCTCGATTTCAGCATAGTGTTGAAGCGATGGATGTGCATGAGATACCGCTCCCACGTGTGATACAAAGATAATGGATTTGACGCCCGACTGAATGGCCGTCTGGCACACATATTTAGCATGCTCCAAACGATCGAATTCATTGCCGAGAGTGAGAATCATATGGTCGACACCTCGCATGGCTAATGATAATTGATGAGGATGATGATATTCCACTTGTCGCACGTCCACGCCTTTGTTCGCAAAATTAATGCATGGTTGTTGATTCTGGCACAAGGCTCGTATTTGGGATCGAGCATTTTCATAGCGCGATAGATGGGAAATGATGGAGTGGCCAAGAGCTTGGTCTGCACCAGTGATGAGAAGCATAATTGATTTGATAACACAACGAGTAGTCAAGTCAACGGAGAAACCGCTGGTGAAATATGATGGAAGGCGGTATTTATTGATTTTATTTTTTGTTTGTATAAGGTCTGCAGGTTGGAGAAATGATACAGTAAAAGCCTATGCATACTTTTCGTTCGTACATCCCCTGGTCAGCACACACTTTTTTTTTTCTATTTGCTCACTCTGACTTTTTTTATGTCCCCCAAAGCTGAAACAAACGTCCCCTAGGTATTTGTTTCCTCGGAATTAACAACCACACAATTTTTAGCTTCTTGCATTATTTTTAACAACAAAGATATACTGCCCTTTTATTGCGCCCAATTTCCTTTTTTTCTTTCCCTCTCTCTTTTTAAAATAAGGGAAAAACCATAAATATTAAAGACCAAGAGTAAATTGTTGCTGCGCTTTTTTTTTCTGCTTTGCCCAAATGATAAAGCGAACTAGTGTCCATTCATATCCTGACTGGACGTAAAAGTTATTTATATCATACTTTTTCACCGCTCCGTTCACTATGGCTAAACCGTTTCGTAAAGATCATGCAGCAATCTACACCAGCTTCTTCTTCATACATACAGATACATAATTTATATATATACATATATAAGGTTGTATGAGTAGATACCTGTATGCACCTCTATGTTATAACCGACGGAAAAACAAAAAAAAAGTCAACAACGGCGTTCCAGATGATCATTCAATGGAATTCAGCCCCATCCTCCACGGAAATAAGATAAGTTTTTTCCCATTTGCTTCCGCACATTTTGATGTCCAAGACAGACACGTTATCAGCGGATCATTTTTGAAAAAGAAAAAAAAAAAAAAAGAAACCAAAGATGACGGTATTTCTCGCATGGTGAAGCTTGATTCTGGTTTCAATAGTATCGCGCGCGGGTCAACTGCATAAAAGGAAACTCTTTCACGCCCAAATGTCAGTTTAATCCAATTGCTTTCATTCTTTAACGCACATGCTTCGAAAGACCCTCGTTCGTTTGCAAACGAATTGTCATTCAAACCAGGATATTTCCTTTTCTATTTCGATGATCGGGAAGTCACGATACGCATTTTGCAGTAATGCCAGTTATAAATCTTGTCATTGATCTTTTTTCTTATCGATACAGTAGGTAGGTGGATTTTGATTAGTTAATCATGATGCAAGTCCGTGATGAGGATGAAATTTCGGCCAAGCTTTTTTCGGATGCAGATGGCTAACTGCGCCCTTTGCGAAGCCCAACGATTCTGCATGAAATACATTATCTATGCTGTCATATTTACGCATCTATTTTCCACCTTTCAACCAGCCATTGCATCTTGAATCTTTTTACACATAAAAGCGGCTATTAATACATCATTGTCGGTGTTTGGGACCAGTTTACACCATGGCTCCTCCACATGCTTTTTACCACGAAGACGAAAAAAAGTTATCCAAGCAAACAAACGAAATCTATTCAAGGTCATTGGGCTCCCTTGAAATCAGCTATATCATTGGTGCCAAAATAAAGTGACTGGAAGTTAATGCTTGGAATTGGGGCGGTCGAAGCCCATAGAATGGTTGTGATCAACCCCATACAAAGTGCAGCATTGGAGAAGACTTGATGATCCCATACGGATGCTCTGAAATATCGTCATTGAGCGATCATTTGGTACCAATGCAGTAAACCAATGATCTTTCTCCCAAATAGCCATCACGTTACTCAAAAAGTGAAGGGTTGACGAACTAAACATTGACCACGCGCTAATGAGAGGGATGATAAATCCCGACTTCCAGGACCTGTGCCAAGCAAGAAAATTATGCGCTCGTTTTTTTTTGAAGGCTTGACATTTCCCAGCTATGGGTAATACTAGTAGTATCATGGAATACATTTCTTCTATCTTCTCGAGTAAAGCGTCACAGACCGTTACAGAGTCGCTCGGTTAATTCTTACTGCTTTCGATTTGAGAGTGCAAGACTTGTTCAGGAAAAATCGTATCGGGAAAATTTTTTTGATTTCAAGGCTCTCTATTGGCTGCTGTGACTTTCCTTTCCTGCGACCTTTTTTTTTTTTTTTTTTTTTTTTTTTTTTTTTTTTTTTTTTTTTTTTCTTGGTTCATTCTGCGCTTTGCTAATTGATTGTGTTATTTTTGTTTTTTGTCTCTGAGCGTTGTCTATTTTCTTTCAAGCATTTTTGTTATTATCGTCGCGGATCAAAAAGCACCAAGCATGAGAAAATGTCTAGTAAAAATGCAACCGACATCATCAGTTTACATGCCAACGTGGATGGTAATATAAGCACGAGCACGACCACTGCATTGGCCATTGTCAATTTGCCTGGCAAAGGAAGAGGTTACGTCGCAACGCAACCGATCAAGGCTGGATCGATCGTGCATACAGCGGTTCCATTGGCGACAACAGTTTCGCAAGAATGGATGCCTGAAACGTGCATGTGGTGCTTTGCTTTCAGTTATCCTAAACGCTTACGTGTCAAAGCCGTCTCAGAGGACGACACCAAGCAACTGTGCCATCAATGGAGTACCAGATCACGACGAAAGCATACCAAGGCCGCTAAAACGTTCCATTTGAAAGACGCATTGTTCTGCTCTGAAGAGTGTAAGCAGCAGTGGAAAGAGGCTGGATACCCGGGTGAATGGGAGCTGGTTGTTGCCAGTTTTAGCCGACTCGACAAGGAGTTCAAACGGAGGGTGGATGTGGATGAAGACACTCCAATGGATGGACATCCTTTTCTGAAAAAGGAGATTTTGCCGTTGGTGCATGGTGAATGTGATTGGATCGATTTAAACGATGACAGCGCTTTACAAATTTGGATCGACGATGCATGGACCTGTGCGACGGAGCATCCGGACATTCTATTTCAGCAAACCATCTCGGATATGGACCGCACAATGTGTCGACTCATTGCAGCTTGTCTTGCCCGTCGGCAATGCGAGCAAGCTTATTTATTCCACAACAACACGCTGCCGAGTTTTGAGGATCTACAGGTTGTACAAGACAACGAGCTAGCCCATTTTAGATTACACTACCCATCCGATGGCACGGGTCTCGTGCGACGCAGGTCCGCTCAGTCTCTTGATCACATCCCCGTTGAAGTGCTACAAATAATGCACCTTTATTTGTTCTTTGCAGAAGCCATGGCAGCCACCGGCACCGAACCTTCCCTGAACCACTCTCAACAACTTTTCCGGTTTATCTATTTTCGAGAGATGTCCAACAGTTTTGGTTTATGGGAGCGACCGGATTCCGATGCTGTAACGGACGATCAAGAACTGTTAGGCTGGGGAATCTACACGTCGGCAGTGTATTTCAATCATTCTTGTGACGCCAATGTCATCAAACGGCGCCAGGGCCGGACCATGCAGTTTGTGGCCAAACGCGACATTGCCCAGGGGGAGGAAGCTTGCATATCCTACGGATCTGTGGAAGACAGTCTCAAAGGGCGAAGAAAACGGTTGTGGGAAAACTATCACTTCAAATGCGCTTGCGTCCGGTGTCTTCAAGAAGAGGAAGCCCAATACCAAACAAAGAGCATAGAATCATCATAGTAAAATTCATTTTTTTTTATCTATTCCCAGTGATTTTCATCTGTTTCTATTCATTTTTATCTTTCATTCTTAAAAGTACATGCATAAGTTTGACATACAAAATATACAACGCACCATTCCCAATTTTTTTTGGGGGGGTTAATGACCCAGTTGTTCTAATCTTAGCTGCGGCGCCGCTTTGCGCATGGACTTCCACCACTCCGGCAAACGACCCGTCACTATATCGGTGGATTGCCACCCTGCCAAATCTTTGTCCAATGGCCATCCTTCGGCCCACGCATTCATACGATCGACAAGTGCAAATTCTTTATCCGCCCCCAGAATGATGTTGGAACGATCATTGGACAAGCGACGTGCCCCTTCTTCTTCAAACATGGCTTCTCTGGAAGGAATGGTTGCATGGCCGCTCCAACATCGTGCAATGACCATACTTTGCGATTGCGCAAATGGAAGAGGAACCGTGCGGATAGGCAATCCAACAAAGGCAAGCGTCGGGTTCTTAATGTAAAACAGGTACTTGTACAAATTTTGTACGTTTTGTCCGTCCACAATGAGATCCTTCTCAAATCGCAAGAAAGGGAAGCTGTAAAGAAAGCCGGTAGCAAATATGATAGTATCGACATCTTTCAATATGGTGCCATTTTGGCATTCGATTGATCCATCCTCGTTGAATCTTGTCAAAACGGTGGTAGACTGAACGTTGGGAAGCGAACTTCCTTGTGCCGAAAGAAGAGCCCCATCCTCCGTTCTCATGCTGTGATATATCCGCTTCGCATAGCTCGACGTCTCTCGTACAATATCCCTGGCTGATGGGCCACCACCAATAACCACGAGATTCTAATTCAAGAGACAATGAGTACATGTTAAATATCGTAAATAGGTCGTGCGTCAATATTACTTGGTCCCGGTAAGCATCGGGATAGCGATAATCTCGAGAATGCATAATGCGAAGCTTTTTCGAGGCATGGACAATACCGTCAATGGCAGGAATATGAGGAACCGTATAATGACCCGAGGCAACAACCACAGCATCATACTCCTCTGTATACTTTCTACCTTCTTTTCCGACTTCCACCAGCGACAATCGCCATACGGATTCAGAATCCAGAAACTCGGCGTCCAGCACAGAGGTATTGAGTCGGATCATGGGTTGTAACTGGCATGAGTCAGCTACTGACTTTAGATACTTTAGCACTTGTTCGTGGGTTGGGAACATGGGGGTGCCTGGCTCGAATGGAAGATCCCGGAAGCACATGACGGCATGAGGCAAGTTGGTGCGCAAGTTGGCGTACATGGAAGCTTTTTTTGGCGGATAGTAGATTCCTGGTGGTTCAATGTCCAAAGCATTGACGGACGGAATATCCAATGAAGGGTTCGCTTGAGGAGAAAACAGCCTGTCCCGAAAACGTCGGATAAAGGACGATTGCTGACATGCATAATCAGCACTTACCATGTTCCGCCCACTTCGGCATTTCGTTCAAACACTGTGATTTTACTGAATGCGCCTTGATCCCTTAATGCTCTCGCAGCTGCAAGGCCTGTGGGACCGCCGCCTATGACAGCAACTCGAGATATCTTGTGAGCAGCCGATAATGCAACCATTAGTAGAATGAGTTGTGAAGGTGATTCGATTTTGAAAGTCAGGTCAGAAATAACCCAATTCCAACCACCGAAAACAGATAAAACATTAAAATATCGATTCGAGACATATCAACTAAAGTTTTGTATTCGAATCAAAGTCAACATAGTTCTATGTCAGGGTGAATCAAAGGTATCCAATTTTTTGATTTCGATTACCACGCAGCTACAGTAAACCGAGAGAGAATATTGTTCACACATGATGAATTTGTGGTTTAACATGACCGATCACAACAAACACGTCGATGAATAATTGACAAATAAAACAGTTGGCTGTTATATTTTATAGTGCAGCAACACGGTATTTTGCTTGGAATAATAAATAAATAATTAGAGTCTGGCGTTGGGGAACTTTCTCATGGCCTGTCGAATACCAAGATCGGCCATGATCTCTTCGGCACCGCCAAGGATAGCCTAATCGAGAGAACGGGTTAAAAGTGAGTGAGGATACAACAAATCAAGTTCACTGTTTTCATCTTACCGAGAACTTGTAGGTTCTTTGCATAGTTTCAATAACTCTTCCCATACCGGTCTTGGTAAGAGCTCTTCCACCTAATTAATGAATGTGTAACAACCAAGTCAGAACTCGGGCGGGAATCTTATACAACAACATTTCATATGTTACGTACCAAAGATTTGGCATGCTTCATCAGAAACGTCATGCAACATGCGGGTCGATTGGTATTTGCACAATGCAATAGGACCCGCCAATTTTTCCGCCTGCTCAAAGTAATCCATGTGGCACATCTGATACGTAATGTTTTCGATCCAGTTGTGGACACTTTCGACGGAAGCCACCTTTTTTTGAACGACGGTGATTAGCAATGATACTTGCTTATTTTTCTCCCCCATCACTTACCATCTTGGCCAACTTGTTGCGGATCACAGGTTGATCGATCAATCGCTTACCAAAGACCTTTCGTTGATTGGCCCATTTGAAGCATTCTTCAACCGCTAAACGAGCCCCCATCGAGGCTCCGGTAAGCATCACCCAACGTTCGTGGTTAAAGTTGGATAACACGACTTGGAAACCGTGGTTCTCCTTGCCCAACAAGTTTTCAACAGGCACTTTCACCTAATGTGTCGTCGGTAAGAGATGAGAAACAAAAACATGTCATGGGAAATATATTGAATTCACCTACATTTTCAAAGATCACAAGAGCGGTACCGGCGCTTGGGGAATAAGAAGTCTTAATAGCTTTGGTTTCAACGCCCTCACCACGTTCAATCAAAAGCATCGACATGCCTTTGTCGGTCTTGACAGCCACCGAGAAATAATCGGCCCAACGTCCTTTAATAGTAAGAGTATGAGAATGAGCATGATAGCTTGATAAAAACACGGAGCGGCGGAGCATACATACCGGTGGTGATCCATTTCTTCACACCATTCACAATGTAGTATTTGCCATCGGGAGTGCGGGTGGCGGTGGTGCGGATGCGAGCCACATCGGAGCCAGCATAAGGTTCGGTGATGGCCAAGCACATTCGCTTCTTACCAGATAACACTTCAGGAACAATCTTGGGGAGTGAAGATCAGTATCACAGCAGGGTCGTTGGTATGTCTCATTGAATTATTTACCTTGGCTTTGAGCGCAGCAGAACCGAAATTGAGAACGGTAGGAAGGGAAATCACCATACCGCCAATAAGACCATCATCAGTACCGCGCACGCCCCATCTGTAAAAGACAATATCCTTATTAGTAATTGTCCTTTTGAGGTTTCCAATATAATCTCTTATCGAATAGCTTGCTCACCTAGCCATCTCTTCGTGAACAATCATTTCGTGGAAGTAATCGTATTCTTCGGGCTTGACATCGCCGGGCAACTTGATGCCCTTCAAGTGAGGTCCAGGACCGATATTGGCGGCCAAAATACCAGCTTCACCGAGGGTGCGAACGAATTCATCAGTGGGCTTGACACCTTCATCTTCAAAGCGACGAGCTTCCAGAGCCATGCCATCCAGAATTTCGCGGACCGCCACTCGGAAGCGGAAGTGAGATTCCCTTAAATGTTGAATCAAATCAATGAGTTGGGAGCGATCCACAACTGTGCAGGAAAGCACTGTCATCTTTTTACTCACTTGAAATAGGGCGACTTGAAGCCCATCCAAGCACTGGATTCAGCGTAAGGCACCTTGGAAAGGGCACCAGCTTGACGAATTTCATATTTGGGCTCTTCATTGGCGACGGTGCCAATCTTGTAGCGAGCGTATTTCACGAGCACTTCTTGTCTGTGAAGACCGTAAAAGTCTTCCGTGGCATCTTTACCGGCAAATTCGAGAATGGGATAAGCACCACCAGGATGCAAATCCACAAAACGGCTCATGTCATAAACACAAGCATCAATAATGATCCAAAGATCGTTTTCGGAAGCATGGCGACTAACTTCTTCACGCGTAAAGGTTTTTAAGCTCATTGGAATAGTTGTTTATAGAGTGGGGAGGTAAAAAGTGCAATACAGTGTCAGGGAAGAAGAAAGCTTTACATGTGAAGATTAAAATTCATGGATGGGAAAATTCAGTGGATTGAGCGCACTTTCAAATGACCCATTTTTCCTTAGTCAGCCTGGAAGCAGAATCATGCAAAAGAAGAGAAACAAAATTATACTTACAACCAATAACAAACGCCCGCAAAAACATTCTGAAATCAAAAAAAGTCCTGATGTACGATCTTCATCTCTAATGACTAGGTAATCCTTTGCAACACTCAGGCCACCTAGGAGAAGTCCGCTGCCGAAGCCAATACTGCACAGAGGGCAATCCTTGGTATTATAGACAACGGGAAACCTCCCTTCCCTAATAATATATAGCTGCAGTAGTTGCTTCACACAAAGGTCATTGATTTAATTCAGTTTAACCATGCATCTGTATTTTGTACGTCGTCTGCACGCCTTCGTCTCCACTTCCAACCGTAACAGTCGCGACAGACATGTATTCAAATAAATTCGAATTACCACCAACGGCTATCAAAATACAAGATAAGCAACTCTAAAAGTGCACAAAGATCAATTATAAATTTTTATTTCATTTTTTTTATGGATCATTTTTTCTGCAAAGCCTTATAACGTCGCAATGACCTTAAGTATGTTACAATTGCAGACACCCGTGTCGCTTTAATGTGTTTTATATGCAGTGGGTTGATGTGGCAAAAGCCTGTTATTTCTATAGGATCTCAGATTAGAGAGAACTTGTATTCGATGTCCCTAGATTTTCACGAGGCACAGCAGCTAGAATCTGATCAAAGTTACATTGATGCGGTATCTCCGTGATACAGATGAGTGAAACATGCATAAGTTATGTTGGCTTGCGCAAATGTCGATAGACAGTGGATCCTGCTCCATCTTTGACTGATAGACTGATGTGAATGGAATCATTATCACATGCAACTGGAAATACTATTTGTTATGATATTCTCCTTTTTTTTTTAACACCACCTGTGGCTCGTCAGCTGTGGACCTACTAAACCTAAAATTCCGGATCCGCGATGTCTCTACGCCCAATAAAAAAGAAAGATTTGGATAGGAGTATGTAGTGTTTATATTTGCATGAATAAAATGTAGATTAGAGATGGGAAAAAAAATGAGATACTAGGCGAGGTAGGAAAGGGAACGGCGGCTAAAAACCAAGGGGGCACTTCGGCAGGAATTTGTCCGGTCCAAGTTCCTCCACCTTGTAGCCTTGTGCATAAACACATCGGGAGATTTCATAGAGAGGCATGTATCGACCGTTTTCTGCTTTCCTTAGCGGTGTACGAATAAGGTATTTGCGTCTTGGCAAGCAACAATATCGGATGAACTTGGCGCGTGTATACACGATAACGTGGAATAAAACTCTCACCCACCATGATGGGGCGTCAATGCCAAAATAAATATAATCATTTGGTTCCAAAAGGCAGGGCACAAATTTGAAAACGATTGGTCGTAGAAACGCCGGTAATGTCGATAAAACGTGGTTGATGGTTGGAATCGCCACTTGCCAGTTCGTCGGGCTGTAACGACAAAGCTTTTTCTCATAGTGCTATGTGGATAATATCGGTTCCTCAATTCTCTGTCGTCTTGCAAATGCATATAACTACGCTTACCCCTTTTAAAGCAAGCAACTCCTCCTTGGTTTCGGGGATGTCCTTGATGTTCATGGCTCTGCCGAGATCCGTCCATACACGAAACATAGCCTAAATACCCCCAATTTCCATGATTTTAGTCTTTGCTGGTGTCGCATTGAATTTCGGCACTGACTTACGTTCATCTCTCGAACATCCATCTCTCTCCATTCGTACGAGTTGATCCATCGCGAGGGCTCGGCCAAAAACAAGGCGAGTGTAAAAAGATAGTCGTCGTTGGAGATAGGGTAGGCACCGTGGATTAGGTTCAAACGTTCAATGGCTTTCTGGGACCGCTCTTCCTGCAGTTTGATATCGTCGTCTGTGACTTCTAGATTGTCCATGAGGGTATTGTGGATGCGTGCAAAAGGATCGATGATCTCGGATAAGATTAATTCCGTGTCTTCAGTGCGACGCGTACTGTCTTTGGCAAATTCGCCCGTGGCAACAAGAAGTTTGCTGACTGACGGTACCGTGAACGTCTTGAACAAAGCAAATTCCAAGCCTTCGCGCGCTAAAGCTGTGGACACGCGTGAGTGGATCACAGGAATGCAATGGCGCTCTGAAAGTGCATGAGGAAATGTATGATGGAAGACTTACTTGGAAACTCCCTTCTAAAGGTTTCGGTGAATATCTCTACGGCAATGTCTCTATTTTCTAATACGACGTTGGGATCCGGGTACTTTCTGCGGATTTCATTGATATGTTGAAATCGATAGTATCGGACCACACCCAGGTATAGGGTGGTCAGCACAGTAGCCGTCAGAGCACCTATCCGGACCAGGTCTTGAGAACTCAATATGTCGGGGTACAACAAAAGATTAAATGAAGGGAATTCCATCATGAACAAATAGGTCATATTTCAGATTGTGAGAACATTCTCTTTTTATACCACAAAGCTCCATCTCGTCAAACCCCCCCTGAACCCACTGTCAAATAACCAGTCAAAGCTAAAGTTTAATCGCGTAGTAGGGCTGCACCACGGTGATCATGTTGCCACTGGCTACCTGTCACTTGTGCAACGTAACTGACCCTTTCACTGGGCCTTTTGCAGCGCCCATTCTTCTCCTTTTTCTCCCCGTCACTTTCCAATATTAAGTTCATCATGGCGGCGTACTACGTTATCGATCAAGTCAGCCCAATTGTCACCATAGAAGTCACTCAAAATTTCACCCAGCACACTATTAAATTGTTTTGATAGTGTGCGTTGAAAACCTTGTGAGGGACTACTTTAGCCAATCCATGGAACCTTTTTTTTTTTTAATGTAACTGAGCACGACCCAAGTCGCAGTTAAAAAGTTCCAGAACCGAAACTGTGAGCACCGATCGGTCCCACATTGACTGCACTTGTACAGAAGTTCGTTAATCCGTATTAGGCAAGTGGGATCCGAATGCAGCAAGCGATAAATAAAGCAAAAAAAAACCAAGCTTTTGGCTGGGAGCTGCTACCGGTTTTCCCTCCTTCCCACAAAGGCCTAGTCCAATTACAAGGTTTGATCATGCCACGAATAGAACTCAGAATCACGGGATGCAAGTGCAAGACAACGGAGACATGCGATGCCTTGGCAATTGATTTCTCATCAGTCCTGTTGGCTGCAGGCTCATATTTTATCCACGCTGCAGGCACAATCATCGCACATCTGTTACCTAAAATAGGTTTTCAACAAAGCAGGCCCTGTCTTTTACTGATACTTGCCCACAGTTCCTAGACCCAAAAATCGCAAAACAACAGTTGGTTCCATTGTTGTATTTCAAATAATCTAAGCTGATACTACCGATTAGGCATATGTTCTTTGACTGTCGGTTCTTGCGTGACAAAGGGGAAGAAGCATTTGGAACCATCCCGGTCGATTTGTGGATGGACACAGCTGAGGCCCTATAATTACAAAGCATCACACGTCACCCCAAGCCATAATTATACCGCGATACTTGTGCACGCTTATGACTTGACTCGTCTTTGGTGCAATTTACATGATGATAAGCAAACCGTGTCCTCAATAAGATCGTAAAATCATCTGATGGGCAGTCTTGAGATCACAGAAGAAGCCTGTATCCCTGCTGAGAAAGTCTGATAGTGATCTTTTACGGCACAGAGTGGCTGGGTTGGATGTTTCAAAGCTAATGCGCATTGCTAAACGCTCGATGTGCATTAAAGGCGTTTTGTATGGTCTCCCCTTTTTTGTTATAAAATATACGTGCGCTTTGAATGGGTTTTCAGGAGTTTGCCCAGAGAAATTCGGAAAACAAATCATTATTAGCCATGGCATTGCATAACAAACATTTCGGATGCCACGCTATTTTGGCCATAGTACCAATATCAAATGGAGGATACAAACGTGAAATGTTTTTGTTGAAAATGATGTGTGATTGTATAATTTAAAGTGATATGCACAGAAAATAACAAAAGTACAGTGTTGAGTATTGATAAATGCCAACCGAACCATTAATGATCGTAGGCGGTCAAGACGAATCCCTTGAAATAGGTGTATTGCTTGGCTGGCGTCGCCCACGACTTGCCGTTTCCGCCAAAGAAGGAATGAAACACTAAGTAAATAGTAACCTTCGTTTTAGTACAACTTTTTGATATTTTCGCGATCAAAGTAGTACTTACTGATCCCAGCTATATGTTCCTGCTTTCTGTTCTTGTGAATAAACGCAATTTTTTTGTCTTCATAGACTTTCCGTCCGTTTACATACACGGTGACACGACCATTGGGTTTACCGGGGGTGTTCATCACAAGTTTTTGAACCACGGTAGTCCACCGACCTGTCTTGAAAGTCCAAGCTCCTCGTCCCAAGCTATAGCCGTACTTTGGATTGCACACATTATTCTTGACGTCACAGAGCCCATCTCGTTGATCGGTATCCGGCAAATAGGCATACACTTCCCCCATACCATTGCTTCGCCACATGAACCTAATAATCCATTCGGCGATTATGAGTGCTCATAATTCCATTAACCGATGATACTCTTTGAAGCGTACCTTGAAGAGAAACAATTGATGGCATCGTTGCCTCCAGAGCAATGTTGTTGGCCGCCGTAAAGTCCAGGTAATTTTCCACCTAGATTGTTTTGGTTGAGATTAGGGCGCCAATGCAAATTAACTCTATAATTCAAGTCTCACCTTTGACAAACTTGAAGTTTTTGGGGAAAAATACTTTGTATTCCAACTGCACGGTTTTAACAGCTTCAGTGAGCTTGACAGGTTCTGCACTAAACCCAATGCCGCCTTGCGGTTGTGAACCAGGATTACTAGATCCATTTGGATACACTACTCGAAGTACGTAGTCGGAGCCTCCTGCGGCAGGATCTTTGACAATGGCATGATTTTTTTGGCTGCCGGACAAGGAAGGCCAGCTCCAGCCTTTTCCGTTCTTCATCCCCCACGCTTCAAGCCATTTGGCGCTTTTCGTCGAGGGATCTTTCTTGTATTTGTTCCAATTACTGAAATTCCAGTTCCATGTTCGTGCTGAGGCAATATCAATGACACAAGCTGCGATGACAATGGAGTAAAGGAGAGAAATGAGCTTGATCTTCATGATCCGGTTCGGATGGATCCCAGTTGACAATAAAAGGATGCGAAAAAAGAACCGTGCTTGGACCTTTTATAAACTCCCCAGTGCAGTTGGCGTTTCATTGGCTATCGAGATCCACTTTTATAGTAACTCAAGATTGGTTCGAAAATATATAAAAAGGCATTGCGTCGAATGCGTTGATGCAATATAAGGAGATCTCGATAGTGATCCATAATATGAAGCTATCAATTTGATTCGTCGTCACATGGATTTCCCAAAGGAAACACACCAGACAACTGAATCAGTAGTCAGCATTTTTTGTACCTTTCTGATCATGAATTTCCACCACCGCCCGGAAAATACGATCATTATGTGTAGCACGGCAACAATGTTCGGCTTTGAGATCAAAGATCGATCGTGGGTTTCATGAAAAAGGTTCGAAGCCTCCCTGATCAGATGACGAGAAAAGCTAGACGATTCTTGAAATGATGTTGCCCCTGGTTATTTTGTCATTTATGCCCCCAATGTTTATTGCTGCTGGCCCACGGAATCTCGTACCACATTCATTAACGTTGATACTGCTGGTCAATAAACATAAGCCAATGCCCATTGACATATAACATACATAGCATCGAAACTGGTACGTGATACTTGAAATTCCCATCAATATATTGAGCCGCACCAAATTCTAACGAGGTTTGCCGTGATATCGCATGGCGCAATAATATGAGACTCTTCAACTACGGACTATTGGAAGTGGTTTACATATCGCGATCCTCATGCACACAACCTTTTGTCTAACCAAAACTAAATGAATTGCATCTCCAAATAGTGTAACTTCAAAACTTTTATTCACGAAAACAAAGACAATGCTACAATAAAGAAATAACCCAACCCGTGCACCTATCTCAACCCTGATTGACACATAAAAACAATTACCGACAATTCACCATCAAGACTGTCGAATCAGATCGTGCTCCATTTTCTGCCGGCAAAGCTGTCCTACAACGCGCGAATATGGCCATTATGTTTCCAATGATACGCCACCTTCACATATACAGTGTCGGCCTCCAATGATCAGGCCGCAATTCTAACTGTGCAGGCACAGCACCTCGCCTGAGGTCAGCATATAACTTTTCGATAGCTTTCATAGTAACCTCCGAAAAAAAATGGACCGGGCTCGATGGAATCTTTCTGGAGAATCGTGCAAATATATCTTGCACCATGTTCTCCGATGAGTTGGGCAAGCCGACGTCGTGGGAACTATAAAGATGGCAGGACATTCAATCCTCGACAGGGTAGCTTACAGTGTTGATGATGGGGTTGATGGCGTTTATCGCGTACCGACGGATATAATATCTTCAAGCAAGATGGAGAAGATGGTAATGACATTGATTAGATAGAATAGATATGACATGCACGAGCCCAAGAGGAGGGGTGGAAAGACAGGAAAAAAAAAGCGTTCAATAAGGGCACGGTGTCTATTTTGTCTATTTTGGTTGCCATTGAACTCCAGAATTCGGAGCAGCTCATCGAGAGTCACAAACGCGGCGAAGACCTAGTTCAGTTTTGATCCAGTTGAACAACTTTGCTGCTGATCAATCTCCAACCATTCGAACCATGTCGAAGCAATTTGTCGCATTTTCACATCATAAACACAACGGTATACTATAACACGAAAATCTCGTTAGGACACGTGGTAACAGTAATCTAGAATTGCACAGTCTCAAGCCACTCTGCCTGCCTTGTCCACGATCAGGTAAACACGATGGATGCTATCATACGTGTGTTGCGATTACGCTAACTGTAGCTTTCTCTTTAGGAGCGAAATGCATCTATCTCATGGATACCCACAATCGTCTGTATGAAATGCAGAAAGTTAACGGGCCTGGACGGAAAGCTAGTTGGTTGATCAAGGATCGATTGTATAAAGGTAAAAACAACAGAGTCGAAAACTCGAACAAAGCCCTCATATCGTGCAGATGGTGCATTTTATTTCATCACTCCTATGGATCCATTATTCTTGGCACTATCGATATTGGAGCGTGCCCAAGCCTCGGTAACGTCTGAATTAGTGTCGCGTTGCAAAATGAATTCTTGGCCTTATTCTGTTGAATCGGGTAGACACATCAAGCGAAATTTCGGACGTTGGATGATATTTTCGACAGTGAATCATTCAAAACAGGCGACTCTCAAGAGGACAGCGAAACCTCGTCAAATGAAGAATCCGAAAGTCAAACCTTCGACATTGGCATGTTGATGCATATTTCGAATTTCATCCAGCAATTACCGCATTTGTGCGAAATCAAAGGTATGATTGAGCAAAAAATGGGGACATCGTGATATAAATGTGTCTAAGCGCTCCCACAGAAGTAGCACCAGAAATGCATGTCTACTGTTTAGATGAAAATAAAGCGCTGGCATGGTTGAGAAAAAAGGTATATCTCTTATAGAATATCAAATCCGAAAACTAACGACATACATCAGGTGGATGCATTGGTCGCGTCATTCGACACCATTCCTGCTGTATCAGATATTACGAAATCACGCTTAAATATTGAATCCAAAAGTGAGACTGAAATTCTCGGCCAGTTCTTATCTGATTGGCAACTTTTTTCGATTCATCACTAACTCATGCACTACAGATATACATCGACAAGAAGCTGTATACCTTTTATCGAAATACCTGTCGAGGCCATGGTTCGAAAAATTACTGCAGAGCTATGGGTAATTCATTGGCAACACATCTCACGTATCTTGAAACGTATTAAAAATAATCAAAATGTCAGTTTGACCGAATTGCAGGAAGAGCAAATCGCGGGCGAAATCAGCAACTACTTTGAAGATGCATCTCCCTCCGTTTATCTTAGATCTTCAGGCGGCCCACGTGATACATCCGCGGAAAACAAAGTAGGTCCAGTGTTTTATTTTTATTCCTCTCGCCATTATCTTAACTCGAGAATCTGTGATTTTTATCTGCAGAAACCTCGCAAAGCTCAGATTCCACGAAATTTAGCCAAAGTCAATACAAAAGGTATGAAGTCCTTGACGAGCTTTTTTGCTAAAAAAAAGTAAAAAAAAAAAAAAAAAAAAAAAAGTGTGAACCACATTAAAACATAATGAATCGGTATGTTTGCTGATGTTTGACACTCCATTATTTGTTCCTCTTGTAAATTTTTTATTTTATGCCAACGTGCTCTTCAAATTGCCAACCCGTCTGATAATGAGGTGTGTTCGCAGAATAAACACTGAAAACGTGGTTGCAAACGTGTTATGCTATGATGTATGAATCCATAGTGTGTGCGAAGTTTGTTTAGTCTCCTTAACTTTATAAAAAGAGTTCTTTTGCGATTAGGCTCGGAAGTTGGGCGACAGACTAAACGACACAACTGGCCGAGGTGTGCGAAAACAACCATGTATTTCCAATGAGAGAAAATGCATTATTTTTATCTTCGAAAGTCCCAATTTTAATCAAGACGGGAGACTGTCAAAACAACAAAACAACATACTTTTGTTTGGTGGTGCCAAAAGATTCAAAAGCAAGCAATGAACTATTTATTACTTGTTACACTAGAATTTTTGTTTTATGGAGTTGTTACAGTGTAAATTTAGAGCTGACCGCAGTTGGTGATCTTGATTTCTTGAGTGGTGCGGCCAGTGGCACTACCGAGTTTCTCGATGTCTTGAACAACGTTCATACTGTGATGGGAGGTAATAGATGGTTCAAAGGATAGGTTAGCAACCTCTGTGCAACGGTAATGTCGAACTATGCCTTAAATGACGACTTCACTTACCCATCAATGACCTTGCCGAAAACGACATGCTTGCCATCCAACCAGGCAGTCTTGACGGTGGTGATGAAGAACTGGGACCCGTTGGTGTTGGGACCAGCGTTGGCCATGGACAAGAGACCGGGACCGGTGTGCTTGAGGGTGAAGTTCTCATCCGCGAACTTGTTACCGTAGATGGACTTGCCACCAGTACCGTTGTGGTTGGTGAAGTCACCACCCTGGAGCATGAACTGGGGAATGACACGGTGGAAAATGCTGTCCTTGTAACCGTAACCCTTTTCACCAGTGCAGAGAGCACGGAAGTTCTCAGCAGTCTTGGGAACGACATCAGCGTTCAATTCCATGACGATACGCTATAAAAATGAACAACATGTCAGCGTCCAAACTGTCAAGTTCAAAACCAAACAAGCTTATTTCGCTCTTTCTCTTTTCTCCTCTCTCCTGTCTATACTTACACCGAGGGGCTTGCCGTTGGCGGCGACATCGAAGAAAACCTAGAGGAAACAACAACATCAATATTATGGGGGTCCTTCACTGAATCATAAGGAAAACAGGGTATTTACCTTGGGGTTGGACATGTTGGATATGAAAAGAGTGAAAAAGCGGAATAAAGGGAAAAATTTCGTCTATTTATACACGCGTCATTTGGGAAAAATCAAAACAAAAAAAATTCCGTGTCTTTCGACGCTGTTTGAAAACAACCAGTCAAGCCCCGCTTTTCCCTCCCAGTCCATCATCCTTCTTCCAGAAAGATTGAACGGAGATAGAAATCTGGCGTTTTCTGCGATCCTACTGATTTCCCACCTTGCGCGGTCTGATTCGCTGCCGCCCACACACAAAACTACGCTAAAATCTTTTTTTTTTCTTTGCATGGTTGGCTTCATTTCAACCGCTGACTGGTTGGGTCGCCCCAAACTTGTCAACCCGGCATGTTTCTCAGAGTCAGACAAATTCGGTTTCTTAAAACCAAGCTTCAACCCCTTGAACCAAAATGATGTCTGTTCGTTACTTGGCGACTTTAGACTCGACCGACTCTTTTTCGTATAAGCAAACTGTCGCACAACAAAGAATGGAAGGATCGGCGCGTGTGAATTCTACTTTGTTTCAAGAACGAACTCAGCAGCTTTGTTCGGAAGAAGCGCCTCTCCTATTCAGTGCTTTTTCGAAATGCGGCATAAAGGTGAACTAAAATTGATTTGCGCAAGGTTAGTTCGGGCCGCCCAATCTCCGCCTACAAAATATCGTGCACGATTTGACACTGACTGTGCAGAATGGGTCTTACTGCAACGCAGCATAACATGATATCATTTTGTCTTGGTGACATATTCGTCACTTATCTTGAACCGTGAGCTCTCTCTCAACCTTCACTTTTCCTTCCACCAAAGCTGCAAGCATAAATCAATTCGTTGTCAACGTAAAGCACCCTTTTTTTCAGAGTTTTTCATCAAGACTTGCTTGCACATATTTGGTGAGGAAATAACAAATTATTTAAGATAAGAGAATTCGAAGATGATGAGAGAAAGTTATAATTTAATGTCCTGCATATCTGTGATTACTCTTGTTAATGAGGGTGGTTGAATGGAGGTTGAAGAAGCACGGGGATACTCAGTCGCTCCTTCGCCGGTTCCTATGGCAATACCAGTAGAAGTGGTCTTTGTTGAAGCGGCCGCTTCGGATGCATTGCTTCGTTGAGAAGGCGACCGTGGTAACTTGGCAACCACCGAAGCCACGACACCCATGAAGCTCTGAGGACGCCACCTTGTGTTCACATCGGTTTCATCCAAAATGTTTTGATTACCGTTGAAGAGTAGTTGTTCTTTCCGCTTGCGTCGACTGTGAACGAGAAGACCTGCCAGACCTAGCGCCGCAACGCAGCCGATGCCTAGGCCTAAACCAATGCCAAGGGCTTTGTTGCTCATACTACCAGAAACTGCCTGAGTATCGGCTAGATCGGTCATACCCGAATCAACATGTCCGGCTGCGCCGTTGATAGGGAACGGCACTACGGAAAAGGAAGGCACTGGGACGTCGTTTTCGTCGTCATGCACTTCGCCTTCATCTTCTTCCTCGTCTGCATTTTCGGTATGCTCTGTATTGTATACATCATCGTTTTGACTATAGTTGTCGTCTGCGTCATCCTCCGCATCAGAATAGTCTGTATCAGGCATGATGCCGTAAATATCCGTCGGATTTTCTGATTCCTCCATGTTACTGCCGGTCCACGACTCCGATAAAGGGCTCAAGGGGTCGGCATGGGACCCAGTATCGCCACTCTTGCTTTTCGTTTCAGAGGTTGGCGCGTTCTTTTCCTGGTCATAGTTCAGTGGATCGTTGGAATCTTGAAGCCATATGCTGGTAGCTTTTAACTGCGGCTCCTTGATCGCTTTCAATTTTAATGAAGTAGGCGTTGGTGTCGGCGCCATGATGAGTACTGTAGCGTCCTTATCGGCGCTCAAAGTAGCAGCAGGAGTACTGAACATTGAAGATGTGGTGTAGGAGGTTGAGGTACGAGTCAACGAGGGAGTTGACGATGTGATCGAGTCAAGAGCCTTCAACAATGGAGCCGATGCTGTTGTTGTTATTGTCGTGTGGTGATGCTTTTTGGTGACATAGGGAGAATGCGTTGTAGCGTGAGCGTAGTGAGGGCTAGACTTTTTCTTTGAGTGACGAAGCGGTCCTGTGTGTTGTTCTTTCCGATAAATGAAGACCACGGTTTGCTTGCAGGAGACCGAGGTGCTGATGGTGGCGGTGGGTGTCGTTGTAGGTCTATGGTGATGGGAACGACTGGGGTAAGTGAACGTGGAGGTATAACACCAAACTTGCGTCACATTTTGACCAGATAATGAATGTGTTGCCGCAGCATGCGAGGTGGAAGAAGAAATGGAAGATGATGAAGGCTTAAACTCTATGATGTTGTCCCATAGTGAGCATAGCAATCAATATTGAGGTCAACGTTTGTGGATTTTTTTACGTGACGATATTTACCTCGGGCACCATGTCGATCCGACTTTTCACTGCTGGCTACAATTGGATGCGCAAGTTTTTAGTGATATGATTTATCTCTAGGGTCTGACATCTCCATTTTTATCTTACACAAACAGAACACCGAGGGTGCAAACACTGTAGCAAGAAAAGCGGAGAGAAAAAGTCGACTCACAATCTGCATCAAAACGCATTAAAAGGAACGGATGGTGACAATATCAGATTAAAAAAAAAAAGAATGGAAAAATGGAAAAAGAATGGTCGCTAAAAGGGATGATGCCTAACAACAAGGATGAGAACTTGGGGAGAAGAAAGAAAATAAATTACCATACCACTTGTGAACTTCTGTGCGACATCAAGCAGCAGCAGTATCTTGTCGTCCCCTTGCAAATAGCCCTAAAATTAGCAGGACTCCATTCTCCCTGCGCTGTGCTCCTGAACTTCCAAGTTAATGATCTTTGGCTTTACTCCTTCTTCCCGCCCCTTCTTCGTCTTTTGTACTTTTAGATTTTTCATCCTCGTTATTGCCTACGAATCATCATCTTTAAATCGACCAATCTACCTATCATAAGACGTTCTATATTCATCATATTTCAATTCATTATCGATTCAGTCAGACCAGTAAGAAATAGATATTGAAATGCATTTTAATCACTCTATTCAACATTTCACTCGACGCGAAAATGAAGATAAATGTTTATTTATTGCTGAAACCAGTCAACAACTAGTAAAAATTGGCTCTAATGGATCGGATCTACCAAGCGGGAATCCAGCTTTTCTTGAAAAAACCACGACGATGCTGTCTTCTACGATGCTTCATGTCTCTGCCATTATAGCGACCATGATGACGACGAGGCTTGTGGTTATCACTGTCGTCTCTTCTTCGGTGATGATCAGCGTGTTTCTTGCGATCATTATCCTTCTTATAGTGAGGGGGTCTGGGGCGATGAGGACGAGAAGTAGGCTTGACATGATGGCTGGCAGACGGCGTGGATGGAGTCTTTGTTTTGGAGTGGCTCTTGCTAGTGGGATGAGGAGAATCCGTAACCTTGGACGGAGTAGGCTTGTGGTTATTGTTAGGCCTCCAGGGCTCGGCGGAAGAAGATGGTTTAGCGGCCGACTTTGTCTTTGTCTTGGACTTGGTCTTTGATTTGCTTGTGGTGGTGGGAGTGGCACTGGTGGTGGTGGTGGTGGTGCGATGAGTGGTAGTCGTCTTGGGAGCATGAGTCTTGGTAGTAGTGGGTGTCTTGGTTGTGGCAGGCGATGTTTGGGAACCACCGCTTCCAGCGTCAATGCCTTGATTAGGGTTCTTCTTGCCAGGGGTGTAAATGCCGGTACAATACGAATCATCTACGGTTTCCCACTTGGCGGGTGAGGCATCATAGCGCTGGTTGAACAGGTATTCAAAAGCAGGGATACTCAACTGGATTGTATATAAATATAATGAAATGAGTAACCAAGACTTGGGTGATGTGCACACACAAACCAAACTTACATCAAGACCCGAACCGCCCATGTCGACAGCAAGCACGTAAATGCTCTTGCCGGTTTGGCTGCTGCTCACTTTGAGACAGAGGTTGCAGGTGGAGTCAGTACGCATGTTCTGAACAGCAGTAATACGCGCCAAATTCAGCTGGTTGTAAGGCATTCCACAAGCAGGCGGGTTATTGGCTAAAGCAGCAGCAGCTAATGAAAAACTCCAAAAGTTAAATTTCCCACTACCTTTTTTCTTGTCAACACCATTGACAACTTACGTAAACCGTAATAATCTTGAGGAGTGATATTGGCACTGCCCTCAAGAGTAGCAGCATAGGCCACCTGGCCCGTCAACAAAGCTCCAATACCCCACGTCAAAAGCGATGTAAGCATTGGCTAGAGAAGAATAAAGAATGGAATGGGCGAAAAAAAGGAAGAATAAAGGAAATGGAAAGGGGATGTTCTGATCGTCGAACAATTGCTTTGTTGGCTTGGATGAAATTTACTGATCGTTGGATGATTCGTCTTATATACTTCTTGAACACTGCAATTTCAATTCGTTTCTTGGTGTCAAAAAATGAAACTTTGTATCACCGTGGTTGAACATGACAATTATTGAAAAATTATGGATTTTCAATGCACTGAGTTCGAAACGTTGCCTTAACAGTGGCCATATGGCTAATCCACATAAGGCGTGTGGAACACAAATCCGATAATACTCCTAGGAAGCGTACTTGATCGTCATTACCACCGCATTTTTCTGGACGTCGCATTTCAGTTAATCGCTGATAGTAAGCAACTGATTGCCGTGGTAATTTAATTGCTCCATCACGTATACACGGCTGTCACTTCGTGCTTCAAACGGTCGGCGATCTTCTTTAATTTGACAATAATTGAAAATTGGAATACAGATACACTATGTAGCGTTGGAACGAGAAACTACAGTTTTTTTTGTAAGGTGAAGCAAAGACGATTTTCCAACCATCCGGAACGCATTGTTATTGGAATTCAGGTCAGGATTGGGCAAGTGGAACCACTTTTTTGCTGGCCCATTTATTTTTCCAGCATTTACCACCAGGAAAAAGTTGCCGATTAAGAAATGATGATGGTTGCTGATGGTCATATTTGGGTGTTTGACAACTTCGTTGCTTAGAAAAGACGGGACAAACTTTTCGAACAATTAACCGCAAAAATTACAATAAATGATTGCTAAATGCTAACCCTTCCGAAGAAGTTTCCCAGTGATAAAAACGACAATTGTTCACGAGGCAACCCATGACTTCCTAATTTGACCATTTTCTAGATTCTTCAGCTGGCAGAAGGAAGAAATTTAATCATAGCTCAAAAGATGCTAGTTCGAAGATTTACGTTGCCGAATCCGGCATGGATCAGGAATCCCTACTTCAACCAAAATTTAGTCGCGCTACTCAAATAAAATCCGATTCCATAAAAATAATCTGGTTCACCAAATATCAAAGGGATAAAATGTTCATTCACTTCTAACCTAATGGAAGTTAGCCGAATCAGCACCGTAAAGCTGTGCCATGATTCGTTTATCGGCGTCAGAAAGGATACGTTCAGCCTGATAGATATACAAATGTGTTTGCACCATTCAGAATGATTCATATGTGATTGCATGCATCGGCTCTTACTATGGCAACGAAGGTGCAGATGAAAACAAGCGGCATGGTTGTATCCGGGAATATAAAACCTTCCATTTCATAAACGAAACATGTTAACATGTCTACACTGAAAGTCAGCTATCTTTTGGTGATACCTTCCAGAGTTGAGACAATGGGAAGGAAAGGAGTTTTAAAATCGCGATCCCCTTAAACACTTGTATCATTCTGAACAAAGAAATCAAATCTGTCAGTCAATCCATGGAGTGTTTTCCTCCACACTTATTTCGTTAAGTTGGCACCTTCAGAAAGTAAAAGTTGAGGTGTTTCTTTTAAGAACTAGCTGGAAGTTTTCTGTCCATTGTCGGCTCAGTGAAAAGGTTGCTTGATGACATTGAGCCGCTTTGTAGTCGTCGCCCAAGAAAATGACGACTTGTCTTGTTTTCTTTGTTTATGCGTGTGTGTGTGTGCGTGTGTAACCACACCCGGTTTTCGTTCACAAGGTGGTAAGAAATCACATCAAGTAGTAAGTTCCATTGATTTTTACAGTGCACGCGTTACGCGGTGCATTATGTGCTGGAAAAAAACTGCGGGTAAATAAAATTCACATGCGCCATAAAACTCGGTGAAGGTGTTGAATGATAGAACAGTGAAAAAACTATTGAGGAAATCTAATTAAAGACCTTCGTCTAATTAAAAGTAGATGAAGCTTCCTCGCGTTATTGGATAAGTAGCAAATAATAGCTATGAGATAGGAACGGTTCTATTCATTTTCATCATATGCTAATTCTAACAAGGACCTTTTGCGACTCAGTTTGTTCTGCAAGGACTCAGTCGACTTTTGCTGCACCTTTTAAAGTTCATTGTGTGCTTCAAGCAAATAAAATACAACGTTGAACCCTAAAAACGAAAAGAAAAACAGAAGATGAATTTCTATCCTAAAAAATGTGGTGCTTCTGATACTAACTTGTACAGTGAACGGCTAAACTAGCTTCCAACTTCTCTTTCGGCAGTTACGTTTTGCATAGTTACAGCTCTAGTAGAAGAGCATGCAACTCACTAAAATAAAGATGTGCGTAACCTTGTATTGTACTTCTGGTTTATTGATATCCTTTGCTGTTGGAGTAATGGACAACTTGATCTCATTTGAGAATAAGCCGAGTCCCCACTTCACGTACTGTCTTATACAGTAACCTACTTTTATCATACAATGACAAAATTTCAATATGCTGTAAAATATTGTAATCAGTTCTTAGTGAGACGAATTCTGCAGAACTACTGGATTACACATATCGCCACAAGTCTGTGTTTTACTGATTTTTACTCCAAGTCACTTGCTTTTGCAGACTCTTTTTTCAGTGATTTGAGGAAATACTATGTCGAACACGAGAATCGTAACTGCAGTTTCGATGTTCTCACAGATCGTCAGAAAACGGCGAATCGCCTCATTGACAAACTGTCTTTGAGTTCTTGGGGTGGATATCTCTAAGCCACCCTAATCCGTTCTGTGACATCCGGGGAGCAGGTTCTGGCTCTTTTGCCAGAACGTCTGCTCAGTGAAGAAACGAAAATGGAAACAGACAGCGCCCGGTCTAGATGCTTTTCGCTAGCAATGAATATCACCCAACCTACCAAATGGATTTTCTTTGATACAGGCACGTCAGTAACTGAGTTTTCGTTCATGAGTGGATCTTCTATCATAAATGTAATCAAAACTTCTATTATAAAAGAATTTTCCATTATGCTGTGGCCAAGGCCGCTAGTTTGTTAAAAAAATTGACAGCATTGACAACTATTTGCCACAGACTGGAAAATTTACGTATCATTGAATATCCCAATGATGGAGAGTATAAAAAGTATGCGCGGTCCTGTTAGGGACCTTTTTCGTTAGCGTCGCGTTCGCTAAGCCCATGACTCTTGCCAGGTGCTGAGTTCTATTTTTGGAATGATTTGCTCACATCCTTTTTTTCTGTCTCATGGTTTCAAAAATAAGTGGAACCGTGGAAATTGGGGATTCTATTGTTGCTCTACGCGGAGGCTACTGCAGAATAATAATGCTTCTTCCTATAGACATGGACAAAAACATCATAAGTCATACAGCATTTTATACGGATTCGGTTGGGAAAGATTCATGATGCTGAAAAGAAACAACAACAAAAAAAAAAAATCCAAAAAAGTGATCAGACAATAATGTTTTTTGGGTCACCAACAGTCATCGATGTGGTTACACAGGAAAGCTACTAATTAAAGCATAGCTTCCATTCGCACCAAAAAGAATCAGACCACCACTTTTCTACTCCGTTAATAATAAATAAGAGTAGGAAACAGACTCTTCTCAACGCTCTTTCACGTCCAAAGCATAATGAAGCTTCCCACCTTCATATCAATATCTACCGCCCTCGCTTGTCTGCCTGTGTTCACTCAGGCTCAAATTCCCTTCTCATGGGCCCAATCACAGCAGCACATGTCACCTTATGCGACCACCGGCAAAATGGAACAGCATGGCCGAACCGGTGTCGCTGCTATGCATGCCGTTCTCTTAAAGTAAATAAAATCATTCTTTCCCCTTTCTGCTATCCTATTTCACTTACCATCCATCTTTTTTACAGTGAAGACACAGTACTTGTTATCGACAAAGGTACCGTTATGCAGTAGTGGCTCACGGTGCAACATGCACTAACCCCATCGAACTTTTAGCTGAATGGAACGAAGCTCAATTCGATTCTGGACAGAGTGCATTCTCTGTACAGTACGATCTGCGAACCGACAAGTACCGTCCATTGCCGCTGGAAACCAACACCTTTTGTTCAGCCGGTGGTTTCCTTGCTAACGGCACGTTTATCAGCACAGGAGGCGGAGAGAAACGGGGTCGTACCTGGAAAGCCGAACCTGGATGGCAGTCGATTCGTCACTTTAACCCGTGCCTTGATAATACCTGCGAGTGGAATGAATTCAAAACGGGTCAAATGCGAGTCAATCGATGGTACCCGACCGTTGAACAACTACCGGAAGGCGACATCTTCATTATTGGCGGTTCCACCAAGGGAACAGCCGTGAACCGTGACGAAGTCAATGTACCTTCCTACGAATTCTGGCCTCCTCGACCTGAAGGAGAAGTGCACATGCCTTTCCTCAATGAAACAATGCCGTACAACCTGTAATTTGTCTTGCTCGTTGGATGTAACATCTATGATTTTGTTCCTCATCCATGGTTTCCTAGGTATCCTTTTGTCTTCCTATTACCGGATGGCAACCTGTTTATTTTTGCCAACAAACAATCCATGATTTTTGATTACAAAAACAACCGTGTCGTAAAGAGATTACCGGATATCCCCGGTGTGCCTCGATCGTATCCTTTGACGGGTGGCGCAGTCATGCTCCCATTGGATCCCGCCAAAAACTATCAGGTGGAAATCCTTATCTGCGGTGGTTCCGAAAAGATGAAGAATAATGCCAAAGCCGATGCTACCTGTGGTCGCATCAATTTGGATGACGAAACTCCTTCCTGGGAAATGGACACCTTTGTCTACCCTCGGTTGATGCCTGATGGTGTGATTCTTGCTGATGGCAAAATCCTTTGGGTGAATGGATGTCAACGCGGTTGGGCCGGTTACAATGGTCGCAACCACGATCCCACTTTTGATCCCATCATGTACGACCCATATGCCGAGAAGAGCCATCGCTGGATCGATGGTCTCGCCAATACGACCATCGCTCGCATGTATCATTCCGTCGCCTTGACTTTACCGGATGGTCGCGTCTGGATTGCCGGTTCCAATAATGTGGATCCCCCGGATATCAATGCCAAATATCCCACCGAGTTCCGTGTGGAATACTTCTCGCCACCCTACCTCTTCCAGGGTGCTGAGCGTCCTTTGATTTCACATGTTCCTCGCATTGTGACCTACGATCAATCCTTTAACGTGCTTTTGAATCTTGGCAATTTGGAGCACGGCAACACCGATATCAAAGTCGCCCTGTTACGACCTGGTTTCAGTACCCATTCCATGCACATGTCGCAGCGCTACGTGATCTTGCGCAGCGAGTTGGCCAGCGATCTTCAGTCGATAAAGATTACCGCCCCTCCCAATGCCAATATTTTCCCGCCTGGCTCAGGCTTCCTCATCGTCTTGAGCAATGGCATCCCCTCGAAGGGTGTCGAAATTTTCGTAGAGCACGATACCTCCGATTTAGCTATTTAGAATGGCTGCATTTCTCATCCGATTTTCTTTTTTACATTTTATCATCTCTTTGTCTTTCCAATTTTTCTTCAGTCCGATTCGTTCTTCCATTTTATCTGTATCAAAACATATCCTCTTTCATAAAATTTTGTATCTTCGACTTTATAATGTCTGTATCGGAAAAATAGCTATGTCTTGTCGTTGCTGCAAATTGCCGTCGTAATAATAGTTTTGGAGGGCAGTTCTGTGACAGAGAAGAGTTTCTCTAGACGTTAGACATAGGTTGCTCGGTTAAATATGTTGGTAATCCTATACACCCCGTTGATAGAGTATCGTATTTATCTAATGTTCGGTACAGTAAACCCAATTTGCCATTACTGGTTGTAGTGTGTAACACTTTCCAAGTCGGTGTGCCTTTTTCTGAGAACATTTATCGGTCTCAAAAACCCGAACCACCTTCCCCCAAAGGAGCGGCGTTTATTACATTGTGCGAATGGTAACAAGACACAGTGTGAATAGCGCCAGTATTGCTTATGTTTCGTAAATCGATCTGCCCTATTTACTGCTTGAGTCTATGAAAAGACATTAATCGACAGTCTCAGAAAAGTGAGAAAAGTGAGAAAAGGGAGGAAAGGAAGGAAAGGGAGGAAAGGGAGAGAAAGCCAATCCATACAAAATGCTTTTTCTCTGTTTTTGCTTCGGTTGCACAAATATGGCAGCGGTTGGCAACATGGCAAATAAACTTTTTACAGTATTTATCTCTGTTTCGTGTCACTCTGCGCATGACAAGCGGTAAAACGTTGAAATTCTCGTATGCAGAATCATGGTATGCGTATAACTGACTTGATTTAATGGTACATCAGGCGTTAGCAACCTTGCCGGAGAATCGGAAAGGTACTTTGAGCCGTTGCTAGTCATTGGGTTTCATAGAACCACGGGTTATCAGAACAAAAGCTATCTCAACATTGCTTAGCAACGCAATTGTAGGAATATCCTATTCCGAAAAACATTAACTACCACGGGGGGTGGCAACAAGCTAACATTCACCAAATATCAATGGCGACGCCATCTGGTTTTCCTATTTGAGAGCAAATATGCTGATGATAGATGAGTGCTTGACCTAACGTAATGAAAACTGACTCTAGTCGTTAACTTTTTTTTCTGGAAACTTGAATCGCGATGATTGTCGAAATCCCAACTTTGCAGCTCGTCGTGTCAGATAAAGTGAATGGATTCGTTTTTGAAAATGAGAATGAAATATTATACAAGATGTAACAACAAGGATTATATGTTGTGATGATAGTTATCAGGATGATGGGAGCTGTGATTTGGCAATTTCATGATAAAGTAGTCTGTTCCATTCATCCACAGGACCTGTGCAAACAAGAGGTGTCCATTTATCAGTCAATGCCAGTCGTACAAGGATATCGCCGCCAAAAAAAAAACAGGATCTGAATTACCTGGGATACAAGTGTGGAGACAATCTTTATCGGGGCGAGAATGAGTGTCACCACGAGTGTTGGACAAACTGACATTCAAAAACTGGAATCGCTCATCTTGCTCCTTCGTAATCCATTCCTGAAGGATGCAATCGTATTAAAAAAAGAATGGACATTTAGATTTGTATAGAAAAATGAGTGCCAACCTTCCACACGCGGTCAAAGGCTTTGAAAATGTGCCATTCATATTCTCCGGGTTGGCCTGTGGGTGCCACAGCGGTCTTTTGAGGAGACGTGTACTGCGAACATTTGGCATGTCCGTATGGTGTGCTCCGCACCCATATACGTTGATGAGGCTGCACATGCACTTTTAGATAATCAAAGACAACCGCCATTGCTTTCTCGAATGACTCCAGCATTTCTTCATCGGAACGATGAGGGCCCCATTTCAGGTTTGGATGCCAATGTGGTCCCTAACAGTATCCCAGTTTAGCCCTGATCTCATTTGCAGCAAAAACTGGTTATTCCTTCGGTTCATTTACCGTATTGATAACAATATAGTCAAACATGTTTAGCGCATGTACCCTATTCATCCAACAACGATTAACCCTTGTACTTTTCCATGGTTTTCCCGCTGCTTTCGTTACGGATCGATTGCTCAATTTTAATTACCATGGAAAATTATGTCCGCGACCCATTTGATCTCCTTCATCCTCAAAAGGACCAATCATTTTGAAATCGTCAAGGCGGATAAGATAGTCCGATCGCAAGAACGCAACGGCTGGTTTGTCCGCGGGCGTCGAAGGTCCTCGATTTGACACCAATTTATCGATTTTGATATGCGAATCTCCTCCACTCAAGTTATCATCGACCTTTGCTGGCGTAACATATCGTCCTAGCAAACAGTGCAGACTTTCATACTGCAGTTGTGTGATCGAATCGCCAACGAATAATAACGCATGTTTCTGCAAATGGTCGACAAACGCAGAGGGCTCCATAGGAAGGGTCTCACATTCTGATGGTTGCCACTGATAATCCATGCTGAAATAAAATAGGAATAAAACGTCAGGAACCACATCAGCTGAAATAACCATTGCACGAGTAAGGTTTTGAAGGAGTCTATGAAAAAACCTGACTTACATGTGTATGCTTCTTGTGAATTCTCTGTTATCACTTCGAGCGTAACATTTATGGGCGAAGCGTTGCCGACAATGGTATCCTGTTGCTTGTTCGAATGATTTGATGGTATTTTGCTTAAGGTGAAGAGGATGATGGACCCACTTCCCGATGTTGAAGGTTTCGGGATTGCACAAGGTGCTGGTATTTGAGTTGGAAGAAGCAGCAACTGGTGGATTAATAGAAGGCTCGTTGCTCGTATCAGCACTGGACAGTGATAGCCTGGATGGTAAAAGCATCCTAGCATCATCTTGCCACAGCCATAAGAAAAGCCAAAATAACAAACATAGAGATAAAAGAAGTACAGCGATAAATCGTGGATGAAGTGTAGAAGTGGACGATTTTGTTGCTGCCATCGGTTAAAAAGAAAACGAGCGAAAGATCAGATTATGGTGGAAGGAGCAACTTATTACTTGATTTAGTGTGAATGGAAAACCAGGAATATTGCCGCAAGTCCAACGTCGATCCCTGAAATGGAGTCTGTGCGACCTTGATTTCCCTCCTTTCTTGGTTCCACCGCAACTCAGAAACTCAGAAAATGAAGTCTTTGCTCGATGTCCGCCATTGGGCAAGTAATAGTGATTTAGTGCATAAACGCCAATGAATTCACATACAGCAACGGACCCAACTTCCACAAAAGTGAACCTCTGTTAATAAAATAGGGCCGAAAAATAACTAGACAGTTTACAACCAGAAACTGACCTCCATTAATAACACAGGGTCAAAAAATCCTTTTGTAATCTGTAAAAAGGAAACCTTTCTGTTTTTTTCTGGTTTTTTGTTCAATCTCTGCTTTAAATGTTCAGTTTCAGGTACAACTTGAATGTGATTGAATGTTTGAAACAAACTGGATGGACATGAAAATTTCAATAGGGAAGATTTTCTTAAACAAGTTGATGATAACGATCGAGATGATGACAGTAGATTTCTTTCAAAAGGAGAGAAAATAAAGAAGGCAAGGAATACAACTTCATATTGCAAGCAACATGGTCTGTTGCATCAATGTATCAACGGTCTCCATTCATATAGTCTCCTTTTTGCTATTTGCCAGAACATAATTGCTCCATCACCAGCTCCTATCTGGTACTGTTGCATTGGGTTCCCATCCGAATCCACTACCCAGACTATGCTTATCTCGTAATAGTTGACTCGGTTTGTGATCATGCTTCCTGGTAAGGCAAAAATACGAGTGGTGTAATACCGGTTTCGTGCCGGTAAAAGGTCACCAGTCGTTTTGTCCATCCTTCTTTAGCCTTCGGTTTTTTCCGCAGTCTTCGTATCTGGCAAGCCATCCGATCCGTACTACAGCTCTGATTTTTGCTTTCCATCCATCGTCTGAATATTCATACTTTCGCTCGCTCAACAGATCTAGCCAACCTAGTCGTCGTCAAAGGGCATTGTCGGGGTTATGACTTTATTTCTTCCACCGGAAACTCTTGGGCGCATTTTTTCGTTTCATTTGGATGTTTTCTTTTATCGTGTTTGATAGGTCCTTCCGATCATTGTATTTTTATAGTCTGTATTTTATTTACATATTCTCTTTGCAGCCTTCTTCTCCATTTTTTCGTACAGGATTTACTGTAGGGGGGTTGTATTGACTCTTTATGTGTTACACTTTGTTCAATGAAAGTCGCTCAATGCAAGAAGATGATCTCCAATGACAGGCGACATCCAGAAACGATTGCACAGCTTGTTAGATCAAATGTTGCTTAATAAATCAATCGGTTCAGGACTCATCATCCTTCTTCTTTGATCTTCATCGACATATCAATATCCAGAGACGCAGAATAGACACACATGAAATTGATACGGATAAGAGTAGATCATGTACTATTTCCAGACATTTCCTGTGAGATAAATATCCTGATCTTCATCTACACTAAGGGTAGGAGTGCTTGCATGATGGGAAGAAGATTGCCAAGAGTCTGTATCTTCAAATGGGCTTGGGAATGAGGTGAGCTGAGATTGCGGTAATGATTGAGGGGCAAATAAGGTCGTGTCAAGTGATGTAGACGAAGGGTGGCTCGGTGGTGAGGCGGGTATACGCTTTTGAGGCGTGGAATGAGACGGGCGGGGTTGATTTTGAGGGGATGAAACGGGTAAGTGCGGATGATTTCTAAATGCTTGTTCTCGCATAGCGTTGGGAGGCAGTGGCGATCTTTCCGCAGTTGCCGAGTTGCTGTTGGGTGACGGTTTGGTCATGGGTGGTTTCGGTTTTTTCGCGATGGTGCTGACAGAAGGAAGGTCGGTGTCTGATTCCTCTTCATCTGTGTTCGCTACCACGACGAAATTCCCTCGCCCTCTTTCTACAATGACATCGATGCACCCTTCCCTTTGTCCAATGGAATTGGCGGGCCATGCTTTGTAGTTCTTGCTCTTATTTCTGCCGCCGCCATTTTCCATCGATGGTAACCGTTGGTAAGATGGTGAACTAGAACGATGAAACGTGACACCGCCGTAACCTAGGGGAGTACGCACTTGTCGCCACAGAGGCGCTCGAGGATCAATGACAGGATAATTGTAATCGCCAAAGATCATTGTTTTACTGCTGGCATAGTACTCTTCCACTTCGTCTGAAGGATCGGGATCTTCAAATTCCAAAGGTTCCGAGGCCTCGATGACAATTTCCTCATTGATTCCTTTGCCACCCGTAAGAAATTTCGAAGTGGGCGCCGGCTCCAGCCAATGCTTCTTGGCTGTACTTGTTGAGTATCGTAAACCTGCCATGATACGTGATGTGCGGCTGCTTCCAATATGCGGCATGCCTTCTGAAGGTTCAAAGGATCGGTAACTGAATCCGGATCCACGTAGCGTATCCAGTGTATCCATGAAAACATCCTTCAAGCCAAACGAATCACGAATCGCTCCATACACAGGCATGCGAGCCGAATGTACATTTGGATCATAGTAATCCTCATATGAAAAGGCAAAGCTATCCCCGCATCGTTCAGTGGCCCTTTCTCTGATCCAAAACAGATATATATTTACTTACGAGTGAGCAATGGCAGCCGGTACCATTTCGAGGCAAATCAAGAAATCTTGGATGGCGACAGAGATGTGCTCGGAACCATCTTAAAAAATTTATCATCGTCTCTTTAGTAAATAGGCATCAGGATGAAATACCGGGCGTTTATGACATGCTTACCATCAGGAATGATGCCTGCGGAGGCCAGGAGCGCGATGATGACACTCTGCCAAAAGGAAAAAAAGATGATGGCTTTGACGCAAAGAAATTTGGGAAAGGGTCTGCCATGTAGAGCAACAATGTCAGCTAAAGTGTCCTTGTCCATCATGGCCACAAAGACGCTTACCTGAACCCTACTAGATCTTTTTTGGTGGCGTAGAAAAACACCATGAGACACCATAAGCTTAGACAGACGCTGAGATTGTAAAAAAAGGTCAGGTAGAGGTAGGAGCTTGACCAGCTGATCTCGCCATCGTGGTACTTGCCGACCGCCTTGAGGATCATAGTGAGTACGGCCAAAATGGGTTTCACATAGACAAATTGCAAGATGCCTCGTTTAACGAACAAGAACGTGTATGGATCACCCACATAGATCTCCCGCGACCACAGTGTGCCCGGAAAAAAGTTCTCGGTGGGCGGACGGGAGTGAAGCATGATAATCAGCGCTCGCTCTCCGCCAAGCTTATTCAGCAATAAATTAAAAAACGCATAGATGACAAACGCTTCGTAGATATCTCGAAATGTGTCGACATAGAAAGCCACATCCAACGACACCAGCGAAACAAACGTACTGATCCCGTAAATCGGTACCCTATCACCCCAACCCAGAAAACAGTTATTGGTTACACCCACAAAAAAAAGGAGATATAAAAAAAAAGACCGAGAATGGTCGTGATGAGCCACTTACATCCACAAGATTCGGGTGACCTGACGTTGTTGATTCTACACAAATGAAAGTCATCAGTCTTTCTTCTGAATGGCGAATGAAGCTTGCAAGAGAGTGACTCGAATATTTACCGGTTTACGGTAATTCTTCCAATGAAGCCACACGGACAACAAAGATATACAGGTGCCGACAATGGTGAAAAGGAGAGCGAGATGAATGGCGGTGGAGCTGAACTCAGAGCCTGCCCCTCCTTCACCGTAGCCATTGTCTACAGAGTGTTGCGCAGGCAATGACATGGTTACAATGGGAGGGGGAAAAATAACCAATGCAAGTAGACCAAAGAAAAAAAGAAAAAAGGAGGGAAAAAACGCTCAAGACAAAAAGTACAAAGAGGGGAAAAAAGAAAGACGACCCTGGAAAAATTTGGTGTTCGTTCATTTTGTTCGGGTCGGTTCCCGCTTTGGGCTTAAATGACCACATGCATTACATTTTTATTTGGATGAGCGTCTTGGAGACCGGCTCGACCCATCCGATCGAAAAAACAGGGTTTGAATCTACTTCGTGAAATAAAACAAAAAAGTGCCAGAAAAACAGAGCTGCTTTAAGGGCAATTCAGTGGTGAGTAGAACTACATTTGGTTTTCATGAGTGAAGTGAAACTACATCATAAATAAAACTGCCTTTGTTATGTCCATATGCCATGCAGAATACCAGCAACAATTACGAAGAAAGGCAATGGATAAGAACATATCGGGAAGGAGAGATGGGAGACGGCGATTATCAATTTTCGGTGGATTAGACCAGACTGACAACCACACGGGCCACGGCAAATTCAGGTTCCGCACGACAAAGAGCGCCAGACATGATTTATGGTAACGACGATGTAGAACAGTGTTCTGCTGAAATAGTACGACAGGAAGACTTGCAATACAAAAATGCGGTACAAATGGTTGCGAATCATATGAAAAAGATAAATCGAGTGATAAAAATAGGTTCCATTGCCGTGATGTCAAGCAAGGCCGGGAGGTGTGCGAGAAAAAGACAAGAACCGAGGTCGAACATCGCAACAACAAAAGCGTGATGAAAAGACGGTTGTCTAGAGGTGGTGCAATCAAAATCAGGGATCGCAGTTCACAAGTAAGCGGTGGCGCGCCAGTTGTTGGAAGATCGCGGCTAAAGAAAGTCTTTTCCAAGATCGATTCCATTTCTTGCATACTTGCTGTTTCTCGCTGTCGATTCGCAATTTGGTTTACAACCTTGCACTTGGCTTCGAAAATCATGATGAATGCTGGCGAGTCTTCCATGCAGGTGGGGAATGCGATGTGGTATATTTGGTCATCAGGTACAGCCCGTCATCTTGTAATACAAGCAAGTAAAACACACCTTGAAGCCTTGGAACGAAAAAAAAAAAAGAAAAACATGAATTTTTATCCTCAAAAGTTTGGCCTTTGTGATACTAACCCGTACAGCGAATTGCCAAACAGGCCTCCAACTTCTCTTAACTGACTACGTCTGGCAGAACAGACCCAGCCCCTGAAAGGCTTGAAGCCATCAGTGTACATTCCAGATGGATTGTACTGCCGTATGTACGTCCACGCTGCTTCAATTGTAAGCTTCCCCGTCAGATACGTCGGTTCCTTGTCGAGACTTCTCGGAGTCACCGCTGCAAGTATTTTCATGCTTCAGGATCATCTAAGATCAGAGCAAACGACAGATGCTTCGTTTTGCTGAGCTGGTTCAGAGATTGTAGCGTGGTGTTCCGCAAATGCATGCTTCATCCAGATCGTTCGGTGCGCTCGTAAACATCATGCACCTTTTCGGGCACATGTGGTACTCGGCGGGCTTGATAGCATATCGAACGAGCAAGGGCAGCTTTCGCTTTATAATTGCTCGGCAACAACGGAAAGACTGCACGACCAAATAATCGTCGATGTCTTCAATCAACTACCCCATAAAGCGGCGCGGGATCCTTCTTCGGAGACCACGTTGGTGAAGTTTCGTGGCTTATTGGTACAATATGGTTGTCAGTTTCCAAGGGTGATTTGACTTCTCCAAAGCCTAAATTGGCTACTGGATAATTGCCTTGTAAAAGGGAAAAAATGCAATCCGGCCGATTGGTTGATGCCACCAATTTCATTGTATTTATTGTCTGCGTGACAGTTCTATCATGTTATAACAAGCCGTACACCCGCTGTGCAATGGATGCCACCTGCTACTGGACGTCGCCCCCTTATATTGAGCGACATTCGTCAGACAAAAGCCTAACGCAATACGGCATAACCTGGGCGAGACTCTTGATGGAACTTTGGTATATTAATGTCAATACTCTGGCATACCGTACAGTCATGATTTTCCAAACAAGTGTGCAGAAGCACTTGTTGATCCCCTCAGTCCAGTCCCGTCCCGCCCAAGGTTATGATAGATCTAGAATGATGTGTGGGAATGTTGGGTATTTAAAAAAATGAGTTAGTAAGCTCTTTGATTGATTCAAATTGTCGTCAAGATATTTTATCTTTGTTATTTGAGTTTGCAATAGCCATTGATCGCTTGACATGACTTGGATTATATGACATTGAAAAAATTTGAATTAGTATACGTTCATTACATAATAGCAAAGGAAAAGAAATTGGACTTGCCTTTGAACCAAATGGTGTACCGGAAAAAAAAGATGAACACCAACCTCTTGATCATCATAAAATGAAGAGAACGAAAAGGACATTTATAGTATAACTGACAAAAAAATCAACAAATTGAATGATGCTACAGAAGAACGCCAGTCGTATCATCAACCCCTTTTCTTCAAAAAGAGCTCTACTCACATTTTTATTCGGAAGACGACGATACTCTGTTTAACCACAACTGGCGCAAACGGAACCTTGCTGCTGATTGTTTCGCCTATTACCGTGGAAGTGGGTAGAGAGGTATGGCTGAAAGATAAAAAAACAAGAAGGTGCAAAAAGAATTAACAGGTCCTGATAACTTGGTATAAAACACATGATCTACACTAAGTTATCAGGACCTGTTAAACCTTTTTTTCATCTTTCAGCCATGCCTCGCTACCCACTTCCACGGTAATAGGCGAAACAATCAGCAGCAAGGTTCCGTTTGCGCCAGTTGTGGTTAAACAGAGTATCGTCGTCTTCCGAATAAAAATGTGAGTAGAGCTCTTTTTGAAGAAAAGGGGTTGATGATATGACTGGCGTTCTTCTGTAGCATCATTCAATTTGTTGTTTTTTTTGTCAGTTATACTATAAATGTCCTTTTCGTTCTCTTCATTTTATGATGATCGAGAGGTTGGTGTTCATCTTTTTTTTCCGGTACACCATTTGGTTCAAAGGCAAGTCCAATTTCTTTTCCTTTGCTATTATGTAATGAACGTATACTAATTCAAATTTTTTCAATGTCATATAATCCAAGTCATGTCAAGCGATCAATGGCTATTGCAAACTCAAATAACAAAGATAAAATATCTTGACGACAATTTGAATCAATCAAAGAGCTTACTAACTCATTTTTTTAAATACCCAACATTCCCACACATCATTCTAGATCTATCATAACCTTGGGCGGGACGGGACTGGACTGAGGGGATCAACAAGTGCTTCTGCACACTTGTTTGGAAAATCATGACTGTACGGTATGCCAGAGTATTGACATTAATATACCAAAGTTCCATCAAGAGTCTCGCCCAGGTTATGCCGTATTGCGTTAGGCTTTTGTCTGACGAATGTCGCTCAATGTAAGAGTGCGGCATCCAGTAGCAGGTGGCATCCATTGCACAGCGGGTGTACGGCTTGTTAATAAAGAAATATGATTACCATGTAGTTACTTACCATCGCAAAGTTGTAGACCGTTTGTCATCATTGAAAAGGGGTTGAAATACCGGTAACCGGTATTTTGTTATAAACTCAGATTCATTGAGCGGGTACATTACGGTTTCCAACGGGAAGCATCTGGAATCTTTAAACAACACAATGCGCAACGACATGATTAGCTTCCTTTCAATTGAATACCGAAATGCACCTCAATGAAACGTACGTTTGACATATGGAAGATATGATTTTGCGATCCAACCTGTCCGTAGAGTTCTCCGCCACTGACAGCACAGAATAGCAGGCGTCCACACGATCTATTGAACCGCTGCATAAACTCTGATGACAGTGAGAAGCAACAAATTAGTGACTGATACTGGTTGTGTTTTATTACATTCATTACCCAAGCGATCTCCATCAGTTCATTCATCCCAGTATTTGGGAATTTTTCCTTCATATCCCACGATTGGTGTCGTTATTCTATTATCTTGCTGAGGATGTTGTTTTGAAAGAACTTCATCAAATCTTCCTGTCTTCTGTTTTTCTCGAGCAGTAAAGCCGAAGAATCGTTCGGGAAATGTCCACGTCGCGCCCGATCATCATGTTCCCGTGGTAAACGAACGTCGAAAGCACGCTGTTGGCCTTCATCAAAGCTGAGCATATATGCTTTTCTTGTCACCGCTCACTGTCATTCTTCTTGTCGGTACTACGACTGGACTGTAGCAGAGGACGCGACTGCTTCGATATTCGTTTGTCATTAGTACCGGCGTGTATTGAAGATGGAGTCATCCATTTTCCTCCATATTTGGCATGGCCCTTGATTCGCGAGCCAACACCGGTTCCTTGGGTGGCGGGAGTACGTTCACGACAGTAATGTAAATAGTGACTGGTACAGACACACCAGTAGCATGGACCTGCAGGTACATAAGAGCGGGTGCTTGACTTTTTTGCTGGCTGCTTGCAATGCGTACTTTCGCTCGTCGGCCACGCAGTTTTGGTATCATCCCAGGGCATCTTCTTATCCGTAAGGTTATCAGGGAACCAAATGGAAGCACTTTCCTCTTGCAATGTACAATCAAGCGACCACCCCAGTCGGCATGGATTTGACGCCGTTTGATGTGAGAATTTTCTCGAAACGACGCAGAAAAATCACAACCTTCAAAAGTTTTTTGCGCTTGGATCGGAGTTCGCCTGACCTCAAAATTGGAATTTTGACACACATCTTTGAGAGTCGTCCTGGAACGTCGGCCGACGGGCGGGTTTCTTGCAGTGTAACGAGTTGCTGCTTCAGGATCTTGACCTTGTTACTGAGATGGTAATACTCAATGGAGTCAACAGTAGCACAGGTATTAATTGGGTACTAGTTGATGAATCAGCTTCCTTCTTGACAGTGGGCGAGAACGGGCTATGAATATGGAAAAGGGCATAAATTAGACACTGATTCCCAATATCTTCTCGTTTGCTTGCTTACTACTGGATATGGATTTTCATGTGCTCAGCCAAGGACGCCAGACTTTCACAGTGCTCATGACAATATGAGCATCCGATTCGGATTTCGATGCCATGGTCTTTAACGCGCATGACAGTGTCCTTTAGGTTAATCCGTCTTCCTCACCCCCTAGCGTTATGAGCGGTTTCGAGGTCAGGTTGACCCGTCAAATGAGATCTGAACCATCGCTTTTCGTTGAAAATTCGATTGCAGCGATTACGGCAGTGTAGTTCAGTGAGAATTTTCGGTATCTCGAAGAAAAGTAGATAGAAGCGGAGAAGCCGAGAGCTGCTGCGCAGTTTCTTTTTTTGAATGGCTCAACATTCGTGCCCGATGGGACTCTGAACCGGCCGTTACTCTCGAACGCGAAAACTTTACATGGCCCCAGCACTGTTGCCAATTATGTCGCTTCTTGGTTATTTTTTATCTATTCCAAATTATAGTTTTAGTATTCAGCCTTCAGAATCAATGTGTGGTACGGGAAAATCATACTTGTGATCCACGAGAACCATGCTGCGCATCCTTTTTCATATGATAGACGGCTTGTACATTTTGAACAGTAATTTTTTCGATAGAAACCATTTTGGAGAAGCAATAAGATAATACGTAAAAATAAAGAAAAGAAAGAGAAAAGTGGAAATGCCATTTATAAGCCCACAGACAAAGAAATGCAAATCGGTCACGAATTTCTAACTCAGCCATGTGGTATTGTAGAAAGCCGTTTGGTGAATAATGCATTCATTTGCTTAAAGGACTGTAGTATCAACCAAAAATAACCAAGAACCGTGTTGTGCTCTTATGAACATGTCCATCAATGGCTAGTGCTAGCGCTGCCATGATATGGAAGATTGATTCATTAAGCTCAAGGAAACAATGGAATGGAGTAAGCGTCTCTGCAATCTGTTGTCAACATAAGGAAGTAAACTTTGGTTGCGTGAAAAGGGAATGAATGTTTTTCTTTTTTTCTTTTTCTTTTCTAGGATGTATTCAAAGAGAAATGAATGATGAAAGTATGATTGAATGCCAGTGCTACATGTTATCGTCTGCTTTTCTTGTTCTTCTTCATAGCCTTTCGCTTATCACGTCTGAACTTGTTGCCTCCTTCCTTCTCTTCGCCTGTCAACAGTCCGTGGAACAGTTCATCGTTGCCTCCTCGTGCTCGCTTTGAACGTGGGACGTCCTATTAAAATACGTGATGAGCTTACCTCTGTACATCCAATCGATTTCAAAAAAAAATTGCACATTTGTACGCTTACCTCATCATCCTCATCACGTTGGCCACGTTGGTGTTTGCGATTGAGTACGTTGCGGAATCGTTCATTTTCTTGCTCTTCAATCGATTGGATATCCACCAAATTACTGAAATCGTTCAAGTTCTATTTTCATCCATGATCATCAGAAATCGATTCCCCAACATGATGGTTGCTATTTCTCTTTGTACTTACATCAAATTCACTTTCGAAGCGCATGCGGTTCTTGGCCTTTAATCGCTGTTTCTCCTTGCGAGTGACGGCAAGACGTACGTAATTGTCTTCTTCATAACGATCCTTCTCCGCAATCATACTGTCGACCCGATCGCCGTAACCGAGACCTTCATTCACACCGCCTAATGCATCAATCTCTTCAGGCGTTTCGTTCATCTCGGCCATGACATCCTTCATCAATCGCGATCGTGATGCCTTTTCTCTTAAACGTTGTTGATCTCTCTCTTGTTTGTTCTTCTTTGAATCCCGTGCTTCGTCGTAGGTGACGGGTGCTAACTTAGGTGGTCGGTAGACGCCAGTATTATCCTCTTCCATTTCTGTAAGGTTGTACACATGAAACCATTGAGTCTCAAGCATCGCAAACAAAAACACGGCTCCTCCTCCTTACCTCCACCTTCTTCTTCGTCATCCTTGTTCATCAGATTCTCGAGATTAGGTTTGAAAGCAAGTGGATCGTTGGCTGTAAAAGAAAGAATACGATAAATAACAGAGATCATGACGGTAATTGCAAAAGTGAGCATTTACCCATGGCGGTTGTGCTGGAAACGGAATCTGTTGGCTTATCGGCCGCCTGTTGTGTACCCATGACAGCAGCACGAACAAGCTTGTCAACTTGGTATTTCAGTTTGGCTTCGATCGGCTTCATTTTGTCGAGGATCACTCGCAATTCCACTAGTGAATCCACCACGGGGTGTTGTGCTAATTGTTTGCCGGACAGCTTCAGATTCACATAGAACGCTAATTGCAATACGTATTGGATCATCAAGTGGTACTTGACTTCCAAAAATGATACACCCTTCGAAGTCTGTAACTCGCCATCCTCTAATCTTTATACACAAAATTTCGTTAGTCAAACTTAAACATCATCACACATGAGTCGGCACTACATACTTTTGCTTCAATGGCTTGAGTTGTCCTTTGAGTTCAATCACTTTGGCTTTCAGCTCCTGGATCAGCTTTTTGAATTCGCTTTTTTCTACGACAAAACAATGAATATTTGGCATGCGAATATTGGGTCGTATCAGTGATCGTACCAGAAGCTTGGGTGACATTGTCAGCGGTAGATCCGGCGGCTGTGGACATGGTTGAAATGGGATTACGAAAAATGTCGAACTGCTATGTCTTTGCTCGAACTCGAAAAAAGCAAAAATTTGATCCTGCCATTTGAGCGTGACTGCTTTATTACAGTCAGCAAGGAAGAAAAAAAAAATGCCTCATTGGTCCACCGGCCAACGAAGCGGATATGGTTATTGCACTGCGTACAATTAAAAGCAGATGAATGAGCCATCTATAGTATTCCGCGGATGATTGCAGCCTAATTTCTGCTTAGCCAAAAAGGAACAACTCGGTTACAGGTGATGACAAAGAGATCCACAGGAACCAGACCGGTAATAGGTTTTATCCATAAAAGGCAAGTGCTGTCGTTTGAAGGGTATTTCCAAATGAGGATGTTCTTCTCTGGAGGAGAAAGAAATTGTGTAATTTCAGTGTAAAACACGCCTGTGGAGGATGGCAGGTGGGTGCATAATTCACGAATAGATAATGAGGACTTTACACGCATTCGTATTATTTTGGCAAGAAGGGGGAGCCTTTTCTTTTTTGTTGTTGGTTTATCACGCACAAAAGGGTATCTGACTTTCGCTTGCTGAATCGTTGGATGTTCACCAACTACACCATTTTTTATTTGATTTTTCTTCTCCCGCTCGACATTAATTAAGCTCTTCATTTCCAGCCAAGTTACAACTCAGTCCTTCGTTCCTCACTTGTCCCTTCTCTTCTTTCAAACTTCCCCTTTCCTTAGTCCCTATTCTCTTTCTTTTCCTCTCGTTTCGTTGTCGATCAACGAATCCTCACTTTCATCTACTCGTTACCTATTCCATCATCTCCATCATCTGACCTTTACATCACTCGTTTTCGCCATTACTATTTTTTATTCCCTTTATTGCGATGTCTTTGTTCTCTAAATTAACAAAGAACACTGACAGGACGATTTATCCCTGGTCGCAACGTAAACTGGGCGGTAGCAACAGCGCCCTGCCGAGATTCGGTCATGCCACCACAGCGTTGCCATCCGACAGCTTGATATTATACGGCGGCGTCTATAGAGGATCCACTAAAAAAGACATCTTTCTAATCGATACCAGTACGTGATTCGCAGCCAAAAAAAAAAAAAAAGAAAAAAGAGAAATATGACATTGCTTTTTTATTTGCTTGATTCATGGAGTGATGAATGTAACGTGTGTATGCTTGTGATTGATTAGATAGTCTTTCTGCAAGCAGTCTAAGTACATCCGGTGAAACGCCGGCGCAAAGAAGTTATGCCACCATTGTTTCTGTAGGCAACCACGTTTTATGTAAGGATCGCATCTGTTTTTTTTATTTTTTATTTTTAAAAAGACAAAGCATGTGGAGTCTAAATTAAGGTCAATTATAGTGTTTGGTGGCGAACCTATCGTGCCAGACGACAAATGGGACGATCAGCTCTATCTCCTTAATCTTAGTAAGTCTTCACTCTGACGCTTTAACAGCTGGGATACCAAGCAAACGTATCACTGATCTTGTCCTCGTTATAGATACGCGCATATGGAGCCGAATCCAGATCGAAGGGCCCTCACCCTCTGAACGTTCCGGTCACACGGCGGTCTCCTATAACGGAATTATGTATATCTTTGGTGGTCAACGCGGCAACCACTACTTCAATGATTTATATGCTTTTAATACCAGCACATGTAAGTCAGTTGCTCGTACCACGAAGATCACGACTGTGAAATATTCATCTATTGAACTTCTTTCTTTTGGTCCTTTTCGTACTTTTGTAGATCCTGCGAATGCCCGCTGGGAATGTCTTTCCTCCGGCAATGAAGGTCCAACAGGAAGATCGGGACACGCATCCGTCATCTATGACAATAAATTTTACATGTAAGCCCGCCATTTTCGTCGTGGGTGGTACGAACCTAATGTTCATCAACCATTTTTAGTTTCGGAGGAACAGATGGAAACCACTTGTATAATGATATTTGGTCGTACGACCTTCAAGCGAGAACATGGTCCCAAGTCGCCGCGGCGGGTTATATCCCCATGCCTCGTGAACGATGTGCTGCCTCACTCGTGGATGACGTGATGTACGTCATCGGCGGCAGAGGACCGGACGCACAAGATTTAGGCGATTTGTGTGCCTTCAAAATTCGAAGTAGGTCAACCATCAGCTTTCTCTCCAAGAATTTACCATGGAGATCAAATCCATATTAAACGATTTCCAACAGATCAACGCTGGTACATGTTCCAAAATATGGGACCTGCACCCTCGGCACGCCATGGACTGACCATCACTGGTATCAAGGAAAAAATGGTGGTACTTGGCGGTGATGCCGGAAATGGGAAAATGGAAGACGCTTCCATGGTGTATGTCCTTGACAGCGGTAACTAAAGATCCGATTTCACTTGCACGCTCAGGCACGGTTTCTCATCGGTATTCTATTAGCCAAAATCAAGTATCCGGCCGAAGCGCCTACGCAACAGAATCCCCCACTCAACAGTTCACCCTCGTTTTCCCCCCCTCATTGCTACGTGGATGCTGATAATCAGGCTCATTCTCCGCACTACATGCAACAAATTCAACAAGTGCAACAGATCCGTGGCATGTCGCCTTCACAATCGTCTCAGCCGACTCCGAAACGATCTCCGCAATTACAGCATCAACGCCAGCCATCCCCCGTCAAACAGGATGCCAAAGACGCGGATCTCGTCAGCCCCATCGATCCTCAAGCCTCCCTTTCTACGCCCCTACCTAGCACCACCAATTCCTCCAACGCTCGTGTGAAGCTCAGTCATCCAGATCCTCACGTGAATCCGTCCACTGTAAGTGATTGGTCAATGGTTCGAAAAAAAATTCAAAGCCAAGCTAAAAGATGTTGTTCATTTCTTATTGTTATTACATCAGCCGCCAGCAAGACCACCTCGCTTGGGATCCATGGTGCCTCCTGCAGCGCTTCGACGACCACGCACCACATCGCCTTTACCCATGGCCGATATTGATGTTAATGTGGATCACCGCCGACAACCCGCTTCCGTGTCGACCGCGTCTCCTACATCGCCAGGTGCCGGTGCCGATCTGTATCCACAGACGCGTGCTCCTCAGCGACCGGAAGAAAATTCATATGCCGATTATGCGGCTATGCGACAGGAAATGACTTCACCCAAACCATCGCAGTCGCGAAACACCGTTGGCCCGCCTCCTAGACCATCACGCGAAGGCGTGAACCTTGCCAGTTCGTACCGTCACACCATGAGTTATAGCAACGAATCACTCAATGGAGAGCCCACCGAGACCAGTGAAAATTCAGCCCCGCTGTATGATATGCCACCCACGCACCACGCCCTACCCCATCAACCGCAACCACCTTTTCAGGATTCGAACGAACATGCGCTGGAACGCAGTCTGTCCCCCACGCATAATTCCGCTTATGCCGTGGCATCCATACATGCTGCTAACCTCCATCAGCAGCCATACCCGTCGTCCACTCACATCAAGGGGTCGGTCGACAGCGCACAGGAAGAACGTGCGGCTCTATTGCGCGAAATTAAGACGCGGGATCTGATTATTAGCGAGATGAGAAAGAAGGAACAATGGTGGCGCACTGAAGTATCATTAGCGCGAAAGCAGAGACTCGAAAGAGGAGAATCTGTCGAAGATTCACCCGAAGCAGACAATGCCATGCTTTTAGATACGAACGATATGGAGCCGGACAAGGTGCGCTTATTGGAACAGTTGATCGCTGTCAAGGCGGAATTGCGTCGGGTTCGTACAAGTATCCATCAACAAGGCCAACCAATGTCGGAAAAAGTGAACCAAGCCGATCGTATGCGCACCGCTGCCCTTCAAGAAGCAGCTTACTTCAAATGTAAATATCTGGCCGTGAAGAATCGGCATCCGGAAGAACTCGTCGCGGCGGAAACGGAACGTGCAGAGAGTCTCGAAAAGAAGCTTGCGGCGGCTCTTGTGGAAAACGAAAGCAACGGTCGTCTCTTGCAGCAGTTGCAGAAACGCGCTCAGCATGATCACGCAGCACGGATATCCGCCGAAGAGCGGGCTAAAGAAGCCCATGAACGTGCCGAAGAAGCACAAGAAGCCCATCAACGAGCATTGGAGGAACTGTCGAATTTATTAGCTCGTGCAACGCGAGCGGAGGCTCAAGTGCGTGATGGTGCGGCCAAGATTGCCGAACTCAGCAATCAATTGACCCAGGCATTATCGGTGAGTTCCTCATCGGAAGAACTGTCCAAGAACCATATCAAAGTGTCCCAGTTGGAAGCGGCCAATCTCAAATCACGCAACGAAGCGGCCATGTTGAAACGGCAACTGGCCGAAAGCCTGGATGACATTGCTCGTCTTCGTACCTTGCTGAACGAAAGAGAAGAATCGCTCAACGAGGTAAATCGCCACTTGGAAGACAGTGAAATTCAGCTGGGCATGATGAAAGAAGCCATGAGTCAAAAAGGATTCACCACTAGAGCATACTAAAGAAAATAATGTCAGTTTCCTTCTTTTTCACTTGTCTCCTTTTTCATCTTATTTATTACCTACCTCATTGCGTTCTCATATTCCTTGTTCTCTATTCCTTTTGTCTCTTTTTTTTCTCATATTTTTATCGTATAAGATATCGAGTGTTTCTGCATTAAGAAATTTCAATAGCTCATCTTGCTTTTCTGGGTCAACAGCGACGGATCCATTTTTTGCATGATTGCGGAGAATCAATGGATCACGCACAGCAGAGCCAAGAGGCACGGGTAAAAAGCTCCATCTTTTCGCATATAAGCTGGATGAATTGCACGTTGATGCTGATTATGCATTTTTCGTCCACCGAATACATGCCTTTTGATTCGGGGTGTCCATAACACCATTGTATATAAATGAGGAATTGTGAAGACGATGCTCATGACAAGAAAAAAAAGACTAGTTTGTGTGATGTGCGAATTTTTTAAAGACAAATGATCAATAGGACGACCATCAGAGGAAGCCGGTTATTCATTTAAAGCAAATAAAAAATGATTTCTATTTTTACATGAAAAAGGAAAATGCGGGGAAATTCGAAAGCAAGGCGAGGGTTTTTGGATCCTTTACAAAAAGAAAAAGTGGATGACGCGTTGGATTGGGTGTGACCTTGCAGTGCTTATTGCTTTCCTGCCACTTCAGCCTTAACGACGTTGGAACCGTTCTTTTCGCGCATGACTAAGCTCAACTTCTTGCTGGCATCGATGGTGATTTGAACTTCGATCTTGCTTGCCTTGGCCTTTTGGCTCTTATCAAGAGGGAGGGCAGCTTCGACCAACTGAGCAGCGGGCTTAACGATAACCTTGGTGACGATCTCGGGTTCCTCCTCGATGGGTTCTTCACCTTCTTCGACCTCAATAGGTTCAGGCTTAATCTCGGTCTTTTCAATGACGTGATCACCTTCGTGCAAGTTAAGGTAAGCGTGGGTCTGGTTATCAGCAGCATTGCTGAACTCGAAGGTACGGCGAGCGGGCAAAGCAGTGCCACGGGGAATGAGAGTGACAAATTCACCATTGGCATTCACCAAGCCAATATCCTTGGAAGTGTGAGGAGCCAAGGTAACAACGGGATGGATGGAAGCATCAATATCTTCCTTGTCGAAACCAGCCACCAAGGAACCTTGGATAGCACAACCACGAGCCACAATTTCATCGCTCTCGAGTTCAGAACGGACGTTGGTGTGTTCAGAGGTGAAGGTTTCTCTCAACTTCACAGCAAACTTAGGAATACGAGCGGAACCACCAGCAAGGACAACCTATGATCATCACATCCATGTTAGCTCAAGTCCCAAGTTTTTCGAACCAATATCTTTTTTTTTTTCAATCAACTAACCTCATCGACCTCGGAGGGATCCAAATCAGCCTTGGCCAACACTTCGCGGATGGTTTCCTGGAGCTTACCAAAGACTTTGTTGGACATGATTTCGAAACGCATACGGTTAATGGTGCTGTGGAAGTCGAGACCCTCAGCCAAAGATTCAACGAAACAGGGAGCCGAGCTAGCGCTGGACAACATCTTCTTGGTGACTTCAACGGCGTTTCTCAACTTGGCACTGGCCTTCTTGTTTTCGGTAATATCGACCTTGGACTTCTTCTTGAATTCGGCAGTGAAGTGGTTGATCAAGAGATCGTCAAAGGAAGAACCACCAAGCTTGGTATCGTGAGCCGTGGCCAAGATCGAGTAGATGCCGGAACGAACAGTCAATACAGTAACATCGAAAGAGTGACCACCCAAATCACACACGACCACGGTCTTATCTTCAGGGTTCTTGATGGTCTTTTGACCAATGCCGTAAGCAAGAACAGCAGCAGCCGATTCCTGGATAAGCTGGATCACCTTGATACCAGCGGCTTCAGCAGCACTAACCAATTCTTCACGCTGCTTCTCGGTGAAATAGGAAGGCACAGCCATCACAGCACCACCAATGGAGGTACCAAGGAAAGCTTCGGCTGATTCGCGAATGTGTCTCAAAAATTTGGCCGAGATTTCTTGAGCGCTCAAGACAATCTTCTTGTCCTCAGGAAGCGAGATCTGGTAAGCGGGCATTCCCTCCTTCTCGACAATAGGAGCGGCGGATCCAGCAAGGTTCTCGGATTCAGCATAACTAAAGAAAGGTTGATAAGCTTACAAAGCTTGAGAGACCAGTATCACATTTTACTTACGTCTTGCCGAGAGCTGCACGGAAGTTGGCAACGGTGGTTTGAGGATGACGGGCAATGTCAGACTTGGCTTGAGAACCGACGACCTACAGATTACGGCGCATGAGCACAAACCCGGCTATAATGACTTGAACTACGTCAGCATATAACATACCTCTTCTTCACCGTGGAAGGCGAGAACAGAAGCGATTTGACGATCACCTTCCTCGTTGGCAAGACAGTCAGCACGACCTTCCTGTAATGCGTCAAACACAATCATCAGTAAGCCAGATTCGGACGGGATATAAAGTTTTGAGTATTTGTTACCTTTGTCACGTAACCAATGGAAGTGTAGCAGGTACCAAAGTTAATACCAATGACGGCGTTAGATTCACTCATTAGGACGAACAAAAGAGAACTCGATGGAGGTGAAGAAGCAAAAAATTTGCTCCGTGCTTTGCAGGTCCCAATGTCCAATGGCGGACTTCCAAACGATAAAAAATTTTGAGCCGTTAAAAAAAAACCGAAAATGAAAAGCCACTTGCAAAACTTTGTCTGCAGAATATAACCATAACGATAATCAAGACCGCAAAACTTCAACAAAGATATGCTCAGTACAGATACATAAAACTCTATTCTCGCAAAAGACTAGTAGTAAATATATTGGCCTTTGGCGTTGTGTCTCTCGACGTTGATAGGTTGTAAGAAAGCAACATCTCCACCAAAAACAATCTACCATCGTTGGTTGTTATTTGTGACCGTCTCTTAAAATTTTAACCAATGAAAATGAAAGGAGTCAAAAGTCGTATCATGCACCAATGAAAGTTGTTTGCAGTAACTTTTGCGCGATACACATTGTCGTGTCCCCTGGTTGATACATCGGATAGTGTAGCTCAATATCAATGCAGCATATGAGCTGGATGATTGAAGTATTCTCAATTCTGGTTGAATGAGAAGGCGGCTCCTTTTCTGTCCAGTCGATGTACGCGCTGTCCTTGGTTACTGCTGAAGAAACAAACTATCTGTTGGTTACTTACATCAAGTCTTGCATCCAAGTGATGTATAGCAAGACAATTAAAAAGAACCACGCGCTAGACTTTTTTTAGGTGTGCAAACAAAAAGTTACCTTTGCTATTATTTCAATGAATAACAGGGATGTCAGTGAATTCTGATTTATTTCTGGCAGAAAAGCCTCTGTGGATCTTCTGCAATTGTGGGAAATCAGAAAGTCAGCGGAAGTCGAATAAGGTCGGCGAATGATCTCATTTGTGTGAGACAACAGGAACCAATGAACCTTTTTGCAGTTTACCTGTTGACAAGGAAATAGAGACGAGATACGGCTATATGCTTATATTTAAGAATCCTGTATGGAGAGAACATTATGTACAGACGATGTCGGTACTATGTAAAGTATATGCGTGAACCATTTTATGAGGAAAAATGGGCGGAATTTTTTGTAATTGATCATCTGTCCTATTTTTTACCCTCTCTAAGACTTAAGAGCCAATTGTTTGAATCGAACTAACCATTCTTCTCCCTACACTTTCGTCTTTTTTCCATGAAGTTTATATCAATCATCATTACCTTTGCTTCAGTGCTCCTTGCCACCGCCACTGGACAACCGTTACAACAGCGACCCATAATGGCCCCAGGAACGCACGGTGACATATGGTCGCTATGCGACAATCCGGCAACCCATTTGCTTCGTGGTTATGAGGGCGGTGTCTATATACATCCGGAGGCACCTCGAACAAACGACGATATCAATGTCAAAATTAATGGCATGTTAGGTGAGCAACTATAATGAGGCAGCTTGATGGCTAGAATGACACTAAATTTGTTTGAACCTTCTTAAGCATCTGATGTTACCGGAGGTCATGTGCAAATTGACTTGAGCATCATGAATATGATCAAAATCAAAAAGGAGTTAGACCTTTGCACGGTTCTGCAGAGCGATGTCATGGGTCACCGTCCTTGTACTTTATCCGCAGGAGATGTAGAATTAGAAGCCACAGGTAAGGATAGCACAGTGAGTGGATATTTTGGTTTGTTGACTCATTCATTGTTTGTTTCAGCCTTTATCCCTCGTGAAATTCCAAAGTTGCCCCTCAAGGGAGATATCCGCATCAACGATCAAGATGGTCGCACAGTCACTTGTATCCATCTTGATTTCAAACTGCAATAATGATCTCTATGTCTTTATAATATGTGTACATGCTATTTACAAAATGATAACACCCTAGTATGACATTTTTGATACTTCGCCTTCGTTGTACTTTTGTTGTATCCCCAGCAACGATGTAATCACCTTCATTTTCATCTTCATCTTATCCCGTAGTGCAAATAAATCCGTGTTTGGACAATTATCTTTGGGGAATTCATCGATCATTCGTTGAAGCGTTTCGATATGTTTGACAACTCTACACACCACACACCACGTCAGCTCCTCCTCATTTTTACGGACGTGCAAGATTCCTAGTTCACTTACTTTGGCGAAATCTTTTCGCCATGCTGCTCGGCTAATTGAGCCCACACTTGTATACAACCGCTGTAGAACCCGATTTCACGTCCAAGTTCAAAGCCTTTTTCACATCCAAACAGCCGTCCTTCCAATTCTCCTGATTTCTCGCCATCCCGGAAACCATCTTCAAAACCATACTCCTGAAACCTGCATCCAACGATGAATCATGAGTACTTTGGCAATTTACTCACGATTCTGTCTCTATTGACGGAGGCGTTGAAAAAAAAACTTACATGGTCTCTAGATAGCATAGTGATTCGAGTTCTTGTTGCTTTGTTGCCATTGGGAAAGCTAAACGGTTGATGGCGCAGTGAAAATCCGGAAAAAAAAAAAAAAAAAAAGCCGGAAAAAATACAAACGACCCACTGTAACTGGTCGGTGATTGCTGCGGTTGAACCATCCCATTCAAAATTCAGGCATAAATAACTTTTAATCATGAGAATAAATACCAATATAACTAAATGTATTCAAATACTATATACAACTCTATTTCTTTTCCGAGTCATCTGCACCGCCGGTGGTTGGAAGGCCAACATTGACCTTGAATGTATCATACAGCAACCACTGAAGACCAGTCAAGGTACCGATCATAAAGATACGAGCTCCTAGACCACGCCATAATCCTTTCATGCCCAATTCTTTGATCAATGCACCCACTCCCATGGGCTTCTCTCCTGACGCAGGCTTGGGCATATTGTTCAACTTGGATACAAGTACATCAGCGGGATGAGACACCACAGCACACAAAATACCAGCAATGTAACCACCCGCAAAACTGACACCAAGCTAATGAAAGAAGGGAATATACCGAGTCAGCTCCATCTGATGAAAAGACTGTCCTCTTTTGCACGCCCTTTATTAGCCTTACCTGTTGCATGGAATTGTATTCGGATTTAGGCTTCTTGAGTACCACTTTGTAAATGGCTTCGACAGTGGCTTCAAAGGATGCAAACTTGGCCATGGTATATGGAACTGTGCGAATAAACTGGAGTAAGCACTCCATGCATGGATATGAATTGTCCTCAAACACTTACTTTGACGAGCCCAGAGTGGACCGATGCCTTTGTAGAATCCTTTCAAGCCTTCTTGGGCCATCAGTTTGTTAAAGCCTTCCTTGGTCGTCTTGGCATAGGGAGGAAGCGAAGTCTGCATGCGAACTTTCAAAGCTTCCCAGGGACACAAGAAGATGTCAGCAAAGAATTCAGCCGAGGCGGAAGCACCCAAGTACAGGATACCGCGATACTTGTGTGAATTCTCCTCGCCGACGAGCACGCCGTATTGGTATTTGAAGTATTCATAAAGACCGTACTTGCCCGCGCCTTGGAACGAATAGCCAATGGCTGTGGGCCCAACACCGGTGAAAATACCACGGAGACCTTCGCTGCGATAGATTGTTTTCCATCCGTCAAAAACACCTTTGTAGATTCCAGGTTTCACCTAGGTGATATGGACACCCGTTCAGCCCAACTTGTCTTTTTTCCCTGTTCCGCAAATGTACAATCAATTTCAATCTTTACCTGCGATCGACACTTGACTAGATCCAAAGGTGTCACCAGTGAATGTGTAGGACTATGATAACGACATGTGGTGTGAGGAATCCATGGATGTAAACCGGTATGAAGCATATGCTTTTGAAAGTTATTTTTTACCCGCAAGCGATAATGCCACCGAGACCGCATGCAAGAAAATATTTAGGGCTGTATAGCTCAATGGAGCTTTTCTTCTCATTGGGTGAAGCAATCATAAATTTGGACATGTAGGACATGGTTGAAACCGAGGATAGAGTCGTATCAATCTTAAGGGGTTGCATTCGACTGAAAAAGGAAGAAAGGCGTTATATACAAGTTTTTCATCATGTATGACCTCATTGTCTCATCATGGAAAATTTTGTTCCAATTTCGTGCATTTTTTGTTTTTTATTCCGTGTCCCCGAAAGATAAGCTTATTTGCGTCAAATGTCTTTTATACAAAGAACAATAGAAAAAATAAAAACAATGGATGTAATTTCAGGTATCGCATCATGGGATTTATTATTTCTTACTGGCAATGCCTCTTTTGTCAGTATGGCAATCTGCAAGCCTTATTCCTCAGAAAAATAAAATAAAAAAAAAAGTCAGAATTTCCCGGAGTTACTGATTATCCAGCTGTGCAATGGAATCATCGATGATGAAGTATTCAAAGTTTGGATGGAACAACTCACTAAACGCATGCGTTTACCCACGGTTGAACTTGAGTCCGGCTGACCATTTTGTTTGGATATTTGGACACAGCATCACGGTCTGGGCCGAAGCCCATAATCATCCTGCAGCAGCATAATGCTTGATTTTATTTTATTTTATATAATGTTATTTCATTTTTATTTTTTGCCCGAGAGTTTTTTTTTCTCTTGCGCGATAGTATTGCAGCCATATGTTCATATCAATGCGTTTATCCATCTCCTGGGACTAAAAATAAATGATCAACGATTGCCATGGATAATATTGATTTATTCAACATTTTTCTTTTCTGTTCTGTTCTTTTCTTTTGCAAAGCTATAAAGAACACTTGTTTATTCACATGCGATCTACCAGGAAGATATTCTTGAACGTTCTCTTTGTGTGAACTTTTTGCTCTTTATGGGCGTCAAAAACCTGTTTTAGCACTATTCGCTCACAGTTGATTCATGGCATGAAAAATTGTCAAACTTTTCACACTTTATAATTTTGTATAAAACAGTGATCGCTTCGTAACTCTTGAACCTCCCCAACGCATCTTTTGTTTTTATCACCATGTCTACCAATGTAAACTTTTCCTTATTATATCATCACATCAGCAGCATGTAGCTAACAGTGCCCTAATTTTTAGCCCTCGTTTGACCGCCAAGATTCTTCCAAGTTCCAAAGTCTCGCTGACCAGACGCAGAGAAATCAGACATCTAAAGCTGACATCCAGCACCACGTCGACTCGGGCCACCAATGTCATGCCGGTCCATTCACAGCTCGCCAAGTGCAAAGCATGGCTGATCAAACAGGCCAGCATCCGGATCTGAAAGCCAAATTCCAAGGTCAAACGCAAAGAAAATAATTTAACATTTGTCAATTTGCTTCGAACTCTTATGATTTCTGTATGTCTTCCCAATTTCTGCAAAAAGGAAAAAAAAAAAAAAAAAAATTAACTCGCGCACCGAACAATAAAATCAGTGGCTTTTACCGGACAAGGGACTGCTTAAGATTTTCACTTTTTTTTTTTTTTTTTTTTTTTTTTAATTGGGAGCCTGAAGGGGATACCTGTCACTGCTTTACGTTCCAAGAGTTTCCCATTCACGATGAATATCTCGTGTCCCATTGGAACAGAGATCGACTCTGTGTCTTTCTCGTTTTATGAGCCACATGAAATTCGAAAGATTTCAGTGAAGCAGGTCGTTAACCCTGTTCTCTTCGATACCTTGGGACATCCCACCAAAGGTGGTCTTTACGACCCTGCTCTTGGCCCGTATCAAAAGTCCCAAATGTAACGTACAACGACTCTTTGGCAACCCACGCATCTCTTCTTATTCACATCCATTTCTTGTAATTTCTTATTTTGTAGTTGTGGCACTTGCTCGCAAGATCACTTCAACTGTCCCGGTCATTTCGGTCACATCGAGTTGCCTATTCCTGCATACAATCCTCTCTTTTTTGATAATCTTTACGCTATTCTTCGAGCTCAATGTATCTACTGTCATCGTTTCCGCATGAACCGCCCTCAGGTAATCTTGTGATCCAACAACCCAGTTCCTGATCGCTCTTTTATGACGGGTCTCACGTCAAAAAAAAAAAACGGCGACTTTGGACTGTTACTCAATATCGGATCACTCATCAATTTTATTTGTTTTTTCGCATTTCTGGAATATAGATGAAAAAAGTGGTCGCCAAGTTGATGCTTTTGCAGAATGGTTTGATCCGTGAGGCGCAGGCTTTGGAGGATCTGTACATCAAAACGGCCAAAAAGGGTAAAAATAACACCGAAGAAACGCTGGAAGATGCCATGGAGGAAGACGCGGATGCCATGAGCAGTGCCGAGGAATACATGGATCATATTGGTAAGAACGTCGTCGGAGGAACACTGGCAGTGGAGGGCTGGATTTGTTGATTGACAGCGTAAATCGTTTTTAGACAACTATGTCAAGAAATGTTTAGCGGATGAGGAAGCTCGTAAATTCGCTGCCAGCAATTACAAAGTCACCGTCATCAACGAAGCACGAAAGGCCGTAATGATGGATTTCATGAGACAGTGTTTAGCGACAAAACGCTGTGGCAACTGTGAGGGTATTTCTCCTCCTTACCGACGTGACGGAGCTGCCAAGCTTTTCCAGCTCGCATTGACGAAAAAGGAGCAAGTGTTGATGGAAGCCAAGTTGGACGAGGTTTCCAAGAAAGCCTTGCCTACCGGAGCTCAACGTTTTTTAACTCCTTACGAAGTTCGCAATTTGGTCAAAGCGTTGTTCGACAAGGAAGGTGAAATCACCACTCTTTTGTATGGTGGACGTAACGCCCATGTACCTTCCTACGTCAAAAAAGCCACCTATCACATGTTCTTCATCGAAGTGTTGGCCGTCGCTCCCACCCGTTTCCGTCCTCCGTCCGTGATGGGTGATCAGGTGTTTGAATCGCCTCAGAATGAATTGCTCAGCGGTATCCTAAAGAGCTCTCACACCGTGCGCGACTTTTCCGAGTCTTTGCAGGCTGCTGAGGATGAGGATCCCATGGATAAAGCCAAGGTTCAACGTTTGCGCAACATGTTTGTCGACAGCATCATTGCCCTTCAACATGCCGTCAACTCGTTCATCGATTCCACCAAGAACCCGACGCCGCTTGCTCAAGGTCAAACCGCTCCTCCCGGTATCCGCCAAGCTCTCGAGAAGAAGGAAGGTCTGTTCAGAAAGCATATGATGGGTAAACGTGTCAACTATGCCGCTCGTTCAGTCATTTCTCCCGATCCCAATATCGAAACATCCGAAATTGGTATCCCACCTGTCTTTGCCAAAAAGCTCACGTACCCTGAACCAGTGACGCCTCACAATATCAAAGAGTTGCGTCAGGCGGTTATCAACGGTCCTTTCAAATGGCCCGGTGCTACTCACGTGCAGAACGAAGATCAGTCCATCGATGTGCTTGCTAATCTCAGCTTGGAATCGCGTATTGCTTTGGCCAATTCGCTTTTGGCTCCTCAGAGCTCTCACAACGCTCAATCGGGCACCAACCCTTACCCAACGCGTACGCAGACCATTAACAAGAAGGTGTTCCGTCACTTGCGCAACGGTGATATGCTTTTGCTCAACCGTCAGCCTACATTGCATAAACCTTCCATCATGGCTCATAAAGCGCGTGTGTTGCCTGGCGAAAAGACCATTCGTATGCATTACGCCAACTGTAACACCTATAACGCCGATTTCGATGGTGATGAAATGAATATCCATTTCCCTCAAAACGAAATTGCCAGAGCCGAAGCTACCTTGATTGCCAACACCGACAACCAGTATCTTGTCCCTACCAGTGGTAACCCTCTTCGTGGTCTTATTCAGGATCACGTTGTTTCCGGTGTGTGGATGACGGCCCGTGATACATTCTTCACGCGCGACGAGTATCAACAATTGATCTATGGTTCCTTGCGTCCCGAAGAAGACGGTATCGGTAATGGTCGCATTCACATGGTGCCTCCAGCTATTTTCAAACCTGTGCCTCTTTGGACCGGTAAACAAATTGTAAGCAAATCGCCCATCATTGCCAATCATGCGGCCCTCTTCTCATTCACCTTTTTTTTCCTTTCTTTTATACAGATCTCCACCATTTTGAAGAATTTGACGTATGGCAAGACGCAATTGAACATGGAGTCCAAGAGTAAGGTTCCTGGTCGTTTCTGGGGTCCTGATGGTGCTGACGAAGCCAAGGTGCTTGTCATGGATGGTGAATTGGTGATGGGTATTTTGGATAAATCGCAATTCGGTGCCACCGCTTACGGTTTGGTGCATTCCATCTACGAATTGTACGGTGCTGAAGCGGCCGGTAAATTGCTCAGTATTTTCGGTCGTCTTTTCACAAAGTACATCCAATTCCGTGGTTTCAGTTGTCGAATGGATGATTTGATTCTTACAAAGGAAGGCGATAAAGCTCGACGTGATTTATTGGATAACGGTCGTAGCCTGGGTCTCGAAGCTCATTTGGAATTCCTTGGTTTGGCGGAAACTGCAAAGACCGAAAGCAAGGAAGTCCTCGAGAAAGAATTCAAGCTTCGTATGGAGGAAGTGGCTCGTGATGACTCCAAACTGGCCGGTCTCGATAATGCCATGAAATCCAAGGTCAACAAGCTTACGACGTCCATTACTGAAACGTGTTTGCCCAACGGTTTGGTCCGCAAATTCCCTGACAATGACATGCAAATGATGACTGTTTCCGGTGCCAAGGGTTCCAACGTCAACGCTGCTCAAATCTCATGCATGTTGGGTCAGCAGGAATTGGAAGGTCGTCGTGTCCCTCTCATGGTGTCTGGTCGATCGTTGCCGTCTTTCCGTCCTTACGATACCAGCGCTCGTGCAGGTGGTTATGTCACAGGTCGTTTCTTGACCGGTATCCGTCCTCAAGAATACTATTTCCATTGTATGGCTGGTCGTGAAGGTCTTATTGATACAGCTGTCAAGACCTCCCGTTCCGGTTACTTGCAGCGTTGTTTGATCAAGCATTTGGAAGGCTTGCGCGTTCATTACGATCACACCGTGCGTGATTCCGATGGTTCCGTTCTCCAATTCCATTACGGTGAAGATTCCTTGGATGTCATCAAGGCCAAGTACTTGAACAAGTTCAGCTTCTCCGCCCACAATTTCGAAACACTGTCACAGAAATATAACCCCAAGGCAGCGCTGAGCTCGCTGGAAACCAAGATCGGTGATGATTATGCCAAGAAAGCGTTGAAGAAGCCCAACAAATACGATCCTGCACTTTCCGTGTACAACCCCGGTACTCATTTGGGTGTTGTGTCTGAACGATTTGCACTTGCCATGAAGGACTATATCGACAAGAACCCCGACAAAATGCCATTCACCAAGGCCGGTTTGGAAACCAAGAACGATCACCGTTTCGCCAACTTGACCAAGAGCAAATTCCGTGCATTGATGCAGTTGAAGTACTTGCACAGTTTGGTTGAACCTGGTGAGGTGGTGGGTCTATTGGCAGCTCAGTCCGTGGGTGAACCTTCCACGCAGATGACATTGAACACTTTCCATTTTGCTGGTTATGGTGCGGCTAACGTGACATTGGGTATCCCTCGTTTGCGTGAAATTATTATGACCGCGGCAAGAGTTATCAAAACCCCTACCATGTTGTTGCCTCTCCGCAACGATGCCACTCCCGAGATCGCGAGCGAATTCTGTAAAGCCGCTTCCAAATTGACGCTTGCACAAATTGTGGATGATGTCTCCGTAACCGAAACCACGACCGCCAAGACCCCCGAAAACAACTATCGCCGATCCAAGGTGTACACCATCCGATTAAATCTGTTCAGCGAAAAGGAGTACTCGGAAGAATATCGCGTGAACGCTCGTCGCATCAAGGAAGTGTTGGCCACAACGTTCTTGAAGGATTTGGAAGAAGCGATCCGCAAGGATATCAAGGGAGCGAAGAAGGCTCATACCACTGACATTGCTGAAGGTCAGAAAGTGATGAGCAGCCACAACGATGACTTCAACGAAGAGCAAGGTGCGGATGCTGGCAATGGTTATGGTAAGATGGATAGATCAGGTGGTAAAACACGAAAGGGTTCCGTTGATTTTTAACACATTGTTTGTCACCAGCTTCGGATGATGGTGATAATGATGCCACTACTTCTCGACTGGCGTCCAAGACGAAGCAACAAGCCTCGTATGAAGGACCTGATGAAGAAGATATGGATGCAGCCAACAAGACATTGGAGGACGAAGAAGCCGAATTAGAAGAGGCTGCCAAGGCGGGTGATGATGAGATGGATGAGGACGAGCCCAAACCTCGCAAGAAATCAAGCACAGATCTGGAATCCGTTGCTTTAGAACGAACCAATTACGTGTCTCGATGGAAGTTTGATGATGAAGAGGGTGCATGGTGTGAGATCGATATGCAGTTCCCTGCCGATACCAAGAAGATTTTGATGGTCAGCTTGATCGAGAAGAGTTGCTCGCGTGTTATTGTTCACGAAATCAAGGGTATCGAACGCTGCTTCGAATATATCAACCCCACCGAAAACGATACTGCTGTAAGTAATTTTTTATTTATCCAACTGCAATTAGAACGGTTTGAATTAATTTTTTTTTCTTTGATTACAGAAACGTCTTCAAACCGAAGGTGTCAATCTTCGAGGCATGTGGGATCACAGCAATATCATTGATGTGAATTATATCGATACCAACGACATTGCGGCCATTCTTCGAACGTATGGTGTGGAAGCAGCGCGTAATGCGATCATCAAGGAAGTGGCGAGCGTTTTCGGTGTTTACGGTATTACCGTCGATCGTCGCCACTTGACTCTGATTGCCGATTATATGACCTTTGAGGGTGGCTACAAACCGTTCTCTCGTATCGGTATTGGCTCCAACGTATCACCATTCCTGAAGATGAGTTTCGAATCTACCTGTAAATTCTTGACCGAAGCAACACTGTAAGTTTTTTAGTTTCGCTCTTTTTGTTTTGAACGATGTAACTGATGGATCATTTTCTGTGGTTTTTTTTTATTAGTCATGGTGACTTTGACGACCTGCAGTCTCCATCATCGCGCATTGTGGTTGGCAAGCCTTTCGAAGGTGGCACTGGTTCCTTCGAAGTCTTACAACCCTTGACAACCAACGCATAGATTTTTTTCTTTTCTTCATAGCTTACGATTTTCTTCAATTTTTCAACCAACGATTAAATACTGTAAATTTATTCATCTAGCATGCACTTCGCTGTCGCCAAATTGTAGAATCAATTTCTATATCATCTTGTATGGTCTTATTTTTTAGACATTGATAAGACGAGTCATCGAATCACTGCTCTTTTTTTTTTTTTTTTTTTTGGTGTCTGGATGACGGCAAAGTCTAATTCGCTGGCCTCTTTACATCTTTACGAGCACGGTTCATAGTTGGATAGTGCGGCATACAGAAAAAAAAAAGAACCACTAATGTAAGGTTACACTGTAGCTGATTTTATATCGGCAAACATGCTGCCGAGGTTTGTACGACAGAATATCCTTGTGTATGCGGCATTTTTATTTGGACAGTTGCCACATTTATTCAGGAGTTGTTTGGTGTCACCAAATATAGGAAATATTTAGCTTGAAACACGCCTGGCTTAGGAAGCTGTTGGGAGTGAACCAAACGCTGTGAGGAAGCCATGATCAGCCAACATAAGAATATGCAAGAGATAGAACATTTCAGTCGCAAAAGACTGCAGTTGACAAATGTGGTCTCACTTTAATTTCATTGCGTTACCAAAACGGTGACACACGGAACCGATTACATGAGTTGAGTGAGCGACTATGAAGTCACATCTCTTCGTCGCCAGGTCAACTCATCGAGCACTATATGGGTTTTGCCACTCTACCATTATCGATGGTTGATGCCGCGTGACCATGGTATTATCGTCATGCAGCACTGTAATAAAACAGTGCAGAAAGAGATTGTCTTTCCTCCATAACAGCTGTTCAACCCTGATTTATTTTAATTTCTTGTGCTCAACATGTTGCGTCCGACGCAAATGTTTGCAAACACTTTATTTTTATTGCGCTCAACAATCTGGTTAAAAGCGTTTCTTTCTCTGTACAGATTTGGAATGGATATACAGTGGCCCTGTAATAAAAGAGGGGTCGAGTATCATGGTATTGAATCATATTTCGTTTGGTTTGCGGAGTGACAATCTAGGGCGATCAAGAGACCTTAAAAATTGGCCATGGTTCGCCTGATTCTTCTTTATTAGGGTTTAAAGAGGTACGATTAAATTAAACAAGGATAGTAAGCGGGTTGAAATACAATATAAACGGGGTAGAAGAGCCGCTCATGAAAAACTAAGTGGAAATAAGAAGTAGTGGACAAGTGAAACAAGGTCAACAAGAGTAAAGAGGAAAGAAGCCAGATCCTTGACGGTCTGATAGGGATGGGGCACATGAGGGAAATGGTAGATTACAGATCGGGCAAAAGGACACGACTGATACGATAACGCACTCCGAGATAACTTAGATAGTCCGAGCCAGGAAATACTCTGACGCGTTGAACAGCAGGGAAATGACTGTCGTTAATATCGACAAAGACGCCTTTGAGTTGCAGGGTACTTTCGAGCTTGGCATGGTTTTCCGCATCGAGGGGGATCCAGCGTGCCCTACTAAAGAATAACCATTGAGCCTGGAACCGGGTATGGTGGCGAATCAACGTTCGAGAGGGAGAAGGCGAGTGACTGACCATGGAAGGTAGGAGCTGAATGACTTGGGTTTCGCCAGTGGACAACATGATACGATTTGAATAGAAGCAGCGATGATTTTAACGGACAATAAGACGAAGAGAGGGAGGTGGAGAAAAATGACGTCTAAAGAGAACAACACAAAACGTTAAAAAAAAAGATCAAAACAACAGATACAAAAGTGAAAGAATCTTGATTTCACTTTGACTCCAAGTTTTAACCCGCTTTTATCATGGTGGACTGTCATGAGACCATATTTAAGGATTGCGGATGAAGCTTAATGAAGCAGACGCGGTTTAATTTTTTTGTTCAGATGATCGAGCATTGAACAACAACAACAAAAAAATAAAGGAATTGTGGCCCCGTGATGCGAGCATGTTGCTCATCAGGCTTCCTGAATTCCTTGTTATTCAGTCTGGATAAATTAGGCAATCGTGAGTAAAAGAAAATCGAATGAATAAGTTTGGTTCATCCTCATTTTTCCTCTCCACTTTTTTCATTTCCGTAATCACCTTTATGCATATGATAAGCCATTGTTGCCTTGAAAAAGTATATGTTCGTAGAATGCGCAGAGGAGCAACAGCTGCGGCTCAAATCGCCTTGGAACTCGCGTAATTCGGGAAGCGTTACATAATGCGGAACTACAAAACAGAACGGTAGGATCAAGACCGTACAGGGACAGACATATTGCCAAGTAATTAAAGCTCAAAGAACTGCACAAACGTTTGGAATGAATGCTTGGAAGCAAAAACACTGATGAAGCTTCGTCTGGACTGGATAAGGATAGTCGATTATTTTCGAACGTTGTGAAAGCTGAAGAAAAAGTAGGAAATATCTTGTTCTGCGCCAACCTTCAAGGATGCGACGCAATCTCAGTTATGGTTTGAAGAGTCATAGCTTAAGGTAAGGAGTCAATATTACTTGCCTGCAACAAGAAAAGATGAGCCACCCAAGATTTCGGGGATCAAGTCTCCAGCGGTATGATATAATGCTCTGGGAGTTTTTGGACGGAACAATATACTATAACGTGAAGGGTAATGTTTCCGGCCGATCTTACCGTACAGTATCTGATACTTCAGTATTATGTATAGGCCTGAGAAAAGACAAGAATTGCCTGAAGCTGTTCTGATAAATAATACGTATTCTCTACTTGACCAACGATGATAAAGCAAGAAAAAAGAAAAAAAAAAGACTGATATAGCGCAATGCCATAATATTCAGCATCATGCCGAATCACTCATTCAAGATATGCTGCCACTATGATAGTAGATAACTTGTACAACATCATGCCACGATGGTGTAAGGCGGCGGCTCCCACCATGACGCCTCACACCATGTAGGGGTGACAACAATTTTTTCTTGGTGAGTGAAAAAAAGAAACGGAGAATGACTCTCGTTTGTCTGATGAATCCATGTCTTCTCCTTAGACTCCTCTCTCCACCTGGACAATTCCAAAATAACCTTTAAACTGCTTGTAGCCAAAGTTTATTTTATTGGGTTTTGTCAATTAAACTGTATTCAGTCCATCCCTCAAAGCGTGAGCCGCTTGTTTTTTTTTTCTTTACCTCATCCATCGTACCATGTGAAAGAGCCAATCAAATACGGATATTGCCAATAAAACCAAAAAAGCAAAAACTGCCCAAAGTATATTATACGATCAGGTGTCATGACGTTCCTAGGTCCACCCCTCTTACAGTAGCCTACAGTAACATATAATCAGCCACATTCACAGCGCTCCAGATTCGGGAGTCGCCATTGTCATGACAGGGCGCCAAACATATGTTTTGTATGCTCTGCTGTAGAACCACTGCGAGTTTTGCGTACACCTGCAAATCCACGTCGGTCTCCCTTGGTCATCATGATCTTCCAGTTGGCTCGCAGATTGGAGAGGACACGTTCTATTTCTTCGTTATGATCCGGGGCAGAAGCCAGCAAGGACGTCATCTGCAGCATTTTGGCCGCAGTGGCTGCAGGATTTTGTGAAGATCCGAAATCGGTGAACAGTTTGGCAAAAACATCTACGCATGATCACAGGGTTGAATATGTGTGAACCACAACAAAACGGCACTTTTTTTTTCTGGACACAAGCCCGTTTGTCTTTGATGCTAGAGCAAGCAAACTCACCTTCCAAACGTTTCGTCTGCAATAGAATCATGTTGTCACGGAAGCTTCGAAGGGCCATGCTTCGAACATTCCACCGTTCGGCTTCGTCGATGGACGGATACCGAACATCGGTTCGCAACGGCAAAAACACTGCTTCAAAATAGGGCAATGCATATGTGAAGAAAAATGACCATTGCTCCACCAATCGATCCAGCAGTTTTTCGTCTGTCACACCAAACATTTTCGCATTCAGTGTAAACATGCCGTCCCGTAACAAAGCCTCAATGTCGCGGTACAATTGTGGGGAAATCGGATCAGTCAGACACCGCCTATCATCCAACATATCGTTAACTCGGTTAGGAAACTTTTGTAATTATTATCAGTTGTTCGGCATCGAGGAGCCAACCTCACCTTAGCAGTTCGTTCAGATCTTCAATCGATCCTTTGACGCCTTCACCATTGAATAACGGTAAAACGCGCACACAAAGCGCTTGCCAAACGTCGCCTTGAGGACTGGGCATCTGATTATTGAGCACATGGGACACCAAGGAAGGACCGACCATGGTTGGCAGGGTGATGTTGCTTATACTGCCTTGACGATGATAGGGGTGATGATATAGGGACGGATTAGGAGGTCCGCCCACGGAAGGATATGCATGGTTGATACTTTGGCTGCTGCTGTTGGGAAAACCAAACCCGGACGGATTCATTGTTGCACCGGGAGACGAAGGCGACGTGAGAATCACATCTTCGCCTCGCATATGCTGGGTCGACTTTTCCATGTTGAGTGTGATTGATTTGGCGTCCAGCGCCGTGAGTGATTTATGAATGCTTGAAGATGTGATGGGCGAAGTGGGTCGTGGAGGCTGAGCTTGCGAGGAGCTGGTGTTGTAGGAAGAAGTGGACCGATCGAGACTGGAAGAGCTAGGCTGGCGTGCGGTTGTCATGGACCGCATACTGTGTCGTTTTGTCTGACTACCACCTCCACCCGGTGGTGACCGTATGGTTGGCGTGGAAGCAGATACCGATCGCGTTGGGGTTGGCGGTGAAGCCTGTTCTGCATGGGGTTCTGCTGGTAGTGAAGGTGGACTCGAGGTGGGGAAATGTACAGATGTAGGTGTGGCTTTCTCAAAATAGTTTGACAGTGAAGACGAGGAATTGGACGAGGCAGAAACGGACATGGCCATCTTGTATGAAGAGGATGTGGTGCCCACACTCGGTTCGGTGACAGGCTGTGAAGATGTATGTCCCGAATGAGGCGAAGTCATTCTGTAGACCTTGGAAGAACGAAATGACGATGAATAATAAAAAAAAAAGATGACAAGAGCCTACAAAAGACACAACGCACCGAGGGTTCCGATATGCGCAGAGCAACTGTGACTTGTTGTTCGCGCTCGTGCAATCATTGACGACCAACGTACAGACTCTTTTTGGTCCTACTTAAGTTTTCCTTACTTTCTCGTCTTTTTTTTTTCCCTTCTTTGCGAGTACTGCGGGATATCATGAACTCGCTGTATAACCATGCTCTAAAACAAAGTCAAGCTTTACAAAGAGATTTAGACAGTAAGACCACGGGAACACTAGGCAACCTTGCACGTCTGCAGCACTCACTAGGCCATAATTTGTAGAATTTGCAACTGGCCAAGATGCTTCTGCCGGATTGCAAGGTAAGGCATCATTTTTTCTTCTTTTGCTTGGACAATGGTCGTCTCAAAAAGGGTGTTCATATTCTCGGCAACTATTAGGTCAGATAACGGCATCGTTCAATTCACTGCAGCGGTCCATCGATGACTACGATAACCTGGCCAAACGTGAACTGATTGCGACAAAAAAGGAGACTGCACAAACGTAAGCATTTACAATGACACACCATCATTCACGTTGGAAAGATTGATGAACAAAGGATATGTTCGTAGCCGTGTCAAGACGTTTCGACAGAGTCTGCAGGAAATGAAAACCCGCTTCGAAATGATTAAAAAGCAGCATGAAACGCAAAAATACGAACAAAATCGAGAAAGTTTGTTGGCAAGAAGACCAACAAGAACGAGCCTTACTCCCGACATTACATCAGCTGTAAGCTTTACAATACGGGTAGATACACTTCCTTTGGATCTCACCGTATTTTTTTTTTTTTTTTTTCTTTGTAAGCCTGAATATCCCTATCAATCGCGCTCCGAATTCGCGATGCGTCAGCACTCCTTCATAGATTCCACCGATACACAGTTAGATGATTTTATCACGCAAGCATCCAACATCTTAGAAAACCTTACCGATCAACACGGCATTCTCAAGGTAGGAACGTCAACAGAAGTAACTATCGGAGCAACCCACTAACCAACCAAATCGTTCCGCATCCACCACACCAGAAAACGCAAAAGAAGCTTTTGGACGCAGCCAATACCCTCGGACTTTCTCAAAACGTGATTCGTTTTATTGAGAGACGAACGGCACAAGATAAATGGATCTTCATTGCTGGATTGGTGGTGACAATTCTGCTTATATGGCTCATTTCAAGTTATTTAGGATAATCCATTGTCAACTCCAAAATTGCTATAATAATGTAAATATGATGCATATGTGAATCATACAGTACACCTTGTAAATGAATGTGAATAATGTGGAGAACCGGTAAATGGCACAGTTTTCGGCGCCCTGAGAGCAGTAGTGGAGCAAACAACGCTTCTGAATACCGCAGTGTCCATTACGTGATGGCTTGTAAAATGGCTTACTGTATATTGATCCTTGAATGACGATGATGGGAAACCCCTCTTGGCATGCTTTTTAATGTGATCTACCCAATTATGATGATTTTAATGAGGCAACATGGTGATACTGCTGTGTGTGAGAGGTAAAATGACTATCCAGAGATGTCATAAATATCGTACAATGGAGCAGGTAATGCGTGACTGCATTTGTCCCACTAGCGCACGCATTGGTGAAGCTGATTTGGGCTTCCGATGCATTTCTTCCTTTGACGCCCAAACTTTCCTTTATTATGGATAACGCCTCCGATCCGGACGTTGATGCTCTCTTTGAAGATGATCCTGGCCCACTAGACGAAGTGGTAGACGACGAAGATGCAGAAGACCTCCGATTAGATAGCGCCGATACCAAGGTTTGGTTGGTCAAGGTACGAATACCCCTCGATCTTGAAAAACAAAAAGACACGCCACAGTCCATTAAGCATACCGTTTTCTAGGTGCCTAAGTTCCTTGCCAATAAATGGAAGACAGTTGATCAAGACAATGTCAACCTGGGCTCCGTAAGAATCTATAGCCAGTAAGTCTCTCTCTTTTACTTGCTGCAGTTGAGCCGTTATTAATACCGAGCCTCTTTTTTTCTCTTTTCTAGACCACCACCTGGGCGCAGCAGCACGGTAATTGCGACTACATTGGAATGTTATTGTCTTCTTGTTACTAAAATCAACTTGTGCATATTACTTCAAGATCTCGCTGGTGCTTCCGGAAAGTGAAGCGGCAGAAAATATCCCACTTGAGTACAGTATATCGATTTTACCCGGTGAAGTGCAGAACAAATATGTTTTTACAGAGAGTGAACATGGAGGTAAATTTCAGAACAAACAGCGGCATGTTGATGGGAGCATCAATATCACTAACAAGGTTGTTGACAAATCTATTGTTGCAGGCAAATCCATCAGCGGCACTGTGCATCACGAATGCGCGGCCACACCGACACAATTCGGTACCTATAGAAACATTATGAGAAAGCGAGTACTGGATGCCGGCACACCACAACGAACAGTGCAAGTTTTGGGTCACAACAATCAGCCGGTATTCGCTCCTGGTGCAAGCAGCAGTATGCCTTCCAGCACCTTTTCCGATTTCATTGTACGTAGCTTTTTAGGTCTCCGTTTTAGGGGCGTCCCTGAACATTATAGATACTAAAATTCATGCTGTTTCGTAGACTGCCAAGAAACCCAAAACCGAAAAGGAAAAAGCGACACGTATGCCACGAAACGAACTTATGGATTTACTGTTTGCGGCCTTCGACAAATATCCGTATTGGTCTTTCAAGGGTATTGTGGAGCACACCAAGCAACCGGCCCAATATCTCAAGGAAATTTTATCCGAAATTTGCATTCTCAACAAACGAGGTCCTTACGCGGGAAATTATCAATTGAAACCTGAATACAAACAACGACCTTCTGCAGCGGAAGCCATGGCAAGTAATTCGGCCGATAATCCATCTTCGGAAGATGAAGATGAAGAAGACGAAGAAGCCATGGAGATGATCCATGTGTAGGATTCCAGGATTTCCTGTTTTTGTAAAAATTTATCACCTATTTTTTATTTTTATTTTTAGCTTTCCAACTCCGTGTCCAATAAAATCATTCTTCTCTTGAATTTTGTCCACCCCTTCACGGCTTCAACCCATCTCCGTCCTCATCATCGTCGGTGTTGGCACAAACACAAAAAAATGAAATGTGTGTACCACCCCCAAATTCCACCTACATTGTATTTTGCTGTACATTTATGAGAACAACTTGAACATTAACGTACAGGGAAGCTACTGCTTCTGGGCTATTGGGTTTTTTTTTCAATGAATTGCACAAGTGAGGAAAAAATAAAAAATAAAAAATAAAAACCAGGAGGAAACCCAAAAAAAGCGTCGGCCAGGTTACAGAAACAAGATTCACAATTGCAATCATTTTATTATTACAATTTTTTTTTTTTTTAATTTGGGTTTTTGGTCCACTTTTCAAATTGTGCATCTTTTTTTTTCCTTGTCTTTACAAAGGTACATTTTGCCTGTGCGCTTGGACTTGGAGTTCTGTAGTTTGTCTTAACATCGTGCCCTGCCTTAGACCGAGAACATCGAGAGTTTATTTCAACAAGGGCGATTTTGTCTTCTCCTTCATCTCATTCTGTTTCCTTGGTGATCATATTTTTTTCATTTCTGAAGCACGCGCTACCGTGACGACTACTGAACGCGCAATACTTCATCAACCTTGGATACCACCTAATCTATGTCGACTCATCCTCCCATAGCCATCATACCTCCGACATCACCTAATCAGGGCGAGCGGTCTAAAAGTGCGGATGTGACAGGAACCACTGAATCAGGCAAGGAGAAATCGTATACCTCACCTATTATAAAGACAGAACCGATGTCTCCTCCACCTTCACGATCCGTGCCTTTGGAAAATGAGACCAGTGATCAAGGCAACCCTATGGCCTTGGAAAAAGTGTTGAGTATTAATGGCGCTGGTAGTCAACATGCTCGACATCACAGCGGGTAAGTGCCTACTACGGCTAACGACTGTGGATTGATGCGAACGGCAAAAAGAAACGAGAACTGTTGATGACTAATGGCAATAATGCTTCTGTGGGGGCGGATAATAGATCGGTAGAGGAGTTTCAACCGAATAAACGTCAACGGACGTTGGATGATCAGGGAGACCCCCATACCACGACGGCTGGAGCCAATGATTCGATGAAGCCACCGGCACCTGTCAGTTCGGGTAGACGGTCTACTCACACCAGTCTATTGAAGCCCGCGGTGTCCATTGCTTCACAACCACAACCCTTGATGGCCTTGGGCGTGCCCCATGCTCCTTCTGCGTTGCTATCCAAACGATTGTCTTCCAAGCAGAACAATAAGAATTCACGAAATTTGACTATCCATACACCTTCTTATGCCGAACAGTATGCTGTCGCTATCCGTTCGGCCCCACTTAATTCCAATTTCCGAAATCCTCAGCCGCCTGCTCAAGCTTCGGCCTATTACAACCCGCCGTTGCCGCCTCCGCAGCAAGGTCAGCACAGTCGCTTGGGTCCTCAACCATTGCAGATCAGTCATTTGCAGCCTGGACATTCGTTGGCTCCGCTCTTGTCACCGCGCGCTTCCTTGCACCAAGTGAATCGAGACGAACAGCAGGGACACCCATCCGCCGTCGGCAGTCTAGCTCATTCGCCCCGCAAGCAAGAATTTGCTATTCCGCCCATTGTCCCTTCACAACAGCAGCCTCCCTTATCGGCTCAACACACTAGTTCATCATATCAACACTATATTCACTCTCCGTCCTTGTATGGTTACCACCCAAATACAAATCAGGCTCCCTCTTCATCGCATGGCTTTGTCCCAGCGTCACGAACCAATACCACGAGTCGACCCGAACCTCCTCATTCGTCGTCGGCCGGTTCCACTACCAATGCAAGCAGTCATCTACCCACCACCGCCGCCGCTGTTCCTTTACCGCCACAGACGCCCACCACCACCTCGTTTGCAGCTTTGCAACGGCAGCAATTTTTGCAACCTTTTGAGCATCTTTTTGATACCATTGAGACCACACGAACACTGAAATCCACCTTGGACGATCAGATTCGACGCTCGGCAACCCTTATGCAAACTTTGCAAGCGTCTTCGACGACAATCGAAGGGCTGATTCGTAACCAGATCAAGGAGGTGCAAAAGGAAGTGCTGGGCAAAATGGACGAGTCATTAAGCACTATTATCAAGCGGATTGAAAAGTTGGAGACGGCCCTGGCCCAATCGATGGCGGACAAGGAACCGAGTCAGACTCGCAATGATCAGGAGGAGCGGCAAGAATCAAGCACGCCTACACCCAAAACGTTGGATGATGCGACCTCCACGTCAGATGATCGCGCTCCAGGATCATCTTCATCAGCTACGCTCCGAAGTCCTCCCACCATTGTACGCTCTCAAAACGATATCCGACCGCATGAATACCATACCATGCTTAGCGCTTTGCGAGATCGATTAGATCGTTTGGAACGACAAATCGAATCATAAATGCAACGCATAAAACGCATCGATTGAAAACTTATTCTTCTTCTTCTTTACTTGAAATTTTGTGATCATGGATTTTATGCTGTAGATTTTGGTTCGTGGTTTCTATTGATTCTTCTTTTTCTTCTTTTTTGATATCTATGGCTGATATGGCTTGTTTTGTATTTTCCCAAAGTTTAATCTTTCAATCACTCACGAAATAAATAAAAAATATTCGTATTTTCAGTAGTATTTAAATAGTACAGCGGGCGCTTTCCGCACTTCCATGGCAACAGTAATCTGCACAGCAAGTGCGCATCGTTTAGGTATGCATTGTTTGGTGTGTGGCCCGAGTCAGCCACAAGAACAACGACAAGAACAAGCTAAAGCCAAAGCGCAATCATTCAGGTTTAGTGTCTGAAATTTAATGACTTGAATGAAAAAGAAACAACAATAATAATGGTTAAGTGGTTACGACAATGAGATGCTCCAATCTAGGGTAAACGATGTAACAGAAAGAAATAGGCTTACAAATACAAGAAGATCAAGTACAACACGTTAGTTTACAATTTATGCCTTGAATACTAAACAGTGGCCATCATCCGAGGCTGTAACAATCGTTTGTCCGTCACTATGCAAATGCACGGATCCGTTAGTTCACAAGCATATCATTTTTGGGCGATACAGGAGAATACGTACTTTGAGATGGCAAAGTCAAGAATCGTGTCACGATGGCCAACCCATGTTCGAACACAGTTGCCAGTTCTTGTATCCCAAAGCTTCAACGTCTTGTCAACCGAACAAGAAACGAGCATGGCCGAGTTGCGAACATATTCAACCTTGACGACCGCATCCTGCATCCATCACGTTATTAGAACATGGATCCTCTGCCATGGTTCATGTATTTGTGCAAACATACCTCGTGTCTCAAAGTTGATCGGAGACGCTGCGTTTGCACATCCCAGATGGAAATGGTGCCATCGACTGATCCGGTAGCTGCCAACGGAAGTCTGCAGAGTCTATATAAGTGATTGATGTCACACTTGATTCATCACGCAATATACATACACATCACAGAAAGAAGCAGTTTCGACAGATTCACTGTGGTTCTCCAAAGAAGCGACAATCTAGGAATAGGACATAAGTATCCAAACATCTTTCATATTCAATCGTCGCTTTGTAAGCTTACGTTGCCGTGAATAATGTTGATAAGTCGGGCCTTGCCGTCCATTGAACCCGTAATAGCCAAGGTGCTGTCTCTGTTGACAGCGACGGTGGTGATGGGTTCCAAATGGAAACGGGCATCTTCACCCGACAAACGGATTTCGGCAGCCGCCGATTTAGGATCCCACACGATCAATGAGGTATCTTCGCATACGGAAACGATCTTCTTGCCTGTGCAATTGATGAGTAAATCACATTCAAACCCACGCCGAATACCCAAATAACCTTACCATCAGGGGTGAAGCGGCCAGCCGTGACGGGGCCAGCATGACCGTTAAAGATGTTCATGAATTTACCGCTAGGCACTATCATACATCAATCAAAAGCAACTGTCAATTATTCTCGCTCATATTCAACGATAGTGTCATCAATACTTACTTGCCCACATCCAAATCGTTGAATCCGTTGCGCCGGCCAAAAGAATATTTCCTTTGGGATGCCAATCGATCCACTAAACATTAAAGTCAGCAGGATGCCCAAAACTCGATGTTTTGGTTCAACTTACATTGATCTCATCGGGACCGTCCACTGCACAACAAAACTCGCCAGTTTCTGTTTTCCATACGCGCACTTTACCGTCCATACCAGCCGAAGCCACATAGTCACCATTGACAGAGAAGGCTACGCTTGTCACCGAATCCTTGTGTCCATCAAACTCGAAAAGCTTTTCGCCGGTATCGGTACGCCATAAATAGCTCTTGTCATCACCACCGCCACTGACAACGATATTGCTGAACTTAGGATTCAAGGCCACAGCATACACAGGTTCTAATCACTCCGTCATTAGTCACCCTGCTCTCTATAAATCGCAGATTCTACTTGTCCTTTTTTTTTTTACCTTGATGATCAAAGAAACCTTGGACGGAATCGTCCGCGAGTTCCATGACATTTTCATCGTCAGCGGAGGGTCTCAATTCATAACCTTCAAGCGGATTGACCGCTGCATTGAAAATTTGTATTAATAATCAAGATCACGGTAAATGAAAGTTTTACAGTAAAAGTATACCTTCGTCGTCGTCGCTTTCCATAGGCTCGCCTTGATCAAGATCGGGGACTTCTTCTTCCAGGACTTCGTCTTGCTGGAGGTATTCTTCTTCGACAAGATCGTCGTGTTCGTGCTGTGAATTGTTTCTTGAATTAGCATACTGCGAAAGTCATACACCATGGTGTGCAGCCATACCTGATCGTGGTCCGACATTGTTGTGTGGTGATTGTATGCAAGTACGGGGTTCTTTTATTTTGACTTTTTCAGTTTTGAAGGGAAATAATTTTTTTTTTTTTTTTTTTCATGTCCAGCGGCATACAATTCACTCACCCAATCATGAACGTCAAAATTAGAACTTCACTAGACTGTGCTTTGCAAGATGATTGATGACATATTATATGATTACCCTCATCGTATTCTGTCCAAATTCGAGAATCTACCATTGGATGACTAATACAATGATTTGTCAAAAACGCAAATCGTATCAAATTGTGATTTAACCGATAATGAGGGTATAGGGCAGAAGCACGGGATGTCTATGAACATGCAGTTGTGGAGAAAGAGGACGTGGGTAGCTGCGTAGCACCCTCAAAAATCTTGTAATACTTAACTATCTATGCATAGACTGTTTTAATTGTCTTCAGAACTACGATTTTTGTCAGATCATGGTCAATTGTAACATAAATGTATTCAAGTTGTTCCAATGTTTATGATTTGGTATTTTTATTTTCGTGTGCAGCACATTTCTTTTAAAGTTTCAGATACTAAGGTGGAGATTAAAGCATCCTGCAAGTCTTTTTTTACTTGTAAGGTTACAAAGGAACTTCTTCTTCGTATTGTCTCATGAAAGACAGCTGTTCGTTAGTAAATTGATATCCTTCCTGCAACAGCCGAGCGAGTACTTTGTAAGCAGAAGCCGTTTTGGATTTTGTTTTTTTACCATATATTAATGGACTGTCGATCACGATGGGAGGCTGTTTCGTATTGGAGCGATCAATCGTCATAATGCAACGAAAGCCCGGTGTTTTGCCGATAGATTGTGAAACAAATTCACAATCCATAGTCCACTTCATCTTATTCACCACCTCGGACAAAACCACGACCTCACTTTTGAATAGTGGAGCAGCATTCGTCCCAGTCACTGGAGGCCGGTTGGCGCCGTTGCTGTTGCTGTTACTGTTGTTATTGGTGTTTCTGTTTCTGCTGCTGATGGCGTTGGCGGTATTATGAGAAGGTCGTTCTCTGGAAAGGATGGGCACGGATATAAAATCATTTGTATCAATTCCAGCGCTTGCAATAGATGGATGAATGCCACAGCAACCTTGTACTATGGCATTAATGGCTTGAACAGCACAAGAATCTTTTGCGCTCTGCAAGTCGGGAAAGCTTTTCGACGATCGGAAGGTGAGGCTGCCAACGTACAGTGTGGCCATAAAGGGAGCGTCGGCACTGCTATAAATTTCGCTGTAGTCTTGGATGATCTCAAATTTGGGTGGCGACATGTGAAGCATTTTCAAGAGATCACATAGCAAGGTTGTGTAGGTCTTTTCGTCTTCGTCTCTTTCACGACTGTCGAGAGCCGCCCTTAGCCAAGCTTCGACTTTTTGAAGAAGACTATTGCTCACGTGCTCCGAGGGCGGTAATTGGCGGAAGTCGATCCCTTTCTGTTCGTAAGCCTTCAATGTGTTGAGAGCAAATGCTGCCACCGCTGTTCGTGCTTGATCTTCTTGGAGGAACACTTCTTGCAAACTGAATCGTTGACCAAACACGGTAATGCTGGCAGTGCATTTGTTGTTGATGACTCGGGCTATATAATCAATGTTCGATCGAAGTCCTGGCTGTCTCTGTGCCAAAGAGTCGACATATCGCTGTAATTCAATGTGAGTGGCTAGCATGATGGATTAACAAGGAAAACAGATGAGAGACAAAGATAAGGTTGAGACTCGATTTTCTTTATTTTTGGGTCATTTGACCATTGTTAAGCGCAGAGGACGATCCCGTGACTGCGTTTCCGCTTCCGAAGCATGGTCCAAAAAAAAAAGCATCCATGAATCAAGCTTCTCCTGGCTCGATCCAGAGAATGCACTCCAAAAATAAAGTCATATTTGAAAGGACTAGTGGCAATATAGAACAGACGTGAAACAGTGCCGCGTAATAACCGTGCTATGGCCTTTTTTACCGACAAAGTGTACTGACACATTGAAGAGAAAGACCTAAAGCCAGCAAGTAGGTATCCACAAGTCATTCAGAATATCTCTGACCAACAAGTGCATTGAGCCAAACAACTGTGTGGGTCGACGTTGCGACGGAAAATGCCTGAAAAAGACGAAAACACCCAAATGCTCGCGAAAAGCTGTACTGCAGCCAACACTATGAACTGTCATTTTGAACACCGATACGCATCGATTATCTGGGGGGATGTTTTGCACCCATTAAAAAACAAAGATAGCCCGAGAAGAAGAGGACTCTATTCTTCTTGCGTCGTAATTGAAGTGTGACAGACAGACGCACTTATTTCATCAGACCAGGATTCATACTCCGTAAAGAACACCTAAAAAGGGAAAAATTGGGAAAAATTTACGATTCTTCGTCGTAATTTCATCCCACTTCAATGCCTCGTCTTCGAAAGAATCAACTCCAACCAGCCTTGCAGGCTATTGCAACCGAGAATTATGTCTTCCAGAATTGGGCAAAGACATTTTCGTGTCAATGTGAATTATTATTCACTCCGTCCACCGAAGAGGAGATTATCGAGGTTCGTAATGTGGATATTACCAAAACTGAGTTGCCGACCCACCGAGGTTAACGGGTAAGAGTAGATTGTGCGACTTGCTGGGGAACATAAAAAGTCCATCAAAGTATTTGGCAGTGGACATTCACCGTCAGATCTTGCCATGACCCATGACTTCCTTGTCAACATTGACACCATGAATAAAATGCTCAAAGTGGATACCGAGAAACTCACCATGACGGTCCAGGGTGGCATGTCATTGCATACATTTCACAAAGTACTCAAAGATCACGGCATGGCTTTATCCAATCTCGGTTCGATTTCTGATCAGTCCGTGGCTGGCGTCACCGCCACCGCATCGCACGGTACAGGTGCCCATTTTGGCAGCCTGTCTTCCATGGTAAATTAAATTCATCACCTGTTTATGGATCATTTTCCTAAAATGGAAAGATACTTTTGGATAGATTCTGGACTTGACCCTTATTACTGCGAATGGCGACACACTCTATTGCTCTCCGGAAAGTCATCCCGATGTGTTTGCAGCGGCCAAATGTAGTCTAGGAGCTCTGGGTATTATCACTCGCATAACATTCCAAGCGGAGCCCATGTTCCGTTTGGAAGCGACTCAGCTGCCCTACAAATTCCCAGAAGTTCTGGAAAAATGGGATGAAGTAATCCATTCCGCTGAACATGTACGTGTGTGGTGGTTTCCTCATACCGACGATTGCGTGGTTTGGCGGGCCAATCGTACCGAGAAGCCGGTCACTGTTGCCAATCCCGGATGGTTCCTTGAACGCGGTCTAGGTTTTCACGCTTACCAGGCCATGCTCAATACCGCCCGTTATTTCCCGTCGATTATTCCAAAGATCACGCAATTCATGTACAAGACGATCCACTCACGTGAGCAACATATAATCGACGATTCCCATAAAGTCTTCAACTTTGACTGTCTGTTCCCTCAATATGTCAACGAATGGGCTATTCCTTGGGAGGATGCCCCGGCGGCCCTCCGCCAACTGGATGAATTCATCAACAAAAATGATCTCAAGGTTCATTTTCCCGTGGAAATTCGATTTGTGGATGAGGACGATATTTGGTTGAGTCCGGCTTACGGCCGTAAAACATGTTATATTGGTGTTATTATGTATCGGTCAGTATTCTGTGCGCAGGACATGTGAGTCACTGCAAAGAAGATCTAACAGACATTTAACACAGACCCTATGGTAAGCCGGTGCCCTACAAAAAGTACTGGAAAGCATACGAAGATATTATGCGTCAATACGGAGGAAGACCCCATTGGGCAAAGGTAACATTTTCAGAAGGCAAACTTACCTTGGGCCTCTTGCTCACCTTCCAATTTTAGGCTCACGGACAGTCGTATAAAGAATTGGAGGCTTCTTATCCCAAATTCCAGGATTACCTTCGCGTGCGCGAGCAATTAGATCCCAATGGCATGTTTGTCAACGAATACATCAATCGCCACGTTTTGGGAAAACAGACCGCCAAGCTTTAAATAGAAACAACGGTTGCTGTATTTCTACTACGATACTTGTATGTTCATAGTCCTAGAACTGTATGATAGCGCTGTGCGCGAATAAATTATTGGTTGGTCTTTTCTCTTTTATTCAATCAGCGTAATTCCATGGTATTGGGGAATAGAGTAGGGGTGAGCCAATGTTTGAAAATGTCTAAAACAAAGAATGACAGAAACAAAAACAAACATGCACTGCACTGTATAAAAAAAAGAGTATCTATAAAGGATGAGACGGGGAAAAACACAGACAGGTCATGGAATGGAATGGAATGCGGATAGTGAAACAAAGATGTGGAAAAAAGGAAACCCAAATCAAGGCTGGGGGAACGCGATATTATTCTTCTTGATGATGATTTATCGACCGCGTAATTCGTGGCTTTCGCTCTCGTCCATCGAAGAGTGATTGGTTAAGCGAGTATATGTGATATGTTGATCGTCTCGCTTGTGGATCCATGCTCTTAAATGCTGCATCACTTGGCTGCACCCATCGTAATTATCCTCACGACTAGGAGCATTGTTTTCCATGTGTGCCATATACTTTAGCACATCTTTCACAGTGACCAAACCGACGACCTTGCCACGTTGTTCAAGTAACACTACGCGAGGCCTATGATGGAAGAGATATAAGAAACAATAGGTCAACCATCTACATATCACTTTTGCTCACCCTAATTTCTTGAACATATCCATCACGGTTTCCAGGTGCAATTTAGGATGCACAGTAATAGGCGTCTAATGACACCAAAGAAAAATCAATATGCAACCTTATGCAGCAGGATGAAACTTTTTTCCTTACTTGATCCATATACGGTCCGAAATCAAGAACATCGGAAGAACCCTGAATGACGTGCTCGTCATCGGACATACTGGTGACCACTTCAGGGTCTTCCCCAGTAGATTTGAAGCGGCATATGGTAGATGCATGCGCATCATTCATCGAACGTGCCTTGTCTAAACAGAGGGTGAGAAAAAGGAAAGCCACAAGACGTTGCCATGGTTCGTGCAAACGCTACCTGTCAAATACTTCAACTCTGATCGACCAATGTAACCAATAAGACTCATGCTTGATTTATCCTGGACAACGGGGAAACCCTGATACGGGGTCGTTTTCAAAATATGCTCTATCATCAGACTGAGAGATACAGTTCAGTCATCCAACTTTTCGTCTTAAGCCTTACCGATATCTTGTAATTGCATGCCAGCTGCTGTCATTACAATGAGATCTTCCTGCATCACATGAGACACTGTAGTTTCGAAACAAGTTAGTTGCACTGCTCGAATTTTCGCCTCTTTTTTTTGTATAGATATGTACCTGGTACGCCGAACGCGTAATCTTCTTTCTCGAGGAACGGATATCCGTTGAGCCGGATGTAACGGTCAGCGATCCCGCCGTGGCCGAACCAGTCACCCACCGCACGTGTAATCATCAAGGCAATCTGTGTCCTCGTCAAATTAGCCGCCTATGCGAAGTGTGTTCGTTTCTGAATCAATCAACATACCATGGTTGGCAAAATATAAGTAATTTGGCCCGTCAGCTCGAACATGATGACCACAACAGACACTATTTAACAGAGTCCATTAAAAAAAATGAACCAAGACAAAGTGTATGAACAAAAATATAGCGGTAATGCAACACTCACCAGTAATACGCATGACACCACTACAAATAAACCACTTAGCTACAAGACTATGGAAGTAGGACAACAACAATATATATTTACCACAAGGCTGCGGCTGCACCCAAGAAAGCATAGGTACCGGGCGTAATACACTGTAAGAGAGGGAAAAAGAAGGCCGCAGATCAATATTATATATACTTATCAGATGGCGTTACAATTTCATTCGCTGCACTTACTGGCACATCTGGCTTGCAGGAAGCAAACAAAAAGAATTCCGGATCGGCACTGCAGATCAAGATGTGAAATGTGGGTGAGCACCGTGTGTGTATGATATAGCTCAACATGACTCGACTTACGCTTGCCATGCTTTGACCAACAATCCGATCATACGCCCAAACGTTGCACCGATTGCCATGGAAGGAACGAAAATACCACAAGGGACCTTTAAAATGCCGAAATAAGTCTCATCATGACACAGATCAGATAATTCATGCCTACTTTGCAACCGTAGGAAACAATGGTGCCGAGCGTGCGAAGAATGGTCGCCAAAAATAGTAGTGCCACCATCCATCCAACTTTATCTTCCCTTCAAACGTGACAGTCTTTCGTCAGATACAGCAACATGACCTTTTTTTTTTTTATAAGGATGACATACTGGCAAATACCGTGATAATTTTCACCTTCGGCACCTTCACACTCTCGGAAAAGAATGCCCATGATTTCGGTCATGTCGATACGTAAAAATACATTTGGATAGGCCACCAGCGCCGTAATGAAGGCAAGCACGGCCGCTTCGGTAATAGGATAGTCTTTCAACACTTTCTTTCGAAACTGAGCCACCATTAAGTTGAACTTGATCACCAAAGCTCCGTATAATCCCTAAAACACCCAACTTCAATGCCTGGCCATCCTAAAAAGGTTGCCAACGAACTTCAAGTGATACTTACGCCAAAGATACCGATAATAACGACAAATAGATATTCAAAAAAGTGCCAATCTCGATCATAGCTCACTTGAAACATGACGAGCTTTCCTGTTCTGAATGGATTCATCGCCTAATCACCCAGATCCAAATTAAACAATGACTGGAGGACCTCAATGGAAAAATGATCCGCATTACCTGCAACACCATGGTCGCGATCATGGCACAAAAGAAGCTCATCCACATGGTTCGATTGGGAAACATGGAACTCATTTCTTCCAGCGCGAAAAGTACACCACCAATAGGCGAACCGAAAGCCACCGCTACACCTGCAGCACTGGATGCCGTCAAGATTTCTCGCATTTCAGCTAAGGAAACGCCTCAGCCGGTGACTTGAGTCTGTCTTGATGACTATGATACTTACCTTTACTCGTTCGAAATTTTTGGAAACAACGCGAAATAACGTTGCCTACACAGCAAGCCATATGAACTGACGGCCCTTCTTTGCCGATGGATAAATTGGAAGCAACCGACATGGCAAGACCGACGCTTTTCATAACCAATGTCCAACCTCCCAGAAATCCTTTCATCACAAAACCAGCTGTATTTCATGCATGAGAACCTCGATGGTTTTGTCCCAGCTATATTATTCTTCAGGTACTTTACCAAGGATACACTTGATCTCTGAAATACCGGAACCGGCGGCATATGGAGCAAATACTTTAACAAGGTACGCACATGTTGTAGCAAACAGTGTCTACAGCATATACCGAGACAGGGTTCAGATCCAATGGTCACCAACGCCCCTTTTGTCCATCGTACGCGACAAAAAAAAAAAAAAAAAAAATAGCACCTACCGCCCACAATATATAAAATAGCCACTTGACGATATAAACGTCCGGACCCAAATGCATCACTTGACTCCAGTCTATCCAGTCACTGCAACTTCCATCTAATCCATGACAGTATGAGTTCCTGTGGTTCCTGTGGCACGCCTCATCCAACTACCGACCTTCCGATTCGATCTCCCAGCAACAGAATTTTTGATTCAACCACCAACCAGTGGAGCAGTAGCCGAGTTTGATATCAGACAACCAGTCGGTAACAATGGCAATCAGTGCTGAATTGAAGCCAATGGCAGCACCTAACAGAACAGTATATTGGTTTGAGTTATGCAATCGTCTTTGTCTTTACGCTAGCTTTTCATCATCAAGGTACCAATGAGAGAAACGACGATCCATGACTGGCCAGTTTCAAAGGTTAATTTCCACCAAGCACGCCAACTGTGATCGTTGATGTTCTTTGTGTGCACTGACAATTGTCGATGACGTTCCAACGTAGCGTCCTTAACCCAATCTAGAAATAAGCAAGGGATAACGAGTAATTTAGTGGGCTGCCGCACGGATGCAGTAAGAATGGTGGTGGAACCTTACCGATAGTGCTAAAGTCTTCATACCGTCGAATGTCGGCGAGTTCTTCCTCCAATTGAGTGGAGGTCGCGTGCCCACGATCGGTCATGGCAGTATGAATTCAGTGGGAAAGTGAAAACCGGCGTGCGCAAGCTGGGAAAATTAAGGTAAATTTTTGCGGGAATGAATGACGATGACAAGGTTTTTCTGATGATGCAGCTGTGCGCACAAACAATGAAGCATACCAAAAGACCGAAAAAAAAATTAACAGAACATCAATCAGTATATAATCAAGGCTCTCCACCACGGCTGCTCCTCATTTTTCCAGATATGCACCCTGGACCCCATCGTTGGGTTATTTTTAGGGATGCAAATAATTGTTCTCACAACGACTACCCAACCTATCGATGAATTGCCTTTTATAGTAAAATTTTCCCGAAATTAAAAAAATTTACAAGTTCGATCCCGCCTTGGGCTTCACTCAGCTAAAAGTCGGCAATGGAGCCAAATTAAATATTCTGTTTATCTGGAATAGAATATAAGTTAAACAAATACAGGTCAAATCATAAACTCAGGAACCATGATATTCATCTGTCACCATAACGCATTAACATAAGGGAACTTATTACGGGCGGGTATAGTCGAATAGCAAAAATTTACTTGTAGCTTAGCAGCCTCCGAGTCGATGCTGCATGTCCTATTTATCATGGCTGTGCAACATGATACATTATTTAGTTGTTTGCTTTTGCGATATGGCGATTCCAAATAAAAGGCTTCCTTGGCTCGCAAAAACACCGTTATTTGGATACATTAACCACAAAACAGTGATTAGCGTTAGAAATTCACAGATATTTAGCACAGGATCACATGTGTCATGTAAAACAAGGCAGAATCGGAAACAGAATAATGATGCTTTGGAACATGAAACACCGAAACCATGTCTACTCTTTCGTTATGTTTATTTTGACGGTACATTATATCAGTTATGGCACTTGAGCTTTCCTTCAAAAGCGCTCTTTCATTGAGCATATCCAACTATCGATAAAAGCCTGATATTTGACCAATTTTTTGTTTCTGGGATGCTCATCAGCAACAGTATCTCCATGAAGTTGAAAATTTAGATGGGGACTTATTGGCATTACAAGCATGAGTATCTTGAGGTTAGAGTGAATCAGCACTGCATCTGTAAGTGCTGTATATGATACGAGTTGTCACAAGACTTTTTTCTGCAAACGTTCTCATCGAGAGCAGAGGATAAAAAGACAGTCGACCGTTTCATTTTATTGTCACTTTTTACATCTTTTCGTAATCCAACTTGGTTTCTAATTTCTTTGCATCCGCCACCTTTCGTACTGCCTTCATGAAATCTTCTTGGATCACATAATCACGTTCCTCTCGAATAGCGAACATGCCTATCGTCAAAACGTTAGCATGAATCACTTCTTGAATTATAAAATTTCCTACTGAAAAGGACAAATCTCGTACCTGCTTCTGTACAAACATTTCTCAAATCTGCGCCGTTGAAACCATCCGATAATTTCACAATAGCTTCGTAATCTGGATAGAAAAAAACCAGCAGTGTTACAAGAAACATATCTAAATCACTCATCCAAGAGAATCAACTTACCAATATCACCGTGTTTTGTGATATGACCTGCGTGGATCTTTAAAATTTCCAAGCGACCTTGCTCATTTGGTAAAGGAATTTCGATCTTTCTGTCGAGACGACCTGGACGAAGTAACGCAGGATCCAAAGTATCGGGACGGTTTGTGGCCATGATCAATTTTGTTTGTCCCAGGTAGTCGAAACCATCCATTTGATTTAAAAGCTAGGCAAGCATTGTTGTTCAGAAAGGGTTCACAAGCATTGGTTGCTGCCTCTTCATTTTACCTCCATCAATGTACGTTGAATTTCACGATCTGCTGATGTACCTTCGGAGAAACGACGACCACCAATGGCATCGATTTCATCCATGAAAATGATACAAGGTTCATGATCCTTTGCATAACCTGTTCCCCGCAATCAAAGACACAATATCAGAAAAAAAATTCCATCCTATCCATCTCTCACGTTGACATACCAAACATTTCTCTGATTAATCTCGCACTTTCACCAATGTATTTGTCGACGATGGCACTGGAAACGACCTTTAAAAAGTTGACTTGCAATGTGCTGGCCACCGCCTTTGCTAACAGAGTCTTGCCGGTACCGGGAGGACCGTACAGCAACACACCCTTGGGAGGTTTCACACCGACACGCAAGAATAATTCAGGATTCATCAATGGTAATTCAATCACCTAAAGGAAACACAATCCATTTCGTTTTTGTCAGCCATCCCATGTCGTCGTCTTTCGCTGGCGCAGCATCACAGCAACGATTTTTACCTCTCGTAATTCTCGGATTTGTTCGCCAAGACCTCCGATACCGGCAAAACTAACGTTACCGGGATCTTCGGTAGACATGTTGTAAACAAGAGGATCGACTTCTCGTGGCAAAATGCGCATAATTGTTAATGTGGTCATATCCAAAGCAACACGAGCGCCTTGCTTGAGCTTTTCTTTATCGACGGTATTACGGCAGCCGACAACGTAACGAGGACCGCTTGTATTCTTTACAATAACTGTCGAAAGAGAGATCGTCTTATGGTAAGCTCACTGGCAATTGTCAAGGTACAATGACGAAAGAAAGGAACAGGGCTTACATCGTTCATCATCCAGTTGTTTCAATACTTCGCCAATGACTTGACCGATACTTTGGAGTGCTTTGATGTCGTCTTCGGACTTGTCAAATTCTTTGTCCAAGGCTCTTAAGCCCATACGCACTAGATTGAATGGGTGACGCGCGTTTAGATTCTTTTGCTTATCAAAAGTTAAACCATTGGCAAGAAAAAGAATAATACATACTGTCTTTGAGTTTAGCATCCAATTCGCGATGTTCCAACAGTTTTCTACGGTATCCATTGAGCGCTTTGGTTTTAGGATCCAATTCAGGCTGAGAAGGGGCGGATGAACTTGACGCCATTATGTAACTGTGAAGAGAAGTACAAAAATACAGAAACGCCTAAAAAGTTGCTTTCGTAATTCGGTAGTGACGTCGCGCGGGACATGAAATTTTTACTCAAATTGGGAGCGAAACGTGACTTGATTTCTGATGGGCCTTTTCTCCAACTCATCCTGCTCTGATACCGCAAACTATGTATCGCACGTCGTGATTCACTGAGGCCATGATCCTCGCAAGATGGTGATAATTTGGCGAATAAGCCTTGCGGCTTTGCGTCTAAAAAGAAACTCACCTATAACTCCATGTCAACGTCGTCATTGATTCTATTACAGAAGAATCTGGACTTTGAGTTGATCCTCTACTATGATGTGAACTTTTCAAATCACTGGTGGGTGCAGTTGAATCTTTAATGGCATTCATTTGGCACAAAAGTCCTTGGCACAACTTTCAAAAATACGTACACTTTTGCATTATAATTGACCTGTGCCAAAGATTTTCATGCCATGATATCAGAAAAACAGTTGACGTTTGCAAAACCACGTCATGATATTGTAATCTCCTTTCCTGTTGATATTATTTGCATCCGTAACCATTGTTACCATACTATCATCCAAAAAAAAAAAAAAAAAACCATAAATTTGCCAACAGGATCATCTTATCCTCCAAAGTATCTTTGCTTTTCAAATCAAAAGACGACCACGTATGGCCATTGGCTTTCCAGCTCATAAACAAAGTTATCTGTCGAGCGTCTCCAAAGAACTAGAAAATTGCATAAACTAATTACATGGGCAATAAACTGATGGAGCGGTTTTGGTGGTGAAAACAACAGTTGGGTGATAACGTCGGGGTGAAAGGAACATTTTGCACATACAACCCTATGCGTGTCTTGGAATGGATGATATTATTGAGAAACCCAGCGAGAGATCAGAACTAAAATGAACCATCATCTGAAATATCAAAGGTCCAAGCTGTGCAAGGACCTGTGTTGAGTAAAGACATGTGAAGTCGTGTGGATGCGAGTTTATGTAAAAAGAAATTCGAACAAGGCACGTTCGTTGGCGCAGGAGAAAAATTGTCCCTTATAAAATTACTATTTTGGTAATGAGCATTTTCTATCTGGCACTTGTGGTCTGAAAGTTAGGATTCAGGACAATAAACTTTGGGGATTTCGTCACAAGCGGCAATTTTTCAGTGCCGAAGTGCCCATTCGTACAATTGTTTCTCTTAAATTTTCACTTTCCTAGCCGATCTCCCCCACGCTCACTCAGTTCCCATTTCATGTTACGGTCTCCACAATGGAAGTTTCGTGCAGCATTCATGCACCTATCAAATGACTTGGTCCCATCGAAATACAATAATGTCTTCTCTTCTTGATCAAGCCATGATAAAAGACAGCCTATCCTTTTTTTTGTTGCTATGTGGCAGTTCACGTGAATCGTTGTTACAGTGATCTCCAAAGCGATATGCCTTTTATGGTGTCTTAAGTCTTCTTTACATACCTACCATATCCGATGAAAAGCGGATGGATTCGTGTGTCTCTTTGTATAGCTGTTTTAGAAACATCTGTTTTACCCGTCATGACAGATGGCCGGTTCGATTTTCAGGAACGACCTTTTTTTTCGCTGCAAAAGATACCCACTATCGGACCGTTGCAGAAAAGCATGGTTGGATTAATATTTCAATGGCCGGAGTAAAAGATTAACAAACGTGGAAATATATACGACGGGTCATATGACGTTAATTGGAGGAACATCAAAAGGTATATCAAGTCATTTTGATATGCTGTGCTATTTAGACCGATGCTCCGATATGGGTTCGTGACCAGATAAGGAACTCTTGTTTCCTTTGTTCATCTTGACGGTCTTTTATTACTATGTAACTGTCCACATGCACTGATAGATGGCAAATATCCGGATCCTCGGTCCATGGACATCTGAAGCGGTAATCGTTCCTGGCCAGCTTTACTCTCCGTCAACAAAACTGATGGTGGGGTAAAAAAGAGGTGGACACTGTCGCCGTATGAATTTGCTCCGCAATCGCGGAGTGCTAAAAAATGATAAAACCCGGATCTGTCTCAAACCTGTAGATATTTTAGTCGCCTTCTTGTTCTTCCTCTTTCACCTTCTTTTCCCTTTCCAAATTTTACCCTTTCACTTGCCAGTAAGTCTTTTTTATTATAAACCAGGCTTTTTTTTTTTTTTGTTACGGGCCGAAATTGACAAATGTCTGTAGTAAAATGTTGAGAAACATCAGCCGAGTCGCTCGCAGAACCAACTTGACTACCGTCAGACACGCTTCCAACACTCCCAACCGAGGTAGGCTTGGAAATTGAAACTTTTTGTCCATCGTAGTCTTGATGATCAGGATCATGCACTGGATCATCTCGAGATTTAGACATGCTAAGTTGATATTTTCGTTCTCGTTTTAATTTAGGCAAGGTCTTGACTACCGAGACTATGCATCCTCTTGTTCGCAGCGTCGAGTATGCTGTGCGTGGTGCTTTGCCTATCCGCGCTGAAGCTTTGAGCAAGGTACGCCCGTAGTTTATCATTTTGTTATTGGTGGTGTTTTGGTCTCTTTGTTTTTTCTTTGATTCCCGCCATCTGAATGGAGATTTGTGACTCACTTTTTTTATATATACAGCAATTGCAGAATGGCGAAAAGCTCGGTTTTGATCGCGTTGTCTTTTGTAACATTGGTAACCCTCAACAGCTTAACCAGAAGCCTATTACTTTCTTCCGTCAGGTAAAATATTTGAACAATATGTCACAGAGCAAAAAAAAAAGGGGGGGGGGGAAATTGAACAACTTTTGTATTCTGATCCCAACGAAATGATAGGTTGCTTCCTTGTGTGAGAACCCTGAATTGTTAAAGGCCGAAAACCGTCAATTGGTTGAAAAGCTTTACCCCAAGGATGCTATTGCTCGTGCTGAATTGTTGTTGAAGAACATCGGCAGCATTGGCGCCTACTCTCACTCCAAGGGTATTCCTTTCATCCGTGAGAACGTTGCCAAATTCATTGAACGCCGAGACGGTTACCCTGCCAACCCCGAACACATCTTCTTGACTCAGGGCGCATCCTCTGGTGTTCAAACCGTCCTTCAGATTCTTACTCAGCACAACAAGTGCGGTATCATGATCCCCATTCCCCAATATCCTTTGTATTCCGCCACTCTTTCTCTTGTCGATGCTCAGCCCGTCCCCTACTACTTGAACGAGAAGCAGAACTGGGGTTTGAACGTTGACGACTTGAAGAAGTCCGTTGAAGAATCGCGTGCCAAGGGTGTGGATGTTCGTGCCTTGGTCATCATCAACCCCGGTAACCCTACCGGCCAATGTCTCAGCGAAGAGAACATGCGTGAAATCATCGATTTCTGCCACACTGAACACTTGGTCTTGCTTGCCGATGAAGTCTACCAGACCAACATCTACCAGCCTGAACAACGTCCTTTCCACAGCTTTAAGAAGGTCTTGATGTCCATGGGTGAGAAGTATCAGGATCAGGAATTGTTCTCCTTCCACTCTACTTCCAAGGGTATGATCGGTGAGTGTGGTCGTCGTGGTGGTTATTTGGAGTGCGTCAACATCGACGAGCAAGTCCTCGACCAATTGTACAAGATCGCTTCCATTTCTCTGTGCCCCAACGTTCACGGTCAGATCATGGTCGATCTCATGACCAACCCTCCCGCTGAAGGTGATATCTCTCACGAACAGTTCAAGAGTGAGAACGACGCCATCTACGAATCTCTCCGTCGCCGTGCTACCAAGCTCGCTACTTGCTTCAACAGCCTTGAAGGCATGACCTGCAATGACGCTGAAGGTGCCATGTACCTGTTCCCTCAGATCCAAATCCCTGAAAAGGCCATTGAAGCTGCCAAGGAGAAGAACATGGCTCCCGATGCTTTCTACGCCATGGCCATGTTGGAAGCTACTGGTGTGTGTGTTATTCCCGGTACCGGTTTCGGCCAAGAGCCCGGCACATGGCATTTCCGTTCCACCTTCTTGCCCGAAGAACACCTCTTTGACTCTTTCTGCAGTGCCATCGAGAAGTTCCACCAGGGCTTCATGGACAAGTATAGAGCTTAAATGAACCGGATCCCCCTTTTCCATAAACCCTTAAAAGATTTCTATTTCTCATTACATCTTTGCGAATTCACCATACGATTTTGAATGTACTTATAGCCCATCCATTTTTTTTTTCTCTCTCCAAATAAGAATGATTGTATCATGAACAATTTTCTCATCATCCTCGTCCATCTCTCTATTTTTTGTTCCGTGTCTTGAATCCGATTACCGATCTATTATTACATTATAACTGCCTTATTATGGGTTCTCATTCACATACTTCTGGGTGCCTATAATGCCTACCAATGGTTCGGACAAGCGCAAGCTGGAGTTATGCGCGCTAATTTTCAGTCACAAATTAGTCACATTGGGTTTCCATTACATTGTCGACTTTGATTGGGTAATCTTTGAAAAAATATTTATGATTGGTTGAAACGGCTCTCGCTTTCATTATGATTGGAGCTAGTCAGCATACTTGAATTTCGATACTCCTTCGGATTGCTTTTCCCAAAATCTTAATCACTCGTCCTGGAAGCAGAAGCTCAGCAATGCATGAGGCCACAGAAGTAACAGCTTTGGCGAATGAAAATACAAAGAAGGCACTGCGTATCTTGTCTCTACCTTATTAAAATGTTTGATTTTCGTTCGCAGTCACTTTTATTGGCTTGAAAAAGGGATAGCCTGCAACTTTGCCCTGTCCATTGCATGTATCAAAACAAACAGCATTCTGTAACCTGGGACTTTTTTTGTTTCGCTTCATATTAAGACGCACAAATATGGTATAGTCATAGTTGACGTTTCACCTCAATGGCAAGCTGACCCTGATATACCATAAGAGCTCAAGGCAGAAAGAAGTCTGTGGTCTTAGTTGGCGGAGTGTGCTGGTCACGTGCAGCAAATAATTGACGCGACTCTTTTTTCTGAGCCGACGCGTCGCTGACCTGAAATTTTGGAGATTGCCCGACACGCGTAGACACTGGTGATTTCTTTTTCTTCTCTTTCTCATTTCCCCTATTCTTTAATTGCTTCTTTGCCCATGGCGAGAGGAACCAAATCAAAAACTACCGCTCAACAGGTAAAAAGGTGCACTCACGTCGAAACACCAGAATCTTGGATAGCTGACATGCCTAGAAAGGCCGCTCAACAGGATGACAGTGTACGACGCTCTCATCGCGCTCGAACGGTTCCCGAGCTTTTCATGAACCAAAAGTATTCAAGTGCCTTGTGTAAGTCTTACAGCTGATGTCTTGGGTTTAAATAGTCGCGACCCCGCAGCTCACGTATCATATTCCTTCACAGCGAAACGACAACAGCAGCTTCAAGAAACCAACCAATCGGACGACGACGAAGAGAGAGACGAACTCGATTCCAGTGCCTCTGAAGATAGCAGTAGTAGCAGTGACGAGTCTGAAAACGACATGCAGAATGATACCGGCAAACAAGGACATGCGCAACGCAAGCGAAGGACGTCCAAATCAACGGGCAGAAAAAAGAATGTCGCAAAAAAGAGAAATGCTGCCATGATGTTTGCCACCGAAAGTCAATTACTGGAACAAGTCAATGTCGATGAAGAAATGACCAGTCTCTATGGTATGTGCAATGGGACTTTGCTGCGCATGCAATGGTTCGGAGAAAGATTCACATTGATATTTTCTTTCAGAACAAGTATCGAGTTCGGGTGCCAACATGGACGACATTGTATCCACATGGGTGACGGAATACAAGGCGCATAAACTCGATGCACTGCGCACATTGATTAATTTCCTCATTCGAGTAAGTATGACGCACGCGCTCTATTGATCGATTCAATGCAACTGACAATGGGCAATGTAGAGCTCAGGATGCATGATGGCAGTGAGAGAGGAAGCTTTCAGCAAGGAGGATATAGCAGTGGAAGCTTTACAAGAACTTCAAGAAGAATTGACCAAGGTAAAAACACACAAAACCTTTTTGGTGGTATAACGGCAAGATAAATTTTACAAATGGCATTCTATTTAGCTGCCCAATCCCGAGTATCCCATTATTTCGAAATCCAAGAGCAGCCAATTGCTCAAACGAAACCTCATCATCTTTTTTCAAACTTTGATCGATCAATGCCAATTCGATATCATTTATGATGGTACACTTATTGAGACTTTGCAAAGCTGGCTCACGACCATGTCCAGGTATGGCGAATGGATGTTTCATGAAGAAAGCATTTGATATCTGTTAATTCACGCCATTCATCGCAGTTCCACCTATCGTCCTTTCCGCCATACAGCCACAATCGTTGCTTTGAAGCTCATCACTTCGCTCAGTATCATTGCGGACAAAACGGGGGATGAATTAGCCATTGTCTCTCGCCAATTGACTACGGAGAGTCGCAAAACCGGTCGCGCACGAAATACGCAAAAGCACACATTGCTGAATCAGCGATCGTCGGCTCTTCAGAGAAAACGCAAAGATCTCAAAGAATACCTCGACGACTTTTCGGAAAGGTACAATAGGATGGTGTTTCTCAATGGTTAGATGATTGCTGATCTAACTTATGCTGCAGTATTTTTGTTCATCGTGCGCGCGATATTGAGTCGGTCATTCGTATGGAATGTATTCGTGAATTGTGTAACTGGATCCAACAGTATCCTAGTCACTTCTTGGACAACGTCTATCTTAGATACTTCGGCTGGGCGTTCAATGATCAAGTGAGTTGAAGCATGTGACACATGGATGATTCCTGATACTTATGATTTCAATCTCTGCTAGAGCGCATCGGTGCGAGCGGAATCTGTCAAATGCGCCACCAAATTATATAAGCTGGAAGATGTTGCTGCCAAGTTGGGCGAATTCACAGATCGATTCAAGTCACGCATTGAGGAAATCGCACTCTACGATATTGATGTTTCCGTCCGTGTTGCTGCCGTTGGATTATGCAATGTCATGTTTGCGTCCAAACCCTCCATCTTGTCCGATGATACACGAAAAGCCTTCTCAGACCTCATTGTTTCCAACAGCGCACGTATCCGCAAAACAGTAGCACCATTTGTAAAAGCAATGATTGAAAATGATATTTTGAAGCCCAAGATTGCCGATACGCGAGACGCTCTTGCTTCCGCTGCGAATGAACCTCACTCAGAAGACGCCAGACGTACACGGACACGTAAACCTGCCGTGTCTGCAAATATTCAAGTCAATAACAACTGGGTGGCATGGAAGAGCATGGCTTCTTTCTTGGTCGATCGTGTAAAGAAAACGAATCTTTTTGACTGCAACGGCGAAATCATGACGAGCAGCACTTCTTCCGAATGGAACATTGCTGTACAAGAAACCAGCACGCTCATTAGCAACACAATTGAAGCGCTGTGGGGACATGTTCAAGTGATCCAGGTAAATTGATTAGCTGCTGACGGGGAAAAATCCAGCTTGGTTTATCGCATGTATATATTATCCATTACCTAACGACGTTCTTTTAATGGAAAAGGATTATCAAAGTATTTCGGACTACCTCTGTCGTGATCACTCAAATACGCACCAGCACAACGAAGCAAGCATTTCAGAAAGTACCATTGCATCGTGCTATCAGTTGACTAGCGATGAAGAAACGGTGCTTGTTATTGCATATGTGATTTGTCTACGAAACTTGATACAAAGGGGTACCGAAAAAGGCACCGGAGCAACGAAGGAGAAGAAAAAGGTAGGTGGTCACATACATAAGCTTTGTTAATTACACTCTAGTACTCACATCGATCCAAACCATAGGATGACGGACAATTGGAGACGTTGCGAAACGATATGTCGCGTCATCTTGTTCAAGTGCTGCCGACCCTTCTCAAGAAGCATAGCGATGATGCCATCAAAATGATGCATCTCGTGACTGTGCCCCAGTTGATGAACCTTAATGTTTATGTGGAGTTGCGAATGGAAGAGGTTTGTTGGCTTTGTGTGAACTACAAGAGAATACCGCTAACTATTGTCTTTCTTCTTTTGGCAGAGTTACAAAGAATTATTGCAAGGACTCATCAAGATCTATGGTGGTGGCACTTTACCGGACCTGCTGCTCAACTGTGCTCAGTCGCTTCAGCATATGTTTGACACGGTCGGTTTAGCTGAAATCAATGAAGCATGCTTGCCTGAACTCCTCGAAAAGGTCATGAATCAAGTACGAGATGCATGCCGTGAAAAGGTAAGAAAAATCAGATATCTATTTGCTTTAAAAATACATGATTTATGGGACCATACCTTTTGACCAACCATGGTACAACAGGATTTCTTTACAGCTCGTTTTACTTCGGAAGATTTACACGCCATCTCTACCAGCATTTTACGACTGGATTACTTGACGAACGTTATGGATATCACCGAAGCCATGGATGAATCCGAAGACATGCATAGCGATGTCACCGAACTCGTCGGCGGTCTCGTAGATAGAGCCACCTTGGGTTTCAAGAACGAGGAGCAGGTACATTGTACAAGCGAATGAATGGAGTATTTACACGGTTACTTAACATCATTTCTATTCTACAGATTTCTTGTTCCGCTATGGCCATCTTATTCCGCTACGTCGCATGGAAGTGCCAGCAGATACAAGCGGATCCGCAGCTCGAAGATCGTGGAAAGATTGCAGCTGCTAAACTGCAAAAGCGACGCGACTGGATATTGGAAAAATTCAATGAATTAGTCACTGCCTCGGAAGTGTCGCCCAAACCCGGTGTGCGTTGTCATGTAAAGTATCGTTGATTGCATGCAAAATTTGGAAGCCACCAGTTACTTACTCATCCATCTGTGTTAGGCTTTTGGTACACTGGTGGATCTCTACTGGTTGTTCTCCAGCGATCTGTTCTCGACAACGTTTGTTCTTCAGAACTTGCAAGTCTCTTGCCCTGTCAACGTATACGAACAATCCACCAAATACGTAGCGGCACAACTGAAAGGGTGGATTAATCAAACAGCAGAAGAAGGACTAGCAGGTGAGCCCATGTGTTGCATCGAATCCTATAAACACACCCGCTAATTTATGATTAGATCAAGAGGGTCTGTCAATTCTGCTCGTCGGCTTTGCTCGTGCTATCATGCTTGGTGTGTTTGATGTGGCGGGCGCGCACATCTTGCTTCGTCATTTTGGACAATTGGGTAGTGAATTGGATACTATTGTGAAAACATTACTTTCCGAACTCAAGGAGGATCTCAACCGCGATGAATCAACGGCAACCAAGATCTGTAAGATGTTCCTGGTGTCATTGAAAGAGGTACGAGCAGTAGTAAAACTTCAACAATTCTAAATCATGCGCCAGTATTAATGCCTGGGATGGTCTAGTCGTTTGAAGCACAAGTGGATCAATCACCTCGATCTATTGATCAGGTCTTGAAGTTGGCCCGTCTTCAGGCCCGAATGATTAAACAAGTGAACGAATCCGATCCTGTGCGCCAGGTTCCACCGCATGCTGTATGCGACCAGCTGCATTTGGAAGGCATCAATTACGCCGTCACCAAAGCGGCCGAACATCAGCAGCAAGACAATGAAATTGCCAAAGCAATCAGTCTGCGATTCTTCAAGGTGTTGTCCGTGTTCGGCAACCAATTAACCCGAGCTCGCGATGTCGCCAACATGTAAGTATGATCCGAGCAAGGAAAATGCAGCATATTCTCATTTTTTGTTCTCTTTGTCTTTATAGCCACAAATATCTCGAAGACCGTTTGCAGGAGAAGGGTCTGGAGCCAAACCAGGCCGATAAAGAATGGGATGGCTATTTGGCCTATATCAAATCCATCGATGCTTTGCTCAAGAAGAAGGGATTGCGTTATGGTATGCTCAAGCAACGAAAAACCATTAAAGATCGAGTGAGGAGTCACTAATGACTAATGCTGTTGGTATAATAGATGCGACCAGAAGGACGGAAACGGTAGCTACGCCTGCAGCGATGGAATTAGAAGAGACGATCCGTGGGGCAGAAGTTGGAGAGGATGGGCAGGAAGACGAGACGGATGTCAGAGATCTGGCCATTCGTGAAATCTCCAAACGTGCTCTTGCGGAAACGGATATGGACACAGATGAAGATACCGTTAATAAGCGACGACGTTAATAGGATCAGTGATGATGATGTTATATTCCTTCCATTTATTTCACAGAGAAATATCGAATTCCTTGTGTGGTCACATTGATTTGCATAAACCATTTTCCCATTGTTATCGATACGTGCGGAGATGACGACATCTGAGTTGCATGTTTGTCTATATGTGTGTATGTGGGTATGTGTGTTTTCACAAAGGTTTGATGGCAATACAGCAATTTGCTACTATTTTTCAATTATCTCGGCCTAAATTTTGGTCATCGTGTATCTGTTGTCATTTACATTTATTAGCCTAGATCATGCTTTCCGTTAAAGAATACTGTTTCGGGAGACACGGCAACTCTTGCATTCAAGGAGCAGCTGCGCAAATTTCTCTTTCAAATACCTGTTCACGGCTGACGCCTTTCCATTGAATTGTATGGTGACATAAAGAGCGCATAAATTATCGGTGTCTCCCACTCTTTGCTGTCACCTTTTAGGATAAGGTCGATCAGTATGCTCTTATATCTTGATCATTATTATTTCATACATCTGCAAGGTGAACAATTGAATTATGCTGCGTATGGCAAATACAATAGGCATGATATAACTTGTAATAGTGGATCAAAAAATAATGAAAACTGGTCATAGTCATGGCTTGGTATGGTTGACTGTTGTGCAACATCTTTGCTACCTTGTTTTCGTAATGTGATCTTTGACAGCTGCTAATGCTATGACGAAATGAAAAAACTGTTCTGCGTATGTGTCAAACAACAATGGGCCAAACATTATCCATGATGCAAACTGCATCATGCTTATCGGTGACTGGAATAACGTATTCTCAATGAAGCGATTATTTGATAGCAGTTAGATCTCGCAGAATTTATGTCAATAAATGATGCGTGGCATGGCCGCGCTGACACACTCCATATATGTACGGAAAACAACAAAACTTCCTTTGTGTTATACAGTGTTCATGTATATAATGTACACCATCTTTTGGCTGCCTTTTACAGAATCTCTATTTCTCTCAACCGGTCTGGCCATTGCTATCAGTTCATTTATCCGTCAAATTTTAGCGAGACAGCACTTATTAGCACTAATAACAGTTGTGTGGATCAGCTATGAAGACGGTGCAGCAAAAGGCTTGAATAGCTTCGATTGAAGCTTATCAACAGCCACAGAATAACTATGCCCCAAGTTCCAATTATTTTCCACAGTGTCTCATCCCAGGCAAAATAATTCCAATATCAAAAAAAAGTGTGCGACACTACTAATCCTATGTTCTCATGTTTGTTCAAATTATGATAGCTAGTGTTGAGATTTTATCAGTAATCAATGTAAAATTCTTTTTGTGAATGTTGGCGCACAAGTGGACCAATAATTTATTTAAAAGATTGTGCCATCACTCTAAATGTAAAACAATATATTGGTTAGATATAATGCGCATATCAGTGTTGTATGGGGTCACTCTTACCTTGAGATTAATTGGTGGTCCAGCCGTATCGGGCCTGAGTTTGGCAGCAATATCACGTCCAGCTGACCATGTGCCACCCTGAAGTACTTGGGCGAGGGCTAGAGGCCGGCCAAGCTTGATTTCCAGTTCTTTGCGAATGATATCCATGTAGATGACAGTCAATGCTCGCCACTCTACAATGGCAGGATCACTGCCCTCAAAAACAGGAACTGGTTCGCCTTCTACGGTACCGCGTTTCACATCGGCAGGCTTCAGCACCATCAAGCCATGATCAATTAAGATCCCTCCGTTACGGTATTCGGGAAGTCCTGTCAATTTCTCTGTGCCTTCGACGGTGATACCAAGTGTGGTCTCCAACGCTTCCACCAAGGAATATGTAAGCCATTGTGACAATTTATGGAATGGGACCAAGTTTTCAAAGTTGCCTTGGTCTTTCAAGCAATCGCAAGGCCAAACGTCGCCCAATTGCACACCATTAATCGCCAGCCGTCCAGGCCACATGGCAGCAAGTCCCATGACCACCTCCCAAAGTTTGTCCAAATGCACTTTGTTATCCTGGAGGTTGGGTAAAAGGTAGTCTGCCATAGCAATCCATATCAGAGTACAGAAACGATAATTGATACCACGACAACCGCAAACTTACCGACAAGATTGCCAGGACGACGTGACTGACCTTCCGATGCCGGGAAATAATCACGTTGATCCTTCAAGACATCTCCTAGTCTTTGCAACAGTTTGGACCGACCTTCGAGACCCACCATTGTATTGATGGGTGTAACTTGGAATCCCTTGGTCATACGGTCCACGGTAATCTCAGACAAGGCCTGGGCTACAGCAAGGTTTTGGAACAAACAACATTAAAAGTTTGCTCTTTCGGGTAAACTCAAAAACCATGTTTACTCACCGTCAACTTGTTCAGGTTGTCCAGGAACGCTTGAGAAATAACCTTCCTGAAACATATCCGTGGCAGCAATGGCCAACCCTTCCGATCGTCCGACCGGGCCTTTGGATGTTTGATACTTCCACACTTGTCCTGCACCTGCATCGACCAGCACCGATACAATGACCAAGTCAATCAAACGTCTCGCCTGTTCCACTTTATCAATGCCATCGTTGCGCCATTTGTCCAGCAAAGGTTGGGCATCAAAGTGCCGTAACCGCGAGTGAGCAGGAATCTGCGACACATCAGGGTATTGACGTAACGTTACTTCGAGAACATGCTCAACCACAATGTCCAATTTCGTTTCATCCACATCAAAATGGTGCAGTTGACCTTTGATGGCTTGTTCATAGACCTTCATGCATCGTTCACGAACAGCATCGAGGGTTCTCAGATAATCTTGCGGTAAAACAGTCATGACTAAGTCAGGTGATTTATAATGAAAAACAATCAAACAAAGAAAGAAACCAAATGCAGAGGAAAGTGAGACAACGAGTCAGGTAAAGTGCTTTTTATGCTGCAAAAAAAAAGAAAGTGCAAAAACCCCTCTGATGACGCCATTCCTGGCTACGCAACAAACAGGAACCAAGCAAGATGAACGCATACAATGCTGTAAATGTACAATGTCATGCTCTTGTTTATTGGGTGGGAATTTTTTTCTCTGAAAAAATATTTTTCAGGCGTAAAATGGTTATAATTGCATAACCCATCGGGTACCTTCCCGACGTTGTTCGACTTCGACAGGTGCCAATGGCCAACCCTTGGGTCCAAAACTCGGCACCACGTAACAAATTTTCCGATCCTTTTTGTCGCCAACGAATCTATACAGCCACAGGCAAAAAGAAAGGATGAGTTGACATTCAACTACAACATAAACGAGAAAAAAAGCCGATGATTACCTTGGCAACGGATAATCGAGTGGTCGCCCAAAGGTGCATAAATCTTTGCCAATTTTGCATAGCCATTTCGATTCGACCGTGGTGACCCCCTTTAACCAGGTTTTGGTGCCTTTGAACAGTTCGTTATACACAAGCACGGCCGGTGGTTCTTGATTATAAAGAATGGAATTGGGATGGATAAACGCTTCTTCATCGCTCCACATCAGTTTATAAGGAACGTTGCGTGCATTCTTGAAACGTAACCCCTTGCCACCGCCGGTTTCAAGCACATCGGCACGAATCGCAACGCAGTCAATGAACCCTGCAGAAATCACTTGTCGCAGTACCTTGAGCTGAAGCGAGCTGGGAGGTTTCATTTTGGGATCCACACACAGGTCAACGCCAGGGAAATTTGAAACCACCATATTGGTCAATTGGCGTCGGAGTTTGCGAATCTCTTCCATGGCCTGCATGAAACGCAACAGAAATAATCCAAAAGTAAGTTCACACGCTTCCGGATCATGCGCACAACCAACCGCAAAGCACAAAAAATAAAAATAAAACCATGGTCCTACCTTGATACGTAAAAAGTTATCTTCACAAAATTTCTCGGTAGCACCGGCATACTCATAAGCGCCCACGACATTCAAAAGCTTCAGGATATCGCTTGTAGGATCTAATCCTGCGTGTTTCTAGGGGAATAGTGCAGTGTGTTATTTTGGGCAAGTCCATATGCGATAAAAGGAACCATCCATGTAAGTACACGTACCAGGAGTGATTGATAATACTTCCTTCGTACTAATTTGCGTTTTTCCTTGTCCGCAACTGACTCATTCTTGATGTTCTGCAATTCTCTCCGAGAAATATCTTGGTCATCATCGTCCTCGTTATCGCTTTCTCCAGGTCGTTGCTCATCCAAGTGGTAATCCTGAATAAATGGATCGCCTACAGATAAAGCGGACACAATAGCAATGACGTAGGGCAAACAACCATGCTGCTGTCCTATAATCAACCTAGAGGAATCATGGTGTGAGTGATCATATCGATACGAACCAATGTGGCATTTCCACTACATACATTTTGGCAAACCGCGGAGTAATAGGAAACAGGGACATGGTCTGACCAAAATCAGTGATGCGTTTGGTATTCTTATCAATAGCACCAAGGTATCCAAGAAGCTAACATGGTTCGCAGTTTAGCCACACAGTTTTCAACAGGAACGCGTGATCCAGTCATTTACCTTTTCGGCCTTGAACAGATTTTCCTTCGGTGGAGGTGTTGGGAAAGGGAAATTGACGACATTATCAATATTCATTGATTTCATGTTCAACACAACACCTGCGCATTAATATAAAGTTAGATCCGTGGGTACGCTATATGAAGCTGGTGGACACGCTTAGAAACAAAGTCGATATTTACCTTCAATCGGCATACGGTCAATTTCGGGCGTGGAAAACTGAGCAAACTCGTGATCAAAAACAGCCGAAGAATAAAGTCGGTAACAGTGACCAGGTCCTGTTCTTCCCGCACGACCAGCGCGCTACGAAAACTCGAAATCAGCATTGGGTACAAGAACAGTCAGTCAATCCTTTTTGATGGTACTCACCTGATCAGCTGCCGCTTTGGATGTCCAATCGATTTCAAAGGACTGTACACCAGTGTCAACATCATATCGGCGCTAAAAAATATCCGCTATGGGTAAGTAGATGATTCGATAATATAAATCTCCCAAAAACAAGCAAAAAAACTGTCCTGTACCTCCTTTGCTTTGCCGCAATCGACTACATAGCGAATACCGGGGATGGTCACTGAGGTTTCAGCTACGTTGGTTGCAACGACACACAAGCGTGTGCCTTCAGGAGGCGGTTGGAATACTCGAAGTTGTGCTTCGGTTGGTAACATGGAGTATAAAGGAAGGACATGCAGAGGTGCTAATATAATTGGAGAGTATAAGATAAGGGAATGTACAGAGACAGACAGATTGAAGAGTAACTCACCATCTTTGACGTCTTCCAACTCTTCATCTTCAAAACCCAAGTCATCATCACTGTCATCGTCCGAATCCAGTTCAAAGTCTTCTTCATCAAAATTTTCATCTCCCAAATCGATATCTTCTTCTTCCATATCCACTATAGCAACGGAGTCATCAGACATCAATCATCTCAGCCTAGTTATTGTTTTCTGTGGATAATCATACCTTTGCCGGCAGGAGCTTTGAGTGACTTCTTTTCAATGTCGACAGCTGCTTTCTCGTCTTTCTTTTCTTGGTTGGTTGCCTTGGGTGGAAGTGCAGGGTATTTCTTACGAAGCATTTTACACAATTGATTGATTTCGTTTTGTCCGGTTAAAAAGATCAAGATGCCACCGGTCGGGAGCCGTTCATGAATTCTCGACACCTTTTTGAATGTTTCTGCTACGTGGTCCACAGGTGTGCGTCGGTTAAAATGGATGGATACAGGATACTGTCTGGCATTCACGTTAATAACAGGAGGAGGTGTGGCAAATAAGGTCGTATTTTGCGTAAAATCAGTGACTCGAAGTGTGGCAGACATGATCACTACACGTAAAGGCTAACGTTGGTGTAAATTATAGCTCGCGCTTCCACGGATTGTCTCACATCATCCTTGACTCACCTTGATCTTTTGTCGGTCTTCGCGACTCAGTTCAGCTCTTAATTTCAACACACGACTGACCACACCAATGAGAATATCCGTGTTGAGGTTACGTTCATGGGCTTCGTCAATAATGATGGTGGAATATTTTGTCAGCAGCAAATCTTGCGACAGTTCTCGCAATAAAACACCATCCGTCATGAATTTTATCCGAGTCTTATCGGAAACTGTAGCATCGTAACGAATCTAGCAAAAAAGCTGTTAGGCAAAATATCCAACGATATTTGGATTATCCCGACCATCTTTATCTCGTACCTGGTAGGATACTTCGTCTTCGGACAAGTTGAGTTCATGAGCGACACGTTTGGCCATGCTAACGGTAGCGACACGACGTGGCTGAGTGACACCAATCAGACCCGGGTTGTCTAATGATATATCCAGATGAGTATCCAACCAAACATATGGATCCGAGCGCACTTACCGCTGTCAGGATGAGACCATCCTGCCTCGTACAAAAATTGGGGCACCTGGGTGGTCTTACCAGAACCGGTTTCACCACAGATAATGACAACGGTATTATTGCGAATAGCTTCCATAATAACCTACCAAAAAAAAAAAAAAATTCATCATGATCAGATCATATTCATTTTGCAAAAGCATACACACAAAAATAGAAATAAAAAAACCGATCGTACCTGTTCTTCTCCACACACTGGAAGCTTCAGGCGTGCTTCTTGCACCTCTGGAAGACGGTTGACAGTGACATAAAAATGCTTTGCTGCATCCGTGCTGAGATCACCTTCTTTATTGCTTTTCAGTAACTGAAGCTTGATCTCGTCCACCTCTTCCTGCTGGTGAATGACTGGCCCAGTAACAGATTTGGTTGCTTCCACGACTTCTTCCAAAGCTGTAGGACCTTCATCAATTTCCTTGGCAATTTCCGAATGCGATTTCCAGGATTCTTCGGGTTTGGGACCGTGATCGCTGTCGCTGTCGTACTCTGAATCGGAACTGTCAAACGAGCTATCCGATTCCATCCCTTTTCTCTTTTTGTAACGCTTTCGCACCGCTTCCGGAATAGTAGACTAGCAGAATCAACGACCATAAACACAACTTGCCAATGTCCCATCGACGTTTAATGATTGTTATTCATTTCTGTTATAAATACCTTCTTCTTCTTTCTCTTTCGTTTCACCAACGATGGAGCTGCTCCATCTGCAGTTTGTTTTAAGGCACTACCTGCCACCACTTCGGTTTTTGCTGTCTCTGCTGAATCGGGTACCGTCATCTGGACGGCGGCGGTCGATAATTCGGCAGGTAACTCTTCGCTGACTTCCTTCTCCACAAACAAAGGAACGTCCGAGTGGGTAACGGGCACGCCGGCCTTTTGTTCCAACATGGCTTGATGAAGCTGTTCTCGCAGAGTCTGACCGGATCGGCCGATCAGTTTCGACGATTTCAGTAAATCGGAAGACCACGAAGACGTTCTGCATCATTGTTAGCCTATTGCACCCTCTGCAACTTAACATTTTTCCATTCATGGGCAGAACTTACGATAGCTGCTCCATCAAACCGACTCGAGCTTCTTTTTTCAGTTTTTGTTCCTAGAGGAAAACGACAGACAGTATTGAGTTTTTTTCAGGCCAGACTTCCACTGCGGTTAATACGCAATAAGCTTACAATGTACTTTTCCATTTTCTTTCTCTTTTTCTTGGACATGTATCTCATTGGCTACAACAATCAAAAAGATCCTTATTAGTGTCACTGATCTGTGGAGCTGACGATTCAGTCAACGTACGTCGGGAGCTTGTGTTTTCTGAACTGGCTCTGGTTCTTTCTCTTTGGGCGTTTCTCCGGGAATAATCATCAACGCATTCGAATCCTCACTGTAAGAATAATTTCAACGTTAGCATTCAAAAGTTGTCATTGATGGCTGACTAATTTCCCATTTTTACCCTGGTGTCTTTGAGGTGTTCGGAACGGGTGCGACGTCTTGTTCAGTGAAACCAAGACCGCCATCTCTCGCCCGCTTATGTGGCTTTTGATTTGGCTTTCTTGAAGAAGCGCGCGCTTTCTCGTTATAACGTGGGCGTGCTTTTCCCATGCTGAATGACGAGATCTATAAATCGGTCGGATCAGATCTATTGTTCTTGCAGGTTGTCACCCAAAATCGCACCGCTGTGACTGTTAATAACAAGCGGCGTGACGATGCATGCCAAAATTAGGCAACCAGTCCGTTGAAATCTCCGCCAAAGCATTGTGGAGAAACGGTGATCGCCCCCGAATGGGCAGTCAGGTGCAATAAACACTTGAGAGCCGATGAATGATAATTTGTACTCAAAGAGGTTATAGTTCTGGAATTTTTAGCCCTTGATAGGACGATTTTCACCCAACATTTTTCATCTCAGAATTGGTCCCTGCCTCGCTCTGACCGTCATACTGTTTCCAACGATAGTCGGTAACATGGGTTAAATCACACGTGTAGCGTAGGATGCTATTTGCCTGTTGTACCCAAAGTAATGCATCGAGATTAGCAAGTCCAAGTCCAGCTATTTGGTTTCACGCGACAACTTTTAAAAAAAACGTGATGAAAGCAATGACTGTGTAACGTTGCGTAGAACGTTCCTCATATCATGCGATCCGCAAGCTATAATCTATTAGATAAAGCGTTCTAAGACGTCATGAAAGTATACACTTGTATATGAATTGGTGATTATCACTCCCAAAGTAATCAATGACTGAATGCATGATGAATAGATCACATTTTGAAGCTGCAAAATTAAGAAACGTGTAAAGGTGAAAAACAGGAACCGAGGCCGAGGCGGATGGATAAATCGCGTAAATTACAGTGTCAGCACTTCTTTTTTTTCCTCTCCCTATCTTCCTCTTGAATCTCCTAAACGAAAAAAATATCCCAAGCATCACTGGATGAAGGAACAATGAAAAATGTTTATCACTGATTTGGCTAAACAGGGCGAGCAGACGTCGTTTAATTGTTCGCTTCTCTGACGGGAGCTACATAGGGATCGAGCATATTTAGCGTCAAACGTGTGGGCTGCATCCTGATAGAATCATGCTTACCGAAATAACTGTGAGCCATGGCTTCCTGAGCTGTCAGTCTTTGCTGATGATCATATTCTAACAGTTTGTCCAACAGATCGAACAATTCGGGAGACATGTAACGGCTGTTGCTTGCGGTTACGAATTTCGTCCAAGGTTTCGGTGCGCATCTGAAATGAAGAGAAGAAGAGTTGGTAAGTATTAATGTTAATGGGAAAATACCCGTCGCCTGTTGTGCATACCGTGTGAGAATGTTATCATAATGTGAGTCTAATCGGATATTGTATTTCTTCAGATAAGCGAATAGTTTATCGGTGCCGAGAACACGGGAGATCTTGACTAATTGATCGTAGTTATCATGTCCATTGAAGAAGGGTTCTTTTCGGAACACCTAAAAATCGATTACCAAGTATAAAAATAAATATCAACCGGCTCAACGCTTGCATGAGCGACCACAGAGAAGGAACCAAAGAAACTTACCATGCCGGCCAACATTGTACCAAAACTCCACATGTCCAAGCTGTAATCGTACATCTGGAAATCCACAAGTAGCTCGGGCCCCTTGAAACACCTTGATGCCACACGGACATTGTATTCCATGCCGGGAAGATAGAAATCGGCTAAACCCCAATCGATCAATCGCAACTATAGTAATAAAAAAAAATAGAAAAACAGGGCACAGTGGAATCAGTCTATTGCCTTGGGCCCAAACCCTGACCCTCCTTTCTCTCTTTTTTTTTTGGTAGTTGGCTTTCTTTTGCGTTACCTGTCGCTTTTCGTGATCGATCATGACATTGTGTGGCTTCACATCACGATGCATGATACCTCGTGAATGGCAGTAATCAATAGCCTGTAGTATGAACCGCCGTGTTTTAGTGTTTTACGGTTACAATGGAAGAATACAAGTAAATTACCTTTAACAGTTCAAACATATAGTATCGTACATCGTAATCGGAGAATCTGGGATATAAGATTTTGAATTCGGTGTTGTTGATAAATTCAAACACCAAAGATGGAGTATTTGACTAACAAATGGACATGGTAAGCGAGTGGGTTTGCAGTAGAAATGAAAATGGATTGGTAAAAATGATGATGACAATGTGGTTTACCTGGGGATCTCGCACAATGTCTAATAATTCGACGATATTGGTGCCACCACGAAGGTTTTGTAAAATCTTGATTTCTCGTTTGATCTTCTTCTTCTTGACAGGCTTCAAGACTTTGATGACACATCGTTCGTTGGATTGCATGTTTTTGCCTTCAAACACTTCCGAATATTTGCCACGGCCGAGTTTGCGACAGATTTCATAATTGTCCTGCACTCTATAAAACAAGATTTTAATGACTAAAGATAAAAAAGAGCCATTCACCAATTTTCCAGATGTTCATACCCCCAACGGACTTGAAGATCGTCGTACTCGTAGTAACTTTTCGGCTGTTGTAAATTGACGTCGGCGTAGACACGCGCTATGCTTCTTTGTTGCATAGTTGTATCCATAGATTGGTTGGAAGATAAAAAAAAACAGAGATTATCGGGAAACGAACATTTTTTTTTTCTACTGTGAAAAATAAAAAAATAAAAAAAAAATACAAATTGATAGTCCCCATGGGAAGGGCCAAGGATTTCCCTATCCAACTACCCAAACCGGGCAGACGTCAGCCCTTTTTTCCATAATAGAGCGAAAAAAATAAGACTAGCTTTATAGAAACAAACAATGCAGGGATAATTTTGCATTGTTTCAATAATTTATTACTGTCAAAACGCTCAGTACATGGAAGAACAGCACTACTTTAACACTTTGGGGGGAAATTTCAATGGACGAGCAGGGACTGGGCTAGTGACCATGGAAGGGAGAAAAAAATAAGACAAGATGACAAAAAAATTCGGAGAAAAAAGGGAAATCATCGATAACGCTTAGTTCTGAATGCTGGCATGCTGGTTGACATTGCTTGTCTTGCTGTTATCACTGGCAATACCGCCCTTCAAAAGACCATTCAACTAAAAAAGGGAAACCCCAAAGGGTTGAGTTATCTCGAACCAATATTTTTTTTATGCAATCTAACTTACAAGACCAGAGGTTCTGCCTTCGTTGCCGACATCGCCGACTTGTTGGCTAATGGCGTTGACGTTATCGTGACCGCTCTTGTGGTTGTTGCTACCCTTGTTCTTGCAGGGAGCAGCGGAAGCAGCAACGGCCAAGATGGTAAGAACAGCGAGAACAGAGGAGAACTTCATGTTTGTTGGATTGATTAGATAGAGAAGAGAAGAGAAAGGCTTTTTGTTGTTGTGTTGGATTGGATGAGGATGAGAGATAAAAACTTGAACTTCTCGTCGATGCTTATATATTGAACAATGAGATCAATCTGGACCCAAGGAGACGATGCGAACCATCTCGACGGAGAACGTGGTGCGGTTTATTTACCACTCCCTACAACCATCCAAAATAAGCTACGAATTCGTCACCCCTTGTTTTCCCCTCTTCCTACTTGCTCCCCCTCCAACGACGAAATAGATCCTCTCTTCTTTACCCCTTAGGATTCTGGGATCTCATCCAATGATCTCGCTCCAGATTGCCACCAAAAGGTTTCCGTACACACCCACCCAAATCGATTATGGGCTATTTTTAACTTTTTACATCGGGATTCCCATTAGCGTACAAGCATGAAAAAAAAAAGTTATTCCAACTACAACGCCTTCCAAGTCGTATGGCACCACAAAAGAACTACTTTACTCTTATTTCCCCTTGTCTTCCTATTTTTGTCATGAAGGATGGTCTCTTTTTTTTTTTACTTGTCGGTTGCAATAATTCGGACGCCAGGGGTGCCGTAAAACCGGCCAAAAAAAGAGTCGATTTCAAAAAAGAGAAAAGGGAACCTTAGAATGCACCAATCAGACTCAGGGCCGACATGGATCCTAACTTGAGACTTGCTTCCCAAACGTGCGAGTGCTCGGATGCATACATGTCCACCGTGGTTTTTTTTTCAGAAGGACATAGAACCTGCTATATACAGATTAGTGCGAAATTTCAATATACTTGAAGGACTTCAATTTTCATTAATTGCGCAACTTTGAAAGGGGTTTAGTTGACGGGATAAACCCACTTCCACAGAGACACATCGAATTCACGTTGGAGACATAGATGCAACAAACCCACCTCAACTGTTCTCAAGCCAAAACGTTCAGTATCCTTTTTTCGCCCATTCATTGCAATGCTCCCTGATTTTTTTTTGGCCAATCCATCTCCTGCTGGAAGCCCTGGGCTTGCTATGCTTATTTCGTTCCCGGATGAGTACTTTTTTTTGAGCATGTCAGACCACAGCGGTCAAGATTTCCGGAAAAAGAAATTCGTTTCGCGCGTCGACCCTCTTGCGTGCGGTTAACCCCCCCCCCTTCTTACATTCAGGTACTGCAGCATCGAATAATTTTCATATCGTTTAAGCGCATGGATGATCTCAAAATCAGATGTCCACTGAAAACCTTCAACTATTACCACCCAACCGAATGGCATCTAGATCATATTCTCTCAACTGCTTATCTTTTAGGGTAGACTGCCAATATATCATCATTTGGCTTTATTTTATTCGTTTCATTCAATTATTCCATTCAAATAAAGAAGTCTTAATAATTGGTTTATTTTTTATTAAAACCGTCCATACGATTGACATTTATCGAATGCCATTGTACGATGGTCATTTTGAATGCGTACAAAAACTCGATCTTAACATATGTAGTCAAATTAAGTGAGCATTGGGATGCATGATGGCAACAGCTACACTATTGACCGCGTAACGCATGACCGGTTATTTATCGTCGATGACCCTTGCTTTTTTCCGTCATCCCACGATTGTTACTTTAACGATGCGGTAGGGGCTAACCTCTGTGCAGAGAAACAGGAACCGAAGCGCATTCAATGTTTCCAAAGATCCACCGGCTAGGCCCTCGTCCGTTATTTTTCCATCGATGAAAGCGATATTGTCATTGAAACTAGACTCAAAAACTTCCGATAGTAGAAATACGTTCCTGAATAAAAGTAAAAAAAAAGCGCGGTGAATAGTAAAACTGAATATCTCACTCTTTAGGTTATCAATGTCGTCGTATTCTAACCTTCGCAATCCTTTATTGCCAAGTCCTCCTCAAGGATCGCGAACATTCAAGGATCTGTCATCTGCATCGACGGCCTCATTTCGACAGTTCTTTAACCGTCCGTTTCGTAATCTTTCCACCACAGGGTCTCAACTTCGATTAGCTCCCACCAAACGCGTGGTTCCTTCCATCTCTGTGGATGGTCATAGAAAGCAGCTATCAAAGCGCCCTCAGACTGTCACTCCTAATACCACAGTAACCCAGGATCCCATTATTCATTACAATGGACCCGTAGAAACACTTGATCAATTACCGGAAGAAAAATTAGCATGGATCAAGCATGAATCTTCCCTGGATACAGTCACTCTTCGACACCCGTTGACCCACTGTGACAGACCCATCGTTTTTTGCAAACCACATCAGCGTAACCGCACATTGTAAGAGTTTCTCTTTTTTTTTCGTACCATGTTTAGTTTCCCAACGTGCTGTTGCCACATGCTGATTCGCCCTTTTTTTCATACTTAAAATCATGGATGTTCTTTTAGTCCCACTGCTCTGTGTTCTATGCCGACTCGTCAAATGAAGCCGAAAGCCATGTTCTATATGCGAGGTAAATCGATCAAAACAAATAATCATCCAGATCAAAGGGGAGAAAAGGGGGGGGGGGTATAAAGGATCTTACGTTAGGCTAACCCAAATGCTTATGATCATAGTATTGCAGATTATCAATCAGAGTTCCTCAAAACGTAGGTGAACCTAGTTGCATTCAATCCGTTGGGATCATCAGTCTCACTGTCTTCTTGACGCATCAACGGGCTTCTTTTTAGCCTGCGTTTATCGATGTTCGCTTCAGTTAGAGGAAGAAATTAGCTTTGGTACTCACGTCATGAGTGAAAAAAGCGGCAAAAGCAGCACAGAAGCCAATTTGGATGAAACCTTCCTCTTGTAAGTCCATATCATTTGTTCTTCTGTCAAGACTATCCCGTTCTGATGAAATGTTATTAGTGATGTAGAAAACACGACAGTAGCGAGTTTGCGATTGTACGTTCAGCCGAGGACGACCTTGGGAAGGTTAACAAGCAAATTCCGGGCTCAAGAAGTTTGTGTTGGCAAAGAAGATGTGGCAGTGCATCTGCAACCGAGCGATAAGCAAGTCCAACGATTTACTTTACGTGGCTCGGAAGCCGGCGAAACCCGCATCTATCAAGTGGTGGCCATTGTAGGCACTTTTGTAAGCGACCGGGCACAGACATTGCTGGAAAGTCGACGCATCTTTGCTGGTTTCCTCACCGTGTACGTTCGAGGCAAATACATCCCGGTAAGTATCGAAAAATCATGGTGCATCTAGGACTTTGTCCTTCTTATTCAACTGTATCTCGTAGCGTTGGGATCGATATCATGCGGTGCTTTATGGGACCAAATTGTGTCTGTATGATTTTGAGTACAAAGAGGTAAATGTTTTAATAGCAAAAACAATGAGATCTGAATTTGACCCCATTGATTTCCTTTGGCGGGCTCTTATATGTGAAAAATTAGACGCGCCGTTGTCTGCATACCATCCCATTACAGCATTTTTACGACGTATTTCATCCCGCGATGGACGATGACGAACGTCAAGTGGATGTTGGTTCGTTTGGTCTGGCTTTGCAGTTTTCCGAAAAAGCAGTGGGAATGCAAACTGTCACCGAGGGCAATTTTGAATACAGAATTTACGTCTTGCCTGACAACGTGCAAAGTTCAGAATCTTGGGAAGTTGCATTTACCTATGCGGCTTCGCTTTTGGAAGAGTTTCGGATCGAAACCGATGATGATGTGCATCCATTGCCATCTATGCACGAAGAAATTGAACATGATAACAATGACCAATACTATTCGCATGACAAGAACCACCACGGTCCATCCCTTGTACCAGCTAAATTTATGTGGTAAAAAGGTGAAGCAGATTAAAGAGAAAAAAAGTAATCACAGCTTGATAATGTGATCCGCATGGACCAAATAGACTTGCTACAGTATAACAATAAATGACAAAACAGTCAATCAGCATAACACTATCATTTCTCCTGTCAATTTTGAATTGTTGTGTACCAAGGCATTGTCGCTCAGTTATCCCAAGGCGTTCCTGCAGATTGTGTCGAAATTTTTTACATTCTTGACTCTGCCAGCATAAAATATACAAATAACCATGACAATTGCAATTGCAAGTAATACAATGCCCAGCAGCCTTCAGCTGAGACGTTACAATCCTCAAACGTTTTGGCCGTTCGTGCATCAGCTACTCGAAATTTATGCGTGCCCAATTTGCCCATGATCCAGATCAAAAGATTCGAGCCGTGTCTCTTTGATCCCATACGCTGTTCTTTCGGAGCTTCCTTTCGATGCTGTGGACGAAGCGATCGTTGAATTATTTAACGACATTATTTTTGTGTGGACTTTCTAATCCTTTTATTTCTTGTATCTTTTCTAATTGAGCCGGAAATCTTTTGCTTGCGCCCCAGTCCCTGTCAAAAGCAAGGCAATCAAAGGAGGGGTGGGTTTGTTTAGCTTTTGGTTTTCTCTCCGGTTTTCTTTTTGCCTGGCAAGCCATTCAAGCCATCCATCCCTCCAAAACCTTTCTACTTTGTTCGGGCACCAGATTGTGGCCAAACCGGTTTTTGTCGTCAAAGGCATCGTCGGTGGTGTGACTCTCTTTTTCATCGGGAAACGCTGACGCGTCCTCCCCAGGTTCCTCTCATATGGATTGCTGCCCGTGGTATCGCCTTCGATATTTCTTCCCGACCATTTTATTTTGTAGTTGTAGTATGTATTTTGTATTTTAGTGAATAGTCTTCTTGCAGTCTTTTCCTCCTTTTTTTCCCACAGGGTTTTTAGGGGGTTTTTACAGACGCACCTATTGTATTTACTTTTTTTTTATATTTGTATCCTTTCTTTATTTCGGTCGGGAAGCCCTCGGTATCTGCTGCATCAAACATCAAAGGTAAAATATCTCAACGAAATTTGAATCAACCAAAGAGCTTACTAACTCATTTTTTTTAAATACCCAACATTCCCACACATCTTTGTAGATCTATCATAACCTTGGGCGGGACAGAACGGAGGGGGTCAATAAGTGCTGCTTTGTTCATTAAAAGTGTTTCATGGTATGCCAGAGTATTGACATTAATATACCAAAGTTCCATCAAGAGTCTCGCCCAGGTTATGCCGTATTGCGTTAGGCTTTTGTCTGACGAATGTCGCTCAATGTAAGAGTGCGGCATCCAGTAGCAGGTGGCATCCATTGCACAGCGGATGTACGGCTTGTTACATGTTGACAATAAAAGTAGGACGCCTATTGCGGTAGAATTTCATACCTCTGACTCTAATGAATTATACCGTTTACAAGAAATATATCTGCTCATGAAACGATCAGTTTCAGCAAGGGAAAATCTGCTGAGAAATCTCTTACAAACGCGAGACGCGCGGTGCAAGTGGTAAGGTGGTACAACTAAAAAGCCGCACGTATACATGCTACAAAGGAAAACGAAGCATGAGCTTGTGTTCGCCGATTATTATTTTCGTTTCGCGATTCCATCGAACAAAGCATGACAGGTGAAAATCCAGCTGGGCAAACAATGTTTCGGAAGCCTGATATAGGCCGTCATTCGCAAAATGGTTCCTTCCAACAAACAAACAACGTGCATTAAGAGTTCAAAAATTAAAGTCGCTACTGTCGAATTTAGTTTACGCACGACTTTTCTAATTCGGTGGCAGCGACTTTAATTTCTTCGAAATGACTGGTGGTCGCATCACTTTTTTTTCTATAGGAAAAAAAAACGCTTTAGTTCCATTAGTTTACTTTTCTTCCTCTTTCTCTCTCTCTCTCTCTTCTTTTTCATTGCTTTTCAATCTCTATGGGAAGACGCTTTGCATCTTTTAATATACTGACTGGCCGTGTGATGATTGCACTTTTGCCATAATTATCTCTCAAACTTCTTTTTTCTTTCTGGCACCGTGGAAACACCCTAACAACCCCGATATTCTCTCTCTCTCTCGCTCCTCTAACCCACTGCACTATACACAAATATTGATTTGCTTCTTGTATCTTTTTAACGACATGGTCAATATTACTGACAAACGATTTGCAGCTCTTGGACCAACCGGATCGCCTTTAGGCCGTATGCTTTCTATTATTGATATTCCCGATTCCGACGTTCGGTTTCTTATATTGGATTGTCCCACCGAATCCACGTTGAGCTTTTACCTCGATGAATTCGTCAAGCTCAATGTTGTCTCGGTCGTTCGTTGCTGCCAGCCCACTTACAATGCGAATCGGCTCACCGAACGCAATATTGAAGTATTGGATTTACCTTTCAGAGATGGTGGCGTGGTAAGTTTTTGCAAGAGGCAATGACATAGGACAGATCGGATTGATAAATTAAAACTTATTGATGATGATGGATTTTAGCCTCCTCCTATGATTGTTCGCGAATGGTTGCAGTTGATCGATAACACGAAACGAACCGTGAATAAAGAGGACCCAGCGTATCGACCACCCACGATTGCGGTTCATTGCGTTGCCGGTCTGGGTCGCGCACCTGTATTGGTAGCCATCGCGTTGATCGAAGCGGGAATGAAACCGCTGGATGCGATCGAATATATCCGTACTAAACGCAAAGGCGCTTTCAACAAACCCCAAATTCAATACTTGGATTCGTACAAACGTATCACAAAACCAAAATCCGCAAGCAGCCACTCACTCCGATCATCGCTGGGCAAAATGTTCAAACTAGGTTCTAAATCCACGGTTTCGCAGCAAACGTGAAAGGGAAAAGAAAACGCTTGCTCTTTCTGTCTCCCTACTCGTAATAAAGATAATCCCACACGTTGACCTTTTGCTTCTCAATGCTCAGCTCAAGCTCAGCTCAGATAGGCTCAGCTTTCGATCCTTAACGGTCAACTGAATAACAAGTCAACTTTTATTTGTGATTTTTGCCTGAAACCAAGGGTCATACGGCTGAAACCCAACGTCATCTTGGCTTTGGCTTCGGATCGCGGAGTTCGAATTGGGCATGCTCGCACAATGATGTTCATCCTGATCGCGTCCACATTTAAACACATCTGAATTTTTTGCATTACATCACATTTTTGCATTAGAAATTCCAGTGTCATCCTACCAAATACAATTAATCGTCTTCAAAAAAAACAATCAAAACAAAACAATTTGTATTGGTTTGACTCGAATAAAGGCGGCTTGTGGGGAAACTAGGCGACGGGGAAGAGGGGAGAAATTTCACAATCATGGCCCTATTCTACAGTATCATAAAAATCAATGTGATCCCCGGATTGAAACTTATTGTCCTCGAGGAGTGAGATTAATTTGTGAGCCGAAGTTTCCATTTCCACCAATTGTCCCTATAGCGATAATGCATCAATAGATTGGTCCATATTCGGATGAATTCATTTCCTTTTTTTTTTCGACTCCTCTATTTTTACCTCGTTGGCCATTTTGGTGAAAAGCGTCTTTTGGTCTTCATCACCCAAACTTTCGCGCACTTGTCGTTGCATTTCGTTGTCCAGCGGTCCGGGTGCATACGATAATGCCCGCACCGATTTCTATATCCATGGGATTAGTTTAAGAAACCATCGTTTTTCGCTCATAAGAGAGTCAAAAACCAAAGAAAAAAAAAACGGCCTCTCCTTGGTGTAGTGACGCCGTACTTACGTGCTCAGCCGCTACGACGCGTAAAAACATATCACGAGCCGATTTTCCACTCGCATACAGTCCCCAGTTTGGAAACGGTTGCACAGCCATCAACGATGAGATGTTTACAATGGCGATTTCAGGAGCATTCATTTGTTCACCGTGCCAATGTCGGATAAAATCTGTACTACAAATGGCGTGAATGGTTGGACATGGATATTATCCGCTTTGGCGGATGACTCCATCTGGCATCATAACGCCCCTGACGGTCTTTTTTGTTTTTCTATATTCTGAGATCCTCAACTTACACCAACGCCATGTACGAGCCGATATTGAGATTGATATATTTTTGGATCTCTTCTGGATCATAATCCATTACCTTTTTGCCAAGGTCTCCCGTTGAACCCGCATTGTTGATCAACGTCACACGCGTCATCCGATTAGCACTATGCAATCGCTGTTTCATATGAGCCCCTTATTTGTTCCCCAACCAGTACCATGGATAGAAAATGTACCGTCATCAATGAATCAAGTGGAAATAGAACCGTTTCCTGAGTCGATAACGCGCCATCGAGGCATACGTTTGCAATAACATGAACATCGACGATTGCCCTTGCCAACGATGAAGCAATGTCCGTTAAAGCTGCTTTATCACGTCCAGTAAGGATCAGCGTTGTCTTGTGCGTCGCTTTGTTTGCCAACACCTTGGCAATGGCAAGGCCAAAACCACGATTGGCACCCGTAATGACAAACAGCGAATGTTGATTCTGAGTCTCCATCGAATGTGAGTTCGCTGAACACAGCCTAACTGTGGGAATTTGTCATTTTAAGGTATCTCACTTTTCGATTTCCGCCATGAAAAATACTTTCTTAGGCAATCTTGTCCATGCTTTTTCTATCCTTTTAGTTAACCTAACACTCAATACCGTCGCATATTTTTTAATACCTATTGACTCATTACTGTGAATTTTCAGTATAACTGAAAGCACATGTGTCACCATTCATCATGTGCTGCATACAGAGATGCGATCATTGACGCATATTCTAAGCATCAATAATAAACGAAACAACCCATCACATGAAACCAACATTACCCAAATACTCCTTGTTACTCGTACAAGGCAGGATTGATTTCATTTGACTAACATAGTAATTACAGTTTAAAGATGGGGGTGGTATATCAAATGTATTTCTTTGGTAATATAATATCTAGTAGCAATAATATCTGCATGCAAGCTCTATTTACAGATGATGCGAAATGTACAATACATGTAGAAAAAGTTGTAATACAAATAATTAAAAAAACAAACAAACCACGTAGAACTACAAGGGACTGTCGCCATATCCCGCTCGACTTCTCATGACCGGTCCCTTAAATTTGACAATAGCATACAGGGACATGCTCGTGATATTGAGGCCTGCCAAAACGACGGCCAGATACCCAGGCCCGATGCTGTCGACAATCGGCTTGGCTACTAAACTCAGGATACAAGCCATAGACATACGGAACAAATTGGAAGCCGCAGTGACCGAAGCACCCTTTCCAGGAATTGCATCCACGAGATAAGCAGAACCAGCGGCATAAACTAAATCCATACAACATGTTAATTTTTTTTTTTTTTTTGAAGTGGTGGATCAAATGATCTGATCATCTTCCTTGACTTGATCCACTATCAATGCAATTTGATGAAAATCTTACCTTGACTCATGCCGAAACAGACAATGGCAAATCCAACGATAGAAACCCATACTGAAAATCGCATATTGATAGCCCATCCAAAAAGAAGTACACCCAGGGGAACCAAGATGTAACCACCCGGCCTAGAAGGAGAAAAAAAAGAGAGAACGTTACGGTATATCCGTTATTGCTAGAAAGAAAAAAAAAAGATTCTTATTTCAGAGACGTACCATGCATTGAGAGTCAAGCGATCTTCGGCTCTTGCCACACCACCTCTTTGGGCACGGGCACGTTTCAATAACCGGTCGGATAACTTGCCAGACACAAAAGAGCCAAGCACATTACCGATACCGGCGCCAAGAAAGCTTAAACCTGAAATGCAGTGAGTGTGTGGATTCCCAAAGTTGGATGACCTTTTGGTCTTCTTTGTATCTTTACCTGTTTGCCAAGATTCAAATCTGTAGGTGTGTGCATACAGGTCAGGGATAATCGTTTCGATGGTAAACATTGTACCAAAACAGATGCCTGTCTGCACCGCAATGAGCCAGACAAACATGTGCTTTAACATGGCAATGCTTTTGAAAGGATTCAATTTGGTCTTGGGTTCAGGCTCGATCGAAACCGTCGAACGACTAGTCAACGCCACGCTACTCGTTTCTCCCAATCGATATTTGGAGTCTTCCGGTTTGGCAGAACCAATATCGTCGTTTTCCGATCGAACCAGAGTAATCATGGTAGGTCCTTCCAATTCTCGATGAACCGGTAATTCCGTATTCCACACATGATCCAGCCGATATGTCTCTGGCAAACCAACAAATAGAAAAAGAAACAAAAAGACACCATAAGCTGCGCAAAACCAGAATGTAAAACGCCATCCTAAACCGCTTGTAATGCCACCGCCCGCCACAGGGCCTCAATAGAATAATAAACGATGGTAAGTTGACCTGTTAATAAAAATAGGCAACGGTTGTATCTACCACCGTTACTCGTTCTATGATATTTTACCTATTAGGGGACCCAGAAACTGACCAAGGAATAAGAAACTGAAAGCCGATCCTCGTTCAGTAATTTCCCAGCAATCAGCAATGGTTCCTTTTGCACGATAATCCAACAGGAGTCAAATAAAAGAGAAACAGAGAAGTAAAAATTAGTATGCAGGTAATCGCGTTGTTGTATGCTTGAATTGATTTTTTACCTGCTCCAACCGACATTGTGACTAGCAATAAAATAATCGATATAAACAAAAAAAAAATTCAATCAGTCAAATCTTGAGGATAGCATCTCCGTGAAATGGCATACCGGAAGTACCGATCGACTGGATGCATCGCAAAACCACCAAATACCACACATTGGTAACCAGAGCGCAGCCAATGGAGGCGGCTACAAAAATCAAAAGCGACACCAGATAGATAAACCTAACGTACATACAGAAAGATCAGTTCAAAAACCTTACAACCTAGGCGGTACGATGCCAACTCTAACCTGCGAATGTGATAAAAATCGGAGATGGAAGCCCACATTATTGGCTGTAAAAAAGTCGGTATTGGTGAATGGTGAGTTTTTTGAAGAACATCCCATTTTTTGTGTAGATTGACTTACACCGATACCACCGAATAATATGAACAAGGATGTAGTCAAGGTGACCGCCATGGGACTGGCTTGTAAATCTAGGGTCAATTCTGGTAAGCCCGGAAACTGACAACGCAGGAGTGAATACAACGCTCTATTTTTTATCCTTGCACACTTATAACTTGATATTCTTTTTTTTTCTTCTCAGGCTGGTCACTTGAACCTTACATAGATGGTTGAACAGAATCCATTGAGCGAAGATCCTAATGTCAGACATACAAGGATCCATCGTTTTTTGCAAGTCGAATAAAGACGCGGATCGCTGGTCACGGGGGGTTTCACAACAATGCGACGACGTAGCACCGACAGGATACGTGAAAATAAACTCGACTGTTGTGATTCGTCTATCTTTTCTGGAACGGGTTCGTCTCTGGTCGTACTCGACGGGTGACTGTCGGTGACGTGAAGCGAAGTACGTGCGACACACGTAACGTTGCCGATCGATGACCCTTCGTCGAAGGGAAACTCTGGTTTTTCTGGTTTTCGATCCACCATTTGAAAATGAAAATAAAAGCAAGCCCGCCAACGCAAAAAAGACAAAAACCCAAAAAACCAAGAAAAAAGAAAACAGCAAAATTTAGATCTGCCTATATATATAAAATTACGTATATATATATATTTGTCCACGTACATGTATACATTTCTGGCATTGGTCAGGAAATAAAATGGAAAGCCACAGCTGTCATTGAAACGTAAGTGTGCGCAGCATCAGCCAACCATGGGATTGACCATGAAAAAAAAAAAAAAAAAAGTGAGCCATGGCTTGTTGCTTCGGGGATGGCTTCTCCTCGGTAAGCACCGAACAGCTCCCTTCAGCCACGTTCTGTTGCAAAGAACCGCGCCCAAACTTCTATTTATGACTCCATCACAGCAGATGGGGATAAACAATACTGTCGCAAACAAGTAATCCTACATGTATTATTTTAGATCAGTTTAGGCTATCAATGACCTTGTTTGGCAGTTGCATCTCCAACAGCATGATCCCTTGAATGTTGTCATGGCTCCTTTTTTTTAATTCCAGAAATAGCCATACACTGCCCTTTTCTTTTCGTTATCGCGCTTATGAAATCATTTTTCTTGACTAGTTTCATGCGATAACAAGATGCCATTGCTTACAAAAAAAAAAAGGGTTCATGCTGTGATTTGTACGTGATTCGTTCTTGACTTTCAGGGTCCTTTTGCTGAAACGCTGACCAAACTTTTTTCCATCCCGTATACATCATTTGCTATTTTGGGAATTGTTTGGTTTTTCCAGCATCTGCATTGCCATGCGTCCAAACAGATAGTTGATGCCTATACCTATCAATCGAGTCCCTTATTACCAACCGTGTTGGCCTGGCTCTGATCAACTACAACAGCCATTTTGTATCATTTGACGCATCATATATCCGTTTTTATGATTATAATGACCAAAATGGATTATGAAATGACGATGCCAACGGCTTACTCGGTATTGACAAGCAGTCAAATGATCCATAATTTGCAACCGAACATTTTGTAATTCCAACTTGTATCAATCGAACCGCCAAGCCCCGGCCCATAGAAATAGGCTGAAATAGGCCAGCTTTTGGCAAAGTAAATACACGTTGGTGCCAGCTAAAAAGCATGCTGGAAAAGGCGCCATCATCTGATTTTCTATTATGTGTATCCTAAGATAAAAAAGGTTGGGAAAAGCAGTTTGGGATATTTATAGCCGTTTGCATAATCACAGGTTTGGCTGCCGACAATACTGTACATACTGCACTCGTAACGTGCTATGGCTTCGACCTGGTTTGGCGCCCTTTTTCTGATATATGCGAGAAAAACTTATCTGCGAGCGAAAGAGTACAGAGCCAAAATTTGGCTCAAGTGCTGATTCGCCTTTGTGTACTTGCTTTTATTTTAGGGAATATTGCAATCAATTTTGCCAAAAGGAAAAAATAATTAAATGGAAAGATAAAAATCACATCAATGCAAACCAAAAAGCGATGTCATGTTGTTACCGACATCCCGATCTTTCCATCGTGCGGCGAACCAGTTGATTGCATACGCATGTTTGAACTGTTAGAAAAAAAGGCATGTCATTGGCTCGTTTACCGCGGCAAATGGTGATAACAGAAAGCAAAGTTTCGGGATGGCTTTTTCTTTAAGTCATCAAGCAGAGAAGCACAGGTACGTGCGATTACTTTTCATGCACATGATCACCTTTAACTTTTTTTTCCCTTTTACTCACCCCATTTAGTAATTTTTTTTTTTCAATCCTACACGAACTTGCTCATGCTTGGAAGCAGATACGTTTCTAAATGAGGAGATAGATGATCGATCTCGAATAGACCCATCTGCTTATGCAACAGACCGGAAGCTGAAAAAGCTTAAAAATAAAACTGCGAATGCCTGTTAGAAAAGCTTAACACGCTGTTTCCATGGTATTGATCCGTCAATAGCCGCATTCGCAGAGCCATCAATGAACCGGTCGCGGTCTCTCCATTTGCCTCTACCATTAATTTTCACGCCATGACGGTTACGCGTTACACCAATTTCTGCAGTAAAGTATACGCCATCGATTACCGTATGGCGCAAGTTTGGGTGTGTGGGAATGCCGACTGCAATGGGCCCCTATCACGTCAAACCAATGTGAAATTTCTTCACTGGTGTTGGACCGATGCTCATTGGTGGATCTGAGTTTGTCTGGATCGAATCCCTAATGCTCATCGTCCTCAGGAATGGTGTGAGTTACGGTATGACAAGACTCAAGCCAGTCTCCAACAACCCCCATTTAAATGTGTGTTTCTCTTGAACTTGGCCTACAGAAGCTTGTAGCTTTTTCAATCCAACTTTACCTTTTCTCGATTTTGTTTTTTGGTGATGCCTCCTACAGTTGTTCAAGAGTCAGCTGCTGCTATTGGTGGCACCGACGCCGCTGACGCATGGCGCGGGTTTTCACCCGTGCAAACAAACTACATCCCTGCCGATTTTCCTGACAAGATTGTCGGTCCCAGCGCATGGGATGGAAAAGAGCTGGAGCAACACCCCGAGAAATGGATCTATCACGTAACAGCCCAAGATATCGCTGAAATTGATCATGCTGTCAAGCATTTTATTGGATTGGATATCCCTTTGGTAGGAAACTTTCATGCTGCTAAAAAAGACAACAAGGACCAGATGATACTTATTGGCATCTTTATACATATAGGGAGACATCACCGTGGACACTTTCCCACTCGCCAGCTTTAGAGACGTGATTCAAAAGCAAAAAGAAAACCTTTTTGATGGCCTTGGGTTCGGCTTGATCCGTGGATTTCCTATTCAAAATTACAACCGTAAAGAACAAGCGGCCATTTTCATGGGAATTGGCGCTTACATTGGTAGCCGTAAAGCTCAAAATGCCAAAGGCCATGTTCTTGGTCACGTAAAGGATTTGACGATTGGTTCGACGACCAAATCCGTTTACGATGCTGAAGATCCAACCACGCGTATCTATGCCACTCGAAAAGCGCAACCTTTCCACGTCGATGGCACGGATGTAGTTGCTTTGTTATGTTTGCAAGATGGGCACGAAGGCGGTTTGAGTTCGGTGATCTCTTCCCACACAGTGTATAATCGTCTAAGGGAGGAACGTCCTGATATCGTCGAATTGATGAAGAAGCCTTGGCTCTGGGATAGGTAAAATCGCTCTGTCAGACATACAAATGCTTTAATGGTAACTTACTCATCAACGACGATCTTACTGCTGTTACAGAAAAGGCGAGCATAAGCCGAACGAGCCACCCTACCTTGAGGCTTCGCCTTTAACGTACTACAAGAACCGGCTATTTACGTTTTGGGGTCCTCATTTCTTTGAAACCATGACGCGGTTCCCCGAGATCAAAGTGGAGCCGGAGAAATTCGAGGCCATGAAGTACATCCAGGAACTCTGTGAACGTGAATGTCTGAGCATGAATTTGCAAGTGGGGGATATCCAGTTTGTGCAAAATTATCAGATTCTGCATGCTCGCACCGCGTACCAGGATCGACCCGATAAAACACGCCACTTACTGCGACTGTGGTTGCTGGTCAATGCCAAAGAAGTTGGCTGGGAAATTCCCTTTGTCAAAGGCGATTACAACTATGAATTTACAGGCAAACATACAGTGCCCTTGGAGGCCGAGTAAAAACTATTTATCCATATACCGAACATTGATGTATTTCACCTCCCCCCCCCTCCTCTCTCCGTCATTGACCTTTCTGTCTTTTTTTTTTCTTCTTTGCCTTCACACATGGTCACATTTTTAAAATTCCTCCATCCAGTCATTTCTCCATGATTTATACATATGTAACATTGATAAAATTATTTCTGAATAAACAACTACAACCCGAGCTACGGATTCAAAAATGTCCCCCTGCGATCGCCGTTTACCAACTGGTACTCGCATGTTTACTTTTTGATGCCAGGTCAAAACTGTGATCCATCGCTCCTCGATAGAGTTCCATGATCACTTTCCCGCCAAGGATGGTTTCTTCCACTATCGATTGGCAATGACATGAACGGACTCGACCATACCAGATACCGCGCGTGCCCTGATGTGTGTAGCAAATGACATTGCCTGCAAATTTGTGTCCTAAACACATGGTAACCCTCGTTTAGCACTTCCAAGACCCTTCTTTTTTCACGATAAACATCAGAGTACCGCATTCTTACCTCCAATATGGCTAACCATGAGCACTGCTGTCCCGCCTTCGCCTTCATCGATGTCCTTGCTTCGTAATACATTGTCGAATTCTTGGGCCAGAATGGGGGCCGTGACCCCGCATCGTTTATCTCTCTTTTTATGAGAGCATATTAATACAAGCGAAGCGTAGGGATTCGTGCGAACGTGGATCTGCTCGAGATTGAAGGAAGCTGGATCGAGGGGTGTCTCTGGCAGAGGTTTCGCAATAAAAGTATCGAAAAATAGCTGCGCATTCTCGACGGTCACGTTGGACACAAGTAAATTATCAGGCAGTACGATCACATCGCACGCATTAGGGATCGTGGAATATTGTGTAACAAGGGATGTGTTGGTGATTAAATTACGCAAAAAAGAGGACTGGCTCGCTTGCGCTCTAGAGATGGCACCCGCAACACTCGTCGCATCGTCTTCAATCTTTTTTGGCCAATCCGACTGTCCTGTAGCAATCAAAATGTGTCTTCCGTACGATTTCACCGTGCCTAGCAACGATGAATAGGTATCAATGTGGAGACTCCCCGGGAACGCTTTGTGCTCCTCGCAGGGATTCTCGCAACCAGTGCAAGCCTCGTCGACAACCAGATCGTTCGGTGGCATGCAAGTCTCTCCGAAATAGTAATTCTTGGATGCAGTCCACAAAGACTTGAGAATGGATGTCATGGTACAGCAAACGATATATTACAAAGGAAGCGCGAGAAAATAATGAGTATAGAGTATCAATAGTAACAATAAAAAGAAAAAAAAAGGGGTAAACAAGAAAGAAAGAGACAATGTAATATCTGATTCAAAAAGTGCTGTGTATGAATATAAAATAACAATATCAACGGATATTGGTCAAATGAGGACCCGCTGTGCAAGACATGGTGAAGCGGAGGATGGGGTAAGACCGAATGTCCCCGCATTCCCGCTCTGCCATTCTGCGCCACACCCAGCAGATATTCATCCAGTTCCATTCCCATTTGCATTCTATTCCAGCTTGTGTGGTGCCTTTTTTTCCCTGTATTTATTTTCCCGGAAAACGGCTTCCGGATTATAAATTCAACCAAAAATTGCCTGAAATAAACAATAAGCATAAAGGGCCAAAAGGTCCAGCAAAGTCCAGGACCCTGAAACTCGCCCCACATTGTGGAAATTCATCGTGACTGTGATTTTCTACCGGCTCCAGCCACCTCCTTGCTTTTGCTCGCTCCCATGCCGCTTCGACCATTTCCGGAACAGCTCAACCCTCGCACCCATTGATCGTTTGGAAAACAAAAAGAAAAAGCGAGCGAAGCGATCACGCCGTTTTTTAGAAAAGAAAAGAGAGAATAAAAAGAGAAACCATCATGATGCAGCGATTAGCCCGTGTCTGGAACACTCGACCTTTTCCGTTGCATTCGCGACGCAGGTTACGTTGTTATACGACGGTGACCGAGACGCCAATCCCAGCAAAACCATCGCACCCAATGCTGACAGCTTTTCGAAAAGATATACAGCACAGCAAGGCCGACGTATGGCAACGGTATCAGCAACTGCAATCGCAACGGGAAGATGTGCGTCGCTTATTCGACCACGACGATTTCATTGCATTACGTTCGCAGTTGTGGAAGAAAAAGACATGGGGAGTGGAAGATCGAGTACTTCAGGTCCTGGAAGATATGAAAGAGCTCGGTCACCCCTGGACGATTTTGGAGTACAATGAATTCTTCTTGGTGAAATTGTACCAGGCACGTTACAACGATATTCTGGAAATGTACCATGGCCAGTTTCGCCAAGACAACATGAAACTCAGTATAGGCTCTTTCAACGCCATTCTCGCCACGTTTATCGAACTCGACAACATAGAGGAAGCGGTCAAACTCATCAAAGATGCTCCCACCTGGGACATTATACCCGATATACGAGATTTCGAACGCACCGTCCATCGATCCATGCCACGCAACAAGACCATCGTCGCCAAAGCCAATCGTTTAATCATTGACCATGGATGTTGTCATAGCAACGTTTTAAATTCCAATCTGGTGCATTTGTTTCGTGAAAAGCGCACAGCCGATGCTCTTCGCGTGTATGGACAGCGAAAAAAAGCCGCGCCCTTGGACATATCCACGTATGGTGTCATGCTGAGAGGATTGATCGATCATCGGCAGTTGCGCGATGCACAAGATATTTTCAGTGATTTAAAGAAAGCGGGATTGCAACCGAATCCTTTCATTTGCACGAGCATGTTGACGATTTACGCTCATCAGCGCGATATTCCTTCGGCGGAGCAATTGATCAAAGACACCGTGTTGGCCGGTCACAAACTTGACGTGCAAATGTTCAACCAACTGATCAAAGTGTATTTCAAGGCACGCAAAGGAGCGAAAGCACTTCAAGCCTTCGGTGAAATTCAACGGCATCCCGACTTGCAAGTGAACGATGTGATTGTCAACACCATGATCAACGGACTGGTGATCAATCACGAAATGAAGGCGGCCAACATCTTGTATCAACAAATGCTTCAGTCGAACATGCGGCCGGATATCGTTACCTTTAACACCTTGTTCAAAGGATTTATCAACAGCCACGATTACGTTTCAGCAGGCAAAGTGATTGCGGATATGGCTCGATATCAATGCGAACCCGATGTCGTCACGTTAACAACCATGGTGGATGTGGTGTGCAAGACCCAGGAACCCCCCAATACCGAATCCCTCATCAAATTATTGCAGAGTACGGGCATGTCGCCCAATGCATACACATTCAACGGTATCATCAACCACTGGGTGCGACAACAGCGGATGGATGAAGCCGAGCACGCACTGAGCCTCATGAAATCAGCGCCATACCAACTGCAGCCGACCATTCACACCTACACCAATCTTATTCAGGGATATGTGAATACGATGAATCTATCGAAAGCGATGGAGACGTTTCAATCGTTGTTACGAAGCGGAACGAAGCCGGATCGGGCGACATTTAATTTTATGATTACGGCGTTTGTGGATCATGATCGATTAGAAGATGCGGTGACGTGCTTACTTCGTATGTGTCAGATGAAGTTGAATCCTACCAAAGACACATGGCGGATCCTTCTAGAAGAGTGCTCACGTCGGGAAAACTGGGAAATGGGTAAAACGGTGGTGCAAGCCTTGGAAACCAATGGATTTGAAATCCACAGCAAAGGATCGTTGGAACGCGCTTATATGACCGTTAAAAATCGCTGTAAATAGGAAAACCGTCATTGCTATTAAAAAAGCTCATAGAAGAACATGTTAGTTGATAGATTTCTCTCCAAAAGAGCTATTATTGATAATTTATTAAACCATCATCACATCATCACATCATCCATCCCTATCTCTATTTCAGTTTAGTCCTGGTCACTGAAATGGTGTTTCAACCACGATGATATAACCCACAAGCGACCGGCCATAAAAGAAAAAGTTTAAAAGGAACTACAAAAAGGGTCCAATGTGGGAGTATCATGGTAATGTTGTCAGCGAATGGTAATGCAATACAGTGATACTTTTTTCATAAAGTGAGTGGGTATAATGGATTGTATACAATTCATTCGGGTGCCCAAAAGGGAAAATAATCCTCATTTTTCATATGACCAGCTGGTGCAGGTGACTAGCCGTGATTTTAACTTTATTGGTTTTTTGTAAGTGAGCGTGAAATGAGTCGAGTACCTCTTACAGCCTCTGTTACGTGGTTTTTTGCTTTGTTCTGTTTTCTTTCATAGGGTTGCTTTGCGCAATTCGAATCCATTGTGTCTTTTTTTTTTTTCTGTAGATCAGCGAAAAGCAGGAGTGAGCACGCAGCGGGCCCTCGTGGAAAGCATAATGTAGCACGAAAAAAATAGGCTACGTGAATGAGAAGGAAAATACGATGTGATGAATGGTCCGAGCCATTGGATGGATATTCGATAGATTGATCTGTCGCTGGCAACAGGCGCCAAGGTCGTTTAGCGTTGTCCGGCAATGCGAACGTTGATAATGCAACCAATCATACCAAAGATTCAGACAGCGACTTGGCAACCCGTCAAAGTGCGCTTTAAAATGCCGAAACCTGGATCAACCGGCCAAAGAGGTTATCTTCCGCCCGTTGTGTACCCTACTGTCCGTTCTCGGTGGCGCTTAAATGTAGTAATTAAAAAAAGTGGCGTAAATTACAATGAAGCATAGATTGAGATATAAATGCGGAAAAGAACGAGTAAAAGGGACAAAGAGAGAAAAAAACGAAAACATGGTGAAGAGTAGGCACCGCAACAAAGAGGGGCAAGCACCCCCTTAATAGAAGATGGGATTGGATGGCTGTTATGATAATGATAGTGACAATGAAAAAAAAAAAAAAAAAAACGCTGCATCTACAACTATCACGCAACATGCAAATGATCCATTGGAATAGAAACGATAGTGGACAACCTTACGTAGTTGGTACCCACGTCAATCGGTTATGCAGTGACTCGCTTCGATGATAAAAAAGAACATGCACAGAAATAAGAAAGGCCGCCATGGAGCGATAAACAAGCCAAGTAAAGAGAAAAAACGGCATTGGTGTGGTGGTTTTTCTTTTATATTTTTACCTTTCCATTTGCAGAAGAAAAAAACGACCTTTCCGCTTATCTCTATTTGTCTTTTTTTTTTATTTCTCTTCTTCTCTTTGTACTTTGTTCTTTTCTTTCTTTTTCAACTTGCCCCTTTTGATTCCTTCTTCTGCACAGCGAATCTATCGGCTCTCGTGTTTATCGCTTTTTTTTTCCTATTACTTTTTTCTTTTTTGTCCACCTGAACCGTCTGCCAGACTTTTTCTGCTTTCTTGCTACTTCTTATTTTATTTTATTTTTTTTAAAAGAAAAACTTTGTGGATTCACTCTCGCTCTGCCAAGAAACAAAGACGGCCCATTCCCATGACACATGAGCATTCATTGAGTCCGCTCCTGGAGTTACCTAGCGAGTTGCTTCTCTACATTCTCAAGAACTTCTTGGGCCTGAGCGATCTGTGGACTCTACTGCAAGTATCCAGAGCGCTTCGTTATTTCGCCATGGACAGCATTCACAAACGATGGAAAATCGAAATCTCATCTTCGCCTGGCAGTACGATGAAGGTCCAATGTCGGGCAGCGCTCATTGCACTGGAATCATTATCAGGGCAGTTATCGCTTCAAACCAGAGTGTATTCACCGTACATGTTCAACAATTACTTTTCTTCCACGGTCACTGCCGATCGACGACCGACCTCTGTGCGAATGACCAGCACAGCGACAGTAGGAGGAGGAGGAAGCGGAGGCGGAGGAGGAGGCGGAGGCGGAACAGCAGGAGGAATCCTGTCCTCTGGTACCACCACTACCACCATGGCTACCACCATGGCTACCACCACGGCCACACCATCCGAACTTTTTCCATTATTAACATCAACTCCACCCTACGATTTGGAAGAACGGCTCTTTGATGAATCCACGCTTCATGCGGCAACAGGCAGTCACACGGGCGAAAACGACGAAAACGAGTTTTTACTGACGACGGTCACTTACGATAACAAGCTATTCAGTGATTTGATGCTACGCGAGGAAAGGTTACACCAACGCATTATTGAAGGCATTTCTTCCTATAAACATAAATATGTGCTCATTGAAGATATCGATACTCGAAACCGCATCCGGACCGCCGTGGATGTCATTTTCCATCACGCTGTATTCATTGCTGCCATGTCACGAACACCGGTTCGTCTGGCTTGCATCCACGCATGTTCCAATAATCGATCCTTGGCAGCCATGATGGTCCGTCTATTAACGCGCTTGGATTCGGCCTTTCCCTCTTACTGTCGCGAAATTACTTATACCTTGGCCGACAATATCAAAGCATTTTTGGAATATACCGGTTACAAGTTGCTGGCGATGAGTCACTACGATCACCAATCGTTATACGATCACGTCTTTGGTCCAGCGTGTCCACAACACGCTTTATGCAACAACTTGCAACCATCCACCACCGCCATGCACGGTCCATTCTCAAGTCATTCACGTCCGCACTCTTCCTCATCTCCCCCCTCTTCTAGTTGTCGCCAACCGTCGCTCTTACTGACATTGCATAGTATCTCGGCCTGTTTCGATTTGATGGGTGCGGCCTTCGTTGGCAAGATACTGACGGAAAGTCATGTGGAATGTGCGGTACAACGAACCTGTGAGTTGTTATCGGACGATCATCTGCGATCGGTGAAGCGGGCGTTGTTAGTGGATCTGTTGGAAGGATGGCTCACCATCAAACGAGGACTGGTGGCCGGGGAACTGTGTCGTCTGGTTCGACTGGAAATCGAGAAATGCGATCGACAAGCGTTCAACGTACGGAGCAGCCACAGTAGCAGTCGAACCAACAGCAGCAACAGCAGTGCTCTATGAATCCCTTCATCCAAATATATATAGACACATATATATATTTACATTATATATATCCCACTTTGATGTCCTTTTCTCTTCCACCTGGAACTACAGTCTATCTTCCTCTCTTTTTTTTCTCGTTCTTCTTCCCTCACTTCCACCTTTTTTAAGCATATTTCTCTCCAACCTCATTCTTTCTTTTTTATTTTCAAACAGCATTTTCGGATTGTACCGTTCAAGAATTGAATGGGTCCAGGGAAGAGAAAAACGATGCCGTAGTTCTTTTGCCGATTCTCATCCCCTTATTTGGTTTGTCGATATTGACAAATAATAAAAACGAAAAACAAAGATACCGTACTTATAACATGTTCATAATTTAAATCACTGCAGCGGTCATCAACAAGTTCAGGGATCTGAGGACCCGAGAGGCCAGTAGCTTCACATTGAACCAAAATTCGACGGTCCTAAAAACCCAACCTGCATATGTTTTATAGACTCCCTGAATCATTGCGTTGGAGTGCTACAAAAGAGGTCCCATATCTGGAAGTTGCTGAAGATTCCCGCCAAGGACAGACAGCTGATCGCTTTCAGATCTTCTTGTAACGGTGTTTCAAAGCATTTAAAGCTTGCATGACTCTCCAATAGTTCATCCTATTATGCTACTCTGAGACAACACTTACGATACTTGTTTGACGTTATTAAAAAAAAATCTTTTGTTATATAGGAATAATCAAAGGGTACACAAATACGAAAATAAGGAATAAGTCAATAGATTTTACATAAGATAAACTAGATAGGCTTAAGGGACAAAACTACTACTACTACTACTATGTATGAAAAAAAGGAGAGAAAGAAAAGAAACAATGAGAGGAGATGAACGCAACAGAGTCAAACAGGTTTCTTTTTTTTTCCATAGGGTGTTTCTTATGACCAAGACATATCACTCGAAGGGCCGGGTGCGGAAGGGGTGGATGGCATCGATAGAGTGGATTGAGGCGGCATGGGCATCATGGTGGACGTGTAAGACGGCTGTGGCTGGTCCATCACTGGATACATAACGGAGGTTGGATGTTGTTCTTCAGGTCCTCCTCCCGGCAGCGGTCGATCCATGGTAGACATTAGAGAATTTCGATAGAAGGAGGTGGGCATCGCACTGGTATCCCAGGAAGAGATCGGCATGGAGGTTTGCGAAGGCATGCGTGGCATCGATGGCGGTTGGAAGGACGAAGGGAACGGAATTGAACATGGGTAACGCGACTGGGACGGAATGGAAGGTACAGCAGCCGGCATATCGGTGGAGACAGCATAGTAGGAAGATCGTGAATCATCAGGAACGGATTCGGGTCGATGGTAGGTAATATTCATGGACGTTGACGACGAAGGCGAAGTAGGTGAAGCCAAAGAAAACAGCGACGAGGAAGCCGATGAGGTCATCATCATGGGTGTCACGGTCCAGGAAGAGGATGACGAGGAAGAGGAGGATGTCACCTCTGAAGGAGACGGCTGTACGAGGGGAGCGGGGATATGCAGTGTATACGCCGGCACATTGATGGTGTGAGTGATTTTCGATCCTTCATCGGCCATGAGAGCCATGGATTTCCGCTTTTTATTCAGCCTTTCCAATTGAGTTTCTTGTTTGGACGCAGCCACTGGCGAGCTTTGGAAAGTCATGTCGGTGTCTTGAGACGATGGTTTCCATAGAGGGTCCTGCATGTGGATTTGGTCGGAAGCGATATCGGTAAGTGAGTCAATGGATTCAGGCGACAGTTGTGATAAATGGCAGAATTTATCAAGCAAACACGATAAATCACGCTTAACGTAAGCCGACCATTCATCGTTGGCAGCGACCACGGAGCAAAGACGCGCGGAAAGGACCAGCAACTGTTGGGCACGCAAGACTACATTACGCTGTTTGATGCGTTTCCGTTCCTCGGTGAGTCGATTGTAAAACCGACGTTCGTTCCATGTAATGCCTGGAAACTGCTGCTTGACGATTTCGCGTATCTCGTGGGTTTGCATGTTCTGTCGCGCCAGTTGGATAATGAGATCATTGACGGCTGGAGGCCAACTGCCGAGGATCTCGGCCGGCGAACTCATTTCATGGTTGTGTTCGGAAGCATTGGCACTTAGTTTCCGAAAAGCCCAACGACCGTGCACTTCTGCCAACACCACCCGCCATCGACAGTCGCATCGTTTCGACGATCGTTTTCGTTGGGGAAGCGTTTTCGGTTTTCGCTGCGAATCAGGGATCCCTTCACGTGAACAATACACATAGATATTCTAAATGGTCCGCCAAAACCAAAGAAAACAAAAAAAAAAAAAAGGACAGAACCCAAAATCAGTCACCATGGATATTCCAAATGCACAACGAGTCATGAGATCATGCTGCAAGTCGGAGCCACAATAGCATTTTTTTTTGGCGGGTTGGATAGATCATTTACCCTATTAGCGCTTGTTTCTTGTTTGACAGTAAAACCAAACAAAGCACATGCATGTCGACAGAATTCGAGGGCAGCTGCACTACTAGGGAAATCTTGTTGCAGCAACTGTTCATATAAAGGTTCCATCTATATCCAACAAACAAAGCTGGTTATTGCGCTAGCATCATGAAGAGAAAAAGAAAAGACATAAAAGAAACGGGGGATGGGGGGAGGGAGGAAGAAAGCGCGCGCGTCCTCAACTTACAGCTGCACGACTGCCTGACAAATCAGACTTGGATTCGCTGGATTCGACAGAGTCTATCGGTAGATCATTCTTTTTCATTTGTCAATTCGGATGCCTGCCGAAGCTACTGTCTATATCTTGTTTTTATTTGTAGTGAATTTAACCGTTTTTTCAATCAGAGACCTATTTCCAAGTGGCGTAGTGCGTGCGTGGGGGGTTGGTTTTGTATGACGTTGCAAGCTCAGTCGCAAACAGACATAAGTATGTGTCGACTGTATGGCGTATCGTTCCCAAAGCAAGTCAAGAAACGGAAGCAAAGACAAATTGCGAGATTGGATATGCTTGTTGATCAAACAGAAAACCTTTTGAGCCAATGGTCTCCTTGGTAATGGTTGTTGTTATTGACAGTGAGCACGAGGAAGAATAAGTGAAACAAAAAAAGGCGGTTTCAAATAAACGGTTGCGAAGGAACAGAAAGAAATAAGAAGCGAGAATTGAGGAGGCGAAGACGCGTTTTTCCCGAACAGATAGGCGCCTTCATTTATAAAGGGGGGAGACACTTTTTTTTTCCTCTCAGCAAACGACTTGCAGCGGCTATATCCCTTTAAGGAGTAAACAATCACAAGGAGGGGCTAGCAAACAAAAGAAAAATAAAAATAAAAGAAACGAAGTGATTTAGAAGCAAAAAGTTGGATGGAAAAGAGGAAGTGTCATTGAAGAGGAACCAGGTCAAAAGAACCAAAAGAGACGATCGTTCACACCACCAGGTTCCTGTTGCCGACCATCAGCAATAAACCAATGAAAACGCGTCAAACCACAAGATGAAAGAAAACAAGGTTCAAAAATGCGTTCACAGGGTTTGGACTGTCACTGAAAGGAAAAAAAAAAGGCAAAAAGGCACTCCTTTTTGTTTTTCCCTGGCAAGTCAAGAAGCACAGCTGAAACAATGACCGACAGACGCTTACAGGTTGGGGGCGGAAAAACGAACAATGAGTGTACATCAAGTCCCATTCTACCCCACTTGACTCCTCCAATCGACCGATGATAATAACTTTTCTTTCTCCCTTTCGTCCTTGAACCCCTCCCTGCTTTTTTTTTCTTATTCTTTCCACACACCTCCTTTTCTCATACAACGAACCGAAAAAAGCCCGCGCGCGCACACGCGTAGATTTAACGCTCCTATATCAGTACAATGCATGGTCTTGTATGAATGGGTTATTCTTGCTTGGTAAATAAAATAAAAAGGGGGGGGGGGAATAATAAATGCTCTCCAAATAAAAAGCCAAGAAAAAGAAAAGACCTTGTCAATCAAACATGCTTGGTGGTTTTTCATTGGTAAAAAAAAAGGCGCATGGATACATTGAGTGGCTTATCAGATGAGGAGGAACGTATCTCCGCCAGGACTTTCTAATTTTCAACCGGAATAAGCGAGCGAACGAACCACCTTGTAGTACTACAGAGCCATTATGCCTCACCTCGAACTGTTGGCGACCTTGGAAGGTAAAGGTCTTCATTAGGTACACCGTGTCGCTTTTTCGGACCGCAGCAAAACAACTGTCATGGAAACCATGCTTCCCTATCTCTTATGTCTCCTTCGTTCGCGCTTCTTTATTACGTTATTCTTATCGCAACTTTTTTTTCCCTTTTAGGTCATGTCGATCGTGTATGGCAAGCTTCGTGGCATCCTTCGAAAACGATTCTAGCTACCTGCTCTGGCGATAAGACTGTACGATTATGGGCCCCAGCTTCCCATTCCGACTTTTCGCAGTGGCATTGCATTGATACTTTGGAAGGCGCCCATAAACGTACCATTCGCAGCGTCACCTGGTCACCCTCAGGTAACGAAATCGCCACTGCCAGTTTCGACGCCACCACTGGTATTTGGGAACACGACGCTCGAGAAAATGAGTGGGAATGTGTCGCTAGTTTGGAAGGTCATGAAAACGAAATCAAATCCGTCACATGGTCCTCTTCCGGATCCTTGTTAGCCACTTGCAGCAGAGACAAGAGCGTATGGATATGGGAAGGCAAGTATATTCGCAGTAGGGAGAGGAGATTTTAGGATGCATAATGTTCTTACCAATGAATAATTATTTTTAGTGGAAGCGGACAACGATTTTGAATGCCTGAGTGTACTTCAAGAACATAAACAGGACGTCAAGATGGTCGCTTGGCATCCTCATCAAGAAATTTTGGCGTCCGCAAGTTATGACGATACTATCAAGATTTGGAAAGAGGATGATGACGATTGGTATTGTGCGGACACATTGCAAGGACACACATCCACGGTGTGGTCTTTGGATTTTGATGGAAAAGGTGATCACATCGGTAAGTAGCTGGTCATCGATTCCCAAAATTTGGCCCAAGTGTAGCAGGAAAGTTGAAAGTTCGTCTCTTTTTCTTTTCGCGTCATAGTATCAGCTTCGGACGATCAAACCATCAGAATTTGGAAAGCTTACAAGCCAAACAATCCTGAAGGCATTGCCACGCCTCACGGAGACACAGTCTGGAAAACCATCTGCACGTTGTCCGGATATCACGATCGATGTATATACTCGGTATCCTGGTCCAAAGTACACGACCGCATTGCCAGTGCCAGTGGTGATAATACCCTCCACGTGTTTAGCAAGGTAAGGCGTCATGTCCATGCAGTGACGGAACAAACCTACTGACAAAATACAACCTTTAGGATCCCGAAAACACAGACCCCAACGCCCCTACTTGGCGATCCGTTGCCAGTGTAAAGGACGCTCACGGCGTACACGACATCAACAGCGTCAGTTGGTATCCTACAGAAAAGCATGGCGATTGGCTGGCGTCGGTTGGTGATGACGGTTTAGTGCGTATTTGGCGCTTTGTGCAGGATGATTGATAATAATGATATGTGTACATTTTTTCCCTCCCTTTTTCTTTGTTGCTTTCTTTTATTTCTTAATCCAAAACCTCCACTCTATTTACAACGAACTCAAGATACAGATATAGAATAAACCAAAAATGATTTCAACCTGATTTCTAACGTCTATTGGGAATTGAGTTCAGACCACAGTTCGTTGAGCCAGCCAGACACTTCGTTGATCTTGCTAATTAACTGGGTTCGCTCCTTTTCTGGGCCGTGAAATTTGTTCATGATGCGATGCATGAATTTATCCGGATGATATCGAAGCTGTTCTTTGCGCACATGTCTTTTATTATCCGAAGATGGTCGAGCAGGATCCACCAGAAAACGACGCAAACTGTCGCGAGAGAACGTTCGACCCACCATAGGCCAAGGAATGTCCTTTTTCGTCACAGAAGAAGCCGATTCCAAATGAGTCCATTTCTGGTCGTACTGTACCTTGCTTTCCTCGGTCTGACGTAACGTCTCCAGTTGCGCATACACGGCTTGCGCTCGCAATCGTTCCTCTTGTTCCTTTTCCAATCGTCTTCGTGCCTCTTCCTTCTCTCGGCGCCGTTTTTCTTTTGCCGCCTGTCTCTTCTCCTCGGCAGCAATCGCTTCAGCATTCTTTCTGCGAAACATGCCGTCGACAATATACTGTCGATATTCTTCATCGGTCATACCTCCGGCGGCCGGTGTGTCAACTCCACCATAGTCATTGTATTGACTGTAAAAAGGATCTTGTCCCTCATCGTCTACCATGGCACTGAACAGACGTTCGTTCCATGCAGCGGTTTCTGGATCTTTGTGTGAGTTCACGGGAGGGATCCATCCTTCTTCCTCTTCGTATAATGTCGGTGGTCGATAGTCCGTTCGAGACGAGGAATGCGAATGCGAGTGAGAATGTTTGCTTCGTTTATGTTTCTTGTGTTTCTTTTGCTTTTTATCCTTGTCTGCATCCTTGTAACGTAATTTTTTAGGCATAAATTATGAACAAGCACGACAAGTCCAGCATTGGGGCTCGTGACTTGTGTTCTGGAAAAAGACAGCCGAATTTCTCTCACGGAGGGAATTATTTCATCCAAAAGATCGGGACGATTGATAATCAGTACACCGACTCACTAAAGCCATACTGAACTGAAACGCTTATCACTCTTTCTTTTTCGTTATGCGCTTGTCTTCACTAAGCGAAGAATTAGACGCCATTACTCGAGAATACGACTATGGAATTGTTCCCGGATCCGCTACCGTCTTTGTAAAAGATGAAATCAACGGCGTTGGCCGCTTGGACTTGACATTGCTCGAAGGGGTCATGATTGTCATTGATGTTACCGACCAAGGCTATCGTGTAAGTTGAAACGGCCCATTTCGATTTTTTCTTGCCAAAGGAACAGCCGCCTTGCTTTGGCCCCTTTGAGTTAAAAAGTTCTTATGGAATTTTCTGTTTTTTGGCTACTGTAGGTCACTTCTTATTCCCCTCTTTCCAGTCTCGACACCGCTTTGACCACGGCGCAGACAGTGCAGGCTCACCTCGAAGCGCCTTTTGAAAGCATGGAAAACCTCCTGATGACAATCTCTCCCATGTTTCGCGAAAGGTTTCATAAAGCACTGTTCGAAAAACTACAAAGCGTCCATCAACAGCAAGAGGAACAGCAACACCTTACGGAACCGCAGCTGCAGCAATTTAATAACGATTTATCAACGGATGACAGTATATTGAATCTGTCACACGAGCACAATACCTTGGATGATATCAATAAATGGCTTCAATGAAGAAGAAAAAAGAAAGTGAGGGAGCGGAGAAGGGGGATAAAGGAACAATGTATTTTCTTTAGCAAATGAAATCAGTTGGGTTTCTTTTATTTTGCTACAATCTGCGTTTTTTTTGGTTTTGGCGTGGGGATATCTATTCTTTTTTGAAGCATTGGGAAAGGGAAGGGGAAGCTGCCAAACTAATTATTGAATGACGAGAATCACAGTGGGAAAATAATGACATGATAAAACATAAAGTAGGAAGGAAAGGCGAAAGAAAGGGAATGGCAATGGGAATCATGCGGGGGAATAATATTTTAAAGGAAGCTCCAGATTGTGCCACTGATAGCCATGGAAGAAGCAATGGCAATGAGCAAGTAACTCAAAGCGAGTTCCCAACGTGGTAAAGTCGGCCCGAATAAGCGTAAATGGCAAACAATAGGAAAAATACCCGAGATGATGAACGAAAAGAAAGCGCCAAGGAGTGACATGACTTTGTCAAACTGTGGAACCATATAGGCGAACACCACAATCACTCCACTGGTGAACACTTTACCCAAAGTGATCAATGTCCATGATCGCCACGAAGCTTCCGCACACCAACGCTCCACGCACGGTCGCTTGAATAAGGCAGTTTGCCAACTCATGTTCACCGGATTCATAGATAATCCGTATTTGGCAACCGGATTTAGCGCGATAATCCAAATGGCAAGTCGGTTCAATGCTTGATTATATTCAGGCACAGAATTAAGATTTTGTGTAATCTATAAGCACAAAAAAGAAAAAGGTTAGGTTAGTTACGGTTGGCCCATTCACCAATCATGACCGTAATCAGGGACAATGAGGTGATTTCTATTTGTAATTATACCTCTTGCATGGTTTCCAAACCAAACATCAGGTAACCGCAGACAGCAACAGCCACGTAAATAATGGCGGTAATAAGGTACGTATAGTTCACCATGGTCTTGTACTGTTCACGTTTCTCCATGTCCGTGTAAATGGTAGGAAACACAGCATGGCCCGCAAAGCCAGCCATAATAAGGCCAAAACTCATTGGAACGGACCCTAAATTCGAAGGAACTAACTCCGTCACCTGCAAACATTTGCATGGTTAGAGATTCCTCTTTCATTTGCCTTGATCAAAAAACTACTTACCGCTGGTTCCCACAAACTACCTGGCGCTTCATTCTTGGAGAAGCCATCGACAACAACAACCACGACTACCGTAACAGCACTGAAAATACCCAAGAGACTTGTATAGGATAAGTGGCGAATGGGAAGGAATACCATAGGTGTCAAGATAATGAAACACGCGATAGAGATAGCCAAGGGTGACAGATTAGGCAAGAAGGCCAGAATACCATCGCTGAGAAGCACCACCAAAGCCACACTAATCAAAAATACCCCCCAAAAAAAGGTCCATCAATTTCATCCTGGAATGCTCAAAACAATCGGCCGATCGAAAAAAAAAAGTCATACCTGCAAGTGATCAATTCCAGTAAAAACAAACTGGACACCCAAACTCGGCCGCGGAAACCGAATGCGATGGCGCTCATGTCACCATAGGTTCTAGCCTGCGGGTCTGTGTCCATGCATCGAGCAATGAGTTTGGCGGTATAATTGGTCAAACCAAAGGAAAACAGGAAGATGAAGCTGCCAATAAGCCATCCTGCACACTGGTAATGCATATATGAATTGATTTTGGTTCGTGGATAGATAGACAGATAAGGGATGCTCTCTTTTTCTTTCTTTCTCCCCAGTCTACATTGTAATATATACTTTACCTTGAAACCTAATGGCAGTGATAAGATGCCGACGCCCACCAAGATGTTGATGGAATTGAAAATCGATTGGAAAAACGAGGATTTTCCTACAGCCGACGCTCGATCGGCCATGGTGGCAATCGTAGATGCCGTTACCACCTTATCAAGAGAATGAAACAGTAAGGAGGAACGCTCATGCAGAGTGCCATCTTCCGAGGTGTTTCGATGATATTCCTTTGATTCCGATTCAATCATGTATTTCGAAATCTCGCAGCGACTATGACGTTGAATAAACTTAATGGGTTAAAAATTTCTAGCATAATCGTTGAAATTTTCTTTTTATGAAAAATGTACCTTGCAGCTGTGCGAATGGATAACGCATCGCCTGTTTCTTCATCCACTGACTGCAATCATGATGATCAGTCAAAAAATAAAAAAAAGAAGGATCCAAGATTCGTTTCCAATTTACCAGACTGTCCGTTGGATTTATTGCGACATTTTCCGCCATATACATTAAAGAAGTTCGGGAATAGGAACCAACAAAGGATTCCAGTCGTTCAGAGAAAGAACTGCAAATTTCTTCTCCTCCTGCTCGAATACCACTGTCACCAATGGTGCCGTAATCATGCTCACGACTGTGGAGAGACGATCGTTGATCGGGATGCAGGTTGGGAATGCGCAAAGCATCTGTATCCTTGACCGGAATATCCATGACGAATTAGGGGATGTAGAAAAAAAAAAAGAAGGAATACAAGGAAGAAAAGAAATTACAGAATAAGGGCAACTTATACCATGAATGCAAAACCTTAAAACACACAAAAAAAAAGTGACAAAAAAAAAATTAGACGCAGCATCATTGTCGCCTTATCTAAAAAGGCAAAAATGTAAACGTAACACAATCATCGAAACGCAATCTCAATCAAAGCGCGCGCGGATGGGCTACAAATATTGGACTTGACTTTGCTCGTCCGCAATTGTCCTTAAACTCTGGATCACCTTATTTCGCAATAACTCTAACCAATGATAGTCAATGGTCATTTGTCCATTCCCTTTCACGGGTCAAAAATGCCCACGGTGTCCAGATCAAGGTTGGAACCCTCTTATTTTTCAATCATTTACCTGTTTCCTTGACTGCCTCTTGGTATTCTTGATTTGCGCGATTGTTTTCTTGTTCCAAATCCATCAACATCTTTATCTATCAATTTTTCCCTTTATCCAATTAATGCGCCGCACGAAATATCCAATAAAAAATCCCATCTTGATCAAAAAAGCTTAAATCCAAGCTCAACCTAAAAGAACGATGTATAAACCGTACCTGTTCTTCTTCCGTGTGTTTGATACCCGGTAAAATCTCGATCAAGGCATCAATCTCCTTGGCCTTTTTCACAAGATCCGTGGCAAGTTCCTGCATATTTTCTGAAAGAATGTTGAATAAAAAAAAAATCATCAGGAAATGAGCGTGCGAAATCCGACTGAATTCTTGTTGGGTTGTACGTTGCAATTACTCACGTTGGAAAACTTCGGGATTGTCCGCTTGTACTAGGAACAGAAGACGTAAAGGCCCGTGAGAAAACACACACAGAAAAAAAAAAAAACCAAAAGGGCAAAAACCAGGCCATGATGGCCGGGCTATTCTTCTCCGCTTTCCAGGGTGTATAACTGGTTACCTTTAGGTTGCGCAACCGGGATATCGTCGTTGAGTGCAACCATGGCTGACTTTTCGTGAACGTAATATATACTATTGGTGAATATGCGTGCCATCTGCATGAGGTAACATTCACAAGTTGGGCGGGGTGGAAAAAGGTCTGTCGTGAGTCATCTTTTTCTTCAATTCGCGTTTAAAAAAAGGTGAAATTTCAACGTACTGCGTCAATGGAATCTTGCAATTGTGTTAATCGATCCATTAAATATGTATATATATATATATATATATATATGCGTGCGTGCGTGAATGAATGAATATGGGATGTAGCGGTTTAAAAGAACAAGTGAAAGGAAAGGCCACCCAACTGGGATGGCCAAGGGGAGCTGAGCTTGGATGGCGTGACTTTCATTTTAGTGGCTTTCCCCAAATTGCAGGCGCTTTTTGTTCTCTCATCATGTTGCTTTTCCTCTTTTTGTACCTCTTTGTCATTAAACTGTATTATTCATCTCTGTCGTAATAGCAACATGAATGGTATATGATTTAAGTCAGCTCTCTTTCTGTGAGATTATTTTGTCTCGTCGTGAGCTGATACTCAGATACCGACGCACAGGCTGTTGAAAGACCTTTTGTATTCCGAGAAATAAAACATGGTTCTTCGCGAATAGTTCACAGAAACAGTGACCTGTTGTCCCCAGTAAGTGAACCAATGGCTGGCTCAATTTGTATTATTAAGGTGCATCCAGGTCGAAGGTGTGCGGTGAGGGTACATGTTGGTGTTTTCCACTAGTGAGCTCTTTCCCGGTCGTACGAAATGGTAACTAAAATGGCATTATCTGGTACAATGGATGATTTTCATCGAATAAATTCACAATTCTAGAACTCCATGAATGAGACGCTTCAAAAGTCAATGTTTCGAGATCTAATAGATCTCGCCCTTTGATGCATCTTTGTTCTTTTTTTATCATGTTTTTTGATTAGGTTAGTGTGGGCAGACTATGCTCTGAATGTCACCTCTACTTGTCAATCCTCGCTTTATGATATCATTGCAACTACAGTAGCCGAGCAACCGTACTTGAGAGAAATATTTGCTCATGTTTTACATCAAGGGACTTCTTCCCAAAAAGCTCAACGAATGAGTATGACTGGCCCATCGCTACTGATCAGATAACAATTCAAGCGTTTGGAGAACTCCATATGCTTTGCCACGAAATTATCTGAAAATATGAAAGCGTGATAAGGATGCCACAACTCTTTATGGTTGGGCTGTCCGTAATAAGAACGTTTTGTTTACTGCATTCATTGTTCTATCTTTAGGTGCTTTTTCTCCAATTAGGTATGGATCGCTATTTTCACACACAAAAACACACCTTTGGATGGAAAAATAAGTAAATATGTATACCTATTTACACAACGATAAACCAATTGGCCTAATAGGCGGCATGGAAAAAGAGCATATATAAATCTTCTAGGAAAAACGTTGGAGATGAGGTGATCCAAAGCCAGCAAGGGCAAACAGGTCTCAGCGCAAAATTCGACAAATCATGTAAAAGTAGTCACTCTTTGAAAAAACCGTTTGGTGTTTATCCGCCGTCTTGCACCTTTCAAGCAACTTTTTTTGTGCTCCGTTTGTCCGTCCTTTCTACTTGGGCCGCCTCTTTCTATAATGTATGTATACTTTACTGCTTCTCATAGGAATTTGCTGTGCTCCCTACACCAACCAAGTCATCCTCCATCGAGCCAGATGACATTTCAGCCCACTATGCTATCATGTTTTTTGCCGACTTCTTTTTCCATTTTCGTTTTCTTTTTCCACATCACGTTCTCTCCTTCTTCACCACCCCCATGCGAATGTTTCCTTCCAATCCATACAACCCGGAAACTCATGTCCTCTTTTTGTTCGACAAACTATCGTGTCGTTTTTCCTTTTATTGTTCTTCACCCTGCATTTGAATCCACTGCGTCACTGCATTTCCAAATTCCTTTTTTTTTCCAAATGGCGCATGCTTCCTTTGTCTCCTTTCCGTCTTTTGCGTCCTAGTTGCCATTGGGTAGTCATTCACCTCTGAAGGGAGCAAGCCAGATGCATTGAGGATCTTTTTCTTTTTTTTTTTTTTTTTTTTTTTCTTTCACGCAAAAAGGGAATGGAACCGTGCACTAATCCTGCGATTGTTAATGGTTTTTTTTCCAGATATGACAGACTCTGTTAATGTCGACGTCGACTCCATTATTGAGCGTTTGCTCGAAGGTGAGTACATGCACACGGTGGTAGTGAGGTTTTGTGAACTTGTCGGCTCATGAAGGGAATTCACAGTGAGAGGTAGTCGTCCTGGGAAACAAGTTCAGCTTGGCGAGCATGAAATCCGATATCTTTGTACAACCGCCCGCGAAATTTTCATGAATCAGCCCATTCTGTTGGATTTGGAAGCACCCATCAAGATTTGTGGTATGTATTTTGCTTCGGCCAAGAGAAAGAACAAAGAAACAATGCACATGTCACGATGGGTACCATTCATCATTATTCACCGGCTTACGTCTCCTTTTTTTGATATATCCTCTCTGATATAGGTGACATCCATGGCCAATACTATGATTTGCTGAGATTGTTCGAATATGGCGGTTTCCCTCCCGAAGCCAATTATCTTTTCATGGGAGATTATGTCGATAGAGGAAAGCAATCTTTGGAAACAATTTGTTTACTACTCGCATACAAAATCAAATACCCGGAAAACTTTTTTATCCTTCGCGGTAACCATGAATGTGCGAGCATTAACCGTATCTACGGTTTTTACGATGAATGTAAGTAAACGTTGGGTTTGTTTTATGAGAATGTAAGAGTAAGAGAAGGGAGTGTCAATTAAACAATCACCATAGGTAAACGACGATATAATATCAAGCTGTGGAAGACCTTTACAGACTGTTTCAACTGTCTGCCCATTGCCGCCTTGATTGACGAAAAGATTTTCTGTATGCACGGTGGTCTTTCTCCCGATTTACAAAGCATGGAACAAATTCGCCGAGTGATGCGACCCACCGATGTTCCAGACACTGGTAATTTTGTTGATGTGACTCGTGTTCAGAGTATGGATGGATTTTACTGACGAACGGTATGGCGATAGGATTGTTGTGCGATCTGTTATGGTCAGATCCAGACAAGGATATTAATGGATGGAGCGAGAATGACCGTGGTGTGTCGTTCACTTTTGGTGCCGATATTGTTACACGGTTTTTGCAAAAGCACGACATGGATCTTATTTGCCGTGCTCATCAAGTGGTCGAAGATGGCTATGAATTCTTTGCTAAACGTCAATTGGTGACTCTGTTTTCAGCACCTAATTACTGTGGTGAATTTGATAATGCAGGTGCCATGATGAGTGTCGACGAGACTCTTATGTGCTCGTTCCAGGTATGGTGTTTTGCTTTATTTTTTTTATGGATTGCCAACCTTATGCGATAATAACGTGGAACACCGCACATGCACATCCATTGTGTCCATTGTCTTATATTCACTGTTTGTTTCCATTCTATTTAGATTCTGAAACCGGCAGAGAAGAAATCGAAATACGGGTATGCTGAGAATGGATCAAGAAAGATGAAAAATCGAACAGCAAAATCTATGTGAACCAAACCACCATAACAAAACTATTATGTCTGTGTCACAAAATTGGTGAATTTGGTCACAACTGGTCACAAATGCCGGGACAGCATAATGAATGACATTATAAATAACTCATTCCTCTTGCGAATCGTCTTTCGTTCTTTCAATGGAAATATCTACAACAGAAATGTTTTCTTATAATTTATCAATACACATAACGATCCATCATTGATTATAAGCAGGCATAGATCATAGAACTAATGATCCATATCTTTTTTTTATCCTCCCCTTTCTTTAGTTGTCACTAAATGTCGTCTCAAGATATTTTAATATCTTTCTGATTACGATCAATTTATTCTTGCTTCTTCAACGAACATTACATCGTCAATCGCATCGAATGACATGGCTCCAGCTAGCTTTCAGAGATTATCCGCAATAGCTTACGGCTGACACAGTTTGCATGGATTCAAGTTCGCATAATGCAGCCGCTGTTTTGCTGTTTAATGTAGGGAAGTTCTCGCCTCATTCTCTACGTTTGAGAAGAAAAGCAATTGCTGATTTCTCTTGCGCAAATATGAGTTCAGAAGAAGATTCAAGTAATGGAACAGATCTAGCTTACCAATCGTTGCGTAAACTCTTTATTTATTGATGCCAAAATTTGCGAGTAATGCCCATTAGTGACCTCGTACTACATATGATCGATGAGATCGATCACGAGAAAAAAAAGTGGAAAAAATGAGGATACATTTATGAGAAAAAGACTATTATGCTCATTGATACTGTACATACAGTAAGCTGGATCAAATGAGCTTGAAATGCGGTATGCTGTATCGTCGCTGTGGAGTTGACATGACGCAATCTAGTATGAAGATGGAAACGCACGTGCCATGGCCAACGCTTCTCCCCTTTGGTGAATAGGTTGGAGGCTTACTTTATTAGCACATGGATGAATTGTAATGGCATCTCATTTTCCATGTGTGCAAAGATCGACCGTTGGAACTGGAATAGAATGCTTTTGATTATGTCATGACAGTGGATAAGATGCCAACGAACCTCATTATCAATGGATCAATGCAAAGCCCGTCCATATTACTGGACTTCAAACGAGATACTCCATTTCTTTTCTTCCCCCCTTTTTCTCCGTTTCCCAGCATCAATGAAGGATGGTTTCCAAGACGATCCTTGTGGTTGCGCACGTGGGGAGTTCTAAGATGATGGACACAAATAAGTAGGGAGGTAATGAACTCGAATTATCATTACAATAAAATCTGTGTCATGTACTATTTGAAGGGATGAGTCATGGCGACCTTGAAAGTGGTGGATTTCTTTTTCTCTTATTTTTTTACAACTGAGAATCTGCAGGGTAAATTTTTTTTTCTTTTTTATTCATCTTTGTGATCGTCATGACACTACTTTATGGTTTGCTCATAATTCAATGCATCATGTATGTAATCTTGGAGAGGAAATATTAATTTTTTTAGCATGCGAATGAGGTCCAAAAAGAACCAAAGAAAAAAAAAAAAAAAAAAGGAATCCTTCACATAAGAGAATTTGATTGCACATTCATCCTTACACAAATGAGAGACGGAGTTTGGGTATACAAAAGAGGAAGGGAAAAGAGAAGAAAAAGAAAAAAAGAATAATAAACAAAGAGAAACAAACAAACAAAGAAAAAGCGGAAATCCGGCGGCGTCAAATAAAGAAGGAGGAAAATCAGAATATGACTAATCTGCTATCATGGAGGTACGATGAGGGGACTTGGTGCTACGATACTGGATAGCGTTCATCAGTTTTTCCAGTACAGCTTCATTCATGAGCGTGCCTTCATTGGCGGTGCGACGCAAATGCCCCACGAGTTGTCGTAACTGTGAACTCAAGGCGGCCACTTCGTCCGTCCGTTTCTTCAATGCTTGATTTTGCGTTTCATACATGTCTTCCATTTTCTTGTGAGCTTCCACGGACATCGCTTCTTTCCGTTTCAATTGCTGGATCTCGCGTTCAAGGTGGCTGACCGACTCACGCGCCTTGTCGGATTCCACACGCAGCGCTTTCTGCAGCTGCTTCTTGTCGGATTTCAGTGATTCAATGTCGGAACGTAAGCGGCGAATCAGCCCTTCGGCCTTGTTCTTGGCCGTTTCCACGGTCTGGGTCGCTTGGGTATATTTGCGTCGAAGATCATGATTCTCGGTCGTTAGGCGTTTCATCTTGGCTTCATATGAATGTCGGACTTCTTGCGCTTGACGCGCTTCCCGAAGTTGCAGCACTGTTTGCGGTGCTTGCGTCCTGAATCCGGCCTTGCGATACGCTAAATCTCGCTGTTTCTGCATTTCTAATAAATGATCTTGCAGAGCGTCTAATTTTTCTTCATAGCTTTCCCGCATTTGCGTATACTCCACTTCGGACTTCTCCAACTGACCCACCAACTCCTTCTTCACAAGAAGATCCGCTTGCACTTGATGCAACATCTTCAAAAGGTCTTTGCTTCGTCGACGTCCCTCTCGTGATCGATTCGTCGTCCACGTCGTCGATAAGCGTGAGGTCGCCATCGAATTATCGGAATCATCCATGAGTGAATCGGTCCATGATAATGACTCGCGTTTCGTCGACCCATTTGTCGATTCCGTGTTGGGCGCCTCGGTCCACGTAGGAACCGCCTATTCATTTGAGGGTGAGGCTCTACTCACATTTCTCATCAAGATATCCATGGCTTACCAGGACTTCCAGATCATCTTCAGAGCCAAACATTGGTGAGCATTCTGGATCGTTGGGAGTAGAAGTAGTAGGCATGGTAGTGTTTGTGTTCGCAGTAGTGGTAGTGACAGTGTTAGTAGTAGCGGTAGAAGCGGAAAGGGAGGTGGGGTCAATGGATCGACGATTGTTCAGTTGAGGAGAAGGTGGCTGCTTCCCGTTCTTCAAATGAGATTCATGCTGTTGATGCTTCTTTTTGGGCTGCGGCTTTCGCTGCTGCTGCTGCTGCTGATGTTGATCAACAATGCCACCTGATTCGACTGATATTGTTTCATGTTTGGACTGTGATCAAATAAACAACCATGTCGTTTACATGTGCGCTAAGTAAAATTTAGAATGAACAACGGATACATTCTCCCTGCCGTTGTACCTTGTTCTTATTTATCCATGCGGATACCGTGCTGGTGGACTATTAAAAAAAAAATTAGGGTCATAAATCCCGTATTTGCATGCTACACACGGAGGTCGTTGCTGAAACATTTTTTTTTCCTTCTCGACTTTTTTTTTTCACATCTGCACACAGCAGACGTATCGGCACCACAGGCAATATGTAAAACTTACATTGTTATCATCATCGTCATCGGATGAATCGTCAAATGCATGATCAGTTTGTAACATGGCGATTAAATCCTCCAAGCGTTTCTGTGACGCTGCCACATCGTCTCTACGCGATGAACTGTGAGTGCCACGTTTCCGTGTAGCCGAAGTGGACGGAGTCCTTGCACGATGCACGACTCGAAGATGTTTTCGTTTCGCTCGACGATTCGCAGAAATTGAGCCTTTCTCCAGCAGTGCCAACAGGTCACTGTCGTGATGCGACGAACCATGTTGACCTGGTAACGCCATGGAGATGGTGGCGTGATGTTTCAATGCACTGTGGCGTGGCGCGTCGATGAACGAGGGGTCAAAATACGCTAAACGTTGATTCGCTTCCACAACTTGTTGCCGGAGGTCACGTATGGTGTCCGCGTAACGCTGCTCCATCTCCTGTTGATACTGCATGTCCATTTGAAGCATCAACGTATCCCTTCCGGCTTTTGTCTTGTCCAGTTCGCTGGCCGTTTCAACCGCAGAGCGGTGCATATTCTTCCTCTCGTTTTGTAGTGATGTAAATGCGTCGTTTTCAGGAACAGATCGTTGGTGCTGCAACACGTCCACTTGACGTCGAAGCTGGAGCACCTGATCACGTAATCGTTTCAGTTCCATTGTGGTCGCTTCGTTCTCGATGGATATCATCGGTAGCTGTTCAGGATAAGTGGATGCTTTTGCACCGTAATTTAAGACATTGACTGTTTGCTGGGTATCAGCAACAGAGGAACTAACGCATGCTATTAACAATGTCTGCTGATTCTTTTCTCGAACGAATTGAGATATCCCATTGGAGGACGAGGGTGCCGGCATGGTTAATTCGTCGTTAAATGTGTGAATAGTGCGAAGCAGAGTGGACAGATCGTACTCGGTAATGGAAGCACTTGTCGCTTGTTCTTTTCCCCGTTGCCTCTATGATTATAACCCGTTAATATTGATGGAAAAATAAAATTGTTGCTTCTCTCCGTCTTTCATTGGATGTAATCGATTTATTTTTTTTTATTTTTTTTTACCTTGGCTGGAGTACCAAGATCGACGAAACGGCAAGTGGCTACGGTTGTGGTCATGGAGGAGTCCGCTGGTAAGGATGCGGGAATACTTCCCGTAGTCGGCATGAGTGTGGATCTCTTGATAATGAGGGAAAAGATGCTATGTGACAGATTCGCAGCAATGGTGTTATCGTTTGATCTATCTGTACGACGCTGTAATCCTTGCTGTAATAATCTACACATTGAAAAAAAATCGGAAAAACAAAAAAAAAAAAAACGGCAATTAAGTAACTGTCCTTTTTTAGATTTTGATTCGTTGCCGGGTCGATGGGTCAAGCCGGTTTGCTTTTTGGAAATGCCATCAATTCCATGACATTGTTGATTATTTACCCCAGCGTTTCTTGTGCACGATGAACACGATGTTCTTTGATTGAACACTCGTCCAATACTGGGTGGCGCGTATCGTTGGTGTTCAACAGATCCCTCACCGACTCGTCATGGCATTCAATAAACGATACGTAGATATGGAATTCACTCTTCTGTTGTGCATTGCGATCGAGATCGTCAAAGAGCGTTTGTACAAAGCGTGGGATAATGCCTGATAAAGAAGATAAAGAAATATACCTATATGTATCGCGGAACTCATGGTCTCTCTCTTTTTTTTTCTGTATGCATGGAGATGCCTCAAAACGCAGAATACTCGCTTACCTACCTTGATGTTCTTTACTCTCGTTCCATCGGCTGTGTGTACCAAGTGTGTACGATTTGCCCGATCCCGGATATCTGTATCCAATGATGATGCAAAGCCGGAAATGGAATCATATATTAGTTTAATAGGACAATTTGTGGAAAAATAAATATGAGTCCATGGATCCATGGCATCCATTTGCGCATACAAAGAAAGGAAAAAGAAAGATGGGGCAATAAAGTAATAAGAAGAATACATCAAAATTCCAAATTGAGAAAGAAGGAAATCAAGAAGATGGATAAAGATATTAGAATAGCTCCGAGACACTTACCCATAGGCGAGAATAGTGATTTGATATCTATGGCACCAAAGATTCAGTAAAAAGAAACCATTTAAATATATTTGCACAAGGGAACGAGTTTTTACCCTTGAAGGAATCTGGTCACTAAGGGTAAGACGCTGGTGTGATAGAGTTGTTCCTGAGAAGCATCAGGTCGGTAAACGAAATCAAAGGTGAATGACCGATCAGTGCCAGAGAAAAGAATGCGTGGTTCATCAGAGATGAAAGTGACAGTTTCATTCGGGTAGATGACCGATTCACTGGTAGAAAGCGGCCGAACTCGTAACGCCACCCTAGAGAAGGTAGGCAATGATTAGATGACCGACATGTCACCCGTGCCACGGTAATGAAACACCCACCGAACAGCGGTGGTGGTCATATAGAAACGATATAGTTGACCGTGTCAAGGCCAACGACAAGGGCGGAGATTGGAATCCTTGAAGAATAGTAGGTAGGTTCCCAGGTTGGGGGCAGCAAAGTCGACGGGGAGCCGCCCTTTTGGCACAAAAAAGAAAAATAACACACACACGCGCGCACACCACACACGCACACGCACGCAGAAACCTTGAAAGGCAAAGGAAGGGGGGGAGTTTCTAATTATTATTTTTTTGGGTGGGTGGAATAGGTAACCCGCTGCGGAGCTAAAAAGGTAAAATGCTGTGAGAGGCTCTGAAGTTGAAAAAGTAAGGGCATCGGTCGTTGGAACGCCGACGAGGCAAGGAAAAAAGAAGAGGGGCACCAAAAAAAAAAGATACACTATCCTTTTGAGATTGAAACAGAAACAACACAAAAAAGCAATGGCGCGTGAATGGTGTTACTTGAGAAAAAAAATAGCTATTACGGATTGCGGGTTCCAGGCCCTTGACAGAATGGTTACGCTTAGTTTGCTCTTTTTTTCTTGCATTCCCTTTTTGCGAAAAAAGGATCGGGGCCTTCCAGTTTTTGGCCCTAATGTCCTTTTTGTCATCATGCCGACGCACATGCCTCTGAGATTATATCTATTACATTTTATCATTTATAAATACTCGATTTTTCCATCCTTCCTTCCCATTTTTCCTCCCATCTCTTCCTCGTATTCCACACTTTTCTTCGCTTCCGCTGTTTTCACCTTTCTGTTTCTCTCTCGCTTTGTGAATAAAATCCATCATTCTATCAACTCATCACTTCAATATCGTCACCATGCAACCACATTCCACATCTCGACATAATTCGTTCTCAGCCTTTGTCAAGCAACTGTTGTATCTCGTTTCACCGAATTCAACAATACATGAAGAACCTCAAGATAACACCGTCACCATCGAAAAACAGAACAGTCCCTTTGAACAATTGTACTTCTCATTCCCAGCCATCGAAGAGTTTGAACCCACCGAACAATCTAGTTGTGCTCGACTTCATCGAGAAACCAACTCCTTTGTCACCGAATCCAACCGCATTCTGTGTTAAGCCAGCAATAAGAAAATCGTTTCAGCACTTCTTTCTATCGCTCACCTCAACAAAAAGAAGAAGTCTAATCATCAAATGTCCTCAAGCACATACTCCATCATCTCCCGTCGTATTGCTCCCGCTTAACATCCTAATCGCCAATTTGCTTCTTTCATCGTACTGCTCTTGTCTTTTCATCATTCTCTTCAATTTTTGTGTATATCTCGTTCGGAACCGTTATTTTTGTGTCAAAAGGTCTTTTTTCTTGGTTTCTGTTTCCAAGCATATAGAAGAATGCCGACATTCAATTCTCTATCTCCTTGTTAAAATCCACGTCTCACTTTTTTTTTGTATATTGCGTAACTTGTTTCTTTTTTTTTCTCCTCTCTTCACTATTGTATTTTTGTCTATTCTTCTCAGTTTTTTGTATTAAAGTAATTGGTCCTTTTTTCTTCTTATTTGTGTGATCATGAACTGATCCTCCTCATCAAGCCCTGCATTGAAAAGTCTTATTGTTGAAGAACCAAAACACTCGTGCTTCATTGGTTCTCGTAATAAGACCGATTTTGATTATCAATGACAGCTAAAGCGATTATAGTTTATTTCACAACAGCCCATTAAAACAAAGAAAACGAAAAATGATTCACGAAAAGAAGAAAAGATCTCGGAGATAGAACTGATCGTTGTCTTCACTGTTGTCTTTTTTTTTTGTCCACAATGGCATGCACCTTGCTGATATGCTTCGGGTAAGAATCTACTTTTTCTTTTCTTACCAAACGAACTATGAAATGACGATGATGACAATGATGTCGTTCCACCGTCACCATGCAAGCCGGTCTTAAAAATTTTTCAGGCACCTGTTTCTTCTTTTGACTGTTGCTAAGGATATTCATGGACTAGCAAAGTGGATCGTGCATAGGGATCGCTGCTATATCTACGTCAATGGTCGATCTATCTACATTCATCACACGCATGGATCAACGCATGGGTGTGGAACGGTGATAAGACAAGACAAAAAAAATTCATCAGTAGTTTTTCCCACTGAACATTTTTAAATTGAGTCATTGACGGAACATCCGATTTCAATCTCCATGGATCACGGCTCAAGAAATAAGGATACCGTATATCTGCAGAAATTCGTAGAAAACGCTCAGCCCTCACCCAGCCCGTCCAATGCTTTTCGCACGCACGCGCACATGGAACTACGAAAAATCACTCGCTCTTTTTTCTTTTTTGGTTAAACCCAAGTCTAAAATATCATGCAAAAAAATATGTATTTTCGAGTGAGAACAAATTTCACTCATCCATCCTTTTGAATTACCTCATTTTTACGTTTTCTATAGGAACCAAAAAAAAAGACGTTACCCCACTTTATGGCCAGATTTTCAGAAAAAAAAAAAAAATAAGGACGCAGCCGTATTATTTCCTTGTTTAGAATAGATGAGAGGGAGGTCGCTTCATTCTTGCCGCCCAAACCGTAAAACGACGACGACGAGAATTTTTTTTTTCGGCTTCAACACCCAGAGGCCGTAAACATTCCTTTGCAGTTGGATGGGCCCAACCGCGAAATGGCTTCTTAGCTCTCCCGGTTTTCTCATCAGCTGATCTGATGGTGGCCGTTTTTGGAAATCCAACTAATCAAAAAAAAAAAAAAAAAAAAAAAAAAATTGGGTTTCCACTGAACAATAACAGACATGACAAGGATCATATGAGAACATCACAATCAAAACAGAATGGCCAACCAAACTAGAAAGGCAATTCTTTGTCAACTGGCTCATGCTCATCTTATCAGTGTCATCTCCCCTTGTATTATTTACTGTGCTATATTCCATCTCCAGCAGCTTGCACATGCAAGACAGTATGCGGGTGTACGTCTGGGCCACTTTTTTTCATCTTGCTGTTCAACAAAATGACACATGGACAATCGACCTTGACCCGAGCGGCGTTACAGAAACTTGGAAACAATAAAATAAAAAAAATCGCGATCTGAGCGGATTTATTTGGTAACACATGTCGGCTGACACTTTGTAAGACTGGTTGGGTCTGTGATAAACGCCTGAACCCATTGCATCAATATGAACATTCAAAAAGTCAGTAACCCTCCATATTTTATTTTCTTTCTTTTTGCTACGTAATATCCTTTTTCAACGTTTAAATTCGATTGCAGTCTCGACTACATGAGAAACCACTGGCAAATGAGAATTCCCGGAATGAAGCCATTTGTTTTGCCATGAATGCATTATTACTATTACCCATCCTTCATGCTACATTTTGTTCGAGAGCGCATGAGCCTTCAACAGTCTCTTTTTTTTTTGGAGGTTCATGTTTCCACCAAATATTTACACTTTTCGACTCGTTGTGTGACCCAATGCAGGTTGAAAATAAAAATAAAAAAAAGGGTTGAATATCCGATAACTTTATGGATGGATGCTTATCTTGTTGCGCGCAAACAATGAAAGAAGTCTAGACTGCGACCAAATGGGGACAGTGGGAATTGGGCATCCAGCTCCCAGGCCCTTGTATAAAAATATAGGTTACAGGTTTTTTTTTCCAACTTTCCATTTTTTGAGTGTGGCTTATTCTAGCTAGAGAGTTCCCTTTCGGCTCACCGGCATGAAAGGAGCTTTTTCTTTCACTAGACCACCACTTTTTAGCCCCCAATATGAATAAAACATTGCCAAACTTTGCCATGGTGATAAACCGAACGATCGACATACGAGTATCATTTATAACTACTCACCGGAGTCTTCCCTCACATCATATGCCTGGTTTCTTCAAAGCATAGGTCCCGAAATGACAAGGTTTTCATTAAAATCAATATCCGTTTTTTTTTTTCTTTTTTTTTTCCTTCTTTATGGAATTTCTTTTCCCCTTGACGGGCCATGGTGAGGCAGAGAATGGGTGGCGGAAGAATCGCGAGATGTGGAGCCTGGGTCCGATTCGCCAATGATAAAGCCCGCTTGTATCGGAGTGTAAATATACCACCAATGAGTCGTCATGGATTTTGACAGCAGCCCCACTTTTCCCACATGGAAAACTTTTTTGTGTCTCATCAGATCGAAAAAAGGAAATAACTGAAATTACGGTGATCACTCTTTTGACGGATTGCGCTTTTTTTTGTATTTCGTTTTCTTCCTTTCAGTCTCTCTATTCTGTTCTTTTAATCAGCGTCGTTCAGTGCGTATTCGATGGAAGGCAATCGTTTTCACGATCCAGGCACTCCGCCGCCTCTTCATTTGGATCAACCACTTCGGTTGCCCTTTGAGACCAATACCCGCGAGACGTCCTCCTCACCTACCGATACCACCCTCGCCAGCAGCGACACACCCGACAACGATGAAAAGAGTATTGCCGAAACCACCCTGTCTTCTGGTGATGCGAATCATACCGATCGTGCCTTGGAACTCGTCGAAACCATTACACGTGATGATCTTCGACGCAAGCCCAGTAAAGCCGGTGTCTTGTCCAACTTGTTAAAGCTGGATTTATTCGATCACCGTGCCCGGCATGGACGTCATCATCAACAAAGACCTCAGCCCATCGCACGACCTATACATCAACTTCGTTCCATCGCATCCAGTCGTGCAATGCTTCAAACTTTGGGTCAATCCACCCAATCCGCTCGCAGCAGCCTTTATTTTGACGAACTTTATAAAGCCGAAATGGGTATGATGGACGAAGCGACTCAGGTGGCCCAAAGAATGCAAATTACAGCAGAAATCGCCGACATCCTTGAACGACAAGATTTCATCGTGAAGTTGGGCAAATCCCTCGTTCGTACCGGCGCCCCATCACATCGTATTGTGAGTTGAAACGAGAATTATCGATTAAATGAATACCCTGACAATCTTACTGACTGTTATTTACTGAAAATACATTACAGGAAGCTGCGATGGAAAAAGTATCCAAACGACTTGAGATTGATGGTAGCTATGTTGTGCTGCCCGGATTGATCATGGTGACGTTTGGCGATGTGGAGACACATACATCTGAAACCCATTTAATTAAATGCTCTCGTGCCTTGGATATCGGCAAACTGGAACGAGTGAATGTGATTGCGCATCGTATTGGGAAAGGCCAAATTGAATTGTCAGAAGCGTCGGCGTTGCTGGATGACATAAAAAACGAACCTCCTACATGGAACTTTTGGTGGACATTGCTTGGCTATATTTTTTCGTCGGCGTTTGTGGCTCCTCTTTTCTTCAACGGATCATGGACCGATATGTGGGTCAGCGCCATTTTTGGATTAGCCGGTAAGGCCTCTCACTTTCCTCTTTCCTCTTGACTTTTTTTCCTTGTTTTTACTGACAAAAACGAATGGTTTTCATTAGTTGGCTTGTTGACATTCTTGTCGGAAAAAGTGCCTATGTTTGGCAATGTGTTTGAAATCGTAGTCAGTATTCTTGTATCCGTCGTCACCATTGCTCTACATCCGCATGTATGCTTTACAGCGGTTTCATTATCAGCTGTAAGTGATGACAAAAAAAACCAAGCAAGTTGAATGATGTGGTCATGGAGATGGTATCTAACAGAGTCCAATAGATTGTAATTGCTCTTCCTGGTTATGCAGTGACAAGTGCGGTAATGGAACTTTCGGCGAAGAATATCGGCAGTGGGGCGATTCATTTGGTGCATGCAATTATGTACGTTTTGTTTCTCGGCTTCGGTTTGGGATACGGTACTTCGGTGTGGCATTTGAGCCATCCAGGTCAGGATATTGAGGTCATGGCTGTCTGCCAAAACCCCGTGTCGCCTTGGTGGTTTTTCTTGCTACTGCCGCTCACCGGCATCGGTATATCCATCGTCTTTGGTGCCGCCGTCAACCAATTCATTCCCTTGGTGGGAAATACCGCCGTCGGTTTCGCGGTGTACTATTTCCTTTCCTTGGCGATTGGCTCGCAATCCGTCATTGTGCCGAGTGTCGGCGCCTTTGCTTTGGGTTTAACCGGTAATTTGTATGGCCGCTTGACAAAACGTCTGGCGTTTGTACCTCTCATCGGCGGTATCATTATTCTTGTGCCTGGAAGCATAGGTAAGCATTTTTCTTTCATCATGTACCAGTGACTGTTGGTGCCGTGAATTGTGTTTACTTACATACTGTGTTTTATTGCTTGAAATGGTAGGTGTGAAAGGTGCACTTCAGTTATTTGACGATTCCGATAATGCCAATGGCGGTACGTTTGCGGTGCAAATTATCGGTATTGCCTTGTCCATTACATTAGGCCTGTTTCTTTCCAATCTCTGCGTGTATCCTCGTGGCCGAAAACGATCGGTATTTCTTGGATTCTAGTTCTTTGCTTTTTGTCTTCCTCTTTTTGTTTGTTCATCTTTCATCCTTTTTTTTCTTTTACTGCGGACATTGCATGTATCTTTTGTAATTTTTACTACATCCATCACCTTTGGCTGCTCTATACCTCTAAAAGATTGCCATATTCCTCATCCACAAAACCTCATTTTATATAAAATCGCTAATCTCCCATTTTTTCCCACTATCACTGTCACTGATACATTAAAGATCACTGTTCCCTTTTTTTTTTTTTTTTTTTTTTTTTTTTTTTTTACAAGCATGCAATTTCTTCTCTCGAACATATGATCCTCCTTGATAAGAACTTTTTCTTTCTTTACTTCAACGAAATCCCATAATACTTGCCGCTATATTTCCATGACTGAAAGAGTTTCTTTAATTTTTTTCAAGTTTTACGTCTCTTTGGGTTCTTGAAAGGAAGATTCACGCTCTGTCGCTTTCATGATATCATTTGTCATTTCGTCTTTAATGGAAGGTGATGCTTCCGAGTTAGATCCAGAGGGGGGATACGGTGGAGACGATAAACCAGCCTTTTGCTTGGTGTTAATCGTGTTGAACACCGACAAGGCCTACACGCACGCATACACATTGATCAATATTTACATTGTTCCTTTTTTTTTTCCAAGTGATCCATCTTTCTTACCTGAGCGACCATTGAAGCGGCATCGTGGGCTGCTGCGGGCACAATCAAGGTGGTGCCTTCCTTGGCCAATTTGCCGAATGCGTCGACATATTTTTCAGCGACGGTCATGGAAACGGCGTCATTACCACGGTCCATTGCAATGGCTCGTGCCACCTTTTCGATACTTTTGGCGGAAGCCTGAGCACGTAAAAGCATGGCTTCAGCTTCACCAGACGCCATATTGATTTTCTCGGCCTTTTCAGCTTCGGAAGCCAGAATGGTGGCCTGTTTACGACCTTCGGCTACATTGATCGCGGCTTGTCTGGCACCTTCGGATTCCAGAATCTGAGCACGTTTGGTACGTTCGGCCGACACCTGTTGATGCATGGATTCCACGACTTTAGCCGGGGGATGAATATCCCTGATTTCGTAACGTAAGCATCGGATACCCCAATCATCCGCTGCCGAATTGATCGCATCCACAATGTTCGCGTTAAGATGGGCACGTTCGGCCAACGTACGATCGAGCGTCATTTGACCAATTTCAGCACGCATGGTCGTCTGTGCAAGTTGCGTAATAGCAAATTCTGCATCTTCCACACCATAAGAAGCCTGCATTATCCATTTCAGCTTACAATGCACACGTTTGAGCGAAACCAAATAAATACGAGTTTACCTTGAATGGATCAATCACTCTGAAATATAGGACACCATCCAATTCAAGCGTGACGTTGTCTGTCATCAGGAAATTAAAAAGGCCCATGAATAAGGATCTTGCGCACAGAACCAATAAAAAGAGCTTGGGTGGACTTTTTTTCTTACCTTGTGTAATGGCACTCTGACTGGGGACTTCGACGGCGGTTTCTTTCAAACTTTTCACGTACTTGATACGATCAATGACAGGCACCAAAATGTTGAGACCGGGTTCGAGCATTCGATGGAATTTACCCATACGTTCCACTACCCACGCTTCTTGTTGAGGCACAAATTTAATGATCTGAGAAAAACAACCATCCAAGCTGCGGTTAAAGCCGATATCCCAGACAAAGGTGGTCTCTGCGCCACACTACGTACCGTATTTCTGGGGAGCGATTTACGGCCGACACTGGATCCCCAGCTGTCAGATACGCCCATGGGTGAATTGTAATTATCGTAATCACCATAACCGTAATTGCCGTAGGATGCATAGTGACGCAACAACACGGGCGCAGTCTGTTGAGCTCAGCATGTGAGCTTTTTCTTTTTTCCTCTTGATGGAGGTCATGGAATCGCTGAGTGACTTACCTTGCACGCGTTGCGTGCCAATAGATGGGCTGTGTTCTGTAGACGGTATTTTGGTGATACCGAGGCTAAGGCGGTTCTTCGTAAAAGCAAGCTCATGACGGTTCAGCAGAATCGAGTCCGTGTGCACTGGGGACGGGTCAAGAACGCACCTTTGTGGCTGGACCTGAGTTTCCAAAAATCACTTGTTTCGGGCCGGAACAGTGAATCTCAGCCGTGTGGCCTCTTTCATGCACATATCAGGCTATAAATTTTCCAGGCTCACCATGCTGTTGGCAATCATCTGTGAAGAAAGTGCTCACATCGTCGAACATTTCACTGACAGTTGTATAACTTTTTAAAAAACGGTACTGTACTAAGGGTTATACAATAGAACTAGTTGGAAAACATACATTTTATAATTTCTATCAATCTCTCCCTACTCCATATATTTTGTTGCCAAAAGCGCTTGATACAAACAATTTTCCTTCCTCACCTTGTACTAGTGAGGACGTCGATAACTTAACGTTTGTATCAATCAGTGACACGATCGAGGATTTCGGGATCTCATGTTCACGGAGCAGGTAGTATCTTGTCTGTCCAAATATGGCAAGAGAAGGGCTTGGTAAAATAATTTAGCCGAAGGTCAACTTATTTCGATTGGTTCTTGTCCAAGTTATTCTTTGAAGAACAAAAAATAGCGGCATGCACGTTTTATCGATGTACGATAGGATTTGAGAACAACCAAGCGTTTGATGCCGTCTTGCCGAGTGAAATAGAAAAAGAGACCTGAGCAAGTGGGGTATTATCAGTTATGTGGTAAACAATAAACTCACGACAGTAGCATTTTGTTATACAAAATTACTTGTTTTCACGTGAAAAAATAACGTCAATTCAGATCATGCTTCTATTGACCTTTCTTTTGCCGCATCGAAGAAAGGAACAATCTTTTTCTCGGTGCTCCGAGGGACCTGTGTGATACTGTTGGCATGACAGCTCGAATTTCTCCAGCTGATTCTCAGCCGCACGCACGCATATCACTTTATCGCTTAATCATGTTCCCATATCAGTACAAACATTGATGTTATAATGTGACATGCATTCACCGCATCTGTCAGTTCCCTTGTATATCCTCAGTTATGCCTTTATTATATGGAACGTCAACCGCTTCAAATTCTCCTTCTTTTTGCTTTCATTTCTGAAAGGATTTCTTCGGAAAGGAAAATCTCTTAGAGTCGTGTCAACTTTCATGGTGAAAAAAGGAAGAGGCGGACACGTCAAAAATTAAAAGAGTCGGTCAGGTCGCACATTGGAATGAATTTCTGCTGACACATGTGAGAAACACCTATTGCCTTTGCCCTCATGTCGGAGTTTTGTGACGGTCTTACTGCACAGGCTTTAGTCATGTTAAATTACGGAAAGAAACCGCTCAAATAGGCGATCAAAAGGGGAACAAGTAACGGGTTTTCTCCACACTTCTTCACCTGATACTGTTTTCCATGTCTTTTGACAATAACGTCCCTACCAAGTTCCCGGCCCTTGCGCCCAAAGCACCTTCTGGTGATCTTCTTCTCGCTCATGAGCGTGCCAAAGCCCAGTTTAACGTGGACGAACTGTCCAAGTTCATGTACACCGAGGAATGGCTTAACAAGATGCACAAAGTACTCAAAGTTCTTGAAACCGAACCCGCTTTCGATAAGACCAATCGTTATTACGAGAGCCGTCAGCAACGGGTCGGTAGCGCCTACATGAAAGATAAGCGCTTGATTGAACTTATCCGGTAAGTTTTTTCCCTATCAGTTCTCGAGCGCATTACCGTCCTTTTCTCCGTGGAAGCTAACTTTTTCTGAAATTTTTATAGTGAGCACAACTGGGATGAAACCGAGGTTCAGATTGCCAGCTTTTTATATGATATGTCCTCTCCTGTAAGTAGTCGGTTGGCAATGGAAATTTTTTAAAGGCAAAAAAAAGAGAGCGGTCCCTGACACTCCATATTATGGTATTGTAGTTCACTTTGCATTATGGCATGTTCATTCCTACCCTGAAATCTCAGACGACCGATGAACAAAAGAAATTGTTCTTGGAACCTGCATTGAAGCATCAAATCATTGGCTGTTATGCTCAAACAGAGGTGAGATAATGGCAACCCTTCCCGGGGGGGGAATGTATGAGACATTGGACTGAAAGGGATTTTTGCGTTCAATAGCTGGGCCACGGTTCCAACGTGCAGGGTTTGGAGACCACCGCTACGTACATCCCCGAGACCAACGAATTCGAGCTTCACTCGCCAACGTTGACATCGGCCAAGTGGTGGATTGGCGGTTTGGGTACTGCTGCCACCCATGCCATTGTCATGGCCCGCCTTATTTCGAATGGCAAGGACCTCGGTCCTCACCCTTTCTGTGTTCAGATCCGCAGCCTGGAGGATCATCGTCCCATGAAGGGAGTGACCGTCGGCGATATTGGTCCCAAGTTCGGTTTCAACTCGGTCGACAATGGATTCGTCATGTTTGATCACTACCGTATTCCTCATGTCGCTTTCTTGTCAAAGTATGCTCAGGTGAAGCCCGGATCAGGCGAATACATCAAACCTCCGAATGCCAAATTATCCTACGGTACCATGGTGTTTGTGCGTGCTAATATTGTCATGGGTAAGTTAGGTCAAAAGGATCAATAATGGAGATCAGAATGAGCTGACAAGAGGGAAAACCATGGTGATTTAGGTGTTCGTTATGCGATTGCCAAGGCGACTACTATTGCTGTCCGTTACTCGGCTGTGCGTCAACAGTTCGTGGATGCTGCCAGCCCTCGCAAATGGAACAACAAGGTCATTGAGACCCCTGTATTGGATTACACAATGCAGCAGTATCGTCTTTTGCCCACCATCGCTGCCGCTTACGCCTGTTTCTTCACCGGTTCGGAAATGCTCCGTTTGTACAACTTGAATCAGGAAGCCATGCAACAAGGCAACTTTTCTCTGTTGGCCGATCTTCACGCTAGTTCCTCTGGTCTAAAGAGTTTGACCACCACCATGGCTGTTGAAGCCATTGAAGACTGCCGACGTGCGTGTGGTGGTCACGGATACAGCATGTTCTCTGGTTTAGGCATGTTTTACCAGGACTACCTTCCCAACGTAACCGTAAGTCGAGAAAAAAAGTCTTATATTTTTTCAACTTGACTCAATGCACATTTTTTTACAGTGGGAAGGTGACAATTACATCTTGACGCAACAAACTGCACGCTACTTGTTAAAGACCTTCCGTAACGTGGTGGCCGGAAAAGCGGTTCCTTCTGAATATAATCAAACCGTGACCTATCTATCGCAGTATATGCAGAATCCCAAAGCGAAATGTCCTGCCACTTCGCCCAAGGATTTCTTAAACCCTGAATTGGTGCTTTCCGCGTTTGGATTCCGTGCCGCTTACGGAATCGCTCAGGTGGCTGAACAGATCGATCGTCACGGCCGTAGCTGGAACTCTATGCTGGTGGAAATCAGCCGAATTTCCAAGGCCCACTGTCAGTTCATGTTGATTCGCAATTTCATTGTGTCACTTCAGGACAATGCGAAGCTTTCCAAGGATACCGTCAAGGTGCTGCGCACTTTGTCTGCTTTGTTTGCTCTTCACACCATGGAAAAGGAATTGGCCGATTTTGTTCTCTCGGGTTACCTGAACTCGGAACAGGCGACGATGTTGAAGACTCAGGTCATTGATTTGCTCGAACAAGTGCGTCCTCAGGCTGTGGCTTTGGTCGATGCGTTTGCTTTGCCCGATTACTACCTTCACTCGGCCTTGGGTCGCTATGACGGAAAGGTCTATGAGTCCATGACGAGCATGGCCGAACGTGAACCTTTGAACCAAACCATGGTCGTGGCTGAATACGAAAAGATCATCAAACCTCTGGTCCATCAAGGCAAAAACCAAGGCCGCTGGTCCGCAGATGGCACCCTGCAGCATGCCAAACTGTAATTTCGCAAAGAACGCACCTCCAAAATATTTTTTCATAGACAATCTTATCAGGTATAACGCAAATCTGATATACACATTTCTCTCTCTTTTTTTTTGTTTCATCCGCTTCTCCCCCTTCTCTTTTTCTTGTCCTATTGTTATTTGCTGAATGTATTTCTATTTATATTTTTCTCTTTTTTTTAGTTTTCTCTTTTAGTTTCTGTAATCTATACGGTCGTTTTATTGAAATAGAAAATCAGGCACTGAAAATCATGGTTCATTTGTTTTTTGGAGTCCACTGTTCGCCCTTTACGTAACGTAACGTAACGTACACACTGTGTGGTGTTTGCGGCAAGGTGCGGGGATGAAGTTACATGGTTTGCACATTTTCTATGCCTACATATAGGCGGACGTGGCCATCCACAGGCATGCGCACCGTGTGACGGATGGCTTGACAACGAGGAAACTGACGGTTCATGGCACTGTTGGTGAATACCAGTTTGCGACCAAGATTCGGTCCGATAGCGTAACGCATGCTAAGTTCATCTGTCAAGTCGGCAAACGTAAACCGGCTGTCAATTTCCATGCGTCGAATCAGGTTACGGTAGTTGTAACCGTGCAACGGAGGCAGTGGAACAAGGCAGAGCGCATTACGTGACGATCGTCCCATGCGTGGGGTGATGTTGAACACCGAGATGACAAGGTGCGTATCATTATCTGAGGCCGACGACGAGGTGGTGCATGCATCGGTACTATGATCATCACTGCTGCTGCTACTCAGAACCACAACTTCTTGTTGCGGCAAGGAAGGCCGCATCAGAGCATGCTGCTCCATGGGATTGAAAACGCGTTGGGGGTTTGGATTGGCCGGGGACAGTTCGCTTTCGCGTGAAGGCAGACTACCAAAAGCAAACCGTTGCATATACAGCGAGGCTGGCCATGGCGGAGCAAACATCATTCGTTGGTGAGTGGGTATAGTGGAAGCCATCGTGGTGCTATGGCTACTGCTACTCTCCATCATGCGCAGGGCCAGCGGAAGAACGGATGCATCGCCTTGTGACATTTGCAGCCATACGTGAGCTTCGTTGGTCGTTTCCTGGGTGGAGGGGCCGGTGTTTTCTTGTTCGCTTGATAGAGAGTACACTGAGGCCTCTTCCGTCATTGATCTATTTATGGGTTCGATTGCCTGTGGAGTCCCTGGGTCGGTTGCAGATTGCGGGTCCAATGATTCGTCCGGCATCTCTGCCGTGTTGTCTGCGGAATCATGTTCAGTCACGGTCGTGGACAAAGAACCGCGGACCACATCTCCGATTTCCACCAGTGCCTCCGGCATTAGAGGGACGGGAAGACCAGGCGTGAATCGTGCACTTCGGCTGAGCGAAGGAACGGATAGACCAAGAGATTGAAAGTGATTTCTTCGCGCACGGGCAAGGGCGCTGTAATCTGCTTTGCAGAGTGAGACTTCGCGATGCTCCTGCGTCTCATCGAGTCCGCCGGTGGCTCGATCGATTTCCACGTATGCGTGTTCATCCAGATACCGTTCATGAGCATTTTGTCGAAGCCAAGCAATGGTAAACCAATAGTCTTCTGGATTATTAAGTTTCCAAAGTGGAGTGGTCCGTGAGTCAATGGCGTGTGGAGGTAGATGACTGCCACGTCGCGGATGATCGGGTATGCACTTGCATTCTGGCGTCCCATAGCGCTGTGATGAATTTGTGTATTAGTTTTATCTCTTTTTTTTCATTGCTATATCATTTTCGTGGGAGCACTCATTTACCTGGCCGCATGTAAAACACAAAAGACATTTGAGACATGCATTGGGTCGGATTGATAACGGACGCAACGCTGAAACTTCTACTTGGGAGGAAGATGATGAAGCACCGGTAGTTGATTGCTGATTCTCACTAAGAGTCATAGTTGAATGATGTGGTCTCTCAAAAGTGGCCCTCATCGGCTTCTTATATTTATAGAATCTCTCTTGGATGCCATAGGTCCATTATTCTTTACACTGGTTTTTTTTTTTTTTTCATGCTGATCAGTGCGATTGTTCATTCAGCTCTTTTGCCCTTGTGTATGCCGTATTGCATCGGATATACGCACAAGTTTTGGGAGATGATCATCTCTTGTCCTAAGATTAGACGTTTCACGATATGTATCACCAACAACGGCTATCCATCTCATTGTCATAGTGAGTTGCTATGGTACACACTTGCATTAACACTGAGTTACACTGCTGCATGACGATGCGGTTAGTCCACCCCTTTTTTTATGGTTTAAACGGTGATTTGGGCATCCGATACTGGTAGACTGAAGGGCCACAATGCCTGAGAGGAACCAAGCTTATAATGCACCATTTTACCAATAGTCAGAGGAAGTAAAAAGGAAAAATAAAATTAGAAAAACTGCGTTTATGCATTGCAAATCTTTCGATGGAAATAACCATTCAAATATATTGAGCATGACAAGGAACGCCACGATGTAGACTGTGAATTTGAGATTTTTCGATATGCATGTGGATCGCTCGATATTATTACTGCCGATGAAATCTGAATATGCCAATGGGAAGTTTGTTTTTCCTCTACATTGTTCTTTAAAAGGCAATCGTTGGTCATCTTTTTGCAAAACCCCTCGTCTTGTCGCCATGGAAAATTGATGGGGAACAACAGCCCAGCAAAGGGTGGAATTTTCACATGCTTAAAACCCAGTGGATGATGGTTTGAAATTTTGCGACTTTTTTTTTCCCACTTAAAAAAGAGAGCCAACTGAAGAGGGAAAACCTTTGCTTCGCGTCGCTTTTTTGTTCATTCGCAGATACCATCGCAATGACTACCAAACCTCAACTTATATCCGATCTTATGCTGCCAGAACTCGAAAGACAGCTGGCTGAAGACCCTTCACTGTGGCCCAACGTCAAAGGTCTTTTTATTGTCACTGTCACCAAAAGAAGAAAACCCGCCGCCACTTGGTAAGTGCCATGCCCCCATGCACCATGACATTTCACAAGAGGAACGAATAAAAGAATCTAAGCGATTGGTCTATAGGTATCTTTTGTTGCAGGGTATTTATTCTATTATCAGATTTGAAACGAGCATGATGGCTGATATTTAAAAAAACATTGACGACAATTAGGCAATGAGTTGAAACCGCTGATTACTGCTGACGAGGAATTAGCTCGTGGATCCGCCAAAGGCAAAGTCCGAACCGTGAAAATTCAGGTGGAGGACAATGATCTGCTTAATTTCATTACAGGAGGGTAAACTATTTCGATTTTCTATGGCAAGCTCGAAAATAGAGACGCATTCCACAACATTATGCATAGCAACTGATACCTTTCTCTTTTTTTATGTTGGTGCCAAAACAAAAAGCATGACGGGCGTCAAAGCTTACATGACGGGCAAGATCAAAGTCCGCGGCGATCTCATTCTTGCCCAACGTCTTGAAGAAGTGTTTGAAAAGGCCGGAGGAAGAGATGTAAGTACAAATACAATAGACGTGTTGTTAGTGCGGTTTTTCTTCCATCCTTTGAACTCACATCAAAACGGATAAAGCGTGCTCTAGAGTTCATTAAAAAGAACGAGGAAGTCCTGGCATTGGCCCAAAAATCGAAATTGTAATCCCCGTATATTTTTCATCCAATCAAGTAAATGAAGAAAAACAATGGCTCTTTTTTATTTCCTGTATTACAAATTGCAATTTTGCATCGTGATAATCGCTCCACTTTCTTTGGCTAAGCAATATCGATTCCAAATTCCTGGGGCTGCACATAAATAAAATCTATCTGCAGATGTCCGTCCAGCTATTGGAGGACTAGAAAATCAGATGAGAGAGACATTATTATTTTTTTCTGCTGACCCGACGCAGATCGTTAATTTCATTGTTCAGAAAAGATCACCGATCTCTTCGCACCAAATTGAGACACGGTCATAATGAAACTATTCAGTTGCACGTGTGTTCATGCTGAATTATTACCAGCAAAATGCCATGCTTGAGTAGCTATAACTTGGATCCCGCATGATATGCCGGGCTTTGCAGCAAAAACTGCGCTAATTTTTTTTCTCTGGTCGGCACTGCCAAAAAATGTTTCAGACCAGTTTCTGACGTTGCCACCCTGACGAATTTTGATGCCGAAAAATCAAGATACAAGTGGATCTGCTTTCTGAAGACAGTTGAGTGCTTGTACTCGTACTCTTAAAATCCTGAAGTAAAATAGTACGATTCTTTTATTTTTTTATGTATCTGCGCATTGGGCTTGTGCATCAAAAGACATGACAGGCGTGTGACTGCTGTAGAAGGCCAAGACGGGGTGTTTGAGAGTCAGTGCGCTAAATGAATAGGATCGGTTCGGATTCTGTGCGACCTTCTCGCATTCCTGGGTTTCTTCCTTTACCAATGTCGCCCTTCACCATTAACTCACCTGTTCCTCTCGGTTTGGCTTGTAAGATCATGATACATTGACCAACACGCATTGTATACTCACGCTAGACTGACCGTTTTCTGTAGCGGAATGCAAGAAAGCTGCCCGCATTCTGAACAGTTTTATCGGTAATGTGGCAGAAAAACTGAACTGGCGCGAAACAAAGTATTCACCCTCCTTCACACATATGTAGCTCCCGGTCATGGTATCGATAAAGTTATTCCTCACAGCATTCTCGCCAATGCCAAAGGCCTCGCCATTTTCACTGTGTTGAAGGCCGGCTTCCTTTTCTCCGGTCGCGCTGGTTCGGGACTTGTTATTGCTCGGTAGGATGGTAAAACCAAGTCCCCTTTACATTCATGGTACTAACAAATAACATATGCACATTTATAGTCTTCCGGATGGATGTAAGCTTTCAGAACGTTCGCACCCCCACATTCTATTTTTAACGCCCATCTGCTTTTTCTTTTTATTCGTGTTTCAGCTTGGTCCGCCCCATCGGCCATCATGACCGGTGGTATGGGTTTCGGTGGTCAAATAGGTAGGTCTTAATAGAGACACAGGATAAGCATTGGATTACCTGAAACTAAAATGTTTGTTTCCAAGGCGCGGAACTGACGGATGTGGTCATGGTATTAAACACAACTGCAGCTGTTAAAACGTTTATGCATCACGGCAGCATTACGCTTGGCGGCAATATTTCAGGTAGTGTATCTAATTAATGATCTAGCCTTCCTTAGCAGTTCAATGTCACTCATTGACGACGATCCAATTTTTTAGTGGCTGCTGGACCGGTTGGACGCAATGCAGAAGCATCAGGCACGGCTTCTTACAAGAACGTGGCGGCCGTTTATTCCTACAGCAAGACACGTGGCCTGTTTGCCGGTGTTTCCTTGGAAGGATCGGTGATTATAGAACGGTTCGATGCCAACGCCAAGATGTACCGTCGAAAGGTCAAAGCCAGAGACTTGTTGAACGGCAATGTTCCTCCCCCTCCGGAAGCCGGCGCCTTGTATCAAGCGTTGGATCTGCGATTCAGGAATAGCAGCAGTGCCGGCGGTCGCTTTGACTTTATGCAAAACGGCAACGGCTTTGATGACAGTTACCGACGCTCGCCTCCTCAATCGTTTGCGGATTCGCCATATGCATCCTCAGATCCATTTGACGGCCATTCACCGACGACCACTCGCGCACGACAGCAATCCTTTAGCCGCGCCGCCGTACGTCAACAGGCCACAGGTGGTGGTGGCACCTTTTGGCACTCCCGTGCCGAACCGGAACCGATGTTCGATTCGTGGACCGCCAGTCCTACGCGCAGTCGAGCTCTAAGCTCACCAAAGATGAATGACTTCAACGACAGCAACAACCAAAGAGCGGTCAGTACGAGTGATTCTCTTCCTCGTGCTCGTGCTTTATTCCGATTCGCAGGCGAGCAAGACGGTGATTTACCTTTTGGAAAAGGAGACATCATTACCATTCTCAAGAAAACAGATACGCAGCAAGACTGGTGGACAGGTCGCATTGGTGTACGCGAGGGCATGGTACGTTCAAAAAAACGAGGCAGTATGAGTAACTTGCGTGTGATTACAGTGAATAAATTAACGGTGTTCTTTGTCTTGTGTTTGTTAGTTTCCTGCCAATTTTGTCGAGTTGATTTGAACTTGATGGACATTACGTCTGTTTTTTTTACAAAGACGGCATGCTGTCACTCTTTCCTTCTTTTTTCGGCCTTTGTTTCCTCTTCCATTGTAGATAAACCTCCCCAAATCTCTCTTTTCCCCTGTATCTTTTTTAGCGTCCAGCCATAACCTCTGAATGATGAACTTGTAGAAGAGTTGTTGTTAAAATATTTATATACTTTATACGATATGAACAAAAAAAAAGTCGTTTTTTAACCTATTTTTACAATGCTATAATGGCGCGGATGGCATGCATTAATAATACTATCATTTTTTGCTTTTCAGTGCCTGCTCACGCACTCATTGTATGCATGGCCCTGGGCGTGATCGTCAACAATTTCTGAACTTGACATAAACAGTAGGAAAGCTTCAGCTTGAGAATCCCTTTATTGTACAAAACTTTCGAATAGACTCATGATTGATAGACAATTAAAATGGCTGGACACTGATAAATCCATGTTCTATGAAACTCGAGTCATATTCCTAGAATTACTCCCTTTTCACCTGACAGGAGTGAAATCAGCACTGCCTCAGGATTGAGATACTTTTTTCTTCGTTTACTTCCAACTAAAAAAAAAAAAAAAAAATGGAAAGCCACTCAAGAGTTTTACTTGCAGCTGCTGAAGAATATTAATGATTTGTAGCCATAAATATCTAACAATCAGGTTATCCGATTGGACATCAGAGTTAAAAGAGCCAGAGCCAAAAGCCACCACCAACCAAGTGTCTTGAGAAAATTCAATCTCCGCGTGGAGATGATCATTGGACCATGAGGGCTGAAATTTTTAATTGCCGATCAAGTACGAAAGTTTTGTGGATTGCATCATTCAAGCACAGCTTGCCAACATCATGACCAGCGACAGTGAATACGAAGAAGATTATCTGGTAAATTTAATTGTCTAAAGAGTCATACAAATCTCATTCAGTTTTCTTATGATGTTCCCGATTCTTAGATGGAAGATACCATGGAGGAATACAGCGATCTGGACGCTTCAGACTACGGCAGCTCCTTGACAGGTAAAAAAAGATTCAACACCCTCGCCTTTTCGCATCCCACTCACCATGTCAAGATCGCTTCAATGGACGTACTCATTCATATTATTTTCCACTTTTAGATGACGAAGGCTATCTCGGCGAAGAAGGCGATGACATGGCGTTCGACAGCGACTTTGCAGGCAAGCCGCCAAAGAAGGCGTATGAGGTGGACTACACGATTCAAGATGCGTCCAATCTCAAGAACCTTCAAGACAAAGAAATTAACCAAGTGGGGACGATCCTGGGTCTGCGAACAGAAGATGCAGCCGTGTTATTGCGATATTTCCGATGGAATAAGGAGAAGTTACTGGAACGATACATGGACTCTCCGGATCAAGTGCTGAAGCAAGCAGGCATATCCATGGGAAATGGGCAAGATCAATCCATTTTGCTTGCCAAGGACATTCCTGGAGTCGATGGGACTTTCATGTGTGAGATTTGCTGCAATGATGACGAGAATATGGAAACTGTCAGTGTATCATGTGGTCACTGGTTCTGCAGGGAATGCTATGAGCATTATCTGACCCAGAAGATCAAGGGCGAAGGTGAAAGTAGGCGTATCGAGTGTCCTGAAAATGGCTGTCAAGTGATTGTGAATGGAGCTACAGTGAAACGCTTGGTCGATGACGCAACATATACAAGGTATGTACAATACAGGGTCCCCACTCCCCGATCCTGCGTCGAACCTGAAGGGCTATGAAAAAAAAACATTCTTCAGGAGAGGCATGTATACTCACTCCAATATTTTTTTTCTTTCTTGTTTTCGCTTTATCGGCATGATAGATACCGAGAATTATTGAATCGAACCTTTGTCGATGATAATGATTTCCTACGATGGTGTCCCGCACCGGATTGCCAATACGCTATTGAGTGTAATATACCAAGCACCTCGTTGAGATCAATTGTACCCACCGTTCAATGTCATTGCGGATGGAAATTCTGCTTCGGGTGTGGCCTGCAAGACCATCAGGTAGATTGAATTTTTCTTTTCTTTTTCTTTCTTTGTTTGTCTCCTGATTCCCTTTTTATACACGTGGTATATGATCGGATAAGTGGCTAAATGCGGGAATGGTCATTTACTAACGCTGCTTTTCTTCTTTTTGTCTTGGTTTTTGTGGCCAATAGCCTGCGATTTGTATACTTGTTAAAAAATGGTTGAAAAAGTGCGAGGATGATTCAGAAACCGCCAATTGGATATCAGCACATACCAAAGAATGCCCGAAATGTCATTCAACGATTGAAAAGAATGGCGGTTGTAATCATATGACTTGTCGAAAATGCAAATACGAATTCTGCTGGGTGTGCATGGGTCCATGGTCCGAACATGGCACTTCTTGGTACACTTGTAACCGATACGATGAAAAGAGCAGTTCCGAAGCACGAGAGGATCAAACCCAATCCAGAGCAAGTCTAGAAAGATATCTGCATGTAAGTGCCTCGATTTTGTTTTTTATTATTGTTTTTTTTTTCATCATAATGTTTTATTTGTTTGTTGATTGTTCCAATGGATTAAATGGTTTACTTACTCGTTTTATTGATAGTATTACAACCGATATGCGAACCACGAGCAATCGGCGAAATTGGACCAAGATCTATATCAAAAGACGGAGAAGAAAATGGAAGAAATGCAGCTGACCAGTGATTTGTCGTGGATTGAAGTTCAGTTTTTAAAGAAAGCCGTGGACGTCACGGTGGAATGTCGAACGACGCTCAAGTGGACTTATGCATTTGCGTTTTATTTGGCGCGAGGCAATCAGACTGAACTATTTGAGGTAAAATTCTTTATTTGTTACTGTGTGACACTCTCTGGAAAAGGGAAAATACTGACAATATATGCGAAAAAAAATCAATAGGATAACCAACGAGATTTAGAAATGGCGACCGAACAATTATCGGAACTTCTGGAAAAGCCTCTTGAACGTGAACAGATTGCTCAGCTGAGACAAGCCGTACTAGATAAGACCGTGTACGTGAAATCACGGCGAGAGATTCTCTTGGAAGACACAGCCAAAGGCCTTCAAGAAGGTCGATGGGATTACTTTGTCGATTTGAAATAAAACAATAAAAAATCAAAATTGGCTTCATTGCAAAAAGCAGAAAAAAAATAAAATAAAATTGGAAAAAGGCCCCGGTGGATCAATGTGACTCTTATCTTTTTCTTTGCTTTTTCTTTCCGTTGGTCATGATCACCCGCTGTGCATCGCGACTCATCGGCACAGCTCAGCGAATTCAATCTCTATCTCGATCCCCTGTACTCATGGCTCCCTTGGCAAACAAAAGGACCTACACCAGTGTCCCTCATGAGTGAGTTTTGGCACGTCACCCTCATCCCTCTTGGACCTTGAAATACTCACTCGAATGACTTGTATTAAACCCTCCCCCCAGTAGTCAAGTAACGGAATCGGTGTCCGTAAAGGAAACGACGATGACATCGGTTGAAAGTAATGCGACATCGTTTGTTTTGGAGGCGGCCTCATTTTCTAATGCACAAGCTATAATAGCTGAAGAGTCATTGCAGCAAGCGAGAGAGGCCAATAAGCTGAGGTTCAAGCAGTATATGAAAACTCTGGCTCCCCTGGCCTACCCCGTTCACTATGTATTGAAATGCGTCTCTGAAAACGATGCCATTGAAGAGGCCATTCAAGATATGCTAAAGTAAGCTCACTGGTTAATCAAGCAACATGAGACACACACACACAAAAGCTGATGCCAATCGCTAGCTCCGGAGAGAAAGCGTTTGGGTTCGATATGGAATGGCCACCGACGTTTGTAAAAGGTGAAAAAGAGAAAAAGACAAGTTTGATCCAAATTTGCAGCAGCAACAAAATTATTTTATTGCAAATTGGAAGGTTAAAAGGTGGGTGATGCAGTGATATTTCTTTTTTTGGCTGTCGTTTGATGGATTATGCCACTGACATGTTGTATGATACTTTAGCCCTTCCTCCTGTTTTGTGCCAATTTCTCGCGGATCGATCTATTCTGAAAACCGGCGTAGGCATTCGAGGCGACGCGTTAAAATTACATCGTGATTACGGTGTAATCACCAACGGTTTGGTAGATTTAAGTACCATGGCCCATGAATATGGGAAAACTAAACTACAATCCACGAATCTACGATCCTTGCAGGCCTTGTCAGCCTTATTTGTAAGTATGCTATGGCTTGATGGATCATATTACGCGAATCTTGAAGCTGATCCATACTACAGTTGGAGCAACAGATGCCTAAAGGAAAAGTGCGATGTAGTAACTGGAACGCAGTCGAACTGACACCGAGGCAACAGGCGTATGCGGCCAACGACGCATACGTATGTATTAAGTAGCCTGTTTGGTGGATCGTGGTTCGATGGTATGCTTACCCTTTTTTTTTTCTCCATTAGGCCTCATACGCATTGTACCATGTATTCAAAAACGTCCGTGATGAAATGAAAGCACCTCTCCCACCCAAGTATATAATCCACATCTCGGATGAAACCCTGCCACCACCAAAAGCACCCACTACTGTAAATAAGGTAAGCCATCCAACATTGCCATGTTGCGAAAAATAAAAACATTGACAGAGTGTGATACAACAGAAGACCACTGAACGATCGGCAGCGAATAACAAAGGCATGCCGAAAGCTACCATTACCGTGATCAAACCCAAGTCCACGGTGGAAACGAATGACCAACACCCCAAGAAAAAGCAAAAGCCATAACTGTCCAGGACACCTAACAATTTTTTTTTCGCCACTTTATCCAATCCTCCCCCCCTCATATACTCTAGACTTGCAGTATATCATTGTACAATAAGCATTTACAATAAGCATTCGCAACACGTCTTAACAACAAGATTATTTTTGGCTTATTACTGTTCATTCTACAGTTGGCCGGGTTGTTGTAGTTTGTATTTAAACAAAAAAATGTAGAAAAAAGATACAGGCACTGAATTTTCGTATTTATGCTTTAAATATGCTGAACAGTTGAATACCTTGTCTGTAAACATTTGTGGATCTCGGGCTGAGCGAATCGAAGACAAAGACGGAGTCTCTGTTAAAGTATTTGTCTTGTCTTGACGCCAAATTTGTTGAAACACCGTGACTTGGTATTGCAGAGCAGCCGTCGACCCATTTGCTGGAAGCTCAGGAAGCACTTTTGTCAATTTCAGCAACGCTTCTTTATGTAAATAATCATGACCACAGTTCCTATCTATAATCTCGATGAGCCAGAATACGCTACTCCCTACTACAAGATTCGCAACGACTACAGGACGAAATATCGAGGATCGCATACACCGATCATCATTGACAATGGTACCCTACACCTATCATGATTCATTTGCTCGTGTCAACCTAGGACTAAAGCACGCCATGCTGTAGGATCTTATCAATGTCGTGCTGGTTGGGCATCCGAAAGCGAACCGTCACGTACGTGAAAGCAGCAACTAACGAACGGTATTGATTGTCTTGCTGACTGTCCTGGTTCCTTGACTGTATAGTGATCTTTGATAATATTGTATCCAAGTACAAGGATCGCAAAGCCAACGTGAATATGCTCACGGTGGGGATGGACGCTTACGCTGATCCGGCCGGACGATCCAACGCACGTTCTCCCTTTGATAGCAATATCGTATCTGATTTTGATCGCATGGTAAGAACGAAACAATAGCCAAGAAAACGGTGGATTGATCACTGAATTTTTGTTTTCTTTAAGGAAACCATTCTAGACTATATTTTTCTTACCATGGGAATTGATGGCACTAGCGTTGATCATCCTATTGTCATGACTGAAGCCCCGTGTAACCCTTCCTACAGTCGCAAACGTAAGTATGAAGAAGCAAAAGAAATGAAAAGGTAGAAAAGCATGTTCAGTTGGCTCAACTCTGTGAAAAATCATTGCAGAGATGTCCGAACTCCTTTTTGAAGGATACAATGCACCATCGGTGATCTACGGTATCGACTCACTTTTCAGTTTCTATGCCAATTGCGGCGCAACCGAGGATGGCATGGTCATCTCGGCCGGTCACACCGCGACGCATGTCATCCCTGTAATGAAGGGCAAAGGCCTTTTGGCAAAGACAAAACGAATTTCCTACGGCGGCACCCAAGCAACCGATTATATGCTCAAATTGATGCAACTAAAATATCCCACTTTCCCTACCAAAATGACCAATGTCCAAGCACAGGTAAAATATGCAATGAGTTGCTTGGCGTTGACAATTCGCCCTGGATGATAGAAAAGAGAGCACGGAAATAATGCTGAAATCTTGGATAGAAAATCGTCCATGATCATGTGTATGTTGCGCAAGATTATCAGGATGTACTGAAGAGAATTGAAGACCGCAGCACCTTTTCAGAAATCGATCGCATTATACAATTCCCTTTTGTTGCGCCGGTGATTGAGGAGAAAACAGAAGAGGAATTGGCCCGTCAAGCGGCTAAAAAAGAAGAGAATGCAAGGCGCTTACGTGAAGCGGCGGCCAAATCACGTTTAGAGAAGCTGGTAGCGCGAGAACAACAGTTTGAAGCGTTTACGGCTTTGAAGAACGCCAAGGGGACGGTGAGGAAAGCGGAATGGTTGGCCCAACTCAAACAAGCCGGTTTCAAGGATGAAGCCGACTTGGATGACACATTGAAGCAGATCGATACCGCCATTCAGCGCGCACGAAATAAGGAGCTGGGAATTGATGAACAGGAGGAAAAAGAACCTCCGGCCACCCATCTTGTGGACGTCCCAGATGAAGAACTATCCGAAGTAGAAAAGAAAGAGAAGCGAAAGCAGAAATTGTTAAAGGCCAGCTATGATGCTCGACAACGAGCGAAAAAAGCAAAGGAGGAAGCGAAAGCACAAGAAGCCGAGCAAGCACGATTGGAAGAAGAGAAACGACTACGAGAACCGGAGAAATGGGTGGAGGAAATCAAAGAAAAACGCCAAGCCGTCATCGACAAGATCAAGAAACGAAAACGATTAGCCGCTGAGCTGAGCGATCGACGAAGTCGCGCTTCACAAATGCGTATGCGATCCATTGCCAACCTCGCCAGTGACAGCCCCACCTCCAAACGCAGAAGAAAAGGTCAAGAAGGTAAACTAGCACATCCTCATTTGGTCTGAACATAGTTGTATGTGTACATTAGTCGTTGACGAGTCGAGATATAGAGGACACTTTTGGTGCAGATGATGAAGATTGGATGATCTATCGTGAAATTGTAAGTGCCTTGTTTGTGAAATGCATACATCGTTGATTTCCGCTTACCTGTGGTTGTGTGTATCTAGAGCCGTGAGGATGAGTCGGACGATGAAGAGGAGGATCTATCAACCTTGAATCATTACGAATCACTCTTGTTACAATACGATCCGAATTTCTTGCCTAGTGATTCTTACGAGGCAGCGTCTTCTCCGACGAACACACTGATTCACTTGTTAGCTCGTGGTCAGTATCCACCCTACGACCCTTCGGATGTCGGACAAATGCATCAACTCCACGTCAATGTTGAACGTGTACGTGTAAGCGAGGCCCTGTTCCAGCCTACGATCATCGGTCTCGATCAAGCAGGTCTTGTGGAAACAGTCAGTGATATAGTGAAGACATTTGATCCAGACAGCCGGAAACCCATCATCAAGGTACACTATCGATAATTTTTTCCTGGAGAGATTCACATGAAATTCATCCTTTTTTTTTTTACCAGACCATTTTCCTCACTGGAGGATTCAGTCATTTGCCCGGTTTGGCCGATCGCTTGATGGCTGCCATGCGATCGATTTCCCCGGTAGGTTCGGGGATCCAGGTACGGACCGCGAAAGATCCGCAATTGGATGCATGGAAGGGGGCTTCGCTTTTCACCACACTACCGTCGTACCAACAACATGCGATTACGAAAAAGGAGTATGAAGAATATGGCGGTGAATACATTAAAGAACATAACCTTGGAAACATGTATCATTTGTAAAAGCTCGAATAAAGTCATTTTTGATCCGTCAATTTCACGTCACAGAAAGATCCACCAGTGCAATATCGTCCAATTCGTATCCCCTACAAAAAAGTCATTCACTATGGAACATCAATTGCATTTCAGCAATGTCTTTTCCTATACCCAATTACTAGAATGTGAACAAAAATATCCTCTACATCAAGGTAGAATCCTGCAAAAAATGAGATACTCAGGAAGTACCATAACACACACACTCGCTGAATTATTTCTCGCGTAGATTATACTGTGATACTGGCCGTGTCGGATCCGAAGCGACCAACCCGAATGCGTCTGCACGCTAAATTACCCCATTGGCGCCGTGACCATACTATTTGTCAAGTCAACGTGCGCTGCTATGATTACCGCATCATGGAAACCTTGCTGTCCTTTTGGGAATCAACAAAGGAACTTGTCTGGCGATTACTAGCAAATAGTTGTGTTTCGTCACCGCTTATCCCGCCCATGACACCTATCTTTCTGTATATCACATTGGACTATGAACGTTGCCTCCAACGCGCCTGTCGACTTCAGAATATGTCCTGGTAACGAGATCGCCGATATGTATTACACATATAGCTTATGGTGGGTGATCTTACTAATCTGGAACTATGTAGGCACCGTCGATTATGGGCATTGGTTGCCAAAGCGGATAGTATTGCGTTCATCAGTGTATATTATTCTGTGCTTGGTGGAGCGTACAGTTCCTTGGGAAAGAGCAATGCGTTTTACGTACGTATCATGGACTCGATGCGTCTGCCTGCATAGGCAAGATTACTTTGTGTAATGGGTGTTGATTGAAAATTCGATGGTTCATCTTTGATACTAGGCCACAAAAGCAGGCTCGCTAGCCAAGCGTCAAATTATGCTGGCGCGATGGTTAAAAGACATGATTCTCGAATCCAAGTGCTGGTTATATTACGCCGAGGATCTTATTCAGCTGCAAAAATTTCGACGAGCCAAACGCATCATTAGAAAGCAATTGGAGTACGCACAAAAGACACAAAATGATATTGTAAGTCGAATACACATCTACAAATTGGAGGCGTCATTTTCTAACTGTTTCTAGTTGTTGAAAATGTGCGAGTCGGTAGAAACCAAATGGACGACCGCCGTACAACGTGATCCGTGCTAACGCGACGAGCAACATCAACAGCACCACCACCGCCACGCCATCACGACTTCCCGATGAGACACTGGAATGGGTGCTCAAAGCACCCTCTCTGAATTCATCGCGAGGTCCTTGTTTTATGTTCAATACCAAAGCTTTTCGGAAATGAATCCGCCCACCAGAATAAAGATAGAAAGAATAATCCACGCCACAGAGAATAAAAGCCATAAAAAACCATCACACAAGTAGTGCCACGGTCGCTTGGACTTTGGTTGCGTCTTGCTTTGCATCATAAGCCCAACGTCCGAGTCTGATGTCAGAAGCGGGATACGCACCGCATCCTGTTCTCGAGTATCGTCATCACCGTACGAGCCATGGCACGAATGCTCTTCCTAAGGAACCCAAGCCCGACCATAAAATAAAACGTCAGCAATATCCATATGAACATAGAGTAAAACACTAGTTACCATTGCAGCAACAAACGAGACGGTCATCTTGCATTTACATCTCACAAAAGAAAGGCAGACATTCACAAAGGACAGAACAAGAAATAAATAAAAAAGGCAATTTTGACTCTAATTGAAATAAACAAATTTGGCGAAGCAGATTATTTGTTAACTTCCGCTTACAGTTGCTTCAACAGAATCCAATGCACAGTGCACTCTATGGGGTATATTTCCTTCTCATGCCACTACATATGATCAGTTTGAGCATAGATGGGATCAAACTATGGTACCATGACGCAGGTAAACGCGATACCGTGACATCGAGCTAGATGCCAAGTATTTCTTTTCGTTTGCTTCCAGTCAGTTGCGTGAGGAGAATAAAAGGACCGATCGATGTTGAGTTTTCTTTATCCAGTTTAGCTTGGAAGCCCCATAAATAAGCTAAATGCATAAAGTACAATGAAATATAATGGTAGGGAAATGGATATAAGGGATAGACTAGTAATAAATTAAACGTAGAATCGTCCGTCACGGGAGTGACGCGGGTATCGTATGTTTTCCACGCTTCTATGTTATCGATGGATTGATATATATACACTTTTACAGTTGGAACCGCTCAGAATGAACTGTCCATAACGTTTGAGAATTGCTAAACTCGGCGCTTCTTGCAAGATTGCCACACAGACTAATGGTTTCGTTATGCGCACAAACACCCAGAGCCACCTGCGAGTAATCTGAATCTTGCATCTGGAGTTCTTTGAAAAGCGCATAATACTCAGGATAACCGTAGTGAAGGCGACATGCAGGGGATAGGTTGATATTTTCCTCTTCTACTTCCGCTGATAATGTGCGTGTGAGGAAAATATCAAACGAGATCATGAGATGGTTGGCGGCTAGGGACTGCAGCTGTTGCAGCATTTCGTCAAAAGCATGTAATGTAGCTGTGACTGATGGTTAGCACAAATCGAGGATACAGCGTCGGCGCTTAGTGTCGATTGAGACTTACCTGGCGTACGGATGCTCCAGATAAGGGACACTTTGCTGGTGTGGAGCGTTCGTGAACATTCGCACAAGTATTGCATCACCGATATCCACGGCGTAATACCGATACCTTCCGCCACAAGGACTACCATATCATAATCGCCGTAACTATGCCCAGCACTTGTCAATCTCGGCCAGCCCACCGGTTGGCTGACACGAAGGGTGACACGATCCATGTCTTGCTGAGCTTGCGCTAAACGATACAATGCTTGGGTCCGTTTTCCAGTGGCTCGAATGCAAAACGTTAACACCGTCCGCTTGCCCTGCTTGATCAGGAGATCCCCAGCAGCTGTCTCATTTTCCGGTACTTCTTCCATCTCTGTTTTGAGTCCAACCGAAAGAAACGCCCATCAGTGTAACCGTTGACAATCAAAATCCGAACCCTTTCCCTTACCATAGGTTTCCATGTAGCAAATCGAAAATGGATGAGAATACATCCAGTGACCGAACCGCGATCGATTGATGGACAAGTATACCATTTCCCCAGGTACGAACCGAGACATAGAGTAAGGCAACTCAATTTTGCATTTGACAATCTTTCCAGACATTGCTTCCATGGATACGATGCGTGTCGGTGCTGAGTCTAGGAAATACCGTTGCACAACGTCAACGAGCCAGCAACCCAGAGCGACCGCATACAGCATCAAAAACGCCCAATGATGCCAGATCCCGACCGCCAACAAACCGAGAAAGGCACCAAGATGCAATAACCGAAACAAATTATACGATAGCGAACGCACGAGCGAATGGGACCCAAAAACGAGCACGAAAGCGCATAAGAACATCGTGGTACCTGTCATGTAGCGTACATTGGATGTGAAAGTCTGCAATAGCTGACCATCGTGACGAGCGTAATTTCTCGAGATCTGATAACAGGCGTGGTAGATGGCAAAGAGGCTGCCAAAGCGGCCAAACCACATGTGCCAGCGGATGGTTTGATCGTAAGCTGCGTTTCTCCATAACAAAGATCGGCGTACAGAAAGCAACACACAGACTGTAAAGTTGACGAGAGCTAGCTGGGCGGCGCGATTCGCGAGTTCTTGCCGCTCCATATCGGCCAAAGTGCGGTGAGGATAATCGATCACCAGATCTCGCAGCAGCTGGTAATAGTTGACGAGCCACAATCCTCCAATCTGCAATAGACGATCGAAACTCCATGTCGTGCCTAGGTAACACCATTCGTAACCGACCCAGCGACGCCAGCGATAGTACCAGCGATCCCTTGCTCGGCCGCCATGTTTGAACCAATATTTGTGTTGCCACCATTTGTACAAGCACACAGTCATATAGATGAACAACAGATGGCTACAGTAGATCAAAAGGGTACTGTAATCTCTTTGGTAGCGAGTAATCACCGTGCCGTCCGCTGGGGTGTCAGTATCGGCTGCGTCATTGGGTGCAAACGAGAGCGACATGGATACTGATAACAGGTACCGAATCAAAAAGACCGATGCTGTGAAGAGGCCAGCTGCCCACAGCAACTTTTGGCGATTGACCATAGCCATAACGGGAAACGAACAGAAAAAGGAGTTGCAAGACGAACCCAGCTATTTTGGTAATTTTTCAAACGCCGCGGATACTAAAAAGAGGAAGCTTCGCGCTCGTGCCGCCGCATGTTTGTGCGTAAACTGCAACAAAAAAAATCATCTAAAAGCAAGCTCGCAAAGCTTAAACTTGGAAATATCAAAATGCAATGAGCCAGTTTATTATCTTACCTTCAACAAAAGACGAACCATTGCTGAAATGAATCTATCACCGTAGAAAAGGGGTAGGGAAAATTCCGCAAAAAGTCCCCAAAGGTTCACAGCAAAAAATTTGGTCAATAGATGTCGCATTTGAAGTAACGTCTTGTCTTCTTCCCGGCAATCCGGATTAGTGTGGTTCATATACCTTTGAAAAGGCATCAATATGCTCTGAAAGTCCAATGGACGTCTTGACGCCGCCTTCAGATATTCCTTTCTTATGCCATGTCAATCGGTGAGTCCTGGCTAAGGTCGGTTTTGCAGTCTTAGTTGTCATCGTGTGTTGTATTCCGTTACACAGGCTAATGAAGCGTGCAGGGCCACTTCGTCTTACTCATTCCTTCGACTTTTTCAGGTATCTGATTTTTCAAGCGTTCTTGTGTGTACATTATTATATCTTTGGATGAGGTAGTAGCATTATTGCTACGAAAAATGTGATAGGGTTTCTATTTTTACCGGCAACCCTGCGCATTTATCACCGTGTCAATCAGCAATTGCGCCGGTAATTGTCGCAACCAACCGGTGAAAGTTCATGCCCTTTGAAACACCTGGATATCTGAGTCAACGATGACAAATATTCTTCGAAGCTCAATCTGAATTGTACCACGCATAGCCAAACATACCCTTGCCATAAAAAAGATATGCACTTGTAATAGCCCATCCGATAACATGCATGACAAGCGCAGAGGAATGGCTTTTGGTAAAAACATGTCTTCCTGCATTATATTGTCCATGAAATTAAACCCACAGATAAAACTGAGTATATCCGTCCTTATCAATCTGTCTTTCGGAACAGTCGTTATGCTCAATGAAGCTATCCCAAAAACCCGTGATGGACGAAAAGATTTCATCCATTCCTTTTGCCATTGGTGACGCTGTCTGTAATCTTGTCTTGACTTGATTCCAAGCAAAGCGAAAAGCAAATGACATCAAAAGCGGCTATCTTTTATTCAGTTGCAACTTTTAAGAATGGGGTGACGATCTCTGATAAACTACAGCTGCGCGACAACACGGATCTCATCGTTGAAGGGTGGATGTGAATCTTTTGAGCGTTAGCAGTCAAAACCGTGTGCGTTCGACCAAAAATAAGCCTAAACGCGACAGCATTCTGTTTCAATATTAAGCACCCCATTCATTGGCTGAATTCTGGGAGACTTGAAAAGAAATTTTGTCTGAGCGCATAATGACTGCCAAATGCCATCATAAGCATGAAATTCATGTCAAACCGTAGTTTCACAGTGACTATGAGGGTATTATATAAAGAACGCAATAGCTGCCAACTTTTCTTTTTCGCCCAATTTATACTATTTTTCAAAATGTCTCATATTCCTGCCGCTGAACAACAACGTACCGCTCAAGGTATGCGTGACAATCAAGCCTGGCAACAGACCCCCAGCCATACTCAGACTACTGGAAATAACTTTTCAGGAAGCCACACTGGCCAATACAGTGGTGCTCAAGTCACCAACACAAGCATTGATCAGTCGACCGAGGGAACTTCTGCCGACCGAGGCAACGCCACTGGTAGCTTCGATGGTCCTCAAGTCACCAACAGAACCGTTGATCAGTCGACCGCGGGAACTTCCGCTGGCCAAACCAACGCCGCTGGTCGTTTCGATGGTCCTCAAGTCACCAACACCACCGTTGATCAATCACATCATGGTACTTCCGGTACCATGGGTGCCGGTACGGGTACCACTACTCGCCCCAGTCAAACCAGTCAGCAGTCTTCTGGTTCCGATCCTCTTCGTGGAGGCATCGACAAACAAGCCGGATATGAAAATCAGCCTTCCGGTTACGATGTGAAGGAGGCCTCGTTTGGTGATAAGGTTCGCGGAACCGCTGAAGAATTGGTTGGCAAATTAACTGGCGATCAACAAAAGGTCGCTCAAGGTGAAGCGCTTGCCCGCGGCCAACATTAAATTCTTTACCGTATTGTAAATACGTTGATCATTTCAACTACAAATAAATTGTAATTATTTTTTACTACTGTAATCTGCTTGCTTAGGGGGGTGAGCGTACGTTGTTTCATTACAAGGGGAGCGGAGGGAGTAATCTGCTCGACCATGTCACTGGACCACGGTGATGAAACCCATGACAAATCCGTTGGCATTGTGCAATTACGTTCTAAACAGATAACATTGCCCCCATTGTCTGAGACCGCATAAAATTGCCTTTTATGGTTCCGTCTCCATTTTGTGGACACAACAACCGAAGCACAGGCTACCAGAATTATTTTGTGAGGGCGGAAATGCAATTTCTGTTTTTGGGGGGGGTGGGGTTCTGTCGTCCTCAGTGGTCCAAAAGACGCGCAATAAAACTAATGCTTAGCGTTTTTATTTATTGGTGTTGAGGCGTTAGCAAGAGCGAAGTAGTCGCTCTACTTAAATACGCCATTTCCTCCAAAGTAATCGGCATTCTTTATTATTTGATCATGCTCCTTTTTCGACAGCAAATATGGAATAAAAATACGTTTGATTCGTGTTTGTCAATGCTTCTGAGATTTTTTTTTTCTTTAACTGATGAGCCTTCATTTTGGAGATGGATTCTTAATGGGCTGACACAACCTCAATAAAAAGGTATATTAGCCTTGTTCTCATCACCATACATTTATCCTTGTCCGTTGCCTGCTTGGCCAATTAACTATAGTTCTACCTACAGATAACGATGTCACCCGAAACGAAAGCAATCTCCGTTTTGCTATTAACTTAGCTTTTACAGAACGAGGAGCCTAAAGTACAATACAGTGCTTCCTCGGATTCAATAGGTAAACAACCGGTCACAAAGGATAAAAAACGATGATGGACGATACATCATTGGTTAGAATACGCATCCTCTAACACTCTTTGCTATAAATGAATATAGCACGCGGAGCTCGTTAAGGAGACACAACTTTTTTACGTTTATAGCTGTCAACTTACGGTTTGTTAACAGTGGCGTGACCTCGTGAAGCCGGCAAAATAGACTTCGTGGTTCTCTGAAAAGATAGAATCCAATAGTGTCAATTATCAGTGCAACGCTTACAAACTAAGCCTGGTATCCCTTTAGGCTTTTGTGATAGTTTTCCGTTGGTATCAGTTGCCATTCCAATTGATAAGGCTTTCGGTTCACAAATCTTACGAGATACGGCCATACGAAAAGGGGCTTTATAAGAACGTCAGTTTTTATTTCAATATTTTTGTAATATCGCAGTTCGTTTCCTTCGGCTTGACTTTGATAGCCGAATAAAAGTGGTTCTTCATTTTGAACTGATCAACTTAAGAGCCCGTAACCGTGTCCGCATATTTTGTTATAAAGAAGCCATGAAAACTCTGGTAGACCGCCATACCGCCGTAAGTAAGTCACAACGGTTACACATGATTAGCAAAATTTACCGGTGAAGCGGTAAACTCACTGCGTTTTTACCGATTCTTTACCGGTAAAAACGCACGGAGTATACCGGTGAACTCTGCTTTACCGGTAAACACACATTAAATTTACCGGTAAAAACATCGAATAGTTTACTGAGAGCACTTCTCTTTTCATTGGCTAATTTACCAGATTGGTTGCAATGGCTGAAGCGGATAAGTCTGTTTTAAAGTAATCAGCTAGAGCATCTTGTAGCACGACAACCCTTTAGCCGCGCATCTCTCCACCTTCATAATTCAGCGATTGACCTCTTTAGACCATACATATACTGGGACATACGATATAAATTGTCCTTCCTCTATTGATAAAATAAAGAAACCATTCTCCTATCCTTAATCCTCCTGTTTATAATAAATAAAATAACAAACATTAACTGTTTTTTATTCCTCTAGTTATTCACTCTGACGATCCAACGTGATCCTTGCCAAAACTAACAAAAAAAAAGTCAAAAAATCGGAAAAACGAGGCTACCAGGGGTCGAACCTGGAATCTCCTGATTCGTAGTCAGGCGCCTTATCCATTTGGCCATAGCCCCATTTGTTTTTGGGGATTTCAGTATTTATATATATTGCAAAAGCTGTGACTGCTAATTCGGACCGGGCTTCGGAGGCTCTCCGGAGAAGTTGGCATATCGATGGTGGTGTTCAAAGATTTTAGTCATCATTTGCCTCCTCGTTTTCCCCAAAGCGTATCGCGTCTTGAGATACATAAAGGTATACTGTAAATCATCGTAAAGATATGTAGGCCAAGACGCAGCCAAATATTTATTTATTATGGTTTTTCTATTTTTGGGTATTTCGATGAGTGCTAAATGTTATATTCAACACGTTCAATTTCATACCTAACTTGAACATCCTCAATCCGGCTTTCTCTTGATGTGGAATACTCATCTCTTCATAAGTCAATAATATTATTCTTCGATTATTATCTCGTACTGTACTTAGGCCAAGAAATCGTTTTTCTATCAGAAATTCACCTTTAAAGAGGCTAATATTTTGACAAGTGAAAATAAGTGTTATGCACTGATTACGGGAGGATCAGTGCAAGCTGGACAAGAGGGTGGTGTTAAGTGCTTTCGCAAGACAAGGACAAGACAAGACAAGAAAAGGAATACGGTAAAACAGGAACAAGAAACAAGAACGAAATCGGAACAAGAATAGAAACAGGAAGAGAACCAAGACAAGGACAAGACAAGATGGAGAACAAGATAGTGCGAGAGAATACACACACACACACACAGCACACACAATTCTTGACTGAGGTTTATTTCATAAAAGAGATCGGGTATTTATACTAAAAGATGCGAAACAGAAGAGACAATGATAATAAAATAAATAAATGAAATGCAGAGCATAACATGAGGTAACGCATAGATCAATAAAAGGAGGAAAGACAACGATAGAGAAGAACACAAGAGCAAGTATAGTGGTAAGCGCATGGACCAGCATGGCAACAGTGAAGGAGTGTGCTTGGACCAATAATGCACATGGTCATGCATTATCGCCAAGACAACGTGTGCGCGGGAATGGTCATGACACCAGGACAGTCCCTCGCTGCAAGTTCTGTTGCCGGAAGTTCTCCGGCTGGAAGCTCAGCTGCCGCGGCACGCTTTTCCTTTCAAGTATCAGAAGAACAAATCCGAACATGCCCTCTTTCACTACTGTACGATCGGTATTGCGAGAAGACTTGTCTTCAAATCCCACAGAAATCAAATCTGATTTTCGAGCGAATGGCTATTTCAAAGACCAATTACACAGCGGATCTACTTGCTATCATCCGAGCTACGATGATCCATTGCACGACAAATAAATCAGAAAGTAAGTACAGAAAAAGTGTTAATAAACTGTATGCAACTATGCTGATTTTTGCCAAGCCGAACCTGATTTTCGCATTGCTGCAGCGACCCTTTCGCCAAACTATCCTCAACAAAAATATGTTGCAGGACGGATGCTTTGTCGCAACTTCGAAGACGACGGACGATCCAACGCTCTTCAATGCAGAGCATTCTCAGTATATTCACGCGCGGTATTTTGGTCCCAAAGGGCCTTTCACTCGGACCAAGCAGAAGAATCCAAACCGGGAAGCGCTGCATCGAGAAGAGCTCGCGTCTGTTGGAGAACAGATGCCCATCACCCTTGTGACACAAACCGAATTAGCCATCAATATCAAAAGTATGTGACAAGAAACGCTACTCTGAAAACTCTTTCTATATGTTCTTCGTCTTATTCTTCAGCTACATCTGTCACCAATCCGAGGAAAGAACTATTTTGAAAAGATCCACACTATGAAGAAAATAAAAAAGGTGAGCTCGATAGGCACTACAATCGATGTAGAATAGTCCTTAATATGAATATTTCAGGCATCATCTCAACAAAGCTCTCGACGCAACATCGTTCATCTCGAACGTCACAAATACCAAAAGCGACTTTGGGAAAGCAATAATGTCGAAGCCTCAAGCAGGCGCCTGAAATGCTCGAACATAGCTTGGTAATTAAGTGAAGCATTTACATGAGGCGTCCTTTTTCTTTGCTTACAATAATCGATAGTCTATCACTTCAAGACAAAGGCATGACAGAAGCGTTGTAAGTAGCAAGACCCATTATGATACTTAGTATGATACTGACACAAATGCATAGCCCACTGAAGAACTCGCATCTCAATGGCATTATTTCCCGAAAACCACAGACGTCGATCTCCATATAGACAATGCTGTCGACGACATCAATGCTGATGACGAAGAGGACCCAGTAGAAGAAGTTTCTACTTCCATCGCAAGCAGTTCCAGAGCTCGTCCAACAGAAGTCTCAACAAAGGGGCCATCTCGGAGGAGACAACGAGCATTACAGGCAATCCTTGCCCAGCTGCTCCTTTCAGACATACTGTAGACGCTGTAGAGGAAGCAACAATTATGAAGTGCTGGGATACCGATCCTCTCACTAGCAAGGAGCTGCAGACTATGCTGCTTGTATTCCGAACATTGCGCCCTTTCGTTCCTTCCCGCGGGAGCTTCTATTTCCGCCAAGCTACTGTTTGTTGTGCTTGCCAACTCCATCTTCTATTCGGCGAGTTATGCAAAATTTTCACAATACATCTGCCCACAGGTGAAGCCTGACGCTGTACATTCATTGGCAATTGACAGTGAGGCCATTTACCAAATATTCGGGCTGGTAGAGACTGGAAGCCGAAGGATCAAGTCCATAAAGGATGCCCTAGGAAACAAGCGTCAGCTTTTTAGTCGATATTTGACCTGACGAATCAACTCGCTGTGTGCCCAACTTGGTTATCGTTCCGCGATTGTATCATCAACGATCCTTTGGGCATCCCTGTAATTAATGGTCCTGTCTCCCCGAAAAGCGCCGTGCAGTGTCGACTTGCGAAGAACGGCAAAAGCTTCCTAGCGAAGAAACCCATTGATCAACGCACACGAAGTCAATACACAAAAAAGTGATCAATTATTGTGAAGCGAGTATTAAGTCTCTCAAAAGCCGTATCCGGTCATCACGAAAAATGCAAAGATCTTAAGAGCAATGTTGTTGAAGCACAGTGTAACCTTGTGACAGCAGAAAACACGCAGGCGCATATCGAAACTCACAAGACTGCCAAAGCTGCATAAGACGATCCGCTGACAGCTATCAGTCGGATGAAGACTGATCTCTCCAACGCGAGTCAGCAAGTATAGCACGAAAGGTATGGGAACGGATATATTGTGTATCTTAAGTGATGTTTTAGACTTTGCAATATATTGACTCGGGAAAGAGCACGAAGAGAAAGAAGGGAAAAGCTACCATCCGATACCCGTCCAACTATGTGAAAGCCAGGATGCAGGATTCAGTGGCACATATGAAGCTCGACCAACTCCTTTCCGACAAGCTCTCATTCGCCCGAACGGATTATGGCATAGTGACTCTTGCCTCGACTATGGCTGTCGGGCAGAAGCAACATGCGTTTCATCTCAAGCTTTTCAACCACTATGAAGTATTGGAAGAAGAAAAGGTGACTACAGATTGACGACCAAGAATTTTTTTTCATAAACTCGTTCGAGAAAAGAACTGAGACTGCAAGGATATTATCTGTGAAGAGCTTTATGCGTGTGTTTTCTTCTACAAAGTGATTACAATTTTCAGTGACTGGCGTGACCGAAAGTACTCGGAAGTTGCGATAGCGATAGATGAAAACAGCGGTGAGCGGGCACAATCGAGTCCCTATGCAACGGCATGAACGTGTCTTTCCAGGCTTCTAAGCTGGCATTCTGATAGGGCTGGGTTGGATGCGCAGTAAACCACCGAATGAGAGCGAAAGTGTGAGGTGTCTGTCCAGCCGTCGTCCCAAGTGTATGTACAAAAAAGTACAACACTTGCCCTGTCCATGCTTGTATTCGTGGCTATTCCTTCGTTCAAATAGGAGTTGAACGTACGTGCCTCGGTTGGATCTTGCCTCTTTACTGCGATATAGCTGACCATGCAAGACCAGGGATATAAACTTCTGGATAACGGGACTGACGGCCGCGAATTCATACCTTGTCTCAAGCTAATGGCAAAGGTGAAGTTGCTCCTCGTGTGCAACCATGTAGAAATCGAGAAGCAGACGATAGTGATCTTGGCACATGGTTACCGGCGTGGATTTGGTGGGTATGGCGCTGGGAGGAAACGGTTCACATCCCTTTGCGTGATATATCTGCTCAGATGTCTGGATAAACTCTTCAACATTGAATGGGCCCATGGACGATAATCGTTCTGCTGTTGTTGAGGATCCCGCGTTTTGTACAAGGCTCGCCAGGAAGTCTGTTTGCTCTGTGTTTTGAAGATACGGTGACTGTTGACGCATAAAATCGCTGGCTTGAGCTTGCTCGATTAACCTCTTCATGAAAGTCACTGCAAACGTACCCTTCTTGTTAGCATCGATGTTTCCAAGAAGTCCATTATATCTTTCAAAGCTAAAAAGCCAATAAGCGTAGATAGGTCCGAAATATGAGACAGCGTCCTTCAGATGGCCATGCAAATGCATGTTCACTGTGATTGCACCGGGTGGATACAGAACCCCGTTCCCTAGAAAGAAAATCGAATGTATCATTGTCAGCACAAGGTTATATCAGCTTGATTATTATTAGTTCACCTTGGCAAAAACTGATCAGATAATGATGTGCGCTTTCAATTTCAGCGGGGGTGAGAGAGGGTTTGCAGAGCAAACGGCATGCATTCACAAAGTTCATCCAATTGTCGAAATAGTTGGCAGTAAAGATACCATGCAAGAGGAAAGGCGAGTAAACCAGACACCAGCTCATCCATTCGGCTGCTTTTGAATGAGAGAACCAATGGCCTATCTTGTCACTGATAGGCTCAATCCCAAGTGGAACCACATGCCTTTTGCGCGTGCACTCATTGTCTTCAAGTGGTTGTTGCTAAAGAGATCGTCCATCATCCACATATCCATCATTGGCTTGGCTGTCCCTGAAGATAGAATATTAATATTTATATTAATAACCGATAATGAGAAACATGGTCGTATCAGCATGTTCCTTAAATATACGTAGGAACAGGTTGTGCATCTAATCACATCAAAATACCGCAGTTCATGAAGGGCGGAGCAGCGAACACCCGTTTCTCGCACTGCGTTGGCCCGTTCAGCTGGGTTCTCTGCGATTTCCAGCGCAATGCATCTAGATAGTTTTGATGCTTCGTAGTTGGAATTCACGCCGACAGGTCAAAACCGCTGAAATCCAGTTTGCTGGTTCCTGGAACTTGATAAAATGATCGATTGCACTTGTAGCATGCACAGGTGCTGTTATGAACTGAAAAATCACACACTTTTCGGGCAGTAGATATATCGCATGCCGTCGTTAACAGCGCTGCTCTCACTAGCACTGCTTGTCCGGGGCTCGCAGCCGTCGTCATCATTACTCCATAAAGTTTCTTGAGCTCATCGACCAGCCGCTGTAGTTAACTGTTGCTTTCATCTGTACTCGGCTCCGAAAGACCAGGCGTTATGCCAGTAAGGATGACGTTTTCCTTAAATCGTTCATTGCTTGGCGAATTGTTGACGGTGAGGTAAACAGCACCACACGAATATTGTATCCGCGGAATGGCTGGAACCAGTCGACTCGAAAGGGATGCTTGTATTAGATATACAGAAATAGGTTGGCGAAATAAGAGGTAAAAAAATAAAGATACAAACGACTCATGTCAATAACAGCGACCGCTCGAGAGTAACAAACGGAATGTTTGTCCGTCCCGCCATCATACACATTGTGAAGGCTTCCGCTAGTGTGCACATTACGTGTTCGCCATTCGTTGATCCTTCTGTTCGAACCCAGGCCGCTCAGCTCTCCACGTTGCCTGTCAGCCATTATCTCCTTTGGAAGATAAACCTAATACGCACACATAAATATCCTTTTCAGATTTCTTAATTCGTCGGACCTATCTTCGAGTAAGGCCTTGCTAGCACTCTTCTCATGCAGCACCATCTCTTGGTCTTAAAACCAGGCCCAAGGTACGTGTCCTCGCATGATCTTTTGTGGCCGTCGCACTGCATTCACACAGGCTCTCCATCATAACACGAACCTTCCCTTCCTCAGTCAACACTCCATGTATCTGATCTGTAAATTTCTTGTCCCTTTATCTCATCTTTCACCGGTGCACTTTTCCCAATAATGCTCCCTCTTCTAACGCACCAATTCCGTTGGCACAAACTCCAGAAAACGAACGTGGTCTGATGCATCACTATAAGATACTTATAGAATGACCCTTGTTTGCACGTTCCTACACTTCTGTCAACAGGAACTCGGCAAGCTTCGTGCTTTTCTTTATCCCCCGGACCTGCTCTCGGGTTGCCACCTACACATAGGCCTCGATCCGCTCTTTTCCTACCAATGCCTAACCATAAATGCAGTCGTTTGCTTCGTTGGCGTTGTGAATGACTTCTTCGTAAACCATGACCATGCACCGTGGCTTTGCACGCACTAGTCGCTACCACTTAATATCGTGCTTACATTTTTTGTCCCGGCTTATTCGCCTCCCCTAGGACCCAACTCCTAATGATATGTTTTAACTACTTTCACCAACTACCAACCAAAGCTCTCCATCGCACTGGTCAATCTGCCCATCGCTTTTGGCAGCATAACCGGCTCACCCTGTCTCTCATCTTCTTGAACTCGACAAACTAACTCATCCCGACGATGATTTGACTCAATTAGCTGCCCCTGCTCCCGGTACCGTATTTCACTGTTGGCTCGTCCCGACAAATGATCCTGGCTTGCCCAGCACCCTATTTTTTTCTTTTTCCTTTCTGTTAATTCCGCCTGTCTGCCGCTCCACGCTTCTACGCACAATGTTACCTTGGTGGTTTTTCTTCAATTGCACGTTTTCCTATAGACCCCAGGGAGAGCAATAGTCCGCCGCGGACATGTCTTCACTTATTCTCCCAATAAAAAAAAATCTTTTACTTTACTTTATCCCCTTCAGATTGATGAAATAACGAATCATCTTTCCCGTTTGGTGATCTTGCCGGTATATCAGATCCGAGTGAAGTACGACATTATCTTCGAAAACGACAATTATATTGGACCTGTTAGCGGTCCTCTAAACGTTTTGTCTTAATGACTCACGGTTCGTATATATCAACAACAAAGCCCAGTATGAGTAATAGTCGATGTATCATGAATAGATAGCATTGTCATAATAGAATATAAAAGAACCCTCAAAACATTGAATAAACATCATCATTCGTTTTATTGTCAATCCTCGTCTATTTACTTTGGTGATCGTGCAGTTTATCAGATCCAGCAATTAAAAAAAGGAAAAAAAAACGCGAAAGAAAAAAGGGATATAGCGCCCGATGGGGGGCTCGAACCCCCGACATTTGGATTAAAAGTCCAACGCTCTACCGACTGAGCTAACCGGGCCACTTTTCAGTTGGTTCAAAAAAACATAAATAACACTAATGCAAATGTCATATCCCTTTTTCCGCTAATCGTTCTCGTCTTTTGCTATATCGTGCATCCATCCAAGATATCGTCGCCAGCGAAAGTAGGAATACATTTAATCGGAGGTGGATAATCGTAGAATAGCATGTATCGAAGTGGAAAAGAGGGATGGGACTGAAGGATGGGTGTTTCATTGAAATCTCCATCTGGTTTGGAAGACCGATTTCCGGCTCGGACTGGTCAAAGTCTAGGAAACTGGTTGTTCTCTTCCCCCCGAAAAACAAGTGCATGCGTATATCAGTATGCGTCTCAGTACTTACTGCTACAATACATGTTCTGCGATCAGGCACTATGTAATTGCTATTTGCCTCCTGTCCAATCGTTACTTGAAGGATTTCCCCACTTTCTACCAAGTGGGTATCAATACTTAATTTGATGAAGAGGTCATTATTATACGCGTGACCATGGAGAAATAATGATATTTATAATAAAAATGTGGTATCTCTGTGTCATTTTGGTATCCATTAGAGCATGAATTAATTTTTTCGATATTACGTTTTACCATCACAGTAAAACATACAAACCGTTGAAAAAACCCAGCTCATTCCATACCACATAGAGGGCAAGATATAGTGGTATCGTAAAGAGGGGATTTATTTCTTTTTGAAAACATGATACATATCAGTAGTTCGGTACTTCCTTCATGTTTTATTTTTATTTTTCGAGCTTGCAGCTTGCACACAGAAAGTATGGAAGGAGAATATTTTTGGGAATTGTCTTTAGGACCTCCCTCCCATGCACGCGCAAAAGCAAAGTCACAATTTTGATGACGCTATTTTTCGGCCGACTTTGGGGTCACAGCAGCTGTGTTATTTTACGCTTCTTCAACAAACAACGCAACAATTAATCATGGCTGGTGCTGCTGCTTTTGGTTTCCATCCTCACTTGGCCGGCTTCTGGCATCGATTCACTGGAAAAGCATTGGGTGCCACCATGTGGTTCTGGATGATGTATCGCGCAAAACAAGACGGACCTGTTATTTTGGTATGATTTTCACCTCACATATACGATTATTTACCCGAACAAAACTGATTGATGTTCTTCCTCCACCTTCACCGTTGCAGGGCTTGAGACATCCTTGGGAACACGGTGATCACGCTGAACACGAAGGAGAACATCATTAAAAGCTGAAAAATTCCCTGTACATCAAATAAAAATGCCCACTCGAACCGACATTAGACGAATTCTCGACCTTTTTGGATATCACCATTCTATTCATACGTGTCGCTCTCAATTGAAAAACCAATTCTGGAGTTAAGAATAGGGGACAGGTTGGACCGACTAACCGATGCACAGACGTTTCCATTGGTTGCGTTAATCGTTATGAGCTCGCATTCCGCGCTACGATTCAGTAGACACTTGTCGTTGGAAATTGTTTTCGTTTTGTGTGTGTGGAGCCATGTTTGGGGGCGCGGCGTATCTGTATGGAACCTGTCCAGCTGATATAAAGTTGTATGAGGCCATTTGCATGATTTCATACTTGAGGCGTTCTATGCACATTCAAAGTTCTGGCAACTTAGTAAATACAAGCACAAACAGGGTTGTAATATTCGAATTAGCTGGCTTTATTGTTAAAGTATTTTGGAGCCGCTTGTGGTAGCCACATGGACTGAATAGCAGAGACGCTGCGCACATAATGTTTCGTAGTGAAAACTAATTCGTTGTACATGATGCCTTCGACCCGTTTTCCAAACATGACCGATCCAGGATGGATCTTTACGGTTTGGCTGCCTGCAACGCTCTTGAAAGATCCATCCGGTTGTAGTAATGCCGTGTTATGGAAGAAACCAGTAAGGAAACATTTCAACACAGCATCGGTATCAGAGCCGCAAGAAACAGAAGGGGGGATGTCGAACCGTTCACAAAATCGAATCAGTTGATCGCGTACCTCCTAAAGTCTAGGGTGAGTCATTTTGCATTTCTCAGGATTCGCTTTCTTTCCCTTACCAAAGCAATCTTCATGTTTCTTATATTGATAAAGTTTTCTTTGCACCATTCAATATCTCCTTTGACCTCCCAGTAAGCTTTCAGTACGTTTAACAGGGTTAAATGATCTCCTTCCGGATGGAAAAACTTGCGTCTCGCTTCCGCCGCTTCTTCACGCTTGTCAGAGGGAGTGAAAAAGATGGAATCCACAGATAATAAGGAAACAATCGCAATGACTTCAAGAGAGCAACCGTATTCCTTGGATTGAATGATGACCTTGGAGAAAGATGGATCCAGAGGAAATTCGGCCATTTTCTTGCCAAGTTCTGTCAGTTTGCCCGTATCGTCCATGGCTCCAAGAGCGTACAGTTCCTCTAGGGCACGAATCACTACCACAATCTGGTTAGAGAAAAAAAAATACGACATACTTTTACATTGCATCGCGTGAGGTGTTCACTTACTGGAAGTTCTGGACGGTCGATCCATGTAATCAAAGTCCAGCACATTTTCAATACCGGAGGCTTTTAGTGTCAGCATTGCGGCGGCCAGGTTGCAGCGTCGAATTTCAGGCACAGTATCATCCTCAAGATCTCTAAAGGTATCTTCGGTATATAAGCGATAACACACTCCCGCAGCCTAATGATACAAGAATATTAGCGTTTTGTTGCTGGGAGAGCGATTTGCCATAATTACCTCACGACCGGCACGTCCCGTACGCTGCCATGCGGAACTTTTGGAAATGGGATGCAGCAGTAGCGACTCGACGCCAATTTTGGGATTGAAACCACGCATTTTGGCGAGACCACAATCGACGACGTATTTGATCCCGGGAATGGTGATACTTGTTTCGGCAATGTTGGTGGCGAGGATGACTTTGCGTGTGTGTGGAGGCGCCGGATCAAATACTTTCTGCTGTTGGGACGGAGGAAGAGCAGCAAACAAGGGACAAGCCAGTAACCGCTGCTGTTTCTTCCGTAGTTTTGATGCATAATCATTTACAAGTGTCGATAATGTTTCAATAGCTTCTTGGCCTGTGAACAGTAGTAAGTAACGGCGGTAAGTAACGTTGTGAAGCATGCATAATACGGCATTACTGGTTAAGAACTTACCAGGCAAGAAGACGAGTATATCTCCTTTCGGATTCCTCATATGAATTTGAAAGATTGTCACCAGCGAGGCGTCCAAATAATCGGATTGTGCATCTATCGTAAAATAAGTATCGACAGGGAATAGACGACCAGAGACGTATAAAATCTTGGCACTAGAAAACACACCGAAACAAGATATCAGTAACTGTGCTCGTCCCCAAAAGAAAAAAAAAGAAGTATACAGGATGGCAATCATACCCATTGAAAAACTCGCTAAACTTCTCAGCATCCAATGTAGCGCTCATGACGACAATCTTCAGCTCTTCCACCCCTTTTTCCCCATCGCGTACTTTTTGTTTGCGTATCCGTTGGATCTTCTTCACCATACCAAAGAGCATATCGGTTCTCAGCGTTCGCTCGTGAGCTTCATCCAGCACAATCACTTTATATCGCAATAAAAGTTCATCTGATAACACTTCACGAAGAAGCATACCGTCGGTCAAATACTTAAGCACGGTATGTGGACTGGAGGTATCGTCGAAACGGACAGTGTAACCAACCTATGATCAGATTATTAAGGATCGGTTCGATATTCCATTGTTGGTTGCATCTACCTTTCCGCCGAGCTGTGTCAATGTTTCTTCAGCCACTCTTTTAGCCAAGTTGACCGCGGCTACTCGTCTCGGCTGAGTGACGGCAATGCCACCCAGATTTTTGTTAGCTAATCCAGCTTCGAGAATAAATTGAGGTATCTCTACGTTCCGATCAAGAACGGGTCAGATCATTGTCCTATTGCGAGTAGATCCAGGAACTTACGTGTTGTTTTTCCACTGCCTGTTTCTCCCATAACGATAACCGTGTCGTTTTCCTTTATGCTTTGTATAATAGCCTCTCGACCTGATCAAAAAAGTTGATCAGTAACTTGCTGATCAGTGATACGCATGCTAGAAGCAGATTATCTGCTCGGATACCTACCAGAGTAAATAGGCAATTGCTTCCGAAAATTCAGCATTTCGTTTTTTTTAGCTTGGTATGTAGCGGGATCGAGCTTTGGGCTCTTGGTTGGCTTGAACTTTTCGACATGCTGGTCGTGATGACCCTTCTTTTTCTTCTTTGACGTGGCATTGGCCGTGGTACCGACACTAGCATCGGTAAATTGCCAGTCAGCTTTCTCTTGCTCCTGGTCTTCAAATCGGATCATTCGTTTCATGGCCGAATCGATGAATGCGTTAACTGATCTATTTCAGCTGGAAGAAAAAAAAAAGAAAAAAATTCGAAATTCGAAATTCGAGCTTGCGTGACTTGCTGCAATCGCTCAATTTTCTGCAAATCTCCTCCGAATTATGCGATTTCCCACTTTGCTTCAAAAACTGACGGTGATTGCGTACTTTCACTTCAAACGAATCGTCTGTTGTCTATTGTTTTTTAAATAATAGATTGTTAAAGCTTGTCAATAACTCGAGCTGTCATCGTGTCATAGTACGATTTGTTCACTGTGTGTAAAAATTCTACAAAGTTTATTCAATTGTTGATGCTATCGTATAAATATTGAAAGGATGGAATGCTTGGAAAAGATATAAGATTAAAAGCCTACTAAATACAAACGTTATGCCTGAAATAAATGGTGCACTTTGGCGTGGCGTGGTACCACACGGATTTCGTAAGGTTGCGGTGTGAAGGTCGGTGACCGGATGTCTTTGGGCAGATCTACCTGGATCGGCTCTTGGTGCACCCGTTCAAATTTAAAACATGCCAACAGACCAGCCGCAGCCATAAAAAGACTGCGTTCAGCCAAATGAATACCAACGCACACCCGGCGTCCCGTGGAGAATCCCAGATGAGGTCTGTCTTCGGCGGTTTGGGTAATTCGCTGCTTGTTGTTGTTCATCGTCACGTACTCCATATGACGTTCGGGTATAAACTTTTGAGGCTCGGGATATCGGACGGGGTCTTGTTGGATGGCGTGTAAATTCATGATCACCGTAGTATTGGCGGGAATAAACCAGTTTCCATACACATCATCTTCACTGGTCGCATGTGGCACAGACAGAGGAGCTGGTGGACGCAGGCGAAGCGTTTCGTGAATTACACATTGAAGATAGGGAAGCTTATGCTCTAAAAGGACAAGATCCATGATTTAGCACAACCAAGTCTTACTGATGCAAAAAAATAATAATAAAAAAAGCGGTTTCATACCATCTTCAGCATCGGGAAGACGATCTAATCCGATGTAGGCTTCAATTTCTTCATAGACACGGTCCTGGAATTCAGGATGATTGGCAAGTAAAGCAATCATCCACTCAATGGTGGAAGCGGTTGTTTCCGATCCTATACATTTCGCTTGATTAAATCACGGGTTCCAAGTGTAAGCTTTTTAGATTGTCATATCTTACCAGCACCGACAAACACAGTGATCAAGTTGATGATTTGCATGTCTGTTAATTCGCCTTTGATCAAAATATCCTTGACAAAGCAATCCTTTACGGCACCAGGTTCTTGTTCAAGCAAAGTCTTCAGTTGAGCTAGGAACCCGCCATAGAACTCAAAGCCTCGCTCCCGAATCCGCGCGTATTCCGCTTGTCGGCTCGGTAGGATTTTCTTCAATACAGGAAAGAATTCACGAAGTTGTTCGACAGGCCCAAAGATGGCCGCGGTTTGTTCGGTCAGGGCAAAAGCTTCATGAAGCTTTTCATCGCCTGGCTCAAACGAACAAATGTCACCAAAAGCAATCGAAAGTACCGTCGTCATGGTAAAGTGCTCAATGATATCGGTTAGCCGCAGTGGTTCTTGTTTCATCTGAGCTTTCCAAATATTGCTGAGCAGCACATCGCGTCTTTCCGAAAGAATTGGCTGGTAAGAATCAATCTTCTTTTTGACCAGTCCAGAGTGGGCTAAGTACATCATGTTCAGTATTTCAAGACATTATTCTAAAATGGTTGATATATGACTCACCAATGCGTCTCAGATGGCGCCATTCTTTGCCATAGGGATAAAATGCAAAACCACCGCCATGTTCCACTATGCCACAAAAGTTGTTAAAATAATCAGTTTAAAATCATATTTACAGTGTGGATCTCTTACCTCCGCCCATGATATCGTTCACCAGAGCATCCGGCAGGTCTCTTGAAGAATATATTGTGCTTCTGCTGACGATGAGATCTTTAACGGCGTCCATCGAGTTGAGAATGATCCAGCGTTTTTGACCAAATTGGACAGTAAATACCGGGCCGACCACCAAGCTCCATTGACGAAATAGTTCCTGGGCCGTAATAGGACGCATAATTTGCAACAAATGGCCGAGAATTGGATGGCATCCTGGAGCATACGGTGGCAGTGACAAAGAGGGATGAACTTTTTCTTGCGATTTACCCAGCGCACGAAGTGTAGCCAACAGACCGATGGTACCGAGAATCCCGCCAAAAACCACCGGATCGGCTGTTTGTAATAAATGGTCCGTAACAAGGCTAAGCATTTGGATATTCTGTATTCCTAATTCGTAGTCAGAGCATAATCTTTATAAGCGTTGGAAGGTCTTTTGTTCGCCAAAATGGTTAATTTTCCGTTCTTTTTTCTATGCAACCCCTTTTAGCACGAATTTTTTTTCTCACCTCACTCCTTTTATATACAATGGCAATCCGACTGTCATATGGGTCATGCTAGTTGCATTCACCATTCGGCGACGTGTGTTATAGAATGCTGTTTTGCCTGTTTGTTTTATGGACATCGAATAGCTGTCGCGATAGTCTTTGGTGCGAACCTGCGCATTAGCAAAGAAGAGCAAACGTGGTAACAAAATATGCAGCAATTGCATGTTTTGATGGCAGGATCCATCTAACTATTTTGGGCGATGAATGGAAAATCTTAAAAGGAAATTATTGCCATAAAATTAGAAAGCGTTGTGTGCAACCTTACGGCATCAACAAAGTGTACATTTTCCATGCGTAGACACTATTCTTTTTAACAGCAGCCTTGGTACCCTAGTGTATAAAAAAGGATGAACCAATAATAAAATAAAGTGAATGCTACATACCAGAAAATAGTTTCCAGTGGTTGAATGCACTTGGCACAATGGGCAAAGTTGTGGATCACTGGGTTGTCGTCGTCGTCGGAGACTCAATCCACCGAACAACAAAAGTGACAGAGAACAGTCAATTTCGCGTGGCAAATACCGCCGTCATGTCTCAACCATTCCAATGGCCAAAGATCTTTCAACGTTTGCTTAACCAGCAGAATACCAAAGCAAAGCACCTCATCAAATTGAGGGAAAACAAGCAGTATCGTTTGGATCAACGATCAGTCGTCGTTCAAGGTTTAAAGACCATTCGCGAACTAGTTCAGGAAGGATTACCCCTCACTGCATTGGCCGTGACAGCCGCGAAAACGGTCACCGATCCGGCAACGATCAAATCTCCAGCGTCTGACGTGCTTGAAGCGCCCCAAAAATTACCGGCTAAAGCCTACTACTTGACAGACGTCAATCTGACACGGCGCATTCTGGGCACGGCTTCTCGACCGAGTCCTCACGAAATCTTTGCCGAAGTCCCAATACCCGATCATGAGCTTCCTCCAAAGCAAGAAATAGATCGACTTTTAGTGCTGCACCGAATCAATGATCCAGGCAACGTAGGCACTTTGGTACGGACATCGATGGGACTCGGCTGGACATGTGGTGTGCTGACGACAGGCACTTGTGATTTGTACAACGATAAAACCATTCGCGCGTCTCGAGCCTTGTCGTTGCGCTGGAAATATCGATTCACGGAAACGGAGGAGATGTTAAAGTATCTTGATGAACTGAAATTGACGCCAATTGTAGCCGATATGCTACCTCATCTCACACAAGCCTCGGATCTGTGGTCCCCCGTTACTGGTGCAGCTAGTGAAACGAATCCAGCAACGCTAGGTTCTGGAGCTTGGCTGTGGAATTTCCAAGGAAAGAAACCGGAAATGCCTAAGCGACCAGCGCTGATCCTCTGTTCCGAGCACTCGGGCGCGCGTGGATTGAATGATCAGATCAAGATATCGATTCCCATGGCAAAAAAAGTGGAATCACTGAACGTCGCCAGCGCAGGCAGTATGCTCATGTACGAACTCAACCGATTAATGCGCTAATCCACATAGGCCTCTCATTTCTCCATCCTTCATAACCTGCAATTTTTTTCTCATCATACAAAATGCGTTCAATAAACATGAATACATAACAAATCGTAATCTCGCGGCTAGTCTGCGTCATTTTGCTGCGGTTGCTCATAAATTGGGCGATGAATAATCGAATAACCGTAACACTATCAGTCTTTCACCAGCGTGTAAGAACATGGCGCCTATCAGATTTTACTATGTCATGATTTCTTATATTACGCCTTGAATATCGCATGGCCTACAGCAACACGCGCTAAAGCCAGGAGTATACTATCTGCTCACATGTTCCTAAACAATATGCAACCCGTAAATGGTGTAGAAAGCTTTCCATGCATCCTTGATTAAACACTTTTACTGGTTTAAAATGTATAGTAACAAAAAGAAAAGAACGTCATAGCATATAGTTTTAAAAAATTATACTCACGAAACACAGGATAGTGCCATGCATCGAGCGCAAGTAGTTTAATTGCAGTCGGCACAGCAATAATCGACGTATTTGAGGTCCTGTCGGTTGCCGGCCCAATCAGGGAATGGATAGATCTTGCCGTTGGCACCGCCGTTCAAAGCAAAAGCAATAATGAAGAGCATGAGAGATGTACCGGAATCCAAGGCTGTCGAGATCAAATAGTTGTGCTTGACAAACCACTCTCGATATCGGCGTTTGATGTAGCCTTGGGTGACCAAGATGATGATAAATGACACGGTGACCCAAGAGGAAGCCGAACCAGGTACCACGCATAAACCAACGAGAATCATTGGAATATTAACCAAGTTGAAGCCAGCTTTGGGGAAACGTCGGTGCAGCAACCAGCAAGGAACAGGCAAGGCAAGACCGATAAGGAAAGCCCAAAGAATGATATAGTACATACTGTTAGGGCCGAACATCACCATCGGTCCAATAGCGCCCCAAGTAATAGCGGCGGAATTAATGGTCTGTGGTGACGCTCCGTTCCAAATATTGCTGCCGACAGGATCCAAAAGGATTTCTCTCTCGTTGTTCACGACGCTCTATTACCGAGTTAGTAAATGATAATATCCAGTGCCAATAGCCAGAAAACACCTACATAATTGACAATGTAATTGAAGATACAACCAATGACGGTACCAATCATCTGGTTCAGGAACACCATGCGCGGAGGGATCTTCAGATAATGGCCAATTTTCAAATCGCTCGCCATCACACCGGCTTGATTCAGAGTATTGAAACCAAGTGTCTTGAAGTACATGTTGGCAACCGGCAGTCCAGGAAGGACAAAACCGCAAATCATTTCGGCAAACACATTCAGACCGAAACCAGTGCCGGTAATAGCAGAGATCATATTAATCGGCAACGACAAAAAGGTCGAAAGGGCAATAGCAAGAATCACACCCCACCACGGTAACTGACTGTGATTGGCGTAGGCCAAACCAATGTTAACAGCGATACCAAGGATAAATACAATGTAGTACCACCAGTTGGGAACCTAAGATCAGGTAATATGTCATCAATATCGGGAGCTTAAGTGAATGTGATGATCACACGAAGAACTTACTTCTTTATACGCTTGCATTAATCGCATGTGCGGGTCGTCATTGTTGTTCTTGACGCTTGCCTTGGTGAGGCGAATGCTTTGCCATATCTCCTTTCCGTAGAACAAAGCAATATGGGTAATGGAAGCCGTGACACCAAAATTGATAAAGATGTATTGAACGGCAAAAATGGTCGAGAAGCGAGGATTGCCGACTTGTTCCAAAAGTGTTTGGTTCAAGGAATTGTCTGGGTTTAGAACCTTGTGCTGTGGATAAATCTCGGATTCACCGGTGGTGCTATTGAGGGCAAAAATAGAATTGGACAAGAAAGGGAAGCTTTGGGCATCCCAGACGTTGTAATAGTACAATAAAGGCGCAAGTAACCACAGTAACAGAACACCACCGTAAATGTTCATCTGGACCCAAAGTGGCAACACCAATGGATTGAAATAAGACAGGTAATTCCAGTCAAAGCTGAACTGTAGGATACCGAGACCTTCATTTACCGCCAATCCGCCGAAAAGACGCTGAAACCAGGGCGAGTCCCGCTTGGCCAGACAAAAGATGGAGATGCCGCCCAAGAGAGGGAACATGTATTGAGGAATAAACTCGTAAATAAACACGCATCCGAAAACGATAAAGAAAAAGCGTGTACGCCATTTTGCTTCTGCCCGGTCGGAATTGAGCGTTCGTAACAACGAGACGGTGGGAAGCGATGTGGGCCAGATCATGTTGGCTGGGTAGACCAAGAAGGGACGCAATTGACCAGCAATACCGTAGCCCACCAATTGGGTAGCAAAGAGTAAAAAGATGGAACCAGCCGCATTGGGAGTATCGTTGTAATACAGCTCTTGAGCTGACAGAATATAAGTGGCATAAGCCGAAGTATTAGCGGAGGAGACAAGCACGTAGATGCAGGTGTGTTCTTTGACATTAAAAGGGCCAGGATTTAACCAGCCTCCACTAGGAAGTAGTCGGGCCCATGCATGACAGACAACGTAGGCGACCATTAGCATGAAGGTATTTGTCAAGGGTAAGCCTACGGGCTTGAACAACATCAGTTGGTACACGGATGCGCTAAGGCACGCCAAAAGCTGCGGAAAAATTAAAATGAACAACATATTAAATTGGCTGCGATATACATATAACAAATCTTGATGGGTATCCTTACAGAACCAACAACAAGGGCGCGAACCGTTAAACATGGTAAAGTAGGATCATCTTCGAGACTGGCAAGTTCATTCACGACTTTGATATCAATGTCTTGTTCAGACTCGTGCACAAAATGCTTTTGATCTTCCACCGATTTTTCTGAGGGCTGATAGTTTTCGTCGACCGCCTCAGAAAGGTGATCTTTGGTAGGGTTGAACTCTAATTTTTCGAAGAGATCGCTGTCTTTTTTAGAAACAGACTCTTCCATTAGGAATTATATAAGAAAAGAAAAAGAGGGAAAAAGATTAGAATATACAAAAAAAAAGAGGCGGTTATGCAGCTATATGTTATTCAGATCTTATATTGTAAATAAAGGCGCACGGCATCTAAATGAAGACACGGAGTTTGGTTGGGCTTTTGCTGATGCTCTGTCACAGGATCGATGCGAAAAATCAGATCCAATTATTCCCATTTGTCACATCCGGACTCGACATTCTGTGTATTTCCTACTTCTTGATCTCATGCTGCATGTGACATTGCTTGTTTCAGGATTGCTTATTTTGGCAGTTGGAGTTATCTACGCTAATCTTCACTGGGAGCACAAGCCGTTGGAGCATCGACAATATTTCCAATTAAGGCCAATTGTTCTCTGTAAGGAAACTACTGCACAATTTTCTGAAAGATGATGGGTCTACAATATCCCGTCAATGTCGGTTTTTCTCATAGGACGGTTTCTGATTGGGGAAAAAAGCGGCCGTTCCTGGCCATGCCAGCCTAGTTGAGAGACAAATTATACGAATCAAGAAAAAAAAAGGCACAAACCGAATAATGCCCGCCAGATCAAGAATCTTTTTCTTCTTATTTAGATCATTTTACATCTCTTGACTGGTCGGCGTGTTTACAGCAAAATATGTGAGGAGGACACAAATATGTACCGTCTACATTGAAGTTCTTTCGATATCCGTTCTTTGTTTCGCAATCTGCGCGTTGATTCGGGAAAGAAAAAGTAGAGCCTATCATTTCACCATGTATGGCGTTTTTTTCCCCTAAACATGTTTTTTTGTGGTCAGGCTATATCCATTTTCAGCCAAATATCCTTTTCTCGGAACTAAAAATCTCGATCACACCATCTCCAGGGTCTTTCAGCAGAAGATAGGCAATTTATTCATACGAAACGAGCGGCGTTTTCCGGATTTTCCTTGGAAACTACTAATTTGTTGCCCATGTTTATTCGAATTACTTCAAAGTTATTTGTCCGACAGAGAAATCTGCAGATTATCGCATAAAAGAACTGTTTGTAATTTTTCATTGCTTTGCCGTGGAAACCTTTGAGCTCATATGAGCAACAAAAGCTCTATGGATTGTGAGACGAGTGTGAGCTTTTCGGGGAGGAGAAACCGTTTTTCAGTGCAACAAGTTCTAGTTAAAAATCCTCCATCATTTCCTAATAGCCTTTCAACACATTCCGCTTAAATATATCGGTAGCACAAAATCAAAAACAGAAAGCATGACACATCATCTAGGTTCCACCGTTCCTCTCCGCCAATAGATGACTGTCTTGATTGCAATTTGTCGGTGAGAGCAAAATAACCATTACTTGTCAGTTGAATCATCAGGATTATTGGATCAATCGATGAATTTCCTTTTCTCCGGATTGTCATTTTTTTTTTTTTCTTCTCGCGGACGGTTATGCGACGTCGTCTTCATGAACAATGATGCCAGGGCGGAAGCACGGTGAAAATACATCCCAATATAACATACAAGCAGGATCCATCGACCAATCTGAAAGTCAAGCATACTGCATGCAATAATGCAGTAATAAATATTTATATTAGCTACTCATGATCAAGTATGAACAGCGCGGGAAAGTTGACATTGCAGTATAAACGGAAACGTGTAAGCAATGCGAATTGGTAAACTAAACTTTATTTTACAAACTTTTGCTACCTAAAGTTGGAACACTTTCATGTAAGTCAGCGGGTAACGTCGATTTTTCGTCGTTCAAAATAGCATATATGCAAAATCAGAGAAGCAAAGGACAGAGAGATATCATATAAACTGGGCGCTTTTTATCGATACAGTCTCCTTATCTTCTCCAAATCAATAAGTGTAGATTGGCTTGGATCGGCGGTTAGTGTTATCAGAGTTCGGCGCCAGTTGTGATTGCAAAGGACAAAAGTAATAACAGATCATGTCGTGATTTCTGGCGTATTATTTACAAAAAAGATTTACAAATTGGGTTAAGCAGAGTCGTCTCAAGTATTCCTTGATCTTAGGATCACATGTTAACAGTAGAAGGTACGAATTCGGATCAAAGGCAAGCCGGTGTAAGATCCTGGTGCTTGCAATGACTGTCAAGTTTACTGAAGTAAATCTATTTGATAGTCATTTTGTCGATTATCGTAAAATGGGTTGATGTCAGATCCTTGTTATTGGTGATTAGAAAAATGAAGCACCAGGCTAGAAACTATTGTTGTATGGACAAAGACACAGTTAAATTTATATACTTATCAGTGCACCACGGTCTTTACTAATGCGAAGGATAAAAAAATCAAAAGAAAAAGAAAACCGTGTTTGATACGGCAATATGAAGAAAAAGAGGGACTAAGGGGTTCCGCTTGACGCCAGCAGGACGCCCACCACCACACATAACGTTGTAAGCGGTGTTATATTTCGCGTCGCACATTTTTCCTATCTTTTTTCATCGTATCTCTTTTATTCCTGTTGTACTTTCTTACGCCATTGATTAACTTCAAGTGCAAAGCAAAGCGTTCTTTTATCAATTGGAGGAGCAAAGTAAACGCGCCCAATCACCGGCGATTTGCTGGCATCCACAAAAATCATGTGCTGAGGTGTCTGTAGTAGTATGCTCTTCCCATTCCACAACTGCAGGTTCCGTCCGCACCGGCGCCTGCGCCAATGATTGCGGACATGTTGGGAACCATTGACCAGAATGAGTTTCTGCTGGAAACTAGAGGTAACAAAGATGACTGGCAGACTCGTCTTCCCGAATCAGGATAAAATAGGTGTTGACTGTTGTCAAATCATTGTCCTTCGTAGAAGCACATCCTCCAAGTCAGGTAAATGCAGAGCCAGCTGCATGATCGCCGGTGGCCGATGGTGTCAGGAGAAAGAGTATATGCGCCAGATCGTTTCAGGAGCAGAGATGTACCGAGCATCTTGGTATGACTGGGTTTCGTCTATTGTTTCACTCGTCCACTCCCGCATCCACTTCTTGCTGCTGCGCACATAAAGTGACCGCGATGTGGTCGTGGCCTTTGTATACGTATTTGAATAGGTATTTAATGGCGCTAATTGAGGAACATATCTCGACATTGATATGTGCGTTATACTTGGTGCAAGGTATAAGTTGTAAGGAACGATGTTCCTGTTGTCGATGGAGATATATCTTTGCACCAAAAACGATCGGCCCTCATTGGGACGTTTGTAGCGAGAGTATCCGTCTTCAACAATGACTGTCTCTTCGGGAAACTGCTTGGGGTATTTTTTGCTGCAAGTGCCGTTGACCCTGTGAATTGGGGTTAAGGTATCCACATGGTCCATGCACCATGTTTTTAGTCACTGTATGGTAAGCTGCGGGATGGCGTTGAGGGTCTGGTATCTGGGCACAGACGATTCGGTCGTAGTCTTTTTGTGTCCTGGATTTATCGCGTTCATGAAGAATCAGAAGGATATGAGCATGAGGGAGACCCCGCTTCTGAAACTCCACGACATGAACGGACGCGATGACTTGGCCCAAAATGTGCGTTTTCTTCAGGTCATCCATCAAGGATTTAAGCTTCACCTTGAATACTCGAGCACAGAGATCTGGACGATCAGCTGGCCGTTGTAAAGGCTTCAGCTCACGGGTGATTTCAGGCCACTTCGGGTTACATGTAAAAGTAACAAAAAGAGCTGGTTTCCCGAAAGCGTACACAATGGCCATTGCGTCTTGCTACCGTTGCACCATATCTCGAGGGATACCCAGAAAGGATGAAGGTAAAATGACCCGGCGACCCACATCAGCAGCCTGAATGTCTCGTCCATTGGATATATCCATAGATCCATCCAGCATAGCAGTAAGCAGCTGTGGTTGCATTTTACTGCGGATATATTCCAGTCGAAGCTGTTCGACCTTCACCCACATGTCGACGATGAACTGTTGGAGGAACCGCCCGTAATATATATATATATATATATATATAACAGTCGTCCCCACGCTCTTGCAACATATGAGCGTAGTAAAGCATGGTGGTACTTGACACTTGCACGGCTTCCTCATCGTTACGGTCGGGTATTCTGCGGGTGCGGGTATTGTCAAAAGGTGCAGGCGGGGACCATCCTTGCTCTCCCGTTGGGAATATGAGCACGTATTGTAATGGGTCATAAAGAGGGTGGCGTTCATCTATACGTAATAAACCACCACCCCCTTGGAATGTTATCCTGACCTCGCGGCAGTATCCGATGTTGGTGCCTTGATGCCTTGGTCGGTCGGGTATGATAGCAGCTATATCGGTAGCTGCCGGTTGAAGATACTGTCCCCGATGGCCGGCTGGTAATTGGGATGGGTATTATGCATGTTGTATAAGACGATTTCGTATTCACTTGTGGTATCATCACCTCGCAATCGTTCTCCAGCATATTGGTATATGCGGGTATATGGATTCACTCGAGCCGTCATTGTCTGCAAAGTTTGTAGGATTTGGGGATGGAGATCGCCAAACATAGATGAGCGATGTTACTGCTGAATATCAGGATCACCTATGTATAATTGCAAGAATGCTGGTTGAAAGTTTGCTGAGGATGCATATTGGGTAAATGCAAAAAGGGTATTGTACTTTCGGATATAACGTTGGCAATCTTTAGAGCTCGCGTCTTGACCGGTAAGCAACTGTTGTAGCTCTTCAGGAGGCGGCTGAAGGACGTGCTTTCTTTCCTGGTTGAACAAAACGGAAAACCAAGGTTCTTGTCGAGCTCCGGCCACTTTCTCGTCCCGATCTATTTCCAGCATTTCCAGGATTTAATGGACAGAGCCGGCTTGAAATCCGTTGGTGGCCTGTACGCCCACATTGACAACGTCGGTTAGGGTCTAACCGCCTCTGAGATATTGTAAAATTATCTATCAAGAGAAAATGGAAATACCTTGTGGAATAACTTGAATAAACTGTTCAGCACGAGCAGCTCTATTCGTGGGGTTCAGCGGACACCGTGAGCTCGTGATTCTTTGGTGATTTCTGGCTCCGCATTGACAATGTTTACTAAGGTCTATCCAGATCTGAGAAACTTGTAAGATCGTTTATCAAGAGAGATTTGACTACCTTGTGGATCAACTTGAATAAATTGTTCAACAATTCTATTCCTGGGGTTCAACGGACATCGCGAGTTCGTGATTCTTTGGTGATTTGTGTTTCCACAACGGCAATGCATACTGTAGATTACTGTTTGTTGTGACGGATATAAGTTATTAAAAGTCAAAGCAAACCGTTTTTATGTTCAGTACAGTTAGCCGTGGCAATTTTTATGCTCACCTGTTCAGCACAGTTGTGCCTGAAGCTTTGCAGAAAAAGCCTGCGACGCGTAAAAAGGCTTTCACCAAAACTCTATGAAAGTTGGGACTGCCTTTTAGATGTTTTACGAAGTAATGTAAAAACCAAAAAAAAAGCAACACTTCTTTCTAATTAACAGCAGCTTTTGTAGTTGATATATGAATCGATATTATGAGAAAACCTTTGCCTTGGTAGGCCGTTGGGATAGTTGCATACACGAAAAACCGCCTACTAGAGAGAGCGCAAAAGGTAAGGATAAAAAGTCGGGCTTTGGTCTTTTCTTCTGGCACACACTTTGTATCTTCTGTTAAATACGTAATAACGAATCCATTGAAGAAATAACGCTATATATATCATGCATAGGCATAGATGATTTGCTGGAAGGGTGGCGAATCCTTTCAAAGCGGGACCTACGGGATTTTTTTCCTATCGTTGGCAGAGAACATGGTCAAAAATTTCAAGTAGCGCAACACTTTGGCTGTATCACCGCAAGTCTTCCACAATTTTTTTTTTTTGACCATCAATTTTGGGGTTATTTCCCAAGCATCGGACGCCATCGATTACCACTCATGCGGAACTCGCCATGTCTCAACAAGTCAAATCTCTCGTTGTCATTTCCCAAGAAGTACTGTCGAAGCATTTTGAAGGTAACTATGGTCGGTCCGGCCACATGCCTTGGGACCCGGATATATCGTCCATCGTGATTCATCATGGGACAAGGATGAAAGAAGCTGATCCATGGGTTTCAATTGCCGCGGAATGCTAGGCCTACTCGATGTCGGAACGGTACCATACTACTTATTGAAAGAACCATTGAAAAAAGCGACACCCCAGCAACTATACCGTATCGAACGAGCAAATCCTGTAAGTGGGAATGGATATACCGATTAAGGAGGTGACACTGATCTTGAGACGTGACTATAAGCACCTTTTGCCAGAATCAGATGGTAAGTTTGCTCAGTCAAGATCCAGTATTACCAAGCGAGGTGGAACATGTATTGACTGATCACATTGTCCGCATAGAATTATGGTTGAGTCATTGTTTATGCTACAAAGATATACGTGATGCTTATTTCAGCGGACAGCACCAGGATCCCCGACTGTGGCGACAGTTATACTTGGTACGCAAAAATACTACTCTACTCCAGCTTTGGAGAGTATCAACAATACTAATATCAATATAGCAACGCTTTGAAGAGAATGAACGACGAAGGCAACGGGTGAGCGAAAAAATTAAAAATCAGTACAACAAGATCCAGCATGAAAAGGAAGCAAGATCCATCAAAGTGCTTCGAGGTATTGCTCCCATACGAACTGGACGATCTTACGACGCAGCAAGTAAGTCACTCGAATGCCCATTGCATCAGCTTTGCACCGCTTGATACTAATATGCAATTTATCGTAGAAAGATCAAGATCCAGCCGATTATTCCAAGAAACGAAGAAAGCTGCGGATAAAGTGTAACTAGACCCATCGCCGGGAAAATTTTATGCGATGCTGATCATTCCCACACCTCGTAGGCATGCCATTTATCACTGTAGACAACCACATGCGGCATCCCCCACGCCAAAGATTATTCGACCTTCCACCCTTATTCACAGTTCCAAACCGCCATCCGCGCTCGACAAAGCTTATCGATCCAATCGTGCACTGTATGAAGCCCCGCCAAAACGACGTCCCTCATCGCCATTGATTCCGCCACCCTCCAAACTCGACCTACCCGCTCTCCCTTCCCCGCATCAACGCACACTACCGAAAAAGGTATGCGCTGTTTATTTTTTTCATTTCTCACTGTGGATTTGCTGACTGTTCTCTCTTATCCTTGTAGACCGACATTTTCATGCCGCGAAAACCCGCCTCATCTCCTTCTTTCAAATCCAAATCCCTCTCTTGTAAAAGCTTACCATCGTCTCCTCGTTCCAAATTGTATAAATTACCCTGAAATCATTTGTGCGTACGGCCGGCGAAAAAGGTGATTTTCCTTTCTTTTTTTTTGGGTTTGGGTGCGTTTTCATCAGGGCATGTTTAACGGCCGTAGTGGTACTTTGCGCTATCGTACGATAATCAAAATAATTACGCAACGTAAAAAAACAAGAGAAAGAAAAGGAAAAAGACAGGATACAGCAAGAAAAAAAAGGAGAAAAAAAAGGCATATCAATTTCAGCGGTCCATGGAGTGGCAAGATATCGATGATGGATTGTCATGGATTTAGCGTCCCGATCGAATCACCTCAACCATGTGCGTCGTTCAACACTTGTGTTCTATACAGGGGTCCCTTTTTCTTTTATATTTTATAACTTTTTTGGTCTGTTTACATCTTCTTGCCGCCGAGTTTCGTCTTGCCAATAAGGTTCTTGTGGATGTGAGGAAGAACACCACCGCCAGCAATCGTTGCCTTGATAAGAGCATCCAACTCTTCATCACCTCGAATAGCCAGCTGCAAATGTCGAGGGGTGATGCGCTTGACTTTCAGATCCTTTGTCGCATTGCCCGCCAATTCCAAGACTTCGGCTGTCAAATATTCCAAAACAGCCGCGCAGTAGACGGCCGCTTTAGAACCGACACGCGTATTATTTCGGCCCCGTCCTTTCAGGTAACGATGAATACGTCCGACAGGAAACTATTGCAAACAGTCGATAAGTGACCTATTGTCTCGAATGACAGTGGGCATCGTAACGAGATTTACCTGTAGACCGGATCGTGCAGATTGAGAAAGAACAGTTTGCTTTTTCTGGTCAGCTAAATTACTGGACGCTTCGAGAGGTCTGTCAGCCTACAAAAGACATTTTAGCTATTATGTATAAAGATCTCGTAGTAATCTCAATAGATTGGTCATTTACCATAGTAAAAAGTGTTGAGGGACGAAGAAAAGGGACGCTCGAACACCAAGGTCAGAGAAGAAAAATTTCCCAAATCGCCACCCGAAAAAAAAAAACGGACAACCCGCGTCGGCATTTTAAAAATTTATGAGGCAGTCCACGGCTTGGACAACGGCCTCAAATGGGGGAAAGCGCAAATCCCCTTTTTTTTTGGTTTTTATTGCTGTAACATGACCAAACTGTAACATATTCGCCAATACTTTATCTGTAATCAAGCTGGAGAGCTAATCTCTTCCAGCTTTAAATGTATAATTTATCACCATTCTACGGTTGGAAAATGTGTGGATATCAAAGCAAGGTCACGGCGCGCTGCAGGAATATACAGGAATCTGTGTCTTGCCAGCTTTATGCGATGATTGATAATGTCCTGGGGGAAATCAATGTGGATACAGTACTGCGTTACTTTGTCCTGTAATAATAGCAGTCCATACTAACCTTTGTTGAAAAGACAAAGTCTCGGTGAATATGTTACAGCGTTAAGCCGTTACAGTTTGCCCAGGTTAGCAGTAACGCACTCAGTTACTGCTAAAATTCGATAGACGCAACTTCAGTGTCTTGTTGTTACAGAAGACCTGGAGACTCATGGCTGGGCAGTATCGCCAATGACTAGTTTTATATTCCAAAGAATATTATTCTTTTTCAATGCATTACTTGGTCGGTATATACTGGTTTACACTCAATTTAGGGTGAGCAGCCTGTCGAGCAACAACGGATCATCTGTGCCTGCTTTTGGCAGTGTTGTCCTCGGAGAAACATATCAGATGAGGTTTCATCAACCTATTTTTTCGACTTAAAGCATCATTACAAACCTTGAAATTATGCAGAATACACAGATAAATGAGTTGGTTATGTGTGTTCATCTATTGTTATTGCTTTTACTTGCCATTCGTCTGCCCAAAATCCTGTCATCGATGTGGAGGACAACTTAAATCCCCGACAAACTCGACGAAATTTGTTTGGCCGATAATTGAGAAAAACGTCATCTTCCAAAGCTGGACATCACCGCTGAGTCTGAATGCGGCCATCCCAGTTTGGACACAATTTCATTCAGTCTTGGCTCCATTTTCTTCTTTTGTTCTATTTTGTGTTCTTCTTCCTTATTCATCTGTAACCGTCATGGTCAAGGTAAATGGCGTATAGACCGTGACTCGGGATGGTTCTAGTTGCTGAATGCTCGGTTATATTCACAGAAACCGCTCGGAAAGAAGGGCGAGAAAAAAGTCATCAAAGCCAACCGACCCGCAAGGGCTGATTGGAAGGAAGGCGTCAAGAAGAAGCAGGTCGGTGTTTCCGACATGACCTTGCTGTCCAAAATTACAAACGAAGCCATCAACGAAAACTTGATGAAAAGATGGCAAAATGGAGACATTTATGTAAGGAATTCAACAACTCCGTTCACGGGTCTCCAACCCCCACTTACCTGACCGTCTTTGTTCATCCCTTGCAGACATATATTGGGCATGTGCTTATCAGCGTCAATCCATTCAAAGATTTAGGCATCTATACCGATGCTATTCTTTCGAGTTACCGAGGCAAAAACTTATTGGAGGTAAAAATTGCCTTGAGCTACTGCGTGAAACGATCGCCGTGCTCAAATGTAAATTACTGCAGATGCCACCTCACGTATTCGCTATTGCCGAATCGTCCTACCATCATATGAATAGCTACAAAGAGAATCAATGTATCATTATTAGGTAAGCGATGGGTGGATATATATAACGCTGGATGCAATTGGACAATGGGCTGAAAAGTAACGCACTGGCTGTTTTAATAGTGGTGAATCCGGTGCGGGTAAAACTGAGGCTGCCAAGCGCATCATGCAATACATTGCGGCTGTATCGGGGGACGGAGCAAGCTCGTCTATCAAGGAAATCAAGGAGATGGTGCTGGCCACGAATCCTCTTTTAGAAAGTTTTGGCTGTGCAAAAACCTTGAGAAACGACAATTCGAGTCGACACGTAAGTGAATCCTTGTTGGTTCATACGCTATGCTAGTCTGTATACGGCTTATTGATTGGGAATGACGGTATAGGGCAAATACCTAGAGATCCAGTTCAATTCCCAGGGAGAGCCTGTAGGTGCGGTGATCACCAATTATCTGCTGGAAAAGGCAAGTTTACATTTCTGTTGGAGTAAAAATTGAATTGATTGAAAGCTTACACGGTATGTCTTTTTTTTGTCATCATCTTAGAATCGAGTGGTTGGCCAAATTGAAAATGAGCGAAATTTCCACGTGTTTTACCAACTTACAAAGGCAGCACCCCCCGAGTATCAGGGTAAAGTAGTCAATGCTTGTAGGACTCCGAATGAAACTCGAATGCTGATTTACCTATTGTAGAGGCTTACGGTCTGCAAGGTCCCGAAAGTTTCCTCTACACCAGTCGTAGCAATTGTTTGGATGTGAGCAGTATCAATGACGTGAACGATTTTCAGGACACTCTGGTAAATATAACTCGATCAGCCAAAAACGTACAACTGAAAGTCAACTGACGATCTGCAACAGAAAGCAATGGCTGTGATTGGATTATCCAAAGAAGAACAGGACGAGATTTTTAAAATGCTGGCGATCATTCTGTGGTTGGGCAATGTGATGTTTGCAGAGGACGACAACGGCAATGCTGTGATTGCCGACGCCGATGGTACGAAAAATGGAATTGAGACATTGTTGGTTGGGTCTGAACGTCTAACGACAGTAAATAGTGGCGAATTTCATTGCTTATTTGATGGAGGTCGACAGCGAGTCTTTGAGCAAGGCACTTACGAGCCGTGTCATGGAAACGCAGCGAGGTGGAAGAAGAGGTAAGGATAGCGTTATGTTCTGTTTGACTGATGAACAAATTCAATTGATCACCTATGTGAGCAGGAAGTGTATATGAAGTACCCCTCAATATTACTCAAGCTACCGCTGTACGTGATGCGTTGTCCAAGGCCATCTATGAGCGCTTGTTCGAATGGATTGTGGCTCGCGTGAACGTGTCACTTCAAACGCGAGGAGCGGCTCAATATGTGATCGGTGTGCTGGATATTTACGGTTTCGAGATTTTTGAGGACAACAGTTTCGAGCAAATGTGCATCAATTACGTGAACGAAAAACTGCAGCAGATTTTCATCGAATTGACGCTCAAGGCCGAACAGGAAGAATATGTTCGTGAACAAATCCAATGGACCCCCATTAAATTTTTCAACAACAAGGTCGTATGTGACCTTATCGAAGAAAAGCGTCCCCCGGGTATTTTTGCTGCGTTAAACGATGCTTGCGCTACTGCGCACGCCGATTCCGGCGCGGCCGACAACTCCTTTGTTCAGCGTCTTGGTTTCCTTTCATCCAACCCTCATTTTGAATCGCGCGGATCGAAATTCTTGGTGCGTCACTATGCCGGTGATGTGCTTTACAATGTGGAAGGCATGACGGATAAGAACAAGGATTCCCTCTTGAAGGATCTGCTGAACCTTGCTGCTGGTTCATCCAATCAGTTCATTTCGCAAACCTTGTTCCCGGAGCGCATCGATCCCAACTCCAAGAAAAGACCACCGACTGCAGGTGATAAGATCAAGTCTTCTTGCAATGCCCTCGTCGCCAAGCTGATGCAATGTCATCCAAGCTATATCCGAACCATCAAACCCAACGATAACCGAAGTTCCACCGAATACGATCAAAAGCGTGTCCTCCATCAAGTGCAATACCTTGGTTTATGCGAAAATATTCGTGTTCGTCGTGCCGGTTTCGCTTATCGTACGGTAAGAAGGAATAAAAAAAAAGGCAGACCTACCAATTTTTCATCATCACTCAATGTGTCCTATTTTGTTAGACATTTGAAAAATTTGTCGAACGTTTCTATCTGTTGTGTCCAAACACCGGCTATGCTGGCGAGTATATCTGGCACGGGGACGCTGTCAGCGGTGCTATGGAAATCTTGAAGCACAATAACATCCCTGCGGATGAATGGCAAATGGGTACTTCGAAAATCTTTATTAGACACCCCGAAACGGTATGTTGAAAATCGAGCGAGATTGAATCGAACCATATACTAATGGATTGGTACGACATTAGATTTTTGCACTTGAAAATCTTCGCGACAAGTATTGGCATAATATGGCGACACGTATCCAGCGGGCATGGCGAGCGTATGTCCGCTATAAGCACGAATGTGCTCGCAAGATCCAGCGTTTTTGGAGACAGAACAAATACAACATTGGGTATTTGCAAATGCGTGAATATGGTCATCAAATTTTGTCCGGCCGCAAGGAACGAAAACGGTACTCTTTGCTGAGTATGCGTCGATTCACCGGTGATTATCTTGACGTCGGCTCCGGTAGCGGCGTGGGCAAGATGGTCCGAAATGCAATTAATCTACGCGGTATGAATATCGATGAATCATGTTTGCGAGACGGTCTGACTCATGGTAAAAAATAGGCGGCGAAGAAGTGGTGTTTAGTATGCGCGGCAGTATGCTGGTACCTCGAGCTATGCGATCCAGTGTTCCAAGCCCTCGTACTTTTGTTTTGGTAGATCGTCAATACACATGGAATCAATGGAATGGACCGTCCAATGTTAACGTTCTTTTTCTTCGGTAGACGAACCAAAACTTGCATATTGTAATGACGACAAAGAGCGGCAAAGTGGTGCAAATGGTAGACGAAAAGGTGTTGTCCTTGAACATCATCAATAGTGTGAGCGTATCCACACTTCGTGATGACTGGATGGTGCTTCATCTGGATTCGTCCCCTGATGGCGATTGTATCATCCACTGCAACTTCAAGACGGAACTCATGGCACACATGCTGCAACAATCCGGTGGCCGTATCCGAGTCAACGTTGAACCGCAAATTCAGTACAAGAAGAAGGGCGGAAAAATGGTCACCATGAAGTTTGTCAAGGATGAGAAAGTGCAGGGCGATGCGGTCTACAAGAGTCACGTCGTTCAAGTCTCAAGCGGTGAACCGCCCAACAGTCGTACGCAATCTCTTTCTTTTGTTTTTGGTTTCTCTTGATGATCAGACATACACGTCGTCTAACACTTTGATTTTATATTTGTGTGATAGAATCATATCCTCCTTGTGCTGTGAAGCCCAAGACGACATCTTCTCGCGCACGTACAACGGCTGCTCGGAAACCAGCAGCAGCACGTTCAGCCCCTCGATCTGCAGCGGCTGCACGTCCAGTTTCCAATGTTCAGTCTATATCCAGCCAACGTCCAACCCCACCGCCACCTGCCGCAGCTGCTGCCGCACCGGCACCACCATCGCCTCCAGCAGCACCCTCGCCAACATTACCTCAGTATAAAGCTATCTATCCGTTCCAGTCACAAGAAGAGGGAGAAATCGCATTTGAAAAGGATGACATTCTGGAAATTGTTGAAAAAGATGAAAACGGTACGTGTATCTCAATCTGATCCTTTGATCCGTGGATGGTATATGAAAGTGCTCACTTTTATACAATTTTTTCATAGGTTGGTGGTTGGCTCGCAAGGATGGTCGTGAAGGATGGGTTCCAAGCAATTACCTTGAAGAATATGTTGCGCCTAAACGTGCACCACCGCCACCGGCACCACCAGCTCGTCGTCCTGCTCCTGCTGCCCCTCGACCAGCCAGTAACGCCGGAAACGGGTCGTTTGCTAGTCCTCGTGCCAGTATGAATAACAATGGACCTGTGCACGTAATGCCTGGCATGGGCGGTCCTCCTCCTAGCGGTGGCAGCGGTATCCCTCCTTGGAAAGCACAGTTGGAAGCGAGAAAAGCAAGCAGTGAACATGTGTCGCCAACACCTACACCGGGGCCTCGTCCTGGATCCGCAAATGCCGGACCTACACCCGCTGCCCGAAGAGTGCCGCCTGCTCCAGCTCCCAAACCGGCCATTCCAGTGAAACCAAGCACCATGAGCAAACCTGTGGTACCTGCTAGACCCGGTGCGGGTGGTGCTCCTTCACCTGCACCTCGCGCACCACCCCGTCCCGGTTCCAGTACTCCAGCCTCCAATGCAGCTGCTTCATTAGCCGATGCGGTAAGTGATATCAAAGAAACATTTTGCACTAGAGTTCCCGTTGGTAACGGACGCGTGATATTGCATAGATACGCGCAAGAAGACAGCAAGCCACCAGTTCGCACGAGGCGGATGACGATTGGTAGACCAGCAAAAGCAAATCCAAAAATAGTCAGTTAATGTAATTATTTTGCTTTAAAAGATCTGAGCATCTCTAGATTTATTTAGTTTGCATAAGATCCATAAATAAAAACAACTAAAAAAGTTAAGGGGAACCAACAAGTTAGTGCAGAAAGCCAAATTTGGCACATGAGGAAAGCCAAAAAGCCGGCGGCAAATAAAATGCTGATGACGTTGACGAGCGGAGTTGGGAGGGACAAACTGGAAGCTTTTTTGACATTTTGAACACGACCGAGAAAAAAAAAGTTTTGAAGCACGTTTGCAGAGTAATCCGAGATGGCCTTACGCATACCCAAGAGTACACTTCCTCAACTTTTCAAAGACGGCTACAAGGTATGCGTGGACGTGATGGTCAGTATGGGACGACAAAACTGACTATGCCATGTAGATTCATCAAGGTATTGATGAGGCCGTGTTGCGCAACATTGATGCCACTCATGAACTCTCTGAAACTGTCCGCACATCGATGGGTCCCAACGGTAATTAGACAAGATGATGACATGGTCAGATGATGAGGTGACTAACGTTTGATGCTTAGGCCGTAATAAAATGATCGTCAATCATCTCGAAAAGTTATTCGTCACCAACGATGCTGCTACCATTATTCGCGAACTGGAAGTGGTTCATCCGGCTGCTAAACTCTTGGTGATGGCCTCTCAACAACAGGAGGCTGAAATCGGTGATAATACGAACTTCGTCATTGTGCTTGCTGGTGAGCTCTTGCACAAGGCCGCGGATCTGTTACGACTCGGTCTTCATCCTTCCGAGATCGTGCAAGGCTATGAGCTTGCTCGTGACCGCGCATTGGCTCTTTTACCAGGTACGAATGAACCCTTTTTTTTTTTTTTTTTGACACGACAGGTTCATCCATCGGTCATTGAAAACTGTTATATTGACTCCTGAATGTGATAGAACTCGTGGTGGATAAAGTGGCGTCACTCACAACACGCGAAGAACTGTTCAAGGTGGTCAAATCGGCCATTGCTTCCAAGCAATACGGTTACGAAGACTTGCTCGGTCAACTTGTTGCTGAGGCTGCATTAAATGTCATGCCCAAGAACCCCAAAGATTTCAACGTTGATAACATTCGCGTCGTCAAAGTGATGGGTTCTAGCATTTACGAATCCAGAGTCGTGCGCGGTATGGTATTTGGAAGAGAACCTGAAGGTAAGCCCATCGAGACATTCATCCCAGTTTCATAAAACTTGGCTCAAGTTTGATTTTCTCAACTGGAATGCATAGGTTCTGTACAAAAGGTCACTCAGGCTAAAGTGGCTGTATTCACATGTCCTTTGGATATCGCACAAACCGAAACCAAGGGCACTGTCTTGATTCACAACGCACAAGAAATGCTCAACTTTAGCAAAGACGAAGAAAAACATATTGAAAAGGTAACCATCTTCTTCTTTTTTTTAAAAAAAAATTTGGAGTATTCATTGACTGACGTGATGTGGCAGATTTTCCAAGAATTGGCGGACGCTGGTGTAAAGGTGGTTGTGAGTGGTGCTGGTATTGGTGAACTTGCTTTACATTACTTGAACCGATTCAACATTATGGCCGTCAAGGTGCTCAGCAAGTTTGATATTCGCCGTCTTTGCCGTGTGGTGGGTGCGACGGCTCTTGCTCGTCTGGGTGCCCCCATGCCCGAAGAAATGGGTTTTTGTGACATTGTTGAAACCGTGGAAATTGGCAGCGATCGTGTCACCGTGTTCCGTCAGGAGGAAGCCGACAAGTCTCGTACCACGACCATTGTGGTCCGTGGTGCAACGCAAAACCACATGGATGATATTGAGCGAGCTTTGGATGATGGTGTGAACGTCATCAAGGCCGCCACTCGCGATGATCGTTTATTGGCCGGCGCCGGTGCCTCGGACATGGAACTGAACAAACGTCTGCAGAATGTGGCGTCAAAGACGCCTGGTTTAAATCAGCACGCCATGAAGCGATTTGCCGAAGCACTTGAAGTGGTTCCTCGCACTTTGTGTGAAAACGCAGGTATGGATGCCACCGCTGTCTTGTCCCGTTTGTATGCAGCACATTACCAGGAAGGCGATGCTGGTTTGGCCATCGGTGTTGATGTGGAGGTAAAAAAATCGTTGAGCATATAAAAACCTAGTAGATGAGGATACATGTGATTGACTGGGCTACCAATAGAACGATAATGACGGTACATTGGATGCTGTCAAGGCACAAGTGTATGACAGTTATGCCGCGAAATACTGGGCTCTCAAGTTGGCAGCAGATACTGCTGTGACGGTGCTCAGAGTGGATCAGGTAAGAGCACGAGCAAGGCAATGAAGGTGTACTGGATCCAATTGTTGACGGTTATTTTTTATTTTGTTTTAAATAGATCATCATGTCTAAACCTGCTGGAGGTCCCAAACCACCCAAGAAGCAGGGTCACTGGGATGAAGATTAAATTACTAGAACATATCCTCTTTTCTTGCTGAATACACATGTAAAAATTGGTCAATGGAATCTTTTTGCCGGGAACAAAGGAAAAGGTGGATCATTCAGTTGATTGGGGAAAAAAAAAAAAAAAAACTTTTTGATTATGCGGATCGGAGGGTGGATTCTCTTAGGGCGGCTACTTCTTCACGTAATTTGGCGAGTTGGCGTTCCTTTTCTTCGATTACACGAGTTGATTCCTTTAAAGAACGGGGAGTTATCAGTACGCTCAGGCAGATGTTTGTGAAAGGAATTTATTAGCGCACCTGTAATGAGAAGAATGACTCTTGGAACAATTGGTCGTAATGTTGAGTGACATGGTGGGGCTGAATGCTGGGGAAAGGAGGACGCTGAGGGCTGTGTCGTCTATATGCAGAGGGTTGCTAAGCAATCCAGTATCAACACAGCTTATCTGTTCGTTACCTTGAACGGAGAGGCGCGGCTGGGCCAATGGACGTAAAATGCTGGTAATGCTGTGTTATATCTGCCATGTTCTCTACAATGACTGGTAATTTATGCTGGTTCCTACAACACAAACCGAAATTAATACGTGATTCTCTAGACGATGGCTTTTTTTTCTTTGGGTTTACTCAAAAGCGTGCCAAAAGCCGAAGTCATAAGCGTGGGTTGACCGATTGTCTGTATCCGAACTGGGCGACGAGGTGAAAATGGCGATACATTCGACGGTTTCCAGTCGACTGGCGAGATTATGCATGATCAGCTGTTCACGCACGGACAGCGATAATTCCGTTTGTCGTCGAAAGTGGAAAAATCCAACAACAGCATACGGCTCCGCAGGTTGTATCTCGCTTTGGAAAAGGTCGAAATCGACGTCGCCTTGAGGGTTATAAATGCGATGACGGAGACGACGAAAACCTTGGATTACTGATGGTGTAAAAGGCCATGGCCGTTAGCTCTTTTCTTGTAAGCAGATGCAAAGCATAAAGCAACTATATACACACCAAGGCTGACGTTGGTATGAGCTATTTGACCTTCTTCATTGTCACTCAAGGTATGGTTGGTTGTCTGAATCGATGTACCAAGCAGAATCCCTTGCTAGAAAGTTGTTCACGAGGTTTACTCATCGAGCTCATGCGGGCAATGAACTGCGGCTTACAAAGTCAGTGAGCGCATTAGCGCATTCGAACAAAAGTGAGGAAAGCACAGCACCAGCAATATGTATTGTTGGTTTGGACGTCATCCCCCACAGAGATAACTTTGGTGAGATACAATGAAAAAGGAGATGAAATCCCAATGATGTTTACGAAAAGTATTTACAGAAAAAATAGGGAATTAAAAAAATTTCTACAATGCAGCCTTGAAAATGCTGTAACAACTCAAACCTGGATCATAGTCTAACAATCGTTTTTGTCAATATAGGCATACTCACTATGCGAAAAATCATCATAACATTCATTACTCACCGAAATTATCGTTGGGATTACATGTGCATTTGTCGCGGTATTCAGGTTCCACGGGGCAGTGAGTGTAGGCGGTATGTCGATACCCGATATCATTAAAGAAGTGGAACTCATCTTTGCGTAGTAACATGGTCGCTGCAATTGAATGCACTGGAGCATCGCCCCAACGTTCGTAGAAAAACCCACCGGCTCGATCAAGATAACCGAATAGCTTAAGATAATCGTTGGATCGCCACAGATCCAGAGAAGCAATTTCGAAATTTGTCCAGAAATGACATGAATTATAGGTTTCGCCATTGTCGTCCGTGACAAATCGCCAAAGCGAATCCTTTTTCGCTGGCAAGTGTTCCATCACTTCGGGATGATCCTGCTTGAAATTCTGAATTGTTTGCCACAATGTCGGTACTGTGGCCATAAACTCGCGAAACGCAATAGTGAATCCTAAAAAACAGACGCCATTTAGTGACTCATCAAATAAAGGTAGTATCACTGGTAATTTTTACCATATTTTTTGCCATTGTCTCGCATGAATTTAAAAACATCATAATCAATGTCACAGTAATACGATACATCGGGTTCAATGCGCCAGTAATAATCGTATTCATCAAGCAGTGGATGTCGAAAGAAGAAACCACTCTGAAATCTAAACAAGAAAACCATGTATCAGGTGTTTTGGTCCTGTTCGTAACGTTCGCGGAGACGTGAAATTTACCTGCACATGTGCCGATAAGATTCGCTGTCAGCGTAAGGAACACCAAGAGCGGCCATTTCGGTCCGACGCTCAGCGGCCAAGGTTTGATTAATAAAGTCAGGGTAACCCCACATTTGGGCATCCAATTTGCCATATCGGGTTTCGGCTTTGGTTAGTACGGAAGTCCTGTCAATGAACTCCGGCGTGAAATCGTCGTCATTCAAAAAGACATAAGGGTACTGGAACTTTTCGTTGAATGTGCTCTCAATTTGCTTAATGGTCGACACAATGCCGTCTAATTCTCGATTGCGTACGAGGACGACAAAGCATGCGCGCACGGGCTGATCTTGAACGGCCACGGTTGAGCCGCGGGCAGATGACGTATCGAGGGTAAAATGAGAGGTGGACATGAATGTGTATACTGAAAAGAGGATCAGAAAGGTCCCTGCTGCGAAGAGCGCATAGGGAACTAGGCGACTGTTGGCCCAAATACGCATAATAATGTGGTGGTGATAATTTTTGAGTCAAAGGCAGTAGAGAGGAGAACAAAGTGTTGGTGGGCAACGCTGATATAATAAATAGTCCATGTTTCATTTTTAGCGCGGTGACTTTTTTCCGGGCTTCCTTTAACCCCCCTTTCAAATTTCTACCCGCTCCAAGCGGCATAATCGCACCCACGTCCGCCTGATTCCGCCATGCTCGCCGATCAGCAAGACTCACTAGCAAGCGAACTTACTTGCGGTACTGTTCATTGAACACTCATCATCTCGTATTGCAATCACACCTGTTCCTGACATTTTTCTCATTTACTTTTCGTACCTTTTTCTGGCTCGATTATAGCTGTGTGTCAAGATCTGTATAAAGAGCCTGTCTCTTTCATACCCTGTTTACATACCTTCTGTAGTCAGTGTTCTCGTAACCTGAAAGAGTAAGAATCGAAGGTGCTTCCTTTCCGCTCAAATTGCACTTTTTCACCAGTGTTTTTTTCGACATATCAGTTCTATTTACGATGTGTTAACGTGTCCGATCTGTCGAGAAGAAGTGCAGTATTCGCGCAAAAACTTTATGATCGAAAATATTCTGGCGTTGTATAAAAAGATGGAACCAAGAACCACATCATCCAGTGTCAAGACGGCCAAGGAAGATTCGGACTGGGAAGTCATAGCAACTTGTGTAAGTTCCCGTGTCACACCACTGTGTTCCTGGTACCAAAGAAAACTCAGCCGTTCCAACAGACAAATGGAATAGCCAGCATGAGTACCACAGAAGATACAAATCCACACATCCACGATTGCACCAGGTAAGCATCGGAAGCTTATTGGTCTTCTGCGCGTGGTTTTTTTTAATGAACCATCGAGCACCACAGAGCAGGCTCTCCATCACCGTCGATTGACTTCGATCATTCAGATACCACGACCAGCGCCGCTACCAACACCGACAACTATATTTCAAATACCATTCGCTGCGTAGGTTGTGCAGCATACATGTGCGTCAATCACGATACCGGAAGGGTCGCTTTAAACCAAATATGTAAATAGCATGCGACAAGCCAGTCCAGTTGCTCATGGGATAAGTACTGATCATTGTGTTAGGCCATCTTTGTGGGGTCGTCTCGTGCAATTTGACGTCTGAATGTCCTGATCCGAGCCCTCAGAACAAGTTATACTCTCTGAAAAGTAAGTAACGGTTATTAACGGTTTCAAGCTGTACTTGGGTGTTATAACGCGTTTCTTATTCTCCTCCCCTCAGACTTGACAAAAGACGAAATTCCACAATTTCTTCGGGAAGTCGATTGTATCGAAGCACCCGAGGAAGGTCATCTCAATTCAAGTGAAATTGGCTATCTTGAGATCTATTTGGCAATGCATGACATTACCTGGCAAGACAGCTGGCAAGTCTGCCTCGATAACTATGATACCCAGGCTTACGTATGCAGTAAGTGGATCCCTTTGATGTGATTATCAAACTTTTGACAGCTCATTCTCTACTTTGGAAAAGCGGCAGCGACGCGTATGATACCCTGGGTGAAGTCTGTGTTTGATACCTTTGTCGTTAGGCAGCCGAATGCTATGGAAATCATCAATGCCGATAGCTCACTGCGATATACCAACGTTTCCGATTATCTGACGGCTTGTTACACCTGCACAGCAACCTTTGTCAATGGACAGTACTTTGGATTTTGGCGTTCGGTCCTTCCCAGTGATCTACCCTGTAAGAATGCTGGATGGGATCAGATGGGTTTCTGTAGTTCACTTACATTCTGTTTAGCCTTTATCAATGAACGCGAGTATTGTCGTTGGGGAAAAGAGTGCGCTACGCAATGGAATATTGAATGTGAGTTTTCCAATGAGCAAACAATGTGAATCCTCATGCGAAATTACTGATATATTGGCTGATTTCCAGCTCATGCCGAAAGACTGAATCATTTACATGAAAAACAATGACATACCCACTTGCACCTGGATCTATTTTATCGACTGATTCGTTGGGACATCTATACCAGAACAATCTATTTGACTGCCAAGCTGATCGCCGAACGTCAATTCCTCGGTCACATCATTGTTCCCAATAACTCATGTTAAACATTTCCAATCTTTTGCCTTGATTGGCATCTTAAACTTTTAATTGTCAGCGTTTATTGTTACTGTAAATAAAAAAAATACAAGTCAATCCTTTTTGATGATAGGTGATACAACGATGTATCCTGCAGTTTATTGATGAGAGGGTTACAGTTCATCTCTTTCGTGGTGATAAGGTGATTGCGTATCTAATTTTTCTTCTTTCACTGGTGACGGTTTTAGATCCACTTTACGGCCATTAAGTTTCGCATAGTTTATGGCAACCATTTGTCTTTGCAAGTTCAGCAGGAAGGGCAGATGCTGTTCATAGCAATCCACGGTGATGCCACTGAAGTAAGTTGTTGAAGGTAGATTATTGAAATCGCAGACGTCTTTCGAAAGCAACAAACGATCAATTACCGCTGGAGTATAGAACTGTAAACGAAAAGCCTTCGTCAATACACAGCGATAAGTCTATATCCTCTCTTATGTCATGTGTACCTTCTCATTCAGATGGCTATTTGAAAAACAAACACGAGTTAGACGCTGCTAAAATATTACGTGACAATGCGCTTACCTGTTGCAGTCGACGGTGGTTTCCGGTAAAAAGGCTAGCATACGATCTACTTAATAACACACTCCAGGTCATCGTATTGTCAATATAGTCAATATCTCTTACCATTCAATTGAAGCGCGCCAGATTTCTTGCATAGTTCGCGTACATTATCATCCACATCCTTCAGTTGCTGGTCAACTTTGAAGCCGGATTCCCAGAATGGCTGATACCATAATAAAGTTAGTCTTCGAATTCGTGGTCTCCAGTCAGTGGGATATTTTTTATGAACGGCTGTTACCTGGGAAAAGTAGTGTGATTTCTGGCCGAGACTGGAGGCTAACCTGTCATCGTAAGTCAAAACCAACTGGCTTTGAACACCCACATGTTGGCCATCGCCTTCCCACTGAGGCATATCAGGGTCATAGTTGATGAGCTCGCCCATGGTAGGCCAAGGTCGTGCGGCGAAAGGATGCGTATAGATGAACGGACACTGACCAGGAAAATAGGCTCCATGAATCATCCATGCAGGGACGCAAATTCACAAAGAATGACACTTACTTCATGTCGCTTGAATTCATCTGTGCCTAGGGTTCGATCAGTGTGAACTTTACACACCTCATCGATAGCGCCTTCAAGCGCTTCAGCTGTGACAGGTTGCTTCGGTTTTTTCGAGGCAGATACATGAACCATAATGATCTGTTGAGGATACATCCGAATAAAGTCCAGTACTTCGTCGATGAAATCTTGGAAGAGAGTATCGTACATTTGCACACCTGTTGGCGAGCATAATGATAGCTTATCATTTTTCCTAAAATCGTATCTTACATCAATGGCAATGATCAAAGAAATTATCGTATATTAATAGCTTACGTCTTGCATACATTGACCTGGAGGAAACGGAGACCTACATACAACAAAATATATCTGTAAAACAGCCAATGCAGGGGCTCATAGAATAGTGACCATACCATCGGTTAACATCTCGGTGATGGTGCGATCCTGGCTCTTGTATTGACAAGCGTGAGGCTCTTTTACGTTGGCTGCCTGCTGTTTGAATTTTGGGACGTCATGGGAACCGGCATTATGCGCTCCGAGCCAGAAAAAGTGATTGACAGGTAAATCTCGGTATTCTGGGAACCCATTGCACGGTAGAGGTTCGTCATTGCTGCTGACAGGTGCACTGTAATAAAAAAAAAAAGTCAGTTCAACCGAGAATACTCGCATCACACGGACCAGTCTGTATACACACGTTTGACGCGTAATCAGCATGTCCAACTCGTCGTTCCATGCTGAACCGATCTCGACTTCTATTTCACTCGCTGCAACGCCCAAATAAAAGACAGAGGCCGTGGCTAGAATGGATTTCCAAATTTTCATCGTGCTAACCGTAAAAACAGCCGCACCAGAGGCATGAAGTGTTCCCAAATTGTATGCTTCGGGCGTTGAAGTAGATTAGGGACCGACAACCAATTTTGGTGCCTGTTTCTCGAACCAATAAATTGCCCAGACGATCCATTTGTTGGTCTCAACTACTAGTTACTGTAAGGAATACTTTCATAGATTACACATTCTATTTGTCATATGAAAATTACCCCGTATGTCTATAAGCTAAACATGTGAGCTATACTCAGCGATAACATGTTTACCCAGCAAAATCTTCACTCCTTCTGAATTCCTGAGAACCATGTTTGCCACAGGAATACTTTGCCAACCCCAAGGCATTGATTTTGTACTTCCACATGCATAGGAGTAAAATGATTGGATACTACAAACAGCAATAGAAACTGTGAAAGGTCACCCCATTGTTGCGCGCCCAGCGTCTCCCTTTTTTTTTTGGTTCACAGCACCACGCTTTCACGGTCGTTTCAACCAATGATGAATCATGGTTGATCTGAATTTTGACAATCCGACGCACCATGGTCCTTTATGGTTAACGGCCAATCAGCATCATCTTCGGACTTTGTGTGACGTGGTGTATTATACAATTTTCAGGTCAAAAAGGCGAATCGGTTCTTTCTCTTGACTATTAGAACTCATTCGATAGATTAAAAAGCAAAATGTCGCAAGAGAAGCCACGTGAATTAGGGGTGACACTTCCGATCTCTACTGCCAAACCTACGGAAGCCGAATTGAAACTGACCGACGATCTTTTGAAAACTTTGCACGACTATGGTCTCTTTGAAAGCGAGCACGAAGCACAAAAACGGTACAACTCGATCATAACGATAAGCAGAGCGTCGTATTCATCGTTCCATATTTAGTGTTATTGTCTTGGGAAAATTAAATAAGATGGTCAAGGAATTTGTCTATCGTGTGAGTAAGATGAAAGGATTCCCCGACTCACTCGCACGAGAAGCAGGAGGAAAGATCTTTACTTTCGGCAGTTATCGACTTGGTGTTCACGGTGCAGGTAGGAATCCTTTTTTATTCCACCATTCGCTCGTATTGACTCAGAATTGCCTCTGACCATTTTCATTCTCATTCTCATTCCATCAGGGGCCGATATTGATACGCTGTGCGTTTTCCCTAAGCATGTCGAAAGAGAACAGTTTTTCACCATCATGTACGATATGCTGAAAGAGAGACCGGAAGTGACAGAGCTCACAGTAAGTTCTAAAGTGTGCAATGCATCGAGCGGCTGAATGTTGGAATATTGAGTGAGATGTATTCTTGTGTGTGTATATGAATCTTAGGCTGTGCCGGACGCCTATGTCCCTGTAATTAAAATGCATTTTTCTGGTATACCTGTAAGTTGCCCCGACTGGAATCCCTGCATATGAATCAATTTATCGGATTTTGTTCTTACGATACCCGTTTTGTTTCTTTCTTTTTTTTTTTTTTTTTTTTTTTTTGGCGGTAGATTGATTTTGTATGCGCCCGTCTAGCGATCGCTCAAGTACGGGACGATCTTATACTCGCGGATAACAATCTTTTGAGAAATCTCGATGAACGTTGTATTCGAAGCTTAAACGGTTCTCGTGTAACGGATGAGATTTTACGTCTGGTGCCGGATATTCCAGCGTTTCGTATCGCTTTACGAACCATTAAACTGTGGGCGAAACGACGAGCGATTTACTCCAATGTAATGGGATTTTTGGGTGGTGTAGCTTGGGCCATGCTGGTAGCGAGAATATGTCAGTTGTATCCCAATGCTTGCGCTGCATTCATTGTGAACCGCTTTTTCCGTATTATGTTCAAATGGAACTGGCCTCAGCCGGTGCTTTTAAAACATCTGGAGGATGGGCCATTACAAGTAAGAGTGTGGAATCCAAAGGTGAGTTTTTCTTCTTCATAACAGAATATAAAGATGCAACAAGACAAGGAGATAGCCAAGACTTTTTTTTCTTCTCTTTGTGTGTCGTTTTCCTAGTTATATCCGGCGGATAAAAGTCATCGAATGCCGATCATCACACCCGCTTATCCTTCAATGTGCGCTACACACAACGTGACGGATTCTACAAGGACCATCATGATTACGGAATTTGGACGAGCCGCCGAGATTGTCGACACAATTGTCATTGGAACAGGCAACTGGTCCGATCTGTTTGAGAAGAGTAACTTTTTCCACTCGTACAAACACTATCTACAAGTCATTGCGAGCTCGGATTCATCGGAAGCCCAACTCAAATGGTATGGACATTGAAAATATCTGGTCAAATTCATTGAGAAAGAAAAACTGATGGAGGATGGTAGGCACGGTTTGGTGGAATCGCGACTACGTCAATTGGTGCTGAAACTCGAGTTGGTGGATTTGCTTGTGTTGGCTCATCCATACATTAAGGGCATGGATAAAGTGCACTATTGTCTGACCGATGAAGAATATCGCGACGCTACACGCGGCATTTACAAGCAGGATTACACATTTTCCTTGAGCGAAGGCAGTATGGAGACCAATCATATAGGATTGCTCAAAGAGCGAGGTCTGGTGACCGACGAGAATGAAGCCAGTGTACGTTCCCTTTACTCGACCACTTTCTATATCGGTCTGGAAGTGGAAGCCAAGCCTGGTAAGTTGCGTGACGGCGACGCAAATGGTTCATTGAAATTAATTAAACTGGGCTTGTAGCTGGTTCCACCGGTCCCCGTAAGCTAGATATCTCATGGCCGACTCAGGAATTCATCAAACTTGTAAAGAGTTGGGATAAATTTGATGAGAATAGCATGAGTATCACCGTGAAAAATATCAGAGGGTATCTGGTCTTCTCGACCGTCATACACATAGAATGAAAGGTTTTAACTGCTTTCTGTAGAGCCGCTTTACCCACGGAATTACTTGGTGAAGAGAAGAATTTAAAGAGATCTCAAGCAAAGGTAACACTACGACAATCCCGAATGGATCAGTGCAAGGTGACTGATTTTATAATATCGATATTACAGACCAAGGGAGGAAGCGCAGCACTATCGGGATCGGAGAAGCCATCAAAGAAGTTGCGCAGCGAGGAAGAAGCTCCCAGTTCGTTGACTGGGAATACGTTGATGCCTTCTCCAGCTGCGACCAAACCACCAGCGTTAGAAGAGGTAGCCGGTGCATCGAGTATTCCTGTTGGAAACACAGGCAAGGAATAATATGTACACCTTTCAAGAAGCCACCATCCATCGAGTAAGCCAATGCGTTCTAACAATGATATTGTATCATATTTCGCATGAGCAATAACTGTGGAAACATATTCCTTTTTGCTATGTTCTTTCTTTTTTTCCCCTCCTTTGCATATAGGCTTTTTCATGAAATTACTCTTTTTTTTTCATTTCTATCGTAGATCATACTTCCATTCCTTTGCAAAGTATCTCAGCGATACTTCTGACTCTATTTTTTTTTTTTTTGTCGATTTGAATTGTACATACAGTATAAGCAACCGGTCTAATAAACAACGGGGAAACGTTTTCTCCACCAAAAAAGATGTAGCTCGAGCAATAAGCAGAAGCACACGTTGCCTAGACAGGCTGTTCCCGAAATACAATTTCCTATTTTTCTGTTGCTTGGTTCCAAAATTCGGCACTTTATTGCAGCGCTGTAACGCTAAAAAGAACGCATAAATCATCCCAGAGTTCATTCACTATTCATGTCATGCTCTGAGGTTAGTAATAAAATGATTCATGGGAGCGACACCAATCGTTAACTATCTGCCTTCGTAGAATCAATCACCACAATCTAATCCTGCTGTGCCTACTTCAGCCAGCGGATCGCCTCAAATCGCCTCTTCTGAAAGTTCAACTTCAGCAAGGACATCACCCGAGGCTTCGCCTGTCACGAACGCTATCTCACACCAAACGGTAAGTATATTTGCTTAATTACGCGGTCAACAATTTTTCGTTAACATAACATAGAGTACCCAAACCGCGCTCGAACAGGATCAAGCAACATCCTCTTCGTCAAGTTCAACCAATACTCGTAGCTGGGGTGCTCTCTCATCAGTCTTTGAGCTGTTATCAGGCAATCAGCTAGCCCGATCGAGTCGCTCCATATCTGGCTCCCATCTAGAAGATAGCGTAGGATATGACGATGTGTTATCAAGACATATGGCAAGCAAGGATGATCGGAATCATACAAACCGTTTGAAAGAGGATTTGAGTTGGTATGCATGAATGTGATCTGTATCCAACAAATTATTTCTTTTGCTTAACAACACCATAGCCCTATTTGCCAGGATATTATGAAAGAAGCCTTCATTACCAGCTGTGGACATTCGTATTGGTATGTTCTTTTGCATCGTTTTCCTCTCTCGGAGCAAGTGTGTTGAGATCGATTCCCTAGTCATAGTTGCATCACCAAGTATATCGACGCAAACCCATATTGCCCGTTATGTCGCACTGAAATCACTCGAAGTGATATACATCCTAACTTCCAACGTAAGTCGAATCACTTAATGGAATACCGTTGAGTGAAATGGTGTAGGTATTGAAAAACGGGATGTTGTTGTATAGTAAACCATGTGGCACAGCAACTTAGTCAAACCTACAGTACCGCCAGTTTTCCGTTTTATGCCGTGAGGAAAGATGGCCAATTTCAGCTTAACTTTGCCAAACGACTTGCCCGAGAATTACCTTCTTCTGGTAAAAGGGTTTTTTTTTATCATACGCAACGCACTCAGAGATTAACGTGTACTTTCTTTCTTTTCTAATCAAAAGAGCTCCTTGAAATATTTTCCGCAGCCGTGAAGGAACGTCAGTCTTTGGAAAACATCGAGCGATATTCACGGAAAGAATTATTCGAATTCTTCCTCTCCAAAATTAAAGAAGACCACCGCCGAGTATGGATTATTGACAACGAAATCTGTCAGTTTGATCTAAACATGCTGTATCGCTAGAAAATCGATGAACTGCAACAACAAATCGACGCCATCGATCACGATTTAAAGGAGATTACTGACTATGATGAATCCGGTGAATCATCCAAAGAACTGATTGAATTAAGCACCAGTAGTCCATTCCATGGCGTTAAACGCAAACGATCGGTAAGTTTGCAGAACATCATTCAGTAACACTAGGTTATTTATGCACTGAATCGAAACATGTAGCCGGAAACGAGTGAAGCCGATCATGATAATAAAGGCCAAAGGTACGCTACATGAAATGACAAGTTTCCATATGATACTAAATGAATTTAACGCAGCTCACAACATGATACATTCCAACTCGCAAAGAAAAAACGACGGGTGATGGATCGGTTCGATGATCTTCGAGACTTGTATTTTAATTCATTGAAGAAAGGTTTGGTCGAACTATTGGTAGGGACGACCTTTTATTAACTCTGATGTCCCAGAACGTACCACGCAAAATGTGAACAACTTCATCTCCAGTCTTTATGAAATGAGTCGATACAGTGGCTTCAAGCCTCTGGATACCATCCGCTACACCGATTCGAATTCCGCCTCGTCAATTGTCTCTTCCATGGATTTCAGTCGTGATAATCGGTATTTTGCCGTAGGGGGCGTGACAAAGGAAATCAAGGTGTTCGATTCCAATTTGATTCATCCAACGTTTAATATGGATGATGACGAAGAAACTGGTGCGTTTGTAATTCCAAATGAATGAAAAAAAAAAAAAAAAAAAAAAAAAAACAATGTATTTACCGTCCTTTTGTAGGCGATCAACAGCCGCCTTTTGGAGTAATTCATTGCCCAATTCAGACAATGTCTTCTAAACACAAGATAAGGTACAATATAATACTGAGCAATATACTAACATAGAACTAAAGGGACAAAATATTCTAGCTGCGTCTGTTGGAATCCCTATGTACAATCTCAGCTAGCCAGTTCGGATTATGGAGGCAATGTTAGTATTTGGGATGCTTCTACGGGCCTCTGTGTTCGCACCTTTCAGGAACATAAACAGCGTGCTTGGAGCGTTGACATTAGTCGGACGAACCCGGACATAATGGCTTCCGCCAGTGATGATGCGACAGTCAAAATCTGGTCCATGAATCAGTCCAGATCCATTTACACATTTACGGAGAAATCAAACGTATGCAGTGTCCACTTTGGTCCACACGATCACCATCAGCTGATGGTCGGCTCGGCAGGTACCTAGCGAATCAAGACTTACACAAGGATATCAACCACTAAGATCGCTGCATAGATTCCAATATTCGTTGGTATGATACTCGATGGACCAGAGACGCATTACTAACGCTCAAAGGACACAATAAGACAGTTTCGTATATCAAGTGGCTCAACAATACGGAACTGGTATCTTTGTAAGTCAAGCAGATGAATCGATGCAATCGTCCATTACTTACAGTTGTTACAGGTCTATCGATGGTAGCTTGAAGCTGTGGGATCTTTCGAATAAAGAGTGCAAGAGAACCTATACCGGTCATACAAATCGAAGAAACTTTGTTGGACTATCTGTGGAAGGCGATTGGTTCTCATGCGGTAGCGAAGACAATGCAGTATACACATATCATAAATACTCTGCCAAACCGAGCCTTATCTACAAATTTCCTTCCGTGATTCGCAGCGTGGTAAAAGAAAAAAAAAAAAGCTAATGTGTATCCATCTGTGAGTCGTTATTGATTCAATTTTCGTATGTAGGATGATGACTCTTTAGGTGAAAGCTCCACTGCGTTTGGAAGCTCTGTTTGCTGGAAGAGGAATTCAAACATCTTGTTGGCCGCCAACAGTAAAGGCATGATCCAAGCGCTCTCGCTGGAATAAACGGTGCAAGCTAGAAAATGCGACAACCAGTGCCAGTCTTTATATCCACACAAAACAGCGCATATCGTACGTCTTGCCCATTATCGCACACACGTGATTGTCATCTTTTATTCAACCCCAAGAATGCCACATATCACAACACAATGCTTCACATTTCATCCTTGGATGATCAACAAAAACGAGGGACCTCTGTCTTTCATATTTTCCGACCAATATCAGTGCATACATGTGTTTGTCCTCATTGAAACAAATCCATACATCTTTTTCCTTTTTTCTTTTGGCTGAAATTCAGTGATTCAAGGGAGAACAGGCAAAACGTGACGAGTTGCGCGGATAAGGTTTTATTCTACAAGAAAAAAGATACTGTAAAAAGTAATGGACATGATGAAAAAAGTTGACTGTTTATATCTATCGAGATTGAGTGTTGTAGCTGACTTGGGCATTCGCACGGTTGGCTAAGGCTTGTTTGTGCAGTTGCATTTTCTTTTGCAGCACGGTGCTGGTGCCTTGGGATACATCGTACACTTCAGCGGCGAATCGTTCGGCAAAAGTCTTGTCGTTACGTTTAGCTGCGGCTTCAATGATCCAAACAATGGCTCGTCTGCGACGTTGACGTTCTCTTAATGGAGTAGGAATGTGAACCACTTTGGATCCCTTCTTGTTAGACGTTAATTTCAACAAAGGTGAGGCGGTTTCAATAACTTCGGACAGCACGGTGTAAGGGTCGCTGGAGCTCTTTTCGGCCAAGTATTTCAAGCTGTCGTTGACAATACGTTGGGCACGGGCCTTCTTGCCGTCACGCATGATGGTATTGACTAATTGAGAGATGAGAGGATCGTGGTGATCAAATGCCGTTTTGGCAATATCGGGATTAAGGGAGGATGTAGGAGCGGTGAAGGTGGTTGGGGCCGCCGGGGTCTCAGTGGTCAACGGGCGCATCGACTGGACTGACAGGGACGGCATTCGTGCTGCCTTGACCCCGGTCTGGCGAACAACTTGCCACATACGGTTTCCGAACATTGCAAGTGGCTCTATATTTCCCAAAACTGTGCTTCAACAAGGGCAACCAAAAAAATTGTTTGGATAAAAAACAGGGCCCACTGGGACTGTCATCCCAGCGAGAAAGTCACTCGAATTTGATACTCCGACGTTGCCCTCGGCCAGATCATACGGGCATCGCATCAAATTAATCTACCTTCATGTAACGCATGGCAAATACGAAGAATAAAAATGATGACAAGAAACACTCTGTAAAACGTGTCTACATATAGTAGCGCAATTAAACCATGGATATGGCATGTTAAAAATACACGCGACAGTAGGCCCTCGCTCAGTGTTTATCTATCCAACGAAAACTCAAATCTAACAGCTCAATAACAGGTTTTTATGTGTGATAAGCTTCTTTCATCCTCGTGTCGGTCATCACTATCCACCAGTTGTAGACAGTCGATAGAGAATCTACATGGTGGCACAAGAGGCATTTTTTCATTACGGACGGTAGGAACATCACTGACATAATCTTCCAGCTAAATCTTCCACAGCCCTGCGATACTGCCTCTTGAGTTGGAAATAATCAAATGTTGATAGGATAGCAAGCTTACCTACGCTGTGGAAGACAATTTCAGCTGAATCTACGTCAGACGTCATCTTGGATGTATTGGCCAATCAAATGGACGGAATGGCTTCTCAAAGAACAAAGGGCAGACTCACGTGAGTTCCAAGTCCCGACGACTCGCCACGTCGCTCTTAGATTTTGTTCCATAAGCACAGAAAAACCAGGCATCCTTCTTCTCCCTTACGTGTTAGACATGAACTTTGACGAAATCGAAGAGCAGGTAGGCGTGAACATCCTGTGCTATTGCAGCAGACCATTTATTGAATGGGCATCATTTTAGGACGGTATCCGCTTCTCTTGGAACGCTTGGCCATCATCGCGTATCGAGGCCACCAAAGCCGTGGTGCCTATTGCGTGCTTGTATACTCCTTTGAAAGAGCGTGAAGATTTCGAGCAAAGCCCTATTTGGTACGAACCGGTCACTTGTAAAGCACCATGTAGAGCCATCCTCAATCCTTACTGGTAAGTTACACTACTACAAAGCTGGCCTTCCACTTTGGCAGCGCAATTTTTGTGGATGCTCACTAACCTCATCTTTATCCAGTCAAATCGATGTTCGTGGCAAACTTTGGATTTGTCCTTTCTGCTTACAGCGCAATGCTCTTCCTCCTCACTATAAAGACATCTCCAATACCAATCTACCTGCCGAGCTTTTGCCAAAGTACACTACGATTGAATACAACCTGAACCGCGTTGCTCAGATACCACCCATCTTCCTCTATGTTGTCGACACCTGTCTTGACGATGAAGACTTGAAGGCTTTGAAGGACTCGCTCGTGGTCAGTCTCAGTCTTTTGCCTCCCTACGCCTGGGTAGGCTTGATTACGTTTGGTACAATGGTAAGCGACCAATGACCAGTGTTCAGCAAGCAACTTTGCCTTACATTTGCCATTAGACCCAAGTTCACGAGCTCGGTTTCTCGGACTGCCCGAAATCATTTGTTTTCCGTGGCACAAAGGAATACGCTGCCAAACAAATTCAGGAGATGCTGGGTTTGGCCGGTTCCACCGTCCGTCCCGGTCAGCCGGCTGCCCGTCCTGGCCAACCTCCCCAGGCTTCCATGGCTGCCAACAGGTAAAACATTTAGTTCATAATCTGCATATGGAATGGTGATTTTAACTGCGGATATATTCAGATTCTTGTTGCCTGTGCAAGACTGTGAGTTCGTGCTCACTTCCATCTTGGAAAACTTGCAGCGTGATCCTTGGCCGGTGGCTAACGATAAACGTGCTCAGCGATGTACCGGTGTTGCGATGAGCGTAGCTATTGGTTTGTTGGAGGTAAATACAGAGTGACAGTGCGTCTTTTTTTTTCACATAATAACCTCACTCATTGTATTAGACCACTTTCCCTAACACCGGCGCACGTGTCATGTTGTTCAGTGGTGGCCCTGCTACCGAAGGACCTGGTGTCGTTGTCAGCAACGAGCTTCGTGAACCTATTCGATCGCATCACGATATTGAAAAAGAAAGTGCCAAGCATTACAAAAAAGCAGTCAAGGTATTGTAACGGTGGCGATGCGTTTAAAAAAAGTATTGATCTAATGATTCATGGGTGTAAATTTTAGTTTTACGAAGGTCTTTCCAAGCGGGCTGCTGCCAATGGCCACACCATTGATATCTTTGCTGGCTGTCTCGATCAGATTGGTCTTTTGGAAATGAAGTCCATGGTCAATTCCACGGCTGGTTTCATGATCCTTTCCGACTCGTTCAATACGGCCATCTTTAAGCAATCTTTCCAACGCGTCTTCCAAAAGGACAGCCAAGGTCACTTGCAAATGGGATTCAATGCTACTTTGGATGTTCAGGTAACAAGACAAGATCCATCTTTTGACTACTACTCCTTTCTTATTACCATCACCCATACTGATGTGCTGTTTTTCACAATTCATAGACAACACGTGAACTGAAGGTGTGCGGTCTCATCGGCCATGCTGTGTCTGCCAATAAAAAGTCTACGTATGTGGGCGAAACAGAGATCGGTTTGGGCAACACTTCTGCTTGGAAGATGTGTTCCATGACCCCGAAAACTACCCACGGTATCTATTTCGAAGTGGTGAACCAGCCCACAGCTCCGTTCCAGCCTGGTTCCAGAGGTCTCATTCAGTTCGTCACTCATTATCAACATTCGAGTGGACAATTCCGTTTACGTGTGACCACAGTGGCCCGCAACTTTGCCGAAGGTCAAAGCCCCGAAATTGCCAATTCGTTTGATCAAGAAACCGCGGCCGTATTAATGTCGCGTATTGCTGTATTCAAGGGCGAGATTGACGATGGACCCGATGTGTTGCGTTGGTTGGATCGTATGCTGATTCGTCTTTGCCAGCGATTCGCTGATTACCGCAAAGACGATCCTCACAGTTTCCGCCTGTCCGAGAACTTTTCGATTTACCCTCAATTCATGTTCCATCTGAGAAGAAGTCAATTCTTGCAAGTCTTTAACAATTCCCCCGATGAAACAGCCTTTTATCGGTAAGTGGAAAGAGTCATGCACGCAAGCACTGGGCTGCAAAACGACTCATGTTATTTTATTATGATAGCCATGTATTGAACCGCGAGAATGTGGATAATTCGCTGATCATGATCCAGCCTACCTTGACTTCTTACAGTTTCGATAACCCGCCTCAACCTGTGCTGTTGGATTCCGTTTCCATCAAACCGGATTGCATGCTGTTGCTTGATACATTCTTCCATCTTCTTATTTTCCACGGAGAGACGATTGCGCAGTGGCGTCAAGCCGGTTATCAAGATCAGGAAGGATACGAAAATTTCAAACAGCTTTTGGAAACACCAGCTTTGGATGCTCAAGATCTTTTGATGGATCGATTCCCCGTGCCTCGTTACATTGTGTGTGATCAAGGTGGTTCCCAGGCTCGATTCTTGCTTTCTAAACTGAATCCGTCCACGACCCACGCATCCAGCAGTCCTTATGGCGCACCACAAGGCGCGGCCATTTTCACCGATGATGTGAGTCTGCAAGTGTTTATGGAACATCTGAAGAAGTAAGTGTGGACATTTGTATTGCACATCAACAGCATCACTCATATCTTTTTTTTGTCACATAATAGACTTTCAGTAGCGGGCACTTCCTAAATCATAAAAGACCATGACTCAGTGCCCAATCACATGAATACAGCCACTGAATTATCCCCAACCAAAAAATAGTCAACTCTACCCATATGAAAAAAGGATAGCCTAAAAAGAAAAAGGAATCTGCAGCAGTTTTTTATTTTTATTTCTGTTTCCTTTTTTTTCTTCTCTTCCCTGAAATTTATTTCTTCTTATTTTTTATCCTCTTCCCCTTTTTTGTTTGCTTTTACAGTTTAAGTTCTTGCTGTTATACAGAAAATAAAGGCTAGACGAAAACACGAAAAAATTATATATATACGATGACAATCAAGGAAGAAGAAGTACTCGTTTCTATTATCGATCATGTTGCTACAGTGACACTGAACCGACCACGCAAGGGGAATGCTCTGACAGCATCGATGAATGAAAAATTATTGACGATCCTGCCTCAGCTTGCCGAGGATCCTCAAGTTCGTGTGCTTGTACTTACGGGTGCCGGCAAATATTTCTGTTCTGGTATGGATTTGTCGGCTTCCGGAGGCGGCATGGATCCTGAAGCCATTCGATCCGGGTTTCAAAAAGGCCTACAAGTGTTTGACGCATTTCACCGATTTCCCAAGCCAGTGATTGCACGCGTGAACGGACCAGCTTTAGGTGGAGGCGTGGGATTGGTGTTCACAACGGATATTCGCGTCGCAGTGAGCGACAGTTATTTTGCATTAACTGAAGTTAAGAGGGGCATTATTCCTGCGATTATCTCACAATACATCGTGCCTGAGTTGGGTATCCAAAAGACGAGAGAATACATGTTGACGGGACGACGAGTACCAGCGACGGAAGCGACGTTTTTAAGCAAGCGTTGCAACACTGTCAGCGAACTGGATGAAGGAGTACGAGATTACGTAACCATGCTCATGGAGTCGGCACCTGGTGCTATGGCGAATATTAAAACCCTCATTGATGGCATAGCGACAGGAGCAGATGGTGATCGTGATGCGCGTGTCAAGAACCATGTGCAAAATGCGTATCTGGAAATGATGCAATCGGAAGAAGCCGCTTACGGTATCATGTCATTTTTAAGCAAGAAAAAACCGGATTGGACCGCTTTTCTGGCAGATAAAGCCAAGTTGTAATGAATGTGAAAAAGACCCAATAAAAACAGATGTGAGTGCATGCACCGAGTATGCTCGACCCATTGACCATTCGTGGGACTTTTTTTTTTCTTTTGGTTCACCGGTTACACAACGTTCCTTTTACATTGTGAGTGATGAATCATGGGCACTATAATTTTTTTAGTTTTTTTTGTATCAACATGCTGGAGGTTAAGGAACAGAAGTCGTCATGATACGCCAGCTTTTTGTCGCAAATTAAATTAGCCAATGTTGGATACGCGAGAGGCGTTTTGAAAATGAGAATGGTCATTCGGCTGATCACCATTTTCAGTGACAGGCCGCCACGCTCCCAGAAAATATTTTATCCAATGACCACCGCAGGTCCATAGACAACACATAAATCCAGCCAATAGAGTATGAGTAACTTATCAGAGTGCCAAAATTTACGCCAGCTCAGGACCGCCCGATAAAGGGTGCATGCTTTAAGAATGAAATACGTTCTTGAACAATGTGTTCTTGCTATAGAATTGTTTTATATCTTACCTTGGCTACAGTATCGACGTTTGGACTCAAATGAAAGAGAACATCACATGAAAATGATAGATGGCCCAAAAAAGAAAGCTCGTCATGGTTACACATACCTGAAATGGGGTTTATTTTCAATCTTGGGAGGAGAGGCGATTGTTTTATGCATAGAACAAGATTGTAAGAGGTGAATCGACATTGTACGACGGTGGTGAATGCATAAGTGATTGAAAAAATCAGAAAAGAAAAATGGAGCGTTTGCAGTGACGTGTGTTTGAGAATCCGCCTGTTCACCTTTCCATGTTTTACACGGTTTTTTTTCTGTTTCTCTTGACTCCTTGCGTTTGCCCCGCTTTCATCCCTTTTTCAGTTATCTGCTTTGGTTGATCCACGCTTCACCCCTCTTATAGACTCTTTATTTTATTTTTTTATTCTCTCTTTATACTTCCTTTAAACTTTCTTTGTCACCAATCCCGTTTCTCTTGGTTGCGCATCTATGCTTCCTTCAGACTATTCGGCACGGGCTTCTCGTCCGTTATCAGAGATGCTCCGGCCTACCCATTACACTACAATGGAAGGTAAGTCTGCTGGTTTCCCGTGACACTCAGGTTCGGCTTGCATACTGAGCTAAAACGCCACCACTCTTTTACAGCCGACGCTCTCGGCCATTTGTATGAAGACCTGCAAGATTACGAGAAGACTCTCGATGACATGGCCTCGGCTAAACTCGACCAGGTGAGAAAAAAGAACGGACTACTGTTGGAATGTCGGTCCTTGGAGATATTAACTTTTGCTTCATTCCCAGAACTTCAAAGAGGAGATGAAGCACGTCGAACAGTGGTTCAGCTTTCTGTCCGAGCCCGAAAAGACAGCCACCCTTTACGCCTTGCTTCAACATGCTTCACAGGTTCAAGCACGGTTCTTTATGAATATGTTACAACAAATGATCAAGCGTGACCCTTTGCACCCCTACTTGACTTCGATTCAGGATCCAGGTAAGGAGTTGAGGATGAGAGCAACCTACGAAAAAAGCGAGATGTGTGTACAAAAAAGAGAGAGAAAACTGAAGATGCGAAAGATGGAAAGGAACACCATGACAATCTTCAACAAGGAAAAAGTGCGAATGACCACTAAATTGCATGGATGGTTGCTTAGTGACCGAGACTCGATCATCGAGTGTGGGAGGCATTCCCGCGCCTCTCGCCTACAAAATGCGAGACAATCAAACCCCGTCGTCTGTGAACAAACGCCTTAGTGGAAGCCAGTATTCATTTGGTTTAGGCGATATGGAAGATTGCACGAAATTGTTTGGTCCGCTTGGCAGCGATTTATTGGGTCGATCTCAAGGGCCGCCGGGAACGAATGGGCTTCTCAGGGACGGAGGTTCTGCACCCTTACTGTCGGCTCCAGGACTGACTTCCTCTCGTCCTCGTTCCGTGATTGAGGGTCCGGCATCCTCCAATCTATTTACCGACTGGCTTAACCCGCCGAGAATTGAAGTGGGCCATATTGGCGATCGTAAAAAACCGGCGGAACGACCCAAGTCGGCCGACATTTCCACATGGGCTTTGCCCACCAAAGACAACCAACATTTTCAATCGCCATGGGCAGGAGGAGGAGGAGGCGGAGGGAGTGGCATGACGAATCGAATGTCAACACCAAATGCACATCGGTTTGGAATGAGCAGTTTGACTCCTCAATGGACGCATCGTGGCATACCTGGAGTGGTGCCCGAGCAAGGTATTTTTGAATCACGTCGACCGGTATCGATGTACGAAAGTAGCGGCATCAACAGTAATGCGATCAAGCAACCCCCGATTTCACGTTCCACGTCGCCTGGAGGGCCGGAAAAGCGTCATCACCACATTACGCCACCTGAATTGGATCGACTCCAACTTTCAGAGGATCGGGATGATTTGAGTGATCACAGTGAAGCTTCGCATATGTCAGGTCACATGCGCGGCAATCTGCTCCCTTCCAACCTAAGACCCACCAAAGACAAAAAGCCCATGGATGCAGTAGATATGGAGCTACTCAAAGGTAAATCTAGAAGGGTCTCACGGCTTTCACCGGCTTTACCAAAAACGAATGGCTTACCTTTTTATGTTTATAGATGTTCCTGCATGGTTCCGATCGATGCGTTTGCATAAATACAATTCAATTTTTGAACCGATGAAATGGCAAGACATTGTCAAACTGACGGATGAGCAGTTGTTGGCCAAAGGCGTTGCTGCACTGGGTGCCAGGCGTAAAATGCTGAAAGTATTCGAAACAATTCGAACCCATTGCGATGTGAATGTAAGTCAAGTCTTTAATTTCCGGACGGGCCGACTGATCGAAGAACTGACCCTCCATACTGCTTTTCCCAATTTTTTACACGGACAGAACATCGAATATTAAAAAACGTTCTCCACTTGCCGGCAAGTTTTCAGTGTTTTTGTCAAGCGCCAGCCGTTTTTGACATGTTGGTTATAATCTTTTTCTCTCACTCTCGCTCACTTTCAGATTCCTTTCTCAAAATAAATGCAAGGCCCTTGGAAGCCTATGGGTAAACCCAATCCCGAAAATACTAACTTGTTGCTTCACTTTTTGTACCATTGGACGATAATTCACACATCCAGGTTTTTCTGACTGTACATATTCAACGCGTATTTATTTGAATTGTCATCATGACGTTGTAATATGGAAGTTTTCCGAGAATCTGTTTAGGCAGTCTTGGCAGCCTTGGCAGCAGCCAAAGCCTTCTCGGTACCCTTCTTGGCGAAACGCTGGTTACGGAGGAACTTGGCATCCACCTATACACATAAAAAAAGCCATTAGTGAAACTTCATTTCGGATACCCATTGTTTCCATGGCAAGCGTTTGAATAATACATACACCCTTGAGAGAAGGATACTTGTGGGTCTTGGGCTTCTTGATACCGTTACGGTGAGCCTTCTTGTCTGAAAAAAAAAAGGAATTGTGTCAATGGATGCCACAGCGTTATGCGGTAATAACCAAAATCTTACTTTGGTTGTGGTTGGTATGGTTCTTAGACTTGGCCATGGCGAATCGGTATTCCTACTGAACAGGAAAACAGGTAAGTTTCGTTACTCAGAAATGAAAGAAAAGGCTGACTGGAAAAAAGCAAAAATCCAACGTCGGCGATGAACAAGACGATGGGGCAGTCTAATGAGGTGACAACGGAGAAAAATCCATCCATTTCACTTGTTTTCCTCATCCATCATCCATCCATACATTCGCATCCATTATACGTTCGTTCTCGTTTGAATCGTGTGAATCGTTTCTCGAAAGACGCACCGCTTTTTCCAAGCCTTCTATGATAATAGTCCTGAACTTGTTTTATTACCTTGGGTCAAAGTAAAGGAAGAAAAGGAGGGAGCTCACGGATGCTGGCTGGGATTCCGACTTTGGGCAGCCATGCCTCACAACGGCGACTTTGTATTAGAACTCCGTTGAAAGATCCGGACCGGAAAATCACATACACTAACAAGAGAATGAATTCGCACTCAGCCGAAGTCATTCTCCTACGCTGTCATTCTTCTGAGCGGACAGCTGGTGTCCATATGAGAAACAATGCACACAAAACATGCTTCGGATGAGTGATCATTTCCTCTGGTATTTCCGCGATAGGTCACACATAGAAGCGTGGAATTGTATGAACTTAAAAAAAATTAAATGAAGCTCGATATGTCTCCGGATCCGTTTTCGTGCAGCACTGTTGTTTCCCTGTTATCAATCGAGGCAGCCATTTGCTTTCAGTCAGCTGTATCACCTATGATCGTAAAAGTACCAATAATTGCAAGTGACAACAACCCCAATAGTTGCTGCGCGTCTTCCTGTGGGGGAAGTGTGGATGTTTCACAAGCATTGAAGGCGCAGTGCAGTTGTCGCCGTGCTTAAATCTAAACTGAGCCACATTTTGCTTTCAAAGAAAGGAAAGATGCACATCCATCTATCTATTTGATCATGTTATAACACATAAGGAAAGAATAAACGCAACGTTGAACACATAGCTGTTTGATTCTCCTCCACGTTATCCCCTTTTTCTTCCCATTCTTCTTTTTGAGATCACAACATACCAAAAAGCAAGCTCCAGAAAATGCAAGAAAATGAGCAAACAGAGCATCAATCCTATGGGTACCGGTTGAAGGATTGTATTACTGGCCGCATTATCACTATGGAGGCTTGGGTCGCTTATGAATTGTCCCGCATCACGCGTCAGGAGTTTCCCAGACATTGTCAAGACTTCAAAGACCTGGCTGAGATTATTGAAGAACTCGCTCGTCTTCCTGCAGTGAACGATTATCGAAATACGCGCGACGCCCCCTATTTCAATGCTCATTCCTTCAGTACCTGAATGACAGTATGGGTAAGTGTGTGCTTTGGTATCATTTATGATGGTTTTAAACTCTTTACTGAATATAGTTACTGAATTTCCATGACCACCCCATCCACACTATGATATTCTTTATAAAGTTTTGGAACTTGAAACAACGATCATCTGCTAATCTCACTGTGAAATAATATTGGAGTATAAACATGCGCATATCAAAATTTTTGCATTTATTGAAAACAATGCTCCCGTCAAGTAGAATCGCACGGGATGATTGCTTGGAAAAAAAAAAGCAAGTTCATCTTACTCGTAGCAAAGCTTTTTGATGTGTGTGGTATTAAAATTTTGTCTTCTATTTTTCGTCTACGCTACTTGAAATTTCAAGCGGGGCATGATTGACGTAGTCGCGATAGCGTTTGTAAGGAAAAGTCACGGCTCGCTCAATGGAATGGTTTGGGAAGACCAGCTCCAAAAACATCCACAAAAGATAATCCAATGCCATGACCATACAAAAGATTTTGCCAGCGTAAAGTCCACAACCATAGTATCGGCGAAGTCGTTCAATTAGGGGAGAGTTCTGGCTTTGCGATATCAAATCGTATACCTAAAAAAAAAAAAGGAAAATGATGAGTTTACCCAATCGAAAACATCCGTCACCCACTTGCCTTTTCAGTACGTTCAGCGACATTAGACCAGCTATACATGTCTTTCAATTCGTCATTAAATCGACTTGGATGAACCTCCTCAAATCGTATCATATGCACTGCCTTGGAGACAGCAATCACTAGATCTTTTTTCAATGTATAAATAACTGGCAGATCCTAATTAAATGTATAGATAGACATCCTTACCATCTTCCTCGGGCATAGCATAATTAATCATATGGCTTGGCAAAACTTCCGGCACACCACCCACTTTGGTGCTCACAACAAACAGCCTAATCATGCCAGAAAATTAGAGACCATTGCTCGATAGTGTCAAAAGTTGTCTTGTCCTACCCCGCGCATGCAGCTTCCACAATGGCTATACAAAAGGCTTCGGTCAAACTGGTATTTAAAAAGATATTCCCTTGGATAAGAATACTGCGCACTTCATGATGTTTGATCGGCCCCAATAACTCGACCCGATCATGCAGCAAATGCTTTTCGCGCATCTGCTCCAAATCGATTCTTTTTGGTCCATCTCCACCTATTAAAGCCCAGGAAGATTTTAGTTACTTGCCTTGTGCGTCTTTTATTTGTATCATCTTTTTTTCGCCTTACCAATGATAAATCGCACATTACGGTGCATTGAACATATTCTTGGAATGATGGCCACCAATAGATCCATGCCTTTGCGGTACACCAGACGACTGATAACAACGATCGTAACTGATAATCAAGCAAGTATTGTATGAGACGTATAGCTATGTTCATTGTTCGCTTGCTACTTACTCCAATTTGGATCAGCCGCCGAAGGATCAGGAGTGAATTGGGACGCTACAACGGCATTGGGTATCACTGACACATTTCTCGGCAACAAGGCTGCACGAAGCACAGTGTTCTCTTTGCTTTGAGGTGGTGCAAATGTCAGTCAAAGGCTGAGTAAATTGAGGCGTTTACGTTGATTATTACCTGGTATGGGATACGCAAATAACGTGGTCGACATCGCTTAAAGTGAATTTCAAAAGTTTGTTGGTGAGAATGGAGCTGGCGTCCGCGAAACCAAACAAGGAGTGATCAGTGAAGCAGGCTTTGAGTCCCATGGTCTTTCCGTGTAAAATGGCTTCATGACACAAGGCAGAGAATGCACCGTGACCGTGCACAATATTGATGGATTCACGAATCATGATATTGCGAAATAGAGGGAAAAAGCCGTAAATGGTAGGAAGTGTGGCTTCGGCATGGATGACCATGGTCGGTACATGGTACACTTTCAAGCCATTGGTAAGATAACGCACGCCTGTTCGTGATCCATAAGAATGCGTCACAATAATAACCTTTATGGTGAAAAGTTAAATGTATGATGCTATTGTTCTGTGAACAACGGACGACCACCGTACCTTATGACCACGCTGAATCAGACGCTGCGAAAGCTGATACAGATGGCTTTCCACTCCCCCCATATTTGGGTAGAAGAAGTCGGATACCATGCTAACAGTGTGGCATGAGGAATGAATCACTAGGCACGCATGACAAAGAATGCCATTTACCATATGTTGTATAGCATGAAAACCGCAAATGGAACATCCCAACTGGGCGAGGTCGGACATGTGACATTTTTGCAAATGATGCCACCTGGGCGGGCCATGAAATATTATTATACCGTGATCTTCTGCTTTTTCAGGTTCTCTGTTGTTTTCACTGACAAGCCATGAAAATGACATATTCCTTTATCAACGAAGTGGAAATACAATCGGCCAAAATGTTGCTTGCTGATATGGTAACTCATCTTTATGTATATCTTGGAGTTTTTCACACGGTCAACCAACACAATCATTACTTAAAACGCACACACCAGTCGAACAAGTGGACTGAATCGAGCTTTTATTGCAACGGAAAAAAACAAAAAAGGCAAGGTTCAGGATAAAGAATCACGAGCTCTGCTCAAAAATACGAAAACGAACAAAACAAGTCCAAAGAATGCATCTGTTGTCCCAGTTGACAATTTTGGAAATGCATCCATTGGGGCAAAACCGGTTTTTGATGCAGTCAACAAGCACTGAATGTATTCGCTCCATTCGGATGGTAGAATACGCATGATGTGGATCGCCAAGAGCGGTGTGCAAGATAACCTTGTTGAAATCCGCAGCCGCCATGACATCGTTTTCATGGAAGCGGAAAATGAAATGATAAGGGCATGCAGAACTATTCTCCATGTTTACTGATTCTCTATATTCGGCAAGTCAGTTACCACTTACCGAGCGTCCATTCAAAGCGCCTATAAAATGAAAGTTCCTCTCTTTACAAGCTTTATTTCCTTTCTCTGTATTATTCAATAACCAACAGCCATATAACATACGAGAAAAAATCAATACGATACCAATCACTTTATAATGGCACATGCGACACCACTGAAGCGGCTGTCTGTGATGGCTGGTCAGCACGGTTTATCCAACCTACATATACCAACCATTACGGATGATGCAGAGGATGTCGTCGGTACGTTTTAGTCTTTTTTAGTACCCTCATTTATTTAGATACTAATGAATTTTCATTATTCTCTAGGTATGCAAGGTAAAAAAAAAAAAAATCCAAATTGCCCTTATCTGAGCCCTTGACCCCTCGGCTTCGCTTTCCGATCGTCGATTACAATGTTCCTAAACCCAAATCTTAGGACGAATCCGATTACAGAAAAATGACAGAATTAGCGTTATCGCGAGTCAATGGATGGACAAGCAACGCAACAACTTACAAGCATACGAATACCTATGCCATATTGGTGAAGCCAAAGAGTAAGCGGTTACCAAATTAGGCAATCAATAAACATCCACGGTGTAACCTTTTCGCCGGTTTTTCTAGGTGGATAGAAGACTGCTTACAGGTGGAAATCGATCCCATTATTCGACTGGAAGAGACAATGCGAGACGGCATTGTATTGGCAAAACTGGCATCGTGGTTCGCTCCAGGAAGTGTCCACAAAATTGTTACGGTAAGTCATCTTGCAACTTGTTTAATGCTACGGGGTTTCAGACGTCTTACAACCGTTTCCAGGATACCAAGCATAAATTTCTGCTTTCGGAAAATATCAATGCTTTCTTCAACGGTCTGCGTGTCGTACGCTTGCCGCAGATTTTCTGGTTCGAGCTCACCGATTTGTACGATAAGAAAAATATTCCCAAAGTTATTTACTGCATTCATGCATTAAGGTATATATCGTTTCGCCACTCATTGCGTAAAAAAAATGATGTATACTTAATTTTGTACTTCCCAGTCATTTGCTTTCACGACGAAATATGGCACCCAATATCAAGGATCTCCTCGGCAAACTCGAATTTACCAGTAAGTCACTTTTTTCCCATATTGAAAAACTTCAGAAAGCTAACAGCGGTCATTAGATGAGGAACTGTTAGCGACCCAAAAAGTCTTGGATTCTTACGGCGTCGCTATGCCTAATTTTATGAACATCGGATCTTCCTTGCGCAAAGAATTAAATGAAGAATTTGAAGGCGAAGATGATGATGAAGAGGACGACAACGACGTGACCTACTGTTTCCAACAAATCGATCTACCAGGTTATCCAGAAGTGGACGTTCTGGGTCTGTCGACTCCGGACCTCATTGTAGAGGAAAGCGACACCGATGACGATGACCGTTCCGCCAGCGTACGCATTGTGCAAGTGAATCCTAGTCGACCGCAAGAAAGACAAAGTAAGCACTCTTTCCGTATTATCCATGGCTTTCACCTATTGACTAATACTTTTACGCCGATTAGACGTTTCGGCTTATTGGTCGCAGCCTGAAAAGCTGGACAAGGTCATTCAATGTCAAGCGATTGCTCGTACCTGGCTTGCTTCGCGAGAGTTCCACCGGGTCCAGCAAGTGCATCGATCGACGTTTTTCCAATCGCGCATTCAAAATATCCAAGCACATGTGCGAGGCGTTTTGTGCCGTCGTGAACTGGAACAGAAACGCATCAGCTATGAAACTTGTCCCGAAGAATGGATCATCAAGGTAAGACTCAAGATTCAAGTGCAAGTCACGTTTGTGATCTAATGCTCTTTTTATCTTTTTAAGCTTCAAAGTGCCTGTCGCGGTTTCTTGGTCCGTTCGCAGGTGCAAACCACCATGGAACATTACAAATCCAACATTGATAAAGTCGTTAAAATTCAAGGCTTCCTCAAGAACCGACTCATGGGTCATTCCTATCGCAAGCTAAGTAAGTTACCACTGAACAAGTTCTCAAATACAAAATTGAAGCAAAGTACGCCTATTCTTATTCAATCTCAACTCTCTGTAGCCACGGAAAGCAACCCATCTGTGGGAACCGTCAAGAACTTTATCCATCTCTTGGATGATAGTCATCTTGATTTCGATCGCGAACTTGGTAAGGAATATTATGCGGCTGCAAGCCATTTGTTGAGTATGCTCAAATGGAATCCATCTTTCATTAGCCTTGGAGGATCTTCGTGGACAAGTGATCCAACATATCCGTGAAAACAATCAACTGGATGCTCATGTCAATTCGGTGGATATCCAGATCGCTCTTCTGGTGCGAAATGCCATTACCATTGACGAAGTGTTGAAAGCCAGCGGCGCATTCAAGAAGAAGCAGCAACAGCGACGGTTTTCTCAGCTGGCTTCGGCCGCCAATACGAGCGCTAACCCATATTCGTTAAATGGTGTGGACAAAGAAACCCGCGAACGTCGTGAACTCTACCAGCAGCTCGTCTACTTGTTGCAAACCGAACCCAAATATTTGGCCCGCTTGATGTCGCTCACCAACGGCCATGATCTGGGCGATACGTCAAGTCCCAAGGGAATCGAGTCCGCCGTCTTGTCCTTGTTCGGCTATGCGACCAACTCGCGCGAGGAATATCTGTTGATTAACCTGTGCAAAGTGAGTGACACTCTCGAAACTTTGTGGTCCACTTCAAACTCAACCAGAGTGTTATTTCTAGTATTGCATTGCAGAGGAAATGAAATTCATGGAAAGCACACAGGAATTCATGCGCGGCAACTTTATGTTTATGAAGCTGGTTGTACAAACCAATCGGTAAGTGATATTGTTCATAAACATCCTGTCATACATTTTGCATATATTAAATACTTTGTGCTTCAATAGCGGGGCAAAGGAGCGAGCGTTTTTCCGACGATTGCTAACGCCACTTGTGAGCCAAGTATTGGATAACGACCAACTGGATCTGGAAACGGATCCTGTGAGTATTTACCATAAAGCCGTGAATAATGAGGAATCGCGCACTGGCCGACCCTCGGCTCGCATGCATTCGGCCAATTCTCAGGAAGCATTGGCGGATCGCGAAGTCCGAGACATCTTCATTTTGCATTTGCGCAATCTACGCGAGATGACAGAGCATTTTTTGAGTGCCATTATAACCACCGTCGACGAAGTTCCTTACGGCATCCGTGTCGTAGCACGCGAACTCAAACTTGTGCTCGAAGAAAACTTTCCAGACGAACCATCCGAACACATCATCAAGATCCTCGGTAACTTTATCTATTACCGTTATCTGAATCCTGCTATTGTGTAAGTGTGCGGAACTGTTTTCTAATTTTTTTTTATGCGACCTAACACCATCCAAATGGTAGTGCTCCTGAGCAATACGATGTGATTGACTCAAGTATCAATCCGACGCAACGAAAAAACTTGGCAGAAATCTCCAAAATGTTGCAACAAATCTCCAGTGGCAAAGTATTCGACGCAAGTGACATGTTCCTGGCGCCTCTCAACGACTATGTCCATGATGCAGGAAAACGATTCGCTAAGTGGTTCTTAGAATGTAAGGCATATAATGCAACAAAAGCGTCACGTTTTCATCTTTAACGCTTCTTAATAGTGACGGATGTGGAGGACCCCGAAACCTACTTTGGCATGAGCTCTTTGGCAGACCATGCCAGCACAAGCAAACCTGTCGTGTACATCTCACCGCAGGAGCTCTATTACTTGCACTATCTGATCGCCAATAACAAGGAAGAATTGGAGCCCGAAGGTCGAGGGATGCTAACCGATATCATTCAAACCATTGGCCCGTCGCCCTACAGAAGCAATATGGAATTGCCCGAGTCCATGCTTCGCCTGACCTTGACAAATCGCGCTGATACCATTGCTCAAGATCCAGCTGCTCGACTCCAGCAGCTCTTGGTGGATACAAAGCGTTTGGTGGTCTATGTGATCCGAATCCAACAAGGTAGTTCGCTCAAAGCGATCTTTGACGCCCCAGTCACCCAGGAACATGAGGATACCTGGTCGGCCATGAAACAAGCGGAATTTGAACCCAAAGAGAATGACGCCAAAGCCGCCATGGCCGCCAAGCGTCGCTATTTGAAGCTCGGTCGTGATGACTCGCCATTGGATATACAAAGGTATAAACGTTATATTCCCTGAAAATTGTTGACCAATCATCTCATCATCCCGAATGTTCGTGCATAGTATTTCATTTTACCAGTTAAAGACGATCGCCAGTCGATTGGTCGCACATTTGGAACGATGCAAGGTGATTACGGCGTGCAACGATTACCAGGATATCATCAGCATGATTGCTCAGGATATTACGGGCAAGAATTCCCGAAGGAAGCAGCGTGATCGTGAAATTGCCAAATTGAGTGAGACCCTCGATCATTTGCAAAGCAAGCAACGGTATCTTGTCGAGCAGCGTACGCAATACGAAGATTACCTGAACGGATGCATGAGCAACATGGCCAACAAGCGTGGCAAGAAAGCGCGCTTTGTGTTCCCTTTCACACGCCAGTACTTCCATATTCGAGGACTTCAAAAACAAGGCTTGGTACCCAAATTTGGATCGTACAAATACACGGCGAAACAGTTGCACGAACGTGGCATTGTCATTGAAATTGTTGGTATCAACAAGAAGCATTACGATCGCATTCCCATTATCCTTTCCATGGATCAAGCCGGTATTATCACTATTGAAGGCAGCTATTCGGGTTGGAACATGACCTCGGTGTGCATGGATATGCGCTACGAAGAGTTGCTTCAGACCCAATACGAAGGTGCACAAACCATGACCTTACTTGACGGCATGGCCAAAGTCAATGTCAACCTTTTGATCTACCTCATTAACAAAAAGTAAGTATCCTTTTATTTATTACATGTGACTCTCATGGACCACTTCTAAACTATATCCTTTAGGTTTTACTATGCATAAATCCTCCCATCCTAACTTGTGGCTATTTCATATTGTACATTATCCGTATTTAATCCATTAACCTTTTCTATTCAACCCACTTTTTACCTTGTATACATCAAGAAATTTTATAATATATTCATACCTTATTTCATCCATCAAAATTCGAGTTAATTTTCGATGAATCATCGGCAGATCGGCAAATGTTTGGCTAATACGTCACGTGATCCTTGGCCGATCCCCTTTTTCCCGATTGTCAACCCAACAAGGAACGAATATTCTTTCTCCACAGTTCACTCCATGACCTATCCTGGACAATACGGTACTCATCCTTACGGGCAATCGCCAGCACCTTCCGGCTATCCAGCACCACCAGCGCCTTACGGAGGTGGGTATCCTCCACCACCATCAGCACAAGGTGGCTATCCACCACCGCCACCGCAAGGCGGTTATCCGCCGCCTTCAGCCCATGGCGGCTATCCACCTCCACCATCACAGGGCGGTTATCCACCTCCACCTCCACAAGGTGGCTATCCACCTCCGCATTCACCCGCCAATTATCCACCTGTACCACCTAGGCAAGGTTCTTATGCACCTCCGAACGCCGCAGCAGTGAGTCAAAGGATTGAAGCATGACCATTGTCGTTGCGGTTTTCTCACATATTCTCGATAGAAGTACGCTCCACCTCCGCCACCGACATCTTCACCTGGTTATCGCCCATACTCCGGCAACGAACACATCCGGCCACCAAGCTATACAGGTAAATCTGACTAGTATCTTGTTTTCTGGAGGTCCTGCTTCTTATCTTTTATCTTTTATTTTTTTGTAACAAGGGCCGGATCCTGTATTCAGGCCGTCGGATCCTTCTGTATCTCAAGCCAATTATCCGCAACCACCGCATTCTTCACACAACCCAGCGTCTACTCCTGGTAAGAAGACAGTTGAAAAAGTCAGATCATGATATAATGTATTAACCTGAGTATAGTTCCGTATGGTCAGCCATCGCCCGGTGCTGCCAATCAGTTCGTGATGCATGTCAATCCGGCTATGCAAGGACGTCCGCCACCCAATTTCCAGCTTTCAAATTGTAAGATTCGGTCTAGAAAGTATGAAGAGAGAGATATGAAGGGATCTCATGCGGAACTTTAGGTCAAGGAAGAAAACGAGCGTTGCTGATTGGTATCAATTACTTCAACTCACCCAATGAGCTGAAAGGTAAATATCTATCATAGGAATGAAAATAGTGAGGCGAGATTGACAATGAAATGCTAGGATGCATCAACGATGTTCATAATCTCAAGAATTTCTTGATAACGTTGTTTAATTTCAAGGAGGTGAGTTGACAAAAACGGGGAAATGTGTATGCAAGGAGGAAGCAAAGATGTATTGAACAGCAAGCCTTGTTTCGGATGATAACAGGACGATATGGTCGTTTTGACTGATGACCAAACCAATCCCAAATTCGTACCGACGAAACAAAACATGCTTAATGCGATGCAATGGCTCGTTCACGATGCTCGGCCCAACGATTCGTAAGTTTATATGTCGTTTCGAATGATCATCATACTGTATGACTCAGCGTTATTCCACATAGCTTCTTTTTCCATTTCAGTGGTCATGGCGGTCGTGTAAGTGACACCTCTTCTGTTATCGTCCGATAAATGCAATGACTGATCAACAAATGATGTGCAGGTTGAAGATCAAAACGGCGATGAGGATGACGGCTGGGATGAGACAATTTATCCCGTGGATCATAAAATGTATCCCGGTAACACCGGCCAGATTGTAGACGATGTAAGCGAATACAACCAATTTTTGCTTTGGAATGAAAACATATTCATGGATACATCGATCGTTTTCTTTAGATGATGCATGATATCATGGTTCGACCATTGCCACCTGGATGTCGTTTGACGGCCATTTTTGATAGCTGCCATTCTGGTACGGCGTTGGATCTTCCTTACGTTTATTCCACTCAGGGCGTGCTCAAAGAGCAGAATTTGTTCAAGGATGCGGGTAGTGGTTTGTTGAATGCCGGTTTGGCATATGCTACAGGAAATGTGGGTGGCGCTTTGTCGTCGTTTATGTCGATTGGCAAAAAAGTGCTGGGTGGACGAAAAGTGGATGAGCGTATCAAACGGTTCAAGAGTTCAGCTGCCGATGTGGTGATGTTCTCCGGTTGCAAGGATGAGCAAACATCGGCGGATGCCTTTGAGGCTGGGCGAAGTACCGGTGCCATGAGTCATGCATTTACAAGTAAGGCCGAATTTCTTGTGATTCTGATGCGTTTTTTTTTTCGTGATATATATTCTCAACTGACCAATGTGTTTAGCCGTGTTGAGACAGAACCCTCGCCAATCGTATATTCAATTGCTTAATTCTGTCCGCCAAATCCTTCGAGACAAATACTCACAACGTCCGCAATTATCTTCATCGCATCCCATTGATGTGAATCTATTGTTCATTTTGTAAAGTCGTCGAAAAAAAAAGAAGAAAGTCATATTCAATAAAACCATATGTGTTTATTTCATCTATTTTACAAATGTTACGCCACAGCTCATTGCTGAGTTTGGAAAACTTGGAATCCTCGAACCCAGGAACCTAATTTCCACAGCACGGTTTGTCTTTGTTCTTTTTCTTCTTAACTTAGGTGTCATGGTAAGTTAGATTTTCCCGTTTCATTTTCGTGCATGACAATTCATCATTTTATTTAGGGAAAAAGAAAAGCGAAATCCAAGCCGTTGAAAAAACTGAAAGCCAAGTTGGACATTCACTTCAACTGCTTATTTTGCAATCACGAAAAGAGCATTGAATGCCGAATGTAAGTGTTTCCTCTTGTCCAAAATGTCGGGCCAATAACCATCAGGCATACAGGGATCAGAGCAACAAAGTAGGTCATCTGGCTTGTAAAATATGCGACATTAGCTGGCAGTGCTCCATTACTTGTAAGCTTTTTCTTGTTTTTACTTGCAGTGTATGGCCGAATGACTCACGCAGGAATTCAGATCTCGATGAGCCTGTCGATGTTTATTCTGCATGGATCGATGCTTGTGAGGAAGTCAACGATCGCAAAATGCAAGCTTTATTGAAAGCACGGGACAAGGAATACAGTGCCGATGGTCGACGTGCTTCGCGTGATCGAGGCCGGCCTTTGTCCAGCCGACCTGTACACCTTGACGACGACGAGGACGACGATGAAGACGATTACTATTGATCTGCACAGGATGATTGGAAAACATATGGTAGACGTAGTGTTTCCACTACACCTCCCCCGGGGGCATCCGCTCTTATTCATTCTCCTGTGGCTGATTGAAAACTCCAAAGACACCACCGTTATTCAAAAACTTTGCTTTGCAATGAATGATATACCTCTTTTTGTGTTTGCTTTCATTAAAATCTTTTTTGTGTTGAGCTAGCTGCGTCTATTTGCATTTTCATTGGATGATGTGCATGAAGGCTGTGTTTGGTTTCTCAGTAACCCAAAATCAGCAAATTCCGATTTCAGTCTCCATTGGTTTTGTTGCCGCAGGTTCGCTGTCAACATTGCTCGGGCCATACACAATTCTTTTTCAGAGAAATAGTGACTATGACCTGCTCTCGTATATAATTATATTATGTATATAGTGCATCTGTGGTTTGCATATCTACAATACGGATCTCATTTTCCTTGACCAACGTATACTGCCGCTGCGGCAATTTTCGTCCCTCAAACGCCATTTCGCAGCAATCACTGTAATGAATGTACTCCTTGAACCGAGGTCGGCTCATGATATTCTCTATAGATAGTATTAGACATTGTCCCGCATAAAACAGTCTGCATACTTACGCTCATTCTTAAATATATCGAACAATGCCGACCGTTCTTCCCCTTCATCAACAAATGTCTGAGAGTTTCTCAGTAACCGATCCACAAGCTCATATTGTTTTGGCATCTGTGAACAGAGATAAGTAAACCCAGAAGCCAAGGAAAAAAGGTACAATCAGTAACCCACCTTTCTAAGTAAGCTGATACCATTGCACATGGTGGATTCTTGCTGTCGTAACAGTGCGATAATGTTATCCATGGTTTGCTTGCCATCACTACACAATTTTGGTCAACCAATACATGCGGTGCGTTTTTCACCTGATCTTTGTATATTACCGAACATCTTCCCATGAAAAACGGGCGACTTCCGATCCTAAAGACGCCAGTCCCTCTGCAACGCATCGAGAAAAGTGAACAATAGGATGCGTGGTTAATGTCTTGTATGCAATGAGAACGAGCGTCGGTAACAGCCTGTTGTACATCTATTAGTTTTACTCCCAATCCGCTTCCATGTAATGTCAACTTACATTGCAAAGGTTTCATGAATTGACATGGACTCCAGATAATGGAGAGCCTATCATTACGCGTCAAGAGATGAGAAAGAGGTAGTAACAGAGAGCTGTACGCGTGCATACCTTTTCGGCTTCGGCGGTCGTACTGAACAGCGGTTTTTGTCGTGTCGCCGGAATGCGCTTTGCAGACTAGAGAAACCCCAACTTGTCAGTTTTTTGGCACACCATGAAACTTGACAAAATATAAATCGGATAAAGGACCTTCCATAATTCCTGCCATATGTTTTTCGGATCGGCCATTCTTGCACTTAATTTCCCTTCAAGAGGGGTACTGCTGTTTTCTCCATCAACCGTCGAGGATGGCAACCAGTCTTTGGGCGAATGCCATCGAATAAAGTCCTCCAGGGAAGCATGAGGATTCGCCGCCTTGAAGGCTTCCATATCTATGAGGGTGCAGTTGCATGAGCGATGCAATCCAAAAAGGCCAAGTGAAACTGCTCTTTCCTTTGTTTACCTGAGAATAACTGCGCCGATTGCAGTTGAGCACGAAGCTGCGTCGCTCCATCCGAGGTGCCGAGACTTTCAAATACTTCTGCCTGTTGCTTGATCATATCTTCTGTCATGAAGCCCGGTTCCTGCGACACGGTGTAGGTTTTTTTTTCCTGTTAGCGGCTTTTTCTTCTATTTCGCTGATTTCCCTTTACCTGTGTCTCGGGTATCCACATGGGCTCCTTGGTTGCTAATAGATGTAAATGCGGTGATGGATATTTTCGGCCTTCGGCTGCATCCGAATCCATGATTTCACGATTTTTCTCCTTTTTCTGCACAAGGAAATTGGAAGCATTGGAAATATAATGAGCATCGGAATCGGCACTTGAAGGATAATTCAATCGTACGAAAGATTCACCCATCGGAGGCGGACGCGCTAATACGGAAACATCGGACAAGGATGAGCCACGAGAAGATTCATCCATGATGGGCTTTTCTCTGTCTTCCTCCGAATTCTTCTTCTCCTGTTCTGTTTTGTGGTTTCCTATGAGTGCCGCATTCTCGATATCCTCGACCGAATCGAAAAACAGCTCCCCTTCGCTAATATCATCGCTTTCGGATGGCTCTGGTCGAGAATTAGACCTAGACTATGATAACACGCACAAGATTTAGTATTCAGGTCATGTTCACTCATGGGCCATCGTCAATCCACATACAGATGAACCGGGTGTAGATGCTTCTTCCGGATCCACCAGTTTTTCCAACAATGAATTCAATCCATCAAACCCTAAACTGTTGCCTTCCGCCGCTGGTGTAGCTGTCGATGACGGGGTGTCCGAGAGATTGTCAAATAAACTTGAGACTTTCTTCTTTGGAGAAGAGTAGGCTTTTTTGGCCAACGCTTCTCTTTCTTCAGATGACATGTGTTCTAATTGACGATAGATGCAACAGTTGACCATGGCCAATTTTTGGTGTAACTGTAACAGACCATGCATAAATTCGTCAAAGATGCTGGAATCAAGGATCGATATTGATTGTCAAACTTACGATATTGTAACGAAGGTCGATACCCAACGTTTTTTCATGGGATGGGCCGTCTTTGACTGTTTCGCTGCTGTTTTGGAGGCTGCTTTCGGAAGAAGACGTTTTGCGATACAGGTAAGGATTGATGTCTGGGATGGGCACTAAATTTTCCCAATGCCATCGTATCCGTCGGAGCGCTTCGATCCACAAATATCGCAGGAAACTGATGAAAGAAATGGTGCTTTGCAGTTTCGGAGTGTCCGAAAATAGTTTCAAGGTATAGAAAACCATGTTCCATAAAAATGATCGGGAAGGAACGCTACCGATTTGGCGTAGACGCAAGCCTAATGCTTGGGCGGTGTAAACGGCAATATCGTTGTTCATGTGATAGAGTGACACATGGGGCCCCTCATCGTCTTCTTTGCCGCCCTGCTGCCCTTCGCGTCGAAAGATCGACGCCAAAATCGATTCCATTTGATCCGATACGCTCATGGCCGTAGGAGGGTGAGCAGTGGCACCACGGTTGTGGCCGACGGCCGACAGTAAGTGACGAACGAGTCGGTTATCGTTTGTCGGTGCCGCGGTCGTTTCCTCCAAGGTATTATTATCATCGTAAGGCGCTAAATATTGTCGGTTCTCGGGATCTCGAATCCAAGACGAAGTTACTTGATCGATCAACGTTGAAAGAAACGCTCTTTGTTGATTGGCGGGAGCAAATTCTCGTGAAAGACGCCAATGGGTCGCGGTCAACGCATCCATCGTTTCATCTGTATACGTTCCGTCCGGTGACATGGGAAATATCGCGCTAAGTGTTAATGAGCGGAGTGGGTCATTGTAGGAGCCAAAGGCTAGGTGGGACGCAGCATTTTTGGAAAACAAAGTAGTCGGGTGTTCATTGTCCCATTCATCCATCTCCTCGCTAAAGCTCAACGTACTCCAACGTTGCGCTTGGCTCTCCCCACTCATGGTGTCTGTCCCGCCTACGCTCTCGTTTAAATTCTTCCAATCCTCGTCATAATCGTGGGGCAGATCATAGGTAAAAACTGCGGCTGTCCAAATCTGACGGTCCGAAGCTCCTGTGATGTTCGTATAAATCCTTTTGTGAGCTTTCAAACATTTCTCATGTGACCCCCTTTATCTGTTGCACTGACCATGATTCGGTTGAGACATGGCTAATTTATGCTGAAATAAGCTGTGTAAACCGTCCAGCTCCGTGTAGTGTAACAGCAAGGGCGAAGTCAGGGTCGTATTGAACCGGATCTCAACGTCTTCCAATACGCTGTCGTTTTGCAGCATGTAACCATTGTACAGTGCGTTTCTGCTCTGACCGATGGGAACAAAGATGGGTACGGAGCAATTGATGTTCCGGAAAGCGATAGCGCAGGCGGATATCAAAGTTTTGGCTTGGTGGATATCGACGGATCGGCTGCTCGTGGAAAAATATTTGAGTTTCGAGTTGTCTGTCATTGGTTTCAGGATGAGCAAGCGGCCCATTCCTGTCCATCGATGAAGCGGGTGATAGTCTTGTGGGTCGTTTATTTCCGTGACTGACGTTAACCGATAAAACTCGTCCAAAGCAAGCGGAAGGTCGGCATGCTCGTCTCGCGGTGGGGAGCTACTGTCGTGGTGCGTGAACCGAGCGGCGGGATGGCAATGGTATGATAATTTGAATAAGTCTTCTCCGATGGCGAGGGTTTCGTGGCGCGTAAAGTCGGTGGGAATGGGATGAGTTAAAGCAGCCGTGGCAATGGCAAGCTGATCGTCGGAGAAACAACCGTAAGCAGCGTCTTTCAAGCCCCACTCACACAACGCTTGCTCAATGGCTGTCGCAAGCCTTTCAAAGTTGGAAACAGACGTATAATCCACAAACTCGAACAAGTCTTCACTTTGCGTAGAACTCTGCCGACGTTTGAGTTTGCTTTTGTTCATTGGTCACGAAATGGTATTCAGTTTGCACAAAAAGGGCGACAAAGGGAAAACCCCGCCAGCGCCAGAACCGGATGGCGGGTTATCTGAAAAGCACGTCACGGATTGCCCAATCGGCATTGGCCACAATGATTTGATCGCATTGCTGGCACCACCACCCCCTTTTTCTTTGCTTTCTCACTCAATATGCTTCGCTTTGCCATTTGTGTTGCAGGCATCTATGCGTGCTTTCTTACGTGGGGCGTTGTGCAAGAACGAGTGACCACGACTAGTTACGGCGATGAAACCGCGCCAAAGAAATTCAAGTTCTTTATTTTCCTCAATTTGATCCAGTCCATGATCGCCGCCATGGTCGCCTTCATCTACATCAAAGCGAGCGGACGTCCTCTCGCTGTCAAGAGCATGCCTACCGGACTGTTGATGAAATATGCGCAGGTCGCTTTCTTCAATTGTATCGGTTCCCCTTTTGGTTATGCTGCCCTGAAGCATATCGATTATCCCACCATGATTCTTGGCAAGTCTTGCAAACTGGTTCCTGTGATGCTCATGAATATGCTCGTGTATCGAAGGCGATTTCCATTGCACAAGCATGTTTGTGTAGGACTGATTACGGCGGGCGTGTCCATGTTTATGCTTTATCATCACACCGAAGGCAGCTCCAAAGCCGCCCAGTCCAACTCCTTCTGGGGACTTTTCTTGCTGTGTACCAATTTGGCCATTGACGGTCTCACGAATGCGACGCAAGACCAGATATTTCATGCATATTCTCAGTACACCAGTGGACAGCATATGATGTTTTTTATGAATGCCATTGGATCGGTGTATTCAGCCACCTACTTGTTGATCCATCCTCACAGCAGCGAATTGCGACAGGCCATCGAGTTTTGTACGACACACCCACTTGTCATCCGCGATGTTTTGTTGTTCGCGGTTTGCGGTGCCATTGGTCAATGTTTTATCTTTTATACCCTTCAGCATTTTGGTAGCCTGCGTCTAGTCACCGTGACCGTCACCCGCAAACTGTTCACTATGTTATTGAGCGTCTTTTGGTTCAACCACATCCTGTCCCTTGGCCAATGGCTTGGTGTGACCATGGTGTTTTCTGGTACGTTGGTTCGACGAGAAAATAGAATAAAACCAAATCCAACTAATGTTGTGCTAATACAAATGCTTTGATTAGCCATCGGTATCGAGGCCTACATCAAGAAACGAAAGACTGCCTAGAATCTTGCATCTGTCTTTTTTTGGGGGGGGCGAACTGCACTGAGAAAGCAAGGGCATGTGCCATAGAATTTTTTTATTCAAATCAATGTTCATAGATCATAAAGTTCTGACCACTAGACCACAGGTTTCTGGACGCGATATTATCATGTTGACATGTGTTGTCGAATCGCCATATCATCTCCAACAGCGACAGTATGATCATCTGCGTAACTGGATGATACGTTTACTCTTTATTAGCTGCATAGATTTTTCAAAACTTCCCACATAACACGAATCTTCTTGGATCTCGGTTTATAAGTTTTCCTATATATGACTGGGATATTGATGTCGCCTTAAACTCAACCATAAGCGCAAAACTGTTATTTTTTTTTCTCGGTTAAGAAGAAGTGGAGCCTGGTTATTCAACAAGGATATTGGTATTGACAAAAAGCTCATACGCTAAACTTTATTTTTTCGGCATTAGACAGGCCAGCGTAAAAGCTGGGCTGAATTACTGTTCGTACTCTATAATGTTTATACTGTATGGACAAATATTTGGAAGATGGAAAGGTGCATGCTTATGCAAGTTCGGCCACGCGCTTTGACGGGGTTGGGTGCTGCTGTGCCAATGTTGTATTGATGGTCTTTAATGATGCAAACAGCTCGTTTAATCGCGCTAATTCGGATCCGGTATCGATGGGTAAAGGCAAGGTTTCAGCGCTCGAGCTCGTCTCTGTCGACTCCCCTAATTGATTTAATTCGTCCAGCAGCGCATCATCATTCTTGAGTTCAGGTTGATAGGCATAAGAAGCACTTTCTCCACCGGATACAAGCGCATCTTCAACTTGTTGTTGTTCCTGCAGCGTATCTTGCACCCGTGCCATTGATTCGCTCACGGATGCCGTCGACAGATCTTCCTGGTCCAGAATCCTTCGAAGCGTATCGGCGCCTACGTTGAACGCTTCCACAACCTGTACAATATCATGTTAGAGAGAACAGATCAGATGAACAAAACGGATTTCGTACTTGTAGATCATCCTGTGAAATTTCAATTCTGAAGAGCATCGATTCCATGGTATCCAAAATCTGCATCCGACGCTCCAAAAGTTGCAGTAAATTCTTTTTTCGCTTTAGTAGATACAGCGCCTGTGGAATGTGACGCTGAGCGTACTCCTTTTTCAATGAATCCGTCAACCTAACAAACACTTTATATACTGTATCGGATGCAATGAACGCCTGATGGTCAGAGTATTACTTACTCATCTATTTTGCTCTGTAATTCTTTTACTTGGCTTTGTAAAGCCCAGCAGTTGGTTTTCAGACTGATCATTGCTTTGTCATTATCGTCAATAGTGACCTGGGCGGTAGGATGGCCCGCCTGATCCGGAAATTTGACAACCTGCGTTTACATGATACGATTTAGCCTTCATAGACACTCGAACGATTGTTTTAAGTTGTATACCGTATAATACGATCCATAGCCTTTGACGTTATCCGCAACAGCCACTCCCCATTGCGCGTGGAGGTATTTGAGCAACAAATAAAGATCAGCATCGGTCAAATGGGCGGCGTTATGAGGGCTACACAGCGAACGAAATTCCGACAAAGTATATAGACGGTTTAGGCCGTTTCGACTAGGTTTCTGCATGCAGCTATCCATCAGCTTTTTGGCCAAGCATTTCACTGTGGGTATAACGACAAATAATTCGCTGGATTTTCGCGAAAACGGTCGCGGTAGAGCGTGCCATGCACGTCGCAAAGGCGATTTAACGAGTGACTCCAGCATCCATGATGACCAGTTGTTGCGGGTTGTACAAAAGACTTCGAAATCGGCGAGCGACATAATATCTCCTGCACCAAGCATATATTCCTAAGGAAATGGAACCTGTCAGTGTCATTACTCCGGACGTGCTTTTCGATGGTCATTCATACAATTACGCATGTCAGCGCCAGTGGCTTCCCGATATCAGGTTTCTGAAACATATCTGGCAGGTCTTGAGGTTCGATCGCCAGCTGGTATTCGGGTGAACCGAGATATCCATTGGCATTGGCGTCGAGAATGATGGAGCGCCAAAAACGAACGTTGCAGTTGTATGCGTAAACATTCACCACATTCTGTTTCGAAAAGTCGGAAAACAAGGCTTTCAGACGGTCTGTGGGTTGTGGGTGGGAAAATTCCTCGTATTCCTTTGCCAAGTATGCTTGGAGATTGGAACGCTTTGCAGCAATGGTCATCGAATGGTTGAAACATACACTGGAAAAAAAAAGCGGAGTTCACAACAGCCGCATAATGCGCGGGAAAGGCTGTCGCGGTCCCTCAAACATGCCGTCATATTTCATCATCGTCTGTTTGCCAATCAAGCAAACAAGCGCTCCGATCATTAATTTAAAGTGCTTATGCTGGTAAAGAAGAGAGTCATTTAGGGCCTGAGAAGGTTTTCAATAAGGATCAAAATGATCGTAAAAACATCATTTGGAAATTACGATAGCAAAATAGCGGCGATACAAAGGATGTACAATTGTAATTGACATCTCGAGGCCTTGTCCCCGTGAATACTTAAAAGAAGAAAAATATGAGAGAAGACAAACTACTGTAGCTAGTTGGTAGCTTTATTAAAAACTACTAATTTTACTTTGCTTTGAGTGTGCAATCGTTTGGTGTTTTAAGCAAAGCAGTTCACTCTCTTTACGGACTTCATCTCTGACGTCGTCACCGCCTTCCAGTATATGTAAAATCTTCCTTGATTCACAAAAGTGTCGTAAGCTGTATAGGTTCTTTGAAGGAGTGCACTTCGTCATCGGCGATAGTGTTAGCGCTGTCATCGTCAACCCACGCTTTCACCTTCTTGCAATCATAGTCCTCCTTCGAATCGTTGCTGTAGAATGTCGATCCGTCATGGGCCACCAGCACCAGCTTATTTGGAACGACAGGAGCTTATGGGAGAACAATTCGCTTTACACCCTCCTCACCGTAATTCATGTATACCTTATATTCCGTCTTCATGGCGGCCCAATGTTTTCGATAGCTGGCTTTTCCGTGTCCATCAAAATACACATTTTCTTTGACACATTTTTTCAACATTTAAAATATTTCAAACTGGTAGTATTATCATCATTTTTTATTTATTTTTCATTCATACTTGAAGTCACATTCATGCATGTATTTAGAAAGGGTGGAATTGCCGATGCTTCCACGTACACCAAGCTTATCGGCACGATGATATCGTTCAAGTGTTTAGCAATGTCAGAGTGTTTTCTTCGTTGGGTACATGCTCCTGATATATGATCGCAGGTAGCTTGGCGGATATCTTCGTCGCTTAGAAGAGAACTCCGCTTGGAGTACTTCTCTTTCTGATGCGGAGAGATGTTCCCAAACTGGAGGTATTTTATGGCTCACATCCTAGTAGCCGAATCTCGGTAATGTTTCGATGAATTTTTTTCCAATTCCACTGAGTCCTCCTGATGAAGCCTCCTTTTCTTCGCTCCATTGAGACGAGGCATGAAATAGGCCTTGACACTATGTTATTTCGCTGGTTCATAACCTTTCACCTTTGTAATGGATGGATGATGACTGTTCATCTGTGGTGTAACCGAGGCAGTGACATTATGGAACGCCTTTTTGATAGGTTCAGGGTCGTTTGGCACTGCTATATTATCCTCATCGACGTTGACATCAACTCCATCGGCATTATTGTCCTCACTATCGGCCAGAATCTCGGGACGACTCTGCTCTTCTGTAATAGATGCTGCAGGCTTGAAAAAATTGGGTCAACTTCATTCGACCCTTTCGCCTTCTGCTCTGTTTTCTTCTTATGTTCCTACAGGGTTGTCCTTCCTCTTCCAGTATACTTTCCTCGTCCTTGTACGCTTGGATCCCACTTTAAGCCAAGAGAACCATGCGTATCAGCGATGATCTCTGTCTCTTCAATGACGTCGTCTAAAGCGAGAGTCGCAAAGTCGTTCTCTTTGTTGACTTCATGACTAAGTTCAGTGTCAGCAACGAAATATCCACGAACGGCACGTTTTTGGGCGCGAGAATGTTTCTGTCGTTTGGTGAGGCGTGGCATAAAAACGAAGCGTGTAAGCGAAAAAGGAGAAAAGATGATCGTTGGTGAAATGTCATCATGATAAGTAAATCTTTTCTTACACACAACGCCCTATAAAAACTTCAAAATTTGGTGAGGACTCCTGTTCACTGCTTAGATGTTAAACGCTGCCAAGCACCAACCTTTTCATCAGCCCCAAAATTTATGTTTCTTGTACATCAAACTGAGAGAATGGCTTATGTTAATTCTATGAACATAGATACCCAGTATGTATCACCCTTTTTGCCTTGATATCTAGTAGGCAACATCATCTTTCGGCTTGATACGTACTAGGATCAAGCGACAAAGACGGTGATGCAATATGCCCCCGATGAATGTGAATATGGTCAGCCAATCAGAAGATTCAAAGCCGCTCCAACTGCTCACTGATAAAGGTCAACTGATTCAGCCAATCAACAGGCGCAAAATATCCTAATCTTTTCTTCAGGAGACGGCGGAGTATGGGGAACTGTCATGCGTGCAGGCTTCTCAATGAACGCCTCAATTCGTGGTGGTTCTGGAAGCTCTGTACTTCCTATCTTCTTCCCCAACCCCCCTTTTTTTTACACTTGTATTTAATGTCATCACTTGAAGATCCCAACCATTTCTATGTTCTGCACCACTGCCGTCAGAGTTTTCGAGAGTTTCACGACCGCAAACCGTGATTACAAAACTTGTGCAATTTGTTGCCGAAGACAGACGCCTCGTGAACCAGTCATTGTTCAAGAGATGATTTCTTTGGAGAGCTACTTCTGGATGTTTAATTCGCGAGTATTAACTTCTGAAGACGAAGATGGGGAATGCAATCTTCATTGTAGCTTTACCAGTGTTGTCCCTCTTGAACCTGCCGTGGACACGCTGTCTGATTGAGCGTCTCGGAAGTAGTTCAGCAGTGCGACGAATTCCGAAATTACCTGCTTTGTCAACACGATCTGGAAGTGCGAGAGGTGCTTTTATACTGTCGTTTGTGTGCAAGGAGAGATCGTGCAACGCTAGATATCGGTAGAAGGGCGCGTTCGGCTAGTGCTGCGCATACCTTTGATTGCAAGGACCATACGTAATCGACGAAAAGAGTTTTTATTCTTTACCGCCGCCAACGTCGCAAAGGTGCCCGAATGTCTCCGCTGCATTCTCTTGTTCCTCGTGTCTTGAGACATTCGAAGGTAAACAGCAATTTTCAGTCATAACGACTTGCTGTACGTTTGCTTCCTTCTATATGGTTTTATCCAATGCTAATTTTATTCTCTAAATTGTTACACTTCCGGGATCCTCGTTCTTCAAGCGGCTTCGATTATTAAGTCCTGCCGACCGATTTGTTTGCCCCAGATCTTTTGCGATGATGCGACGAGATATGATCAACAAAGATTACAATGGCGAATCATTAAAGTCTGCATAACTAATTCGAATCAAGGCTATCCTCGCGGTAAGATTACATGTTCATTAAGGAATCATGTTTATAGTTCTTTTAGACGTACTCATATTCTTCCATAGAATTACATCGGTGATATCAACAACGAGGATAAAGCGATCATTTAATTACTTGATCTATGTGAAATGCTGAATGAGTATGAGCAGAGCGTTGTCCGCGCCATCGTTGGATTGTAAGCGCTTTCAATTTAGTTTATTCTTTCTTGACATTTACTTGACGCATGGCTTAGAATCCCGTCATATACGATTGCGTATCCGAAGCGCATTTCTCTGCGAGCTATATTCATCCGTTCATGGCTGGGCTGTTTTCCTGCAAGAATTCTTCGAAGGCCGCCCATTGGTATGTCATTATTGATTTTATTTTCCTTCCTTTCTAAGGATCTTGTTTCGTTTGATAGCTCGAATATTGTGGCCGATAGAAGTGTCACCACCGACAGCAACCGATCTGACTACAAAGTCGATGTTTATGAAGCATATGAATATGCTTATACGAATGCTTATGGCGAGATCAAAACCGAACAAGAACATCTATCCGTCGCTGCTAGTGAATAGTTTCTATCACTTGGCAGTCTTTTGCAAGGATGCATGCGAAGGGCTGAACCTGGATCATGTTGTTGGCGATCTCTAAGTTGCAGGTAAAATTGACGAAGAAAAAATGGTATGAAGTTAATTCATTTAACAAGCCGTACACCCGCTGTGCAATGGATGCCGCCTGCCAACGGAGGCCGCCCTCTTACATTGAGCGACTTTCGTCAGACAAAAACCAAATGCATACACTGCATAACCTGGGTGAGAACTCTTGAAGGACTTTGGTATATTAATGACAACCTTATGGCAATACCATGCAACGTGATTTGTTTCTGAACACGCGCAAAGCAGCACTGATTGACCCCCTCAGTTCCATCCCGCCCAGGCTATGATAGATCTAGAAAGATGTGTGAATATGCTGGGTATTTAAAAAAAAAATGAGCGGGTGTACGGCTTTTTAACTATATAACATTACTCTTGTCAACAGCCGACTGAGTGTTTAATCTCGCTCAACCATAATATACAGAGTTCGATGATCCCCGATAAGCGAAAATGCAACGTATACTGTATTTTTCCATGTGAAAGTACAAGGATAGGCGCCAACAATATTTGAACAACAACAGTTTCGACAGCAAGCTTCTGGGTGTTGGACGTGGACGTGGACGTGGACGTTGTTGTGTCAAGTGAAAATCAACGACATTGACTGCGAAATGGAGGTTTTTTTTTTTGCGCAGAACAAATATTCAGCTTTCATTGGCTAGCGTCATCAATTTGATTGGCTGCGACATTGTTTGTTGGAACTCTCTATGATATCATTGGTTTTGGAAATTTTCATATTTTTTCGTTTTGCCCCTCTTCGTTTTTTTAATACCTTTTCATTCTCGATCGTCACTTTTCTGTGTATTATAACTTGTACAATGTGGCAACAGCTATTCGATGTGGGAGGCAATGACGGACAGCGAAGGGGCATGAGATCAATCATACACAAAAGTGCCCATTACGACAAGGCACGGCAGAGTTATATCTTACCAGCAACTAGTACAGGTCCGTGGAACAAGTATACCACGGGCGGCAATCTGTCCCATTCCGAGTCTTTACACTTGCGCGATCGACCATTCAGTCCTTTCCGAGGCTATTACGAAAAGAATGATATGTATCCAGGCACGGAATTTGATATCTTTGGAAGCGAGGAAACAGTACTAGCCGTCCCACTTTCACCGGAATTAGCGCACGATCCTTTTGCGCTTTGCGGAGATATCCTTGATTCCGAAGGCTCGGTCGAAATACTTCCTGCCAGCCAACGAAAACGGAGTCATGACGCAGCCGATTGGGAATATATGGCACGACTAGCCAAGCGAAAATGCACAGACTCGGTACCTCCACTGATGAGCGGCATATTTCTGAAACCCACTGCACCATCGAACACGCCTGCCAATTTTTTCATGCCCAAAGCCGATATCGATGATAGCCTGAACACTCGTCACCTCATGTATTGCTAAACTCTTCATTATTTGTTGCCCTCGCATTGTCTGTATTTTCCTACTCATCAGCAACGACGTCCATGATTTTCGTTCTTTCCTCTTTTCCCGCTCGCCATCTTTTGATAATATAGAGACATCACAAAGTTTATCAACCAACAAAAGAGCGTATTAATTAAGAAAGTTATGCCTGAAACATTTCCGTTTTGGGCCTTTTATCCACTCTGTAAACCGTCGTAAAAAGGAAGGTCCGCTGGGTTTCAGTGAAGCCTCGCAATTGACTCATTCGAAAGATGATAAACGTGCATATTACATCAAGCTCTGATATGATGGGAAATGTCATCATATAAAATACAGTAATTCACGGTCGACTCAGTGTGGAAGAAAAGCTCAACGTAGGATCCACAAGGATATGAGATTGGTCGCCTAGTGGAATTTTCCTTGGAACATTCGACGTACTCATACCATAGTCTAAAGAACATGCGCTCTGCAGAAGCCTCATTTTACAAGCACTTACGCCCGAACAAAAAACTCCATCGCTGAACAGCCTTTGATCACATAATTTTTCAAACCCCAAAAGAAGAGAACCGACTCGCATCCCGACCCCCTCCAACAGACTGAGATATGTAGGATCTGGACATACTGAGAGATTATTTTTGATCAACTATATCAAGTACACACGACCAATCTTTTGAAAAGCTACGACAAAAGACAATTTTGTTGCTAGCCATCAGCATCATGGGAAGGACAAGATCAGAATTAGAACGGTTGTATTTTCGAGATGTACACCTCATCAGTGAGGGGTAAGCAGTAAATGACCGCCTACATGCAGTTCCGAGAAAACCAAGAAAAGTAACTCAAGACACTAAAGTTAAGCAAATTCCAAGAGTGCATTGTCGGTGAGCATCGTCGAAAATCTGAGAGAAAACGGCACCACCTGTGAGGCACAAACACCAGATGAACATGTGTACACACTGTTAGTTCCATGAAAATAGAGTCATTGAATTGAGTTGTCGTCGCTATATGGCAGCAAGCAGGCGTAGTGAAAGGATGGCAAGTCGTTCGAAATATTTTGAGTTTTGTCGTCACTGCCGGTAAAAAGCTGTACGCACCTTAAATAATAATATAGCTCTTCAATCAAATGGTAAATGGAAATGAGCAGAAGTTCTCGATCAATTTGCTATGCAACCTTTCACTTCTGATATCACCCGACTTCCTATTTTTTTCATCCTTCGACTTATCCGGATGCAAGAGACCACAAAAGCTTCTTGTAGTACTGCCTCTACGTTTACGGTCCTTTCTCATTTGGTTGGAAAAGATGAAAAGTTCTTTATTTGCTTCTTTGGTGTTCTGCTCTATTACCGCCTTTTCTTTTCTGCACATCGCAGATGATGCGATGATACTTCTCACCAGAATTCCCAAAAGTGACCGGCTCGACGACAGTCCGTCAAAGACTCTATAAAAATAGGCATCCACCGCGTCTGCCAAAGTTCTTTCCTTTTCCCCGAACCTCCCAAATACCTTTAGCTCGTCTTTTTCTCCGAGGTGGTCTTTTTTTCTTTGCTGAATTGAACTGAAGATGAGCTCAAGACTGATGATCCTAAAGGATAGAAGTTTGTATACTAAATATGATTTCATATAATAGTTTATTCAATGGCCGTCCATCGACGGTACCGGCGCGTGCTCTCCACGTTCGACGAGTGCTAAACAGTACTGAGTAGCTCGTCCTGGCCCACTTGGTTGGTTTTTTCGGGCAACGAAGGCGAAGGCCTGTAGATGTTTACAGTAAGCCAACTACATGCAATATTTGCTATTCCTGTCATACTGGTTTGCCCTTTTTCCCACTTTTCGTCCGTCTGATCACATTTTTGACAATGGTTCTTTTCCTCAATTTGTTTTGCTTAATCTGATTTCTCACTGCTTGCTTCTCCACTTCTTTTTTTGTCTTTGACACCGATTTTTTCTGTGACCGAAAAGTTGAATAAACTGCAGAGATTTCTGCAAAAGGGTGTTGTGGATGTCGATCTGAATGTTTTTGTAGCATCATTTAATTTGGTTTTTCTGTCAGTTATACTGTATATGCCCTTTTGATTCTCTTCAGTTTTCAATGATCGAATAATATATGAGCAGATGCATGCTGCGATCTGTGAATTCATGCATCAGTAGGGTGACTATTATTTCATCCATGGGAACTCATTATATTTGTCCCCAATTTTCTTTTTTCTTTGGTTTTCTCCTTTATGTTCTGTTTACCTGAATAACTCTCACTATCATTGCATCCCCTCGCATCCGTCATCCGCATCCATCATCCAATTATCCAGACAATGGTTTATCCCGCGTGTATCTGTAACCGGTCGAGTCGATTATTATCAAAAGGTACCTTTTGTGTGATGTGACTATCCGTTTTTGGACAAGAAAAAACTCACGTTCGTTTTTCTCTATCCTTTCTTTAGCTTTTGGTTTTCTCTCCGGTTTTCTTTTCGCCCTGGCAAGCCATCCATCCCTCCAAAACTTTCTACTTTGTTCGCGCACCAAATGTGGCCAATCCGGTCTTTGTCGTCGAAGGGCATCATCGGTGGTGTGGGTCCCATTTTCATCGGGAAGTGCTTACGCGTCCTCCTTAGGTTCCTCTTATTTGGATTGCCACCCGTAGTATCATCTTGATATTTCTTCCCGACCATTTTATTTTGTAGTTTGTGGCATGTACTCTGTATTTTATTCGATAGACCTTCTTGCAGTCTTTTCCTTCTTTTTTTCCCACAGGGTTTTTAGGGGTTTTTACAGACACACTGATTTTTACTTTTATTTTTATGTTTGTATCGTCTCCTTTTTTTTCGGTCGGGAAGCTCTCGATATCTGCTGCATCGAATAACAAAGGTGAAATATCTTGACGAAGTTTGAATCAATCAAAGAGCTTACTAACTCATTTTTTTTAAATACCCAACATATCCACACATCTTTGTAGATCTATCATAACCTTGGGCGGGCGGGACATGAACGGAGGGGGTCAATAAGTGCTGCTTTGTGCATTAAAAGTGTTTCATGGTATGCCAGAGTATTGACATTAATATACCGAAGTTCCCTCAAGAGTCACGCCCAGGTTATGCCGTATTGCGTTAGACTTTTTGTCTGACGAATGTCACTCAATGTAAGAGTGTGACATCCCAGTAGCAGGTTGCATCCATTGCACAGCGGGTGTACGGCTTGTTACTTTAACTTTCTGATCCAAATTGAGCATTTCTTTCAATTGCAATAAGAAAACACTCGTTTCGAGATGTGATCCACAGCACTTGTTACTCGTTAATCATGTGATCACATGACCAAATTCTGTGATGATCAACCGAACTAAAAGAAATACCGGTCTACGTGCCTTATAGGAACACAAAAAGCATGGGTTTTCATAGACCTAGCATACGTGAAATGTGTGTCCAAAGAGTTTAATGACAATGGCAACCACATGTGTTCACCATCGCCACAGGTTGAGAATAAATCAATCGATATAGAACTTGCTCGCCTGCGCCGCGAACTATGCAGTGACAGATACCATTAGAGATGAAGCATGATAATAATACCTTTATAACATATATTCTTGCTAAATAGTGTAAACAGTATATGCATTTCAAATCCAATGGTGAACGGTCTTTTTTTTTTTTTTTTGGTTGGTTGGTTAGTTAGAAGAAGCGGGCGAATGGTTGCTGCGAACCGATCCCACTGCGAAATTTTGTGTAATTTTTTTTTTTTTTTTTTTTTTTTTTTGGAAGTTCGGCAGTGCCATTTTCCTCTTTTTGTTGAAACATGGTTGTGTGTCGATTTTTTCAAGAAGGACGCTGTAAATTCGGATCCGATTGTCGCTTTGAACACATCAATCCAGGCGCGCCCGGCCAATGGAAGTCCAACTCAACGCCCGTAACCGACAAGTACAAGTAAGGCATGCCTGATTTGGCCATATGTCAAGGGATTTTTATAGTTATTGATCTTTTTACACTTCAGTGAAGCTTCAATCCGAACCAATCTAAAGGACGAACGGCCCTTGTGGCAATTAAGTGTATATGGTCCCGCCAAGGAAGAGCCCAACCTCATCGTAGGCACCGATCGCAGTCCTGAAGAGGATCGCCTGCTATACTACCTAAGCATGCGAACTACAGGCAATATTAATCAATACGTGAGTTACTTACAGTGGGAACTATTCCATTGGAAAACCATGCTGACGATGGAGTAGATGGCTGATCAAGAACAAGCAATAAGAACGATGGATTCACAAGTCAACGCTATTTTAAACAACCCGAAAGCCGCTCTGCAACATTATGATCAGCAAAAAACCAAACATACGAGTGGATTTGGAGGACAAGCGAGTAATCAGCCGTTTGAACCGTTCACCGGAGCCCCGCAAGCATTTGGAGGTTCTTCAGCGTTTGGCAGTGGTGCATTTGGTCAAAAGCCAGCTACAGCTTTCGGCGGCTCCGCATTTGGATCGGCAGGAAATAATGCTTTTGGTGCTTCAGCATTTGGTGGAGGTACCGCGTCCGCGTTTGGCGGTAGTCAGCCCGTTTCCGCCTTTGGTGCAACGACAGGAGCACCAGCTTTTGGATCCACGTCAAGCTTGGGCGCGTCTGCTTTTGGTAAACCGTCGGCTCTAGGTGGAGGGCCTGCTTTTGGTCAAGCCTCCGCGTTTGGTGCCGCCAGCAATTCCGCACCAGCGTTTGGCGCCACTTCAGCGTTGGGTCAATCTGCTGCGCCTGCATTTGGAAGCACATCCGCTTTAGGGTCAACCTCCACACCGGCATTTGGTGCGACCTCCGGTCTCGGAGCCGCAGCAGCACCAGCATTTGGAGCCACATCCACACTGGGGTCTGGCTCGGCTTTTGGACAAACTTCGTCCTTGGGCGGCAACAACGCATTCAATAAATCCGCCCCATCGGCATTCGGTCAACCATCCGCCTTGGGTCAAGCATCGCCTTTTAACCAATCTACCAACACAGCACCCGGTTTCGGTTCGTCGTTGTCATCATCAACCAACTCGACTTTGGCCGCACCGGGATTTGGATCGGCCAACGTCAACCCTACTGGGTTCGGATCATTCGCAACAACAAATAACCCGTCATCTCTGTCGTCAGCAAATATGGATGACCCTGATTATAAGGCATTCGCATCCGATCACTTTGATTTCCGAGGCATACCCGAGGTGGAGCCACCTGCCGAATTATGCTAAATTGAGGCTTTTTTTTTATTGTTTGGAGGAGGGATTTTTCCGTGAAAGGAAAGAAGGCTGGGTTTTGGTGAAAGTCTTGGAACTGGTCATCACTTTGTAAGTGCCGCGGCTTTTCCACAATCTTCCAACACAAACTGTACTGTACATACATAAATAAATAAAGGTTGCTTTGACTGAAGATGGAGATCCTCGTTACAAACGTCCCGATAATGACCGATTATCTTTGGTGCAAAGGTAATACATACCTCCGTCGATTTCAGAGAGCAACAGCAGCAAGACGTGGATGTGATGGTAGGTGAGCGAACAATAGATGAAATTCAGTTTCAAGATGCTCGGTACATCTCTTCTCGTGAAGCGATCTGGCGTATACAGTATATCCTTTCCTTTCATCTTGCATCATCGGTCACCGGCAATCATGCAAAGTCAGCTGCATTTACCTGAGCGCCAGCCAGTGTTCTTTCATGTGAAAAAGGTGGAGGTAAAGAAATGAACACATATGGTTCTCCACGGTTCTTGATTTTTGTCCTAACTTCCTTTGAATTTCTCACCCGAAGACTTACAGATTTGCAATGCTGCTCACCACAGCTGCTTTCGCAGGTGCCATAGTTTTGCCTGCGTGAAGGAGATCTATTTTTGCGTCACTGACCGACGTCTTGCCGGTTAACCTTGTCAATAATGGCGGCCAAATTCGATACTTCTTCCGCCAAGAAATCCACCGCAAACTTGCCAATGAATCGATCAGTGGTGGCTTGGCAAAGGGAATCGAGCAGTTGGCGTCCAAAGATAGACAATTTCCAGTGGCTGTGTTGATTAAGGGGCCAGAAATAGGACGTCCGACTTGGCAGGTACTTCTTGAAACTGAGAAGGCATGAATGTGTCGAATGGGTTCTGGTATTCTTTGAACAGCTCCACCATATTTTTCCCATTGAATATCCATGTATCTCCGTCCTGTCTATCATCGCTAGGGACTTGCTTAAACTTTTCTTCTTTGGTCGTCATATGCGTCAAGGACACCAAGTTTGAAGGTAAAAAGCTTGTCGCTTCTTTTTTTTATATTTAATTTATTTCTGATACAGGGACACGCCCGGATGGGTATTGGTGGCGTACACCTGATACAGCGCGAGACAACAAATTTTGCGTGTTTGGCTTAAAATTCAAAACCGCTCAACTGAACTGCATTTTCTGGATGAAACGGTTCCAGAGGGAAGATAATCTACAAGTGTACAATCGCACAGAATCCAAGGTCAGAGTTTCTGAGCTTATTTATCCTTCATGCAACATGTATGAACAATATCTGCTTCCAGTGTGGCTGTGTAACAGGTCAATTGATCACTACTGCAGAGAAGCGATTCATAATCCATTTACCATGAAGTCAATGTTGTAATAATACGATACTTTACAGAATTAGATACCGCGTCCTGTGGCCAGCAGATAAAAAAAGGGAACATCCACCCTACTGCGACAAAGTGCGTGATTCTCAGATATATTAGAGGATGATCCTACTTTTCTTGTGTATGTCCCTGATCAATTGGTGAGATAACCATAGTCTTGCTTCATTCGTATTACTTCATTTAGATTTTTCAGTAAAGCAGTGTAATGGAAGGTGACATTATGAGAAGGTATATTTATGTCGACTTATTATGCTAAACTATGCATGTATTCTTTCGTTTACTCGCAGGGTGGACATGACTGGATTATGCGATGTTATGTGTCTGCATTCTACGGGAATAATCATCACATCACGAATGAAAAAAAGGAAAAAATCCCAGTCATTAGTGTCTAACTTTTTTTTTAAAAAAAAATATATAGAATATCACGTTCTTATAAAAAGAAAAGAAAATGAAATAATATGAAAGAGCATGTACATTGACATTTAAAGAGTATTACATCGTCCGTTCATGTACATTGAACAACAGAAAAGAGTTCTGATCTAGAAAAAGAAAGAAAAATCCCAAAATTTGAATATAGAGAAAGAAGAGGTTAAAAAATAAAGAAAGAAGAAAAGAGTAAAGTACAGACAGATAGACCCAGATGCCAAGAAGAAAAACAAAAAAGAAAAGAAAAAGATAAAAAAAATGATCTTGGGCATCGTAGGCTTATCATGTGGAAACTGCCGAGGCCCCCATATGTACAGTGTTGAAGCTTCAGTCGGACTTGGGCATCGGGTCCTCTGCGGCGCCATCCTTCTTTGCGCCATCAGACATATCTTCAGAATCCACGGCATCAGTCGTGTTCCCGTTGTTAATAAGGGGCAATAACTTTTCCACCTCTGTTAAATCAAAGAAAAAGGAAATAAAAAGCAGCAGGTCAGAATCATCGCTAAACACACAGTCATCAAGTTTCCTACGAGCTTTGAAAAGAACTTACTTTGAATAAGATGTTTGCCATAGGTATATTTCTTTAATGACTGTAGATGCGGTTTTATCTTGTTCACAAGGAGCTCGCGCTGATCATCATCCACAACATCCAGCATCTTCTGAACAACGTAGTTGGCGTACTGATCCTTCATCATCGTCACAAGAGGATAAGTTCTATTTGTTTTTATCATCATTGTCAATGGTGAGCCCAGTCGTATACTTGTACGCATTAGTCCATGAAACTCTGCTTACCCATCCGGTTTGGCTTGAAGCACTTCTTCAATAAGCACTTGGCGATCACGTTTGGAGCCATAATCAACACATTTTTCCACTACATTGCTCGCAAATTTATGCTTGCTCAGTTGAAGCACTTGGCCGCGGATCTTTTCGATCACCAGTGTCTTGTCTTGCGGTCTTCCTCGTTCCAGGATGTGCTGAATTACGTAGTTACCGTACTGATCTTGGACGAGTTGACCAGTGCAACGATGCAATTCATCCAACAATGGACCCTACATGATAGTTTTTCATCAATGATGAGCTCAATGTCATTTGTAAAAGGAATCTCGCCAAAAAAAGATACTTACAGTCTGGAATTCGGTACAATGTTCAAACATTCGTTGTATCACTCGACAGCCATAGGGATGGGTCGCAAGATTATAGACTTGACCATGGAAGGCGTCAATGATAAATTGGATATGCTGGGCGGGCACACGTTCAATGGCCTTTTGAATCACATGATTGCCATTTTGATCTTTGATGCATTTCAACACGCAACCGTCGAGTTCGCTGACAAGTTTCGCTTGCTGTTCCGTCAAGACATGTTCCAACGCCTTTTGTACTACGCGACAACCGTACATCTGTAATGACAAAGACAAAACGTGACCTTCCATCTGTTTCGCTAAAATCGTTTTCTGCATTTGATTGCCATGTTCGAAAAACTTTTGTAGCACGTAGTTGCCAAAGACGTCCGTCATCAACTGCAACGCATTGGGAAGCACCTCTTCAAACACCATTTGTTTTTCTTCGCTATTGGCAGTTTCAAGCTTTTGCTGAATGTAACGTGAACCATGCTGATCACCACTGAATTCCACGATATGTCCACCAATATCCTTCAACTCGTACTTTTTGCTCTTGGAATTTCGGAACTCTTCCAATAACTGGCTTCGAATACTAAGCGTCATATCCTGAGATGTTTGAGGGGATCGTACCACTCCGTCTTGGGCGAGACCGCGAGGCAACGCCAACCCTTGATTGGCAGCGAAGCCTTGCATTTGGCGTTGTAGGTAGAGTTGTTGTCGGGCCACCAAAAGTTGCTGTTGTTGTTGTTGAATCAAGAATTGCTGTTGCTGCATTTGCAAAGCGCGAAGTTTCTTATCCGTCATACCAGCGTAACTGTTCTCGGGGAATCCCGCAGGGTCCAAGCCAGCAGGCGCCGTCATTGGACCATTCAAACCCAATCCCATAGCAGCAGCTGTGGCAGCCAAATAAGGAGATGTACCTTGACTTCCTGGCATCGCTGCACTCTTGTAGTTAAGATAGTCTTGCTGATCATAACCTCGTGCTAAAAACGGTTGTGGCGACTGTCTCGCCCATCGACCATAGGTTGCATCCGGGGTCAAGAATCCGCTTACAGGGTCTCTTGCGTCTAATGCCACGTCATTCAAATGTTCCATGGGCATCTCTAATCCACTTGTTTGATAGGCACCGTAACTTTGGGTATTGCTACGAGGAACGCCATAGAAAGGGCTTCCAGGTGTCTGCGCCATCCGTGCCGTCTGCTGCTGCTGTTGTTGCTGCTGTTGCTGTTGCTGAAGTTGTTGAAGGTAACGCGCTTGTTGCAGATCCTCCTGCAACATAAAACGGTAAGTAAATCATTACATGGAAATAAATCGAGAGGAGAGCTCTGTTAGTTGGTTTCGCATGGCGTTACCTCATCATTCAAGCCAATAGCACCCAGCTGTCGCATCATTAATTCTGTTTGGCGATCCATTTCTCCTACTCTAGGATCCAGCTCCCCGTACATAACGGTATTGCGAGCCGGAGGGGTGGAATTGGCACGCACAGGAGGTGAGTTGGTGAAGTTGGATCGTTGAGGAGGGGAAACCGTGCGGAGGGCATTGATGCGAGAAGAAGAAGGGCCTTGTGACGCGGGGTCCTCCATGGACATGTGTAGCATGGCCGGTAAGTTATCTCCAGTTTCAGCAGGCTTTTGTAGTGAAGCAATAGAAGAGGAGGAGGCTTGACGCTGTTGCTGCTGATGTTGCTGCTGTTGTTGCTGGCTTAGGAGGAAATCGTCATAGGCCATAGCTTCCAGTTGTTTCTGCATAGCGTCGAGGTCGCCGGCAGACATATTGCCCGTATCTTCACCGTAACCGGAACCTTGTGCCGAAGCGGCATGCCGTTGCCGTGATTGTTGCTGCAAAGCATACAATGGCGAAGGTGTACGCGGAAAATCCTACATTCGGGATTTTTTTTTCTCTTAAGTGCTTCTGCCATAATACCCACCATCATCCCAATCATTCCCCTTTCTCAAATGACTCATCCACCTGCCCATGCATACAGTGATATCCAATTGCTTACCTGTTGAATCAAATCCACTAAGTGTTTTCCACGTCGACCAAGCACATCACTGGTATCAGCAACTTTGTTGGCATCCCTTTGAGCGGCGGCATGTTGCGAAATCCCCATGCGACCGTTATCATAACCACGTTGGCCATAACTAGGTTCGCTGGCTTCTCGTTGAGGACCGAAATCTGTAATTACAGTGAGCAGAAAGTCGATAACACAGATTGGTTGGTATTCATATTATTTACCACTTTCCGACTTGGCTTCACTATTCCACAATGGCCAAGACTGACCGGTTTCGTAAGTAGGAGCTGGTAAACGAGGATCGAGCTTGGAATGTTCATAATAATATTTGAGGTAATCGCGATCCATGGTGGATTCTGGTGGATTGGACAAATTGTGCAAGCTACTGTTATTTGCATTGAGTCGTTGTTGATTCAAGACTTGGGTAGGAGGCGCACTGGTTGACCGATTGTAAGTTTGGTCATCCGGGAAGAATCCTTGTCCGTTTCCATCGAATAAATCGTCATAGTCGAGTTTCCCATGTAACAAAGCGGCCAGCTATTAACAAGATGAGTCAAGAGTCAGCGAAAAAAAGCCGAGATGCCAATATTTGGCAGAGCCAACGTAACATTGTTAGTCGACTCGAGTTCAACGTACCTGCCCGTGAGGTTGGTTGGTGGCTTTCGGTTGGTGCAAATCCGACTTTTGGGCACCCGGAGATAGAGTGTGACGCGGTAACATGTTTATCGACTAGAAGAAAAGCAAGTTTCCTGTTGTATATGCACACCCTCTCACGTTGTACTAGAGCAGTGGCAAAACAGTGAGCAAGGCTTGAAAAGAAAAACGCCGTTTCTTTCTGCCAAGGTTGCCGCCCAGCGGCCGCATACTATGTCATCAATTTTTCTTCTCATCCAATCAAAATTCACTAGCCTATTTGTGCGATCATTTTTTTTTCCCCTCCACTCAAACACACTTGCGCTATTTGAAAAAAAAAAAAACAGTTATGACCAATCTCCATCTGATCCGTCATTAGAATTGGCTTTTTTCGTGGATTATTACCCTTTGTCACCAATTTATAACGCGTTTTTCGTAAGAGAAAACCTTATTTCGCTTGTATCTTGCAGTGTAATTTGCCTTGATCGCCTCTTACTTTTTTTAGTCGATGACTGCTTAGTAACATTTGTCTCAAAGCAGCCCACAACGCGTGTTTCTTAATCAATGGCATACTGTTTATTTCAAAACTCACCGTAGAAATTTGAAATCACAAAAAAAAAAAAAATACAAATTATGATACAGACAAAAAAAACATAAAAAAGTATAAAAAAGTATAAACATCAAATGATGAGAGTAAATCAAACATAGACAAGTAAAAGAAATGGTTGAAATAATTAATTCGCGAGTTGGAAATGACCAGATTAGGGAGAGAAGACATAAAGAAAACAAGAGTCCTCAGTAAAATTATATCTTATACAGCTTTCTTACTTTATTGAAAAACTTACCGTAACCTCTGGGAGAGGTCGCTCAACTTCCAAAGGTCCGTATCCTGGGGAGGACGTCATAACCGCCCAGGAGAGGCGAGGAAAAACCAAGAAACATCCAGGGACGACAAGAGGAACTCCCCTAAAAAAAAAACCAGACGTCCAACCAAAGGAACACAGGAGAGAACGCCAGAGAAAAAAAAAAAAGCCCGACCACAAGCATGACCACGCGGAAAAATAAAGACACAAGCGGGAGACAAGGTCAGGAAAAAAAAAGTTGTCCGGAACGAACAGAAGCAACACCGAAGGGACAGGAGCAACACCGAAGGGACAGGCAAGCAACCCGGACAACGGAAAAAAAACGAAAAAACCTTCGTGACGGGGGCCACCAGCAAAAAGGCATCTTCAGCAGGACGGGACCAGAAAGAATGCGGAAAAAGGAAGGGTGCCTGCAAGCCCCGTAGTGATTAGATGCCCCATAGGTGCCGCATTGTAATAGAGAAAACGCTGTATTAAATATTGTTTGTTACAGGTTATCGGATATCTCAACTATAAATTTTGGAGTTGTTCGGATGGCCTTTTATTATGGACACTGTCCATCGAAACATATCATTGCATTTTCGTTTTTTTTTTTTGGAATTAGAAATTTTGAAATTCCTACGGTGACTTTTGAACAGGAGTGTACACATTCTGTTCTACCGCACCGGTTTTACTGCAACTCTAAGATAATTGTCTCCCATTAAAGCTGCGGATTGGTTGTTATTTGTCGAGTATATTAAATCTCCTAGCAACCTATTATATGTTCCCACGCCCTGAAAAAAGTCTATTTGTAGTGATTTCACATTCAACTCTCTTTATGGGGCGCGCACCATTTAGACCTATGATAAGGTACGTGTAAGCGCTTAGCTTATGCCAAAAAAGACATCTGAACCATTATTTGAAGGCCACACGGTGTTGCATACGTGCGGATGCTGGGTGACGCTACCTTTGCTGCCCGTTTGATGGCACACAGTCATCAAACTTTGGATAGATGCCGTTCAGTGACAGCTGCTGTATTCGAGTTGAGTATTTCGTCACCTTCAAGCATTCATTGCAGGGAGGTAGATAATCCATGCATCCTAAACTGTTCGACGGAATGAAGCCGCAACAGGCCATAGACCAACCGATCTAATCAAAATATTGAGGCAGAATATCTTCACTCAATGTCATAACAACAGAATCCAGAGATACATTGTGTCAATGATAATGAAACCATGATACGGAAAATCCAGTTCAATTTTTTTGCAATCCTTTGCAGATTATCTATCAGCATACAATATAAGCATTATCCAAAAGCATATAGATTTGCTTCATTCGGTTCTGTCGCCACAGATTATTAACATTGAACCACAGAGCTACTTCTCTTTTGTCGCGCGTCCGCTCGCACCATAACATATACAAATGTGGAGTACTATGTCAGTATGCTTGTACTTTCAGAGACTTCGTAACAGCAGGAAATATGTGCCATACAATATTATTCAGCAACGTCTCAAACATCACAGAGTACTTTCAGTAGAAACGTCGCAGAGAAAGGTTGCCAGAGTCATGGATCAGGGTCAGTTTTTTGAAGCAGCGCCGAGGCTTCTACTATTGGCACATCAAGTTCGCATATAAAAACAAAAGAGATGTCTCAGTGAGCTGTCCAGAGTCAACTTAACTCCAACCCTATGCCCAGGAAAACTGTACGAGGGCAGTTAACAAGGTTAGCATGAAAACGCCCATGGGTGTGGGGCTTCGAATCTTCGCTTTGTGCTGTGACGTCAGAGGCTTTATAAAAAATTCCGTCTTCCTTTTGCGGTCACTGAAAATTGACGGTCGTTGCAGCAAAAATAAAGTAGGGAAATTTGGTTTGTTCGGACAAGTGGTAATGCCAAATTAGCTTTCATGGTATCGATCGACACAGAGCTCACTCAGCTGAATCTCTGCGATCAGCTGAGGGCAAATTCCTCCTTCATGAAAGTGATTGCTACCATCTTCCATTACGGTAACCAGTCAATGAACGCCGCGCAATTGGTCATTGCCGTCAGAGCCTTGGATTTGCTGCCTCTCAGGTTATTTTTCTATCTCTCTCGTTATATCTCCTTTTTCTCTGCCGCAAGAGGGCTCCCATGACATGGTACAGAAATGAAATGCAGTCGTCACTTAAACACACCATGTTATTTGATTGGCCTGAATGCTCACATTTCACCGTGCATAGCGAGGAAAAAAAGGAATTCCGCTTGATCCGTGGGCAATTTTACTAATGATGTATCCCATTTTTCTTTCCTTACAGAGGTGAAACTCCCAAAAGTACGGTGCAAGGCATTATCTCGACATCTCGTAAAACCGCGAGAGATTTGCGTCAGCCTGATCCTTTCCGCATTGAGAAGGATGAATCGGGCCGTCAGGCGAAATACTCCATATCGGACTCCGTGCTCAACGGAGTCACACCGCCTGAACCGCAAGAGATACCTGATGAACCGATTATCCTGAAGCCGGTAGAACACGCCTCATATTCCTCCTCTTATGCAAGCCAGCTAGGCAAGCGACATCGAAAAGCACCAAAGTATTATTCTCCCGAAGCGGCCTTACGCAAAGCCAATCGTCGACGTGCTAGAGCGTCGAAACTGAAACGTAAACAAAACGCAAATTACAGCGGTGGAGAAAGCGAAGGTTCTGAAATTGATGTGGATACAGATGATGAATTAAGGTAAGAAAAGTGACAAGGGGAAAAAGCGACATGATTAGAATGCTCTGAGGATTGATGGATTTGTTATTCTTTTTGTATGGGCGGGATTTTTCCAGCTTTGGCTCCGGTTCGGAAGAAGAGTCTCAGATGAATACGGTGCCTGAAGAAGACACAATCAACAATTATTCCTTATTATACTCACCACCCACCACTGAAATGACTTACATCGATCCCATCAATTTTGCAGAATATCCTATTGCTGGTCATTTCGCCATTGTGCAACAGAAAGGTTATACGTATCCCCGCTTCCGATCGCATGAAAAAGTCAAAATTCCCAAAGTTCACTGTGAGGATAAATTTCGCGTCGCCGACATTGTTCAACAAAAAAAGGATGAAAAACCCACTATTGTTGGCCGCATGTTCATTCTCGCAGACGGTCATGGCGGTCCTGGTTGCTCTGAATTTTTTGTTCGCAACACACCTGCCGCCATTCAGAAATTATGCGCCGATTACGACCCTACCGAGTTTGGTGACATCCAAGTTCAGCGGCGTTTTGAAACAGACGTAAAACGGATGGTCGAAGCATTAGATGAAGAGTATCTCGCCATGAAAAGAATCGAACTCGGTCGACAAAAAGACGCACAACCGAAGCAAACACCTGAAACAGACGAAGGAAGCAAAAACGAGTCCACGGACAAGATGGAATTGGATGCTACCTCTGAACCGTCGGTTGAACAGCATGTGGATAACGATGGCAGCACCCTTATTATCAATCTGTTTTTTGGCAGTTGGATGGTCAATGTCAACGTTGGCGATTCTCGCTCCATTCTTATATCAGCTCCGGAACCCAGCAATACACCTGCCGCGACGAATACCAATCCTCACGGATATCCCGTAGCTGGCGCGGTGGATTTGGATTACAAAATGGACGTGGTATTCGCTTCGCAAGACCATAAGCCTTACTTGGAACATTTAGCTCGCGAGATCCTTGAAAATGGTGGCGAGTTTGTGGATTCGGTGCAAAATCGCGTCATCAAGGTGGAATTGGATAAATTGAGAGAAGATGGCAATCGCCATGCCAAACGTTTAGCTTTGAAGAATGCCCGTATTCGCCCCAAAGGCTATCACGCAGGTCATGATCAGTCCAATGGGAGTGCCGAAGCAGAGACGGGGAATACGACGGCCCAGCTTACACAAGCATCTTCCAACCATGCATCGGTAAAGTCTCGATCGAATCAAGATCGTATTCCGTCCTTGAATGTCGCACGATCTTGTGGTGATTTGGATTTCAAGATGGACCCCAAACGAAAAATCATATCGTGTGAACCGGATGTGAACTTTATTCGGATATGCGATGACGATGTGGACAAACAAGACGAAAATATGCGAACCGTGTTGACTTCAGCGGCGCATAAAGGAAAGCGAAGGCATTTTCTGTTCATGAGCACCGACGGCACCTTTGATTACATGTATGAAGAAACCGCCGAACGTCAAAATCGGGCCATTGCAAAAGTCATTGGTCCCATGATTGAAGATGGGGAAAAAATTGGAAAGTACTATTTCGAGAACCCCGAAGAAGGACAGACAATTGAACACGGTAAAAAGGAAGAAGATGTCCTTATGAAGGATGCCGATCCCAAAACTACCGAAACTACGGAACCAAAGACTACGGATGACGCCACTGCGCCCACCGCATCTGCATCTTCACCTACGCCTGTATCTAAAACTACATCTGGACCTACACCTACACTGACCGAACCAGTTGAATCATCGGAAACAGTTCAATCTGATAAATCGATTGGGTCGGTTGAATCGGCTCCACAAGCCGTCTCTGATGCCACATCTGAGCCATCGAGCGCGAAAATGTCAACAGATGAACCAACAATCTCCGACAATGAGCCCAAAGCGCCCGGGCAGGAATCACAGGCGGGATCTAAGGATGAACCATCAACAAATGGGCCCGACCTTCCGGCCGAACCACCTCGGGTTCCATTATTGTACCGTGAATTAAATGAACAGGAAGCACTGCAACGTAAGATCAAGGAACGTACATTGGTGATGGCAGCTCGATACTTCGCCAATAGAGAAAGTGCCCACGGATTTTTTGCTTCCACCCTACAGGATTATGATGACTGTACCATAATACTTATCGAAATTTGAAATGGACGAACTTTGATGAATATTCTCATACGATAATAAACTTGAAATGTAAATAAGACACGTTTTTCCAAACTCTAACCAGAACTAGACCTGACCTTTGTCCACACAAATCGAGTGGGACCATCCACATTTTTACCTGATGGTTGCGATAATATTGCTACTACGGGGTTCTCAAACAAAATTCAGAGTGAGTGAGGTGAACAATGGAGCTGATCATGACAAGACCCCCATTCGAAAAGCACATTTTATACATTGACACTGTCCCAAATACGATCCTAAGATTTATTTAATCCGAACCAAAACATTAGATTGTTCTAAATAAACGCCACACGCCTTGAGCATATTGTACGATTTCAGAAACACCCATTTTACTTTCGCCGTAAACACGATCCACAAACGTAATCGGCACTTCACCGACAGAGTAGTTGAACTGTCGTGCTCGTACAATCATCTCCATTTGGAAAACATAGCCCTTGGATATTGTGGCATTAATGAGTTGATGTAAGACTTCCTTCTTATACAAGCTAGAATGCCGGTGATTGTGTGAGACACATATGAACATGCATGAATTATTTGTCAACAAATTTTGACTGCTTACCGGAAGCTGCCTGTCAGATCCGAAGTTTTTGGTCGCAGCATCAAGGTGGCAAGGAAATTGGCACCTCGGCTAATTAAACGGGCGTATGTCCAGTGAGTATTTTATTTACCTTTTGGATCGATAATCATTATACATACCTGACGAGTTTTCGTTTCAAATCCCAACCATAGACTCCTCCACCAGGGCGATATCGCGTACCGCTAACGATATCATAATTGTGCTCCGCTTGTAGCCTACGTATAACTTGAGTACTGTATTCAATTGATGTCTGCAGTTTATCTCTCTCTGACTTGACTTACTTGATCATATCCGGTATGAATTTAGGCTATCACTTATTGAGTAACAGGAACTTGTTTGCTTCTTTTTTTCCGACATACTTACATGATGCGAAAAGTCAGCATCCATGATAATAATATAATTACCGGTGGCATATTGTAACCCGTGCACATAAGCAGTACCTATAAAATAGAACTATTTTTGAATACATCATCAACAAAGTAGTCAGAAAACTACGCGGTTACCTAAACCCAGTTTGCCAGCGCGCGGTCTTAATTGCTAATGGTCATTGAAGTGAGCAAATGGAAGGTCCGTTAGGTATGGTGCCATGGAAAATGCTTACGATATGATTTTCGCCGTATACTTTTTGCAGTTCTTTGGCGACGTCTTGAGTGCCATCAGGACTGCCATCGTCGATAATAACGATTTCCCAGTCAATGCCCTGTTGGGTAAATGTACGCGCAAGAAGCCACGTGATGATGGGCAGGTTTTCACGTTCGTTATAGGTAGGTAGCAACACTGAGTATTTATTAGAAGCCATGGTGGGGTAATTGGTCAAAGAATCGTCAACCGTCAAAACCGCGTGTTGAGACCCTGAATTGCTGTCCATAGGTCAAATATGAGGCAAGGGAGATCCAAATTCGGCATCTGCGTAACTGTGCGAATTGTGCGGTGCGTTTGATCACATGGTTTGCCCAATCACAGCTAAGCGTTGCAATTTCCGAGAATCAATGTCAGATCGATTCTTCACAGATATCAAATCAAACCTTCATCACCTCAGATATGCCATGCTTTCATGCTCCTAATCCACATAATATTACATTAGCGATGAAATGTTCAAGCCATATTTCTCAATCGTAATGTTTCTATGCATCGATCATTGAAGGATCGTCTACCTCAGATCCGATAGTTTAACGAATATGAATACTCGCAATGATTATGAATAAGACAGTAAATATTATACTATTCTTTGAATGTACCTCTGATAGCGCAATTTTCTATTTTCCCTTGATAACCCAGGAAAGCCCACGCAACTTTCTGGACTCTTTCACGCGCTGTGAACTTATTAGTCGATTTCTAAACCTGTTTAGGCAAAGTCAAAGTCGGGCGATCCAGGCAAGATGGGCCACACTTAGCAGTATGCATTGATCGTTACCATGTTGGCTAACACTTATCACATCATTGTCTCTCGTCAAATATAATCATTATTCTATCTCAATTCAAATCGATCACACAATCCATAGTATAAATATCACCGCATTTTAAATCTGAAAAAACTCAATCAGTTATCTCTGCTGTGATACACCCTATATCTTGTCCTTGTTTCTAGTTCTTGTTCCGGAACCGTTATCCTCTTCCTGCGTTTAATATTCCCACAGCACCTGGCATCTTGCAAGGCTGACCTCTCCGGTCCTGTTATATTTGCATGTTCCGCCAAATATAATTCTGTGCCTTGTTCCCATCCACATCCGGGATATCGGCTTGTAATACCGAGCATTCGTCTGAAGATAAAAAGCGCTTCGCATTGTGTTGGCCGCTTTCAATGTTTTGAAATATCCTCTTTCTTTGCCTTGTTGATAGATGGCGTTCCAAGGCATAGGCTCTCTGCGTTAGTGTTGTTGTGTCGGAATTGTGGGCATCGATACAAATTTGAACAAATGTCCACTGGTCTTCAGATGAATAAGCCTGTCGCATTTCCACGCGATGAGTCGGCAGATCATCGGAATGAAGGCGCGCGCAATACGATGTAGGTACCGTTGGTGAAAGTGACCGTGACGCCAGTTGAGGGTGAGGAAGACGGCGGTGAGGAAAACGGGCCATGTCTTTCTCGGGATGGGGATAAAATTGACGTCGCAGCAATGAGGCTGTCCTCAGTTGCACGTCTGCGTTCGGACCAGCACGAAGGCTTGACAATCCACGCTGTATCATTTCATTCGCACGCTGGCTTACGCCGAGGCAATCTTCAAGTGTATCGCCGTGAATAGTGATTCGATCTTCAAACAGTTCTCGGTCTGTTTCGGATTTAAGTAGGGGTACTATCCTACGTCGTCATATGTAACTGTTTGCTTATTCTCATAAGCAGTTCAGTGTTTGCATGAGAGCCTGAACGAAGCTTTTTTCTTTCTCACCGCGATGGGAAACAAGGTAACTGATTGTTCCACAAATAATACTACTGAGAAACTGGTCAACCAAAAGTAGCAGGCAGAAAAAAATAAGCTCAGAATATCCCCCTGATTCATCAGAGGATTATTCGCACCTTATTGAACTCTCGTTTTTGACATCTACTTCTTTTATTCGATCATATCCTGATTAGTCGACTTATGGGTCCCACAATTGCTGAATAAAAAAGAATTTTACCACCATGTTCTTCGTGCACCTGGTCGATAAATCTCTGCTGATATAAGCGCTGCGGCACTAGCTCACCTATATTTGTAGGTATGCATATGAATAACCTATTCGATAGAAGAAAAAATGGAAGATGAAAACCATACCTAGCACATAACATATGGGAAGCCTGCACGCATTTTCCGTAGAGACAAACATTCGTAAATATCCAGCTTCTTTGCGTACTTTCGTCATATGCAGTCTATACTCTAGTATTTATTGCGTAAAATCCTAATTTGGTAATGCTTCATCCTCAGATTCCCTCAAATAAGAGAATCTTTTTTGTTGAAAAAGTAAAAATAAAACAAGGTTGATCCAATCCGAGCACGGACAAGTAATTTGTAAAGGAGCGACTTTAGTTTCTGAGATGATGGGTACTTTTTCCAGGGCAGCGATGCAGTGGACAGCTTTCTTTATTACGAAAACTGCAACCCCTTTCGTAATAGAAAAGTAAATGAGCATAAGAAAAAATTGGTATCTTAAACACAATAAAAACTTCTTGCTGCTGAGTCGTAATTTGCCACCGTCGATCTCGATTTCCTTTTATTGCCTGGACAAATCTAATGTTACACAGGACACGCTTTGTGTCCACTTTTATTCGTATTCATAGAACCTGGGTATTGTTTTATTTTTCTTTATTGCTTTTTCTCCCCATTATCCCATGGATCCCTCTAGTTCCCCTTCACAGCCTACCTTGGACGCTGCTGACAATGAGCCCAAGAAATCCATGGCAGCTCCAGCGGCCGCGGATCAACCTACAACAACCGACTCCAAGGAACCCGCGGACGCTCCTCCGTCAACGCCTTCACCTGCTGAATCAGACGCGACCACCGAAAAACCTGTGGCATCTGAAAAGCCCACCGAAAATGAGCCACCTAAAGAATCCAAGGAACCCACAGAACCCGCGGAACCGTCAAAGCAAGATCCTCCCAAGCCAACCCCAACGACATCCGCTGCGGCTACCACTCCAGCTGTGACCAGTAAACCATCATCCCAGGTAGACTCAAAGCCTACAGCACCTACGGCAACGTCCGCTCCTCCCGTGGCCCCAAAACCCCACACGTCTACACCATCAGCAGTCAATTCAGTGCCATCCGATGTTCCTATCCTTTCTTCGTCGACTATTGAATCCTTGGCTTCGTCTCCAGCTGCGACATCGATAGGGTCATCCATTACTTCTTCATCACCCGCTTCCCCTTCTGCTGTGGCTTCCAATGCGGATGCGGACAGCTCTGGCAGCATGAGCAAAAGCGCCCTGATCGGCGGGATTGTGGGTGGTATTATTGGTTTGATAGCTCTAGCCGCGCTTACCCGTTTCTTGATCCGTCGCAAACGAAGAGCGAGAGCAACGCGTACCAGTCGTGCCATGGATGAAATCTTTACTCCTGGTAACGGAAACCACGTGTTTGAAACCCAAGAAGCCAACACATACAATGATGGAGCAGGAAATGGATATAATATGCACGACCCTTACCATGCATCTGATTATGAAGCGCAGCATAATATAGCATCACCTCAAAGAGCCTATGATCCGAATCACGATCTAGCGTATGCGCAGGGAGCTTATACACCTCAGGCGGCCTATCAAACCCTGTCTCCTTCACAGCCCTATCATCCCCAATTGAGTGATGAAGCTTTCCAGAGCGTGACTTCACCCGTGGTAAATTATAACACGGTAGGTGCTGGTGGGCACGGTATGCCAGCGGAGGGGATGCTTCCTCTCGCTAGTCACCAGTCATCATCGGATCACGGCTATGCGGCAAGACAAGACGTCGGTGACCACACGCCTCACACACAACATGCGCAACCACCTTATCACGGAGAATACCAGAATTATCAGTACGCTTACGATCCACACGCTGAAGGGTACACTCAAGGTTACTATCCGGAGCAATATGCAGCGCAGTATGGTCAGCCTTATGCTGCAGGTTACGGCGATGTGTATCAACAGCACGACTATTCTCCCCATCCTGTACCAGCACAAAGGATGCAGTCGCCTCAAATGATGAGCTCCGCACCCCCGCCTGCACCACCGCAACATACGATGATGATGAACTCACCACACGATGGCACATATGCCAACGAAAGGAGTCACTAATGCATAGTGAAAAAAATGATTCATTGACATCGGAACCAAATTTTTCTCTTCTGAGAGCAGCGTTCCCACACAGGATACTCTACAATTTTACACGAAATACTTTGCAATTTACACGGTCATTCGAATGTATCAGTGTTATCAACTGTCTGCACGGTTTATGGCAGGTCCATGTGCAAAAATCGAATTCACGGATGATTCACACAACTGATGCAAGCATCATGATAGTTACGATATAATATTCTTATATGACCCCATTTGATCCTTTTTTCATTATCTGGTGTAATCGAGTATAGATAAATTTATTCAAAAAAAAAAACAACAACAAATAACTGTTTTTGGTCACATTACGAATGTACAGTAAGAGTAGCCATATGGCAACAGTGTGCCTCAAATTTATATCGGTCTATGGCAGCATATGATTGGCCAATTAGTGACTTGACATTGAACAGCATTAACTGCATGGTTCTTATTTACATACACCAATTTTGTGTCAAAGGAGCATCTATGCTCTCCAGATGTCTGCGTAATATACCACAAATGAATACAGAATGAGAAGAATACCTGCCGTATCGTCATATTAGTCGTCGAGCTGCATTTCCAACTTCCTACGGGTGAGTCCAAAAACCTGCAGTCACAGTGCTGAATCGCCCAGTTTCGCGACGCCAGCCCAACGAGTTCCCTTCACAGTTTGCATACCTGTAATGAATCCATCGTCTCGTCGGTCGAATGCAATATATAGTAAGCGGTGATCACCTGCCACGTTCCTGGCCCATATGCTGACATTTTTTCTAGTTGGCAACATCCCATTCGATCTTACTGAAGAAGAACTGACTGACGTGTTCAAAGAAGTAGGGCCTATTGCCAACTTCCGGTAGGATAGCACTTGGTCAGGCTGTACCAATCACACTTGAAGCTCACCGGATGGACAATAATAGGTTAATGTACGATCGCGACGCTAACCGACATAAAGGCTATGCTTTCTGCGAATATTATGGTTGGTTGATCCTTCATTCGAGAGAAAAAAACGCATTTGGTTCTCACCTTGATTTATTCCAGATCCGGAAACCGCGGCCAGTGCAGTACGAAATCTGAATGAATACGAGCTCGGCGGTCGAGCGCTTCGCGTATCCTATGCGTCTGCAGACATGCCAATGCAACGACCTCAATCACAGGTTCGATTGGACTTGATGAGTTTAACTCGAGATAGGTCACCCAATTAAAAGAACCTTCATTATATCACAGTCAAGGCGGCCGCACGGTCCAACCAAACAAGCAGCATCTACCCCACCGCATTCTGCAGTGCATTCAACACCACCTTTACAAGCTCAACATGCTCCGGTAGCGCATATGCCTCCAAACACGACTATTCCCCCCGTTATTTCTCCTGCACAGCAACCAACAGCCGAACCTGTCAAACCTGTATCTGCGGAAGAAATTTCCAGTTTCTTGAATTCTATGACGGCGGATGATTTGTTCGCACTTATTAGCAATATGAAGGTGCACATCCAAAGGCTACTCTCGACGTCAGTGGTATTGATGTATTGTTTTTTTTTCCCCTATCTACACAGCAAATGTCCGTGGATAAACCTCAATACACTAGAGAATTCCTGATGACCAATCCATCCGTCGCCTACGCACTTTTCCAGGCGATGATCATGATGAATATCGTCGACGCCAATATTATTACAGTATGTTTATTTTTATTCTGATCCATGATGTTTCGCCTAATAAGACCGTCGGTATAGACAATCGTAAACCAAACAGCTCAGTCGGCACCAGCTGCGGCTGCTGCTGCGGCGCCGCCTGCACCGGCCCCCATGGCCACAACTGCCACTCCTACGCCGCCCATGGCGACAGCGACACCTCCTATGGCGCCTACTCCGCCCATGGTCAATCAAGGTAAGTTGTGCTTCGATGAGCTAAAGGGGCCAATGTGTGTTATTTGTTATTCATATGCATGATTACAGTTGCAGATGAGCAGCAGCGTGCCATTTTGATGCAAGTGTTGCAATTAACAGACGATCAAATCAATTCACTGCCGCCTCAACAGAGGGATCAAATCCGACAACTGGTACGTGGATAGATTATCTTCATTGTCTTCAATGCTGAGTTCTGAAAATGGATATGTCTTTACAGAAAGCACAGATGATGCAATCTCAGTGACGAGACGCGTGGATTTTTGCATCGAAACGAAAATCTCGAATTTACATTACCTGTTTATCCTCAAGTCAATTTGTTAGCGACATCATTACAGAAAACCTCGACCTTTTATGTATGTTTGAGTATTTTTATACAGAGACATCATGATGACTTGTATTTACATCGCACTTCAATTCTTCTTTCTTTGGATTTCATCTTTCATAAAGACCTGGCATACTTGTAGAATATACAGTTAGATGATGTCTTTTGTTAAACAAAGTTATATAGCGTGCATTTGTTGCCATGTTAACGTATAAGATCATCTCTCTGTGGCGGATGGTAAGCACTTTCCTGAAACCAGAAAGCCGAAAGCGGTGTGATTCAGGTAGGAAGAGATAGGCAACATGGTCCCTGAAGGTGCGTCAATCTGGGCATGCTAAAAACCCCAAATCTCGATGTGAACAAAGTGGAGCAAGGCAATGACGGTAAAGGGTTCTCGTCGGGCCATAACATTTGCTTTTGCAAGGCGGGATCTTGGGGTTGGCCTTGATATCATGAGATGGTTAGGTCATCTTTTTTGTGTTGCAAACTGGACTGCAAGTTAGTTATTGACAGCTTCGGAAAGATATGAGTTTGTTTCTTTGAGATCACAATATCTAAATGGTGTTGACAGTTACTTCCTTAATCGGACGTTGATGAAAATCAACAAACGCCGGGGTAGACTAAGCGGGTAAACTTCCGAGTGGACCCAGTGTGTTTGCAGAGCTGGTGATATCGCGTCAAATGAAGTCTTTTTTGTAATACTGCTCGCCCAAAACAAACTAAAAATTTTCAAAGTGGTTAAACTCGGACGATACCTTAATCAAGGTCCAGCTCGTTTCGCGATCAGGAAACCATGTATATATATTCAAGCTTTTCCACACCCTGGTACGGGGTGAAAATTTGACAGAGACAAAACATCCCTCTTCTCTTTTTTGCCTTGATTTAACTTGCTGTGAACATTATGCTCTACAACGCTTATTCTCAAAAGCTGGCGGGTCAAGTGAGAACTTCTCGAAAAGAGCCTGCTTCCTACTTGAACATCATGGTCGTCGGTCCGTCGGGATCGGGCAAAACTGTGTTCGTGAGGACGCTCTGCGAACGAATGAAGCAGAACATTGTACCAAACACCTACAAGGAGTCGAAACCCATGGTGTTGAAGGAGCCATTGCGAAACACCGAAGAGCTCTACAGCGTATCGATGCATATTGAGGAAAACGGCCAACGAACCGCCCTCACCATCATCGACACCCCCGGCTTTTCCAACAGCTTCACATTTGATCATCAACTTCGATACATCGCCAAGTACATCGACCACCAATTCGAATGCACATTGGTTGAGGTAAGTACATCAGAGCATCATATTCATACACAAGCGATTAACAACCTGTTCCCTAGGAAACCAAAGTGAAGCGTGATGCAAAGGCCGTGGATACTCATATCCATGCGTGTCTTTACTTTATCGATACAAATGGACCTGGACTCAATGATACAGACCGCTACGTGATCAAGCTTCTCAGTTCTCGAGTGAACATCCTTCCCGTCATTGGCAAAGCAGACGTCTTATCGATCAATCAACGTGCTCAATTCAAGAAGCAATTTCGAAAGGACATTTTCGATGTTCTGCAAATACCCATCTACGGATATATCAGCACGGATGAGGACGAAGAAGTCGATTCCAAGGATAATTCCATTACAGTCGATGACGATGACGCTAAATCAGACAACATGCAGCTCGTCGACTCCTTGGGATCGACCACGATTGCCCGTATTGTCGAACTGTTGCAGGAAACGATCGATGACGGTGAAGATGAAGACGGCGACGCTCGTGCCATGATCGACTACCTTGAATACATGCCATACTGCTTGATTGGATATGAAGAAGACGTGGAAACTGGCCGTCCATTGATGATTACCCGCAACGACGCGAAAGATGAAGGCACGCGCGGTCTGCAGGGTCAGCAGAGCCAACCTTCGGCGGGGTTGACAAGTTATCAAAACGACTTTGATTCGGAAGAAGACGATGGTTCCAAGTCGAACAGTCGTCGACGTAAGCGAAACAAGTCCAACCGAAATGCGGTGAACCGAGCGGTCAAGACGATTCTTGGACGACGATATCCGTGGGCCATTGTGGAATGCTGCAACCCTGAGCATTGTGATTTCGAGAAGCTTCGAACGATGCTCCTCACGGAACATCGGGATATGCTCCGCATTGACACCTTTGAACGATTCTACGAACAATATCGTACGGAACAGCTCTTGAATCGGCAAGTGCAACATATGATGACCATTGAAGACAAGGGAGGAAATATTTTGGTTTAATATATGAATAATATTATCTAGCCAACGCTTCTTCCCGTCTAAGGAATCCATGGCTTGATTTTGATCCATCTTGTCGTCTCCCACCCTACTCATCATAAAAGAGCCGTACCCTTGGCTTTTGTTCATTTACCTTGAAAAAATCCACATCCTTTTTTTATTCTTTCCTTTTTTTCCCTTTCTATTATGCCATATCATCTCCATATGAACGTTTCCTCTTGTATCTGAAAGACGGGGTTTTGTTCCATTTGTTCTTCTTTTGATTTTTTTTTGTTTTGTTTACAGGAATAAAAATAAAATGCATTGCTTCACTTGTTGTTCGTATTATACAATCAATAGACAGGTATCTTGCGATTCGCTTCGCCATTTCTGGACGCATCGGGTTGGGTGTGGTGGGACATAAACCATTAGTGCCGAAAGCCAGTGCGCAGTGTTTCTGTTGCTCGCATTCCCAAAGCGGTTGTAGCCGCACTGCTGCCTTTCTTTTTCGCTTTGTTGGCTTCGTTAATGGCGGCCACAATCTCGTTCATATTGGTTTCAAGAACCATCCCTCCCTGGATGATTTCTGATAAAATATAGTGGACCTAGAGTAAGTGTAAGCTACCACTCACTAGCTGCCGCTTTTTACCAAGCAAGATCCCGCCCACCAGGCTTCAGATTACCTCATCAAAGTGGAAAATCTATCAAAAAAGTAACTGCGATTAATGGATGTGATCCAAGGGACCGTTCACCATTGTGCCATCCAATACTCACCAAATCCAACTCGCAGACATTTTCAAAACAACGATCCAAGCTTTCTACAAACACCTGCAGATAGTTGTATGTGAATAGCTAATCCAGTATAAAGGGATATATCGCTGTTCCTTTACCTGAATGAGGTCGAGAATGCCTAATTCGCTCTCGCTTTCATCGACGACAAAAACAAAGTATAGCGTAGCATAATGACGATAAATGACGCGTGTGTCTTTTCCGCCGAGAAGTTTACTGCCTTCCAAGAAATTGCAAACGGTATCTGGTCGCTTTGAAACGAGTGAGAAGATTTCCTGAACGAGAGCCTGTTGCGTAGCGATATCCTGCAACAAAGACCAAGTCATCGAGTTAAGAACGGATAATCACCATCATACTGCTCCATGAACACAATCGCCCAATTACAATTTGTTGATAAAACTTGATTAACCGTGGTTTGCCATGGTTATTGAAAATGAGGACGGACTTGATCATGGTCAGTGGGTGACAGAGTGTCCAAAACGAATGCGGGGATCCAAACCAGTGGCGAGGGATTTTTTGTGTTTTCGGCCGTTCGTGCCCGTTTCGGAAAGATGAGCGACGTTTTTGTGTTGTTCCAAAAAAGGAAGGTTCAAGAGTTCCTCCAGGTGCTACGGTTTATTCAAACTCAGAAAAGCGATTCCTCATCGATTCTTTTCTAATCCGCTCGTGGTTATCGGCTCCCTCCTGGTTCCTTCTCTTGTGAGTCTTCTCGCTGTTACCGGCCCATTCAACTAACGTAATCATTATGGAGATACGGAACGGTTCCACACTACGTCGCGGTGGTGGTGGAAGCCGTAAGAGCGGTCGCATCATCAATCCGTCGGCCGTCTACGACTTTGCCCTGCGATGTGCCATCCGGGCTTACCTCGGCCAGTCCGGTAGTACATTGTCGCCTCCCAAAGAAAAGAAATCAGTCGACCATCGACGTTCGGTTCATCTTGGCATGAGTGAAATGCTAGGCAACTTCACCGATAAATTTTCAGACGACAGCAAACCAGATAAACTGACCCGTGAAATTGTTCGGGCTCTGTTACGACGTCTAGACGATATCCGAAAAGGCAAGGACACTTTGAAACCAGAGTACAGAGACCCTTGCTTCATTGCTATCATTGCCCAAACACGAAAATACGTCCAGCAGCATCGGTACCGTCCAACAGGCACCGTCAACAACCTCATCGTGGAATTCTTGCAAATCAGTCAAATGGAATTGAAACGGAGCAACTTGACATCAGCCGCCAAGAATGAAGATCTGAAGCGGTATATTGCCCGATTCGCCGAAATCCTCATGTGCACGCTCCAGGAAGATGCTCCTTCTTCCGCGGTTCCCGAAGTCATGGACAAACTACTTGAACTCACCGGATCTAAAAAGACAACGCGCCATAATTCCGAAAAACGCTCTCCGGCAAGTCCCTCCGTCACATCAACCAAAGAACCGTTGGAAGCTCTGGAACAATTTGGTTTGGTCAAAATGGTACAGAAACTATTTGGAGTCGATGACGCCGAACATCGACGTAAACTCTGCGAGCTACAGTCTATCTGCACGGAATCGGTGAGTCTACCTTTAATAATATTTTTTGTCACAACTGCATCATCTCATGCAAGCTTGACCATAATTTTGTAGGCATTACTCATCGATCTGAAAAAATGCATCAACAACGTCCATATGAACCAACCGTTTCCTGGTCGACGAGAGGATTTTACCAATCCGCACGTGTATGAGACTTGGCAGAGACGAGAAATTCAGCAATTAAACGAGTTGAGCAAGTCACTTTTAGCGATGCATCCCGAGTTATCCCTCGGTGGATCTGCTGGTACCGATATTGGAAGCTACAACCTGTTATCGGGACATGGCCGTCTGAACTCTGAAGGCAAACGGTCCTCCATGTATAATAGTGGATCCGAATACGATGTACCTTCACCGACAGTAAGTGATTAGAGGGGGTTACGACTGCGGGTTTGCTACTCTCTAGATATTAACTGTGGGCATCTAGCGAACCGAAGCTTCTCAAAGCTCCTTTACATTTATACCCAATGATCCTCGTTCGTACTTTCGTGTCCTGATGGATAAATGCATCGATTACGATATGAAAGAAATTCCGGATTCTGAACGAGCTAAATCCAGTGTTCTGTCACAACAATCGGACGATCTTCTTCGTGAGTGTTGGATCGCTTGGCGACTTACAGCGCCTTTCCGTGCCGTGCTTTATCTGGAGCTCGTCAAATCCCGTTTTGACGCCAACGAACTTCGGTTCGAGGACGTCAAAGATGCTACACGCAATCTTGACAAAGTGATCAAAGAAAACGATATGGCCAACTGGACCATTAATGATGTACGTGGTATCTATAGCTTGCCCTAGTCGATGTGGATATTAAGACTTGTTGTTTTCTTGTAGCGCGAAAGTTTAATTCGGGTCTTTGAAGGTTTAAATCAAACGTTCCTTCATGCTCTGGCGGATGCTTTATCCGAATATTGGAAGATCAGGTATAGTTCTGCGCCAACTTTGCTAAGACATTCCCGTACAACGAGGCTGCCAAGTACTCAAACCATGTTTAATAGTCCGCAGTGGGTAGCCGATATTGTCACCATGTTGGACAGAATCTACGACAATCCGGCCTATCTAGAAGATCATGATAGTCCCTTGCGAGAATTTGCATCACTGGAGGAAGTCGTAAAGGTAATCATTTTCTTTGGAAAGCGACCAGTATACATGTAAAAACGTGATGTTGATCAATGGTAAAAGGGTGCTGCGGTGACACGATGGACACTCCTTGAAGAATCTGTCAAGAATTCAGAGAACGACGATATGACCAAACTACTGACTCTGGCGGATAAATTACTGAAAGATCTCGTATCTCTTAGTAAGCGCAAATTCAAGACGCCTATTAAAGGGTAAAAAACACGAGCCGTGCACCGGTTACCCATTAGCGTGACCAGCTTCTCATCTTGCATTATCATTTTTCTAGTATCATCGATGTGCCTAGTATTGTCATGACCCGACAAATGTTCTTTTTTACCCTACAAATTGAGAACTGGGCATACCTCCCCGAAGCCAAAGAGGCCGACATCGAAGTAACTTTTGAACTTTACCACAAAGTCCTTGGCATCAAGCGATTGTGCGATCAGCATGGTTTAAAGTATGGCACAAGCATCATGTCTTTTTGAATAGGATATATATGAATTGATCGCCTCCTTTTCGTTTATAGGAAAGACATTGAATTGTTCAAGGTGGAACTGTGGTTCTTGCAACATGTCCGACGGTGGATGATAACCACCAGTGCTGCCACACCGGAATGGGTTGAAAATGCTATTAAACAGGACGAGGTAAAGGACTCTGTATAGTGTTGGACGATCTGGGGCTGATGTCAATCTTGGAATAACAGTTTGCTCGCATCAATGACGTGACATTGCATTCCTCATCCGTGGTGGATCTTTTCAGTATGTTCCATCAAGCTGTTGATTTTGTCCAAAATTTACAATGGCCCAACGAACTTCAGCTGTGTCGTTTCATGACAGCTCTTTCCAAGGTATCGTTGTTCGGCTCTTTCCTTTTTCAAAAAACGCCGACGGCTTAATCGAAATTATGGCATTAGGTGATCAGTGTGGCGTTGGAACAATATACCTATACCTTGGAAGATATGATTACCGATCATATCTACCCAAGACTTGAGCCGGAAACGGAGCATACTTCGTCACCAGCATCGTCGTTTCTGGATAAAGCACGTCATCAGCTGTATGGCAGCTCCAAGAAACATGGACATCTGGTCCTCGATTTCACACCGGAACTTTGTGTTAAGATCAACAATATTGAGGCGGCTCGAGCGCGACTGGATAGATTATACCAAATTATGGATGTGGATGACGTTGCGGAATACATGCGCGATCATGATATACCCACGGTTGACAAACCGAAACAGACCAACTTTTTGTATTCCATCAAAATCGTACGTGCGGAGAATCTTCAACCGCTGGATAACAATGGTTTGAGCGATCCATATGTGGTATTGGAGATTGACGGAAAACAAATTACCCGAACGCGAACGGTCTATGAAACACTCAATCCGCGCTGGGATCAAGTGTTTGATATATGGTTGACGGAGAAAACGGTCGACGTCTTGGCGGTGGTCTACGATGAAGATCTGATTGGAGCCAATGATGAGTGCGGCGGCGTGTGGTTCAAACTGTCACCCGATTATTTTGACGATTACCAAACCCATGAACTGGTGCTTAAGCTTCATCCTCAAGGCAAACTGATTCTTCGCGTCAGCATGGAAGGCGAAAAGGATGATATTCAGTTTTGGTTCGGTAAAGCGTTCCGAACCCTCAAACGCGCAGAGAACGATGCGGCAGGATTGATCGTGGACAGGGTAAATTTGAGTAGGCACAAATAGCTTGCGTTATATATTTTAACGTCTCTCTCCTTTTTGTTATTGTACAGATGAGTCGTATGATGCGTCAGGTATTATCGCGCAAGACCTTGGATAAGTTACTTGGAAGGGACCGTAGCTTCTTTTCCTCGTTTAGCCGAACTCAGAAACATGTGGAGCCAAGTTTGCAAGATTGCGAAGATGCCATTGCACCGCTACTGGATTATTTGGAACGCAACCTCAAGATATTAAATGATAACTTGACGGAAACCAACATGCAAATGGTGATCTTGAAGATCTGGAAGGAGATTCTCATTACGCTTGAAGGCGTACTGCTACCACCGTTATCCGAGCATCCCTCGGATATGAAACCACTAGATGACTATGAATTCCACGTGGTCTTCAAATGGCTTGAAGTAAGTGGACAGCTATCGAGTTTCTTTTTTGTAGTGGCAACCATTCACTGACTATATTTTGTACAGTTGCTAAAGGTCTTGTTTAATGGTGGTGAAGATGGAGACGCCGTAACACTGGACAAATTGGAGAACTCGCAATACTATGCGCTACTGGCTATCAATGTGGCCTATAACTTGGAGACGGATCAATTAATTCGTGCTTATCATGCGGCGTTGAAGAACCAGGTTGAGCTGAAGATGCGAGGTGGAAGAAAGGCTGATCGTAGTAAATCTGTGTATCATTCACGAAACACGGTGCGAAAAAGGAAACCAGTGCGAAAGTCATTATCGATCGATTTACCGAATAGCGAGACCATTCTTCGTATACTGCGCATGCGCAGTGGTAAACACGTCCGAGAATTCTTGCATGCTGAGTTCGCCAAACGCAACAATCCTCTCAGTACCACTACTCCTGCTGCTACTATTGCGCCTACTGCTTCAAGTTCAACTTCTGCTTCCACGTCTCCTCCTCCCCCTCCTCCACCACCCCATGCCGCCAACCCACAAACGCTTCAAGAAGGGTTCACCTTGCCTGTGCTTCCTGCCCATGTCATCACTCCATCTGAAGAAGAGCATACGTTACCTGTATAATGAAACCTGGTGTCGGCTTTTTCATCCTGGTTCTTGTTCTTGGTTCATGCTTTTGTTGATTTTTTAATTTTGTGTAATTTATGATGCTTGTGTTTCTTAGGTTTGATGCCTACTAATGAAATATGCTTTATAACATCTGCGACTTTTTTCTTGCGTTTTTCATGCCGCAGGACAGATCAATTTGAGAAAGGTCCTAAAAAATTCTTAAATGGAACATCTGTGATCAATGATTTCGCGACCTCGAATGCTTGAAGTTTTACTTGAACTTGGGTAGAAGGTTCCCTGGGAATATAGGAAATTTGAATACGGGCTGATGGTGCTGGTTGTATATTTTATGTAACTATTCGGGGTAAGGATGCCGTGTACGTGCGGGCCACCTGTCGCATAGTTGCATAATTGGGCAAGCATGTGTTGGTTATCCGTTTTCGACCCATTTGGTGACACGATTGTATAATGGCTTTCAATCCCTTTTTAGCTATTTATAAACCTACTATAGCAGTTGGACTTGTCGAATAAACATAAACCAGAAGTATGTGATTCTAAAAAAAAATGCACCAGTACGTCCGGTAGCTTTGAAGGATGGCGACGGACGTGTGCTTCTTACCGTCGTCAAAGCCACGATACGGTTATTGTTTACCTAGCAATGTATGCATAATGAATGGGGTACAAAAACCAGGGCAAGTACAAAATTTCTGCATTTGTATATCAATGAAAGGAGAGACACACTTGCAGTAACCATGGAATGGTCTATTTGTCGGTGCTTTTGATCGCGTCTGCTGAAACGGACGTGATTTTTTTTGAAACAGTCACTTAGAGCGTGTCTTGTAGCGTGTCCTGCTGAATAGGAAAAAGGGGGAAAAAAAGCTTCCGACGTTGTCTTTTTTTTTTCAAGTTCTGCTATTTTTTATTGTTATTGTTATAGTAATGTCTACACGATCTGCTTTTTATTCTCCTAGCTTTGACAATCGTGGAGTACCAGTAGTGGCGCGTGCTACCGAAGTGGGTTCACCACGTGCACAAAGGTCACGCCTACTTCGAGCGGACACACAAGAAGACGAGAATGCCATATATGAAAGTCCCCGTTCGGCACGCACTCGTCACCAAGACACTTCCCTCATGGATGCTCACGATGCTTTTTATGAAGCATGCTTCAAACCTCACGCTAGCCATTATTCCCGTCAAGACTTCCAGAGTTCTTCTCATTATGATTCCCTTCAAGAAGCACCCACCGAACCCCTGTTGGGATCGCAACATCAAGAACCTTCCGTCATTACATTCCCTCCTATTCACATTCCTCTACTTTCTAGCCATCATTTGGATCCACCTGTACATACACCTGAAGATAACGAACGACATGATGCTGGCTATGACGACCAGAGGAATCCTTCATTCGACGATGAATCGACCGTCAGCCCCCTCCATCGTTCGCAGTCATTCAGTCCTGCCATTCACAACGAAAACAAACAACCATTGACTCACTCTGATATCGCTTTTCATAAAAGAAAACTGCCTGAACTTGCAGCTACCATCACCCCTCCATCAGCGAAACGCCGATCGCTCACACCTCTCCACAAGGCAACCACAGCCATCTCCACTCTACACACCGAAACCTCTTCTTCCCAAAGCAATATCACTCCTCTGTACAAAGCATCTTCATCAAAATTCGCCACTAAAAAGCTTCCCATGCATACTCTTGATACCAACGTTATTTCATCCTCCCCCAGCTCAACCACCTCCAATCCCGCCACTTTGACTCCTGCCTTTTCCACCCCAACAGAAACTCGTCCCCCAACAACCTCAGAAACGTTGCCAACCGTCTTGCCACGAAAACGACGCTCTGATGAACCTACAAGCAAAATCGATCTGCTCCCAAGACAAAAACCATCCTCTCAAAGTGAAACCAGAGCCATACCCGCAGAACAACCTGTTGCACCAAAAAGTCCGCCATTCCACGCCAAACCTTACAACCAACCACCAACCGATGCTTCTTATCCGGTAGCAACGTCTTCACCAAAGCAAAAAGTTCAAGACCTTACAGACCTCAAATCAGTCAAAGCTAAAGAAAAGAAGGATAGCTCCACATCTTCAAGGTCCAAAAAGACGTCGCAAAACAATGATCATAACAAGGCAGCAACAGGAGCAAAGACGGCTGAATCTTGTCCTCCTCTCTCAGCACAACCCGTGACAAAGCAAAAATCATCCAAGCAACCGTCGACTACGGATTCTGTTCCAGTAGCAACATCATCTCAGAGTCAAGAAGCTCAAAGCAAGGAGGAAAGCAAACCAACGAAATCAAAAGACCATGACCATCTTGCCTTGCAAAAAGGAACGCAAAGCAAAGATCAAATCAACTCAGACGCCACCACGACTTCGATTTTGCCACAAAAACGATCTCCCGATGAAAGAACCGATCCTCTTCCCAACAAAAAATCATTCTCTCGAAATGACAACACAGCGATACCCGTAGAACATCCTGATACACCCACATCTTTGACACTTCAACCTGCAATGAAAGACGAACCGATCAGCCCACCAACCATGAAAAAGTCTGTTTCCCCAGCGACACCCTCGGCAATTCAAGACACTGGTTTCAAATCACCGAAAGCAAAACACAAGGACGTCCTTTCACCACCTGCAAGTTCACAGAAACAAACTCTAAGCAGCGATCAAAACGAGACAGCGGCAGCAGCAAAACCAGCGCCAACATTGAAACCTAAAGTCAATCATGACATGCCGACACCTGCAAGTTCGCAAAAAGAAGTGCGGGACAAGGATCAAGACAAGGTACAAGCAGCGAGTACTGCGGATGACAAGACCGACCGTCCACCGACCCCTCCTCCGACTCAAACCGAATTAGAAAAACAACGCGAGCACGAAGAACAGCGAAAGAAAGCAGGAGAAGAACGGAAAAAGGTGGTGAAGCAAGAGATCGACCGATTGAATGAAAAATTCAAGAACCTTTCGTATTATTACAAGATTGTGGACCGAGTTGGCTCAGGTGGGGAAATTCCTACCGTTTTTTCCGTGAAATGTTTGCCCCTGTGATATAAGACTAACCCATGTTACGCAGGTGCATTTAGTACGGTGTACAAAGCAGTCGATTTACGGCAAGATTATTACGATAACTCGGCATGGCGTGTCGCATCCGCTGCAGCAGAAAAACACAATTTTATCGCCCTGAAACGCGTTTACATGACCAGTAGCCCCGACAGAATCGCCAATGAAATCGCCATCCTTCGTGACATTAGGTAAAAATTGCGGTGACGGTTGAATAAAGTTTACGGAAAACTCATGTTTTGCTTTAGAGGAAGTGCCTATGTTACACCATTAATCACCGCTTTTCGCCAGCACGACCAAATCTATATCGTTCTCCCATACATTGAACATGATAATTTTCATGTAAGTAACAGATGTCACCATTAGCTCATGCAAAGAGAAGAGAGCTCATGCGATATGATTGTAGACGATATTTCGTTCCATGTCCTTGCAGGATATGAGATACTATCTAAAGTCACTTTTTGCGGGCCTGGCGCATCTTCACGAACAAAATATCATCCATCGAGACGTCAAACCGGGCAACTTTCTATACAACCAGCGTCATCGAACCGGCGTTCTTGTGGACTTTGGTCTTGCGCAACGACAAGCCAATCCGCCTGCAGCCGCCGCCAATCCGTCCAAAGAAGAATCACAACCCCTCCTCGCCACCAACAATACACCCGGTTTCTATAGAAATGACCCAAGGTACCACATCATCATAACCCTCAGCACCGCAAAGCCACACCACGTTTTTCTCGGTATTTAACTGAAACTCTTCTTTAGAAAACCTCTTCGTGCGAATCGTGCTGGTACACGAGGCTATCGAGCTCCTGAGGTTTTGTTCCGAATGATGCATCAGACTGTAGGCAAGTACAAAAGGGTTAATGTAAAAACGCAAGTTTCTCATTTATTTTATAGCCATTGATATATGGTCGGTCGGTGTATTGATGTTATCCTTATTTACCGGTCGGTATCCGTTTTTCCTCGCCCATGATGATTCCGACGCTTTGGTAGAGATTGCCACGTTATTTGGATTGGCTGAAATGAAAGCATGCGCTAATTCACATCGTAAGTCGGAAACAAGGCCGATCCAAAAAGATCGACTTCATTAACGATGGATGATATTTAGGTCGCACCTTTGAGACAAATATTGAATCCATTCCGCCGACTCGCGTTTCTTTTTACCGACTCGTTTTGGAATTAAATAACGAGCATGCAAAGACTTGGAGTGAACAAGAGCTGAGAGATGCCGTCGATCTGATGGCACAATCACTAGAGTTGGATTGGACGAAACGAATCACTGCAAAGGACGCTCTGCAGCACCCATTCTTGGCCTGTATCTAAATTTTATTAATGTTCGATCAAATTTTATCTAATGTATCATATCATAAACAACTTGCCAGAAGTGTACATAATGGGATCACCAACGGCATAATAATTCGATCCTAAAGATCAAAGACTGAGTATTTTGATTGTGTTCTAAGCGAAACGAAGTGAAGTGAAGCGAAGCGAAATTGGAAGTTAGTCCAAGCGCATATCTCTCCTTTGTTTTAGCCGAGTCTCAGTCGTTCACAGCGAAGTGGCTTTGGAAAGCATGAGGGGTAAAGAGCGGGGTTGATGGAGTTGTTTGCTTCGACGCTGTCGCCATCCACTCCCTTCCAAAAAGGCACCGTAGGGATTTGAATATTTGGGAGGTTTTCATTTTTTTTTTTTTTTTTTTTTTTTTTTTTTGCACTTCTTCCTTTCGTTTTTTCAAACATAATTCTATCAAAAGTCAATATTTTCAGCTACCCAATATGAGCAGCAACACAAACACCAAAAGAAAACAAGTTTCTGAATTCGATAGAGCCAGATTATTGGTCTTTTAGGTGCGGCGCGACTTATGGTTCCATTTCAGAGGAAGTTGGGATCCCTATTGCCAATATAGCAGACATTGTCAAACAGTATATTGAACGACGTGTCGAAAGCTCAAAACGGCGCACAGGAAAACCGTAAATGGTTTACTGGGTGTGCAAAAAATGCGATGGTGCGCGCATTTCGCTCTGCACTCTTTGCATCAATTACGGTCACCTCTCGGTTGCCTGGGAAACGGAGATGTCAAGGTCCACATCCGACCGAAGAATGAAGGAACTTGGCTTTTCTGCTTACTCTCCAGCCAGGATCTTGGAGCAGTGGAGATCCGTGATCTGGTCTGACGAATCGCGATTCCGGATGAACGGCAACGATGGCTGTATCCGCGTTATCCGAAAAGCCAACGAGAGATACCTGGAGTAGCATATGCTCGAAACCCACAAGTATGGAAAAGGCTCCATCATGGTTTGGGGATGCTTTTGGGAAGGCGGACTTGGTCCTTTGGTGACCCTTACTGGCAATGTCGATCAAGTCAAGTATGTCGATTGCCTAACCAACAGGTTTCTTTCCTGGTACCAGGATCTCACCGAGAGCACTGGTAAGGACTTTATTTTCCAAGACAACAGCGCTCGGTGCCATACCCGTGGTTACCGCACGGTATAAGAAAAAGAGATGCGATGTCAGGAGCTTCGATTTTTGGCCAGCACAAAGCAATCGCACAATCAGTTTGCAAAATTGCGTCAGATATTACAAAAGGAGACGATATTCCAAGATGATTTTGGAGCGTGCCCGCAGGTAATGGTAAATTCATCTGATAAAGACATTTTCTGATCTTCATTCTTCATTAGATACATAGAGGACGGGTATGAATATACCGGACGCCATCACAAAAAATATCGCTTCAAGGAACCAAGTCCAGAGAGTCGCTCGCCCATGGAGGAAGCTCCGGATCTGACATCTGCTGCTTGATAGTTTCATCGCACAGACGAAAGCGACAGTGAATTTGGGGGCGCCATGAAAACACTAGTTTTCTGTTAAATAAAAAAACTTGGATGCCGGATTCTCAATCCAATTGAGCTTCTTTGAGCTTATATTGCGTATAAGCTTGCACCAAACGTGGTGAACTAGCAGACGTGGCCCAACTCGAAGCGTTCGTCCACAAAATCCGGTGAAATCTCGCCTCTTCTTCTGGAAGATTTAGTTTCCAGTATGCCCGACAGGTGCCGCGCGGTGATAGAGAAAGAAGGCGGCCAAACCCATTATTAAATAATATTTTTTCATATTCTTACATCTTTGAGTTGTCGAATATTTCATATGTGAATTTTGTGGTTGTCCTGATGATCTTTTATTATGGACACTGTCCATCGAAACATATCATTGCATCTTCCTTTTCTTTTCTGGAAATTAAACTTTCGAGTTCCTGCGGTGACTTATGGGAAAAAGTGTGTTGCTCTATTTACCATCACAACCTTATATAAACCACCCACCTTTGGAGCATTCGTCACCAATTATAAAGTCCTGATATTGACTGTCTGCCATCACTGACACTCCTCTGCTGCATCATTCTTTGATGAACAAACAGGCCCACTTACGCATGAGAATTACCGATATGAAGTTTTGTGAGTGTAGATCTTAAAAATTGGCATGCGTGATGTCAGAAAATTCATAATCGGGGGGACGGGGGGTTTACAGAATTCCAGGTCGGAACAGCATATGACAGCTAAAAATGAGATGTCAGGGTCACTTCCTTTTACGAGCTTCTTGTTCCTTAAAGTATCTTGTAACGTCGTAAAAGTCGATACCAAAAGCAGCCTAATTACAAAATGTGGCGAGCTCTGGAGAAAATACTGCCAGACAAGGTTCATTGTCAGTTGCAAAAATGCGGGCGACCCAGGCTTATCGTTGCGGAGATCGGGTTTTTTTAGTGACGTGTTATACAACGTTGGTGAGGGAACAGAATCAATTAAGGTTCCTGCCATCCCAAGGGGAATAGCGTCATCGGGCATTGGCGTGTAACGCCTCTTCCGATAATGCTAATGCCTTGCTTTGCTTTTAATGGAAATGCAAAGAAGGACGCATTTCTTCAGCAAAAGGGTGGGACCATCCAGTTACCGTAATGGGTATGGATATCAAACTCAGTGAAACTATTATTCTGCTACATCCGTCCCAATTCTATGGTCCCCATTCAAGTCCGAACGCACAGCCGGGTCTTTGTCGAATATACCATTTTTTTTTCTTCATAGCAACAACCACCCTTTTGCTTGTTATGGTAAGGTGGCATTGGGGATGGGACGATGATGACGCTTTGCAATCAAATGAACTGCTACACAAGTCAAAGGGTGCCGGATAAAAAAATAATTTAGAATTGGCGTGTGAAAGCAAAGGGTTTTTGACTGGGCAATGGGCTGATTCATCCAACTATAGCATTGCTACAATCAAAATATCCAAAATATCCACACAAAGTAAACCGAATCTAATGCCGACATCTTCTCGACAATTCGAAACCCGGTAAAAGAAAGAGCACGCGATGCGTCATTGTGCCTCAAGCGTTCCTATCGATCAACTTGCGTCTGGGGTTGTTTGCATTACGTTTTTCGCAGACGCTCAAAGAGACTAAGCGAAACATGGATAGGATATTTCTGCAAGGAAGAAAGACGAAAGCAAAAAAAAACAAATCTGCAAGGAATGGACGGGTCACCGTATCAATGATAGAGCTTAAATTTTGGGGGAATAAAAAAACCGACACGGGATATCAGCCAATCACCACAAGGCTTCCATTCTAGGCAAATAAGAAAGCTTTTTTTTTCATGACGGAGTTTGTTGGTGCCTCGGGAACGCGAAAAAAAATCACCATTATAAAAGCAACCGCGTCCTTTGTTGGGTGAACGTCCACCTTTACCCTTCCACACTTCGATTTTTTTTCTTCTCTGAATAATCATGGTCCAGTCTCTTGATCAGCGATGCGTTAACACTGTCCGTTGTTTGGCGGCTGATGTCGTCCGCGGTGCCAACTCTGGTCATCCCGGTAAGTTACCGATTTTCCCCTTTTTTTAAGCGATCCATCGTACATCAAAGGGGAAAAAAAAGAGTGGGCACAAAGGACGGGAAAAAGTGAGAAAGAGTCGGTTTACTTATACGATGAATGAAAAAATTAGGTGCTCCCATGGGTTGTGCTCCTATGGCTCACGTCTTGTTCAGCAAGTTCATCACCGTGAACCCCAAGAACCCCAAGTTCATCAACCGCGATCGTTTCGTTCTTTCCAACGGCCACGGTTGTGCCTTGCAGTACATTTACTTGCACCTTTTGGGCTATGATGTATCCATGGAAGATCTCAAGGCTTTCCGCAAGATTGGTAGCAAGTATGTACTTTTTTTTTGTCATTGATTTTGTGTACCTGCGTGGATCTCGACGTGGTGGTCGTCAGGTCAACATGAGCAGCACTCGCATGAAACAAGACGTGTAGATTATTCAATCACTCACCTGTCACACTTTTAGGACTCCTGGTCATCCTGAAATCACTGATACTCCCGGTATCGAAGTGACCACTGGTCCTCTTGGCCAAGGTACGTTGAGCGGAATTAATTTTGTCAGTGATATCCTCACTGCTTTTTTTTTCCTGCTTATTGGGATTTTTTTCAGTCTCCTACATTGATGAGTGATAAGCTGGAAATGATGACTCACAGATTATTAATGAATTTTTCATTCTAGGTATCTCCAATGCTGTTGGTTTGGCTGCTGCTGAAGCTCAATATGCCGCTACCTTCAACAAGCCTGGCTTTGAACTGTTCAACAACTACACCTATGTTATCCTTGGTGATGGTTGTCTTCAGGAAGGTGTTGCTTCCGAAGCTGCTTCCCTTGCTGGGTAAGTTTCCTTTTTTTTGGACCGCTTTTTTTTTTTCTCATGGAAACAGCGTGTGGTTGGCATCGTGGGTGTTATTTTTTGGGGGGAGGACAACGATTCAAAATTTCAGCAGTCGCGTGGTTGTTTGTTATCTGTGCTTGGCTGGCTGTGTTTCAAACATCTAATTTTTCCGTGGAAATTTCTCAGTCACTGGAAGCTCGGCAAGTTGATTGCCCTTTACGACGACAACAACATCACCATTGACGGTGATATCGCTGTCTCCTTCACCGAAGATGTTATCAAGCGTTTCGAATCCTATGGCTGGCACACCTTGATTGTTGGCGATGGTGACAACGACATTGCTGGCATTGAAAAGGCCGTTGAGGAAGCCAAGAAGGTCACTGACAAGCCTACTTTGATCAAGATCAAGACCACCATTGGTAAGTCTGCTTGATTTTGTGCCGATGAAATGTATGGATCCTTATTTTTCGGCTATTTAGGTTACGGTTCCTTGTTGCAGGGTGAAGAAAAGGTCCACGGTTCTCCCTTGTCACGTAAGTTTGTCGATAACTAAAAAAAAAAATGTGCTGAGAAAAAAGAAAGGTGCAGAAGGTTGACGTTCAATGTTACACCTAGCCGATGACATCAAACAGGTCAAGGAGAAGTTCGGTTTCAACCCCGACGAGCAATACGTTGTTCCTAAAGAGGTTAGTTTTATCACGACCCGATCTTTCAGGCACCAGCATCTCTAAACCTTGGGAATGATTAGGTTTACGATTTCTATGGTGCCCGTACCCAGCATGGTATCCAGGCTGAAGCCGCATGGAACGAACTGTTTGCCAAGTACAAGCAAGAATTCCCTACTGAAGCTGCTGAACTCGAACGTCGTTTCGCTGGCAAGTTGCCCGAAGGCTGGGAAAAGGTGTTGCCTCGTTTCACTCCTGCTGATGCCAAGGTTGCCACCCGCAAGTTGTCCGAGGGTGTCTTGACCGCTATTGCCGAAGTCCTTCCCGAATTGATTGGTGGTTCCGCTGATTTGACCGGTTCCAACTTGACTCGCTGGAAGAAGGCCGTTGATTTCCAACATGTAAGCATCTGTGCCTACCGCTTCTTTTTTTTTCTCTTTGCTTGCATGAATAATGCGTACGTGAAACAAACGGATTGCTTACCTTTTTGTTTCGTCTGTCTCTTCTTATTAGCCTTCCACTGGTCTTGGTGACTACACTGGTCGCTACATGCGCTATGGTGTCCGTGAACACGCCATGTTCTCCATCATGAACGGTTTGGCTGCCTACGGTGGTATCATTCCCTTCGGTGGTACCTTCTTGAACTTCCTTACCTACGGTTGGGGTGCTGCCCGTCTTTCGGCTCTCAGCCACCTTCCTGTCCTCTATGTCATGACCCACGATTCCATTGGTCTCGGTGAGGACGGTCCTACCCATCAACCCGTTGAAACCCTCACTTTGACCCGTGCTACTCCCAACATGCTCACTTTCCGTCCTGCTGATGGTAACGAGACCTCCGGTACTTACCTTGTGGCTCTTGAGAACCTTCACCGTCCTTCCATCATCGCTTTGTCTCGTCAGAACCTGCCTCAATTGGAAGGTTCTTCCATTGAAGCTGTCCGCAAGGGTGCTTACGTTCTCCAGGATGCTAAGGATGCCAAGGTCGCTTTCGTTGCCACAGGTTCTGAAGTGGAAATCGCTGTCAATGCTGCCAAGGTTTTGAATGAACAGGGTATTCCTACCCGCGTTGTTTCCATGCCTTGCTCTGAAATCTTTGATGAGCAGCCTGAGGAATACAAGAAGTCCGTCTTCCCTGCCGGTCTTCCTGTCGTCTCGGTTGAAGCCCTTGGTGTCTGGGGATGGGAACGTTATGCTCATGCTCACATCGGTATGAGATCGTTCGGTGCCTCCGGTCCTATTGCTGATGTTTACAAGAAATTCGGCATCACCTCCGAAGCCGCTGTTGAGAAGGCTAAGAAGGTCGTTGCTCACTTTGAAAAGGTTGGCTACGTCCCTGAACTCGGTCTTGACCTGTAAACGTCTCTCCATTACCCGTCATCCTATGATACAATCGGTCCACCGTCTGGCATCTGCTGAAACTTGGACATTTTGATTAGAAAGCCAAAATCCATTGGTTTGTTTTAGTAATCCTTCATCATGGTCTTGCACCCAAAAAACCACTCTTCTATTCTTCATGCTGTTTCTTTTTTTTTCCCTTTATTTCCCGCATCCAGTAATAGGTGTCAAGACATGTAATATATTTTAAAAATCTCGCTTGCGAAAACTATACTGGTCCCGTGTTTATTTTTTATTATTGTTGTTGGGTACTTTTTGGTAGCGTCTACGGAAGGGGTTGCGCCAAGGTAGTAGAAATCAAAGTGCCATTCGAGGAACACAGTTCCTCAACTGAGTCGATATGCATGTTTGTAAAATCTACCTGCACATCAGTTTGTGATAGCAAATTTCAAGTTACACGGAATACCGTCCTGGGGAATTGTATGGTATCCGATCTTTCAGCTTGCTAAACGTCTAAACCCAGGCATTCTTGGGGTGGCCATCACAGTAGCCTTTGGCCTTGATTGGTTCTTCATCCACCAGAACATGTTTACAGGCTTATTACGACAAGATAAGGACTAGTCATCCAAAAAGCGGGTCGGAAGCGCAATTGCTGGCCATTTCCGGAAGTTGGGCGGCAAGGTTCCTGGAATCCATTCATGCCCGATTAAAAATTTTGCATGCAGTTCCCAATCACCACTTCTCAGGTATTGCACCATATACGATAAGAATCGGTTGCACCTGTGTAACAAGCGAATCCCGTAACGCCATACAATATTAGGTGAACTGTATGCTGAGGCTTTATACTCTGTAGATAGCAATTTTATTTGCTCTTTAACCTGAACCTTCATTTCTTCCGCAAAACAATGAAGCATGCTTAAGTTGACTAAAATATTATTGTGTAAAGAGATGTCGTCAATGCAATGAGGTTACATGAAATCGTATGTCATTTCATGTATCATAAAATTGCTGGGACAGATCGATAAAGTGAAAAACCCGCGTGGAAAAACCCCGTTGGGAAAATCGCTGGAAAACCAGGGAAAAAAAAAGAAAAAGATGTTGAAAATTACAGCCATGAACTTCTGATACATAAATCAATTCGCACGCATTTCTGGTATCAGCTATGAGCTGACAAAGGATCTACACGACGACCAAATCTGTTGATATATCTCGATGATTGTCATACAACGTACACTGCTGTGTAGCCTCCCCCAATTATTCCCTACCAGAGTAGTCCAGAACGATGGATCTTTATGCCTTTTATCGTACTGTTACAACGATGTTACATGCTCATGGAATTATGAGGGCCTCCCAAATATTGCATGATAAAGTCACTAACGAGCCTATCCAATTGGCAAACAAGACAATCTCAAAAATCCGCGCCTTCCCGTATAATAGCCAAAGGCAGCCGAAAGCCTGCACTACCAGTGAATCCAAAGAAGGAACTTACGAACTGTCTATTTCAAAAGTCACCGTAGCAATTTGAAAATTTGGAATTTCTCGTTTCTGGTAAGCCCAACAGGTGCCGCGCTGTAATAGAGAAAAACGGAGACCAGTTAAATTGAATCATCTATGAGTTAGCAGCTATTAAGTCTGTGAATTTTGGAGTTGTCTTGAGAACCTTTTATTATAGACACTGTCCTTCAAACATATCTTACCATTGCGTTTATTTTTTTATTTTATTTTTTGGAATTAAAAAAATTTTAAATTCCTGTGGACTGTGTATATTTGTCGGCTGTCCAATGTATGTATTTTCCAGTTGTCTCTAGGTGTAAGTTGGCTGACATGTGCAGCTAGTCGGTTGATGACCAGTGTTTATGCTGTCTTTTAACTCCTGTGGATATTGGACTATTAGAAAGAAGTTGCCCAAGATATCTGATCAGCGCTACTTTTTTGCTGGAGTTCGGCGCATATTAAGTTCGACAGATATAATGACACCGAATACATGCTAGCAGCCCATCGAAATTGGCGTTTGGAGCAAGGCACATGTGCACACACAGAAAGGGGTATCCGTGACTCTTTTTATTTTAATTTCCAAGGATCCCAGAGATTCTGCGATTTAGCAAGCAAGCACCAACTGCTTGCCGTAATTGCTACACTGTCCATATAAAATCCGCACAATGATTAAGCTTTGTTTTCTTCGTAAGTCATGCTTTTCGGACCCATTTGGCGGCACGAGTAAAGTTGGCAAAGTTCCGGGTTGTTTCAAATACTGGTTCATAACCGGTTGCTTTGACTCATTTCATAACTGCGTAGGTTGCACAAATACGGCTCCCTTTTCGATTTTTCATATGAAAATGCTTGTGATCAAGCGTCGACAAATACTTAGGCAGTGATTTTCCATTGTAACCCTAATGAACCATCAAATGAACGTATAAAAAACTAGGTCGTGCCACCGGTGTGCATTCAACATTATAGTGCATAGCCCTGCCTCATGCACCAATGTCCAGGTTACAGGTAAAAAATGTAAGCCTGCAGAGTCATTTGCTTCTGTCTCTGGGGGGCAAAATTCCGTTTTTTTTTCTTTTCTTTTTTTTTTACGCAGCAAAGTTAAACTTTAACATCAGGCGATCTTCTGATTGTTTATCTATTGTAAAAGTTACGCCTTTGCTGCGGCATCTGAGAAACTTTCCATGGAAGCATGACAGATGGTCATACAAATCATGGATACAATCTCGTTTACATTGAGGATATAATTTAGACTTCGGGTGTCAGCCGGGTGCAGCCGATTAAAATCATAACGATGCAGTATCATGGTTTGAACGGTTACTGCGCAGTCTGCTGTATTGTTCCATTGTTCATTCTTCATTTGAAAAGCAGGGAAAAAAAAGAAGAAGAAAACAAATAGACCGATTGGCTGACAGTTAACCCAAAAGTAGGATCCATGTTTCCTCACCATTGGCATTGACATCATCTTCTAGAATTTTGTTTGTTACATCAGGTGAGCTGCGCCATGCAATCAAGCGGCACAGAAAAGGTAATCCAAGTCATACACATGTTCAGTCATTGAAGGTTGAAAGTAACCTGACAACCGCTCAGTACCAATTCTTAGTAACCACTATAAGCTTATGAATTATTGAGCTGCATAGAATAAATATCATCTCGTATATGAACGTTTGGTTTTGGTTCTGTGGAGGGAATTCGGCTTTTTTTTGCTGCATCTGTATTTTTGACGTGATAGAGAAAAAAAAAGGGAAATATGCAATTTCATTAGTCACGTAAAACTTACGTCAGGACAATAAGAAGCATTCAACTGCCAAATCATCCAGCCACACTGATTTTTTTCTTTTCTCCTTCTTATTTTTACCTCTCTAACTGAACATGTCACATGAGCATGACCATGCCCATGATTCCACATCGCCTGTTTCTTCTGCATCAAGTACTTCACCGACCGATCTCACTAACCAGGTAAGCCAGTACAACCGAAGCGTCAACTATTCTCGAGACGCAACTGAGCAGTCGTTCCTAACTATCGGATTATGAAAAAAAAAGCAGACCAACAAATCGAATAGTAAGTTTGAATGGTTTTGTTTACAAAGAAAACGGCCGAGCCAACCAATTTGTTCATGGCGTAATAGTGGAGGCTCCTACCAAGACTTATCGACGACCTCCTATAAAGCATAATGCAGTATCTGAAATGACTATTGAAGTGGACGATGATGATGACGATAATGCAGGCGGTCTTGTGGGTGCCAATCATGCTGATGCAAGTAAAACACCGGAGAAGCAAGCCATGACCACCGATGACATGCAGCGCCATTCCATTTCGAAAAAGGTTAGATCGATTTTTGAATTATCGGAGGCCGAAAACCTGGTGGGTGGTAAGTGCGGCCGAACAATAGACAGGCACACACACTCTTTTCACTGCTGTATGCGCGCAAGAATACTAAAAGACTAGTATAACCACCGGACCAGAATTTCCATGCTATCTTGTGCGACTTGTCACATTACCTGGATGGATGTACTTGACCGAATACCGGATCTGCTTCTATGCCTCATTACCGAATCAACAGGTATCTCGCATGTTTGGAACAGGGCCTTCTTTTTTCTTGATTTAACCCGTCCAATTACCTGTGGCTTTGTAGAAAGCCCCTCGTAAATCAGGATATCTTTCCAAAAAGAATTATCGCGCCTCTCCACGAACCTTCCGCTATTATTTTGATCTGCAGAATCACGTCTTGTCATGGTACGAATCGGCGGAAAATCGATATCATCCGATCGGCAGTGTGAATCTCAAACATGTGACGCAAATCCGGAAATCGCGTACAAGGTCGTTTGGATTCAAGCTCATCACTCTGGACCACCGATACAGTTTAACAGCTGATTCTGAAGTGTCGCAAAAGGAATGGTAGGACATGATAGGTATCAGCAGTGATAAACAAAAAGGTCTGACAGAGTGTGTTTAGGATGGATGAGTTACAGCGAGCAGTGTTTATGGCCAAAAATGCCGGCAACACGGTACGCATCATGCTGCCGTTCGACAAGATTATAAATGTAGAAAAACCGGCCGTTTTCGATTTTGCGGAATATATCAAGATCACCATCATGGATCCCGATGTCATGGAAGCGCAAACGGACGATGTAAGTCATTGTCAAAGCAAGTTACCACCCAGAAATCATTCAACCCCTTTTTTTTGGCCGCAGTATTTTTTCGCATTTTTCCCCGACATACATGCTGCCTTCAAGAAAATCATGTCGTTATGGTCAGCAAAACGATATACCCAAGAATTAGATACCCGTTGTTGTGATACTCAAGACCCGTCTGCCTGCTTACAGCAACTGTATATGGATGGAACGCTGGCCGACACGTCCTCTGCTATTTCGGCCATTTTAGCAGGTAGCATGATCGCTTCCTCAGCACCTGTGGATGATGAGACAGGGTTACCTAGAACCGATCCTTGGAAAAACGTGTTGGACCGTACTATCTATGGAACGGAACGAAACCCGTCCATGTACCACACGACGAATGATGAAGATCATTGTCACGATCACCAGCGAAATGACAATGATGATACTGTGGATACATCGGAAAAGACACCGTACCGAGGCAATTTTCCAACGGCAATTCCTGCTCAGATATATTCTTCCACCGAACATGCGACCGATGCAGCCAAAGAGCAAGACGCTGGAACCAAATCATCTGCTTCCCTTCAATCCACCCTCAGCAAGATTCCACGTGCAGTGACAGGTGCTTTAAGTCATGTTCGACGATCGTCGATACAATATGATGAAGGCTCATCTTCCGGAAACAAGTCCGCAGCACCCGATCATTCACCGCCGAACGAAGTCGACGTTAGACGTAGCTCCAGCGTGCCTGACGAAAATAAAACATCAAAAAAGAAGAACCGGCGCTTCCGCAGCGGATCACTGAACTCAATCAAACACTTTGCATTTCATCCTTTTCACCAACTGAGCCACGCATGGCAACCTCCATCCCCTGACCCTCAACGTGAATCATTCAGTGACGACGATGAAGAAAAAATGAGGAAGCGCGGACGGGGCGCCGTCGTATACCCATCGCAGGCCTTGGACAAGCCTTGTCACAACAATATCCCAGTGATTGTGGAACCAGAAAAGAAAGATCATGATGCGGACCGCCAAAAGCCCAAAGCATCTTCATGGATAAGCAACAAATTCTTGGATATGTTTCAGCAAGATTACGGATTGCAGCTATGGTCCAACAATGGAGCCGAGAAACAGACTCTCACAGTGGATGAAGAACAAGAACGTCTGGCGTTGAATGAACAGTTGCGAAAACAGTTTCCGATGCTGAGCGAAATGGAGACCGTAGAAGCAGGTAAAACTATCGCGCGATTAAAAACTGGCTGGACAACTGGTTGACAGAGTATGGATTTGTCTCGCATAGCATTCAATGTCGCATTTTGGCGGATTTTGCCGTATTATGGAAAATTATACCTGACACAGAATTACGTTTGTTTTCATTCCAAAGTTCTCGCTGGACGTCAAAAGGTGAGCAATAATGTCAAAGGCAATGGCATGATTCGTCTGTTGGATGGATAAGTTCTAATGAGAATTCCTAGCTTATTATTCCCAGCAGTGACGTCATGCATGTGCGACGATTAAAAAGTCGAGGATACCAGTTTCTTCATGGTGTGGGTGTCACCGTCAAGAACATGAATGAAGAGGTAGGCTATGAGAAATAATGAGTACCAAAGTGCATTACCTTGGGATTAAGGCCGGATGAAAAAAGATATTTTTCGAACTGTCGTCGATTGAGGTACGGGATCGATGCTATGCCATGCTATATCTGCAGATGCTCAAGGTGTGGCAAAACAATCATAAACAAACACCGTAAGTAATACGTGTATATCTACCGATAAATGGCGTTGGCGCTTCTAAGCCTATTCTCCAGACTTTCGGAATCGAATCCCACCCCGCTTCAGCTGAGCGAGATTTTGGAATCTTCAACAGAGCATGTCATACCACCTACAGGATACAGTAAGTGGTTACGTGTTAATTTGTGGCCACACGCGGATAATAGTAATTCCTTCTTCTGTTCGTCTAGATGGTCCACCGCTGTTGTCATCTCTATCTTCTATTGAGACCCAACCAAAGTACAATCCTCCTTCATCGCCTCTGGTAATCACTTGTCTTACGGCCGGCTCGCGCGGCGATGTGCAGCCTTATGTGGCTTTATGCAAGGAACTTCAAAAAGATGGCCATCATTGTCGAATTGCTTCTCATGAAGAATATAAGGAATGGGTGGAGAGTCACGGTATTGAATTTCGTTCCATCGGCGGCGATCCGGCTGAGCTCATGGTACGCTTCAATCAAAAGAAATTTAATGCAACCATCGTACTAATATGATGATGGTCCCTGAAAAGAAACTATGTATCGACAACGGATTTTTGTCCATGTCTTTTATTCGGGACGGTGTAAAATTCGTAAGTGGCATTTGTTGGGGTTTGGTCCGTTTTATTTGGCTTACATAATGGGGTATCACATCGGTGACAAGATTCTGCAGGCATCATTTGACTAATCACATGCATACAGTTCTATGACTGGTTAGACACCTTATTGGAGACAGCTTGGGCGGCCTGTCAAGGGACGGATGTGCTTATTGAAAGTCCTAGTGCGCTGGTCGGTATTCATATGGCGGAAAAGCTCGGTAAGTCCATGACAGAGTCAAACATAAAAGTACCACATAGCAACTAAATGTATATTGGGTGTAGAGATCCCATACTTCCGATCGATGCCTTTTCCGTGGAGTCGAACAACGCGATTCCCTCATCCATTTGCTATGCAGACGTATCCTGGCGGTCGTGTGTACAACGATATGACCTATGTCATGATTGATATGGCGCTGTGGACGGGGATTTCCAAATACGTAAATCGGTTTCGTAAAAATGTGCTGCATTTGCCCGCTACGACGTTGGAGAAATTAGAGCTATGGAAAGTACCACACATTTACTCATTCAGTCCTACCGTGGTTGTACCACCAAAAGACTGGCCCGATTACATCCATTGTACGGGTTATTGGTTCCTTGAACAGTCCGAACACACGTGGGAGCCAGAACCCGAACTTGAAGCGTTTCTTTCCGCAGACGATGATCGACCCATCATCTACATTGGATTTGGATCCATTATTGTTCCGGACCCGGAAGAAGTGAGTCGGACCATCGTCGACGCCGTCCAACAAGCCAATGTACGCGCCATTATCTGTAAAGGGTGGTCCTCTCGGCTTAGCAAGAAACCCGAAACCAAAGATCCCAACGTTGAGAGCAGCAAAATTTTGGAAGGCCATTCGGACCAAATTCTTAATTTGAATTCGGTGCCCCATGATTGGTTGTTTCCTCGTATTCGCGGTGTCGTTCATCACGGTGGTGCTGGAACTACTGCAGCTGGACTGAAAGCGGGTTTACCGACTATTATTAAACCGTTTTTTGGCGACCAAAGGTTCTGGGGCCAGCGTATCGAAGAATTAGGTGTCGGCGTATGTATGCCCAAGTTATCAGTGGATAAACTGACAGATGCCCTCGTGACCATCACGGAAAACAAGACGATGATTATGAAAGCCAAATCCGTGGGTGAAACACTGGCAAAGGTAAGATTCGAAACCGCCATTGCTGCATATGGGATAGGTGGGAAAAAAAGCGGCAGACAGATTGGCTGGCAGATAGAATAAGGAAATTTTTGGATCAATGTTTTTGTTCATCAATTTTTTCCTTCTTCTTTCATATCACTTAGGAAAACGGGCTAAAAACCGCCGTAGAATGCATTTACCGTGATTTATCATTTGCAAAACGCACTGCCCAGGAGTAAAAATAAATAAATAAAAGTTATAGACTACAAGGACACAAGTCGGCGTAAGTTGAAATGAAATGCATCCTCAGCACATAGGCGTCGTTTGAACCGATATAACCAATGACGAACGTTTACCCAAGATGGGCGGAGATGAAAATAACGGAAACCGCAGAGATAGTCGTAGGTATTTTCTTGGCCAGACGAAAGTAGAATGAGCAGTCACCGTAAAAAAGAGATACCATCGACCATCTGGGTGCCAGTGAACCTCCTCAAATACAAGGCCGTCATCACTTGAAAGAAGCAAGATATTACTGTGACAATGATGAAGTGCGCAAAACTAATGCAAGCAATGGCAGAAATAAAAAAAGTTCATGTTGTACTAAAATTAACATAGACGACATACAAGAGAAAACAAGAAAAAAAATGACAAATATGCAACAACAGAGAGTAATAGAGAGAAAAAGGATTACATGGTTTTAAGTGAGAAATTACTGAATCTAGAATACCAAGTTCATGGCCTTCATGGAGTATTCGACACCAAGGAAGGTAGCGGCGTTGGCAGGGAAAGCTCTCAACATGGCGGGACCGAGACCCTTGAACAAGGCACGGGTACCATCGGTTCTGACGGTCTTTTGCAAGCAATCGAGTAAGCCGTTGTAGGTACCAGCAGGGGCCGATTGGAGACGGGATTTCAGCACATCGGGAGGAATAGCGATGGTCCACATGGCAACACCGGCCATACCACCCGCAAACAAAACAGCACCCGGGTTAAGATCTTCGGGACGGGAGCCAGCAGGCGTCAATGCTTTCTTGATTAATTCGTAAGCTACGAAATAAGCCGCCGATCCCGGCGAATCACGCAACAAGGTTGCACCGGTGCCCCTGAAAATGGAGCGCACACCCCCTTCCTTGTACAACTGACGTACAACGTCGAATGGGCCCTTATATTTTTGTTCACCGCCTTGACCTTGGATCTGCATCAGTACCTTGACACGCTCCGAAGGCGCCATGAATAACGTGGTAGGAACTGCCGAAAAGGCACCAGCAAACGTGACTTCCGCCAGCGAAAGCTCCTTGTTTTCCTTGTCCGTTCTCAAACTGTAAACGATCTTCTTGCCGAGATCATAAGACTAAAGAAATAAAATTAAAAAAAAACAGGACAACAGCGTAAATCACTCAAATTGTTTCTTGAAACCCGGCCCGGTTTAATTTTATATCCTTGTCCCTTTTTCACCCAGATCCACTATCATCAGTCATTGAGTTAACTTACCCAGAAGCTGACGGCGAAAATAGGTGTGATACTGGCCAAGGGCGTGGCCATACCGCGATAAAGACCCAATACACCATCCTTCTTCAAGATTTGCTTGAAACAATCGGCAGTGTTTTTGTACACGCCTTCAGAGGTTTGCATGCGGACTTTGAGAAGATCGAAAGGTTGGCTAAGGCACAACAGTTCAGACACATCATAGACGCATATTTTGGAGGATGAAACGAGCGATCCCACAAATAGAAAAAAAAGACTTACCCGACAATCACCGAAGCCATACCACCGAAGCCACCCGACAAGAACGATTTGACCGAGGAGGTGGTTGACGATTTCACTTCAGCCGAAGTAGCTTTGATTTCAACAGGTTCGGCCATGACTATATGAATGGAGTGGTCTTACGAGAAGAAGAGAAAGAAAAAGGTACACAAAGGAAAAAAGGTCTCGAGAGACAAAAAGAAATTAAAAGGGCGGAAACCGAGAGGGAAAAAAAAAAAAAAAAAAAGAAAAAAGAAAGAGAAATAAAGGGTTGATAAACGAGAGTTATCAGTGACAAAGACAAATCATAATAAAGTGCGCGCCCGACATGAAGTCATGACAAAAAAATATCGTTTTCGGAGTTGAAGCGGGTGCCAACCACATGAAAATAAAAAACCAAAGTTTAAGAGTTGCCCAATTTAGTGGGGATTTTTCATTCCCCGTTATGACAAATTTTCATCCTATTTTTTGCGATTCCGATCACGAAAAAGTGAATAGAAATTGGTTGCATCCCTCTTTTTCCCCACACTCCGCTGTTTCCTTTTTCTCCCACTCCTCTCACAACATGTCACCTGCAGTAAGTACTTGAATTCGACATATTCTATTGTCTTCACGAAACGATAAACTGGGAGACAAGTGGACAATATTGACGCGCACCATGATAGACTTCCCGTGGTCCCAAGACACCCGTTGATCCCAATGCGCCCGGTCCTATGCTCCGTTACCAGAGCAACTTGCCCAAGTTGCCTGTTCCCAGACTTGAATTGACCCTTCAAAGATACCTTCAGTCCGTTCGCCCATTACTGAGCGATGAAGACTACCATCGCACCGAACAAGCCGTCAGAGAATTTGAAGCTCCCGGCGGTCTTGGCCAGCAATTACAGCAACGTCTTGTCGCTCGTGCCAAAGATCCTAAAATCGTCAACTGGATGGAAGATTGGTGGTTGGATCAGGCTTATATGGGCTATCGCGATCCTGTCGTTGTATACGTCAGTTACTTCTTTGCCTTCAAGGAAGACAAGTTCCGCACGGTGCCTGCCAAGCGTGCTGCTGCTATTACCACGGCTGCTTTAGAATTCAAGCGTCAAGTGGTCGAGTATGTGTGAAACCAATGATTTACTTTTTTTTTACAAATAGGATGACGGGATATTCACATGCATTTTATAGGAACACTTTGGAGCCTGAATATGCCAAGGGTGAACCCTTATGTATGGATTCGTACAAGTACATGTTCAACAACTGCCGTATTCCCAAGAAACCTTCCGATGTCGCGGGTATGTACGATCCTTTCAAGAACACCCACATCGTCGCTATCCGCAAGAACAAGTTCTACATTGTCGAGACGGTTCACAACGGTCAGCAGCTTTCCACCAATGAATTGGAACAACAATTCCAGCAAGTCATTGACAACGCTGGTCATATCCCTGCTCTTCCCATTGGTGCTTTGACCGCCGAAAACCGTGATAAATGGACCGAAGTAAGTATAAATGATTCATTCATTAGTGTAACACTGGAAAAAAAAGGAGGTTGTCTAGAGGGGGAAAAAAAGAAAACAAGATAAAATGGAGGACGTGCGATTTATTGATATGATGTATAGGACCGTGAAATCTTGTTGGCAGCTCATCCCGAGAACAAGGCGGTTTTGGAAAAGATTGAAACGGCTTCTTTCGTTGTGTGTTTGGACGACAGCTCTCCCGTCGACCGTGATCAACTTTCGCGTGCATGCTGGCACGGTGACGGTCGTAACCGTTTCTTTGATAAGCCTGTGCAATTCATTGTTTTTGAAAACGGCAAGGCCGGTTTCATGGGTGAGGTAGTTATTTTTCACCCATCTCCGATGGACAGTGGGCACTGGTAGCTAGATGTGACTCACCCTTTTCAATAGCACTCTTGCATGGATGGTACTGCCACTTGCCGTTTGAACGAATTCGTTTGCGATGGGTAAGTCTTGCAGTAGAATGACCATAGAGAAAAAGGGTTGCTTAAAGGTATTATTTTAGCTTGAATCGCAACAAGATCAACCACGGTTCCGAACAGGTCCGTTCCGGTCTCCCGGCTCCTCAACAGCTCCAGTTCCAGGTGAACGACAAGGTGGAAAAGGCGGTGGCCGAGGCTGAACAGCACTTTGATGAATTGATTGGCAAGTACGATTTGACCGTCTTGGCATATCAAGCTTTTGGCAAGAACTTGATCAAGAAGTTCAAGTGTTCGCCCGATGCCTTTGCTCAAATGGTGATCCAGCTCGGTTATTACAAGATGTTTGGTGTGAGCCGTCCTACTTACGAATCCGGTCAAACCCGCAAGTTCCAGCGCGGTCGTACCGAAACTTCCCGTACTGTGAGCAACGAATCGGTGGCATTTGTCAAGGCCATGGAGAACCCCCGCTTGCCCAATGAAGTCAAGGTGGCAGCTTTCCGCGCAGCCACCAAGTCTCAAGGTGCTTACATGAGCGCAGCCGTCAACGCTCACGGTGTGGATCGCCACTTGTTCGGTTTGAAGAACTGTTTGCGTCCCAACGAGCCCAAGCCTGCTCTGTTCACGGATCCCGCTTTCGCTTACTCTCAACACTGGTTCTTGTCGACCTCTCAGTTGACTTCGGAACACTTTGCCGGTTACGGCTGGGGCCCTGTGGTGAGCGACGGTTTCGGTGTGGCTTACATGATCAAGAACGAGGCTTTGCAGTTCAACGTGGCTTGCCTCAAGGACCTTGTTGTTGGTGGCAAGACATACAAGAACGCTGCTTATCATCTCAAGCAATGCTTGGAAGATGCCGCCAACGAATTGAGAGACATGTTGATTGCTGATATGCCCGCTCAAGCTAAATTGTAAACCTTTTTTTTATCTCCTCAGCTTGTCTTGTATGCATTCTTTTCGCTTGATTCTCTTCGAATGGTTTCAAGGGTTATAATTTTTTGTGTTTTAGTTTAGATCGTTTCAAGATTCTCCTTTCTTTTTATATATATTTGTTTCCTCCAATCAGTGTCTCTTAGTAATATTGTCACTAACAAAAGTTTTTATGCTTTTCAATTGGACCAATGTGATATAAGCGTCCGTAATTCGTTGTATACGTTTCATAGTAGAAAACATCAAACAATAATGGGAATATTTTTGTGCCAAAAAAGGCAAGGAAATACCTATATATGATGTTTGCAAATTTATCTGATCGTTATACAAAACAAGAGGTTTATTGTATGCAGTTAAATAGGTGTGTTGCGCTCTTTTTTTGCTTGGCCTAATTGCAAGAAAATGGAATAGGAAAAACAGATCCTGTAAACATGTGAAACATTTCAAGCCCCGCCGTGCTCATGAGGACGAGACGTTGTCGGGCTGTTCTTTTTCCTCTCTTCCTCTATTAAAACTATCCACCTAATCTTTGGGATCTTTTCAGTCAATGTCCTCCAGATCGAAAACACGGGCCAAACACGGTCATTTATTTGGCGATGGTAGGTTTGCACTGGTGTAAGGATGGGTGGGAGTACCGGCGGGTGTGGTCTTGGCATGGCATTGTGTTTGCTGCGAAGAGTTCCAATAGCCTTTCCATTGACGTGTTATTGCTGTGGGGTTGGTGTGATAGATCCTCTGAGTGCAGCTTCATCATCTGATGTGGATGATCCACTTTTTGGACCAAGTCGCCGATCGTTATCCACCAGTCGCAGTCCAGCTACCACGGCGAGTGCGCCTGTGACCGATCCGTTATCGCGAGTTAGCTCATCATCGTCTGTAAAGTCGTCGTCGTCATCTCACACGAAATCAACCAGTGGCGGTATCTTTGGTGATATTGATGTTTCCAAGCTGGGCGGCGGGGGTGTGTTTGCCAATAAGCGGTCTACACACGCTTTGCGGTCTTCTATTCGCACGCCTATTGATCACGACGACGAAGAATCCCTTTTCGGCGGCAAACCTGCCAAATCCACTGTAAAAAGATCTCCACCCGCATCCGTCCATGCCACCGCCGACGTGGCAAGAACTTCCCCAATTCCAAAGTCTCCAATCGCATCAGCAAAGAAAGAACCATCAGTCCAGCCGGCGAGAACACCTACGGGCTCGCCCAAGGTATTGTCACGTACATCATCCTACGAAACCACTAGTACGAGAGGATCGGTTTCCAACGAAAGACCCGCCACACCAACGAAGCGAGAGCCGACAGTATCATCACCATCTCCCATCAACATAGGAGCCAATAATTCAACGGGTTCACCATCTGTCAATGGCACGGTGACGCCGCCTGCCGTTCCCGCCACTGCTTCTTCTCCTGCTCCCTCTTCACCGCCTCGAAAAGCATCTTCTTCTATTTTTGCTTCAGCCAGTCGATTTCTCAAGTCTCGATCGCCTTCCAATCCTCCTCCACCTCCTCCTCCTCCAGCTTCTCAACCTTTGCCTGCTCCAGCATCGCCCAAAATCACATCACCACCCCCGACACCACCTGCCCCTGCACGTCGATCACCACCACCTCTTCCTCCTTCATCATCAGCCGCGGTACCGCGTCCTGTTTCACAACAACACAAAAGAGAAACGGAGCGTGAGGAGGAAGAGGATGAAGACCCAATGGAGTCTGAGTCTATACCGATCATTGTTGAGGATGAGGCCACACGGGCATTTGCAGATGATACCATGAAATTCAGTATGACCAAACCACGCGCTGATTACTCCACATCACCGGAACTGCTAGCGTCATTGACCAGTGATACGTTACGTCTTGATGAGCCTCCAATGATGATACCTTCGATAAGCACTCCCGCGGCCACCCAGGACACCGATTCATTGAACCCTTGGTCGCATACATTACAATTTTCTTTGGAACCTTCCAGTAGTTCTCCCCAGTTGAATCGGAAGCGGTCGTCGAAATCGGCAGCGGCCGATATCGATCCCGGCAAACGAGCTGCTTTTGCGGATCTTATTGCGAGTTGGCACTCGGGAAAGCCTGAAAGGGAGTTAACGGTTGCCAAGGAAGATCCAGAGCAGTTTTTTACCCGTGTAGCGGTTGAACAAAGGGATATCGGCTTTGCTGGCATAGCCGGATCGGGTAACGATGATGACGATGATGCAAGCTTGGATGAGCATCCATACTCGTCCTCATTGAATAAGCTGCATCAAATACAGTCATGGGGTTTGGAAGAGAACCCTTGGTCATGATGCATATCTTTTACATATATTACATTTATATATTGTGGGCATGGTTATTGTAGGGATATTATGAAGTTTGGACTCTGGAATACAAAGGTTTTTTTTTCTCGAGGAACTATTTTTAATGTGATGATGACTGTCGGGCAGGATATATTGTAAATTAGAGGCTTGTCATTTTTATGCTGTGCAAGGTATCGCGTGGTGGCTACTGCACAGTCTTTCGGCGTAATCTAAACCGCATCGAATAAAAGGTATACAGAATATGGCTTACTGGGAGACAGATTCTGCATCGGATGAAGAAAGATAAGCTATTTATAAATCATTGCCTGTAACTGAGTGAGTTGAATACCCGATGCATGCATGTTTGATGAGTTTGTCTCGGAACCAACCATGTATTGCTGATATCCATGCACTTCATTCTTGCCCTGGATGTCACTGACGCTGTTGAATACTTCTCACCATGGAAAAGTGTGAAATACTAATGTACAGATATTGTTATCGAGATCGTCACTGTCATAGAAAACGCTCAAATTGAAGATACTGTACTGGTCCTTTAAGCTCATTAATTGCGGATAACATGGATGCCAAGAAGTAAAACGCAACAAACAATAACAGTGATAGATTGAATTCAAATTGAAGCAAAGCGGCATAACATCGGCATGAATAACATGTGACCAATAAAGAAACAGTTCAAGCCCTGATGGGTGTAGAAAGATATATACAGTTTAATTGAAAAATTCTGGTTAGAAAATTTTTTACAAATCAAATTTTAAAAAAGAGGCGAGGCAACGTTGTTAATCAAATAACAGAGGAATCCAAAAGATAAAGACATACAAAAAATGGATGCATTAGCCAAGCCACGCTTATTCTTCTTTGTTATTGCTTACAAAACTGTTGTCACCGCATTGCGGGAGCCGCCACCGCACGACGCCAAGGCATGGGCTTTGTTCAAAGTTTTTAAACTACACAGTAGAAGCACACAAAGCAAGTGAGTGAGTGATTCGGCATAACAATCAAAAAAGAAAGGGCACTTGAGCATAAATACATTACCTTTCAAAAAAAGTTTCATTCTTGACCACCAAAAAAAAAGAAGATTTTCGGTGCGCAAGCTATAATATAATGAGGGATTCAGTCGCTAGTATCAGAGTTGTAGTCATTATGAGTATACGTACAGGATAGTTGATTTGAGCAAATGTTAATGAGAATGAGCAATGAAAAAGTGTATGGTGCGATGGATGGATGGTTTTGCGCAAGACAAAAGAAAATAGATGTCCGATGAAGAGGAAATAAAATAGATGGAAGATGCGTCGTCTTTATAGACATGAAAAAACAGGCGATCCCTCGTAATGTAGCTAAAACCTTTATTGTCCAATAATGAAGCAAGAAAAAAGACGCCATGTGTCTTTTCTCACACCTTCACATCATATTTATCCATCGATAAAAAAGGGTGGACTCATCGCATGAAATAGCTGCATGAAGTATGATAGGTCTCAGATAACGTTAGATAGAGATCTTTATTCTCAAGTGTTCATATATCGGATGTTCGGATACACAGGTGCATATAATTTTGGTACAGAAGTAATGCATGGCTCGTTAAACTATCTTTCAACTCTTATTATACACTTTATTGAAAATAGAAGTCATCCTCATGAAGATGGCCTTTTCTTTTTGATGAACAAAGTCGTCAGTTTCGGTGCATTTTTCCCTCCAGGATTACGCAGGCATTCTACAAGGCCAAGGTAATATGACGAGATCCCACACACTCCCCGCCAATAAAGGACCAAGTCATGATTTTTGCTTCCTTGCAATTTATTTTATTACCATTTCTTCATTTCCCGAGAAAAAATGAACTGAAAGATGGAAAAGACATTAGGGCAGTCAATAAATTTATAGGAATTACACCGAATTTTGCCAGGACACTATGTAAAGGGACAAAGAAAAAGAAAAGAGATATATCTGAAATCTGAGTAGGTATCGGGGAACTATACATCAGACTGACGGAAGCAATACAACCAAGGGGGGGGGGGGGAGGAGGAAGAATAACAAAAAGGGAGAAAAAATGTATAAACTACAATAGGACAGAGGAAGATAAAAATAAAAGCAAAAGGAAATAATAAAATCGAGAAATACGAAGAGAGAAAGGTAGATGAAGGGATATTTGGGGCCAAATTTACCCGGAATACATGTAATACAATAGACGAAGAAAATCAACCCTCCAAAAATAAGTGAAAGAGAGATATTAGAAGAGAAAACAAATCTGGCACTTTGCAGGTTCGCTTTCAGTTTCCTGATAAATTAGGCACTGGTTATGCCTGATGGGTGCTTCGAATATTACTTCTGATGTTGCTGTTGTTGCTGCTGCTGTTGTTGCTGCTGCTGTTGTTGCTGATGACGATACTGTTGCAGAGTAGTCTCCAAACTTTGAACCCTTTGCTGATATATGCTCACTTCTTGCTGCAACTGACGGATCACTTCCACACTTTTTTTCAAAATGGCACCTTTGTTGGGCTTGTTGGGACCATTTTCCAATGTCGCTTCCGGAAGTAAACTGCCAAGTTCTTGAATTCGATCGTTGATATTATCACGCCGCCTTCTTTCAACTGCATCATTATTGTCCCTTGATTAGAAAATGAATAGATTTCACAAAAACAATAAAATAAAATAAAGAGTAGATGCGTCTCAAGGTGAGGCTGCAAGGATGATAAAGAAGAAGAAGAAGGAAAAGAAAATAGAGATGCTTACCCGCATTATGTGATTCTCTTCGTCGACGTCGCTTCTCCATCATAATTTGCATGCTGAGGCAAACATACAAAAAAAATAAGGTTCAGTGGGTTGTTGTTTCAAATAGTAACAAAGATAAAAATGATATCCCGACTTACTTTACTTGCATAGCATAATCGTCTTCAAAGCTTCGAGCCATCGAAGAGGGACTAGCTGCCGTAGTTGGCATGCCACTGTTGCTGACTGAATGGTCCATGTGGTGAAGCGCCATGCTCGGGTGCATGTGGGAATTCAAATTCGTGGGAGGAGAACCTGCATAGTTTGGAAATTCATAACCAATATTCGCAGGAGCCGACATGGGGAATCCGAACCCAGGATCGTAACTGCCACTGCTGGCACCAGGCAGAAATATATTACTGTTCGCATAGTCATTATGCGGTTTGTGCATTTGAATAGGCACAGCGCCTTGAGAAGAAGTGGAATTATTCGGTTGGTAGGATTGCATGTCCATTTGCATCGAATGCTACAAACATAAGAGGAAGGGACGTCAGCAACACTGGAAGACAAGAGTAGCAAAAAAGGCTGTAGTGTTCAAATAGAGAATAGGGTTCTCTTTGCATACGCTTTATACCGCAACGTCTTGGCATGACGATATTGCTATGCCTCTTTTTGTCTCACATTCTTTTTTAAAATGAAAAAAAAAGGAAGAACGGACTTACAAATGAATGGTGTCTTCCTGCAGTGGGGAAAGGCTGCTGGGACGTTGGTTTCGAGTAGGATGCCAAACCGGACTGATAGTCGAGATCGTCAAAGTCGTTGAGAGGCGAAGTCGTAGTCGGCGACAAGAATGCATGTGAAAAGCTGTCGCCAAAGTCGAGATTGTCAGACGACGGTGAGTCCCGATTCGACAAGAGAGAGAAAGCAGGGTGAGGTACAGCGGTCGTTGGGGAAGTGGCAAGCGGATGCGTTGCTGAAGCTTCGTGTTGCTGCGTCGCCATGAGGTGGTAATGGGTAGGATGTCGTAACTTTAACGGTGCTTGCGGCTGCTTCTGTTCTTGTGACATATAGAATTTTATACAAAAAGACTATACAATATGGAATGGAAAAAAAAAAAGGGATTTTGCCTACTCCGCTCAATAGACTTTATACACAATGAAAGAATTACAACCAAAAAATAGCGCAAAATAGCGAAAGAGAAGGAAAAAAGAAAAAGAAAAAGACACCAAGTACAAAGAAAGGGCCTTTGAGAAAGAAAAAGGTATTTTTTTTCAAATGGTAAAACAGATGGAAAAGGGGAAGAATTTGGGGCTGGGACAAGAAAAAAAAAGGCGGGTTCTTAAAATTACCATACAAGGAAATTTAGACAAACGAAGATGTATGACGAATGACATTAATCTGACTTTTAAAAAGATGATCAATGCAAAAAAGAAAAAATAAGGGCCATCTCCAAAAAGAAAAAAAAACGAAAAATTCAATGGGAACCATCGAGCGAACCCCATCATCAAAAAAAAGGTACACATATATACACACATACACACATTATAGTTCAAGACAAAAACAAAATTATGCACACTGCAAGTAGTTTATTGCATGGCGAAGGAAAAGTGAGCCTTTTTGTTTATTCGATTGAGATCGCTATGCAGTTGTAGAATGAATACGATTTGCACATAAACAAATAGTCTGAACAACCATAAAGATGGGCACTCCTTCAGCGTCGTTGCCATCGTTTTCTTGCTTCTTCTTCTTCTTCTTCTTCGTATTTGTTGGATATCAAACTCGAATTCCATTTCATTATGTACTCATTTTTCCTTGTCATTGTTCATATCTTAATAAGCCGAGCTTTCGGCCAAGTCACCTCACCAACGCATACTTACAACATCACTTCTCCCGACCCTAATGCTTTCTATGTAGCTGGTCAAATTCTACCCATCACTTACACATTGGTTGACAATCCCAACCTGCCTACCTGTAAAGCACCCCCTCATCCAATACCGTGTGATGATGCTCCATATCATACTGAAAAAAATTACTTTGTTTCTTTTGTGTAGTATTGTCACTATCGGTTTATTTTTCAACTCAAGATGCATCATTGAACGCTAGCAACGTAGTTATTACCGAAAATGCCGATATTTCTCAAGGCTTCAGCTTCCGTAGAACCGCCAATACCATGGTCTATTATGAACATCAGCTGAATGTAAGAAACTAATTGGCCCACAGTTTTCACCATCCCATTTTTTGACACGCATTGTTACAGTATCTTATTCCCAATGCTACGCGACCCGGTAACTATCAGGTACAGTTAAAAAACGCTTATTTTTGCTCATTGGACGATGCAGTGGTTGATTCAATGCTTCACCATATGTAGGTGGTATTCCAAGATGCTATCTCACGTACCAATACTTCTGTGCCTATTGTGGTTCGTCCCTACGCGGCCCCGGCTGCCAACCCCAGCGGTATCCTCGGCAAAGCCAAACCTTCTGGTAGCTTTGCATTGCAAAATAACCCCGCTTCCCCACAGTTTCCAATCACTCCCTCCCTTCTTGCCACGTTGGTACTGCTGAGTCTTTACTTTGCATCATACTTGTAGTTTGTTATTCACTCTTTACCCATTCAAAACCGAATGGGTCCTTAATTGATATTCTCTTGCCACATTACATTATTATTTTTTATTCACTCACTATAAACCGACCAACAGCAGTAATAAACATCCTTTGGTTTTTCGTATGTGCTAAAGCCACTTTGTAAGGCGGGAAGGTAGAGGAGTGAAGAGGGATTGGTGTTAGGGGTAGAGAGAGAGAGAGAGAGAGAGAGAGAGAGAGAGAGATGTCATGAGGTGGCGCTCATGACTTGCAGAAGCTGAGCGAGATGGCCATGAACCTGCATACCGTATTTCAACAAATATATTCTGTGCAGATAACAAAATCGACGATGAAACGGCTGCTGTGCATAGCAGTTGAACGATGGCGTGCCATGTTGAATGGCAAGGAACGCTCACAGATGCCAAAAAAGCGAGTCATGCACCGAATACCATCCCGTTGATCAACTGCGAAGTTTCCCTGAGAACCTCAAGGAAAATAAAAATAAATAAAAAATCCTGCATAATAAAAAGCCTACGCACAATGTCAACAAGGAAGGATTGAACCATAACAAGCAAGGAATATCAATAATTGTATACAAAAGGCGTATCATGTTATGTAGCATCAAAAACCCCATTCACCATGAACAGGCTATATTATTACCATGATTTTTCATATCTTTTGCACAAGAACATTAACAACGAGCGATTGCACAGGAAATGTATGAACGCCATATTATTGTACCACGCAACCCTAAGAAGCAAACAATCATTGGGCGTCTGTGTGCCCGTCAATAAAGAGCGGCAGGATCCATTGTTTATAAAGAAACAAAAACCAATGGCCTGGTTCTTGATGAACTTCACTGAACGCCTTTTACCATTCCTCCCACTTCATTATCCAGCAGCTCAATCGCCCAGTATCTTTAGAAAAGCGATTATTTTTACCATGCAGAAAAGAGACACGATATTTGATGTGTTTACATCGTTTGTCATTTTATTTTTTTTATTGTTACAAAAAGATGAAAGAGAGTTCTTCATCCTTTTCTAGAGATAGTTTATCCAATAAATCCAGCCATAGATTATAAGGAGAGAATGTAAAAAGGAGCTAAGCAATTTATTTCTTGCTGGCCTTGGCAGCGGCCTTGGTGACCTTGCCAGTCTTGTCAACCTTCTCAACGGCCTTGATGACACCGACAGCGACGGTTTGACGCATGTCACGGACAGCGAAACGACCAAGAGGAGGATATTCAGTGTAAGCTTCAACACACATGGGCTTGGAGGGAACCATCTTGACGATGGCGGAGTCACCAGACTTGACGAACTTGGGAGCAGCTTCGAGGGACTTGCCGGAACGACGGTCAATCTTCTCGAGGAGCTCAGCGAACTTACAAGCAATGTGAGCAGTGTGGCAATCCAAGACGGGAGCGTAACCAGCACCGATCTGACCAGGGTGGTTCAAGACGATAACCTGGGCGGTGAAGGAACCGGCTTCCTTGGCGGGGTCGTTCTTGGAGTCAGAGCAGACGTTACCACGACGGATATCCTTGACGGAAACGTTCTTCACGTTGAAACCGACGTTGTCACCGGGAACACCTTCAGCGAGCTGTTCGTGATGCATTTCGACGGACTTGACTTCAGTGGTGACGTTGGCAGGGGCGAAAGTGACGACCATACCAGCCTTGATAACACCAGTTTCAACACGACCAACGGGCACAGTACCGATACCACCAATCTTGTAGACATCCTGAAGGGGAAGACGGAGGGGCTTGTCGGAGGGACGCACTGGGGGTTCGATGTTGTCGATGGCTTCAAGAAGGGTCTTACCAGTCTTGGAACCAGCCTTGGTTTCCTTGGTCCATCCCTTGAACCAGGGCATGTTGGTAGATTCTTCCAACATGTTGTCACCGTGCCAGCCAGAGATGGGGACGAAGGGAACAGCCTTGGGGTTGAAACCGATCTTCTTGATGAAAGCGGAAACTTCCTTGACGATTTCGTTGTAACGGGCTTCGGACCACTTGGTGGAATCCATCTTGTTGATGGCAACGATAAGCTGACGGACACCGAGGGTGAAAGCCAACAAAGCGTGCTCACGGGTCTGACCATCCTTGGAGATACCAGCTTCGAATTCACCAGTACCGGCAGCAATAATCAAGATACCGCAATCAGCCTGGGAGGTACCGGTAATCATGTTCTTGATGAAATCACGATGGCCGGGGGCATCAATGACGGTGACGTGGTACTTGGGAGTTTCGAACTTCCACAAGGCGATATCAATGGTGATACCACGCTCACGTTCGGCCTTGAGCTTGTCAAGAACCCAAGCGTACTTGAAGGAACCCTTACCGAGTTCGGCGGCTTCCTTCTCGAACTTTTCAATGGTACGCTTGTCAATACCACCGCACTTGTAGATCAAGTGACCAGTGGTGGTGGACTTGCCGGAATCGACGTGACCAATGACGACGACGTTAACGTGAGTCTTCTCCTTACCCATGGCTAATCAAGAGTAAATAGATAGAATGTGAGATGATATGCTCAGAATCAACCATCCATTTTGGCTGTCAAAAAAAAAAAAAAAACAAAAAAAAACAACAATTTACCTGTAAAATGACAAAAACAAAAAGAGGGGCGAATCTTATGACTGCCAGCAGCCACCCCAATTTTATAGTCGGGCGGCGAAAGAAAAAAAATTTTTTGGGAAGAAAAATGGAAAAGCCACGTTGGCCCTTTATTCAAAGTCCGATTCTAGAATTCGGCCCACAGAGCTTCAAATTGCTTGTCAAACTGCGTAATACAAGTGGGAATATTGGTGATCATGATGTTTTCCCTATTCTTAAACCGTGCTCTATAGATTGAAGGATGGAGAGTGAGCTGTATGTAACCTATTCGTCAGCTCTTACACACTAGGTCTTACCCGTTGGACCAATTGAAACTGCCGTTGATCAAAGTAGCATGGTCAATAATGGCAAACTTGTTATGCATGTAACCCGTTCTAAAAGTATGCATAAAAAGTTTGGGCTCAGTTAACGCACAAAAAAGATTCCCAATAGGTCAAAAAACCAATAAACCCAACCAAGAAAAAAAAAAACCAAGATACTATTCTCTGTTGGATTAGCAAGAAGACAAAGAAAAAAACTTACGTGCGATCGGTCTTGTAGGGTATACCATAGTCGGCCTGCAACCTGGCTGCATCGGCGCCTTTGATAGCCGCCTGCCGATTATCGGTAATGATGCGTACCTTGACACCACGCTGGTTGGCGGAAATTAAAGCGTCCGCCACATCATCATCGGTGATGGAAAATACGCAAATATCGATCGTGTCACGGGCGGAATCAATGACCGATATGAAAGCCTAGCCCGTCCAAAACATTATATCGACAATGGGAATGTAAGCATATCGTGAAACTGGTGGAACATGGTTTGATGTTTCTTTTTTTTTTCCAAGATCATATTTACGTTGAAGCTGTCCTTGGAAGGGAAGAAGAAGGCGTTGATGAAGTAGTCGTCGGGAAGAATATCCGATGAGAGGCCAGCTCCTTGGTTGAGTGTGACAAAATATTTTGCGATTGCTTTCGGTCCGCCTCCAGCCTTGACTGCAGACACAGCGGGGGTGTAATCCGGCACTTCTTGATCTTTAGTTGATGATTTCTTTCTTGGAGAGCTTCTCCTTGGTTTTGGAACTTGCTGGTAATCGGTAGGCGAAGGAGGACACGATGTGTCATCATTTTCATCGCTGGGAATATAGTCGTCATCCGATTCCCCAATACGGTCTAGCCGTTCGTCATCGGTGCTGGTATCTAACACAGGTACAACCGCGTCCTGTTTGGGAGAAGCACTTTTTCTGCTGCTCTTCTTCTTTGCCCTTCTTTTCGGCATTTTATGAGGAGCCGCCTCATGATCCGAGAGCTGTGCAGGGATGAAATTATCATCTGTATCTTCAACGTTCGTCAGATACCACGAAACTATAATTCTCACTTGCTATGCTCTTACTAGTCGATGTTTTTGTCTGTTTAGACGGAGGCGAGTTGCGCGCACCAGGCGAGGACGGCATATGATCATCAAAAGCCATCTGGACGGCTGTCGTCACGCAAAATTCTAACCATCGGACAATATTGCGTTCATCATTGTGATGGCAAGTCTGAGCCGCCACATCAAACATTTGCTGAACCGTACGCATCGTATTGCCAGCCGTATGGGATTTGCCTGCAAGCAGCGTTTGCATTCGTGCGCTCACTTGCTCACGAATCGCCGTATCCTGCATAATTTGAGTCGCAGAACCCATCGACTACAGAAATCTTGATGCATAGGTTATTTGGTTCCTTCACCTCCTTGTATTGAACGGCCTTCTATGACATGGCTGAGCGTACCTTTTCCACAAGTGGTTGAAAGTTGGCCTTCTTGAGTTCCACCACATCCACCGGCGGAGGTGTGATCATGCATAGCAGTTCCTTTATCAAGCCCATGAGTAAAAATATGACAATAAATAAGTAGAGACGAAGAAAAGCAAGGAAAAGAAGACTGAAAAGTTGGAATGGGAACAAATAGAGTAATCAATTAGATGACGGTCGTACAAAGCGAAAACGGAGGAAATAACAAAAACAGGAAAGCAGCGGCTCGCTGTGAAAGCAGGCTACTGTTTTACAAACTTCCCCCAAAAAAAATAATAATCCAGTTGGCTTCTTTATGCTTCTTGCATTGTAGCCCCTGCAATACTTTGTCACTATTTGAGTTTTGCTGTATCGTATTAACCCCTTCTTATTTTTTTTCTACTGTGCGTCGCAGCTGATGTTGTGATAGTTTTCACGAGAAGATCCCGAAAATGACCGGTTCAACAGCTGTCTAACATGAAAGCCTATAAAAATGGGCAGTCATCATCGTGCCTGCCAAAGTCGTTTGCGTTTCTCCCCATACCTTTCAAGGTTTTCTTTTCTCCGGGATCGTCTTTTTTTTTCTTGTGCAGCAAAAGAGCGCGAGATCAAAGTCTTTGAATACTGGAATAAAATGCATATACTAATTATTTGATAATCTTAGCTGCTCTCAATCATCAACTGTTCCGGCGCCAGATTTGCACGCTGACCTGCGCTGCATGTCACTGCGTAATCTGTCCCTGACCCGACTTTATTCCTGTCTTCTGCCGGAAAGCACTTGACATCTTGATCCGATCTTGTTATTTGTCCGCCCACCTTAAATTCCTTCGTTCATGAAAGCTGTTCAGATGTTCTGAGGGAAAGAGATGGTTAAAGATCTGTATCACCCCTTCTGAGTGGAGGAAATTCAAGGACAAGTAACGAAGATTAAGCCAGATCATGGGATGAACAAAATATTAGTCAGTGAGAAAGAGGGTGAATAAAGCTATGTATGAGAGAAAAACTGTGGTCGGATGGCCTTTGCTTGGCTTGGGCATATCGCCGGATTCGTCCCTAATACCTCCTAGGCATAGTCGTGTGGATCAGAGTTGATTAAATGATAAAAGGAAAGCATTTTCGAATACGATACCCTGAGTGTTCTGTTGCTGAGAGTTCATCCATCGCTCTGATGTTATTTCGCATAGGCTAATCAGAGTCAAGGCCCGGTAAAGAAGGGCTGTAGGTCAAAGACAAAAATGTGCAGCAATGGTAAAAATGCCATCTTGGAAATTTTTCTTTTTTCCAGCCACGCGACTTGTTTTTTTGAAACACGACTTCAATGAGAAAAACCACTGGGGGTGCTAAAACGCATTTCGGGCCTGGTGAATCCCAAGTCACAGTCTAGGTGCTTAAATTAGTGTGTGAGAGAGAAAAGGGAATAGTGTTGCTTAATACTACATATACTATTTACACTCGATGGAACCTAGTGCCTTTGATAAGATGAAAATGGGAGCCCTCATGGGCGGTACAGTTGGCCTTTGTGTTGGCTTCGTCTTTGGCTCGGTCACCTTGTTACGGTAAAGTGTCTGTTTGACCACACACACCCTTCAGCTTATTTCGTTCTGTACATCGTGAACTTACTTTGAATTCTTAGATATGGAAGCGGTCCTAAAGGTCCCTTTTCTATGCTCAGTCAATACATGCTGGGATCAGCAGCTTCTTTTGGATTTTTCATGTGTAAGTACTTTGCAACTCCAAAAAATAAACGGGAAACGGGTCACCTCATGCTTATCCGCGCGTTCTTGTGTTTATTAGCGATCGGCTCCGTCATTCGTTCCGAAGGTCGATATCTTCCAGCTGGCGCCAGACCCATCAGTTGGAACCAACCCATGCCTATTCACATTAACCAACGAAAACCCACCATCCACAATTCTTAATGATGCTTTCACCCTTGTAAAGTAAAACGTTGATCGTCTGTATACGCTATAAAATTTTTGGAGATTTTACTCTCTTCGTCTCATTCTTTTTGTACGCCAGAACCGTTTCGTGTTAGCACTGTAGAGTATAATGCTGTGTCGAATATAGTGGAGATACATCAATGGAAGTGTCACAATGAAAGGGTAACCAAAGGTCAATTGGTGGGGTACTTTATTTGGGAGGGGTGAGAGTTCATCCTTGGAAGTGACATTGAGACTCAGGACGCATTTTGAGCCTGACGGTACTATGCGAAGCGATCTAGGGTGACAGAAAAGAGTCCACAGTGGTTGTCAAAAATTGGTTCGATCAATGCTGCACAATGCGTAAATGGTTTTTATTGAAAATGGCATGAATGAGAAAATGGAGTTTAGTAATGCATCGGTCCTCTTTTTTTCTTTTTCTTTTTCTTTTTCTTTTGGGTGTCAATTTGTTTAAACGTATTTGGTAAAATCTAAAAGGGTCTCGACAGGGTACGGGTTGGTGGATGTGGTTTCTTTGGCCGATTTAGCGGAATCGCCTCGTCCAGCAGATAATCGATCCTTGACACGTCGGATATGTCGAAGTCTTTCTTTCCAGTGAGATACGTATTCGCGCTTGTGGCCGGCCACCGAATCAAACACTTGGGCAAAGATGTTGGCATGCAACGCCGCCTGTCGCACAAATCCTGGCAATGACTGCGCCGACACCAGTTTCGGTTCGGCAATAGGCCCAATTTCTGGCATATCCGGTCGTCGTTGCATTTCCACCTTGAAAAACGTGTTTTCCGCTCCCAGGAACGCTTGCGATGGTGTGACTTTTTCGGTGGAAATGGAGAACGGTGTGACCACAATGTTGATAAAATTAAACTGCCCAGGTAACGTGTCAAACGCATACTCGGCGCCCGAATCATTGTACACAATCGATACGTAGTCGTTGCCAATGTGACGTTTCTTGGCACTGCATTGAGGATCTCGTTCCAGATTCGTCGGCATCATCGTCGCCACGTGGAAAATCATCTCTGTCACATCGTCTTTCCAAAAGTAAGCATATTTACCATCAATATCCATTTCACGATCTAAACCGCCCGTATTGTCCGTGCGCCCGCGCAATCGCTGAATCGTGCCTAGCGCATTCAGGAATTGAACATAATACGGCGATCCGTGGCTGTTGCTGAGAATCTCCACTTCGTGACGCTGTCCTTTGCCGACATAAAGCACCCCAATCTTGTGGAAATCGACCACAGGGATCCGATCAAAACTGTTCAACGTACGCACACTCGACTCATCGTCCGGCAAAGGCGGCGACATTTCCATCATGCGCGTCAAATCTGGATAATTCGTCAATTGGAGATACAGAAATCCAGGATCAATGCAGTGTTCCATCTTTCGGAGGTGGGTCACTGTTTGGGCCGACGCCGTTTCCGGTTCGGAGAGGACACCTTCCAGCGTGGCATGAATACGATCCAGTTTACCCTCGGATGGATCGTTGTTCGTATTGCTCGCTGCCGTTGGTACAGTGGGAGTACCGGTTTCGCTTTGACTTGTTTCCTGGCCGGCGGCAGTAGCCATCGTACTACCTTTGTCCGGGTCACTGACACTTGCATCCTGTTCAACGCTTTCTGTCACGGGCGGTGTTTGGGTCCCACGTTCCTCCAATAAGGGTTTGTTCGTTCCTTCTCCTGGTGGATGATCACTGCTGCTGGTGGGATGGATCAGGCTGCTTTCTTTCGCTTCCTTAATTTCTTCTTCCGTGTCCTTCAATAGACGAGACGCCATGAGATCCGGCTGATACTGCATCATGAGAAGAGCGGGTAAAGTCGCGTAGTCAATCGCATCGGACTTGATTCGGTTCTCAATATTGCACATCATCGAGATGGTACCTGACGGGCGACGCACCGTGACTTCCACCCATCCCAGCGCTTTTGCGGTCTTTAGAGTCAGTAGTGTATGCCCGTAAACCCATGTTCGCATGCTTGGCTTTTCGTTGACTCCCTGTTGGCCTGGATTGGATCCTTCCATCAGAATCTTGGACACGGTGGATTTTTCCGGCGACAAGCTCACATCGGCAAAGCTGAATCGCGACAACATGTCGATACAGGTAAAAGTTTGCTCATCAATGGTTTTTCCCAATGCATTACCACCTAAGAGACGCTGAATGATAAACGGAACATGCTTTCGACGTTCCCGCAACGGCACCGAGGTAAACCAAATTGTGATCACGAGATATGCCATGATAAGCACATATTGCGCTAACGCTCCTTGATTCGTCTGCTGAATCAAACTCTCTTTGGGGGGAGGGAACGGCGTAGGGGTGGATGATCCGCTCCCTGGGGAGCCAAGGGTCGTTACCGAAGGAGACTGGGACTGAGCGATGGAATGCGAGTATTGCAAATAGTTCAACGCAATAGCAAACACAAGCTTGTACATATCGCCGGTGAAATTGGCATACAGGCTTGGCAAACGCGCTAATCCGGAAAGGAATTCCAAAATGTGGACGGACACACTGCTGACAGAAATGATTTGAGACATGCGCTGAAGAATTTCGTTGAGCATTTTCGCAATGGATAAAGGAAGTTCATGGCAGCAGACAGTCAAAGCGTGAATACAAGGTTTTGTGGCGGCCGTGATCTGAGTGATGCCAATATAAAAGGCGTAGACCATTTCATCTTCATCTTGCTTGTTAAACACACGTCGGTAAGGTATAAGCATGGTCAGCAAATTGTAACCGTACAAACTGAGATCGTTTCGTTTGGTGGCTGAGGGTATATTGATCACGGCTTCCAAGAACTTTCGTGTACTGAGCCATTTCACCAGTCGCCGTCTCAACTTTTGGATATATTTCGTCGCCCCGCAGAATAAATGCTTATTGCTTAGTTGGGTCGGCAATCGTTCGAGAAGGAAAATTACCACATGCCAATTGGGGCCCTGTTGCAAAATCTTGATATACGCACGAAGGATCTCATCCATTTCTAATACTACGCAACCAGGCGCGGGCTTTTCGGGGTCTTCCTCATGCGATAATGCGACAGGGCTCGTTCGATGATGATCAGCTGGCGACGTTTTGGCCGGTTCAGATACGGTAGGGGTCGGCGCGAATTGACCCATCGCCTCTTGCTTGTCTTTGGTCTCTTTCTTCGCTCGTTGTACCTGTCGAATGGTTTCCAAGACTTTGTTCGGTTCTCCGACATCTAAAATAAATATGAGATCAATATCATTCTGCTGTCAAGGACGCCGCCCATTTCTTGTTTCCTTGTTTTTTTTTTTTTTTTTTTTTTTTTTTTTTTTTTTTTCGTAGCTTACCTTGATCTGTGACGTAAAGACGATGATTTCGACCACATCGCAAGTGAAGGAGGAGATCAAACGCCACCAGTCTCACGCCAGCAAAAGGACAGAATAAATCGGAGGTGTCGTTGGCAATCTCGGTAATCACCGCAAATACCTTGGCACACGCTTTCGCATTGGTTCCTACCAATAATTCTTTGAACAATTCCACCAAGCCCCACATGGCCGGTGCACCTCCGCAATTCTCGTCGGCGGATGGTGCGTCCACAAAGGTCGCAGTAGGAGCCTTGGAATGTTCCGCCGTTGCGGTGGCTCGAGAAACGGCTTGCAAAGGAGACTGGGTTCGTGGGGGCTGAGACGGCGGTTGCGATTGGCTTTGCGATCGTCGAATCGAGCTGACTCTGGCTTCCTCTTTGAAAGCCGGTATCGGATCACTGGTGTGACCGCCAGGGTTGGAAATACATTTACACCGTGTACAGTCCTGCAATACGCTGAGCAACCGGTCGAAACAGTCGTCGTTTTGACAGTCCAAAAGGCACGAAACAATAAGATCAATCGCCTTTTGTCGAATGGTACCATTCTTTTCTGATGCTAAGCCAGCCGTCATTGGCAATATAATCTTTTGATACAGTTCTTCCGAATGGAAATCCTTGACTGCGCTGCATACATCGGCGACGATATTCAGAATCTTTAAGCGAATGGAAGCATCGACGGACGTCTGAATGAAGAATGTATCGGTGAGTTCTAATAATAATTCCATCCAATTTTCCGCCGACGGCAGAAGCATGTGTTCGGTCTCGTAATAATCCAATAGCAGAGCCGCCGATTCAGGCGAGGCGTAGTGTCGCAGTGCATAGAGTACGTTGATGAATCGAATGGTCGGTCCAGTGTACGATTTCGCCATGTAATGCTTGTAGACATGACTGAGGAAACGCGCAAATTGGTGAATGACATTATTCGGCGACGCATGTGTATCTGTTGATGGTGGCTTGGATAAATGGGCGAGGAGATGGCGATCCGCATCGTTCATGATCGATAAGACGTGATCGGTACATATGTCGCAGATATCCCACACAGCATCCCACTCCAGTAATCCAATGGTATTCTCCGGTGTACCGACCAGCAATCGTAAGCTCTTTAGAATACTGGCATTGACTCGATTATTGCGTTGCAACGCGCCATACCGAAGGTAAGTCAACAAAACCGAATCGGACGCCATGTACATTTCTGCGCTGGGGCGGCTATTTTTTCCCCAAGCTGTTTCACACAGTAACTTGATGGCACCGTCGGCCAACCCGGCCTTTTCGGGATCGTCGCCGATCGGCTCTTGGAGGAAATTGCAAAGCGTCAGAATCGCACTGTGTGCGCAATGGGATCGGAGTAAATTCATGAAAATGGACCAACACGAAACTGCGGTCTTTGGCATCACGTCATCGGGCAACATGACGGCGCTGCATAATATTTCGAGAAATGGCCGTGTCGCTTCAAAAGGAACAAATCGGTAACGCACGACCACGTCGACAAACGCCATGCACGCTTCAATGTCAACGGGATGACTCGAAAAGAAAAAGGCGTGGCGAGTGGCTTCAATCATGTCGGTGACTTCGGATTCTTCAAACTGAGCAAAATTAAACTTGGCAATCACGGTAAGTAAATGAAGAATTTCAGCGAGATAAGGCGTGGCCTTGGTCATGGGTATCTTTGACAGATGTTTTCGAGCGGCGTCCGACGAAGAAGAAGAAGGGGGAGGATGAGAAGTAGGAGCCGTTGCCGTCGCAACAGCGGGATGAGTGGGCGTTTCGGTGATGGAAGCGTGGTGAGAAGTCACCGTCGAGGAGGGAGTGCTGGTGCGTCGAAGTGGGGTAGTGGTGGAGGTGGTGGAGGCATGTTGTCGTAACGCCATGGTCATCCATGTTATCAAGAGTCGATTCACGTTCTTTTCAAATCCAGAGATATCTCGTCCGGCTTTGCACAAAGCGAAAAGCACTCGGTACATATCGTGAAAGTCTTCCCAGTTGTGATGGTTTCGGAGTGAGCTGTAAAAGGTGACTCGCGCCATGCCCAGTTCGTCGTACTGTCCGCTGATACAGGCAATCATGAATTCAAACACTCGATGTCGCGCTTCACGGGGCATGGCATTGTCCAGAATATCCTGCACCGTGAAGAAGACATTTTCCAAATGCGTGAATTTGTAGTTTTTGCATAGTTCGGAAAACACTTTGAGATGCTTGCAGCGCGCATTCAGAGGCTGGTCGCTGGACAACAGAGGCAACACGGATCGCGCATCGAGAGGTGCCGTAGGATCGGCCGTTGCCAAATTGAGACATGATTCCACCGAAAGGGAGTACGACCGCGGCCGCAAGATGTTGCTCAGCCAGTGATTGGAAGTAGAAGAACCTTGCTTATGGGTATGGCTCGACATGTATCAAACAAAAAACAGACGGACAAAGCAGTAAAGTGATACCGACAGGACTTTACAGCAACCGCTTTCTTTTTCTTTTCTTTCCTTTTGGGTCACACGACAGAAAAAAGCAAGCTGATAGAAAAGTTGTATATTTTTTTTGAATGCGAAAAAGGTGGAAACGGGAAAAAGCAAAACTCCGGAGAACCCGCAAAACGTTGGGTCATCGTGTGACTTGTGTTTCCCACTTCATTTTCTTCTACCATTTACGATGGTTTTCATCACCTTACATAAGTAGACAAAGGAAAATATTGGAATAAAAAAAAAATGCAAAACCGGTTTTGTTCTTTTTTCTTAAAACTTGAACACTTGGTCTTCAAGTTTGCTGATAGCACGAGGCTTCGCGTAACCGATTTCAGCGGCAGCCTATTATTTTGAGGCATACATTAGCATACGATCCCACTAGGGTGCGTTTTTTCCGCTCCATCCATTGTTTTCTTATTTTCCGTTAAAGATACATTACCTTGGACAAGGCCGACACCATGGGAGGGGGACCGCACAGCAACAACTTCATATCGTTGGAAGGAGCCGGGCAATGTTCTCGGATCATGTCCGCTGTGACGAAACCAACTCCACCGGTCCATCCCTCCGGAGGATTGTTAAGCACATAATACACGCTAAAGTTGTCATGCTTGGCAGCCAATTCATCCAATTCCTTACGCAGTAAGATATCCTCTTCATTGACATTGGCAAAGATCAATTTGACAGTCGTCTTGTCTTCAGGGTTTCTGCAAATAGCACGGATAATCTAACACCAAAAAAATACACATTAGTAAAACCTACATCACTTCCCCTTATCCACAGTCATTCATATATTTACCTGAAGCATGGGCGTGATACCAGTACCGCCTAAATGCATTGCAAGAAAAAAAATTTAGATGACGGAATCCCAAAACAGTAACATGTGAAAATGAGCCTTACCAGCAATCATGCCGAAGGACTTGACAAGGTTGGGCGTGTAATTGAAATTGCCCTTGGGACCGCGCACCGCCACGGAGTCACCCACCTTAAGTTCACCGAACAACTTGGAAATATTACCAGTAGGATACGACTACCATCGCTACTATGAGTATACCATATAGACAGCCACAGCGAGCCGTGACAAGGTAAAAATAAATAAATAAAAAGGCCCATTTTACCTTGACAAGAACGTCAAAGTGACCCAAATCTTCATCGGAACTAGTGGGAGTGTAACTGCGAGAGATCTGCTTGCCATTAATTTCGGCCATCACCGAGATGTGTTGTCCAATAGGCAAGCCCAGCACATCGTCACTGCGAGGCAAACCAAAACGGTACCTATTTAAAAAAAAAATAGTCCAGGGATGATGAGTACACCCGCTGACCACTTTCACTACCCATAACAGCTAAACCTACAGCGCAGTGTTGTGTGAAATGGTAATTTTCTCAATGAGCTTGAAGTTCTTGTACTCTTTGGGATCAAGGACAGCCTCTAAAAAGCGTTGAAGGATAAGGTTAAAAAAACGAACCATTCGTTGAATACAATGGTTTGCCCCACGTTCCATACGCACTCTTCTTGTTCATAAAAAAGTAGGCGGTTCCTGCCGCAAGCACAGCAGGCAGAGCATACGGAAGCAGACTTTGAACGGTGTCCATAATGAGAAAGAAAAAGAGTGACAAAGGTGGATGGACACAAATTTGGGGTGCCCAAAAACTCAAAAGAACTGGTCGCACAGACATTGGGCCGGACTTTGGATTTCTCGGTGGGCACGTCAGCCGGATGTGGCTTGTTGATAAGCTCAAGATATAGTGCCTTTAACAAAGGCGTGTTCTTTAAGACAAAAGCCCTTACCTTTGCAGAATATAGATGTTAATTTTTAGAACATGTTTCTATGGACTACAAGCTATAGGTCCTGATACTTAACAGAATAGCTTGTCTTTTCTGAAGTTTTATAAGTGAACCATTGCCACACACTGTCTTCATAAAGAATCGCGCGGCTTTACCACACTTAGAATAAAAAGAAATTGCCTTGATTTTTTTATAACTTGTATCCTGTCGCAACCACACTACTCTACAGTATGTCGTGTTTTTTGTGGAAGTAATGATCATCAAAAAATCATGTTGCGGTTGCCATGGCCCCCAGAAATACAACTACTGACAGTTTACTGAAGTGTAGCGTCTTCGCTCCATACTTAACAATGTTGATCCTTTGGTTCAAACCTATGAACAAGCAGGAGCCGGAGCCTGAGGGCAAGACCATGAAAATATTTCGAATAGCGACAAGACCGTTTGTCCCACATGTCATCGAGCTTTTGAATAAGGCGTAGTTCATGCGACAAGTACAGTATATGCATTTATTATATCACATACACAGCGATAGGGACGAGTAAGGTGAAAAAGTGCTTGTTTGATTCAGTATTGCCTTTGCTTGCAAAAATTTAAAGTACATTGAATTTATAAAAAGGGCAATGACAACGTTCTTTTTCGGTAGTAACGAGATCAGAGGCAGCGGGATTCTATTAAAATCTGCCAGCCCTCAACAGAGGCTTGACTCGCAGGAACCAGTAAGCTGCACCAGCGGCCACACCTCCCAAATGACCCGCACTGTCAACAATACCGTTCTACAAGTATGTATTAGATAGGCCCGTCTTCACACAACTAACCGCTGCCTAAATGACTTACCGTCATGGTGCTAGCTGTGTATAAGTCATAGGCTGTATACAATCCAACCACAGCGATAGCTGGCATGGGGACGATGAAAAATACGAGAAAGGTCGCTCGGGGAACTTCCATGAAACAAAAGAAATTAGGTCCAAGTGTTCCCTATAAACATGATACGGACAACTTACAAGCACATGCAAAAAAGGTGGTAATACCCATCACGCCCGCTGATAATAAAAGGAAATAATGTGGTCAATTAGGTTGCGAGATATCGACGCATGATGGATTTGCTCCTTACCTGAAGCGCCCACGGAATCGACTTTTCGAACAGCTCCATATCCGCTACGGTGACCTTCCAATGCGGGACGTAAGTACTGTTGATAAGCCAGACTGACCAGACCTCCCACGACGCTGGCACCACTGTACAGGAGCAAGAACCGTGAAGCTCCAATGGCACTGATAACCCCGGTTCCCATTGACCACAATACCAACATATTCACACCCAAATGATTCAGTGACTGATGCGAAAATGCATAGGTCAGCAGTGTATATATTCGGCCATTCTTGAAATTGTCAATGGAATTGGTAAAATGACGTCGCATAAATTGTAAGCGACTGTAATCGCCAAACTGCCGCGTGGAACCAATGGCAAACTGCCAGTAAAAATAGACACCCACATTGGCACCGATAATGGTACCAAGAACAATTCGAGGATCCATATTATTTATGCGTCGACCAAGCTGATGAATAGGACTCTTTTGTCTCTCCATGGCCTTTGATAATGACGACTTTTGCTGGTAATAATGAGGACGAATGTAGGAACGAATAAACGTGAGTGTGGAACGATGTGTGACGGGGGTTCGTTGAGAGGCATAAAGACGTGTGCATGTGAAAAAGGTACGAGGCAAAGGCTGAGCAAATTGCCCTGCTTTGGCGGTGAGAGCGACGAGTCTGGCTTGCATGGAAAAGGTGGGAAACGAGCTTGCTTGGGCTGAGGAAATCGCAAGCTTGGATTCATCGGAATCTGAATACGTGCACCCACGAAAAAAGCAACGCTGGCAAGCCACTTAAATTGATGCAGGACTTTCGTTTGTGCCTTTTATTACGTTGATCATGGCCAAGGCACAGCAAAAGGTACCCCCATGAGCGTGTTTAATACCGTTGGATGGTCCGTTTATTTACTTTTTTGCTACTGCTCGTGTGTCACAGAATAAGAAGCAGCCTAAGAAACAGCTGAAACCCGTGAGCCGCGATAATGACAAGGTGATCGTGGACAAGACCATTAAAAAGAAGAAGGGTAAAAACGCACGTCGTATACGTGGTACTTCCGAAATGGATAATCCCAAGTTTGCCAGCAAGGTAGGGTCACTGGATGCTATTTGTCACCATTATTGGAGTCGCAACGAATTAACGGCGTGGTGTTTGTTGATCAGGACTTTATGCTGAATCTCATTGAGAATGCGGCCGAAAAGGAAGAAGAAAAAAAGGATAAAAAACTAGCCAAAAAGGTAAATAGTATTATAATATGTTTTTTGGATTATTGCTTACGGATGAACGGGTTTAGTTTGCAGTAGAAAAGGTCATTGAGGAACAAGAGGCCAAGAAGCAAAAGAAAGCTATGGAAAAGCAAAAGAAACTGGTATGTTATTGGCTGAGACCATTTACTGTTTGTCATGGCAATGCTGAAAAGTATTTTTTTAGGAAATGTATAAACAAGCACTGCTTGATAAGCAGAAGCAAAAGAGGAAGCGAAAGCCGAGCAGCAAAGCTTATACTGAGCCCGAAACACAGCCCAAGGTAAATCAGAGTGGCTCCACGAACCATTGGCAAAAAAAGAAAAGACTCACTCATCTTGCACAATTAACAGAAATCAAGCAAAAAAGTTCGCTTTGCTTAAGCGTCTCCATCATTGTTATTTCATGTTTCCATATTTTCGAGGTCTTTTTTTTTCCTTTTTTTCTTGCATTGGTTTTTTTTATTTAGTAAGCGTTTCATGCCACAATAACTCTTTTTTTACATCACGTATTCATCGCCCTTCCATTTTATTCTTCTGCCCTTTTTGCGATTGTTTTTTTACAGGATCAACAAAGTATTACAAACAACTTGCATTTTTGTTACATCATTTAGAAAAAGATCAAACACACCAGCAGCAACGATTCATAGATGCTCATATGCCATTTTTTTATTGATTTTGATATTGGGTTGGACGATGATAAGTCATTAGAATTTTTCATGATGAGAATGGAAAAAAAGAAAAAGGGGCGCTTTTTTTGGGGGGGAGGACAGTAGGTTATATATCATAGGGAAGAGGTTGCATGATGGTTCACGGCCTTCTTGGCTCGTCGCTTGCGAAGAGTGCCATTGGCCACTTTTTCTTGACGTGTGACACGGCGAGAACGCATGTTCTCATGACGATTGCGGTAGGAATCAACGGCGCGCTGGATAAGTCCACGACGACCACACAGTTGATCTTGGTTTAACCAACATAATTTCCATCCCAGTGTGTTACAGCTGGTTTCGTAGTTCCACCGATTGCCTTCGTAATCTTTGCGTTCCACATTGGCTCGTGGGTAAATCTGGTGGCAAGAAACAAAAATGTCATAAGAATACAATGGAAAAAAGAAGAAGAGGAAAAACAGAAATTCAGCGACCGCCCACAAAAATAAGGGTCGCTCGCTTAAAAGGGTAAAAAACTTACCGCATTCTGATCTCGGAATCCAATTGGTATATCGTCCAACGGCACATTTTCAATGTCTGTGCGCACAGTGTATTCCTTGACCAAGCGATCATGCGAGTACAGAAATGAAATGTATTCAATACCGTCGATCACTTTGGCCACCGGTTCATGAGCCGTCAGCGACACCACCGAAGCCACATACGGATGCGAAGCCGCCCGACGTCGTCCTGAGCGTGCAACCGAACTGGTAGTCATAGAGGCAGACGAATGACCAATCGAACGTCGGCGGGTATGTGTGCGCTGCTGTTTGATCACTTTAGCCGGTCGAGAGACGGAAGGATAATCGGCGGGAGGGGTTAGACTGCCGTTGGAAGACGATGCTGACGTGGGTGGACTGGATTCTCGGGGCAGTTCATGGAACGGATACCCTCCGTTTCCATTTGCGTCATAGTAAGCTTGACACGCCATCGGTACGACGTGAGGCATGGTGGATCCGGGCGATGCCACTGGTGGGGTCGGTGGTAACAAATTCGACATAAGGTTAAACGATGAGGGCGATTGGAAGACCGCATATTTGGCCGGCATATAGGGCAATGACGATTGTTGCTGTGGTTGCGGCTGCGGTTGCTCTTGTGATGATGTCAAATACGATGAATCCATAGATGAAGAAGGTGTAGGCGGTAAACCTACGGTGGTGGTAGCTGGGTTGGTTGGCAACGTGTTTTCTGCTGGTAACTGATAGGATAATGATGATGCGCATGGCGGCGTGACCTGTTGAGGTACCATTGACGTAAGTGGCTCTTCGTCTTTTATAGAAGGCGGTATTTCATTCCAAGGCGTCAGCAATGGCATGGCAGCCGACAGTGTATCCATGGTCGACTGTTGCAATTCTTCCAGTGACCAAAACGACTGATCCACCAACGAGTCGATATCCAATGTATCCGTCGATGGCATGCAAGCGGCATAATCGGTGCGAGGAACCGCCGTTTCCGACGGCAAGAGTGTGGGCCAAGAAAGCATGGTCGAGGCATTAAGAGTATTTGTTTTGGTCGCTTTCGCTGTCATGATATCGTTTTCATTCTTTGAGTAGTTCAACATCGGGTAAAACGATGCATTGCATTGGGCGGGCGCTACTGACTCCATAATCATAGTTGATCGTCCAGGTCGAATTGACAAGTGCGTTGGGGTTTTTTATTGGTTGCTAATTGGATTGACTGATTTAACTGTCCCCTTTTTCGTTATCTTGTTGTCGATGCGAAAAGTGGTAGAGCAATTGTTAAGGTCGGACAAGAGGTTCTGATCAAAGAGAAGATAAAGACAAAAAAAGAACAAAAGAAAGCGTACAATAACACGCGTTGGCAGAGAAAAAGAAAATCGAATGAGCCTGAAACCCGGTTGGGCGGAGGACTTTTTACCATGAAAAAAATTCAGACTCAAAGGTAAAACAATTGTCTTAGTTGGACTCTTTTTTTGTCACTCGGCTTGCTCTCAACCGTATTTAAACTGCCTTCATAATCATAAGCACCGAAATTTCTATACGGAAAAAAGAAGGGATCGCAATGTCTTAGTTGCGTGCTTTTTTTTCATAAATTGTTCACACAGTCCAAACATTATCTATTGTCATCAACCTTCGCTCTTTTATTTCGGTAATGGAAAAAAAAAATTCATGATGGTGCACCATTGGAACTATGATGTAGTGCGTAGCTCATTTTTTTTTTTTTTGTATTCCTTGAAATTTTGCCCGTCACAAGTGATGATTTTTTTGAAAAAGAAGCACAACGTGCAAAAAAAATGGTGATTGCAAGTGTCAAATATTGGAATACTTCTGCGATCTACAACATTTAAAACTCATTTGAACAGGTGTGAAACGCTCAATGGTTGCTGCATAGCTAGGATGAAAGAGATGTGTACTCAGAAAAAAAGGGTCCACAACAAGAGAAGCCTTTTTTTCTTGAAGCCACGATCGATGCAAAATTATTAAACAACAGTGATATCTGTAAAGATCTAAAATATTTGTAAAAAAAAGTTGATGTGGATGATTGACAAACAAACAAGTCACTTGGTTCACTTAGTCACAAGAAACAGCAGATGTTTGCTACATTTTTTCATTCTAGAAGAAGTATATGTGGATAGATGGAAAGACCATTGTTTTCCTGAAAAATTTTTTATTCATGCTTTTTTACCTGAATTGGTTGTTAATTTACAAAGTGGAGTGATAATTCTGTCAATCAATATCAAGTCAATCAAACCGCGGGCTTTTCCATAAAACTACAACCTGCCCTATAACTTGTCGTCTTGAACTGAAAACCAGTGATGGTTGGCAGCGATCCACATGAATTTGGCGTTGCCGCCTCAAGGAAAACCGGGCGTCTGACCACATGCGGACTTTCAATTTATCACAAAATAGAAAACTGTTCCAGTGTCTGTCCATCTCATTGGCTGTTATGACAAGTCGGCTTGAACAGGCACAAACATGAACGGTTATTTTTACCATTTATCCTGATTCGATTCTGGCTAGGTAAGCTCTTTGTCAGCATAACACACACACAAAACGAAGGTCCTATTAGCCATTTCTGATGGGCAAAAAGTGCATTCTAGCTCATCATTCCTTGATTCAATACGATCCATTTATCGGTTTATTTGGTTATTTGCAGTGACTTCGTTAATGACCGTCTGTCGGTTACTTAATTCTCTCAGTGTGGCAAAGCAAGCTATTCTTGCTTCAGCAGACGATCGCCATTGAGAGGGCGGAAATTGAAAAATGAATGAAAACCCAAACGGAGACAAATGTTATGCATGATGAGATAAGGTTTTGAAGCAGCAGTAGCGGAAACACGCCAAAAATTACCCGTGATCGGCAAAACCATGCCTAAACTCTCTTCATCTTGATTCATCTTGATCCGCAAACATTGAAACTGACACAAGCCATCCATCGGAAATGGACGGATCCTGCACATGACAGTTTAAGCGAACGGATCAGCGAGAATTCATTGATGGTCTCATTTTTATGATGAAAAAAAAAAGTGCAGAAAATACATGATGGAGAAAAAGAAAAAGAGGGGTATACTATATGTACTCCTATGCAATAACTAAGAAAAACATACAGATGAGATACATTATGCATGCATGGGAAAAGAAGAAGAAAAAAAGCAAAAACACACAAAGATTAAAGGTAAAAATAGGATCTACAGTTCGTTTAAATCTATGGTCTTTCTTCACGGAAATGCTTCTCCGCCGCGGGCCCCAAGGTGGCACTGTCTTCGATGATGGTATCATGATTGGAGGTCATATTGATGGCCACGTCTCTTTCGTGGGATGTCGATTGGGCTGGATCTTGTGTTTGTTTTTCCTCCATGTCGGCTTTATTGTTTGGTGGTGAGGGTGAAGCACGGCGAAGTGAATAGTGCCTGACAAGCAAAGAGCAGAGAAATGCTAATTTGCCCAACGTACCGCACACTGCATTAGCCCCACTGCTATGTCAAATCATCTCACTGTTGATCGCGATACTTTACCTACGCCCGCCATGGGAATCATAACATGCCAAATCAGTTGTAATGCATCAACGTAGACCTGCAATGTCCTTTCAAGATATTCCGCAGGCAAGCCGTTTCTAACATATTCCGACGAACTGATCACCTTGCGCGCGTATTCTTCAGGAATATGTTCAGCCAACACATCTGTCAGCGACGAATTCAAAACAGCTGAGGCAATAGCTGTAAATAAGCAATGTCCATGCATCAACAAAAATTTTAATAGAGTTAGCCGGGGCTGTTCCTTGAACTTCAATTCATATATAAAATTACCAATTCCAAGTGCACCTCCGAGAATGCGACAGAAGCTACCGAGTCCTGTAATGATGGCTGTGTTGTATGATAAGTGAGGGGCAGTCATGTTGAGGATAAATTTTCAATGCATTACCGATATCTTTGGCGGGGGCAGAAGCTTGCAATCCAATGACCGAGGAGGGGAAAATACATCCCATACCTAGATCATCAGCCAAGGGTGGATAAGGTTGATATGCATGGATTCAAACACGAAAACATTCTTTGCATTCTTACCTGCACCTGCAATTACAGTGAAACCATAAATCACTAGAAATAAGAGTAATGTGATGAATAAGCCCATTTGACACGCTTTTTGACGGGTAAATCATCGACATGTTTGTTTTTACTCACATGGCCAAGGCGTGTGAATGTCCAGCATACTGAATAAACCCATACAGAGCGCCAACAAGCCTGTGCCGAGTGTAATCCTATGAATGCCCGCCCAGAAGCAAAATCAGTGACTAGATTGAGCGAGGCAATGAAATCCAAAAAAAAGGCTTGGCAACTTACAGTGGTCTGTAAAACCCCGTTTTGGTAATTAAGAGGCCTGAACTGGTGGAAAACACGCAGATGACCATTTGCATAGGAATCAGTCGAATACCGGACCACATAGCTGAATCGCCTTTGACGACCTGGAAATAAATGGGGAGATAGTAGAGCGTAGTGAACAGGATGGAGCCGAAAAACCAGTTACTGATCAAAATGCAATTAATGGACCGATTCTTGAACAAGGGTGGTGGCAGTAACGGTTCTTTGGCAATTTTGCACTCGACGTACACCAGTGCGCCAATGATCAGGACGCTCAACACCAATGGAAGAAGCACCGCTGTGGATTTCCACGGATACGCCTGACCTCCAAAATTCATGGCCAACAGAAACAATGTGGCGAAAGCGAGAACAAGAACCGTGCCGATATAATCGATTCGCAACATCTTGGCCTTGAAATTTTCTTGCGGCATGGGCAATTGAAGGAACACCATCAGTATAATCATCGCCGCAGCACCGATAGGTAAGCTAGGACCCAAGGCAGCCATGCTCGTCAGTTTCGTTCTATCCTTCTTCCACACAAGCGCCAGTGGGCAGCAAAGCTTCGGTTCATCTCGGCACTTACTTGATATAGAAATTCCATCGCCAACTCACGTAGTCCGTGAAACTGCCCTGTAATCAGATCATAAAAGGTTAGCACAAAAAAAAACCACAAACCCCACCCCCATGTAAGCCAAATAAAACACTTACGCCGATCAATGGTCCCAAGACACTCGCCAGTGCGAAGACACCATTAATTAATCTATTCGTCATTTGGAATGTTCACCCGACTGTCTATTACATCAACCAATCATTGGATCCACCATCTCTGTTTCTTACCCTTGATAGCTACCACGCTTTTCCAGTGGAACAAGGTCCGAAATAATGACAAAGACCTGGTTCACACAACGTACAAATTTCATTATTACAGCTGCATTATGATCTTCAATACATTTACCCACCATGGAAAAAACGGCGGCGGCACCGATGCCTGCAATGGCTCGACAGCATATAAGCATGATCATTGACTAAGTTCAAGGAAGAAAGAGAATTTAGGGGCCATTTTTCGCTCCGCCTTGTGAATGCCCTTTTCTTGCCCTTGTCCCATCTGTCACTGCGACCGTCACCATACATCCACTGCTTCACAGTAAAACTAGGTACCTGAGCCGCTCCACATAGTACGGATCCAATGAGAAATACCACGATGCCAAACATCAAGATCCACTTGCGTCCAAAAATATCGGAAAATTTCGAAAACATGGGTTCTGAGACAGGAACATGAGCGCAATGTGAATTTCAAACTGACGGATTTCCTTTCAAAGATACAGTCAATGACCCACTTACGGAAAGCATCAAATGTAAGGATGTAAGCGGTGGCTACCCAGGCTACAATTGCCATTTGGTTGAAATCAGATCCAATACGTGGTAGTGCAGTAGAAACAATGGTGCTAAAAAAAAAAAAAGGGAATCACACGATGAATAAGAGCATATGGCCAGTGGTCACGGATATATCACTGATAAAAGACTGTTACCCATCTAATGCGGCCAAAAATAAAGCCAACTGTAGTCCAAAAAAAGTCAAAATGCGTCCAAGTTTGCTGTTTCTGTCTTGTTTTTTCGCAGTAGGGGTTAATGATTCTTGATCGATTTGAAGTTGATCCTCCGAAGGTCGAATAGTCAATTGAGATTTCTGCACAGAAGGACGATGCGGATGCTGTTTCTTCTCCACAGTAACTTGGTCATCGGTGGCGTTGGCTGGTCTTTTTTCTGGATAGTCTGTTTCAGTCATGACAAACGCGCCAAGTGTAAAAATCGTTGAACAGGAACAACGAAAAGCTTAAGTGAAATATAAAAAAAAAGAAGAGAGAAACCAAGAAAGAGGCCGCAATCAAAATATAAGAATAGGCAGGTGGATTTCTCAGTGTTGTGATGTGTGGTGGATCGACGCATTTAAGTTTGATGGAATCCAGGATATGATTGGCTTAAAGCGGTGGATCATTTTTTTGGGTGAAGGCTGCATTATGTAAATTTGCCAAACGGGGAAAAACCCAGCAACGTTGTTTACGAACCCTAGCCTTCATTTACGCCACTTGTATGAACAGGCGAATCCAAATAATCACATTCATGTGCAATTATAAGTTCAGTGAGGTGGAATATTGAAAGCAAAAAAACAGTTCCTACCACTCGATTGACACTATTTTTTACGTTGACAGTTCAGTGCAGAAAAAAAAATAGGTCATTTGTTGTTCTCCCCCAACTTTTTTTTTGTTCATGACGAAATAAACGACATGCACAGAAATACAGATACACGGAATAAAAAATGTGACACTGTATGTTATGCCGATGTTATTGCCAGAACAGAAAAAAGAAAAAAAAAAGGATTTATCATAAAAATTGATATACTTTTTGTTTTGAATTATTTTTATCGTCTCTGTAAACTGAGCTTTTTTGGCTCCTTCTCATTTATAATCTAGCCAAAGTAGTGGTATGAGTATGTTCTTTGTCGGCTGTATCACGAAGAAGGCGGCGTAGAATTTTCCCGGAAGGACTTTTGGGGATCTCCTTGAAGAAACGCACACTACGTAATTGCTTGTAAGCAACGACCTGATCCGCCACAAATTTCATCACTCGCTGAGCGGTCTCTTCAGTCTCTGGGATATTGGCTTTCAATACCACACAAGCTCGCGGAAGTTCCGTCGCTTGTTGATGATCGTAAACCCCAATAACTGCAGCATCGTTCACAAGTGGACAAGTCAACTGCAACGGAATGTGAAAAATGAATAAAGAAAATAAAAAAACAACACATATGCATTACACGATCAGTAACCTTGATGCATCTGCAAATTTTTTTTTTTTTTTTTTGTAGAAATACAATCATGCAACTTACCAGTATGGCTTCCAATTCTGCAGGGGGAACTTGGAACCCCTTGTATTTGATCAGCTCTTTGATGCGATCTACAATATAGAAATTGCCGTCGTCATCGACTACGGCCACATCCCCTGTATGAAAGTAGCCATCTGCATCAATACAATCTGCCGTCGCTTGAGGGTTGTTGATGTAACCCTATTGTACAGCGTCATCTCCATTAGTAGTCTTTTATCTCTCCACTTTTTGATTCAGTGCTCCTGTCACAGGGCTTAAAACTCGGGATGTGACCATACCTTCATAATATTAGGTCCTTTGAGCCACAGTTCACCGGCCTGATTGGGCGGCAATTCTGAGTCTCCCATGTTAGATTATTTGTTTTTTCCCCAATATGGGACCGCCACAGGGGAAAATGAGGCTTACCTTGTCCATGCTCATCGACGATCTTCGCCATCATATTGGCAACCAAACGACCACATGATCCTACCAAGTATTATGAACAACAATGCCACGAGTGCTTTATGGCCTTTTTTTAAAGGCTACCACAGTATGAACGCGCTTTCCTTTGACATCAGTGATGCATGTCATACTTTACCGTCGATAGTGCAATTGGTACGCTCGATAGTAGCTGTAGGCGATGTCTCGGTCAAGCCATAACCCTGTTTGATGGAGGCGTTGGGCAAACGCGCCTTGACTTCACGACCCAATTCGGCACTCAGCGGGGCGGCACCGCATATCACGATTCTTAAAGAGGACAGATCATACTTGAGGACCAGTGGATGTCTCGCCAACAATAAAATGATGGGGGGTACCAAGCAAGCAAAAGTGATCTTTTCATTTTGAACCGTTTCGAGAAAACGCACGAAATCAAAACGCGGCATGACATAAGATGTTATACCCCAATAAAGAGCCACATGAATGATCGAGGTCAGCGCAAAGATGTGGAAGAATGGTAATACAGCAATCATACGATCCACATTGGCATCAATGAACTGGTTGTCCACCGATGTGTACTGCACGACATTGGCCGTAACATTGGCATGCCTACATTGCCTCCGTCAATGATCTCATCTACTTCCTTATTCTGCTTCTCAGCGTGTGAACACTTACGTTGTCATGACGCCTTTACTTCGACCTTGTTGATCGGGAAACAAATTATCGTCAATACACGGGCCATGCACCACCTCCCATTTTTGCATTGCACTGACCTGTGGTGCCTGAAGAGAAACAGAGATACGCCACTGTTTCTTTGGCTTCTTCCGGAGTATATTTGACAATTTGCGCTTTTCTGGTTCCCAACAGCGTGGTTGAGAAAGGACGAACCCCTTTGATGGATCGGTCACCAAAGACAAAAACGTTGGAGGGGTCAATGCCAGCATTTTTAGCCGAAGCCAGCGCATTATCGATATTTTCTTCGTGGGCAATTAGCACTTTAGCATTGGTTTCTTGCAACTGATATGACAGTTCCGTCACGTTGTAATTGGGATTTGCAGGCGTCACGGCACCACCTACACATTAGGGTTAGTGTATCCTCGAGAGTCCAACCCCTCTAGACCTAGGAAATTTGCCTGCTGCCAAAGCGCCGAAAACAGGAATAGAATAATCTATCTTGAACAATAAATACAGTCGTTAGTCTCAAGAGTTGGCATATAGGAAATAGAGAAAGCATACTTGGTTCGGTGCCACTACGGCGAGCACGTCGCCCTTTTTAAATCCACATTGATCTTGCAGACCCGCTGCAAATCGGAGCATACGATCCTTCAGTTGGCCGTAGGTAATCTTGGCTCCTGTGAGAATGTCCACCAGCAACACCTTGTTATCAGGCGCATGGTTGGGGTTTGATAGAATGAACTCGATGACGCCCGTTTGGGGTTCCTTGATAGGCGGAAATGTAGAGTAGTAAACCATGATAGAAAGAGTGAACAGAGTAGGAGAACTGCCACGTTCAAGCTGTGATGTTGCAACCTATTTTATACGTTACTCTATTTCGCAAAGTGTGTCCGTGCGACGTATCATTGAATGGCAGATAACCCTTCATCTTATGAATTAGGAACATCATTCACTCGGAGCTCCGACGAGATAGTGCCATGGATCTCGGAAAACAGCAGTATAACATACCCTCATCGTCCACGTCTTGTATAAGCGTGATAGATATAGACGTACTTTACTTTATATTATGACTGAATTTCCTAGACGCCTTGAAGACAAAGAGGGACTATTTCAAGTGGTACAACGTGGAAACTTTTTGTCACCTTCCACCAAGTGGGATGTAGACCCCGATGCGGTGTTATATTTAAGGAATTTGTGTCCCAGGTAGAATAAAGAAAAAGATACAAGTATGACTTTTTATTTCCTCTCTCGACAAAGAGAGAGGTTCAAAGAGGATATGAAATGTTTCATGGTTCAATATGAATTTGACAATAGAAAAAAGTTTGTTTGTTTGATGTCTTTTTTTTTTCATGCACGAACTCGACCGCACTTAAACGAAATCGTAATCCTCGATCCCGACTAAACCTTGAACGGCCTCCAAAAGCGCTTGCAACTCACTGTTGAAAGCTGAGCTTGCCATCATGAACGTGCTGTAGCTTGAAAATGCAATATCGGCTATTTGCTCGGGTCGTACATTGATCTTTTGTTCGAGGGACCTTGCAAAACGCACGCGCGCTTCTTCGGGGGATATCATGTAAGGCGGCATAGCACTTTTTGAAGCCAACGTGGTCGAAATAAGCTTAAGCGTCGTCATCACCGATGACAGCTAAAAAAAAATTCTCACATTAGTAAGGCGTGAGATGACCTCAATAATTTCACTCAAGAATTCCTGCTTACGTATTCCTTTCGTTCCCTAATCAATGCGGTCGCAATACTTTCACGCCATAACGGCTTGATGTGTCGTGCAGCATGTCCCTATCATTTTTCCATAGCCTTCGATTAGCAAATTCCATCATCAGCTGTTTTCTCTCCCCTGGACTTAGGAGCATTACCATGCTGAAAACTAAGTCGGCCATATTATCGACCTTCTCGATAATGACTTGATAATCCTTCAGAGGGAACTGACCACGTAGCGGTGGCTCAAATTTGGCATGACTCAGGAGATTTCGCTCATCTTCAATTTGACGTCGCAAGTCCACAGCCAGTTTCCGAAACATCTTGAATCGCTGCTCGACTGGTATCTTGGACGACGAGGTTTCAATGATCCGAGCGGTTAGAAGACCGTACAAACGTGCAATATCATGGATAGTTCTAGCTAATCGCTTTCGCAACTCCACACGACCCGTGCTGATGTACGGAATCATAAGAAGGATACCACACGCCGCCAATCCTATAACAACCAATAACAAGCGCTGAACAAAGTGCGTTAATAACAGTTGGCTAATTCATATATGCGTGTTTTCTCATTTTCTCACCTTGCCGGCCACTGTCCATACACGATCATAACCAGGTTGACCTTCCAATACAAAATTGTATTCGTAAATCACTACCTGTAAATCGTTGCGAGCATGCAATTTTGAGAAATTGAGTGCTTTCTGGCCCACGATGGTGTTTTTTTTTTTTTTTTTTTTTTTGACTTACCAAGAGCATGGTAATTTTCGTCATCAGCGCCGCCACTCGGAATGTGCCATTAAAGAGGAAAATATGGTATAATGGAATAAAAACAATAAAGCACACCACAGCGAGGGCATATGGATTACCGCGGGTAATCTCCCAGACGACAATACCGAGAACCGCTCCCGCTACGGATCCAAGGACACGAGCTGTCATGCTACAAGTGCGTAAAAAAAGAGGTTATCACAGATTGAATTGCTCATGGTGATTCAAGCTGCTTACTTGAAGATAAACAAACCGGGCATTGGAAACATCCATAAAACCAAGGTAATCATGGCCCACTGGCCACGCCAGTCAAAGTACCAACCGGCACTTTCGGCCCGCCACGCAGGAATGGCAAGCATCACCACCCCGAGCGCGGTTTTGAAAGCAAAGAGAGTGTCATTGGTCATAAACCATTTTGTCACTTTGTGCACGCCGTAAAAGAACCATTCGAAAGCCGAGCTGGGAGCTGTCACGTCTGGATCATGATAACGACGAAGGGACGGATGCTTGCGAAAAGTGTTTTCTTCTTGACCTTCCAATTCCATGCGTGTTGACGTCCGTACAAGCGTAAGGCCATTATTCGTTTCGTCGGGCTGATGGGTGTCACGGTAATCGTCCCCCATGGCGGGATCCATGTCCGGTGATTGAAACCACTTTCGCAACCCCATCTTGGGCCACCATAGGCGGCGCTTCGTTCGCACACTTTCCAGTTCATCCAGATACTCGCTCATGGCCTTGACATTGGCAGCATGTTCCCTCAGATTGTACTGATATAGGAACAACAGATACAGCGGTCCATAACGTGGCAGACTCTCCAAGAAATCCGCGGTGGCCAATTGTTTGACATACATGTCGTACGTGTACAATGCATCTTGCAGGGCTTGACCAGTGGTTACACTTGGCATGGCCACATCAGCTACGTTCTTGTTCTTGCCCCATAACCGATGCTGAAAAAACCGCGGAAATGGCCACAGGAGGCTGTTGATATTACTTCTTGATCGATCATGCATCTGGTCGACCCGTCTGCAGCAGTCGGCTAAAGCATTACAACAAGCCGTGTTAAGATCCTGGCAAACCGATTGCATATCATGAACAGCGTTTTTGAAGGCGCGAGATTCTGCATGATCCTCTGTTACATCCTGTAAAAAGGGAGACGATGCTACATCATTTAGATAATCATTTTTCATGATAAAGGCCAGCCCAACACCATGCAAAGCGGAACGCATATCCTTGGTCATTCTCGTGAGTTTGCTGATGTCTTTGGCTGACAGGTTCGAATAAAGGATTTCTCGCTGCACTGCTCGTTTACAGTCGATCAGCAACAGCACACTTCCCTGTAGTTGTGCATGTAACGATGGCAGAGTGGCATGCATATCGCTAGGTGACAGAGACAGAAACGCTTGTGAATGGTCCTTGAAATAAGCATTGTAATTGGCAAGAGTTCTCTTGAGCACCGCCATGTAATTGGTGACACTGTTTTCGGGCCATAGCAGATAGTTGACGGCCAAAGCAATACCACCAGCAAGAGCAATAGGACGTAAAAATAGCCACTGAAAACAGAATGGATCATCAAAGACATTGAGTGTCTCTATGTCACAATACATTCAAGGAATCCAAGGTTTTTCTTACCGTGACCTCTGGAGTGAAAATTGGCAATGTCGCGGCTTCCGTCATGGTAAACTATAAAAATCGTAATTATTTTTCCGCTCATTTAATGTGATGCATTGTGCTGAGTTACTTGCCGTCAAAAGAATACAAGCATTCACACAGGCAAAGTTGGCTATTGATTGTAATGGCTTAGTCTCATCATGCCAGCAATGGAATCATTCAATTATTCTACCTTTGTGGAATTTCATACGAATGTAATTGAGAACAAATGTGCCGATAAAGAGGAAAACGGCCAAGATAGCACACGGTCCAGGTTGAACAGGTGTCTTTGCGGTTTTATCCCTTGCGAGATTGGCCAGAAAAGTGCCTAAAGTAGCCAGCATGTTAATGTCGCCGTCAAGCGTCATGCGGATCTTTGGATCCACTGGGGGCGCGACTTGCCTAGAATACTCCATACGGCGCTGATAAACGCACCAAACGTGCCATAGATAACGGCCTAGGAGCAAAGTAAGTTGATTCGTTCGCTGTATCTACCGTTACGGTTGCTGTTTTACCTCGGTTTGAACACCTGACATATGGGTATCATGATATGGCGTTCGTTAATTTCTCGGTCGCCTTGGTGATAAGAAGATCGACTTACCGATCGTTCGCACGGGAAAGTAGAATATGACAACAATAGACACGAGAAGAGCCGACTGCCCAAGTGCACTTCTGCACCGCAGATCAAGTGCCATAATAACAGCTATTATGAGCGCAATAGACGCTTTGACCGTTTTGCGAAACTGAGCAAACGCCGGCAACCATGAAAACCAAGACGCGAGCGTACGTTTGGGTGGTGGCGATGGTGTTGGAGGCGGTTTTTCTTCACCGTCGTCAGTGTCAGAGCGAGAAGTTAGGTGTTGTGGGTGAATTAAATCCGATTCTGAAGCATGGCTTGATGCATGATCTGGTGGAGGATGCGGTTCAGCCGCGTTTTTTTCTGCTGACATACTCATAAATGGCACGTTCCCCATTCAAATGGGTGGTTTTATGATCTCTTTTTCGGTCGGAGATCTTGCCTTTTGTACTCTAGACCCATGTTTCAGATTTGTAACGACAGATCCTTTTCCACCGTAAAATTAAAGCCATGTGACACTGGCTAGCAAGTTAACTTTTTCGTGATGCAGCAATTACAAGCATATTTAGTGTTAGTGCATTGTCTGTTTTTTTATTTTTTTTATTCATCAGTTACTATTGTAAGCCTAACGTCATTTTACAGTCGCGCTTGTGTCTCGCTTGCTTTGTCTTGCATTTCCTGCTTGACCCATTCTCTGACTTGACGTCGTAGGATCTTGCCACTTGGGCTTTTAGGCACCACATCAATAAAGCGAACACCAGCGCGTAAATGTTTGTGGCGTGTTACATGGCTAGCAACGTACTGAACAAGCTGCTCAGCAAACGCCTCGGTTCGATCGGCCGTCGATTGGAGGACAACGTAGGCCCGTGGAAGTTCCGTGGCTTCAGCCGCGTCGTACACACCGACAACGCAGCAATCCGCTACATCTTTGTGGCTCATCAATACCGCCTCAAGCTCTTTGCAAAATACAAAAGTGTTAGCTTGTATTGATCTGGGATTGCAAAGACATTAAGGGAGATTTACCGGCAGGGGCTACTTGGTAACCCTTGTATTTGATCAATTCTTTGATCCGATCGACAATAAAAAATTCGTTGTATTGACTGTCGAAACGAGCCACATCACCAGTGCGCATCCATCCACCTTCTGTGAATGTTTCGGCATTGGCTGTGGCGTTGTTGATATATCCCTTCATGATGGTAGGACCTCGAAGCAGAATTTCGCCATCCTGATCTGGTCCCACAGCTACAACATAGACTTGGTAAGGAAGCTGTCGTAGTAAAATGAAAAAAGTAGCATCTTACCGTTGCCATCCGCATCAACGAGTTTGCATTCCATATTATTTATGAGGACGCCCGTCGAGCCTTACAACGCATATTCGATGAGTATGGATATCCACCAAAGCAATACACATTTCTCACCTGCAGGACTGATGCCCACTTTCTGGTATATACATCCGGCCGTCGTTTCCGTCATGCCATATCTGTCAACCAATGGTTGCATTAGTATCCCCGATTATGACAACTGACAATAAATGAATGAAGCTCGTACCCTTGTCTCACTGGCGCATTGATTCGAAGGTTCAAAGCATCGATATGTTCTCGACCTAAAGGAGCCGCGCCGCAGCCGATCATGCGAAGAGAACTTAGATTGTATTGCTGAACAATTGGACTTTTGGCTAGATGCACCGCTAATATAATAAAAAACAAGGAAACGATGAGGACCCAATTTTTTCCTACTAAGAGTATGCCGTGATATTTACCAACAGGAGGGACAATGGGAAGCACTGTAACAGTATGTTGCTGGACCAGCTGACACATTTTTTGTAAATCGTACTTGTACATGATGACGACCGGATTCATGGTGTAAAATGCGCGCAAACACAATGTGGTGAGCCCAAAGATGTGATAAAAAGGTAAAAAGGCCAGAATCACATCGGTTTCCGGGGCGCCATGAGGGTATTCAAAAAGCGTTACTATAAGCATTTGCGCCACAAAGTTTCGATGTGTGAGCATGACGCCCTTGGCCACGCCTGTCGTGCCGCTTGAGAAGCAGATAAAAGCCACATCGTCCGCAGCGTTGCTCTCTGGAAGCGGATAGGTAATGGATCGGTTGGACATCAAGCTGTAGAATGACTGATACCCGTCGACGGCTCGATCTCCAAACAAAAGCACACGTTCGCGAGGGATACCACATTCTGTAGCTAATTGAGATAAGGTCGGCAGCAGTTCAGGCACGGTAACAATGGCTTGAGCGTTGGACGTACGCAACTGATGCTCAAACTCGGCTAGATAAAAGAATGAGACAATGGTCTCAACGGTTCAATGGAGGGGAATACCAGTTGTGTTACCTTTTGTGTAATTGGGGTTGCTGTAGATCAAAGAAGCAAAATAAATTGAATGGGGCGATTATGCAATTAGACACTGATATCAGTGACAGAAAAAACCATATTTGGGGGATTTGGCTTACCCTGGTGTGACAGTGCATTGAGCACCCAGAATGGAGAAATACAATAGAGCGTGATCATACTGATTGGGGGCGAAAACAGCAACCACATCTCCTTTCTTCAGGCCAAGCTGATCGCGCCATCCAGCGGCTAACCGGCTGCACTGATCCCGCACTTGAGCGTACGATAAAGTTTTTCCCGAATTCCCGTCGATCAAGATAGGACGATTGTGAGCGCGTTTTTGGTTATACTCGTTTGGTAAAAACAAGAACGAACAGATATCGATGTTGGGTATAGGCACCGGGGTGCAAGACGAAGTGTAGATCATGATGTGAGTAAAAAAGAGGCCGAAGACTTGGAGCAAGGAAAAAAGAAGCGCAAATTAGGGTATGTATAGTTTGGATCGAGTGGGAAACTTGTTAGTCATGGACTAATACGCACTTGTTTTGATTGGCTAAAGGAAAAACGTTTCTGCTTTAAGCAACATAAGCAGAGCGGAGAAAGCGGAAGAATAATTAGAATCCGCAACGTCGTTCTCTCACAGACCAAATAATGGCAAAAGATCTTTTAAAGCAAAAGAATAAAAGAACAAAGCAGAAGAAGATCAACAAGCCAAAAATAACTGAAGCCAGAAAAAAAAAATGACACTCAGTTTCTGCTGGGAAAAATCGGGGACTGCCAGATGTGTCATATCCATGGAAACAAAAAGCATCGCACCGCCGTCTCAGGCTCCGACCACCCAGCCACGCTGAGCAACGTCTTGAATAGTACAATATATTCTATTCAGTTTTATTAGTCTTGGTTTGGCGATGAAGCGAAGCTTATTGAGAAAAAAAAAAGGTCTCAAAGGGGTTTTGCTCCTTGTAACCAAGAAATGGACAAGCCATATTCATGTGTCATCCCATCAATGTGCACAACATTTCCGAAAGGATTTCTCTCAAGTTGCTGAGCATTGGACAAAGGACTCGTCACAATGTAAGCATTATGCTTATTTGTTGAGTCCTGCCAACCGTTACTAAAATGAGAAATCTGGCTGACACACCAAACGACTTGCCAACATCCGGGCAGTGCAGATAAATATTTTATAATGTGGTGGTATCATTTATTGAATTGCAACTGAATATTGTTGTTATACAGTTCAGTGTATGCTTGCAGCGAAATAAAAGATGTAAAGGGCCACGAGATGCGTATCGAGTCGATTTTGTGCAAGTCTTTTTGTTCCGAACGGGGAGCGCCCTGCCTGCCAAAAAGTGCGAGTGATTGAATCTCCGCCACAGAGAGCAAATAAAAGCCAAAAAAATTTTGCCTCTTTTCGTCTATTACGAAAGAGCCAAAACTTGTAATCATCCATAAACCATGTCTTTTGATCACAAGCGAGACGACAAATTAGCGTTCGAGACTTCGGAAAGTGTACGTATTATGGACAACATTAGCTGAATTTAGGCATATCTGACAGTTTTGTGTATGATCACAGGTCAAAGTAGTTCCTTCCTTCGATGCCATTGGCCTGAAAGAAGATTTGCTCCGTGGTATTTATGCTTACAACTTTGAAAAGCCGTCCGCTATTCAGCAGAGAGGTACAGCAGTCATCAGTAGAGCATGGACCAGTGATTGCAGTCAACTAACGGTACATGGATAGCTATTGTTCCCATTATTCGAGGACGAGATGTCATTGCTCAGGCTCAATCCGGTACGGGTAAAACAGCCACCTTCTCCATTTCCGTGTTACAGGCTATCGACACTTCGGTCAGAGAGACACAAGCTTTGATTCTTTCACCTACTCGTGAACTGGCCACCCAGATTCAGAGCGTCGTGTTGGCATTGGGCGATTACATGAATGTACAGTGCCACGCGTGTATTGGTGGCACCAACATTGGTGAAGATATTCGTAAATTGGAGAACGGCGTTCACGTTGTTTCTGGTACTCCTGGTCGTGTTTTTGATATGATTCGACGACGCAGCCTTCGTACTCGCAACATCAAGATGCTTGTACTCGATGAAGCCGATGAATTGCTCACTTTAGGTTTCAAGGATCAAATCTACGATGTGTACCGCCATTTACCTCCTTCCACTCAAGTCGTCCTTCTTTCCGCCACATTACCTCGCGATGTCCTTGAAATGACCAACAAGTTTATGACCGAACCTATTCGCATTCTTGTCAAGCGTGATGAATTGACTTTGGAAGGCATTCGTCAGTTCTTTGTAGCAGTGGAACGTGAAGAATGGAAATTCGATACACTTTGCGATTTATACGATACATTGACTATTACACAAGCCGTCATCTTTTGTAACACTCGTCGCAAGGTGAGATAAGGAACAATATACTACGTTTCTCATGGTCGGCCAAATTGGAAGAGCATGATACTGAATTGGGGCGTTGTTAGGTCGATTGGTTAACAGAAAAGATGCGTGAAGCCAATTTTACTGTATCGGCTATGCACGGTGAAATGCCTCAAAAAGAACGTGATGCTATTATGCAAGAATTCCGTCAGGGCTCAAGGTACTGGGAATGAATGCATGAGTGTATAAATACTTTGGGCGGCAATGGACTCACGTATTTGTTTTTCGTATAGTCGAGTGCTGATTACTACCGATGTGTGGGCTCGTGGTATCGATGTTCAACAAGTGTCTTTGGTCATCAAGTAAGTGGTACCAAGGAGGTTCGGTTGGAGGACGTTTGTTTATTGATCTGTGCTTTTCTCTTGTTGCAGCTACGATCTTCCTGCCAACCGTGAAAACTACATCCATCGTATTGGTCGATCCGGTCGTTTCGGCCGTAAGGGTGTTGCGATCAACTTTGTCAAGAACGATGATCTCAAGATCTTGCGCGATATCGAACAATACTACAGTACACAGATTGACGAAATGCCCATGAATGGTAAGAGAATTGAAGCAGGAAAGAAGGGATGGTGTTTGGAAACTGACGCATGTATATAGTGACCGACTTGATCTAATGACGAAAAACGGCAGCGCTGATTACAAGACGAAAACTTTTTTACAAGACATTTTCCCATAAAAATAAAAAATCAGAACCATCGAAATGGAATTCACTGTTTTTTTCTTTTTCACATTCTAGTGAGCTTATGGATCTGGAATACATTTGAGGTGGGTGGAGTTGGTGTGTGATAGGGAGAGCAAGTATTTTATGGCGATGGAATATTTACAGACGAAAAAGATTTCGCTACTACCAAGCGGTTATTTACAAGTTATACTTGATTCTTGCCAGTGTTTCCAGTAGCAGCAATTTGGTCCCTTCTTCGGGATGGCGCTCTTTAGCTATTTTTACGAGATCCCGTATGTCACGTTCACTGTTGGTCAAGTTGGCATCCAGGATGCGTTGGGTCAAACTATCGGTCTCGATATGTAATATTTCCTGTTTAGCCGTGTCAAAGTGAATGTAAACCGATTGAGGTGACTCAAAGTTCACAGACTTGATACCAAATAATGCATTTAATTGCTCGATTGAATCCTTGTACCTGAACAGAATGTTTCATCTTAGTAACCACTTTCTACAATTCATATCCAAAGACGTCTTACCATCGTGTTTTTTCTTCCACTTGTTCATCTCTATTTTCACTGCGTTGCAGAGCTTCGGCGGCTTTCGCTTCGGCGGTTTGTTGTCGGGAGGTGAGTTCTTGAAGCTCTTGTTCCAAATCTTCGACTCGCCAACTTAGATCCGAAATGACTTCTCGACGTTCATCGATGAGGGTATTCATGGCGATACATGCTTCGGTTTGTTCTTCCAATATGGCCTTGGCTTCTTCCGGTGAAAGGTCACTTTGTTGCTTGACAAGTTCCTGAATCCGCTTAATCTCGCCTTCCTACGGTTCCGACATTCAATTTCCCTTAAAATCCAGTCAGGGCTTATAATCTAAAACCGTACCATGGCATAAATTGCGTCAAATTCGTCCATAATGGCATCTGTCTTCTTCATCAACGACCTTCTTGCTGCATAGAATGATAACACATACACAGTTCATTATTTTTTGATTGGCCATGTCTTTATTTTCCAGCAACACTTACCCTCATCGATCGACTGACCAGCATGAAGAAGCGAGTCCTGATGCTTCTTGATATCCGCTTTCAGAGCTTGAAGATTCCTTTTCCGTCGCTCATTCTCATATTCTTAACCACCAGTCAGTTTTATCTATCTAACGAAAATAACGATGTGTATTTAAAACCTCTTACCGATGGATTGCACTTCGGACAAGGATGTTTGCAACGGTGGTTCTTTCAGAATGGATCGCAAGAACTTTTCTTGATGCTCCACTTCATTGAAGGCTATTTTAAGTTGCCTAAAGTAATGCTTCCAGAAGAAAAAAAAAAAAAAAAAAAAAAAGTCCCATCTCGTTTCAGCTAAAAACGCGCGCGATCGGACGCAACGGATACAATCTCGTCTTACTTTGTAATCCTCGAGTTCCATTTGTAACGCGTTGGGATGCAGAGGAAGATCAATGGTACTTGCATCGGCCGGTGATCGGCTGCCTAGTCCGAGTTTTTCATTGTAGTTTTTGTATTCCTCATAAAAATGCAACCGTTTGCTCTTGATCGCTTGGATCGTTCTATCGTAGGCATGCGTTAGAAGTAAGGACAATCATTCCGACAAAGATACGGAATAGGGGCAATAGATTTAAGAAAGAGGAATTACGTGGTGATCTCAGCAAGTACCGTTGATCGATCGTCCATGAAAGAAAAAGAAAACCGGTGAAAAAGGCCGTGCCTCAGTTTTACTACTTGCACAGAATTTTACCACGTTCTTCTGGTGACGCCGAAAATTTGGGCAACCCCACCAAGTCAAAATATCAAAATCGATTCACCCCCTTTGTCAGTGCCCTACTTTATGCCGTAGCTTTGCTCTCATTTACATCAAGTCCATTCATCAGGATTTGAACTGACAGTTTACACAGCAAAAGCAAGCACAGTATATTTACTCTCATCGGTTGTTGTCTCTCCATGGTACTTGTCCAAGAGAACTTCGCAATCGACATGTCTCTAAGCTGAATACAGTATTTATTGGTAGGAGAGAAAGATAGGCTGGACTAGTCCTATCAATGAAAATGTGCAATGTAGTGTTTAGACGACGGTACCGGCAGCGGAGGCAATACGGGGCCACAAGTCAGCGCACTCCTTGGCGACGGGACCAGTGATAGCAGAGCCCTTCATTTCACCCTTGGGCTAAAAACAAACAAGAAAAAGAAGAAGGATCAATATGACCAGTCCATTCAACATTCTGACAATTTTCTAAAAAGAGACTTACGTTGACAATGACACCAGCGTTATCCTCAAAGTAGAGGAAGACACCGTCTCTGCGGCGCCAGGCCTTGCGCTGACGGATGACGACAGCGGGCATGACCTTCTTTCTCAATTCGGGCTTACCCTTCTTGACGGTAGCGACAACCATGTCACCGGCACCGGCAGCGGGAAGACGGTTCAAGCGACCCTTGATGTTACGGACAGCAATGACGTACAAGTTCTTGGCGCCAGAGTTGTCGGCGCAGTTCATGACAGCACCAACGGGCAAACCGAGGGTCATGCGGTACTTTGTGCCGGAAATGCTAACTAGAAAATCCAAGAGTTCACTACGGTCAGTACATTCATCGTGAAAAATAGAGAATCTAGCTTTCACAGCGCAGTTGGGATGATGACGAAAAACGATTTTGACAGAGGGACGGTAGCCAGAGGTATCACGACGTTTGGAATTCACCATGGGACATGGGACATGACAGGTATACACACACCAACGAGGTGGAAAAAAAAGTCGGGTAGTTCATGAAATCGTATCGTTTGCATCCTTGTGTCCATCCATCCTTCATCCATCCATCCGCATCTTCATCGTATTCACATCATCCTTGCTGGGGAAACTAGCGCCATTCTTTTGTATGCAAATTACGCACCTTTAGGCATCGCGTTAAGATTGGAAGAGGAAGGGAAGTCTCTCTGACAGAGTGAACTGCTGTAGCTCACTTCGTCTGTCGGAACATCAATTGCGGCTTCCCATTCAGGTTCCGATAATCACTGTCACACCCGAGGGCGCTGCGGCTGTTATGCAAAATTCCAGGTTTCCCTTTTAATTGTTGAACTCTTTTTTTTTTATATTGGATTAAGAAGCTTAAAATGACGATAAAAAATAATACAAGGACATGCAGAAGATGAAATGGTATACACTACGGTTCGGGTCTTTCAAAAGCCTGCACCAGCCATCGTTGTATTGAAGTGGACCACCTGATCAATAATCATGGCGTCGACGCCGTACCGCTCCTGGATGCGTCGATACCTTACATCGTTATTTACTTGACCTGATGTAACGAGAATTAACCCGCTCTCTTTAATATTATTGATCAACGATGGTACTTGCACCTACAAATAGAGAAGATGAGTCTTTTTCATTTGGCTTCTTCTGATCGGTTCAACAACTTACCAGCGGAGTGGCTTCACAGATGACGCCCAGCAAGTTATTTCGTTTTGCAAATTTCACAGCTTCTTTCAGTGAAGAGGAATGGCCGTCACGAACCGGTTGTTCCACCACTTCAGGTGCATCCGCAGGTTTTCGTTTACTGCCTCGCTGCGTTTCCAGCTTATTGAGCCCGCAATAAGTATTATAGAACACAGCATCTACAACACGTATTAGTCTACCCAAACTATCTTTTTTTCTTTGTTACTTGTGGATGGAGTACTTACAGTTGGGTTGTTTCCAGTTCACGACCGTGCAAATGGCTGGATTGTAGGAAGAGAAAAAGATGCTTAGACTTGCAACGTCCACGGGAAGAGATCGGACATGATCGTATATTGATTGTAAAATCGCATCGACAAATGTATTGCGATCCGCGATATTGGTAAATGCATAGATATCCAATTCCTCCACAGAAGGGTACTTTAATTCCAGATGAATACCCATGGTGGATGGAAGCTCCTGTAACAAGATGTCAGCACACGTGGGCAAACATTCCATGTTGTTTGACTCTTACCTTTAGTACTTGCTCAAGGGATAAAAACTTTTGATATTCTCCAATACGTTGCACAAGCATACTGTTGCCCGTGACAGGGCACACACTGGCCTTTTGTGTCGGATTGACGGCGTGCTTTTGAAGAATGGACTCACCCAAATGACAGAATTGAGAGTAGAACAGATCCGAAACCGCCAGCTCCAGTCCATCATAGTTGACCAGCCATTTGGCAAACACCACCGGTACATGATCTTTGGTCAGCTGTACTACCACACGGACGTAATCGCCCGATAAAGACGAGGCCGTGATGAAGGAAGGAACAGGTGCCGAGGAAGAGGAGGAGGAGGACGTGTTGGAGTTGTTGTTGACGGGGGCAGTGGCGCTGGTAGCGGAACTGATCGCCGGTTGTTGTGATGGTGCAATCTCGGTTGTGGACACGGTGGGTGCCGATGGATGAGGGGGTAGTGTATTGGTGGATTTCCAGTACGTTTCAATACGGCCGCCAATTTCCAGTTGCACGCCGCGGAAAGGCCGAACCACGGAGTAATCGTACGAAAGCTCACCTACCACTTTGAGATGACCATCCAGGAGTGGAATGGTTCGATGGCCTTCAGGAATCTTGAACTCCACCGAAGAAAAGGTTTGCGGTAATGCCACCCCACGGCCTAGAATCTTGGATCCAAATGTAGCATAGATATCGAACTCTAAGAGGAAATCATCCAATTTATCCACTTGAAAACTAAAGATGTCGCGATCATCCACTAGAGGCAAAATCACACTGTGGGGAATCATGCCGGTATCGGGTTTGGAAGAAATGATCAATTTCAATGACGAAATTTGCGTGTTGTCGTACAACCGAATCGGCGGTTGCCGTAAACTAATTTGCACTTGGTATTTGCGATCGAGGTAGTTGTGACCGTAAATGCGGAATGGAATAATCGGCGGCGGAAGTGATAAGGATGGAATCACGTCCAGCTCGCTGTCCATGTCGTCTGTAAAAGGCTCGTTAATCTGATGCTGTGGCGCCTCCTGAGAAGCCTCGTCTTCTTGGTGAATCGGTTCCACTTCGCATCCAGCATCGATCAATAGCTGAACGCAATCCATTTTTCCTTCCCAGGCCGCATAGTAAAGCGCCGTTTTCCCATTTTCGTCTTTGGCGTTGACTTTGCATCCGGCATCAATCAATATTTGCACACATTCAGCATGACCGTCACTCGCGGCCCAAAATAGAGGAGTCCAAGAATTGTATTTGTCGGGAACATCGATATCTTCGCGGTGACGTGCTAATAATCGGCAAAGCTCGACATGACCTTGACGTGCCGCGATGTGAAGGGGGTACAGCGACTCGGCGTTTGGCAGATTTTTCGCCCCTTGATGATACAGCATCAGAGCAATATCGGTGTGACCGCAGTGGCAAGCGAGCGAAAGGGGGATGTGATCGCCTTCGTGAGCCGGTTCGACGTTCGCGCCGCTTTGAATCAAAATCTGAACGCATGGAGTGTGACCGTTCATAATGGCATATATCAGAGGACTGAATCCGTCATGGTCTCGCGATTCGATATCGGCATGGTGCTGCAATAAGAACGAGACGCAGTCGCTGAATCCGTTCATGGTGGCATAATGCAATGCGGTGCGTCCGTACGCGTCCGTGGATCGTACATTGGCACCACGCTCGACGCACAGTTTGAGAAGATCCAATCGTCCGGCCGTGGCAGCGACGTGCAAGCATGACCGTTCATTGATATCATCGACGTATTCAAAGTTGATCAAATTTGTGGCGATCAACATGTCAATGATGTCTTTGGACGCTTCGGAACACGCGTGCCAAAAGACTCGAGACAACCGATCGCGATCATCGGGCGAAGGATGCTGGGCCATGCGATCGAGAATATCTCGAACCAAAGATGATTGACCGCTGGACACGGCTTTCACAAGCTCCAACTCGATATCGTCAATCACATCCGTCGAAGGAGTGACGTCTTCGGCCATGTCGGTGGAAGAAGGATCTTGCGAAAGTCGAGCTTGAATACTGGCCAGTTCCATCCGATTGGCAGAAGCCAGGTCCGCCAACTCGCACAAAAACTGGGTGTTGAAACAAGGCTGAACATCGATTTGTCGAGAGAGATATAGTTCCTTGGTTGTGGATTTTGATCGCTTGTCCCACTTTTTCAAAATCTTGCGAAACCCTTCGTTGTTTAATTCGACGTATTTCTATCGTTTTTACCGAATCGTAGATTTGTTGTCAGTCATGGGTATATGTTGGCGTGCCCTTTCGTTCTTCCCAGCCAATTTTACCTGGATTTTATTCAACTCTTGTTCAAACTGACTGAACGCTTCTTGAATAGCGTCTAATAAGCTCGATGCATGCTTCAAACGTCGCAAATCGGACTGCAGGAATTTCTTCTTATCAATCAGGGTTCGCAGTCGCACTTTAAGTTCATTTTCTTTCTGCAGATAAAATGAATTGATCTAACGGATGCCATACAAGTCAGTCCATACACTCCCATGCAGCATTTGTGTTCTCTTCACGGGGTGGTTCGACATGTTACTTTTTCGAGTTCGCGTTCGAGTTTGAAGAAAAAGGCGGCTTTTTGAGACTGCAATAGTTTGGATCGGTCTTCATCGGATGCCAGGCCATTGACGAGAGCACCGGACGAGGTATTTAACAGGGAACTAATGAACTTCTTTAACCCTTTGTAGTCCAAGTAATGAACACTCCATTCGGTGAATTGTTGGCTTTGAATTTGCTTGCCAAACTGTGAAAGAGAGCCATGAGTGTTAGTCAAGTGTTGTTGTTATTTTTTTTTTCCTTTTGGGAAGGTCCAGCACGTGTACCTTCATAACGTAACAGCTTGGGATAAAGAAGCTGTTTTTTCACTTTGAGCTAAACCCAGCTGTGAATCCCCCACTTTTTAGAAAAGTGCAAATGTGACTGTTTACACGCAACCACTGTATGCAAAGGAGAGGCATGGAACGGGATCTTGACGTCTTTCAAGCCCAAGTTTCCATGGAAAAGCAATACAGGACTATTGCGCGGAGATTCGCGTGGATCTTTTTTTTTTAGCAACATCAATAAGCATCTCCCCTTCGTACTGTGAACCGTTGGTGTGTTGTTTTGCAGTTAAGAATCATCACTTCAGCTTGCACGATTATAAATTCGGATCGATAAAGTTATCGATATGATCTTAGTTCCATGAGGATGGTTTCCCATGTGATATTTTTAATCTTTTATTGTATCTCGGGTGGAATAACCTGAGTTCGATCGGCATCCAATATTTCTCTGCTTTCAATAACTAAGAATAACATTGCTGTGATTGCAATCCATCAACTCCCTTGCAAGCCCGTTCACATAAGCGCATAATGCAACTATGACATGCCCATAAAAAATCGCGATCATGAGCGCGTTGGGCGATCCATGTCAATGATTGGTTCGTTCATCCGATGGATTGTGGACAACCGACACACAACATTTTTTTGGGACTTATCCCAGCCTCACCCCCGCCCCTTTCTCGGTTAGCCATGAAAAGAACGTGGGGACAGATCATCTACACGAATGAACTAGAAGGGGCTGATGTTTGATAGAGAATCATGATAGGATGTACAAATAAAAAAAGGGTCTCGGAGATTCGATTGTGAAAGGCCAGCTGCCAGTGACATTTCTCTAATTCAGCACGCCCTCCCACCATTGTCATTGTTAGGTTCCTCTATGCGGAAAAGCCTAATTATGGAGACACAGGATCGGTCCGATTTTTTTATTATAAAAAACCTGCTTGACTGTAAAGAAAAAAAAAGTCGTAACCATGCATACCATGTTACATGAGATTATATTCTTCGTAACACGGACGATTCAACGCCAGGATGGCTGGAGGGTAACGGAGAGGCGCACGTGCGTCCTTTTATTGGCTGAAAGGCTCGAGCGATCTTTTGGTGCAAGAAGCCACCAATCATCATATTATTCGACTGTGCGTGCTACAGTAAGATTGAAATATTTTGCTGTGCTACTGATGTAGCTTTTTTTGGCGTGAAATTACATTTTATCTGTGCATCCTTGCCTTGAGCCTTAAATAATAAAGTAACCTTATTATCACTGTACTGAATAAGAACCTCGCAAAGGCGGTGTACAATTATCGCAAAAGAAAGTGTGATGTTACTAGAGTGATGTACCTTTCTAGAAAAACGCGACACAGCTGTTCTCTTATGCGTGGATGACTTTGTTAAAGTGCAATTTTATGCAGTTTCGCTCGCCATTTGCGCGAATCATTCAATGCCCATTTTGATGCTCAACGTCCAGCCTTTGGTTTGGATTCCCTTTATCCGCTAGATTTTCAGTAGACAAAAATCGAAGTACAATAAGGGGATGGTACGACCCAAATCCTTTGAGGATGGCACGTACCCTATGGTGAACGCGACAATCACAAACTAATATATGGCTGACCGTTGTGCTGATTCCATGATTATATTTAAAAAAAAAAACCCATAAAATGTGTACTCTGAAATTCCACTTAGAATAGGTGCGGGATATGGTAATTAACTATTTATAAGGAACAAAGGGTGGACATGATAATGTGGGTATATTGATATCCGGGCGAAACTCGGACCTAAGAAATGAGGGGACGTCTAGTTGCCCAGGATAAAACAATCTCTCGCTTCTTGCTCGTTTTGAACTCGGTACAGCCCGCCGTGTACCATGCAGACTGCATCCGGCAACCTCACATATCGATATTGTCGTTCATTGGGGGCCCACAGCGATGTGAACATGGTCCCCAGGACCAAGTCGTTCAACCGATCAATCAGCTTCAGCAATTCGGATTTTCTTGTTCAGAATTTTCATAGCCACGATATCAGTGAATATGTAATAGTGGACCGTGGCGGTAATACATGGCAAATCAGATGATAGCGCATCCTATAAGTTCATCCTGAAGCACCCATCGGTTTTGCACGACAGAATCGGTCCTTCAGGAATTTGTGGACCGAACGATAGCAGACTGCATAACTGGTCAGTTACTGATTAAAGCAGCGCAACGACTCAGAATCCACAATCTAATGATATCAAAGCATACCTCTCTCAGAATTTCGGCATCTCGTGACGGGTGAGGACGGCAACCCATTAACTACGTGGATCACCACTGTTCTCAAAGTCACTGAAACAGGAACAGCATCTACGCATGCTGTTTCGGAAAGGTCTGGTTTTCTTCAGTTGGTTTCAAAGCGAGTAAGGCGATGCAAAATGGTGGTCGTTCCATCAGCAGAAGCCAGTTGGTCGAACGCGCTTCATGCCATCGTCCAGCTGCACTGGCTTATCCGCAGTCGGCGTGTAACGTCTTAGTTCAGTATCTGGCATTTTGCAAAGATGATTTTCAAATGAAACTTGGAAATGTCCATGAATCACTGGGAAGAAGCTTAAATGAAAAAGGAAGAAACAAAAAAATAGAAAAGCGAGTGCTTTTGTTTTTCTCACGATGGATATAGCCAAAATGAAACGAATTGGCTGTGCGCCGTTTCTTTGTCAGATTCGGTATAACGACCATTATCGCTTGTTCCATTTTGTGGCTTTTTTATTACATGCAACGCCCATAAGCTGATGATTTTTTTTCCAGCTGCACGTCCTGTAATCAACTCCTGAAAACCTAACCTCACGGGAAAGCGTTGAAACAGCAGGGAGAACAAGTCCATGCAGAAATGTGGAGCAGAATTGCTTGATTAGGAAAGTCGTGAACTGACATGATCATCGCTGTAAATTAAGGATGAGGAGCCGATGGAAGGAAAAAATGCATGACGATCTTGAATAGCATCGAATCTCATATTGATATAGCAGGAGAAAATGGTGGTATGCGGGAAAAAAAAAGATTAAACGAACATCAACAGAAACTACAATAATTGACCATTCCAGTGGTGAAAGACAAAAAAAAGGACTTATAAATTAAGACAAAATAAAAACAAACGGTATTTAGATGAAAATAGCGAGCGCAGCCATCACAGCCATAGCAGCCATGTTGGGAGACACTTGGAAGGCGGCTGAGTTGGAGGGCGAGGCATCGGCACTGGAGCTGGAGCTAGAGCTGGAGAGAGAACCGGAAGCAGAAGCAGCCTTCACAACGCCGTTGCTGGGTTGAGAGCTAGCCGAGGCAGCACTAGAAGCAGCACCAGAAGTGGAAGCCTTCTTGCCACCGACAACTTCATCAAAGGTCTTGACAGTAACGGTGTCTTCCATGTAAGGATGAGTAATGTTCATACAAGTAGCGACATCCAAAACGTGAGTGTAGGCCTTTTGGATCTTGGGCAAGTTCTCGACGGCAAGTTGCATGGTGGTATTGTCAATTTCGTGAGTCAAGACAATGTTACCGCTGGTACCGAAAGTACCGTTGGAGCCCATCTGGATAAAGTCATCATACGATTGCTGAACAGTGGCGAGAGGCTTGGTGCTACCAGCGGCCCAGTCATCGGTATCAAGGTTCCAGAGAATGGTGGTCAAGTTCAATTGAGTGGCAATCCATCGCACACGATCGTCAACATCACCGAAAGCCTAGCAACGAGACAGACAGAGAAAATGAATTAGTAAAAAAAAAAAAAAAATTGAATTACCATGGGAAACAATAGCACGTTTTTAAACTTACAGGACGCCAGTGACGGGGAGTCACACCGGTGGTCAACTTGATAGCCTTTTGAGTGTAGTAGAGTTCAGCAAGGACTTCTTGGTTGTTGAGAGTAGTCATCAATTGATGGGACCAGGTGTGATCAGCGATGTGATGACCGTCCTTCATACCGCGCATAGCACCATAGGGCCAGTCAACGACGTTGGAACCGATGTAGAACATGGTAGCCTTGAGTTTCTGTTCTTCGAGATAATCGTAGAATGCATTGTGCGAGCAGTTGGGACCGTCATCGTAGGTGAGACCCCAAGTGTCAGGTTCAGGACAAGCGTAGATATCTTCGTTGACGTTCTGATGCTTGGGCTTGGTACAAGTAGTAGCCGACCACCAGCAGTCAGGGTCATTGGCTTCATCGTACTTGCTCATGTCAACGGAACCGTCGGGCAACAATTGACGAACCGGGATGTTGGGAGCTTTCGTCCAGTCGATGGAATTGTACAGTGCCTTGAATTCGGCACTGGTGTTCATACCGTTCGAAGTGGCGGTAAGCCAAGGTGTAGGCCATTCGGAATCTTTGAATTGAAGTTCGGCAGGTGGGGTGTAGTAAGTGCACTCGGCCACTCCGTCATACGAGGTAGTTTGCGGGATCTTGGGAAGCGTAATGTTGTGAGGGTCGACACCAGCGCGGAAGGACTTCCAGTATTCTTGGATACTGCCCGCAGCAATGGCCATGCCCGAGATCTGAGCAAGAGCGAGAGAGATAGCGACCGGTTTGATATACATCGGTTTCTAAAGGAAGGGTAAGGAGACACAAGGGAAAAAAGAAAGTAAAGGAGTGAAAAAAGAGGTGTGTCCTGAACAATTCATCGCGCTCATCCTTCTTTTATTTGGATCTGGAAAAACAAATAGAATTCGCGTAAAAAAAAAAAGGGAATGGGCGGGGATGAAGCTGGGTTAAGGTTTCTAGTGTCATTCGCTCCCAGGATAGCAATAAATGATGTGTCACAAGCACGGCACTCTAATTGTCTGTTTTTGGAAAAATATCTTGTCGAAATGAAATCTGACTCTACTATTTCAATCCATCATGAACGTGGCCATGGCCAACATGGCGTTTAAATTACCCAATTTTGGGCAAATTCGAACATACTATACAGAACCGACTAGGCCATTCCAATTACTGGCGTCAAAGACAATAGTCCCTTTTTCACAGAATACAGAATATCAATGGATCGGAACTCCACCCTGGTTGAGGATATCGTAATCACCTCAGCAATAAGACACGGCCAGGGCTCAACTCCGCGCTCGCTTGTTTTGAGACTCCGTTGGGAAATGGATCAACAATGCCCCGGTGGCTCCCCATGTTGTCTAAAAATAACCAAAAAGAGAGATATTTTTACGCCTTTTATGTCATGGTTTCAAACACAGACTATATGAAAATAAAATTTTCACAGGAAATACTGGCTGCCGGCTATTGTCTCGGCGACAAGATGGCCCATTGCATCGGCCGGTTTCCATGCAACTGTCATAGTATGATAAGTTAGAAGCCATAGAAACAAGCGTGGACTAAGCATGGGACCATTGTATTGCATTGTAACAATCGTAAGCAGATAAACGTATCATTGTACGACATTCACCTGCATCTGGCGGTGTGTCGTACACTTGGATGTCCGTGTACCACCCTCGGTGATAACCTGATGTGCAGAAATGCTTACTATTTTAACACTGAACTGGACGGCAAGCTGCTTAAAATGGCAGTTTGTCCGTTTCCAATTGCACTCAATGCCCAATTCATTCCATTATTGAGAGCATCATTTTCTTTATGGTGTGTTAATCCTGCTTTGTCGGGCGTGGCATTAATTTACGGGAGAGCCGAACATCATGCTTTTGTGAAGATCCTTTTTTATTCCTCGTAAAATCATGAAAACCAGATTGTACGAAGGGAACATCAGGTCGATCGACCCTTTGCCATCAGGCGTTCTGCTGTGGAGACGTCATTGCGCATGCAAGACAACCCCAATTAACTGTCTCAGATTATGTAATGGACGTTGTTCACATTGAAAACCAAATAGGATTCTGATCTGCCATGGTGATCTCAATTAAAAACTTCGAGAAAATGAGATATAAAGAATTGACTGGTTGCAGGCGATGTTACAGAAACACGTACAACTTAGTCTGTGCATCGTGGAGTGAAAAAAAAAAAAAAGAAAAAAATTAGCTGTGTTTGGTTGTGGTATATGTTTGTGAAACTGTTTGTTTATTGCCTTGAACTCTTGGCATTGATGGAGGGTTCATCTACCACGAACGGTTAGTTTTGTCAAAACTTTCGCTAACTTCATGAGGTCACTTTTGGATCTGTTACACCGTACTTGACGTTGGACTTGCTGCATCATGATCCCGATTGCAATTCAATAAATCGCCTGAGATTGACTGTCCCCAAACTCATGCTTTAAAATGCGAATGTAGAGGTCGAGAACCTAATATCTTACTTGATTTAAATTTCCATGGTTGCATCGTGATCTATTCCATAAATATAGCAGCAATAGGATCTTCTCAAACGTATTATCTATCGCATCTTGAAAGGTTGTTGAGCTCAACGTCGTGTAGCATGCATATCATTAGATCGTTTTAGCGTGTAAAATAAGCATAAAACTTTCCTCGTGCTTGTTACCAAAACGATAGCCAATGAAGAGTGTTTTTTTTTTTGACAATTGCTTCACGAGGATTCTTTTAGTTAGATTTTGGAACCCCCCCCCAGCAGAAAAGAAAATGAATGTCCTCGACTAACGAAGCGATTTGAATCGTTTGGCTTAATAAATCAACTGACATCGAACGTTGCTAGCCCACTAGCTTAAATATGCGATGATACAATTTGACAAGGAACTGATAATTTAAGTGCGCGATTTCGTTCATTGGTCATTGAAGAAGTTTTGCAAACCCGAGCACAATGTTATGATACGAGACGCACAACTGTAATGAGCATGCAAAAACTCTGCTGAAAAATATGGTGTTGTTTATTTTTTTCTTTATCTGAGCATTGCCTTCAACTCAGTTTTTCAATTCTTTGATCCGCGTGAAATTCCCTCCACAAACTGTACACTTTTATTGCAGACATTGTTACAGCGATGTTTCTCTTCTGTGGCAGGGTCATAAGCTTACAAATACACAATGAAGTGGAATCCCTAAGACCTTCCATATGACAGCGGTCCCAGTGCACACAGTTACAAACTGGTTGATGAAGCGGGGAGACATTTTCCTTTCCTTCTTGGAACAGGGTGGCACTCTCACACGAATTGGCTGGTGAACGGAATGACATAGAAAACAACGGCCACAACAATTTTTTTCTCTTTTTTTTTTTTGGCGGGGTGGGTGGGGGGGCCTGACAACCTGGCAATGAACGGACGCTCATTTCGCTTACCATCATTGAAACACCAGTCTCGAGGATGAATCCAGGCATCTTAATGAAAATGAGAGTTTGATACTGGACTCTCATCCTCCTTCAAGGTCATTAGGCTTGAAATTTATCTTGTTTATCCATTCAGTATTACCCATAAACGACCATTCTGTTATCTTTGATTTTCTTATTTTATACACATGGCATTGAAGGTACCGCTACGCGTTTTAAAAAGAAGCCGATACTCATCTCTGCAAGTCTACCAGCAACACAAATCAAAACAACGCATGTCTTCCAATATACTTGGCATTAATGGTGAAGCAGGTGTCGAGTCGTCCTGTTCACGTTGGTTTTTTTTTTTTTTTTTTTTTTTTTTTTTTTTTTTTTAAAAAAAAAAAAAAACACTGACCTTTAACAAGTGAAACGCAACGAAATGGCTCCGCCTCAAAATGCGGTCTCTTTTTGATACCGTATAATGGATTGTTATCTCTGGAATACATAGAGAATGATATATTGTTATCGTGACATGGAGTGAAATGATAAAGACACAGTTGACTTGCAATAAACTTGATAGTTCATGTTTAGTAGAAAAAGTAGTGGTTATCTTTTTAAACTCTATTGGGTAAACTGATAACATGCAGGAGCTCACAGATCATGTTGTTGTCCAATTAGATGAGCCGCACGTCGATAGGGGATATCAAGGTTGTAATCGTCTTTTGCAGCGCACCAGTGGATCTGATTGGAAGATTAAGGATCGCATTGTTTCAGAAATTGCCCGACGTATCGATATCGCAGAGTTGACGCTTGAGTGCATCTTCATCATGCTCGATTCCTTATGCGATCTCTTTGGGTATGCAAGTCAACAAGAACGACCGAGCAGATATCCGTTTACAGGATCTGGATTCCCACAGCCATGATACCAAGCACCAATCGCCAAACCACAGCTATCCCGATGCACGGTCACCACCATCAGTTCAACAACACAAGTAAACAGTCTGCTAATATTACTTCAGTGTCACAATTAATTAACGGCCCACTTATGAAGTAGATCATTAGGGTCGGAAAGTGATGATGATGACACCGACTCAACAATTCACTTTGCCCCAGGACAGCGATCCAGTATGGACGACTTCAAGAATCGCGATGATTTGGAGGATAAAAACCTAAATCTGAACAAAGACACATTGACTGCATCACACTATAACGATCGCGATCTTCCGTGGCCAAAGCGACAAGAGTTCCAAAGATTGCAAGATACGGCCTTTCCGCGATCTACCGTGCCTTTGGATGATACCAAAATGTCAAGGAAGGAGCGAGTGATTGCTTATTTATACCGACGGTTTTCCAGCCGCATTGTTCGGCGCGTTTTAAAATGCACATTGGCTTATTTCATCGCCACCTTATTTTCATTGATTCATCCGCTGGCAAGAGCGATGGGCCAAGCTCCCTATCTCGCCTGCACCGGTACGCTGTTTAGCCATCCTGGACGTACCATAGGAGCCCAAATCGACGCAACTGTCACTTCTTCCATTGGTACTTGCCTCGGCATCATCTATGGTCTTGGTATTTTGGCGGCGACAGTAGCCTATAACACACATCATCCAGATTCAATATCAGTTGGCGGCGCTATCACGGCATTGCTATTTCTCTTGGGAGGTAATAAGATTTCTATATCAATCAATGGTTATATGTTTTCTCATACTGAAAGTATTTTCATGGTTTTTTCTTTCCTAGTCTTTGTTGCGCAATTGATACGCCAAGCGTACACCAAGCTCTACTTCTTTACTTCACAATTCATGGTAGTGCTTCTCTTTTCTTTGACACACGGTTTAGGATATACTTCTGTGCCAATGACGTTAACATTTGAATGGGGGATTCCTCTGGTTGTGGGCGCATTTATTTCACTGATTGTCAATGTGCTGATATGGCCAGAGTCAGCTGTCGATGGTCTTGGTAAGCAAAAGAGTTTGAATTGCAAGGTGACTGGTATCTAATTAACTGACCAATATTTTTGAAGGACGTGCGTTGGCAAGTACCATGATGGGTAGCAGGGAATTGCTGGATATTATTACCAAACAATTTTTCCTTGATCCACACACGGAATCGGTACCCGATGAAACCATCGATGCGTTGGCGGTGCGAATACGTCAAGATGTGACCAAAGTCAATACGGCCTACCAAGAAGCCAAGTATGAGATTTCGTACACATACATCAAACCAAGTGAACTGGGCGAGATTCGAAAAGCACTTGACCGATTAACGCGTCATCTGAATATCCTTGGAGGCAGTCTGAAGAGTGAAAGAGCACTTTTTGGAAAGGAAGAGGAGTTGGCCGACGGGATGTCGACGGATGAAGAAGACAATTCTTGTCGGTCTCCTGAAAGACAGAGAACGCATTATGCGGGTTTGCGAGGAACATCTGCCAGCAGGAGTATGTCTGATATTCGGTCACAAGCTTTCGGCGCTGCCATGGATTATGCACAAACTGGCCGATATTCAAGCCCTCGACTACCCTCTTATATTTCTACGCATCGCGCGCCTACTGAAGAACCACAAGATACCGATACTGAAGAGCATGTCAGCCGACCTATTCAGTCGTATCTCTCACTGACAAGCTTGGGATTAAAACGACCCACAGCGTTGCCGCGAAAATCAAGTCGACAAATCGAATATGGAGATCGCAGTCTGCTAGCAACCTACATTGAAAATCTACGTGATCCGCTCATGCAACTATCACTCGAGTGCCTTGCTGTACTCGATTGCGTGCGAGAAAGTATTTGCGCCGAACTGGATGTAGATGATGAGGCCGATATGACGGTGCGAAAAACATGGTCAGCCTATTTTTGTCATCTATTCAAGCTTCCTAAGAAACAGAAACGATCGTCACAATCGCATCGCCATGGAAAGCAAGCCTGCGACTGTGCTTATCGGCTGAACAAGATTATCGAGCAATTTGATCAGGCAGAAAAGAAGCGAATGCATGCCCTTTACGAGTTTAATTTCAGCCAATCTTCCTATCAGTCACTGGATCTTGGTGTACGTGAAGAATTATTTCTCGTGTTTTTCTTCATTTTTTCCCTACGGGAAGTGGCGAACGAATTGGTGATCATCACAAACTCGATGGATAAAATCCGGCAGACGGCGCAAACGACCGCTTCCGGTAAAAGACGCAAACATTTGTACATGCCCCAATTTTCACAGAAATGGTGGCGTAAATGGGCTCAAATAAATAACCATCAAACCATTCGCGATAAAGGCGGCTACACTCACGGTAAAATGAAGGCGAAACAAGAAAAATTAATTACATGGTTCTCATCTTTGAAGTAGGACAACTGCAAGAATGCTTGCATGAACATGGACGGCCGCGGGAGCCAAGTGTGGACGAAGAATATCGGCTTACAAGGATGCAAACCAATCAGTCACTGACGAGAACACGGACAAGAGGTCGTTCTTCGGCTAGACGGCTGTCCACCAATCATATATTGAGACGGCGATCGTCTTCGCGAACAAGACGATCGAACAGCCTCCACCGTCGAAATACGGATATTTTGGATGAAATCCACAGCGACATTTACCCGGCAGCCCCTACGGCATTTATGGATATTGAAAATCGGGAAAACGAACCTAAGGCGCCCTTTTTGCTTCGGTTACGTTACAAAGTGTGGCAATGGTTGCAAACTCTGAATACATACGAATTTCGGTTTAATCTGAAAATGACACTTGCTATGGGCATTCTTACCCTGCCTGCCTTTTTGCCATCCTCCGCTGACTGGTTCCATAACATTCGTGGCGCATGGGCCGGCCTCTCGGTAAGTAGCAGAAAAGAAAACGCACATTGTGAGCTACAGCTGTTTACTTAAATACGAGGATAGGTGATTGCTTGTATGAACCCCACAAGGTACCATTCATGATTGAGTGTATCTCGTGTTTGTAACAAGATGTTTAGACTAAAATTTCTGTTGACAGCGGTGGTACATTGGAAGCCGGCTTGTGGCGATTATCGGGCACACTCATGGGTGGATTTGCAGCTTGGTTTGTATTAGCGGTCGGCGGGTTGAATCCTTATGTCATTGCAGGAATCGCCGTAGTACTGGGTAAGATCAAATGAAAAAGAGATCCAATTGAGTTGCCGATGGCTCACGTACGCGTTGTTTAGCTATACCATTTTTTTACATTCATTTGGCAACCTCTTATAACAAGGTGGGGATAATTACCCTCATATCTTACATGATCATTGCTTTGAACCGATACGCAGCACCAGTACCCGGAGAAAGCATCTCGGCGACTGTATGGTATGTAATCCTTCTAAAAGCTCATGCTATAGATAAAAAAATCAACCTCGTCAATGTAGGAAGCGAACGGGTACCCTCGTTGTGGGTGTTATCGTTGCATTGGTGCTCAATTGGTATAATTCATGCTCTCATTTTTTTCAACCTGGGTAGCATATCATGCTGACGGATCGTGTCATAGGTTGATTTGGCCTTTTATTGCAAGGGATGCTACTCGCGAATTTGTGTCTGCTGTTATTGGTGATTTGGGTGACTACTACACATATCTCATGGGGACAGTAAGCAATGCCATTTTGTTTTCTTCTTTTCTCCCCAAAATTGATCATAGAAAATCGTTGTTTTAGTTTTTGTACCATGACGAACGTGTGCCACCCACACAGCTGGATATTGTGCAAAGCCAAAAGATGGAGAACGGGATTCAGAAATCGATCACTGCCAGTTCTGTATTACTCCAATTAACCGACCATGAACCTCGATTGAAAGGACCTTTTCCGAAAGAGTTTTATCGAGAAATGATCGTATGTACACGAAATATGCTGGATCGATTAATGAGCATGAGAATCGCTCTTGTCAAAATGGTTCCTGCCGTAAAAGAAGAGGTTTGTCTCCAAGCGCACAGCGTGTATCGTCATGATATGGTAAGCCTACACGGAGAACCAAGGAATATATATGCTGCAGAAGGACTTATCCTCCAAAAATGATACTAGGTGGCGGCGATGCTTTTGCATTTTTATACCCTATCTACATCATTAAAGTCCAAGGTGCCTCTGCCGATTTTCATGCCATCGGCACGAGCGGCTCGTCTGCGATTTTTGCAATCGCGTCGTGAAGACGCTCAATCCCGCAACCTTTTCAAGTACCGAAATATCACATGGTTCGCCATGGCCTGCTGCACCGAAGAAGTGATCGAAGAGTTGGAAAATTTAAATGAATTGGTAGGCTACATTGTCGGAGAAAGCAGATTTGCCGAAAAGGTTCAAACGATGGGTTGGTCTTAAAATTGAACCATCTCTGTATGATATTGTAAGAATAAATATATTCTCTCATCATGTATCATATTACTGGGAATTCCTTGGTCTATTGTTTAGCAGTGCGTGTTAATCTATGAATCAAACGTGTGCATGTTGGACTGTTAATTTTGGACGTGATTTTCAGTGAAGCGTGAATATGGATTTTTTTTGGGGCATCATGTAAAATAGAGTCGTCATCTTTTGAAACATTGGCTTTGGCTCCGTCTTTACAACCTACAGCATAAGGACCATACATTTCTCTATTTTTCATGAGTAGAGAAATCACAGAATCCTCATTATTAGGTGTCTTTCATGTTAGAAGCTTTATATTTGCAACAGTTGATGTGGAAATGAAAATTAGCAACGCCCAATGCTGAAAGCGGATTAATGTGCATCAAGTCAATGCACAGTCACATGAAGCAAAATCGCGATTCTGTAAAAGGCAAAAACGACTGCGTAAAAATTTCATCACACGCGCCATCTCTTCTCCGTGTTCCTCATGTACCGATCTCGCGATACGCACACGAGAGCGACAAGGAAGACGAGTGAAAATGGCGAAGCCCATGCCGTCCATCCACTTCAATCCAAAAATGTGAATGCAACCAAAGTTCCCAGCGAGGGACCACGACGATTAAAGGTCAAAGATGTAAATGCGCAGTCGCCCATCAGCACGCCCACCAAAGACAAGTACCCCACCAAAGATGGGCTCCAGAGTAACTAATCCTTTCCCGCGATTTATTGAGGGCAGTGCAATTGACTTGATCTTAAATACTTGCAGAGACGCGATCCATTTCAGTGTATCACGATAAAGAAAATGATAAACAAGTTGAACCGACGTCCACCAAAGGAAAAGGCGCAGCCACCCGTGAATCAAAGTCAATCACGCCTCTCAAACGAACCACTAGCAATACTGGTAAATTCCATCAATAGTATATAATAGCGTATAAAAAGTCTTGACGTGTCTGTATGAAAGGTTCTCAGGTGACGTCTCCGATCGCCCAACGAACTGAACGCAAAGTCCAGAAACGCGAACCACCCACCATTGAATATGCGCCGCCCAAGGAAAAAGGTGAATCAGCGATGAACCCATCCACCCCCTTGAAGCAAAACACTCACATTTGCTTGTCAGAATTACCGTGGATTCCCGATACCGAATTTGATCTGTCGCTATTTGGCGGAGAAGCCGACCTTGATCTGTACGAACAGTCAGCCCTTGTGCTGAAGGATGATACCGGAGAAACCTTCCGAACCACACAGAGAAAATTTGAACTTGATTCAATCAAAGAAGAAGAAATAACAACGACGGAAACCAGGGAATCCCCAGAAATCGAGCCAAAACCAGTGGAACCGAGCTTGTTGAAGGAAGAACCGGTGCTTGAACAGGGATCACCTGTTACGGCATTCGCGTTTGAATCTGTTGATATGCCTACCATTGTGACACCGACAGCCATCGAATACGGCCCTCCACGTGAAAAAGGTAAGTAGGAGCGTAATAACATTCGGAACAATAACTTAATGCCAAACGCTTACAGAACTGGACTATGAACCTGATGTTCGCATGGACTTGTCCGCATTTTCATCGGCGGTCAATGTGTCTGTATATGAACTTGCCCATTTATTGGATCAAGAGCCAGAATTCTTTGCGTTTGACGATGTCGACGTACCTACTATCCACGCCGTCAATGCTATCGATGACGATGCACTTGGTAGGATGAATGACTGCACCGCTCGAAAATGAGAAATACTGACACTGAAATAATAGAATTCGTCTATCCATTCGAAGAGGAGAGCTCTCTTCATTGTGGTGATGTGAGCGACGAGGATCTCGCTATTCCCTTCAGTGATTTCGTCTTTGACGACATCTATGCCCTTCCCTGCTTCACATAAGAACCTTTCCTGTATATATTATCATTCTATGTTTATCCCTTTCACGTTGAGCCACTGTGAGCTATGGACAAGCTAATTTGCTTGCATAAATCAATGAAACAAGTCACGGACCCTTTTTCCATTGGCTTCCTTGGAATTTCTCAAACAAAAATTCAGACAATTACGAATAAAAACGTTGGTCTGCTTTCCATCTTATAAAACGTCTTCATGGTTTTAGCAGATTTAGGACGTAAAATAAATTCTGCCTTGGTAGAGCTTACCAAGGCACCCGTCGTTGATGAAAAGGTAGGTCAATCGTACGCCCATGCCGTTTTACCTTCACCCAAGCTCAAGCATATTTTTTTTTTTTTACTTCATTAAGGTGCTCGATGCTCTCTTACGAGAAATTTGCGGTGCGTTGCTCACGGCCGACGTCAATGTTCGTCTGGTGCAAAACTTGCGAACCAACGTTAAAAAGAATGTCAACATCAACGAAATGGGAGGCGGCGTCAATAAGAAACGAGTGATTCAAAAGGCAAATAGAATGACACGGAAACATGTCGATGGAGTTCCATGACTGACAGCAGCATTTGTCTTTGCATAGGCGGTCATGGATGAGCTTTACCAGTTAGTGGATCCAGGTGCGGAGCCTTACAAACCTGTGAAGAATCGAGCCAATATTTTCATGATGGTCGGTCTTCAAGGTGCGGGTAAGACCACGACGTGTACAAAGTTGGCTTCGCATTACCAACGCAAAGGATGGAAGACGGCTCTGGTCTGTGCTGATACATTCCGTGCTGGTGCTTTCGATCAGTTGAAGCAAAACGCCACCAAGGCTAAGATTCCGTACTATGGCAGGTGAGTGGACCTTTTTTTTTTTCTTATTATGCTTGGTTTCGGTATTGCGGTATCTCATTCATTACAACAGTTATGTCGAAAATGATCCCGTCGCGATCGCGTTGGAGGGTGTGGAAAAGTTCAAAGCAGAGAAGTTTGAAATCATCATTGTCGATACCTCTGGTCGTCACAAGCAGGAAGCTGAACTTTTTGAAGAAATGAAGCAAATCTCGGCTGCTGTGGTAAAGTTTGGTTGGCGATTGGAAACTCGGTTTTTTCGCGGTGGATGTTCCATACCCATATTCATATTATGTTGCTTCATTTTTAGCAACCGGATTCCACGATTTTTGTCATGGACGGTACTATCGGTCAAGCAGCTGACAGTCAAGCAAGAGCTTTCAAAGAGGCAGCTAATTTTGGTTCTATCATTATGACCAAGATGGACGGCCATGCCAAGGGTGGTGGTGCCATCTCTGCGTAAGTATTTTCTGGTTACCATTGATGTAGGTGAGAAGAGGAATACCTAATGGCTTTTGGATTTATAGCGTGGCAGCTACACACAGCCCCATTATTTTCATTGGTACTGGTGAACATTTGCATGATCTTGATCGATTCGAGCCAAAACCTTTTATTCGCAAAATGTTGGGCATGGGTGACATGCGAGATTTGGTGGAAAAGGTGCAAGATATGAACTTGAATCAAAGCAAGAACTTGATGAAAAATATTGAACAAGGTACGATAAGATTATAATGAAGCTGGAGGGATTCATGGAACTCACCCTCAGTGATAGGACAATACTCATTACGAGACATGTACGAACAATTTCAACAAATATCCAAAATGGGACCTTTATCAAAGGTAAAGATGGACTCCAGGCAATCAACGCATTACCTTTTTCTTTACCCTCATGGTGTTCATTTCAATGCAGATCATGGGAAGTATACCTGGTATGCCTCAAGAATTGCTAGGCGCAGGCACTGAAGAAGAGGGAAGCAAACGTATCAAGCGAATGATGTGCATTATGGATAGCATGAACGAAAAAGGTAAATCCTGGCGTCTGTCATGGTCGTGCTATGCATTATTTTCTGACGTGCTCTATTTTTCACATTTTGTAGAACTTGACAGTGATGCATCATTATTCACAAAAGAGCCCAGTCGAATGTTGCGCGTAGCACGTGGATCGGGTACAAGCGTACATGAAGTCGAGGAAATCTTGGTACAATACAAACGATTTGCCGATATGGTGAAGACCGTGGGCGGCAAGAGTGGTTTGCTGAAGAATATGCCCAAAGATCCTCGAAAAGCAAATCCCAACCAGATGCAACAAATGGCGCAGATGCAACAACAGATGGCCAACATGGTTCCCGGCGGTATGCAGGGCTTGCAGCGCATGGCCCAGCAAATGGGAATGGGAAATATGTTTGGTGGAGGCCGCGGTGGAGCCGGTCGTGGAGCCGGTGGCCAAATGCCGGATTTCAGTCAAATGATGAACATGATGAAAAATATGAAATTTTGATCAGTTTAGAATTGCCATCATAAAACAAAACTGTCTTTATTTTGCATTGCATTTTTATTCCATAACTGCATCGAAAAGGACACAGAAGGCGTAAACATAGAGTTGGACGGCGTAAAAATCGGCAGTAGGATCTTCTTGTAAGATAAAGCTTATGAAAAGAGGTAACATGCTAAATATTTGCATGATATCATACCGTCTTTGGACAAGGAGGTGGTTCAAACAGCCCTTGCAACGATATGCTCAACATCAAGGGGTACGTCAGTTGCTGAACAAATTTTTTTTATGCTTTTTATGTTTCTTTTTTCTGCTAACCTGGGCACATCTGCTTTGGAAAAAAAGTGAGGGCCTACTATCAAAAAGCCGCTGAAAGTAGAGCGATTCCGCGCATATGATGATTACCACCCACGATTACGGTGAGGTATCACGATGGTTCTTGTGAGAGTTGGTGATAACGACTAGCTTAGGACTATTTTGTGTCTGTTCCCGGCGTAAAATGATCATGTTACACTTCCGTATCATTTATCATGCCCAGCCAGCAGAAACAGATACGGCTGTCTTATCCGCCCTGCTATACCTGACTATAAAATTTCGTTAAGACCGTAACATCATTGAATTACAGTAATTGAAATATACCTGAAAGAACGGATATGTGAATACAACCATTTCCAGTATTAAAGGCTAAGAATATGATATCCCTCATAGCTTTACTGTGAAAGATACTGAAAGGTAACCGATACATATCCGCTGTATGCATAGCATGTCACAGCATGTAACTTTAATGCCTCGGATATGCATGACGGCAATTCTGTCTGCCTGAAACCATAAAGCCTAAAGTATGCATTTGTGATGCAGCTCGAGTTTATAGCGAACGACAAGTTAAAGTTATACTGTACTACTGTAACCGCTCATCCCATAAATTTGGAACAACATCAGCTGTAGTTATTACCAAATAAACAACAGCAATAGCAACAACAAATAACTATTGTTTTGGCGTTGCGTACAGTGGGAACAACTGCGACATGCAATATTGCATGATGTGTAAAGAACTAGAAACGTCTATGATGCGCTAACTAACCTTTTCGAAAACGATCTGCAGCTACACATTCTTGTTGTACACTACGGACTTGCCAGTATCTAATTCCGGCGAATGATGAGATTGCGGGTCAATAAACATCGGCAAGTGACATCGAGAAAACAAAGACTCGCACGGTTGGGGCCGTTTGATTAACAATATACACCATTCGATCTTCTGCCCATCACCGTGGGATATAGTGCGGCAAACCAACCTTTTTTGATTTGTTGTCTGTTATCATGCTAATAAAAATGCAGGGGAAATACTTCTCGGAAGCCCTTTGCATAATCTTCGGCAATCATTTTACCTTTTAAACAATGTATAAAAGAAGCAAGAGGTTGGCAGTAAAATTGTTCACTCGGAAACCCCTGAACTATCTTCTATTACGATGAAACAGGCTTTGACTCTGGTGCTGGCTTTATTTGTCCTCAAGGTGACCTGTCAATGGAGCGAATGTGGAACAAGCTCTTCTTGCCCCAACGGCCAAGACCTCAGCTGCATGGCTGACAATGGATACGATGCAGTAAACCAGTGTCCACCCAGCTGCGGATATTTTGGTGAAGCTTGCCCCGAAGATGGCTCCTTCAAAATCTGTTGTCAGTAGTGTTTTATCGCATTTATTACAAGTCTTACCTGTAGGTAGTCATGTAACAGATTACAATGCACCGCTTTGAAGCATAAGGTTTAACATTAGTGAAATGCAAACACCGTCCTGAAAATAAATATTATGTGAGTGCTGGTCTGAGTCCCGAGGCCAAGCCCTTCATTGAACGGAATCATTAACAATGGCCACTCTCTATTGTCCATACTGTATTTATTGAGTTCATTTTACTTTTGTGACACCCTCTTTTGCCAAATCCTCAATAATCTCTGCCGTTAAACCGAGCACATTTTGTAAAATATCTTTACTATGCTCGCCAAGGTCGGGACCTATTCAATTCAACAAATGAGAAATTGAGATATTACTGGATGCTGTTATGGTTGCTCACCAGCCCATTCTGTGGAACCAGGGGTCGTGTTCAATACTGGTGACATGGCCGGTATCTATCGGCGACCATTCGTTAGATATGTAATCGATCTGGTAACCAGTATCGTTTGCGCCTTTACCTTTATATCCCATCCACGACCATCTTCTTTACTGCCTACAGTGACAGTTTCAATCATGCCACGTGCATTGATGTGCTCATTTTCAACAATATCCTTGGCGTCATAGATTTTGCCAGAAGGCACAGAGGCTTCTTCCATAATATCAATGACCTCATCAGCCGTTTTGGTGGACGTCCATTCCGCTGTGTTGTTAACATAGTTAATGGCTTGTAATTTCCACAAGCACCCCCATGTAATCGTTGCCTTACCAATCGCACCATCAATGAGTTCTTGCGCTTTGACTCGATCAGCATTGGTCTGGTATTTCTCGCCGACCTATGGCGAATCGTCTGATCAATTCATGCGTATGTTTGAACGCTTACCAGTTATCTTACCAGCTCATCCCGTCCAATCGCCAACATTAGACGCTTATAAATACTGTCGCCGTTGCCACCAATAATCACATGTTTGCCATCCTTGCAAGGGTAAGTGTTGGTAGGCACAATCCCCGTCACTGTGGTGCCTGAAGGTTGGCGGACCTGTGTCACGGGATAATTTAGAACGTGCTTCATGTGTACAAGAGTCGGCAGTTATAATTTTGCGTAGCCAATCTTCGTACCTCACCTAAGCGATCATATTCAGGAATAATGCTTTCCATCATATTCAGCATACTTTCATAGATCGCTACATCCACCACTTGTCCCGGTCTTTGGCCGCTACTTGCCAACTTATTGCGTGCAAATAAGCCAAGAACAACACCCAATGCGGCGTGGAGACCAGCCAACGAATCACCCAGACTGATATTAGGTCTCACCGGAGGTTGACCCGGATGTCCATTGACAAAGCGAAAACCGCCCATGCCTTCACACACAGAGGCAAATCCTGGACGCTTAGCATAAGGTCCTGTTTGACCATAGCCCGAAATCCGAGTGTAAATCAACTGCGGATTCACCTTGTACAAGTCATCTGAAGCAGCAGCTCTCTGTCAGTATGCCATCCACTCTACCAGTCGCTCATAACACACGAGAGCGATGTTGAACTCACCCGGCCCAAGGCCCCATTTTTCCATGGTTCCAGGCTTGAAGTTCTCAATCATGACGTCGGATTCCTCAGCTAAGCGTCGAACCAGTCTATCAAACGTGTTGATATACAAAATATGCATCGGAGACAACGCAAGAGGACTTACTCTTGTCCTTTTTCACTTCGCAAATCGAGGCAAAGCGATTTCTTATTTCGACCAAGACTGCGGAACCAGGGGCTCTGACCATCCTTATCTACGTGACGCCACAAACGAAGTGGGTCTCCCACTTTGGGTGGTTCAACCTTGATCTATGACCGGGAACGGGCATGACATGCTCAGAATAGGCATCGAAGATCAATTGATAATACTGTGAAACTTACAACTTCTACTCATGCAATAATTTTTAGTCAGTTCATTCAGCAACGTATGCGCATAAATTACATGCTAGAAACTTTACCTGCACCATAGTATCTGTGGGTCCGGAGGTGAGGTAACAGTGTGTTATGCGGTTGTCTTGCCCGTCACATAAGTGTTATGCACTTACCCCAAAATAGATCCGCAAAACGGACCTGCAATAAGCTACGTGAAGGCTGCATAAGATATATAATATCTGAAACAGTACGCTTTACGGTGAAGCTTACTTGGCCCAACTCCAACACACGGATGCCTTGCAATGGTTTGATGTTGGAAGCGGTAGAGTGATATCTCTTTAACACTAGGTAGTATAGACGGTGTTAAACGTACGAGTGATTTCATTTAGTTAACGAAGGAGAACACTTACAGCGATAGCTTGCTTGTAGGTGTGGAATTCGTCGGTTGAGCAGTGACATGTTGGTCGGGATTCCGTACTGCAGAGCAACGAAAGAAAGGAAACAAGATGAAGTGTCTTATCAGAGATGGTTTTAGAGATGGTTTTGAATCTCAGTTTTGCATTGGTGTAACGGATCTTCGTCTCCAATGATGTGGCAAAGTTTCAAAGGTAATATGATGTATTTTATTTGGATCATGGATAATATGATAGGTGTTTTTCGGAAATAATAGGTATGCATGAACAAAAGTCGTGGAACGAATGTTGAATAAAGAATGAAGGAAACATGCAAATGAGTAATGCAATGAATTTTAGCTTTCTTTAGAAGCGATATGAACAGCCAATGACGGACGGGCAGTGCATCGATCTTTCATATTTACCAATGCGGATTTCCCGTCTCCACTGAATGCCAGTTCTTTGTTGATCACCTCTGCTTGCCGATAAATACGCTCCAAAGGAGGGGAGGCAGGACGGTTATTGTACGCTACGCATAATAGTTAACGGCATGCTCGGATCGAAACGCATGTCCGAAAAAGCTTACCTAAAATAGCGGCATTCAATTTAGTGGCGAGAGCATCGCGTCCCGAAATATCCAAGAGATGGGCCACAGGACTGGACATCGGGTCAGGATAAGCCAAAAGAGAAAAGACATCCTATTGGTTTAAGAATGTGGATCAGTTCATGCGCCATGGGGAGCCGAGTATTCATGCCTACCATCAGTTTTGTTCTTATATGAGGGCGTGGATCATGACGAAATTCATCTTGTAATTGGTGACCGAATTTCATGGCTTTTTTCATCATGGAGGACGTGGTGGAAGAGGCCGAGGTCAAATTCTCATCTTCTTCCAATATCTGGTCGTAACTGAGCATGCCGTTGGAATGCGATCGCAAGTTGTGAAGGCTGCCAATACTGCTATTGCTGTTACTGCGTCGTTTTGTCCAAACATTGGGTCTTCGATGAATGTCTTCGTGACTTAATCGTCGACCACGGTCTTCATCGATCATCATGGGTTCGGAATCAAAGTAAGAAGAGAGCGAAGCAGACATGCTTTGCTGATTCGGATGGCTGCTCGGTGAAATAGAAGCAGCAATGGAAGCATAACTTCGACGCCTTCCGGGAGCGGGAATCGGGGTGGAGGAAGCCGAAGGTGAAATGGTAATGGGAATGGCGGCGTGACGTGATTGTCGGTCTTCGGCATGGTCCAAGGAATCACTGATGACACTGCTGTTACTACGACTACGATTACTACACAGACTCATATGATCGTCACACGAGAGCAAACTGTCATTATCATCCGACCGCAAACGTCCTCTTTGGACCTCCTGTTCATTGCATTCACGAATCATTTCAATGAATTTGTGACATTTGAGATCCAGCGAAATATCTTGATCGACCGTGTCTCCATCTAGTACGCCGGGAAAATAACGTTCCGTCAACTCCATCGCAAGATCCACGTCGCCGGTAATAACAGCAGCTCGGATGGCTAAACCAAATCACGCTCAACAATACAAATCCAATTCAGTGGTACATGCTGGTGAACTTACCCTGCCGCTTTTGCATATCGCTCTCCTCTTTTTCTCGCTCACGCACATCATCTGTTTCAGCGTCACCTGTATAGGATAATGGCAAATGCTTTGTTGCCGCATACTGAGCATTCGCCACCAGACTTTTGGCTGTATCTGTGTATCCATGGTGGATCAGATAGGTCAAGACCAATTGATCAAGCATGGTGTCGCTGCTGCGCGCCGTATTTGTTTCTGATGGAGGTTCAGGTATTGGCGTATGCAGAATGTCGTTCCATATATCCTGAGTTTGATTCTTTTATTGGATGATCAGATCATCGTTAGTCGATTGAGCCTTTCCCTCTCCCTAGTATCGAACGATATCTTACCGTCACATATTGGATAATGTCAAAGGCAAACGGTTCATCGCCGAAATTAACCAACACATGTTCTCCTGGTGTCCGCAGCCCAACACATGGGTACAAGTCGATGGACGTATCCAGATTCTCAAAGGCTACACCAAGAAATGCTCCGTTTTTGGTGTAAAACGCCGTCTTTTTCGCAAAGTTTACGCCACACCCGATCACGTCTCCCGTAGTGAAGCAAGGACCAAATGTCTTTCCGATGCCCGATCCAGCAAACGAATGACCATCATCGCCATGATAACCCCATGAATCCGGATCCCAGCCTAGCCATGGTCGATTAATGTTCTACAGTTTATCCAACGCATCACTCTCCTCATGTAGGTTACCTGGTAACCGATCCAGTTCGTTCTGTGAGCTGCAAAATCCTATACCGATATACCCGTCTTCGCCTTTGGAAATAACTGTGAATTCAAAGTAATAAATGCCGCATTGCCGACGCATGGGAAAATTTGCTCGAACAGAAGCCGCATGCGATTCGTTTTTGCCGGGTCCTACGTGTTTTAAGAAAGGAGCATGAGAAATACGGGCGGGTGAACTCTAGTTTCTTGATAAGCTCTTGGTGGTGTTTCCCTACCGTTGTAGATCAAGTCGAGTCCATTAGGTTCGACTTCAATGTGTCGTGACTTATCCTTTGGATTCCATACAGATGGCAGCCGGAGATCCAAAGAGTCCAAGAATTGCTCGTGTAGCGATGGTGGCGATGTGGGGGCGGGTGGAGGGTTGGTTTTCCAGGAAGACGTGGTGTGTGCCCACTGTTTCGAGTGCTTGCTCTGAATATAGTTGTATTGCTCTAGGGCCAGTTCACCGTAATGGGTCTGTTTGAGATAGGACGGGTATTTAGGTGGAGCGAGGGAGTGTTGGAGCGATGGACCGGGTGAGTGCGGGTGGTGACCGTGTCGTTTGGTTTGAGGGGAGTTTGTCCACGGAAATGAGTGAAGCGGAGGAAATGCTGAAGAGTAGGAGGGACTTGTGGCCAGAAAGGTTAAAGCATCCATGACTCTGGTTTTTTGATGAGTGGAGAAGACCGAGAATATTTACACGAAAAAGGGAAAAAAGCAAGTTGAAAAAAATAAAAAGATAATAACAAGGTTTATGCGCCATGAAGAAAAAGGAAGATTTCCATTCGACAACAATGTCATTCGAACACAGATATATTTAAATCTCCGATTACCACCCATCACATCATTTGCACAACCCCTCCACTTTCAACCAAGACATCATACGATACAACACCATGCCAATGAAACGCGTGCTGTATGCATACTGCTGCTTGGTCACTGGTCTTTCACCTTCATCTCTTTTCGCCTTTGTGTGATCACCGGCCCCCATGTGAAAAGGTACTCCTTTTTATCCTTTTTCTGTCCCCGCTCTATGGGTTTTGCGAGTGGCGCTGATCTTGATCGGCCAAGTTCGTCACATAATGAAGACCCGCTGCAAGGCGCCAAGTAATCGAGAACATTGGACTGTTGATAAGCCCGTTGTCTTTATTCACTTTGGTAATACAATGATTGCAGTGGATAGGTACAGAATTTGGCAGAAAAATGATAAAAAAATGAACAAATTCCATCCAATTAACCACGGACAATTTATGAAAATTGAAACCTTTTTGATTTCACCTCTTTATTTCAAGCGCGATAGTCTAATAAAGAAATCATGAGTTAAAAAAACTTCACTGTTGCACGCATATTTTTTTTTTCTTCTTTTTATCTACGATCCATGGGCGGCTTCGGAAAAAGATGATCAAAGTGGTTTAGCTAACTTAAAGCAGCAACTGGCTTTAAACTAAAGTGGAGGTATTGCCGCCAACGTTACTTCTCTTTTTACTGACTGTGGAACAATGCTTACTTCTCGGCAGTGAAGCTCAATGTTTGTTCACAGAAACTTTGTTTCTGCTCCCCTTTTCACAATTGCCCAAAATGGAATAACCTTTTTGACGTCCCGGTATATCCATTTTTTCAAAACTCCGCCACTCTTCTCAGTCACATCTCCAGGCTACTGTTGAAATTTTTGTTTTGTTCCGTCTGGATCCAGAGCAATTTTTCTTTCGCTTTTCTTTGTCATTTTTTTCATTCGTTTCATTCGGTAGCCATGGTGCACTTGGAACACACATTGAGCAGCACGCTGGAAACAAAATGCGCCATCGATCCGAGTCCGAACAAGTCAAAGAAGAAGAAACCAAAAAAGAAAACTGTACTTGAAGAGATCGATCCGTTTTACGTCCAGGCTCTCGCTAAATATCCAGTAAAACTATGCAATACCCGAGCCAAAGGTCGCCACGCAGCCGCGGCTCAAGACATTAGCCAAGGCACCGTCGTATGCCTTGAACAGGCCACAGCCTTTGTCGTTCGATCCGACTACATCGACCAGCAATGCCACGTCTGTCTAAGTGACTTGAAGCAGAAACTCATGTGCAGCGACTGTAAAATGACCTTTTACTGCTCCCAAGCATGTCTTGAGAAAGATTCACTTCACTTACTGGCATGCTCACCTCTGGCCGCGGCTACGGCTATCGGCCGGTCGACCGACGTAGACCCCGACTTGTTACGGTTAATGACCTTGTTGACTGCACAACGCTGCAAAGAAGCGTCCAACGAACTTCAAAATAACACCATAACTCTGCCACCTACACCCTATTGGTGCGTGAATGAACTTTTAAGCCACAAAGAGCAGGCAAATCCTGCTTTCATCAAAGTGGTGACTGAAGCTTGTGAGTTGACAGCGGTTGTTGGGTGATTTTAGAAGGTCCACTGATTTCGTACGCTATGTAGCTCAACGACTGATTTCAGAAATGCCAGAGAGAATGCAAGTGCCTGTAGAGGACTTGGTGACTCTCGCTTGCAGGTAACGCCCTCAAAGCAGTCATTTGAGAAGGGGTGAAGCACTGAGTAAAATTTCGGCCTTTCTGCCGTTTTTTTTTTGGTTAGAATCAACTGCAATGCACATGGACTGGGTGATAATCATTCACGCAACACTGATGTGGCGCTTGGACTATTTCCAATGGGAGCCATGTTCTTCAATCATGCTTGCAATCCGAATGCCGCCTTTGTGGGGTTGGCTAACGGACAATTGGCATTCCGCACCATCCGGCCCGTTAAAGCGGACGAAGAGCTCACGGTCAGCTATATCGATCTGTACGCCCCGAGAGATGAACGACGACAGGAATTGTTGCAAACAAAGCATTTTTGGTGCAAATGCAAACGCTGTACAACGCCTATCGAGAATTCGGTGGATCGCTTGTTATCCGGTGTTGTATGTTCAAACTGTCGACAGGACGTCTACTGCATCCCGCCCTTATCCATTGACGATGTCACACGTGGGTTGAGTGCAGTTCAAGCCAGTCCAAATACATCCTGGAAATGTGCTAGATGCGGTCACAACGAGGCTACCGAAACTGTTTACAGCATTCTTGAAAAAGGGCAGCAAAACTATATGAATGGCCTGGTTGCTCTTCGTCAGAAACGCGATTACAGAGGAGCTCGTCAGCAGTTGGAGCCATTTATCAACGTGAGTTTCGACGATTGGTCCGAGAATGCTTTGGCACCTCTGCACGCTTTGCGGCTTAATGCCGCCATCCCGCTCATGAATTGTCTACGACGCCTGAACGACATCAAGGGAGCGGTAGAAGTGAATCGGTTCATTATCAACTTGCTGGAAGAACATGCCAAGCAACATTTACCGGAAAACACAGCAGAAATTTCAGATTTCTGGCAAAATCTCGGTGAATTGGCGGATGTCCTAGCTGAACAATACCGTGGCTTGGGTCGTGCACCGCTGGAGAAACGATGGTTCAAGGAAGCTCGTCAAGCTTTCACTCAAGCCGCAAGTATTCGATCTATTGTGTATGGCGCCGACCACCCAAAGACTAAACATGTACAACAATTTGTTGCTTGTGCCTCCTGTTAAATGTAGAAATGATGTGTTTCACTGTCTGTGTATTTATTTATTTTATTTTTTGCAATTTTTGTCATTTGAATTTTCCGGTATTAAAGCAAGTTAAAGCTGGCAAAAGCTGTTCCAGAAATTCCTGTATGCACTCAATTTGTTTGTATTACAGAACTGTGATGACAAAAGAATCCAGCCCCTTCATCACTACGATGAACTCATACGGAGTACAAAACTCTTGTTACTGAATTGCAACCAAACTGTTCCATACATTGGGGCGTCACGTTGTGTGTTGTGTGTTGGAGCAATTAGGTTTTGACAGGCCACATTGTCTCTTTACATCCGCGGAAGGAAGGGAAGTGTGTATTTTGAACCCCGCCATCGCTCCAGGAAAGTCAGGCTGAGCACTGATGTATGGAAAAGAATTATGAATATTTCCATACATCCTAAGGGATCATTGTGAATTGTCACCTGCAATATGTTTTCAGAAGAATAACATGAATCAGGTATTTCTACGAGAAAGAGGATGGTCCACTATCAGAATGTTTGAATACTTGAACAAATGGGCAAAGATCAGAGAACTGCATCCGAGAATCTAGAGCACTGGTTTTCTAAAATATTCACTACAAAGTTTACTGCAACACTTGAGCTGTTTTGAAGGCAACTACTGACAATAAAAGAAAAAAAAAATGAATGCTTTGTGTCACGAGCACTTCCAGCTTACTCAAGCGGAATTTCAAGGGCCGAAAGAAGAAGCGAAAATCCCAGGGTTTCCTTTGGAACACCGATCAGTGTGTTAAAAAGGGCCCTTTTCCAAGTTTTTTTCCACCTTTCCCGTTTCTCACATTTCCACTTTTTATTCTTGCTCTCACCATGTCCAACATTTCCGTTGATACAATCACCTACAAGCAGCTCGCCAAGATGTTCGATCACGCCATCTTGAAGCCCGAGCATACCGCCAAGGATGTTGAAGAAGGCTGCCGTCTGGCTCGTGAGTACGATGCCATGTCAGTGTGTGTCAAGCCCTGTGACGTGAAGCAAGCCTCCGAATTGTTGAAAGGAAGCGATGTCCTTGTTGGCACCGTTATTTCTTTCCCTCACGGCAACTCGCCCACCGCTGGTAAGGTGGCCGAAGCTTTGCAGACGGTTGAAGACGGCGCTGTGGAACTCGATATTGTGATCAACATTGGTCACTTGAAATCCGGGAAATACGATGAATGCCAAAACGAAATCAAGACCATCATTGACGCATGTAAACAGAAGAACCCCAAGGTTATCTTCAAGATTATTTTTGAAAACGCCTATCTCACCAAGGAAGAGATTGTCAAAGCATGTCAGATTTCGGTCGCCGCCGGCGCCGAGTTCGTCAAGACATCGACTGGTTTCGCGTCTTCGGGAGCCACTTTCGAAGACTGTGAACTTATGCGCGCCAATGTCCCTGACAATGTTCAGGTCAAGGCTTCCGGTGGTATCAAGTCGCTTGATCAAGTCATTACTTTCATGCAAAAGGGCGTCACTCGCTGCGGATCATCATCCACCGATAAGATTCTCGATGAATTCAAGAAGAGACGCAATATGTAAAAGAAAAAGGGCATAATAAAAAAGGAAAACAATACAAAGCAATGATGGTTTGTTGATGATGATCGATTATATGGAGCAGTGGGGGTTTATTGAGAGTTTTCATCTACATCTTCCACATGGGCAGTAGAAGGGTCGGCGCCACGGTTGTTTCGGTGGGCTTCGACCCAACTTGTTATCTGTTCAACGGCGGTTTGAGGGTGTCCTTTGTGGCCCATCAAAAAACCTTGCAGATGAGCCATGCTAAACTCCCCTTCCGGGACTTTGGAGGCAAATGCCTTGGCCAGTGATGATATGTCCGCGATGCTCGGGTAAAACTTGGTGAATAATTCGTGGGCTTGATCTTGCGTGGCATTGCCAAAGTGCACTCGTACATCAATACGTCCTATTTACACTCATTTTTAAATATCAGGGATATTCCTTGTTGTTAAGATGGGACTCGTACCTGGTCGTATCAAGGCGGAATCAAGCTTCTCGATGTGACTATGCAGCAATTGTCAATACATCATTGGACTTCACAGAAACAACATCGACTTCTTACTTTGTCGTCATACATAAAATGCGACCTTCTTGCGCTGCAACGCCATCAATGGCATTCAGTAAGCCTGGAGCGAAAGAACAAGGTTCAGATGTTTTTTTAATGCATACGTGAAGCAATGGGAGAAATGTGATTTACCAGAAAATGTGATGTTATTGGTGGCCGTGGTATCGCCGCGGTTTCGTTTCACAAAGGCGGCATCCACATCTTCAATAAGCAAAATGCAACTACGGAAAAAAAAATATTTCGTTGGTTAATTCTTCCTCGCCCTGCCATGATGCATTCCTTGAGCGTACTCACCGACTAGGAGTATCTGATACCAATTCACCCAAGGTGTCGTCGGACATACTTTTGTTGCTAAGGTTTACAACGTAGATGTTGAGACCTAATTCTCCCTACAAGGTAAACGTATAAGGCTGTGGGTAATAAACACATCTTGTTGTCCATGGGCATCGTACCGCCAAAGAGTATACGAAACTCGTTTTTCCTATGTCGTAAAGTCGTATTAGTCGAGCATGGAGACTAGGCAAACTATTCGCTTTTACCAGATCCAGGCGTGCCGTATAAAAGGTAACCGCGACGGTAAGGAATACCGCGATCGCTGTACCATTGCTCCGTGGTCAAAAATTCCTGAGCATCTACGACGAGGCGGGACTTCACGTTGGGAGGAATAACAATGGTGTTTAATGGTCTTTTCGGGCGAGAACGTGTACGACGCCATGCACCGTATTGATCTACCCAAAGAAAATATGTCAAACCAAAATGCTTGTATTTGAGTAATAAGAGAGCAGTACCTGCAGCAAAAACAACGGTGCGACTCAGATCGCGGTCAATAAACTTCTTTTGAGCTTCCAAAACCAGCGATTGTAACAAGGTACGCGTACGACCAAATGTGCTAATTTGGATTCTCTCCAGCGGTGTATTGCTTGATACTACCATCCCGGGGGAAGAAGGGCTCGGCCGTTCACGGGTCAACCAAAGTAGCCGGTTTTGATAAACAAAGAAATGGATTCCTTGAAATAGATATTTGACATAAAAGCGAGTACCCTTTTTGGAGAACAGAATGACTTACCTGGGGCAGGTAAGAAGTACACGGGTGGCAACATGGCATCCAATCCTTCGCCTGTGACACGTTGACCTGCACGACCAATGGATGTTGATACAGAAAATTGGCGGGCATTGCGCGTATATGGATGTTCGCTCAGCCAATTCAGGATCCAGCTAAAGAAAAACGCGATGCGTCACGATTAACAAACCTTTTATCGATACTTCCTCCTGATCTGTACCTGTAAGATTCATCACGGCTATCGAAATCGGCTGTAACGATGGTCCGCTTTTTCAAATACTCCAATACATATCCACCGAAATAACGAAAGCCCGCGATCGTACCTACAGTCAATCACTGGCGATTATGAATTGTGTTTCTGCACCGTACGCGGATGCCAACTTACCGCCAATGACAGCCAACTGAAGACCGCCTGTTGCCAATCTATTACGCCATTAGCCGTTGCGTTTACACCATTTCTATACAATAGGCTTACTCTCCAACACCGAGTTTCTCTGCTATAGTGGCTATAATGCCTCCAATGGTTCCGTGGGCATCGTCAGGAAGTGAGGAGAAAGCGCGAGAGTAGCCATTGGCACGCCTTGCCACAATCGATAGATAAGGTGGAGTTAAAAAGGCGTTGGAACCAGCTGTAACGATTGGTAACGGCATGAGCGATTGAGTTTGGGCCTGATCGGTCACGTCAATAAGAAGTGTATGCGATGGAGCTGAGTTCTTATTTATTTTCTTTCATCCGTGTTCAGAAGTGCGTTGCTCCTGTCCTTGTGTGGCGTTCAAGCATTGAAAGCAACTATAGAATATGATACAACTCCTTTTTGGGAATGATAACTGTCTGTATCATGTATGTTGTACCTTGCAAGCATTTTCTTGGTTCTTTTTACGCTTAAATACGCGTATTCAAAAAATCATGCTTTCTTCGTCTTGTTGCATATGTTTGGTTGCAAAAAAAAAGAGAGGAATAAAAAGTACTCTTGTGTCTTATTGATTAGACTCAAGCAGGAGATAATTCCTGTAAGAAATGTTTAGCGGGCTATAGGCAACGGTCGCGTCAAATATAAATACAACAGCACTTTTTGCGCTCTGAAAGGCTCATCTTAGTGGCAAGCCCATGTGCACTTTTTTTTTGAAGCATATTTACCGTATGCACACCTATAGCGCACCCACTAATAAGATTTATGGTCTGTATAGGATACTTATTTCCAGTAATACAATTTATAATGGTGTGCGCTCACAACATCTTTCGATCTTTGGAGATTTGGTTTGCAGATGCCAGAATTATGATTAGAAAATATAGACACTACATAGAAAGTACGGAGAAGCCGATAATTTCATTCAGAATATTTTCTGTTCGGATAGGGCAGCTTTTTGTGCGCTTGAATACAAAAAAAGCCATAGGATACTCGTAGACGTTTTGTGATACACGATCAAGCAAGCTGAGTGCCGGAAAATATCAAGAGATCAGAGAATGCAAGACCTCGTGAGGGCTCACTCCTGCCCCACATTGCTCAGCCTAAATTTCCAAAAATGCCGGACCTGCCGGGCTTCGGAATTCATGGTCACAAATGTGACGGAGAAGTGCGGTGTGTGAATATGGTCCGGAAGACCTCCAGATCGCAAGTTGAAGGTCTTGAATCAAGGCGCCAATTCCTGGAATCCTCCTCTCTCATCCAAACTCTGCGCAATGCCTAAAGGTGTGTATCCACTACTACCTGTAACGCATCATCACGCTAGGAAGGGGAACGCGAATCATCAGCGAACCATCAACGAAGAATCGTGCACTGTATCACTGCCTATGGATGGATGAATTTGCAAGAGATGAATCCATGGGGATATAATCGACACTTTTTTTTTTCAATCCATACACCTCGCTTCATGATACATCGTCCATCCATTGACGAATCCATTGATTATCGCCTTCATTTGGATCTATTTCATGTTTTACCGTTCTCCATCGATGGATTTTCGTTCACCCTTCCAAGCTGATTTTTCTTATGCATATCCATGCTGTTCATTGACTTTTGGAATGGGACCACTAACCAAGTGATTTTTTTTACCTTTTTCCAGTTAGCATTTCCGGCACAAAGTACCGCATGACCCTCGGTTTGCCCGTTGGTGCTGTCATGAACTGCGCTGACAACTCTGGCGCCAAGAACTTGTACGTCATTGCTGTCCGTAACATCAAGGGTCGCTTGAACCGTCTTCCCGCTGCCGGTGCCGGTGACATGGTTGTCGCTACCGTCAAGAAGGGTAAGCCCGAATTGAGAAAGAAGGTCATGCCCGCTGTCGTCATCCGTCAGCGCAAGGCCTGGCGCCGCAGAGACGGTGTCTTCCTCTACTTTGAGGATAACGCTGGTGTCATTGTCAACGTAAGTCTTTTTTTTAGAAAATGGTCAGAATGTGAATGTGGAATGGAGTGGTCATATTGATCCTTCTTGTTCTTGTTTTTTTTTTAGCCCAAGGGTGAAATGAAGGGCTCTGCTATCACTGGTCCCGTCGCCAAGGAGTGCGCTGACTTGTGGCCCCGTATTGCCTCTGCTGCCGGTACCGTCGTCTAAACCCTCACAACAACCCTTTTCTCGACAGCATTCTGTTTATCGGTGAAGACTTGATTGTTACCAATAAACTTCTTGGAAAAAGACCGGATACATGTTTTCTTTGTTTGAATTCACTCAATTGATGATCATGCCATGTTTTTTTGAATTGGGAAAGGGGAATGCAGGAATCGCTGCGATCCATGAATATTGTATTTTTCACTTTTATCTGAACTGGCATGAAGAAAGAATAAGATGGGGGAAGATATTAGGAAAAAAAAAGATATTTTATGGAAGGAAAAACACAGCAATGGAATCAAAAATGGAAAGGCGTCCTATGGGAGAGACGGCATTTGATTGGGAAATATGAGGCAAACTTATGAACAGCAAGCGCCTCCTGATCCTTCTTCTAATGGGTTAGGTGCCGCTCCCAAACGGATTCCCGATGTCTATACGCAAGCCCCGTTCCATGGTGAGCCACGTGCCGAAACCGTTTTACTCCTTTTTGCATTGGAACTCACCTCGTTTGCAAATAAGCCGGCTTCGATTTTTTCATACACATCCTCGGCTGTCTTGACAAACGCTTCCTCTACGTTCTCGGCGGATTTGGCGGAAGTTTCGATGAACAGTGGAATGTCATTTTCTTTCGCAAACTTTTCAGCTTCTTCACTCGTTACTTGTCGCTGACGACGATCCAGGTCACATTTGTTGCCTATCAGCATGATCGTGGTATTTGGGTTGGCGTGTTTTCGTACATCTATAACCGCAACAGAGGCCTTTGAGCAACCCGAGCAGTATTCATCCGGTTAGTTTTTGGTCAAACTCACCAGCAAGCCATGTGGGAATATGTTCAAATGTTTCTCGTCTTGATGAATTTGCATGAGTTAGCATGATATGCCTGTGTAGTAGCAGGTGGGCAGTTGTGGGCTTTAAACTGCTTTGATCAAATTACCTGGAAATATCATACACTAAATCACGTCAAAAAGTTAATGTCGGAGTTCACGATCATCGTAATGTTTATGCTTTGACTTGCCTAGCAATGCACCTGCAGCGCCTCGGTAGTAGCTTTGTGTAATGCTTCTAAAACTCTCTTGGCCTGCCTGTGTATCTGTGTCAGATGCCTCGTTTCCACAAGGGTGCAACGGAAAAAAAATCCAACAATACGTACTGTATCCCAGATCTGTAGTTTGACTTGTTTATCCCGAACTGTAATGAACTTGGTCCCGAATTCAACACTGTCGACCTGTAAGCATGCTTCCTCGATGGGCAAATTTGGAGGATAATCTCACTTACCCAATCGTCAGTTCACGTCCAGAGTAGAATCTTTTGTCTGTGAATTGAAGTAAAAGGCAAGACTGGGAAGTAGATTGAAACCAAGTTAGTTATAATTTCAGAAATCTGTCACTGTGTTCGGGAGATATTATACTATACCTTGCCAACGCCTGTAAGAGAAACGATGGAAACTGGTATAAGTCTCGTGCTCAAGTTATGCGACATTGCCTGTTTTACCTGAGTCACCGACGATGATATACTGTCAAAAAGTTGTCAGAAAACAGCCTTTGAAAAAACGGGAATGGGGGAACCTACTTTTATGATATAGTTGTAGCCTGACATAGGTGTATAAAGCGCAATAGTTTATATACTGAAAACAAGAGAAAAAAAAGGTGGCGTGAATTCCAAACGATGAGAAAGAAGTATGAGCAGTGTTGAAAAAAAAGGCAAAAACGAAACTCCATTTTAGGTCATGCACCGGTCTCACGTGCAGTCCCACTGAGGAAAATATGATCATTTCTTCTCTCCTATTCCGATGGGCATCCCTTTCTTTGCCTCGAAAAACCCATCCTTCCTTTTTTCCAACAATCTGTACGGAATACAGCACGTTACCCTCGTCATATCCAATTTGAGACTGCAGCTTACATCGATCTGCTATTTCCGGTAAAGAGTACAATGTCATGGATTTTCCGTGCCGTATACAAGATTCGTGTGGTATCCACCAGTAGTCCTTGTGAGCAAAGCGAGGAACTATGAGATCAAATTCAGTCTATCTATCATCCAGAGAAGGTGATGATGGACGAGGGTGGTCTGCAAGTAATGGTAATTGTTGTGTAATAAATAAATGTGAATGCTCACTTCCAGCGGATCATGCATAAATTTATTTCATAAGAAGACTGAAAACATGCTTCAGTGCTGCTGCAAAACACGTGCGCGTCCGATCCGTCCACTGTCATACAGTAGCCTTAATAGGTTTACCAAGCTACTATCGCTTATTTCTCCAAAACGTCCTATCAGGTAGTCGCCTCTATTTATAACATTTAAGTTACTGCTAAAGGGTATCACTGTGTGAATATTCTCTGCATTAGCGGCATAAGCATGGATACGTACCGGTACAGTTATTTTCTACCAAAGAATCGGCCACCATCGTTGGGGTGGACGCAAATGACAGAGGAAGAGATGTCCTGATTGATGGACGAGTTAATGCTCCGCTCTTGCCTTATTTGGCGTCGTGCGAGAAAAAAAAGTTTTAAGACTTTTTTTTCATCTTTTTGATTTGATGAGGACTCTGAATTTTTTTCTTGATCGGTGCAAGCTGACTCACAACTTTTTTTTTGCGCTTCTTTCCCTTTAACTTTACTACCCTCTCATTTCTCGTCATGGTCGCTTCAGAATCAAACGCATCTGTTGTCTTGGGTGTCCTTGGTAAGCTGGCACGGAAGGAATGACTGTAGAGTGTTTCATTCTAACCGTTGTTGACGGTTTTTGTTGTGCTTGTTTAGCTTTGCAAGGTGCATTTATTGAACACATTCATATCCTCAGCACGATACCCGAAGTGAAGGAAGTCATCGCTGTTCGCACGGAAGAGCAACTGAACTCTGTTGATGCTCTCATTATTCCCGGCGGTGAATCGACCTCGATGGCTTTAATTGCTGAACGATGTAATATGCTTGAACCGCTTCGCAAGTTTGTTCGTGCCAAGCCTACGTGGGGAACTTGCGCTGGTATGATCATGCTGGCCAACGAAGCTACGGGAGCCAAGAAGGGTGGTCAGCAACTGTTGGGCGGTTTGGATATCTGTGTCAACCGAAATCAGTTTGGATCGCAGAAAGAGTCCTTTGATACAATGTTGCATCTTCCCGATGCGTTGGGTGATGAACCATTCCACGCCGTGTTCATTCGTGCGCCCGTCATTACCAGCGTCAAATCAGATACTGTCAAGGTGATTGGTCGCTTAGAAAAGAAGATTGGTCAAACCGATCCCGAAACCATTGTCGCTGTCCGTCAAGATAAACTGTTGGCAACCGCTTTCCACCCCGAATTGACGCGCGATAACAGACTCCACAGCTACTTTGTCCGTATGGCCCTTGAATACAAGCAGTAAAAGGAAGAAGCTATTCCCCGTATCCGAGAGGCAATTAAAAAAAAAAAAAAGGATAGGTGGCGGTATATTTTGGTTTAATTTATGTATATTTTTTTGTTCGTCATTATCATTATCATGTTTAGAATATTTAGATTTTTTTCACTTTTTTTCATCCTCTGTATTCGATACTACAGACGATAAAGACCACTTGGACAGATGATTGCTTGCTTCTTTGGATGTTTGTGGAAAGGCTTTGGCGTAGGAGTAAATGAGTCCGGCAATGAATCCCAGTCCAATGGCTGTCACACTGTTGAGGGTTGCAGGATCGCCAAAGAATAAAATACCGGATATCGCAATGGGCAGCTTGTTCAACGCTCCCACCATGGAATAGGTCGTGGACGAGGTTGTTCTCATGCACCACGCCGATGTATAAGACATGCCGAATGCCGAAACACCGGAAAAGATCATGGCCCATATACGCCCTTCTCGTTGTTCCGGTGGACTATGTGATATCAAATAACTCGTAAGTAACTGGGTTTACCGAAAAGTCAAAAAAAAGGGGTTCGGCCATGATGCAACTCACAAATTAAGGGTCAAATTTTCGGAAGACCAATCTTCAAGAATTAAACTTGGTATCAGTAGGATGGGGATCGACAGCAAGTTATTGTAGTACGTTGTGTCAAAATCCTTAAAGTTGGTCAACTTGATCCTCTTTCGCATATATAGCGTAAATGCGGCAGTAGAGATACAGTTGACGGCCATCCAAAAGTAACCCATGATCGCAAAACTAGCGGCATTGTTATATCCCATCCACAAAGAACCTATAGCATTGGATATATCATTCCAGCCTGCAATTACCGACGATAAGATCTAGCCATCCCCAGTTTAATATATTGCGCGTCAGGAAAAAAAACAGTCGTCATACCCACCATCAATGCAAATGATATGAGAATCAATGCCGTAACACTTCCCGCAAACCACAAGACATCGCCATAGGCAATAAGAATGATGGTCAGATTTTTGAAGATGGTGTAAACAGAGATGGGGAGAAACTGAAGTGCTTTAGACCCTGCGTAGATCATGACCACCAAAAAAAAGACAATGGGGAACCATTTTTTTGCTTCTTCACTATCGTATTCACGGTGTTTGATCAAATTTAAGAATCGAAATAGCTGTAATAAGCATACAGTGACAACGCTCTACAAAGATGAAATGAACAGGTATTACAAACAAATGGCGTGGCGTTTTCTACTTTTTGACCATGTTTTTCCATGACGCAACGTACCTGAACGGTCAGCAAAAAGAAATTCATATTAAAGTCTCCGCTCACGACGTATTTGTTGGTCACGGTCATTAGAATACTCGCTGCACAGTAAGCTAATATCGGCAACCCCACCGTAAGCGCCGGCGGTAAATGAACGTGTTTGGAGGCGACGACCGACGAAGGAAAAGACTCCGACTTGCTAATTGGCATCACTGTTGGGGTTGCCAACAGGTTCTCTTTAGATTCCATATCCGACAGAACGAATGGAAGGGAGTGAAAAAGCTAGCCTTCAAAAAGAACAAGATGTATGTAAAAGATAAGAATGTAATGGGCACAGTTATCTATTTCAATCCATCCACAACCCAACTATGCTTGTGATGCCAGTCAGGAACTCTCTGAAAGGGATCCGATTTCCGTCCCAGATATGCCCGTCGGGGGAACAATGAGTGGAGATCCAACCATGACATTTTGCCTAATTTGGGCAACCAGGAATGTCGCAACAATTGTTTTCCCGCGTTTGCGCCCCACACGCTTCACTAACTTTTTTCCAGAATGACTAAGAGTTTTCCCACTGGCATTAAGCGCTTCTTGAACCGAGACGTCAAAAGTCTGCCCCCGCGATATTTTAAAACGTATCAAGATCGGCTGCGAAAATGGACCACTGCTCTTTTTGTTTAATTGCAATTTATTTTTCCTCTGTCCGTGATTGCTTTTGCTTTCTTCCCTCTCTCTTTCTTTCCATTGCTTGATCGGTTATTACTAAAATATTGAATTGTCTCGATGGTTATCTACAAGTCTCCATTTGCACCTATCCCTATTCCCGACGTTGACCTGTACAGTTTCATCTTTCAACCCAACGAGATCAATCAATCCTACCCGCATGACCGTAAAGTGGTTATCCATGGTATCACCGGACAAACCTTAACTTTTGACGATATCCACCAACGTTCCCGTTGTTTGGCTGCTGGCTGGACAAACCTCGGGCTTGGCAAAGATGATATTATCGCCGTATTCGCCCCCAATCAATACGATCATGTTGTGCTCTATCTGTCTATTCTTGCAGCAAAGTGTACAGTGACTCCTGGGTAAGTTTTGCATTTGTGTACAGCTTTATATGACATTGCAGACCTAAATCATCTTATCAATTTGATATGCCGCATGTTTAGCAATCCTGCTTATACAGAAGGTGAGAATTCTTGATTTATATAAACACATGAATCAGTTTCTCTAAGTTGATTTGATACAATAGCCGAGTTCCACCACCAAATTGAAAATTCGGGTGCCAAGGCGTTGGTCACTGTACCGGCTCTGTTACCTGTCTTGCTCAAAGTGTGTGCAAAAGTCGGAATTCCCCGAAACCGTATCTTCCTTTTCGGCGATGAGGAACTAGAAGGGTGCAAGCCCTTCAACTCATTGGCCGTGGACAAGCCATTGACATTGCCATTGCAAGGCATCAACCCCAAGGAGGATGTTGCTTTTGTTTGCTATTCGAGCGGCACCACGGGCGTAGCCAAAGGTGTCATGCTGACCCACCAAAATTTTGTTGCTCAGCTGCTTCAGTACACCCACAACCGTCAGTTAGCCTCCGAGGCTAGAGCCGGAGCCGAAGCCGAAGCCCAAACCGAGGAGAAATTGCCTGACGATGATGTTGTGTTGGGCTTCCTCCCATTTTATCACATTTTTGGCCTCACCAGTTTGGTACTCGCCTCCTGCTACACACTCACACCTGTTGTTATCATGCCACACTATGATCTGGAGTTGTTATGTCAGCTGATACAAAAATACAAGATTACGATGGCCAGCATTGTGCCTCCTGTTGGTAAGTTGTGTAACGTTACAATGTGTGGGGTCTGCCTTAACTTCTTCATTACTGTCAGCCGTGCATTTGGCCAAGAGTGCTATTGTCGAAAAATATGACCTGTCCTCACTTCGTTTATTGGGTTGCGGCGCAGCACCATTGAGCAAAGAGCACATTGAGTCACTGGCGCAACGCATTCCTGCCACTTTAAAACAAGGGTAAGTTAGCAAGTTGCGCGGCGGATGACATGTCTATACTCACAATGGTTACTTTCGTCACAGCTATGGTATGACGGAGACCACCTCTGGTGTAATAAGTCAAACTGAAGACAGTGGTTCTCCCGGTTCCATCGGGCAACTGTACGCCAACACTGAGTGCAAGATTGTCAACGAGAAAGGCGAAGGTAAAGTGCACGCATGTACTGGTATGTGATTGTAAATAAAACGAGTCAACTGACTTGTGATAATGAGTAGAATTGGGCGATGATGAAGAGGGCGAATTGGTGTTCCGTGGTCCGTCTATCATGAAGGGTTATTTGAACAATCCAAAGGCAAATGCGGAAACGTTCTTGGAAGGTGGATGGATGCGAACAGGCGATGTTGGCAAATACTGCAGTGCCACCGGTGAATTCTATATCATGGATCGACTGAAAGAATTGATCAAGTACAAAGGTTATCAGGTGGCTCCCGCTGAGCTTGAGGCGGTGCTGATGGGTCGCCCAGATGTGGCCGATTGTTGTGTTGTGGGTGTCTATGATTCCACGCAAGCGACCGAAATTCCTCGCGCCTATGTTGTCCTTCAGCCCACCGTACAGCCCACTGACAAGTTAAGTAAGGACCTGGCGGACTATGTGAAAACGCGCGTCTCGAATCAGAAATGGCTGCGTGGAGGGGTTCGATTTGTCTCGGCTATTCCCAAGAGCGCCAGTGGTAAGATCTTGAGAAGACAAGTGAAAGACTGGGTAAAGAAGGAACAACAACAAGAACCAGCTCGATCCAGATTATAAGCACCCAAAATACCATACTTGATTAACTGCTCGCAATGTAATAAAAGCAACTGTAGATTCTGTAATCCCCTCCCGGTGCGAAAATTTCTTTTTTCTTTCGACTGCTTTTGTCGATTTAAATCTTTGCGGAAAAATGATGCGTTGATGCTTCTGAGATATTGATGCAAAAATAAAGGAGTCTCAAATCCGAGCTTAAACTCTATGCTTCTGGCGCGAAATGACGTGCCCCCAAGCCGACGTTTCCAAAAAGCGATCGGTAACTGTTCAATTGTCATTGTTCATAAGTCGTGCTAACGAGCTTGAGAATATAATAAACAAAGCTAACTTCCTTCGTTACGTAACAATGGCCTTTCAGGATGACAGTACTTTGACAGGTGGGAGAAATGCATGCACAAACAAATAAAGCTCCACAGTTGTGATCCCACGATGAGGACGAAACTCCGACGGAGTCTATGGGCAGTGGAGCGGAAATCCAAAATTGAAACCTCGGTCACACTGGACCCAGCAAATGCATATTTTTTTCTCTTTTGGATCGTTCTCCAGTGTTTTCTTCCTTCTATCCTCACATCTCCTATCTGTTTTTCCTTTGTTTTATATTTTTTGGATCATTTCTTTTTTTTTAATATTTCTTTGGAATGGAGAGAAAACCGTCCACGGTGCGTCGACGGAGTAGAGAAGCGTCCTTGTCAAACACCATCCGTGAACGTGCACCGTCCAAATCGAACAATAATTATGACCAGCATGATGATACCAGCTCTCAAAAGTCTTCTGCTACCCAACACTTGACCGAAAAGGAGCCAAAACAAAAGAAAAAGTCATTCAGCGAACGCTTTAAAGCGTCTTTACCTACCTTTACCCAATGCTGCAAGACGCTCAAAGCAACGATCGCCTTGTTCATAGCCGTCGTCATGGCATTGGATTATCACACACGAGCAGTTATTGGACCAGCTGTTCTATTGACGGCGATTGTGACGATTTTTTATTTTCCTGTGCGTCCCATCGGTATGAATGCATAAATGAAATCGTTATCACGGAAAAACACGTTTTAACTTCTGATCATTTTATAGGCATGGAAATCGAGGTGAAATGATGAAACATGAACTTGGTTTTTATCCAAACCGACCATTTTTCTGACAGCTTGGTTCATATTGCTTTAGGCCGTGCTTTTTGGTACTTTTGGTGCGCTTGTGGGAGCTGCATGGTGTTTCTTAGGTTCATATTTCTACCGAGTTTAGAAAGTAAAAATTATCAGCCGCTTAAATAATTCTTCCCTTGATTTTAGGTTCGTTTTTGGCGAATCTTGCGCGTGATCCTGCCGATCCAAGTCCTATTCAAGCACCGAGCAGCGTCATCCTAGCCGTATTTCTGTTTTTGGGAATCTTTGCTGTCAATTACGTTCGCATGCGCATGCCTAAAGGTAACCCATTCAATGGCGTTGTCACGAAATGAACATCGATCCTGGTCATAGATCTTGATAAGAAACGGGACTGACGTTTGATTCGTATAGCCAACTTTGCTTGCGTTCACGCGTGTATCTTGATGATTGTAAGAGCTTGATGCCCGTGCCTGCTTGATATATATGGAGCAATAGTTACTGACAAGAGCATTAGTTCAGCTTTACACAAGCATCGGTAGAATCTGGGTTCAACCCAGAGGCGGTGGTAAGTCATATTCTCATTAAGATTCGCTTTGACGCGTGTGTTCTCATCAAACAGGGAATTTTTTTAGTGGGCATTTCTGCGGCCAATAGCGTTAGCAGGTGCATTAGCGTTATCAGTCAACATCTTTCTGTGGCCCGATGACAGTGTGTCCAATTACATGGCGGTTCTACGACGTACACTTTTAGGATACGATACCTTTTTCAAGGAACATTCGGACGCATTTCTGTCCCTCGAACCCACTTCCATCACGCTTTCATTGCCTTCACTTCATGCCTGCCTACAGGGTAGTGTGCTCGTTCTCATCGACTGCAAACGTGCTGTGCAACGAGACGTTTTATACTCCTACATGTCCAGTAAAGATATCAGCGACTTGACCAAGCTTGTGAAACACATGCGAAACCCGTTACACGGCATTGGATTGAGCGTTATTCAAAAAAAGGCTTATCTGGATATTAAAGAACCATCACCATACTTGATGCAAGGCAAAGAAGAAGATCAAGATGCGTTCTTGGAGGTCTTGGGTGATATTAAGCCGGTTTGCCAAGAACTATCGGATGCTGCTCAAGCTGCCCTGACGGAGTGTATTGATCGACTGGACAAGTATTCGCGGAGTCCACGAAGTAACCTCAACAGTCTTCTTTGGCCATTTCCACGCATCTTTTTCCCGAGAAAGGAGAAGAATGAAGATAAAGAAAGGGAGAAAGGGACGACCACGAACGCCTTGAAGAGATTGCGAGCTGCTTTGGATCGATTCAACGCTTTACCATCGAGTGCATTCAAACGATTTTGCGGAGTGGAACATGATGAAAATATACCCAGCTATGGACCTCTGTATCTGTTGTTTCTTTACCAGTTCAATTTAAAGGAGCACGCACTGCAAGTAAAGTCATTGCTTAAATTCATGGAACAGACAGACCAAAAACGACAACATCGACGTATCTGGTTTCCACGGATGAGTGTAAAAAAGTGGTTCCGTTCAAATGATGTGGATCCGAATCTGGGCGGTGACAACGACGATTACGGACAGCAAGGCATGGGAGGAACCGATCTGACGCTTGTACGCACATTAACCCGCAACAATACCGACCTCGAAGATCATCGGCATTCCATGCATCCCATTGTCGGCGGAAAATATTATAAGCGAGATCCGGACGTGGATCCACCGGTGACGCCCGTGGAACGGTTCTTTTATGGCTTGCATCTTGTGTGTGCATGGTTTATGGAAACCAATACTTTCTTTGCATTCAAAACAGCGGTGGCCGTTGTCTTGTTTGCCATTCCTGCCTTTTACGCCCCGAGTGCTTCATGGTTCTTCAACTGGAGAGGTCAATGGGCCATGATTACCATGGTTCTGTGGATGTTTCCCATGACAGGCATGTTTTTCTTTGCGTAAGTAAGATCGTTTTTTCCTTAACATTTTCCCAAAATTATGTTGACATGGTGAGATCATAGTATCATGATGCGTGTGGCTGGTACCATTCTCGGTGGTGTGTTGGGAATCGTTGTCTGGGAAATTTCTCGTGGCAATCCCTACGGTTTGGCCGTGGTGTTATTTATTTTCATACTCCCCTTGTACTATGCTTTCTTCTTTATCGCACCCTTGAGGGTGTTGGCACTGATGGCCAAAGTCACAATGCTACTGGTAAGTAATCAATACCATCGATAACAGAAGCTCAAAGTTGATCAATGTAATAAGCTCATGTTATCTTTGCCCAGGTGTGCATTTATGAATACAATTACGTAGTGGACCAACTGCCAAATCATGATGAGGTGTATACCGTTGCTGGCAAGGTATGTGGCTAAAAGGTCTGCTTGATATCACAGAGGAGCTAATGCAGTGCCCTCTGATTAATTTTAGCGTATGCTGCTTGTCATTATTGGTGTGGCTGCATCTGCCATTCTATCCATGATTCCTTTCCCTGTGATTGGGCGTGTAGAGCTACGAAAGCGATTGGCCCGTACGCTGCGTGATATTGGGCAACTGTATACGGTATTGGTAGCCCACATGGTACGAAAACAGCCTGCCACGGAAGATGAAAGAAGAGCTTTCCGGAAGTTGGCACTGGATATTCGACGACAAATTTCGGATGAGCGCAATTTTTTACAGCATGCATCATTTGAACCTCCGTTGAGAGGCAGGTTTCCAGCTGCCAGTTATGCCGTACTTGTAGAGAAAGTGGACAACATGGCCGATCTGGTCCATAACATGGTATGGTATCAATTTGTGCTATTCTTTACTTGGTATATTGTTGTTGACAATAAATTACATGTAGGGTTTTGCTGCAAGGACAATCGATCCGAGCTGGCAACGAAAGATTGCTTCTGTATTGACGCGAGAACGAAAAGATTATGTAAGTGTCTTATTGCAAACCACCGACCGGACCGAACGGCTGATTGACAGACTTGAATTTAGCTGGCTTCCATTGTGACTACCATCAAGCTGGTCTCTTCAACAATGACAGCGAAAGCGTCTCTGCCACCCTACATGATCTCACCGCAAGAAGCTCGACAACGGTACATTAAAGTACTGGAAGAAAGAATCGAGATTGGAGCTGATGAAATTGGCAATCCAACCTTCCCTAGTTACAGTACCTTTATTGTAAATAGCTCTACTTTTGTCAGCGAGCTACAGATAGTGCTGGACACTGTAGAAGGTTTAGTAGGGGTGGAGGATCCAACACGGTGGCTCCTCATGAACGTTTAATACTTTATAAACTATAGAATCATACAAAAGCATTTTTAGATGATTTTGTCACTGTCAAATGAACGGATTTTGTCATTGTGTGTTTAGAATTTTTCTCAGGATCCTCAATCCAGTAACTGAGCCCCGAGATCGCGTCATTGGACAAGACTCCGATCATTTAAATCTCAATTGTTGCTGATGTTCGGCTTATATTTCTGTTACTTGAACGAACAAAAAACCACACAGTGACATGAACACTTTGCGCCTTGCTGCTCGTCGTGCTTATTCTACGGTTCAACCCGGTTCTAGACCAGGTGTACGTCTCTCACCAATCAATAAATAAACATGAGCCTCGTTCAAGCTAATGTAGTGTATATTAGATTACTAATGGCTTCGTTGGTGCCATTGGCAATACTCCTTTGGTAAGTCATTCCGAACTTTCACACTATTTACCCACAGTTTCATTCACCGAGGACTCTCTTGATGTTAGCTTCGCTTGAATCGTCTCAGTCAAGAAACCGGTTCCGAGATTCTTGCCAAAGCCGAGTTTATGAACCCCGGTGGTTCCGTTAAGGATCGTGCTGCTCTTTTTGTGGTGAAGAATGCCGAGGAAAAGGGATTGATCAAGCCCGGAGGTACTATTGTTGAAGGAACCGCTGGTAATACCGGCATTGGTCTGGCCCATGTCTGTCGTGCCAAGGGTTACAAGTGTGTCATTTACATGCCAAACACTCAGGTACAAAGGGCAACCAAGAATGGAACGAGCAGGACAGTTCATGCTGACAGTAGGGGGATTTCTGCTATTTCTAGTCCCAGGAAAAGATTGATCTTTTACGTATGCTCGGTGCCGAAGTGTATCCTGTGCCTGCTGTGGCTTTTGATAACCCTGAGAACTACAACCACCAGGCAAGACGTCATGCCGAATCGTTGGACAATGCTGTGTGGACAAATCAGTTTGATAACATCGCCAACCGTCGTGCGCACATTGAAACCACTGGTCCTGAGATTATGGCCCAAACTGATGGCAAAGTCGATGCATTTACTTGCGCTACCGGTACCGGTGGAACCCTGGCTGGTATCACCCGTTACCTCAAAGATCAAAAGGGCGATGATGTCAAGATCTTCTTGGCTGATCCTCCTGGATCGGTATTGTATAGCTATATCAAGAGCAAGGGCAAGAGCATGGAGCGTCAAGGAGCGGGCTCCATCACTGAAGGAATTGGTCAGGGCCGTGTCACGGATAATTTGGCTCCCGATGTGGAATTGATCGATGATGCCGTTCATATTCCTGACGAGGAATCCATCAAGATGGTGTACCGTCTCTTGGACGAGGAGGGTATTTATGTTGGAGCGTCTTCCGCGTTGAACGTGGTGGCGGCTGTTGAAGTGGCCAAGAAAGTCGGACAAGGTAAGCCGGTCAAAAGCGGGCACAAAGGCAACAGACAGCTGAATCCTTTTTTCCAGGCAAGACCATTGTCACGATGTTGTGCGACGGTGCCTACAGATACCAATCCCGATTATTCAGTAAGTAGTTCCTGGTGTCACCATGGAGATGTTCTACTCTTAGAGATGCATTTTTTCTAATACGCATCGTCTTCTAGGCCGTACATGGCTCGAATCCAAAAACTTGGCGACAGCGATTCCCGATCACTTGCAAAAGTACATTGTTCTTCCCTAGACATCAATACGTTTAGAAAGTTGTACTTTTATGTTTACGACCCTACGTTTAAAATTTTGTTGTTTAAATTGAACGACCGTGAACGCAGGACCTTTGGTTGAGGATCTCGACCTGCAGTCAGTTGAAATAGATCGAAACGGATAAATAAAAAAGCTCTGTGACAGAAAACAGAGAAAAAGATGAAAAAAGCGTTGGGTCTACTGCGGTATACTGAGGCTATGGAAAAGCTCAACGTTCTGTATACATGAGGAAACATGATTATGGGACACAGATGATGATACGGATTAATTGGTGCTGAGGTACTGGATAGCGGTAGTAGCCAGGTCAAGAACGCACACCCATAAGCAGGACGCTAATAGTGCTATGGATCTATGTCTAGGTGTTGACAGGCAACTTAATTCGACGAATAGGGCGGTGGACAGTAGGGTTGGAGACTGCTTTCCACGGGGGCGTTTTAAATTAGCATATTCCAGCGACGTCTCCGGTAGTCTTTACGGTAGATTCCAGTAGACCTACCGTTTTATTCTCGGTTTTCTCCCACAGGCTTTTTCGATCTATTAGAGCTGACTGGAGCGGGGATCCTCATTCCGGAAGGCCGCCGCGTTCAGGGCCGTGACTTCTTTTTTTTTATCCGCACTCTATGTCTGCTTGATTTTTTACTGTTGAAAGAAAATGAGAGACTCTGATAAATTTCGTTAGATTCACAAATTCTGCACGACATGGCGCGCAAAAAGGAAGCCAAAGCCCAAGGTCCTTCCAGAGATCATTTGCAGACTTATCAGCGAATGAACTTTTTATACCAAGCGTCAGCTTTAATGGCGGCCACTACGGCACAGACACAACAAGAGCCCCGTTCCAAGTGGAACGATAATCGGACCCGATCGCTTAACGGTTTGGGACGCTATTACAATAGTACAATGCGAAAGATGGCCAGACGATTGGTGATACGACTGTAAGTGGCACCAGAAAATGTCGCTCCCCATGTCGGTCTATGCATTGACACCTTTTTTGTAGTGATCCGCATGTAAAACGTAGCATATGTAAGCGTTGTGATACAATGCTGCTTCCTGGTAAAACATCTGCGGTTCGGATACAACGTAAGCTTGATGCTAGTTTTATGTATATTGAAAATGTGTGTCCAAGACTAAAAGGGACGCATCAGATCAACCGGAAACCACTACCGTTACGACGTGTTTAATCTGTAATACACATAAAAGGCTGATTGCCCGCCCCGATTACGAACTGTTCAATGACAAGGCCGAAATCCGACCCGATATGGAAACCGAAGCCGTTGAAAAAGCCGATGCATAGCTTGCAACATCAGCTTTTTATCCTGTTTGATGATCTCAAGGACACTGAGGATAGGCGTATACCCAATGGTTTTCATACACTGCACAAGTCTGGGATACAACGTTTGCATTGACATGCGTTGCTATTACTTGTCATCTTTTTACGTTTCCATTTCATTGTAAAGTATTTTAAATCACGTGGGGGAAGGAGATTGTCCATCCGCATGAATCATTCAGACATAAAGTTGACTATCAATGTATGATATACTGTATGATGCTCGTACATAAATCAAAAAGACAAAAGTTCTTTCTCGCTTGACTAAATTTCTTGATTACTGTGTCTATAACAATATTTTTGATTCAGCTGATTGAGAGAATGGCAGAACTTTCGAACCGTGGGGGGACCGCACATGACATCATAAACTCCGCATACAATTTCCGCATTCTGCGGGAATTCGTTCTTTTTTCATATTCGGCAGTTTCGTCCACCCATTGAAGAACCGGCAAAAGCGAGCTTATCATGACCGAAGACTACGATCGTGTGCGCTGGAATTTTCACGATCAGGATATATTCACTCCTCAAGTAGACAAAAACGATCCCATTGTCGATTTCAACGGGTGGAACAACGATGAGGTGAGCCTGTCCTCGCCTTGGGTTCGCCATAAATTTATCCGCTAAACACCGATCGTCTCCATCTCTGTGGACCTTTGATTCCTTGACTTTTAGCAACCAACGACGATACATTCTGACGATTACGCAGAGTCATCTACACAACTACCTTCTGCTGCCGCTTCGATAGATCTGGACTCAGCCCAAGCGGAAGAAGCCGCCGTGGACAAAGACGTCAGGGACATGACGGTAATGGTCGACGATCCACAAAAGCATCCCGATGGTTCTTTTATGACTTACTTGGTCACCACACACGTAATTTTTTTGTATTCCAATGAAACATGGAATGTTGAGGGTTGGCGGGTGGCAACCAAAACCTGATGATTTACAATAGACGACAGTCGAGACGTTTTCGTCCCCTCATCCAAGGCCTGTGAGACGTCGATATCAAGACTTTGTATGGCTACAATCAGCATTATCGCTAGAATTCCCCGCCTGCGTTGTTCCGCCGCTGCCTGAACGACATCGACTGAGTACGTCGCTTGGCCATTCATTGGATCGTCTCGCTTGATCGTAAACTTATTTATTGTCTGTTTTAGAATACGTTAAAGGAAATCGATTTGAGGCACAGTTTATTGAGCGAAGGCGGTTAGGGTAGGCACTCGATTTTTTCGATGATGCAAATATTGTCCACGTGGACTAAAGGTTACGCCTTAGGTTGCAATGGTTTCTCGATAGAATTGCTCAACATCCCTATTTCCAACGATCGCAATGTACCCGAGTGTTCTTGGAATCTGCCGACTTTGTAAGAAAAACAAAAAAGATCACGGAAAAACCGGTAGCAAAGAATTCAACCAAAGGGCGTTTAGAAAAATGACAAGAACATGCAATCCAAACAAGTGCCACAAGCGGCTACGGTGATTGAAACACTGAGTGACTCGATGATGCGATCTTTTTCAAGGGTGAAAAAACCGGATGAACGATTTGTGGACATGAAGGACACTGTGGATAAACTGGAAGATAATTTATCAACCGTTGAGCGAGTCTTTTCTCGTATCAGCAAACGACAGCAGGGTAAGGATCTCATTGTTCAAACGTCTTAACTATGGCTTCTCATACAGAGGTTCAGATCTGGAACGAAATTATACCCATTTTGCAAACAGTGTGCGAGGATTGTCGGCGTTGGAAACGGATATTGCTCGACCACTCCAGCATTTTGCTGAAAGTGTAGATTCTTATGTGGCCGCTATGAAGGACAAGGTAAGCCTAGTGAAAGTGTGATAGCTGCAATTGATGGCTCTCGTGCGCTAATTCGATATTAGGGGCGCAAAGAGGATACTTATTTTCTAAACGACGTGCATGAGCTGGTGGGCTATTGTCATGCGACCAAGGTGAGACTGATTCGCATTCCTACCGAGGAAGTATACAGGGAATTAAATCAAGCTATTTTATTGTAGGCGGAATTGCGCGAACGAGATCAGAAACAGATCGATTTTGAGGAGCTTTCATCTCATTTACAGCGAGCGGTAGCAGATCGAGAGCGAATACTATATCCTGGGCAACATCCAACGAAAGGAGCAGGTGTGAATATTACCGAGTTCATGGCGGATAAAATGGTGGAAGCACGCGGCGGTGATAAGGAACGTACAAAGCAAGAACGACTGTCACGACTGGAGACCAAAATCGCAGAGGTAAACAGACTAGATCTGTTGGTACAAAACGTTTGTTCAGTAATTGATCCATATCTCTGTGAAATAGCTTCAAGACGAAGTGGCCAGGACAAATGATATCAATAACGGGTTCTCGAATCAAATGTTGAAAGAGTTTGAGATTTTTCAACGCGCCAAAACACGCGAGTTAAGGCAAGGTTTGGCGGCCTATGCAGATAGCCACATTGAATTTTTTGAAAAGGTAAAAAAGTCTTCATGCCTGCATCTGTTATGCAGTAACACTCAATTTGCCTCTCTAGGGTATATCTATATGGGAGAATGTGCTGACAGAGCTAGAAGGGATCTCTGTAAATGAAGAATAACCCCAACTTGCAACGAGCATAGTGACATTTTATTTTTGGTTTTTATTATTTTTGTAACATTAGAGTAGAATACATCATTATGAGCCACCTGTAGTATCGTTATGTTGATCTGCGAATGCCTGGACTCTGGCTAGTATAGCAGAGAAACGCCTACCCATATCATATGCGAACAATTGGCATGGACCATTATAAACTGGTTGTCCTACATATAATCCATTAAGGTGGAATGGGAAAACGGCCTTCCATTTTTCGATGATTCGGCTTCGATTCTTTCAAGTACGCATAAACAATCCAAATTGGTGGATTATTCCAAATACATGCAAGTTCGACTGAGGGGAGGCGGGATCTCGGAAAACGCACCAAAGGTTAATGCGAAGGCATTGTGTGCGCATCTCTAATAAAATAAAACACTGAACAATTAAACTGGGTGAATATACGTCCATGTTTTATAATTTGGAGCTGAACTCATATATGTTTCTGAACAACGTCCACCGCCTAGGTCCAAGCTTTACTGTACCACTTTCGAGAATAAAAAAAAATTGTGCAACAGCAAGTTATTTCTAGGCAAGGTTGCCTTATTTGCTTTTGTGCATACCATGCTGTCTAAATATCACTGCTGATTGTTGGACAAAGAAGACTCGGTCCTTCGCAGAGAGGTCAGCTAAAAACGGGATATCGTTGACAGAACTCATGCATTTTGTGGCGGCAAAATCGGGGCACAGGAACCTCGGAATGTACGCAGATACAACAAACCTTAATTTACGCATGGATCCGGGCAAGCCATGGCGGTGACTTTTAAAACTTGATAACTTATTTTTCTTGCATCATTCGACCCGTCCACTTCCAATTCAATAGGATTTAAGACTTTCCGCATCTTTTTCTATTGAAACATGAGCTTGTTAGAGTTGATTATTTTTGCAGAATGAGTTTTTGTTTCCATTTTAGGATCAGGGTTCAGTTTGAATCAGTGGGCCAAGCCAAATTAGCAGACTCCTGGCAAACATATATGCGAGATGTAAAATGTAAAGCTCTCTTTAATCTTTGAAAGCTATTAAGAAACGCAGTTGAAAGTCGGATTGAGCATTTGCAGGGTGATCATTTATAGTGAAGCATAAAAAAGGTGGGCTTGTCTGGGCGACACTGTAGGGAAGAAAGGTGTAACAGTATGCAAAAAGGTTCATGAGGGACCCGTTTCACTACATGGAAACGCGTCATCTGAACAATAACAATGAACCTGATCCGTGATTTGACTGCACATTTGTCAAGATTTTGAAAAAGGGTTCAAATCCTTTTTTTTTTTCTTTTCTTTCCTCTTTATTTTTTTCCCAACTCTTAGCCTTTCCCCTTGTTATCTTTCTTCAACTGCTCCCAACCGTCTCGACTGTTTTAACTGCTCTTCGTTTATTGTCTCAATTGTCTCTAACGTTTTATCTCTTTTTACTGTTTTATACCTCTTATCATGCTCATGGGTATTGACCACACTGTCGAGCCAGCGACCCATGTGGCCCGTGAGCGAATGGCCTTCGATATCAAGTTGCTGCAAACCACTCTTAAAGTAACGAAACCTACTTTGGAGGAGAACGCTCAGGCGAAAAAGCGCAACCGCATCCACCGAGCGGCCCGAAAGCAGTGGGTGACCGCAACCACGCCATTTATCCGTGTGAAACGCGGCAAAGAATTCGATGACTTAAAGGCATGCGGCGTGAAAAAGATGAAGACCGTGGGTGAAGGTGACTGTGGGCGAAGGTGACTTTCAAAAAATTCTCAGCCATGGTTGTTGCATATAAACGAGAAATAGCTGACTTCTATTTTCTTATACGAATATATCTTTCAGTTCCCGAAGTGGCCAAAGTTGCCAAAGGTACAGTAGAAAACAAATATGACTAGTCATGCCAAATATTAACAGTATAATTGTTAGTGAAAGAGACGGAGGCGGACGACAAAAGAAGATGACTTTTCGAAGCAGTAGACATCGATTGATACCAAAGGGGAGACAAAAATGCCTGGTACGATGCCATGGACAATCGATGATCCTCATTCTTGGCTTTAGAAGTTCGTTTTGATGGAAGTCGAAAAAAACTTTTGAAAGAAGCGGCGAAGAAGGCTATGGACGCGGATTTGGTGGCAGTAGGAGGTTGGGACAAGGAGGTGATTCCGTCCGAAGAAATTTGGAGCATGCAGCCGTCAAAGGTGGAAGAAGGACGACAGATGACAGTGACCGCTGACACTGATACCACGATGTCCAAGAAAAGACCGTTGGAAACTGACGAAGAGGTCGAATCGAAAAGAAAACGCAATGTTTCAACATTCCCAACTGTACCAGACTCCCGGACTATGAAGACGAGGACTTTGGCCATTGCGCTTCAGCCCCATCTGAAGAATCCAAAGCGGCTATAATCCGCAGGAAGAAGCAGACGGTTTCCTCGAGTTCCTCCTCGGACGTGCCGAAGAATCACGGCAAGAAGCGCACGGTGCCCAAGAATTCGTCGATGAGAGTAAAATTGGATCAGCAAGTTGAATGTAATGACGAAACAGAAGAGGACGAAGAAGAGGATGAAGAAGAGGCCGAGGTCGATGATGGCTGTCCTATATCCGCTACTTGTCGTAGTATCCATCCTAGACTGGTGTTCCCAAACAGGAAAAACTGAGATTTAGAAGTGTTTTCATTCTGGGTGAGCTTTTCCATTAGACTACCGATTGAGCCTCATCATACATAACTTGGATCTATCACCTAAATCATACCATGACATGAGATCTTACCCACAATCAAGAAAAGAAAGAACCCGCCATAGCGTCCATTCAGTATAGTAATTGTTTTGCGTCTGTATATTCCTTTCTTAATCTTACCATGGCTGTACCTCGCTTAATAAAACGGTTTAATGAAAGGGAAGTCAGTAACGAGAGCCTTTGCTAACAATAATTTACGGAGCAGAAATTGGACACCCAACGAGTAAACTGAGAAAATGGGTTAGTGGGCAGATTGCGGCAAGGGGCACTGTCTTCTTGGAAAATCAATACTCTTCCGGTCTTTTTGGTATAATAATGACCAAACTCCAGTGTGTTTGTCACCCTCCACGAGTTCAGCAGTAGTTATTTTGAAATAATGCACGTTGTTCAATGGATTCACAGTTAAGAGGCAAATTCAACACGTAAATAAATGGACAACACCCCTCGAAGCTCCAACTCGTCGTGGCTGTTATTCGGCGTGTCACTCAAATGTTCTGCAACCTGTAGTAAATCGATACATGTATAAATTTGACTGAATACCTAAACCTCTGAATGTGACCGACTTTACATAAACATCATACCAAAGAAGAAATAAAATGTGCCGCCAAAGCGGCAGATAATACAATACAGCAATGCATTCAACGTCTTATGGGCTTGTAACAAATTAAAAACCAGAGATCAGAGGAGATACAGTAGGATTGGGCAGTTCTAACGTTATTGATAGAGAACAACAGTCAGCAAGCAATTGTCTAACGGAGACGTTTTCTTCTTCTTTCAGTTATCCCATTTTGTTGGGCAGTAACGATATGACCGATCCAAGGGATCGAGGGGCATCGGAGTCTCACACGCGGCTTAAAAATCTGGATATCTGGAAATCTGAAAAATGCAGTTGTAAATCCATTTGCGAGAAAGGGAAAATAATACTCTAACAAGGTTTTACAGAGTTGATGATAATAAGCCTTGTTTGCCTTTTGCCTTGAGTTTGCATTGCAAATAAACTGCGTGAGAGTGGTGTCACGTGGTAATCTCGGAACGATCCGGACCTGTCAACAGACTGGGTTGGTTCCCCGCATAGGTCATTCGGTGAAGTGTGTGTTCCTTTGTTTGGCTCCCACCGCATTCCCCCCAAACCCACTGTTTCTTCCGAGAACAATGCGCAACACCAAGATCTTTGCAGGATCGTCGCATCCTGAACTGGCAAAACATATTTGCAAACAACTGGGTACGCCTCTTGCCGAAGCCACGTTGAAAAAATTCAGTAACAAGGAAACCAGTGTCGAGATCAGTAAGTAAGATAAGGGAAAAAAAAAAAGGAGAAACCCTAGTATAAACTTAAGCTGCTTTAAAAAGATGAATCGGTGCGAAATCAAGATGTGTTTATTGTGCAATCGGGATCCATGGCCATGAACGACGATATCATTGAATTATGCATCATGATTCAAGCGGCCCGTATGGGATCCGCCAAAAGAATCACCGCGATTCTTCCTTATTTTCCATACTGCAAACAGAGTAAACGCAAGGGGAAACGAACATGTATTACCTCCAAGTGTAAGTCATGGAAAGGTCACGATGTAAACAGCCATTGTATCCCGCTCACGTTTTAGTCGCTAGTGGTGGCCAATATGTTGGCAGTTGCCGGGGTGGATCACATTATTGTAAGTGACAATTTAGTAGAATGGATCTTGTAAACGCAGTGATTTTTAAAAAATCCAAAATTACATACATGTAGACAATGGATTTGCATGCTTCGCAGATGCAGGGATTTTTCCAGAAACCTGTGGATAATTTGTATGCGGAACCGTGCATTGTTCGATGGGTGACCCAGAACGTTCCAAACTGGAGAAACGGAGTGGTGGTGAGCAAAAACGCAGGTGGAGCTAAACGAGTGACTTCGTTGGCCGATGCATTGCGTCTCGACTTTGCTTTAATTCACAAGGACCGCACACGGTCTGGACCTCAGGGTCAAAACCGTCCCTACAGCGGTATGCCCAAGTTGCACCAAATACGTACGGTCGATACAGATGACGATTTGACCGCTTCCATTTCTTCGCTTTCGGAAGCCGGATCCAACGGCGATATTATGAATGCCGCAGTGTCGGTGGTGTCAGACACCAATGGGGAAGAAAGTACCATTACCTTGGTCGGCGATGTCAAAGACAAAATCGTATTTTTGACGGCAAGTACTGTAGTGCAATGAGGGTGTTACCAAAAAAAAAAAAAAAGAGAGCTAAAATTGAGATGATGGTGGATTGGGTTTTTTTTTTTTTTTTTTTTTTTTTTTAGGATGATATTATCGACGGCTGTCAAACTTTCCTGGATGCTGCTGAGCATCTGGTGAAGAAGTGCGGAGCTGATAAGGTGTACATCATTGCCACACACGGTGTTCTGAGTGGCCAGTCGATTCAACAAATTGAAGCGTGTGACAGTGTTTACAAGGTTTAGTTTTGGGAAAAGATCATCCCATTTTCTTGCGCCGACTGGATATTTTTGAGTTAAATGCGGAATTGTCAAATAGCTGGTCGTCACCAATACTTTTCCGATTGATGAAGCCAAGAAAACCCAATGCAGTAAGCTGATCATGATTGATATTTCGAGCACGCTTGCAGAAGCGATTCGCAGAACGGTAATGATTTGATTGGCCACTTAAGGGAAAAATGAAAGCTATGGACTACTGACCGTTTTTTTAATTGCATTAGCACAATGGCGAAAGTGTCAGTTATCTTTTTCATCATGCCGATTAATTGCTATTGAAATGCTCTGTTATGAATTAAGCGACTAAATTTTTATGATGGCCACAATCTTGGCAAATCCTGTTATCCGATGCATGGTTTACCAACTAAAATGATACTCATTCTGTATAACATATCTCATCTTATTTCAATGAATGGAATCACCATTCAAAATAAAAGATATAACAGTTCACTGGTCCATGGAAGTGAGGTTATCTCTCTTGCAGGCTTTTTTTTTTCTGTGTTGCCTCGGTCCAGGTGACACAGAAACGCAGAGCATTTTTCATCTAAATTGGCTCATTTATCAATCTGGTACGTCCCCTGTTCAACTTGTTTTTCCAAAACAAACATGTATGAGAATGGAATAGAGATGGGGGATTTTCACTATGATTACCGTCTTGAATCTTAAGGACAGTACAATACATATGCAGAGACGCTTGTCCAGATGAGATTGTTGGACATGATTGGAGAATTGCATGCGTTCATTGTATTTGGATTCACGGGTGAGGGAAATTAGGATGCTTGGGTATGTTGTCGGTGACACATTCAAGTTGCGTTTGATTATCGAATTCGGAAGATCCCGACTCATTTTTCAAGCCAATGAATGGGCGCATGTGCTGTGGACGGGGATTGCCCTGAAACACGCCTCTGTAGCACATTGCGTTCTAGATTATTTGATACACAGCAACCTGTGCAAAAATGTAAAATGAGGACCTAAAAAGAGCGAAAAATGGAACTAATTTGGACGATCATTTTTCATTCGGCCGGTTTTTTTTTTTCGGAATATAGGATGTTTGGACGGTTCTTTTTTTGCGGAAGCAAATGGATCGTCCCTGTTCTGTTTTTCCTTGCCGGAATCAAAGATGGGTTGCCATGTGGAGCACATCTATGGTGTGGTGAAGATGGGTACTTTTAGAGGAATGGTTTTGATGTCCTGTAAATTGATGAATTGAATATACTAATCAGACAGATAAGAGGATGGTCGTTTTTTCTAGAGTCCGTGGTTTGGATGGTGGAGTTAATTGCATCTGTGATCACTGGTGGAGGCTGAGTTTTACAAAGAACGATGACACACTTGCAGGTCTGGGATCGACAACGGAGTTTGGATTGAATTTGTGACACCTGATTCGTTAATCGTTTTCAGCAACAGGGAAACTATGACGATCCCCCGCCCATGATTACGGTGGGGGAGGTTGAGGACAAAAAAGACGGACCGGTGAAAATTGGTTGCAAGATAGCCCAATCCAAAAAAAGGTGACGACGATCACTTCTCTCAAAAATGATCAAATTTGGTTAGTAGCGGATGCCAAGCAATGGTTTGGTTTGCCTATTTTTATAGAAGGAAAGCCCAACCGCAAATCCGTGGACCCAACGTCACGACAATAAGCTTTTTTTTCTTTTTTCGGGCTGGGTTCAATATTCCATTGCTTATATATTGGCTCAAGTCGATCCACATTTTTTTTTCTTTTTCCTTTTTTCTTTCTACTGATAACGAACACTTCTCTCTCTCTCTCTTTTTCCTCACAAAAATACTTTGAATTTGCTCATTTCTTCAGATACCATGGATACTCGTAAATATTCTCGTCAAGATGGTCTGTTATTAAGTCCTCCAGTGACTCCTAAAATTCAATTGCGATTGGATGCTTCTCCCGAACATGATGACATGATGTTACTTCCTCCTGCTCTTTCCATGCCGCAGTCCCCTCCACAATGGTTTCAGGCTCTTCCGTCCAAGCTCAATCGCAGAAAATCGTCTGCCAAGTCTTTCAATCGAGCCATGGCGCTCTCCAGTGAAGGTGCATTTTCTGTACCTGTTCTCATCCCATCCTCCTCACTGCCTTCTGAATCTCCTATCGCTTATCGCAAAACCCATTGCAGTCGAAAGACACAACGTGCACGTCGATCCCCCTCGGACGTTCGTGGCGCTTTCACCATGGATGTATTTTCTTACGACCCACCGGTTTCCCAATCGAACAGTGATTCGTTACCACAGAAAAGAAAGATTGAAGAGGATGATGAAGCGCAAGAAATTCAAGATGACCAGATGACGACGCCTCGTGTGACCCACATCAGTAACGATCGTCATATTAAAAAGGCCATGACCGATGCCGCCGCGGTTTACGACCGTATTGACCTTTCATTGAGTGACGAGGCTGTCATGGAGCCTCAATGGGTCCCTAGTCTCGAGGTCTTTGATAATCGACCCCCCGTACGAGTGGTGTGGAAAGGTAAATAACCCGAAAAAAAAATCAGAAACTCTACGTTTTCTGTGAACAACAGAAAGGAAAAAGAAAACTGGACATGTAACACTAACTCTATTTTTTATTTTTTTATTTGGTGATGATAGGATCTCCATTACCCATCAATCATTTGCCTTATTACGAACGGTTACATCCCGGTGAAGTTGCCATTGCCTCAACATTACGACTGACACCTGAGCAATACCTGAAATGCAAACGTACCTTGGTATTGGCCGCACAAGACTTTGCTCGACATGGCATGTCTTTTCGAAAGTCAGACGCTCAAAAATTCTGTCGTATTGATGTCAACAAAACCAGTACTCTGTGGTGTGCTTTCAACCGCTTGGGTTGGTTCGTGCCTCGATCATTATAAACCGCTGATATGAGTGGCAATTGCTCTTTTTCACCGTCTGCCTCGTCCCATTTCCCCATCCACGTTCCTTGCTTGCTTGTTCTATAGTTCCAATTATTTCTTTTTCCCTCGTCCTCTGTTCCTTTTAGTTTTTTTTTCCGCACTATTACTTTCACAGTAGGTGTTTGTTTATGTATGTAAAGTAGTTACCTAATGCCTGTAGTCTCTCTCCATCAACAATTGATTTATCTGTATATACTGTACAACTCTAAAGATTCGTCGGTCCTAATTACTCACAACTATGTGTTTGAATTCACACAAATGTACTCACTTATGTTATTATTTCTATGTCACTCATCCCCAAATATTCCCCCGAAAAATAAAATGAATTCATCCCGGATTGTGCTTTTTTTTTTTTTTGTTTTTCGCTGACGCTTTTGGTTTCCCGGTTTTCTTTTTTTATTTTACTGGATGATCGGAGAAATGAGAGCCTCCCTTCGTAAATGGGATATTCACTGCCCGTCGCCCAGTCACCGTTGCCAAGAACTCCCTCTATCCCGACTTGCCCAAACACGGTAAGCTGCAAAACCAAAAAGGTTCCCAATTACGAAAAAGAAAGACAAGCAATCTTCCACAACTTTTTTTTTTGTAGCGAAAATCTGGTAAATCTTTGATTTCATCATTTGGTTTCATCTCCACATTTCTTTTTTTCCATGTCGATCCTTTTTGCACTTGTTCGGTGACTTGCTATTTTTCAATTGCAGTAAGCATGGTGGTATAAGCAAAAAGACTTGGGGGATGCATGCCAAGATGGAATGGTCGGTTCGACAACCCGCTACGGTGGGCATGTCAGGTGTTGGTCCGACTTTAGATTAACATTCAGTTTGAACAAGAAATTCCATTCGCCGCCCAATCCACGGTGACACAAGCCTTGATTAAGTCCAACAGAGGCATCCGATGAACTGATAATAATCGACAAAAGGATCGACAGCGCTAAAATAACTCAAAATTTTAGAGCCAGTTTTTCCTCCATTCTCCCTTGGTGACTTGTCGTTTCTATCAACTTGCCATAGAACTACAATGCACGCGTATAACATTGGCAATACCATGGTTGATGAAAATGAAAATCATCAATATATCCGTGAAATCATTTGCAATAGGTCACAAAAAATGCAGTGCAACCCTGACTGACGTAATAGCGATGGCATGATCGGTTCAATTCATTGCTTACTCTAAACCAGTCAGCGGGTTCTACGTGCAACGATTCCAAACAATGAATGCGGTATTATCCAACCAAAAACAGGTCTTTCTGTTCATTGTTTATGTTACTGAAGCCTGAATCCAGCATCATCCTGAAATTCAAAGAATTTAAAAAAAAATCCTCAAGGAGGCAGCAAACCTTAAACAGTGTCATCCAAAATCAGCGCCCCGTTTTTGCGATTGACAACAGCAAGGTAATGTCACACGTATTAAACTGAGATCAAGGAAGCAAATAAAACCCATCATTTGCGACTGCAGTACTATCGAAAGATACTAAAAAGGTATCATTATAAAAACGTGACGATTGAACCTGGATTTTCAAAAGTGAAAGGGCAAAATTTGTATTGGCATGAGAATGCGGGTGCTGTAGCTTTCAATTGCACTTACTGGAATCTGCAGATCGTTTTATGCGATAGGGTTTATTAGCAAACGCTAAAATATGTTGATCGAATAGCCTGAATTTTCTATCATGAAACACATACTTTGAGCTACTGTCAAAATCAGACAAATCACGTACGTGTTCCGAAAATCGTTGCCTATGAAATAGACATGTATAAAGTACAAAGAGAAATTTCAATTCAATATAAACGTGATAAACCGAGATGACGAGACTAAATATGCGTTTTTTATGCTGCTAGTTGTGGTGTGGTCCTTTTTTTTAATCAGGATATCAAATATATATGTACCCACCAAGCGTGTCAAATGTTTTTGCATAGATATGATATACCACATTGATGGTTCTTGCATTAGGAACAGTTCTTTCTTGACAATTTTGAGAGTACTGAACGAATTTTTGTGGGCCTGCTGTCAAGTTCCCATGATCCATCATCTCTTCCAGTCGTGTTCCCAATCTTGTCAAGTGAAAGTCATAATGCCGTTAAGTTTCTTAAACCCAATGAAATACAAAATGTCATTGAGATCAAACCTTTCAAATTATACCAGTACTTACCGTCCAATGTCACGGAACGGTTCTGTCCATGTAATGGTCAACATCATAACAAGCGCCCAAGTATATATGAAAATCTATTCACTTAGGAGGCAACACCCTGTCTCTGAGAAAACCAGCATTGTCCATGAAATCAAGCAAAAACAAAAGTTTTCCATCCACAGCTGCCTTGTTCTCTTGCAGGCTCGGAGTCCATCAAGGAGCGATTGGTCGCTGATATGGTCTACAGAAAACTACAAAGCCCAAACATTCCTGCAGGCGTTTCTCTTCAAAACTATAACAGACCAACAGCCAGTACACCTCGGTCTCTCTGTGGAACCATTCGATAATGAATTGACCTTGTTGTATAGGATCCAATAGATTATAGAAGTTACGGGCGGATAAGTTCTTTTGAGGCTAAGATACTTTATTCATATTATCGTTGTCCGCTATTATATATGATCCGAAGAATCGCTGTTCTACCGTTATGCGGAAAAGTAACCTCTACAGACTAGAATTGCAATCCCGATCTTCCTGAAAACGGAACGGATTCCAAAGGATGGTTGAATACGACATATGAAAAGGTAGTGCTATGCCACAGATCTCTGGCAAAAAGCCTTATCCCTTATAGCGCGCTTGACAGTCAGTTGGAGTGCCAATCTATATCCATGACACAGTTCCGTCCGCGCAAAGGTACCCCAACAAGAAAGACAAGAAGAGAATGCGACGGTCCTCGTTGGCAGGCAAAAGAGTTTGGATCAATTCGGGGACGGAGTCCAGGATGTTGCTGGAAGGCAACCCGTATCGGAACAAAGCCCGAGCAGCAAAAATGTCATGGTACCCCCATCTAACGCCGCCAAGGGTCCCTGCTTGATAAGTTTTTGACACATGTTCAACATGGTTGGAAAAGCTGATTAAAGTTAAATTACTGGAATCCATGCGCTATTTGCAAAAACTTACCAGAATCGTGGAGCAACCACACCACATCTTTCCAACAAGTCATACAGGTATGGAAAAAACGTTGACTTAAAAGCCAAAGCCGATAAAGGTGTTGGCGGCATTGTGGATGCCGTTGCCCGTGTATAGCCCCAGGAAAAAATAGAGCAGCAATGTTCCGGGATTGTCGCAGAATTCAAAAGGGAGGCGATTTGAATTGGGAACATTGCCGACGATCAAGCTTTGGGCAAGATCGTCTTCTGCGAGTTGAAATGGGCGTCGATTTCTTCCCCAATTTCCGCTTCTTCCTCTTCAGTGATATCAGACTCACTCATCTCGGGGGCATCAGGACCAAGGCCTTGCTGGACTTTTTGAGATTGTACTTGCCGCTCTTCTTGCTGTTCTTGAATTACACCAGCGGCTCCAGCTGCTTGGTTATCTTGTTGTTGAGCAAGAGCTGCTGCTCTGGTAATACGATTGTTGTTGTCAGCCATTGATGAAAATCTCATAAAGGTAATTTGCAAGGTGTAAACTGGGAAGCGTAGATGTAAATGAAAGAGAATTAGGGAAAATTAGCAATTTGTAAATCACATGATCTACACTAAGTTATCAGGACCTGTTAAACCTTTTTTTCATCTTTCAACCATGCCTCGCTGCCCACTTTCACAATAATAGGCGAAACAATCAGCAGCAAGGTTCCGTTTGCGCCAGTTGTGGTCAAACAGAGCATGTCGTCTTCCAAATAAAAATGTGAGTAGAGCTCTTTTTGAAGAAAGGTGGTTGATGATACGACTGGCGTTCTTCTGTAGCATCATTCAATTTGTTTTTATTTGTCAGTTATACTGTATATGTCCTTTCATTCTCTTTCAATTTTCAATTAATCGATTAATACATAAGCAGACGTGCTTCGATCTATGAATTCATGCATCAGTGGGGTGACTATTGTTTCATCCATGGAGAATCATATATTTTTGTCTTCTTTCTTCTTTTGATTTTTCTCTCTCTCTTTCTGTTTGCTTCATAAACCCTCACTATCATTGTATCAAGATCCCATCCGCATCCATCATCCAGACCATTCTTATCCCGTGTATCTAACTTGGTTAAATCGACCACCATCCTCAAAAAGGTAAGCGTCGAGTGGTCTACCATCGATTTTGCTCCGGCAAAACAGACTTGGGGACTCTCGATATCTGGAATCCAACTCGAAGTTACCGTCACTTCTGGCCACGTCAATATTTTTTGCCTGCTCAAGCTGACACCACCGATCCATCGCTTAACTGTCCCTGGAAGCAATTTTATTTTCCGCATCGAAAAGAAGCTTACCTGTGTTCCGTATTCATCTTTTTTTTCCGGTACACCATTTGGTTCAAAGGCAAGTCCAATTTCTTTTCCTTTGCTATGATGTAATGAACGTATACTAATTCAAATTTTTTCAATGTCATATAACCCAAGTCGTGTCAAGCGATCAATGGCTATTGCAAACTCAAATAACAAAGGTAAAATATCTTGACGAAAATTTGAATCAATCAAAGAGCTTACTAACTCATTTTTTTAAATACCCAACATACGCACACATCTTTCTAGATCTATCATAGCCTGGGCGGGATGGAACTGAGGGGGGGAACCAGTGCTGCCCTGCGCGTGTTCAGAAACAAATCACGTTGCAACGTATGCCATAAGGTTGTCATTAATATACCGAAGTTCCGTCAAGAGTTCTCGCCCAGGTTATGCCGTGTATGCGTTAGGCTTTTTGTCTGACGAAAGTCGCTCAATGTAAGAGGGCGACCTCCGGTGGCAGGCGGCATCCATTGCACAGCGGGTGTACGGCTTGTTAGAAAAAGATGGAAATTCAAAGGAATACTTACTATACTTTCCTTTTTTTTTTTATTTTTTTTTTTTTTTTTTTTTTTTTTGCTATGGATTGGGCGTTTTTGACTTTGTTTCTGATTGGATTCGATGTATCACATTGTATCTCTTTTACTCATTTTTGGCTTTGTTTATCATTTCATTGTGTTTCTGCTCTTCTTGATCAAAAACATTCAATGCACCTTTTCGTAAACAGTAAAAGAACGAAAGTAGAGAAAGGAAACACGCGACTAATGTACATTAAAAAAGTTGTGGCAATTGCTTTCTTTTTTGTTAATCCTTCTTGATCACGCCAACGGTTGCATGATGAATTTTTGCATGAATGTAAGCACCTAGAAAGAACATATTTTCAGAGAGGTTGAATCAAATGCAATTGCATAATGAATGTAGCTGTTGACCGTACCTGCTTCATACATGAGAGTACATAGGGTAGCGCATGCAATGAAGAATAACATGCGGCCGGTATCCGAGAATTCGGCAAGGAAGGGATAAACCCAGAATTGGTTGCGCGAATAACAGTACGAGGTCCAAAAGTAATAGAGAATGGCAAAGCTGTAAATCACCACAATGTGACGCCAAGTTCGCTTAAATTCTACATTGAAAGCTAAAAAGTCGACCCACAGAAACACGGCCGGCCAAAAGTGAAGCGATAAATCAAGTCGTAGCGGTAAAATAAAAGCGACATCCGGTGACGCCAACAAATCCCGGTTGTAAAGTACCATGGGCCAGTAAAGCACGGTAATAAGGCCTTCGACCTATTATGCAATCCATACCAAGCGTCAGTGCTTCTTCCCTCATCCTTAATAGAAAAAAAAGTTGTCCTCATTCTTGTCTTTACCGGGGTAGCAATATTAACCACCATTTCGTGCATTGCTAACAAGGAGCATTAGTAAGCATGCGCGGGGTGGAAAAGCATTCCTCGAGCATCATGTTCAATTTACAGTCAAAAGCACCGGGAACAAACAGTCGAACAACTTTGAGGAAAAACGCCAAGGTGGCGACCAAGAGCCCGAGAATGGTCAAGAACTGGGGGGATATTACTGTTAAGTTTACTGTATTCACCGTCGTGTTGGGAACTTCCCCCCAAAAAAATTACCTGAAAATGACCACCAAATCCAGGCAACGGAAGGCTGACTACCACGCAGTGAAGTGCCCATAAATTGGAAACCAGGCCCACCGTAGGCACCACATATCGAAGCAAATGCACGAATCGGCTCATAAGTGTCAATGCAAACAATGAAAAAAAAGGTAATCGGTCAGCAAATTATTTCCCCATTCGGGAGACAACTTCCTTCCATTCGGGGACCCAGTCACATTGTTCCGCGCGCATTCTGCTTTTTGCATGATGCATTCAGTTTATTATGACAGTAAAAGTGATATCTCGAGTTTTTAAGCTGGTTTAGGCACGGCAAGTTTCTTTAAATCGCTTCCTGGTACTTCATCCTTTCCATTACTGTAAAACGACATCATGCATTCAAGCTTATATTTTCGCCATACGTCTTCCGAAGGGAATCCCATTTTTTCCCATTCCTTGGGCGGTTCTTCCATTGCTGCGTCCTCTCCTTCCTCTTCTTCGTCTTCCTCTTCGTCTTCGTAGCGCTGAAGAAATGAATCCCGATGATCATTGATCAGTTGATTCACGAAATTGGTGGCGTCTACGCCTAATCGATCGTGCCGTTGTTGCAGTTGGGTCCATTGGTCCAACCGTGATTTGATCAGTTGTTCATCTTCCATATTGGTATGATTCTGTGTATCCGTAGGTTGTTGTAATTCTTGGGCAAGAGCCGCTCGAGTCTCTTCTTCCAGCTTTTCAATATCGGGAATCAGTTTGGTTCGTAGTAATACACTGAGAATGTTGGTTTCTTGTTCGGTCGTGGTGGGAATAAAAGGGTGGAGCATGAGTTTGGGCAAGGTCGCGTTACTCCCTGCTTCTGTATAGCTGTAAAAGTCTTCTGAAAGCGACGCGAATTTCGCAGTAAGCATGTTGAATTTATTGAGTAGATCGGGCCATGTGAATGGAAACTTGGGTTCCTTCAAATAAGTAATTTGAGTGGCCAATGTTTCTTGCAAGGACCACAGCTTCCCCCGTAATGCTTCCAATTCTTGCACTGTATTCGGATCCAAAATGGGTTTATGTATCGATTGAGTAGGCTCCATTAGCGTTGGTAATATTTGTTGGCAGGTGAAGGTCTCCAGCTGCGACAAGTTGGCGATTTTTTACCCCTCTTTTTCCGACAATAAAAAGTTCACTTTCCAAAAAAAGAAGTCGCTTCCTGGGAATTGGTTGACGTCGACTGGCTGACTCTGAAACACGAGCGCATGCATTTAAGAAGCATTTCTGGTGGGTTTTTTTTTCCATTATTTTTGACTTTTTTTTTCTGCATCTTATAGAGAATAGTTTACCGTATGAATCCATCAAAATTTACGTCTGTCGATGCCATTCCTTCCCTTGTACAAAGCTTGCGCGACACTTTTGATACAGGTATGGTGGTTTGAGCGGCAGCCCGTTTTTTCACGCGTTTTGACTGACCTGGGTTTGTCCATCTGCATAAGGCGTAACAAAGGATATTCAGTTTCGAAAGCAACAGTTGGAGAAGCTCATACAGTTTATGGATGAGAATATGAAGAACATAGAAAAAGCTATCTGGGATGACCTTCGTAAGCATAAGCTTGAAGCGAATATCGGTGAAGTGAATCCTGTGATAATGGAAGCCCAGTATATGATCAAGGTACGGATAATATTTGCCGATAAGTACTCATTAGAATCATCTGATCTCTTTCTTTTGATCACAGAACCTTGATCGTTTAACACAACCAGTCAGTACGACAAAGCGGTTTGCCATGAACAGTCTTGATAAGACGTTGATACGAAGAGAGCCAAAAGGGGTCGTACTGATTATAGGTAGATTATTCGGGATAAACTTTTTTTTTGAACTTCTCCTGAATTTATTTTTTTATTCGACGATGGGAATCTAGGGGCATGGAATTATCCTGTATGTGAAAATTTGACGCCGCGCGTTCTTATTGTGAGCGCCATGAGAAATACGGAAAAGTGTATGTTCATATGACCACAAAAAAATTAGATCAACCTTGCTCTGTTGCCTCTTGTTGGAGCGATCGCAGCGGGCAACTGTGTCATTCTCAAGGTAAGTGGATGATTCTTTTCCCCATTTCTACTTGTCCCACAAGAACACTCACATATGGTTGCGTTAGCCTTCCGAAGTGACAGGCCACACAGCGGAATTGCTTGCAAACCAGTTGCCCAAATACCTCGACCAACGCGCTTACAATGTGATCACGGGAGCTGTAGCAGAGACCACCGCCTTATTGAGTACGTAGTATCCATGATGCAACCGCAAAAACAAAGTAAATGAAACCGCTCGCTTATTCGCCACCATGACGCAGAGGAACGATTTGATCATATTTTTTATACGGGCAATGGACACGTTGGTCGAATTGTGATGCAAGCGGCTGCTGAACATTTAACGCCCGTTACACTGGAACTGGGTGGCAAATCGTAAGTATGCACTCGATTTATGCAATGCATGCAAGCTTGCAGTTTTTTCTAAATCCACGGCGTCCCTAGACCGGCTATTGTCGCTCCTGATGCCGATCTTTCGGTCACAGCTAATCGCATCATTTGGGGCAAATTTTTCAACACTGGCCAGGTAAGCAAATCAGACATACGCCTCGGCTGCTACACAGGGAATCACACCTTTTTGATGCACAGACCTGCGTGGCCCCGGACTATGTGCTGGTAACAAAGGATACGGTAGAGCCGCTCATGGACGCGTTTCGAAAATCAATCATCAATTTTTATGGCGATAACCCTCAGAAAGAATTGTCTTATGGCCGTATTGTGAACCAGCGTCATTTTGATCGCTTAAAAGGATTGCTGGACGCATTGGACAAGGATAGCATTTATTTTGGCGGACAAACCGATCGCGATGATCTGTATATTGCGCCGACCTTGGTGGGACCTTTGAAGACAATGGATGCCGAGGTGATGAAGGAGGAAATATTCGGCCCCGTGCTTCCAGTCGTAGTTGCAGACGATGTCAACGCCATGATTCGAATGGTCAATGCTCGAGACACACCACTCGCCATGTATATATTTGCCAAGGATCCAAACACTTATCACAAAAGTAAGTATCATCCAATGGAAAACTCGGGCGGAATGCGCATCTCATGCAAAAAAAAAAAAAAAAAAAACGTCTTTTTCATTTTGCCCACTAGTTGTCGACAATACCAGATCTGGAGGAGTCCTAGTGAATGACACGTTGATGCATCTACAAGAAATGTCCTTGCCATTTGGTGGTATGGGTGCCTCGGGTATGGGCAATTACCACGGCGACAATTCGTTCTATACGTTTACACACGAAAGAGCGACCATGATCAAATACCCCGGCTTGGAAGGAGTCTTATCCGCACGGTATCCACCCTACAATGAGGACAAAGAAAAGATCATGTACCTGCTGGTGTACGGGTTTAATACACCTCGTTCGATGGGATCGACACTGAGGGCCGTGACGGGTTTCTGCTCTGCAATGTGGAGGTTCTTGTTCTCAAAGAAAAAGAAGGAATAACGGTAATAGTCTTTTTGCAATATGTGTTCTTGTGACCAAGAGCAAATGCGGTACCAAACACACTGGAAGAGGATGTGCAAACAATGCGCTGTAAGCTTTTGGCGATAAAATATTTAGCGAAAAATTACTTGTACAAGCTCATGTATGGAATGATATTTGGATTAAGCCATTAGCAACTTGTTGTTTTGAAATGCATTTTTACAGTTTCAATGCTGATTCCCTTTTTGTATCAAACATCGTCATACATGTGAGTCTTGGCATTTTTTCACGGAGAAAATGCCTCGGGCCACGATAAGAATCGGCATACCTGGACAATGACGAACGGAACAAATATTTAAAAAGAGCAATAGGTGAGCGATAGACGCTTCGCGTGTGGCGATGAAAAGTCATTGTTGCGCCACTCGCTTTTTCTTTTTGTTCTTTGATGGATATGAATTCTTTGATTTCGTCAAAGGGAGTTTGAATTTGAGAGGCTACTGAAGTAGAAAGCAGCCGAAAATTTAAAGGTCCGTTCAAGCAAGTGTGGGTCTTTCCTTTTATTTCCCCCCTTTATTGTTCATACCTGTTATGCACAGTTGGCGATTACTGCTCGTTGGGCTGTCGCTTCTTATTGCGCTTCTTTCGACCACCTATGCCGAAGAGATATTCATTGTAAGCGAAATTATCTCGAGCCATCTCCTCCACTCGCTAACTTTGGACTTAGACCAGCGACGATCATTACACCACATGCTCGGGCGTCTGGAGTAAAAGCGCCATTCCTGGTGGCGTCACCCCCTTTATCAAAGGTATTGTCAAAAGCGCACAGAGAACATGCAATCAGTGATAGCTTGTTATTCTTATCTTCTTTTTTTGTGGTCGCTGCAGTAACGCTTGGACCCAAGTCGCACGGCAAAACGGCGCTGCTCATATACGAATACAACGACTTTAAAGATATTGGAGCATTGGATAAAAATACTGGCGAGGTAGATGGGAATGGAATTGATACGAGTCTCGAGGAAAAAAGAAAAATATGGGCTGATGTCATGGCTGGAAATTAGATATACTATATCTGTGATGAACAAGCGGTGGCTGACAAGATGTGTACCAACCGTACGCTCGGTGACTTCATTGTCCATGTCCCTGCTGAACGCGCCAACGGTACATCCATTCTCACGTCAACATTTGATATGGATAATCAGACAGAAGTGGCCCTTTATAAAATCGAGAAAACGGGATACTACTGCGTGGCCGTTGTAGCGTCGGTGAACCCGTCCGGGAATGCTACGTACTTTGAGTCATGGATTGAATGGAAGTTCCCCTACGGAGAGCTGCCCGCCAGCGAATACCCTAAACTTGTTTTCTACGCCGTCTTTGCATTGGTGTACCTTGCGGTGGGCATCTTTTGGGCGATTCAATGTTTCCGACATTGGCATGATATTTTACCCGTGCAGCACTTTTTGTCGGCCGCCATCTTTTATCTCGCAGTGGAGATGGCCTTCAATTGGGGTTTCTGGGAAGCTTACAATCAGACGGGCACACCATCGTACGGCTTGATGGTTCTTGTTGCGTTACTGAACGCTGGTCGTGTCAGTATCTCGTTCTTTATGCTCCTCATTGTGTGCATGGGATACAGTGTCGTGCGACCCTCGTTGGGTGCCGCCATGAAACGGTGTGCCATTCTGGCGGCCACTCACTTTTTTTTCGCCGTCGTTTATTCTCTCGGTACCATGCTTTTGGATCCTGAATCAGCCGGCTATCTTGTCCTCTTGGTCGTTTTCCCGCTCGCTATCACCATGACCGCCTTTTACGTGTGGACTTTAAGCTCCATCACATCCACTTTAGCTACTCTTGGTAAGGCCAACAATTAAAGGGATTTTTAACTTGATATTGTTCCTATTTTAATGCGGTTCATTGCTTAGAACTTCGTCAGCAACATGTCAAGGCTTTGATGTACCGACGACTTTATCGATTGCTTGTGTTTTCCGTGTTGATGGTGATCGTGATTTTCATACTCAACATGCTCAATTTCTCGGACCGTACCGTGGAAGATTGGGCGGCGCGCAATTGGAAACGTCGGTGGTTTATGCTGGATGGATGGCTCAATATCCTATATTTTACCGTGTTCTTTGTAATTGTCATTCTTTGGCGCCCCACCAGCAATAACTCCCGGTATGGTTTGGAACAACTGGCCCAGGATGAAGAAGAAGCCTTGGCTCTGGAAAACCGATTGCGCCGCACCGAAGGCCAACGCCACGGAGACGACGATGACGATGCTGCTATTTTTGAGTTGGGAGACGATTTCAGCGATGATGAACGAGACCACAGCGGTTCACAATGGAACAGCCACACAAGACAAGCGGACGTACCAAAGCAAGACAACAAGACCGCCACACTTCATGTACCTCACCAAGACAGCGATGACGGCGAGGACGATGATGAACAGTAAGTAAAAAAAAAAAAAAAAAAAAAAAAAGAGAGAAACGCGTGCGTTGATGGGAACATTTGTATTTATTTTGACTTTTTTCCATAGTTTGGAAGACGATGAACGTGCTCGATTAACGGGCAATGCACGCAAAATGTCATAGAAAAAAAAGCGTACAATAACGATTTAAAGAAAAGAATAATAAAAATATAAAGATATACAAGGAAGAGGGAGTGATATTTACATGGCCCCCATACGTAACTGGATATTTTGCATGGGCGGTTTGGCGGAAGAAGGTTTCGGCCGTCGTGGTGTCCATCGTTTGGTCCATTTGGCGATATCACTTTCCACCTCCTTTAGTGATTGCACGCGACGTTGGAGTTCCCGACAACCTATACCGGCGTCACTGGCCGCCCACCGATCGAGATCACAGTTCACCACTTCCGTCTCGTCTGACACGATGTCTCCGTTGACGTGGGGCAAGGCCGGGCGTAACGCCTCCATGTGGTGCCGTAAGCGTGCAACCAGTATATTGCATACAGTAATGTAAAAAACACGCGATGTCCGTGCCACCTTGACCAGAGATGCGATATCGGGGGCAAAGGAAAGCACAATGTCCAAGATCTCGGGCGGTAAGTCTTGGGCGGGGAATTCGGAGGAGGAGGATGGTGCTGGCAGATCGGTTTTGGGAAGTATGTCGGTGGCGGAGAAGGACAGGATCCAGGAAGCGAGTTTCCGGTCTTTGCATTTCTGGATTTTTCGTTTCAGTTGATCGATGAGATTGTAAGCATCGTGGTAGGCGACAACGCCCATCATTTCCCATTTACACCGTTCATCAATCAGACGTTCCAGAAGAAATCGATGGAAGTAATGACCGGGGCCTCGTCCAATATAAATTTTCTCCACCGCCAAAGTGCCGCGACAAATCTGAAGCATGGCAGGCCATAATTCATCGTCTGACATATTGAGTTTCAAAGCACGACCGAGTTCCATGGCTTGCTCGCCGCCGATGAACGGATAGTCGAGAAAAGGTGTGTTCTTTTGAATGTCGGCCACGCCTGCCCGCGAACCGGGACACATGACAATGAAATAAGCATCCTTTTGCAGTAAAAGGCGAAAGAACTTGAATTTTAAAAAAGAAAATGCGACGGTTGTGTTATAATGCAAGATCCCCGTTTTTAGATGATACCGCAATTTGAGAGCTTACCTTTTTCCTTTCGGGATCAATGGTCCATTCTTGTTGCGTAAAAGGATCCACGTATCGGTTGACGTCGGGGTCCAATCCATACATATTTAGAATTCGCAGTAGTTGTGGACATACAGGACAAGGAATGCTCTTCATGGTAATGAGGACCAGGTGATGTTCATTTGCCAATTGCTCAATATTGATCTTATTGCCCTAAGTTGTATATATATTTGCGTGAGCCAAAGATTGCCTGCATCTTTTGCGTCGACCTTTGTTTTTTCTTCTGTCCTGGGCCAAGTAGGAGAAGGACGGCGAAATGGGGTTTGGTTGCAGTGCCTTACCTTGACGTCGACTATTTCCTTGCATGGAAAAGTACATGGCACAGTGGTCATTGTTTGGAATACGTCAAAATTGTCTTCCATGGCCGTTGTCGAGAATGGTTTAGAAAAACTGAAAGATAAAAAATTGTACCAAAAATGAAACTTTCATTGCTTTTTTTACTTTTTGGCAATTCATCAAATTTATGGAATTTTTTCGCCTCGCTTAAAAAAACTAAATTCACAAAATAGCTCATTCGAGCAGCAACATCGTCTATTGGCTACCTCGGATCATTTTCTCACAAAAAAAAAGAAACAAAAAACAAAATAAAACACTACACACTGCTGTATACAGTGCTTTTCATTTGCCCAGCATCGGGAAACGGTTGCATTCTGCAAGCACCTATTACTGACGCCCATCCGCCAATCATGTGCAGTCTATCGACAGCCCGTTGCTGCAGTCATCTCCGAAATAGGTCAGTTTTGGCCCCATCTCATGAAGCATATCATGAGAATACTTCAAAAACCGCTTGTGCAGTTAAGCATGACCATGATGTCATGCCCAACATCAACCTCCCGTTTCTGCGTCCCAATTTGGCAATCAAGACAACAAACTGGGTTTTTTGCTAAATGCACATAGAGATTTGCACATGCACTTTTTTCACAAACTTTTGACACAATCCCCCCGAAACCAATTGGCACAAAAATGAAAGTTCACTTTGGCACACTTACCAAAAACAAATTAGCACACATTTTCAAAATAAATTGGCTCATTTTTATTCAAACACATTGGCACAGGTTTTTTTTTTATAATTCTTGTCACTAAATATGGCATTTGCATATGAAGATGGGTTTGGAAATGCTGTTGACGAGTCAGGACATCATGTATTGGACATGGATGTTGACGAAGAAAACTATCCAATAACCAATTATGACAGATATATGGCCTTAAAACCACCAGAGCAAGAAAAGGTCAACAATACAGCAAGGTCAGACAAATCGATAGACAAACCCATTGATCCTACTAAACGGGGGACATATGCGGACTACAGCGATAAGCAAAAAGAAGATTTCTTTTTTCTTGTGAAAAACCTCACAGCTGGTAAGACGGCAAAGCAGTTGGGGATTCCTAGGCGCACTGGGTACAATTGGTTGGAAAAAGATCAAAAATGCCCTAATGATGAAATAAAACCAAATACGTCAAATCGCACAGGTGGCAGACCTCCAATTTTAAATAATGTTCATAAAGAGCATCTGATCAAGTTTGTGGATGCCAACCCTTTAGCCCCATTGGATGCGATGATGGAAGATTTGACGAGCAATTTTGAAGGCTTATCTTGTCAACGACTGCTCTGTATAATTTTGTAACCAAGAACTGTAGTCAGGCCCACATGCATTCGGAAAAACGAAACGAACCGGAAATGATACAAGCAAGGTACGAGTGGGCAATCCGCTGGAGCACAACAAAAATGGATTTCGTCAAAAATTGTATTTTCGTCGATGAATCAGCCTTTCATATTAATCTCAAACGAAACAACGCGTGGTCCGAAAAAGGCACTAGAGCAGAGGTGATAGTATCTCAAACAAGAGCAAAGACAACAACAATTTTAGGTGCAATTTCTGCTCTTGGTGCCATCAATATTAAAGTACGTCGGCCACAGGCTCCTTCAAAAAAACGAAAAGCTACAGGGTCAGCTGGCATGAAGATATCAACTGGGACTGTCACAATGCACTATCACAATTTTATGAGCAACACGATAGATATTCTAGACAGGCATCCAAAAATGAAAGGCAGCTTCAACGTCATGGACAATGCCCCCATAGACACAGCATCAAATATTGCCAAATCTATTGAAACCGTGGATACCAATGTGTTTATCTGCCTCCGTATTCACCAGAGCTAAATCCTATTGAACAATTCTGGTCCATTTGCAAGAGCAAACTCAAACGGGAGAAGTTGCTTCAAGAAGAAACCCTCACGTCACGAATTGCAGATGCCACCCGTAGTATCCTTATTGAAGATTATCAAGGATTTTGTCTTTATTCTGCTGCCAGAATTGCGGATTGTTTAGATAAGCGGTCTCTATGTTACTGTATACTGTTGATGAAAAAAGGGTTAAAGAAAGAAGAGTCGTATAATAAAACTATTTTTTGTTCTGTGTTTTAAGAGGATGTCTAAATGCTTTATCGGCAGCCATCAATGACCAACCCGCAGAACACAGCTACGCACTCTGTCTTGATTTCCATCGATCGCGTCGTTCAACGTTACCAAGATCCTTATGTATTTTGTCACGATTGTTTCGGATTTGATGGATTCCTTGCCAAAAAAAAAAAAAAAAAAAAAAAAAAAAAAAGGAAGGTTGGTGGCCAGCAGTTTCTTGACATTTGCCAGCGTGACAAAGTCCCAGATACAGTACTACAAACAACGAAAACGGTGGATATATTTGTCACCACTGTCTTCCCAGCAGTGAATACATAGGAATTAGATGCCCAATGAAGATGAAAAGAAAATCAGCATGAAGCTTTGTATTCCCCGTCGCCTGTGCATGTTAACATACTTTTCGATTTACAAGCAGCACAATATCAGGAACCTTCAACACGCCATTGAGCAACCTACATGTCGCTCTTGTACGGCATTGATTTGCTGTTTTCAGACATGGAAGCTTCTACAAATTATTGTGCTTGACAAACAGCAAAATCCAGATACAGTATCTGTACTACATGATGTTTTGGAAATTTGCCAAAGGCCATGATAAATCATATATAATACATTTCAGAATGATGACATTCCCACCGATTTTGCCTTTTATCAATGATAGAGAAAACAACTTAAGGTTGTGGATAGGATGTAAGTACAAATTTGTATCAGAGTAAGTTGAGACGGGGGTAACACATCTGCTTGACTTGGTCGTCTTTGTTGATGATGACAAGTCCCACTTGCTCTTTTTGCAAAGCTTTTGTGGCATGCTCTTGCTCTAGGCACATTTCCTAAAATACAATAATGGTTCCCCGGTGAGACATTTTGTATCGTGGTTGTTTTACCTTCAACTTCATCAGCAGCTCAAAAACTCTGACCCAGTGAAAGCGATCTCCCCAGTCAGTAGGCACCACAGCCGATCGGATCTCAATGCACGTGATTCGTATGCCGTCAAACTTGGTTGCCAAAAGATTGGTCTTGTCGCCAATCGCCTGGATGGCAAACACTTGGCGTCGTTTGAAGGTCATTGAGGAGGCGTTGCGATACTTCATCATATCCAACTGTAAGCAGGCACTTGTGCACTCGAGAAGTTTCAAGAAGTCTTCTTGATTGTGAGGGGTATCTTGTGGACTAAATGGTTTGTGTTACCATCAATGTTTGAGCGATTTCCAGGAGATCCTGTTTCAATAATTGCCACACAGACTGTGCAGGCGAATTATTTTTGCTTCTGTATGACTTGTATGCATCGAATACATTCCAGTTGTCCGATTTCGTTTTTTTTTTTTTTTTTTTTTTTTTTTTTTAGTGGGAGAGTAAGTGAATGACAAGACCGCCGTTCATTGGCCAGATAATATCGCTGCAAGAACAAAACAAAAACGTGAGAACCCTTTCTTTTTTTTTTCTCTCCGTGTTGCCATTTGTCCTTCATGATAAGGTGTGATGGAGTGTTGCAGTCTGGCAAAACCGTGTTTGAAGATGTGCCAATCAATTTGTGTTGCTATTTTGTGCTGTGATGCTTTTTTTTTTGACCCAGTATCTGCTTCTTTCAACCTAAAGCTGGTTTGCATCCAACTAGAAAGTCTAAACGGAACCATGTACGCTGTTCACGCTTGCCCTTCGCCCGCTATTGCGCCCTTGGGAACGACAAGGAGGACATACCTGTGGCTTCCCCTTTCGATGTTGCCGTTTCCCCCTTCAGTTTGAAAGCGTGATGGAATGTCGGACATTGGCAACATAACGGTTTGCAGGTGTATGAGCCCACTTTGAATTAACAGGTCAGTATATCAATGTGTGTTGTTGCTTTATTGTGATCCGTTTATTTTATTAGGTCTGCTCCATCTTTCGGAAACAAACCAAATCAAATATCCGTTTTGTGGCATCCAACTGGGTCAAATGCGCCAAAATACAATTGTGTGCCAAATTGTTGTGCCAAATTCTGTGCCATTGTGCTCCAATAAATTGTGCTAATAGGTTATTAGTTTAGTGTGCCAAAAGTTTTGACATCACTTAAATTTCCATTTTTTTTTTTTTTGGTTGACGTAGCTCATGTGCATTTCGCGACTTTTATGCATGATCCGGACCTGACAGTAACAGTATTGCGTTGAATTATTTTTATTCTCAAAACCAGCTACGATATATTATGTTACTCGAGAGGTTATAGATCAATTTTAGTGGGCAACGCTTACAAATTATATGAAAAGAAGCTTATAATCGGTTAGATCATAAGAAGCTTTTACACATGTCTTCATAAGCGATGAATAGTGGCGGGAGCTTGGTTCTGTGTGTTGGTTTTATAGTCACGAGCGGAAGAAGGGAGAGAAAAATGGTACAAACAAGATGCTTTGCTGCTCACTATAAGTGGCAATAGCAACGTTGTAAGTGCTGCATGCAATTAAAGCACAGTCAGGAATCATAAACCACAAAGCCTGAAGCCGCTGAGATGCATCAGTGCTGTTCAGTGTTGTAGTGAGTTTTTTGACAGCATCCTTGCCGATACTAATATAAAAGTCCAATTTATCCTTCAAATGATCCAGCATATCTGATTGACCAGCTGCCAACACTGTCCACTGCTTTTAACGCTATGTGCGATCGCCTGAAATCCACAGTTTCCATCTGTTCAGGATAAACACCCGAGAGATTGACTTGCGACTGATAGATGAATGCACTACGTTCTAGTGACCATCAGTTGTGAGCATTCACTTTGCAAAGAAAGCTGCGAAGAAGCGTTTTCTGGCATTACTGCAGAGGTTGTCAGCTGAAGAGAAGAACTGCAATAATCAAAACATATTAGTAGCTTTTCTTCTAAAAATCCAGCTACTGTAGCAGAAAAAAAGGAGGTTATTCCCTTTCTCATTATCCCATTCGCCCAATTAAATATTGTAGCACTAGTGTAAACATTGAACCGTCTAGTTGTTGCTGCACTATCGATGATCGATAGTTAACATATCATTATCAGATCCCGTACATCATGTTGTTGGTTGCTGTATTTACCAAGGGAATGAAAGGTTTAGTGCTATCATATGCACGGAAACAGAGAGAAGCTGCTTGCATTTTAGCATAATTTAGTCCTTTCTCTTCTTTGTCAACCCTGTGATTTTCCAATCTAAGCAAGCCTAAGATGGATGGATTGTTGAAGCTTGAATAAAGCTCAATCTCAAGCGTATACATAAAGCCATTATGACAAGCTAATAGAGCCATAGCAAGAGCATATTTTTCAGTCATCGGTAGCACAATTTTGACTCAGCTTGCAATTTAATGGCGATTGGGTGCATGGTGAATCATGACAAAAAAAATGGTCAACTGTGTCTGTGTGACTGACCTGGCATCGAGCATGACAAACGCGTCCTTTTTAAATCCACATCTCTTCTTCCCTCTATCATTCGACTCTACACCGTACTCACACTCGACCTTACCATGATGCCGCTACGGGACGGTGTTTCATCCCGCTAACGATAAGAAATTTTAAATACTTGCAAACTCGTAAAATAAGTTGGCAACAACCCTACGACCCGAGTTCGCCAGCTACCGCGTAAGACGCCTCTATATTGTAGATAGCCTATAGCAAGAATCCATCTGAATTTATTGATGATTTTCCCAAAATAGCAACTTTTGCGAAGACTATCCGAAGAATATACGAACCTTAAGCGAAATGCAGCAATCTTGCGCTTCTTCACGTGCTGACTTGTAATCAAGCATTTAAAATTGAATGTACCGCGTTATTTGTCCCGCGTCTGGGAGACGTTCTTCATTGCTTACAGTAAGCGCCACGGCGTTACGCTTTCTGAGAGCGCAAAAAAGCTGGGTAAGATAAAAAGTAGTCATGATGGGCCATCGAGATTCTGAAAAAGAGACATAGGCGGTGAGGCTATTGCCAAGTTGTGCGCATACAAATGACGCAAAATGAGCTGAATGACATAGCTCGTTTCACAAACGGGCTGTTGACCCCTGAAGCAAAAGCAATATGGTGTTAGCCATATGATGCCAATGACTGGAACCGCGTTGCCGGCGGCACTGCCGCTATTCAGTTACTTTTACCAGTAAGTTTGAAAGTGTATATTGAATACATGATCGGAACCAACAAAAATGCTTATGTAGGGAAAACCTGAATGAACGCAACCGTTAGTTGCCGGTTTAAGCGCTGCCACCATAGAAGAACAAACGGATACAAGGATGCCAGCCAACTTAATTCGGTACTCAGCATGGCTCTTACAGAAGGCGCACAAGTTGGGGGCTAAACAGTGGTCTCTCCTTTCCCTCTCATTGGACCGAGTCGGTAAGGTATTGTATGGCCCCATTGCATATATTTCAGTAGACAACTAACCGAACATTGCAGCCTACGTGCGATTGGTGGGAAACGGCTTGTTTGATTTTCTTAACGAAGCCTGGATGTCCGGATATCCTGCTCCTCACGGTTTGACGGTTCGACGGTTCGTGAAGATCGTGTGGAAAAACTCTGTGAATTACGCTAAGCAATCGTCTATAGTACGAAAAGGGTTTAAAATCCAGAACGGAGTCACGTATACAGTTTATACCAAAGCCTTGTTTGAAAGGTCCTACCGAGACCAATAATATAAGCAAGACCTGTGGGAAGCAATTTATAACATTGACAAAATTTGCCCAAAACGGTTGCGCTATTTGCAGGTGGAACCAGGTAAAAGGCTGCGATTGATACAGCAATACGTTGAAAAGAGACTAACTTGCGACTTTTTTTTTTGACAATAAACAGTCGGTACAACAAAGCATACCCAGTTCGCCAACGTCATGGAGACAGATGGTGTTATGACGAGCGTGAAGTTCGTTAAACGGTGGGACCGGAGTAAGTTCTTGCAATTGAAGGTGTATTGCCCATTATTCAGATGATCTTCCCCATCTATCATTAGCGCCGTACCCCTCCTCCAAGAAGGCGTTTCATTTTTTTCCCTAGACGGCCCAACGTGATCAATTGGACCAGAGGTTTATATCATTTAAAAAAAGAGCCGACTGGCTTGAACCCTGCTGCGCGTGTCATCGGTATTGATCCCGGTAAGTATTGATACTCATGATACCAACTCGCATACAACTGATTGATGATACGATAGGCCAGCGCTCAGTCATAACAAGCTGTGACACGGACACCAACCTGCATTTGGAGGAAGAACGAAGTAACCATGTTTACAGATTACCAATCGTGTATACCAGTAAGTACCGCCATTGGATATATACAAGAATAACTGCAAATATGTAACCGATCATTCGATATGTTTAGGCAGAGCAGTATGTTCCGTTGGACAACCCAGATAGAATTGAAAAATAGAAAACAAGCAAACATACAGCCATGCTATGACGAAATCAAGGAAGCGCCACCCTCTGTCTTCACGATGGATGCGTTTAAGAAGTATATCGAGGCTATCGCTCGTAATCATCAGAAGCAATGGAAGCGCCAAAAGAAGTGTTCTGTATGTTAAGCGATTAATTTCATCCTTTAGGTGCATACATTCAATTGCACATTCCGCCACCGGGAAAAACGTGCGCTGCACTCGCAAAGGCAAATGGTGCTAGATAAAATGGCGGACACCTTGCTCGGGGATCCTGCCGAGCCAAAAATTGTAAGTTGATGATATTTCACATCTTCTCAACATGTAGTAATGAACGTTGTGATTTAATAGCCTTGTCAATGGGTTTATAAAAACTCTCGAAAATCACGTCATCGAAGAAGGAAAAACGCTCGAAGAAATGAGCGGAGGCCAGAGGGTGCAGCCAAAGTCGCATTTGGGGATGCAGACCTGAAGCCCATGAAAAAACATGCCCCAGTTCCAATCAAGGTACGGCACGATGGTAAAATGATATACTCCAGAAGACATTGCTCATGCAAAAGTCTCCAGGGTTTTCGCAAGGTTCTTGCCCGGAAGGCAGTGGTTATTTGCGTTGATGAATATCGGACGAGCAAGGTATGCAGCCGTTGCGACTGTGAGACGGTCGAAGTACGAGACCCACAGATACCTGTGTGCAAGCATAAGTGAGTCATAACGAATTTGCACATTGTATTATCAAGCTGACAGTGCAGTGGCAATAGGAAGAAGTATTGCCGACTGAAAAATTTTGACAAAAGGCGAAGAGGACGTTGTTTGGATGATGACGGCAATATTCTTTGCTATTCATCATAATGCCGTCAAAGCAGACCCGCAGGCAAGTTGAAGACTTTATTGAAGTTAAGGGGTGGTACTGACACAATCAAGTAGGCCGATCTTGGCAAAGCGTTATTTACCCGATTCGACTGTGCCCCCAGTGCAAGTCGGCGAATAACGATGCCAATGCACTGGTAAGCAAGGAGTCCGGAATACTTTGACAATATAATGACTACATCATTGGTTATTCTGGATTTGGGACCGCGATATCAACGCTGCCGTCAATATGAGAAGAATCCTCGCAGCATATATCAACTCCGGTTACCAGACCGATTCAAGACCGGCTTCCCTCCAACGACGCGCACAAGCTGCGCTTGACGACGAAAGCCTCGTCGACTAGCCTCCTGGTGCAGACCAGGCTAGGTCTGGGTTGATAAGTCAATTCGAGTTAAGTTTTAAATTGAATGACATCAGCAAAGATTAACCAATTTTATTTTTTATGTGCAAACACTATGTGCATTTAGCAAAACCCAACTAACTAAAAAGCTCGATGTCAGATCCAAACCTTATTTCGTCATGGCTGACAAATGTTTGAAATGTGAAAATTTCATCCTGTTTTCTGAAAAATAAAATAAAATAAAATAAAAAAATATTGTTGGTAATCATTACTGAACTGCAGCATTGGACAATGAAAATCGTTTTTATCTTTATTGAAGCGTTACTTCTTGGCATTGGAAAAATTTGCTAGGAGAAAATTCCATGACAACAAGTTTCACACGCTAGAATAGAGCGGAAGGTGTTACCTTGTAACCACAGTATATAATGCGAATCCACACTCACTGATCATCACTGAGTTGCTTTTATTTGATGCCCCAAAATGTAATATAAGGGCCCTTCCTGTTGGATTTACTTTTTGTAACTACAAAACGTGAAAGATCATTGTTCTGCGACCCGGTTATTATATCAAAGCACAAGGGATAGAACGCGTATGATAACATTTTAAAAAAATGATAACAGAGAAAATTCAAGAGTGACGAAGATGACCCAAAATAAAGACGACAAGACTGACAGCAGTAACGGCCACCGCTACTTGGACCAACCACACATACCCGTAATTTTCATACAAAAACCCGCCTGCCAAACATCCAACACCATACCCCAATCCATAGTTTAATGCGGCCAGAATGCCTTGCGCAATGGCTCGCTGATCCCCGGGGAATAATGTGTCGACTTCAAAGACACTCGTAGACCACAGGAGAGCGTAGGATAAACCTAAACAAAAGGAATGGATTTCGGTGGATCAATCGACCATCTACGAGTTGCGCGCATTACCGCACGGTTTTTCCATGTGCGCTTTTACCGTTGAACAGCTGCATGGCTAAACAGAGACACTGAGAAATCGTTTCGCCTGGGATCACGGTGATGTAAACAAGACCACGAATCATAAACGTTAGATGTGCCATTGTCATCAGTGCAACGACACTGAATCTCTCAAACAGCTAGTTGGATCTGGAGTCAGTCCAAAAGTCAAACGTCTCCAGCGATGCATCGTGGTGGTATTTTACCTGCTTGGAGATCCAAAACGTCAACATTTCCGCCAATCCACCCAGAGGCCCGGTCCAACCAATCAAAGAAGAAGACATATCGAGATCATTGTGCAAGATCAAAAAGAGAAACTGGTTGATCATAGAAAATGCAATGCCATAGAGGAACACGGTAATGAAAAAACTCCAGACACGCCAGGAACGCAGCATCGATCCCTCGGATTCAGTGGTCGTCGGCAACTGGAGCGTGGCCAAAACGGCCAGGGAGGTATCAACGGTAGGAATCTGAGACAGGGCCAACCCAAGGGGTGGCACAGGGGTGTTCATTTGCGATACATAGGCCTCGGCTTCCAGTTGAGCATCCAAGGCTGCCGTGGTCGTCGTCGACAGACGTAAAAGGGCACTGAACCGACCATCGTCTCTGTCATCCACGTAAACCGTATTGGCGTGACTCACCAGGCTTCCGCGACGAAACGATGCATAGTGTTGTACAACCGAGTCGGCGGACGAGGAACGACGAGATTGAGTAATCATGGCAGGTTTGTAGCCGAATCGAGACCGCGTAGGGTCCATATTGCTCAAAAGAGGCCGCACCGCTTCGGTGTCTTCAGTGGAAGCAGCTTCAATACGTATGCACAGCGATAACAGAATAAAACCGACTAATCCGAGGCCAAAAACCAGAAACGCCGTGTTGATGCCAAATTGGGAAATCACAAACCCCACAGTCAATATATGCAGACCATTGGAAAGCGAACCCCACATCCGCTGATTCCCTGTATTGTTTTTTTTTATTGCGTCAACGGCCAGATTCCTTGGCTTCCTTATAAATTCACCATGGACTCACCGTATATCGCCCGTTGGTCCGCTAGTATCTTGAGTACGGCGCTGTCCACCAGCGCGCATACCGGACTTCCGAAAAAGGCAAATCCAAACGCTAAAGCGGCTGTCAGGGCAAGTGGATTTTCCAAACCGAGGCACGGCAGCAATGGTAGAACAAGTACGCATCCACCTCCAATACAGGCTAAACCGGCCATCAAAAAACCATGCGCAGCGGGTTTTCGATCGGCGACAAATGTCCACAGAGGACAGGCAAACACTTGGACAAATGGCGCAATGGAGAGAAGAAAGCCAATCTCATTGCGAGTGAGATGAAGTACGCCATCATAGAAAAGGGATATATAAGCCAAGGCAGAACCATAAAGAGAATACAGTAAGATATAAAGAAGCTTCAGCTGGAAAAAGGCAGCCATAGCTATAGAAAACTGGAGAAGAAAATAAAAAAAAAAATAACAGAAAGGAAAAAGAACCCAATACAGAAAAACCAAGGTGGGTTTTTCAATCTCCCTTTCACTCCGTTTACACAACATTTAACTGACTTGCAAACCTTTTTTTTTAGGCTTGAAAATGCGGCATGCTTTAACGGTGTCCTTGTCCGAAACAGATGTTGGATTTCTCAAAAGGACTGAAACTTCAGGAGCAATCTCCATGGTTCTTGAAACCTTGCATGGTAACACGTCTCCGGCGATTTAAATCCCGAACTCGGTCTGACAGTGCACTTCTTGCATTTTCAAGATCTATATTATTTTTTTCTCACCGGAGTTGAGTGAGATGATCTGAATATCCGAGATGCGTCTGGTCAAAAAACAACAAACCAGCTGATACAGCGACTTGTTTGTATGACATGTTACTGTTTGTTGTTTGTCCAATGAAGTGGGCAAACATGTGTAAATAATATACATTCGTACATACCGTAAATCTACTGCATACAGCATATTGTATTGGCTATAGTATTTTTTTTTTTTTTTTTTTTTTTGATTTGCTCAATCAATCCAATTTCCAAGATAAATAGTACCACCTTTCTTAACCAAAGACGCTTAAATGGAATTGGCTGGTCTCGACGTTTCGATGATTCGCACCGTTAACCAAGAAAAATTCCATTCTCCAGTCTTTTGAAATGAACGCCACGCGTTATGCTTTGGTATTCCATGATCAAGGCGGTATTTCGCATAAAAGGTCATGCAAGAGCGCGCGACATGCATTGGTGACAAGAAAAAAATAGGATTCTGTATCAATATGGATTTTATGACACGTCTGGCCATCTTTCCAGAAAAAGCTTCCAGAAACATCTACTGTACTCATTATTCGTCGATAGGGCAATTGCCTGGAAGTGCTTTATGGTGCTTTTACATACGAGGCAGCTGGTATAATATTGTGGCCTATGAAGCTGTTGGAGAACTTTGGTCAGTCCGTTGGTAGAACATCTTTTTTATTTATTTTTATTCTATCTCTAACAAGCCGTACACCCGCTGTGCAATGGATGCCACCTGCTACTGGGATGTCACACTCTTACATTGAGTGACATTCGTCAGACAAAAAGCCTAACGCAATACGGCATAACCTGGGCGAGACTCTTGATGGAACTTTGGTGTATTAATGTCAGGATTCTGGCATACCATGAAACACGTTTAATGAACAAAGCAGCGCTTATTGACCTCCTCCGTCCTGTCCCGCCCAAGGTTATGATAGATCTACAAAGATGTGTGGATATGTTGGATATTGAAAAAAAAAATGAGTTAGTAAGCTCTTTGATTGATTCCAATGTCGTCAAGAAAACATTGAAGACAATAATATGTGGATTTCCCATGGATGAAACGATAGCCACCCTACTGATGCATGAATTCATAGATCGAAGCATATCTGCTCCATGTATCACTCGATCATCGAAAACTGAAGAGAATGAAAGGGCATAAAAAGTATAATTGACAGAAAAACCAAACTAAATGATGCTACAGAACACCCAGATCGACATCGACAACAGCCTTTCTTCAAAAAGGGGCTCTACCCACATTTTATTTGGATGACGACGATGCTCTGTTTGATCACAACTGGCGCAAACGGCATCTTGCTGCTGATTCTTTCGCCTGTTACCGTGAAAGTGGGTAGCGAGGCATGGTTGAAAGATAAGAAAATAGGTGCAAAAAGAATTAGCAGGTCCTGATAAGTTGGTGTAGATCATGTGATCTACAAAATCGCTTCATTTATTGATGGTGCTGCCGCTGTAATATTTTGCATACCATGAGATACACGGCGAACTTGGATAAATTTACACATGTATGTTCTTTCACACAAACCTTTTGGCCCACTATCTAGTTTTACGCTGATCGGACTTGACGCAACTAATATCCGGTCAGTAGTCCAAAGAATTACGATGGTGCTCTGTTGCGTCGTTCAAATTCGTTGCTACCTACACGCATTTTCCTTTCTAGCCATCTCCTATGTTTTGCATCATAATTTTCAAGATATCACATATTTTCTTTGCTGAACCATCTCGGTTCCTTTCTTTTATATTGTTTTGTTTATTTCCATCCAGCTCCCACATTCTAGAGAGATGTCGAGGATGCATAAACTCACCTCGAGGGAAGCATTCGTTTTGGGTACCAAGATAAAAAAAAACGCAGATTTCAGATTTCGTGATAAGAAAGGTCTTATCTTTTTCTTTCAAAAGCGGGTAATGGATGAATCATCCAACCATTCCGAGTTTGACCTTCGTGTAACGTGTCGCTGCTATTTTATTCACCCGAGATCGACGAGCCCTGGATTCCATTGTCAAAATCAGCCGTCACGAATAGCTGAGTTGGAAATTCCAGTTCATATATTACAATTTTGATGCCTTTTGTGTCGTTTTTCTTTTTATTTATTTATTCATATTACACCAGCATGACGTCTCCCCAATCCAATACACCAGCCGAAGTGACCAAGCACCTTACAGAGGGTGATTATGATTCGTTGGATACCAAGGCAAGATATCTGGCGTATACAGCTCGTATTCGTACGGCGATCACGGCAACATCACGATACCTTGCTTACACATCGGATGTCGGTGAAGCATTTCGTCCCATTGTTTCGCCCTTGATTGTCAAGGCCGCTTACGGTGTCAGTTGGGCTTACCTCGGTTTGGATGTTGCTTATGAAGGTTACAAAGCTGTACATGCTGGCAAGGTAAGAGAAATCGTCATTTTTTTTTTTTTTTTTTTTTTTTTTTTTTTGCAGTAACAATAAGAGGCCGCTGATTGTTAACCGTCTTTTTGTTGTTATTTCCATTCAAGGACTCGGCTGTGGTTGGAACGTTGATGGTGAAACGTGGTGTTTTTCAATCGATTGCGTCGATGGCTCTACCAATGTTTACCATTCATTCGGTGGTGAAGCATAGTGCCAAGATGTTCACCAATGTGAAGAACGCCAAGTTGAGAACGTGGGGCCCCACATTTTTGGGTTTGGGTGTGGTGCCATTCCTTCCGTTCCTCTTTGATCATCCAGTGGAAACAGTGGTGGATCGCATGTTTGAACCTCTCGAACAGATGGTCAGCCGACAAACCGTTCCACGAGTGGCACATGAGACTTCCACGACCGAAAGATTATCTGATGTCCATACCGCACCACAACAGCAACAACAACAACAACAACAACAGGAGAAGAAGAGCCAATAGATCTTTTTTTTTTTTTTTGTATTTTGTAAACTAGAATTCGACAAGATATGAGGACCTTGTCATATTATTAATCTCTCTTTCTCTCTCTTTTTTTTTTTTTTTCTTTCTTGTTCAATATTTTTCTTCATGTATGAATTACTTATCTCGGCTTTTGTGTTTCATGATATTTATCAAATGTATTGCATTTTTTATTTACGACGTTGTGTGGTTTTTGGTATTCGCCATGGAGTTGATTCCAAGAAAAAAGGTAAAAAGGAAAACATCCGTTTCTAAACGGCCCCACTCAATTCTCGTTCCAATTCATCGACTTCCATTGCATAGTTGTGACCGGGAACAGCGGCGGCGGCTACGGACTGATGTGCTGATTCAGGCATGGACGACGCTTTGGCTTGCGCAGCAGCATCTTTGCTTCGTTCCAAGGTTTCGCGATCTTGAGCACATAAACTTTCCTTCCTTCGCAGATTCGCTCCCGTCGGCTGAGGTTGCAGTCCGCCTTCCTTGTGTGCCTTGTAAGACATAACTTCCTGCGCAATCATTTCTAAAAAAGGAAAACGACGGGATCAGTTCACTGATGTGTGCGGGATCACCTTCCTCCCTTTTTCTTCTTAAACTTCTGTACACTTACTGCGCATATCTTCTATAGATTCGACGACTTCAAAGGAGAAATCAAAGTGATGAGGATGAGTGGGTTCATCATCTTCATCATGATAAGCACTGAGGTAAGGATGGGCCAAGGCTTCCTCGACGGTGATACGCTTGGCCGGGTCAAAGGCGAGCAGCTTATTCAAAAGATCAATAGCCAGCGGGTTGGCTCGAGGATACAGGTTTTCGAACGGAATTCGAGGCATTCTCGGGAGACTGCGGATATACACCTGAGCTCTGTCACTGCCGACGCGCTGCAAGGTCTCTTCATCGGGCGTACCAAGAATACCCAAGATCTGGTTCAACTGATCGACATAATCACGGCCTTTAAAGAGGGGCTTGCCACCGAGCATTTCGGCGAAAATGCATCCCACTGACCACATATCGATGGCTTTGGTATAATTTTGGAAACTCAACATAATCTCGGGTGCTCTGTACCATCGTGTCGCAACATATTCCGTCATGAATCCAGCATTGCCTTCGGGACTGGCAGAATATCCTCTTGCCAAACCAAAATCACAAATCTATCCCAAAAAAAGAGAACCAATGAATACCACACCGCTCGAAATCTTCACTCATTTTGTGGACGACAGATGAAATAAAAACCGTTACCTTTAATTCACAATCAGCATTCACAAGAAGGTTGCCTGATGGAAAACCATACAACGTAAGCAGGCCGTTCCATTATCCATCCATTGACCCGTCTGGGATCGGTTTCTAATTTTTTTATAGCTTACCAGGCTTCAAGTCTCGATGCAATACCTATAAATAGACGGTTAAAAAAGAGGAGATAAAAAAAAAATAAAAAACCACGAAAGAGAGATGAAGAACTTACGTTGGCACTGTGGATATATTTAAGACCGCGACAAATTTGGTATACAAAGTATTGAAAGTGGGCATCTGTCAAAGGTTGGCCCGATCGAATAATCTGATGGAGATCGGCTTCCATCAGCTCTTGTACAAGATAACTAGACGACATCCGTTTAAGCGAACATGCACGACCGAATAATGCCCAAAACCTTTTTTTTTTCCAATTCATCATGCTGAACTTACATCTCGTTGAAATCTTGTAGATTGACAATGTCCATATCGATAATGGAAGTGATCTGATTTAATCCAATACCATTTTGCACCCGTCAAAAAACACTTGCTTGAATACATTCGAGCGTTGTACCAAAAGCACTTACATTTTCATGTCCATTGAAATGTTTCAAGAGCTTGACTTCACGTAATGCTCGCTTGGCCAGAATGGTTTTTTCAAATATCCGGCAAACCTACGTTCACCCGTGAGTATGTTGCACCAAAGAACTATGGTAATTTCATCTCGAAAGTGCCAACTTGTAAAGAAAACTTGGAACGTACCTTTTTGATAGCCACCTGTTCTCCTGATTCGGAATCTCTGGCAGCACTATTTCATCCAAGTCCCCATTAGATTTTTTTCATCTCACCCATCGATCTTGCAGTGGTCGTAAGGGCGACAGATATAGAAATTTATATTTTACCATACAACGCCGTAGGCTCCTTGGCCCATCTCGCGGATGAACTGATATTTTCTATCGACTATAAACTGCTGATTAAGCACCGGAAAAGATTGATAACCAGGCATGAGGAAAGATTTTAGTCGAGAAAAGATGGGATGGAAGAAAAGAGGTAAAATAAAAACCGTGCCAAGTGAGGTGGAAATTGAGACGGAAGAGAAGAAACAAGGCCCGCACAGCAGTAAGCTCTGACGAAGCCGCAGAATTGGTCGGAATTGGAAGTCAATAAGGTATTTCCTCCCCATTTCTTTCTTGTTCGGCCCGTCGTAAAAATATGACGTCCTGTTCAATTTTTTTTGGGATTGCTTCTTTTTTTATTGTGGCATTTTGTGTTTTCTATATTTATTTCATTAGTGCCAAAAAGTTGAAAAGGAACGGTGGCCGTTCACACCGTTAATGTGATTGGCCGCACCATCCAATCGAGAAGCTAGAAGAAAAAAAAAAGGTTCTCGATCGCCCTGTCGTTGGCGTGCATGTCGGATTTAATGAACATTCATTAATGGAGTAGTGCAGAATGGCGGACACCAGCTAATCGGCCAATAAGCGGGTTGAACAACTTACATCCGAACAAATCTTGGAGATGACGTGAGTAGTTGCTTTTTGCTTGCTCAAACTTGTTGTCTTGTGTGACCCTATTCAACTCCGCTCAGCAAAAAAAAGAACAACCAACCATAAGCGAATAAAATGACACTCGTCCAATCGTACTTTTTGTGTGGGTGAAAACGGGGATAAAGAAAAAGGGGGGAAAAAAGGTTATATAAAAAAATTTCAAGGTTGAAAGGATGATGCGTCATTCACATGTTTGCTTGTTAAAGAAAAAGAAGAAATAAAAACTATAGAACGATGGAAACGTCGACATAACGATATGCTATCATGGTGACATGGTCCAAAATTTTGGCTTGTGTAACCTGGAAGAATTGAGCACTATATTGAGTTTTTATTTTTTTTTGTAGTCAGGACCCAATCTACGATGGCGACTATATAAATATCTTGGGGATTTGGACCTTTTTTTTTTTTTTTTTTTTTTGGTTTCCAACAACTGACCTTTCTTTTTTTTATTTATTTTTTTTTTCTTTTGGAATCGTAAATAACTTTTCCGACTGACTTGATATATTTATAACTTTTTTCTTTTATTCAGTCAGTTTTCTCTTCAACGCATTTTTTGTTCTTGTTCTCTTTCATTCTTTTTCTTTTTTATTATTACAAGATACCATGAGGACAGATAAATCACAAACATTTACGAGGATTGCCAAATACGCACTTATTGGTTACGCACTGTTATCACTCATGTATACAGTCAGCCACTTTTACTCATCCCACGGAGCTCGTCGTGTCATGGCCAACGAAGGCATCTACCCTCGAGCCGGTGATGAATTGGTCTTCGAGGCACCGCCTCTGGAGAATGCGGTCACATACCCCGAGAAACTGTCCCATACTACCGATGTCGCAGAAAATGATAAAGGTAGATAAACCCCGCGCTTACATAACCTTTTTGATCAACGTGAACGGGAACTGACCAGTCTTACCTTTTTTTTTTTTGTTCTGTTCTTCTTTTTTCTTTTTTCTGGGTTGGATCGGGATAGATTTCACGCAATACATGTCTCGGTCGTTCTTGATGTCCAAAGTGTTCTCCGACGCCATGGGGCCTTCAAATCTCAGACCTTACTACTTTAAAGCAGAAACATCATTCGACAAAGAAGATATTACCATGGCCACGTTGGTGACTCAAAATCGTTTCAAAGTCCTTAGTCGCTTAGCTACTCACTACAAAGGTAAGTTGAAAACAGGAAAAAGCATGGTTCGCCTCGCTTCTTGGAGACACGGTTCTCTTTTACCTGGCGCGTAACTGATCGTCATATATATTTTATTTTTTACTTTATATTTTTCAGGCCCGATCTCGGCGGCGATTCACGTCAATGATAACGAGGATAAGGAGAACGTGATTAATGAATTACGTACACTTTACAAAGACAATCCGGATATGCGCCGTTACGTGGATATTCACTTGATCGTCGATCAGTTTGACCGTCAATTCAATATGTGGAGAAATGTGGCCAAATTCTTTGCACGTACGGATTATATCATGATGTTGGATGTGGATTTCCATTTATGTACGAACTTCCGTCAGCGCATTCGTAACAACCCGAAAATCATGGACATGCTGAGATCAGGCAACACGGCGTTGGTGGTGCCCGCTTTTGAATACGTGGTCCAGGAGGACGGTCTTGATTGGCAAACCTTCCCTACCACGAAATCCGGTTTATTGGACCAAGTCGCGAATGAGAAACTCGACATGTTCCACAAATCTTGGCTGAAGGGCCATGGATCCACCAATTACACAAAGTGGTACCAAACTTCGGAATTGTACAAGGTCGAAGATTACAACTTTTCGTATGAACCCTACATCATCTACAAGAAGGAAGGTACTCCTTGGTGCGACGAACGATTCATCGGTTACGGAGCCAACAAAGCCGCCTGTCTGTACGAAATCTATCTGAGCGGTATCGAGTATTGGGTCCTGCCTGACGATTTCCTTATCCATCAAACCCACGTGTATCCCGAGGATGCTCGCAGAAAGGAGGTAACGTATTATAGCAACGCGGGATGATCGTCGGGCATCTGAGCCTCATACGGTATTTTTTTTTTCTCTTCGTACCTTTTCTAGCGTCAGTACAATCGTAAACTTTACAGCAATTTCCGTGAAGAGTTATGTTTACGTTACTCGCGTATGTTTATCGCCATGGGTGAATGGGAATCGCGAAAATCAGAAAATCTACGAAATGAATGCCAGAAAATACGTGGATTCCGAACCACCATGAAGCCCGACGCGTAAAAAAAACGATGACTTCGTTTTCTTTCGTTCGATTTCTTTCAAGCGTCCCGATGTTATCTATTTTTTTTTCTACTTCATCTTTTTCCTCCGCCATCTCTCTTTTTTCCTCAACTGTTTTTTTTATTACCCGCCTATCATACGCAGATTTCCTTCTTTTTTCTGTTTTTGTTTCTCCACCTCCCACCAGCATTCCACCCCTAACCCACTCACACATATACACACACACAAATTCAAAGCAACATGAACCGGACATACGCGTAGATAATGTATGTTCTGTCTATTTTGTATACACGTATGTATAGCTACATACACTTTATATATACATATTTATTTTTTTCCTTCATTTGCGTCATTCGCTTATCCACAAAATGACAACAAAAAAAAGTATCGATAATTCCAGCTCATATTCACCGTATTATAATGCGCGCAAATGTCTTTTGTATCATATCCATATCTAGTGCGATCCGAAAACTCCGTTCGGATTCTGTTTTAAAGTAAGACGCGTCCGATCACGCCCTTTCACAAGAAACAATGGAAGCGAGACGTGGGTCGTTTTCCAAAACGCTTTTCTTTGTCATCCAAGAATGGATATTTCTCTTACGACAAAAATAAAACATCATAGCGATCATGTTATTGCTGCAAAAAGAGAAAGAAAACAAAACAAGAAACAAGGGTGTCATGAATCTCGTCATTTGATGCGGGTTTTTGGGTGCCTTGTGTCACGGGCCACTGGGAAAAAAATCAAAGTCATCGATGGAAACGACAGGCCAGTAAACGGGAAACAATAAGAATAAAGAGGGTAATTTTTTTTTTTTTTCATCACCATGATTAAAAACCATGGGAATAAATGAATCAACAAAAACAATCAACAACCCGACTTGGGGGGATGGGATTTATCTATCCTATCATATCCGAAGCATCGACATCAAACATACTCGTAGGACCTGTTTCCTGCTTGACACGTAAATCTCGCACCACCCTAAAAAAGACATTATGCATCAGAAAAATAACCACCGTAGGCGCAAAAACACTTTTGGGCGTGCACACACCTTGCGTCTTTCCGTAAATCTTCCGTTTCAATCTTGAGCTGTGCTTCGGGTGTGACAGCGTCAATGACATAGTGATTATCACAGTGGGGACAGAATTCGTCTTCGTCTTCATAGTCACTGCAGATTAAAAATCAAGCCATTGGTTAAACACACCACCTCATATCCGCCGAGACAAACAAAAGAGGACCTACGTCATGTCTTTACGGAAAACTTTTTTGCACTTTTTGCAAGCAAACACCATTTCGTCTGTCTTTCGGAGCGGATGATCCGATACTTCAGCGTGACATTCGGCACAATCGAACCATCGTCGACAACACTGCGCACGAATCGCCACCTACATTCAAAAAAAAAAAGAATAAATTTTCAGTCTTACTCCTTCATCTTGATGGAAAGATGAAGCATCATGTACCTGTGCGTTCAAAACATGTTTACACATTGTCCGGGTATATCTCTAATGTTTTAATGGAGTTCTTGCCAAACTAAAAATCAGTCGCCGCACGCCAAAATTTGCGAGCTAAAAACCAGTCACATGGTGTTCCTTTTCATCATATGGATTTGGCATCTACTTCGCTTGGTGTTATTTATTCATTCAAAGATGTTGGGTGGAGGTTATGGAAAAGTTCAATGGAAGGGGAGAGCTTTCTGTAGCATCATTTAATTTGACTTTGCCAGTAATACGTGTGCCGTTTTACATAGTATGCTTCGATCTGTGTAGCTCATCATTCATGCATCAATAAGGTGACTATTGTTTCATCCATGGGAACTCTATATATTTTTGTCCCCAATTTCTGCTCTATCTTCTGTTTATCTGAAAAACTCTCACTATCATTGCATCCCCTCGCGTCCGTCATCCGCATCCATCATCCAATCATCCAGACAATGGTTTATCCCGCGTGTATCTGTAACCGGTCAAGTCGATTAAATATCAAAAAGGTACGTTTTGTGTGATGTGACTATCCGTTTTTCGACAAGAAAAAACTCACGTTCTTTTTTCTCTATCCTTTCTTTAGCTTTTGGTTTTCTCTCCGGTTTTCTTTTCGCCCTAGCAAGTCATCCTTCCCTCCAAATCTTTCAACTTTATTCGCGCACCAAATGTGGCCAATCCGGTTTTTGTCGTCAAAGGGCATCATCGGTGGTGTGGCTTCCTTTTTCATCGGTAACGCTTACGCGTCCTCCTCAGCTTGGCTTCACCTGGATTACTTCCCGTGGCATCGTCTTTAATCTTTTTTCCCGACCATTTTATTTTTGTAGTTTGTAATATGTGTATTTGTATTTTAGTTAGTAATCTTCTTGCAGTCTTTTCTAAGCAAACCATACTTTATGTTCAATTCATGTGGCAGGGGCAAGTTTTTGCTAAATGTCAAATAGACAAAAATACACACGTTTAGGTTGGCCGCAAGTGACTCAAACGCATTATTATGGACCTTGTGTTACTGTATTCTTTAGTATGTTTGCTGTGAAAGTACATGGGAATCCAAAGAAGCGTCAATCAAATGGGTTGAATGTATTGAGACGGTAATGCAGTGCCGTTGACTTGTAACTTTTTGACTTTGTCGCTTCATCTGGATGAGCATGTCGGCGCGGTGTTTAAAAATCGTGATCAAGAAACCTGTCACAGCTCTTGTGCCTGTGTAAGGTACGAGTATGCATTATATACTTATCCTTCTTTTTTTACTGTTCTCGCCATGAAGTTTCGAACAACAGTGAATAATCCTGTTGGACTGTTTAGTAATACCGCCCCATGGTCGCCATACCTGTTTGATTGTGTTCGCTGATCCATTCACGTTTAGAAATTGCACAGACTTTGGAGAAGCTGGGACCGTCATGTATCGTTTCCTTTTCCATGGATACTGTTCGCTTTATCAAGTATCGCGAATTTGACGGCGGCATTCAAGCCTGGATGTAAGTGGCATTACTCTTGTTATGTCTACCGTCCTAGAGACTAATCGCGGCTCGGCTTGTTCTGGTTTGTCACGTCTCGCAGTAAAGTGAACCCGGTAAATACAAAATCTCGGTTTGTTGCGCGATCGAAAGCAGTGGCTAACCTTCATAATATCCTATGGATAAGCCTTCTTTATTCTCTTCATACCGCATTGAAAGTTCGTATAACAACGAGATCAATATGGTGATCCAAGTGGACGCGCTTTTACGTGCATCGAAAGCGCCGCAGCAAGCCACAGACATTCGCTTACAATTGCGCAGAAAGGGAAATCAACCCATTTTAGACTGGCAAATGACATCCGAGGTAAGTGTGGTCATGCATGACTTATTTGCTTTTCTGCAATAACGCAAGTCATGACATTAAATGTGATCGTATGACAGAATAGAGCCGGATCCACCGGATCCATGGGTCAGGAGATTAGTGTCAAAATCCTTCCTCCGCAACAGATGAACGCCATTCGAGAGCCTACCGTACTAGCCACCCCTCACGTAAAGCACAGCATTGCCACAATATGAGCGATCCGATTTCTTTTTTTAACCCCTTAACCGACTATATGTAGGCTTATATTTTGATGCCTAGTTTACATGCATTGAAACCGGTGGCGGATCGATTAAAGTCGTTGGGTAAATTCGTGACCATCTCAGCCAACATGAGTGGCGTGTTTAAACTGAGTATGGATACGGATTTGGCGCGATGCGAGTCAGTATATAAGCAACTGGAAAACCCTCGTTTAGGTAAACCATGTACCTCCTCTTTTATTTTGAACCATGCTGTAACCGACCATCATTTAATATTAGAGGGTCATGAATCCACCTGGGAACCGGATCGGTTCGCCAGCGTCCGTATTGCAACCGAGGATTTTGTTCATTTTCTCACTTCTTATCACCTCGAGCCTGAAAATGTCATTTGTGGTAAGGATACGGCGAATGGGTTGGATCAGGTTACGAGGGTTCTTAGGCTAATATCCCCGCGCATTAGCTATCACGGACGAACTGCAAGTCGCGTTTTATGTGTATGTGAATTTGGACGCGTACCAGACTCAGGATATACAAATTCGGCCTATTCAAGGAGCACAGACCATCATCACCTACCATCTGCCGGTATATTACGAATAACTCTTTCCCTGTGGCTGTCACGCTGGCGATGTCACTATTTTATTTCTTTGCATTCTTCTCTCATCATCTCCTTCTTGGTAATATCATACTTCATACAATCATCCTTCTCGTTTATCGTTTATATTTATACTGCACTTTCTCATCTATCTTTCTAATTTATCGTATCGTTCCCTCTTACTGCTTATTTGGCTGTCTGCAGTTATCTTTGTGCAAAATAAAATTTAACAAACTAAAGAAACAAATATGAAAAAAAGGCACACATAAACTGTGCAAGAAAGAGAGGCATCAAGTGAAATGCTTTTAATTTTCACGCGTCACGGAGCGGGGAAAACGGGAGAAAAAATCGTCGTTTTGACTTCGTTGGAGTGGGTGACAGGTGCTTGTTCTTTTGAAATTTCGGATGCCGGCCGACATGAGCAGCCCCGAGATTCCCCATCATCTAAACGTAGGAAGCCGAATCCAAGTCCAACATTCACTCGGCACCGTTCGATTCATTGGTACAGTAGAAAACACCAAAGGAGTGTGGCTTGGAGTGGAATGGGACGATGCATCTCGAGGAAAGCACGATGGTTCGCATCAAGGCATTCGATATTTCCATTGCAGGTAACGTTTCAACAATATCAATGTAATGGATGCTCAAAGCTAACAAAAGACGGGTTGCAGCGTACCAGGGTCAGGCTCGTTTATTCGATATCATCCTGAAAAGGTGCGGTTAGGCTGCACCTTTATGGAAGCGTTGACGAGCAAATATCTGGAGGAGGACACATCGGAGATGACGGTCTATGATCCGGAAAGTGATAAAGGCCAACTTTACTTTGGTGGTAACAAGCAGATCAAAGTGGAAACCGTCGGCTTTGGCAAAATTCAACGGCAGCAAAGGTGAAAAAATAGACGACGGATCGTGGATTTTAGGTTGATTCACATTATTAAAACAGCAAGGTTTAGGCAACTGCATAAACTTCAAGTGGTCGGTTTGGCCGGGCAAGAAATATCAAGTGCGGGGGTTCCGGGCATCATTCGCGAAGCAGCATTAAGTAAGTAGTGTATACTCATCAGGAGAAACAACATCCTCTTCATATGGACTGCTAAACCATTTTCGTTATTAGACATTGTGGATCTGGATTTGTCTCGGAACCTTGTTGCAGATTGGCATACCATTGCAGACATTGCTTCGCAGCTACCCAGCCTCAAAATCCTTCGGCTAAAGTAAGTGAACCAACGTGACCAATTTTTTTTTATTTATGTCACTTCTTACATATGTGGTATGGCTTTTGATTAGTCAATCTCGTCTTCAACCACCACCCAATGATGTGACAGTTTTGTACCGTGAAGGACAATCCCCGTTTGCGACGTTGACGACGCTCGTACTCAATCATACCGGGGTTCAGTGGTCGGAAATCGAGCAGTTGGCCCCCTTACTGCAGCCAATTGAAGATTTGCAATTGGCGGGCAACGACATTCGCCAATTATCCTCCGTTTCTCTGCCTCATCTCAAATGCATCAATTTTGAGCACAACAAATTAGACAACTGGACTCAGGTTGTCAAACTAGGCAATCTCCCGAGGTGAATATTCGGAACAAAAGCGTTCAAGTTGCCATCTGTTATGTCGTGGCAGGGCCATCGCGAAATATTGATTGAATGATGTGTACAAGTCTAGAGACGCTGTTTTTAAACAATAATACGATTCCCTCTGTTGATATCCCTGAACCGGGCGCGTTCCCGCAGCTGCAATTTTTACGGCTCGATAGTAATGCTATTCAGAATTGGACCAGTTTCGACGCCCTCAACGCCATGCCAAGTTTAACAAAATTGCGGTGCAAACACAATCCGATCTTCAAAGGTAGAATGGCCACAGCCGGTTATTGGGAAAGAAAAGAGCTCACTTAACATTGTTTCAAACAAAAGATCTGCCACCAGAGCATGCAACATCTCAGGTGGTAGGCCGGATCAAAAAGTTGACGGTCGTTGATGGCAATACGGTAAGTCATTTGGTTTGTCTAGAATTGCCTCCCTTTTTTCTTGCTAATGGACGACGAGGGCAGTTGGTTGGTCGAGAGCGAAGTGATTTTGAACGATTTTACCTGAAGTTATGCGCCAAAGATGGCGATACGCATGAAACGATTGCCAAAATTCATCCACGTTACACCGAATTATGCAAACGTAACTTTTTTTTCAAATAGCGGATTGTTTGTTATTCTTATGAAACAGTAACAAACAATGAATGATTTATTGTATTAGTGCATGGTGAGCCCGATCTACAGAGTAGCGCAAATTCCGGTACACGAAACACCCTGTTAACGAATCGATTAATCAGTACGAATACCCCTTACTCTTACTTGGTTAATCATGGGCGTTACTGAAACATGATATCTGTGTAGGCATCACATTCACTCGACGACCGATCAATTCGGAAGCGATGCTTGTCGAGACCAAGAAACGACACGAATTACCTTTGCCGACCTTGTCCATTGAGAAAAAAGTGTTGCCGACCATGATGATCCGAAACGTACGAAATATCATTCAAAAGTTACTCCATATCCCAGCATCCCAACAACAGCTTTATCTTTTGCAATCCAGTCCAATGGATGGTGAAACATTCATTTCCATGGAACTCTCAGATAACCTCAGAGACCTAAAATTTTACAGTGTAGCCGAAGGAGATGAAATCACCGTTTTGACCAACGTGTAAACAACAATTCTTCATCACAGTAAAAAGAAAAAAAAAAGTGTGCTAAAAGTGTATACCAAACAAAAACTTCTATTAATAAAGAGCATGATTATCAAAAAAAAAAGACAAAAAAGAAGAGGCGAGGATAAAAGATTGATGTCAGGGAGAGCGATTCGAGAGAGGGGAAAGATGGTAGGGAATTGAAAAAAGGAAAAAACCATCGAAAAGAAATAAACAAAAAAAAAACGGATGAGATATGCGGGATGGGTTGGGAATGAAAAAGAAAAGGGTCTAGCTTATCGGTCTAAACTCACACACAGGGATGCGTAAGCCGGTTCATGATAGGTGGATACATCGAGGCTGCGAATGTTGTTGTAGGAACGATACCATTCGGTGACAAAATTTTCAATGGTCTTTGAAGCGACTTGACCTCCGTCGTGAGCGACAAGACGTTCGGCATCTGGGCAGTAACCTCGTAATTGAGCGGCCTTTTCAATGGTGGGTGCCCAACGTCCCGCTTCAAAATCGTCGCGTGACATTTCCACCGCGCTGCCTTGGTCGTTCATTAATTTCAGCAAGCCACGTTCTTCCATGAACTGCGGTCGTGATACAAAAATAAACGGCTTTCGATGTCCGATACATTCACTGCAAGTACCGTATCCTAGCTTGCCCAGCACGACATCCGCCGCGTTGGTGAGGTCAGGCACATACGCATCCTTGGCAGCACGGTAGAATCGTCTATGCAGTTGAACATTGTCCGGTGCGCCGCATACCACACAAATCCAGCCTTCCGGCAACGGGTTCGCCCAGCTCCCGTCTCCAAGCGCTTGGCCACCAAAGGAGAGAAGCAGGATCTTGTGCGTGGTATAAATTTCAGGAGGAATATTCATTTCGTCGAGCACGTCTTCCCGGCGTCGATGATATTTGCGAAAGACGAGTGGAACATCGACAATGCGGCGTTCCATGACGGGGTGATGATGCGCCGAAGAAACGTTGGAAGGACTGGTGCAGGGCAATTGAAGTTTTCCATTGACGACTCCTTTGCGCGGTAATTGGTCAAATGACGAAATGATCGGCGTATGGGGCACTAGACTTGCACTGTCTTCAAAAGACGGAATCCGAATCGCACCGGGAAGTCGCACCAATAGATCCGCATGTCGGTAGTCTGAAATGATTTGTTGCACCATGTCTCTGATATCTATGTCCAATGCATCGCCCTCGCACAATCCCATGTATACTTCGTCAAACGTAAAATTGCTGGCAATCACCGCAGGAATATTGGCACCCGCCGCAGCCGCACTAAAAGAAAAGCAACAAAAACAATCATCAGTTTATCCAATTATTACAATTTATACACAAAAGAGATTTCCAGTCTCCGCTCATCCCAATCTACTCACCAGGGCAGGAAAGGAGCATCGCAAACGACGCCATCAGCGCCAACACTGTGTAGCCATTCAATCTCATGGTTCAATGTGGCTGGTCGTCGTTTCAAAAACTTTCGAAGGTTGGCAATGGTTTGGTCTCGATCCACTGTGTAAGCCAATGGTTGAACCACGCCAGCATCGATATCGGCCTGACGGTAGATGGCGCCTAGACTGATGATGTCTCGAAAGATAAAACTCGAAGCATTCGACACCACATACACTCGATGACGGGCAGGCAACTTTAGAATATCCGAAATGATCTGATTTGCTCGAGTGGCATGGCCCCATCCTGTGTGCCAAAAAAAAAACCGTCAAAAAAAATCAGTTGGAACTCTTTCAAAAAAAAAAAAGGTGCACCCAGACGACCCTGCACTTACCGTGACCTGAAACATAGAAGCAAAAAGTATATGACTTTCGACATGTGTCCGTGGTATCGACGGTAAGAAGAACCATGGTTCCGGTTGCGTTGTTGCTGTGATAGTTACAAAGGGAAAAAGGAAATCGACAGGCCAACATCCCTAATTGTGGTCCAAATTTTCCATCTTATAGGCTGAGTTTTAAATGATCCTAAATTTAGAACCCAAGGATTGGCGGAATCACCCGTCTTTTTTTCTTGGGTTTGTGTGTGGTGAAACAGATGATTTGTCCAAAATTGGCAGCGACTTGGCCGAATGGGGCAAGCCAATCCAACTGAAAGGCCTGTAGGGAAAATTTTTCGTTACGGTGACTAACGAGGTCGGTTTTTTTTTAGTCCATCTTCAACATTGCTACTTGTTTAACTGGGGGTTCATGAAAGGGAAAAAAAAAAGAAAAAAAGAACGTGGTTAACTTTCAGTAGCACGGTTTGGCTGGTACCGGGTTTCCTAGGCCATTTTTTATACTAGTGTATCATCTTTTATCATGCTCACGTTAGTTGAATGTAAAAGCCTCTGGGGGTTCCTGCAGCAGTTACAGTTTTTGCAGATCATTTGAAAAAAGGAATCATCAGCCACAACAGGTCCCAATGGATCTAAAGATCAAACAAACAAATCAACGATCCATGGTTTCTATATATGGTAAGTGACGCTCATTCGGAAAAAATTTTTGATATCGCAGCCTTGCCTGCCAACGGCATTCAACAGAAACCTTTGTCATGGCCTCTTTCCTACCTCTTTTGGGTTTACATTGCTGTTTGCGTATTTCCTCAGAGTGCTTATCTTTAAATGAAATCAAGTACAGCTTTCCAAGACATCCAGACACAGGATTCGCAGGAAAGACATTGTTTGTTCTATTGAGAAAATGGTGGTGGATGACTGACGAAAGCGCCGCTGCATTCGCAAAACCACTAACGCGTGTCTCTTTTCGTGCCGTGTCAGAGTCAAAGGAAGAAACGTAAAGAAAAATACGTGCAAAGTATTGAGCAAATTGGATGCGAACAATGACACGCCAAGATACGTAAATGCACTTTCTTATCTGCTAAGGTGAGTAGCAGTGGATGAGCAACCTCAGGTCGTTCGTTGCACAAACACGTCATTAGCCCCATCACACGCGTCAAACGCATCATCACACAGACTATTCTGATGATCTTTGGCCCAATCCCAATCCCTACCGCAAACAATGACGCATATCTTTTTGTGTGGTACAACATGCCAGTAGAGCTGCTGCCATGAGACATTGGTCGAGAGAGATATGGCAATGATGTAGTCTATTTATTTTGTTACCATGTCTATTTTACTATCTTACAAAAAAGAGGTCAAGCTCATTAATCATCACATGAGATTCTCTGGATAAAAACCCTGAAACGTTCATAAGCATACTTGTACAAGTCCGCCCAAATTTATTCATAGAGTGAACCAAAAAAGGATTGCATTGTTATTTGTGTTGAAAAAGAAAAAGTAAAAAGAAGGCATGAGAATATAATTGTAGAGTTTGAAATGAAAATGAAATGAAACAAGGAATGGCTGTTTTTTTTTCTATCGTCTGCTGATTTTCTAATCGTCTAGCGAGACTGGATGAGGGTGGATCTAATTATCATCCATTTCCTCATCGTCGTCTTCATCAACGACGCCCATACGGTCTGCACGTTCATCTTGTTCGTCTTCACTTTCTTCTTCATCGTCATCTTCAAGTGTGATGGGTTTTTTCTAGGGATGGCCATTCAGTCTATATTAGTAATCTCTTCGACCTTGTCCTTCTTTTTCACATCAATCACTCACCTCTTCTGTTGCCTGGACCGTGGCAAAGGCCTTGACATCCTTGAATGCCTGACGCACACCAGCATTGGAGGACATGTCCCACACATGCAACTTGCCATTGGAACCGGCAATCGACAATTGGAAAGGCGAATCCGGACAAAATTGAGCACAGAAAATTTTACCCTATTCAATGCAAATAGACACAATGTCAGTCAAGAAAATGCGACACCGAAAATATATAGGCAACTTACCAATTCAAAATTACGGCTTGTCACCATACTGGGTCGGTTATCGGCGGTATTCCAGATTTTGATTTGTTTGTCGGTGCCACCGGTGGTAAGACAGCCAGGAATGATAGGGCTGACATCCATGGCGCTGACAGCACAATCGTGGGCTTGAAGAGTAAAGAGTGCTTTGCCACCGACGCCATTGTCTCCCGAGGATCGCACGTCAAAGTACTGTACCATACCGTCTTCTGTGGCGACATAGAAACAGTTGGGGTTGTGAGGATCCCATCGCAATGATTCCACATCGCTGTTCAACTTCCATCGCTTCACATGGTCAGGGGAACGGGCGTCCAAAACGCACACGGTTTGATCGTAAGAACCGGACATGAAGACAGTAGGCTCCGTAGGATGCCAAGCCACCGACTGCACCTTGTCGGTGTGATGGGTATAGGACTGCATGCATTTGGAGATGGATAAATCCCAGAGCTTCACTGTCCCGTCAGCCGAAGACGACAGCAAAAAGTTGCGATGATGCTTATTCCAAGAAAGATCCATGATCGCGTCGACGTGGTACTGAGCATTCACCTTCTTTGATCTTTTCTTGCCCTTGTCGGTGTGACCGAGAATCGTTTCGGGATACATCACATCGATCATGTCCAAATTCCAAATCTCGATATCCGGTTCAAAAGTACCAATGGCAATGTAGTTTCCGCTCGATTCTTGGCCCTTTTTAGTGCCTGTATGGAAATCCAACCATTCCAAACACAAGGGGAACGCGGGTAACATGATATCGTGATGCACGTAAAGGTTATCTTCGGATCCTTCAAAAATATGGATTTCCAAATGCGATATATCATCCTCGGTTTTGGCCGCCAACAGCATATTATCCGTCGGCAACACTTCCAATTCCTGCTTCTCCTCATCGTCCTCGTTGTTGTTCGTCAAGGTAATGTACGGATCCTGTTCATCGTTGTCATAGTACGCCAAATCCTTGATATTGGAGAAAATGCCAACCTCTGGCAAATTTTAAGCAATAAAAAAAAAAAGTCAATAACTATACTCAACTGGACCGCCTAGCTCTAGCGCGTTCTCTCTCTCGCTCTCTGCCGTGCTTTCCTTTGTCCTTCACTTACTTTTATTCTTATCAGCGGCAATTTCGTCGTCATAGGCATCCAAGTTGTATTCGGCCAACTCGTCACCAGAGGCAGCGGTTTTTCTATTCAGTCCACACCTTCGCGTCAGAGAGGAAATCAAATCACCATTTGCACAAGCTACTTACGGTGCTTGTTCTTCCTTATCGACGGCCATGGCTTCGGCTTCCTTTAAGTCTTCCTTGGCATCCTCCAACTGTTCGGCGGCCAGTTGACTGATACGCTCGTACTCTTTATCGTCGAGATTGTATTTCTCGGGATGTCGTGCAGCCACACCCTTACGGATCCATTGAATCGCCGAAATCATAATGTCGATAGTATTTCTGTGATCAGGAGGTTGTATAGACAAAAGCCTTTTTTTTTGATATGAAATAAAAAAAAAGAGGCAGTGACAAGGTTTGTGACGTGCTTTTCCGGGTAGTTCACCATTTTTTTCAGTCTACTTGTCCTTCCCGATATGGAAATTTCTTCGGAAACGCCGCATTGCTCTTTTCGATTTCTGTTCTTGACGTCATATGCGTATATTTCAGTGCTGGCCCGTTTTGGATATCTATTGGTCCTTCCTCCAGTTGGTATTCCTTGGTTTTTTGGTATTTTTTTTTTTGGTCAGAAGTCTATATCATTGTTTGTCTAGCGTAAACCTCATGACCAATGGTGCCGGAACAAACTGTCAGTCCCACCAAGCAAGAACGCCGTGATGAATTCTCAACCGATGCCCACTTCCTTCCAACTACGATTCAAAATTCGCCTGATACCCTCAACGGGCCTCGTCAAACAATAAACAAATCCACCGAAAACGTGACCAACTTTCACCCAGACGATAATGACGACGACGACGACGACTCAGATGATGCTCGTCCCATGCTTCAGCGGACATCACCCGCTGTTCCCCGCAACTCCTATATCAAAGGCCCCAATACCACCTGCAAAATCATCTTTTTGACCCTTTGTTTGGCAGGGTATGTATCCGTGTTTCAACCAAATAGACGCGAAATGTTCGTTTTTTGTTAATGTCTCCCAAATCATATTTTTTTTAATATGACAGACTGCAGTTTACATGTAAGTAATCAGTAACGTTTCCCCGATTCTTTGAAAACCCGCTTATTCACGCATAAAAAATTTAGGGTCAGTGGAGATGGCTTACGGTGGGTATCCATGCAACTTATTTTTCGCAGTGTTATCAGTTGTTCACTCATCTCTTTATCTTTGTTATTGTGTATAGGTACTCCGTATCTGCTATCGCTCGGATTATCAAAAGCTTACATGTCGCTGGTCTGGATTGCCGGTCCATTATCGGGTAAGCCTCCGGTTATCCCTTGGATCATCGAAATCCCCCCTTGACTGTTGTCATCCTACTCTAAACGTTGTAAAATAATTTTGACAGGTCTCTTAATGCAGCCCATTGTGGGAGCGCTTTCCGATCGATGTACATCTCGCTTGGGACGACGAAGGCCTTTTCTTCTCGGTGGTAGTGTAGTTGTGGTGCTGAGTCTCCTCATGATTGGATGGACGAGGGAACTGACTTCACTGTTTACCGGAACACAAGAAGGCAGTTTAGTAGGTTATCATGCAGTGGGATGAAATGAATCCATGAGGATTTTTCGCTAACGGATGTCTTGGTTGTGTAATCTAGTCGACAAAAGTGTCCATTGGTATTGCTATTGCAGCCATTTATATTTTGGATTTCAGCGTGAATTGCGGTAAGTCCGAGTCGTAAGGGAGAGCGAACACGATGATTCATTACTGCATGATTAGTCCAAGCTTCCTGTCGTGCACTGATAGTCGATGCGTTACCGCAAGGTCAGCAAGAAGATGGCACGGCATGGGCCGGTCGTATGGTAGGCTTGGGGAACGTCGCAGGTTATTTCACGTAAGTTGGAAATTCGAGCCGCTTGCAGAAAATTACAACTGTTTGACTTTTTGGTTTATCTTGCAGAGGTTATGCGGACCTTGTTGCGGTGTTTCCCTTTTTTGGCAACACGCAGTTAAAGGTGTTGTGCGTGGTGGCGTCCATTGTCCTGTTGCTGTGTGATGCTATCACGTGTTATACGGTCAAAGAAAAAGTGCTTACCAAGGATACCTGGTAAGCGATGCTTTTGTGAGAAATGTTTTAAAGGATGGTTCAATAAGCTGATCTAGTTTGTTGCTAGGGCGACACGGAAACAATCCCCTTTCAAGGCGCTGTCGGCTATCTTTGTCAATATTTGGCATTTGCCCAAACCTATTCAGCGGATATGCAATGTCCAATTCTTTGCTTGGATTGGTTGGTTCCCATTCTTATTCTACTCGACCACTTGGGTGGCCGAGATTTATGATCAAACGGCATTGCAGAACGGCGGTGGCGATGAAGCCGATGCGGTGGGTCAGGCCACCCGTGCAGGCTCTTTCGCTTTCCTTGTGTATTCCATCGTTTCCTTGAGCGCGTCTTTCCTGCTTCCCTTATTCATCACATCTTCCTCCTCCTCCTCCTCCTCCTCATTTTCGCGGGATGATCCCGATACCAATTTTTCCTCGACCATCAAATTTACTTTCCGCGGTCGCAAGTATTCCTTTGCACCATCTCAGTTCCTGCATATCCCTTTTCTTACTTTACCACGTGCGTGGACAATCAGTCATTTAATCTTTTGTCTTGCCATGTTGAGCACGGCCCTCGTTTCCAGTGTAGCGGCGGCTTCGGTAGTCATTGGCATCTGCGGTATTAGCTGGGCTATTACCATGTGGGCGCCCTTTTCTTTACTTGGGGAGTACATTGCGAGTGTAGAAGCCCAACGTCACGAAGGCGATCCCACGGACCAGGACGGAGATGAAACACGGGACCGTTTAGGCATGAACCCGCATTTCGCGTCATCAAGGATTAGCTTAGCCGCGGGAGCTGCAGGGATTGGTACAGACGGTGGCATTTATCAACTCGTCGAACATACGGACCCACGAACGCACGAAAGCGCGGACCATTCCATCCCGATGGACACACTTCACTCGGAACCGGCGGTTTTGCCTCACACAACTGAGGATTCCCCCGATCAAACGGCCCTGTTACCTCCACAGTCTCGCTATTCTCCCGATACCGAACTGCAGCAATCTCAATCCATGTCTCCCGACAGTCTTCCGTCCACGGGCGTGCTGCTGGGAATTCATAATATGTACATTGTCTTGCCCCAATTCCTCGTCACGTTTGCAAGCAGTATCATCTTTCACTTTTTGGAGAAGGATATACCGGCAGGGGACGAATCATCAACCAATGCCATTGGCGTCGTATTACGATTTGGTGCCATCATGGCCGGTGTCGCCGGTTATTTTTGCACCAAAATTACTCGTTCACAGTAACCGGCATTCAAGAAAGAAAGAAAGAAAAAGGAAAAAAAAAGGGGGGGCTACTCTTCATCTATTTATTCGATCCTATTGCATGATTCTCATTAAAAACATTATTCTTCTGTATCTTTTGTTTGTTAGTTGATGTATGGTATACTGATCCCATGATTTTCTGCTTCAGATAATATGGCATCACTCTCAATAGAATCACTTTTTAAATCAAGGTGGGGCCGTGAATTTGAATGCGGTGTGACTTGCATTTTTCGTGGCTTGTTGCTCTTTGAAATCCCTCTGCATACATGCACTGATGCGATTTCTGGAACTGGCTTTTTTTTCTCTCCCGATAAGTTATTGATCATGGCGAAAAAACAAGTGCAAAAGAAAGGAGAATTCAAGGCGAAAATCAACAAGCCAGAAGACGATGTCGAGTTGGAGGAAGTACAGGAAGAGCAAATGGATGAGTCGTCCAGCAACGAACAGAACGACGCATCCGATCTCGACGACGATATGAACGAATCAGACGCCGATGAGAGCGATGCGGACGATGAAGACGATGAGGACGAGGATGAAGAAGACGACGAAATGGATCTTGGTGAAGACGAAGGTAAAAAAAACTTGCGATCAAGCGTAACGGTGTGTCCCTATACGGATGGATGCTGATCCATTTGGCCGGCTTTTGTAGACAAGGCAAAAAAGGGAAGCAGTGAAGCTTTCTCGGAAGCCATGACCAAGATTTTGGGTCGAAATCTGAGTGCCTCGGACAAAAAGGTTTGTTGAATGCAACCTAAAGGAGTTGGCTACCGTGGAGAGTAACAAAAAAACTTTGATGGATAAATAGCAACCTATTCTTGCTAGAGCCAGAGGTACGGAACGCAAAATCGAGGATGAAAAATTGGAATACAAGGCACGCAAGGTCATTTCGGCCGAGAAGAAAGCCTTGCGATCCAAAGGCCGCGTGATCCCCGATTACACAACCTTTGAATACGAAAAGAGATTACGAAAAGTGGCGACACGCGGTGGTGAGCTCGTACAAAAATTAACAAACGATGATGTGATATTGATTTTTTTTTTTTTTTTTTTTGGTAGTTGTCAAATTATTTAATGCGATCCTTACACAACAGAAAGCCACCGATGTAGCGGTATCCAGAGCAAGCGACAATCACAAGACTTTGGCGTCTTTGGAAAAAGCCAAGAGTGGTAAGTCGATGCTTTTTTCGACAGCAGGCTGTAAAATAACGTTATGGACTCATCCAATCATTTTGTTAAAACCTAGTCTCCACCATGTCTAAATCGAGCTTTTTGGATCTTTTGAAAACCGGAAAAGCATAATTTCATTTTTTTTTTTCGTTACCCCCCGTTTCATTTGTTGTATAATACAGTTTATGTCATTTTCATTCTTCTCACCTATTTCCTCTTTGTCTCGAGTGATTTTGCTGTTGTACTGGAGACAGATTAATCAATAGACACTATGGATGCATCACACCGTTGGTATTTGATTTTGCTCATCAGCAACAGCCATTGATCTTGATGGTTTTTCTTTTTTCCCAATAGATGACCTTGGTTGCATCACTGAAAACAGGAGCTATATGCGCTTTTCCGTAGCTGAAATGTTATAGGATGATATTATGTAACGTAACGAACTTTTTTCTTAATTCATTCTCATGACAACCATTAGCGATCTCATATTTGATGTGATACATCGAGAAAACCTTTGTGGGAACGAGCTGTTGCGACCATAGCAATCCATTCAGGAGAACAAGTACTGTAGGAGCATGAAAAGCACCGGAGCAGGGTAGTTTATGACCAGGAATGGTACAACAGTGGTGGAAAGCAGATACAGATGCACCGTAAAAGCAATATTTGTGTCGATCCATCATCCTGTTACAACGCGACACAGAGTGATACTTCATGGGAATACCGATCATTTCGCTTCCAAATTATAATCGATTCCGTAATGGCGTCAATGGTATCCATCCCTTTAGGGAACCAGGTACCCAGGAAGATCTGCATCTGTAGGAAAATATTAATCTGGGGAACATTCCCATGTTCGCTCCTCATGGCCTCAAAACTAAATGATGCTGCAAGTGTACGTCACAGGGGTTGGCCTTATTGTGGTTATTCTCAGTGCATCAAAAGAAAGACAAAGAAACCGATCACTGTTAATCCTCTGGACTCTTTTCCTAGCTTTTGTATCTTTCTTGAAAGGGTCGCTAATATGGGCCATCGAGCGTAGCAGAAAATCCAGATGTATACAATGGCATGGTTTATTTTATTAGTAAATACGTGGACAAGAGTGAAAAAGAGGTCGCTGTGTGTGGATTCAATATAAGCAATGGTATTTTAGAAGCAGCAAATCTTGACGCCGGTACTGCAAGATTCGCCAAAGTCACCGCATCGCGGTGGACATTTACTGGAAGCCATGCGCTGATCTGTAGCTAAGCATTGACTTTCTTGACCTGCTGGACAGGCCGAACGATCAGAGAGAGATAAACACCGAGGTCCATTGCCGATCCACACTGCCAAAGTGACGTTGAGCATGGCGAGAAACAAAAATAATAAGAGTAATGCTGGTTTGATCATAGCGATTGGAAATATAAAAGAAAAAGTCTAATGCGTGGTGAAAGCTAGAACGTTCGCAACTCTACCTTTTTTTCCCTTCTTTTTATGCATCCAGCCGCAGCAACGTTCATTTTTACGCTTCTTGGTTTTTTTGTTCCAGGATGTTCCAAGAAGTCTAAATCTTGAATATCTCCCGAACGCCGTCATCGACACCCCTCTCTCCTGCATCTTGCACTGACTCCAGTTGAATTCAACTGACGCCAACTGATGGACCCCAGCTACTTGCAGAAACCGCAGTGAGTACAGTATCCCCAGGCCATTTACAATTTACGACCAAACTTAGCTAACTCATGATATGATGAGCTTTTGCAGTTTTTGGCTACTGTGTTGATTCCACGTACACAGGCAGCCGACAATGTCAGGGTCGGTTTTCGATCATCTTGTACACCTCCTTGAATTTTTTGTTCGTGGTCATTTTTGGGATTGGCAGATCCTGAACTGAACTTTATGCGCTCAAGTTGGAACTTTGTTGTGGATGGTCTATTTCCTAAACTGTCATCAAGCCACTGTCATAGTGATTTCTACCGTTGGGCAGCATCATTGCTAGGGTGCTTTCCATTTGCAGCATTGATACTCCATAGGAAATTGTGATCTCGATTGATCATCATTTTTTCGCACCCTACTAGAAATTCAGGGGTGAAACGTAAACAAACACGTATTTCTTTTTATTTCGTTTTAACCCAAGATCCTCAAAACCAAATGGCATGTCTCGTATCCAAAAAAGAGTCAATCATCCCTAGTACCGCCTGAGTTTTGATAGAATCTTTCCCATTTCGTATACAAGTAACATAGCAAGAGGATAGACGCATTTCAAAGGTGCCAGCAAGTCGGTTAATGTTTCATTGACCTAATCGGGTTGGTCAGTGACGCTTCTTTGGGTCGGCGGTGCATCCAGCGCGTTGATTGGCTGAGTGGATCCCAAAACTGGTACTGGTCACTTGGCACTATCCTCGCCCATACGCTGGACAACCTTTCATAAGTTATTGCTTGCCTCGATCTTATAGTTTCCTCCATTTTCACCACCATGTTAAATCACATTATGCAACGCATGGCGCCTCTCCGTCGTCCTCTGGCAAGAGTAAGGAAGTGGACAGAGTCGTTCACAAGCACAAAACCCGACCTCAATTAACACGGGCTCTTCCCATCCCACAGTCTTTTTTTGCTCGACCTGAGCAATCTATTGTAGGCACTTGGACCGAATCGCCTTCTGCACAAAGTCTCATTCCTTTTGTCGTGGAACAAACGGTAAAAAAAAAGACACTCCATGTATGCGTATACCCTTTTTTAGGACCAACTAAAACCAAAGGGAATGACTTAGGGACGTGGTGAACGGTCTTATGATATTTTCTCCCGATTATTGAAAGAACGTATTATCTGTCTCAACGGACCGGTGAGTCAATAATGTGAACAGTGAAAAAAGAAGTCAACACAGGGAGACTTATGAATTGGTCTGTGAAAAAAAAAGGTCAATGATAATGTGGCGTCGGTCATTGTAGCCCAGTTACTGTTCCTCGAAGCCGAAAATCCAGAGAAACCGATCAATTTGTATATTAATTCGCCGGGAGGCAGTGTCACAGCTGGCATGGCCATTTATGATACAGTAAGTACAACGGATCTCCATCATGTGTGAAATAAAGAGATGATTGAATTGGATTACTTTCCTTAGATGCAGGTAACACCGAAGCAAATGGGATGTAGACATACAGTGATAAGGGGGAATTGACGAGTGGGATTTTTTTACGTAGTACATTCAATCGCCTGTATCTACATTATGTCACGGGCAAGCATGTTCCATGGCCTCGCTATTATTGGCGGCTGGTAAGTAGAGAAAATACATTTATCTGATTTTCAGAATGGACATGAATGATCATTGGGTTTTTTTTTATTTTTTCTTGGTGCGGCGAATAATCTAGGCCAACCGGGAAAACGATTTGCGTTACCGAATTCGTCGATCATGATCCATCAACCGTCGGGAGGCGCTGCTGGTCAGGCATCCGATATCGCCATTCACGCGCGTGAAATTCTTCGTGTAAGAGAACGCTTGAACCGCATATACCAAAAACACACGGGCATTCGCGAGTATGAGACCATTGGTAAGTTTTGACGATCTGTCAGTCCCCGGTTATATTTTCTTTTTTTTTCCCACGTAGAGAAATGAAACTCACTCTCTGTGATGGATTAGAAAAAATGGTGGAAAGAGACTATTTTATGACGGCGGAAGAAGCCATGAATTTTGGGTTGATAGATAAGGTGCTTGAGAAACGTGTGAAGAAGGAATCGGCCCCCCAGAACGAATAAAGGAAATTTCTCTTTGGAGTGGAAGCGCAAACCCGCCCAGATCACAGGTTCACGTCGGGAAAAGAACAGCAACAGATCGTCAGAGATTAGCGATTTTCTACATCCTTGGTAGCGCTTTGTGCCACCCAGCTGATATCTTTATTTTTTTTTTCTTTTCTTCTTCCCAACTTTTTTTTTCCTTTTTTTCGGGTGAACAACGGAACAACGGTTTTCTGATAGATACGATTTAGATACTTTTTATTTTTTGATGAAGTGATAAAAGGATAAAAAGGGTGATAATAATCTAAGAGAGAATGGCATATATAATTACAAAGCGTACAGCAAGAGAGAAAATGGGGGAAAGAAAGGGGAAATTTTTTTTTGGAAGCTGTCATGGTTTTTTTTTTTCTGCCCGCTTGGGAAGAGAATTGGTTTTTAGGTTTTTCCATGGTTATCCTTTTTTTTTCTGATTTTTGGATAAGAGTGGTAGGGTTATCATGAATAAATGGTATGAAGATCGTTATCCTTCCTTATGAGTACTTTGAGTGGAGATGGGTGTTGTTGCTGAGGTAATCGGAGATAAGAGAAGAAAGAGAAAAGAAAATAAACAGATAAGTAAGAGAAGATAGAGAGGCCACGCACGCACTAATAGAGAGAAGAGAGAGAAGAGAGATTGAGAGAAGAGCGGTAAAAAAAAATAGCAGATAGGTAGAAGACTTCCAATGCAGATGGATGCGATGGTGACGGTAATAAAGTAGAAATCCTTAACGACCTACTAATGAAAGATACTTAGCAACCGATTTCTTCTCCAAGGGCCCAAAATAAACAGCCACTTACGACTTGAGCGACCGCAATCCGGACACCAACTGGTTTCGAAATATCGTCGATGGATCAAGCAATAACTTTTGCCTCGTCCATTGCAAGTATGTACTGCAACGGGTGCTTGTTGTTGGGAACAGGTCTTACTGATGATAGTGGACAGCATATTTGTCATGGAATTTAGTCACCAACGATGTGTATAAAAAAAAAGGTAGAGCGTACAAACCAACTGTAGGGTTGTACTTTTCTGTCTATTTATAAAGGAAACAGTGGCTTGGAGTAAGACAAAATGCGATTTATCTGGCGTCGCACAAGTTTTCACAAGTTCTATGCATGAGAAGGATGCACAAACCACGAAAAACATGGACTGTGCTCGTCAAATCAGCTGAGTTGGACCATGTCCTACCTAAACAATCGAATCACAAGCCTGGAATAAAATTTGTGATCATGGGAACGGACCTTGGTGTCTCTTTATATTTCTTTTTTTTCACACCTCCGAACACACACCAACGGCTTTGCATTGAACTGGCGTTTTTTTTTTTCCTTTCACTCTATTTCATATGAGACGCCTCTTCTATTTGATTTGATTCGCTCTTTCATCTTGATGATTGAGTTCGCATTGCAAGTGCCAATGCGCTGTTGCATATTCAAGGAACCATTCGCTGTCCACAAGATCCCTCAATGCAGACGATAGACTGAATTGTAAACAGAATAAAATAAGACTACTTCAAAAAAGGCTCAGTGACCCCTTTTTGGATTGCTTTATTAGTGGTAGCCCCATGATCAATGGTTACATCACCGAATGGAAGCTACATGGACTTGAGCGCCTTTCTACATATGATAGCCAACAGACGGTACCCAAAAAAAATGTGGTACTTTTTTTTCGATCCCATGATATCGCATCGTTTCTCCCGTCATCTTGATTCCTTCTTCCGGTCCAGCAAGATTAACACCGTTTCTACCCTTCCTCCATAGTATAGAATGTCATCCGTTCTTATTTTTTTATTTATTTATTTATCCACTGAGAGCTGTGCTAAGCAGGAAAAAAAAAAAGCAATGCCGATCTCTTTTTTGCTACTGTTGTCTTTTGTTTTTTATGTTGTTTGGTGATTCTTTCTGTTGCTTAAGTAAGTCCGCCTCCGGAAAAACTAAATGGTTCATCAGCACATTAAGAAAAAAAAATGGGTTTTGATTACGATCCTTCCCCAATTATTTAACAAGGTACAATCCATATTTGATCAGTGATGAATCATGTACGACTGTAATCCCTATTCATCCTATTTTTCTTTTTCTCGTTCTTGTTCAACTTGGTATTTTGTTGACAGTCGATAAACTCGGCTTGTCCAGTGCAGTGATGCTTATTTCCGTGGAATTTTCATTCACTGAACCCTAACGGATTAGAGTTTCTGCAAAAGGGAACCTGGCGCATGGGTTTGAGGGCCCGATATGCATCTTCATCTTCCATTGTCCGTTAACATTGGTACAGAAATCGGTGGCACGAAAGCAGAGGTCACTTTCTTTTTTTATGAACCCGCCAAAATTTTTTGCAACCTCCCCAATTTTGGGCTCAGCCAACCAAGCTAATGCCAAAATGAACACAACCAACGTTTATGACCATCCCATTTATTTTCATCGCCGTTTGTAAAAAGAAAAAAAGAAAAAAAAAGATAACGATTATACCGACCAATGACGATGAATGATCACCATTTTATACCGTCAATTTCAGCCATGATCATCATCTTACCATGGACGAAGAATGAAAAAGCAAGCATCTTTATATATCAGAAAAAAAAAAAAAAAAAGGGAAACCGACAACCGGACAGGTACGCATGGCTTTTTTTTAGATCTGTCATTGAGTGACAACAGTAATGGCACATTTTTCCCACTTGAATTCGTCTTGAAGCTTGAAACGACACGAACTGTCAGACGATGATCACGGGTAGGCACTCATTTTCTTTTTTACACGTTGTTGTGGGTTCCGCATTCTAAAGGTAACCTCGTCGAATTTTAAGAGATCGAGCCCCATGGATAAAAAGAGAAAGTAGGTGCCAGTGCATGGATAAACAAAACTGCGGTGAATCCTTGCTTAAATTTGGGGGGGGGGACCCCACTTGGGCCCACCAAATTATCCTTTAGTGGCATGATCGAAATGCTTGCCAAGCCAGCCAACAATTGATGATCGAGAAAAAAAAAGGATTGGCACTAAAAAAAAAGGGACAAATGCATTGGGGTATTGGTGTCACGTCTGACAATAAGCTTTCAGTCAGCACCAGATAACTGTATCCACCCCTCTAGTCCTTTCCCCTACCTACCCATCATCATCATCATCACCATCCAGTTACTGTAGGTCAAACGACGGGCTTGAATAGACAACTTAGACTGACCCAAGCTATCGCCACGCTTTCAGTGAAGAGAAACATTTGAGAAAGACTATTAAGCGAGTCGCTGTCCTTTTCTCTTCTTTTGCCATTGCCTTGTTTTAAAGTTTTCTGCATAGGATATTTTTTTCTCCATCGTTACACGCATGAGGGTATTAAACTGTAGTGGAACGGGAGGGCACTAAAAAAACCTTAATATAAATGAATTATCTTTTTTATCTACCACGTTGCTATCCCATTGGAAACTCTCGGTTTTACCATCCCATGTGGGTCATTATTAAAACTAACCCCATCTTCAACCCATTTGTCCGCGCTTTCCCATAGATCCACTTCCTTTTTTTTCCCGGTCTAACCAAAAACGGCCCGCCCCCGTATCACTGTACCTCACAATATTCCTTTTTTTTTTTTTTGGCAATACAGCCATACATCTGGGTTGGGGAAAGCAGAGGCTTAGTGGTGGATTTCTGGGCATCGCCACGGTTCATTTTCTCTTGCACATAAAAGAACAAAGTTTTTACTACATAATAATATAAGCTGAACAACCGGTCAACAATGGTGAGTGAGGTGTTATAACAGGTACAAGATAAAAGTGGGGTTCCTGGTTTAACTTTCAAAAGCCAAGTGCCCCTTTGACCAATAGAAAGTCTAAGCATTCGGTTTCCTTTTTTTTTGTGGTCGTTCATGGGGTCTATGGTATCATGGAACAGGCAATATTTCGTTAAAAAAAAACGATAATAGCTGTATATAGGGTTGCACTGAGGGATTTTTTTTTGACTGGCTTTATAAATATAACTGCATCATGACATTATCACAGGAACGGAGATGATCATTGCTCAAGAACGCAATTTTTGTTGAAAAGAAGTGGCAAGCCGTCAGGTTATCATAGACGCTTATGCATATAACCGCCCTCAGTATGACCCATTTACGTTACTTGCCTTGCCATGGCATAAACCACGCATTTTATTAGTACTATTCAGTACAAGTGTTATCATAAGGTACAATGACAAAGTACGACACTCCAATGCAGGCATCGCCTGATTTGATGACGTAAAAAAGAAATCATTAGCTAATCCTTTGTCCGTCATGCTTATCTGCATCTTTGTGTCATGATCATTTTATAGAATAGGACATTCTGTGAGAGGATACATGCGTTGTGCGATCAACCGCTCTCATTGTCACGCATCGCTGGAGTTAGAGTCGTGTGCAGAGTGAAAAGTTTATTATGGAATTGTCTGTGTACATGAGAATAAAAGAGAAAAATTGAAGCAAAATATTTCGCGTTTAAAATCATTCATGGTATTGCATCGGTGCGATCAATGGTAAAGCGAATCCACGCTTACCAGTCGTGACTGAGATGTCGTTCAAGGGCCTGTTTATCTGTGCCTGAAGGACCGACTAATTTTCGGCGATGATCCATACGGATGTATTCGTCACTTCCTAGCATCTTGAGCTCCTCATCATCCATGTCTTCCGGTTCGCCAACAAACTGATCCGATTCAAATAGCATCCCACTCTCTGCCGGTTCTTCGGGTTCGCACATATTGACATCGCGGTGTTGCTGATCCAAAGCGATCGCCTGATGATGCGCTTCGGTGGCCGTGACGGACGTTGGCGTCGAGATGGAGCTTCCCGTATACCTTCGTTTGGGGGTCAGCATATCCACCGAGTTTAATCGTAAGCTTGATTGACGTGCATGTTCGCCTTTGAATCGTTGCACTTCGTTGATGATACATTGTCGCAATACATCGGTGTCATTGAGCAGCTCGAAACTTTCAAAATCAAACGGCGTTTCGCAACGCAGTTCTTCGGCCGGATCACGCACCACCGCTACGTAAGGATGCTCCAATGCTTCTTCCACAGTGAGTCGCTGGTCGGGGTCCAAGTGCAATAAACGACGCAACAGATCAATGCCTTCAGGAGGACATTGGGGAAACTGAGCGGCGAAATCAATCGGTTCTGTGGGCGGTCGTTCGCCATTGGCGTCCGTCAGGTTTTTGATGTAATCCACGACCGATTCCGATGCTCGCTTATCCCAAAACGATGTATCTTTGGGCAAGCCCAGAATGCCAATAATTTTATGCAGCTGATCCACATAATCTTCACCCCGGAAAAGTACCTTGCGTCCCAGTAATTCCGCAAATATACATCCCACAGACCAAATATCAACTAAAAAGAGATCACATTTTCCCCCGCCAATCCAATTTCATTCCGTTAGTGACCAGACGATCGGGGTGATACTGACCATACTACACTTACTCGCTTTATCATAACTGTTCCGACTCAACATGATTTCCGGAGCACGATACCATCGCGTCACGACATAATGCGTCATATGTTGCTGTGCATCCAGACGAGCAGAAGCGCCTGCAAAACCACGCGCCATACCGAAATCGCAAATACGTAAACTGCAATCTTGATTGACAAGAATATTGGCTACAGGGTACATAATAAAAAATGAAAAAATTCATGATCAAGGTTCCCATCCGTCATAGTATTCCCACTTATTCTCTTTTTTTTTCCCCGTTCTTCCCCATTGATTTTTTCCACCTTACCAGGTTTCAAGTCACGGTGAAGTACCTAGGAAAAAGTGATGTGATAAATATGGCTGATTTTGTCATGTAGAATATGCGAATAGGGGAGAATAACGGAGAGAGAGAGAAAGAAGGATGATTACATTGGCACTGTGGATGTACTTTAGGGCTGTAAAGATTTGATACATGAACCATTGGTAGTGAACGGGTTCCAATTCAAGTTTGGAATGGATAATGTCGGCCAAAGTGGTATCGCAACATTGTTGGATCAAGTAGATTTCGTTAAAACGCGAATAATCCACAATGTCCAGTTCCTTTAAACCAATAATCCGAGGATGACCGTTGAAATGCTGTAATAACTTGATTTCACGGAGGCACCGTTTCGTCAATAGCTTTTTATCAAATATACGCGAACATTTTTTGATGGCCACCACTGTACAAATTGATAAAACATAGGTTTCAGCATCTTCACATCATCGCGTGCGGGTGTCGATGCACAGGTAATCACACTATACCTTCATCTGAACCTAGACGTAAAGCGCTACACACCGTACCGTAGGAACCCGATCCCACTTTACGGATAACTTTATATCGTTTATTGATGGTAAACGTTTCACGAGTACCGTTAATCACAACAGTATAATGTTCATCGTCCGTGGCCATGGTTATCCCACTGCCCTCACATGGCCTTTTTTTTTTTTTTTGGTCGATCCCTTATCGTTCTTTGAAAAAATGCCGAAAATCTAAAAAAAATTCGCGAACCGACGACCGCGACCTTTTTAAGGAACGCTTCATACGTCTGTTCTTGCTCTCTATTCGATCACCCATTGTTTTTTATACAACAGTCTATTTAGGGTTTAACATCGACGTTCTTACAGTATTTGGATTAGACCATTTGTGATCTATGGTAATATTATGCGTAAAATCTAAAGTGAAGTGTCAGTAGGCGGGTGCGAGAAAAGAGTAGAAGCAAAATACAAGGACGAAAGTGTGCAACTTACTTTTTGTTGATCAAATAGATGAGTAGATTCACATTGGCTTTGGCCATGTCGTCTAGCACTTGGATGTATTGAATGCCTTCAAACTGAGTTTGCAGCAATTCTTCGTAGCGGACATCCACTTGAAGTGACGATAAACTCCAACCAGAATACGTTCCTTCAATGGTGATAATGCCCGCTTGATCCATTGAGAATACCATCGAAATACGATCGTAGTGTTTTCGGTCAATGCCGGAAAGTTCCACCAAGACACCACGATCATACAATTCCTTGGCTGTGTATTTGTAAGACCCAAACTTGGGGACCATTCCTTGCTTTTGTAATCCACGCAGATGGAAATATTGCCGCGAAAAAGGCAGCACCATCCTTTGCTTCTGACCCCGTTTTGTGGCCATGGCTGTCATACAACTCATGAGATAATCCTCGTATTGGTTGCCCTGAACCAAGAGATATTGGTGCTTCTTTTCCAGATGATGAAGCGTTAACCGTATTCTGGAAATTTCGCGATCGCGCTGCACCCGCCGTCTGTTTTTACCCGTAATATCCTGAGCAATCATATTGATCATTTCCTGATGATGTCGACTCTGAGGTATCACATCCAATCGCTCCAAATGGATCACCAGTTTTTGTGCAATACTCTTCAACTGGAAAAACTTGATGCTACCGCAATAGATACAGAAACGTCAAGGACCCCAACAATGAATTTTCGACCATCGTCATGGTTAGAGCTTACTTTTGTAGGTCTAGCGGAGTCTCTGATTGACTGAGTTTCAGCATTTGGCGTTTGGCGCCCATGGGGCCACTGAATTCGACCTTTTTAAACGAGGTCCAAGCAGCCTCATGATCTGGAGTCACCGGGGCTTCAAATATTTCTTGCAAATGGGTCCCCGATTGCACCTTGATCACATAAATGACGAGCCGTTTGGCGTCGACTTGCAGTTGTTGGATTCGGGCCGCCGGATCGGATGGAAGATCGTTGCTGGGATTCGTCAGGGACAGACAGATGGTCGATTCCGGGTACTCCATGTTGGGCATGTAGGGCGAGTCGCCTAATTCTTGCAACAAACCATGCAATTTGCCCGTGCCTTCGGGTTCCAGGACGCGTAAATTCACTTGCAGCGCATAATGCAAATGAAACAGTTCCGTCGGACTGATATATACGCGAGGCTTTTCTGTTCTCACTTGATCCGCCAAAGAATGCTGGTTAAAGTATTCTTCGGGGCTTTCCACGTCCGTCACTGTCATTGGGAAGGAAAGAGTAGCGTTAGACCACAAAGAAAAAAAAATATATGAAGCATTGCTTACACTGCATAAACCATTGATTGAATTGTTTTGTTGCGTGTGCCACGTAATCGTTGAGTGGAGCGAGAAACATGTCCTGAGCAGTGAACAGCCGACCACTGGAGACAGCTTGAAGCATCTTGGAAATCTCGGCAAGGTTTCTTCGTTGAACAGGATGAATCACAGCTTGAATGACATCATATTGTTCTGGGGCACTATGCATACACACACACACACACGCACACAAAACAGACATAAAAAAGCTGGAGGTTCAACATCATAAACTTGTAGTCATGAACTGATCCTAGCGACTTACATGATGGCCGGATTCAGGTACCGGTAGTAGATGAAATTTCCGATAATTCTGCCAACGTTGGCTTGCGGTTCATGTGGAAAGGTGATCCGAAGCACTTCACGAAGTTCTCTTGCAATAGCACGAATGCTATAGGGCATCTGATCACAGGTCGAGGTAATGGCGCTCATGAACGCTTCGGTGATTTCACGTAAATTTCTTAAATGATGGATGAACACCTCACGCACTTCATCGTCCGCCAAGGCTTCCTGGGAATTGACATTTTCCTTTCGCATCGAAGGCTGCCCTGTTCTCGACTCCTCATCATTCACCACTTTGTGATAAATGCTGACAGGATCGGTTTCCAAATCCAAGTACTCATCATCAATCACACTGTGAATAAGAGGTCCCAGCAACTTCTGGAAAAAGTGGCGCTCTTTTGCTCCTCTAACACCAAAAAAGTTTCATCACAGTCGTTTAACAAGAATCCCATTTCATGGGCCGCATTATTTTTGTTACCTGTTGATCTGCACCATAAGTTTCAGAAAAGTGTAATTGCCACGCAGAAATTCGTTTGTATCTTGCACGGTTTTCATCTCTTCTTCAATACATTTCTACAATGGAAACGTTGAATGAATATTGTGGATTGAATACGAGGACGTGTTTCATACTTTGCAAACGTTGAGCAAGAGAAATTCTTCGCGAGCATTGGTGGCATAGCCAAACAGGGTGAGGACGGTGGATTCAATCAACTTGTAGCTGACGTGATCGCCGACATCCTGGCGACTCGTCATAGACAGCAGTCGTGCAAGATATTTTGGTTCCGTTTGTAAGACGTAGATCAACTTTTCGTAAGATTTGCGACGTTGACATGTGCTTTTATCGATGCCATTGAGCGATAACGGACTGGTATAGTTGTTTTGATCGGCCAACTGATGAATACGGCGCTGTTGTTCCTTCTTTTTCTTGAACGCGCCGCAGTGTTTCAGCACTTCGTCGATGGAAATGGCGTTTTTAAGAAAGAGCCCAATCTGGAGGTCCAAAGTGTTCACATGCGCATCCAATTGATTATTATGTCTTATATACTGAACAATTTCCTGTCGCAAATCTTCCAAGATCAGCTCACGATCAAAATCCAATTCGCTGTCATCCAGCAAATGCACAAACGTCTTGACCGTCCCCAGCGAAGGATTGCGGTCATGAGCTGCAATAAAGGTCACATTACATCAGCCCATATCATGGCACAAGTAAATTAGAGTTAGCACACTTACTTAGTCGATGATATGCATTGCGTGCCAGTTTATCGCGGACGCATCGTTGCACGATGATAATTTGGGCTTCATGAGACGCATAGTATTGCATCAACTGTTTGTACTTGGCGCGGCAAATGTACCCTCTTGCTTGGGTTTGCAACTAAGCATTGCCGATATAAGGGGAAAGAAAAAAGACGACCCACAGCATATTAGAAGCAAAGAAGCAGAATACGTTTTTTCTTTTTGAAATCCTCACTTTGAGTATCCATGCTAATTGATTGTTGTATTGCGCGATTCGATCGGATAATTGACGTCGTGCTAGCATGCCTCGACTATGCGCCTGAATGTTGACAAGGGTGGACATAAAAGAACGGCTGTGCAATCGCTTTTGCAGTGACAGATAGTGTCGGCGAGCAACACGTGTACGAAGCATAGCTTGGCAACGCATCAAGAGGGATAAATGATACTCATCTGACCAATAGATCTCCATTTCTACATGATTTCCATCCCCCAGTCAACGGCTGTTTTCATCGTAGCAACAAAAGCAAAACACGGCAAGCTAGCTATCTTACTTTGTTCTTCCGACAGTCCGTGGTCCGAGTTCTCTGAACCGGAATCTTCTTCAATGATGAGATCAGGGACAGTAGCGATTTCAGGCAAAAGTTCTCTGTAAAAATAGTCGTTCAGTTCGAGCTGTTGCAGATTATAGTGTGCATCGTATTCGGCGTCTTCGTCCTGCAATTCGTTTCGAAGCGATGATTGCACGCCTTGAAAATTGGGCATCGACACGCCAGCGATATCCAATCCACGTTGTGTAGCTGTAATTTCCTCGTCTGAAAAATTATTGCGGCATTGAGTGGATCTGTTTTCATTGCAGCTATTTTGTGTTTGGTTTGAACATATTTATGATTGGGTTGCCCACTGACCTGTGAATTCAAGCTGGCCTAGCAAGTTCTTGATATCGGGGGCCAAATGGCGTCTTGAGAGTAAATGACTCAAAGCATGGATGCAGTAGATGACTTTGGGGATGTTTTTCTTTTCGTACAAATCGGTCAATTCAAACCAAAAGATCTTGGGAAGTCGCACAAACTGCAGAGCGTCAAAGAAGTAATTGATGTTATCGGAATGACGAAACTGGAGCTTCTTGTCACAAAAGATCTTGCGTACGCTCCCAGGTGCAAACCAGCTCGCCAATTTGGCCACGACGATACCATTACGCAAAGATTCCTCCAACTGAACAATGGGCCCAATATCTTCCTGGATACATTCTTCAATCCATCTACAAAAATAATATATTTTGTAAAAAAAAAAAAAAAAAAAAAGGTTGCAAATGAGAGATCGGCTCTCATGGCATGCATGAACATAGACCAAAGGCTCCAAAAGACTCACTCTTTGGCTTCACCAATGTGGCACAGATATTCATAGGCGTGCAAATTGTCACGTTGCTTATCCATCCATCGACTGCTCATCACCGTTCGATTATCCTTTTGCAACCGTATACGACCTTTTTTTGCATGATGGTCAATATTATTCGACAAAGTGGTCTCTTCAAACAGGATCGCATTGTGTGGGATGGTAACAAGAGGACTCAACTTACCATGAAGACCTATCAAGAATTTCAGAAAACATTGAATCGATTGATTTTTTTTTCCGATTTTTCCAAAGCGTACCTATCACATCCTCTGCATCCTCTGTAATTGTAGGTATGTGCAATTGAGATAGACCCTTTTCGCCTGCTAGGTGTGACAACGTATTCAGAGGCGTTCGCTGTGTCATACAAAATGTAGTATATTGATGAGAAACAGACTAATAATAAACAAGCAGGTACGGTGAAAAAGAAAGTGGTCATTCTGACAATATGGTTCTGTAAATCTTTCAATATCATCCACCAGAAAATGGACGGTTACGCACTGCATTCTTTACCTATTTTGGCTAGTTGGATGCCCTAGCTTCGGCTGTTTCAATCCGCCACTATTGTTTTGTGCAAATGCACACAAGAGAAAAAGCATTGACTTCAAAAAACTGCAACTCGCATTGCTTCTCCCTTTTTGAGCTTTTACCGCTTCCCCCCCCCCCCGAAAATAAAAAATGATCGTAGTGGATCATGTAAATTTTATCTGTTGCTAAACCCCTTCTCCTTCACAAATTTGTGGCAAACGCAAGGTAGCTTATTTCGAGCATAACATTGGTCCATATCACCTTTTTGGATGCAGTGGTTCATGCATGAAATTTGTTTTTTGGTTGAATCGGTGCACTTGTCGCTCGGATGTCGCATAGTTACTTTTTTTTTTTTTGCAGTCACCATCATCGTTTACCATTATGTATCATCAAACTGTCACCCATGTTTCGTTCAAAAGTAAACTATATTACATTACAAATTCTGGAAAGGGGAAAAAAAAAAGATCAGAAATGCCGTGATGTCAACTATCTTGCGTTTTGGGAATTCCAAATCTCTGCCTTTCCTTTGATCATTTCATTTTGAATTCTACGCTAATTGAGCCACCTGTAGCTATGCTTATTTAAACTATAAGAAGCATTGAACGATTTAGTTCACCTCCAGCATCACAGCTATCCTTTCTTTGTTTGTTTTACTTACGGCTCTCAAGAGCTCGGGTTGCGAAGAATTTGACATCGCCATCTGTGTCCGTGCTGAGCGTTTCAAGTGCGGGTTTCACCTTGGAGTCGATCAATGGTGCCGTATTTGAGTCCTTCTTCAACAGAGGTGTTAATGTTTCTAGCGATTTGGCGACATTGAAACGGATATTGGGGATGGGATCATCAATCTTTTCCATGACCGTAGGCAAAATCAAATCTCTGATAATCTCGGGTGACAGTGCTTCTGCCATTGTCTGGATAGAAAGGTAGAGTCAGCGACGATTTTAAAAAAATCGAGCGGTTCCCCAACTTACGGTCAATGCGAAAAGGGTGGTCATTCTATGCAGATAGTTTTCATCGTTGGTCAACTTGAGCACTTCCGGAATGAGGGTGGTTTCGGCCCATTTGGCACCAAACACTTCGGTCAGACTTTTCAGATTCACCGTTGCGGCTTCACGAATAGAGTATACCAAATCACGCAACCAAGACATGCACAATAATAAAAGTCTTTCTTCAAAGAATTTAGCTCCAAACTGCTTGGCCAAAAGCGGGATATACTCAATCACGGCCAAGCGAATACGCCACTGTCGGTCCTCCGAAAGTTCCACAATAGCCGGCAATAGCGCTTGCGAAAGTCGCTCAATACCGATAGCTACACCCCGAAAATTCCTGTGAGTTGAACGTATATCAATGCCTACACGTACCAGTCATTCGTCTTACCTTGATTAATCACTTCCAAATTGGAGATGACGTTTAAGCGAACATCAGGAAATTCATCCGTCAATTGTTGAAGGAAAGTGGGTAACAAATACTCCATTGTACTAAAAAAGACAGAAAAAAAAAGTGAGTACCATGCACTGGATGACTCGTTTATCATGGACTTGGGACGCTTTCTTGAAAAAGGTACTTACGCTTCCTCGCCAATGACCGGTGCTAAATCACTGATGTTCTTGGCAAGGGCGGCACGAGCATGCTGGTTTTCATCCATTACTAGATCCTTCACACAAGGTAAAAGACTTTCAAGGATCACCGACTTTTCCACCAGCTTAGCAAATCCTAATGAAAAATCAAAAAGATATGAGTAAGACAGAGCCACCTATCCACTCAAAACGGCATGCCCGTAATAAAAGTGCACGTACCAGGAATCTGACCGGCAGCGGCCGTTCGGACTTCGCCCTCGGGATCCTTCAACAGACTCAAAAACGGACCCACAAATTGTTCACGCGCAATCGCTTCACCAAATGCTTGCGAAATCTAGCAGGGGCACAATCCAAAAAAAAAAAAAGATCAGGAGCGGGTTCCAAGGGGGGCCAATAGGCTTTTCATCTGATGTCCCACTTACATCAACATATTTTGAAGCGACCATGTATCGTACACGCCACGATTTGTCATCGGCGAGAGTTTTGAAGGCGGCCAACAAGTGCTGCTTTCGTTGTTCTTCGTTGAGCAATCGGGCCAAGGCGGGAATATCTTCTACGGTGAGAAGACGGACGGAATCCTGGTTATCTTCAGCTAAAGTGTGGAATATTTTGATAATGGTGGACACCACGTCTTCCGTGGAGACTTGTTGTGCAAAATCCTAATAAAGCAAGTAACAAAGTGAGACCCAAACCGCAATTTATCAATGCTACACGGGTATGAGATTTTTTTTTTACACTTAAAGCCTTGGCCGCGGCTCGTCGCACCATCGGGCTCTCATCTTCCACCAACTGAGTAAACAAGCTTTTGAAAAAGAAAAAGAGAAAAGGATGAGCATGACATGAGCTGAAAAGGAAACTCAATTTTTTTTTTACCGTTTTAACTCGGATTGCAAGTCGTTGGAACTTCTTTTATAAATGGCAGCATAGAGACCGGTGGCCGAGGTTCGACTGGTGAACCATTCACCGATACTCAAACGTTTCAAAAGAGGCACAAAGTGTTCCTCGAGTTGTTTTTCAGGTAAATGTCCAACAAGAGTGCACAAGGAAGCAACCGCCTGTAAGAAACGACACCAACGCAAAAAAAAAAAGTCAATGACACCCATCCCCACGATAGCAACTCGTTTTTTGATTGATAAGACGCAAACAACTTACTTTTTCTCTGACACTTGGTTCTTCCACGGCAGCAATGTTTTCAAGAGGAGGCAATAAATAATAAGCATAATTTGCACCACCAATGTAATCCGTCAATTTTCCAAACTCTTCAGCCAAAGCAAGAAGCACTTCATCTTCGTCATCGATGGATTCTGTGAAAAAAAAAAAAAAAAGATAAAAAGGGTCCAATATAAGAAAAATTAGTATACGCCTATCATTCAAAAAAATAGAAAAAAAAACCAAGAAGTCTCCCTTTCACCCCAGTGACACGTCATGCTTTTTTCCCTTTTTTTTTCCCATTTATCGATAACGTTTTTGCTCCCCAAAAACCCAAGATACGAGGCGACGTATGATATGACGTAGAATAGTTTCATGCTACATTGACAATAGAGAACAACGCACCTTGCAAGAATGGAATGAGTTCATCTCGTGTTCTTTCAGGACCGAGGGCTTGGGCGATAACCGGCAAGTTCTTGATAGCGTTCAACTTTAGCTGGACATCTTCGTGCTTCAGTTGGTCAATCAAGACGGCCACAGAGTAATTTTCGTCCGTGTCCTGTTCAGTGGTGTTGACAGGATCTTCATCCATGAATTCGGTAGGAGGAGCAGTAGCAGTGTCGATTTCCATAGTGGCAATGAAGGATTATTTGTTTTTGTTTTTTTGGAACTAGCTTTCTAATTGTCGTCTATTATTTGAACAGAGAGAAACAAAGGCGATGGTATCGTTTCTTGTAGTTTGTGGGGATTTTGGTGTGTTTGCTCTGAAGCAGGAAAAAAACGAGACACGTAAAGAAGAAAAAGAGAGAAAAAACAAAGACTCGTCTTTTGCAAAGTAGACAAGACCAAAAAAAAAAAAAGAACCACACTTTCACCGCGCCATGGAAAACGGGAAAAAAAGCCCAGCCAGTCCACAAGCGGCAAGGAAATTGTGACGTATGCATCGCGCGGCGATTGAATCCTCTTTTTTTTTTTTTCTTTTTCCTTTTTCTGAAAAGAGGGTTTTTTTTTTTTCTTGTTCTCCTTATTGTTTGGAACGGAACACTCCATCAAGTGTTTGTATGAAATTTGGCTCATTCTTATTAAAGCTTGGATTCGTAGCTCGTCGTCTTTGCATTGCGCCTCATCTTTAAAATATCCTCTCTCTCTCTCTTTTTATACACATCCCATTCTAGCGACGACCCTTTCTTCCTGCCATACAAATCATACACCGAAAAACAACCTTTTTTATCGCCACCCCCGCCAATTCTCTTTATTTGTTACTAATTTCAAAATTGACGACATCTCATGAGCGCCGTATTTGAATTTGACGACGACGACTTGACGGACGTGTGCCAGAACAGCAAGACAGACGATCTTAGTCATGTTGATTCAGACCATGTCGAGAGTGGTTACTCTTCAGAAACCGATGCGGCCGAACCCACACCTGTCTATGCTGACGAGAAAACGTACGAAGTCTCTTTGAGTGAAAACTTTATCTCCTCCTCTGTCAAACAAACGGTCGTTGACAGCAAGAAGAAGATCGGAAAAGACGATTTCGAAATATTGAAACTTCTCGGTCGTGGAGCGTAAGTTTTGGTTAATTCACAAAATTTTTTTGATTTCATTTTTCCCCAATTTTGTCATCTCGGCTTGCATTTCCCCCCCTGAAAAGAAAAACAATCCCTTGCTTTTTAGTCTCGCCCTTTAGAATTTTTGCCTAATCGAGTTCATTTGACAGATTTGGCAAAGTCATGTTATGCCGTCACCGTTCTACCGGAGAACTGTATGCGATGAAAGTATTGAAAAAAGCGTCCCTGTTGGTCCATGCTAAAAATGCCGAACACACCAAAGCCGAACGCCAGATCCTTGAAGAAATGCGCCATCCGTTCATCGTTCAATTGATGTATGCTTTCCAAACAGACGATCGATTATATTTAATCCTCAAGTATGCTCCAGGCGGCGAACTGTTCACTCACATGGCCACAGGTAGATAGAGTCATCAAATATGATCCATTTTTACATGATCAACTCACATGTTGGGATCGGTTTGTTTTGGTAGAGCATATGTTTAGCGAAGATGTCGCACGATTTTATCTTGCCGAGTTATTGCTGGCATTGGAACATGTGCACAGTTTGGGCATTGTTTATCGTGATTTGAAGCCGGAAAACTGCTTGTTGGATGGTCAGGGACATATCCTGTTGACTGATTTTGGTCTGTCCAAAGTCTCCCTCGATGGTCGAACCAGTACCATTTGTGGTACCGCCGAATATATGGCTCCAGGTAGGGCTTTTGTGTGACCGAATTAGCTCCGGGGTAGATGTGTGTAACGTCTAATGAGTTTGAACACAGAAACTTTAATGGAAATGCATTATGATCAGAGCGTTGATTGGTGGACATTTGGCATTCTCATGTTTGAGATGCTCACTGGCTATGTAAGTGGCGGCGATTCATTTTTCTTATTTTCAAAAAAATATTGATTTCCACGTCTAGACTCCTTTCCGCGCTGCCAACAAAAAGAAGACCTTGGAAGCTATTCAAAAAAAGAAACTCCAAGTTCCTTATTACATTTCTGCCGATGCCAAGGATTTGCTTATCAGAGTAAGTGACGGAGTATCCAAAGTGAAAAAGCATGGGCAAATGGTGTGGAAACGGATGGCTCCAACTTATTTCTTTCACGTGTAGTTGTTGCGCAAGAATCCGAATGTGAGACTCGGTAGTGGTGACAAGGGCATTGAAAAGATCAAGAAACATGGATTTTTCCGCAAGGTCGATTGGAAGGCCTTGAAAGCACGTAAAATAGAACCACCCATCATACCCGTTGTGGTAAGTAGGCGCACGGAAATGAAGATAAAAGGAATGTCCATCCAACTCAGACTTTTTCTAGACGGATCCATCGCTTGCCGAAAACTTCGATGACAAGTTTACCCAGGAAATTATCAAGGAATCACCTATTGATGTGCCCCACGGCTTGGATGCTCACATGCAAACTTATTTCCAGAATTTTACCTATGTTGCCCAGTCTCATTTGTTGACTCATGCTTTTCCCGAATGAATCCCAGCTAGATGTCGATTCTCTCTCCTTATCAACCTCATGCAAAAATATAGATTTCCGTTGATCCGCATAGGCCCGGCTCATGTTGAAAAGGGGTTTGATAACAAAAACATGGTCATCGACAGCATTGGATGGGATCCAGTCATTGCATATTGGAAATGGGGAGTTTATAGAATAAGCAACAGATCTACGACAAAAAGAAGAAGAAACCAGAGAAAAAAAGGCAAGGCAAGGAAAAAAGAATAATACGTAACAAAAAGAAAAAGAAACGGATAAAAAAATTGAGAATGGGCATGATTGGTATAAATTGAATAGCGCTTGCGTATGTATAAAAGAGACGAAAAAGAAAAGAGAGAAGAGAGAGAAGAAAAATAAAAATGGTTATACAGCTTTAACAAAACAAAAAGAGAAATCATGCTTCGTCAGTGCTCCACACGATTTGAAATCATTTCCTGTCCTTGAAACAAAAAAAAAGGTCATTTTCCTGTCAAGCCCATCATGAAAATAAACTCAAGGAATAGGAAACAACTTTTAAAAAGAGAAGAGAAAAAAATTGGAAGCATCAAATGGTTGGATTAAGAAGAATAAGAGAAAAAAAAGAAGGGGGGGATTTTTTTATCGACATTGCCACACCTTGACAGTTTGATCTACACTTCCCGTTGCAACAATAGGACTGATGTGGCAATAACTAGAAAAAAAAACGACGATTTTAGCACAAAATGATATGGAACCTCACCGTTTTCAGAAACAAAAATAAAATACTTACGATATGCAAGTAACAAAATGAGCGTGAGCTTCCAATGTCTTCATGCAACGGCCGGTTTTCAAGTCCCAAATCTTGATCGTCTTGTCGTCGGATGCACTTAGCAAGTATTTGCCACTAGGATGCACCACCAATCCTCGTACCCAATTGTCATGACCAATCTGTTCCATCGCATCTTAGTTTTCCGATCCGCTTCTTCTGTGGTTTGGTGGACTTACCAGTGTTTGAAGCAATTGGCCGCTGCTGTCCCATAATTTGATTGTCTTGTCTCTTGATCCCGTAATAACGTAATGTCCCGGTACTGAATCATCTTTTGATTTGCTCTAAAGAAAAAAAAAGGTTAATATCAGCATTTCATGAAACAGCTGAATGCGCCTTCCTTTCCGATAAGAAAAAAAGTCCAACCTCATCACCAATCAATTCTTGAATATATGGATACGCATTAATTGGAGCAAAGATGGCACATTCTACAACGTGGTCATGTCCACGGAACTCCATTTTTCCTTCACCCGTTTGTGTGTCCCAAAGGCGTGCTGTCTTTTGTTAAAAGCAAGACAAATCGCGTTAAAAAATCTCATCAATATCAAAATCGTAACGAGATCCCCTATCACTTACTTGGTCATTGGATGCCGTTACGAGTAATCTGCCATCTTCGCTTGGAACCACGGAACGCACCCATTCCAAATGACCCGAATATGTCTTGACACAATATCTATTAACCAAAAAGAAAAAAAAAGGGCCATCCAGTGTTAATCATCATCATTCACCCTCCAACGTACAAAGGGGAAGAAGCGAGGAAAGGATACGATCGAATTGCAACCACCGATGCAAAAGGGCTTACATGAAAAAAAAGAGCACTTACCCAGATGTGAAATCCCAAAGTTTAATCGTCTTGTCACGTGAAGCAGAAACAATCTTATCTCCTGATGGTAAGAATTCAACGGAAGAAACACTGTGATCATGGCCATACAGCGTTTTGATGCATTTGTAATCGTTATTGACATCCCACACTTTGATGGTAAGATCGGCCGAACATGACACTAACAGAAAAGAAAAAAGGGCATTAGCCATCACCGCGGATTTGAAGCATGATAGAATAGAAGCCTAATGCTGATACGCAAAATTTTATCGCGATCCATGATAAAGGAAAGAAACACATGGAAACTAAAAGAACAGGAAATGAACGGTGGGATGGGGGGGGGACGACGTACCTAAAAAATTTCCTTTGGGATCAAATGCCAAATCTTGTACTGCTTTGGTGTGTCCTTTAAGTGTCCGCTCGAAATCGCCGGCTTCGTAATCCCATATTTTGATGGTGGTATCTTCGGATGCCGAAGCGAGAATCTGGTATACGGGGTGGAAAGTGACGCGCGTGATAGGATTACGATGACCGGTTAAACTATGTCTTTCCGGAGGACGAGGAATCCAGTCGACCGAACTTGTCTGTTTCCGAACAGGGGCATTATTGAGTTCCTCTTGCATCTGTGATGTTTTGGTCTCCAGCTCCATGATCTAAACGAAAAATAAAACCAAGCTCTATTAGTCACTGGATAATAGTTGACACTCGCATGAAAATTTCACGCAAGAACCGCCTCATGTTTTTTTGTTACGATTCTCTCTGTAACAAAAAAAAAGAAGGGTGACAAAAAGAAAAGTTGACAAAAAAGTGGGTGTACCTTTTTCTGTAATCGGATGACGGAAGTCCATTTTTTTTCCAAAAGGCCCGCATATTTCATTTTAGGATCTGGGACAAAATCATCGTTGTGTGTCTCATTTTTAAGTGCTGAGAAGGACTCTGAGAAGCCGCTAGCGTTCAAGTAATCAAGAATCGCTTTGTGTCTGAACAGATAGGTAGAAAAATCCAAAAGTTAGACTCTTTCTTATGTCGTTCCCCCCCCCCCAAACTTGCCCTTGCAAACCAACCATTCCGCCCAACAAGTGACAATGTCAGCGTTTCAACTCTCTCCCCAAAACCCAAAAAAAAATAACCCATCTTGGTTAAATGACCAAGATTGAAACCAATGGCGGTGATAAAAGCAGGGCAACAAACAAAAGACAAGGAAAATAAAACCCCCCAGTCATACTTACAGTTCGTCTCTTTGACGTTCCGAAAGGATGCTTGTCATTTGGTATTATATAAAAAAGAACTGGGGACAAGTGGAGGTTGGAAATGGACAAGCGGACGGTGTAAGGTTTTGGAGGGAAAGATAAAAAAAAAAGATAAAAGGGTATGATGGAAACTTATCCCAAATAGAGTAGAGTTAAAAGGAACAAGGAAAACGTAATATATCAATGTTGGCGGCTCGCCGTAAGACGCGTTAGACCAGTGGGAGAAAGCAAAAAAAAAAAAAAGGGCAGCCAAAACTTCACGCTTGCTTTTTTTTTTTTTGCCCCGCCGAAAAAAAAAGGTAGCTCACTCGAATTATTTTATCCAATCAGATCGCTTCAAGCCATGGGCGGTGGTGCTTTCTTCCTTGACCATCTGACTTTGTCACCCACTTGGCTGCTTTATCGCATACTGCATCACCTGAAACGCCCCTCTCTCCACTACTTCTACTCATTCAACTTCTTTACAGTAGACTTGTGTTGTTTCCCTTTTCTGTATGGGAAAATGTGAAAAGGATGTCAACAGAAAAAAAGCCGCCAGATTGAAAAATTTCCCTCCTTTTCCAGACGGACCTGTCTGTCCGATGCGGCAGAAGACGAATCAGGCGGAGAAAACAAAGCCAAAAAAACAGAAGCCAAGCCAACCCTTCAACTCAACACAGGACAAATATCCTTCCCTGATGAAGAGTTTACCTTGTTTACCGATGTACCTGCCGTCTCAGAAACAGATCTTTTGGAAGAAACAAGGAAAAATGTACGGAAAACCCGAAGCCCATTAACTCTTTCACCTTTCTACCGCATATTTCATTCTCCGCCTAAAGATTCTCATCATGACAGCACCCTCATCTTGGCGGAATCCCAAAAGGAATAGATATCTTTGCTTGTCCTGTGGCCTTGGCGAATAGGCAAGATTACTCATGCCATTCAAGTACTGGTACAAGACAACATCTTTACATGTGCCTGTAACGAATTGCTCCGTTTTAACTCTTTCATGTTGCCCCATGATGGGGGCAGTCAAATCTTGGAGCAAAACAGGGACACTGAACACCATGAAGTGATGGCAATATCAATACAAACCCTACAAAGGATGGCTGTGGTAGAGTTCTGCCTGTGGGCTCTTTAAAATAATGCAACTGAATAGTTTGTCAGTGTTTTATCAGGCCCCCGTTCATTGAAACGATCGGTTTAGTCGTCGATTTTTCGGGTGCTCTGTCTGTGAGAACCAGTACCCAAATTTCTCTTTTGCAAACATATAAAACATGAAATAATGTAAAATTTCTCTTTTGTCTCCCTGAGTAACAAGCGAGTCATAAATATTATGTGAAGACAACGCTAACACCGCACCCTACCGACAGGCAGGCAAAGCAGGCAGGAAGGCAGGCACAGGGTGGTACAACGGAGCAATAAGTTGGTCTGGCATTATCCTTTTTGAGGCAGGAGCAAGACCCTCTTTTGCGTAATTCGCCGGGATCGGCTACACTCCTCCTTGACCCGTGAAGTCTCGCTCACAGAAAAAAAAATTCCCCGTGAATTTGATAACAGTCGCAGTTTGGTTTCTCTTCCCGGCCCCAAGATATCAATGATTTCATTCTACTCTTTTTGTATTTTCAAACACCGTGGTTTAAAAAAGACCGTCATGATAAAAAAAAAAAAAAAAAAAAAAAAACTTGACAGTCGGTGGCGATCTGAATAGGGTGGGGCATGACTGAGTCTATAGGAAGTGTTCCTGAAATATACTGTGCCAGTCAATGGATGAGAGCGTCACCGAGTGAGGCAAACTATACCAAAAAAGGCAAGCGGGGTAATATACGAACAAGCTAAAAAGGGTACATTTAAGACTCGAAGGTTGGGTATAAAAGCTCTTTTGTTCATTTGAAATGGCGGATGCAAGAAGGAAATCGGAACGAAAACAAAAGATGCTCACTCGTTTATCACGTGCGGGTTTCAAAAAAATTCAAGACCATCCTGACTTGTCGGATTATATAAATACAACCTAAATTTCGCACATGCCATCCTTTTTCGTTTTTCTTGCCCAAAAACAAAACTCTTTCCCCCTCCACTTTCCTCTTTTTTCCTTTTTCTCATGTCCATTCGTGCATTGAGTCTAAAAAACGTCTCCCGATTGACTCCTCGAGTCTCTTTGGCTGGTCGCAATATGGTAAGTTCCCCTACCTCGACACACCAAAAAATGCTCTCCCCCAAAGTCAAGGACCTTTTTCTCAAGGTCTATCAGTTGGGCCCGGTTCATGTACGGTTCATTGACAGTTCCTTTTTTTCCTTTCATCTGTTAGATGACCCATCGTATGATGGCTACAGCCAAGCCCGCTCCCAAGACACCTGTTGATCCTAACGCGGCTGGCCCGATGTTACGTTATCAGAGCAATTTGCCCAAGCTTCCTGTGCCGGCATTGAATGGCACTCTGCAAAAATACTTGAAGAGCGTGCGTCCCTTGCTGAGCGATGAGGACTACAAACACACCGAACAGGCCGTCAAGGAATTCGAAGCACCGGGAGGTGTGGGTGAGAAACTTCAGGAACGTTTATTGGCTCGCGCCAATGATCCCAAAATCGTCAACTGGTTGGAAGATTGGTGGTTGGACGGTGCCTACATGGCCTACCGTGATCCCGTCGTGATTTATGTCAGCTACTTTTTCTACTACAAGGATGATAAGCTCCGCAAGTTGCCCGCCAAACGCGCCGCCGCCATCACCACCGCCGCTTTGGAATTCAAGAACCAAGTCGTCCAGTAAGTATCCTGAAACGAGTAGACTAGGCAACAGTACCCCTCCTCGCCCCACCCCGCCCCCTCCCTCGCAAAAAATGAGAATCAGGGCCATTAACACAAGATTCTTTGATCAGGAAAACGTTGGAACCCGAATATGCCAAGGGCGAACCCATGTGTATGGATTCTTACAAGTACATGTTCAACAACTGCCGTATTCCCACCAAGCCTTCGGATGTCGAAATCGCTTTTGATCCCACCCAAAACAATCACATCATTGCTATCCGCAAGAACAAGTTCTACGTCATTGATACCATTCACAACGGCCGACAATTGTCAACGGCCGAATTGGAACAACAATTCCAACAAGTTATTGATCAAGCAGGCGACGCCAAGGGTCCTGCCATTGGTGCTTTGACCGCGGCCAACCGTGATAAATGGACTGATGTAAGCTTCAAATGATTTCTGGAGTCGGAATTGGAATTTTGGCATTTTTCAAATGCTGATGACTGGCTTGTTTATTTTTTTGTAGGCCCGCCAAGTGTTGATGGCCGCCAATCCTGAGAACAAGCGTGCTTTGGATAAGATTGAGTCATCTTCGTTTGTTGTGTGTTTGGATGACTTTTCTCCTGTGACTCGTGATGAAGGTTCCCGTGCTTGCTGGCATGGTGACGGTCGTAACCGTTTCTATGACAAGCCTCTTCAGTTTATTGTCTTTGAAAACGGTAAAGCCGGTTTCATGGGCGAGGTAAGCACCATCTATTGGATTTCGGAGTCAGTTACAGATGATGCTCATTTTTAATGTTCTCCGTAGCACTCTTGCATGGATGGTACTGCCACTTGCCGCTTGAACGAATACGTTTGTGATGGGTATGTATCCGATCTATCAATTCAAGGCTGTGTGTCATAGGCTGATTGTCACTTTTTGGGGGGGATTTTAGTCTTGCGCGAAATTTGATTGATCATGGTGCTGAACAAGTGCGATCGGACCTTCCTGCTCCGTCCGAGATCAAATTCCAAGTGAACAACGAACTTCAACAGACCATCCAGTCGGCTGAAAAGGATATTGATGAATTAATCAAGAAGCACGAATTGACCGTGTTGGCTTATCACGGTTACGGCAAGAACTTGATCAAGAAGTTCAAGAGCTCTCCCGACGGTTATGTCCAAATGGTGATTCAGTTGGCCTACTACAAGTTGTTTGGCACTTCGCGTCCTACTTACGAATCGGCTCAAACCCGTAAATTCCAACGTGGTCGTACCGAAACCGCTCGTAGCGTGACCTCGGAATCGGTGGCTTTTGTCAAGACTATGGAAGATCCTTACGCTTCGCGCGAAGATAAGATTGCAGCTTTCCGTGCCGCTCTTAAAGCTCAGGGCGCTTACATGGCTGACGCCGTCAATGGCCACGGTGTCGATCGTCACTTGTTCGGTTTAAAGAATGCTTTGGAGGCCGGTGAAAACGCTCCTGCTTTGTTCAAGGATCCCGCTTTCAGCTACTCTCAGCACTGGTACTTGTCGACTTCCCAGTTGTCATCCGAACATTTTGACGGTTACGGTTGGGGTCAGGTGTACAACGACGGTTACGGTATTGCCTACATGATCAAGAACAACGCTCTTCAATTCAATGTGGCCAGTGTCAAGGATTTGGAAGTACACGGTACCAAGTTTATCAACGGTACTCACCACATGAAACAATGCCTCGAAGACGCCGCTAATGATCTCAAGGACCTCATGATGTCTGAATTACCCGCTGAAGCCAAATTGTAAAAAAAAAAAGCAACAAACGAATGAACATGGTTTGTCAAGCATCACATGCTTTGGCATTGAGAAAAAAAGTTTCGATCATGAATTGTTTGATGATCATCAAAAAAAATTAGTATATGAACAGTAGTATATTGATGATTTCCTTTTTTTTTTTCTGTAAAATAAAAACTATACATCCTAGGAATTACACACAAAAAAGAAACTCCTTTTTTTGGTTGAACTATGAACCGATGTGTATAAGAGTCGAATAAAAGGAACACCAAAAAAAAACAAAGCCGGGAACAAAAATGGGTAAGGATTTGGTTTTGGAGTAACGTAAACTTGATAACAAGCCGTACACCCGCTGTGCAATGGATGCCACCTGCTACTGGATGTCGCACTCTTACATTGAGCGACATTCGTCAGACAAAAGCCTAACGCAATACGGCATAACCTGGGCGAGACTCTTGATGGAACTTTGGTATATTAATGTCAATACTCTGGCATACCATGAAACACTTTTAATGAACAAAGCAGCACTTATTGACCCCCTCCGTTCTGTCCCGCCCAAGGTTATGATAGATCTACAAAGATGTGTGGGAATGTTGGGTATTTAAAAAAAATGAGTTAGTAAGCTCTTTGGTTGATTCAAATTTCGTTGAGATATTTTACCTTTGATGTTTGATGCAGCAGATACCGAGGGCTTCCCGACCGAAATAAAGAAAGGATACAAATATAAAAAAAAAAAGTAAATACAATAGGTGCGTCTGTAAAAACCCCCTAAAAACCCTGTGGGAAAAAAAAGGAGGAAAAGACTGCAAGAAGACTATTCACTAAAATACAAAATACATACTACAACTACAAAATAAAATGGTCGGGAAGAAATATCGAAGGCGATACCACGGGCAGCAATCCATATGAGAGGAACCTGGGGAGGACGCGTCAGCGTTTCCCGATGAAAAAGAGAGTCACACCACCGACGATGCCTTTGACGACAAAAACCGGTTTGGCCACATTTGAGCGCGAACAAAGTAGAAAGATTTGGAGGGATGGATGACTTGCCAAGCGAAAAGAAAACCGGAGAGAAAACCAAAAGCTAAAGAAGGGGTAGAGAAAAAAGAACGTGAGTTTTTTCTTGTCGAAAAACGAATAGTCACATCACACAAAAGGTACCTTTTTGATAATACTCGACTTGACCGGTTACAGATAGACGCCGGATACACCATAGTCTGGATGATGGATGATGGATGTGGATGCGGGTGAGGATGCAATGATAGTGAGGGCTTTTCAGGTAAACGGAAAGAGGGAGAAAACCAAAGGAAAAAGAAAAAATTGAAGACAAAATGAATGAGTTCCCATGGATGAAACAATAGTCACTCTGCCAATGCAAGAATGATGATCAGGTCAACCACATGGGCCAAAAAGTGGAACATTTGCGGTTGGTTTACCTTTAAATCAAACATTGTGCCGAAAGAAAATATGTATACGGACCACACGTAAGCTTCTTCTTCGATGCGGAAAAGAAAATTGCTTGCAGAAACAGTTAAGCGGCGGAATATTTTTGGGGCGGTGGTGTCAGCTTGAGCAGGGCCAAGATATTGATGTGGTCAGAAGTGCCGGTAATTTCGAGCTGGAGGCCAGATATCGATAGTTTTCCCGAGTAAAAATAAAAGAAAATAAAACTTGCGTCAGTAAAAATCTCACAAAAAAACCTGTGGCGAAAAAAAGAGGGAAGACTGCGAAAAGAATACTTACATGAAAGACGATATCAAGAGTAGGAATCCAAATGAGGGCAACATGAGGAGGACGCGTCAGCGTTTCCCGATGAGAAAGAGAGCCACACGACCGAAGATGTCCTTTGACGACAAAAACCGGATTGGCCACAATCTGGTGCCCGAACAAAGTAGAAAGGTTTTGGAGGGATGGATGGCTTGAATGGCTTGCCAGGCAAAAGAAAACCGGAGAGAAAACCAAAAGCTAAAGACAGAATAGAGAAAAAGGACAGGTAAATTTTTTCTTGTCGAAAAACGGATAGTCGTATCACACAAAAGGTACCTTTTTTCATAATAATCGAATCGACCGGATCAGATACACGCCATAGTCTGGTGATGGATGATGGATGCAATGATAGTGAGGGATTTCCAGGCAAACAGAAGAGATGCAAAACTAAAGAAGAAGAAAAAATTCGGATAAAAATATGTGATTTTCCATGGATGAAACAATAGTCACCTCACTGATGCATGAATGATGAGCTACACAGATCGAAGCATATCTGCTCCATGTATCATTCGATTACTGAAGAGAATGAAAGGGCATATACAGTATAACTGACAGATAACCCAAATTAAATGATGCTACAAAACACCAGATCGTCGTATCGTCAATCACCTTTCTTCAAAAAAGAGCTCCACTCACATTTTATGTGAACGGCGACGATGCTCTGTTTGACCACAACTGGTGCAAACGGCATCTTGCTGCTGATTGTTTCGCCTATTATCGTGAAAGTGGGCAGCGAGGCATGGTTGAAAGATGAAAAAAAGGTTTAACAGGTCTTGATAACTTAGTGTAGATCATGTGATTTACAAAATCGCTAATTTTTCAAAGATTTTAATTATATAGATAACGTATGAAGCAAAAAACAACTACAACAAAACAATAATAATATGATATCCACAGAAAGAGGAAAGAACAGATTTGTTTCGGAAATAGCAAAAAAGTACCCGTGGACAAGGAAAAAAAACACCAGAAAATAAAACACAACGGAAAAAGGAATGAGAAAAAACGAATACGATAACAAACGAGGGGGTAGAGAAGAAGAAAAAAGATTGCAACCAACAATAATAATAATACGGTAATCAATACAAACATCGGAAGTCCGGGACCTCAACGAACAAGGCGAATTAATGTCATGGGGTTCTTTCTTTCTTGCGGTATTGTTCCACCAATTTCTCCAGCTCATGTAAACGCTGCTGGTAACCGCTAAGGTCTTGTTGCATCAACCGGATATAGTCGACGGATTTCCGCAAGATGGCGCCTTTGTTCGGCTTGTTATTATTGTTGCCATTGGTCATATTTGCCGAAGTTTGCAAATCTTCCAACATGGAATCTGGCAATAAACTACCCAGTTCCTGAATTCGTTCGTTAATATTTTCCCGCCGTCGTCGTTCCACTGAAATGCATGAATAAAAGGGAAAAAAAAAGAGATAAAGATGAGCATTTTATCATCCGGGCTCTCCATCATCGCTTTTTTTCTTACCTGCATTATGTGATTCTCGTCGACGACGCCGTTTTTCCATCATGACTTGGAGACTAAAACATAGGAGAAGCAAGACACAAAAAAAAAAAAAAATTAAGGTTCAATACTTTACAAGAAAAAAAAAACTTGAAACCATGGTGTCTGAACTAGGAAAAAACCCAAGCACACACACACGCACACACACAGAGAAAAAGAAGCTTACTTCATTTGCATAGCGTAATCGTCTTCAAAGGATCCAGACCCTACTGCTGCGACCGAAGTGGGTGTGACGGAATCGAAGGAAGTAGGCTGACGATGATGTAATGAAGCCAAGCCCGGATGCATGGTGGTGGTGGGTGACGAACCCCCAAAGTGCTGATCGAAACCAATATTGGCGGGAGCCGACATTGGAAAGAAACTGGCAGAATCAAAACTGCTGGAAGGCATGAACATGGGCTGCTTCAGTTGTGAACCCAATGCCGAATGGTTTCCGCTCCCGACGTGGTGATGATGGTTATTGCTATTATTGCTTCTGTGGATATCCATCGGTCCCACAAAGTTATGCGTCCACGGATCATCGACCGATGTCAATGAATAGTCACTGGGCGATTCCTCCGTAAATAGATCGCCTCGATTGCCCGTCGACACCCCAAAACCTGGAGCACGCTTTTTATTTCCGCCCTCGAAATCATCGAATTCCTGCAGCGAATTCGACGACATGGGGCTCAAAAAATTCGTTTGGAATCCGTCCCCATAATCCAACGACGGATCCTCCATGTCAAGGAAATCTTCTTGCTTATGTTGCTGACTGGCAAGGAGATGGTATTGGGTTGGATTACGTAATTTGAGAGGCTGTTGATCGACCATTCTTTTTTTTATAAAAGCCGGATGGAGATGGATAAAGAAAAAAAAAGGGTATTTGATTTGTCTTTTTCAGTGACTCTGTTTTTTTTTCTTGGTCTTAACAAGGTTGCTACGTGATGAGGAAAATTGCCCTTTGAATGCGTAGTTGGTGATTTAAAAAAAGCCGACAAAGAAGCAAGACCAGAAAAAAAAAGAAAAAGAAAAAAGGAAAAAAGAACAAGGATATCAGAAAAAAAAAATTGGGTAACAACAAAGAAAATGATAAAAAGGAAGAAAAAAGAGGTCAATGTGCAGATTTTATGTATGAATAGAATGCCGGTGTGTGTGTGAGAAAAGTGCGGCATTTTAATGACGGTTCATGCCGATCGTTTATTGGTCCAATGCAGGCGACGAATTGCAACACAAAATGGGCGCCCTATTATTTTATTTTTTGTGATTATTTTGGGCTAAGAAGGACAAAAAAAAAATTAAACTCGCTCCAGGGGCTGGAAAGAGAGTAAGTATCTCATGATACGGTCAAATGAGCGAGTCAGGATACCCCAAGGAAACCCGTCATAAGAAAAAGAAACAAAGGTCCTTGATGTTTCGATAAAACGTCACTGTCAATATAAAAAATCATCCTTTTTTCATCATTCCCTATTTCTATTTTCCCTTTTTCTTTGTGAGTTTAGTTAGGGGTACCTCACCGCCATGCACCGTGCAGAGTTCCCATATTCATTGTCTGGTCCGTGCTTTTTTTTTGACCAACCCATGGTGGTGAATTCAAAATGTCTCGGGTTCCAGTGGAGTGCTCCGTACAGCATATGATGTTGCATGCATCATCTTTTTTTCATCGCGTGAAACGATACTTATGACGTGATGATCATCGCTTAGCAATGGCACCATCCGTCCCTCATTTGCACCTATCCCGAATCGTGAAAATTTTGCTGCGGGGTCCACTCTCCATTATCGATCATTGGCTTCCGGTTGCTAAATTTATACATCCTATGATACATATTGCCACTCTTCAAATGGAAATACCCCTCTCTATCATCCTAAATCACTGATGAACATCCACTGTAATGTATCTTTTTTCTTCTTCTTATGAGATTGAATTCTGCCACCCCCGAGTATCCGAATATCACCGACGCAAGTTACAATGATATGATTGCCAGCTTATCATACATCGACCTAAGCCCACTATCTATTTCAGGGAGATAAACATGTAGTTCATCTCCTCCCGCTGCATGTTATGGCCACTGCATCTCATAAGGACCGGACCCCTCCCCCTTTCCCGTTTCCAGACCCAGTTTCATGAGTGATCCGAAATCCGATGATCGCCTATAACATGGAAAAAAAAAAGGCACAGGTTTCGAACGGTTGGTTGAGTTGGGTTGGTTCTTCAGTAGAAGAGAACAAGACAGGGCGGTCAGATTCACAACCAGTTTATTTTGGGTAGACCCGTAATCTTATGCGTAGTCCGGTCTGAGAATTTCCCTCATTGGTCATTATGCCATATTCTGCCGTGGTTGATCGGGAAACCCACAGTTTCCGATAACTGACCGTCGCACAGTTATTCCAATAAAAGGCGCCGTGCCACCATACCAACGCACATACTATACAATAAGGGACAAGAGTAAGGAAAAAGATGCTCCCCGATAATCTAGCCGGAATTTCCGGATCCCCGGCGTACCCACCATATTAAAAAAAAGTTGGGAAAAAAAGAAACGCATGTGCTTTTTCAATTTTCTTTGCTCTATCTTGAAATTTCCGTAGGCGGGGGTTCCTAGTGGTTGCAATGGCGGATAACTCGTGGATCCAAATAAGGCAAGATTGAGATGCGATCGCCGACATTCATTCAAAGGCACCCGTCACTCCAAAACTAGATGCAAAATACAAACAAGAAAGCAGTGCAGCTACAACCGCCCTCGTTCTCTTTGTCGCGCGCCAATATCAACTTGAATAAATATCGTTCAAACACCCTATTGGACCACTTATTCTCGAACTAACTTAGTCTACGGCAGTTGAACTTTCTCTGATGCACATTACAAATCAGAAATGAGCGTACAAGCACCTTATCATTGAGATATCGGAGTTTATACGGGCGAGACGTGAACAGGATATCAAATGGGTGAATCAAGGATTTAAGCAAAGAATTATTGAACTGGACCACTATAGTCATCAATATTACAGTTGGCTTAGGAGCAAAGAAAGCAGACCTACCTTTTTTTTTTTTTTTTTTTTTTTTTTGCTATAAGCGTGCAATGGCTTGATGTTAATCCTTTTACTCTATTTGCTTCAACCACAACATCGATTTCAGGTACAGTAGGACCGTGGTTACCTTGCACTCAAACGTTTATTGGTCGAGAACGAAACAAGGTGGGATACAAATAGCCACATTGCTCCACAAGCTGCAAGATCGATCGCATTGTATGGATGAGGTGCATCATTCTTATAAAGAATAATGATGACAAAAAAAAAGGCCCACCATGCGTTTTTCTTTGTATTGTTCTTTAAGCCGGCCCTTTTACGAAGTGATATCAATGTTCTGCTCGTGTTCCAGGATTCAGGGCTTGCCTGGATGGCGAATTGTGATGACCAAAACAGGTCCGATCCGGCTTCGCATATGGCCACAGTGACACTTGTGACATCCTGAATAGGCACGGTTTTTCCTCTATCGTGGGCGCTTTTTTTAGTGTATTTGAAGAGTTATGTCCGAGGCAAAATGATACACGCCAACCATTGGCCACAATATATGGCAATAAAGGTATCGCTAGTAACATGAAGCAACCATAACATTACCAACAAAGCAGAGATTGTGTGGTTGTTTGATGCGGTTCACCTGCATGAAAATACATTATTTTACAGCTTATCCTGCATGGAAGACTACGGAGATTATTCGATGCGATCATTGGATACACATAGCCATGTTTCTTGTGAGAAAAGAAGAAGTGCTTCAATTTGAGAATGTCAAAAGACCCATGAATGGGCTTGATGACTTGCATAATGGATACGTCAAAGTAACCGTTCCTGGTAAAACAGAACGCATAGGCGGAATCAATCAGAATCGAACATGGAGAAAGACACAGTGACTAACCCAACGGGGATTTTTCATTCATGTGAACGATTGTGACGAAACGCAAAAATGAATGAACGGATGGTGTCAGCCGCCACGTTCCAAGAAGATATCGTGCGTTCAGTGAAAGCTCAAGGTCGTACAGGCCTTGCGTTTCTTGATTCATGTGAAGGATCAGGTTGCCAATAATGAAAAAAATTGAACCGTCTCTTCATGGTAACGTCCATACCTCAGTCGATCGATAATGCTTCTCTTGATGACAGTTTAGACTCGCTTTTACTCGTTAGAGAGCCATCCATCCTCTAGCCATATTTCACCAACCTACACCCTATATTTTTAGTTATAAGGCAGAAAAATCACCCACATTCTACAGACCACAGATCGGAACTAAATCTGTTCAAATGATCTCGTCCACTCTCACCAATCAATGAACTCAAATAAAACACTTACCATAAAACACTGGCCATTGCCTTACTATATGCGTGTTCCTGACGATGGATCACCTGCAGACTTTGGCGCAACATGGACATTCAAACATTGCTATTTCTTCGTCGGCTCACATGTCAGGCAATGATACGAAATTCATCGCACTCCAACTATACAAAAAGTTGACCCACAGTTCATTACGAAGAAAAGACAAACAAATCCCCAAGGTATTAACTGTTCTGATATTCACATTTTATTTTTACAAAAAAAAAGAGACAGGGTGATTTTCTCTTTCTTTTTTTCCTTCTTTACACAGAGACAAGAGTTGATTACTAAATGAAGTTTTGGGGATTTAAAGATAGTATCAATGGGGAAATGCAATGAACTAGCTTATTTCTTGCTAGCCTTGGCAGCGGCCTTGGTGACCTTGCCAGTCTTGTCAACCTTCTCAACGGCCTTGATGACACCGACAGCGACGGTTTGACGCATGTCACGGACAGCGAAACGACCAAGAGGAGGATATTCAGTGTAAGCTTCAACACACATGGGCTTGGAGGGAACCATCTTGACGATGGCAGAGTCACCAGACTTGACGAACTTGGGAGCAGCTTCGAGGGACTTGCCGGAACGACGGTCAATCTTCTCGAGGAGCTCAGCGAACTTACAAGCAATGTGAGCAGTGTGGCAATCCAAGACGGGAGCGTAACCAGCACCGATCTGACCAGGGTGGTTCAAGACGATAACCTGGGCGGTGAAGGAACCGGCTTCCTTGGCGGGGTCGTTCTTGGAGTCAGAGCAGACGTTACCACGACGGATATCCTTGACGGAAACGTTCTTCACGTTGAAACCGACGTTGTCACCGGGAACACCTTCAGCGAGCTGTTCGTGATGCATTTCGACGGACTTGACTTCAGTGGTGACGTTGGCAGGGGCGAAAGTGACGACCATACCAGCCTTGATAACACCAGTTTCAACACGACCAACGGGCACAGTACCGATACCACCAATCTTGTAGACATCCTGAAGGGGAAGACGGAGGGGCTTGTCGGAGGGACGCACCGGGGGTTCGATGTTGTCGATGGCTTCAAGAAGGGTCTTACCAGTCTTGGAACCAGCCTTGGTTTCCTTGGTCCATCCCTTGAACCAGGGCATGTTGGTAGATTCTTCCAACATGTTGTCACCGTGCCAGCCAGAGATGGGGACGAAGGGAACAGCCTTGGGGTTGAAACCGATCTTCTTGATGAAAGCGGAAACTTCCTTGACGATTTCGTTGTAACGGGCTTCGGACCACTTGGTGGAATCCATCTTGTTGATGGCAACGATAAGCTGACGGACACCGAGGGTGAAAGCCAACAAAGCGTGCTCACGGGTCTGACCATCCTTGGAGATACCAGCTTCGAATTCACCAGTACCGGCAGCAATAATCAAGATACCGCAATCAGCCTGGGAGGTACCGGTAATCATGTTCTTGATGAAATCACGATGGCCGGGGGCATCAATGACGGTGACGTGGTACTTGGGAGTTTCGAACTTCCACAAGGCGATATCAATGGTGATACCACGCTCACGTTCGGCCTTAAGCTTGTCAAGAACCCAAGCGTACTTGAAGGAACCCTTACCGAGTTCGGCGGCTTCCTTCTCGAACTTTTCAATGGTACGCTTGTCAATACCACCGCACTTGTAGATCAAGTGACCAGTGGTGGTGGACTTGCCGGAATCGACGTGACCAATGACGACGACGTTAACGTGAGTCTTCTCCTTACCCATGGCAGCTACTATTGGCAATCACAGAAAGAGGAATGAGTACATTCTGCTTTTTCTCACTATTCATCAAGCAATCAGACAGTCAAAAAGACAACTTACGTTTTGTTTTCTTGAAAAAAAGAAAAGGGAGGTTGAAAAAAGGTTGCTCCGTTGATGGACGTCTTTATATTGAAAATTTTTTTTCTTTTTTTTTTTTTTTTTTGCTCTAAAATCCATATTCAGGGTCCGCCCACGTCCGGTCACAGCAGTCACTTAGCGCTAAATCAAGTGGTTATCCAATTAAAAAGAGGCATGAATTTTCCTGCAAGACCAACCAAAATTTGAGGATCAGTAATGACCAATCGTTGACGATGCTACCCAGCCATAACCAGAAAGAAGATTAAGCCTTTTTGTCCTGGGCTGAGACCGACTCTGTTTAATCATTGGTACCTCTTCCAAAAAAAGAGGTAAAAAAATTTTTTTTGCACTACAATGAATAAAGCCATTGTCGCAGCAACGTCCGGTCTCGTTCCTGAGGCGAAACAAAGGTCGAGACACTTTTTTGCTGCGGAGAGAAATTTTTTGAATGAACAAAGGAGCTGATCATGCCAGCATTCACATACATGAATCCCAAATTATGCAGATCAAGAAAAAAAAATTTCGCATTGTGTGTCCGATTGTCCATACACGGTGGTTGCTGAGGAAAACCTCCCTTTTTCCAAAGTTCTTGCATACTCCTTTGTAGTGATGAGGTCTATACAACCATCTGGCAATTCGACATGTGAGAATAACATTTCTTTCACTAGTACGATGTGAAAAACCCTATTTGTCTATTCATTATGGTTTCTGAAAAAGACGCCGCAGTATCTGTGCAACGAGCGGAACGAATAAAGTTTGACGGCAAAAGTTTAAAAAAGCCAAGCTACGGAAGTCAAAAAAAAAAAAAAAAAAAAATTCTGACGCGGCCAACTCCCACCACGTCGCAGCAAAAGAAAAAAAAAGTGGTTGGACACAAAAAAGAAAACGTTCTAATCTTGCTAAAATAAGTGATGTCTCAAAAAGAGAAATGCCGGGAATAAGAGATGAAATTAATAAGGTTTATAACGATGCTTGGTAACGGGTGGATCTTTTGGCTTATTGGCGGTATTGGCTTCAGTGGACAGTGTGGAACGGATGGAAAATTGACTGGATGAAGAAGGTTTGGCCGAGTAAGACGAAGGTGACGATGGCGACGATGGTGATTTTTGTAGTAACGCTAGTTTACGTTCAATGGCCTGAATTTTGGCATCCGTACTGAACGCAAACAAAAAGAGAGGAGTGATCTTCAGTATTTTGCCTACCTTCATTTGTTCAGTCTTTTGTGATTTTTTTTTTTTTTTACCTTGCATTGGCCATTTTCTGGGTCCGTAAAATCGAGAATGCATTCGGTCGATGGGCTGTGGTGGCAGAACCTGGTCCTCTTTGCTCGTCTTGTTCGGCGGTCTATTCTCAAAATTGGCACAGTCAATAAAACGAACCTTATGTATTATGAGGATCCAATCTTACGTGATGAGCAAACGACACAACCAGTGGCCGTCCCTTGACAACGTGACCATGAAGTTTGGCCGACGCTCTTAACGCATCCTATAAACCACTCATCAATTCCTTTCTCTTATCTTTTTTGTCGCTTGTCTCGCGTCAATGATTCTACCTCTTTCTTCGCGAATTCCAAGAAACAGAATCCTCTGGACTGACCCTTCTTCGGCCCCGTTCGGTGGATCATGAGCTCGAGAAATGTGATCTTTCCAAACGGCTGAAAAAGTTTCACAATAGGATATCTAATAATCATTTTAATTGACGTTTGCAACCATATGCGACATAGCTCGGGCTAAGGATACCTACTCATCTATGGTCGGATCGAGATTGCCAATATATAATCGCTGTAGCAAAAAGACAAGTACTTGAGTGAGTCGCAGAGAAATGACTCACGATGCATTAAATGTCCAAGTTACATACTTTGGTATTAGCTGAGACGGATGCCATGGTTTGTCGACTCTGTGCTGGTTCGGCGAGCTTGGATAAATGCATAGCAATCCCATGCTTCAGGCCAAAAAAAAAAGAAGACCAAGAACGGAAAAAATGGGATCATGTGACGTCTTTTTTTTTTTTGGTTGGTTATTGGACGCACCTTTCAGATTTGCATATAACATGTCAAGGCAACGATTCAGTTGATAGATACGATTGGATGACTACATCCATTCACACAAACAAAATAAGACTTTTAGAAATGACATGAGAGTAAAAACACATAATATTTTGAATAGTTGTTGCAAATGATACAGAAATTTAATGCGATGACAATGATCATAGAAAAGAAATGTTATCTAAAAGAATGAGATGAAAAAAAAAGAACATAGAAGGGGGGGGGATGACAGAGGCAAGAAAGTACATGCTTAATAGCTACCACCACGGCCACCACGGAAACCACCACGGTTACCACCGCGACCACCACGACCACCGCGGAATCCTCCACCACGGCCACCACGGAAACCTCCACCGCGACCGCCACGGAAACCACCACGGCTGCCACCGCGACCACCACGACCAGCGAAGAATTCGTCACGACGCTTGGCAGCGCGTTCAGAATCGTTATCACCACTGAAATCGGTACGGAGAGGACGGCCGTTGAGAAGAGCACCGTTCATGTCCTTGACAGCCTTTTCGGCCTCGTCTTCGGAGGCAAACTGAATGTAACCAATACCACGGATTTGACCAGTTTCACGGTTGGTAGGGAGACGCACTTCGTTGATGGTACCGAATTCGCTGAAAGCTTCACGGACGATATCTTCATCGACCTCATGGGACAAGTTGGCAATGAAAACGGTGTTTGTCTTGGGACCAAATTCGGTGGTCAACTTGCGGGGCTGAGCAGGCTGGGCCTTATCGACGTTGATGCTGCGACCAAGCAATTCAGTACCTTGCTTCTCCAAAGCCTTGTTCAAAGCATCTTCAGTGGCAAAGTCGAGGTAAGCAAAGCCCTTGTTCTTCTTGGTGATGGGATCAAATCGGAAACGAACGCCAGAGATTTCACCACAGTCAGCGAAATGTTCCTTCAATTCTTCTTCGGTCACATCGTAGTTGAGTTGACCAATCCAGATGGTGAAAGCATCAGAACCAAAGGTAGGCTGAGGGGGAGGGTTCTTGACGACCTTGACATTCTTCTTGGGACGTTCTTCCTCCTCATCATCATCATCCTCGGCCTTGCGCTTTTCAGCAGTGGTCTCTTCTTCGTCAGATTCTTCATCTTCCTCCGAGGAGGCTTCAGAGGATTCATCCTCGTCAGCGGAATCTTCCTTCATCACAGCATCTTCACCTTCCTCATCCGAGCTGTCATCGGAACCGGCCTCGGATTCACTGCTGGCAACCTCTTCTTCTTCTTCCTTCTTGGCCACAGGCTTCTCCTCGACGACCTTCTTCACAGGCTTGGCAGTAACCTTGGTATTCTTCTTGGTGTCCTTGACTGCGGCTTTGGCCATTTTTAACAAAAATAAAAGGGATAAAAAAAGTGGGTTCTAATAAGAAAGTAAGAATAAAAATGATAAGAATAAAATTTTTATAAGCGGCCTGCTTTGTGACTCGCTCCGATGAAGGCTTTTTTCATGCGCCATTTTAAAACTTCTTTTTCGAGTCAAAAAAATCAAGCAACGAATGATGGACCACCCAAAACAGAAAAAATTTTCTGATTGGTCATCACGACTTTTTCATATTCAGTGGCCGGGTTTTTTCCCCACGCAACGTCTCTGCTCACCTTTTTTTTTTTTTTTGTTATTTGCTGTCTGCATTACCGAGGGTCCATTTCTACAAAAGTGTGATATTCCGTAAATTTAAGCCTTTTTATACTATGACAGTGCAAGCAATATTAGGATTGTAAAAATACAAGTGTTGCTGTGTTCACCACAAGTGACAGCGATATTGATGGAGTTTATAGGTTGCATCCAATCATTTGAACCCAATTGGAAAGTTTACCTGTCCTTTTTTTTGATTTTTTGTTTTTTATGCAGCAGGCATGCTTGACAACAGAATTGATGCTTCCTTGAGGTGGAATTGTCCGCCTAGACCAGTGCCAAATCAAAGAGGATTTACATCGTTGGAGCAAGATTATTCATGTTTCCCGACATTGAAATCCCTATTTACCGAATAACTTTAGGTAAGGCACATTGAAAACCGTTACCTTGGTTGATAAATGCACTCATTCTTCCTATGCCACCAGCTTCACGTCCAGGGAAAAGGACATACAAGAAATAAGCTCTCTAGCTGAAGGTTGGCATGTATCTATTCATCCCCAAGAATCTAGCAGCTGCAAAACTTGTTGATTAGCGAGCTCTTATGAAGAGCGTTCATCTGGATACCATATTTCCTCGACAGATAGTGCACTGTTCAATGCATGAAACAGTTTTGTCGACAAGGCAAAATCTCACCAGATACTTTCTGTATAGCACTTGATATAAATTTGGCGAGTCATAGGTTATCTCTCAAGGCCATAAAATGCATCTCATATCATGCCGTCAACAATGACGAGCAGATCCCCCTTGGTTTTTGGGCAGTGCACTTCCTGGTGTTGCCAGGAGAATGAACTCGTTTTTTTTCTATGGTGGGTCTCCTGAAAAAAGACATTGGACCATGTATATCAAGGCATCCATCCGTAGATAAAAAGAAGATGGGACAGTAAAACAAACACATTCTTTTCTTTTCAGGAGAATAATTACGAAGTAGAAGAAACAACATGATACTATAGTACAAAAAACCGGGAATACTGCAAAAGCTCATAAACAAAATGGGGTAGACACTGTACAAAGAAACATAAGGAGCCGTGAATAGAAGTAGTCAGTGATATTGCAATAGGATGGCTCTCCCTTTTCTCGTCTTTTTTTAGAGTCGTGTTATTTGTTCCTTCTCTTTCAGTAGGCTCGGTTCTTTTTGTTTTTTTGTTCAGTGAGTGTTGTGGTTGTTGCGGGCTTTTTTTTTTTTTTTTTTTTTTTTTTTTACAGCATGCCTGATTCCTGAAGAGCATTTTTTATCAGCGTTTGTTTGACGGCGGCAAAGACGAATCGGATCTAAAAATAAAAAGAGTAAAAAGAATAAGCTTTTTTGAATAATCATGGAACCCTCATGATGAAATACTTGCATTGCAGGTGTCAGTCGCTTGGGTTAAACTATCCAGGCAGGAGTGAAATAATAATAATAAAAATTGGAACCCAACGAGAAAAAAAAATCATATTAAACCAAGTGTTAAGGAGTAAAGTCCCATGTCGACTCATTTTGCCGGAGCATACATACTGGGGATAAATATGGAGTTTGGCTCTATTTGTCTGCATAAATCGCCACAAAATATATTTTGCCGCCTTGTTTACATCTTTGCCTCCTTGAAGAAAATGATGGATCCAAAATAGAAAAAAAAAAGGTTATCAAGAAAGAACCCAAATGTCAATAACCCAATCTTCTTGTCATCAGTTGTCATTTTAGTATTACAGTATCACTTACCACCGTAATCCGGGAAATATTTTTCCATAGGAACGCGTGTTATTTTGGTTTTGAAAACATCAATTTTGTTGAGAAACAGCATCACCGAGGTATGCATGAACCATCGACTGTTGATGACAGATTCAAATAAGGATAAACTTTCAAGCATTCGATTCTAAACCATAAAAGGGAAAACAATAGCCAACGAAAAGCAAAAAGAATAGGGGAAGGGTTAATTCGAAAAAAACAAAATCTTGTTACTTTTCTAGAATGGGTGTATCAAAAAAAAAAGAAGTAAATGAACTTACCTGCCTTGATTCCTCCAACAGCACTTGATCGTACTCACTCAGTGCAACACAAAAGATGATGGAACTGACCGATTCGAAGCAATGGATCCACTTTTTTCGTTCTGATCGTTGTCCGCCCACATCAAACATACTTGCAAATATTTAATGACTCGGTTAATCCACGGGAGTTCACACTGCCCAAAGGCTTTAAAAAACCTACTGAATAAAGATGCCGCCAAACCCAAAACGCATTTCGGTAATGCCGGATGATTTGAGTCTTGCCCGCAAGACATCTTGATCCGTAGGAATATAATCGGAATGCCCGATACGTTTGATTTCATCGAAAAAGCTGGCCAGAAAAAAAGAAGAAACAAAAAATTAGTTGGGAAAATTTCAGGGACATCCTTTTTTTTTCAGGGTGAGTTATTGTTTGTTTCGGACGAAAAACTCGGTGTCAGATAGATCTTTTTTTTTCTGTTTGGAGGGTCAACTTACTAGGGTGCCGAATCCAATAGGTAGTATCCATGACCTCTTTCCTCGATGCATTTCTGTAGATTGGGATCTTTCCACACGTTGTATATTGCTTCGGCCAATTCAGTGTCAAGTTGACATTGCGGGTCATACGGAGTTTTGCTCTGCAGAATGAAATTCGCATATTCCTAGTATGTGTGTGACAAGAGAAGGTTGATTTTCTCGGGCTAAAAAATGGATAGATTGTTTGATGCCGCACTTACGGCGTTGATGGGATCGATAAAAGTAAGTCCGAGCGACATGAGAGCTCGTAGTAAAGTCTGTGCGGATTCAATGACGTTGCGATACACAATGGCGCGCCAGGAAATGCGTTCTTTGTAATTGTAACCATTCTGACCAATGATTTTCATCTGTTTGAGAATAGTGGATTTCCCGGATTCTCCACTGCCTACTATCGACAATTGCCGCGGTGAAAGCGAGGATCGGTGTAAGCGCAAATAGATGGTGAAGGGAGCGACAGGTTAAGGCAGGAGACTGACCTAGCAAAAGGATTTTATACTCCTTTTCTCGTCGACCGCGATCACGTTCAAGTTGTTTATCAATTTTGCAACTACGTTCGTAATTTCGTGTATTTTCGTCCGAATGACAAAATCCAAAACTGAAAATAAAAACGTGAAATATTAACACCCCAATCATAGAGCGGAATAACAAAAAAAACGAAGATTCATGCATCGAGACATAAACAACGGAAGCCTGATGAATCGATAGATGGTTGCTAACCTGGGGAATCGAAACATTTGAGGTAGGTAACTGTGGAATTGTCGTTTGGATGATAAAGTCATGACAAGCTTTTAATTGCTTTTTGTATCTTTTGCTTTCAGCGTTTTATTATTTTGTTGGATGGGGCGTCTGCAAAGGTGATGAGATCAAAAAAATAAATACAATAAAGTAAAAGAAAATGCAATGAGTGAAAAAGAAGGGTTAGTTTGGTGTGTGTTTTGTGCCGGGGAGAACAATTGGGCATTCAATGACCCCAATGAAAAGCTGGGAAAAAGAAAGGTGTCTTTTGTTATTTTATGCTGACCATGGAGAGCTAGTCACACTGTTTGACTCCTGCCTTGATCACATCAGTGAAGGGTCAATCTTGGAATGGGCAATCATTCCATTAGGCTTGTTGCCTTTTGTGGTAAATCAGGCGTGGATTGACCCAAAAGAAATCCTGGGTCGCCCACTCCATTCTGGACTTTCCATACGATCGGCCCAAATGTCTGGCGCTCCTAAATACTCCATATTGTACTTGCATAACTCCCTCACTGACCGTCAATCGGACACACTGTCTGCCCACGTAATCCAAAAAGGTGGCCACGTAATAAGATCAAGGCCACCACCACGTAATCCGTGGCTACCATGTAATAGAAGACTTTCACACCATTGCACGACATGGATGGCCTCAGGGACTCCGTGAACCACAAGATCCCCTCAATTTCAACTGTACCTTTCTTTAGCGAGCACTAGCAAGCAAGCATTAGCAAGCAAGCATTAACAAGCAAGCATCAAGCGAGCATTAGCAAGGTTCTCAGTGCATAGCCCATTTTGGCTGTTCCCTTGTTTCACTTATTGGAGGCACAGTGGTTCCTGAATCGGATGACCATGTGTTGAAAAAGGCTCCACCAGAGCGCAGTACCTCAACGGTGAATATTCTTACACCATGTAAGCGAATCTGGGTCGCACCTTGCACCGATTGATTGGAGACTTTTTTGCTGCAATAGTCAATGCATTGTTCCCAAAGAAATGGGTTTACCGTTCCTTTAATTTTTATATGGATATTTTTTGTTGGTAAGGTTACTGGTTTACCCTGACCAGCATTCAGTGGAAGAGCGCGCAATTGAATTAGCTACAAAATGAATCACTTGCTATATCTCTTCATTGAATTCTGATATCCAATGGCTTTGTTTAGTATAAAGTCTTTCACAGGCAAAACGAATAACAGTTGTGAGATTCACGTGGAACGGGGATAAAGAGCTGGTAACCAATGCCACGACAACTTTTATGGGAAAATTGGTCAGAGAACTTGTCGGAGAGTCATGGGGAATCAGTATTTTTTTCATTGGATGCAGTGGGCGTTTACAATCTTGGAAGCCGTTGAAGCTTGCTTAGCATTGTTGACGCCTTCATCGTCAAGTTTTTATTGGCGCAGACGAGTTTGTTGGACACCATACCAAAAAAAAAAAAAAAAAAAAAGTGACAGATCCAGTTGGTGCAACCCCAAATCGCTTGGAATTGTTTTTTTTTCTGCTGCCTGTTATTCTAACCTTGATAAAAGATTCACTTGCTCCATCTTCTCAACTGCATACGCACCGAATTACGTCACAATGGGTTTCAACGCATAGCAGTGGGCCATGATTATCAACGTTGTTTTCTTATATTCATGACGTCACACATTACAGTGGGCAGGCGGCGAAATTTTTCGCGAGAACCCCGAACTGGGATGTTTTTTTCGATTTTTTGCTAGGGCTCTCAAAATTTCTCTTCCTCTTTGCAAACGCAACTCCCGACTCTTTATTTAATTGCACCATGCCTGCTCCCGTTTCTTCTGGAATCTCGCGCACCATTTACAACACCATTTTCAAGCGAAACTCGGTCTTCATCACCTCCATTTTCGCTGGTGCCATTGCATTCAACATGGGTTTCGATACCGTCACTGACAAGGTCTGGGACAACATGAACCAGGGTGTAAGTATTTCACGCCATTGTCACATCAATGACTTTTTTTGGTTTTTGGTTCTTCCTCATTCATACCCACGTCCATTGCGTTGTATGGTTGCGCGTTGAACCATTGGCATTTGTAAAAGAGTAGCCATGTAACTAATGGGGGATTTTTTGTGATAGAAACAATGGAAGGACATCAAGCATAAGTACGAACAGTAAACAAAAAACCGAGTCACATTATCTTGTCCACCACCATTCCCCAGGAGTCATATACAAATATTTTTTTAAGATTAGAAAAAACAGCCCTATTGAAGCCATGTCGGCTAACGTTATATAAAATCACGGGTTAAAAATAATAACGCACATACGAAAAAATTTCTTTGGGTTGTTCCCACTAAGAGGATTTAAGTGAACAGGCGGTGTAGCTAGGAATTTTTTTTTTTTTTTTTCTGGTGCCAACAAAAAAAAAAACCAGAAATGCGGAACTAGAGACAAGAAATAGCAATTGTAGGTTCATGCACTGGTTGCAAAAGAAAGATGCATTGATGTTGGTTTTTTTTTTTTTTTTTTGGCTAATAATAAATGATTCTATCGTGGCAAGGGACCATCGTTGGTTCATATGTGCGGGGATTCAGAGGGGGGCATATTAGGAAAAATGCAATTGGGCGTAAAAAAGTCCGTTGGGTTTTTGTTTGGAGTGCAAAACGGGTGCCCTGATTCTTGGAAAAAGTGATTACCTAATTAGGAAAAGGGATATTTCTTTGTGCCAGCATTTCGGGTTTCCCAGCAACTTGGAAAGTATTTTTTTTTGACGAAGTTTTTCTTCTTCTAGAACACCAAAATTTTTTTTAGCGTTGTATGAAATCATCCATCTTTCTTTTTGGTACACACACCTGAAAGATCTCAATGATTCCTTGCTTTTCTCCTTGCAGTGGGAATTATTTGCTTGTCTTTTTTTTTCTTTTACCGTTGGGATTTCGGATTTCTTGGGAGTAGATTAAAAGAAGGAAAAAATTTGGTAGTATAGATGAACCAGTGAAATAGAAAATGGTAACTTTATTTGATCTCATCGGAAAAAGCCACTGCCACGGAACGTGTCTATTTTCTTATCATGTGTAGATTGGGCGGGGAAGAATAGAAGAAGGAATGGAAAATTGCAACGGACACATCAAAAAGAGAGGTCCGCTATTAAAGTGTTACCTCAATGAACTCTTCGTATAATGTGTATATGAATAACTTAGTTGAAAAGAGTGGAGACTTTGTCCTTTTTAAACTCTTTATCCTATTTCGCACTGGATGAACGGAACGCCAATCTAATAAATGTGAATGACTTAATTTTCCTTGGATAGCTTTTTTTTCCGGGTCTCTGCCGCTTTTTCTTTTTCTTTTTTTTTTTTTCTTCGTTGTTCCTTTTTTTTTTCCACTTTTTTTTTTTTTCGCGATCTTTTTTTCTATTACTTCTTTTGTGCTTTTTCTTAATTTTTCACTTTTTTTTTTCTTCTTCTACTTTCTTATATAGTATTCCTATCATTTTAATTAGTAACCTCGTCACAAAAAAAAGTATAACCAGACGTATGTCCAGTCAAACCTCCCCTGTGGCCTCAGATACCTCTGTGGCCTCCTCTTCGATGCAGTCGCAACGCAAACCCTTGGCAACATTTATAAAGAAACTTTGGCTGTAAGTGGCAAAACCTAAAAAACCTCACCTCGACAGCGTTTGCCCCTCCCCCGAAATATGGAAAAAAAGAAACACGACTGAACACCAATTCCACCAAGCGCAAAAAAAAAAAGAAAGGACAAACAGCGATGCTATTTTCCTTGGTTGGATTTTGGCATTGATACTGACAGAAAAAGAACTCAACTTTTTGAATTAGAATCATGAACGATGGTATCATCCGTGAATATATCTTTTGGTCTGACAATGGCCAAGTAATATGCGTTCCCAACGCCACTCTATTCTCAAGAGTCGTGTTGCCGCGGTATTTCAAACATAACAATTGGCAAAGTTTCGTTCGTCAACTCAATTGTAAGTCTTTTTTTTTCTATAATTGCTTTTTTTTTTGTTCTTTTCTTCCATCGAAGTGTATTTTCAACCATTCCCATCCACGACTTTCCCACCCCAATTTTTGGATCCATTGTATTAAACATATTGCATGTCACTTACCCCGCCCCTGTATCATTTTCTTATGAAAAAGAAGAAAAAAAAATCTTTTTTGGCCATGAAAGAGTCTAACTTTTTTTATTCTTTTTTTCTTTTTTCGAATGATTCCTGTACCCTGTTGTTGTTACGTTGGTGATTCTTGTTTCTCTTTGGTATGATGAATGCTTGAATCATGAATGAAAACAGTGTATGGGTTTCGAAAAGTATACCAAATCAGTATGGCAACCGATTCCTCTCAGCAAGCGGTCTGGCAGTTCAAACATGATTGTTTTCAACGGGATTGCAGCGAGAAATTAAAAGGGATCAAACGACGCGTACCGCAACAATCGACCGGCAAATCCACCCTATCGTTTGACTACTCTGAAAATCAAGAACAATTAGCGTCCATGGAAATTAAGCTTTTAGAAATGCAGCAAAGGATAGAAGAGACCGAACACAAATACGAAAACATGTGTCAAGACACAAAAAGAATACGAATAATCCAAACCCAGCAACAACAAGTAAATAAGCGTCGGGTGAGGGAAGAGGGGTAGGACGAACCTGAACTAAACCAATTGATGTTTCGTTGTTTAGATGCTGCATTCCATTATTTCCTCCCTTATCGCATCCTGCAAAGGTAACATCATCATGCACCCCCCCATAATGCCTGTTCTCTATCCGTGTCGCTTTGGATGCAATTGCGGTGTGATTTTGTTATGAGGAGTATTTGTCATTGTTTATACTGCACATGTGGCCTGATAAATTTCTTGTATTTTATTTACTGGCAGATTGTCCTCCTGGTTACATGGATCGATGTAAGTCGGTGGTAAGCTTATGTCGGGTGAATGTGAGATTGACATATTGGATTTGTCCCTTTTTTTTGTGGTAGTCGATGCCCTGTTGAAACGATGCGAAGGCGACCTGTCTCTTTTATCACGTATTGTTGTAGATCCCGATGACAGTGGCGGTGGTACCGGTGACACCGAATCACAGAATTATAACGATCCGCATAATTCTTCTCCTCGCACCGACGCCTCTTCGTCTATACCTCCTTTTTCGGCTCATCACAGCCCACCGTCGTATCACGCTCCTTATTCCCATTACTCTTCACTTTACAAAGATTCGACTTTCAGCGCGAACCGTCCGACCTCATCGACTGAACCCTACGATAACAACCACACTAACCACAATCACAACCACAACCATAACCATAACCACAACCATAACAACAACAGCAGCAACAGCAACAGCAACAGCAACAACAGGCCCGTTTTAGAATTACCACCGTTATCCACCTTGATATCCAATGTTGTCGGCCATTCCGCATTACCATCGCTTCCCTCTTCCAGCTCCAGCAGGTCCCATACATACCATCATGCCAATAGACATGCATTCAGCAACGAGTAATCTTTCTTTTTTTTTTTTACATACATATCTGTTGTCTCCTTCTTACTTATGACCGATGAAAAAAAAAGAAAAAAGAACACAATAACAAAACTGTTATTAAAAAATACCAAGGGAAAAAAAAAACCAGGGCATTCACGCGGATTCGTAGTTCATTGACATTCTACAGCAACCCAACTCCATGACAGCTTACTATAATGCAGCTTACTGTACTGGAGTTCTAGAAAAGGTATCCATCATTGAAGATAATGACGAGGAAGGAAAAAAGTTCATGAAAACAAGAGACAAATGAAAGAAACAAAAAAGAAAAAATCTCATTCACATGCTTGTCAAAACGAAATTTTTTTTATTTTCTGGACGATCGACGAGGGGATTTTCCCTTTTTTGTTCACGCCGTTTTGCCTCAGTTGGAACGTTGACTTTCCTTTCTTTCTTTTTTGGTTCTTTTTCGCTTGGCAATCGGCACTTCTCCATATTCTCACCATTGTGGCCATGGACGCGGACGGTAGCTCGTCTACTTGGTCGCCCCCTTGGTTGCCTGCAGTATACAGGCCATTGGTCGTCATCTGCGTGGGCGTCTGGGGTTGGGCCTTGAATCTATTCTTACTTCATCGTCATCACATCGATCCAGCCGCCCTATTGCAAATCCATCCTGTAGATAAACATATTCCTTTACATCAACCTGTATTCATATTAGCCGGGATGCTGTCCTTTAATGCCCTTGTTAATCTGTCGTGGTACATGCGAATCGTCACTCCTGAGTCGCCCTCCCTATGGTTACCAGCTATAGCCTATCTGTCCAGCCTCCTCTTACTCTTCTGGCCACGGAAACAACTCTTGTTCAAAGAACGAGCACGATTCCTAAGGTTTGGATTTTTTTGGGGGGGGGGTTCAGGGTAAACAGCACCTCACTCGGCTTTTTCCCTTTTTCGATAGAGTCTTACGGCGGGCATGTTCCATGAACCTAGTTTCGCCAGTGTACTTTGCCGACATCATCCTTGCCGATATACTGACAAGTTTTTCTAATGTGTTGGGTGATCTGTTTGTGGCAATATGGATCCTCGTCACTGGGGATGATCGAAACTATTCAGACGCGTTACCGATGAAAATCAATAGCCTGGCTTGGCATCCCGATTTGTTTCTCCCGTTTATAGTAAGGTAACCTACTGTACTCCTGGCCATTTGGCAAGCTTGGTGGCACACCGTATTGACCCTGTCGTACTCTGGGAAAAATTGATTTCAATAACAGTCTTCCGTACCTCATTCGTCTTCGTCAGTGCTTGTCCGAATACCTTGAAAGTCGCGGACAGCAATCACGTCATTTATTCAATGCTTTGAAATACGCCTCGGCCTTTCCTGTCATCATCTTATCCGCCGTGCAACGAAGAGCCACCAGCTATGTAGCCGAAACTGGATCAGTACCCAAGAATTGGTGGTTGGACGAAGTCAACATCTTTCGATTATGGTAAGAGCGTGGGGGAATATAACGGATCATGGTGCAACTGTGATATCAAGACGTTTATAATTTTTTTTTTTTTAAAAAGGATGGTCTGTGTGTTTATTAATTCCATGTATTCATTCTGGTGGGATATTTCAATGGACTGGAGTTTTATGCATTTCACGTACGATACGGGCATCACCAAACATGTCAACGCCAAACCTCAAACCACACCTATCCTACGTTTTCGACGCCATTTACACTTTTCTTCGGCTTTTCCTTATTTTACGGCCATGATAATCGATTTCTTATTACGGACGACGTGGAGCCTTAAACTAAGCTCGCATTTGTATCTTAAACAGCTGGAAGGGAGCCTCGTGTTTATAGAATTATTAGAAGTGCTCCGACGATGGGTGTGGGTGATTTTTCGCATGGAGAGTGAGTGGGTCAAACGTACCCATGGGATGTTGCCCATGACAAATAATAACAATAGCAACCCCAACCATAATAACAACGATATCTTACGCATGGAACGTCTCGAGTATCCCCCCGCCAAACTCGCGCCTATTCGAGAAGAAGACGATCCCATTCAATCATCTACTCACTCGTCGTGACGTTCAAAAATAAAATCAAACAAAAAGAGGAAAAAAAAAATCATTTTAATAACTTTAGCCTCCCGACTCGAGTCTTTTTTTTTATTCCTTGTGTCTCGTGTGTGTCTAATGAATACCTACAAAACGTATACCGAACGTGCAAAGCAGCATCCCAATGCATGTGCTCGCTCTCTCTTTGAGCTCATGGAACGCAAGCAGACCAATTTGTCGGTTGCAGTCGATGTCACCAAAAAGTCCGAATTGCTCTCCATTGCCGATGCCGTCGGTCCCTACGTTTGTGTTTTGAAGGTACAGACCGAAAAAAAAAGCCGAAGCCTCGGAGCGGGCCCCGGAAAACCGGAAGACAATCATGTTGGACAAGAATAGAATGAATGTCGTGACTGATGTCTACAAATTCTTAGACTCACATTGACATTGTCGAAGACTTTGATCAGGATCTCGTCCAGCAATTGCAGGCTTTGGCTGAGAAGCACGATTTCTTGATCTTTGAAGATCGCAAGTTTGCTGATATTGGTAAATTGTCAGAGACATCGTTTGACAGGGCAAGAATTGATGAGATACTAATAAAATGTCATTAGGCAACACGGTGAAACATCAGTATGCTCACGGTGTGTACAAGATCGCTTCGTGGGCTCACATTACCAATGCGCACACGGTTCCCGGTGAAGGCATTATCAAGGGCTTGGGCGAAGTCGGTCTGCCTTTGGGTCGTGGTCTTTTGCTTCTGGCCGAAATGTCATCCAAGGGCGCCTTGACCTATGGCACTTACACCAGCGAATCCGTCGAAATGGCTCGTCGCAACAAGGATTTTGTATTCGGGTTCATTGCTCAGCACAAGATGAACGAGTACGATGACGAAGACTTTGTCGTCATGGCTCCCGGAGTGGGTTTGGATGTCAAGGGCGACGGCCTGGGTCAGCAATACCGTACGCCTCATCAGGTGGTGGTCGAAAGCGGTTGCGACGTGATCATTGTCGGACGCGGTATTTACGGTAATCCCGATCAAGTCGAATACCAAGCCAAGCGCTACCGCGATGCCGGATGGGCCGCCTACCAGGAACGTGTCCGCGCTTCTTCCTCTTCTGCATAGTTTGATAGGCCGTACTAATCCACCGGTTTTTTCACGAACGTTGTCGCTTCAAGTCGCTTCCATGATCGATGTTCCTATATGTTTTTCTTTCTTTTTTATTTTGCTTTCCATTGCTTATACAAAGAAATCAGAGAATCATGCAATGTAAATTTTTTTATTATGGACGAGATTGCAGATAATATGGTATATTGAAAAAAAGGAGGCGAGGGTTGGAAAAAGTAGGGTGAGTGCAATAATCCAATGTCTGAAAGATGAGGGAGGGGTAATTGTTGAGTGTGTGGTTTATTAATCATCTTGCTCCACCATGGGAAAGGATTGGTGGACAATAAGATGATCACCATCCTGCTCATAGCGACCTGTGGCCAGCAGGACACGAGATAGATGGTGTCTCTGTTTGCACACTTGACGGACCTGGAGAATACTCCACAGAGAAGAGATGGGAAGATGTAAAGGAACTCGGGTCCACCGAACGGGACGCTTCGGAGGCTCCACTGTGACGGGGACGGTCTCTGGCATCGCTTCGTTGGACCAATCCACGCACCATTCCAGGGCGCTTGGTGAAGTATCTTCCAATGAAGCGTGACTTTCGGTGTCTCCGTTGCAACATTCGGCTTGACACAGCATTTCTATGTATTTTTCTATTATTTGCACCATGTCGTGATCGGATAACGGCGGTTCATCGTAATAAGGGAAATCGATGTGTTTCAATAAAGTATGTGATTGCTTTTCAATGATGACGACAGGTTCATGATCATCTTGGCGAACGAAAACGCATGCTTGCGTACTGTGGCCTTTGTCCAAACAATCCTTTTTCCCATTGAGCAGACCAATGCCGTGAAATTCAGTACTGTAACCGTATTTTCGACCTCCGTCATTGCACCTGCATGAATGGTACATAAAAATCATGTGTCAATGCCATGGCAATTCATCGATGTAACTATCCCTTTTTGTTGCTCCTTCATTTGGCGCTGTTCTTACCAGTCTTCAAACGTATGGCGTGGCCACTCGAACTTGTGATCGTCGTGACGAAAGGTACCGCACCGCAATTCATCAAAAAAAACATTGTATTCAGCGTTGGGCGTGGTGACAATCAGAATCTTTGGGCGATAGAGACCCAATGTGATGCCGAAAAATGGTTCCAGTACATCGTCGTAAACATGTTCAATGACTTCGGAGCATACAATGGCGTCAAATCCCATCAAACGCGAATCCGGTTGATCAATCGATCCTTGATGATATCTAGTGGTCAGTTTTTTTTTCGGATTTTTTGATGTTTCCTGCTAGTTTTAATTGATTTGACGGTACCTTGATAAATATCGATCTGAAGCGGTGTTTCACGCAAGTCTCGGTAATCACTGTCCCAAGGTTCACAACGCGCAATGGTTTCTTGAAGAACATCAGCATCAAGGTCTAATCCGGCCAGTTTGGTAATATGAACGTCGTCATGGACATTGGGAATCAAGAATGCCAGTACCGATCCTTCGCCGCAACCGTAATCGAGTACCTACAGAGTGACCAAGTCAGTGTGAGTCTATCGGTGGCTTCTTTTTTGCTATTGGGATTTAACGTGTACACTGATAGCTCGGTATTTCAGTAGTTGATCGCATATAAATGTTCGTCGTTGACGCCAAAGAGGCGGATTGAATGCTCCATTGGCGCACGCATCATGTTCCATGACCGTCATCACTCTGCGTGTCTGTGCGCGTATGTGTGTGTGTGGTGGACAGCTGGGTGCGTCCTTTTTTTTTCGGCGGGCTGTGAAATTTGATTTCATTCCTTACGGCGAGCCCGTGACGGACAATGACCAAATAAGCAAGCGGGGAAAGGTGATCCCCACACCGGTTTTATTCCTTAACTTTCACGTGTCATGATTGGCAACTGTTTCTACTTTGCAATCTTGTCATGAGTCACTGTCTTCAGGAACAGACATTCACTCGTTTCACTTATTGTGAGAATTGCGGAGGACTTTTATGGGGATTCGCACGACAAGGACTCCAATGCCGAGGTAACATAATAACACTTCCCCCTTTTTTTTGAGTTGCCACAGCGATGACACTTGGATTGCCCTTCATTCCACTAAAAAAACAAATGTTCTGTGTACTTAAAAAGACTGTGCATACATTTGCCATCATGGCTGCCAAAATGATATCCCTCCTTGTACTCACGGCGCGGCCCCGTCTTCGACCTATTCTCCGGCAGCGAAAGCGCTACGATCCCTGCAACAGACTCAGCAACCCACAGCAGCCCGTCGTCGACCTGAATCCATGCCTAACATTGATGCATCGCAATTACGCCGTTTGTTCTCCTCTGACCATGTCCAGAATGTGCTTGTAGACGCTGCTGTGCATGCGTCCGATACCGACCAACCTGTCAATGATTACTTGGCGCATATGCCGCCACTGAATCCTCAAATCACGGCCAAGAATTTTTCACGGTTTGTAGCCCGATGTGGCCCATTGTTTGCGTTCCGTGATGCGGTCATTCTACTATTAAGCTGGGACAAACCCATTGATACATTGGTAGCGCTGATCAGCTACTGTATCCTTTGTAAGTCGTTGATCGTTTGGTCGCCCTTGGAATTTTCTTTTTCTTCATCGGTTTGATTTCAGCAGTGGTTAACGCCGTCTTTTTTTTCCCGTTCTGTGAATGCAGGTTTATACCCAGCACTGATCCTTTTCATTCCTTCGCTGGTCTTGTTGTGGATCATCATTGGAGGCTACTATAAACGGTATGGAGACACTTTACATCCGTCGACATCGGAATCCAGTATGCAGGAAGGACCCACGACGGTGCCATCAAAGTCATTTACGCCTGCGCCCAACACACCATTGAAACGTACGGCTTTTGCCTTCAGCTTTGCGTCGGCATTATTCCCCGCCTTTGACGAATCGTCACCTGAATATCTGCGAAACATGCAAAATCTGCAAAACATGATGGGAGAAATGAGCGATGTGTACGATTTGGTGATGGTCAATATGCAGTACGTCAACTGGTCGGACGAGGAACAAACGATGCGTTTGCTGCAATTGGTCCTTGTGTCCTTGGTGGGCCTAAGTTTGGTGGGTTGGCTTATTCCGCTAAACTGGATCTGCCTTGTCGCTGGTGTGGCGGTGTTTCTCATCAACACCCGGTTCGCCAAATACGCCATGAAAGAATTGTTGCCCCCTTTGATCGAATTCGGCCAATGTCAAATGAACAATACCCTCGCTCAGTACAACGAATATGAGAAGCGCGTCACGTCTGAGCAGCAAATACAACAAGTATCGTTGTACGAAAACCAGCGATGGTGGAGCAACAGTGGTTTTGCGCCTCAGGTACATCAGCTTTGGCTGTTGGGTGCTTGGTTTTGAGCAAAGATATTGAGCGAATATTTTCTTTCCAACTCTTTTTGGCAGTTGTTACGCGATGAACGAGGACCATGGTCGGATATGTCGGGAAGATTGGCTTTATCATGCAAGGAAGAATTTGCGGCACCGGAAGGCTACCAATGGAAGGAAGATAACTGGGAATTGGACACCACCGGTCCATGGATTGACGACAGTCTTGGTATAGGTAAGAACAATGAAACCAAGGGCATTTGATCTACCGTTCATCTCCTTATTCCATTTGGATTCTTGATTTATTTATTTTTCTTTCTGTATTGCAGAGGTAAGTCTTGCTAAACACATAGGAGGATGGGAAGATGTATAGTATTCAGACAAGGAACCAAATTGGAATTGGTAGATGTTGGTGCAACCGGATGACCATGGTTGGGTTTACACAGATGATCAGTGGCATCATCCCGAGAAGCCGTCGATCCACACGAAAAGACGCAGCTCATCCGATCTTCCTCCACAACAACAACAGGTCACAAGACGCCGACGATGGGTACGTCACTGTGAACGCCGGTTGCCAACGAAAGGATACTAAGGACAGTGACGGTGAATCACCCTTCTAATGGGCCTCTTTTTTATACATGCAATGGATATTGTCGTTTTTTATTATTATTATTATTATCTCAATTTTTGCCAGGTTTTCTTTTATTTTCTGTATTTTTTGTGTGGTGGTAGAAAAAGAATTTCTTTCTTTTTACGGGATTTCTGTAAACATGGGGGGTTTTTGGACAATCTATGCTTTTTTAAATTGGCATGAGGTTGCACATGATTATTAAACAAAGCGGGCGTGTGACATGAAAAATATACGGGAAGCGGTGTAAAGAGGTGGTAGGAGAGTACAAAAAAAAAAAAAAAAAAGGGCAGGGATTTGGAAGACTCTATTTGGACGAGCGGAGAGCACCAGACACTGAAAAAATCATCACCATGAATCCCCAGATGATCAGCAACACAGCTGCCATATCGAGCCACGACCATCGGGTTGTCATCAGTGCACCCGCACGGCCCGTACCCGATTCATCTGACCAGGCCACATTATCTTTGGCGCTCGGTGAAGGAAGGGGTGAGGACGAGGAGGTGGATGACGAAGACGATGCCGCATCCGTAGGTGGGTCGTGGGCTAACAATGGCTTTTTCGCGGCTTCGTCTTCCAATGGAACGGCACGTCGTGTGACGAGATAAGACGCGGCGGGAAGAATGTAGGCCAACGTTGTCGCTGCAAAGCCTCCCACGATAGCATACACTTGGCCGATGGATCGTATGGCAATTCCCGCAGCGGTAATCACGGTGAATAAAACAAACGTGACGATGTAATGCTGCATTTTCGTCGGCTGTCGATCGGCCGTTTCGAAACCCAGTGATTTCTGAACCGCTTCTCGCGTCGGATAAAATCCCATACTAGAGTACAAGAGGTTAGCATCACCGAACGCCCAGTATCCATGTCCTTCGTGGCAGTAGGTTTTAATGTCCACTTGTAATGGTATACTTACGGGATGGTGAGCAGCATACTGAAGCCCAGGGCAAAACGGCCGATATTGACAATAGGATCATCGTTGGGGAAATTCAGGAACAGATTGGGCTGAACATCGACGCCAAAACTGAGATAGCCCAGCACGGCAAATGCCATGGAAACGAACCAACTCATGATGGTGGCCAAGGTGGTGGACTTGGCCCAACCAGAAGACGATTGATCTTTCTGACTTCGGAAATTATCAAAGGCCACTTGGGAACACGCAAAGGCAAATGCCATGATCCCCAAAGCGCCAAAAATGTCCGATCCTACCCACGTCAGGGGCGCACGGTGCTCAGGTGCATAAACGGGCGCACGAATGAGCATGGTCAGCAGAATCACAGGAAGACACAGCACCGACAAGATGGACCACCGTGCCAAAGCACCAATGGACCGTGACAGATTCAATGGTAATATCTGAGATCCAAAAAAAAAATATGCCACATTGAATTAGCGTTGATCGCGTCGTCTTTCTTGGAATGCTACGATGACAAGAATGTCACTTACAAATACATAAGAAATCACGGCAATAACCAGTGATCGATTGGCAAAAATGGAATATTGTGGAAAATACAAGGTGAGGAGAACGGGAATGGTGTCACCGACCACTAGATTGGAAAAACAATATGTCAGAATGCGATGAATTGGTCACTCCAAAGTCGGAGTCCTATGTCAAATGACGTTCGATGACGATCGACTTACAAATAAAATAACTAACACAGGCGCCAGCGGCTTGGAAAAAGACAATAAAGTTTAGAAAATGGTAGCCTGGGCGACCCATCAGGTATTCGACGAGCATGGCAAATTTGTAGATATTGGTTCTTTGACCAGCTCGAATGAGCATATACAGCCCCAATTGTGAAAGGATGGCGACGATGACGGAGACGGCAATACCGATAAAAAACCCAGCATGATACACAGCAAAGGGTAAGCCAATGATGCCGGCACCCACGGTGGCATTGACTAGATTGAACGACACTTCCACCACACTACAAGACCCATAACCTGGTCGGTCGGACTGGAGCAAGTCACGCTCAGCTTGGGTCAACGGACGTTCAGGCGGTGGCGTTACAACCCCGTACGATGCCATGGAATTGTGAAATTAAAGGAAAAAAAAAGAAGGAAATATGAACAATTGAAGAAAGGAACAAGATAGACAAATGCAAAAAGAGATCGGCTGAATGGAAGGATGAAAATGAGAAGGGAGAGATAAAAGAAAAAGATAAAAAGGATAAGCGATGGCATTTATAGATGCGGGCCATGAGTCATGTGTGTCGTGTTAGTCTACTGTTCTTATTACGTGGACCGGAATCCATTCGGATTAATTGACGATAGGTGTGATCTTGCCCAAAAAAAAAAGAAAAAATAGGGAAACAAGAGACTATCTAGGAGAACACAGGGGCAGGGAAAAGATAAACCAAGGCAGCATTTTGGGGGCGCATGAAATCTTTTGGGTTTCAACTGCAAAGATATTCCAACACTTATTCAACGCGCTATCATATCCCCCCCCGCCGATACGCAATGCATGATCAGGGTTCCCAATTGACCATCAAATAGAAAAGGAACCGACTCTGTGGACCAGGAGAAAGAATAGATGCTTCTGCAAATGCAATTGACATGAGATATTGAAACAAAAAATTTTAGGCAACATTGTTTGTTTTCCAGTTTCTTGAAGGCTGTCAGGAAAATGGCAATTTTCTTTGTCAATATGGGCAAGGGCGTGGACTTCGACCGAAAGTGGTCATGTTTTTGGTCTAGTTGCACCAATCAGATGATGGTTACTGTGGAAAAATGGGTGATGGTTTGCTCGGGGGAATAAGATGAGAAAACTTGAAACGAAAAGGGTTCATACCATGGTAACCTTTTTGTATTGTATGATCAATCACAAGACGGAGTGTTTTTTTCTGTTATTTTTTCCCAATTCGTTGTTAAACTTTGGAGAATGACGGATGTTTACTGTCTGGAGGTAATGATAATCGAAAGCCTCATCCAAAAGCCAAACAACCAGAGAAAAAGGAAATAATAATGATTTTCATATAAAAGAGATGAAATGATGCAATCGTTTGAATAGTGGAAATAAAACTCGATGATTTTATCCAAAACAAGCATTTTCTCGTTGTGCAGATGTGGAGGAAAATTTCGTACTCGCTGTCCCCACCATTTCACCCCTAAATTGAGACGCGTACTGTATTGTTCGATTAAAACGGGGAATCAGCAAATAAAGACACTCTAAGATTAAAGGACGCCACATGTTTTTGGTTTTTTCCTTTCTAACTTGCAAACTGAGGAAATCGATAATGATATAAAAGAGAGCAAGTTGGCTTATGCTCAATCTACAGTACCTGATTAAAAAGATGTTATCAATCTATTTTATTTTTCCTTTTCTAGATTACTTAAATCATGAAATTGAGCAACAACAACAGTTTCCTATCCAACTTTCCCACTGGCCTGCTTCTTCGCATGACACGCGTCGAAAACAGGCTTTTTTTTTTCGATGAACAATTTATCTTTCGAACAATGACTCTGGAACACTTTTGGTGTGTACATACAGAAAATACTGTAGTTTCGATCGGGCCAGCCGGAATAAATAATTTGTTTAGATGTGCGTTTTTTCTATCACGCTTTGATTTTCTTTTTTTTTTTTTCTCTTTTTTTTTTGTTGAATTTTTACGAATCTCTTTTTCTTGTAGGTGGATTTGGATGAAAAAAGATTGGGGTAAAGCAATGGCCAGGCAGGGATAGCATTGTCGGCCTCGTCAAATGATGTGGATTCGTAGGGACATGTTGAAGGTTGCGTTTCGTTTGGATGGTGACATGCGAATGAAAATACAAAGGAAAAAAGGGAAAGGGAGTGGTGGAAGAGAAGGAATAAAAAAATAGTATAATAAAAAGAGTCGTATCAACAGATTTCCTAGGGTTTTTTACCGACGTAGGCATACCATGTGAGGTGCGCGTTGTGTTTAACGCACTGAGCACACACCATTTCTACTCGATGACGGTAGTCGTCGATATCCAGACCCATAAGAGGTGCTAAAAAGTCTTGGGCTGCTTGGAACGTTCTCAGCGTAACCGCCACAAACGTTTCACCCAATCTACCATCCGAAGCTGGACGTGATAAAAAAAAAAGGGCAATATAGAAAAAAATTTAGCGTTCATTCAAATACCCCCCCCCTACCCTCTTTTTTTGACAGAATAAAAAATTAAAAAAAGCCCCAATCGGAATCAACGTACCGAAATGAACTTTCTTTTTCTTTAGCTGTGCCAGTTGGAATCCACTTTCTTCCAGGATAGGTCCCAATTTGGTGGCAATGTCATAGTCCTTTTCATGGTTTTTCATGATATTGCGCACCGTTTCGATGAATGATTCAATCAGAGCGGTGCCGGTGAGCTGGGATTTGGAAGCGAAAAAGTGATGAGTAACCGAAGCAAATCAGGGCAATTTCTTATTTTTCTTCCTTCTTATCCAATCATGAAACACCAGGTTTCCGAGACTTACCGCATTATGCAACTCTAAAAGTTGTACCATGCCTCCAGGTTTCAACACGCGATACACTTCGCGCAGGGCTTTCACCCACTCTTCCTTTTTGAATTGAAGTCCTTGAGCGCGAATATGAACAACATCTACCGAGTTGGATTCAAAAGGCAATTTGTCCATAATATCGGCCACCTCAAATCGAACATTGGGTAACGGCATGGCTTCAGGCAACATGTCTACGCTGGGTTCGACGCCCACATACTCGCATTCGCTGTACTGCGTTGCCATATCCTAACAAAATTGGTTAGTCGTTGCCCCACCCCCAACCTGTGGTCCAAGCTCCTGCTTACCGTAATCCAAGGACCATTGCCACATCCTATATCGACGACGCATGCGCCTTTGATTAATCTTGGTAACACCGCTGGCATAACGTTACTTTATCCAATGGTGAGCAACATGCTTTTTTGTCAGACCATCTCTCCTTCCTTTTTCGGCATGAAAAGAATTTTCCATTTTTCTTTTTGTTGATGATGATGTCTATTCATTTACCTGCTAAATAAATCTCTCAATGCGAAATGAAGCTAAAGAGAAATCGAAAACAAAGGCATTTAATCAGTTTTGGGTCTGGGCAAATCAATTTTTCGAGTTGGCATGGTATTCCCCCAATTAGGGTTGTTTTGGTTTTTTTTTTTCTGATGAGGAAAAACTTACAGTGTAAAATCGATCTTCATCTTCCCAGTTGTACGGCAGAAATTGACTGTTGGATTGAACGCCGGCGTAATCGGAGGAGCGTGTGGTCATTCCTGTGATGTGAGGAATATCAGGAGGAGTATCGACGGTACCGTTATTGTTATTGTTGTTGGCGTTGTTGGTTGGACGATTGCGTTGGTTAGCAAGTTGTTCATGGCTACTGGCTCGATGTGGTGAAGGGGAAGGCCGAGGCGATTTATTGGCTTTTTGAAGGTTCGTTACGGACGAAGTTTCGGATAATGTGGGATGATACGAAGCATGCTTTGACTCCTTGTATCTTCGCTTTGATTGAACAATGCCCATATCAATAAAAAAAGTGTGAAAAAAATAATAATAAAGACGATGATCAGATAAAACGAAGAAACAAGTAAAGTAAAGTGAAAAAAAGTAAAAAGGAGAAAAAGAGGCAAATAATAACCGATAACGATAAATCAGAGATAGCAAAGTAGAAAAAACGTGCTATTGGGTTGGGATGGCAGATAACATGAAAAAAAAAACATAAAAAATAAAAAAAAAGGCTTTATTCGGTGATGGGCGGGGTTGCAGTGATGGTGAATTGGTGACACGAAAGGAAAACCAATTTGTGCTGGCTTTGGATGGCGCGCGTGCAAAACTGGGTGATGGGCGGGTACAGACAAAAAAGATCGATTGAAGCACAAAAAAGAGCTATATGCGAAGGTCCTAGCTCCGCCATTCATCGTATATCAAACGGGTATCACCTTCCAGAAACGGTGATGGTGGAGCGCCCTCATGCAGCACATCATGATAACTGGGTAATTTATGAATTTCTTCCATATCGCTGTCATCCGTTCCATACTCCAGTAAATTCGGCCGATATGATTCGTCCGTTCGTACAATCACAGGTGCTGAAGGTGCACAAGATGGGACGGTGGCGATGTGCAGTGGGAAACTCAGCGACATTTTTCGTTCCTTCTCGCTGTTGGCAAAGTGGATCAGTAATCGAAGTTTATGGCTAATGCGCAGTTTCTTGCAATTGATGTCCGGGCATAGTTGCGGCAGATCCAACGATAAGGAAAGGTCTAAGCCAGAAAGCCAACCATTTTTTTTTAAAATCATGGGAACTCAAACGAACCAAAAAGAGATAAAACCACCGAAATCCCCTTTCTCCGGCTCGGAAACAGAGTCCAACCGGGAAAGAAAGGTGATACAAAAAAGGGAAAAGAAAAAAAAAAGCCAAAGCAGCCATGGATGATCCACTTACTGAGCATCTCTTGATTGTCAGATTCAGTCACATGATATTGAGATTCTGTTGAAATTCACCGTCAGTTTAACCGTTATGCCATCTGATGATAGGTTTTCCAACTTACGACAATATTTGCGGACATGAGTGATAAAAGATTTGTTCTGATGAATATTGCCGTTATCGTCGGGTGATGGATCGTCCTCTCCCGTATAGAACCCAGCACTAATTTGGTAGATCCATGAATTTTTTTTTCCAATTTATCATCATTCCATTCTCGAAACACCATCCAACATTTTCAAGGAGAAAAAAAAACAAGGGGTCAACTTACTAGTAACTGGCGATTTGTTCGAGATATATGTCAATGGCAGCAATACGGGCTTCTTCCACCAAAGGCCAGAATCCACACACAAAAACGTACGCAGTGTCTTGCAAACATGCATATTTTGGCATGCTTATTTCGTACCGCACGTGGCCTTCGCGCGATCCTCGATAACGCATTCGAGGTGCATAGCCCAATGATTCCAAGCTCGGTTGAACGTGTTGATATATTCGAATCGGTCGACGGATGGATCGAAGCTTTTTTCGTTGGGAAGAACAAATGAGTGCTTGTGATAAATCGAGACAGTGCAACATCATGCGATCTTTTAATGAGCTGAGACTTATGTGAGCGGTGAGATAATATGAAATGGAGTGACGAGGTAGAGTGATGGAAGGAGGAAGTTGGTGGGCATTGGGAAGACGCAGTTCAAAAGGCCACAGTGAGACACCAGCATGGCAAGAAGTAGGTTGAAGGACAATGGAAGTTTGCAAGTTTATTAAGGGATGCATGGATTCTTCGTAACCAAGTAATGTCGAGTGGTCAAGCCAGTACTTGAAGCGTTGGAAACAGCAAGCGGAAGAGGGTTGACCGGGTTTCCATGGATCTTGGAGGGGTGGTTCTTTAAAATCGTTGGAAAGGATGCTGCGAACGACTCCTTGAAGTTGCACTGTGATCCGACGTACAAGAATAGGTCGTGAATGAGTGAGACGAACGTGACCTCGAAGGATGTAAGTCTCGTTGGGTATAATATCATCTCCCGTAAACAGATCAAGGTGGTCAGTATCGGGCAAAATGTCAAAAGAAATAATGCCCGTCATGTTTTATTTAAAAAGCCAATCGATTGCAATGAGAAAAGATAAGCTAAAAAGAAATAAAAAGGGAAAAAGAGTTGAAAAGAGGCTGATTTGTTTCTTTCTTCCTTTTAGAGATGAGGGAACACAATCGCATCCAAGTTTCTCTTTTTTTCTCTGCTCGTTTGTTTAAAACTGGCATGTGATCTGTAAAAGATAAAAGTTGACTACCATAAATGTCAATTTAGGCACCAGAACAGCTTACTGTTCAACGCCAAACCGACGACCCGTGTACCAATTCAAAGGTTACATTTTCCAAACAAAGTCTAGGTTCTTTAACTCGAGCCCATTTGATGCATGAAAAATGTTGGGTCGTCTTAGTAGACCTTGTTCGCTTTTTTTTTTAACAAACTTATAGATAACAACGTTTTTTGAATCTTTTGTATCGATTGAGTAAAAAGGGGCCACATTGGTATCTGTTTCAGCGCATCGTTCTTACAAAGAGTTTTCTACGGTATCATTCGATGAAAAACCTTCTCTTCAAAAAGGAATGATCCATGGGCCGTCCCATTCGTGCTGACCTTGAAAAAACCCGTAGAGCTTCAAACCGTCCCCACACCATAAATATCCAAAAAAGGCAATGGATGAATGACGTAGTCACTGAGCCACTTTTCGGGTCGGTTTGTTGAAAGTTGGAACTGGTCGGGCCGGACTTTTTTTTCATAATATGCGACATGTAAAATAACCCCCGGTTTCCATCCAATCGAAAATTTTCGCGAAAATTGGCATTATTACAGACTTTTTTTTTTCTTTCCTCGTACTTTTTTTTGTATTTTTCCCTTTCACTGTTGCTCAAACCCGTTTTCATTGAAAAAAAAAAGCATAAACGTTGCTTTTTTTGAAATACATTTTTTTCTTGTTACTTTTTTTCTTTTATCATTATTTCTTTTCTTTTCGTGAAAACATCACTGTCGTTGTGTGGTGTTCTTTAAACTCCACAGCCTGACTATCTCACGGTCAGGCACACTCTTTTCGTCACTTGCACCCGCAACCACTATCACTTACCAGCTATCACAACTAAAAAGCCACTGTTCTTCATTATTTATCTCTTGCCAACGTCTACTTGATCCCCCAAAGTCACCATGGCAGACTCACAACAACGGCAGCAACAGCAACAACAACAACAAGCCGGCTTTGATGAGTCAGCTTATGACGAAGAAGCTGATAATTATCGAAATTACTACGCTCCACTAAGTCAACACTTTGACCCATCACAGCAGTCGACGGTTTTGAACGCCTTGGATAACGAACCTGACCCTGCTTTCAGCGGTTACCCTACCAAGAAATCGTCATCCTTCCAACCACGCACTGCCGATCAGTATGGTGGATTGTCAATGTCGCACACCAGTGAGATTATCGATCAATCCCGATCCCACGATGCCGAAAAGGTCGTGGAAACCTCGCCCAACGAACGTTATGTACGACTCAACACACTTCTTGGCAAAGGTGCTTACAAAGTCGTTTACAAGGCGATTGATCGGGAAGAAGGCTATGAAGTCGCATGGAATACCATGCAGGTAAATACATGAAAAAAAAAGGTCAAACCGGACCCATCATGGATTCAATCTTTTTAAAAACTTGTTGGTTTTTTCGTAGACGATGCAATCACCGGACAACAAAGAAATGGAACATGAGATTGAAATCCTCAAGTCTGTGCGACATCCTAATATCATTGCTTTCCATGATGCCTGGTATCAGAAGAACGAGTTTGTTTTTATCACGGAATTGATGACCTCGGGAACACTACGTGAATATATCCGGAAACTAAGCTTGCCCAATATCAAGATCGTGAAACGCTGGTCCCGTCAAATCTTGAAAGGTCTCGCTTACCTTCACGGCTATAACCCACCCATTATTCATCGCGATATCAAATGCGACAACATCTTTATCAACGGTGCCCATGGTGAAGTCAAGATTGGTGATATGGGCACTGCCGAAATGAAAATGGGCAAAAAATACACCATTATTGGTACCCCGGAATTCATGGCTCCCGAAATGTATGAAGAGCAAGGTTACAACGAAAAGGTCGATATCTACGCCTTTGGCATGTGTTTGCTCGAAATGGTGACGGGAGAATATCCTTACGGCGAATGCCGAAATGCCGCCCAAATCTATAAGAAAGTTTCAGCTGTAAGTCGTCATCTCACGTTGCTTGATCGTGTGGTCACTTGCCCCCCTCGCTCATGAAACATTGAATCTTAGGGTATTAAACCTGCATCTCTTCAAAGAGTCCAGAGTCCCGAAGTTTTGACCGTGATCGAAAACTGTCTAGGCCCTGAGGATGAAAGGTAAAGAATGGAAAAATATATGAGGGGTGGACATCACGCATGCTGACTTGTAGGATGTTTTTTTTAGAATGTCTGCTCAGGAAATTCTTGAACATTCCTTTTTGGCGGTGGAGCCTGATGTCGTTCTTTTAGCGGCCGATCCTGCTCACGTCCACTTGACTTTGCAGGTCGTCTTTAAAGGAATGGATAAACTGTCTGTCAAATTCGACTTTAATGTGGTTAGTACAACCTCGACTCTTCTCCCCCCCCTCCACCCCACCCAAAAAAAAGGACATTGTATCAACCTATCTGTTGTTTTCTAGGAAACCGATACAGCTGAACAAGTCGTTCGAGAAATGGTAAGCCAAAATTTTTAATGCAATGTTCCAAAAAAAAGTTTTTTTAACCAATGAGGCAGATCGAGGAGCAAGTGCTACCCGAAAGATATCAACATCATATTACCAAAGAAATCAATCGAATTCTTCGCGATATCGAGAAACCCACTGAATCCGAGCAAGCAGAACAAGTGCGGCAATCGGTGTGGCGACGTGAAAGTGATATAAGGTCTGAATTGGAAAGGACTCGACAGGAATTGGAGCGTGCCGCCGAACACGTTCTTGAAGTGGAAAACAAGTGTGATGGATATGAATCCCGTGCGCGTGCAGCAGAGAGCCGGTATCGAGATGCTTTGCGCAATTTAAAGGAAATGCAGGATGCGAGTGGCGTTCACTTGCCTGATCTTCACGAATCACACAAAGTAACCTCTTCTCCACATCCTTCGTCCACACCGACCGTTCCCCTTTCCAACGCTGGGTCTCCTCCACCTCCGCCTCCACCACACCATCATCATCCCCGTCCTGACGATCTGAATGTGGATACTTCCTTAAAGCATGCCGTCGCAGACGACCCAGTTCGCATGTCCGAACCCACCACAGCTGTTGAACCCGAATCGGCACGAAAACTGGAGGATACGATGTCACCTGCGGCGCGTGATGCTTTGATGTCCCGTATTTTGGAAGGTAAAAAAAAAAAATAGGTCTATGGGGATCATCGACGTGCGATACTGACTTTTGGTTACTTCATGTTGAAATTGACAGAATATTCCGATGATACGGATATCGATATCTTTGTTCGTGATTGTGCTGTTGCTGCTCATCGAAGTGAGGAAAAGGCGCATGAATGGATCAATAAGCTGAAAAATCAGGATATTATGACCGTCGGTGATCTTCGGGATCTTCATGATGAAGATTGGGCCGGGATCGGTTTAACCGTCTTTGCTTTGCGTGCACTGAAAAATATGCTCAAAGGCAAAAAGCTCGCTGGTCAGACTCTCAATACATCTTCCACCAACCCTACCTCTCCCGCTCCATCCACCGCCCGTTTGTCGCCGCCCATTTAAAAGCCGGTTCCATCCAAAGTTTGAACGGGGGAAAAAGAAAAAGAGAAGACGAAAAATTGAAGAGGCACTTTCAATAAGCCAAAATTTGTAAGAGCATCACTGCCCACAGATCATAGATAGTTTGCTCTTGTTATCTTCTTCTTTCTTTTCTTTCTCCGTTTCATTTATTTCCCTTCTTCCCGGTTTCCCTTTTTTTTTTCATCTATTTGTACATATACAAAATGTCCAAGCTTTGGCATGTACTGTATTTCATTATGTAATGCAACGGGTTGTTTTCTTTTTAGTCTTGAAAATGCTGGAAATAGTTTGGGAAGAGTCGCATGCAAATGTTGCTATTTTTATCGACACGCGCTTTTTTCGGATCAGCTTGTTGAATCCGCGCCAAAGACACGATTCTCCGTGAAAGCAAACAAATACATGTATCGCGCGTGTGTCTATCTGTGTGCATATGTGTGTGTCTGGCAAGCTGAAGAGTCACCAGCATACAATGCTTTAGCTGTCAGGCAATAACGCAAGCTATTTTCTTGATGCATAAAATCAGGAATGAAACAAGACAACAGGGAGATGTTGGGCTCAGATCGATCATGCCACTAAAACACGAGATACGCGGCGCGCGTTCACCATGACGTAGAATGACACTGTTTATAGGAAAAAGAAACCAATGTTTCTCCTTTGATGCTTTTGTTCTTCTCGTCCTCGAATACAGCGTATTTCTTTCTTTCTATCCAAAGACAACAGTTATGGTGGTGAATTATTGGAAACTGAAGCAATGCTTCAAAGAACTAGTTCTCAGTGCACTCATGGTCGCTGTGTATGCCGCAAGTACCGTCATTTATGGATGGAGTCTATTTTTCACCCTCCTCACTGCCCTCCTCCCGGGCACAAAAAGTTTGCTCAAACCTAAAGTGGTCGCCATTACAGGCGCAAGGTAAAGAAACTGGAAAAGCACATCTGGTCGACCGCATTTTGCCTTGACAACTGATGCACATATTTTATAGCACTGGTATTGGCGAAGCAATTGCCTATGAATACGCAAAACAAAAAGTTCGCTTAATTCTCATTGCTCGCAACCAAAGTCAGTGGCTACACGATGAAAAAATCTCAATGGTATCCCCACCGTAACATTCAACTGTTGTAGATAAATTGCAGACGGTGTCATCGAAATGCCGTCAACTAGGCGCGGTGGACGTCGAGATTGCTTCGATCGACGTGAGCAAGACGGAGGATTTGATAAACTTTTTCGAGGACCGCACCGAACAATCGCCCATTGATCTTTTCATCGCCAACGCTGGCATGGTGGTCGAAACGACGCCTCTTATTCCAGACAATAAATGCGAGACGATAGTGAACACAAACATCCTGGGAGCCATCGCCGGAGCAGATACTGTCTTCCGAGCCATGCATCGTAGACGTCGAGGGGGACAAATAGCAGGTAAATGATTTATTGTTCAATCAGCCAACCACTGGTTAACCAACACGCCATGTTTTATTAAAAATCCAACAGTAGTGTCTTCTATCTATGGTGAGTATATGGCAATGATCAAGGTTCAATCATAAATATTCATATGCCGTAATTTCCTTTTTTTTAATCGCAGGCTTTATGGGCGTGCCAGACGTCATTTACTATGATCTTACAAAAGCGGCCTTATTAAGCTATGCGCGTGATCTTCGTACACTTGGAAAAGCATCCAATATTCACGTCAGCGTGATTTGTCCCGGACTCATCTTGACCAACATGACGGAATCACTGAATGTAGCCGAATTCTTTTACACCAAGCCTGCCGTTATTGCATCGCATATTCGAAAAGGCTTGGAAGCCAATTTACCTGTTATTGGTATGCCGTGGTTCCAATTCGTTACTGCCTTTGTCCTTTCCTCCTTGCCTCCCATGCTTCACAGTTTCGCCCGAGATAGGATGCTTGACGTTTACAATGCCATCAAACCAAGCAAAACCTACCAATAACAAAGTCTTTATCCCTAATTGCTCGATCCAAGAAAAAAAAAAGGCAAAGTCTAAATACAATTTACAAATCGTTCATCATGATGCAATACATTATCCGTTACAATAAAAGAAAAAGGGTCATTGGTGGGAAGAAAGAGGTGGACTATCCATTTCATCGATAGATCAAATAGAAGTGGGCTAGCTTACGATGTGATGCTTATGAGTCCATCATGTCGTTTATTTAGCGCAATTCATGCATTTGATGTGACACAAAACTACACCTCGTGTGATCAATTGTCAATAACGGATGATGCACAACAGAAAAAACTCGATCGTGGCGTGTCGCATAAGCGGTTGTAATTTTTATCTGGTTTACAGCCTGGTCCAACCAATGAAACGAAACGACTAATCCTATTCCCGGATCGAAGCCCTATTATCCGGGTCATTTGCATGAAGAACTCGTAAGACTTTTTTGAAGTTGTATGGAAGATGAACATGCTAAGAAAAAAGAAAGACATGGTGAAATCGTCAGTGTTTATCCGAAGAGGATGCTCATTTTATTTGACAATTTTTTTCTTTTTATACAAAAAAAATAATTAAAAAAAAAACTGGTTGTTTTGTCTGGCAATCCAAGAGATCGCTCATTCAACATCTAAGTTTAGTAAAAGGTCTTGCAGTGGTTCTCGCAGATGGTGCGGAGCTTGCCTTCAAGATCCTTGGAGAGGACACCCTGGGTACGGATTTCATCAAGAACGGCACCTTGCTCGGATTGGATGTGGCTGATAAAGTCCTTTTCCCAGTCGACGACCTTGTTGACGGGGATCTTGTCAAGGAAACCGTTGACACCAGCGAACACAATGGGAACTTGGACTTGGATGGGCAAGGGAGAGTACTGAGGTTGCTTCAACAATTCAGTAAGACGGGCACCACGGTTCAACAAGAACTGAGTGGAGGCATCCAAATCGGAACCGAACTGAGCGAAAGCAGCGACTTCACGGTACTGAGCCAAGAAAAGTTTCAAGGAACCAGCGACCTGCTTCATGGCCTTGGTCTGAGCGGCGGAACCGACACGGGACACGGAAAGACCGACGTTAATGGAGGGACGGATACCCTTGAAGAAAAGTTCGGCTTCCAAGAAAATCTGACCATCGGTAATGGAAATGACGTTGGTAGGAATGTAAGCAGACACATCACCACCCTGGGTTTCAATGATGGGAAGAGCGGTCATGGAACCATAACCGAAATCCTTGTTCATCTTGGCAGCACGTTCCAACAAACGGGAGTGGAGGTAGAAAACGTCACCAGGGTAGGCTTCACGACCGGGAGGACGACGAAGCAAAAGGGACATTTGACGGTAGGCCACAGCCTGCTTGGACAAATCGTCATAGATGATCAAAGAGTGACGACCGTTGTCACGGAACCATTCACCCAAAGCAGCACCGGAGAAAGGAGCGAGGTACTGAAGGGGAGCGGCTTCGGAAGCGGTAGCAGCGACGACAATGGTGTACTTCATGGCGTCGTTCTCTTCGAGGGTACGGACGAGCTGAGCAACAGTGGAACGCTTCTGACCGACAGCGACGTAGATACAGTACAACTTCTTGGACTCGTCGTTACCGTTGTTCCAGTTCTTCTGGTTAAGAATGGTATCGAGGGCGACGGCGGTCTTACCGGTCTGACGATCACCGATAATCAATTCACGCTGACCACGACCGATGGGAACCATGGAATCGACAGACTTGATACCAGTCTGCATGGGCTCGTTGACGGAGTGACGGGGCAAAATACCGGGAGCCTTGACCTGCACACGGGAACGGCCAACGGTCTCGAGAGGACCCTTACCATCGATGGGGTTACCCAAAGCATCGACGACACGGCCGAGGATACCGGGACCGATCGGTACGTCGACAATAGCACCAGTACGCTTCACGGTATCACCCTCCTTGATCAAACGATCGTTACCGAAAACGACAATACCGACATTGTCAGCTTCCAAGTTAAGAGCCATACCCTACATTTAAGTTGTAAAAATGACACAGTTAGATTCAACCCGTAAATTTTTTTTTTAAATTGCAGTAAGCTGTTTTTTCAAAGGATCATTACCTTGAGACCGCTGGAGAATTCCACCATTTCTTCAGCCTGGCAGTTCTTCAAACCGTAAACACGGGCGATACCGTCACCAATGGACAAGACACGACCGGTCTCCTGAAGATCGACTTCAGAGGAAGAACCGAGAATGCGTTGCTCGAGAATGGAGGACACCTCGGAAGTCGAGGGCTTGGCAGTAGCATACTGTCTCAAAGCAGCAGAAGCAGCGCCAAGGTTGACGCGGACCTATCAAAGAAAAAAGACCAAGACGATAATCAATGTCAAGTCGAGTTTTTCGAGGTTGGGGTCAAATGGTTGAAGGGAGAGCGTAATGTCGCGTTGGGGATGGTGGGCGAAAAAATACAAAAAGGAGAGTAAAACGGGCAGTCAATAGTACTCACAGCTGGAGAGGATTTGGCAAAAGCAGCAAGCGCAGGGCGTGCGACACGAGCAGCACTTCTCAACATTATATACGTTGTCTCAAAGGGACAGATGAGAGGAGAACGGGTAGGTTCAAAGGCGAGCCAAAAAAAAAAAAATAATACACTTGGCCCGAAAGTTGTTTGGGTGACTGCTTTGTCCGGGAGGTTGGATGCGACCCCCTGGCTTTGCCCATTTGCACTCCATGAAAAGGCGACGCTGAATTTCAAAAAAAATAAAGATTACTAGTCCACGTTTTTCAGAAAGTAAATTCGTCTTTTACGAAAAATCAATTTGTCCTGGCTGCTGTATAAAAAGGTAATTTTTTGGTTCCGTCATCTTTTTTGAAGACTCAAAACGTCGCCAACTTGGATGAGACGCGTGGCCAGCAGACTTTAACTCAAACGACCAACCTTTCCACTTTTGAACTCGTGTCCAGATGGTTCAGGCTATAAACTAGCGACAGCGAGTGATCCAACTAGGTTTTGATGAACGGATGCAAACCATGGAACAGTTGACAGAAAATACTGCTGCCATTCGTCCGTTGCTCAACGCGAAAGTGCAAACACCCGCTTCCGACCGTGGATGGAACTGTTACCAAACTCAATAGCAGTTTATCCGTGAATAATACCATCATCAAGCTTTATTTGAACATATCACTCATGTTCTTCTACAAGTCCTTGCTGCGTGACATATCGATGAGTTGGAAGAAGATGGCGAAGCTTTCAAACTTCGAAGTTGGCGTAAATGCCTCGCATAACTTGGCATTCACAAGAAAACTACGGAACCGAGTCCTTGCCCGCAAGGAAGAGTTGCCAGAAACACTCGGCAATTCACCAGCCTTTGCGCCTGCGTTGAAGAAGATCATCAAGAACTACTTCAGCAATCATAAACATATATCCAAGTTGGACAAAGCCAGGAAAAACCAGGCGAATACTGTGAAACGGCGACACACTCGCCTGAACAGTGTAAGTAGCAACAATTCCATAACTATTCCATGCATCCAACCCTAATATGCGCTTTAGAAATCGCGGCGTCGAACGTGCGTTTTCGAGGACAACAGATAGAACTGGATTGGAGAGGTTTCATCTGATGATAAACGTCTCCCAACTCTATTGTATGTCTGAAGAGGAGACGGGCGGTGACGGAGAGTCCGAAGTCATCGTCAAGCGTCAGCAGTAAAGAAGTCAGAAGGCATAGATAAATCATGGGTTGCACATAAGTTCATTCCGAGAAACTTACCCCTTCCACCCACCCATGCTTAGGTGAACGACTTTCTGAACGACTTGGACAAGTTGCGCAATGGCGATACAAATAAGCGAACATCGTCGCGTTGTGCTGCTGGAAACACAACCCACCAGCAAAACTTACCATCTTGGATGTGCGAAAATCAATCGTACCGATCCACTAATATAAAAAATAAGGTTCGATGTCGATGCCAAAGTTTCAAGATTTTGCCGTTGCCTCAAATGGACTGGAGCTTTATTCCATGCACGGTACCAGAGTACCCATGCCATATTATACGTCTGCAGGGCTACAAACTGGAATCCTGAAGAGCAGACCCGATTGCTCACAATCATGAAAGCGTACCACCTTCGACCGATAGCATTCTGTGGTCTGCTTCCCGAGAAGAAAATGGGTTGACACACGAACAGAACTTGAAGAATATGGATCTGTGCGAAGCAGTTGTGTCACCCATTGCACCGAAAAAGAGAAAGCTGACACATCCGACCGAAATCTCCATCTCGGCATCTCTCTTCAGCTCCATCGTTTCCGGATCATACGCACCACAGATTTTGAAGAACGAATACGCTGAAATGAATGACGCAAACGCGATCTTCCTAAACAAGCATTGGACAATGTCACCGCAGATGCGATACGCATGCTCAAGACTTCTTGCGGGGATGATTCTTGTCGACAGTCTATTGCCGAAAGTCAACACTAGTCAATTGCGTGGAGATGTATGGCCGAACTCGCTCATTGGCCGAAGAAGCCCTGCCAACGTCGGCCCCACGTCTTCAACGTTGATAATCGACTCTGAAGAGATATCAAAGGCGGTAAAGATCTATATCAAGAAACCTTCTTGGGATACAGCATAGCAACTGGCATTTGATTCAAAATGTCAGTTTGATCTCGGATTCTCCTCGCGTATATCAGCTGCGGAAACCACCAGACTCCAATGGCGGCATACACACGTTCTTGGGAAAGGCTGGGTATTATTGACGGTTCATACGAGAATACGCAAGGATAGCCCGCCACTGACCGAGTTACTGAAGAAAAATCAGCCCTTTTGTCTGGGTGTCCTTGCGAAATGCATTGATCAGTTCATCGATCCCAGTACCCAGACAGAGCGACGAGCTCCTTCTCCTGTCCCTGACGAAGAAGAAACAAGACGTGTACGCAAATGATATGTCGGATCATTGATGACAAAGGACGATGACGGTTATCGTCTTTCACAAGAAAGTGCAAAGCACTTTGGCATGAATTCGAGCATCTACGAGTAAATAATGACTATATAGAAACTATCTCCTTCCCTTGTATTCACTGAGTGATTGTTGTATTGGCTAGCAGCGACTGCGACATATAGCAGAAGTTTTTGCCGTAGTTCGCCGTGACAGTATGGAATCTCGCAAACCTTCATTTACGTCCCAGAGGCCACTTTACCGACTGGCCTCCCATCCATACCGACGGGCTTTGGTCATATTGCCTCAAAACAGTGATGGCTAGGCGCGACTCAGCAGAGGCCTGTTGTAATGGGAACAAGGGCCGAGCCAACCCCACGGCTGCGGCCTCGATATTAAAATCAAAGGCGCTTTATTGCAGAAAACAATCTAGCTCTGCGTCTGCTTCTCGAACAGGTATGTCTCCACAACCTCTCTCGCATACTCGCTTCTTTTTTCGTGGCCAGTACCATCGGCGTACGCCTTCCTTTGTATGATCTCCATGGCCTATAATATTTACCATCATCTTTTCCTTTTTTTAACACCATCCTCAAATAAAAATGGTCTTGTCGACTCCCAAAAACATGCCAAGGGAGTACACCATCAAATTGGACGTTGCAGCAAATTTGCATCGGACCAGATGGATTCATTTCCGCCTACGCGAATTTCTTTTCTGGAAAAGAGTGCGCAGTAATATTTTTTTTTTTCAAATTCAGCGCCCTGGTTTCCCTGGATAAACCCAGTGGAACTATAAAGAGTTGTTTTTTTTCTGGTTTTTTTTTTTTTTTTTTTTTTTTTTATATGGCTGGCTACGATACCCAATATGTTAGATTGATTATTGCCATGACAATTCAGAGATGAGCTAAAACGACCATTCCAAGAGATACATGATGTTACTAGGACAAGATTCAAATAGATCACTATTTTTTACTACTCTTTGAATAGCCTTTATTTTTTTTTGAAACACACTACTGAGCGATCCATCGGTCCCATTCTCCAATCAATGACCACCGGCCCTTTTATTTCCCGCGCACCGGCAATTTCTTGCCCATCCTTTCCTTTTTTATTGCCCATAAAAGGAAATGCGTTCATTTGTCTTGATGAAATTTCCCTATCTATTTTTTTTATATTTTTTTCTCTCATCATCTCCCCTTTCTTCTTTCTCTTTCACACTATTTTAGTTTCCTTTTCCTTCGGGTTCTCCTTTTAGATCACTTGCTTGATTCCTCGTGTAAAGTAAAAAGATTGCAATATGATGAACATTTTCCGTTCAAAATCCAGCTCCAATGCGAGTGAAAAGAAACCTTCATCACTCACGGTGGACCATGGGCCGGTAACTAAGGAACCGATACTCTCACCGCCCGCCGATTACTCTCCGGTACCACCGGCTACACTGGACGAAGCGCAACAGGAAAAGCTACAAAAATTGCGCGAGTACATGGAGAGCATCATGCTTCCCGAAACCCACGAATACTATCCCAACGAGAAAGGCTTCTTGACCGATGGTACGCTGAAACGGTACATGCGTGCGAGAAAGTGGGATTATGAGGTAAGGCGGGCAGCGGGGGATGGTATTTAGGCAGTTCGGAAAGCTTGGCATCAAATGAGATTCCCGGATTTTTTGGTTAAACTGAGGATTGGTTCAAATTAGGCGGCGAAAAACATGCTGGAGAATAGTGTGAAATGGCGCCGGGATTATCGACCCGATGAAATTGATCCCGACTACATTCGTCCAGAGGTAGGTATCAGGGGAGAACCGGACTTGTTTTTACGACGGACGTTCCAAAACGAAAAAGACGAGTAAACTGAGGCATCTGGTAAATGTAGTCAGAGACAGGAAAGATGTACTTCAACGGGTTTGACAAATGCGGACGACCTATTTGGATTATGAGACCACGATTACAAAATTCCAAGGATGGTGACCGTCAAATTAAAAACATCGTCTTCAGTTTGGAGCGCGGAATCCGATTGATGCCGGACAAGGTGGAGAACCTCGCTATTATTGTCGACTTTAAGGATTCCTCCGCTTCGCATAATCCCAGTGTCGCCACTTGCAAAAAGTTCCTCGATATCCTCGGCAACCATTACCCCGAACGTCTCGGCATCGCCTTTGTCGTCAAATGTAAGTTTCCAGTACCTGGAAAAAACAACAACAATAACAATGGACTCTCTCCTCGAGTTCATTCTTCCTTGGATGTTGATCATTGTTGGACTCACACGTTTATTTCTTGTGCTTAGCTCCTTGGTTCTTCTTTGCTACTTTCAAACTGATTTCTCCTTTTATGGATCCTGTCACCAAGGATAAAATTAAATTCGTGTACGACAAGGATAAGGAAGGCAAGGACGACACCAGTGCGACCACCAATGCTTGGGTGCATTTGGAGCAGTGTATCGATCCCAATCACCTGGAAACCGACTTTGGCGGCAACTATCATTTCACCTTTGATATCGACGCGTACTGGGACAAATTCATCGATCACACCGGTAGACCTTACAAAGTGATCGATTACTAGAGAGAGAGAACACAAAAAACATCTATTTTTTTGGGAATTCCCTACTATATCTTGCAATATTTTCTATTTATACTTGTTCATCCATTTGGTTATCTTCACTACCCTACCTGTTCTTACTCTCCGGCTCTTTACATACATTCATCAGCATAGATTTTTCACTTTTTTTTCTTCCTTTCTCTTCTTCTTTTTGGCAAACACCTCGCTTGTTATCGCTTCACAATGTGGCTTGAAATAGACCATGCCTTTTTTTTTTTTTTTTTGGTTTACCAGGTTCCTAGAATTTGAAACGTCAAAAAGAGAGACACAGAAACAACTTGAGAATCGGACCCTTGCGAGCATGCGAGACGTTCACTGATTCATATACACACATGTCACAATTCAACGCGCATGTCAGCCGCATGTCATTCGTCATTGAAAGGCAGAATCGCAATCTCTGGCCCACGGTGGCTGTGATGTTTTTTATGATAGTTTGGGTCAAAAGGCCAGAAGAAGATAAAAGAAAAAAGGTAGCCAATAATGGGAGGAGAGCGCTTGTATTATGAAACAGTTTCTTGATCGACGGTCGGTGGCGCGGAGGCGTGACTGTTGGGAAACCATACCGCAGCCAGAAAGCATCCTCACCCTGTTTCGATGGACTATGTCTACATCTTTCATCAAGTGCTCGGAGGTGCAATAAAATGGAATCCGCGCCCTTTTCATGGGCCTTTTTCAAACAACTCTTCAAGTGGATGTAAGAGACAAGGGTGAAACATCTTCCGATGGCGGGACAAAAAGAGGAACTTGAAAAAAAAAATACTTGTTTACTGACAAGGATCCAAGCAAAGTCTGGTTTATTTCTTACAAAAGGCTCCATATGGGGTATTGAGTGTAAATACGGTGTCATCGTAGCCATGGAAAACGTGTCGATGATTGTTCAATGACGCCAGGAGACAAAAAAAGTGAATTCGGAGTTTCAATAAAGGAAAAGCACCGATGCCCTACTTTGGCGCCTCTTTTTCGACAGCCTGTCTTCTAAACTCGGACAAAGCACTTTTTTCTTTTTTCAGCCTAATGGAGCAACTCGTACAGCAAAAATTTAACGATGCCTTGGCGTCCGGTGATGTTCAGTTTACCGAAGCGTCCAAAGTTCGAAAGGAAGTAGGAGGTGTTAATGTAAGCTTCGCATGGCGTTATTGTACTGTCTCACGCAACACACAGCCGAACTTATATATGCATGACTTGTCCAGTTCGAAATCACCTATGCACCTCATCTCGGCAAAAAGCCCCAAGGCGGTGCGGCGGAAAAGTCGGATAGTAAGCCGAATCCTTTTGAAAATCCGGCCTCGCCTCTTATCGTTGAAGAAACCGACCATCACCGTATCCTCTTGAACAAGTTTTGCGTCGTCCCACAGCACTTACTCGTCGTTACCAAAGGTAAGTCCATGGTTATCCTGGTGGCGAATCTCTGCATGATGGGGTTAATAGGATGTCTGAACAGAATTCAAGGATCAGAAAGAACCACCGTTTCCTGAGGACTTGTATGAGACGTGGCGCGTCATGCGGTCGGCCTACGGTCCGAATCGCGCCGTGGCATTCTATAACTGTGGCCCATGCTCGGGAGCAAGGTATTAAATGCTGTGTATATAACAGCACGCTATTCAGACAACTCAATATTTTTTTTATTTTTTTTTGCCTTGATGGAAATCACAGCCAACGTCACAAACATGTGCAATTGATGCCGCTGAAGGACAGCGGTGCCCAGCCGCCCATTTTAGCTCTCTACACCAAGATGCAGGATAAAAAAGCAGGCAAGTCAATTTCTACCCACATCAGAAAGTGGATCAAGGATGATTAACTGGGGTTATTAACAGGTCAAATTTATACCATGTCGGCATTACCGTTTGTTCACGTTATTACACCTCTGGATCGTGCATTCATCGACAGCACATCTGACAAGGACATTTTGACGGATTATCTTGGGCAGATGTTTTTCGGGTTATTGGACAACATGTTTCAACAAATGCGCGAGAACGCGAATCCAATGGACATGTCGTACAACTTTATCTTGACCGAAGACTTTATGATGATGGTCCCTCGAAGCAAAGAAATTGCGGTGATCCCCTTTGATGGTCAAGATATTGAGCTCTCTCTGAATTCGCTGGCATTTGCGGGACTTTTACTAGTGAAGAAGCAGGAACAGTTGGAAGCATTGCAATCTCATCCCAATCTCATGGAGGTGCTTCAACAAGTCGGTATTCCATGGGCTCCGCCCACCAATCCAGAAGAAGAAAAAGTTGAATAAAGCTTTTAGAGTCATCAACACATGAAATATGTATAAATCTCGGTGACTTTTTTCGGGGGAAAGGATAAAAGTAGATACATGTATGAACAATAAAAATGAAACTCGACTCATTGGGACACTATTCGCCTAACCGTCTTCCTGCGCCCGGGAAGGAGGGGCTTGTGGAAGCATTTTGTCCAGAGGAGGATGTGCCAGGCATTGTACTGCTGGTTGTTGAGATTGGCAAGTACCCGCTTTGTTCACTTCCATCCACAGAGATATAACCTCGACAATGAACAAATCGATTCATCATCCCATTTTCCTCGTATCGACGGCACGTTTCGGCAGACAGAACTAAAAATGGCGGCAATCGTTTCATGGCCACTGGACGGCAGAAAATATGGTTTAGCATGGCATTCGAATGGCGATATTTCCCTTGATGGACTTACATAGATAAGCGATACCTGCATTAGACAAGTGAAGCAGAAGGGATGTATCGGGAACAAGGAAAAAGTAAAACAAGATAATGAGGCCAGGGATGATTTTCGCCGGTAGACGAATCGCGCCAAATAACCTGTAATGCATCGATTTCGTTGATTTTTTGCTGACAAAGACTGAATATAGGAAAGTGGAGAGAGTGCTTACATGCGATCCTGAAGATTATCTTCTTGTTCATCCTCGAGTGTTGACCACACAGCCAGTGCGACCACCCAGCCCGACGTCCCTGCACACCCGTAACGCGCCAAGTGCTCCGGCATTCTCGCTGAATATGCATAAAGTGCCACCACAATGACATAAATAATGGCTGGAATAATGGTGAACAAGGTAAAACAAAACCACAAGATGCTCAGCGAACCCTTTTTCTTTTCCATGGCGGAAAGAAAAGGAACCAGCAGCAGTAGATTGGTAAATGTGAGAGACAGACTCGGCCGTGCAAGGGGATACAACACCAATCGCTGTACTATAAAAAATGACATGTACAGTGAGCAATTAGATGAAAACAACTACTCGTCCTGTCATACCTTGTCCACTGTGAATGACCGGAGAGACGTAAAGGGAGCAAAAGTGCGAGATCCATCCTGTGCCGGTGATCAAGTGACCGACAAGATCAAGCACAGCTACGACGATCGGTGCAATGAGAGCGGCGGTGGTGACGAACGGTAAGGAAAGAAGATGATGTTTAAGATGGTCCAAGAATATGCGTGTGCTCTGGCCTAGTCTTTCCCGCGGAGCGGAAGAGGTGGGCGGGTCTGGATTCATGGCAGGTTGCAACTAGGAAGAGGAACAGTGCGCACAAACGTATGGTTGAATAAAGTTGGGCGGAGACCACTTTATTTGGGAATGCGCAAAATACAATACAATTCTGCCCTTCAAAAAGAGACGCCATCCTTTGGTCCTTTATTCTTTTATGCATGATTTTTTTGTCCATTGTTCATGAGGTCTTTCTAGTTTACAAGCCATGACATACATACAGCACGCATCAAAATGGATCATGATATCGACATGTATCATCATAACTTGCCAGTTATTCAAGCTGTCTCAAGGGACGGAATGAAGCAACGAGAAATTTCATTCAATCGTAGCTTTGTCACCGTGTGGACCTGCAGGTTCACGCTTATACTTTATGCGCCCATCAATCCTCTTTCACCGTAATTCTTTGAGCCAATCATAGAATAAAACGGCACTCGCTTCTACTTTCTTGTCCACTGGTAGCAGCTCTGTTTACTGTTTTTGCGCTAGTTTTGCTTGATGAAAGAGAAAAATCGTACGATAATTGAGCAACTCATTATTTAATTAACAAATCCAGTATATCCGCTGTCACTGAATGATAGTGTGTGGAGACGCGATTCTTGTCCTTGTCCCCAGCGGTAACCTAAGAATCGCCCTTTTTGGTACTGGTGCCATCGAATGGTGATACAAATGGGGCCGTAACGATTCAAACTTGACGCTCGTCTGGTTGCCACTGAACCATTTTGAGCCATTCAAAAAAGCTATCACAAACGACGGTAGTCCAAGTCGTTCATATTCAATATCGCCTCATCTGTGGCAATAGAAAAACTGCGAGTTGAGAGGTGCCCGTTGGATCTGCCATTAACGATTGCCGTTTATGGAAGACAGCGACTGATCTATAATTGATTTTGTGGACGGATCTGGGTTTAGCTTGCCCCAGATAATTTAGCAGTTATCTTGAATGGCATTTCAATGATTCACCGATTTTCTTTTCTGTTTACCGATCTTCAGCTCACATGTCCGATAACGTAGCGCACGCACTCTCTGGTAAATCATCGATCAACGTAAACAACTGTATCATCTGCTGAAAATCGAGCGCATTTTTTTCTGCTCTTCGCAGGAGCCGGTGGTGGCGTCATTGCAATGGCCGTAACCTATCCGCTGCTGGCTATTAGTTCTCGTCTTCAAGTGCAAAAAGACAATACGGAAGGTCAAGCGTACAAGGTATGCCGTATTCATACTTTAAGCATCAGGCACACTTAATAATGAAAAACCCATGTATAGAATACCATCGATGCTTTCATCAAGGTAGTGAAAGCCGAGGGCCTGACAGGATTGTATTCGTAAGTAAAGATGGGAAAATATAAATCAAATAAAGCCAAAGTCAAAAAGTTGAGCTAATATTCTTGTTGAGATAGGGGATTGGGCTCTGGCATGTTTGCCATGGCGGTAAATAACGGTAATAACACGGTTCTCGCACATACAAAACCCAGGACAAACTAAACACCGTATGTAGGCGTCTATTACTACTGTTACGAAGCTTTCAAGGCTGTGCTTGAAAAGGCCAAGAAGAAGCCGGCTCCTATGACCATCCCCGAAGCCATGGCAGCGGGAGCGGTGGCTGGCATCACCGTGGCCATTGTCACTCATCCCATTTGGACGGTCAATGTGAGTGCATTGGATTCTTGGCTTTTCAGTGTTTATTGAATCCTTATTGACCATGATCACCATCTAAGACACGAATGACGGTCGCCCGATCATTAAAGGACAAGACCATGTCGGCCGAAGCCGACAAGAGTGCTTTGGCTGTGGCGTTAAGCATTCTGAAAAAGGAAGGACTATCAGGATGGTACTCGGGTCTTCAAGCGGCCCTGGCTTTGGTGCTGAATCCAATTATACAATTCACGCTATTTGAACAAATCAAAAAGAAGCTCCTCATCCAACGAAAACTCACCAGCGTCGACTTTTTCGTCCTGGGCGCTTTGACAAAAATGTTTTCCACCGCCATCACATACCCTTACCTGTAAGATTTTCACTCGTTGAATTCACCCTCTTTTTCCTATTTCTTTGTGCTAACCAAGCGAATTAGCGTGATCCGATCTCGTATGCAAGTCCGAACACAGAAAGATGAACAATATACCTCGCTTTCGGATGCGTTCCGCAAGATCATTGCCGCTGAAGGCGTCAAGGGTTTGTACAAGGGAATCTCCAGCAAGCTTGTGCAGAGCGCCCTCACGGCGGCTTTCCTCTTCATGGCAAAAGAGGCGCTCTTTGGCTGGACCGTGAAAGCATTGGTCGCCACCGGAGCTCGACGACCGGCTAAACACTAAGTTAGAGGCACCCAGAATCCGATGTGCCTATAAAACGACATACGGCTGGCTTGTTCTTCCCCATAGACCCTTTATTCATAATATGAATAGCAATAAAGCTTATAGAATATGTATTATCGACTTTGACGTATTTATCTCTTCTCATCCGCCTCTACCATCGACTCATCGTAAAGAGTATATGATACAATGTTTGTTTTTTATTGTCTGACAGCCATGGCAAGAGTAAAAAGAGGATAAAGAGAAGTAAAATAATGACTAAACAAAATGTACACCGTGACGAGTTCTTTCCTGTTTGGGAACACCAGTCTATAATGGATAATACGACAAGTAGTGGATATCCCACAATGCTAAAATCTTCTTCTTCGCTCGTTGGTAAGGCGATCATAAATAGGGGTCAGTAGGTTGGGTCCAGTTCGATGGCAGGGAGGGATATATGTATTAACAATATATATCGGATTGTAGCGTTCGTCAGTTTCGGCGGAAAAAAGGTAAAAAAGATAAAGGCAAATAAAATGAAGAAGCCAAAGTGTTGCCTGACTAAAAATCCCAGCAAAAAAAAAAAAAAAAAAAAAAAAAAAAAAAAAAAAATAGGAAAAGTGGGCTTGACCTGAGCGCCTTGTAAGAGAAAACCAAAGCGGAGATTTGTTGGTATGTCATTCACTGCTTCATATCGGGGCGAAATATAAGGGTATCTGTATCAATAAAGCTACACTAGTTTTTAGCTACGGTTTATGGTAATCGCTCAACTGAAAATGACGTACCAGTCAATGGACAACAATACGTTCGCTAATGGAAAACGGTACGCCGGTTGGTGAAAAACCAAACATAACTGACCTAAAATTAAAAGAGGTTCTGAGAAAATTGGGGGGGGGGTAGAAATCGGTGACACACCACGAAAGTGAACAGTAACAGTTCTTTGTTGGGAAGGGAAGCAACTTTGTTGAGAAGGGGAACAGCTTTGTTGGGAACGGAACAGCTTTGGTGGGAAGTGGATCAGCTTTGTTGAGATGCGGAACAGCTTTGGTGAAAAGCGGAGCAGCTGTGTCGAGAAATAGAACACCCGTCTGGTATACTTTTGCAATGCCGTTTCCTTTTACATGCAAGGTAAGCAATGAAAACGTTTGTCCAGGACAGCTTACGCAAAACCGGCATGGATAGTAATTCATAGAAATAAGAGGCTGAAATTCCATGAGTTACGTCAGGAAATCAGTGAATCATAGGGGTACGTGGTGTATACGTGTATAAACAGAGATCAATGGCTACCGAATCACATAAACAGGTAAATAGGAATGGTTATAAGGCTCCTAGCTCTGCCTTCTAAATATGCTTTGATGCCGTAATTCCTTCGTCAGGGATTACTTGCTGACTTTAAGCATATGCAGTATTGGATCCTCGTGGGAACAATACGTGATGTACTGGCTGACGTTGTTCTGCGTATATTCGTTAAGTTCTATTTCAGCCGTTCTTATTTGGCATCACCAGGGATTAAAAGTGATATCCTGTCCATGGTGAAGGTAGTGGAAGTATAATCCGCCAACGGTGGAAATTTCAAAGTAAATCAAACACATGTATCTAATATATCTTGAATCTTGCTGCGAAAATGACACTTCAGGTATAGACTACGGTATATGTAGTCTGGAAGATGATGAGTGGAATCATTGGTGCAAGCAGTCTGATGTCATCTCGAAGTAACGTCCTGGAATAAAGAGCGTCAGGTAAAAGTATTGCCTTATTTTTTTTTATTGAGATAGATGTTCATCCATCATCACAGGTGAAAGCAGTATGTTTGACATAATCAAAACATGAAGATGTGAAAGTTATCTGTTGGTTATCAAGATCCGATCCGATGGAAGCCCATGCTTATCAACAATAAAACGTGATCTTAGGTCAGATAATAAAAGGAAAAACGAAGAGCTTTGTGTTAACAATTTATTCAGAAGGGGATAAAATTAAGGGCCTGGCCCTTTGCAACGGATAGACAGCATTTCGTATTCTCTTAGCATAAAGAACGCCGAGCAGGCAGAGCGCGAGTTGACGGTATTCAGAACGGAATTTTCCGGCGGCTCCCACGTTAGTTTGTGTAAGAACACCCACCAACACCACGAAAGTCCATCTCGATACTTTGAGATATTCCCAGTTCTGATGCTAGTTAATCATCTGTTTGGGTTCCGTGCCTGCAAAACATCCGAAACAGGGGGCAACGAATACATGCCCAAGTAGCGGGAGACGGAGACGACATTTCTTTGCTTTGCCGGTTCGAAATGGACGATCGTCACTTAATAAAAACAAAAGCTACTAACACCCTATCGTTATCAGATAAAAATGAGTACTTACCCGCAATTTAGCTAGTAATTATGCTTTGGTCGCAGATCACCAAGCGCCGGCGATCGGACATCATTGCTACCTTCGACGGTGCATTTGCTCGTCCCTTCCCTCGTTGTTTTCGCAGTTTGCCGAAATGGTCCTTGTTTTCATTGACCCACAAACCAAACTGTCGCCGTTTAGAAATGAGCGGTATTGGGCCGCTGTTCCTTAAGAACATCGTACATGTCATTGTTGATAAAATATCCGGATCCGTACAATTCTTCATTGTCGGGGTTTTGACCTTGGAATAAGATTTTCACCATATTATGATGGTTTGTTTCGTGTACTCATCTGCTAGAAAAGTCAATAAATATAGTTCAGAAATATGCATGCTTCTACTTACCATATTTTTCAAAATACTGTTCTCCGTTTTTCCATGGTGGTTTTGGCAAGGCTGGCGCCGTTTGAGTCATTTTCATATGCGCGCTTGGCTTGTATGGTATTTCAATTTTCTCTTTGCGTGCGTGACCTTGTTCTGCCTTTGCTATTGGATATAACCAAAGGTCTCGGAAGTCGTCCTCAGCTGGCTCTGTAATCCAATATTAGACAAGTTCGTTTCCTAAGAATAATTGTGTACTTGTCAGACCGCGGAACCCGAGCTTGAGAGTTTTTGCCGTTTACGACCTTCGGCCAGGGTTGAATAGACATTGGCGCTGAAGCTACAAGTGGTCGACTAATTAATCATTTTCTATATTGATATGTGTCAAAGTGCATATACCTTGACTCACATGGTGTTTCAAATTTTAAAGGCAGATCATGGATCAAGCTTCAACAACTGCGATGCTTGACTTTTATTTCGACCCATTTTATTAGATCTTCTTGCCTTGTCTGCTACGTTTATTTACAAAATTTATAGCCATGACATTAGCAAGCTTCAGCCGCTTTAAGCTTGCGTATACAGTAGTCTTTCTTTGTTATCTATACTTTTTCTTAAAGAACAATGTGATTGCAGAAAAAAATTTAGTATTTTTTTTGATAACGTCGAGTTTTAATATCTGAATGAGGAAGCCTCAAACCAAGTGCAGTGCACAATAAAAGCAAAGAGGGCGATTGCGCACTCGAAACATTATCGGCATGCATGAAGTGCACTTGACGTAATATGCGGAGATCAAAAAGTGAATTTCCCAAGTTTTTTTTGTCGGTGTTTTTGCCATTTCTGGGGGTGGCAATTTCGGTATTGTCTTCCTTGTTCGTGTTGTTCCCTTTGGTGTTTTTTTTCCTTTCCCTTACATAACCATGACCGCACCTACTTCAGCCGAGAATACCTTTCAAGTACGTTTTTGAACCCTTATTTTCCTCGTGAATATGAAGCTGATCTGTTTCTTTACTCTTGTTGTCTCAAAAAGATTCCCCTCCATCCCGATGCTCCTCTTCAAGTACACTCGCTTGGCATTCTAGGCACTACCAGCACGCGTTCAGCCTTCTTGAATGCCATTACACGTCCAGTCTTTGAAGCCAAGACGGCTGGAAATGTTAGTGACTGTATTAAAGATATGGCCGGCAAGTTGCAGCGCCATGATATTTTCACGAATATCAAGGTCACCGTGGCCACCAACCAAAGCGTCAACGACGCGATCGATGTTATCGTAAACATGGAAGAAAAGCCTCAATCTGTATTCTTGACTTCGCTTGGCGTTGGCGACAATGAAATGAACTTGGTAACTCTTTGGCTGCAAAGCGTTTTGTCTGACGTCAAGCAATGAAGCTCATCGATCGTTTGGCATGTAGAAAGGTGGTCTTGCTGTGCGCAATGTTTTGGGCGGGGCTGAAACCGTGGAAACGACTTTTTCATTCGGTAATCGTACCAAAGCCGCTCTTGAGGTAAAAAAATAACTACAGGCTTAGATCAGTAGAAGCAAAGATGTTGATATTGACATGTTATTCAGGGTTCGGTGGGTATGCCTATCAATGCCTCTCCTGATGCTCGGGTGAGTCTCTTTGCCAACGCCGCAAAGAAGGACTATTCCATGATCAACTTTTATGATGAATCGTCCAAAGCAGCTGGTGTCCGATTCAATGTAAGTAGCGGAGATCTGGCCACAGATACTGAAACGAGAGAAACCAGAATCTCACGTCGTAGCAGGGATGCTCAAAATACGGTCACCACGAATTATCGTACGCATTGACCCATCGTGATATCACTGCACATACCAAATCGTCTTCAACGTGAGTTAGTGAGAGAGTGAGGAAGAAGGGTTGTCTCTCCAGGCTGACCGTGCGTTTAGTGTTCGTGCTCAATCAGGCGAGAATGTGAAATCATCCATTTACCACTCTTTTGTCTGTGATACGCGTGATCGTGTTGCTGCACCCACGTCAGGCCATTACTTTGGTGTTTTCCAAGAGTTCGCTGGTCTTGGTCAACGCGGCGATGCCAGCTTCTTGAAGCAAGAAGTGATTGGACAGTACCACAAGACACTTGTAGGCGATGAGAAGGCTTCTTTCCGCGTCGTCTTGAGCACCCATGCCAAGGCCGGTGTTTTGACGGCGTTTGACAACAAGGGTGTCAATGTTTCTGATCGTTTCTATCTCGGCGGTCCCTTGTCATTGAGAGGATTCAAGATGGGCGGCATTGGCTCAAGAGACAACAGTAAGTGCAGGATTTTTGATATTCATGAGAAAAAAGGGCGAATGAATCTTTGGTTTAGATGACGCACTGGGCGGTGGTGCTTACTGGGCGGCCGGTGCCAGCTTAATTAGCGATGTCCCTGGCGCACCCGAGTTGCCTATCAAACTTCACGCTTTCGTAAATGCGGGTAACATTGCTGATCATTCGCAAGGTAAACTGGGTGGACATGATTCGCAAGAATGAGGAGAACTAGTAACTGATCAGATGGTTTTCCTTTAGGTACCAACTTCAAGGCGACCGCGGAGTCCTTGGCTCAAGAACCCCGCACTTCGGCTGGTGTAGGATTGGTCTTCCTTCACGCTATTGCAAGAGTCGAGGCCAACTTTTGTATACCTTTGCAGCACAGAACAGGTGATATTGCTCAGCCTGGATTCCAGCTTGGCTTTGGTCTCAACTTCTTGTAATCATCATCAATCCACCGTAATAAAAAGTATCAATAAATTATGCTACGCAATTCAATTATCATTGCAAACCAGAGCATTACAGTAGCATTTTTTCTTCTCGTAAAAGGTTTATTTTAAAAGTTTCTTTTTGCGGTTATTTTTTTAAAAGAATTTTTTTCCTTTTTTTCTTTTGGTGATGGGAATTGTGTACTATCAATGGAATAGTCTAATCGGTCAAGGCAACGCATTCAATTTCCACGGCAACATCCTTGGGCAAACGAGCGACTTGGACAGCGCTGCGGGCAGGCTGGTGCTCAGAGAAGAACTATAATAATATCACTTGTCAATCCACCCGAAAAATTATCCAAAGACAGTGAAATACGTTACCGAAGCGTAGACTTCGTTCATGGCGACGAAATCGTTCATATCCTTCAAGAAGACGGTGGTCTTGACGACCTTGTTCAAGTCGGAGCCGGCTTCCTTCAAGACCTCGGACAAATTGGTCAAGCTCTGACGGGTTTGCTCAGTAATACCACCTTCAACGACGTTGCCAGTTTCAGGGACAACAGGGATCTGGCCCGAAGTATACACCATACCGTTGGTCTTGATAGCTTGAGCTGTTGCAATTTCGTAAGTAAGTCCATGCTCTCAATGTTCATCAGCGTTCGCGATCATACCATAAGGACCAATGGCAGCGGGAGCCTTGGCGGTGTCTTTACAGAAAAAAAAGCGGGAGTTTAGTTGAGAGGAATTCACGCGTGACATTGAGCACGGTTGGCATGACCACTTACGAACACGCGACAAGGTGGACATGGAGCGGGTCAATGAAGCGAGGTGGCGAGTAGCGAACATGGTGAAACTAGAAGCGGCAATCCGAGGAAGAAAGAAACACACAATCCGGAGAACCTCGAGTTTTTACCTTTAAAAAATCCGGGGTTGATCTTCAGTGACCAATCAACGCCGAATCCATCGAAAGAAGTCCGCTCAAACGAGGCGAAACAAAAGGACATTGAAACAGCTGGTGTAAGCATGGCAAAATAACAGTGGTTGTTATCCAAACTTCATTGTAAACACAATGGGTATTGCTCATAACATTATAGTGAAGAGACTCATACACCCCATTGTCATGGTATTGGACAGCAAATCTGGATATTGTTTTAAACCGGTTTTTGAGCGTGTGTCATTCACATCAACTACATTTGTGGAAACAACCCTAACGGTACCTTTTACAACTTGATGTCTCATACCTTTCCTTCACCACGTACAGTACCGCCTCAAAACACATTCAATTCCATTCATACACCTGACTATGTTTCCGAGAGACAGTTATATTGAAACAAAAAATGTCAAGCCAATCATTATTAGGTGGAGGAGGGTTTTTTTTTTTGGAGGCGAGAGTTTAGAGTCGGGAGGTGTTTTGAATTGCTCCACCATCTACTACAATGACTGCACCGGCAGTATACTGTCCAGCGCGCGAGGATAAATAAATACAGGTACCAGCAATGTCTTCAGGCGAGCCAACGCGACCGACAGGAACGGCACTAATAATTCGATCTCCATGATCCTTCAAGGTAGCTGCCATCATTTTAGAAGGGAAAGAACCAGGGGCAATAGCATTCACAAGGATATGTTCTGGGGCAAGTTTGCCTGCCAAATGCTTGGTAAGATGATGCACCGCCGCTTTCGAAGCAGAGTAAGCGTAGGTTTCGAAGCGAGGCACCTAAAGATCCGTCAACGTTAGAACCCTCCTTAATTGGTGCACGGACGCGCTACATAATGTCACGGTTTGACAAGGGCAATACATACAGTTACACCGTTGATAGAGCCAATATTGATGACACGCGATGGGTTATCTGGTGTTGCTTTTGCTTTCAACAATGGCAAACAGCTAATGAAGAAAGACACATGTTAAATAGGATAGAAGGTGCCAATATTGCTCTACACCACATACGCTTGGGTCAAGCTGAAGATACGAGTGACATTGAGGTTCATGATTTTTTGGAAGGCGGCATCAGGATATTCAGCAAGAGGAGCGCCCCAGGTGGCGCCCGCATTGTTAACAAGCACATCCAAATCTGTGCGAATCAAACCATAAGATCACTTTCCATGATGGTGAGATACATTGACTATTTCTTCCTACTTACGTTTTTCACGCTTGCTAATTTCGGCCACTAAGCGGTTGAGGTCATCCAAGTCTTGCAAGTTGGCTGCCACAGCGAAGCAGCGACCAGGACCCAGTTGGTTCAACTTTGCAGCTGTCTAATAAAAGAAAGCTCATCAGTTTCAAGCTGTTGAAGATCATTGTGTAGACTATTTACCGCATCGCAATCTTTGGCTGTGCGGCTACTGATGTACACTTTGGCACCTCCTTGAACAAATCCCTAAAGCAAAAAGAATGAGACCAGCGAACCACCATGCATGCCGATCGAGTATAAAGAAGCTTACGGTGGCGATCATTTCGCCAATACCGCGAGAACCGCCGGTAACGAGAACGACTTTGTCTTTGACGCTGAAAAGTGCTTCAATATTCATGTGGGAATCAAGATTAGGTGATGTCTGTGGGTTTAAAGCATGAACGGGGTTATATAATCAGAAAATTACCATATTTGGGCTTAGTCAGCTTGAAAGCAGTGGGAACTGGTGCGGGGACCCCACCTCTTCGCGCATGCTGCTTTTCTTCCACTTTGTGTCTCAACTGTTACTATGAACAATACGGTGATGATTATCAAGTGCAATGAATTGGTGAAAAGCAGAGCGACCGCACGGTAATACAGTTTATCATAAATATGCATGTAATTGTATAATAGTAGTATGGTTTTTCCATGCACATCCAAAATTTACATTTGGAAGAGTGATGCATCTAGACTTGACAGCAAGCGTTGCACGATTTATTTTGCATAGTTCGTTTCCAAAAGTATGATTTAAAACAGTAGCCATGGTGTTCCTATGCTTCATCCAGCATGTTGTGAACGTCTCCAACGACACTCCTGATAGGAAAGGTCACTGCTTGTTATGGGACAATCATAAGTTAAGAATATGACACCTCATATAGGTAATTGAGGAATGCAAGCAAAGGTTACAGATTGCAGTTTGCATGATATCGGGGTGCAAGAGGCGCACCAGTGGGGGATTCCCATGACTGTCAAAAACCCGGATTTTCGGATTTTTTGCCACACCCATTTACTCAGCAGACGTGCTTGTTATTTTTTTTTATATCTCCCTTCCTACCCATCATGCCATTGACCAAACCTCCACCACCTCCACCTAAACCCGTGTTCGACGACCCTTCGACTCCTCCTGACTTTAACGAAAAGTTCAAGAAGAAGGAAACGACAAAGTACATGAACCCTTGTGCATTGGAAGAAAAGGCCAGCATGAAGTGCCTGGATAAGAACAATTACGATAAACGCAAGTGCGATTACTACTTTATGCAATACAAAGAATGCAAAAAGAAATGGGTAAAAATCATTATTCCTTTCACGATTTCTTTCATCTTTGCTAACACGTGCTTTGCCAATTGACAGCTCGAAGAACGACGACAATTACGTAAAGCAGGTCAATTATAATAGCATCTCATACAATATCACCCCCATTATTTTCCCATGATTGAAAAACGACATTTCCAATAAAACCAACATTAAAAAAAGACGAGGAGTTATATTTTTTGCGCACGGTACAACAAGAGTTTATACGCTCGTTTTATTTCACAGGAATAACGTTGTTGTTGTTTAATCGAACAAACCTAATCATTATCAGTTCCCGTTAGTTCAGTTGTCCATTTCCAATTGAACCAGGGTCATTCACTTACCGAAGCCCATGTCATCGTCAGATTCCTCCTTCTCCTCTTCCTTCTCCTCAGCGGGAGCTTCATCAGCACCGCCAGCAGCGGCACCAGCAGCAGGGGCAGCAGCACCACCAGCACCGGGAGTACCAACGCTCATAAGAAGCTCACCGAAGTTCTGACCGGCGAGAGCCTTGGCGTAGAGGCTGAACCAGACGGGTTCAACATCAATACCAGCAGCCTTGACAAGGGTTTGGAGCTTGTCAGCCTATACATATTCAACAAAGGGTTCATTCACAGGTGAGCAACACTCATTCAACACTTCATTTCACGACTACGATACTTACAGTGATTTCAACATTGTCATCCTGGAGGATGAGAGCGGCGTAAACAACGGCGAGTTCGGCAGACATGCTATAATACAGATGGATGGGTCCAGTGAGTTCAGGGATACGATCGATGGATGCAAACTTTGTATGATCACCTACGCGCAAAAACGGATGGATAAAAATGAAGGAGGGACTTCCTGATCAACTGCCTTCACCCACCAAAGAGGCCAGGCCGCTTGGGCCGCCGCACCAAATGCAGTCACAACCTACTGCACCAAATTCAATCACCGCCAAAGCGAGGTCCCTCCTGGAACCTTTCACCAGTTCACCGGTTCACGAAACAAAGGCGGCTTAGCCGTCCTGCATTTAAATGGTTCTTCCATTTCATATATAAAAAGTATCTCCACTCCAAATGTAGGTTACTGGCTCATATGTATGGTATAAAAACCATGGTATCTGTAATATAGCGCTTTAGATCTTTAGCAAAAAAAATTTACAAGAAGAGTAATGAAAAATTAAAAAAACAGTGAATGAACCGGGAATGAAAACAAACAAATCATGATGTATCCAGAATGAAAAGGCGGCGACTAGCTATCAGTATCATAAGCCGAGGAATCGCTTTGTGGCGGTGATCGGAACACCATTTTGCCTTTTCCTTTGATATCGGCCCGTTTCAACATGGGACTTGTGACCCCACTTGGTCGACCGGATCCTTCCCCTCGGCTGTCATCATCTTCCTCCTCTTCAGATACTCTTTCCAGACGACGTCCCTGTCGTAATACGTCAAATTCGTATCGATCCGGATCCTGCTGAGACGCACTCGTATATTGTGTAGTTGCGGTGGCAGCTCCGGGTCCCATCACATGTCGACGAACCACATACGCTGTTCCTGCCACACTCACGGCCAAGAACAGCACCACCAAGGTATACACAAAGAAGGTGTTATCCACTTTGCTTTCGCTATTTTTGTAGGAATTGTTGTCGAATGTCGATCCTTCAATTTCATCCCACACGCTCACAGTGGTGTTGGCGTTCGATAAGATCTCGGCTGCGGTATTTTCGCTCACTGGAGCAGAATACGTTGGCATCAACGGCGACGTGGTCGTTGAGGATGAAGCTTTGTCATCTTCAAAAGAGGAAGCTTTGAGGTCCGGTTCGTCATGGAGACTGGTGTCGTTGCCCGTCTGTCCTTGATGGAACTCCACCGTCATTTCACCCCAGAGCCCCAGTGTCCAATTGATGAACTTGCCCGTGTATTGTGGATTTTTCCCATCCACAATCCTCAGGGTCCAGTTACCCACCGGGTTTTCGTCCCTACAAAAGAAAAAAGTCTCTTTTGTCAGTCTACCATACCTTTCTCCCCTGTTCCTGACTTGAAGGACAACGACATACCAATGCTTGACACTCATAAATGTCCAATCTTTGAGACCATCTGTACTGAGATCAAATTTGCGTGGAGCGCCTAATTGACTGATGACATGATTGGGACTTTCTAGGAGAATTTCAAGATCACCGCGTCGTCCATGCTCGATCGTGACCGTAGCTGTTACATGTTCCAGATGATCCAAACCAACTTGATCCACCATTTCCTGCGTCACTGTCAGTGTGCTTGTTAACGCTGCCGATTTATCAACGCCATTGTTAAGATCAGTCAAATCGGGAATGTCGAGCTTCTCCGCTTGTGGCATTGTGATCGAAAGATGGGTCTGGGGTCGCATACTCTGAAAGGTTTTCGCGGCTTCCACAATGGCGTATGCGTCGAGCCGTCCGTAACCAAACTTGTGATTGTACATGCGTCCCGAAGGTAGCAGGGCCCAGTCGTCGTCGTCCCTGGAAACGGGAATCGACGTTTCTACACAAAGTCGTTGCATATCACGCCAGGTCAGATCAGGTCGTACCGACAGCACTAGAGCAAACACACCCGCCGCCAACGGTGCGGCGGCTGATGTTCCACCATGACGATCGGCGCATTTATTCTGTCCTACATCGGTTGTGTACTAAGCGCATCCGCACAAATTATAAGCGACGGAAAAAAATAAATAATCGCGAACCGATAGCCACTTACAACATAGCCCCCGCTACCACTAGAGTAAGTGACAGTTAACTGGGCTGAGCATTGCTCAGCGTAATAAGGATGGTGATTCATGCGATCAATCGCGCCGACCGTAATCGTGTACAAACTATTGGTGTATCCGTCGAAATTGCAATTGTCATCGTTGGCCCCTCCGTTGCCAGAAGCAAAAACGAAAATGGTACCGGTACCATTACGGCCCTTTTCAATCCCATTCTTGATAGCGTTCAGCACAATCCCCTGCGGTGCTTCGGCTACTTCTCCCTGGTCGGGCGGTCCCCAAGAACAGGAATAAATATGATTATCTTGATACTTGTAATTGAGAGCTTCGGCTTCGTCCGCATCAGTAATGTCCGCTGATAAAATACGAATGCCTAAAATGATCCATTTCGTTCCGTCAGTTTGAGCAAGCACTAGTGGATTACATATATCCAATCATACCTGCTACTTTGGCTTCATACGCCACTCCCACTCCACATACATCATTCTTCATGGCCGCGATCTCTCCTGCACATCGCGTGCCATGATTATCATCCGACAATCTCGGTTTAGGTAATTCAGTATGGTCGTTGAAATCGTAAGATCCCAAGGCAAACTATCGTTACATAATGAGTTCAGCCAGCACCATAACTTTTTGTCGTCTCAGCATCGGCGCAACATTCACCGCCATCACCAAACTTACAAAATTATCCTTGAGATCGTCACTGTCCATGTCTAACCCGTCGTCCAAAATCGCCACCACGACGTTTTTACCAGTAATTCCTGGTAAACACACAACATTATTTTAGACGTGAAATCCCACTGACTTTGAAGAATATCGTGATGTACCTTGACTCCATACGCCGGTGACGTTGAGATCGTAGCCTTGCTGCTGGCGATTGATCTAAAAAATTGAGAAACAAAAAAATTTCATCAGCAACTGAGTTTATACATATCTTCAATTTTATACATACCAAATGCCATTGATTATCAAAGCCAGGATCCGCAATCCCTAACGCTGCCTTCAGCGCTTCATATCCGCCGGGTTGATTGAGCATCGTCTTGGTCGATAACACCATCTTTTCGTTCACTTTTTGTTCCTCAAACGTATTTTCGGTCACAGGCGGTACAAGCGGCTCTTCATCCTGCCGTTTAGCCATTCTTGGCACCACCCCACGTTTGTATAAGCGACGACGGGGTATCTGCTGCTCCAGGAAATCCACGCGATGGAACGCTGTGTTATCTCTTTTCCTTAACGCAGTATTTCGCAAAGCGTGAAACTGAGCTAGCAGTGTATCGTCACTGCTATGGTCGTCGCGTTTCCGTCGATGCGGCGTACTGATCCAGTAGTATTGCTCCAGCTCACCCACACGGCCTTCGAATCGTGCATTGAGTTGACGGGCCACTAGTTCCGCTGCTTCGGCATCGCCAGAGGAGGTATAGATGGTGTAATAGGCACGATTCGCATGATCCCGTTTATGCGGAAGAGCATGTGAGTGAGCAATGGAGACTGTTGCATACCATAGAGAAAGCCACAGTAAGAGTCGATAATGCATAAGGATATATAGATTGTATATACAAGACGAAAAGTAAGGAAGAAAAAGAAAGAAAGGAAAGAGGTAGATGAACTGAAAAAGGGTTGAAGGAGAGGAAGATGCCTTAAGATACCAATGAGTTTTTGTTCAAGCAAAGCTAAAAATCAAAAAAATGAAACAAGGCAACAAGTCACTGTTAACCAACAGAGGGAAATTCACAAGTTGATTGCGGTCGTAGAGTTCCCATATTTGGAGTTCCTCTATTTTTCTTCACCCACTTTTTTTTCCTGACGTTTCTTTTTTATTTATTTATTTATTTATTTGTGCATTTGTTCATGCTTGATGAGTGATTGTACCGTTGGCCAGCGCTGTTGTCATATCCGTTTCATTGCGCCGGCGATGCATTCTCCTCTTGATATGTTGATGCTCCCTTGCAAGCACAGACAACATGTGAAAGAGCTCACTTCGTTCTTGTTCAATTTCAAGTGCGAACAAGCGTTGCCATGCCGCATGTTTGCTGCATTTTTTACGATGGTTGTGGCATATAGCATACGTTTTCTCCGTTTCAGGAACGTCCGCAGCAAACACGATTTCCGTCGGTCGGTCATCGTCGGCTTCTCTCACTTCTTTGACTTTTTTCCATACACTGTCCGGCCAGGTCAATCGGGAGTCAAATGCGCAAATGTCAGCTTCGTCCGTCGCCACCAAACGTTGCAGTGACCGTTCCACTTCTTTCAAGAACAACTTTTTCCGATCGATAACAGCAATGTCATCCTTTACTAGTTGTTTCTGTTTACGTACTTGTATCAGTCGCTGACGATCGTCCTGATCGGCAAAGGAGTGCAGTCGGTTTTGTCGTTGCTTGACAATGGTAACTTCAGGCACCGACAAAGTGGATTCTGAAGCAGCGCGACGTTTAATCTCCGCCAGTTCCAGTCTGGCTCGAGCGACCTGCATGCCACATGTGTCGGAGCAGTATTTGGACAGGTGGCCTAAATGCGAGCCGATCCTTGCTGGCTTGTGACAAGCAGGATTTGCACATTTGGGCTTCCATGAAGTCGTTTTTCCTGTGACTGATGTATTGTTTAGTCAAATATCCTTCATATTAGTTTAAATAAAGCTTACAACAGAATGCACAACTTACCCTTGGCGCACGCATCACAAAAGTAAACGTCAATGAATTCGCCTTCTTTTTCACTGATGCCAATACACTCACCGTGAAACCATTCATCGCACCGATCACAAGCGATCATGAATCGCGGTGCATCGTACGGTTTACGACATATGCAATACAATGCCACCGAGCCTAGTCGTCCTCCTTTCGATGACTGTCGCCCGCTATTACGACGTCCTCTTGCCGTTGTGTACTCGGAGTCTTGTTTCGTTTGAGGGCGACCCGCTTTTTCGTTCTCCGCCATGCTGATGTCGCTCATGTAAGATGGTGTGAATGAAGCGCCGCTTTTTTTTGGTTTTTTCCTGGCGGGCTGTTGGACGCATGAATTTGAGTTCATCAATTTCCATATGTTTTCCCATCTTTTGAAAGAAGCTTACTTTTTCATATTCAAACCAACCATCCGTCTTTTTCACTTCTTCGGAAGGCGTATTCAGTGCACTAGACGGTAGAGAAGTCTGCGATTTCGATTACTATGCTGCCACAAGGAAAAAATAATAATAATAAAAAAAAAACTGCTCACCGGTTTTCTTGTCCATAAGGAAGGATTGACCGAATGGAATGGTGGTAACGTCATGGGTGCCTGATGGGCTTGTTGAAACTTTTCGTTCAATTTCCCTTTCCAGTGTTGTACCTTTTTCAAAGGTTTCATGTGCACGTCAGGCACCGCTTCGCCGCCTTTTGTTGCGTTTGTGGATGTCTGTGTTGATGCCGATGACCGCCGACGGGGTGCTGCCAAATCCGATTCTTCGTCCGTTTCTGTGGTGTCACCACTGTCACTTTCGGTCACGGATACATCTTTACTACTCGGCAGTGCTGCTTCTGTCTTTTGTTCAAGAGTAGGCAAAGAAGTTTTCAAAACTGTGGAAGATTTCCCATCTGATTCTAGGGCCGATGGTTCACGTCGAGGTATGCTGGTAGGTATAGGCTCAGTAGTAGAGGTAATAATAGGTTCCTTCTTCGTCATTCGTTTACGTAGAGGTAAATGCTTTGTTTGACTCATAGTAGTAGTAGTGGTGGGGTTAGAAGTGGTAGTAGCGGTAGTAAAAGGGGCAGCGGTGTTGTTGATGACGGATGAGGAGGGTGAGGAGGTAGGAGAAACGTTGGAAGAATAAGTATTGGGTTGATCGGCGAATATATTAGAATCGACTGAGGAGGAATTCGTCGCATCAGAGACATGCTGAGAATTAGATGGTATATCTGGGTTCATGGAAGTAGTGCGAAGTGGTGCCTGTGATGTTGGGGTGATGGTGGCGTTGACGGACGAGGGTTGAGACAAAGCGGATGTTAAAGGTGGATGAGTTGGATGAGACGGACTATCGGAACTTTTGGAGGCAGTAACAGAAGCATTGATAGGCGAACGGGATGACAACGATAAGTTTACAGGATTGGACGGCCGATTCTGCGAATCGTGCGGTGATTCAGACATACTTTGGGAATGTTGCAACTCATCGAACGCGTGGAGATAGCAAAACCACACTCGCTCATTTTCCAGACCCATCCATTCAAGGTCCGAATTACGGCTCCAAGCAAACGTAATAAAAAAGTCGTTCCTATAGGAAAATGAGTCGCATGTTCAAAATAACCATTTTAGGGGATGTCATAGACAACTCTTTCAGCCAACTAAACGCCTTTGGCGGAAAAACAGATTCACGAAAAGACGAGAGCCAGAATCATTGTAACAGGAAAAGGGAAGTTAGCCCCAAAGCCATACGATGACCAGAAATGTATATTGTACCAAATATAAATTATCCTTGTATGGAAACAGGAAAGGCTCTGTTGTCGACAAGCATGAAAGGCCTGAAGCAATGTATTATATTGGTGACGAGGAGCAGCTTCGACGACGTCAACTTCCACACATAATATTAGCTCCACTGTCTGGAGGATGAAAAGTGATGGATGAATGTAATGCCAAAGGTCGTACTGCAAACCATTTTTGATAAAAGGATGTCCAATTTTCTCAGCAAGGCAAAAGTTTACATTTCGAACAATATCCATCTTACTCTTTAACATCAGTTTGCCACCAAAGGAAAATTTACTTGGAGGAAACAGCGTATGGTTGTATATTGGTGACATTGGAAAATAGCGTGCGGAACTGACTACCCCGATTGGGCATAAAACGAAAGAGTCAAGTTGTATCCATGTGTATAAATACAATGAATTGCATGAGCTAGTTTATCGACATTTTCTTTACACAATTTTACAAAGTCTTGACTTTGCCACGGAAATCATCCAAGGATTTGTAACCCTTGGCAATCATGATATCTTCCAATTCCTTCTTGATACGAGAGAACATTTGGGGACCTTCTTCCTTCAATTGGGTACCGATTTGAACCGCACTGGCACCGGCCAACACATGCAAGAAAGCCTCCTTTCCTGAAGTCACACCGCCAACACCAATGACTTTCTTGTTGGGCAAACGACGGTAGAAAGCATTCACGTTGGCTAAAGCAGTGTGAAGCACCATGGTACCACCGAGACCACCAAAGCCATCCTTAGGCTTAATAAGAGCCGTTTCGGTTTCAAAATCAATCGCCAATCCGTTACCAACCGAGTTGATGCAGGTCACAAAGCTCAAATTGTCAAACTTGTTAAAAATGGCGGCAGCAGCGTCAAAGTGAGCAATATCAAAGTAAGGAGGCAACTTGATGCCGAAAGGCTTCTTGATAAGAGGAGCCAAGACGTTCAGGGCATTTTCCATGGCCTCAAGGTCGTAGCCAAGCTGAGGTTTACCGGGAACGTTGGGGCAGGAGAAGTTGACTTCCAAGATGCAGGGCAGATCGGCAGTCACAAACGCTTCCACCATCTTGACATTGTCCTCCAAACACAAACCGGACAACGAAATAAACAAGGGCTTCTCGTGGGTATAATCGTACTTCTTGGCATATTCAAGATAGTATTCGTAGCCTTCGTTGGGTAAACCCATCGAGTTGATACTACCCAAACCGGGAAGAGGGACATAGCGGGGCGAAGGATTGCCCAAACGCTTTTCGTAGGTGGCCGATTTGGTAATCAGCGAACCGGATTCGCTGTCCAAGAGGGTCTTGAGCTCTTCCTCGTGCTGGCAACACACACCAGAAGCATTGAAAAAGAGGTTAGGGAGCTTGACACCAGCAATGGAAGTAGAAAGATCGGCCATGGTGATGAATCAGAAAAGAGACATGGCTTGAACCGAACGTCAAACGTTAAAATTTTTTATGTGTGCGGAGTATTAATTGGCTTATCGAACCCAAAACGTGATCACACCAATGAGCATGAATACAAGTTCAACTCTGATCTCTTGGTTACAAGAGAAAGGCGCTGATCGTACCACGCTTGCATTATGATCTTTCCAATTAGTTTTTTGAAATCTCTTGTGATATTCTGTCAATGACCAATGTCAACATATTCAGTTGCATTATTTTTATGTCCAACGACTATGGAAGAAGGTGAGATTCTGCTTGTATTCACAAAACATTTTAGCTTTCCCTACCTCTTCTTTAGTCAACGCATTTTCCTTTTCATACTTTTCCCGCAAGCGTGAAATGAATCCTTTGAGCGGTGCCACATATTTCTCTTGCATCCAATCCGATTGCTCAGTATCTCGAACATGTGTCTGAAAAAAAAAAGAAAAAAACAAAACTCAAAGTGTTAGCATCAGAGTTGAAGGGCAACCTGATTTACCACTTTCTACCTGATTACTCCGATCACGTATTAAGAGATAGAGATAAAAATTGGCCGCTTGCATGATAAAAGTGAAATCATCCCAAAAATGCTCATCTTTTTCTGACCATTTCTTCTCCACACGATATAAGATGGGAAAGAATTTGTCAACCACGATCCGGCTACTAAAACATGACGGCTAAATCCCGGTATCAATACAAGCATTTCGTTACATGTAAAAGAACAACTTACCTCGTCACCACTAGCTTTGAATGCTTTATCTACTTGATCTTTTAGTAAACCAATAGCCGAAGCTTTCATGGTAGGCATGGGGCAACGATCGATTAATTCCAGTAGAACAAGTAGCCGTGCATCATCGGAGCATAGATCCAGGAAGCGGTCAATCAACTTGTAGATCAAGAATCGAATATCCTGGTCTGGCGAAAGAGGAGCTGCCATAGCTACCAACTTTGACGGCGTTAGCCAAACCACCAATCTCCATTCATATCTAAAGCTCTGGTTACCTGAAATCCTTTCAAAGCTGGCATTTCCCATTCATCACCAACGGGGCCAGGAATCATTTTTTCAAGCATATCCAGTGTGACCTTTGTGTGTACCTGATCCGACAAGAATAAGAAAGCCAGTAGCCCTTTATCAATACTTGCTGTATGGTTTGCACTACGGAAATGATTTGCATTTTTGAGCATGTCAAAAGACAACCCTCTAGCGATCAGTGAAAGGACTTACTTTGCAAAAAGGCTGGCCAGTATACCCGCACATTCTCTGATAATCCATGTAGGCTGCAGCATGATTGAATAAATATTGATGCATTCACTTCCCTGGACCTGCCCTATCACAAATCGATCGTAAATGGAAGCCGATAACAGACAGGCAATGCCTTTATATGACAACGGAAACGATGGATTCGTCACAGCCATCGATCGATCTTGTCGTTGACTTCCATCGCCGGTATCTAAATTTTGCGAAAAAGTCGGTATGGAGTGTAACTTATTGTTTCTAAATGAGCTTACCAAATAGCTGCTGATTTTCTGAGGATCGTTGTACGTATAGCAGGTTATCAAAGACCGCACCACAATTTTTGGCCATTTTCTGAGTTCATCATATTATTATGTTGGCGATCCTCCAGATTGATCTGTCTCCTACCATGATTTCCAGCAGAAGCTCGTGAGCATTCCATTGCTGCTGTACCATGTCAACCGCCACCGGATCGCTGGCGGACATGAACGGGCGTTTCACATTATATTCAGGATGATATACTTCGTAATATTTCTTGGCAAGCTTGAGATCGAGATTGAGAACCACTTGTTCAAACAGCATACTGATCAGGTACATTGCCAAGTATTGCCGTTGTTCATTGCTATTGCCTTTGCTGATATTTGAGAAGATCTAAACAAACTGTTATTCATAATAGATCCCAATGGAGAACGTTCGAGCAAACGTACACGACTGCTGATATGTGACATGTCAGTGTTTGGGGTAAAAGATTTCATAAAGCGTAGAACGGTAAGGGTGATGCAAAGTACGATATCATCCCATCGATTGTGAGACCGCTCCGCCGAGCCAAATGACGCGTGGTCGCGCAACACTGTTCCTGCAAACTTCAAAGCGGCCCCACTGTAATGAATCGGATCAAGTAGCAGATGCACTTTATAATTGGCGGATCTTTGCAATGCTATCAATAACAAACCTCAGCTTACCCATCAATCGAAATTTCAATATTACTTTACCTTTAGAAAACATGGACATCACTTGAACAAACTCGACAGTCTCCTGCACTGATTGTTCCTCATTGTCTGCAGCTGCGCTCCATTCCATCATGCATAACTTCCCAGTGGCTAACATTTGTAGTTCCTTGACCGACATGGATAACGCGATATTGTCCAGCAACTTTATCGTCATGGTGCGCAATTCGGTACTGAGGGACGTATTTTTTGGATCCATCGTCATCAGAAATGGATATAAGAGATCCACAATCTCAAAGGCAAAGCGATTAAGGAATTCTTTCTATCTACTGCGTAAGCACGGGTCATCTTTCAATCGAACTCTTGATGCAGATAATTGTTACCCTAAAAAGACGAAAAACGTCTGATTCTACCAACACATCAAGTACGCATTGCAGAATGATATAGATCACTGGTGCCCTGTTGTGAATAGCCTGTTGCAGTGTATCGAGCAACAATGCATAAAATTCCTCGTTGGTCGCATCGACATGGCTACGATCTACTTTAGCTCCAGTGTATGCCTACATATTGCTCGCATAAGCGTCGCCTCTTCAAGTTTTCTGAAAGGAGAATTCACCTTTTCACACATGGCAGCTTTGCTTTTCAGCGCTGTCACGATACATTCAACATCATCACGAGCAATGTCTTGTCGAATCTCCGTTGGTACATGGCGCGACATGATCATGTCATTCAAAATGTCGGTCATATTGCAGATCATTGTATACAAATACTCTACAACGTAGTATTCCTTGAATGAACCCAGTTACTTTGCACAACTTAAAAGGACAAGGAAAGGAAGAAATGGAAAAACAAAAATTTGACATAACGCGGGAAAAGAAAAATATGATTTGACACAGAGATCGTATCAGAACACTGCCCATAGATCACAAATATCACAAACACCAATAATCGAATCATTCGTGCCTGGTTCCACCATGCAGTTGAACGCACCGTTACATTGTAGATCATGTTCCTTCATGGTCCGCTGTATACTTGTCAGCGTCTAGTGTTTATGTTTTTGGTGGTTAAAAAAGTGGTTTCCGTTGTTGAACGCTTCTGTTTTTACCTCTTGTAGAACGTGAAATCCGCATTGATTACAGTAAAAGCAGTTTTGACCGTTGGATACAGTAGGTTGTAGTAAAGACTGACGGCATTTTAGACATACACAAGAGTTTGGATATTGCAACCCCGAGGTTTGTTGGTAATCTTCAAAAGCTCTCGCTAACTGAGCTTCCTCTTCTTGCATCATTTCATCATATGTTGGATCGTACTCGTCTAATGTACGTTTATCAGTAATTGATCAAGTTGAGATCCTTTTAAAGGATGAAGTACCTTGAAGTTCCTGGTATAGGTTGGCTTCGAATGCGTCCAAGTTGGTATCTAGGCCTACGCCTTCGCGTTGCAAAGCTTCTTCATTGGTGCGCTTGAACGTTTCCCATTCTTGTAGGATAATATGTTGCATCCACTACGAACAGCATGTTATTTTTGTAAGATTTGTGAGATGGAGCGTGAAGGTGGTTATTCTTACAGTCTCTTCGCGCCTTCGCGTGGTGGCTTGCTGTCGTGCTTGTTTCACTCGTTCGGCACATTGTTCTTTGAATTTATCTCTCCAGTTGTGCTGCCGTTCCCTTGCAGACGGTTTGACAGGACGTCGGTACGACATGAGTTAAAACAAAGGCGCATATGACATTCGGTGGCTCGTCAAGGCCGACTCCAGTCACCCAAAACCACAAAAAAAGCAAGTCTCCCATTTTCTGGGTTTCTTTCCGATATCATCGCCGCACGCTTTTGGTACCGCCACATAACATTAAGCTTTTGTAGAATCGCTGCCCAGATGAATGTATGATCCGACGGAAGTCCATGTTACCAAATAATCAAGCGTGAACTTGTAGATAATATTAAAAGGAAAAAAGAAGAGCTTTTGTGTTCACAGTTTATTAAAACGAAATGAACATAAGGACTTTGTAGCGAAGAGCATTAGAGCCTTTGACCGACAACTATGACCGACCTTGGCTGATCAGGACCTGGCCTGAGATTGGATCAGACAACCAGTCCTACTCTTGAACTTATTCAGCACTGCCTGGTTTTTTAGGAGTGAATGTCTATCCAGTACTTTGATTTGATTGCCATGTTCTATCGGTCTTGGATTCACTTGTAGCCACTACTACCACACTTACGCTGGTTAATATCAATGACTCCTTTATATATTTTTTCAACTTACCGGATCGTTGTCTTCAAATACTTTGGATTGTTTGTTGAGCCTGCATAGTCAATGGCACAGAGTCTGACTTTCTTTGTGCATCAGGATTTGAAATCAAACATGTCTGCAGCATAGTCATTTAACAATTAGCATCAAACTGATGGACCAATTGATCGATCATTTACCTTGAGAGCTGCCGTCACCCAATCGGTATATCACTTTATCATTAATGGTCACGTTCAAGAAGACGAGAAGAGGAAGCTGAACAAGGCGAGACATAAACTTTGCTTACGAAGCAACGGTTTCTAAGACGCGTGATCATCAGCATGAGAAGGCGCGCTCGTGCTTCATCCGATTCTTGGGTGGGAATTTTCGGACGTATCCGATGTTGACCCAATCATCACTATTGGCCTGCATATGTCTTCGGAAACCACGAGTGTTTTCCGACAAGTTTTCTAATAGGAAGTTGACGAGAGTTAGTGAAGTTGATCTTTCAACACAACGAGTGATTATACGTTACCGCGGGCAAACTTTTTGAGCATCCAAAGGCCAGTCTGTCGGCCATCGTCATATCAGACCAAGACAAAAAGGAACTCTCTTTGAAAGAGACCATTACTCAGGAAACATATAAATATCCATCAGAACAGCATGCTTGTCCCAATGTTAACATATTTTATCAATACAATGGAGTGACAACAAAAAGGTATTGTGCTTTAACCGATAACAAAAAAAAAAGGGGGGGGGGAGGGAAAGAGTGGAAAAACCTGTGCTCCTCAAATTTTCTTTTTTATGAGAAGCGTATTGATCATGTGCCGCGGTGTTACTTCTCACGCCGCCATCAACCACCTCCGAGCTTCACTTTCCGTTGTGGTGGAGGACGATCAATCAGTGAATTTTGTGCACTCTGTACTGGCTCTCCCTCTCCTGCCTACTAAGCTTTTCAGCATGTCGATGAGTTAGAATATCCTTCTTAATATACCCGGTGAATGCTGGTTTTCTTAGACCTATTACTGACGTACCCTCGGGCATCAAAGGCTCGCATACACTAGTCTAAAACCATCGTCGTCCCCTTGTCCAGCGCTGTTCACCCGGCAACATTCCCCTTGAGTGCCACAGGGCATTATCTTTTGTCGGACTGCGGTGCGGTACGGTACGTGGGATACCCTTAGTATTTCAAACAATCACAGCTCCTGTCTTTTCTGAACACTGTCAAAGAACAAATCCAGATCTTGAAACTTCGCCACCTGTCCACCCCGTAGGGCAGCCATGGCCACCAAATTCTCTCACCTACTGAACCGTCTTTCTTCACGTTGGACTTGATCCACAGCCGTTGCTGAAGGAGATCAAAGTGATTGTTTGATCCGTTGTCCTTTTCCTTCTACCCTGCACCCGCTTGGTCCTCCTTATACCTTCAAGGAAGTATGGTAGCAGTGGCCTGGTTGATATCCTGGTCCAAAGCCTGGCACTTCATCTTGTGTACTTGCAACGACTTCTTCGCCCCTGCTAACCCTCGGATTTGTTACGTGCAGCTGCACACCGGCCATGTTTCGATGCTCACAAAACGTATCAACCACAATTTACCTATGCCTCACATTTGCGGCACCTAAGCACGTTTCTATTCTAGTTTCCACAGTCACAATCTCAGTCTTCCTGGCCGAGTCGGTGGTATTTGGTGCCATCTCTCGCCTCCACCCTGCTATGACCTTCAGAATGACGATACTCATTCAGTGTCCCACGTTCCTGGACGAACTACACTTGAAACGTCTGCTAGTTACCGACCCATGGCCTCCTTCCGGTCCCCTGGAAAAAGATGTGAAAACGGTTGATTGACGGTCAAGTGCGAATCTTCCAGTCTCCATGTCTGTCGTCACACCTGCAGGGAGGCATTGCATTTTATATTGGACTTCCGTTATGCTCAGGGTTGATAATGTACTCTATGGCCGGAAGTTGAGCAGTGACTAAAAAGAAACGTATTTTCCATTGGATAGGATATATTATATAGTCTGTATTTATTGACTTCTACTTGGCTTCTTGTTGCTGTTGAGTTTCTGATTCAGTACTGGATTGTGGAGGTTCAGATTGCTGAATATAAAACAATCGAATATGCGTTCCATTCCACAGACCGCAATCTTTCAAAGATGAAAGATAGGCATGACCCCATAAAACACTTCTCAGCCAAACAACCATGGCTTCCGCCCAGTAGAATCGTCGAACATGGAGCGGTTGAGGAGGAGGCAACACGCCGACGAGGGTCATGGTACGCAGAAACGCCAACACCTCTTGATCGGTAGTGAGAGATTCAATAGAACACTTGGCTTCCACTTGTGGTAAGACATGCTCCAATAGCAAGAGAACAGGCTGTAGTGGGAGTTGCGCATACCATTGCATTACCTATAACATGAACATACAACCGCCGTTAATATGACCGTAAATATCATGATCGTATTATATATCCATATTCCCCCACAGGTCGAACTTACCCATTCCTTGGACGGAAGGTTGCGGTGAATAATCGCAGAATCTTGTGGTTGAGAGGTCGAAGTCGATGTGACATCTGTCGTTTCTGATTCTTTCAGCGACACGGAAGAGGCCAATTCTACATTATCTGGGGAGTTCGATTGTTCATCGGATGACCGTATCTCCGTCGTTTTCTCTTTCTAATGCGCATTTCTGAGTATACTTCAGCTTGTAATTTCAGAAACTAAATGTGATTACCTCCATTGTCGGCAATGATTCGCTATTGCGTTTCCGTGATCGCTTCAGTTGGTTAACAGCTTCATCATAGGAAAAGTCTCGCAGTTTCTCAAATTTGACGTGGTTACGGACAAGAGCATAAATCAAATTAGGATTATCTATGTCATGAAATGGATAAGTACATGAGCAAGTCCCCAAACCATAGGATAACAAAAATGCCTTACCGGAGAATTGGTACTGAATGAGGTTATTGAAAGCTTCCAGCAAAAATCCAAGAATGTCATGATTGTATTCACCAGCAAATAAATAGCCAGGTGTCGAGACAGAGTTGAATAAGGATACCAATTTTCCAGAAGCAGAAATAGACAAGTTTTTCAGGTAGGGGGAGGCGTTGGTAATAGTCAATACGAGCGATGGATACAACGAGGCAAGTGTCCCGCGCGAGTTTGCAATGAGATTGAAAATAGACTAGGAACACAATCAGACCCCGTCACACGTACAGCGCAAATATATACACTACTTACAATGACAAGAAAGTCACCGTATGTACCGTAAAAGGCGGGAATGCGTACGACTGGGGGTAACGAAGCTTGTGTTGTGAACTGTTGGTTGAGAAGGATACATACGGTTCGTTCAGAAGAAAGACATTGCAGAATGTAAGTACACATCCGCACAACGTCAATATGCGCTACCAAATGCATAAGATGACTTTCACACAGCACAATGAATGGCACTTTCTTGTGGTTACCTGCTTGCAATTTGTTCTCCATCGCATAGAAAATAAGCACAACAATGAAGTCCATAATTTGCTTGTTCTTCGTCAGATGAGCAGTAAAGCGCTATGAAAATATTTGATCGAGTTTTAGCATCTGCATCGATTTGAATCTGTGAGGCCTTATTACCGGATTGATATCGCACAGGCGCCAGAAAAGCATCACCATTTCAACGTGGCACGACACTCGCTTCGTCGATCCAGGAAGGTAAGTATTACTTGCCTAAAGAGAATCAATACCGAACCATGTCAGCTAAATTTGGGTAAATACAAAACCGAACTTTGTATATATACCTGTAATGGGTTCACAAGCACACGATACATGCCGGTGGCGAGAAAGTTAAAGTCTTGTGAACGGTGCAGCTTTGACAGATGATGACGGAAAGCATTATCATGTACGGAGGTATCCATTTCGGATGTGACAGAGCCGTTGCTGATACTGTTTCGACCTACAGATTCTTGCTCTGTAGGTGAGCCTTTGTTGGAAGCGGTGTCATCCGTAGGAACAACTGGGGTGGATTTTTCACCAAAGAACGCAGGTGAATCTCTGGGGGACTGTCCATCGAGGAGAATCAGTAACAGACGCAAACATTTGTCGGCCAATTGTTCACGGGGGTCCGCCACCAAAAGATAATTGTAAGGCACACCCCAGCCCACAGGATCATATTGACAAGCGGTATTCATCAAACTGCAGAGCAAGACGAGTACTGTTTTCCGATCCATGTTTTTGATGACATACGATAGCCATGGGTTGTCGAATGACATTTGCTCGTCGGGCAACACGTAGATGGATTTGGACAAGAGAACAATCAGCAATCGCAGGACTTCAATACGGTGCAATAAATGTTGCTGCTCATTGCCCACAGACACTGAAGAACCCACACCGGGTTCCCAAATCACATATGCTGTTCGCGATTCCTTCGTGGTCAGGGATGCCGGAAGTGTAAAACCCGATAAAAATAGACAGCGGACCGTCACTATAGTAAATGACAAAAAATAAGTAAATGTCGGCATCGGGTCATTTTTGGCAGTTGAGGTAAGTACGTGATAGCAGCCGTTGTCCACGAGTCACTGACTGTTCGACTGACTTGGAAGCTGAGGAATTCTCCACATCAGCATCCCCTTCTTTTTCGATTTGTGGATCGCTCTTTTGACCTGCGGCAACCGGGGTCCAAAAGAAGCTCGTCTCCCATTCCTGGCTATCCGTGTCCTCAAAAATAAACGGCATAATACGCGCCATGACTCGACAGCAGTTCAATAAGTGTTGGGAAGGAAATTTTTCAGGAGTTGCGTTGATTGCATTAACGTGAGCTTCCATCTTATCTAACAGCTGCCAAGACACAACATATTAACAATAAAATCAAGGTTACTTTATCGTTTCGAGGTTTCTCATTTACTTTATCCAGCAGAGTTTCGAGGTTCTCTCTTGCAGAATCGCGTAAACGACGAATGTCACTCGCCCCGAAAGAGGAGAAAACATGGTCCATCGATTCGGGCACTTCCCAAAACTAAACATGACAGAAAAACATTGAGGAGGGAAACGAAATAGAAAGGCGCAATAGACATGCTTACTTACCTGAGACCAAAATGCCTCATCGGATGCTGCAATGTTCTGTAGACAGTTGTGAGAAATTATATCACAATGAAACTAGGTTACAGCTGTACTTACACGTTCTTCAAACAGTCGCAAGACAGTTTGACGAAAAGCTAATTTACTCTCTGCAGCACCCATTGAAGAATGACTTTTCAAGCACTCGAGAATCTGTTTCAATGCATTGACACCATTTTTCCAGGCCAAAATTAATCGAACCGTCACAAAGCAGCGCGTCCTCCAATAAGAATTAAATGCCAAGACGAATCCTCTCTTTCACAACAAACAGTGAAATATGCCATCAAAAGCACATACTTACCCATGGGCTTGCGCGTGTATGCGTAGGCCTAATGACTAATATATAAGTCGTTCCAATGATGGGTGTTCCTCCCGCCACCCCCTTCCGCCTTTTTTGAGCAAAGTCACAGTTCAAGGCACTGTGTCAGATAAGAGAGGGTCTGGATTGCCAACCATTGCCTATTTCAGTGAGTATTCTAATTGCCATCATAAAATGACATATGTGATAAAGCGCATGGCTTGGAATGGTTTCACTTTCCCTGTCCATTTTCCATCTATTGATGTTCCGAGGAGCATATTTTCATGCATTCTGCGACCGCATGCCTTTTTGCAGCTAGAGCTTTTATCTATTGATCATATACATCTTTGACTGTTTATTCTTATGCTACATAATGATCTAACCCAAAATCATGCGCACTACACATCAAGGTAGATTTTAATGCTGTGGTTTTAATCCCAGCATGAATGGGATATCCAGCATGATATGGAACAATGATTTGTTAAAAACAGTGCACGCATTAATCCGCCTTGCTGTTACAGTACATATTCTATGGCGACCACAAGCGATCAAGCAACGCGAGCGACACTAGTATTTTGCTATCGATGATGATGGCGTGAATGAATCTTTCGGCTATCGCTATGTATGTATTTTAATTGCGAAAATCAGGAACATCATGTGCAGACCTCCATTGCATTTTATTGAATTGATATCTGAAACCGTCCATTTATCAGGGAAATCGATTAGGTTATATATATATATAAGCCAAGTGCTCCGACTTTGTTCTTTCTTTAATGATAAATTAGTTGACTGAAAGACAGGAAACTAAAAAAAAAAAAAAAAAGAAGGCCACCAAAGAAACATGGACTATTCGTTACCAATGATCTCGTTGAGTACCAAAGCGAAGCGACGCAGACGCACTTCGCAAGAGGAAACGTGCATCCTGGAAGATTATTTCAGCAGGAACCCCAATCCGAATCAACGAGAGAAGGAAGAGATCGCAAAAAAGGTCAACATGGAACCAAAAAATGTTCACTTTTGGTATGGCATCTTCAATTTGTCACGAAAGTCGGTTTATTCACTATGGATAATACTAAAAAACCATCCATAGGTTTCAGAATCGTCGAGCAAAGAATAGTAAGCGAAGAAAACTCGCTGAGGAATCCGCTCAGGTGAAGCATGAGCAAGGTAGCCTTCAAAGTGTAATTAGGAATAACCAATATGACTCAAAACTAACCAAGATGACAGCCAATCCCCAGACACGTACGTTGGATACCGTGCCACAGCAGCAGCATGGACCGCAGCAGTCAAAAGAACCATCAAAGCAAAAGCAGCGGGGAGTGGCCAGTCGCGAACGCGCACATCCACTGGCACATCATTTACCGCCTATTTCAAGCATCTTACATCAGCCACAATCCAACGCAGAATCCGGGCCTAGTTGGTGTCAACGTCCATTGGCAGCGATCCCTGGTACCTCGTCCCTACAGGTGCCCCTGATCCCGTTCTTTTTTCATCACAGCACCTTTGGTATCGAGCCTTGTATGCTCCAATGGTCCAAAGGCCGACAGTCCAAATAATGTTTTGATAGCTTTTTATCAACTTTTTGCATATTCACCATCATGGTTGATGATTTTTCTTGGTTGCGGTTATCTATTTGGGGCGACTTTTTTGCTTGATTTCGCACGTGACACAATAAATGGCTGGCTCTGTGGTGAGCCCAAAAAAATTCCACCTTTTTTTTTATTATTTTTACACACACTTTGGCTTTTGGGCATGTCACTGCTACCAACTCATGCTGATGGGCCTTCGCCATTTACTGCTGGGGCGCGCCGACAACAAAGACGCCCATCGCGTTCTCTACCGCTCATCTTGCGACGTCTTTTACGGTTCCCTCAGATGGACTTTGAGGTAAAAAGAAAAACGCTTCCTTATTCGCGAGAGTTCCATCGTTGACCATCGATGATTATCAGTTCGCATCCTGGCAAATGGCATATCTCATTATAGCACCTAGACGAGTGTAAGACCCCCATTGAAGCGAGAAAGTTTATAACCTGGCTACTCATATTTGTCGCTTAGATATCGAAATATATATTACCATAAACGTAAGCACGCGTCGATAGGGCAGTAACAGCTGGAAGTGCTAATGTATCGAACAGAAACCAAGAATCAGTGGGCTCGTGACGATCCCGCTTTTCTCGTCTTATTAGCATGTTTACTATGCAGTAAGTGAACGAAAAGGAACAAGGAACCTGAGCTTCTGTGACTGATTGCCGTTGTGTAGTCTCTGCGCTAGCGTGGGGTCTTGCTTATGGATTGGGTATAATGGGCATCGTAAGAGCCATGCTGTTCATGGTCATTGTCGACTTTTTATGCATTGGGTCATTGGTGGCTACGTTTTCCTGGTATGTTGAATCAGTCAATTTGCTATTTTGGGAAGATCGACGCGATGTATTTTTTTTTAATATCCACTGTGATTTAGGTTTGTTACGAACCGTTTCCTTACACACAACCAAATGGCCCATGCCGTAGAACAGAAAGTAGAATGGGCTTATGCATTTGATGTGCATTGCAACTCTTTCTTCCCGGTCTTTCTCATTCTTTACGTTGTTCAATTCTTTTTCATTTCACTGCTAAAACGGTCCAATTGGATTTCATTGTTTGTTGGTAACACCATGTATTTTGTATCGGCGGTGTGGTATATCTATGGTACTTTCTTGGGTTATAACGGTAAGTTTGTTGATACTTGATCAAAGTGGTCATATTAGTAGGGCTGATTCCGCTTATTGTTTTTTTTTTTTTTTTTAATCTTTAGCTCTTCCATTTCTTATTCATACCGAACTATTCCTCTATCCGATCATCATCTGTATCATATTGTACGCAGTCTCGCTTTTTGGGTTTAATGTTAGTCAGCATGTTCTTGCTTTGTATTTTGGTAATTAAAACAAGAGAAAATACTACCAATTGGCGCAGGTGATCTGGGTGTATGTCATCAGTTGCAATCACTGTCTTGACATGGTTGAGACATGCTTCGATGTGTTCGCCGTCTCGCAACGCTCGTAACGATCTTTTTGTAGCGTCTTTTACGTCTATCAGGTTCGCAATTGGGATCTGGTAATGATGGGAATCTATACATGGTACAGTACTGGATGATGCGCAGCGTATTCATGTGGCGACATCGAAAGGATACTTCCCGCTATGTATATTATTTGATCTATGAAAAAAGTAACACAAGTGGGAGGGTGAAAGGGGGAATTAAGTGGAAACATTATTGGGCACACGTACAAATGTTGAATTATGCTTGATTAAACCGTTTAATGCAGCGAAGTATGGCTGTTTTCGATTTTGAGTTCAGAAAAAGATTTGACGTTTTAAGAGTTACGCCATGTCGGTCGCGATCAGGCAAGCGCGCCAATTGGAAATATACGATTCTCTTGAAGTCAGATTATACCACATTTTCTCAAATCGATTGAGATCAGACAAGTAAGGAGACCATGTGAGTAATTCAATACATCGATGATAGGTAACAATAACGAAGAATCCATAATCACTTTCGACAATTTTGCAGACTGTTTGGAATAGGAATGTTTATCACGATCGAGCAATCACATACACCCAACTTGCTGGCAAACAACAAGATATAGAAATTTTTCCGATCGAACGCTTGATTCCAAGTTCGGCTTCCATTGTTTGAATATTCAATGCATCTTTGCAGAAGGTTGCCACCCGATAACAGATCTTTGCATAAGCGGAAATGATTGTTGCTATCACTACACAGTTTGTTTAAATATACCGCTTACCGGTAAACTCCAATATGGTCCCCGTAATAGATACTTAACCGTGTATTTTTCTCAGTTTTTTGTCTTAATGCAAAAGACTTCTCACTTTTGCTTCAATTCTATCATGCACTTACCACTCACACCATCTTGCTGACTTGTCAAAGTGGTACAAACGAAAGAAGACAGCCCCGAAGCCTAAATTAGGCTTCAATTTTTGGAAAGATTTTTACTTGTTCATCGCTTCTGTTGCGTGCTGCTAAGCCGCCAATTAATACGTTCCTTGCCATTGCCCAAAATTGCGCTCTTCTTATCCCCGGTAATTTTATATCATGTGAAGCAGGGACCTCTCACAGTGCGCGAACATCTCGCGCTGAGAGAGGCATTTCTCCTTTGCTCACCAGTCAAGGTAAAACGATCATAGTGACGCAAAAATATAGTAGTTTTACGCTATTTACCTCGTCGAAAACAGGCAGTGAACCTGAACCGGTGACAAACGAGGAATTCGCAATGGAATACGAAGTGGACGTTGTCGTTATCACCAGTAACGTACCTTTGCTCCGATGAAGCTGTTTCGGAGAGCTTGTTGTGGACGACGCAGGAGAGATCGTCGATTCCGAAAATCTGCCTATCGATGTCGACGGTTTCCACGAATCTGATGCCGACGATGACTATCTCCGGAATGAAGTCGTTTTGCAAGTGGATGAAGAAGCAGTAGAATCCGCAGTGAATCCCGTGTACTTGCTCATCGCAGTATTTCTGGTGTTCTTTCAGCTGCGGTACACTTCTGAGTCGGCTATGGAACTGCTCATCCTTTTCCTGAACGCCTTGCTCGATTACTGTGGCGCTCCTTTTTGGCTTCCTGCAAAGGTGTCCACCCTTCGCAACCACATCCGCTCGTCAGTGGAAGGTCAAGGAGTAATCAAGTTTGTCGTTTGCCCGTCTTGCCACCATACTACTCGCATGAGTCAGTATCGGGACGAATTTGCTGATCCTGTCAATGATCTTTTGTGCAAATATCGTGACTTTCCGCAACGTCCTCCTTGCAATAACCGATTATTCAAACCCACGTCCGGAAACAATGCTGCTCCCATCAAAGAGTATGCTTACAACTCAGTCAAAACGACCCTGGCGATGATGTTTGCGCGCGACGGCTTTCAACAAGCAATCAACGGGTGGAGGATCCGCAGAGGGGATACCGACGTGCTCTACGACGTGTATGACGGCCGCATGTGGCATGAAGTGAGAGACGTCGAGAATAACACCTTCGTGGATGATGAACGATCCGTCCTGCTGACGTTAAACGTAGATTGGTTCCAAGAATTCGACACAGGTAAGCCTACAAGTTGGTGGACTAGATTTGGTTTATGTTCATAAACTTACAGGATTTGACACAGGTCGCATGCATTCTGTTGGTGCCATCTACCTTGCAGTGAACAACCTCCCCCGGTCCCAACGATTCAAGCTAGAGAACGTGATCCTCGTCGGTGTGATCCCTGGGCCGCATGAGCCAAAGACGCATCAGATAAATCATTATCTGCGCCCACTCGTCGATGAATTGGAAGACCTGTATGTAGGTATTAGCATCAATCATGAGCGCATTCGTGCGGCGTTCCTCATGGTTGCATGTGACATACCTGCAGCGCGAAAAGTTTCAGGCTTCACAGGTATGAGATCATTCAACATTCTTCCTAATGAAAAAAAAAAAAATCTGAAGTTTAATATATAGGTATCGGGTCATTTCGGGCTTGCTACAAATGCAAACGCTCATTCCCAGGTGTACCCGGTAACCACCTTCAACGCGATTTCTCGGGTTTCCTTGACGTTGATAGTTGGGAGAGAGGCAGCGCTGCAGAAAACAGGCAAGAGGCAAAACAGTGGAAGGCAGCCACCACCTTGCAGCAGCGTGCTTCTCAAGAGAAGCTGAACGGTGTCCGGTTTTCAGAATTGCATCGTCTGAAGTATTTGGATCTTGTCCGTTGTACAGTAGTTGATCCAATGCACAATCTGTATTCGGGCACCGCAAAGCGGTGTATGGGGCTTTGGAAGACGTCGCTGCAACCCCATACTGGCCAACTCATGCTGAACGACCGGGATTTCCAGGCGATGGCAGATCAGTTGGGCAGAATGCTTCTCCCTTCCGGCTACGATCTGCCAAGTGGCAAAGTCAACTCTGGGTGTGCCAACCTGACGTCTGACCAATGGCGCACATGGGTGCTAGTTTCTCCTTTTCTCTTGAAAAAGAAGCTGATCGGAGCCGACTTCACGATCTGGATGAAGTTTGTGAACGCGAACAGACTCCTTTCAAGACCAGCCATCGAACGTAGCAAGCTAGATGAAGCGCACGAACTGCTGCGTGATTTCTGCCATTCTTACCAGCAGCGTTACGGTACCGAAGAAATCACTCCCAACATGCATTTGCATATGCATTTGCGGGAAAGCATCTTGGACTTTGGCCCGGTCTACGCATTTTGGTTGTTTAGTTTTGAGAGACTGAACGGGTGTCTGAAAAGCTTTGCAACAAATAGCAAAAGTGGCTTTGAGGTCACCATAATGCGCAAATACCAAGAGCAATATTATGGTAATTCTCCCCTATCTGCATTCGGTATTTTGAAATTACTAAGAAATTATAATTAGGTGATCAATTGCTGCATTCGGTTCGCCATGCCCTGGAGATCCACCCAATGTTTGGTAGAGCATTGCACGCCGTTCTTCCAAACATTGGTGCGGCAGCCGCAAGTACCGCTACGAACGATGTCGCTGATGCGTACGAGTTCATCCAGTTGGCCCACCCTGAAAATGCTAATAGTGTTGTGGGGTATGAAGCTTTGCCTCAGTCAGTCATACTCTTCGGCATCGGCCAGTATGTCAAAATGGATCCCATGCATTATAGGTGTCTATACAGCCACTACGAGCGCCTGCAGCTACCATTGCACCCGGTGAACGACACATTGAACATTCATTTGAGGATGGTGATGGACCGCATCCAGAAGTATGCACAATGCCAGATCTTCGGTCAGGAGTTTAGAAGCCGTGAAGCAGGAAGAACGGATCGGGGCCGCCACATCCAGGCGGATTTTAGTTCCACCAATGGTGGATGCTATCTGCGACCTGCAGAGGTGCAATATTATTTCCAGCATGTCCAGCGATTACCAACGCATGATAGCACCGAAGACATCGAATTCAAACACACGTTTGCTTTCGTGCGTTGGTATCAACAATATACTCCCACCTCGTACGACGGCCTAGGACTCTCTGTTTGGAGACGCGATTTTGACGAGATGGATAATACGTGCATCCTTCTGTGCATCGTATTTATCAACCTGCTGCAATCATCAGCTGGCTCGATGACAACATCGTTGTCATTATTCCTTTGCTGCGAAAGATCTTTTCAGTCTTTAACAACAAATAAAATCCTTTTTTATCACCTATCCAGCATAGCTTATGATATTTTATTGTGGAAAATATCAATATACTTATGGCATCAAATTGGTAAAGTTGTTATAACCGCTCCCATGATTTCATCAATACACATGTGGGTAGGTGATGTTCCTGGGGAAGGCCGCAAAATTTTACTACCCAAAATAGTAGGTTTTGCAAAATTCCGAAATAGCAGTATTTTCTGTTCATATACCGCTTTGCATAGGTCCCCCAATCAACAGACAATGACAATAATTGCTCTTTGTTTTATCTATCTTCCATGCTACTATCATATTACCTTTCCCGTTCCCATGTTATCTTATCAATTGTCGTGCTTTTTGATAATGACCCGTCGTCTGTAGATAATCTAGATATGGATCTCATTGGCGTGCAGCACAGCCAGTATCTATGCCACGCAATCATTTGTTTCCTGGTGCACCATCATGATAGAGAAAAAAAAAGGATTGCGTTGAGCTCTATTACACAAATACGAAAAAGAAAAAAAAAGATTGCTTCCAAATGTTGTTTTGGTAACAACTATCCGCGAATAAGCTTATTAATACTTGCAAACTAGGCATGTGGTTATTTTGGTTCCTCAACGTTTTTTTGTCATAAGCACGCTGGTGGTGAAAATCTCACGTCTCCAAATGGCAAAAACATCGTTGAGATGGGCAAACGTCAAACCCAGTCACATGAAATTTATTTGGTCATGGCCAGCCCGTCATATTTTTTTTGATTCCCCGCCTTTTGATTTTCATAAAGTCTTTCGACCGGACCCGTCTCGTTTTGGTTTTATTCTTAAAGACATAAAATGCAGCCTTCGTCGATTTTGCGTGCAGGACACAAACCCTTGATCCGCTTCATTGGTCCCAGAAAAGCTTTGTGGAAAGGTAAAGCAAATAAACCTATCGAAAGACCGATCAGATCGACTGACGTGATCTTTGGTTGTAGATGCACCTCATCATTCCGGTCCTCACATCTTGACGCCTGCTAATCTCGAAAAACACGTCCCCAAACCCTCAGCGGCTGCACCTTCATCCAGCGCCTCGTCTTCTTCTTCATCGGCTATTGAATTCGGTCAGCTTCCTTCCAGATATCGTCGCGCCGTTCTCAGCGAAGCAGAAATGGAAGCAATTGAGGTGCGTTATTTTTTTTTTCTTTTCTGCAATCACTGGGCTTTAGAGTTTGGATATGTTGGATTAGTTGAGATAAATTTCATCGATGTAAAGAGAACGGAAAAACTGATTAATTGTTTATTACAGAGCGGAGGTGCCACATCTATCATCTAGAGATATCTCGAGCTACTTTAAGAACATATAGCATGCTGGTCATCCCACCAATCTCCACTTGAAAAAAAAAACCCCCAAGGATCCTACGGCCTTGCCATTTCACAAGTGTAATAATTTCAAGGTTTACTTTGTGTATTTAAATAAAGAGAAAAAAACAACCAAAGTTGCAACGTACTTGTACTTGATAAAGGATGGAGGATACATTTCAATGCCATGAGATAAAGCTGGAGTAATTGGGGCACCGATTCCGGGACCGCCCGATGATATTAGGAGTTTTTTTATGTGCCCACGAAAGAGATCCGGCTTGTCAAAGTTTTCGACAAGAGGATCTTGACGGGGAACTTTTTTAAAGAGAGCCGATTGAAAACCGTATATGACTGACCGGAAACTTTTGACATGTCTTTCCTTGTATTGATATCCTTTCCATTCTACGGTTTGTATTCTGAATGAGTGGGACACAAGCCCTTGTAAGCGCACCAGGACGCGCCTCTTGCGATCGTCTTTCGTTCTTCTTTCAAATCGAAATATTACAGAAATGGTTTCTTATAATATATCAATACACATAACGATTCATCATTGATTATAAGCAGGCATAGACCATACTTTGTTATTCTCCCCCGTCTTTAGTTGTCTGTAAATATATTTTATGTCTTTCCGATTACGATCAATTTATTCTTCATTCTTCAGCAAAACATTACATAGTCGATCGCATCGAATGACATGGCTCCAAATAGCTCTCAGAAATTATCGGGAATCCCGCAAAGCAGCTTCCTGCACGGTCAACATTTTATTATGACGATCAACAAGTCGCGAGACCAACGGTGACCTATGTTCCCATGATGTGTTTAGCCTTTTTCCAAAGATGCTGTCATCAGGTAATCTATGATGATGTGCAAAATGAAGAGAAAGACCGTCATGGGGCATGCACAGATGACGAAATCTCGAAAAAGGGGTCTTCTCACGTGCCGAAATCCATCCCTGTTCTAGGCACCCAAGGATGAACTGATATTGATTGTTTCATAGGCCAATAGTACAGAGTGTTGATATATTCATTGTGTGAGAAACCAACGGTGCAGAATACAGATGGAAGTAACCATAAAAATAGGTAAGGCAAGAACTTTTTTTATTTTTATTTTTTGCTTCCTTCTTTATTTTTCTTTTACTTTTTTTTTATGAAAACGCTTAGCCATACATCAAGAGACAAATAATGTCATGGCGTTCAAGAGCCAGAAGGCAACAGCGGGCTACTTCAGCCATCAACATCCCGCTGCCGCAATTCAAAAAAGATGTAACCTCGGTCACCAGACGTCACAAACCGATGATCGACGAAGCGCTTGCCATAGCAAATCTACAAACAGCTTTCCATTTGAGGTTGCAATCAATTGTACGGACGGCCAAGGTTACTGACGATATGAAAAAACCCGAAAAAGCAGACAAGTCCTTGGCAAAGAAGAAGGCAGAGATAGCCCAAGCAAAACATGTGCCAAGGGGTGTATGGGAGCTGGCGGATAAAGTTGGCATTGACAACGGAAGCGTACGCGAATACGGTACAACAAGCAATTCTGTTAGAGCGACCGTTAGCCAGTGCGAAGCCTGGAAAGCGTATGCTCTTGAGCATTTTGACTCGGTTGCGGCCGCAACGGATCTGAGATTGCTCCAGAAAGCCAAGAAAGAGAACGAATTGCAACTCCGCACCTGCTCATTGAAACTGCAGAAACTTTTTCGATCGGATCTTCCAACCGAAATGGTTGATCATTTCATGGAAACGCTCGATAAAACTGCTATATTATTGACCGACGATATTGGCGAGCTCAGTGCCATTGTTAGGGCAACAATGCTTCGTTATGTCTCATCGACAACGACCACAGGTTATCCGTTGGCATCTCTTATCCCAGCCGCAGCAATCCGTGACAGCAGATTTTTGAACCACGAAAACTGCTTACCAGTCGATCCTCCACAAGAATTTGAGGATGACAACGAAGATTACACAAAGCTTTTTACTCAAGAACACATTCAATATATACATCAACAGTACCTGGGAAGCTCTCAAACCTCATCGGCAGAAAAGCATCCGGTGTGGAAGGAACTGCATGTAGATGGCTTCGGCGACGCCCCCAAGATGCCTAGAGGTCTATCCCACACCACCGGTTCCGCGGTACAGATCTTTGCAAGAAATACCATGAAGATGTGGAGCGGAGCTATTGTGAATAAAGCGGCTGAATATGTCGTACGAATCCTCTTGCGTTTGATTCTTGCTCCGACGAGAGAAGCTGTCCATCAAAGCATGATCAAGAAAATGTCAGAAAAAAAGAAGGAGCAAGCAACCAATCGTGCGTTAAGAAGCAATCGCGATGTGCAACGAAATATTCTTTATTTTGAAAAAAAATACTACCATCAATGTGAAAACCATTTGACACGTTGCCGGGACGAAGAAGAGTATCAAAAGTGGCAGACTCGTCTGTACCAGTCGCAAGTACGCTTGGCTCGGCTTGACGAACAATGGAAGGCGAGAAAAGAAAGAACGCAAGGATCAATGGTAAATTTTTTTCAAGTGATCTCAATCACAAAAATGATTAACTTAATAGTTACATTGTTCTGAAATAGTCTTTAACCGAGTTTCGTGAAGAAATGGATACGGTTAGTAAAGAAACAGGATACCGAGAACAGGCGATGCTGATACGGTTCATAGAGCGATGATACCAACGATCAAGGCCAAAAAAGTCATGATGGCGACGATGCCAATGATAAGCAAAAGGAAGAACAAATGGTAAAACAAGGAAGAATTCTTCAAATTCCGATTCTTTGCATATTAACGCTCATTTTGTAAAGGCCCACGCGGTCGCCATGTTGTCGATCGAAAGTTGTGAGGACGAAGTCGCCGAAGTTTTGGAGTCGATGGAGATGGAAGAAGAAGAAGAGCAAGATGAAGAAGAAGATGAGGAAGAAGAAGCGATGATGACAATGAACGAGCCAAACAACCAGCCTCACATGTAAGCTTCAGTTGATTCACGGCGTTTGATTCGACAATCGCTAACACGGACTTTTTCAAAAAAAAGAAGAAAGAAACATCTTCCAAGCGGATCAACGCTCTAAAAGCCGTGACCAAGCGCATATTATTTTCATCCACAATTGGGAACGATGTGAATGAGGAGACAGTCAAGGACCACTGGCAAGGTGATCAGAAGCTCACTGAGGAGGAAGTGGATGCGGTGGTCCGAATCTCAAAAAGTCTGCGACCATATTTGAAAGCACGAAACAACCGCCAGAAAACGCTCATCGCCGACCAGTTGCATTTTGTGGTGCTCTGCAACTTCATTCTGAGGACTGTCGGATATGCTTCGTTCGTACAGGAAATATCACCGATAGGCCACCCATCCCACATCGACACAGTACAGATGGATGCGGTGGCTCTATATGAAATGTTCGGTTCAACACCTGCTCAAATGATCCTGTATGACGAAGATCGGCAAGCGATCACCACCGTTTCAGATGCCATCAAACACAAGTATGCGATTTTTGGGTCGTTTTTCGATATGTCAAGTGTTGAACGTGTTTGCGACGACCATGGACTTGAATTTTCTCACCGAATGGCCATTACTCCTTTTGGAGTGGCGCGAGTATATGGGTCTGTCAAAGACAGCGTGCGAGTATCAATGTCCGCCTACGAGCAGCGGAAAAAGTCAAAAACTCATTCTGCCGCCTCGGAAGATATACAGAGCACAGTCGCCGATCTTGAAAAAAAAATCGGAAAAGCCGAAACCTATTTAAAAATTTTTGAAATCATCGCATCCCGGTCTTTTGCGACAGCGAAAGGAAGCAGTCAAGACTTTCGAAGAGGCAAAGAAGACTACGGCTGATTATGTCCATTTGAAGGAGTTGAAGAAGACCCTTGCGATGGCGATCAATGCCGAAAATCGCAACAATTTACAGTTGAAAGATGCGAGAATGACTTTATACTCCTTGAAAGCAAGTTTGAAGAAGCAGCAACACAAGGGTAGTTAAACAGCTTCTACCGAATCACATACGTGATAGTTAACAGTGTCCCTTTTATTAGGAAAAGGAAAGGAGAAGGCGAATCCAGAGTCGGACATTCCTCCAACTGTGCCCACATTCCAAGCCTTTGGTTGCGAAGATTCCACGGAAAACATTGACATCAGCCAGCTCAAGAAGGAAGCTCGCGCCAAAAATAGAAAATTGGTTTTCAGCGGCACTGATTACGGTGTTTGTACCATGTCGGCAACAGTACCCTTGACGCTCGACCAATACCACGCCCACGTACAACTCTACAACAGGTTCCAAGTTCTTGGTGATCGCGAGCTCCAACCAATGGATACGGTAGTGGATCCGGCTTTTCAAGTACCAACCCCTCATCGTATCACAGCCAAGCAGCTAGATGTACTCTCTTTGGCGCACAAAAATGCCAGGTTACGAGAAAGACGAAAGGCAAAACATCCCCAGCTTTTGGATGCAGAGCGACAGCTCAAAGAGCGGTCTTTTAAACTGGCAGCCACATCAGCCGAAGTTGAACAATGCCAAAAGGTGTGTATTTGAACCACTCATCTTTCTCTCCTTCGAGATATTCACGATTCTTTTAGATTGCAAGAGAGACGCGAGACATTCTGCGCGGTTTTTACCATTCTCCCCGAGCCCACCGTGACGCGTGGTCCCAAGAATTAGCGACAAAGCGCGCCTACCGACAAGTCGCAGCCAAAGAAAGGGCGGCTATAAGGCATGCTTCAGGTTCACGACGGTCGTTGGTCATCATGATGATCGGAACGCAGGGGACTGGGGTGGGCAGTCGCATTAAAGGCCACGCTAGGCGCGGTGGCAAGAAACTAAGAAAGGAACACAGTCAGCACGCTGTTGTGGGGATGACGAACGAGTTTCGTAGTTCACAAACGTGCATGGGCTGTTTCGGTCTGGTCATCCGACCAAAGAGGAAAGCCGTTGGAGCAAGTTCGAAAATACGCTCAGTTCACGGATCGTCTTTATGTATGAATATCGATTGTCCGTTATATCGAACAGGACGAGCCACACAAAACCGGGACACTCAAGCAGCAACGTGCATCGCTCTTGCTGGTGCAAGCTTCTTGCTCGACGGGATGACATTGCACCCATTTTCAAAAAATTCAGCCATGAATCATATGCTGAAAAAAATCATTACCACCCCGCACACCGGTAACACAGAATCTCGACTACGAATTTGACAGTGATGCTGAATAGGAGAAATTTTAGATGCAGGTGCTGCGGAGGCTTCTTCCAATGGGGGAGACACACGACGTAGTGTTCGCGGGCATTAACGTAAGCATGACAGTTGGCTCATATCCAAAAATTTAAACTCATAAAATGTTTGTAGGTCTGGTAAGATAATGACTTAATTCGTATTACAAAACGGAATACTCATCAAGAGAACGCTGTTTATAACTGCTCGAGGTTATCCTTTTGCTCTTTTGGTTTTCATTGTTTTAAGGTAAGGTTTATTTAAGAATTGGTTTAATTGGTCCTTACTCAAATATATATCGTAGCCACTGACGCAAAAGGATAATCGAAAGCAGCGTAAACAAAATTCTTTAAATCTAGTCTCAAGCAATACCTCATCATGATAGGTTTTTAAACAGGACTGAGCAGGATAAGAAGCCGTTTCAAGGTATTTACGGCCTTTGGAGAGCATGCTTTTATTTTCTGTCGCAATACAATCAATGGATTTGATATAGCTTTGTTCGAACGGTTTGTTCAAGATGTGCATCTACTTTCCCCTGTCCCTGATTATTCAATAAGTCCAAATTCATCATCTGGACAGCGCTTTCATTAAATAGGCGAGCATAGCTTCTTCCGGCAAATCGTCCGACTTAATGTGCTCTGAATCATCCTCGCACCCTGGTCTCCTGGGCGATGGACGGCTCACAGGAATTTCCGGGCGTGGACGCACAGCACGAGCTTTCCCTTTCGCCTTTGCTTGATCCGTGGCCTATATGGCACCAAAATTCGGATTAATGAATCAGTATTTTATGATAGTAAAATTAATACTCCATACCTTGCTTGTATGATACTTCTGGCTTCAAGTTCTCGGCCTTTGACAACGGTACTGCAGTTGGTGCCTTGTGACTTCGTCGTTAACGAGCAAGGCCAGTTGCTGCTTGAGGGAAAAGGAATGGCATCGTCTTTCTGTACACCCCTGGGGCTTTCCAGCGTGGTGCCCTGCAGTTGCAATCTTCGTCTGCGTTATCATAAAGCTTGCACCCACGTGGACTGACACCGAAGGATTGCGGTTGCACTGGAAAGTTCTTCCGCAAGATTTGCCGGGTTGTATGATAGCTCAGCAACGGAGGAAGCTTGCCCTCTGTGAATTGATTGATTCGAGCAATTACCTTCTCGTACAACTCACGAGGACCTCCGTGCTGCACCATCATAGAGTAAATATCCAGGCTCGTTTGGATATTGTCCTTCAGAGGTTGCCCTTAACTCCGGAAATCGTACTTGTTTTGGTGGTCACTCACTTATGTGTGTGGCGAAAGTCCGGCTCTTCGTCGTCAGATGGATCATCAACCACCTCGTTGTGATTGTCATTTGCAACGAAATGTTCAACAGAATCTTTAATATAGATTATTTGGCAGTAGCTGTAATAGATTGAGGTCAGGTAATAAAAAGAGTCTTGAAGGATGTGTTGAAAAAAATAAAAGGAATCTCTGTCCTTGTCTCTGAAGACGCGTATTTTGGCGGTGTTTCTTGTTCAGAGCTCCGAATCATGTGACTCCATATTTCTCCTTTGTTCACTTTTTCTCTTCGTTATTGATCAGCACCATCATGGCCAACATAAAAATTGAAGCAAGCGAACATGCATCACCCTCATTTCCCACACATTTATCTTCGCAGCAATCAGATAATGCCGATGGCTCAATAAAAGAATGGGACGCGTCAATGGAACTCGCACTATTGAACGCTGTAGCACGTTGCAAACCTGTCGGTAACTATACTCTCTGACAGCCTTCGCGATGTGATCACGCCTTGAATGGTTTATTATTACTTTATAGGATTACATAAACACTTTCGCATCCTAAGTGTGCAACGCGAACTAAATCTGCACGGTTCTGGATTCTGCTCTGTGAAGGAGATCTGGGATAGATTAGCCGATTACTATGGCATGGAAGCACTCGATGAACTGGTAATAACGGATTGTCGTTGGCTAATATTGTTTTATGGTACTAAAGAAATGGCATTCATTACTTTAGGAAGAAGAAGACGAAGAAGAAGAAGAGGAAGAGCGGGAAGAAGAAGAAAGGAGAAAGGGCGAATGGGTACATGAGTTTTCGTTACCGTTGGACGAATATGAACAATTAATATCAGAGCACCGGCAAGACGATCAATCATCCGTTCACGACGAATCGCCAGCATCACCGATACATGTACCTACGAAACGAACGAGAACAAGTAAGCGCGATGGATCTCCAGCAGTTTCAGTGGGCGATTCTGCAGCGTCAACCCCTGATCCTGACGAAGGTAATGGATTCCTTGAAACATAACGAGTGGTAATGGTTCTGATTGTTCCCTTGTATAGGCAAACCAAGACGTACATCACGGGGAGCTCGTAAGGCTGACGCGACACCAGAACGACAAACAGGTGGACGGAAAGCAAGCAAAGCATCAGCAAGCTCCGGTACTCGAGGAGGTCGGCGTCAAAGCAAACGAAAATAAAGTCGCATGTATTCTCTGTTTCAGTGAATCTCTATTTACTTTTATATCAGAATATGTTAAAGATGAATCTGAACGAGAGACCTGCTGTAAATATCCCTCTAGATACAATTCATGCCAAAATAGCGACAAATTTAATCAACGGATTCAATGCGACCATGGCGAGAATTGGATTCTGTTAGCATTTATCACGTCTTTTTCAAAAAGACAGGCATGGATCTTTGAGTGGGATATTTGAAGAGAATTGGAAAATGAGGAGTTCCCGTTTGGTCACAATACGTATTCTCGCTTGAATTACGATAAATGCCAAATTACACAATTTCTATGTAACACGGTGTCGGGATTTGGGCAAACGATCAAGCGCCCTTCCGTTAAAGAATTCGTCCAAGTCCTGAAAAGATATGACCAGAATGCAGAGGCGAATATTCGCGGTATGCTGGTTGGAAATTATAATACCTACGAAGATACTGGTAACCAAGAAAAGCTGCTTACATCGCTTTTTGCTCTGGAAACGCTTTCATATGATCGCCAATAGCGGCACCGCATGGCTCAAGTTTTCGTAGCCAGTCACTGGCGTGACCTGCTACTCACAGGGTCCTTTTTTTTTTTTTCCTCCTCATTCAAATCCAATCTTTCTGTGCAAAACTTGAGCAGCTGATATTTGGTATCCACTATAGAGCTACTTCATATTCCGTTGATAAAGGTGGCTGGTATCATACGTTCTTTTATTTATTGAGCGTTCATGAAATCAATAAATGAATCTCGAAAAAGATGCCCAGGTAAGTAAGTTAATAGCCCTGGTGCCAAGGCATTTACTATTTCTCTTCCTTACATTGTTTCTTAGCTGTCTTTGGGTTATTCTGATGAAGCCCATCGAGCCTCCTGGGCAATGCCATTGACGGGAGGTTGGTCTTTGTAATTGCTCATGTCTCACGCGTTACTGAACAGCTTGTCTCTGTAATAGTGTCTAAACTATGCAACTTGTCGCCAGTTGATCCCTCGAACGATGCTAGAGCCGAATATTCAGAGTTAGATGGTCACTATGTCGTACGTATATTCACCTGCAGACCCTTTTTTTAGCTTCCTCACTTTGTTGTTTGCTTATAAAACACTTTGTGATTTGCATAGCCAAGCGGATCATATTCTACGCCAATAGAATCCAGCCGTGTGAAACCAGATCGATCGACGTCGCATAATGCAAAAGTAAATGAACAAGAACGTCAACAGTTTCTGCGAGAACTTGATGAAGCTAGAAAGGAGCTCGACAGACTTCGACAAAGCATGACCGGTTTAACGAAACAGATGAACGGCATGTCGCTAAATATTGTAAGTGCTATCATGAGGTCTTGTTTATAAATTTTGCTCAGTCCATGTGGTTCAACAGCAACAATCCAGAGATCGAGTATGTAAGTTACAACCACGGCTTTGAAGCAGCAATATACAGTCTGCTGATCAAGTAGTATCTGGCATGAGCAGTAGAGATTGAACAGGGTTTAACGACGACGCACGAAGTAAATGTGAACATGCAAGTGTTGCTGGAGAAATCGGTCAAGGAGCAAAAAGCGTCGGATGTGATCGCAACGCAAGTGATTCGCAATTTTTATTCAGATCTGACGCAAGTACGTAGTGACCCTGAAACGGTCATCGTTTTGAGATCGTGTACTAATAAATTGCTCACAGTTGGCTCAAGAAAACCATCGAATCAAAGGCCGCCTCAATTCAATCGAAAACCAGCAACGCAAACAGAAAGGCAGCGCACACGATGTTGTAAGTCGGATGCGTGAATATGCTGAAATGCTCGAAGAAGCGCAAGGCACGATTCGCACACTTCAGGAATCCCAGTCGTTGAAAGTATCCCATCTGGACGATACCTTCTCCTTTGAAAGTGATTTTAGCTCACGACGCACAAGCACAACGTCCTCTTTTGTCACCGAAGAAGAAGATGTCGATACCCATCCACAAAAAGATTGGCAAGCCATTTATCAGAAAAACAGTATAGTGAAACGCACATCATTATCAGGAGCAAATGGAGGATTATTACCGTCTGAAAGACGATCGCCCAATGCTCTGCCACAACAGGGCTTAAAAATGCTGCTCGATTCACAACGTAGACAAAGCCTTGGATTAGACTCACTATCCAGTAGAAAAAAGTAATAAGAAACTTGATATATTTATTGTATAAACACACATTTGTAATCTATATCGTCAGCACGAATAATCATTCTGATGTTGGAAGCACCACCATTATCCTCTATGTATTGGGCCATTGTCTTGAAAAGATGGACGAGAGGATTGGTTTCATGCAGTAATTGCTGAAGTACTTCCAAGGTGTCTCGCGCGAGATGGCTTGCAATTGCATGTCGATTTGATATTTCGTTGTCAGTATCATGGACGTATATTTGTGAAAATGCAGGTCGTTGGCCATTAGCAGGAAGTAGCGATCCCATCAAGTGGTAAACACTTCCATGAATACGGAAGCAGTAAGCGCCCCATCTGTCATTCATTACACTTTCGTCTAAATTTACACCAAGAGAAGTAAAACTGAGAGCACTACAATAATCACATGATCTACACCAAGTTATCAGGACCTATTAAACCTTTTTTTTTATCTTTCAACCATGCCTCGCTACCCACTTCCACGGTAATAGGCCAAACAATCAGCAGCAAGATGCCGTTTGCGCCAGTTGTGGTCAAACAGAGCATCGTCGTTGTCCAAAGAAAATGTGGGTAGAGCTCCTTTTTGAAGAAAGGCTGATGTCGATGTCAATCTGGTGTTCTGTAGCATCATTTAGTTTGGTTTTTCTGTCAATTATACTTTTTATGCCCTTAACCGTCCCTGGAAGCAATTTTATTTTCCGCATCGAAGAAAAAGCTTACCTGGCGGTCCGTATTCATCGTTTTTTTTTTTTTCCGGTACACCATTTGGTTCAAAGGCAAGTCCAATTTTCTTTTCCTTTGCTATGATGTATAATGAATGTATACTAATTCAAAATTTTTTCAATGTCATATAATCCAAGTCATGTCAAGCGATCAATGGCTATTGCAAACTCAAATAACAAAGGTAAAATATCTTGACGAAAATTTGAATCAATCAAAGAGCTTACTAACTCATTTTTTTAAATACCCAACATACCCACACATCTTTCTAGATCTATCATAGCCTGGGCGGGATGGAACTGAGGGGGGAACCAGTGCTGCCCTGCGCGTGTTCAGAAACAAATCACGTTGCAACGTATGCCATAAGGTTGTCATTAATATACCGAAGTTCCGTCAAGAGTTCTCGCCCAGGTTATGCCGTGTATGCGTTAGGCTTTTTGTCTGACGGAAGTCCCTCAATGTAAGAGGGCGGCCTCCGGTGGCAGGCGGCATCCATTGCACAGCGGGTGTACGGCTTGTTAAAGATCAGTAAAATATAATAACAATAAGAATACGCTTGTATGTATATGTTCTGAAGCATGATTATTGATGATACACGATGATGATATCCCTAGTAGCCAGAGGTGATGAGACATCGGGTTTTGTCTCGATCTTTGTGCGGGTGAATTGCCATGGGCTGGAAATGAGTAGGGTTGACTATTGCTGTAGGCGGTGTCAGCAAGCTGGGGTGCGGTTGCGACGTCATTATGTAAGGAGACGCTTGCGGAGAAGGGTGCCAGGTGGATGGATGCGGATAGTTGATGAAGGAGTGGATTGAGGGAGCCTTTGCAAAAAGTAGAGAAGGGACTGCACACAGATCCTTGTGGCATTGCCAATGAGTCCAAAACGAATAGGGTTTCCTGGTATTGGGTAGAAATGAAATAATGATATAGGCTAATCCTAGGGTAAAACTGAAAATTGCGACGATGATATTAAAGACGTGATGACACATCACGGCACAGCCGAGACTGTAATAGAAAAGGTATTAATGTAAAGTCTCGAAGTAATACGAGAACCAAAAAAAAAAAAAAAAAAAAAAAAAGCTTACTTACAGAATCATGAGCAAGCCTTTGCCCCGAAATGTATGCAGAAAACCAAAATAAACTTGCGTGAACGACAGCAACTTGACTTCATTCGCTAATAACAATACGCTCAATGCGCTAACGCGTATGCAGATGTTAAGAGGCATTGATTTTTCCAACGGGCATCCAAAGGATACTATAGACTAACCTGCAATAGACAGACTGCATGATTTCACCAAGAGTGGCACCGTGTGCTTTGACGATCGAAGCGGTGAAAATGAGGATATAGACAATGATGTTGACAACGTTCAGTGTCATAAAGATCGTGTTTTCGATCTTGGCTATTGATGAAACATGCATGCAGTACAATAAGTGATTCCATACATTACTCCTCGAAAATAAAATAAACCTTAACATCCATCATTTTATATTGCCATCGGAAAGTTTTTCCCTTATCTGTTACATTAGACTCCCGGTTCAAATGCGAATCAAGAAACTCCAAGCATTAGACATACATGAAGAAGGCATGTTCTGTGGCGGAAAACATGTGTTATATATTACAAAAGATCGACGTCTAGATGACTCGATAGAAGATGATATAGGATGGTATTAATCGAATCTACAGCTCGGGATAACAGTGATCGCAAATGATGGGAAAGGGAATGTCATGTGGGTTATTCTACTGACTCGCGTTCTTCTAGAGGTTGCTAAAATAGAGGAACGATACATGAGCCATTTTTCCTTTCATTCATAGTCAAATAAATACCTTGACATTATGGTCTGAGGGCCGTCGATAACGATGGTTGTTGTCCAGAAAAGCGGCAATTCTGACAGCTGTCATAAGAGGATGCCGTCCCGTGGTTCTGCGCTTCTGTAGAGGTGAAGGGGTGATTTTATTGCCTGGGATGGGACTGCCAGTCGGTGCTACCGCATTTTCTTGCTCTTTTGGCGATGATGGAGGAGAAGGCAGATGGGTATGTGGTGTGTGCGTTTGCTCTTTTTGGCTTAACAAGGCCAATGTGTCCTGAGATTCTTGCCATTGAGCAATGAAATGAGTGATATCTTGATCAATGTTTTGAAATCTTTCATGGATTCTTTCCATGCTATAGAGGGCAGCTAAATTTCGCTGTTTTAGTATGATGCCTTTTTTCGTAATCATTCTGGGCTCGGTTGGTTTTCTTATTTACCACGTCCAGCGGAAAGCGCTTTCGTATCATGACGACAAAGGAATAGCTTCGCTTGGATGTTCTTGACGCAGTTTTCAAGGGTCGAAAATCGGTTCAATAGCAATTGGGCACGTCGATCAATGGGTTCATGGCGGTCAGCGTCGTCATCCAAGCCATCATCGACTACGGAAAAAAAAAAGAAATGTTACCATAGGCACGACGCATGACTCGGAGGAAACTTACAATTTTCGGTTGTCAACAACGTTTGGAGATCGCCTAAATATTGTTTAAATTCACGCTTGATATTGGTCATGATTTGAATGACACGATTCCAATTTTTTTCATAGTCGCGTCTTTCCGAATCGTGACCCGTGGTCATAATGTCCAGTGCGAGGAAATGCATGACAAATTCTCTGCGCTTCCAGCGGATAGCATGGCTGATGTGATCCAAATCATCTAACGTAACAACCGAAGATAAAGTAGCGTTTTCAGGCGACACGTCGCGCAGAGAAGAAGGAGAATCCTCCAAATTGTACATGTCTTTAAGCCGAGTGATGCTTCGTTGGTCGGTTAGAGGATGAATCTGCGCTAGAAAGGATACCGTTTTTTGATAATGGGGGCGTAGCAACTCATCAAGCATTTTGACCATGTGAGCAGTTTGTCGTGATGATTGTTGCGATGTGATGGTAGCTAAACGCGGAGGCAAACCGGGTGGCGCTAGAGTGTACCCTTGGGAAATTAGTTGGATTTTTCGGATTTTATCTAACAACCGGATGACAATCGGATCACATCGCTGCGATAGTGAGAATATTTCGTGGATTTCATGCAGTGCTTTGCTGTGAATATGCCTAATATTTGCGTGTCGCTACATGCATGAAATCAGTGTCCTGTTCCCCCCTTTTTCTTAGCCATCCACGTTCTCCTTTTTTTTTTGACTTACATAATTGCGATAAAGAATGAAAACACCTATGGAGTGCGAAAGTCCGAGACACGCAGCGATCACACTTTTTCGGGAGAAATCCACAGCCACCGAGTAATTCCAATAGAAGGAGATAATGGCTGATAATGCAATCAGTGAAAGAAAGATGATGCACCGTTTGCGACTAGCCTGGCTGTCCCTGCTAGCCGTGTCCTGGTCACTGATATTATCGGGTAAATGGTCAGCTAAGTCAGTCAAAGGTGGGGACGATCCACAGCTTTGCCCGATCGGCATATCGTTAACGAGATTGGATGTGACAATGATATATTTGAACTGTTCTTCAAACGCTGTTTCTTGCTCATCGGGCAAGGATGTACTGAGGAGACTCTAGAAGCGGAGAGAACAAAGAAAGCAAGGCAAAATTGCCGCAAAACATTTAGAAGATATGCTTATCGTATGTGCTACGTTACATTAAAGTAGGGGATTCGAACCGTTCACGATATTGACATGCAGCGCATAATTGCACGTGCCAACAGAAAAAAGAAATAGAAAGTCGGGAAAATTTTACCTTTATTGAAGAACAACCGTGCCATAGCAATGGTAGAACGACGGTGTGAATGAGCCGACGGGACACTGCAGCGCGATGCGCACATAAAGTGGTCATGTGTTGAACGAAACGAACGAGAGATGGCGGCTGTACATTGGGAGGAATGGAGAGAATAACGAGCGTGACCAGAGTTAAGCACATGAATGTCTGCGGACAAGCAAGCCATTCGGGAGTCGACCAGGTCAACATGAACTGTGAAGGAATGGAGGGGTCTTGAATATGGAAAAATAAGTGAACAAGAACAGTGATACGTAATTTGAAAGTGATGAAAAGGACCAGAAAGAAAAAGAGGTATGAAAGAATCAAATCAAAGCTAAAATAGGGTTCACATTTTATAAAAATTGAACAAGTCACTATTTCGCTTTATTTGGTAGAGAGCTGGGCAAGCAAGGAATCTAGCTCTTGAGCCACAATATGGTTGGTACATTTTGCACGAACTTGTCTATACAATCACGTAATACATCCATTAGTCAATTATAACCATTCCGTCAGAAGCACCCCTTTCGCCCCTAGCAGACACTGAAATCGAAGAAGAATAAAAGAAACAGCCCAAAAACAGAAAGACACAATTAAACGGGTCCAAAACTCCTTACCTTAATCCTTCCATATCCTTGTTTAGGAACGCTTGTTCTCCTGCCTCTTTGAATGCACCAATCTTGACAAACAGCATCGGCCGCACGATAGGATCACACTTTAGAATATACTTGGAAGCTTCTTGGTATTGTCTGGCTTTAATGCATTCTTCCACAAAAGGCTATGATTGGCGGTCGCATTAGCCTGATGCAGCACTCTATGTTTGGTTGTGGTCACTAGACATACCTCAAAACCGATAGGTGATTTCTTGCTCTTGGCAAGTTTTTCCAAATTTTCCCAGTCGCGGATTTCCACCAATGTCCGTAACTTAATCCACCAAAACCTTGGCAATATTGGCCAGCGTTAAAATCATCACTGTAACAACAAGGCTTTTCATGCCAGCACTTTTGTGGCTCACCTTTTGTCTGGTACCTTGAATTCGGTTTTGACCTTGGTTGCTTTGCCGTGATGGCCTAGCATGGTACATTTCTGGATCGTTTCACTCACCGATAATCCGCTAAATGATTGATGGGTATCTTTTTCAAGCTGAACTTGAAATTGTAATAATTTCACAGCTTCATCCACAGCCTATGCCCCCATTGGAATGAATATTGCGGTTTCTTTTTGACGTTATACGGCTCTTACCTTTGCTTCAAATGCACGTTCGCGGTCATCGGCATACATTTTACTAGCAATTTTTAGCTTGCTTATTCGTTCTGCAACATCCTATGAAAAAAAAGTAGGGTGTGAGCAAACCCACATTGCCTAATCCCTGCTACTGAATGAATGGTGCAAAGGACTACCTACCGGATCTTCAAAACTTTCAGAAAGAATCACATTGGCGCTTTCGATTCTTCGATCGTCTTGATAATAAAAGTCTTTCAGCAACTCCTTGTCTTGTTCTTTACAATAAACCTCGAGAAGATCGCATGCTAATGGCTTATTGTTGATGATGCGGAAAAATTCGCCCAAGGGCAACTTGCGTTTAAGGTGGAAAATCACCAGGTATACTGTTCGCACAAGTGATCCATCATTATATCGCTCTTACGTGTAATTCGCATCACACACCATAATACAACGACCCCTTACCTAAATCTGTGTCGCCACTTTCAATGGCTTTCACCAAAGCCGTCTCATCTTCTTGCATTGACATCAACAGTGGCACTTGATCGGCTGCACGTGGTTCGTAATCAAGAAGCTATCCTATCCCATCAATACAAGGGAATGACTGACAGTGATCGATGAGGGTTTACCTTGGTAGCTAATCGCGTTTGTCCGGCATTGTATGCAGTTTTCGCAATTTCTGCATATGACAAGCCCGATTTATCTGAAAGTTTGTCCACAATCATGCGGCAAATTGATTCTTCATCTTCCGAGGACGATTTGATCTAAAAGAACAAAAAAGCTTGAGTCTACAAGAAAGATCCAAGAATAGCATGTGGCGTGACCGTACTTTTGCACAAGCCCAATTAATCAAAATCTTGTCAGTTCTAACTTTGAGGTATTCAGCTATCCGTATCGCTAGTAAATGGTGATTACGATAGACGAGGCGATCTATCAGTGCTTCCGGTGTCAAACGCTTGTATCTAAGCAGTCCACAAATGAATTTGCTGGTCTTTTGACGAATGACCCATTTCACCGGTTACTTACTGAGCATAAGTCAGCGGAATGGCAATATCATAAAATCGGACCGCGTTCAGAACGCGAATAGCTTGGGCCATATCTACAAATCGATCGGCATTATAATGTTCGAGGAAGCACTTTCCAAATGAAGCCGCCTTTTGCAAGAATCGATTAAGAGGATGCATATTGGTGGAACTAGCGGTTGCCAATACCTTTAAAAGCGCGCGTTGATAGTAGTGGTGAAATTCGAATCCGGCAGCTTCTATACAGCAGTCCACAGCATCTACTAATTCCGTTCGTATACTACGAATATTCTCGTCCGCTTTTGGGCTCTTTTTCTCGTAGTGTTCCAGTGCATCGAATAACATAGCCGCAGGGGAGGTTGACCCAATTTTGAAAATCTCTTCCGTTGCCGCTATTTGAAGATCAAGGTATCAATGTCACTATCGTTTTTCATTCATACAGGTCAAGATGCGTATGTGTACCTGGAATCTTTTGTAAAAATTCGTACTTGTCGTTGCTAATGATCTTGACACCATCAATTTCAGATGCCAAATAAATTGGATCTTCATACGAGAATTTGATCCAATCACCAAACGGGCCCACCATTAGGACGATCTTATCCCAATACAACACGACCGAATCCGTACCGCACCTGTTTGCAGAATCAAGTATGTCACTGTTTCCAGTTTCCTTCCGAAAAGCAAAAGTCTACCTGCTACTTGTTATTTGCTGCTTACCATACGAGTTGCTGTGGTGGGATCTTGGATTTTGTAGCGTACTCGGATAGATTCTTTTGGAAATCGGTAGAAACAACCCATAACTTTCCATCCGCTGTGAATAGCGCCAAAAACTTTCCATTGGGCGATACTGCCATCTTGGTGAATGGACCTTGTTGCAAAAGCTAATGTAACAAATGCTTAGCCCATGTTGTTGACCATCGTTAACATGTCTTTTTCATACCTGATCCTGAACTTCTTTGCTGTCAACCACGAGAATCGTGGAACTGGTCGCAATAAGAACCTCTACATGTCGACTGAGAGTGTACTGAGGAGGCACAACGGCCCAACTGTGCGGTGGATCCACCAGACCTATAATCGCACCATAGTAAATAATCTGATGTCGCATAAGCTGCTGACCATCTCCACCCACCTATGTCGGCCATCGGCTTGGGTTGAGGTTCTTCAAAGTTGGTGACAGAGATTAACTGATAACTGCCTGTCATTGCCACGAGTCCCCCGCTCCAGATCTGACAATCGATCACACCATATTCTTTGGCATCCTGTCATGTCGCTGATTAATTCACAGCTACCATAGATAAGTTCTTTTCGATCACATACATGACCCAAGGAAAACTGAGTATATTCGCCATGCAACGAATACATTTCAACCATGCCGTCTTCCATAACAACCACCAGCTTCTCCTGCTCCGTCCATCCGAGCGAAACAATACGTCCTTTATCCCACTATTACCATCGATTAGCATGACGAACTTTCCGATACCGTTCCCACGTATCCGCTGTATCATGCGCAAGTTGATACCTGAATTTGCTCAATCAGTTTTCCGGCAGCACTGTAGATGTAAATGGTTGGTTTGATAGGTTGCTGCTTTTGGAGTAATAGCACCTTTTTATCGTCTCTGATCATGGCTTTTCAACGCAAGGTTAGGTTTTTTTTTCTCGGGATATGCATAAATCCATCCGCCGACAAGGCTGGGGCGGCACAAGAAGACTGCTTACCAATAGGACCTCCATACGGTGCGCCTGCAATCATAAACTTAGAAAGGTCCGTTTGATTCCATGACAGCGAGTACACTTCTTGTTTTCTGACATTGTTCGACGCAACGGTTATTGAGAAGGGTTGAGCCGAAGACATAGTTTGTGATAGCTGATAAAATACCTGTAGAATCGGTCCTACAAGCGCAAGAAACGTTAGAAAGAGGTCAGCTGATAACGGTATCAAGTTCAAGAGGTACATTGAGTTGAATCCAATCCGATGTGGGATTGGGAGCCATGGCAGGAAGGGCAGTAGTGTTCAAGTTCGTGTTTGGAACTCCTTCGATGCTTCGAAATTCTTGTGGTTCGCTGCACAATGAATTAAACTCCGAAAATCGTTACTCGTCTCGGGGTGACGTCCTTTTTTTTATTTGGTCATTCAAACGCGCTCGTATTTTTTTATTTGTGTTAGCGCAGAAAAGAAAGCCATCGCGTACCTCTTTTTTTCATTGTTCCCCAGTACCACAACTTCGAGGACGTCTATCCGAGAGCACAAATAACGGATTCAGACTATACAGTACCCAATGAGCCTCAACAGACTATCTTCCGAAGAGATCGGCCATGCCGTCATTGACGCTGCCACCATTGTCGACCATCGAAAGACTCTAGATATCGGGTTTCCCGATATTAGCGACGCTTTTACCGGTATTTTATATCTAATTGCTTTGTTTCTTGGACTGAAGAAACTGATATCATTATCGCTCCCATAGCTGACAGCTTGAACAATTACGAAGTCGCCGCCGATACCAACGTGCAGTCCATCGTCTTGAAGCACGCTTTTACTATGCCACCCTCGCTGCTTCAACCATTGCAACGTAAGATCATCCGCAGTTAACATGCCTGTGCTTAGCACTCATACGATCACATTAGAAAACCGTGCAGCAAAGGCCGGCATTTTGACGGACATTAACATGTTGTACTTCATTATTGGCAATCAACTTTATCTGTGGGATTATGTTGAACGGTAATCCATTGTTCTGCTGTCAAGAAGCTTCAAAAACTTTCATACTCATTTACCCTTAGGACCGAAGCAAAAATCTATGAAGATGCCTCCGAAATTGTCAACGTCGCAGTCGTTAAGCCCAAAGCCAACATTTTCAACGACGAGGTCTCCCATGTTCTCGTGGTAGCCACCAAGCGCGATATTAGCTTGGTAGCGTTGTCTTTCAAACGTGACGCGGGAAACAACAGTCAAGTTACATTTTACCGCAGTGGCATTAGCACATCTTCCAGTGGAGTTCAAATGGTATCCATTATCGGTAACCAGCTCGGTCGTATCTTCATGTTAGGCGATGACGGCAATGTGTGGGAGCTTGAATACAAGGTAATGAGAAAAGAAAAAAAGGGATGACACAGAAACAAGTGAGAGTAACTGGACCTGGCTCTAGCAAGAGGAAGGTTGGTTCACCAATCGATGCTTCAAACGATTACACCCAACGGTTTCGACTTTATCCTTCTTTATGAGATCCTACCATGGTAAGATTGAATCCGTCTGACAGTTTGTAGTAGGCAAGATTCTGACTTATGGTTAATGCGATAGATCCATGTGTTGCCATTGCTCTCAATGAAACGGGCGACGTTCTTTACCAGCTGTTCAACAGTTCCCATATTCAAGTAAGCTTTTAAGAGGATAGCCCTAGATCATAAAGTGTTCATTCATTAACTTGCTTGTGGTATCATGGTGATTTAGGTGACTTACCTCGGCAAGGACCAAACCTCGTTTATCAATGTCGCCAAACATACGAATATCGCTCACGAATCGAACCTGATGTGTCCAAACTCACCTTTACTCGATAATGCTCAATTTAAAATCATATCCATTCATCCGACTCTGGAATCCAAGAAATACCAACTCGTGGCCATCACATCGACGGGCTGCAGATTATATTTTACTCAATACAAGCGTACATCCAATCCTAGCGACGGTCCAACTACTTTGGAATTAATTCACGTTCGCACGCCTCCAACAAATAATTTGCAACAGAATTCAGCGACACCGACTTCCGTATCTTCAAACGCGGGGCCGTCACCTCAAGTAGTAGGAAAGACACTGTACAAAGATGGAGTGTTGTTATTGGTCAACAAAATCAATGGAGAAGAGCGATTAATATCTGCATGTCCTGATATTGGCCGCTTGGCGAATTTGGTGCGTATGAAAATGTCGGATGGTGTCGTTCTCTGTATTAACAGATGTGACATTAATAGGGTGCACGAGCCGGTCTCGCGGAATTCAGCAGCAATATCAAACTCGAAGGAGATATTATTGCCATGACCGAACTGGCGGGCCCCGGATCAAGTATCAATGAACTTGCTGCGGCGCCAAGCAGTCGCGCGCGACATTTCTTAGTGTTTACCACTACTACTGTGAATGTGCTCATGAAACAACGACCCGTCGATATGCTTCACAATCTGTTGATGAGCACTGGAACCGACATCCGAGCTCGTATGCAAGATTTCCAGTTCTTCTTTAATCACTTTGGCCCCGTATTTTCATGCGCGTTATGTTTCGATATTGTATCGAGCACCGTCACCGAGTTACCCAGCGGAGTGGATCGTAAGCACTGATTCAACCTATTGCTCTTGCAGTAAATTTGAAAAATGCTAATGGATTACTTTTCCAGTCACCGCCAACCCTCCTGTCTCGGCATCACTTGTCAAGGGAGCCACGGAGCTGCTCGCCAGATTCGGATCCAGCATTTCCATGTTTAGGGAGAGCACAACACAATCATTTACGAGCCGACATGACGGCTTGGCCCTTTACATCCATCGATTAATCACACCGGCTTGGTTGCGAACTATCGTGTCTACTTCGTAAGTGAAATGGCTCTTTGTGTTTTTTGTTATCCTTTTGCACCGCTGAACTAAATGCTAATCACATCCCATAGTCCTAATGGACAGTATATCAGCACCCTTCCTCGAAAGAATTTGTTGACGTTACAAGCAACTTTGTCCAGACTCCATGAATTCTTACAATTGTAAGTTGGGTTGATATCGTGTCAATCGGGAATAGGCGCTTACTTGTTACACGTAGGAGTGGTGTGGCGGATCCATTACTCAACGCAAGAACAGCAGAAGAACAGTCGCTATGGGAACAGTATATTTTCATCGCTTTGGTGTCAGAAACTTTGACCTTTTTATTATATCTTCTTGATAACGACCCATCCAAGTTAGTGCAAAGGTAAGATCATGTCTTTTTCATCATGTTGGTTGGCATGTTTTAGCTTACTCATGTATTATTTTTTCATTCACAGCTTGAGTACCAAGGCGCTTACGGCATTTAGATCAATTACATTGAAAGACTTATTGACGACCTCTGAAGGACGATCACTATGCTGCGAATTGGTCAAAGCTTTGGAGAAGGAACATCTTGCAAAGTACGGCAACGCAGATCTTGTTCACGATGTCTTGCAAAGTCATTGCAGTAACTTTTCCAAGCTTGCGAAATAAATGTGTGTAAAATGGGGCATTATCATAAAAAAAAAAGGCATTCGTTATCAGTAGATGCGTGTAGGTCGATAAAGACAAGACCACTGTTCTCTTAGAAATCAAAAGCACTCATGAAAGAAAATAAAAATACAATCATCCAATGAGATCAATTTCAGCTGCATTTTGATTGTAACAAAAATACGAAATGTGTGAATGGTTTTATTTCGTTTGTTGCGTGTCGCTGTGAAGCTATGAATCTATACACAAGGGAAAAACGAGCGTATTAATCAATATGGAGTCACTTAAAACAATGATATCCCTATATCAACTTACTTATTTCTTCTTGGAGACACCAACGGTTCTACCGCGACGACCAGTGGTCTTGGTGTGTTGACCGCGGACACGGAGACCCCAGAAGTGACGGAGACCACGGTGGTTACGGATCTTCTTCAAGCGTTCGAGATCTTCACGCATCTTGGTGTCAAGAACGTTGGAGATGACCTGGCTGTACTTGCCGTCAATGATATCCTTCTGTCTGTTAAGGAACCAGTTGGGAATCTTGTACTGGGCAGGGTTCTGGAGGATAGTGACGATGCGTTCCAATTCTTCGTTGGTGCATTCACCAGCTCTGTAAGGAAAAGAAAAGCAAACACGTCAGTTCCCGAATGGTCTCTTGAATTGATATAGCTGAATGTAGTCTTTTTTTTCTTTTTTCGTTACCTCTTGTTGAGATCGACATCAGCCTTCTTGCAGGCAATGTTGGCGAAACGGCGACCAACACCCTTGACGGAGGTCAAGGCAATGGTAATCTTATTCTTACCGTCAACGTTGGTGTTGAGGAGACGAATAATGTGCTGGAACTGATTCCTCTCGGGAACAACGAGCGACTATAATGAAAAAGGTAGGGTTAGTCCACGGTCGGGAATCGAGTGCTTCATGGGTTCCATGGCGTCGGCGATGATAGAGCAGGAAAAAAAAACGAATAATCCATCCATCCATCCAACAATCGATTCATCCGTCTTTCATCACACATCCTGAGGTTACTGCATCCATTCGATTCGATTATTTCTGCTCTTTCTCGCCAACGTCTGGTAAACGGTCGGGATTGCATACCATCTTTACGAAAAGGGAAGATTCATTCTTTTGGCAGGCGGTGCACACATTCATACGGGTCCTTGGGTCGCCGTGACTTTCGAAATTCGGGGATGCGGCGGGGATTAAAAATACTGTGCACTTTTTTTGCCCTGCTCCCTCAATCACACATTTGATTGAAACCACTTTGTCACACACCCAAAAAAAAGTACATCGTACTGAACAAAAAGGTGATGAGTTGTGAACATAAATCATATTATTTATAAAAGAGGAGAAAAGATAGCATATGTGGCGTATGTCATACAAAATATGTACATGTATAAAATCTGTTGAGCTTAGAAAGAAGAAAAAATATCCATAAGAAGAGAAACATGCATATGAGGAAAACTGGCATAGGTTAATTTAAAGAGGATCGAAGTGAGGAGACCGAAGCAAGTCGCCGTATCATTCGATGATGGGTCCTTCTGTTGACATCGTCTAATTCTCTTCGTTTGGCGCGAATCGATTCCTTCAGTGGCGGGGCTACGGCGATCGTCTCGGAGCAAAACTGGGACATGAAAATGTGGAAAGGAGGTGGAGGAGATGGTGTGACAACGGCAGGCGGAGAAGGTGTGCGCGAAGGCAAGGTAACTGTGTAGTGCGATTTCTGACGCTGTTGATACAAGATATTCAGAATCAGCTGATGCTCGGAAATCATGATGCGCCAGAGATGAGTCCACTGAGTGTTCCGTTCAATGAGGAGTTCCATGTCTTCTTTACTGGGCGATTGTCGTCTCTTTTTCTTGGACAGCGGAAGCTCTTTCAACGTCTGTTCCAGACCGGTACATACAGGTGCCAAGACAACCGCTAAAGCTTCAGGATTCATCATGTTCAAGTCACTGTAGGTTTGCATTTCGGAAGCCAATATCAAAATGTAGAATAGCAAGTGATGATGCGCTTGAGGTAATTCAGTGATCAGTTCAGCCAAGATCTTGACAGCGGCTACGTAAGGAATTTTTTAGTTAGCCTTCATGGTCTTGAGGATATGTTACATGGTTTTACTTACCTTTTTCATCTTTGTAATCTGTTACTGCGAGAAATTTATCATGGAAGAGGGGTGGAATGACCGGGACAGGCAATTGGCGCAGGTACTTCTTCACGATACTGGTAATTGTATGAATATCATGTTTTGATAAATCAATGGATTTGCTGTGTGTCCCGGGAAAATCAAACCGTCGTTCCAATGATGCGACTTCGGAAGCTGCACCTGATAATCGAAACAATCCTTCCACTTTCAAACCTACAATAGCCCCCCAAACACGGAAGTTAAAACCAAAAATCCCGTGTGATATCATGCAATGTAACGTTCGATTTTTTTTTTTGGTTTTACCTCGTTTGATAATTTCGGTAAAGCATAGATACACTGGAGCTGGGACACGTAAACCTTGGGGAGTCAGTATTCCGCATTGAGCGGCACATTCCAATGGCGCACCAAATATTCCCTGAGGATTGACTATTGTGCATCATCATCATGTGAGATCGACCGTCAAAAGTCATTGTCCGATAATAAAGAGTAAAAACCTTTTTGTTGATTGTAATGAAAGAGTTGAGGTCGACATGATCGACCTTTGAGAAAATCCCAGAGATATTGTCTTTTGCTGTACCCTTTGAGTGGTTCAGATTGAGTGGTTCGCGTGGATGAACTCGGTGTGAGAATCATAGTGTGCATAGATTGTTGATGGTTGGCAGAGAGGAAGAGAGAGAAAAATAAATTCGAATAAATAATAAAGGCTGATAATGTATATTTTTCATGTGTAACGCCAATGCGTCAAGGTCGAAAGAAAGCACCGATAATGTAGAAAATGCAACCCACGCACACACGTTTTAGGCTTGGAACAAAACACAGCAACGAAACCAAAAGAAACAGGAATAAACGAAATTGGGTGAGGAAATAAAGAAATTTGTTTGAAGTAAGCAATGCGAAAAGGCAGTGATGAGGGAAAAAAAAAAAAAAAAAAAAAAAAAAAAAAGGAAAAAAAAGAACAACGATATAAAAAGAGTAGTTTGTCTTCCGCATGAAAAACAACAGACTTCCTTTTCCGGTAGATTGACGGTGAATGCGTTCTGTGGGACGAAACGCTTCATTTGTCTGCCTTGCACGCTTGAGTTACTCACGCTATCATTTCCAAATGGGAAATCGCCGTTTCAAACTCATTGTAAACTAGAAAAACCATGTCCATAAATTGCCACCAAATACTAACTGTAAACGTTGGTATTGTTAGAACTTGTCCTTCGACTTATTTTTACACACCAACTGTCATTTAAGAAAGTTTCCGTTGCCTTTTTTCTATGTAAACAAAAATTCAATAACTCCTCCGCCCTCGTTTCTGTTTGTGTACTCTGTATAACACCATCTAAACCTTGGCACCAATGTTTTTCAGTGTCTAAAACCATATATTTGTTATTGGATTGGATACAATGATCAACCGTCGACTACAATACTCTCATCGCATACTGGCTATACCGTTGTGAGCGACGAAGCTTAATGATGTGTCCTATACCATAGATGTACTAGTATGAAGTAATAAGGAATTTCTGATTTTGGAACTGTGATTGAGAGTTTAGGCTACTGTGAATGGCACTTTAAACTTTAGCTCTTGATACGTTACTGTGAGTATGACTGCAACACATACAGGGTATTAACGTTAGTGAACTCACTGCTGTGATGATGCTCATCTATTATTTATCCTAAACTTCGATATCCTGCACAACGTTAAAAGAAGGATTAACAGTAATAATATTGTGCGAGAATTTAAAAATAGAGTCATGATCAGGCGCGGCATGCTTGAGATGCCAAGCAAGAAGTCAAATTTGACTACATCGATGCATTTGACTAAATTCGGTCATAATCTCAACTCGGCTTTGGTAGATCGTAGATCGTAGATCGGAAATCTGGTTTTTGTATTACAAACTGTTTACAAGTAGTACTGCAATACCAGTTGCTGAATAAGGAATCGACTACATACTAGTGAACTCGTGAAAATACATGGTGAGATTTCAGCTTACCAGCTCGCTTTTGGAATCAGTTTGGAAATTCCGAACCAATACTTTTAACATATTATATGTTGTATGCTAAAATCTAATTCGATTTAAGCATTACTTTTTGTGCTTCCCGGGGTGATTCCAAAACCGAGTGGTGCCTGTACTCTTGGTATAGCGTTATTATATTTTCCACTCTCACTGTAATCTAATTGTTTCTGTTCCTGGGGCATTTGTCTATACCCATTTACAATAAGCTCTGTTGCCGAAACTGAATCCAACGATTAAATACTACTAAATGAAAGTAACGTCTCTGAGATCGTCAGTTTTATAGCCAGTGTATCAGCAATAGCACGCGCTATTTCTGACAGGTTTTCTTGGGGCGGATTTTTGACTCAAAGAGATCTGCCTGGGTTCCATTGAAAAATTGGATTTAGAATAACATGATGGGGTTCGTTGAAAGCAATCTTTCTCTTTTCTTTCCTTCCCTCTTGCTGCCTTTTCCATTTGCTGCCATATGGCACAACAAAGTTGCAAAGTGAAACAAAAAAAGATCAGATACGCCTCCTATCGCTGGTATGAAATGGTTTTCCTGCGCGCCTTCGTACGAAGATTTCTCTTAACATTCGGTGGCTTTTAGGCATTATTCCAACCTCATCCGATGCAAATAGGGGCAAAAGCCGGGTAAAGGCTCTGTCATGCAAAGAAAATGTTGAAAGATAATGAAAATGAAGCTAAGACGGCATAGACGTATATGACAAATGGATCTTTTTGTGTAATATGCTTCCATTTCTTTGCTTGATCACTCACATCCTCAACGTAACTGCAAAACAACAGTACCCATCATCACTTGCAATCAATAATTATTGATCGCTTAATTCAATATACTGAATATGGTTAGTTTTTGCATATGGTCAAAAACAATAAAATGAGATCAAGTTCAAGCACTTCAATGTCAAATATACTGCGAAGCAGAGAGCAAAGCAAACTTAGCTCCACAAAAAGCGAGCAAGAAGGAATTGAAGAAAGACGCGAAGGTGTGTCCCACGTGTCACCAACCTGGCTACAGCCCGCCCGTTGAACAAAATATGAGGCGCTTACGTCCCGAAAAAAACGAACCTCAGTTGTCAAAACTTCACTCAAAAGCATCTTTCGAAATATAGCTTCATCGAAACGTTACAGAAACGTTTATCCTTACTGTTATCTACCTCGGATCGATTTGTGGGATCATTATCTCCTGGGATGACTTATGGCAGCGACAAATGTTGCAAACTATTATCCGGAGCTTTTTACGATGTTCTTCCCCACTACACCGCCCTTCCAAGTCAGTCCCAACGTCCAAGTTGTTATGGTTGGGAATTTTTGACGTCTCAAATTTAACCCAATGAACAAAGCTCCATTCTGTACTCAGGTTCAAAACGTGCATACGGCGTATCATGGCAACAAAAAATATCCGCTCGTTATTTTACATACGGCGCACAATAACAAAGGCCGTCCCAGCCCATTTAGCGCAGTGGGTAGCGGTTTTCTTGTTGATTTCATGAAAGCTGTCCAACCAGCTACAAGCTTGCTTTCCCAACTTAGATTGGAAATTTCCAGCATACATTTAAAGTGGTAGGTATGCAGCGGTTGCAACTGCTACCACCTGACTAATTGATTTCTTGTTAGGATGAGTTGCGTATTTTTTAGCCCATCCCTGTTTTGGTGTAAGCTTCTGTAGTTTTGAAAACTTTATTTACGTACTCTTTCCATTTTAAGCATGAGAGTATTTATAGTATATGCTATTACAGTGATTCCAACAAGCAATGTCGTACACAGTCAAAATTGATGTCGCCAGCCAATCAACAATGATGTCGAGTGTTGTTCAACATCAATTTTCTGCTCTCCGGACTGGAAGTCGTATTTTTAGAAACTGTGTCGCGTTGCTTTGAAATGATGTCGTGTCACCCAATGATTTCTTGGCACTCGAAAAATATAAAGGAAGGCTTATCTGTATCCGCTCGTTTATTTTTCTTCTTCAATCATTACATTTTTAACATGAGCACAATATTTTTGTTCGAGGATGGGCATGGAAATGTCGTTGATGAGAATGGTGGTCCTGAACCCATGGAGTACATTGTTGATCAGGATGAATTTGTTTGTTGAGACGATTGCGACTCACAGTGAGTACTTGGAGCATGCTACCTCTGGTGGGTTATCTCGAGGTTGCCCAATGCTGATAGAAAGGCCAAAAAGATGAAGACATTCGAATGAAGGAGGCTAATGTCAAACGTGATTATGTGCGTTATACCATTCAAGATAAGGTTAGATTTTTCGACCTGAAGATTGAAAAGTGTATGAGCGCCTCAGCTGCAGCGAAGCAGTTGGGCATTCACATTCGTACCGCGCAGAGATGGGTGAAGCAATATAACGCGTGTCCTGATAGCATTTTTGAGAGTCGTAAGCAGGTTGGTCGTAAATGTTATTTTGACTGACGAGCATAAGTTAGCTGTTGTCGGCTTCATTGATGCAAACCCATCTGCTTCTGTTGCTGAAGTGACTGACCATTTGTTGAGCCGCTTCGATGACCTGAAAGTTTCCGGAAGCACAGTTTATAATTTCATGAGAAACGAATGCAATCTTTCCTTGAAGAAGGCTGACTTTCATTTCATCGAAAGAAACAGTCAAGCGAAGATTGAGGAGCGGTACGATTGGGTTCGCATATGGGAAAACACAGACATGAACTTTTTGACGAATTGTGTGTTTCTTGACGAGTCGGCCTTCGATATCAATATGAAACGGTCAAGAGCTTGGTCTAGAAAAGGTACGCGTGCTATTGTTACCCGGCCAACAACGAGAGCAAACACGACGTCTATATTAGGTGCCATCTCTGCTGCAGAATTGATCAATGTTGGTGTAAAAAAACCGAGACCTGCCAAGAAGAGAAAGGCTGAAGGATATGTTAGTTCAGGAACCGTGACAGGCCACTATATCAGTTTCTTGAAAATGACTCTCGATGAAATGGACAAATATCCACATATGAAGGGCCACTACATAGTCATGGATAATGCACCCATTCACACGCATGAAAACATAAAGAAGTATATTGAGTATCGAGGATACAAGTGTGTTTATCTTCCTACTTATTCCCCTGAACTTAATCCAATAGAACAATTTTGGGCTGTAGCAAAGAGCAAGGTTAAGCGTCATAGATTTTTACAAGAGGACACTTTATCAAAAAGAATTACAGATGCATGTAAGAGTGTGGACAAAAGTCACTTCAAAGGTTTCGTTTCGCATTCCTTCAATTGCTGGGATAAATGTCGAAACAAAGTGCCCATGTAATAGCTACGCTTTGGACTAAGTTGAATAATGTAATGGAGTCATCTTGAAATTGGCACATTGGACATCGTTTTGTCTTCGTAAATTGAAAGTGAACAGATAGCTATGATACAAACATACAACGACACAAGCCATCACAAAGATCTACGGAAAAATTTCTCGGCAAGCACAAATCGATAGACGAATTCGTGACACCTTTGTAAGATGGTAAAGATGGTGTCAGTGAGAATTCCAGACAGGTTTTGCTAAGGATTTCAGGAAGTGCAAGTAACGCAAGTAACGCAAGTTACGAAAGTAACGAGCCACCGGAAAAGGCTCCTCTTTTTATTTTTGTGTGAAACAAACGAAAGGTAAACAGAGCAAAGGCAAAGGGGAGTGGAATTCAGAAAGATAAAGTATCATAAGAGGTAAAGCTAAGCAAATGGAAATCAGAGATTATGACGATGGAATGCCATTTTGAGGGTGGTATGGGAGCTGTATCGGTCAAACCGATCCTGTTGCTTGCCCAGTTCGTAACAAGCGCGCCAATCCATCTTACCGTTTTGGGAAGCGATAAACTCTTCGACATATTCGAGGTCCTTGCTTTTCGCGAGATTAATGGGGGTGATGACTGTTGTATCTTTTCCAAGGTAGCGACTTTTGAAATGCTTGGTGAAGCGGATGCCATCTTGGACATACTCAGCAACGCGCTTTCGATCAATTTCGCCGTCGTTGTTGTTTCAGGATTTTCTCGTACTGTGAAACGGTGGCGTCGCAAAAGGCGACAGCTGTCGTGTCCTTCAAGACTTGGTCAGTGGAAGATGTTTCGAACACGTCGCGTGCCACCTTGAAGATGTACTGCAAAGCCTTGTCCTTGTACTCTTCCAACGCGACAATGTTTCGTTGTTGCTGCGTGATCATGTACATCAGTGTTATCATGTGTGTCATTGGAGTGCTAAGATGTTGGGAGACGGAATCGGCGTTGAAGATCATAACTTTTTTTGCCCAAAGTGTGGATGACATGCTGTAGAAAGGGTCGTTTTCACCTTGGCTGAAGTTTTCCATGCGAAACTTTTTGCTGCAAAGCCATCAACGTTGACAACGAGAAGTATGGGCAATTTTTTCGTTTCCTTGACAACGTACAAGCAGTAAAGCATTGCCCTCACAATGAATTCGTGGGTGATCTTGAGTTGGAATTCAACAACGATCGGGGGCAATCCTTGACATGTGTCGTCGTTTTTTGGGTAGTAAACGGTGTCTGCGCGTTTTCCTTCGTCATATTCCGTTGGGCCATGATGATATGCCGTTCCTGTGATCGCATTAGCAAAGAGGAATCGTACAATCACATCTTTGACAGCATCGTCACGGAACAGCTTCTTGCACGATCCATCTGTTCCCGGTGTCATGGAGAGTGCAAGCTCATAGAGGTCTTCAATTTCATCTGCATCCAGGTCTCTCACGGAAGTCGTTTTCGCAGTATTTGTTGTCATCGGTTCCAGCGCTGAACACGTTACCGCTGATGTAGTGCCTGCCGTCAATGTCAATGCTCTTTGACAATAAGAAGAAGGGAAAGACGCACACACACACGCCAAAAAAAAAAAAAAAAAAAATGAAAAGAGGAGCCTTTTCCGGTGCTCTCGTTACTTTCGTTACTTCCGTTACTTCCGTTACTTTCGTAACTTGCGTTACTTTCGTTACTTTCGTTACTTTCGTTACTTTCGTTACTTGCGTTACTTGCACTTCCTGAAATCCTTAGCAAAACCTGTCTGGAATTCTCACCGACACCATCTTTACCATCTTACAAAGGTGTCACGAATTCGTCTATTGATTTGTGCTTGCCGAGAAATTTTTCTGTAGATCTTTGTGATGGCTTGTGTCGTTGTATGTTTGTATCATAGCTATCTGTTCACTTTCAATTTACGAAGACAAAACGATGTCCAATGTGCCAATTTCAAGATGACTCCATTACATTATTCAACTTAGTCCAAAGCGTAGCTATTACATGGGCACTTTGTTTCGACATTTATCCCAGCAATTGAAGGAATGCGAAACGAAACCTTTGAAGTGACTTTTGTCCACACTCTTACATGCATCTGTAATTCTTTTTGATAAAGTGTCCTCTTGTAAAAATCTATGACGCTTAACCTTGCTCTTTGCTACAGCCCAAAATTGTTCTATTGGATTAAGTTCAGGGGAATAAGTAGGAAGATAAACACACTTGTATCCTCGATACTCAATATACTTCTTTATGTTTTCATGCGTGTGAATGGGTGCATTATCCATGACTATGTAGTGGCCCTTCATATGTGGATATTTGTCCATTTCATCGAGAGTCATTTTCAAGAAACTGATATAGTGGCCTGTCACGGTTCCTGAACTAACATATCCTTCAGCCTTTCTCTTCTTGGCAGGTCTCGGTTTTTTTACACCAACATTGATCAATCCTGCAGCAGAGATGGCACCTAATATAGACGTCGTGTTTGTTGCTCTCGTTGTTGGCCGGGTAACAATAGCACGCGTACCTTTTCTAGACCAAGCTCTTGACCGTTTCATATTGATATCGAAGGCCGACTCGTCAAGAAACACACAATTCGTCAAAAAGTTCATGTCTGTGTTTTCCCATTTGCGAACCCAATCGTACCGCTCCTCAATCTTCGCTTGACTGTTTCTTTCGATGGAATGAAAGTCAGCCTTCTTCAAGGAAAGATTGCATTCGTTTCTCATGAAATTATAAACTGTGCTACGCGAAACTTTCAGGTCATCGAAGCGGCTCAACAAATGGTCAGTCACTTCAGCAACAGAAGCAGATGGGTTTGCATCAATGAAGCCGACAACAGCTAACTTATGCTCGTCAGTCAAAATACATTTACGACCAACCTGCTTACGACTCTCAAAAATGCTATCAGGACACGCGTTATATTGCTTCACCCATCTCTGCGCGGTACGAATGTGAATGCCCAACTGCTTCGCTGCAGCTGAGGCGCTCATACACTTTTCAATCTTCAGGTCGAAAAATCTAACCTTATCTTGAATGGTATAACGCACATAATCACGTTTGACATTAGCCTCCTTCATTCGAATGTCTTCATCTTTTGGCCTTTCTATCAGCATTGGGCAACCTCGAGATAACCCACCAGAGGTAGCATGCTCCAAGTACTCACTGTGAGTCGCAATCGTCTCAACAACAAATTCATCCTGATCAACAATGTACTCCATGGGTTCAGGACCACCATTCTCATCAACGACATTTCCATGCCCATCCTCGAACAAAAATATTGTGCTCATGTTAAAATGTAATGATTGAAGAAGAAAAATAAACGAGCGGATACAGATAAGCCTTCCTTTATATTTTTCGAGTGCCAAGAAATCATTGGGTGACACGACATCATTTCAAAGCAACGTGACACAGTTTCTAAAATACGACTTCCATTCCTGGTAGCACGAAATTGATGTTGAACCACACTCGACATCATTGTTGATTGACTGGCGACATCAATTTTGACTGTGTACGACATTGCTTGTTGGAATCACTGTACATAACGTCTTACTTTAAGTTATGCGCCACATCAAGCCATTCAAGTCAATTCAAAATATAAGATCGCTTCAGTTTCAATTACCATGCATATCTCCATAATCAATCATCCTTTGAAATGCGTAAACTTAAAATTAAATAGATGTTTAGACATATTACTTGCGGCCTGAGGATCTAGATCGATAGCGTCTTCCATTATCTATCATGCTGTGTTACGTCCATGCGCCCAGAGTAGTAAACGATGCTATGCAAAACCAAAAAAAAAAAATGTGATGGCAAGCAACATATCAATACAAAATCTGCATAACGCCGCACAGCACTCACTGTTTCATGTGTCAAATTCCTAATAAAATGCATCTTATTCAAAGCTGTTCTTTTTTCACCCATTATTTTTCATTACGTAACTGTAAAAATGGGGCTCGGATCGTTCACGTTGAGCAGCCATATTCTTGAGCGCAGACTGAAAAACGGCATTGCAAGCGACATAGTTGTATCGGTGCCGGCTTAGAATAAAGAAAGCAAACTCCACACACTGGTGCTGGATCAAGTCCCGTTCTTTCGCGCTCTGTTTGAAAATTTCCTGGAACGTCGTTAGATAAAATTGTTTTACAATTTCCAGACAACCCTTGGATCACCGCTGATGCCTTTCAGCTCGTATTAACTTGGATTTACGGCCGCGAAGAAAATGCTTTTAACGGGACGAATATCCTGAGAATCCTATCTCTTCATACTTTGAGATCCAAGCACTTGCGGGGACATGTCTGGAATGGATGATAAAGCACATGGAATCCGACGATGTGCTCGATTATCTAAAATAAGCTGAAGACAATGTGCTCGATCGCGTACAATTGTTGACGAGGGCAGCCCATCTTACATGGAGGATCTAATTAGAGGAGTTACTCTAACGTACTTATGCCGCGAAGCTTTTACCATGGAAGATGCCGTACTTACTACACTTTCGCCAAACTTTCTGCGAATGATAGTCGAAAATGGCACATTCTGGGTGGAAAGGTAAATACGATGTGAATGAAAACAAAACTACGCTCATATTATACCTTATTGATACAAAACAGTACGACCAATATCAGTTCGTACATCGCATGTTAATGTTATGGTTCTCCAAAAGGCAAACTATGAGGGAGGACGATATCGTCTACGTAGAATCCGCACTGATATCAATTTAATATATGAATATGTCAATCGACCAGTTGAAGGCAATTGAGAAGCACATAGATCCGTTTACTGGAAACCCCATTGTCGCCAAAAGGGCCTTACAAGACGCGCTTTGGAAGCAGATACAACTGCAGGAATCTGTCCTGAAGGCTAATCGCCTGGAGATCGGACTATGCATGAAATCGGAAGACTGCAAGAACGATAGTGACCTATTATCAACATATTATATAATTGGCCAAGAAGATTCAACCGACAAAGGCACTTGCTCAACCCACTTGGAAAATGGTGCGCTTATCACAGCTGAAGCATGGAGTAAACCTGGGCTGTTATTAGATCGTAAGAATGTCGGAGCGACTGCTCCCAAGTCGCCGAAAGGCTAAGTGCAATCAACATCCACCTTTTCGCTTGGGATCGAATTTAAAGACGTTTCTTCACTGCAACCGGGCACCCGGTTGTTATCAAGAATTTTTTCTTACCCAGGGTAAGTCTCCATCGTCATTATAGCGACGGATTAATAAATTGCAAACTAGGTCTTACTATCAAATCCTTCTTGCGAGAGGAGCAGATGAAAACTTCGTATTATAATGCGCCGCCACTCGTTGAAAGTTCAGGAGTATTATAGCTCTTGTAAAATCGACTATGTAACGGTATCCTCGATTGAGGAGCTTTACCTAAATTACAGGCCACCTTCTCGGTCGTCCTCTCTTTATATGGATGCGCGTGAAAACATAAATGCGTGGTGCAAGCTCGTTGTTTCTTTTCTTTTTTTTTAAAAAAAATACTCCAAGTCTGAAAGGCGAATTTTGCTTGTTTCAGAGCAAAACCGTTTATTTTTACAGGAAGGCAATGCGTAATATTGAAATTCCCTGAGTCATCAACCGATTTTAGGTAACCAATAGTACCTGTTGCTAATAGGATCCCAAAGGCATCGCCGATTATGTCATCCCAGGACTAGAACTTGAGGCGAACAAAACTCCCAGTAAGGAGGATCTTCGAACGAACGAAACTCTTAGTAAAGAGGATCTTGGCATCTCTGTATTGCTCGATTTAATGTGGAAATGATCGGATACATCAAAATAATAAACAAAAGAAATATTGAAGATTAACAGTCTTCAGGGATACTACGATACGTTTAAGAAAGCGAGAACAAGGAAAATGTGCAATACGATAGATTTCGTTTTATATATCTGATCTCTATACTGATTGCGACTGAGGAGAGCCTAATCTTAAGCCTTCTCCTGCGCATACAAATCAAATGAAGAACGAGACCATTGAGCAATTCGATACCCGAGTGTTACGTTCGTCTGAAAACTACAGGATGGTTGCCGGTGTACAGTACGAGTAATATTGATTGCTTAGACTCTTTCGCTGAAAGCGTTAATTCTTTAGTTTCCCTATGACTACCTATAAACCTGAAACAGGTTGATCGGATGCCGTTCTACAGTATATATTAGGCTGTTCTGCGTTTTATTGCACCTATTGATCAACTGTGTGAAGTCAATCGAAAGAGGAAGAGAACAGGTTTTGATAAAATTGTGACGTATAACAAGTTGTGATACATACTGTATACAGGAAGTACCTTGGCTTGGTACTGACCAGTTTATATGCAGCCTTTAAAATCAACTTTGATGCATTACGCAGTGTAGTTGTCATTCATTGTTTCATGAGCCATAATAATAAAACTGAGTCATCTAGACTCCCATTCCTTTGCCCTACATTTTTACACAGCAGAAAGCCATAACAATATATGAAAACCGAACTATTTGCGTTGAGAGATCATATCTTTGAGCGCGGTCTCCAAAGTGGTATTGGCAGCGACATAATAGTAACGGTGCCGGCATGGGACAAAGAGTACAAGCTCCACCGACTGATCCTGGACCAGATCCCATACTTTCAAGTTTTATTTGAAGGCAGCTTCCAGGAAACATCTTCTGACAAAATCACTTTGCAGTTCGACAATCCTTATATTACCGCTGAAGCATTTCAACTAGTGCTAAATTGTGTTTATGGCCGCAAACAGCTCGATATCACCGCCGCAAACGTTCTGGAAGTATTGAGCCTTTGTTCGTATTTCCAGCTCCATAATCCGGGCGACGTGTGCATCAAGTACATCACTGAACATATAAGGTCTACCAATGTACTCGATTATCTAAAATATGCGGAGGACAATTCACCGTATGGAGAAGACCGCATTTACGGAGCTGGTCTAACGTACTTATGTCGCGAAGCTTTTGACATGGAAGATAGCGCACTTACTACGCTCTCGCCGAAGTGGCTGCAAAAGATAGTTGAAAGTGATACATTCTGGGTGCCAAGGTAACCCTTATGCATACATTTAAGAGAAAAACCTACGCTCATATTACACCATACTGACGTAATACATGATAGTGAATATGATCGATATCAGTTCGTTCATCGCATACTGAAGTTATGGTTCTCCGAAAAGCAAACTATGACTGAGGTCGAGATCGCCCACGTAGAATCCGCTCTAAGTTCTGTTCATTATATGAATATGTCAACGGACCAGCTGAAGACAATTGCGAAGCGCATAAACCCATTCACAAAAAGGTCGATTGTGACTGAAAGGAGCCTACAAATCGCGGTTTGCAAACAGGTACAGCTACATGAGTCTATTCTAGCAACTGGTAATTCGGAAGCCGGACTGTGTGTAAAGCCTGAAGATTATACGGACAGTAGCCACCCGGAATCTACACGTTGTATAATTAGCAAAGAGGATTCAATATTTCGCAAGGTTCAGTCTACGGCGTTGACGAGTGGAACACTTGCTACAGCTTTCGGATGGAGTGCACAAGGTCCGTCGGCAGGTCAGAGGGATAGCGAATCCACTGCTTCTGAATTGCCAGCAACATATCTGCAATCTCTATATCCTCCTTTTCGCTTTAGCACCAAATTCGATGGCGTCTATTGGTTGGGAAAAAATCGCAGCTTCTTTTCAAAATGCGTATTTTACGCAGGGTAAGCATCCAACCGTTTGTAAGATAGGAGTTACGAATTGTCATTTTAGGTCTTGTTATCAAATCCAACTTTATCACTTCGCGGAGACAGAATTTAGTATTACTGTTCGCCGATACTCCTTAAGTTTACAGAAGCAACAGAATACCCGTCAAGTCGAATACGTAATATTATGCCCAAATTTCGTGGATTATTATTATGATATGCCGTCTGCTCAGTCATGCTCTCTCTATATGGATGCACGTGAAGACATAAAAGTATGGATGAAGCTCGTTGTTTCCCAGTCTGATACGAACACCTGGTTTGACCTGTTTCAGGGCAAACCGATCATATTAAGGGAAGATAAGGTAATATTTTGATTTTCGGTTTTCATCATCAAATTGTGAAGAATGACAGTACTTTAATGCGGTAATTAGTACACCAAAGGGATTAGCGATTTCAAAGTCACCAGTTTTATTACTCAAAACAAGCCTCCTAATCGCGATGACTCGGGCGAAATATACTTTCGCGTCTCCATGTTGCTGGGTTTGATGTAATGATTAATCCGTTATGGTTTCGTGCAGCCGAGCATGATAGTAAAAAGAAAGATAACGAACAATAGTTGTTCAGGAAATGCGTTATGCTACAAATAAAGCAAAAGTATCCTTTATGTAGTACATTTTGGCTAATAATTTCCTCCTGAAAAAAGAGGTGGGAAAAAATAACTGTCCACTGAATAAATGGACTCAATTAGGAAGACTTGAAATTGAACTTCGACGTACCGTATTGTTGCAAATGGCCATATGACATTTTTTAGATGACTTTTTGACCGTTTCGATTGACGCTTTGTTGGATTGTTATCCTTAGATACATCTTTATTGCACGTAGCATTTTATTGTATACTCGTTGTTGTGGTGCCGTCTAACCGCACATCAGATATGATGCATCCAGCTGCATAACTGTTATTCATTGTTTTATATGTCAAATCAGCAAGTTTCGGAGATACAACTGAACTTACTATAGTTCGATTTAACCGAGTTAAAGATCTACTTTTTTTCTCTTATCACAACGACAAATGGTAGGTCAACTGAATCAATTACTCAATTTGAGCGATCATTTCTTCGAGCGTGGTCTAAAAGCTGGGATTGGAAGCGACATTACCGTATCGGTGCCGGCTTGGGACAAGGAATACAAGTTCCATACACTGGTTCTGGATCAGATACCGTATTTTCGCGTTCTATTTGAAGGCAAATTTTGCGAAAACACTGCCGAAAAAATCACTCTACAGTTGGAAGACAACCCTTATATTACTCCTGAAGCATTTCAGCTAACATTGAAGTATGTTTACAGCCAAAAACACGGAACATTCACCGACAAGAATGTCCTGGAAGTGCTAGCTCTCAGTTCGTATTTTTGGCTCGATAGTTTAAGCGACCTATGCGTTGATTATATCACGGATAACATGGCCCCCGACAATGTACTCGGTTTTGTTAAATTTGTTGATGAGAAATCATCGTTGTGGTATATCCACTACTTGTCGTATTATCCATCCTAGACTGGTGTTCCCAAACAGGAAAGATCGAGATCTAGACATGTTTCCATTCTGAGTGAGCTTCTTCATTAGAACACCGATTGAGCCTCTTCATCCATAACTTGGATCTATCGCCGAGATCAAATCATACGGGTAAAGCTGTCACATCACAGCATGTGGATCCTGCCTAATACACCTTATAACCGAGGACTGCTCACTGATAATTATTAATTCCGACTCAAGACTAAAGTATAAATAGGCAGGTCACATTAATCGAAATAAAATCATCCAAGAGTCTCAAAGGATTCTCATTGTCTCCTTTGTTCTAAATTCTCTCATATATCACAATCGTACCGAAAAGATGAAATTTACATTGCTGGTATGACTCTTTTGTGCCGCGACGTCTTTTTCATGGGAGATGACGTACTCGTCATGCTTTGGTCAAAACTGCTGCAAAATATAATTAAAAGCGATGCATTTTGCGTACCAAGGCAGGTGCTGCATGGAGATGTGCTCATACGATCATTTATCAGTATCAGCATTCAACAGTGAAAATGATCGGTATGAATACACACTTCGCGTAATGGAGTTGTGGTTTTCTGTTGAGCGGACCATGACTGAGGACGATATGATTCATGTAATATCCCGCCTTGGAATCGATTCGTTACATACATATGTCTAGGGATCAGTTGATGGAAATTGCAAGACTGATGAATCCGTTTACAAAGAGCTCCGTTGTGCCCAAAACAAAATTACAGGACGCCCTTTGGAAGCAGATGGAACTGCAGGTTGCTATCCTAAGTACCGATGAACCAAATGTCAATCTTGAGATGTGTCAATCGCAGATTTGAGCTGACCAATTCTCCCCCATTGATCCGTTTTTCTCATTATGTTGACTCGCCGATGCCCAATTTTTGTTCCCGTATATAGACTTATAAATACTGGCTTCTGTTTTTTTATAAAACCAGTTTATTAAGTGAGGTACAGCCATGTCAAGAGTAAAAAGGGAATAAAGAAAAGCAAAATAATGACTAAACTAAATGGGCACCATGGCGATGGTTTTTTTTTTTTTTTTTTTTTTTTTTACCTTTTTTTAGGTCTTCCAGCCTGTGGTGGGATCAGGTCTCGTCCCCTTTTCCTGCAACGTCTAATTTCGTCCCACCGCCGTCTGTATCTTTCGCTGTCTCTCTGTTGCCATCCTACAACATGCAGGCATCTATCGATGGAAACAAATTCACACCAGTCCAAATCCCAAAGTATCCATCGCTTTGAAGTGAGCTCGTCCCCGCCCCCGCCTCCACCTCTTTTCCCCACCCTACACATCTTTACCATCCCACCTCTTTTCCCTATCCACCTCTTGTTCCTTCTCTACACATTTTTTTTACCCCATCTCTTTTCCCCCGGACCCCCGGACCCCCGACACCCCCGACACCCCCACCTCTTGCAACTCACTTCGCCACAACTTCTTTTCGGAACCTGTCAGTAGAACTGTCCGTACCAGATACCGCAAGGTAGGTACGCGCGGGAGAGATCTTACGCGGGACTACTTTCTTGGCAGGACTAATGTCGACGTTGCCGTACTTTAGAAACTCCACCTGATCCCTACCACGCCCGGCAAAACCTTTCTTTTTTTTTCTTTTTTATTTATTTTCTCTCTTCATGTAGCCATGGTGCCCTATTCAAATGAAAACTGCATAAAAAACTTTTAGTAATGCTGCAGAAACCTTGAATGTGAGCTACTTACTATGTACAATATTGCAAACAAATGACTTGCCATGGCTGTCAGATAGGGTCTTGACAAAGTCAGTTTGATACATATTTATCCCTAAAATTTATGACGCTATGGTTATTACAGTTCACAGACAAAAAAAAAAAGAGAGGTTGCTTACTTATATGCTTGGATTGACCCCAGGATTGTTTCTCCTTGTCGTTATACTAGAGATCGCCTTACGTCTTAAGCCAGGAATCAAGTGTCATTGAAAATTCCGAATGCACAGCAGATTCATGTTGCGTGGACGACGAGATGAAGATCGCCATGAGCGGAATTACGGAGAAAGACCGAAATTCAAGCTCTTGCGAAATGATGGGCGACTTGCTGTGTATTGTCAATGGATGGACGACGCAGAGCGAAAATTGGACACGGCGCGGATCCTTCTTGATAATCCTAGAATGCGGCGATTTGATTTTGCATGTTGATCGTCCACTTTTCGTTGTCCTCGTTCCACGACAGGAAAAAACTCTTCACTGTCGGCTTGCAAATTCTTTATCGCATGTATAATGGCAGGAATACTATAGCGATACTACACCGATCAACTTGAACCTGCAGCTGCTTGTAGCAGTTGTAATGGACTTACCTCCGATTGTAGATGACTGCGCGTGTGTATAAGCAAATTTGATCGTAATCGTACTGATTCCTGATGATATTTGGTCGTAGGTGGTGCACATTTGGAAGACGCGGAACTTGTTGTAAAGCACGCGATCAATAAAGCACACGATCGTTAAAACACACGATTACTAAGCCAACATCGGGCAGGACACGGTCTCTTGTTTTTGGAGCTTGATACGGCGATTCAAATTTTTGGCGTGGTGACCACCCATATTTCGTTTCGTTCAGCGGCTCCACAGATATCCCTTCACCCCTGGTGTACGAATCGTAATCATAGATAACGCAATAGGGTGGCTATATTGACACTGCAGAGATTACTTTAAATCTGAAGCTGTTTGAGCAGTTGTTGTAAACTTACCTCCTATTGTTATGTGGCTGCGTGTGATTGTGGAACGAGATTTCTTGATCGTACTCTTGCTACTGCGTTGACACGCTACTGGGTTGAAACTGTTATGATCTTCAATCTATTTTGATACTTACGATATGGCGATTCATATGGATAGATGGTTTACTTTCACTTACTTTGCATCACTGGTTCTCGATCTTGCTTTGTTTATCCTTCTTTTCGGCATAAGTTCATGAGGATTATTGTAAAGCTGATAAACAATATCCGGGTTAAATCCAGTTTTCATGCGTAGAGGTTGGTGCCTTGGACTTACTTTTGATGCCTTGACTGTGTGCCTTCGTTGTCCTACCCCTTCACTCGAAAATAACGCTATCATCGGCCTCGTCCTCTTCTGTTTCGTCATCACTTTCTGATCCGATTCCACTCTCATCCACTACTTTTTGCGCACTTCCGAGGAGCGACTCGAGGAAACTGTCTGCGTTTTGCTGCGGATCATTTTCGTCATCTTCTTCGTCCTCTTCCGTGTCGCCATCAGTTTCAACTTCTGATCCGATCTCATTCTCCTCGACGACTCCTTGGGCATTATGCGTTTTTTCCAGCGATTCTTCTGCACGTCCGAGGAGGGAATCGAGGAAACCTTCTGCCTGTTCCTGCGGATCATAGCCGCCTTGGATTTCTGCAGTTGGGGCGGGAGCGCAACCATCAAAGTCCCCGTCTTCATAGTCTGGCAGCTCGGGACAGCCGGGAATGTCGAAACATTGTTTCTTCTTTTCGATTTCAACTTCTTCTTGAGTTTCCCTTGCTCGCTTCTTGGACATCGTGCGATCAGTGTCGTCGGCCGCTGTCACCTGTCGCTCTTCTTTCAACTTGGACTGCTGCATCGTCCACACTTCTTCGGACGGAAAAACTACCTCGTCCCAACCACCTTCTATCATCAAATCAACTTCCATGGCGTCCTCTGCCTTTTCTTTTAAGATCTTTTCGTCGACTTCCTTCAGGCGAACTCCGAGGGCCAACCAATGGGGATCATCGATGTCCATGGCATCGAACCAAACGTCATTGTCCTCTCCTTCGGTCCAATCGATCTCCATTGCGTCGAAAAATACATCTTCTTCTTCTTCTCCTTCTTCCTCGTCAGCTTCTTCAGTCTCCACTAATAAATTAAAATTTTTAGTAACTGGGATCAATGGCAAACTCGTTTTCTACTGTACCTTTGGGAGCTTCGCTCATGGCGGGGTCTGAAATTGGTAAAATCATCAAAGAAAAAGGGGTGTCAGTTATTTCGCGTCCACATGCAACAAAGATGGCTGAGATGTTTTTGAAAGTCACCTTCGCCCGCAGTCTTCAACTTTTTCACGCCGCATGACTTGAAGTCATCGAAGTCTTTGCCGCGCTTAACACGGATAAACGGCGTGGTTGCGCTCACCCACTGCTTTCGCACCGTGCGATGCATTCTGGTGCGCTTTTTCGCTTGAATGTTCTCCTCCAGCGTAAGTTTCTTCATCTTAATAGTAGCTTGCAGCAACTTCATATTGAAGACCGCTTGCTCACGGGTCGTTGATTCGACAGTATGTTCGATGCTCATAGGCATGATAAAGAGTTAGAAAAAGGTAAAAAGATGTTAAATCAATAAAACGATAAGAACGTTATAAACAATAGAGATAATAAAAAAAAGCAGTTAAGGCAGTTAATCAGAAAAAAAAAGCGGGAAAAGGCAGTAAAAACTGAAAAAAACTAAAGAGGAAAGAAAAGAAAAAAAGGGAAAAGGAAAAAGGCCAGAACCCTTATTATGCCAAAATCTTGACAAATGTGCAGTCCCATCGGTTGGATCAAATTCATTGTTATTGTTTATACGCGTTTCCCTGTAGTGGAACGTCCCTATGAACCCTTTTTGCATAGTCTCATATCTCTTTTCTCTGAATTTGGTTTGGGCCACTGATTCAATCTGAAACCCTGATCCTAAAAAAGGGAACAAAAAAATTTCACTCTGAAAACAATCAACTCTAACGAGCCCCCATTTCGATATAAAAAGACGCGGGAAGTCTCAAATCCTACTAAATTGACGTCCACGGAACGAATAGTGCAAGAAAAGTAAAGTATCAAGTTTAGAGACGTACCGCCATGGCCTGCCGCAGTCCATGCGTCAATTAAGGTTTTTCATACCTGCGGACAGTCCGTGTTGTACCCGATTTTGCCGCCACAAATGCATGAATCCTGTCATGATATCCCGTTTTCAGCCGATCAGTCTGTGATTGGTATCTCTGCTCTTAGGTAATATGGTTTTGCGACATTTCACATACATGATAATTTCGTGACCATTGTTGGCATAGAGCCCACTTTCGTTCCTTAGCAATCCGAAAATCGGATTCATCAGTATAACATAGCATCAGCGGCGTCTCCTAGGACCCTTTAATTTTCGATCAAGCCCATCCATCGAGCTTTACTTGCCAGGCAGGCTTACAATTTTTTTCTTGCTGCTTCGACGTTTTTGAACTTGCTGATGAAGGATGTTACTTCAGTTTTGTTGGCAACACGGAAGTTCTCCCTTGCGGCTGCCCACATTGTTACATTAGGGAGCACCCTTATGCTTCAAAACAATCATAAGCGTATATCATGCTTACGTTGTCTTGCTGCGGATGCCTGATTTCGATTGCTGGCGGTAAGGACAGCAAGTGCCGCATACAGAGGGTGGAGCATGCCGCTGCGCTTTATATAAAGGGGATGCCCTTAGGGTCCTGAAAATAAAAATAAAAAATACATCCGCTCGGAAGTGCACACCAAAAAGATGCAATCTCTAGTAATCGTGGCAACAAGCATCAAAGCTGGCATACTTTTGATTTCCTGCAAAGATCTCTGCGATTTCTCAGCGTTTCACAGCGAAGGCTCCCGTGCCCCGTTGTTGGTGAATTTCTCGCTATCTTTGGCACGCTGAAAACCGTGCTGATGGTTAAGCCTTAACAATTTCACAGCGAGTAGGTCACGGATGCTTACTATCTTCAAATTTCTTCAAATATCTTTAAGCCTTCATTTCTCCATCAAGGAAAAGGAACTATTTTATTTCAGGGCGTAACAAAAACGGAAATTGGGTCGCTTTGTTTGTGAGCTGGGTTCAAAAAGTTTCTGATTGTGTTGCACGGTGATTTTGACCAATCAGACTTTTTTCGATAACCGCGTCAAAATAGGAAACTGTTCAGTGTGCGTGATTTTCGTGTCGCTTCACCATGGAACACCATGAATCCAACAAATCAGCCACCTACAACTCAAAGAAACTTCACTATGCGAATCTTCATTCACAACTTGAACAGTTAGAAAAAAACATCACCCGTCTTCAAAGCAACATCAAAGTGACAGCAGATCAGGTGCCCTCATTCAGAAAAATGGCAAGCGTTCATTCAGCAATGTAACTACAGATTAGATGGATCAGTGATCAATGTGATGTTGATTGGTTTATTATTCCTAGGTTTATGGCTGCTTCTAGAGTGATGAATGCACCTTCGGATAATGTAAATAACCCCGGTCAATCCGCCAAGAAACCGCACACTTCCTGAGCATCGTACGCATCGAGCCCGATCCGTATAAAGACGACTCCATTCAAGCATCAGCATTTGTTCCATAGTCATTACCACAGCTTCATATTCTTTTTTTTTACTGTAATATATGATATCTTTTAACCGCAGAAAGTTTGTTCATGAACATGGGAAGAGAGAGGTACCTGCCTGGTGTCATGCGCTTCGGATCCACCTTATCCTGCTCAGATTCTTATCGCAGCGACGCTATTGTAACCATATATCAATTCACGCTGCTTGATTTCAAAATACAAAAACTGCCAATGATTCGCATCACCCATCCCTTTGACACGTTCGAATCCTCGTATCTGTTTACTGAAAGTCAGTCTCCGGTAAGATTGGAATATTTGTGATCAACGCCGAATATCAAACAAATAACGATCTTACTGTGGTAAACAGGATCTCAAAGGTGCCGCCGATAGCGATATTAAAGGTGTTATTTCTCAAAACCAGAAAAACTTTATCCGGTTAAAAAGCCTATGCGCGTTTCGATCTTGATGGGTTTCAAATGATTGTAATCGTACATAGTTTAATTATGCTTCTCGTCGGGAAATGGGAAATCGGCTCCTCAAAGAGGACCGTCAGCAGCGCCAACGATCAATGTACAGGAAGATAATAAGAGAAGCTGAGAATGAAGGCTGCTTCATGACCATCTCAGTTTATGGCATGAAGAGGGGAGAACAGTGGATTATGCGATGACGTAAATAAATACCCCCTACATGGAACTGATTATCAATACTTCATACCGCTAGCAGAAAGCTTGAGGAATTTGTTTTCTCGTGCAGCTGGATTAATACCCCATCTTTAACAGTTCAAATGATATGTATCAGGTCACACGTCGTGTATTGAACTTATGAGCGAACTATGGCTCAGAACCATATGGCTCATGAGGATCCCCTTAGGAATAGTTTGGCCGAGATTTTTTTTGGGCATCCCGATTTTTGATAATTGTAGCCTGATACTCATTCTCGTTGAGCAACTGCCAACGATTGATACCTACTGTAACACGTCAATAATAAAAGAAGCGATGACAACGACTGTCTCATGTTGTAAATAAAAACGTGAACGGGCAATATATGCGGTAAAGATCATAGCCTCGATTATATAACGGATGAGTTTCTTTACAAATAAGCCGGGAAATGTTTGAGAAATCAGACATCCTGATGACATTATCAAGGTGCAGAAAAGTCGAAAAAAAGGTCCAGATTGTTTACTTCATTCCAGTAAAGGCAAGTGGACGCAAAAATCAGTTGGCATTATTTACGGTGGTACAACAAGGCTATCTGAGTAGAACTTCACTATTTTCGACTTATTTACCCGTTTTGGGTACGATTACGCGATCTAAGCACTGATTCGGTTTCAATCGATGGTAATCGTTGCTTTTGTATTTCGTACAGGTTGTATTTTACTATCCAATCTGAGGCATGAATGAACATATCGGTAATGTTCCTAACGTGCACATGGACCCTGATTTCATGTAAGTTTAAGCAAGCAAAAAAGGCAGCATAGGGCTAGGGCATTGCCAATTCATGCGTTACGATCGAACCACATTCTGCAATTAAAATTGAATCATTAATATGCTGACCCAGTAGTCAATGCATTGTCGATTATACAGTGTACGCTTCTAAACTGCTTGTTGTGTGTGCTTGGTAGCAATATATCAGCCATTCTTACGGGCAATAGCAACCTATGGTAATGTATCATGAGCGAATTATACCTGCAAACAAGATTGTGAAGGAGTTGTCGCCGTTTATCTGAGAAACGGGGGTCTTCTCTATGATTTTAAAAAAGCTGGGCTGTCCAAGATCGTCTCCATCAAAGGAATCACGGGGGCGGAGGAACAACAATAGCTGGATGTTTCGGACACTGAATCATTTTTGACCGTGCTGTGGGGGGGGGCAAGCGAAATAAAGATGTCATTGACATGGTCCCAACTGACCCCAAGTCCTCACTCGATATTCAATGGATAATCCGCGTTAACTGTTGGAATGAATACTGTCCACCTATTCATTGATATATTCATTCAGATACTTTTAGAAGTTTCTTTCCAATTCTTTGCCTCCTTTTTTTCTGTCTATTCTTTACTTTTTCCGTTGTGGAGATGCTCCTAATGAAAAAAAAAAAAAGAAAACCTCCCATACCTGCGTCCAAGGAAAAGTGTACCCCGCAGCTCCGAGATTTCTTTGCCATGAAACCCATCCAAGGATGCCGTCATCTGTTTAATGACACGACGTAATGGATGATGCGCCAAAGTTTTGAAATCATGTGTTTTCTAGTTATTGAGCCACTCTTTCATCGATTCGAAGTCTGGTATGTTCTTGTTGATTTTTTAAGTGAACACTCTTTATGGCTAATTATTTTTCAGCAGCCCCAATATGATTTGTCGACATTTAACGGTAAATGCGAAGCAAGTTAACTTTCAAGTGAAATTTGCCTCCTGTCGTTGATGGTTTTCTATGTATAGCCACGAGAAATATCCACCGTTGAAGGCTGAGTGGAGAAAAGCAGGTGAACCATTCCCTGAATGTAGGACCAAGCGCTCAAACAAAAAGGCAAATAATGCATTGGTAATGTTTTTTTTTCATGCGTATACAGATATGTGTATTTGCCCATATTGGACCTATGAAATATAAAGTGTTGTATAGTTTTAATGGTTCGCTTCCTCTTCCGTTAATAAGGGCAGGCATGCAGTTGCCAAAAAGCGCTGTAACCTGTCACAGTCTCCTTAATGCATTGGATACTGACCTACTCCTCTTTGCTCTTCTATTTTTCCTAGACGGTGTGTGTGGGTGCTATCCCTTCATCCAGCCCACCCCTACCACTTGGCTAATCTTTGACCTACTTCCTCCTATATCTAATTTACCTTAAGAATCCTGGTTTCACAGTGCTCTTTATCCTTCGAAGCTTTTCTTTTCCTTTATTATCTTTTTTTTTTCTTTCGTTTAGTCACAGTCATTTAATTTTACTACAATGACCCATCTGAGTGACTTTAGTTTTCTACGTAAGATGACCGAAATATTGGGATGCGTCCATGCAATACACTCGCTCACTGACCATCCATTAGAACGAATGGTATCGCTATCATACCTTTTCGTGTGGTACCTCTATCGTGTTTGGACATTGGATCGATTCAAGTGTCTCAGCCCGAGCCGATTCCGACAGGGTGAACTAAAAAGTATAGTAACGCTACTAGTACTATTTATGTTACCGTTTCAACTGTATTATGGTAAATGTTTTCTACTTGTCCGAAAGCAACAAGTATTAATAATCGTCACAATATATTGTTTACAGACGTTACATCCTGTAAGATCAAGTACGAAGAAGGATTTGTCAGTGTGTTTGGACACATATTCACCAAACCCGAGAGCATGTGGACCAAAGCAGATCAGGATCTTGTTATTCCAACAGGTATATTAAAAAAAACATGTCGTTGCTTTTCATTTCCCAATCCACCCGTGCTAACTTTATCACAGATTATAGCCTCTGCATAGGATTTTCGCTTCAAACGTAAGCAACAGGATGCATTTCTATTTTTAGCAATGTATGCGAATGTGGATGAAGATCTTGACGATCTAACGATCTACCTTCCTTTACAGTGGCACTCTTCTCTTGCTGCAATGTTTCTGGAATTACTTGGCTAATTCCGTGGCCAAAGCCAGCTTCATGAGTAGCAAGGAATTCTTATTCTACATTGCATGGTAAGTTGGGTCGATAATGACATGAGGAACAAGGGATGCCCAAGGGGAAAAAAATCGACCCAATCAAGTCTTTTTTCTTCATGCGATAAATTTTTGGCCCAATCAGTTGTTGCCTTTTCCTCACCCTGAATTCTGTTACAGGACTTTTATCAGTTTCATCACTTTCCCCGTCTTGCAGTATAACTTCTCAAGAGATATTTACGATCCGACTTGGAAAGAAATTATGCCGGAGCTTGCATACGGCATTGGTGAGTTTCCTGATACATGATGCATGTTTGACACTCAGTTCTCAACTGCTTGCATAACAGAACTCTTCTTTGTCGCCTGTCTGGGAGTGGTGTCTCATTTCCGTTTCCAAAAGTTGCTGAGCAACTCTCGTGAATCCAGCAATGCCCGTTCCATTACTCACAAGATCCGATACTTCCAAGAGCTGAACCTATTACTTGCCATTGTCTTGTTCTTGGACGGTCTTGCCTTCATCATTCTCAGTGCGGACGGTTTAACTGGCAGAAAGACACTCAATGTACACAAATTCTCCGCGGATTTCCTCATCTGTAACAGTATGTATTCATGCTGCATCTTATGCATGTGTCAATGAGTGCTGATCATCTTTTATGTTTGGACGTACTTAGTCAACATGTGCTCCGTTATTACTTGGTTCCTTGTCATCCTTATTTTCCACCCCAAGCCGAACAATGCACAGGCCGATGCTACCATGAACCAACCATCACATGATTTCTTGTCCAACGGCAAACATTTGGAAACCTACCCCAATTCGCCTCCATTGATGATGCAAAATTCCCAGGCGTCCAGCGAGTACTTGCAATACACGAAATCCGTGGCGGTACCTATCAACCAGCCTAGCTTCACTGATCCTCCTGCATTCCAATTGGGTCCATTGCCTCCACCACCGGATGTGACCCATCACAACAACTCGTTCGGTTCCACCACCCCTTCCACCGCCACCCTGGTCTCTTCGCCGAATATGCTACGACGTAACCGCTCCAAGGGATCCATTTCCGAGCGCGTAGAATCCGTTATTCTCGAAGATGGCACGCATCCCAAATCTATGCCAATGCATAATGGTTATGTGGATCAATACCCTCGTTCTGACAGCGAATCGGGCATTGCTGGTTTATCGGATCACCATAACCAAGGCCATCATGACATGCCTCCGCCGGATATGATGGGTTTACAAAATGAAGCCATGGCATACCACCCAATGCAAGGTCATCATCACAACGGCCAAAACTGGCAAATATCGTTGGATTTTGGCAACGATGACCGCCATGGATCCCAGCATAATGACCGATATCAGCCCCCAGAAGATTCATCATGGCTCCATCAACAACCCCGTGGTGGCAATATAAATGGTACAAGATCATCTTAGATTATCTTTTTTTTTTTTTTATATCATTATTTGAATAACGCTCTCAATAATAATGTTTCAATCATGTGCTTTTTCTTCATTGCTGATAACTGCCTCACCCAATAATAACAATAATAATAATACTAGTACTATAAGGATACACAATCTTTAAACCCATATATTTCATGACCATAAACCAGTGCCGTTATTTATGCCATCTTTGTACGAAGAAAAAAAATTCATATGATATCCATCACTTTTGGCACCTGCCGATTAAGTAATGGAAATATCAAACCGCGGAAGGAGAGAATGTTATGATCTCGAGACCGGATTGCGGTCGTACGATCACGTTACGTTCAGACATGTTGAAAATTTCATCAATGTGTCAAAGAGTTCCACTGTAGTGACCAATAAAAATTGTACTCTGACAAAAACTTAATCCGCTTTGCTTTCGTTATATCTCAGTCGGGGAGCATGTTATTCAGTCAAGAGTTTTTTGGTATGCAAGGAGACTTTGAGATGGTCTCTTGATACATTTAATACGACAGGTTTATTTATACAGGAGCTGGGTAGACGGACAAACGCGTGAGCTCATGATCTGCTATTTATTATGAGTAAATAACCAGGTGCTACTATATACAAATAGATACAAGGATGGATCCAGTGATAATGAATTGGTTTGATGGAATTCCGGTTCATCTGAATTTGGCCGGATCCACGACATCAACGTAAATAGGCATATGTTGAGAGATCAAAATTGCCTTTTTTGCATGTCGCGCATTATCCCATGCATGGTGCCATATACAACGGTGTGTTATGTATCGTGGTCAATTGACCACCGCTGTGACATATTAAAAGCAACTTAACCGAAAGTTCAAATAGAAAAATTCGAAAACAAAAAGAGATAAGAGAGAGAGAGAGAAATATGCGGCTCATCATTTTGTCATTGACGAATTGAGATCCTATTAGCCATTTATTTCGGCGTGATTACGTCGTGTAACAATCCCCTCAATGTAATATTGTACAGACACAGGGAGATTGTTTGTCCCTGTTTCTTTTTTTTTTCTTCCACCTTCGGCAATGATACTTACAATGGGCGCCTGTGACCTGTTGCGTTAATTGGGTGTCTTAATCGGAGACTCTTGCGGAGCGATAATGTGGAGAAGCAAAAAAAAAAAAAAGATGAAAAGTAGAACCGAAGCGGCGAATTCCACCGTCATTTTTTTTCTCTCATTTTTACTTTCTATAATTGTCCCTCAGCATCCCTTCTTCTTCTCATCTTTTTTTTCTTCATCTCATCGCATTCAATTTCTTTTTCTTGGGTATCCATGCTTCAACATCTTATCAGAGCATGGATCATTGCATGGTTTTGTATCTCGGCAACGGCTTTGACGATTCCAGCGCGGAGAACGGATTCATCTAATACCATTCGATTATCGCTCACGGCTGAAACGGCAACGAATACTCGATCAAACCGATTCCATCGAAGAAACCAAGCTCATCCATATACCATCCCATTGCATGATCAGCATCACGTCGAATACCTTGCCAACATTAGCGTCGGCACGCCCTCACAATACTTTATGGTTTCCGTGGACACTGGAAGGTACGCTTAGTGCGTGCGTCAAGCAGATGAATCCAAAAGAAACTCAACATTATGTGTTACAGTGCTGATTTATGGGTTCCTTTTACGGATTGTCCACAAGAACAATGCCCATTTACGCGGTTCACCTCGGCGAAGTCCAGCACGTATAGAGATTTGAATATAACATTCGAGGTTCAGTACGGTTCAGGCTCCGCCAGCGGGAAATATGCGACGGATGTTGTGTCCATGGGCAATGCCACTATCCCCAAACAGCAATTGGGTATGGTAAACGACACGGACAAAATTGTTCCTCTAGGATCGTATGCCAGAACCATTGCACTCACTGGCGGTTTGGCGCCGAATGGTGTGATGGGATTTGCATTTCCTGGATTAACGTGTGTGCCAAAAGGCACACCTTCGTATAATCCCTTCATTTTTAATCTTATCCAGGAAAATCTTATCTCCGAGCCATTGTTTTCGTTATCCTTCTATGATGCATTGGGGAGCTCGAATGCGGAATTAATGATGGGAGGCATCGATAAATCCCGCTACTTGGGATCGATCTCTTATGTTCCCGTGACCCAGCTTGTGGGCTCGTACAATCCAAACGAGGCCTACGGATATTGGATGGTCAACGGCCAGGGCGTCAGCATTATTGATACATTTCCCAATGGCACCAGTCTCCTGCACGATCAACGATTTCCTTACGTCCGTGGAATCATTTTCGACACGGGGACGACGCTAACGTACATGGATCGTGATCTAGCCGATTCTCTAATGAAAAACCTAAACATCGACTTCCACTTTGATGACGACGTCGGATTGTACGCTGTGGATTGTGCGATACGAAATTCGACACAACAGGTGGAGTTTCAGGTATCCGATCGCGCCAACATTTCCACCACACCCGTTCATATCCGAATCAACGTCCGTCAACTATTTTTGCCATCGAAGCCATCAACGAAAGATGAAGATGAAACCTGTTATTTCAGTATTGCAGCCTGGCCCGAAGATAAAAGCTCTTCAACCATTTTACTCGGCAATTCGTTATTGAGGTATTTATACCTCGTATTCGATATGGGAAACAAACGCGTTGGAATTGCCACTCCTCCTGGAGTACAAGGAGGCATCATCATACCCACTACTCTCATGTCATTATTTCCATAGAATCATTCTGCTTTCTTTTTTCGTCACAGTTGTTACTGTTAGAAATGTAATTAAATTTGTTCTGGTGCAGTTAACGTGTTGATTTGCGATTGCCAAATCGAATGATTCCATGCAGTGCGAAAAGCGCAAAGAGGTCTGTAATCAAAGAAATCGACATCGCGATACCCCGCATCAACCACAGCTTTGCAAATACGCATATAAATATAAGAGATGTCGCAGTACAAAGATTGCAAGTTCTTCATTGAAAAACACAAGTATACACCAACTGCTCTTTTTTTTTCGTCTTACTTTTTGGACTTTGGCTATTATTCTTTCGGATCAGAGGCGAGTCGAATACTCTTTTGGGGCGCTAATGTATTTTGTTTACAAAAACACGATGGAGACAAATTTGAGGTGCTTGTATTATCTCGCTGCTCGTGACAGCAGGTTACTGAATTTTCACTATCTGTTGCTACGCTCATGCATAACAAGCCGTTGTTTCGATAATTATGGCGATAGATCTTGTCATCCTGAATGACATGTCTGCTTTATATCACTAAAATTTAGCCGGCTTCCATTGTGGCAATTGCAAGTTATTTTTCGATTCATCAGGGCATGATCAGAGTGATTCCAACTCAAACACTCTTCCAGATTAGATAAGCAGATGATGATCTCTTTTTCAAAGTCTATGCATGAAAATGACAGGTAATATAATCTAAATACAATCAATGGATTTAGTTCTTCTCGTCGGAAAGATATTCTTTAAGTTTTTCCAAAGCTCGAAATCGGTGAGAAATGGAATTTTTGATGGCTTTGGGTAATTCAGCATAGCTACCGGAGACAAGGGTAAGTAGCGAGAACCAGGGCACGTACTTGATCTGTGGAATTACTTACGTCTGATCGTAGCCGTCAGGCTCAAAGACAGCATCCCAGCCAAAATCAGTAGGACCACGCGATGGCACAATTTTTCCCTATGACGAATCGAATGAATAAATAGAGTAGGATAGTGTTGGTTGTTATGAATATTTACAGGTGTTTTGCCTTCGAAAATGATGGGCTCATGTCCAGGACCTTTGCAGAAAGCAAACGTGCAGAGGGCATATGCAGACTTGTCGTCAAATCCTACAAGCATACGGTTGAGGCCATCATGACCGAGTAGTTCATTGAACCATTTACTATTTAGGTAAAAGTTGAGTACATCCGTTTTGTACCCGAATCGACGCGCAAACTAATACGTACATGTATGGGCCTGGAAGGCCTTTCATGGCGTTGAAACATAAGCATGTATCTTCGGTGATGCAAGGACCATTAAGCTAAGTCAGGAAGAAAACGAATTGGTGAGTTGATCGATAGCCGGATCCTACGGCGAGAGGTATATGATATGTACAATTTCCGCAGCCATTTTGCATTTTTGCTTGGCAATCTCTTCGGTAGTGCCTTGAAGTTCGGGAACTAATATTTGTCTGCGTCGTCAATAATTCGGTGCATTCGCGAAAGCATAACTGCCACTCACGATCGAGCTTATGTGATTCGACATCGATGGTGCCCGCCAAAATGGACTGCACTTCGGCCAGCTTGTGCTTATTACCGGTGACGAAAACTATAGAAATCCAAGTTCAATGGAATGAAGTTGAATGAGTCTTTGAGACTGATCTACCAAGTTTTCTCAATTCTTTGGCTGCCATTTCCTGTGGATTCAAAGAAAGAAAGAGTTTTGGACAAAAAGGCAATAAAAAATAAAAAAAGGAAATGAGCAATTGACGTCACGTTTCTTGAACTTTGGCCCTTTCTGGTTTGTAAAATTGGGAAACCCCGAGCCTTTTTTACTCTCTGCATTTTTTATTCTTCTGTTCAACGCTTATTTTCATTTTCATTTTCTGCCTTTCATTATTTGTTGTCTTCTCACTTCTGTCCGTGACATAGTACTTCAATAGAAACAAGCACGTGTATATATTATCTTGATTCAACACTCCTTCCGCTCCACGATTCATTAAGAGTCTAATTGCTGATCCTACCTTCACGGTTGCCTTATGAACAGCCACGATTCGCTAGCTTTGCTTGCTTATGCAGCTGACCACCGTGGTCTACCGTCCTCCTCAGAACCTATTTCACCACTCTCTCAAAGCAAATACGACGACGATCAGCTTATTCCAGGAAAGACACAACCGGGATCTTCCAGCAACGCATCCACAAGTGACAGTTTATGTACATCGTCAGACACGATTGAAAATCTTCTTGCTGCGGCAACAATGATAGAAAATAATACCGGTCATACCGATGGTGTTACCAGTTACCATAAGGTCGACAACAGCAGCATAGACTTGCGATCCAAGGACTCGCCCGAAACTGAAATTACTCCATACTTACCGTCGCCCAGCTCGGATCCGTTGGTCCACCACACTTTACATACAGACAACGAAATTTCAGATGACGATAACATGGAAGCAGCGTATGAATCCCCTGATGATGAAGAGCAAGACGACGAAAAAGCAGCAGAAAAAGAAGAAAAAGAAGATCAAAATTTCTTATATGCAGATCTGTGGCACGATATTTACAAGGATGAGCCATCCTCTTCCGTTGACGCTTATCCTGCGGGAATTGATGCCAAGAGACTAAAATACAACAAAGATTTATATAAAGCGTTACCAGAAGGTATGTATCGTTTACACAAAGTATCATGCATGAGTCTACAGGTACTAATCATTTTCTTATCTGTTTTCTTTCTTATTCTTTCTTCCTTTCTTCCTTTCTTTCTCTTTTTTTTTTTTTTTTTTTTTTTTTTTTTTTTTTTTGTTGTAGAGGAGATCTTGGATTCCATAACAATGAAGAAACTGCGAAAACTACAGCATTACAATAAACAAATCATCCGCGTAGACGACACCATAATTAATGATCGAAAATAGTAAAGTGTCCTTCTCACTTCGTCGAGAGTTTCCACCTTATTAACTCATTGTCTTTTAGCCTATCTCAGCAAAAATTAAAAGCATTGGAGAACGAATTACAAGCGCTTCAGCACGGTAAGTTAACTAATACGCATCTCATATATCTATACTTATCCTCCATACGCTATTTCTGCAGGTACCCATACTCCTTACAACAAATTTGTCAAAGAACTTCGACGGCTGCGCAACGAGAAACTGGAACAAGCGAGGCTGCAGATGGAGTATCAGCTGTCACGCATCAATAAACTGCACGACGCCGAGGTACGCTCCTTACAAAAAAAAGTACATGTGAGTGGCTAGAGATCAAAATGGATCGCAGAATGATATTGACATGTATTTCACAGAATAAAAAGGACCCAGCACCTTTGATATCAGATTCCAAAAGGAAGCGTGTCAGGATGGAGGTTCGCAAAACCCCCGACAGCGACTTGGACGGTAAGTAAAATATTGCTGATGCGTTCAACAAAGACCACACTTTTTTCTCCTGTTTTTGTGCTTACCACACGTCGACTGTAAATAGATGACGACAGCAATACGGACACTGAGGGTTTGCATAAAGCTGTATATACAAACGAAAACCCGAAACCAGATCATCCGCAACCTGATGTGCTCGCATCCATCATCAAACGAAGATTTGCTTCAGATCATATCCTTTTGAAAATTTACATGACGCTTAATCACTGTCATTTAGCGCCCTGCTACTAATCCATGAAAATTGAACAGATTATCCTTAACCATCTATCTCTTTCATTACGCGTGAAAGGAAAAAGCAGATTAGGAAACGCGCTTCTATCAAGGAATCCGGAGGAGTTGCAGACCGATCTCGCTGTGATTCGCAAGGTAAAAGATTTTCATCCAACACATCACCGTTTTTTTCACTGAACAATGAAATTTAGAACATCGCTCTCAGCAAGAAATACCACTTGAATACCACTCATCCAAACTGCAAATCATACCTACCATAATCTTTTCTCAGTTGCCATCACTGTATTTTTTGTACAAATATTACCTATTCATGCGCTCAGTAATTATTTTTGAACCTTGTAAAAACAAAAAGAAAAGAAAAAGAATGCATCACCAAGCTTGACTCTTTTGTCATGCATGATACACGTGTATAAAAAAGGTGACCTTTTGTCACAACAATCTTTAACTATATTAAAATGTTTGGGAAATTAGCGATTTGTAGGTCGCATGATCTACACCAAGTTATCAGGACCCGTTAAACCTTTTTTTATCTTTCAACCATGCCTCGCTGCCCACTTCCACGATAATAGGCGAAACAATCAGCAGCAAGATGCCGTTTGCACCAGTTGTGGTCAAACAGAGCATCGTCGCCGTTCACATAAAATGTGAGTGGAGCTCTTTTTTGAAGAAAGGTGATTGACGATACGACGATCTGGTGTTTTGTAGCATCATTTTTCTGTCAATTATACTTTTTATGCCCTTTGATTCTCTTCATTTTATAATGATCGAGAGGTCGGTGTTCATCTTTTTTTCTTCCGGTACACCATTTGGTTCAAGGCGAGTCCAATTTTCTTTTCCTTTGCTATGATGTATAATGAACGTATACTAATTCAAAATTTTTTCAATGTCATATAATCCAAGTCATGTCAAGCGATCAATTACTATCGAAAACTCAAATAACAAAGGTAAGATATCTTGACGAAATTTGAATCAATTAAAGAGCTTACTAACTCATTTTTTTTAATACCCAACATACTCACACATCTTTCTAGATCTATCATAGCCTGGGCGGGATGGAACTGAGGGGGTCAATCAGGGCTGCTTTGCGCGTGTTCAGAAACAAATCACGACGTAAGGGATGCCATAAGATTTGTCGTTAATATACCAAAGTCCGTCAAGAATTCTCGCCCAGGTTATGCCGTGTATGCGTTAGGCTTTTTGTCTGATGAAAGTCGCTCAATGTAAGAGGGCGGCCTCCGGTGGCAGGTGGCATTCATTCCACAGCGGGTGTACGGCTTGTTAGTTCTTATTAAAAAGCATGCAATAACTGCACATCAATGTCTTATCATTTGGTGATATCTCGATCATATTCGCATGATTGGTAAACAATGAAAGAACTTCTTGGTTGGCGTCTATTTTATTGCCATGGAAAGCATATAAGTGATGTATAAAGGCGCGTAATAAAATGGCATCAAGTTGTCATTGGCGATTGGAATAAAAGGAGTACAAGGTATGATGGGATATTACGCAATAAATAAAAAAGATAAGCGCTTCTAGAAATTGCAGTTTTGCACATCGGCAATAAAGAATTAAAACAAAAGAAAAAAAGGGTAAATTGAGGGCATTAATTAAAGTCGTGCTCTTCGGTTGACGCCCAGTTCGATGAGCTTAAGGAACGCCGCAGCAAAATCTTCAAAGAACTTTTGCTTATCCTTGGCATAGAGTTCCACATAAGGCCGGAAAGGCTCTTCGAGGAGAGCCATGTCCGTAGGTAACATCATCAAATCGCCATCTTCATCTTCAAACTGTCTTGGACCGTCCCATTTCTTCTCAGTCCATGTTTGTGTGAGAAGTTGCTTGTAGCTGTTCAAAACAAAAAATGTCAGTACAAATATGATCCACAAAACCAATGTTTCGCGCGGCTGAATCGCACTTACAATTGATTGGAGAATCGAGTAGGTGTCTCGGTCCATGGACCTTCAAAGCCCGATCGATCCCGATGACAGCGGCCGACAGTGTGAGCGCCAATCAGCGCGACAGTTTCCTGAACGGTGAAGCCCATTCTCGTGATAAACACATCAATCACATGGTCTTTACCAAGAGCACCGTCCGGTAGACGACCAATGGGAGGACAATCCATTTCGTTATTCTTGTCACGACGACCGCCAGCCCATGGAATATGGGGTCCACCCATATGTTCAATGGCAACACAGCCAGCAAGACTATGTCAAATACGAAAGATGACCCACCGTGAATTAGCTTTCGTTTTCATTCATATCTAGTCAGAGAAAAAACTTACGTCCATAGATCCGCATAAGTTATCCATTGATGTTTAGCCTTGATGGGCTCCAAAACGCCTCGGGCTACTTCCAAGCCAGCATTGGCACTGTCTTCGGCTTCGGCTTTGAAGCGCATAGTCGCACCATCGCTGCCTCCATCTTTGTGATTCTTGTCGTAGGTACCGCTAGCGTGCCATGCAAGACGAAGTCTAAAAAAAAGGAACGATAAAAGGGGGAATGACGAGCGTTAATGTTTATTCATGTGTTGCCGCGCTGTCAAACTTTAATAACAATGCTTACACAACGGGAGCAAATGAACCGTCGTCATAATCTTCTTTTGGAAATGCTTTGATGATATCTTGGCGAACGGCGTTGTATTTATCGGTGCTGACCTCAGTAGACATGATATAAAAAAGCAACTCTGGAATGGGATATAAAGAGTGGGGAGCAAAAAGTAGAACAGGGACGATTTTATAAGTGCAAGAACCAAATGAAAAACAAATGAGAAAAAGAAAAAAAAAAGGCTGTTTATGTTTACCAATTGGAAATAAATAGTCTTTTTTCTCCGCTGAAATTCTCCTTTTGGTTCCTTGGATATGTTGTGCTGGTTCCGGCTGTCTTTTGAAATAATGGAAGGCAGATAGCCCGACGCTACGTTTTTGATTATGCAATCCAATAAATGATAAGTCCGATTAGTCATTGCCGCATGGGTCATTTTAAACCAGTGCTTGACACTGCCATCTTATTCTTTGCGTTAAACGACAAATTTGCTATGGCATCAAGCTATTTGGTAGAACATCACTGATGAACTAGCTTATGCTTGCTATGCTTGACATAAAAACAATAAGCCCCGGAAAGCAGACTCTTGCAAGGTACTACAGAAATTTCCAAATGGAGGCATTGAATTGGAGACCTCTCCATTCCACCAAGTTCTCAATGACATTTGAAAATCCACAATGTGGCAGTTGAAAGTCGGGCATTCAAACTTTTTTTTTCGAGAATTCTGACACATTTCACAGCACGCAAAAGCTGCAAAACGCTCAAAAATAATCTTTCTCCTGTTGTAGGTTGGTAAAAGACTTGAGATCGATCCCCCCGCCTCCAGTATATGGATGGTTAAATGATTTTTACTTGCCCTGACGTTTAATGGTGTGCTGTCAGCCGTCGGCAGGCTATGACCCGTGACAGCTGACTATCATCACTCGTTTTTTATAAACATGTGAATGCGGAAATCAGTGTTGAACTCGTAACATAGATAACTTCCTGATACTGCACGAGCGACGAGCTTTTGCCTTTGTTCGCACTGTATTCTAATGATAAATATGGGTCCATGTATCCGGATACCAGTATATTTGACAAGATACATGCTTCTCGTTTACCCGCTCTGAGGGAACGCCAATCTGCGTCTCGATCTTTCACATGAATGCGTTACGAGTCTCCTCTCGTGATCAGAACGTACCTTTCTTCAAACCGATCAATATATCATATTGACTTGTCCTAGAAGAGTTCATTTAATCTGTTTCAGGAACATATTAGTAAGGCTCTTTTGTTGCCGTAGCTTGTGTCAATGTAATATACAGCATTGTTGTTCGAGTGAGAGAGAATCGAATCCGTTATCATGTATTGAGAAGACTAGTGTATGAAATATGATTTCTTGCGGTCCAAGATCATTTTGTGACTTATGTTACGTGTCGTTAATGGGACATGCTTTTTCTTATGTTCGCCATAGCGTTCCGAAAACCAGTCAGTTAATACCAATGATTGCTTTGAAAACCTGCTCTTTCAAAGATGTGTAACCGATTTTGCAAATCTTACGTATGCTGATATACGCTGATTAAATTTTATTACAAAACATTGTGTTACGACGATATACACGGAAAACCGTAAGCTTCTTTTATACATTAGAAGAATAGTATCAAAAAATAGGATAACAGATCCTGTAATGATGAGCATCTAAATAAAGTCACGCATTGTATCCGGTGGAATATTGAAAAATTATCATGTCGACCGACCTTCACTACAGCAGTGACATGATTCACGCCGTACAATGCAGCTATTTGCTCATTTGACAGGAGCAAAAATACAGATTTTGCAGCATCCAATGCCCCCTTGTACGATTAAAGCGTCAACCAAAGCTTGGTATAATACATATCATTAAGTTGTCATTATCGTCGTAGCAAGATATAGATCCATTGATTTTTTCAAAGTACGCCGGCAATCGGATATTCCTTAATTTTAAAAGTCAGCTAAAACATGGACCAGAGGTCATCATTTGTGCTGACAGTTTTTTTTCTCTGGGCCAATTCCGAATCACATGGCAGATAAAAAAAAAGTAGCTCCCCCCGCATTGCTCAGATTATATGCGCGTTATTGGTTCTTTCTCTTTCCTGCACTTTTTCTTTACCACTTTGATCGATTGACAGTTACTTGTCTTATTACTTTAATATGTCTGATAACGTCGCTCATGCTCTCTCAGGTAAAACCACGGTTGATATGCCTCCACGTTAAATCAGATCTCATATCAACTTATCTTACTTTAGGTGCCGGTGGAGGTATTGTCTCCATGGCTCTGACCTACCCCCTTGTATCCATCAGCTCTCGCCTTCAAGTTCAAAAGAGTGACCAGAGCAAGGATGCTTACAAGGTAAAATTGATCACTGGAAACCCATATGATGCTTTCGTTATCGCGTGATGAACCACAAGCTGACTTGCAGTGGTTTTCTTAGAACACAATGGACGCATTTTTCAAAATCCTGAAAAGCGAAGGACCCAAAGGATTGTATTCGTAAGTTGCTGTAGAATCGGAAGTCAGTGGGATCATTCATCTCATATCCCGATAGTGGTCTGAGCTCTGGCGTCTTTGGTATCGCCATTACGAACGGTGTCTACTATTACTGCTACGAAGCTGTCAAATCCATCTTTGAAAAGACCAAGGGAAAAGGCAAGCCTATGAGTACCCCTGAATCGATGCTTGCAGGTGCTCTTGCTGGATGTGCCGTGGTGCTTGCCACCCATCCTATTTGGACTGTTAATGTAGGTGAATCATAAAACGATTTCCTTTCTTTTCTCATCCAGGAAGCGAATGGATGGGTCCTCAAGCTCACATATGGTTTTGAACACGACTAGACTCGTTTAACGGTGCGTAAGGGTGTTGATGAAGAGGGTCAATCCAAGAAATCGAACGCATTTGCAGTTGGAGCAAGTATTCTGAAGAAAGAAGGTTTGGCCGGTCTCTATTCTGGCGTGGGAGCTGCTTTGGTGCTGGTCATCAATCCCATTATTCAGTATACCGCCTTTGAGCAGATCAAGAATAAGATTTCCAAAATGAAGACATTGAGCAACCTCGATTTCTTCCTTCTTGGAGCCATCAGCAAGCTTTGTGCTACCGCGATTACCTATCCTTACATGTAAGTTACGCGGACCGGGAATTCTTTTTTTTTTTTTTATATATCTGGCAGTGTCTAATCGAGTTTGATCTCTTTTTTTTTCCGAATAGTGTGATCAAGTCGCGTATGCAAGTGAGCCAAAAGAAAGAAGAGCGTTACACGTCCATTTGGGATGGCTTCCAGAAGATCATTGCCAGCGAGGGCATTGCGGGATTGTATAAGGGCATTTCCAGCAAGATCGTCCAAAGTGTGCTTACGGCTGCTTTCTTGTTTATGGCGAAAGAAGCGTTGTTTGACTGGGCTGTGTGGGTACTCGTGTTGGCAGGCGCTAGAAAAGCTCGTTTAGCCGGAAAATCATAAATGAGCCATACTTTTTTTTTATAGACCTTGTTGTTATCGTATCATTCGCTCTCATTGAAAAAAATATTAAGCTTTTTTTTTTTTTTTTTTTTTTTTGCGCCACAACGATGCCTTTTTGTCACTGAGATCCAACTAATTTCAAACTTCGAAACGGCGTGTGGACCGCTCAAGTCTTGACAGGTCACAGTCCAGGCTTCCCGTTCCACTTATTTATTTGGTGCGCTTTTTAACCCCCCCTTTTGTTTTCCGCTTCTTCTGTTTTCTTTCTTTCTTCTCAAGTTTTCTTACTTCCTACGAAACAAACCAGAGGTATGTAACGACTATTTCATTATTGGGTATGTTGTCAACCGGCATAGCGGAAAAAAAAGTCGCGCTACAACCTGCTGCACACCTGAGACGGGTATGCGACGCGTCATGCTAAGGATAAGGAGAAACAAAAATAAAGGGGGGGGGGGGAGACAACACAGCGATAAAAAAACGCAACTGCCACAAAAAAAGCTGGGAAAGAAGAAGGTTATTATTTCTGTATACCGAGATGGAAGTTAATGCTGGATCCTGTTCGTAGATGGGAGTAGACAGCAAAGGTGATTACAAGCCAACCACTTGGGCCGGCATCAAGAACGCTACTTTGCCCGTTGAAGGTGCCGGTAACCAAACTTTTGATAACCGTATCTTTATTGGCGCCATCGTGGGTATCCCTGCTTTGATAAGCTACGCGTTGGGTTTGCCCTGGTGGTGTTTCCTCCTCCTCACAGTGGTGCTGCTGTTGCCCATTTTGGCCACCACGCTTTATCTGTTCTCTCGTTTTGCTCCCCGTTATCGTAACTTCATTTCTCTTCCTGGCAAGCCCATCGAAGAATATATCACTATCCATGATGCTGAACTCAAGGCTAAATACCACGGACGTAACAAGATTCCCATGGAAACCTTTTTCGAGTCTTACTTTGTTGGCAAGATTGACTTCAATGGCGATCCTCTTGAAATCATGGAACTTCGCCACGACTGGGCTGCTTTTGAATTCACTTTGGGTCAATACAAGTTCTTTTTGACAGAATGGCTTCCCGAGACTTTCTGGCATTCACGTGATCAAGACGAGAACCAAGTTCGCGACCACTACGACCGCGGTGATGACTTTTATGAAGCTTTCTTGGGTCCTTTGATGGTGTACACTTCCGGTATGATTTCTGACCCTACCAAGCGCGAAAGTCTCGAAGAACTCCAGGAAAACAAGATGAAATTGATCTGTGAAAAGGTGCACTTGAAGGAAGGTGAAAAGCACTTGGATATCGGTTGCGGCTGGGGTACCCTTGCCGCTTACGCTGCTAAAAATTACGGAAGCGATTCCACCGGTGTCACCATTGCTCGCAAACAGGCTGAATTCGGCAACAAACGTATTGAAGACTGGGGTGTCAAAGATAAGGCTCGTGTTTTGTGCAAGGATTACCGCGATATCCCTGATGACCAAAAATATGACAAGATTACCTGGTAAGTGGCCTATCTATATATATTCTTGCCATGACCCTCCTTTACTCACTTTTTGCTCTTTTTTTTTCTTTGGTATAGTGTTGAAATGGCCGAACATGTCGGTATCAAGCGTTTCGGTCAGTTCCTTACTGAAGTGCGTGATCGTTTGGAAGATGATGGTTTGTTCTACATGCAAGTGGCTGGTTTGAGAGCCACCTGGCAGTACGAAGATTTCATCTGGTACAGTTTCTTTCCTTTTTTATACAAATGCTGATTATGTGAGAACGCGGAGTGAATAACCTTGGTTCTACAAATAGGGGTCTTTTCATGGGTCGCTATATCTTCCGTGGTGCTGATGCCTCTACCCCTCTTTACTGGTACCTCAAGCAATTGGAATGTGCTGGATTTGAAATTCACAATGTCGATACCGTGGGTGTCCATTACTCGGCCACTCTTGAAAGATGGTACTTGAACTGGATGCAAAACCGCGACAAGATGCGCGAGAAGTACGGTGAAAAATTGGTCCGTATCTGGGATGTGTTCCTTTCCTGGTCTACCATCATTTCTCGTCAAGGCAGTGCCACTTGTTTCCAGATTGTGGCCAACAAGAACCGCAACTCCTTTGACCGCGCCAAATTGATCTGCAAACGCACCGATCCTGCCACCTATAGCACCAAGCGCGCCTAAAAAATGATGAACCTCTCAAGTGGTGATTCTTTTATTACTTTTCTTTCTGCTTTTTGATTGTTTGATACTGAAAAAAAAATTACTGCGCATAATAAATGTGTCTTGTCTATATAATACTACTTGCAAAGTTCTTTGTTGCATTGATAGTGAAATATAATATTGTTTTGCTCTCTTGACTTTATGTTGGTCGGTGGTTGTGTGGAATAACGTCTTTAGCCGGACCCACGGCAGCTAGTGCCCGTCTTGCTCCGGATTAAATGCTAATAGAATGGACTACTGTAGTATCTTCGGCAGTGAGCACAAACATAGGCTGTCAAAAGGTACGAAAACTCATTCATCTATGGTCAGGCGCACCGTCCTTTGAAGGCAACGCTTTCGGTCAAGCCAACGTAATTTGAATCTCCGAAAATGTATGACGACACACCGTCACTTGGGATTTTGCTGACGCGTAGCATACATTGCAAGTCAAATAAGCCGGCTTCTCAGTTTTACTCCTTTTTACGAGAACACTTGTATTCGTTCGAAAAGAAAAAAGAAAAGCAAATGAGTTTAAAAAAGGGAGAAGTTAATCTTGGAGTATGTATTTCGAGTCTCTGTTGTCTTGAAACATCTGTCGATATTCACGAGCCCTCCATTGCGCTATAGACATCTATCATGGCCGTCGCCTTCAAGGACGGTGTCATTGTTGGCGCTGATTCTCGTACCACCACTGGAGCTTACATTGCGAACCGAGTGACCGATAAATTGACCAAAGTTCACGATCGTATCTACTGCTGTCGATCCGGTTCGGCTGCTGATACCCAGGCAGTAGCTGACATGGTTCATTATTACTTGCAAATGTACAGGTAAGTTGGCGCGAGCAAGCCAGACATCACCACTATGGATTGATTTAACTGGATTATTTCAGTGTTCAAGAAGGACAACCTCCTGCTGTACGTACGGCAGCTGCTTTATTCCAGGAATTGTGTTACCAGAACAAGGATGCACTGATGGCAGGCATCATTGTCGCGGGTTGGGATGAAAAGAACGGTCCTTCTGTATACAATGTACCACTCGGTGGTTCTCTACATAAACAACCCTTTGCTATTGGAGGTAAGTGCTCTGATGTCAATGTACTGGTGCAAAGACTAAAACGATACATGCTTACTCGCTTAGGTTCCGGATCAACCTATATTTACGGTTACTGCGATTCAAAATACAGGGATAACATGTCAAAGGAAGAATGTATTGACTTTGTAAAGAACTGTATGTATTTTCAATGCTTGCATTTTTTTATGCGAGATGGTGATATTCATGGACGATTGTAATTAGCTTTGGCATTGGCGATGTCCCGTGATGGTTCCTCAGGAGGTGTTATTCGTATGGCAGTCATCACCAAGGAAGGCGTTGAAAGATTATTCGTACCTGGCGATCAGTTACCAAGTATGTTTCAAGCAACAAATGGGGGAAATTAGCATAAAGAAATGTGTTTATTCATGGTCGTTCTTTAGCACACTGGGAAGGTTAAACGATACGAGCAGTTGATAGTTTTTGTAGATAAATAGGTCACATCGGAAGCAATCGTCTATAAACAAAAAAGACATTGATTTTTTAAGCCTGCAATACCTCTATGTTGTAATCATTGTCCTTTGACATCGTCTTTCTCATTCTACACGGAGTAACGCAAATGAGCATGAGATTGAAAGCCGACGACTACCCCTCTCGGCCAAAATAAGACTTACTCTAAACAAAAGCGATATACGACGGTCTTTTTGAATTGGCTTGCCATTCCATATACTCTCTGTCGCACCAGCAATGGCATGGGTGAAATTGTATCGGATAGTATCTCTTTGAATGTAGAAACATCCGGGCTCCAACAGCACATCCACACGGCATTCCGGGTCTTTCTCATGCTGCAGTGTCATTTTCGCCGGCGACAGTAAACACAATCCAGCTACTACGGATCCAGATGCCTATACCATGTCAACATCTCCGTCGAGAACCGCCTTAGCCATGCAAGATTTACCTCTATATTATCCACATGGCCTCGGATCTCCCCGTCGGGACTTAGATCTGTGGAGACGTTAGACAGGCGGCTCCATAGCAGCACTGAACAATGCATATCAAGAGCCTACCTAGAATATGAGGGTCCAGCCAGCGATAATTATCGGGGAACAAAGAGTATATGCGTTCCTTTACCAATCGGTTCATATAGATCTCTCGTTCATCGTCTTCCCGAAAGCCCCAGTGACTTGCCCTACACTCTTTGTAACCGGTAATGACTTTATCAAAGTGGCCCTGTACGTAAGGAGCATTGCGACCCAGGACTCGTTTTAGTTTGCGGTTGCAGATATCAACGATGCGATCATGCTCTTCCGAACTTAAAAAGTTGGGAAAAAGAATGAAATCGTCGAGAGAGAATGAACCGGGAGCAATAGCCGAATGCTGGGTTGATGTCGCTTTGTTCAATCGATCAAACGTGGGTGAAATACGGAAATATTGTTCGACAACATGGGGATCGGTTTTCAGGTCTTTGTAGGCTTGGGTGTGAATGAATCGGGCCAGTGGCCGGGCGAGGTGACGGAGTACCATGGTTGAAAATTACGGATTCTAAACCAACCGGGTCAAAAAGATGTTCTATCATAGTTGAGCGGCGATAGAAAAAAGAACTTTTCGGTATCGCCCTTCCTCCATCACCCACATAAAAAATCTTAGAGCCCCTACCACCCCCTACCCCCAAAAAAGAATAAAATGGAAAAGAATTTGTTCATGACCGTACTTGGCCGAAGCGTATTTCGAGAATGCTGGTGCACGTTCATAACTCATATTTTGTTGAACGCCAATATTCTGACAACGGCTATTCGTCAACAGAAATTGACAGATGAAAGGCCTTCTTGAAGGACGTTGGCAAACTCGTGTCGTATTGTGGAAACCTTTTACCAGGGCGCAACCAAATCCATGCAGGCACAGGTACCAGTTTTTCCAAACTTGACAATTACAACAATAACGACAGCGTCTACGGTTAGCAAGCTATATTGGTAGTTCATGGATTTGCGCATTTATAAACAGTTAGTCTGATCAAGAGCTTCAGAAAAAAAAAACTTCGTTTATCGTCACATTTGTATGTAAGAAATACAGGGATCAGTGTCGCAGAATACTAGATTTGCGACTTGGTAGAAATGCAGGAGAAGGGTCAAAAGTAGGAATATGGAGGGTGAGGTCCGTTTGGACTCGAAAGTTCAGCAAGTTTCTTGGTGGTGTTTCCCTTCACTTTGAGATTGCTTTCGGACAGTTTATTAGCATCAAGCCTTGCGATGCAACTGTAATTTTTCACATTGGTGTTACAGTCCATTGCCTTTGGAGCACTGTGACAAAGATCACGAGAGTAGCCCAATGCTTGGTGACATCCTTGTTGTTGATTTCTCGTAACTTGGCCGTGGCGCGAATGTGGCGAGTGCTGTGGAGGGATCGGGTGTTGTGGCATCGTTCAAATGGGATATGGCCAGCGCCTGCATGAAACGGAATGCAATTTTTCTGTGGATGTATTGGATGAACCATAACCTTTCTTGTGTGGCATATCGCACAATGTAAACGCGGAGGGGAGGTGGGTGACGTTCAAAGCGGTTTCCAAGGTGTTCTCGCCGGTGGCGAGATATTTCAAAAGAGTCCCAGCCTTCTTTTACCTCCGGTAGCAGGCAGTTATACCAAGTCAAGGTAACACTCTTGAATCGTACCTCCATGTCATCCAGGCGTTCCCTCTCCGTGAATTTCAGATGGTCGGTGACGCTCTTGTATTCGATTAGCCAATCTTTGGCGACTTGAATCGAGCCTCTCCCGAAGACAGGCGCACGAACACGGCGACGTCGTTTCTTGATTTCGTCAGATAACCTTGGTAGAAACAAGGCAATCATAATCAGTTTGATTGACTGCGGCGCGCCATGGAGCAAATGAACTACAGACATCAAATCCAGATATTACTTGACTGTAAGCATGAGATGATGACGGAAGAAATGCGTACGATGTGGAAAGCTTCAAAGAACTCTTTCACACAGGCCTGTCGATAAAACAATCTGGCAGAATCGGGTCGTACAGAGTTGATTGAGGCTGATATCGATCATCGAATGTCCACGTAGCGGCCATGATACAAATTCACGAATGAATTTGACATCACCCGATTTCACACGGCCAGAAGTTTAAGCGATCAAAATAAGAGTCACTGCCTTGTTAACAACGATGAGTTTGTATGTAGTTGTTGCTATTGCTTGCAAAAATGAAGGTCGTCTTAGGAAATTAAAGCTCAATGCGCCTTGAAGGTCTTCAGCAAGTTCCACGTAATCACCCATTTTGTTGGGCAGATTGGGCAGCCATGGCCTGTGTACAGATTACTTGGGATGTTCCACAGCTTGGTCAGCAGTAACAAGTTGATTTTCACAAGGTATGCTGATGGATGTTTGCTCAGCAGCAGTAAAATTCAAAGTCATCTATGTATCGTTGCAGCACACATGTCAGTTTCGATGTCGCGGATTGAGAGGTGAGAGGGAGTCGCCTGTATTCGTCGTGTAACTCACCTATATGAGCCAGGGAATGCAACGCTATTGAATTTTTATTAAATCGTGGGTAGATGCACAGCAATAGGATCACAATCCAGCGAAATGCCTGTTCGTCGCTCACAGTCTGAGTTTAAGAGCATCTTGAAATCCTTGACACCTTTTGTAAAAACGGTAGTTGCATACTGGAGTCGTTTAGTGGGATAGTTTTTGTTGTCTGGTTCGAGTTTGGACAAATTGTCCCTCACACCTGAATGGAATTTGGCCACGTGCTGATGAAAGGTTTCTTTATCCGCATACAATTTCCTTGCACTGAATAGTGGGCACTGGAACTTGCGTTGATTATTGCTCACAGAAACTATGTCTTGAAAAACGAAACCATATCAAACACCCGTTCCTGTCACATCATGCGTGGTTTACTTACTACTTTGGCCCAGATCAGAATGTAAGTCCACTGCATGGTCTTTACTTTGATGGGATCGGAGTGCATTGGGGAGCAGAAAACGCTTTCCTGCAAGATACGCAGACGTTCAACACAAGAACTCTGTATCTATTTTCCGGTGTCCTCCGTCGTCAAGCCATGAGCGGACTATCCAAAGTGATCCATTGACGCGTCATTGCATGGGACGGAAAACCATCTGTATTTGGTGATCTTAAAAGGCCAGTACTGCACCCCGACTGGATATAGGACTGTAGAATTTGTCACATGTTTGACCAGCATTGATGTCTCTGTTCAGATCTGGGGCCACATATCAGCTCATTGACATAAATTCAATAAACGAAGATTTTATTTTTATTACCAATTGTTTCGAAGATTATTTCGACCAGTTCTGAAGAAAAAAGAAGAAAGAGAAGGAAAAAGAGAAAGAGAAGCAAAAAGAAACCGGACTTGTGATTAAAATATATTTGATTGTACGATGCGATCAGCCGGCCTGTGTTAATTTTGCATTCCCACATAAGCAGATCGGTCAAGCTTTGATCCTGTTTGATTCAAGTTTGTGGGCCAAATATCATATTCATATATGCCGAATCTCAAGCTCTTCAAGGATACCACTGCTGCTATTGTTCGTTCCATGTAATATTTTGCCGCCGGCTAGCCTGCTGTGATCATGCTTTCGCAAGACGGCAGTCCACACTTCATCAAGGAACAAGAGGCTCATTTAGTCATTTTTCATTGTAAAGCGTGCAGATGACTAATATAAGTCTTCTAGCTATCAGTGTATCTTTATAACGCAGACGTTAAAGCTACTAGGTGATCCAAAGTGGCCTTCCTTCTTACTTCGAAGATAGGCACAGGTTGCTTCCGATCGTTCTTCATATTGCGTTATGGACGAGTATGCCTACGCCGGCGCATATTACGTGCCAGCGACAGATCAAAACCCAGCAGGAAGCGCCCAAAGACATGGTATTTGTTCCACTACCACCATTGATAATAATGGTAGCCTGTGGGTATATGATATGTCCTACCTTAAGCCAACGAAGCCAGCTCTTACAAAAGTACCCGTAATCATCCATTCTAACGGGACGCCTTGTTAATCGACAACGCTTTGGCTAACAATGCCAAAAAGAAAGGACCTTTTGCCACTGACGTTCACAACGCTGTCATTCGTGGCGTCCATGCACACAGTAACAGAGTTCGTTGTTAAAAGGCTTTACGGAATTATTTATTGCTTGGCAAGTATAAACAATATTAAACTATAATAATGCATCATGCTCTTCAACTTACCTCAATCTGGTGTGCTCATAATTGCCAACATGGACCACACACCATCGACAGCGTCATACTTGAAGAAATGGCCAGTTTTTTGGAACTTCAGCTGCCACAAACGCAAGCTCTTGTTTACCACTTCATGGCGACGTGACATCTTCAAAAGCTTCTGAGCCGTGTTGTAAGGATGCATGCACCCTATCAAAAAACTTGTGCGGGACTAGTCCACCATTCCAAACCTTGGTAGAAAGGTGATTAAAGATAATGAGTATAATTGTCATCTTGCTATGGTATCCATAATACACTTTGGTCAAAGTGTCGCTATATTACCCATCTTGGCCCAAGCGAGTTTCAATCCAGCTTGAGAGATGCGCAGAAACAGGTCTTATTCTCAAATCCTCCAGTCTACCCTGAGCGTGTACAACATGTTTCCAGGAATGGGCTTCTTTCACACAACTTGCGTCAGCCTCGAATGAAGGAGAAGAGTTTAGATTTATGCACAACGAAGCGAAGGCTTCGCACAACACCTCTTCGCAATGCTGACGTGGAACCCAGCAAAGTTTGCAAGTGCATTGCTGGCGAATAAAGAAAGGGCAGCATCGAAAGAACTCTGCTTTTACAAAGGTGCAATGGCAGCAGTGATGTCCTAGAAGAGCTTGAGACTCGGCATATATGAAACCGCACCAGCAGGTGCAAGCAACTTTGTATGGAGTTGCACCAGCGTGCACCAGTAGCCCAACAAACCACCTCCTTTTTGAAAGCGCACCAGCAGGTACAAGCAATTTTGTATGGAGTTGCACCAGCGTGCACCAGTAGCACAACAAACCACCTCCTTTTTGAAAGCGCACCAGCAGGTACAAGCAATTTTGTATGGAGGTGCACCAGCGAGCACCAGTAGCCAAATGAAACCGTCTTTTTAGCGCACCAGCAGGTGCAAGCAATTTTGTGTGGAGTTGCACCAGCTTGCACCAGTAGCCAAATGAAACCATCTTTTTGAACGCACACCAGCAGGTGCACGCAAGTTTGTATGGGGGGGTGCACCAGCTTGCACCAGTAGCCAAATGAAACCATCTTAGTGCACCAGCAGGTGCAAGCAAGTTTGTATGGAGGTGCACCAGCGAGCACCAGTAACCAAATGAAACCATCTTTTTGAACGCACACCAGCAGATGCAAGCAATTTTGTATGGAGGTGCACCAGCGTGCACCAGTAGCCAAATGAAACCATCTTTTTAGCGCACCAGCAGGTGCACGCAAGTTTGATGGAGGTGCACCAGCTTGCACCAGTAGCCAAATGAAACCATCTTTTTGAACGCACACCAGCAGGTGCAAGCAAGTTTGTATGGAGGTGCACCAGCGAGCACCAGTAGCCAAATGAAACCATCTTTTTAGCGCACCAGCAGGTGCAAGCAGCTTTGTATGGAGTTGCACCAGCGTGCACCAGTAGCCAAATGAAACCATCTTTTTGAATGCGCACCAGCAGGTGCACGCAATTTTGTATGGAGGTGCACCAGCTTGCACCAGTAGCCACAATGAGACCTCCTTTTTGAAAGCTCACCAGCAGGTGCAGGTAATTTTGTTCGGAATGTGCCATCAATTTTTCTAAGGTGCACCAGTAGCCAAAATGAGGCCATTTGGGTTTTGAAAGCGCACCAGCAACTGTAAGCAATTATGTTGGGAGTGCACCATCAACTCTTTGAGGTGCACTGGCAACCAGCAACCAGTCACAGCAGAACCCTTCCACCTTCCCCCTCAAGCTGTTCATAGTGTGCCTTCTTCCATCTTTCTTTTAAGAAAAGAAAAACCAACAACATAACCGAAACAAAGGCTTTTCCCTCCTGCGCAATGACGCGTCAGCGCACCACCTCGGGAAATCCTTTGACAGACTTGACGAACGAGGACAACGAAAATACAGACACCGAGATTCTTCCGTTGAACGTCTGCAAATCTTGCGATAAAGTTTTTTCTGCTCCCAATGCACTCCGGTCGCATCAAAGCAAAGAACATGCGGTAGAATTACATTTTGACCTTGGTCAAGATAGTAAGTAAACAAGGCATAGTAATACAGCAACGGGTGTTTGAATATGTTGTTTGTTTCTCTCAAGATATAGTGTCTGTGTGCAAGCTGAACAGCAGGTTCCAATGCCCACTTATTCACTGCAAGAAAACATATGCAAATATAGAAACTTTTCGTCAGCACGCAGCCAAATTCCATTCAGGCGCGAGGGTCAACGTGTCCAAACTTGACACAGATGACAATAACCAGCCAACTAAACGACGCAAGATTGCAACTGCAGCTTTCACAAAAGATCAAGGATGTCAAGATGTTCTTGAACTGGACTCTGTGAGGCGAGCCAGTCATTTCGCTGGCGCTGTGGATTGCGATCCTATTGCTGTGCATCTATCCCACGATTCAATGGAATATTCGGTAACGTTGCATTCCCTGGCCCATGCAGACGATTTACATGACGCGTACATGCGGCTCCCTCTCACCTCGCAATCCACGACATCGCAGCTAACATGTGTACTGCAACGACACACAGACGACTTTGAAGTTACTCCTGCTGAGCAAACACCCATCAGCACCTTTCGTGAAAATCAATTTGTTACTGCTGACAAAGCTGTGGAATATCTAAAGCAATCTGTACGCAAATCATGGCTGCCTAATCTGCTAAACAAAATGGGCGATTACATGGAACCTGCTAAAGACCTTCAAGAGGCATTGAACTTTGATTTCCGACGACGACCTTCCTTTTTGCAAGCAGTGGCAAAGTTGCATACAGGTTCAATCGTTATTGACAAGGCAGTGATACTTATTTTAGTCGCTGAGGCTTATGGCCGTGCCAAATCAATTGATGTCCATGCAGAAACAAACTTCAAATCGTTACCCCATCTTATCAATTCGAATCAATACCGTTCATCTTTGTGCGCGGGCATCTTTGAAGAGGCTGATGGGTATGGCATCAAAAACAAACTCAAGATAGGCAGCAAACATATGAATGTTTTGTCGACGTTGTCCGTGAATCTTTATCATGACCGCTGCGTGGACATTGGACCATCAACATCAGCTGCAATCAAGTCTGTGCGGCCCGAGGCTGCAAGATTATTTTATCGAAAGGATTGTGTGGAAGAGTTTTTTTAAGCTTTTCAGAATACATCATACGTCTTTCCTCCCGTCGGCATCTCCTGCTTACGTCAAGTAATATCTGGATTCGATGACTGCAGCTCATTTGCTCCATGGCGCGCCGCAGTCAATGAAATCAATTATGATTGCCTGGTCCCCACCACGGTATTTACCTTGTGCGATATGCCACACAAGGAAGGCTATGGTTCATCTAGCACATCCACAGAAAAGATCGCATCCCGTTTTATGCAGGCGCTGGCCGTGTCCCATTTGAACGATGCCGCAACACCGGATTTCTCCACGGCACTCGCCACATTTCGCGCCGCTGCTAAGGTACGAGAAATCAATAACAAGGATGGAAGCAAGGATTGGGCCACTCTTGTGAACTTTATCACAGCGCTCCAAAGGCACTTGAATGAGCATGATGGTTTGGAGGCACAGACGATTGCACTGATGGAGGACTTCAGTTGCATCGCAAGACTTGCTGCGAGTAAATTGTGCGAAAGCAACATCAAAGTGAAGCAAAATGTCACTAAAAAACTTGCTGAACTGTTTGGTCCTGACTCACTTCATCATTCTCACTTCTGATCTTTCTCTTCCATTCATCCCTTTCTAAAAATTTCAAAAAATCCAAGTATTCCGCGACGCATTGATCCTTTTTCACTTTTTTTTTTTCACAATTAAACAATAAATGAGAGGTGTTTTTTTTTTTTTTTTTTTTTTTTTTTGCTCTTGATCACACCACTGTTTATAAATGCATGAATCCATCAACTACCAATATCACTTGCTAACCGTAGACGCTGTCGTGATTGCTATCATTTTTCAAATTTGGGCGAATTGACCCTTGTGCCTGAATGGAATTTGGCTGCGTGCTGACGAAAAGTTTCCATATTTGCATATGTTTTCTTGCAGTGAATAAGTGGGCATTGGAACCTGCCGTTCAGCTTGCACACAGACACTATGTCTTGAGAGAAACAAACAACATATTCAAACACCCGTTGCTGTATTACTATGCCTTGTTTACTTACTATCTTGACCAAGGTCAAAATGTAATTCTACCGCATGTTCTTTGCTTTGCTGCGACCAGAGTGCATTGGGAGCAGAAAAAACTTTATCGCAAGATTTGCAGACGTTCAACGGAAGAATCTCGGTGTCTGTATTTTCGTTGTCCTCGTTCGTCAAGTCTGTCAAAGGATTTCCCGAGGTGGTGGGTTGACGCGCCATTGCGCAGGAGGGAAAAGCTTTTCTTTTGGTTTTGTTGTTGATTTCTTTTTAAAGAAAAAGATGGAAGGCACACTATGAAAAGCTTGAGGGGGAAGAAAGAAGGGTTCTGCTGTGACTGGTTGCTGGCTGCCAGTGCACCTCAAACAGTTGGTGGTGCACTCCCAACATAATTGTTTACAGTTGCTGGTGCACCTTAGAAAAATTGATGGTGCACTCCGAACAAAATTACCTGCACCTGCTGGTGCGCTTTCAAAAAGGTGGTCTCATTTGGTTACTGGTGCGCGCTGGTGCACTTCCATACAAAATTACCTGCACCTGCTGGTGCGCTTTCAAAAAGGTGGTTTCATTTGGCTACTGGTGCAAGCTGGTGCACCACCATACAAACTTGCTTGCACCTGCTGGTGCGCTAAAAAGATGGTTTCATTTGGCTACTGGTGCAAGCTGGTGCACCACCATACAAACTTGCTTGCACCTGCTGGTGCGCTAAAAAGATGGTTTCATTTGGCTACTGGTGCAAGCTGGTGCACCACCATACAAAATTGCTTGCACCTGCTGGTGCGCTAAAAAGGTGGTTTCATTTGGCTACTGGTGCAAGCTGGTGCACCTCCATACAAAATTGCGTGCACCTGCTGGTGTGCGTTCAAAAAGATGGTTTCATTTGGTTACTGGTGCTCGCTGGTGCACCTCCATACAAACTTGCTTGCACCTGCTGGTGCACTAAGATGGTTTCATTTGGCTACTGGTGCAAGCTGGTGCACCTCCATCAAACTTGCTTGCACCTGCTGGTGCGCTAAAAAGATGGTTTCATTTGACTACTGGTGCAAGCTGGTGCACCCCCCCCCCATACAAACTTGCGTGCACCTGCTGGTGTGCGTTCAAAAAGATGGTTTCATTTGGCTACTGGTGCAAGCTGGTGCAACTCCACACAAAATTGCTTGCACCTGCTGGTGCGCTAAAAAGATGGTTTCATTTGGCTACTGGTGCAAGCTGGTGCACCACCATACAAACTTGCTTGCACCTGCTGGTGCGCTAAAAAGATGGTTTCATTTGGCTACTGGTGCAAGCTGGTGCACCTCCATACAAACTTGCTTGCATCTGCTGGTGTGCGTTCAAATAGATGGTTTCATTTGGCTACTGGTGCTCGCTGGTGCAACTCCATACAAAATTGCGTGCACCTGCTGGTGTGCGTTCAAAAAGATGGTTTCATTTGGTTACTGGTGCTCGCTGGTGCAACTCCATACAAAATTGCGTGCACCTGCTGGTGCGCTAAAAAGATGGTTTCATTTGGTTACTGGTGCACGCTGGTGCACTTCCATACAAAGCTGCTTGCATCTGCTAGTGCACTTTGAGAAAGACGGTTTCATTTGGTTGCTGGTGCCAGCTGATGCAACCTCCAAACAAGTTAATTGCAAACGCTGGTGCATCGGCAAGCACCAGTAGCCAAATGAAACCATCTTTTTAGCGCACCAGCAGGTGCACGCAAGTTTGTATGGAAGTGCACCAGCGTGCATCAGTAACCAAATGAAACCATCTTTTTAGCGCACCAGCAGGTGCACGCAATTTTGTATGGAGTTGCACCAGCGAGCACCAGTAACCAAATGAAACCATCTTTTTGAACGCACACCAGCAGGTGCACGCAATTTTGTATGGTGGTGCACCAGCTTGCACCAGTAGCCAAATGAAACCATCTTTTTAGCGCACCAGCAGGTGCAAGCAAGTTTGTATGGAGGTGCACCAGCTTGCACCAGTAGCCAAATGAAACCATCTTTTTAGCGCACCAGCAGGTGCAAGCAAGTTTGTATGGTGGTGCACCAGCTTGCACCAGTAGCCAAATGAAACCATCTTTTTAGCGCACCAGCAGGTGCAAGCAATTTTGTGTGGAGTTGCACCAGCTTGCACCAGTAGCCAAATGAAACCATCTTTTTGAACGCACACCAGCAGGTGCACGCAAGTTTGTATGGGGGGGGTGCACCAGCTTGCACCAGTAGTCAAATGAAACCATCTTTTTAGCGCACCAGCAGGTGCAAGCAAGTTTGATGGAGGTGCACCAGCTTGCACCAGTAGCCAAATGAAACCATCTTAGTGCACCAGCAGGTGCAAGCAAGTTTGTATGGAGGTGCACCAGCGAGCACCAGTAACCAAATGAAACCATCTTTTTGAACGCACACCAGCAGGTGCACGCAATTTTGTATGGAGGTGCACCAGCTTGCACCAGTAGCCAAATGAAACCACCTTTTTAGCGCACCAGCAGGTGCAAGCAATTTTGTATGGTGGTGCACCAGCTTGCACCAGTAGCCAAATGAAACCATCTTTTTAGCGCACCAGCAGGTGCAAGCAAGTTTGTATGGTGGTGCACCAGCTTGCACCAGTAGCCAAATGAAACCATCTTTTTAGCGCACCAGCAGGTGCACGCAAGTTTGTATGGAAGTGCACCAGCGCGCACCAGTAGCCAAATGAAACCATCTTTTTAGCGCACCAGCAGGTGCAAGCAATTTTGTGTGGAGGTGCACCAGCTTGCACCAGTAGCCAAATGAAACCATCTTTTTGAACGCACACCAGCAGGTGCACGCAATTTTGTATGGAGGTGCACCAGCTTGCACCAGTAGCCAAATGAAACCACCTTTTTAGCGCACCAGCAGGTGCAAGCAATTTTGTATGGTGGTGCACCAGCTTGCACCAGTAGCCAAATGAAACCATCTTTTTAGCGCACCAGCAGGTGCAAGCAAGTTTGTATGGTGGTGCACCAGCTTGCACCAGTAGCCAAATGAAACCATCTTTTTAGCGCACCAGCAGGTGCAAGCAAGTTTGTATGGTGGTGCACCAGCTTGCACCAGTAGCCAAATGAAACCACCTTTTTGAAAGCGCACCAGCAGGTGCAGGTAATTTTGTATGGAAGTGCACCAGCGCGCACCAGTAACCAAATGAGACCACCTTTTTGAAAGCGCACCAGCAGGTGCAGGTAATTTTGTTCGGAGTGCACCATCAATTTTTCTAAGGTGCACCAGCAACTGTAAACAATTATGTTGGGAGTGCACCACCAACTGTTTGAGGTGCACTGGCAGCCAGCAACCAGTCACAGCAGAACCCTTCTTTCTTCCCCCTCAAGCTTTTCATAGTGTGCCTTCCATCTTTTTCTTTAAAAAGAAATCAACAACAAAACCAAAAGAAAAGCTTTTCCCTCCTGCGCAATGGCGCGTCAACCCACCACCTCGGGAAATCCTTTGACAGACTTGACGAACGAGGACAACGAAAATACAGACACCGAGATTCTTCCGTTGAACGTCTGCAAATCTTGCGATAAAGTTTTTTCTGCTCCCAATGCACTCTGGTCGCAGCAAAGCAAAGAACATGCGGTAGAATTACATTTTGACCTTGGTCAAGATAGTAAGTAAACAAGGCATAGTAATACAGCAACGGGTGTTTGAATATGTTGTTTGTTTCTCTCAAGACATAGTGTCTGTGTGCAAGCTGAACGGCAGGTTCCAATGCCCACTTATTCACTGCAAGAAAACATATGCAAATATGGAAACTTTTCGTCAGCACGCAGCCAAATTCCATTCAGGCACAAGGGTCAATTCGCCCAAATTTGAAAAATGATAGCAATCACGACAGCGTCTACGGTTAGCAAGTGATATTGGTAGTTGATGGATTCATGCATTTATAAACAGTGGTGTGATCAAGAGCAAAAAAAAAAAAAAAGAATGGGAAGGGACCAAAGACATTCCGAAATACTGAATTTTTCGACTTTGATAGAAAGTATGAATGATTAGAAGTAAAAACATGGAAAGTGAGGTCAATCAGGACCTTAAGGTTCAGCAAATTCCTATTCTATCACTTTAACAAGCCGTGCACCCGCTGTGCAATGGATGCCGCCTGCCACCGGAGGCCGCCCTCTTACATTGAGCGACTTTCGTCAGACAAAAAGCTAACGCATACACGGCATAACCTGGGCGAGAACTCTCGACGGACTTTGGTATATTAAGGACAACCTTATGACAATACCATGCAACGTGATTTGTTTCTGAACACGCGCAAAGCAGCACTGGTTCCCCCCCCCCCCCCCTCAGTTCCATCCCGCCCAGGCTATGATAGATCTAGAAAGATGTGTGGGTATGTTGGGTATTCAAAAAAAAGAGTTAGTAAGCTCTTTGATTGATTCAAATTTTCGTCAAGATATTTTACCTTTGTTTTTGAGTTTGCAATAGCCATTGATCGCTTGACATGGCTTGGATTATATGACATTGAAAAAATTTGAATTAGTATACGTTCATTACATCATAGCAAAGGAAAAGAAATTGGACTTGCTTTTGAACCAAATGGTGTACCGGAAAAAAAAAACGATGAATACGGACCGCCAGGTAAGCTTCTTCTTCGATGCGGAAAATAAAATTGCTTCCAGGGACGGTTAAGCGATGGATCGGTGGTGTCAGCTTGAGCAGGCAAAAAATATTGAGTGCCAGAAGTGACGGTAATCTCGAGCTGGATTCCAGATATCGAGAGTTTCCCGAATAAAAAGAAAGAAAAATAAAAAAAGTACATGATAATAAAAAAAAAAGACAATGGTCGCGTCAGTAAAAACCTCCTAAAAACCCTGTGGGGAAAAAAGAGGAAAAGACTGCGAAAAGAATATGTACCTGAAATATAAAATACAAAATACAATAATCGGGAAGACATCTCGAATACGATATCATGAGAAACAATCCAAAGGAGAGGAACATGAAGAGGACGCGTAAGCGTTTTCTGATGAAAAAGATAGTCACACCACCGACGATGGCCATCTGGTTTCGCCAGATGGATGGATGGATGGATGGCGAGAGAAAGTCAACTTGTAGTATCCAGAACTTGTCAGGCGAAAAGAAAACGGAGAACACCGAAAGCTAAAAGAAGGATGGAAAAAAAAAGCGAGGTAAGTCTATTTTGCCGGAGCAAAATAGATGGTGGACCACTCGACGCTTACCTTTTTGAGGATGGTAGTCGATTTAACCAAGTTAGATACACGGGATGAGGATGGTCGGGATGTGGATGCGGATGAGATCTTCATACAATGATAGTGAGAGAGAGAAAATCAAAAGAAAAAAGATAAAATTAAAGACCAAAATATATGAGTTTCCATGGATGATACCACCCTACTGATGCATGGACCCATAGATCGAAGCACGTCTGCTTATGTATTATTCGATTCATTGAAAATTGAAAGAGAATGAAAGGACATATACAGTATAACTGACAAAAAAAAAAAAAAAAATTAAATGATGCTACAGAAGAACGCCAGTCGTATCATCAACCACTTTTCTTCAAAAAGAGATCTACTCACATTTTTATTTGAAAGACGACGATGCTCTGTTCGACCAAAACTGGTGCAAACGGTACCTTGCTGCTGATTGCTTCGCCTATTATTGTGAAAGTGGGCAGCGAGGCATGGTTGAAAGATAAAAAAAAAAGGTTTAACAGGTCCTGATAACTTGGTGTAGATCATGTGATTTACAAAATCGCTAATTTCCCAAAGATTTTAATTATGTTGACTAGTAGCGCCTGTTGATCTTAATGCTCTTTCGGTCTGTAGTTTGTTGTTACTCTGAGGCTAGTGGGAATAGTAGCTGATTAAAGGTGCGTTTGGAATGGGATGCTCCATTTGCAATCTTCAGAACTCCGCACTCGAATTTGTGTATCCAAAGGTTTCGCTTGATGGTGTTCTCTTAACTCTAATCTTTTGTCAATAAGCGGTTGATTTTTCGGTAAGATTTAGTTGAGTGCGCATAAATCTTTGCGTATTCAATGGACAACAGAGTAGCACAGTCTCTTTTTCTTTTTTCCCGGGGGTCTTGCCTCCCCCCTGACCTACCGCCACATAGCGATCATTTTCTTCATCCACGACAGAGGAACAACAATATGTACACAAAGTTAGGAGCAGAAATAGTCAGACATCGATATAATTAAATGGAGAGACAAAAATAGGTAACAGAAAAAATCATACTTGGGAAAACATAGCATAAGGATAAAATCAAAAGGAACATAAGGATAAAAAGCATACAGTAAAACATAAAGGTGAAGAATAACTTGAAAAATCATAGCAAAGGATGAAAGCAAAGGAGCATAAGACAAAATACAAACAGTAAGATATAAAGGAATAATAAAAACAACAACATAAGGGTAAAGACGCCACCAGCACCATCAACAAAGAACAATCGGGCTGATTCGTTGTTTCCATGCGTGACACTCTGGAGAATTGCGTCGTATACGGCATGTTGATCACGGTTTAGGCCCTCGTGTGTTTGGGGAACATTGGCAGCGTCTGCGATGAGATCGAATTGTTCTCTTACCAGTCTGGGCTGACGGCGAAGTGTGCTTCTGCCAATTTCTTGGCGATCAGGAAGAACAAAGCGATCGTAATTCAGCAGTGAACTCGATTGGCGGTTCAGATGCTCTTCAATGTCCAGCAAAGCGCGATCGTACACGATTTGGGGCGGCTCATTTTGATGATCATTGTCTTGATTTTGATTGCTCCAAAAATGGAAATAGTCTTCTGCCAAATGCTGGCAGAACTGCATCCAAAGCGCAAACGGGTCAGGAGCCTGACATTTTCTGTCATTGTCGGCATGATACATTGCTGCTGCAGCCCCGATCGGCAACACCCGCGAAATGGTAATTTTAAAACTCCGTCATTTTGAAATCTCGAAATCAACTTATTCGCGTACAAGAAGAACAAAAAAATGAATTTTTTATATATAAAAAACAAAAAAGATGGAAGGTACTTGTGAACAATTTTTCTATAAAATAAAGAGATCGATAATTTTTAATTTTATGATAGAGAATGATGTCAAATCTTTAAACGTTGATTATGAAAAAGAAAATAATAAAATCAATATTAGTTTTTGTAAAGACGGTCAGAAATTTGAAGATCAATATGTACTTCCAAAACGAAGAAATAAAAGAATAAAAGATCGATCAAATAATATACCTACACCTACAACGACAGACAATGAATATAGTGATAATGAAATAAACAATGTGAATGATAACAATATAAAGAACAATTTAAATATAAACGATGATACTAAAAATTCTATTGATCCTGGCAATGATAACGGACAAAATAATGAACAAAATGAAAATTTTAAAAGTAAAAGAAACTTAACACAGGCTAATACACCTGATTTAAATAAAAAAAAATATAAAGTTGATATATGTACTGCTACTATGGATAAAGATATAATTGATCACCTTAGAGGTTGGGAAAAGTATGAGAATGATGATGATGATGATGATGATGATGATGATAGCAATAATGAATATGAAAAAGATGAATTTTGTTTGAAATTACTATATAATTTATTAATGTATGAAAAGAAACTTTTTACAGAAAACATCATAGCTAAACTTCAAAAAGTAGAAATAATATTTGATAGAATAAAAGCTATTTTTATTGATTTCGGGTTTTCGTTTGATATAAATTATGATGTACAGTGACAGTTTTTAACATCTCAAATAAATGATCATCATATCTTTTTCTAAAAGCTAATTCTAAAAAGTACAAGGCATACAATTCAGAGTTTTTTCTGATATTAGGTATATATTTCCTTAAATGCATCCAAAATCCTTCGATCGTATTTGTGTGTATTGTAGGGTTTTCTGCATCAACAAAATATTTTGAATGATCGACTGAGTGGTGGTGGTATCCCATCGTTTTTAAGTTGGTATAAGACTTCATTTGTCGGTTATAATAGTTGTTTCTGGGTGAACGTATTGTTGAATTATTAGTAACAGCGTTTTTGCTTGTCGATCAGGAACAGGTATAAGGAAAATTAGATTTGATTTCCTTTGGTGACCACCGAGTATCCATATATGTTTCTTGTATCTTTTATGGCTTGCAGTACTGATCTTTGTTCTTCCCATACAGCATTCATCAATCTCGACAATTTCGTCTTTTCCACCGATTTTGTTTCTAGATATCTGTGTTGTCTAATATCCATAGTCTTAACGTGTTTTTAATCTTCGTATATAATCTTGTAACTGTAACTTCATCGATCCCCATTTGTTTTGATACTTTTGTAGGAGATGGATCTAAGAGAAGATAAAATCAGATTTATGACATAATATGTATAATGGAATGTACAAACCGATTATCCATTGTCGTAAAAGCTCCACAATTTGAATAGGCCTTAAATTTGATTTTTCAAATAATGTCTCAGAATAGATCCCTTTCCTGACATTATCTGTATAACAGAAGTATCTGTGTCGTTCATAATATTTTCCAATGGATAATTGTTTTTACAAATGGGGCACATAAACTGCTTGATAATATAATGATTTTGTAGATAAATAATAGCTTGTTCATCGTTATATAATGTTCTATAGAGTGCCTCATTTGATTTGACATTTTTTGAAAGAAACAGGATGAAAAAGAGTTACCGAAATTGCCTGTTTGTAAAGATGCGGAGTCTAAACTATATTTTTGCGTAACTTACCAATACACGGTTCTTGCCATTATTTTAATAAGGTTGAGAAATTGGCTTCGGATAGGTTATTTGCAGCAAGGCTTGCGATGCAACTGTAATTCTTCATCATTGCAAGTGTCACAGTCAATTGCCTTTGGAGTACTGTGACAAAGATCACGAGAGTAGCCCAATGCTTGGTGTCATCCTTGTTGTTGATTTCTCGTAACTTGGCCGTGGCGCGGATGTGGCGAGTGCTGTGGAGGGATCGGGTGTTGTGGCATCGTTCAAATGGGATATGGCCAGCGCCTGCATGAAACGGGATGCAATCTTTTCTGTGGATGTATCGGGTGAGCATAACCTTCCTTGTGCGGCATATCGCACACCGGGAACACAGAGGTAGGAACAAGGTGATCATAATCAATTTCATTTACTGCCGGGGCGTCATCCTCTACACAGATTACCAAAGCCTTCTGACCGAGTATTTTCGAAAGCGCTGACCTTTGTTTGTCAATATATGCTATGAGTCGCTGAGAGTCCGACATACCTTGGCGTTGCCTCTCAAAGAGCGAAGTTCAGATCACCGAATGCGATAACTATTTGCCCATCACGCCTTTCGTTGTCCCGCGCTTTTGACGTTTTCCTTTCGGAAGTTTCTTAGACGTTTCAAACGCCAATATTCAGATGGCTATGGTGAAGCTTCATTTACCAAGTGAGTTTTCAAGATATTACCCAAAAGATTGTCCATCCATCTTACTGTAGTACCACTGTCTGCTGAGATCGCAGACGAGCGCGTGCTTTCTCAGTACCTGTACTCATAGTTGGACACTTGTTAACCTAATATCGATGAAATGCCAGAAACATATAGCCTTCTTCAGAATAATAATTTACCTTGTGTGGATCTTTGAGAGCGTTTTTAGATGACGCAGAATTCCTCCAAGCCAAGCACTGGCGGCAATGGATCTCCAAGCTCATTATGCAAAGCCTCCAAGTTGAATGCCATCCTGTTATTTAACTCCATCTGCTGCGACCAAGCAAACATGCTCCCCCTCCTACTAGGCAAGCCAGTTAGTTAGTTCGATTTTCTTTACGTATGCAGACTCGTCGCACTTACTGCTAAGGGACACCCAAAACAGATATTGTCTCCATCATGCTTCATCGTGCGATTTTCGTTGTTTGCTACAGCAATGACAAATGATGGGAGCCCTGTTCAATGCTGATATAGTTAACTTAGGAAAGTCGTCACAATAGATATTCAATGCTCACCAAGATCATACCGAAGGTATTTGCTGTGAAACTGAGCCCGGTGGCTTCGTTCTTTAAATGATATTTGCCGCGGGTCCAATGTGTCATGTCGGGCTGACCTGACCGGAAGTTGAACCCTTTTTGGCTTGAGGGATAGGGGACTAGCATGCATGAGTTATGGCCTGTGCAAGAACTAAGCCACTGAGTATAAAAATGAATTCAGGGCGATAGATGGAGAAGTCTCGCCTGTCACGCTCTTTTTTCCTGCAACTGCATGGTATACCTCTATTCGCGAACGCTTAATTCTACTCCAAGTAGTCAAGCTGCACGTAATACCAGTATTGTACGTGGAACTGGCAGCGGAAGTGGACATGGACGTGGACGTGGACGTGGTCGCGGTCGCGGTCGAGGACAGACTGGCAGCCAAACCGTGTCGAGTGTGCCTAGGGTGGTCGTTCCGCCATCCCATATTACGACAAAGTCATCAGAATCGAACGAGTCAACATCATCTGTATCCTCAACCACAGTCAATGACGGCATTACGATTATCACACCAAAGAGAGGACCTGGACGACCGCGCAAGCTCCAATCAACGGACACAGCTGGAGCAGGCAGTTATGGTGCGTGAAGAAGACGGCACATTCGGCGCCAATTTTCTCTTTGCCTAACTCGAAGCTGATATTAATAGTGGTTTTGTATTATAGTAAGCAGTAATGTCGCTAGCCAACATCGTCTGAAACGCACAGCAAGCGACGGAACGGAGAATACCAAAGCGTCATCGTCGAAGCGGTTGCGAACTTACGAGGCGATTGCTCCGAAAGCACATCCAAGTAGTCCCTCCATAGTTGCATCGTCAACAAACGAGTCCGATGTCACGGCCGAAGGACCTACGGCGATACCTATCAAACGTAAACGAGGACGACCGCCGAAACACCCAACAGTGGTCAACGTTGAGGATGATAGTTATTCCGCCACATCGACACCTACAGATACGACAACAAGAACTGACAGTACTGTTAAACGTAAACGAGGACGGCCGCCAAAAGCAAAGGTGAAGCATGTTGCCTTTACCGTACCAGAGGGCTCAACCTCGAATCCTGCACCTAATGCACCAACTGTCAAACGAGGCCCAGGTAGACCGCGTAAGACACACGCTAACATTTATACTATCTCGTCCGACGACTCCGAGGACTCTTCACCTGAGACTTCTATTGGACCAACTGCCAAACGAGGCAAAGGTAGACCGCGTAAAATGCCCGCTGCCGTACATACTACCTTTTCTGATGATTCCAGGGACTCCTCACCTGAGCCTTCTACTGCAACGACTGCCAAACGAGGCCCAGGTCGACCGCGTAAGACGCCCACTGTCTCCTCCGAAGATACCAGAAACACCTCGTCGGAGTCAACCTCAAATACTGTCAAACGTGGCCCAGGTCGACCTCCTAAAGCTCACAAAAATGTACCTATTGTAATTGATGAAAGTGGTTCTACTGAAGAAAATCCCGAAACATCAACGCGCCGGATATCATCCAAGAAATTGAAGAAAACGAGAACGACGACAAGTCATCCAACATCATCCTCAGCAGCCACCAACGTCCATGCAGCGAAATCAAAGAAATTAAAGGTTCGAAGATTATCCACCGACGGAAAATCCAAGACGCTTTTGAAAAAGGTTCCCTTACTAGGTAATAATGAAACACTATGTCAGCTGTGAGGAGGGAAATAAAAAAGGCTAACCAATGACGCACTATCTAGTATCATCCTATTCCCTGCTGCATGTCATTGAGGGACATTCATCCACCGGTCCTGCCGAGAAGCAAAAGGAGGATAACGACAGCCATAACGATATTTGGGCGTGCGAATTTGAGCCCAAGGGGCCAGACGATACAATGACCAGCGATATCATGGCTTTATGTGGCGCTAACAACGTCCTTATGCTGGATGTCGCGCAAGGCCGCTACGTCAAAAAATACAGCCATCCGGAACCCGCGGAAGTGTTTTATTGTTTAGCGTGGACTACGCTTACTTCAGTGGATCTGACAGAGGACACGGAGATCAGAGGTCAGAGTTGTAATATCCTCGCTGTAGCAGGTAGGTCGACGAAGGATTTTGTGACTCAGGTGAAAATCATACTTAGTCAGCGAAACGGGAATCTAGGACGTATCGGCTCCATCAAGTTACTAAATCCGTTACAGAACGAGTGCTACCGATATCTGTTTGGACATCAAAAAGAAGTGCTTAAACTCACCTTTAGCAAATCCCGCCCTCGGTGGTTGTTTAGTAAGTAGATCTCGTCGTTCTACAAAGGTGTTGATTGATTTATGCGGAAAATCAGGTGCTTCTGCGGATATGACGGTGCGTTTATGGGACATCGGGACTCCGACGAGCAAGGACGACGACTCGATGTGAGTGTTTTTTACTTTGGAATATCGCTGTTATTGAAACAGACTTGACTAACGTGATTCCTTCTTTAATAGATGCTTTGCAAAGTTCACGTTACCCAGTGTATCCGAGATACCTTGCGCGGTATATCCTGCTATTGATCTGTCGAGCGTGATTGTGGGTTGCTCGAATGGCACCATGGCACGTTACAACTTGTTGCCAAAAATTCTCAACTGGCTAACTGAGAGATGCGAAAATCGCGATCTCAACATGACAACGGTAACCCCGACCATGATATATCCTCGAGGAGATGAATGGCACGAAGGCTATGTGGACGATGTGTATATTATTGGGCACGAGCATTATGACGATCCGCTGGATGGATATATCGGTACGAGCGCGATGATTTTCTTCATAATCTAGAATGGCGGTACTAATATATCGATATAGTGTCAAGAGGATCAGACGATATGGAAGTCATTGTATGGGACCCAAAAACGAGCAAACCGTCTGAAGTAGACATTGCCATCTCGCTTCGTTGGCCATGGTCCGAGGAGGAGTCAGGCTTGCGTTTCAAGGTTATCGAGCGCGCAAGTAGGTTCACATTAATCATTCTTTGTTTCACTGAAAAACATAGCCTAAGACTTACCAAAACATTGCCTTGATTAGATAATAAAGTCATCGTTGCTGGCGATTACAGCGGCGATGTTCGGATTTTTGATATTAGCAATGGCGTTCGCAGCAAAACACTTTCAGATAACAGCAAAGAAGCATTTGAACCTACAAAGGTAACCAGTTATTATTGGGAGTAAGGGAAGACGTTGAGAAGCAATAATACTAAATGATGTTTTGTACAGATATTATCCGATCCCATGTCAACCGATTTAATCCGAGATGTATCCTTATCAGAGGATACACAATATCTCGTAGCGGTCAACTCTGAAAATAGGATTTTCGTATGGAGATGTTCATAAGTACACCTATCGTTGCAATATTGTTTATGCCCAAGATACATCATGTATGCAAAAATGTAATATCCATAAAATTTCGAGCAATAGCATATAAATCCACGCAGGTCCAACGTCCTGTGGACGACACCTACTGTAATTCTATCGAAGTCTATCTTGGTGGGCAACTTGATTCACTTCCCAACCTGTGCCTCTACCAAACGGAATAAGACATTAATCATGTGCAATTGAAACTGCCAGAATAGAGATGACTAAGCAAATCGGTTATCTCACGTAAACTCTTGGAATTACAGTAAATGGTGACATCTGCGACAACGCCACGAGCATTTAACCAGACAACGGGTGTTGATATGGGTTTGTAAGTTGCGTTTGTACTACTGTAAAATGTCTATTCAAATCTATCGAGGGACATATTGTGTGTATAAAATGAAGATTTGAGTAACTGTTGATTTGTTTCGGTCAAAGGCGCGTGCACTTTATGAAAGAAGCAAATACTTCAGAGGTGCCCGCTGGTAAAATATCTATTCAATGTGTCCTGGTGAATCATGAAGAAAACCCGCGAAAAGATCAATCATTATTGGGTCAAGTTTTGAGAAGTACATACTCATCCCGAGGGCCTACAAGGTAGTGGAAAAAGCGATAGCCGATTTGAAAATCAAGTAACTTTGCGAGGCTTGCTGCTTGACGCTTACCCTTGGATCAACTTTTTGATATTTGCCGCTGTTTCGTTATTCCTATCAATCACCAAAAGTGGATTAAACAATAATTGAGCACCGCAGCCAAATCTCGATTCCAGAGTTTAAAACCATGATCACGCTTCGGTGTTGATTTGGACATCCAAGAATTAAGCGTAAGCAAGCAGATAATGGTCATAACGGCTTTATTGATCATTCACCTTAAGAGAGACCATCGCGTAACATTTGTGGACGGTTCGTCCTACGAAATGGCCGGGAATTTCTTCACCTTTCTGAATTTTTCATATCGGTCATCGCAGTCAAGGTAGTACGAGGACGTCTTGAATTCATCGAACAGGTGTTGTATGTGAAAAGCATGCCTAATATGGTTTGCTCTGATGTGGACATCCTACAGCATTATCAATGAATGTCTGCATGATACTGCATGAGATATGCAAGGCTACTGCTTTTTTTATGCCTCATTCTCTCTTTGGATTAGATTTTTTGTTTAGTTCTGCCTTCAACCAACAGACGATGTTGTTTGTGCAACGCAAATCATTCGCAGGTTTTGGATCTCACTGCAGAGTCTATTTTTTTTTTTTTCAACAGTTGCTCGAATGTTGATGTGTAACGTCTGTATCACTTCACAGGATAAACCGTCTAGACTCAAATTACAATTGTAGTCTTTGATTTCTTTCTTTATTCCCTGAACTTCTCATTTGCGTTTTATCCTATTTCGAGCGGATTTCATTCTCGCTTTCCCCATTCCTTTCTTTTTTTTTTCTTTCATGGTCTTCTGAGAATCTGATTAAACAGCACCACATCTACATCAAAAGACCCATCCTTTGCATAGATAATGAATCCCTCGTCCCACTTTTGGGTCCTCTGTCTCGTTTTTCTCCTTATTTTTCACGCATCAGCTGAAATTCTCTCGAGTGAGTGGACGAATAAAAAAAAACCGTTGCCCTGGTGAAACCGATACAGGAGCTTTCTCACTGACCCACTCGCTAAATAGACAACTCATCTGTTTCTAATTCCCTTGATTGCAAACCTACCAACTGTATACCGCAATGCACACCGGCATGCTCGAGTGATCAAGTATGCGTGTCGACCGTCATGGCCGGTTGCGGGGTGTGTCCAGAGTACAAATGTTTTGCCAAGTCCGTGGTAGAAGGCAATGGCGGTGGGGCAAATCCAGCTGATACCTCGTCGTCTTCCAATGGCCCCCTCATAGGCGGGTTAGTAGGTGGAATGATAGGTGCAGGTTTGGTGTTTTCCGCCGCCGGCTACGCTGGATTCCGCTACAGGAAAAATAAACGCACCACGTTGCCTCTTGCCTTTCAAAGCAAATCAAGACCCACCACACCAAGATCAGGTCCGCCACCTGTCACCCCACCTATGGCCAAGGTAGAATTACAAATTAATCAGTCATTATTGTCACTGTCTATTGCTTTGCATTCTTAATATTTTTGCCTGTCTACCTTGTAGAATCTTTCGGGTGTAATTCCAGTGACGTTTATTCAGCCTTCACCGGGGCTGCGACCCATGTCCCAGTACACCGATGTGACGGATCCTTTCGGGGACGATGCCACCATTAGCCGACGAACGAGCCACTTGAGTTATTCGTACAACAATGACGACGCCAGTAGTCGACCTGATTCGATGGCTTCCAGTATTCATCAAGACTATACGCCCGTCCGTGCCACACATGCGGTTCAAGTGACACGGGCCAAACCTCAGATTTTGCGCGTCAACACGGTTCGCGTCAATGATGGACTGAGCCGCAATGGATCGGTGCGCACTGTATTGACAAGGGACGACAGTGGTGCTTCACTGACACGATCCAATACATCACCTTCCCGTTTTCAGCCAAATACCTCTCACCCTTCTACCGTCGACCCCTCTCTTCGCGAAAATCAAGATCCCATCCACCGTCCTATCTCTACGCCCACCACAATCGAAAACCCGTTTCACGATCGCTACCACATTAAAGAACCTGAATTATCACCTCAAACAAGAGTAACCGACAGCGTGGTATCAGCACCAGGAGACGGTGAAATCACCATCTTTTGGAGTGGACCTAACCACACAACCACTGGTCATGCACCGTGACAAAAATACCAAATAATAACATGAACCCCTCTTTAAAAACTCGCCCCGTTGATATAATCCCTCGCCACATGAAAGAAAAAAAAACGATCTTTAGTATTCAAATGCTGCTGCTGATAAACAAAAAATAAATGTGGAGCGAGAATGTTCAAATGGTCTGTATGGAAAAGGATGATGAAAAAAAGGAAATTGGAAATTGGAAGATCATGAATGAAAATAGAACGAGGGTAAATCCAAAAGCATGTGGTTGAATGCCGGTCAATTGATTACTCTTTCTGCACGTTTCGGTTTTTGTTCTTCTTCTTGCTTTCCTTGGACTGAGCCAATCGTCGTGCTTCCTTGGCCTTTTGCTTGGCTTCCTCGACCTACGTAAACCCAATACCACAGTCAGGGTCATAAATTAACAAAGCACTTTCTCTCAATGACTATACCTCTTGCTTTTCTTTTTCGATCTGATTCAGAAGTTCTTCCTTGAATGGCCAAGAGTTGGGGATACCGGGATCTTTGGGTTTTTCTAGAGGCAAACACCATCAATACAATGATCTACTGAAACCACAGTTCCAAAATCACTTACTGTGATGTTTTTGAGGATTCTTCTTTGCCTCTCTTCTCTGTTTACGATGATGTTCGGCCACTCGCTTGATAATTTTGTAGCGATGCGAGGCTTTGATACGCTTGCTTTGTCTCTCTGCAAAAATATAATTAAGTTTACCATATCAACTCCTATTAGACAACGGAATCAAACTTACTCTTAGGCACCATGGTATGATGATCGGTAAAAAAAGAGCAGAGAAAAAAAAAAATTGGGCTTTCCGATCGAGTAACCAATGGGCCCCACAATCGATTGTCAGACACTCTAGAATAAACAGTCACATGGAGAATTTCAAGCCACCTTCCTGGGAAGAGACCATTTCATGCATCATCCACCAAACAGGCTTCCTGTTCCAGACTTCAATATCCATCGCAGCTATCATTCTTACTACAATAACAAAACGACACGGATGCCAATATTACGTTGCAGTATATTTTTACGTTCATAGAGAAGTCTACCGACGTTTAGCAGTGGATGGGGCCAAGCCAGAGTAGTTGTTATCGACTAGGCGTACAGCATTGGGTAAGGGCGGGCAAGCACAAGCCGTGTTGGTTCAGGCATAATAATAGTGTCGCGTCAACATGATTGCAAAAATGGTAACAATAACGGTAACCGAAAGTGGGTTGGAAGAGTTTATTAATTTTTTCAACCTTTTGACCTATTCCTTTTACTCTGATGGCACATTTTGACAGTAATTGACAGGAAAGCTTGAATAACGTGCTCGCGGCTACTTTGATCCTCTGACTCTTCAACAAATGGGCTTATGCAAATGACATTTTTTGAAATGCAAAGCATTATTGAGTGACTGGTTTATTATGTGACAGAGGTAAATAAAAAACAGCTTTGCTGCATATCCAAACCAGGAACGGATACAAAACGTTTATCTGAGGAAATGCAAGAGATGAGAGATATAGGGAAAGTTTCACAGGCACCATGTTTTTACTCCTGAACGGTCTTGCCAGTCTTCTTGATAGCTTCCAAGATTTGTTCGCGGGGAAGATCGGTCTCGACGACGACCTCCTGGTTTTCCAAGCTAATGTCCACCTTCTTAACACCTGTTATATTGGACTGAGTAACAATGCTATGGCAAATGAGAACTCGAATGAAGTTTGGCAATTACCTTCAATGCGGTTCAACGCACGGTTGACGGCATTGGAGCACCCGGAGCAGGACATGGTAACCTTGAAAGTGTATTGCTGTAACCATAGAGAATATGAGTCGATGATGATTTTTATAAAGGCACATCACATCAAAAATTACTCACAGCCATTGTTATGTAAGAGATACTGGTTGGTGAAGAGGACGAGAGAGAATATAGTTGACTTGGGTTGAGAACGATAGCGGGGTAAGTGGTGCAACCTGCGGTGGTCTTTTTATGTGTTGAGAGCTTTTTGCCGAGCAAATTGTGCTGTGTTTGCAAGTCACTCTGACCAAAAGCAAGCAATTTGTGCCGATTTCAAGATCCGCTGACTAAAGCGATTGGGGGGTGAGGGTTGTAATCAGATCTTTCCGCTGCAAAAAGGCACAAACGGCTCAGTTTCGGCGTTATTCGAGAATCTCCCCGCAGTGGGAAGTTCACAAAATTAATCATACACTTGAAGCTCCAACTTTGTTTCCAGCATCATTTTCTCCATGGTAAATTGAGTCACCAGTACACCGCTATTATTACTATTCCGTTCTCTCCTTTTTTTTCTTTTCTCACTCATGTTGCCATGTTACAGATTACAGTACGATACTTTGCGAGCGCCAAGGACGCCACAGGCATTGAAACAGAATCCTTTTCGTTGGATTCCCCATCCATGTCGCTGGCCTCCCTGAACGATAAGCTCAATCTGAAATATGGTGCGGCATTTCAAACAGTGATGCATATTTCCATGTTTGCCGTCAATATGGAATACGTGGACAAACAGGAACAAGCGACCGTCTTACTAAAAGATGGCGACGAGGTAGCGGTTATTCCGCCGGTGAGCGGTGGATAATTTGGCCTCCATCATACCATGTCCTCCATTCCAAATGTCAATTATTCCCCCCCCCCATTGAAGAAACAGAGAAAAAGGGGACGCTTTTTGTATGTAATATTATTTCTCAAAAAAAACAACAGGACAAAACAAAGTTAGAGCAAATTCTAAGAAAGGCCTTCTGGTAAATTCAAAATATGTCCCATTTTCTTGACCTTGACAGCCAAGTATTTGTCTAGTTCCTTTTTGGGAGATCCGGGGACGGCGGGAGAGGAGGTGGGAGTGCGTTGCAATTTATGTAATGCGGCGACGATGTTGGGACTATCGGTTATGTTGGTGTCATGGTCGAGCGATATAGAAGGGGTAGAGGACCATGATCGAGGCACCATCTCGCGACGTTCCACTACCTTGATAGATCCATATGATTCTATTTGCTGGATTTTATCAGGGTTATTTGTCAGTAAACGGATCTTGCTCAGTTGCAGGTCCTCCAGAATCGCGTTGGCTAATCCGTAAGTACGACCATCCGGTGGGTGATTTAATAGAACGTTGGCAGCGACGGTATCATGTCCAAGGTCTTGAAGGTTATAAGCTCTGTCAATCAAAAAAAAGGCAAATGTTAGCTATGACTGTCAAGACGATCAATACAGAAATTGAATGACTTGCTTTAATTTTTCTAGCAATCCGATCCCTCGACCTTCTTGACGTAAATACACAATAACACCGCGTCCGGCTTTTTGCATTAATCGCATCGCTTCATCCAGTTGTTCTCCGCAATCGCATCTGGCTGAATGCACCGTTTCGCCCGTAAAACACTCCGAATGGATACGGACCAACGGCGGCTCGTTGGACGGCTTATACGCTCGTTTCGCTTGTTCTTGCTGCTTTTCCAGGTATTTCATTTGATCCTCACTGAGATACATAGTACGACATTCCTCGGTGATGACTTCTTCCAACCGTCCATAATACGCACCACGCACGATACGGTTGACAATGGTTTCATTCTCCCATCCGCGATCCAACGATCGAGACCGCAAATCATCACCGTATACAATGGCTAAATGTTCTTTTGTATCCTGGTTATTTTTGTAAAGATAAAGAAACATTTCTCCGCCTTCATTGGTCGGGATTCGTGCTCGGACTTGACACTGGATACGGACATCTTCTTTGGCGGGCAACGATGGAGTGACAGCACTGGGGGAATGGAGCTGATGCTTCAGAAATTCAATATATTCTTGGTAGGTCGTTGGCTGAGATTTCGAAACACAGTCTTTAGCTTGGTCATGAACCACGTTCATGCCAAAAAGAGTGAAGACGGTAGCCATAACGAAAAAAAAGTTTAAAGGCGAGCAAACCCTTCATGAGCCCCGTCTTTGATGAATTAGGCCATTTTTCGATGCCAGATGTGACTGTCGGATCCCAAGACTGCGGCCGAGAAAAAAAAATGAAGAAAAGCGCATAATCATGACTCCAACGACACTTTTTTGAAATCGTTAAACTGTGCAATTCTTTTTGTATTTTTTTATCAGTATAAACTGATACTCGACAGCCGCAGTATTCTTTACAGATGGAAAATATGGCTGTGCCCCATATGCATCTGACTTGATTTGTCCGTCTTATGCGATCATTAGTCATCCGGCTCCCCCCCAAACGCAGTCGCTGGATCAACTCTTGACATTGCAACCATGCAATGCTTGAATAGATGATGGTACATATTTGATAGTTCATCAAGATGTTTCAATGATATCTTCAGTATCATGTAGAATGCATGCCTTATATGATCTGCGATCTGCAGTATTTTTTACTGTGAATTTAGGTTTTCAAAACCCGATTCATCTTCCTTTCCACTACAAGCCCAGTACTTTCGGGAATATTGCCGTAGGAGTTCCGTGGATTGACATTTGAAATTGGAACTTTATCTATGCTTATGATGTCTTTCAGGATAATGTCGTTGGTGCCGAATGCTGTTGCTTCCAAAATAGGAAAATTTATCCCTACACGGATGCTGCCACACATCGTTCACCACCCTATTCTTCTTTAAAGTATTACGAACAGAAGTTTGTGTCAAAAGAAGTAGGTAGGATGACATATATCCATCGCAAATTACCACAAGCATTATACATGCTTTATTTCTTGAAGCTTCAGCAATCATCCGGCTAAAAATTGCTAGCTGATTTGTCAGCCCGGAACCTTATTTTTGCATTGGCAAATCAAATTTCATACTCCGCTTCGGTGATAGACGATCCTCAACGATGACAGTTTCTTTGTTGCCTTTCTAACTCTTCCAATTCATTGTAAACAAGTTCAAGTTGATTTGATATATGAAGAGTCAATGAACTGATATACGCTATCCATAAATGACATGGAGCCTGCCCTACATACGAACGATCATATATAGCGCTTCTTTCTCAGCAAGCGATATTATCATCGTTGACACGTTATCACATACTTGACGCCTTTTCGATAAAACTTGTGGTTGCTTAATTCAAAAGCGGTGAACGTAGGGTCAATTGCAACGATTTTGATCGTATTCATGCCGTAACGCGTATCACTGACTTGTCATAATAGTATGTTCCATCACTAGAGTCTTTTTTTTTGAGGGATGGCATGGGTGAGGAAATGGTTCTTACGTTAGCAATATAATAACACGATTATTCACATTGCCTGTTGCATTTAATGATGCAAGCCAAAAATTGTTGCAGCTGTGATCATTTTCACTATCTCCACGTCATTTTAACTGTCACAAAAACTTGGTTGCGACCGACCGTACTAGGCCACAGGCAAACCGAATACTGCAACCGCTATGAAAGTCGCTTATTCCGTTTCTATGGCACATTGCTTGATTTTTATCCACACTGCCAAGCACTACCGTACTCAGCTTGTTGAGAAAAAAAGCGACTGAAAAAAAAAAAAATGAAGGGAGCGGAAAAGCCCGCTCAACCCAGTCGTGATGTCATCTGCGATTCTCGCGATTTTCTGCTTTTTTAGTAAAGGCGAGTAGTGGCTCCTTTTAGCTTCGTATATAAATTCTCTTATTCCATGTCCATTCCCACTACCAATCCGTCTGTCAGGTAGTTGCGGACTAGGTTTTGATTAATGCCTTGCTTGCTTACTGACAGTGCCCATTGTGATAGTACTGACAGTGAACACTGGACGAATTCGCTCGTTCGTCCGGCAAAAGATACGCGGCCGCAGACCGAGGTACGTTTGAACCCGACCAATGGCGGGAATACCTTGCCTTTTACTCTTAACGTCTAGCTTTGAATATGTAAAACTCACTGCGATGGTCTATTTTAAAAGGATGTGACGGCCACCAAAGGCAATGACTTTGAAGATTATTTTCTAAAGCGAGAGCTCTTGATGGGCATCTTCGAAGCTGGGTTCGAACGTCCCTCTCCTATCCAAGAAGAAGCGATTCCCATTGCTCTGACGGGTCGTGATATTTTGGCCAGAGCTAAAAACGGTACCGGCAAGACCGCCGCCTTTGTTATCCCGACGTTGGAGAAAATCAACAACAAGAAAGCGAAAATTCAAGCGTTATTGTTGGTTCCCACCCGTGAGTTGGCGTTGCAGACTTCCCAAGTTTGCAAAACGCTCGGCAAACATTTGGGAATTCAAGTCATGGTCACGACAGGTGGTACAACATTGAAGGATGATATCATGCGCTTGGCTGATCCGGTGCATGTGGTGGTCGGTACACCCGGTCGTATTTTGGATCTTGCCTCCAAGCATGTCGCCGACTTTAGTGAAGCAACCACGTTCGTGATGGACGAAGCAGATAAACTGTTGTCGCCCGAATTCACCCCCGTCATTGAACAGCTTATTTCATTCTTCCCCAAGGACCGACAGATTATGCTCTTCAGTGCCACTTTTCCCATCATTGTCAAGGATTTCAAAAACAAGTTCTTGGTCAAACCTTATGAAATCAACCTCATGGACGAATTAACCCTACGCGGTGTCACGCAATACTATGCCTATGTCGAAGAGCGGCAAAAGGTTCACTGCTTGAATACATTGTTTTCAAAGGTAAGTGATTATGCGGCGCGGTCACTGGAGCTTAAAGACCCATGTGTGTGGGGAGAATACTCAACTTCGATGGTTTGTTTGTTGTTTTCCACTTTAGCTTCAAATCAATCAATCCATTATCTTTTGTAATTCCACCAACCGCGTCGAACTTTTAGCAAAAAAGATCACTGAATTGGGTTACTCTTGTTTCTATTCTCACGCCAAAATGCTGCAGAGTCATCGTAATCGCGTTTTCCACGATTTTAGAAACGGCGTATGCCGAAACCTCGTATGCTCAGGCAAGTATCCCTTTTTTTATTCGTATGGGTCACAATGGACGGTGGATGTAATGGCGATTATTGTGGATCAAGGTGGGATCAAAGAGCTTATATTTTTCCTTTGAATGACGAATAGATCTGTTGACGCGTGGTATTGATATTCAAGCGGTCAATGTGGTGATTAACTTTGATTTCCCAAAAAATGCGGAAACTTATCTTCATCGTATTGGCCGTTCCGGCCGTTTTGGTCATTTTGGGTTGGCAATCAATCTGATCACATATGAAGATCGGTTCAACTTGTACAAGATTGAGCGTGAGTTGGGTACGGAGATTCAACCTATTCCACCGGTGATTGACAAGCGTCTGTACGTGGCCCCCAGTGCGCTGGAAGATGCACAGGTCCAACAGCCGGACCGTCAGGCAGCGGTAGCGATTCGCCAGCAACAACAACAGCAGGAACAACAGCAGCAGCGACAGCAATATAATCGACCACAACAGCCACAACGACAACCTCCTTCTAACTATCAACAAGCACCGTATCAGCATCAACCACATCCTCAACAGCCAAATTTTCAACAGCACGCACACTATGACCCACGTAACAACGGACATCATTCCGCAAGGGGACGTCCTATGGGCAGAGGTAGAGGCCGATCCAGGCCAATGGTTTAGACATTGAAAATCCATCACGTGCCTGATTTGTTTTTCGCTCGGATCTTCCATCACGGGGGTTTATGATCTCACTACAGAAAGTCATTGAATCCGACCATACTTGTATATTAAAAAAATCATATTTGAATCCGACCCCACCAAAAAATATATATATATATAAGTCTATCGCTTTGTGATTTGTAAGTCGCGCGAATTTTGTAGACAAAAAAAAAGGAAGTATTTTTATGATCGGAATGGGCGAAAGGGGATCGTGAGTGAAGCTGTGGTAGGTGACATCAAGTCATGAGCGTTCATTGTAGGAAAAGGTTGACAAAAATCGGCAAAATTCATATGAGGAGGAAGTGTCAAGCAGCAATACTCGAAATATTGCTCGATTCCAGATCAGTAATCATTTTCCGCAAAACTTGGATCACTATGATCACTCTTTATGACCCACTCATATATCCATTTGTGTAGTAAATACGGAGATACTATGATATTGCATTTTGTTTTCTTTTCTTTATCCGTCTGCTGAAGCTTGATCGATGTGATACATTCGAACCTCATAGTCGCTCCTTTGAAAGGAACGCTGCGATCAATACTCAGCATTAAAGTATATAGAAGAAAAAATCAATGTTTTATACTCGCCGAAAGTGGAACGTTTTGATGGCTAGGCTCGACCTCCATGAGTATAGTAACGGCCTCTAAGGATTTTTAGCTTATTTCTTTTGCCGCTTTTCCATTTTCTTTGATGATCGCTGGACGGAATCTCCAATTATGGAAAAACCAAGCCGTATCGCGTTGGCAGACACGATCATTGTCCGTGAGCGCAAGATCCGCTGAACAAGAAAAGTTGCCGTTTTCCATTTATATTCACTGGCCTTATTGTGAAAGGTAATTCCATTTGATGATCGCAAGGTCGATGAGGAACCAATGCAAACTGATACATGTACTGTTAGCAAATGCACCTATTGTAATTTCAATAAATATGTGAATCCTGAAGAACCACCTGTAGAGCGTTTGACGGCGAGTATGATCCGTGAATTGGATCATTACTTGACGCATCCTTCTTTTGGCTTACGGGATCGACCTATCCATTCCGTCTATTTTGGTGGCGGGACTCCAAGTACGTATCTAAAATGTATTTACAGCAGTACAATCTCTAACCCTCCGTAGGTCTAGCTCCAGTGAGTGGTGGGGGAAATAAGCGTTATATCAATATGGCTGAGGGCTCATTCGCCTTTATTTGACCATGCTTAGGCAAGCACGATTGAAAAATTACTGAATACAATTGATACGCATGTCAGACTACGGCCCAATACAGAAATCACCCTGGAGGTAAGAAAAATTAGTAAACGACAGGGAGCACATTATAGCATCCATGATTTAACGATCAATATAGGCGAATCCTACGGTAATCACAACAGGATGCAATGCCATCTTCCGTGGCAACTTATATTAGATTGTTGTAGTCGATAGAGACGGCGAAATTGCTGGATTTTCGCAAAGCTGGTGTCAATCGATTATCCATGGGAATTCAGTCCTTTAACGATCGTGATCTCAAGCTTTTAGGTTGCTCGTATTTATATTCTAGTATAATCGCATCCACTGACTTATGTTTTTGCCACTTACTAGGAAGAGATCACACCGCGTCCGAATCCATACGCTCATTGGCAACAGCCAGAAAGATCTTTGACGCTCAAGGTCTCACGTTTGATCTGATCTTTGCACGACCAGGTCAAACCCTCTCAGGTTCGTGGTCATTGGGACCTGGTTTCCGCATTTTTTCCGTTACCTAATGTCACTTAAATAGATTGGCAGCAAGAGCTCAAGGTAGTCAGCTGGATGAAATGCATCGCATAGAAACCGTGTTTCTGACGGGTTGACGTCTTCTGTAGCAAGGGTTGGACATTGCAGGCAATCACTTGTCGCTTTATCAACTATCAATGGAACGAAGCACACCGTAAGTGCCTCAATATGTATATTTGTTCGACTGATCGATCGTTGAACCATTGTACCATTTACAGTCTCGACAAGTTGGCACGCAAAGGGCTGTTGCCGCCTTTGCCTACGCCCGATGAGGCTGCAGACATGTATGAAGACACAATCAGGGTAAAAGTTCAAGACAAATGTTACCTGTAAGGTGCGGTGATGCTTAACCATATTTTCCAGTTGACCAAGGAGCATGGCTTCCAACATTATGAAGTATCCAACTACTGCAAAACACAGGCCGCCATCAGTCGACATAATTTCGCTTATTGGCAAGGATTGGATTTTCTCGGTAAATCATTCTTTTTCCCTTCACAGGTCAGCTTCGTCAGTGTTTCACTTACGTCTGTAATTCAGGAATCGGACCTGGAGCGCACGGTCGATTGACCATGCTCGATCAACGTCGCTTCCGCACCTTTGGTGTAAGTCATCTTTTTACTCGACCTTTTTCCGTGTAGCTTCTTGGACTTAAAAAGAGCCATGGTAGGAATTTCATCCAGAAAAGTACATGGCGCTGTGCGAGCAAGAAGGGGAAGGGTAAGTAGTCTTCTCATGTGTGCATAACAATCTGGTCCTGACACGATTGTTCAGTATTCGCCAAATGAAAGCCATTGACTCGGCTGCATTTATGGAGGTAGAAAAAGCGGAAAAATAAGAAACTAATCAAGGACGATTCACTGAGACATACTTTCAGGAGCTTATCGTGTTTGGACTGCGGACACGCATGGGCGTAGGGAGAGCTACGTTTGAACAACTCACGGGTGGCATGTCGTTGGACAAGGTACATTTACACTAGCTGTCGGTCATTTTATTTTCAGTTTTATTGATTTTCTTGATCCCAGATGCTGAATAAGGAAGCATTGAGTGCTTGCATAGAAGCTGGTTTTCTGATAAGTGACAATCAATGCATCGATGTATCGAGGATGGCGAAATACAGCCCTGAGGAATTTTTGTCACAATGGCTCCCTCGCGGAGGCATCCGTCCGACAGAAGCCGGGCTTGCGCGCATGGATTCTATTCTTCCCAACATTTTGAATACCACTTTATAAAGGCTGAAAGCAGACCCACAGGCTGGATACCATTTTGAAAGACCTTGCTTTATGTCCATTCGTACTATTTTAAAGTTTGATTTGAACACAAAACCATAGATATTGATGCTGTTGTTATTCTATGATTGATTTCTACATATCACCGGATAGTAGAAGCGGATAATATGCTGCTGAGGATTAACCCCGGTGTGACATGAAAGATTCGAGATAAGATGGCAGCGGTATGTCCCACCGTTGCTTCATTTCTGACAGGACGAAACGAAAACCTCGAAGAACTAGGTGGAACCCGTGCGTCAGATAATTGTGTAGTATCCTTTTCACTTTCACAGATACCGCTTCCGTGAGTTGAAGCTCCTAAGCGACAAAATCATCATTATTAGTCTGCCGGGATGCCGGGACAAGTGGGTTTCTATGCTGTTGCCAAACCTGTGATGAAGCGTTCATTCTCTCCTGGTACATGATTCTAAACTTTTGGATGGCTCTTAGGCTTTCCGACAGTCGGTTTAGCGTGTTGAATAGAGCCACAAGTTCACCCCGCTGAATCAGGTTTGGATTCCACTTTGGACTAAAGGGCACGAGGTGAATATAAAAAAAAAATAGGAGCAGCGAACGACCACGCAATCGCGCCCACTTACTTTAAGCTCTTTTCTTCATAAGAGAACAATATCTTGAGTGCTGTACCTAAGCCTGTCGTTTGCAATTTGCCCCACAGTCGGCACTTTTCACAGCCAACGCAATCCATAATGCGAGACACATTGCGGAAATGATCCCGGAATTCGATCTTGAGAGCCTATCCAACATATGCCTATTAGCCCACGATATTTTTTTGCTTTAAAATGAAACCGAGCGATGCTGTACCTTGGCCTCCGGACCTTGAAACATTGTTTTTTCGTCAAATGTAGGCGGGCATTCTTTGGCAGCACGGATGAGATCATGAACCATGGTCTAAGTAATGCCATTTTAGATTTTCTGAGCCTCCACCTTTCCACCCTTCGTTCATTGAGACATACCTTGACTTGCATATCTTCAACGGAATCCCCGCTACAAAAGTTGTACGCTTCCAAGTATTCACCCAATTTCGTGATGGACCGAAGCACCACTGCATACGTAAAGTAAACATTTTGCAACCGTTCCGGGTGGGATCCAATACGGGTGACAAAGCAATCGAGATTGGGGCCCTGTAAATTTCAAAAAAAAAAAAAAAAAAAAAACGAAAACGAAAACAGCCATAAATATATGCGTTACGCTCCATCGTTGTTTCTTGACAGTTACCCATTGACCGGTTGTCTGATTGAAAAATTCATCACAAATATGAATAGAGATGGAAGAGTGCAATCCCGAAACCAATCGGTAGTAGACACGTTTTTCAAGGCACACATCATCCTCATTGGTTCCGCTTCCATCGGCGTCTTCTGCGAGATCGTGCATCAGTCGACGCATGTCTGCCTTGTTGTCGGGTACGTGAGGAAATTGGTCGCCGGTATCGGGCCGTTTTCTAGCTTGCTCAATGCTTCGCAAGGGATTGCTGTTCTTTTCCAAGTTGGTTCCCATGTTTAAAATGTTATTGCATGTCTCGCACCCTTCGGTCATTTTGTGAACAATGTCGAAGCAGTTCTCTTCATAAATGGATTTCCACACTCGGCCAGCGGAAGCGCCAGCATATCCCGTGAACCGCTCCGGATTATCCAATAAATTGACATACACACCCTCTGGAAGATAGCAAGATCCATTAATATTTCTAAATTTTCGTCTATGCCATCCTAATTAATCGCATACCACTGTCGCTTGGATCATCCACCATACAGAAATCTTCGTCTTTGTATTGACAAGCCTGGAATGGTTGGAACAACTAGAGAAAGGCCACTTATTAGAAGCTTTTTCGCAAAATCCGTCAATGACCAAAAATTGTACTCACTGAATCTTTGGGTGTAAATTGTAGGGCGCTCAAGGCTTCCTGCCGCCATTCTTCCGGGATGGATGATTCGTCGGTCGTAGCCACGGAACAGTCTCGATTCATACACAATCCATCGTCGTTCCAAAATGGGCATTCTCGCCATAAATTTAACTGCGCATAAAGCAAGTGAGACGTTGATCAACTGTCACATGTAGGGCTTGTAATCCTTGGTAACGGAGACTTACCTTGTAAAATCGAAAGAAAGCGGTACGGACGAGGGCTTGAATTTTATCAAAAATATCGTCTTGAATCTCTTCTACGCTCTGAAAATCACAACAGGTATCCTTGATTTGCCCGCTAGGCTAAGTAATGTTCAGCATTCAAGACGTCAAGATTGACTCTTTCTCCATCTTGTACATACATTGCAGTAATTCTGTGAAGCAGATGATTGCAGTACATTCTGCATAAAACGCGCTGGTGCAGGATCTTCAAGCACAGGTTTTGGCGCCTCCGAAGCCACAACGATGGATAGTAAAAGAGTGCATAGTATGGCCCAAATCCATAACTTGCAACCCTTTTTGGTTGGCTTATAGTGTGTAATTTGACCCAATTTTGACATTTGGTCGATGACTAAATGGTGTTAGGTGACAGACTGGGTTCTGGCGCAGCAGCAACGGGGTGTCAAAATCAATTTATGCACTCTGTCTTTACGTGGCTGCTGGCGAGTCGTCGTGACTGGGTTATTCCTGAACGGGCCGATCCCCTGCCATTGGCGGATTTTAAATCAATACTAACCTCTTGCACACGGTCATTTTCCCATTTCAAGCCCAGCAGCCCATCCTCCTTCATTACTCAAATGTACTTTTGGTCGGTTGGAACGGATGAACTATCGACAGGTTGCTAATGTGATTGGCCAAAAAAGACAATTCATTACGCTCACCTCCAAAGATCAGGTTGCTACAATGGTTTAGTGGAAACTTTTTTAGTTTGCACTTGGAAGTATAATTTACAGTCGAGCCATTTTGAATGGATGGGGTAATTTTTGCATGGAAGAGCACGATAAGGAAATTACCGGAATAGTCGAAACGAAAACGGCGAACGGACACTTCCATATTTGGTAAAGGCTACCCAACGCAAGGGTGACTCCAAGTGAGATTAGGGTTCACAGTTTTTTGGTGATGTGGTTACTCGTAACAGATGCATATATTACCTTTTTGAGGTAAGCAAACGAAAAAAAATAAGGCACAAACGGAAAGTCCGAGTAGAATAAGATTAATGGAAATTCCTTTTTTCTTGTTATTTTGCGTATCAGGTGCAACCACGCGCCGGCAAGTCTAGAAGTGCGAGATCAACTCTTCTCCCGCGGAATAGGAAAGCAATCGTTTCACCATGACATCTCATCGCTCTATGGGTCGAAAGCTTATTTTGAATCGATGACTGTTTTATTCGCTTTCAAAGCCATATCATATACAATAACAGAAGAAAAAAGAAAGGGAAAAAAAATTATAAAAAAAAAGAAAGGCATGCTAAGAAAAGAGTTATCTACAATAGAATTAAAAAGGGACCATGGAGCGCTTCATAACCGTGATTAAGCCATATCAAGTGGAGGTGATTCTTTTGGCGCGTTATTAAATTGTTCATATCAGTGATTTAACAAGCATATCGTTTTCCCAAGGCATTTCGGAACAGAGCTAGGGTATCCTTAGTATGTGTTATCCGTAAAGCCTGCAAGTAATCGGTTAATGACTTCAATTAGGGCGAAGTTTCGTGTCGTCCTCTTACCGGAGGCTGTGGAGGAATTCGATTCGAAAAGCATGCTTGAAAGGGGATCTATCGATGCGGATGTGATCAATGGATCGAATGACGTGACTGCTAATGTGCGAGAGGGACTGGGTATTCCTCGAGACGTGGTTATTGGTAAGATGGTGGCTGCAGCATACCCCATCAGCATATCAGCAAAGGATGACGGTGGTTGGTAAACGTTGGTAAATATCGGAGTCGTTGATCCGTAAGACTGTGTGGTCACATCCAACGGAGGATAGGCGTTGATTGTTGTGTCGCTAGCAGAAGATGGATAGGACGAGAGCAGTGGAGACACGGTTACCGGGTACGAAGACGGTGACATGGTACTCAAACCCAATGCATGTGATGGCTCGGTTGCCAAAGGACTCTGTTGATGCATGGTGGACGGCAAAGGCGGAGGTACCAGAGTTTTCTCGGCAGAAGACCGTCGGCGCAGAGTTAGGTTTGATCGCTTAGCTTGCCTTTTCAGCCTTTCATTTTCTTTTCGTAAGGTGCGAATCTGTTCCAAATAAGTGGCTTCCCTGGTGTCCGAATTGCATACTGAAAAAAAAGAGTACATAGTCATGAATGCCACTTTTAAATATATGTGAAAAGCGAGGTTTTTACCATATTCCAATGACTTTGAAACAATCATGGTTTTGCTGGGTCGACGCACGGTCTGCAAGGTGGGCAAGGCGTGGGCCAGCTGCTGGTACTTGTTATTCAGTCCTTCACGTCTTTGCCGTTCGAGAGCATTATGCGCCGATCGCTTGTCACTAGCGAATAGAGTTAAATTGGTTTAGACTTTTTGGCTGGAAGAAGAACAAGGAATATTCTCGAACGGTGAGGAGAAGGGCAAAGAAAGACGGAGAATGGTAAAGAATGCTTTGAAACCACCGAAAAAGGGAATGTGATTATAAACTTGCCTATCCTCCACCACGGAGCCAAGGGATAGAAACGATATTCCTATTGTTTTGTTTTGTTTATCAATGAATGATGAGGTGATCAAAAATATCAGGGCGACGAGGGCCTTATATTCATCAGAAAAATTGCTTTTACCTTGAGGATACGGAAGGTTGGTGTTACTGAATCGAAAGCGATAACTGAGCCCAGGTTGATTGAAACGACCCCGTGATAAATCGTACATTGATCTCATTTTGTTATCTGGTTTTTCCATTGGACCAGTTTTGTAAGGACAACCGATATAAACCCAATGGACAAATCAAACAGTACACCTGGATATTGAAAGAGATAAAGAAACCAATCCGAGAAAGAAAAGAGAAAATAAAATATAGAAAAAATTCGTAATTGAAAAAAAGCAAGAAAAAAAAAAGAAATGAAAAAACAAGGTTAAAGAAAACAAAAGTTTTTATCTTCCAGTTTAACCATTACTGCATTTCAAACCACGGCGACTACCAAATAAAGCAAATCGGCAAATAGAAGCGTACATTCTTAAAATTAACTCTGTGGACCATGATTATCGTTTGAAGGAAGCGGAATCACTAGCTTATTTTGGATGTCCAGGGAAATTGACAACCCTCAATGGTGGCCAGTCATACAACCTTTTGAACTTTTAACGTTGCAACCCATTTTCAGCACACTCAATCATTGGACCAACGCTGATATGCGAAGCAAAGAGAGTGATAAGGAAAGGAGTGTCCTAAATGGAGCGAGAGGAGTTAAACAAAAAGTAGGGACGTGCGTTTTTTCAGTAATCGAGCACCAACTAACACACAAGTGGAGATTACTGAAATCATGGCTTGCCCTTTCAGGAATACCGTCACTCCCAGTCATCGATCTATTTTTCCCTGATGGGTGCAACGTTTCACTTGGTGACATTTCTGACTGTTTTCACTATTGGTGACGGTTGGGGGAGGTGGGGGGGGGAAGAAGGAAAGGAAAGAAAGGGGTGTTATTTTTCGTCATGCCTCACAAAAGCAAGATTTCTTTTACTAGGCTTTGGTTAGGTATTGGAAAAAAAGTGACTAGCGTCGACGAATGACTCAATAAAGAGATGAATCTAAAAAACGGATCGACAATGATACTTTACGGTGCGTAAGTGTGCATTCATCGCTACTGCTGACCGTGAATTTCCTTTCTTGAATAACATCGTTATTTTAGGCAGAAATTGCACATACTCTGCCTACCATTATTTTTCATAAGAGGGTGCCCGCCGCCCTTGATTACCGTAAATAATAAAAAAAACATATTGATACCACGAAAAAATAGAAAAACAAATATTCTCCTAAAGGCTTTACTTTTTCATTATCACAATTCGCTTTTTATCTTTTGTCCATCTTTGCTAAATTTGTTCAGACGCTCATTTTCACAAAACTTGAAATTTTCTCATGTATTCTTGTTACCACAACATGCAAAATGAAAACAAAAAATTTTCGTATTATCCCACAGGGTTCAGTCTTGAACATAATATCTACTGTGCTGACCCTGAGCTCCCTTGAGGGTAATCATTCCAATTTTCGGACCAGTAGACTGATACCATAACGTATAATATCACTTGGTGTTAATTCGTGGGCCCATATATTGTGGGAATGGGGACGGAGGGCTTGTTCTGCTGGGATAAACTTTTTTTGAGAAAGAGAGCTTTCGTCACTCATTGGAGAATGAAAACGCTCAATAAACTTATGCATAGTGTAACGAAAGAAAGTTGATCAATCATGCAGTGATCATAAACTTTGTATACTTCATACAACGCTGTGATTCGTTTGATGCCACCAATAAAATGACGACATCCTTAATATCTCCCTTTTTACTGCAAAACTGAGTCAAGCAGCCGAAAAACTTAGCTTGTCGAAAATATCCACCTATAAATCGCAGTCCTTTTTCGCTTCCCATGCGTCATTGCTGTCGAGGATTGAATGGGTCATAACATATTGTTGAAAGGTGTATTTGTATTATATAATGAGGAAACATGCTACATGAGTGGTTCATCGCTATTTGATAATCGATTCAAATGAAGATACGCATCGGTACCGTATCTACAATAAATAAAAAAAGAGACGACATAACCCAATGAGCTATTTTATACACACACAAATCATTTTAACTGATAGACCAGAGAGGCCAACGTACCCTTCCATAGAAATCAATTTCAAATCTCCTCCAAAATATCGCGCATACTGTGTGTAAAATCCAATGTTAATCAATCTTTTTCGTTAGACCAGCTGTCCTCGTGACTTACAAGTCTTGATATAGGCAATCCGTACCCGAACCCTGCCATGGGTGCCTTGAAATCCGAATGACTGTATTCGGGCTCAAGCTCTTGTGCCTGTGCGGTGGTATACTAATGGCATGTCGTTGAGTAACGTTTGCCTTTTACTCAATGGAACCAAATCGCCTACTTACCATGTACGTCCAAACGAGCGGAATGCCGGAACGAGGGATACCGCCTCCTTCATCCGAAATTTTAATAGTGATATCCTGTGTCGCCATATGTTGAGCATGAATCATGTTGAAGATCCATAGTCATGATCCACTTACTTCTTTGCCATGCGCAATGACGACTTTGATGGGAGGATATTCATCTTCATAGTCCCCCCCAAATCGCTCCACGACCGCACGAAGCGAATTTTTCAGTAGCTCAAACAGCATATGGTTGAGATGCGAAGGCACGTACATAAATTCAATGTCGCCAGGACAATGCATCTGTACTTCCGGGGCTTTGAATAGCCCGTAATGCTCTTCACATATAAACCGTGCATTGGCAATGGCATCCAATGCAATTTCGCGAATATTTGTCTTGGTACAAATCACGCCAACGTAATCTTTTCGAAACGGTCCACGATACAGTGCCGAATGCTGGCCTGAAAATCCGTCGTTAGCCGGATCGTTACCTCTTTTCCAGCTTGACACCTGTGAACTTACCAATCAACATACGAATCCCAATGCGTGACATGTAAAAGCGATCAAGAAATTGTTGCACTTCGGTATCAATCATTTTCGATTTGAGGTGATCCTTGTATTCCAAAATACCCTGGGCTAATGCAAGGACACCGCTGACATCGTCAGTGTCCAAACCGAGTCAATGTTTCCATGGGATCAAATCAATCTACTCACCAACCGTCGTCACCACAGGATCGTGGCGACGCTTGATGGTTTCAATGGATTTGACAAATAGATCGTTGTACGTGGCAAACTCGGGTGGACAATCGCCTTCGTCCATTTTTGTATAGTATCTGTTGAACCAACCATTATCATTACATCTAGAGGTCCATTTCCCTGATCTCCAAAGGCCTTTTGCGTTGCTCTCGCTTACCGATGCCCAATGGGAATGGAAGGGTGCAACGCCCCTGTGCGCTTCATTTGTCGCACAGAAGGGTTCGGCACGCTCGCAGGTAACGCCAACGTTTCACCATTATTAAATCCATTCTTTATACGTTCCCTTACGGTGTTTGACAGTTGTGGCGGTGGAATATCAATGAGTTCCTGAAAACGCACAGAGTGTCAACCAATGCTATCTTATGGACCCCCTTCTTTTTTCTTTCACAGTTAGGACACAATTTACCTTGAAGGATTGTGCATACCAATTTTTGACTCGTACAATGGATGGCATCTGACTTAGATTGCGTGGTAATTCGTCCAACTCTTTGACACGATGGGCCAATCGTATGGGTAATTCCTCTAAATACCGTATATGAGATCATTTTATCCAAATAAAGACAAAGCCCCAAAAACAGAAAGCTCGTTCCGTCCCTTCCCCTCCCCACCGACCGCGGGAAATTACCATGCAAGAATTGGCTGGCTCTGAACAGCGTCCCTTGGGACGGTTTCTGACCTACAACCGCCTATGTCGGAAATGAGGCCCATTAACGTAAATTGAGTGCCATTCTTTCATTACCGAACATCACCATCTGCCTCAATGACACGCCGGTTTGAGGGAACTTTGCAAAATGCTTGATTTTATCATACAGTTGAGGCGTGATTTGGAACATGAAGAGAGAGAAGAAGATATGTACAAGGGAGAAACGAGACAAATAAAAGGAAACCGGAAAAACCAAACGTAGACGAAAAAGAATGCGAAAGTAAAAAAAAAAGAGATATAAAGAGAGAAAGCAAAAAAGGGTTAAAGCAACAGTGAATGGTGGTATCACTTTTTTTTTTTTGGTTTTAATCAGCGTCAAGCAACATTTTTTTTCTTTTCTCTCTGTAATGAGTCAGGCAGAATCAACGCATGGCAGGTGTAAAAAAAAGTAGTGACATGCTTGAACCCGTTCGTCACATGCTGCATGTGAAGCCAAAAAAAATCCATTCGTCTTTCCCCCGTTTGGTCCCGATTCGATTTAAAGTTCAATATCCGTCTACGCTTTTCCAACATGGTAAATCCGCAACGCAATCCTTCACGGCTGGGTTCATTCTTTTTAGTCATCTTTCTTTGTCTTGGCTTCTGGTTCCACCACTTGAAATGACCGAATGAGCAGGTTGAACAAGGATCCAAAAAATAAAGCAATCACTGTACACGTCAAAGTGATGACGTTGTATGGCATGCTGAAATCCGGCGTGGGTAAGCTGACAAGAAGCGTATCGGTATAGAGTCGCATTGTTCTTGGTGATCTGCAATTCTCCATGTTTAACTCACACTCTGTTGCCATGAAATACTTAAACGTTTTAACCTACCTAGAATTGGTATTGTTTTCCATCCACATTGTCAGGACCGCCGAACTAATCAATTGATTTAAAATTTCAGTATTCTCAATGCACTTTTGTCTTTCTGCAAAAATAATTCCCACGTTACCCCACATCAAAACCGCGATTGGCATCGGGACGATGTTCTGTATACTTCAGAAATACTTTGTCGAAATCTAGGGATAACGTCACCATGGATTTAGCTGGAATCAATAATCTGCATTCCAGCATGGTTGGTCGACCACGATCGATCGCTGGTTGGTAGTACATTTCCTGAATAATGTCTATAGATGACCCGCTATCAATAACGTATTCACCCTTGCGTCATCGGGGCCACCTACCGTCCTTGTCGGTAGTATTACCAATCACATCCACTTCCAAAGTGTGAAGGTAAAACTTTAAAAACCAGGGAATCGAATCGTAATAGATCATTGGCACACTCTCATGCTCGTTACGGTTTTCAATGGTGATACGTAATCCACCTCTTTCTTGTCCGTAACCCGTAAAATACCGTTGAGCAGAGATCATGGGATCTTTGGCTTCACGTGCTGTGGAGCAAGAAAAAACCTCACATTAACACACTATGCAGACAAAAGCCGACCACCAGGCATTTTGGTACTCACGGTATTGAAACATGGCTTCGTTCCAGGACATACTGATATCGAGATGTCCCGTGACTAGTTTTGACAAATATTGAGCAACGAGAAAAAAAAATGACAACAGCATACATGCATTGAAACTGTACCTTTCTTCAAATCGTACACCGCCAAAGACCGTGGTCCTAAGCAAACATTTATGTTTCATCACGTTAGTTGGCATCGGCAAAACATCGTGTGTTGGGACACTTACTCTTGTCCTTTGAAAATATAGCGGAGGCTTCATCTGCAGGAAGAGTGGCGTGAGGTGATGGGCTCAGTTGTGCAGTCTGATGAATCTCGTCATTGAGAGCGACCAAGGCACGACTTTGGCGTGCTACAGGACACGCGGATGTCAGCTGCCGGTCAAAAATGCTTTGCAAAGACCAATCTACGCATAAAACAAAAAAAAAATGTTATATTACATCAAGTGAGCCGATGCTGCAGGATAGTGCTAAAGAAAAAGCGGGCGTGATTTTTACCTCTACGATCTGTTTCCCGTACAGGATCCATCACCGAGGTGACCGTCTGTTTCAGCTCCAATCGACGGCGACTGCAGGTTTCATCCTGCGCATATTCAAAATATCCGTCAGTTACACATGCCAGTCTGATCATTCCATCCAAACAGTCTTACCATGCAGCTAGATTTGGCGTGAATAGCCATTGAGTGGAAGTTGGAATTATAAATTTTGTGTGCATTCAACAGGACGGCAATACCCGACTACACAATACGTGAATTGTCAGTGACACGTATTCTCTACGCTCTATTCAGATCACTTTTCATCTTGCCTTGGATTTGCAGGGTAGTAATTTGATCCAGGGGGTCAAGTTTTCTGTGCAGACGTTTTCATGCGGCAAACTTCCGTAACGGAGTTGCGAATTTGTGGTGTTGGGCAAGAATGGATTGTCGTGGATCGCTTCGGGTTGGAAAGACAAACGAGGTTCCGTGGTTAAAGTTTCGTCGATAAAGTTGAGAGAAGCACAGAACAATCCGGAAAGCACGTTGGTGAATGACTTCCAATGGGCATCCACACTAAAAGAGCATTTTTCATGAGCTGTCAGTACCACGCACCCTTTCCGTTCCTTGACTCACTTGGCCGAATTCTTCATCCACGCCCACAACTCCACACCGGTACCAGCCGATTGTGATGGACAGTAGCCCCATTCTCCATAGTTCCAACGGCCTTGTGTAAACGTCAAGTGCATCTCTCGAACGTCGTATTCTTGTAACACTTGGCCAATCGCTTTCGGGAACAGCCCATAATCCGATACTAACAATTACAAGCAAAATAGAGCATGTCCGATGAATAACTATTGACTTTCTAAGCCCCTTGTAACCCTTTCAAAAGTATGACATACTTGGTGTGCCGGGTTGAACGTGTGCTTCAAAGTCAGTGGTGAATTCAAAGTGGGCCAGTAACTTGCCATCTGAAAGCGGGGTGAGGGTCAAATCTTCCTCAAAGTTGTCTGATACTCGGTGAGTAACTAGTGCATCACAGAAGAGTATGGGGCAGAAAACGCACACCGAGAGTAGCAAGACACACCGTACGGTATACTGCCTCATCTTTAGCCTTAGAACTGCAAAAGCGTTGCGTTTCCTGCGGGCTTTATTCATCCATTCACTGTGACCGCGTTTTAATCAAAGTCGATTTGTGGAATCACGCACTTTCCTTCGGCCTTGGTCCTATTATATCTCGTTGCAATAGTCAGCGATAGGAAGACTCATTGCCTTTGCGCGAGTACCATAGCAGAGCATGGCACGCGTACTGTGTGGCGTAGCGTGCTATCACAGACCACAACGCAAGTCAACACGGCCATCTTTTGCAGGGCCAAGAAATACCCCTTTTGGATAACCCATCCGACGTTTTCCTAATACATTCATAAAAACTATGCAAATCTGTGTAAAATATCCAAGACTGCAAATGTTTGTTCGTGTCAAAATTTGTATAACACATGCCTTCATCATGGAACGTCCTGCAACGCGGAGTTCCAAATAGATCCGCGATGAAAAATGGAAAAAAAGGACAATGACAGCAGCATCCTTGCTACAATCTTCGATACTGCACTAGCAATTTCCGTCATGGCTCGACGAAATAAATCCAAATCTCATCTACGGAATAAGCGAGGATTCCGCAAGACGCAGCATGCAAACGACAATGACGAGTTCAAACGTATCTGTAAAATTAACGAAGCATTGCGTACCCGTCACTTGTCCCTGCTACGTGAATTGGCTCGAGAAAAAGGCGGATTCGTCAATGACGCTCTTCGCCGTCGTGTGTGGTACAGATATTGCTGCACATTTTTATCTGTTATTGGCTAATGTTTTCTTTTATTTTTCTCGGTGCGCACGCTGCAGGCCAGTACTATTGAAATGTTCTGAAACGGAGGTTGATTTGAAGGAGCATACTGGTAAAAAATATAGGAGGATTGAAAATCCTTTCTCGGGAGACTTGCCGTCATACTCAAAATCGATCCGTAGAAAAGCATAGAAATGAAGCCCAAGTAGATTTGGACACACCAAGATCACTCAATACATTTCCTCAAGGTAACATCCGTTGTCATCGAGAAGGTGAAACAAAGATGTGTAATGAAGATATGATGTAGGTGTCTCGGAGGAGCGCAGGAACCAACTTCAGCAAGAATTGAATCGTGTGATTGTTCGCGTCTTGCGATCCCATCCGAACCTACACTACTACCAAGGCTTTCATGACATTTGTGCCGTATTCTTACTGATCTTTGGTGAGAAGAATGCGCCTCAATTTCTGGAAAATGTGGCTCTATTCTACCTCAGATATCCTTTTATATATGCTATTTTTCACCCATTGGTGATCGCTGACGGATGAATATTTCTGGTTTCAATATTTCCTTGACTTAATATGTATACGGATGCGATGCTTGAAACTTTAGAACCGGTTATCCGAGAATTGACGATGCTGGATACACTTTTGAAAGAGGAGGATGCCGAACTATACCACCATCTCAACGAGTAAGCTTGGATGCTGACTCTACTGCTTTTGCTGTTTTGCTTGATGACGATTGAATCCTAGTGCGTCCGTGTTGCCATATTACTGTACAAGCTGGGTCATTACTTGGTTCAGTCATGATCTCAATGCATTGGATTCCATCACTCGATTGTTTGATCTGTTTCTGTCAGCCAATCCAGTGATGCCACTGTACGTTTCGGCGGCCGTGGTGTTGTATCGCCGTAACGCCGTCCTGGAACAACCGTGCGAAATGAGCGAGTTACACAGCTTTCTGTCCAAAATACCACAAGACCTCGACATTGAAGAAATCATCAGGCTGGCGGTTGATTTGGAAATCAAATATACCCCACTGATGATCCAAATCGAAAGCGGCATTGCGCTGGACGAGTCTTCGGTCATCAATACCTATGATCGCATGTGGGTCAAAGCCGATACGACTACATTGGGAACCGCAAAGCAGGAAGCCGACGACATTCTGGCCACCCCACCCACCGAACGTAAAGCGCTTGTACTTCCAACAAAGCCAAGCGAACATTCATCCGAGGCACTGTTAACGAAACTTCAGCACATCCATGTTCAGGACACCACACTCTGGACGCTTCTCGCTGTGGGAGCGGGGATGGGCACCATGGCCTTGCTGCTCACCAACAGCGATTTCATGCGGTAAGCTGTCCATTTCTATTGAACAGGATAAACTTTCGAGTACTCATCCGTGTTCCGCACCACATTGACAGGGAATGGTTGACCTCCATTTGAATCCAACACACTATACCCCTTTACCACGCATAGAAGAAAGTGTTAAAAGTGAAAAGCGAACTTGTTTTTTTTCTGGAGGATGCTCATAAATATATACACATGTACAAAAATGGGATCAATGACTGTAGGAGGATGATAAAGCAAGGGGTTTCTGGGCTACGGTGGTGGCGAGGGTCCATCGAGCTTCTGGAGTTGCTTGGCAATTGGTGCACAGCTCTCGCAAAAATTGGCCATATGTATCCGGAGCGATGCCCAATGGCTCCGTCAGGAAAGGTTGGGCACTCTTGAATATATTGCAAATGTCCCATAAGAATTCGCGGTTGAGATGATCCTGTCGACCTACCACCAAAGCAATGCGTGAGTGATGCGCCATAAACGCAGAGTCGTCTGAATATCATGCATTATTACCTAGATAAGCATCTTTTTTAACAGAGGCTACTACGTGGTACCCTGTTTCTTCCAACAACGCCTGAATTTTGAAGGCGATGTAAGGTTCTTGGCCGCGTTTCAGAATGACATTTTTAACTATAAACTATCAGTCAATGACTGCATGTGGACCCTGATATAATTAACTTACAGGTTTCGCCTGCCCAACGCACAAATTCGTTTCCTCGATCCTACATGGGTTAAATCCGTTTGAGCATTGTTTTGTTCCTGCATTATCATTCCCTGTCTGCTTACAAGCATGCCAGCTTCGATGGACTGAATCATGCCGCCTGGTTTCAGTACGCGATAAATTTCGTTCAATACAGGAGGCCATTCTTCTTTCCGTAAGGCGAGGATAAACAACCGCATATTCACGAGATCAAAACTGTTGTCTGGAAAAGGCAGTCTTTCCAAGATATTCCCCGACAGAAAATGAACATTGGGCGGTCGTATGCTCACAGGAAACGTTTCACACATATCCACACCAGTGAACTCGCTGGCCGGATACTCGGTGGCCATATCCTGGAATGCCGAATCATAGCAAGTACTGAAAATTAGCCATGGCTGTGCTTATTCCTCCTCCGTCTCACGATGACGTGACGTTTACCATGATCCATGTGCCTGGGCCACAGCCGACATCCAATATTTTGCACCCTGTATTGAGCGGGAGCGCTTCTTCCACTTCTCTCAGAATATTGCTATGAAACCGGACGATTGTTCCTTAATACAATATGTACCCTTTTTTTTTAGAACAGCAAAAACTTACCCGTTAAAGAGCGTTTTCAAAGCAAAGTGTTGCTGTACCAACCGACAAAAAACTAATATCAATACACCATCTCGGAAACCAATAAAGAGACTAAAGAAGAGCCGCTTACGCCAACAAGTCTATCCATTTCCTCATCGTCATTAGGAAGCCAGTAGGTGGACATGGCCATGTTATGAAATGAGCGTCCTTGACGAACGATGCCCGTGTCCGTCGAAGTTTGACTGGACAATGTGGAATTCTGACGTTTATGTTGTGACGCTTGAGATGCGACTCGCCGTTTCGAGGATATAGAAAATTTGTTGCCCATAACAACGATGAAATTAAATGAAAAGCAAAAGGGTGCTTTACTTTGACACTGGCATCAAAAAACCCCCACGATCATCCAACTCGCCCTATATATAAAGTTTGAATTAAAAAAACTTTTTTTTTCTCGTGATACAATATCCGTCTCTGAGGATCCTCATTGTTTTTTTTTAAATTAAATGGCATATTGACGTCGGCCCATATCCAACTGTGTCGACCTGTTGCTTGTTCTTTCCGAGCAATGTGAGATGGGATGGTTCAGTTGGTTTTTCATGCGATAACACGAGTTTTCATATACTTCCAGTTGGGTTTTAGACGTTTTGTGTTTCTGTTATTTTGGGATTCATGCTCAACCAAATCAACTAGTGTGAAAATCTTTTCATTATGAGTGGATCCGGAATTCTGGCCGCGAAAATCGGCGCTTTACTGCAATGATGAATTCGCAATGTGTGCTACCATAATTTGACATGTTAAGCACCGAAAGCCCGCTGATGCGTAGCACCTTGTTTCTTTTGGTAACCATTCAGAATGGGAATGGTGGCCCTCCTTTATTATTTCATATGTTTTCGTTGTGAACGTGTATGATGTCAGTACGTACAACATTGCAACTCTCGCTAAACTGTATGGGTCCCCATTGTAAACAATTTCCATCGTGCCGATAGGCAAAAAAAAAAAATAGTCATCCACGTCATGAGACATCATTTTTCATCCATCTTGCAAAACGCGGCCTGTTCCCTTGAGCACCACACATGTCATGTTCATTTTCTCCCACTACCAATGATCACACAACCAACAAATCACTTTGCTCGACAATACGCATATCTCTCGCCATTAAATGCTGAATTTATACCCACAATCATTCACGTGGATGCTGCTGTTACGCAGTGAAACCAAGAGTTCCATAATGATGATCATAAAACTTTTCTGTAAACAAAGTGGTGCAAAGAGAATGCTGCTACTACTAGTTGGGAAATAAAACGGGTAAACTGATGACATGAGAAAATGTTAAATAATGAAGTGAGTCGATCTACGACGGAAACTATACAGTGAACCGGGTTGCCTTGTTTCCTTTTTTTCCTTATCAGATGAAATTGGTATCTCATCCGGTTCAATTTTTACGTTCAATGCTTGAGGCTTTTTAGTTTGGCAATGAGATCATCGAAATGCTTTCCAGTAACGAGATTGGATTTGTTTGACCCGTTGAACCACCTTGATGCATTCGTCACTGGGAGTCATGTCAACCACCGGTTGAGGAGGTTCGTCAAGTAATACTGACATACACGCTGCGGCGGAAACAGAGATGGATTCCAAATTGTAGCCACCTTCCAGCGCCACGACCAACCGTCCATGTGCTAGACTTTTCAGCAAATGGACCATCTGACTGTACCCTGCGGGAGATACCAGACATTGACCTATGGGATCGCCGGCTGCGGCATCAAATCCGGCAGAAACTGGTAATTCCAAAAAAGAATTCATCAAAAATGGGAGCACAAAAAAACAAGGTTGCACTTTATTGAGTATTTACCAATGACAAGCGATGGCGAAAATTCCATGGCAATTGGTAACACCACTTGATGAAACGCATGTATATAATCGGCATCCTTCATACCGGCCCGTGTCCAAGGAATATTGACAGTCCTAATGCGATCCTGTGAGTCAGGCACCTGAGCTCGGCTGTGATACGTTTTGTATCCACCAAATATTAAACTTACTTTCCTTCGCCTGCACCGTAACCGACATAGCCAGCGGATCCCTTTTTATCAGATGGATAGAAAACGCCTTCCTCGTACCGATGCAATGACATGTATAACACATTTGGATCGTTGGCAAAGATTTGCTGCGTACCATTACCTAACAATAAGCGTTAGACCCGCCATTTCCAAACACTCACTTTTTTCCGTTTGATTTTTATCTACTCACCAAAATGAACATCCCTTCGGAAGAGGAAGAGGTAAGAACAAAAAAAAAAAAAAAAAAAAAAAAGACCAGTGTGAGTTCTTCTGATGTGGAAATGATGAGCTATGGCTTAATGGCCTGAATAATTTACCAGTCGAGGATCATCACACGGTTGATATGGTGATTTTTCATACAGAAGCGAGTGGCGATAGCGACATTGTTCATTAGACAAAATCCCATGGGAGAATCGTATTCGGCATGATGACCTGGAGGCCGGACAATGGCAAATGCATTTTTTACTTTATCAGTGACCACCGCTTTGCACGCTTGAAGCACGCCCCCGGCAGCGTAGAGACTGCTCTCAAATGAATGGTTGTTGAAATATATAGAATCGTATTCTTCCTGCAACGCTCGCAGATGGGTGGCCGCCATTTCTACAGACAGTTTAAAATACACAGAATCCAACAATAAAGGTAGATCAAGGGAGAGGCAAGACACTTACTTCGGGTCGACCGAATGGTGCGATAATGTTCCAAATCGTGAACAGCCAGGATATCGTCTTTGGATGCTTTGACGGCGGGTATACGGACACACTCATCAAGAAAGCCCTGTTTGCGAAATTCTTCGTAGATGTAAAAGATGCGTAATGGATTTTCCGGATGGCTGTCCGGAAGCTGTGTACCGGTTTCTTGATGATATGACATGAGCACATCGTAGACGTAGCCTGTCTGCAATCGCCGTCGTGCGCGGACGGGTGAAAGGGTAGATTCATTCATTTCTTTCGATGCCAGTCTTTTCACTCGAGAGATGGAAGTCGTAATGTCGTCCGAGTCTGCGCGTATTGACGCATCACTGTTGTTTGGTTTGTCTTCAAGGTGTGAGACGATTGGTGTTTCTGGACAATCTTTGTATTCAGACATGGTGGGCGAATCCACCTCGATTTCCTCCATTTCGTCGTCCGCCTCCACTGTTTCCGCGACTGTTGGACCGCCCAAGGATGGCATGTCTTCCGCTTCTTTTGTATCTGCAATTGCGTTTTCCGAAGGTGTAGTTATTGCCTGACGTTGATCCGTGGTCGAAGAAGGGCGAATGGGTCGATCTTCAATCATGACAGCCACTGCATGCGCAAGGCGACTAGTGTCTGGATCGGGATTCGCTGTGGAAGGCTTTGTCGCAGAAACAGATTCCTCCACGCTCAGCTTCGCTATTGGTTCAACGTCTTTCTTTGTTGCAGGAAGGTATTCGTCTACGTTGGTAGGTTGGGTCTGCTTTGTTGTTGATTCAACGATCTCCTTTGGTTGCTGTTCTTCTATTTCCATTGGATTCTCGGTTTCTTTGTCTTGCGCATGTAAAGCGTCCTTGCTATGATTCGCATCGTCTGTAGAAACATTCGTATCATTGTCAATATTGCCAACCACCACTTTGGGGTTGCTGTGGTTATGTTTAGAGCTGTCGATTGAGTCGTTTACATGACTGCGGTCGATTTTGTCACGGTTATCTACATGGTCGTCATCGTTCGTTTTACTGCGTTCGCTATCGTCAATCACGTTGTCGTCGTCGATATCATTTTTGTTGATCGTATCAGTTGCAACCTTTCTAGTGTCCGTTTCATCATTCTCAATAGGATGATGGTCAGTGCCTTTGTTGAGAGACTGGCGAGCGTCATCGTCATTGGGGATGTCGTCGAGACCGTTATCGACATCGGCCAAAGAATGAGCGTCGGAGGCTAATTCATCTTCTTCCGAACTGACCATGTTCGCATCGTATGTTTCCGCCTCTATTTCAGAGTCGGACATGAGTTCATCCACTTCTTCCAAATCATCATCATTCATATTTGTGTCCTCGTCCATTGCTTCTATTTGCTGATCTTGATCCTCTTGCCCTGGCTCTGCATCATCCGCGTCCGCATCCGCATCCGTATCCTCCGGCTCCGGTTCTGGCTCCGCGTCCGCATCGGTATTCACGTTCACATTCACATTCGTATTGGTCTCGACCGTTGGCTCTTTGTTTTCAATTTCGATGGACGGAAGCGTGGTGGGTAGGGACGACATAGGGCGTGTCAAGGGGACCTCGAAATCGGGCGATGTGAAATCGTAATTTGATGCCTTTTCTTTGCCTTTTCGACTATGTCCAGGCAAAGGTTTGGGCTGTGCAGGGTCTTGATGACTGTCGTCATTGGATACCGTTGGGGTTTCTTCGGGAGAGTCCGAGTCATCGCTGGTGAGATCGATTATGGGCACAGTGGTTGGTATCGTTGTCTTAAAATAAGGCTTATAGGATGGTTTGAATGCGGCCTCCTTCTTTACTTTGATATTGTGACGAGATGACGAGGATTTGGGGAGGTAAAGGATGTCGTCTTTGGAAGATGCTGCTGCTGCTTGGTTGGGATCGGCGCGATCGTTGTTGGTGGCGGAAGGAGATGATGACGACGCGTTGGAGGATGCGAATGAAGAAGAGCGATTGGTAGCCGATGAAGAGGCTTGCGATGGTTTGAACCAGGTTTCAGGAATGGCTTGTTGGCGTTCCTTCTTTTTGTTCGATTCAGGTGTATGTGACAAGGATGGCAGAGGAAAAGACGTGGTTTGAGCGTGTTTCCGCTTTTTCGAGGGGTGACCAGAACTGTCAATAGTGCTACTCTCGGCATTATTGTCGCCACTCAGTTGGGATGTTCCCGTTTCTAGGAATCGGCGTATGAACATGGCGTGTGTTCGTTTTTATAGTGTGGTTTTTGAGTTCCTATTTTCTTCTATGAGGGCGTCGACACAAAAGAAAAAAAGGGTGGCATGTATCGATGGTGAAACGGGTCCACACAACCGTCGCCGAGGGGGGGGCGGACTCGAAAATTTACAAAAAAGCCACTTTCACACTTACCATTTGCCACCTGTGCGTACTCTAGCACTTACTTTCTTTGTTGCTTCCATTTTTTTACTACTTTTTTTTTACTGCTCATGAATCCATCAGACTTGACAGCACAAAAGAAAGCCATTCCTTTGTTACCGAAAGACCGTAATATGGAAGGAGGGGATTCCCCTGCGGGCACTCCGCGCACGTATCCCTCGAAACGAAGAAAAGTCGATCCAAACGAACTCAACGGCAAAGGTCACCATTTGGCCGAACAGGAAGTCGACAGTGACGATGACATGACCGACATTCCTACCAGTGACATCTCACCTTCGGATCCCTCGAAATGGCAAACCACTATCAATAACGTCGTGAAAGCCATTGTCTCGATCCGATTCAGTCAAGTGGCCGCATTTGACACCGAGGGTATAAAGACCATCTGCTTATTAAGCACACACTCACGACGACGTGAATGCTAAACCTGTGTTACATTTGGGTTTCTAGGAGCTGAAACTTCCCAAGCTTCTGGATTTATCGTTGATGCTGTCAATGGCATTATTCTCACGAATCGACACGTTGCTTGTGCGGGTCCCTTTGTCGGCGAAGCCGTCTGTCACGATCACGAGGAAATTGACGTCTATCCAATTTATCGCGATCCCGTGCACGATTTTGGTTTTTTAAAGTAAATGGCTGCTGCTGCCTACTTTTTATATCCTGATCGACCATTGACATCGACTCACCGCTTATATTCTTTGTTCTTCTTTGGATGATTAGGTTTGATCCCAAGAAGATTAAATACATGCCGGTTACACAGGTCGAGCTTCGACCGGAGCTAGCCAAAGTCGGATTAGATATTCGTGTCGTCGGGTAAAGAGAAAAGGCTGGCCGAGATCAATGCAGCATCATCTCGTTGTTAAACAATGTCCTTTTTTTTCCTGTAGTAACGATGCCGGTGAAAAATTGAGTATTTTGGCAGGTTCTATATCTCGTCTGGATCGAAATACGCCCGAGTACGGCGATCTCACTTACAACGATTTCAACACATTCTACCTGTTCGTACTTTGGATTGCACGACGCATACGGATCACTTACCTCTCCTCTGTTTTAGACAAGCCGCCTCCAGTACCAGTGGCGGTAGTTCCGGTTCGCCTGTCATTGATATCAATGGCAACGCGGTCGCTTTGCAAGCGGGCGGTCACATTAAAGCCGCCACCGATTTCTTTTTACCATTGGATCGTATTAAACGCGCATTACAATATGTTCAGCGAGGTGAAACCGTGCCTCGTGGTGATATCCAAACCCACTTTACGTAAGTCTTTTGGTTTTCCGGTGGATAATATCACCTCAAATTGTGCAATGGACTGATCCATTGATACCCGTTTTGCAGGTATCGACCTTTCGATGAAACACGACGACTAGGCCTTCGACCAGAATCCGAAGACAAACTGCGCAAAGCTTTCCCGGATGAAATTGGGTTACTTGTAGTAGAAGGCGTGTTACCTGAAGGACCGGCTTACGGCAAATTGGAAGAAGGTGATATTCTCTTGACCATGAATGGACAGTATATCACCAAGTTTGTTCCCTTTGAAGAAATGTTGGATTCCAGCGTGGGGCAAAATATCACCATTACCATTGAACGAGGAGGTAAACCCATGGAATTTACCATCAACGTAGGCGATCTCCATGCCATGTAAGTCTTTAAATGGTCTGTTGAAAATTTCTGGTGAACTTGCTGATCTTTTGTATTATCGTAGTACTCCTAATCGTTATGTTGAAATTGGCGGTGCGGTGTTAAACGAGGTTTCGTACCAGTTGGCCAATGCTTACTGTGTGCCCTGTCGAGGTGTTTACGTTGCAGAGCCTTCCGGAAGTGAGTGGATTTCTTATTGTTCTTTTGCCATTTTAGCTTTCTTTTTTTTGCCATGAGTAGTGATGGGCTCACATGCGCGATGATGTTTGACGTCTAGTGTTTCGATTGGACGGTCCCGATAATGGTTGGGTGATCCGATCCGTGGATGACAAACCTACGCCGGATCTGGACACATTTATTGAAGTCATGAAAGGCATTCCTGATCGTGAACGCGTCCCTGTAATCTATTATTCCATTACCGACACACATACCAGTCTTGTGGCCGTGGTTCACGTGCAACGCCATTGGACGCCTTTCCGCATGGCGGTGCGCAATGACAGCACCGGTTTGTGGGACTTTACCGATTTCGGTGATCCGCTTCCACCGCGCTCCATTGTTTCTTCTACCAAACGATTCATCGAGTTGGACCGTAGTCTGGGCCCGGCCGCTCACCTCATCCGATGTCTGGTCAAGGTCAACTATTTCATGCCCTGTCGCATCGACGGTTTCCCACGCAGCCGAAGGCAAGGCGCTGGTGTCATTCTCGACAAGGAACGAGGCCTGGTAGTCGTCAGTCGCAGCATTGTGCCTACCACCATGGGTGATCTTACATTAACCGTGGCGGATTCATTGACCATTCCCGCCAAAGTGATTGTAAGTAACCTTTCGATCAAAGGATTTTCGGATCTCGTGAAATGCTTTCGTTGCTGATGATGATAATTGATACATATGTGATCTAGTATTTGCATCCTACCCACAATTTCGCTATTGCGCAGTACGATCCCAAGATGTTGGGTGATACCAACGTCATGAGTGCGCCCATTAGTGATCAACCTCTATTACAAGGCCACAAAGTGACTCTCGTTGCCAACAATCAAAACCAACGTCCTGTTTGCGTCAACACGGTCGTCACGGATATCACATGTGTCACCATTCCTCACAACGGAGTCAGTATTTTCTCGAATTTGTTTGCTAATGTTGATTTCTTGTCACACCCTAATGCATGATTGTTTAACCTTTTTTTTTTCAATCAGGTTCCTCGCTTCCGAAGTATCAATTTGGATGCCATTACGCTCGACACTCCCATGGCTTTGCATTGCTCCTCGGGTCTGCTAGCGGATGCCAATGGTCTCGTGCAGGGCTTATGGCTCAACTTTCTCGGAGAACAAAACCCCAATAATGGTCATGACAATGAGTACCATATGGGTATTCATATTCAGCCAGTGTTGCCCATATTGGAGAAATTACAGCGAGGCGAATCCCCTACACTGCAGAGTCTGAATATCGAGCTGATGCCTGTGCAAATGGCGCAAGCCACGACCATGGGACTTTCCGATGAGTGGATCAGCCGAGTCGAAGAAGCCAATCCGGCCAAACATCAACTGTTTATGATTCTGCGTACCGAAGTCGGCAGCGACAGCGCCAAGCAATTGAAAGAACACGATGTTATTCTTGCGATCAACGACAAAGTCATCACACGGATGTCCGAAATGAGCGTGGTGGAAAATGCAGAGGAAGTCAAAATGACCATTTTGCGACAAAAGAAAGAAATGACTGTTCACGTGAAGACAAGTACCGTTTCCGGGGATGGCACCAGCCGGGTGGTCTTTTGGGCTGGCGCTGTACTTCAAGGTAAGCACATCTATCTCGATGGTAAAAAACAACTCGACACTGATGATTGACTTACTCGTACTTTTCCACAGAACCGCACAAGGCCGTCTTACAACAAAGCAAAAACCTTCCTTCTCGAATCTACGTTTCCGGCCGAGCGCGGGGTTCGCCTGCGTACATGTACGGACTGGAACCTACCATGTGGATCACGCACATCAACGCTGTCAAGGTGGTTACACTAGACGATCTCATTGCTGCAGTCAAGGATATCAAAGACAACACCTATGTCCGTGTACGATGCATGAGCTTCGATAATGTTCCTATCATGCTCTCTATAAAGACGGTAGATCACTATTTCAAATTGGCAGAAATGGTGAAGGATCCATCCGCCGATTGTGGTTGGTCAGCAAAGGAGCACTCTCAATCTTCTTCATCCTCTTAGACTCGGGATCGTAACACATGGCTAGCGTGTTTTTTTCTTTGTTGCTGTTTGGTTGGCGTTTAATTTATGCATAAAAATAATAAATACAGTAATCAACGGCGTTTGTAAAACTATAAGCTTGCTTTTCTAACCATGACCTCCCCATCCTCACAAGAAACGAGTAATTTGCCTCACTCTTCCACGTCCGGCGGGTTCTTTGGTATCGTATGCAGTCCATTCCCTCCCATCTTGAATCAGCTTATATAACTTGTTTTAAAAAATTTTGGTTGGTGGTCTTACACAGCCAACCTGTTTAGTCGAACCCAGCGATATTCGCCTGAAGAATGGAAAGAATTGCTGAAATCGCATCCTTATGTACCACCGGGCAGCGGGGATGCCCGTTCGCCATGCCCTTTGCTGAACACGTTTGCCAATCATGGAATTTCTATCCCTCGGAATGGACGCAACTTTACCAAGAGACAACTGTATGAACTTTTAATCATTATGGGCGTCAAAAGCATGCTAGCATCGCTGGTTGTGACGTCTGTTTTCGTCATGTACCGTCAGCCTGCACCCAATAGCACGTGGAGGGATTCCTTTCGATCCGCTTCGACGTTAAGTCTTGATAGTCTGGGTATCCACGGTTTGCTCGAACACGATGTATCGCTCACACGCCACGATGCGCAAATCGCGCCATACGATGCGGTCAGCGTCGTACCAGAATTAGTGCAACAAATGGCAACGTTAGCTCAGACATCCCATCTTAACGCAGAAAATATCGTTTTTGATGACGAAAATTATTTTCATCATCGTAAATCCCGATGGCTAACCTGCATCAAGGAAAACCCCTATTTACACTACTCTTTCATACAGCAGGTATGATAAACCCCAATGGACAATGCAACGGAAATGAAGACTCAAGCTAAATATTCATAGTTCCTATCCGCGGCCGAGGCTCACCTTCTTTTACATCTGCTGGGTCGCAATGATCAGATCTCGCTCGATCACATGAATCTGTTTCTCCTCGATGAGCGGTTCCCTGACAACTGGCATCCAATTGACCGGCCTCTCAGTGGATTGTCCGCTATTCGAACCATTATCCGTTATTACCGCCGAGTTCGCCAGACCAATCCCATGCTGGCGGCTTCAAAAGGCACCGAATCATGACTTTTATAAACTCAATACTCGCATATACTGATCATTTTCAAGTAAATAAATACACTTGAAAGGCATTCCGCGAAATCCAAAGACTTGTAATGCTAATGTGAACTATTTCTCACATTTGGTATTTGCAGTATGATATGTACAGTAGCGCATAATTACGCAGTAATGCCTAAAAGTAGGCCAATGACTAATTTAGCGTTAGTTACTCCCTGCCCGCCATAAAACTTGTGGCATATCTTTTTACAAAAAATCACGCATAATTTCTGAAATTCCCCTGGCCCCCCCCCCCCAAAAAAAAAAGAAAAAAATGCACATTTACGGTATATGGCACTAATAACTTCGCATTTGCGGGAGAACCTACTGCTTATTCCAGAAGTCACCATAGGGAATATGAAAATCACATAAAAAAACCGTAAATGAGACATAGACATACTGTAAAAAGTACGTAATTCTCAATTGGACAAGGAGACGAGTCCAATGTGTACTCGGCATCTAAACATATCAAAAGAAGACATCCTGAATGTTCTTGACTGTAAGTACTGTAAAGTGGACCTTACAGAACTTACAAGACTAACCATTGGGAGACGAAACTTGCATGAAGTTACAACCAACAGCGGAGGATCATCACAGTGCCCTGGGACATAGAAAAAAAAAATCTCTGTCTTAATTCTTAATGGCCCATGCAAAACGCATTCTGCTATTGCTTTTTGATAATGTCTCTGTTATTTGACTTTTGGGCATAACAATATAACTTTGAGCTCCACTGATAAGTTTATGTTTACACAAAGCAAACAGGGGCATTCGAGAGCATGGGGTCAAGAAGCTCGATTGGCCATAAACTTGAGAGTTGAACCTTATTCAAGATTTATCGCCATTGGCAAAGGTCCATGTTAATGCAATGATCAATTCATGAAATAGCTTTAAGTTTCCCATATTAAATGCTTGAAACAATTTAGCACGACAAGTCTGGAATAAACTCACTGAGTCCGCCCCACAAAAGCATACAAGCAGCCAATAGTGCCGATGTTGGCAACACACGGTTTTACGTTGACTGTGATAGTTACTCGTCTGTCATTCCACGCCTTTTTTTTATTTTTATTTTTCTATTCTTCAATCATATACACTGATTATTGGATGTAAAAATTTGATGCGTGAAGTATCGATTGTTGGAAGATAAAAGGTCGAGCAAATGCAGATAAGCATACAGGAAGTGGTAAATACTGTTAAATTAAAAATAAGCGTACTGTAATGTTTGCCCATGACACACTGCTCATTTTTTGGCCCCTACCCAAAATTACTAGGTTATCTAATCATAAGTAAAAAAAATAAAAAATAAAAATAAGACACATAAAGTAGTAATAACTGAGTCGAAACTGTAGAGAAATGCGCGTGTGCATGTGGTACAGCAGGTCTCTCACGTTACAGTTTCAGAATGGCCACGACAAATCTTTATCATTGCAACAAGAATATTTTTTATCGAGACGCGCGATTATCGTTGTTTTCTGTGTCTTGACTCCGCTTTAGTGCATTACCTACACCATTACATCAAATAAGTTCATCATTTGATTCATAGATACACACAATGTAATACTCGCACAGTTGCAGTGGATGCTTTGGTGGCAGAAACCTGATGATCGTGATCTGCGACGAGCCGTGTGAAACCTTGTCGTAGGATTAAGAAGGTTGTACTATGGTTTATTTATCTTTCAATTCTAGTCATTGGCATCACCTGTGTCACTGGATTCAGAATGTTGGCCTGTGGCTCGTGTTTAGAACATGTTTATGCAAGAGATTGGTTCCAGTGCATTGACATACAGGTACTTCGGCCACCCACGTAGGGCTAGGCCAATGAGTTCTATTATGCCCAGAACATTCTACGTATTCCGGTCAATCTGCACAAAATGGGTGAAAGCCTTTGCAATGCTTTCTTCAGAAGTAGAATAATGAACGATAGAAAAAGAAGCATTGGCCTATGGGCCATCGCATTGGTAAGTACGTTGCTGGGATTGACCGATACAACATTTCATGTTTAACCGACGGTTTGGTAGACAAAGCTCTAAATAGTGGGCTCGTGCCTCTGCAAAGTAGGGCAGAACATGTTCCAAGGTTGAAAGAACTACTAAAGTTGATCCATTTTCTCGCTTTTTTTTTTTTTGCGTGGCGTCAATACTTCATCATTTGCCCAAGTAGCATAGCAAAAGTGGTGATGATCTGAATTGACACCCACGGTTCCATCGAGATGCCATCACATGTCTGTCTAGCATGCATCATAGTACATTTGTAAGAAAATATAACATGTGCAGTTTCCCTAGAGTGCGACAACATATACGTGAGCATGATGATTGTAAACAGCACCGTTTCTGTATAGGTGGCAGGTCTTCTGAACTTTTTTTTATCCAACAACCGGTAAAAACGAGGCAGCTACTCTTTTGCTTTCCTTTTCCGTTATTGGTTCAACTTAATCTCTTCCGGTTGTCTTTTTTCTGCCATTATGAGCGATCAATTACCACCAGAACAGCCTAACACACCGATTGAGCTTCCTAAAAGAGGCGGCTTCTTTGGTAGCTTTTTCAGATGAAACTGCCCAATCATTCATGTTTGCTGATATGTCTTTTTGTTGCTTTTATATTTTTCCTTTTACATTGTCTGATAGCAAGATTGTTTGGTAAATCGCAGCGATACACACCTGAAGAATGGAGAGAGATCATGAAATCACATCCTTACATTCCCGCAGGAGAAGACGGGGTTCGATCACCGTGTCCAGTGCTGAATACATTTGCCAACCATGGTTTCCTACCGAGAAATGGTCGCAATATTACAAAGAAACAACTCGTAGATTGGTTCAAGATGTTAGGAGTGAAAGAGTCTATGGCAGGACCTTTCGTGAGTGGCGTCTTCTATCTCTATCGTCGCCCTTCAACCCCGCGTTCGTGGAAGAATCCTCTCGGAATGGCTTCTACGATTGACCTCGATTGGCTCGACACTCATGGCTTGATCGAACACGATGTGTCACTTAGTCGAAGAGATGCCAATATCCCGCCTTACGATGCTGTGCACGTCGTGCCAGAATATGTGAATCAAATGGTTCAGATCGCTCAAAAATCTCATCTTGGAATCGAACCCGTGGAATTCGACCTTGCCAACTACTTTGATCACCGGAAACTTCGTTGGCTCACCTGTATCGAAGAAAACCCAAAACTGGACTTTTCATTCGTGCGCCAGGTACGCCGCCTTGTGTGGCATGAGCAAAGAAGAGCCTACTGAACATGTCATGGTAAATCTTGCACACACTAGGTTAGTGCTGCGGCTGAAGCACAAGTATTTCTCCAGACGATAGGACGCAATGACAAGATCCCTATATCACAACTTTGCAGCTTTTTCATGGAAGAAAAAATCCCCGAAGATTGGTATCCGATTGCCAAGCCGATGAGCATCACCAAGTCACAAATCAGCGTTGTGCGATACATCCGAGGTGTAAAGAAGAGCAAGGCGACCCTGGATATGCTGAACGACACAGAAACGGCCGGCGAGTAGAATCCGCCTTTGTCACAAGGTGGATCAACATGAAACCAGTGCGTTAATTAGCCCCAAATTACCCATAAGCAGACTGAATACTGTACTTGATATCATGATATGAGCAAAATATCGTCATTGAATAAGGGTATATTTCATCATACTTTTCAATCCAAACTGTTCAAAAAGAGAGTGCGGAACAAGAAGTTAATTGGGTGGGTTCTTGGGAATTGATAGAGAAAAAAAGCTAGGATAAGGAAAAAAATAAATAATAAGGGTGAAAAAAAAAGGGGGAGATAATGCAAAGTGATGTGATGCCGTGTAAAGAATGAATGACCCTAAGTTCTAATGTACCCGCAACACCTTGATACATTTCAGTGGACCATTTTTATCCAAGTTGGGGCTATTTGTCTTGGTAGGTGGGGCTGGAGCGGATTGACGGCGTGCTTTGAGATCATATTTCGGCAGTGAGGATGGGCTTCCGAAAGTCGATTTGGTCATCGTATGAGGTGATCTTGCTACATCACCCGCGTTTGGTTTCTGCCCCACTGCGTTATTGTTAAAGGACATGGGTCTTCTCTTTTTGACTTGTTTTGTTTTGTCCGCACTTTCTTTTACATTTAACGCGTGTCCCAATCGCCGTTGGGCCATGAGTCGCATGGTATGCATCTTTTTGTCATCGGTGGTTGTTTCAACTGACTCGGAACCGGCGGGACTGTCGCGTGATGTCGATCGATAATCCGATGTACTGATCCCTTTCATTAACCGAGCCGTTCGACTCTCCCCCGTGGAAGGTTTCGGTAATCGTTTCTGTAGCGGCGTGTGAGGGGTGGACGTGGTTCCCGTTTTCGGTTTGACAGAGATGGGTTTTCCTGATTTTTCAGTGACGGTCGCTGACTTAGGGCTGGTTCCAGTGCTCGGTTTCCCTTGGCGAAGGGTCAGTGCACGATCGGATCGTTGGGATGACGGTTTCTCCTTTCTATCGGCGTTGGATTTTGTGCTGTCGGGTGCTCGTTGTCCATTTTCCGTCCGTGGTTTTGCAGGTCGGGTTTGCAACGGCATGGTCCTCGATCGTGTCAATGCCGATTTGGATTCGGTCTGTTTATCGGAAGAAGGACGAACGGATTTGACCTTTCGTATCTGTTTGACGGGGGTCGGGACTGGTTCTTCTTTTTCAATGAGTGGCTCGGCGGTGGGGAGGGTCAACATGGGAAGACGTGAGCCTTGATTACGGTTAGCTTCAGACATGGATTGACGTTTGCGAAGGACATTGGCCACTTTTTGTTGAGAAGGGATGGCTGCAGCTTCAGTTTCATTTACAATAAAGGACGGCATCGGTAAACGGCATCGATGTGACGAGGCTGCAGAATGGAGCAAAGATCTGGGTAATTTTCGGGTATACATGCCTGCAGGGGTTGCTTTTCCCTTTTTGATCGGATTGGTTGGTCGTATCGGTGGCGGAGGTGAAAGTGAAGGGGGTCTTTCGACCACATCGGACAAAGCCAAATGCGATAGCGAAGGTTTGGTGTAGGGTGTTTGCTTGGGCGGTGGTGACGAGGTCTTTTGTGGTGCCTGTTTCGGTTGCGATGGTGGCGGAGTTTCCAAAGATGTTGGTATCCCAATGTCGAAATCATGCAATGCTTCCAAGGCTCGTAATTTTTTGAGGGCATTCATCATAGCGTCATCTGCGGCGTCATGATGAATATCGTGATGGTCATGCTTTTCTGATAATATATCAGATTGATCGGATCCAGACGTTGAACAAGTAAAATCGTGATCCAATCGTGTCGCAGGAAAGAGTGGTTCGGGTTCATAATCACGTAAAAATGGATGCTAGAGGAAATAAATAAATAAATAAAAAAAGCCAGAGGAAGAGAGATTAACTCATCAAATCGTCTGTGTCTCGTGAGAGTTGATTGGATGAGGCAAAAGATGCGAACCTGCAGAACGTCGTCGGCAGATATTCTTGCACGTGGATCGGGCTCTAAACATCGATCTAAAAGGTCTTTTAAACGTGATGGAAGATTGGCGGGATACAACGGTCGGCCATTGTCAAGAATGCGTTGTTTGATCTAATCAAAAGACCAAATGAATTAGCCATGAAACCCTACTACAGAAAAAAAAAAAGGATAGTGACGGAAGAGAAAAAAAAATCAAGAAAGAGGGATTGGGAGTGAGTGTGGGGCGATCGGGGGGTGAGTGTACTTTTTCTTTTTTATATATACCTCCTCTTCCTCTAGTTTTTCATCCTCGTATGGCGCCTTACCCCCATTCAGAATTTCGAGAATGACAATACCCAGCGCCCAAATATCGACTTTTCGGTTCACCACTTTACGCTGCACAAGTTCAGGTGACCAGAACAAAACAACGCCCGCTTCCTCCACACTGGAATCGGCCGTTGCACTAATGGAAACTACCCCAAAATCACCTATATGGACCATTCCAATGAGTTTTGACTAAAATATGAACCCCTCCACCAACCATTCTTCTCTTTTCCATTTTACCGATGACAATGGTATTGCTTGCTTGATCCAGGAAAATATTATCACATTTGATATCACGATGAATGTAGCCGTGGCGATGGATTTCCGCAAGACCTGCCGCGACCTTTCCACAAAAAGCATGACAAGATTCAACAAGAAAAAAGAGCCCCAAAAAATAAAAAAATAAAGTTAGAACAAGGAAAAAAAAAAGGCGGTTTCTGGATGATGAATTTAGATTGAAGGTGACGTTGTGTTACTTACCGAATGAACGATGTGAACCACCTGACCCACGGTAAGGTGGTGGTCAAAAACATATTGTTGCAACGAACCACCTTCACACAGCGGCATCACCAGAAATACGAATTCCTGATGCAAGTAGACGGCGAGTAGTTTAAGGATATTGGGATGAATACACTTGGTCATGGTGTAAATTTCGTTTTCCACCAATTCCTTGGGCATGACAAACATGTCTTCATGATGATATTCTTCTACGAGGTATTTTTTGATGGCGACGAGGCGTCCTGACCGACGTTCTGTGCAGCGGTAAACCCCGCCCTGAGCACTGAACCACGTAGGTTCGGTATCGAGCCCATCGTAAATAAGGCACGGATCGGAATTATGGACAGGAACACCGTTAACGTGCTGCATCAGATGAAGCGGTGAGCAGCAAAAATATAAAAAAAAAAAAGACTGGTGAACCCAAGAGAAAAAGAGAGAAAGAGAAGAAAGGACCACAAGGGATAAAAAGGGGCAACGATGAGTGTGGATAGTCAGATTAAGGTGGGTGCATCTGCAGTGGCTTATGATGCTCCGCTCAAAATTTGCCTTTTATTTCCTGCACTCATTGCCTTTATATTGCATTGGGGGAAAAGGGATATCACAGAAATAAAATAAAAAAATCCACAAGAGTCTTTCTTATTGTTATCCATTGTTCTTTCTCATTAACAAGCCGTACATCCGCTGTGCAATGGATGCCGCCTGCCACCGGAGGCCGCCCTCCTACATTGAGCGACTTTCGTCAGACAAAAAGCCTAACGCATACACGGCATAACCTAGGCGAGAACTCTTGACGGAACTTTGGTATATTAATGACAACCTTATGGCAATACCATGCAACATGATTTGTTTCTGAACACGCGCAAAGCAGCACTGATTGACCCCCGCAGTTCCATCCCGCCCAGGCTATGATCGATCTAGAAAGATGTGTGGTTATGTTGGATATTTAAAAAAAAAATGAGTTAGTAAGCTCTTTGATTGATTCAATTTTCGTTAAGATATTTATCTCTGTTATTTAAGTTTTCGATGGTACTTGATCGCTTGACATGGCTTGGATTATATGACATTGAATTAGTATACGTTCATTACATCATAGCAAAGGAAAAGAAATTGGACTTGCCTTTGAACCAAATGGTGTACCGGAAAAAAAAAAAGGATGAACACCGACCTCTCGATCATATAAAATGAAGAGGATCAAAGGACATAAAAGGTATAACTGACAGAAAACCCAAATTAAATGTCGTATCATCAACCACTTTTCTTCAAAAAGAGCTCTACTCACATTTTGATTCGAAAGACGATGATGCTCTGTTTGACCACAACTGGCGCAAACGGCATCTTGCTGCTGATTGTTTCGTCTAATATCGTGAAAGTGGGCAGCGAGGCATGGTTGGAAGATATATATAAAAAAAAAGGTTGAACAGGTCCTGAGAACCTAGTGTAGATCATGTAAATCGCTAATTTCCCAAAGATTTAATTGTTTAGATTACCTCCCACATCATATATAGTGCTACGATGTGGCCTGAAATGGGAGCACAACGTCATACCAGGTTGGACGAGTCACTTCCGAATTCTATTTGCTGGTGATATCAACGGCATCCTCACCATCTCATCGTTTCCGTCCCGCTATTTTGTGCTTCTTTTTTTGTGCTTCATTTGATTTAGTCGTTTGCAATCTCCGCACACACGTTAGTGTCAGTCAGTATGGAATATCCATGGATACTATAGATATTTTGATGGAATGATGGTTGTACGCTTGTATGAAAAGTAGAGTAGGGTGTTGGTTTCTGTGGAGAAAGGTTTCATTCATCGGGGAAGAATGTGATTCCCGCATTGTGACGGCGTCCTGCAAATTGGGGAATTTTCTTTGCCTCTAGAGAAAAATTCACCCAGAAACCGGCTCTCTGCTTTGACCCCGCTTTTGGGATATGAACTCGTCTTATTTTTCAACCCACACTTTGGCCCATCCACCTCCACCCCCCAACTACGAAGACCTTGCGTCCGACAGTTCCGAGAAAAAACGTTCACGCATCACTCGAGCCTGGTAGAGCAATTTGCTTCTTTTTTCTTTTCGTCCGCTGTTTCAGGCCTAGACCGTACTGACGATTCCCTTTTTGATTAGCGATTTCTGTCGACGGAAGAAAGTTAAATGTTACTTCACCCCCGGTCACGCATGCGCTAATTGTATATCTTACGGTGTGACCTGCGAGTTTAACGATGGGTAAGAGTTTTCTGTTGTGTGAGCACCAATGATTCAAATGTCTGGGTGACTAATCAATTTTTTTTTTTTTTTTTTTTTGCCCTTGTCAAAAAAAAAAGTGCCAAGAAGCGAGGACCACCCAAAGGGTAAACATACTGGAAAAAGTATCTAATACAAAGAGAATAAAATATTTATGAGTATTATAGATACATTGATGCCCTGGAAAAGAGGATTCGCCACATTGAAGATATTCTTACTTCCATGCCGAAAAACGATCATTGTCTTCGTCCCACCCACCGACATGGTCCTGGTCGCACATCCGCAGTGCCATTCGGACTTGATCATCCCAATTTACAATCCCGCAAACGGCCTCAAGGCGCTTCCTCCGACCGCGTACAATATTTAGGCGACCTGTCAAGCTTTCAACTTTTCTCCAACAAAATCCAACTCAAAGGCAACGATCACATTTTATGGAGAGGAAAAGAACATCTCATTACAAAATTTGGCGAACAAGTGGTTCTGCTTGAAGATGAAGCCGCCACCGATCACGGCAAGATCCCAGCTTTATTACCCGAACTTATTCTGCCAAAGACGAGCGTTGAACAGTGGATCTACGATGTCACTGGTCTTGATCGTCATACCAGTGATCAGTTACTAAAAATGTAAGTATTGTATAAGTCAGCATCATGGGCGACATGGCAGCATTTTGACATTTTCGGCATGCTGACGTTTTGACATTCAATCGTTGTTTAGCTATTTTGCCAATATCCATCCCGTGCTTCCCGTCATCAACAAGACCGACTTTCTGAAACAGTACCGTGACCAAGCCGATACGTATCCACCGGCGGACCTTTTAAACGCCATGTTTGGTGCAGCCGCTCGATTCATGGAGTGTGAAGACTTGAATCGGAAAAACAAGTCGTCGGAACGTCCGGAAACTGCATGGGATGTCCCTGTGGGATGGTCCGATCGTTTTTTCGATCGGGCGCAACAGATCATTTGTATGCCGACAGGAACATCCAGTATTGCCAAAGTGCAAGCCATTATTCTGATACACAATCACAGCGGTAACCTGGATTCCAAATCCTCTGCCTGCTGGCTTTTAGGTGGTATGGTAAGTGAATTTTTTGATGGCAATTTTTTATCTGTGGACATCACTAAGGAGAATGTTTCTGTTTGATAGGCGATCCGTTTGGTAGGTGACATGGGAAGAAAAAAAGATGGTTTCTTGCATTACGATCAACATTGGCTGATGATGTGATATGGCGCGGAAATATCAGGCACAAAATTTCGGTTTAAATAGGAATTGCGAACATTGGGATATTCCCGAGAGCGAAAAACAGACAAGAAAAAGAATCTGGTGGTCATTGTTGGTAACGGATCGGTTTCAAGCCGCTTCCCTGGGTCGACCTATTTCTATTCGTGACGAGGTCAGAAAAGAGCATCATTGATATATTATTGGCAACCTTGTTAACCATTTGAAAAACAGGATAACGACATTGGCTATCCGGATGCGACGGCAAGCTGGCAGGAAATTTTGGATGTGCCTGATCCATCTGATGACGATCACAGCGGACCGCGATTTCCATCGGCCATGCGGGGCGTACCCAAGAACCCGGAAGGGCGAGCGGAAATATATCAACTTTTTATTCAACTGGTTAAATTATCGGAGATCCTAGGTCACATCTTGCAAGGCCTGTACACACCGAAAGCGCAAAAATTGAGTTATCAGCAGGGCAGCGATGCCATTGTCACTCGACTCGATCATGAATTGACAGAGTGGCGATTTGGGTTCCCAAAAGCCCTCCAGCAAGCCAATTTCGACGATTTCGATGATACAAAGGGATACCTCGCACCGGTCATAGGTAAACAAGCAACTCGGTATGGATCATCGACAGTACTTTTGAACTGACCTTTTTTACGATTGTGCCAGCCTCCGTTTTGCTGTGTTATTTCAGTTTGCTGATTCTTTTGCATCGTCCGTTTATCGAGCAAGTCAAGCCTGGGAAACCCAAAGCGCGACCGTCTTACTCGTCGTTTCGTATCGGTACCAGTGCAGCCACCCGCGGCATGCGTATTGCTGGACAAATGTCACGGCGAGATTTCCTCATGTTTCCCTATTCATTCAGTTTATATCCCGTTTTACAATGTTGTCTTATTCTCATGTACAACACCAAGAACCCTGATGCTCGTATTTCCGCACCGGCCAAAGACGATCTCGCCAAAGGTCTTACGCTTATCAACAGTCTAAGCACCATGTCCCATACCGCCGAGAAACTCAACGGCCTTCTCACGACCATCATGAGCAATAAGGATGTGGATGTCAGTGTCAAACAAGCGGATGCTGATGCGGACAAGAAAAAGAAAAATCAGCTGGATGGTATCAAGACCAACTTGCCCTCACGTTTGTCGGATGTAGGTCGAGGCACTCCTATAATAAGCATGCAATCGTCCCCGAAAGAGGTGCACGCCACCACTACTCCCACCAGCAGCGCCGGCGCGACTGCCACCGCTACCGCGACTCGGTCCAATGATGTCTCGGCAACCAACAGCCCCAAGGAACATCATCCTTACGCTTTGAACCTTACCATGGACTCGTTCTTGTTCCAAAAACCCATGGTCGATAACGTCATTCCTCAATTAATGGATTTTACCGGTAAGTCGATTTTCGTTCTCTTTTCCCATCTTTGTAGGTCACGGCATGGAACTGACAGAGCGGTCGTGTTCATAGGGGCCATGGGGTCTTCGCCGTCGCCGACGTTAAATTCCAGCGAAGCATTCACACTGAAACAGTTTGGATTCACGACACCGGGCGATCCCAGTCAATTAGATTACACAATGCAAGATGTGTCCCTATTTTCAGGGATGGAAGCACTGCCACCGATGCCTATTTATGGACAACCGAATAGTTCGGGGGATTATCCTCTGAACATTGCGCAACCGTCTATGAACTTGACCCAAATGATGTCTGATCCGATGCCGTCTTCGGGTGCGAGCGCTTCAGCTGCACCAGCGACGGTGAGTGCAGTGTCGGGTGTGCCCATGGCATCCACAAGTATGCCACAGGATGCGACCACCATCTTCCGAAATAATCCTAATAATCCATTCTGGGGTATCCCTTCGTCCATGGATTGGACAGAGTGGAACGAATGGAATCAACGCACCCAAGGCTCCGCCGCCTGGCAACCGCTTACCTAATCCTAGAAACACCTTCGTTAGTATATATATTCTCTTCTTTGTATTATATTTTTTTTCCTCGTTACTATTATTGTTGCTTTTTACATTTTCAAAGAAAAGCCTATCACCACCTGCCTGATCTAAGCACGTGATTGATTTTTTTCGGTGTCGATTGTTCGGCATCGATTTCGGTGTGTGACACAGTGGTTCAACTTAAAAAAAAAGTCAGAAAAAAAGAAGTCGCATTGATATCATTTGGCGCTTATTCTTTCATTCGTCACTTGTGTGCAGACTGCGGATGTGTTTCCAATGTCTGAAAGTCAAACCATCTTCTATCCGAGGCAGGTGAGTGTCGCCTTTTTGGGTCATGAAGCTGGATACAACTGCGTGACGCTTAGTCTCTTTCGACTGGTTGTTAATGACGAGTTGATTCAACAGCGTCGGATACGTCATGTCCACTCTTTGGCTGGTCGGAATATTGTTTGGTGCGGCCATGTTCACGGAACACCGTCTCCAGAGACTCGAGACGAGCATGGAGCTTCATCTCACTTGACCAAAGGGATCCATAGCGGCCACACCACGACCGCTCTCAGTCCCGCCATGGCATCGGCTTACAGTTTAACTTCCAGTGCCACCACGAGTCCCGCATCGTCTCGAGCGGCGTCGCCGCCTCCGCCGTTATCCAATGTCGGAGTGTTATCGGCGGCAGGTAAAAAACAGAGTGGGCATCGACGCACCGGCTCTTTTCCTCACGAGTTGCCGTCGACGGCGTCATCGGAACCGGCTCTTTTCAGCGACTGGCATACACGCAACTACGAAACGTTGATGAAACGTTCCGAGAGTACGACATCGATGCAATCCTTTGGAAGTACCACCGTCGAAGACTCCTCCATCACGAAAAGTGCTTACAAAGCAAAAAAGAAATCGTCATCGCAGCCACCGCGTCGACGCACATCGACCAAATCCAACTGCCATGATGAACCCGGTCTTTTGGATGCTTATGTGACACTGCATTTATACGCGGACAGTCCCCCTTTTTACACCTCCGAAATTATTCCTAATACCGTCAATCCTACGTTTCGTGCTGTCGATATTTCACAATGCATTGACTGGTACGATGCAGTTCAAACCGACGTGGTGGCCCGATTATGGGCTCGATTATCGGTACCCGAATCCGCGGCCATGGCAGGCCAAACCGGCCGTTTACATCAGCATTCACCTCTGCAATCGCAAGAAGAGTACCACATACTAATCGAATGGCAAATCGAACTGAATGCATTAGCTTACCTTGGGAAAAATGTACGTGGCATCTCTTGGCACAAACGTCAAAAATGGTATTTTTCTTTGGCTAATGGACGAGGGTTGATCTTACAGCTAGCCGATACGCATTACCTGTATCCATCAAATACCCTCATCTTGGAACTAGATGATGGCTTTTACACTGCTCCAGATATTGTGGTAAGAGTATACCTGGGCAAACCCAACACAGAGTTGTCTGAATCAAGTATGAACTCCACAAAGATGAAGTGCAAGCGCAGCAGTACCGCACTGGACCTTGCTCTGGAATCAGAAACAGCCAGCGTGGATACAGAACACTCCATTTCTCGGGTAAGCAATACCGTGGCAACACACCACAAAATGAAAGACCGTTGCTCATCCTGGAGAAAAAAAAAAAAACACAAATTGTGAAACTGATACCTTATGAATCTAGGCGAAAAAGTCTTATACTTATCATCACATCATGAAGTAAGTGGCTGTGACTCGTGTGAAGGATGAAACTTCAACTGATCATTCTCGACAAGATTAAATACACTTAAAGATTGCATCTTTGATACCCAAAAGTCGACAGACGAAATACAGCATACTATTAATGATATTCTTGAAACAGACCGTGAACGATTTCGCTTGGTATGGGGAAGAAAACTGGGCTGATTGACGTGGATGCACATGAACTAAACGTAAATTGAAAGGGGCGAGAACGAAGGCAGCGACAAACCAAACTGAAAGAGTTGCAAGCACTGGTGGAATCGGAACACAAAGAGTTGGCCCAAGGTACGTTTTATTCGAATTTTCCAAATCGACTGCTGCTGAGACAGGTACAAAATGCATATCACAGAAAAACAGCATGTGGCGGAATTACGGAAGCGGATCAGAGTTCATCATCAGCTTTTGAAAGAGGGTATACAACGGCACGATGCTGGCGCAGAGTATCTGCAGGAAAATGAAGTGGTATTGGAAGGCAATGTCAAGATGCATCAGAAGCTATTTCACATGCTGGATCGTCGAAAGAAGGAACTTATTGCCGACTTGTTTTCGATCTATCCTATTGAACAGGTAAGCGGACTGCACCGATTTTTGCGTGTGTTGTCAGTATTCGTATATATTTTTGGTTGATTATGTACAAATCCAAGTCCTATGATGACATCCACCAGTTTTGCATCCGTGGTGTCCATCTCCCCAACTCGGTGTATACTGGATGTGATGAGGAATCCATTGCCATTGCTTTGGGATTCACGGCTCATCTGGTTTCCATGCTTGCATACTATCTGGCCATTCCGCTTCGGTATCCCATCACCCCCATGGGTTCCCGTGCTACCATTGATGATCCGGTGTCCCTCATTGGCAGCTCAAAAACGTAAGCTCATCGACCAAGTAAAAGAAGAATTGTTTTGGTTTTATTCATGTGTTTGATCGCTGTAGGTTTCCTCTTTATTCCAAAGGTGTCGACCGATATCGGTTTGAATTTGGAGTATTTTTGTTGAACAAGGATATTGAACAGGTCAGCTTGGTATATGCATATCGTGCCGGTATCAAGGAGTGCTACTGATACCTTTTTTTTTAAACAGTTAATGAATGCTTATGGCCTTATTGTCATGGATCTCCGCCATACATTGCCTAATATACATTATTTTATCCAAGCTGTGCTGACGACGTCGATTCACTCGGGTCCCAGCTCCATTTCCGTCCTTTCCATTTCCACCTACGCCAACGGCGACAGTAATGATCCTCACTCACCGTTATCGATGAAAAGGCCAACGTCACGTCATTTCGACGATTACGCATTACCGTGCGATCAAGTAAACCATCTCACATTGCAACCGACCGTTCACCAACCCGTACCTCAACCTTCTCCTTCCGTATCCATGACTCCTACCATTTCGCAATCTCCCAAACTGTCGGGTTCTTTCAATGCCAATGCTTTTCTCAGTATGACCCAACCGATGGCTGCGCCGGCCATCTTGGATACGGTGACCACGTCCAGCTGTAAATTCAAATCCAAGCATGGCCAAACCATTCACGACACACCACGACCTCACGTAGAAGATTTTGGGCAGTCTGACCGATCTATATCCTGACGCTGAACCATTTTTTTACATAAAGACTAACTTTTTGAAAGATTTTGGTGTGTGTGTATCCAACATGTAAAAGAGCGGAAGAAAGAGATATATTACAAAAATTTGGGATTGTTATTGATAAGACTGACGAACGGATACAAAGACATGGTGGGCATTGAAAGCAAAAATCTCGAGTGATAATAATCCCAAGGATGCAACTGCATAGAGAATCCATCCTGTGTAATCCCAGCATACACTAGGACTGGAATAACACTGTATCGGTCAACAACAAACTAGAGCGCGTTTGGTGAACATGGTGGGGCTTGTTGCATAATGATCTGCTCGAATGGCAAGGGTTCATTGGAGCACCGTGCTGAGATTAGAAATTAGCCACACCTTTCTTGAATGTCACTACTCTGTGATACAATACGACATACGGGTCTTGCCATGCACAATCATCAGAAAAGTAAAGAATCTGCGACATTTTCTCCTGATCAGGTAACTTGTTGCCAATGAATGGTCTCAAATGAGTCTGAAGTTTGACGTGGAATTTATCAGAAACAGTTCGATGAGTCGAGTTATACCAGTGAGGGTACGCATATTGAGTGCATTCAAGCTCGGGTTCCCGGTTTAAAATCACACGGCATGACATGACATGATATGATACTCTAGGACTGAAAAAGTCGACCCGAAATTGGGACATGGATCTGGCCATGCGATTGGCCAATGCGGAGAGCATGCCGTTGCTAAGTCGAACATCCGCCAGCGATGAGCACAAGGGTTACAGGTAATAGCTGCGGCCGAGTCGGGCATGTCGTTTGCAAAAAGTAGCAAAGCAACCGAGCGCAGAGTTGACATTCTATCCTTCTTTCTCCAGCTTCAAAGACCCTGCTTTTCAACGTATGGTGTGGGATCAGATATCAAAAAAGGTGACGATAGATGAATAAGCAGTATAAGAGCTCCACCGAACGAACGACAATGGCTAAATAATTCCATTAGGTCCGTGAGATTACGGATATCAACAATCCCAAAGAGTGGGAGACAGTGGTGGGACTGAATCGTAAATTACGTGAAGGAGTGTTTGCGTCTGGATGGAGCGAAGGCGATCTTGATTTTGCAGTATCAGGTAAAAAAAAAAAAATTCCCAGGGATCAGAAGACACACAAAGATTCTTTTATTTTTATTGATGGGAAAAAAACAATTGCACAGTCTTTGAAAGATCGATTATCTGTAGTTTGCGAGCGCGTGACTACAACGAATTGATGAAAAGCTTGAACGGTTTGGTCAATGATCTGTACGCAGCGCACAAGGTAAGCCAAAAAGTTCGGTATTTTTATCAACTGATTTGGGGAAATTAACCCATCCAAAACATGACAGGAATACGTCAATTCTTATTATACCACTCTCCATATTCTCTTTACCGCTTGCTATATGCGGCAACTACGACCAGCCATTGATCGCATGACCACGCTAAAACAGGACGCTGAAGGGCGGTTTGCGAAAAATGTCACCAATAGTATGATTCACAAGAATGGACCCCAATTCTTTCGGCTTTATCGAGAAACACCTTATGAATCTTATCGCATTATCATGGCCCACTACACAGACGTCATGCGGAATTATGTCATTAGAGTCCTCCGTACTTCGTATATGTCCGTGCCTATGGATTTAGCACTAGAATGGCTCGATATCGACGAGGATGAACAAGTCATTGTGAGTTTCAACGGAGTATTCCAGCCTAGCTGTATAGAGAAGGTAGACCAACGGATCATTCATTTTCAACGGCGCAATAAAAAGAGATCGACGGTGTGATTGGTCAAAGGCTATTTGGAAAACAAACAACCAATATGGAATGCATCCGTTATCGGGCAACTCCTATCAATCCATCCATCGCACACGCCATGTGACCCTTATAAGAGACAAATGGTGCGGTGCATTCACACTGTTTAAACTTTACTGTGCGTTTATCTCTTTTCTTTTGTAGTTTCTCTTTCTCTTTACATCAAAATCATAATTCATTGATTCATTGCTCCTCAACTGTATAATGCCAGGCCCCGCTCAACATTTCATGACACTCGGTGCGGTGGGTGCCGCTGGTGCCGCTGCCTATGTCACCAATAAGAAATTTTCACACAACGGAAACCAACCGTTACGACGACTCTCACACACCGATGAACCCTATCTCACAGAGGTAAAGCACAAAAGAAATTGTTCGTTTAAATGCATGCAAGATTTTTATCAATTTTTTATTACTTCTCCTTTTGCTCTTGCTCTTGACTGGTTCTCTTGCTTTGTATGATCAGATCGAAAATAGGCCTCATCAAACATCACCATGGAGACAACGCAGTGACAATGGATCTTTGGACGACAAGCAACAAGCTCCGCGGTCACCTACCGATACGCATCTTCTGATGTTTGTGCTCGGAAAAGACTGAAATCAGCATCTCGTTGTTTGAACCATTTCGTGGTCATGATCCCCTTTCCCCTTTTTCTTCATGTAGATATGTCAAAAAAAAGTTTATATTGCTTAGTTCTGTATATTACGCTGATCGAATACATTCGGTTTTTCTTTTCAACAGCAGTCCATTTTTTTTTCGGTTTTTTCCATGGCAGCCTATCGTTCATTGAAAACAATAGATTCCGATGACAACGCTTTGCCGTTGACTAAGCAACCGTAATGAAACTTCTGCACCGATTCCCCGAGGAAGAATATGCCCAATTTGGTCATTACCTCGAGCAATATCAACCTCACACATCGGCGTTACTAGGCTGGTTCTTATGTAGCGGCTATGCACAAGTGGACCGTATCGGACGAGCCAAAATCTACACTTCGCATGCGCAACCATTCAATACCCCTGATTCCGTAGTGTGGATTGTCGACAGCCGTCATCGTCTAAGAGTATTTGTGACCAGCGAAATCATCCTCAATGATGCCCCGATGACTGCCACGGCAAAGGAGCATGCCGTCACCAAAGAATGGAAAGGCGGCGACCATGCCTGGTTTGAAGATGCTGAACATGAAGCTTTGTATCGCCGCAGCGAAGCATTGTTGGAGCCAATCTTGCGCTCCTTCATGGAAACTCATCCTGAAAGTAAGTTGACTGTGGGAAGAAAAAAAACACAAATAAAAAAAAAGGTGGGCCATGTTTTTCTATATATGGGTATTAACAAAGGCGTGTGTGCGTGGAACAGTCTTATTCCATGGTCTATCCGTCTTGTGGGGTCCTACAGTGCATCGGGTTGCCAATGTCCAGTTTGACGGTCCCTGTCGACGGTTTGTTCACCCGATTTCAGCCTTTAATGAGATTGCACAATATGATGGTTCCTATCAAATGCGCAAACTCACTGTGGATAATGTGGACCAAGTAAGTGATTCCCCGCCTTTTTTTCTTTGGATCCTTCCTTTATGAGGTAAAACGTCGCACTGACCTCTTTTTTTCTCTCTGTCTTGAATAGGTGATTAAGCACAACAAAATAGCTTATGAGCGAGAATATGTGGCCGATTGTCTTCAGTTTTCCAGTACTCTGTGGACTTCCGACGAGGCGCCTGTTGCCTGGGCCATGACACATCGTGATTGTAAGTGAAAAGCGTATGATGAATACATGGTGATGATATATACCTGACAATGATTTTTGATGTGGATACATAGTGTGTATAGGGGCGTTGTTTGTGCGCCCTGAATACAGACGACAAGGCTTAGCGGCTCTTATTGTGGCCGATTTATGCCATCAACATGCCAAGTTTTTCGAGAAACATGGTCTGAATCCAAATTTGGAGCATTATGCACAAGCCGTGGTTGAGTGTGACAATGGTCCAAGTGCTGCTATGTTTACACGACTGGGATGGCAAACCGTGGGACCTGGATTAACATGGATCTTTTGTTCCAAACCTAACTAGAGTCACGACATATAGAAACCGCATCTAGATGGTAGAGTTACATTTATACATGACACTTTTTATGTGAAAAAAACTCAATTGTATCTACACGATTTGTACAGTATAGTAAACAAGGCAGAGAAGAAGAAAAAAAAAAACCAAGTAGCGTTGATATGATACAAATAAGGTTTAGTGTGATATTATCATGCAAGCCGTATTGGTATGCAATCCATCGTAAAGTTGCAGCGTTTCTTCACTGGCGTGTTACGGGTTGATCGTAATGGGGCTGGTTGGGAAGTTTTCTTGTGGCAAACTGTTTTGATCGTCAAAGGGGTTTACGAGATCGCCAGTGGTGGTTCGATTGGCTTGAACGGCGTCTTCAAGCACACGTTGGCTGTGAGGCTCAGTGGCGCGAATGGAAGGAATAAAAGTACCATACAGACCGAGTCGCACTGCATGAAAGAGGTACATGGCGTCACGTTCCGTGTGACTTAGCCTGGACTCATTATCTATGCATTGAGCCAAGATTCCCCGCGCTTTCAAAACCACTTCCGTCTCATCCGCAAGGCCACAACTTGCCAGTGCCCAACGCACAGCAAACCCGGTTTCCAAATCCCCCGGTATTGAATCTTGTTGTATCACCGCTTGACGCACAGGATCGTTGCTGGACAATACAAAGCGGATATAGTTGAGAGTATAGAGTCGGTCAATGATGATTTGCCACAGGTTCTCTTTAGAATGATCGTGGCTGAAAGAGGACGACGAGTGAGCACTGGATGGGGTGATAGGGGAGGCCGGAGGTGTATTTAGTGATGTTGAATGAGGCGTTGCCCATTGGCGTTTGGATTGCCAATGGTGACCGCCCAAGGATTGCTTTAAGCGCGCAGCCATGAATAAGGCTCGGTTTTGACACCGTTTGTCGTTGAAGAAGAAACAGTCAAATACATCGGCGTATTGTCCATGTTGAGCTTCTTTGGAGATGATACGCAAGGTATCGACAAAACTGTGGCCTTGATTCTCGTGCAAATCATCATTGATTTCGTCATAGTTCTGTTCGTCGTCATCCTCGTCTTGTTCGTGTTCCTGCATGGAAAATTCTGTACTACAAGGACTGATGGGCTCCTCGGTCGGTACAGGTTGATGATCTAATCGTTTCGGCAGTCGAAGCGATTTGATTTTGCGTATCCTTGCTGATAATGAAGGCATTTGTAATGACGGGAAGAAGGGAAAAAAAAACTGTGGAGAAAATCAAAAAAGAAACGTCAAAGTGAAAAAAGTTTTATAATAATGAAAGGAAAAAAGGGAAATCACACAAATTGGGGAAGAAAACTCCGTCAGAATCGGGTAAAAAATCCCTCCACGCCTAAATATTTCTCTGTTTCTCTGTCATCATGTCTCCCGGCGTGGATTCAAAGTTCGGGAAATGAAAAACAAGGCCCTTTTTTCGTATGAATAAGCGTTTGACCGGGTGAGTGGTTTTTACATGTGCATGACGTCAATAACTTCTTTTTGTGCTTATGGCTAGAGGATGAATGGAGAATGGAATGAACCAATAGGAAAAATAAATGTGAAAATGCATACAATTAAAAGAAAAAATGGCCTCATGATCATTAGATGACAGCAGCAAAGAAGCCAAGCTTTTCCACCGGCTCGCCTCGTCGTCGCTTGTCTTGGACAGCCTGATCTTCCTCTATGAGTTTGGCATCCAACTGTTGTATCAACGACTTGCCCAACATCGTGGCGGTCTAATAATAGGAACAGATGGTCAGAAGAAAAAGGAAATCGTCTTGGCGAGGAAACCGGGCAACATGGAAAACGTTTCCTGCGATGCATACCTGAATCATTTCAGTCAGGAGACTGGGATCGATACTTCCGCGAGCACCTTTTTGCACCCCGCAGATGTGTCCGTCCTTGTTGACACCGACCGTCAAAGTTACTTGGGAACATAATTCTTCCAGCACTGTGGGGTCAATGATGTATCGGTCACTAATCTATCATTTGGGTTTTCCTTGTCAGTCTCTATGTGTCATCCTTTCCGCACTCACCCCTCCAAAAAGAAGAAAGCGCCAAGACAAACAACCTCACATGCTCTCTATGCGTCAATCCAAGATATGATGTAAAATTACCTTGTATAGAGTCACGGCAATAGGTAATCGATCCCAGTCTTGAATAGCTTCCGCGTCTTCCACATCATCCACCACTTCAAATTCATATTCTCCCTCGCCCAGATCCTGAATCTCGGTTTTGGGAATTCGGGTATTGAACAAGGCTGCACGCGTCGTCATCACAATGCAGTCCAGTAAATTGCCAGCACAATCCATCACCTATTAACCAATTTCGCGATTCAGTCGGTCATTCAGCTACTGAAAGCATGGTTGAGGTAAATCCAAGAAAGGTACGTACCATGGCATCCACGTAAAGCACCCAACAGGATTGGCCGGGAATAAGGCACAGTTTTTCCAAATTGATACCGCTCTGCGGTCCATTCAAAAGACGGTCTAATGCTACCGTCAAGGTATTATTGAGATCGTCAGCACCACGACCTTCAAATTGTTGTGACGCGCTTGGTGAACTGTACAAGGCCGCATTGTGTGAATAAAGAAATTGGCTTTTGTTGATTCTTTTTTTTTTTTTTTTTTTACCATTCCACATTGCAAATGATTCTGCCTTGATTGGGTTGGCCCTGTTCGATATCGCCGATTTCGGCCTTGACGCCGACCAGGACGTCGCTATCACCTAAACGGCAACGAGCACTGCCGCTGGTTTGTGATAAGATGCCGGTTTCGAGAATCATGTGACGCATTTCTAATCGGCCTCGACCGTCGGCACGACAATCTTGTTCAATGCCTTGTTCAATGTAACTCTTTTCGGCGGGGGAAATAAGCGGTGCAGGCATGATTAAGTAAAAAAATCCCCTGTTAGAACAATGGAGGGATATTCAAGCAGCAGCAACTATTACCCTTTCCAAAGCCAAAGGCGGATAGGACTGCGTATGTGTTGAATGTGTGGCTTAGATCCCCATGATGGTTGGCGGAGTGTCAAAATATGTGAAAGCTCATCTGATCGTGTCGCCCGTCCGCATTGTAAGAAATGCGGGTCTTTTTTTTTTTCACACTCGAACCTTTTTTTTCCTTCTCGCTTCGTCTTTTTATTTGGGTTTCGTCCAACTTTTTCTAACCATCTTATTAAACTTCTTTTTCATCTCTCTAAAAAAAAAACGCAAAAGCTTCTTTATTATTAGATGATGCCTCTTTCCGATAATGAAATATGCGACGAAAAAGCGTTTTTGCGTAGTCGACTTTCACACATGAACCGGTCATTAAATTCCAGTCCGAAACGAGAAAAACCGAGACGAGAAAGCAGCAGTTACAGTACCAAGTCGCCCGAGCCGGTCGCGTCCAATCAAGTCTCCAGCGCGATATCATGGCCTATCCTTCTCGCCATTATACCCACCTTGGGCACCTTTTTTGCCGGCAGCGCAGAAATATGGAGCGATTTCATCATGATCTTACTTATCTTATACTATGTCTACAAATGGATAACAGGTAAAAACTCGCTCTGCATACGGTTCCGCCTGAACGGAAAAAAAATCCCGACTTGACCTGCTCATCGGTTGATCATCATTTTAGTACCATGGTCCTATTACGAAAGCGCGCGTACACGACGAAGATTACATCAGAATACGATGGCGTCAAAGAATGATCACCGACGACAGTTATTATCGTACGAACTAAAACGGCATGAACTGATTGGCCTTATATGGGTCATCTTGTCCCCCGTGATTGCAGGCTACACATTGCAGTACAGTCGTTATTTTCTCAACAACTATGACAAGTACATGAGCGTGTTCAATATTACTGTATTCGTTGTGGCCGCGTCGCTCAAACCCGTGTCCCACATCATGACTTTGCTCCGAGAACGTACCCTGTTTCTTCAAAGTGAAGTGGAAGTCCAGGACACCGTCGTTGAAACCCTTCAGAAACGGATAGACGTGTTGGAAGACGAGTTGGACAATTTGCGTCAAGCGTTTGCCACGAAAAAAGATTTGGGACAGGTAGGAAACACACAAAGAAAAAAAAAAAAAAAGGGCGAATGCATTTTTTATAGTTTAGCACCATTTTATTATGACGGGGACTAATTTATTTTCTATGAACCAAAAAAAAAAAAAAAAGGCCACGCAGAGTTTGAATCCCACGATCCAGCAATTGTCAAAAGCGATGCGACGGATGGAAAAAAAGGAAGCCAACCTTCGATCATGGTCCGAAACGCAATTTGCTGCGATGGAACAAAAAGTGCACGAATACGACCAGTACATTTGTTACCGAATTGAGCAAGATCAACGTCGATCGACCCAACACACATTGATCACGTTGGTATTTTTGCCACTCAATCTCACACTTTGGTTCTTGCGGCGTATGTCTTATCTTCTGCCTATTCCACGCGCGTTACTCGGATTATCGATCGCGAAACCGGGGCATTCGCTTCGATCACCGGTCGTATCGAAACATCTCTTGCATTCGGAAGAACCGACCGCTGCCACGACAATGCACCATCTTCAAGATCCAGATGATTTGGCTGAACTCAATTATTCAGGCGGCGAAGAATCCGCCGGATTTTCTCCCGCCTTTGGTCATCACCACCGACCATTCACACCCAAGAGACCCTAGATCTCTCTGATGGTTCCCTTTTTTTTTCTTGCGTGCATGCAAGTTTGTGTATGTGTGCATGTATTTTTGGTTAACAAAGGATATAGTTTGCAATACCTTCTGGGTGCTCTTCTTTTTTTTTCGTCATTTGTGCAATTGAGACCGTGTGTCAATCCCTTGCATCACCTATCAAACTGGATTCTTGAGAGATGTCGCTGTCTGATGCCGACACTATTTCATTGTCTGTGTCGATGTCAGTGTCGCTTATATTTTCTTCGTCCGTTGTAGTATGTTGATCCAACTCGTAGTCTCTTGTTTGCAGCTCATGGGCATAATCTGCCAATTCCTTTTCGCGTTCGGTTGCAGGTGGTTTGGAGGTCTGCGTTTGTGAAGTGGTCGGTTTAGAGGGTTTAGCTATTTGTGGCAAAAGAATCTCAAAGTCGAGCTCGTCCTATTTCAACAAAAAAAAAAGCTTGTAAGTGACGCGATCTCATGGTTCAACTCATGGATGATTACCGGCAAAAGATAGAGAACATCCTTATTAAAAGCTTCGACTTCCACTTGATGTGGCAATAATTTCCCTCTGAGTACCACCGGATTCGGTGACAGCTACTTTCATATGTCAGTCCTGATCATCCGCTTTTTTTGGTTTTTGTTTTTTCGGAGGAGTGGGCAGCACTTACACGCACTATGAAGCATCGTCCATCGTCCAAATAGGTGATTTGGGCTGGCATAGTTGCACAGTCCACCGTGAGTGGGGTGAAGAGTTTCGATTGGTTTTATTGGCTTACCGTGCTTTCGACTGACTTGACGATGGTGAATATTGAATGGCGGTCGTTCACGGCCCAAAATGACGGGCTGATTGACCGGCAAAGGACACTGGACATGAGTGGCAAAGCTGCGTATAGACGCCATGAACAAAATGGAAGCTGGTCAGCTGGTTTTGGATGGCCGGAAGAGGGGTAAAAAAAAGAGCCGAAAGAGGGCGGATGCAGGATCAGATTATTGCGGTTGATGAAAAATTGGGACAAAACAAAGAAAAAAAAAATGAGTGTGAGCAGGCCATCAGGGGGTTTTGCTGACGCGAGCCAAAAAGAAGGTCCAACTATCCTGAATTTTTATTTTTTCGAACCCGGAATCCACTGAAATGCCCATGTGAGCCATCTATATTCACACACTCAACCTCACATCCCGCAATCCCACTGTTGCTGGCTTGCCCACTTATACATACACATGTTGCTAGTGACGATACCGACAATAACCATCTTAACACATGGGTACTCGTGCTTGCATGCATCCTTGTAGCATGGCACACCTTCATGGTGCTTCTCAGCCTGCTAGGCCAATACGTTGGGTAAAATTGTAGTCACACACGTAACGGTCTTGATCTTCAATGCTAACAAGTCTGCGGTAGACAAACACGATATAAGCAAAAACTCACACCTCAAACCCCGCAAATGGCGTTGGAACATGTCCCAGGCGTTTCCATCCTACGTCCCCTCAAAGGCATCGATCTTGAACTGGAGGAAAACCTGCGTTCTTCGTTTGAACAACGATATCCCAAATTTGAAATCATCTTTTCCATCGCTTCTCCCAACGATCCTGCCATTCCCATCGTGGAACGACTCATGAAAGAATACAAAGAAGTTGACAGCCGTTTGATTATTGGTAACCTTGGAAACTACGAACTGGTCTTGTTGCACTTTTATTTCTCAACCATCAATAATTATTTTTCGTTAGGTGACAAATGTGTGGGTATCAATCCTAAAATCAACAACATGATCGAGTCGTATCACTCCGCCAAGCATGATATCATCTGGATCCTGGATTCCAATGTGCGCGTCGATCGCGATACCATGGGTCGCTCTGTGGACTTGTTGTTGGAACCGGGTATCGGTCTTGTGCACCATTTACCTATCGCGGTGGATCCGGCCAGTTATGCGGCCGAGGTCGAACAGGTGTTTCTCGATACCAATCATGCTAAAATGTACCTTGCTATTAATTGGGTTGGCGTGGCTTCGTGCGTCATGGGAAAATCCAACTTGTACCGTCGATCTGATTTGGATAAAGTCGGCGGTCTTGAAGCTTTTGGTAAATACATGGCCGAGGACAATCTGGTCGGCGAAGCCTTGTGGCACCAAGGTCTGAGACATCGGATGAGCAGCGACACCGCATGTCAAGTGCTCGGCCCGATTTCTCCAAAAGGATACTGTGCGCGACGCGCTCGTTGGGTGCGACTTAGAAAATACATCGTGACCGCCGCCACTCTCACGGAACCTTTCACGGAATCCATTGTTTGTGGTCTTCTCGGGGCACTTGGTTACCGCTTGCTTTTCGGCATTTCGGCCGTGCAGTTTTTCCTCGTTCACTGGTCGCTGTGGTTTGTCAATGATCTTTGGCTTTTCCGTACATTAAACGGCGCCGCCCCGGATCACCGCCTTCGTCAACCTATTCCGGCCCCTTTTGCGTATGGAAAATTCCTTCGTGCTTGGCTCTCGAGAGAAGTCCTCGCTCTCCCTCTTTACATGTATGCCATGTTTGGCACCCAAATTGCCTGGCGCGACCAACAATACCGATGTTTGTCCGATGGTACTGCCGTTGCCATATCATCCGATGATACGTTTCATACCACTGCTCTTTTAACAAACAGCATAAATGATGATGACAAGACGTTTTAATATCCTGATGACAACAAAAAAAAACGCTTTAATATCCTTTCCCCTACTCTAATCTGCTCTTTGCTTTTCCCTCTAACCGAGAACATAGCTTTTAATATGTTACATACGCACCCATCATCAATCCAAAATTTTAATATTAATCTTTTTTTTTTTTGTTTCATACAACCAAACAAATGGTTTTTCGTTCAAATTTATTTAGTAACACTACAATAGCGAACGGAAGGTGCTAAAGTACAGAGGTTCTTCCTAGTGCATTTACATTTCAAAAGCCAAGAATAGTTGTTGCTTTTTGTCAATATCAAGTATTTACGAGAGGGGGAAGGGGGATAAAAAGAGGAATCAAGATGTTTAGTTGGCTTGGAAGCTAACGTAAACGTGAATTTCACCATGGCTGGTGAGACCCAACTTGGCGGGCAACTTGACCCAGGTATCAATATCTTGACCCTTGAAAGCATCGGTGACATCGAGCTTGCCATCACCGATCTTATCAGTACCAACGGTATCCTTGTCGACGACCTTCATGCACAACTTGTGGAGGGAAGAGCCTTCTTCAACGTTGAAGGTGAAGGTCTGGTTCCAGACGGGGTTATCAGTGTTCTTTTGTTCTTCGGTGCGCTGCTTGTACTTTTCATCGAGCCACAACTCGACATAGGGATCGTTCTTGCCAGCCAAGTCTTCGTCCTTCAAGTTGCGGGCTTCAATAACCTTGACAGTGAGGACACCACGGGGAGCAGAGTGAGAAGAGAACATGTTGGATAGATTTAAAATTTCTTTGTTATAGTGTTGAATTGAAAGAAAGACGCCAGCCAATTCACGCTCTTTTTATAAGCAAATTTTCCCTTGGCTTAAAGTGCTTCAGAAAAAGACGCGTCATGCAATGAAAACGCTCATCCTGACATCATGCTGAACGCTGGCCACCATAAATAGATAGGTTACACCCTTTGCCCCTAAAAGGAAGCATCCGCGCGTTTGACAACCTATCGAAATTTCGGACATTCCATGGTCTTCTTTCCAATCGGAGCTTGCCAAGGCAACCCAAGGAGATCCGTTTTTATTTGGTAAAAATTCGGTGCATTGCGCTTTTCAATCTCAATCTCGGTGCCTTTTTTTTTCGGTCCATTTACAAGGATTAGCTTCCACGCTAAAAAGCATAGACTGTTGACGATCATGAGCGATATGGTTGCTAAAGATAATTGCTCGTCACAAAAAATAAACAACTATCTGGGTTCTCGTACTTCACCCTTTGATCCTTTGGTAATGACAGCTGCACATCTTTTCGGGTGATGTCATTATGTTACATTAAACAAAATATGCAATACACAGTAATCCCACAGATTACTGCCACTTGGTTATTCGCAATAACATACAGATATTGTTTTCAAGTTTTTTTATTAGATGGTTGTGTTAGGGTTTGAACAAACATGTTGGGTATTTTTGGTATAAAACATCAAAACAGATACACAATGTCTTGTGTCATGTCTCAAGGTGTTGTATTGTTGAAATTACAAAAGAGGATTAACGAAATATTTACAAAATCAAAGATGTGACTTGAGGAGTTTTTTGGGGGGGACGGTTTGAATAATAAATAAATGATCGGTTGAATGAATTTTTCCTTGCGTATCGTTATGAAGAGACGGCGACGTTGGCGTGATGCATGGATTTCTGGGTTTTATCGCACAAGTAATACGAAGGAGTGATCTGGTCAAAGGGATAGGAAAACATCATCTGCGAACAGGACGACGATGAAGACGAAAACGAGGAACAGGCCGAGAAAATAGGTGACGAGGATGCGGATGAGGTCATGGCGAGGTGGTGAGGGTGATTGGGATTGGACACAACGTATGAAGGCTCTTCCGTGGGCTGGGCGGACTTTATATTCACATGAGGAAATCCACCCAAGTCTGAGAAATCGTAGCCCAACATTGGGTGATGCAATAGAGCGTCTTGCTTGAGACATTCATGTGAGCAATACAATGAATCCTAAATGCAATTTTTTTTTCGTCAGTCTCCACTCCTATTCGGCAGTAGACTAATAACAAGACATAACGCAGTAATACTTACCGAATATGGACTGATAGCACTATCACAAAATGTACACCAGTTGGTATCACACATCATGGTCAACAAAAACAATCACCGATCAAAAGGCCAAAAAAGAAAAAAAAATCACAAGAAGAAACAACCATCGTCGGTTGATATTTATATGTTGCTAATCCAGCTGAACGTCGGCGAGGGAAAAAAAAAAAATAGATCTCGGTGTATGCCGTTTCGGGCAAAGCTGTATGTCATTCTTGACCGAGGCCACTTTGAATGATTGGCCAATCAGGAAGCGGAGTCGTTTCATTAGTGGTTATCCCTGCGTCATTGAGTTCGGGTCGCAACGTTTTCTCCACACAAAGAATCGAAATGACGACATGAATTCCGCCGTCATGATTCCTTTTTTTTTAGAGGCTACTACCTACGCTCCGATACAAAACCCGGAAAATGACAACTGGAGAGGCTGTCAGTAACAAAAAAGTTCAACCGTCGTGCTCAGGAAACATGCAAGAAGATATCGCACCATCAATTTAATTGTTCCGAATCATGCTTGGAATAACCACGAATTTAGGTGCCCCTGATGGATCAACTCTCTTCTCGTTGAAAGAGAACAATTAAAAGCAAATACATTGACATCCTATTGAGACTTTAAGCCAATCGTATCCAAAGACACTGTACTGGCCTTGCAATATATAAATGATGGAAAGTTAACCATCATCAACGGTAGAATATCATCTAAACCTCATCACTGCTTTCAGTTATCTCAATGGCCGCTGTTAAACTTGCATTACCCGTCAACCATCTGGATACCGAAGAACAAGAAGCTGTTTTTGTGGTCTTCCCCCCTGAAGTCCCTCACTCTGGAAAAATGTTTGTCAACTGCTCCATCATGTAAAAAACGAGAAAAATGCAAAACCTCATCGAATCATGCCGACGATTGCTGGTTGTACCGAAGGAACAGATCTTCCACTGTCTCGGCTCTATTTGGTTTCATCCACGTTGTATCGGATAGTCGTTTCGAGTAGAATGTTCTCTAGTCACTTTATCTAATAGATTTACTTTACGACTTTTTTTTTTGTTATTCCATCTTTTTGAATAAACTTGTGACCCTATTCCTCCTTCATCATTGATGTCGTCGATGTAGTCTGAAATACAATATCCCAATATGGACATTGATAGAATATCGTAGAAAACACTCCTCTTTTGTTGGAAATTCCGAGGAAAAACAAAAAAAAACAACGACTATCTTTTGTATTTACTTTCTGTGAATGCCATGACAACGCTATAGCTACAGTATCCCTTGGATAGAGTGTAACAGCATATCCATCACCTAGGTTATTTTTATTATTCTCGGTGGACAAGTTTTTTGATGCTTAATTTAGGGCCGGGTTATCGAAGCTTCTAGGCATCTCGGGTTTTTACCATGATGCGACTAACGCCCACCCCCCAGCTCCGCCTGTCAAGGTCGATGGGGGTAATTGAAATGCTGCAAGAATGACTCAAAAAGAAAGGAAAAGATGCACCTTGGAAATCTTCCGCGGAATGATGATCTTCCACCGTCAGTGGGGCATCCCAAAAAAACCTGTCAATCAATACAAATAAACAAGGTTTCAGTTTTTCCCCTCCACACTGATTTCGGCTCGACAGCTCCGAAGTGACAGCACCTATTAGCCCATAGCCAATCATTTCCATCCGCTTGGGCACTTGTGTATTTTTGTCATCTTGTTGTTCAAACAGGAATTTAGGGTTGGTTTTTTTTTCATGATGCGCGGCTATACTTGGCAACCGGTTATTCCTTACCGGGAAAAGTGAGTGCCTAGAACCACAGGCATACAAACACTGACCAGCGTTATTTTTTTCATTCTTTATGCCATCAAGATCTCTGTTCACAAGAATATTTATCCGTTACACTTGTGATCCTGCCGAAATAAGATCCTTGGCCATCACCCGTCCATGTTTCGTCTACGGGAAGGAAGGACTTTAGCTTCATGTCACGATCTATTTCGGGATAACCCAAACTTGCCATGCGGCGATCTCTAACTTGAGATAGTTCCTGTGAAAGCGTAAAATTAAATCCAACCAGCCTCGCTCTAGCAAATCACATGAAATGGATAGCGCTCAAGGGCCTAACGGATACAGATGATAGACAATCTGTCTCTGAAGATAGGCGACACTAGCCGTGTTCCAATAGCGTTGCACAATCTTGCTTGTTATTTGTTGACACATTGTTTGCTGTGTCTAGACCGAGAAACGATCATATCACGCAGTAGAGGCTCTTTTACCTCTGAAGCATGATTATCAGTAATCAAGTGGTAGCCTTTTGGCCATTTTCTTGGCCGTGGTTAGTGTACAAAAGATTTACATCATTTTGCTTCTGTGGCATTGGTACCGTAAGATCCACCTGGATCAAAACGTTGGGTGCCAGCCAGCCCGTTGGGAATTGTAATTCCGCCACCGCTGGTTTTTGGGACAGACGGACGCATTTTTCCCGTGGTCTCATACAGCATTCAAGATCAGTGCCGGTCGAATATCAATCTCGGGCTTCACAATTTCTTGAGGCTATCTCAAAAAACTTGATATAAATGTATAGTACAAATTTTTGGTGGTAAATGTCTGGTTTGATATATGAAGAATGTAGAGTTTGTGCTTGCTGAATCCGTCTTTACACTACAGTAGTGTTGTAATTGCCCGGCTGGCAAGAGTGCACAACACTTGGCAAAGCTAGGATCACGACTATAATTGTCAATAGGTTTACACTCGCTTTTATATCGAATTCATTGATTGCTTTATTTTGTCTACAAAAATTGTGAATATTATTGGGCTACACGCTTTATTTTTTTTTTTTTTTTCTCTTGAGTAATAAAACAGCATACTGCTCTCTGACATTGAGCCCTTTTTTTACAATATCACGTGAATGCTGATCGTCCTGGCACAGTATCTCCTTTGTACTGTCTTACAGCATACGTAGCCATAAGTGGTATCATTGAGCCTTGTTTTTCCAAGAATGTTTTTTTTTCTTCATTCAATGAACACGGAACGTCTCGATTTGACGCAGGCGATGATGTTACGTGGGATGACTACGCAGTTCACAGGTGCGTAATCAACTTCGAATTGACAATCAGATGGGCTATGAATGCCGTCTTGAAAAGCAACAGCACATGAGCTCCATCGACGCCCTAAACTGGGCTCGCCACTCTTTTTACTGGCCAACTGCTGCGCACTTTTTGCCGCTGCGCCACTTTGAAAGCAAGCACTGCCCACACAGTGAAATGCACCATTGACACAGCAGACCATAAACACAATAAGGAGAGGCCTGCTAAACAAGTCTTTTCATTTGTCATACTACTTTACTACTTATTTATTCTACTCTATTTCCCTCTGATTTATCATGAGAACTAAATACAGGTGGACAGTTCTAAAGCGACTAAGCAGACCACCCAGGAGCCGCAGCCAAAACCTGGTGCGGATAAGGTGTGAAGAGACGAGGTTTTTACCCTCTCTTGTCTCTTTTTTTTCATTTACTTGAGAAGATTACTTTTTGATTCCTGCCGAAGCAGGCCAAAAAGAAAAACCATGCGTGCCAGGAACGCCCACATGGGAAAAGAAAAAGAACTCCCCCGGGGTGAGCCCACCTTGCCGTACATTACTCCCGCAAGGGTCAACACCCGACCAGCTGATGAACGGATAAACATACCGGTGCGGGAAGACCAAAAGGTCTACGAGTATGCTAGCCCCAGTTGCGAATCAGCCCCGCCGCCGTACAACATGCCGTTTCATGAATTTGCAAAATCGTCGCCTTTATATACCCCCCCCCCCTTCATTTTGGTCTTCGACAAAAGTCACACTTTCGTCCAATAAGAAACGTTAGATGATGATTCAGCAAGGCTTGACTGCGGCACTCTACGCCTGCAATCCGGAAGCAGCAAAAAAAGGCCATTGCGCTTCCTTTCGCATAAAGTCAGCGAGTAGGGGCCTGTAACGGTCCATAATAATATATTGAAGAGCATAAGATAACGTGGCTGGTCAGAATAAAGGCTTCCTCTAGCATCAATAGTGCAGCAGGATTATCGTGCATAAAAACTGGAGTGTTGTATTCAAGTAACCGTTGGATTGCTGATGCAGGAATTTTGCACAGATTCCGTGTTTTAAGCGCCGTTGTCTGCGAAAGCATCACACTGAAACTATGGGTTGCTATGGTCTATCGACTAGGATACAAGTCAGGTTTGGATCTGCATATTCCTACCAGAGCAAGCCGATGTCTTTTTACTTGCATACGTGTTGATACTGTCTGCGGAAGCTTCTCATTAAGATTTTGATCGGCTTGGATGACCGACTTCTAGATTTATCGGTGACAAAGCTGGAAAAAAAATTATGCTTTGATCATGATGGATCTAGCTTCTTACAGTCGTTAATCGTTTTGAGCATCGTGATTGAACTGTATATTTGCTTTAATGTACCGTTCTCAGTATCCTTGGCGTTTTCTTTATACTCCCTGATCGATGATCCATCACCGTTCTTTCGGTATCTGCGTGTGCTTGTAAATAAATTTCACACCATCTGGACTTTAAGAGACCAATTTAGTCTGCGAAGCGTCGAATGTAGGAACCACATGACGTACAAAATGTTCCCTCAGAGTTTGTTGTTTTTCTTCTTGCTCGTCCACTTTCCGAGAAATGGATAAGTATCAATTTCACAGCCTGGAGTAATATTTTTCTTAATCTCACATCCTCAGGGCATTTTTATTGCCATAATCACTGTATAAAATTGTCCAGGGGCTTGTTCAGTGCGTCCATCATGCAGCATGTAAGTGGTGTAGTGGAATTTTCAAGTTGTGAAAGCTATTTCCGGTTTCTAGCTCTTCCTTCAGAAGCTGCATTTTGGTTGACCGAAAGCTGTTGATTGATTGTGCAATCATTTGGACCATGTCTGACAGTTCGTCAACGGCTCTTGCTTTAACTGTCTGGTCCGCCTGTCGAACGCGTGCTTTTGTGAAGGTTAAAATTGTAGCCTTTCATTGAGCAATAGTTAATTTCTTGGGTTGCAACGCAATGGACAGGGGAAAGCTGAATTTGGTTCATCAATGTTCGATTTTTGGGTTGGCGCAAAACGTTTTGAACCAATGGGAAAACTACATAGAAAATGCGATATTATATTGCTACAGTATATTGATGCTGAAGCTCCTTGGTGCCGGACAGATCTCATTTCAATAAAAAGAATGATCGTAACCTTTCTGATACAGTGTCACACGCGGGAATTCTCTGTCTCCAATTGATTCCTAATTTTTTGCGGGACAACCAGCAAATTCATCCATGCTGTGAGCAGGCCCGTCATTTTTGGTCATATTATGTAGTTCCTCTCACACGTCACTGGCATTTCGGCAGATCTAACTTCTTGGTACTGTCACTTGAACTGCATTTATTTTTCTTCAAATCCATCTAGGTTTGTGTCAACTTCGTTCACTGTGATAATTATTCCCGCATCTGGGCTAATGATGCCAGGCCATCGTTCTTTTGCCAAAAACAGAAGCTTCCAACAGAACTTGGCGACGTAATAATCTATTTACCATTGCGCAGTAATCATCATTGTTTTGAGCATCCGAAAGAAATGCGCCGACTATCATTTGGAAATAAAGTTTGCTCAGTCAATGCTGTTTTGCTTTACTAAAAAGGCACTGCGCTTGTTCTCATTTTGTTTTCTCCTATGGTTTTGAATGGACAATACTCGGTCCATAAAACTTTGGCATTTGCCCGGCGGCTGCATAAAGCGTTCATTTTCAACTAGTCGCTGAACAATGTCAACGTATAAACTGAGTTACATTGTCGTGAAAAAAAAACATTAACGATGATACGGTAATTTTGGCTAGAAGAGCAATCTACACATGGTAATAGCGACGATACCGGAATAAAAAAAAATGCGCACCGTTGGTTTTCGCGTCGCACGCTATTTATTGGTCGTGACATCTGCGATAAAATAAACACATGATTGTTTACACCACAACAGATCACCCTTATCCTACACGCTGTAACGTAATACAAAAATAAGAATCGTTGTATGATCGTCGCTGTTGTTGTTTTTGTACGAGTAAGTTGATTATCCATTCGGACTGCATATCAAGCCCACTTGTTTTAAAGATTGCTGGCGATTGGTCACATCGTCGGGTGATAAGATCTCTCGCATCGCAGACACGAACAAGGAGCATGAACATTTTTATTTGTTACCAAGACGAGGGGTTGCTGACTACCCGCTCTAGATCTTCTAATCTTTAAAAACCGTCAGGCCGCAGTTGCTTGTGCGTTTCCATGATGTAGACTTAAGGTTTGCGTACAGATACCGGATATCTCATTAGTTCCTTTTTGTCTTGTCGGAAAATTTCCTAAACGGATGACTAAAGCCTATCTCCCACCATCTGAAAACTCAGACCCTTCGCCGAAAGGCAAAATAAGATACAGATTCATCGTTAAAAAACAAATACCCGTAGATAAATGAGGTGAAAGCCATTCATGGTCAAGCGAGCCATAGTTGATGAAATAATGGCATATGCGGTTGATAAGGGTTTACCATATTAACGCTTTATCATGATTCGGTCTTACAATTCCGGTAACCAAGTGAGTGTAGCGTGATAACTATGAACAATTGAGGCTCCAGGAGATAACGCGATTGACGGTGCAACACGCCGCTTGGGTGTTTCTCGTCTTCGTTTGCAGATTATAGCAACCAAGGATACATGAGATGGTTGTTTCACTCATGACTGAATTGGCGCAAGTGGATACGGTGCGTGTGGCGGTGGCGGTTTCATTTCGGCTCTGACGCGTCGACGAGCACGGTAAATGAAGGCAGGGCGGAGACTGAATAGGGCGTTTTTGGACCCCAGGGGAAACCCATTATCGGAGTGGGTTTGTGCGACTTGCACTTCTTTTTATTTTTAAAAATGTGACACGGCTGTGTATGAAACCGCCCATGCGTCTTTGATTTATTTTTATCGAAATGTGACCCAGCCTGATCAGAAATAGTCAAGTTGACTAAAGCGGACATAGAGCCCGGAAACTGCGCCTTGGTTTTTTTTTTTTTTGCATGCCCTTGCCAAAACAGTCAACAAAACGTTGAAGTGTCTGTGCAGAAAAACCGAAACAAGAGGGATTCCTCACCATGGCAATGGCGGAGGAGTGTCATGTTATTACGTGAAGTTGTTTTAGATTCATATTTAGTGGGAGAGATCCATTCTCGATGGCAACTTTTTTTTTCAAGGCCCAAGCTTTTGCATTGTTCCAAAACACCTGAATAAGCACTCTCGTTTCGCTTGAAATGTTTAACTTCCACGAGCCGTTTTCCTCTTTTGCCGGACATGCCTCGCGCGCGTCTGACTTTTTTTTTTTTTTTTTCCCTTGCCTACAATTAAAAAGCGTTCTTCACGGCATTCAATCTTATTTTTTGTTTTTTTACTTTTTTTTTCTTTTTCTCGTTTTCTATCGTTTTTGGTCGGCCTTGTTGTTTGATCAATTCTTTAATCGTTCCTTCTTCTCTCACATACTATAGCTGTGCTTCGTCTAATCGCTTTCCTTTCTCATCATGTTGACTAAAACCCTTTTCGCCGTCTCTTCCGCCCTTTTCGCTGTGTTCGCCACGGTCGACGCTGCCGTTGCTCCCACCTATCCTTCTCCAGGCACCACTTGGGTCGCGGGAAAGGAATACGAAATCCTCTGGAGTAAATTAACCATCGCTGTTTTAATGCAATGGCCAATCCATGGCTAATTCATCCTATTTATTTACAGACGATGATGGCAAGTCTCCTGCCTGGAAAAAGTTCAAGATTGGTACCTATCGCTCTGCATCATCGTGAATTAGGCTGAGTTGCAAACGCTGTCTGACGCGCATTTTCTTCTGAAACCTTGTAGATTTCATGACTGGCGATAACTTGAATCAGAAAGTCTTGACGAACGTTGCAACTGTAAGCGGAGCACAGAATACATTGCTAAAAGAGAAACAACTATTTACTCTTCACGATCGCAATGATTTTTAGGATCTCGATCCTGCTGCCAAATCCTTCAAGTGGAAGGCACCCGAAGTCGAACCCTACTCGGCAATTTACTTCTTCATGTTCACTGGCGGTAGGATAATCAGATTCTCAGTTAATTGCGCTGCAGTCCGCTGATGTTGGATTTTGCTCCTGTTCATTAGATTCGGGAGAAGCTTCGTGGACCACCCGTTTTGCTATTACCGGTGCAGATGGTCAGCAAGTCGAACCTCCCAATAAGACTCAGCCCGATGGTACGCCGAAAAACGCAATTGCATCATTCGAATGTTCCAGCTAACATGATATGTTCTATAGGTGAAGATATTCCTTGGGGTGTTGGCAGCTTGAAATCCGGCAATACCAACGCCACTAATTCTGATCCCGCATCGTCACCTGCCCCCGCTTCTTCCTCTGTTCCATCCACCGCTGCTCCCCTCACCGCTGCTACCGCTGCTTCTTCTTCTGCCGCCAGTTCCTCTGCTCCCGTTTCATCGGCCGCCGAAAAGACTCCTGACGTTTCATCCAACCAACCTGTGAATCAGGCCAAGCAAGACGATACTAGCGCCAAATCTTCCCCTTCCAACTCGGCCACCACTGATGCCGCTCACGATTCCGCCGCCGGCTATGTCAAGCCTGCTCTTGGCTTGGTCGCCGCCGCCGCTCTTACTAGTTTAATTATTTAAAAAAACAAACCCCATTATATTTCCTACTTTATAATTGAGTATCCGAAAAAATTATATATTTGTATACAACGTGTATTCTACTTATTGACTGCTTTACTAAATAGCAATATACGATGTTTTTAAGGTACAGAACTTGGCCAAGACAGAAAATTTCGAGGAGTCGTCCTTGGCGACGAGGAGTTGGTCGTCTTTTTTTTTTTCCACATGGAGTCAATTTTTCTGGAGAAGGGAGTCAAAAGCAGGGTCAAAAAAACTATCGGTGTATGCATCACCGAAGACGTACAAACATTAATGTTGTGTAACGTAAATAAAACCCTTCGTCACACCAACACCCGAATTTGACAACTGCAACTGACCTGATCGTTCAATCGGTTGACTGGCAGTTCAGAACCTTTTTTCTGAGTGGCAATCTTTTATGGCAAGCAAAGACAAATTAACCACCTGCTGAAATAACTTGGATGTTTTCCGCTTGATACATGGGAGTTTATGAAACCAAACGAATCTCCTTAAGTATACCGAAAAAGAAGAGTTCAACGGGTTTTACTGTGAAGATCAAGAACGATCTCCGTTTCCTTTTACGATTTCATTTTCCATTTACAGATTTTTGAAGGAACCAGACAAGCAGGAATGGCAATTACTTCTCAGTGTTCCATTCCCATCTTCTCAAATCAGTGAAAACATTTAAAAAAAACGAATGATAATGAATACGAAAAAAAAAATGCCACTGGAACCAAAGATACTTCCTGTCGTGGTGGTACGGTTCAAAATGGCCATCTCGAGGCAATTTGACTGCGAGTCAATTGCAAGTGCGGAAAAAGGTCAGCACTAGCCCATTTTATGATCAGGCATGGTGAACAATTTATTTTTTGCAACGTAGCCAAATGCGCAGTCTTACTGTATTTGCTCTTTTATCGATTGTCAATGGAATGAATCCCGATGCGATCATGGAAATCAATTCTACTGCGTGGGAAGTTGTGGTCACAAGGAGACGGCCCCATTCCCCATACAGGAAGGATTTTTCTTCTTGATCCTATTTTGGCAAGAATCTGATATAATGAACCGCTACACTGTATCCAGTAGCAAGTGCAGTGAATGCACCGTCATCTTTTTTCATTTTAATCTCGAATAAAAAATAATTACAGTTTTTCGAACTAACAGTATCAGATTCCTAGGCATACTCCACATTGCGGACAAGCTTACAATGATATCGATTATTATGACAGAGAATGATGAGGATGGCAAAGACACTTAATATGTATAAGAAATGCTGTGAATGCATCAAGGCAACGTTTTTAGTTAGACCAAGTGTTATAGATGGTATCATCTCAATGGATGATTCACGAGTTTCCAAGTGCTGGTGGTGCCAAAAGAGAAAATACATTTCAAAGAATCCCAACGTAAGACCATTTGATAAGACGAACGTCATCAACAAGCATTTTTTCTAACCAGTCAAATATACAGTTCCTAACGACTACTGTTTATTCCTTAACATTCGTTCTTCTCTGTGATAAAACTGCTAGTGTATATATCATACACTAGATGGTGATGTTGATTTATCGTGGTGGCTTGGAGAATTAATATCACAATTCCGGTAATTCATAGAAGGCAGTCCAAGGTATCAAATAATAATAATAATAATGGTTTGTTTTGCGTATTATGAGTATATTTAATTGTAAAGGATAAGGATATGCTAATTTGAGGGATAATCATAAGTAGTAAAAAGATGAATTAGTATAATGGATATGGAATGCAAGCGACGAATTTTGTGGGAAAAAAAGGCGTAGGGGGCAGACGGTCGGTAGATAGAGAAAAAAGACATGGATCAGTGGCGACAAGGTAGGGCTTCTTTTTTTTAATTAAGCACCAGTATTAGTAGGATCGGGACAAGCGCAATGACCCAGTCGACCGCCCATGGGATCATAGTAAGAACCAACAATATCGGGAGTCTTGGCGCTACGCATGGGATCGCGAAGGAATCGTTGGAGCTTTGAAGAGATGGAAAGCATATCCTTCTCACTTCCGTGGAGAGATGGAGTAGGAGAGGTCGCGGTTGAAGAAGGAGTGGACTCGTCTTCTTTGGTGTGGTGGAAACTGCTGACAATTTTGGAGAAATGCATTGTATTGAAGAGCAAAAGAAGCTTGATATGACTTTGTCTTGTTTGATCGATGATCTGAGCCAAAAGGATTCGCGTTCCAGAGTATATATACTCGTGGGCTGTCAAAACGGTTATCCGGCCACTCCGCCCCAGATTAATTCTAGAGTAATTTCGAGCATTGCGATTGGTCATTCCTATCCATATGCAATCATCACGCCGGCTTGTCCTTTATCCTCACACTCCGATTTCCGTTATTCTGTTTTTACATCAACTTCATCTTTTTTTTTTTCTACAGCCCACTAGTTCACTGCAAAATAGATCATAGCGCTGTGTCAAGTGCAATGATTTTTAACGACCATCCAGTAGGATAGTTTTTGCACCACTACCATCATTGTTCCACGTATAAACAACTACAGTTGCAATAGAATGAGGGAAAAGAGGAGAATCGGCCAGTACTCAAGATGCATTCTCGGATCAATCATCAGGCGAAGAAAAAAGCTACTTGTCGTACTATGTGAATCCACAAGAAGTATGTATTTCCCAATCGGGAGGCAAGTGGAACGAATTATGCTCTTCCGAGGAATCGCCACGGCCGCGATCCAGGCTTACGGTACTCGGACCTTGAATTGTTGGGATAAGCGTTTATGCGCAGCCACTGGCAGTGATTACCAAAAACTGATCATGACTGATCTCCCCTATACGCCCCCATACGCCTAAGCCAGATGCCGGAACCCGAAATCCATTACATCTCCTAATCCATGCAAAATACAACTCACAACTTACTTTTTATATTGCTCCCCTGTACATAGCTAAGACATTTGAACGGACCAAGTCAATAGTGGTCACTATTCGCCACAATGCGGCGCATTTTTTTTTTGAGCAACGCAGTGCTTTTCAATATTTTATTGATTGAAAAAGAAAAAAAATCGACATGGCAGACAAAAATGGATCGGTTGCATCAATTTTTGAGGTGCTTATTCCATAAAAGGAAACTGAAAAATTCTTGAGTCATCGATGATCCAGTTGTTGTCATGGATAATATTTTGGGAAGGGGGTCGATAGATTATAGAAGAGATATAGCTTTCGGATCATCGAGTCAATAACTACGTTACAGAGCTTATCGAAATAGGCTGGAGAGGTTGGGGGGAGGAAGGAGAGATCAGTAAGGATAAAAAGAAAAAATGAGAGATGGGAGGGTAACAGTGACATGTGGCCTTATTGAAAAACCCCATCTCTTGCAAGCTCATGGTGGCGCCGGTTGTGCGGTTTCTTGTATTTGCTGGCAGGTTGTTTGTGACTCTTGGCAGGCTGATGTGGACGTTGAGGCCTTTGTCTCTGACGGAGCATGAATGGCTTGGACGCGGCATACATCGTTATCGACAAATAAAGATTTCCATTTCCTCATGAGCTGCTGACATCGTTCGCGGATAGAATAACCATGGTCGTTTTCGTAAATGTAAGTACACGCCGCTTTGACCACTCTAGCAATCTTTGTGTCCTATATATACACTCATTATGAAAAGCGTTTCACACACGCTATCCTTGTTCTGTCCGTTCCCACTTACACGCAATAGATTATAGGTCATGGGAGCTTGTTCAATGTCTTTGACAATGTCTGAAATTTCCGGATAATCTTGTTCAGCAATATCGCCCTGCCATTTGTAAATCAGATCAATGGGGTCACGCTACGTAAATGATTCTCGTTCGGTCAATCTTTGCCTTTTTCTCTCTATTTTTTACCTGTTTCTTGCCGTACACTAACTTTTGCAACCGATGCCTGATGTGATATACCTTTTTGAAATCACTTTGATCCTCTGGTCCAGTCTTTAACGTTGTGTTGGGTTCTTCTTGTGTTTTTGGATTGGGCTATTCTCAAGTTATTAGCATGCATGTGTACTCTAGAAAGCAATCTACAGCTTACGCGTTGCTTCTTCAGTCGCGTAAGCGTTTCCTCTATTGTAATGGGGCTCACTGGTTTCTCGCCAGAGGGAATCACCGTGGAGGCTTCACATTCTTGTCCATCCTTTTCCATGATATTGAAATCACGTTTTTGCCGTTTCAATCGACTAGATCGACCGTGCGAAACGATGACGCGTATGGACGAAGGGGTGCTTTTTTCACTCGTATGTTTCTGTGATCGACGGGTATTTGTTGTCTCTTCACCGTGGTCTTCACTGTGGAAGCTATTTCGTTGACTTGGAAGCGAATCTGCCACAGAAGAATCCAGGGCTTGGCGAACCGCGTCCTTTAAATTTTTCGCTCTGAATTTGTTGGCATGAAAATCGCGTTTGACAAGTTCAGGATGAAATGGCCGGATGGCTTCCGAACCAAAAAACCCGCTGTTGTAGGCGGAAAAAAAAATAATGGTCCGTCGTTAAGCCACATTCTCCAGCTTGGATGTCTGTCTCTTCCTTCCTTTCTAGCTTTTCACTTTTACTTACTAGTCCTGGGTTCCGAAAAATTGGACTGTGATAAGCGGTTTGGATTTGGCTTTTTGTTTCAATACTCTGGGTGGGACCTGAGTATCCTTTTCAACCTGTGTTCGAAATACGAATATCAGCGATACTGCAAACCAATCTATATCGCATCCGCAGTCGTGGTTACCCGCGCTGGCCACCATGGATAGCCTTTGAGTTTGGCGAATACCAGTGCTCCTGGTTCGTAGTTGGTTATCGGCTGTCCGTCGGCGGTCATCTCGTATTTCACAAGTAGTTACAGACAAGATTAGGAAAAGACAGCTGAGATGCACAATGGTTGAGCTCCCAAATGAAGCGTTGCTGGGAGGAAAAAATAAAAGGAAAACAGCTGATCTGTCAAAAGTGTTCAAACGAGCAGATAAAAACAGTGCAACAGCAACACGGTGTCAGTGCAAAAAGGTTCATAAACTTTACAAGAAAAATGACACCTTTGTTTCTTTTTACCCTTTTTTTTTGCTTATAATATTAAGATGGGAAAGCGCGTGTGAGTCCAAACAAAAAAGATGATTGCAGAGTGTAGGAAAAAAAAAAGAGTCGACTGCAGCATACAACGGAAGCGATGCAGCCAATCAGATAAAAGATAATTGCCAAACCATGACAGTCGGACATGCCTACCAAATTCTTGTGCGAGTGCCGAAATGCGTCGGTCTAGTGCCCCACGTCCTTGTTACTTTTTTGGTATTTTTTTTTTTTCATGCTTTGGGCGCTGGTACTTGGGTTACTGTCGCATCTGGGAAATGCGGCACCACTTCCACAGCCTGTCGAGTCAAAGCGTAAACTGGTGCTACCGTCTTTATTACGCGATCCGTTGGAGAGCCTGATTGGCGAAAAGTGTTATGTGTCTCTGGTTGAAAACCTCACCTTTACCGATCTGGCCTGCTTAAAGTATGCTTTATCCAAGGGCTTAGGATTGGGCATCGTCATTGGCGGATCTATTGTGAAGATTCCACAGATTATCACCATTGTGTCCAAACGGTCCGTCCAAGGACTATCGTTGGCTTCCAACCAGCTGGAAAGTACGGCGTACCTCATCATTCTCGCTTACAATCTGCGTCATCAGAATCCGTTTAGTACCTATGGCGAGGTCGTTTTCATGTCGGTCCAGAATGTGCTGGTCACTTTGTTAATTCTTTACTATCATCAGCAACTGGTAACCATGGTATTGACGTTCATTGGCGCCGTAGGAGTGCTGTATGGTTGCCAGTATCTTATCACCCCATGGATGATGGCCGGGCTCTACGTTAGCACGATTCCTCTTCTGCTCGCGAGCAAAATTCCACAGATCCACGCCAACTATGTGAACCAGTCTACTGGTCAACTATCGGTTTTTGCTGTCTTGACTTATTTTCTGGGCACAACGGCCCGTGTATTTACGACGATGACCGAACTGGATGACCCATTGATGCTCGGAAGTAACGTTTTAGCGAGTCTATTGAACGGCATTCTCGTCGTGCAAGTATACCTTTACTGGGGCAACAGCAGTGACCACGAAAGACCTGCCAAGGCTGATTGAAAAATTGCGTTTTTATGCAAAAGTCTTTGGTGTGGCCGAATCCTTGAAATACCCAACGAAAAATCGTAACTCGACGAACACACATTTGGTTGCTGCATTGATGTTGGCACTTTTTTTAAACTTTTTGAAGAAAAAAGTCACTTCAAGTGACATGCCCAAGCTCGCGAGTAGAGTTTCTGGAATAGTAAAGTCTTGAACTACAGAGTTATATAATAGTCGATTCATATAAAGGCAGCAATGCATCATAGAGGTATCTTGATTTAAAGGAGAAAACAACACTAAGCTGTAAATGTGCCGAATATGATCTTACGAACGCAAATTCGCCCGATATCTTGCGATCGATTTGGTATATCGGGATCATTGTTGATGATCAAAGCCCGTATGGATGGTTCCACACGGTATTGATGGGGCATGAATTTCTTACTGAAAGGCAAAACCTCATAGTCCTGTAGATGTCATGGTGTTCTAATGTTCATCTTGCGTAACGAATGATATTCGTAATTTAGGATCGGTGGCAACGACTATCATCATCCAATAGCGATAAGGTCACATAGGTGGCAGTCTTATGCATTACCATAGAATTACCCAGTTTGCAGCTGCTGCATGACTATAAACTGTTAATAATTTATGGTTCCTGATGGTCGACATTTACTGAATCAGGATCTTGAGACATGGAGTTTTTTTGACCATCAATGGTCAGCGAATTAAATAAATGGTCATAGGATCACAATAAGTACGAGATACTCAATTACAGCATAACATGTCAGAGCCCATTATCCACATGAAACCATGTCAACAATAAAGAGTTTTCTGTCAACTGATGTGCCACAGATATAAAATGTTAAAACCATTTTCCCGCCAAGACTTTTTTGAATTCTGTTCATATATCAAATGAACTAAACGCTATATTTGGTTGAATTATAGCCAACATTGGTTAACCATCTATGACTTTCGTTACCTTTTCATCACTCACTGTTCTTGAATTTCTTTTTTTCCAAAAATAACTACGTCTTTTCCCCTACGGATGTCTCGGCCGATCGAGGTACAGAGCTGAGTTTGGAGTGGAGCAAAGACATTTTCGCTGACAAAGAGCAATAGGTCAGCCAATGATGGATGCCTGGCTATCAAAGAAACCAATGGTGTGGCTGAACCAACTACGGTGAGCGGCGAGTATTAAACAAACGCTTCGTCCCTTTGGCACAGCGTCTCGTTCTTCCCGGCTTTATCCCAAATCGCATCTTGTTTGTTGCGCACTTACGGCTCTTGTTACCAGCGGCATCACATTCAGCGTCATGATTCACCAACAACAGCAAACGCAACAAGCATCACTGCTCGATCACTCGTCGACCTTTTTAAATACGGTCCAAGACGAGATTCTTCGTGCCAAAGAAGAACTCGATAATATGGATATTGTCAAGGCCGCACGCGCCAATCCCAACTTGTTTGAAATTGAGGCATATTCCCACTTGAAAGGAAGTGCAAAGTTGAATTCATTGACAGCCACAGTAAGTTTGAAAATGATCAAAATGACGCAAACAAAATGAAAAATTGTACTGATTTCTTTTTTTGGTCTTTCCTTTTTGCCTCCTTTTTTTGTTTTCTTTCCTGCTTGATCTTTCTGTTTTGGTAGACATTACGCGGTCAAGGCAAGATCATTGTTCCACCAGTGATATTCTACAATGAGGATCAGACGGAAGTAACTATTGTGGGACATCTTGGAAAGGAATTATGTGGTCATGACGGCATTATTCACGGAGGTCTGTTGGCCACTTTACTGGATGAAGTGTTAGCATGTGTGGTATGTTATATTTTTTCATATAATGGAAGGAAAAGAAAAGATCGTGTCACTGTCATTTTCGGGAAATTGACGAATTGTTTCTTTTTCTTTTTTTGGAAATTGGGTGATTGGTTAGGCAATGCCATCATTACCCAACCGGATGGGTTTCACAGCCAACTTAAACATCAACTACCGAAGACCCGTGCTCTCCGATCAATGGATCGTCATGCGTGGACGATTGGACAAGGTGGAAGGACGCAAGGCTTATGTGGAGGCCTGGTTAGAGAGTGTCGACGGCACTACACGATTCACAGATGCCACATCATTATATATCTCACCCAAGCAATAGAGAGAAGAAGAGGGTTTGAACGCAAATCAATTACAGTTTCAGTTTCACCACGGAGATCGGTCGATCATCCAATTAGATCGCTCCGTTGACGAAATTTTTTTTAAATCATAACGTGGGTTATTGACCTAGTGAACCCCACCCCCATTTTCCCTACTTTTTCTTGGCTCTTTTTTTTTCTAGTGCTCTTTTTCCCTTGTTCTTCTTCACTTACACCTCCTTTTCGCTTGCTTTGGTTAATTTTATTCTTGACTTATAAACAAGATCATCAGAAAAAAAGTGTCCAATTAGAACCAGAAGAAGGAGAATGAAACATTTGAAAAAGCCTTCAGAGTGGGTGGCGCCTCTGGTGCCTATGGTTTCCTTGGCCGTCCTTCCTCTCGGTCCACTCTTCTTTCCTCGAGTCTACTTGTTATTTTTGTTTGCGTATTTTTCCTTGTTTCTGTTCTCGCAAGTGAATCACGTATGCAAATTCTGGCTCACGTCATGCAAAATACGAGCCAATATTCGCAAGTGGAACGCTCGTCTTCCAGCCATCACCAATGACAATGACACTTTTGTCAGCGCGACCAGTCGAACCAATTCACCCAATGTTACTCGAGAACGCACCATTACCCATACCGTTCATCACGATGACGAAGGGCAGGCCTTGGAAGACATTGAAGAACGACTCCAATACTATGAAGATCCTACTTACTGTCACGCTTTCATCATACCCAATTATTGCGAGCCGGACGGTCTACTCAAAGACACCATCGGTCGTTTAGCAAGTCATCGGTAAGCAAAAAGCTATCAACCTTTTTGATGCATGATTTTTTGAACTCACAAAGAATTCTTTTCTATTCACTTTACAGAAATGCAAGCACACATTATACGATTATTTTGGCCATGGAAGCGTCCGAACCTGAGCATGAAGCCAAAGGTCAACGTTTGCAAGCCGTATTTGAAAATCGATTTGCCCACTTTATCGTGACAGCGCATCCCGCCGATATTCCGGGTGAATCGCGTGGCAAGGGAAGCAACGTGGCATATGCTGCTCGTCACGGATCGCAAGAGCTGTTGCGCCGTGGCGTCGATCGCCGTCGTATTATTCTCACGATTTCTGATTCAGACTCCAGCATTCCGGAATTGTACGTTCGCGAAGTTGAGGAAGCCCTCCAACGATCGTCGGATCCTCACCATTTGTTACTGGCCCCACCGATCTTCTTTTCGCGCAATTGCTTTGATGTCCCTGCCGCGGTGCGTGTCACCGATATTACCTGGTCGGCCATGGTCATGTCCAATTTGAGCAACAGTCGTGGATTGTCTTTCCCTTGCTCCAACTACAGTTTATCGTTGATTTTAGCCGAACGCGTCGGTTACTGGGATACGGATGCCGATGCCGTCGGCGAAGATATGCACATGTGGTTGAAGTGTTTCTTCAAAACCAACGGCCAAGTGCGTACCGCTCCTATTTACGTGCCTATCAATTTGACCAATGTACAAACCGACGGTTACTTTTCCAACGTGAATGCGCGCTTTGTGCAAGCCAAACGTCACTACAACGGAGTTGCGGATGTCGCTTACACGCTGCAAAACGCGTTTTCCAGAGAAGCCAAGTCGGCCACCAGTATTCTTGGCAGTGCCAGCAGCAGTTTGGCCATGGCGGCTTCGTCCTCGGTCAACTGGCGTGATAAGCTGACGGTGTGTATTTTGATTTTGGAAGCGCATATGATTCCTGCCACGTCGGGCTGGCTGATGTTTGCGGCGGTGCCCTTGATGCAGTTCTTGCTGTTCCCCCCCTTGCATTGGCTGGCTATTGTCAGTCCCATTTCCAATCCCATCTTGACCTACGAATTCTACGGCCAATTATGGACGCTGGTGAAAATCATTACCGTCCTTTTACCGTTCCCACTGTTTGCTACACTGGCCATTTACGAACATCTGCACCGATCCATCGATCGTGATTTCCTGCGTAAATCCAAGTCAGAAATGCGCCAGTGGTCCAACCTGCTCGACTACACCATGTTGCCTGTGGCCGCCTGGCTCTTCATGACATTGCCGTCCACTCTGGCCTGCGTCAAACGGCTGCGCAAGAAGGAAGAAGAATACATTGTGTCCGAAAAGTTCTTTCAAGATGATGAAGGATTGTCACTGCCAAAGTAGAAAAAAGAAAAGACAGAAAAATGATACCTTTTAATCCTCTCTTTAGACTTTAATCTCATTTAATAGTTTCTTTTGGTTTGTTTTTTTGTTTTGTTCCCCCACCTACCACTTACTATTCATAATAATCCTTTTTTTTATTTTAATTTTTTACGTCCCTCCCTTTTGTAACAATTACGGCTAGAATAAATTCAAAGTGCATAAATAACAAAAACAAACATGGAACTTGCTTCTTTTTTTTTCCATCCTCATAAAGAGAGCAGAGCAATCAAACTAATGCAATTTTTATTATGAATTTTAGAATCCGTCGAAGGTAAAGAACAACTAGAGCCAGTGGGGAAGAAAAAGCCATGTTTTTTTAAAAGTAAAACATGCAATTTACTGGTAAAAAGAAAAAAAGAGAAAAATTAGTGTATGATTCTTTAATGATCCTCATGGCATGCTCAACAGCGCGGTTCCATCAACTTACCAACTTCTGCTCCTTAAGACCATCCTTGAAGAAGGTGAAGTAAGGGGTGACACCATCTTCACGGTAGTTCAACAAGGCAACCATGGCATCGGGATCCATGGATTCACCGGTGTAGAATTCGTAATCCTAGAAAATTATACAAAAAATAAGTTAGCACTCTGTTCCAGAGTTTCGATGAGTGCTGCAAGATTAGTATTTACCTTGAAGTTAGCCAAGAGCTTCTTGACAAAGCTGCTGGCCTTGGCTTCGAAGATGGGGATACGTTCAGGGTTGGTTTCGGCCAACTTAGCCTTGATAGCCTTCATGTAGCCCTTGATGTAGACCATGTAGGACTTCTTGTCGAAGGAGGTCTCAGTGAGACGGAAAGAGTAGACGACGTTGTTCACGGTCTGGGTGGTGGACTCAACACCTTCATCACCACCTTCAGCGGAGGGGTTGGCACCAATATCGACATCACCTTCACTGATGTTGATCATTTGGCAGTCGACTTCATAAGCGATGTCATCGATTTCCTTGATGGGATAAGCATCAGAGAAGAGTTCGTCACCGTTGAGGATATCTTGGTACAAAAGCATGGTGGATGGATAGACGGATGGATCCTTGTTTGGATGGATGAATGGAAGGAAAGAACCACATCGATCATGAGAATCGTTATATTTCTTTCCATAGTTTTCATACTCCGCATAATGGAACATGGCCGACCAATGATAATCCATTCTTCACTTCTATTTTTAAATCCCCACGTTTCCTTGATTTCTACGCTTTTTTTTTTCCAAATCTATGGCCGACGTAGCTGGATTCATTCAGATACAAAGATTGCTTTAACTGAGCGTAGAAAGCATGAATGATAAAGAATAGACTTGCTTTATAGTTAGTTTGAAAATAAAAAAGCGAAAAAAAGGTCCAGCGTGCGGAGTCAGTGGAGAAAAGCTCACCATTTTTGTAGTTCCGCACTAAAGAGATGAACCATTCCATTGCTCCTCTTAGTTTATTGCGCCTTTTTTTGTTTTTTCATCCTTTTTTCATTTTACTACTTTTTGGCTCCTTCCAATATGATAACGCTACCGAGGGTTAAGGCTTGTAGCCTTATTCTTCTGGCAGTCTATGCTACTTTGGCTAAGGCTTTCTATCTACCTGGCGTGGCTCCCAACGATTACGCAGAAGGCGATAATGTACCATTGCTTGTCAACGCGTTAACGCCCATGTCCAACCAAATGGTCAAGTCCGTCATTGCTTATGATTACTATCTTCCTGCATTTCACTTTTGTCGTCCCTCTGAAGGTCCCGAAAAACAACCAGAGAGCTTGGGCAGCATTTTGTTTGGCGATCGTATTTTCAACTCGCCTTTCCAGGTACCTTTTTTGGTTGAGGCGAGATGATGATTGGCGATGGGGAAAGAGGATTTATGACAAACACCTTGGCATCTGCAAATATATAATGACCAGGAATTGTCATGATGGCTCTGTTTTTTGTTCAATTTCAAACTAATCACGGGCTTGGTCTTTTTACAGTTGTCCATGAAGAAAGATCGTCACTGTCAGCTTTTATGTGAAACAGATGCCATTCCCAAGCCCGATGCTGAATTTATTACGCAAACCATTGCTGATGGATACGCCATCAACTGGGTTATTGACGGTTTGCCTGCGGCTACCGAAAAGGCTATTGAAAATAATGACGAGCAGAATACTCAAGAACACTATTACAACATCGGTTTCAACCTCGGTTACACCGCCAACAATGTCGCTTACTTGAATAACCATTATAATATCGTCGTCTATTATAATGTTCGTCCTGACAACGCTTACCGAGTGGTTGGTGTCGTGGTGTACCCTGCTAGCAAGAACTTTAAACGTAAAACCGACGGTTCGGTCGATTGTGATCCCAACGCTCTGGCTTTCCAACTCAAGGGCGATGGTTCCGATAAGGTTCTCTATACCTATGATGTCACATGGAAGGTAAGCTTTAAGATCAACGCGTCACGAAATTTCTTGTCCAAATGGGATGGTGTAAAGTGTGTTGACGTTGGCGTGTATTGATGTGGGATTTATTTTGGCGTAGGAATCAACGACCGAATGGGCCACACGTTGGGATAGTTATCTCTACATCCAAGATCCTTCCATTCATTGGTTCTCTCTCATCAACTCCATTGTCATTGTCTTGTTCTTGACCGGTATGGTCGCCATGATTCTCCTTCGTGCACTTCACAAGGATATCTCGCGCTACAATGCTGTTGAAGTTCAGGTAAAAAAAAAAAAAAAAAAGACTCGTCATTCCCCATTGCAGATCATTGATCTTTTTTATATTCGGTGTCCATAGGAAGATGTTCAAGAGGATTATGGTTGGAAATTGGTTCACGGCGATGTCTTCCGTCCACCTACCCGTCCTATGCTCTTGTCCGTGCTAGTCGGTGGTGGTTCTCAACTGGTGGCGATTGCTGCTTTGACCCTTGGTAAACTTACAATTAATTTAAGTGCTAATTGGGAGTTATTGACGTGATTTGGTCGCTCTTTAGTGTTTGCTGTTCTTGGTTTCTTGTCCCCTTCGAACCGTGGCTCCTTGGCAACAGTGATGGTCATCTTCTTTATGGTGTTTAGCTGCATTTCCGGTTTCGTGTCTGCGCGCATTTACAAGATGAACGGAGGTGAGGCATGGAAGACCAACGTCGTTATGAACGCCACTTTATTCCCTGGGTACGTATCAACAAACCACGTCAAGGTGTTCCCAAAAAGATGAATCAGCGACTCATTTAAATAATCCTGCTGCTTTGGATAGTGTGATTTTGGGCTCATTGATTGGTTTGAACTTCTTCTTGATTGCTTCCGACTCATCGGGAGCGGTGCCTTTTGGTACTATGTTGGCTTTGATCGGTCTTTGGGGTATCATTGCTTTGCCTTTGAGTGTGGCCGGTTCGTACTTTGGTTTCCGTAAGCCGAGAATTGAGCATCCTGTGCGCACCAACCAAATTCCACGTCAGATTCCCGATCAGCCTTTCTATCTTCGCAGCATTCCTTCCATTTTGATGGGCGGTATCTTGCCTTTTGGTGCCATCTTTATTGAGCTCTACTTTACCATGAACAGCATTTGGTTCCATCGCATTTACTACGGCATTGGTTTCCTTTTCCTTGTGTTTGTCGTCTTGATGCTCACTTGTTCTCAAGTCACTATTCTGATGTGCTACTTCCATCTTTGCAACGAAGATTATCATTGGTCATGGCGCGCTTTCCTCACTGCCGGTGCCACCGGTCTCTACGTCTACCTGTACTCCTTGTTATACTACTTTACCAAATTGGATATCAACAGCTTCACCAGCACTGTGCTGTATCTCGGCTACTCGGCCCTCATCAGTCTGTTGGTCACCATTTTGACAGGTAAATTCTTTATTAAATAGTCATGGGCTTGTGTGATTATCAACTTTTTAACACATGTTTTCTTCTGTTTCCTAGGTGCTGTTGGTTATCTTGCTTGCTTGATCTTCCTTCGCAAAATCTTTGCCAGCATCAAGGTAGATTAGATTTTTTACTTTTCTTACGTATTGTATTCCCCGGAACTTCGGCAAATGAGTATTGCCGAAATAAAATAAAAAAATCACCAAATATGAAGCTGGTCCCCATTATTTGACGAGTTTTTATCACAACTTTTGCTTTTTGCTATTGCTATACCATGACAAACAAAGACATTTCGCTCATTGTGCTGCAACATGGCCTTTGGGGGAATCATGACCATATGAAATTTCTCGAAAAACAGATCCGACATGCTTACAAGGACAAGGATCACTTGAGCATCGTAAGCATGCGCTTCTTCATTACCTAGAAACACCCTGAAACGTGGTCTGACTTTGCCCATTTGTTTCAGCTCAATAGTGATGTGAATGAGTCAAAATATACCTATGACGGTATCGACATTTGCGGTAGACGATTGGTCATCAAGGTGCGTTGTGGACATTGTGCTATTAGAGATCATGCATAAAAAACTGACGCGATGCGCCGTCATCTTTCCCCACTACTGAAGATTCATGAGCATATCGATGAATTGAAGAGCAAAGGCTTACGGGTCACCAAAGTGGGCATGGTGGGATATTCAATGGGAGGTCTCATTCTACGATTTGCCATTGGCCTTCTTGGCAAGGAAGGGTTCTTTCGCACCGTGGAGCCTGTGGTAAGTTCAATCAGTTCGTATGCATCACTGTTTTGGTCTTGGCGTTTCTTATGCATGGCTACAGTTTTTTGTGACCTTTGCGACACCGCATCTCGGTTCTCGTCTTCCTGCTGGATCATTATTTGACAGACTGTTCAACTTTATCTGTGGATCGATGGTCTCCCGGTCAGGCGACCAGTTGCAACTTGTGGATACGTACGAAGACCAACAACCTCTGCTTAGCATCCTGGCCGATCCGGGTAAGCCCAAATTACGTCAAGCCGAAAACTTGGCTGCGGTCATGCATTGCTGATAAAATTTGCTTGAAAATAGAACGAGAATTTCATAAAACGCTGGCTTTATTCAAAGCCCGACGCACTTACGCCAATGTGGATAACGATCGCACTGTGCCTTACTGGACAGCCGCCTTGTCCGATATCAACTATTTCGAAAGCATGGACGACCTGGAAATGTAAGCTGAAAACAACTTGCTGATCCTATCTAAGCATGCTCATCCATTTTTGTCGTTGCTTTAGCTCTCTTGATAATGCCTACCCTTCGGTGGTTACTGCCTTTGATCGGCGCGATCCCACAATGTTCAAAAAGACAGGTGCCCGTTTCAGATGGAATACTGTGCTCAAGATTGTCTTTTATATTTTGTCACCTGTTCTAGTCATATTATTTATATTATTGGTGTTATCCTACATTGGCTACCAAGGCATGATCTCACGGTATCGGGTAGCTCGAATTCTCGCTGCTCAGAAGAAAGATGCTTCCACTCCCTTGTTACAGACACACGTAAAACAGAAAAAGGACTATCGACGACGCTCCTCTGGATTTTCAGACGAAGCTGACCGCATGATGGAAGGCAACGTGCTGGCTGATGCCCTGGATGCCGTCAACTTGCCTGACCGAAATGATGATCATAACGTGCATCACACTTCAAATCATCCTGCAGGTGCATAGAAACATGATATAAAAACAAAGACACCACAAAATCCGCGTAACTAACACAATGATAATTGATGTCAATAGGCAGAGACTTTACAGAAGTATTATCGTCGACATGCAATGTGTGTCCATCAAAATCCCTGGCGAGCATGTTACATCCGTTGGAACTCCATCCTTTTCAGCTCAAAATACAGGAACAATTAAGACTGTTACAGTGGGATACCATCCTTGTCTATATCCGAGCGTTCAACGCTCACGGCAGCATTGTTTGCCGGCAGAAACGATTCGAAAATGCCGATGGCCGAGCCGTGATTCAACATTTTGTAGATAGTATAGATTTATAAGAAAATACAATTCCCATTTTTGAATGTTTAAAAAAATCGACCGGGGACAATCGGGAGACTAGACGACAACCCACCATCCACAGCAATGGCTTGACCATTCAAATACGAAGCTTCATCACTGGCCAAAAAGGCAATTACATTGGCAATCTGAAAAAAAAAGAAACGAAAACAGATAAGCATTCTTGGTCCTTTTTTTCGTCTGTACTGTTCTTCCATCGGCGGCGTGATAGACTTATTACCTCAATAGCCACACCATAACGCTTGGTAGGGTTCAATTGACCAATTTTATGCGCGGTGCCTTTGTTGCGTGCATAATCAAAGGTCATTTTCGTCATGCCAGTCTCGATCAAACCCTGACAGAAAAAAGAGAGAAATCAAGCTGTCAGTCAATTGATCCTACATGACGTGAGCAAGGTTATTTACCGGACAAATGGCATTTACGCGAATGTCTGTACCAGCGAATTGGCAAGCACCCACTTGGCATAAATTGATGACACTATATAGTGATCAATTAGTAACGTGACAGAATTTTCATGTGTCCACTGGTGATGGGCGACTTACGCTGCCTTGGAAGCGGAATATTCAGGTGAACCAGCACCTGAGCGGATACCAGCCACTGATACCTGATATCAGTACGACCCTTTCGAGATTCCTATTAAGTTACGTACCAGAGGCAGTAGCAATGATCGATCCGGCCGATCGGTCCTTTCCACCTTTTCCCGTCACTTGCATAGCTGCTCCGGCGATTTTAAGCGCCAAAAACGCGCTGTATGGAATAAGAAAATTTAAATGATTGGACATCCACGAACGGTCTGTACAACACTCACCTCAGAGCATTAATGCGCATCATCCGCATGAATGATTCCTCATCCTCATCCTGCAAGCGCGATCCTGAAGCTACACCTGCATTGGCTACAAACACATCCAAGCGACCAAAAATTTGCATGGCCTCATCCACGATGGCCTGAACAGCCGAGGTCGAGGCGGCATCCACGGCACGGGCGATGCATTGAACCCCGGGGTATTTTGATGTGATATCTTTAGCTAGTTCATCCAAGTTATCCAGAGTCAGGTCCGTCACATAAATCACTTTGGGGAGTCGTTTGGCGAGTGTGTAAGCCGTGGCACGACTAGCAGTGGGGAACAAGGGGCAGATCGAGTTTGCGTTAGAGAATTATGCTAGAAGCAATTCCGTGGTTTGGTCATGTTACCCGATTCCGAACAATGAACTCGCCCCAGTGACAATGCACACTTTATCGGTAAGCAATGCACCTTGCTTATTCAAATGAGCAACAAGTTGAGCGACACGATCGGTAGCAGTGGAAGACATGGCGAATAAAGGCCAAAATGAAATTCAGCCAAAACCTCGCTTTTCACTAAAATGCAGTTTATCTCTTTAGTCAGCCAATTGCCTCTTTTGGACCATCATGTGCATTTTAAACAAGCGCCCTGTTTCTCCACTCAAGTTGGACATTGTTCAAGGCATCATATAGGATTCCATGCGGGCCTAGTCCCTTGGCCAACTACAAGTCCTCTTGAAAAAACATCTTCGAAACCATCGCACTGCGCAGCGATTTTTGTAAGAAAGCATTGATGTCGATATACACTGATTTTGATACTTGGTAATATTTTTTCCACGGTCCTGAGAATGGCAATTTGGCTGACTGGCAAAAATGGGGAATTGGCCACCAATACCTCCTTCGTATGCTTTGACGGAGTCGTTGAAAAACGAGCAATCAAGCGTACCGTCAACAGTATGCCTCGCCTGTTAATCGTATAAAGGAAGAAACAAAGATCCGTGTATTAAACCTGAACTCATTTTCGATGATGGTTCAGAAAAAAAGATGGTTTAGTGAAAATGGTACAAATTATACAGAGAGGTGCTGCTTCATCACGTCAGCTTTGTATAACTAGGGGGAGCATAGCGACGCTTGATGATTTTCGCAATATACAATGGGAAACTGCTCACAGCCGTGATGACAGCCACTTTCCAGATGAATCTCCCAGTCAAAATAAATGACATATCTGTGTCAATCGATGAGTCACCAATCTCTACATGACAATGCCGCGCTTTCATCAAACTTACCAAAATACGTGGGCAAGAGCCACATCGAACCAATATATATGAGCATCGTGACTATCTCGGAAATAATCATGATTCGATGCCTACAAAAGGTGTCAATATTGCTGCGGTTGAAAAGAAAAAAAGGGAATTTTGTGTTTTTACCAGGTATTAATTTCAAGTGCCACCATCAACAGTTCATTGAAAATTAAAGCCGTGAATGAAATAGATACAATATGGATGAATTCATCTTCAAATAGAAGAATAGACAGCACCATGATAGCACCACCTGACAAAATCCACGCAGTCAGTATATGCCAATATATGTTATCTCCCATTCTTCGCATTACCTTGATAAACACTGATCAGCAGCCATGTGAAGAAGGTTCGGTAAGAAAGTGATCGTCCCTGGATAGCCACACTATATTTTAGCAACAATTCTACACATTTTTCTAGTAAGTCAAATTTACCTTTGTCAGGTCTTTATACAATTCTGGATATAAAAGGGCAATATTTTCATTCACATCTTGATCCAAAACGAGAGAAAAGACGGGAGCCATGGTGTAAATGGTCGCATAGCTACAAACCGAATCGAGTGAGTAAGGTACCCTCCATCATCTTTTTTTCTGTTTTTTCAACCATCACTTACCCTACAATGAGCATGCCCTGGTAAAGAGCAATGGGAGCAAAGTAGAACAAGGCTGAAAATACCGCTTGCATCACCGAAATAATCAGACCGCGATGAATCACAAATTGGGAAAGTTTGGCCGATCGCTTATAGCTGTTTCTTCCGTGCCACACTGGAAAAATTCCATTTAAGCTTTTCCAGTCATACGTAACGGCATAGACAACGATGCAACAGAGACTTACATAGTAATTTCGTAAGATGGCTAAATTGAGTCACTGAAAAATCGGCAGCCAAGGATGCTTGTCGCCCCTCTTTGCCAACAATACCGACACCTGCATCATAATATTATTGATCCGGATATTCTTTCCTCGGAAAAAATTCCAACACACTTACCAACATCAGCGGCTTGAATCATACTCACATCATTACCACCGTCACCGATACATAGGACCCGCTTCTTTGTATGGTGCTTAATCAATCGGGTGATATCCGCCTACGATCATGGATAAACCGAAACGTCAACATCGTGAGATCCATAAGGCGAGGTGAATCTTACCTTTTGCGTTGGCGAACAGCGACAGCATACGACCACTGGTAATCGTGTGGTGACGTCGATGAATTCATCCATGCAGTAATCCATGCATACCTGTTCATACAGACGGTCAAGTTTTGTTCAATATATTTTTTCTTTTTGGGTCTGCATGATATCTTACTTGAAGCGATTCTCCGTCAATCACAAGAGCGCAATCCGTTTTGGATTGCAAATTATCCATTTCATCCAAAGCTTCCATGGCAGTTCGTACTAGGCAGACGGCGATGGCGTTAGGATGATGATAACCGACAGACTAGTTAGTAATAGACCTACATTTGGAAACTTGATGGATCATTTGGTTACGAGACACGAGTTTCGAGGAAACAGCAATACAAGTGGCGGTTTCAATTTTGTCGCCTACAAAAAGACATATTTCCCTTATTATTCACTTTTTTTTCTCGCGAAGCTAAAACGCAACTCATTCGAGGTTACCTGTAAGCATCCATATCTTTAATCCCGCATTCCGCATTGTTTCCAGTGTATTCTTGACCCCATCCTGTAACTTGTCTTCTACACCTGTCAAACCGAGCAGTTCCAGATCGGTCTCCAAAACTGTTTCAATGACAGTCTGTTTGAGAGCATTACGATCGTGAATCGAAATTTCAGCTTCATGGAATCTGTACAATATCAACCGTGAATAAACCTTCCGACATAAAGATACGTATCAACCGAGCGGGTACCTCGCTTTGAAACTCTCATAAGCTTCATCCGATAATCGTTTTCGCGCAACCACAAGCGTACGTAAGCCTTCGCGTGCCATATTTCCACATTCTTCATCCAGCCTATCAAAGCCATCCTCTTGGTGTTAAAACGACGTTGTCATTTGTCAATGAAACACGACAGAAACAATATAAAAAAACCTACCAATCGTTGTATTGGACAATACGGGTCATGACTGCATCGGCACCTTTTTCGTAAAAGGTGATTTCGCCCGATTGACACTCACGCACAATGATTCCCATACGTTTTGTTTCGCTGGTGAATGGAAAGATGTTTAAAATATCGAAATCCAGCAGTTCACCCGTCGAGTTCACTCGCAGTTGGATCTTTGCAATATCGCGCGCCACCAGCGCCATGCCCATATGCTCGGTCCATTTGACGATCGCTACTTCATCGGGACTTGATGCCTGGTACGTAATACTGCCATCTTCCATCACCACTGGTGTAACCTGGTATCATTTTTTCCCATCAGCGTGTTAAACAAAGGTACGGTGGTCACACTTGGTTTCCTCCGGTGGGTTACTTACGTTGTGACATAACGCCAATGCTTGCACGATATCCCTGACACGAGATGAAATATTACGACGGCCTTTACCAGTCAGCCCCATGATCCCGCTCCCGGTTGGGATGAGTGTATTGGCACCGGCATCATGATGACCAAAAGCAGTTGCCAAGTGGGTTTGAATTTCATCCATTGTATCCAAGCTGTAAGACATGGTTCCCATGTGAAGTTTCTTCAATTCCATATCTAACGGCACGATGTTAATGTTTGGACTCTGGGGCTTTGAAAAATAATAGACAGTGCTCATCGTACCGTTTTTCGTGAGTGTGCCTGTTTTATCCGACAGCAAATATTCGATGCGTCCCAACTCTTCCGGCAACGTACTGGTACGCACAATGGTACCCTGGATCTCGTCATCATTTTCAATTTGACGAGCGTACACCGTTTTACCCATATCAAGATTAACACGTAAACTGCCAAAAACAAAAAGTCAGCCTTGCCGCACGCTTCGCCATCACAAACTAACCGAGATTTTACCTGATCGGGATAATGGAAGAAAACAAAATCAAGAATCGGAATACATAGATGTACCAGAGCCCATGGAATCCATTCAGACCAACCATAATAATGGATATACCAAGCGTGACGAGGAACAAGATCTATGCGGCGCGATGATTTTTAGTCATCGACATTGCTGCAATTACCCATTCCCCTTTTTTTTTATCTTGTCTTACCTTGGCGAGTCGGTTTACTTCGCGATCGAGTAAACCTACTTTTGTCTCGGGATGATTGGTGTTCATGACGGCTCGCGTATCTCTGCCCGTGTAAACGACGAATCCAATAGCGGAGCCAGAGGCTAGCACAGTGTTTGTCCACATGGTGTTCTCAACCCCCAGTGGTTCCACTTGTTCCAAACCCGTATCCTCGTCAATGTGGGTAAATGTGCCGACAAAATTGTGAATATCCTTGTGCGGTGCATCAGCTGTTACATTGGCATCAATAGATTGCTATCATCTGCGAATTCACTATTTCATTTACCATAAATGCTCCCTTGCTGGTGCATTAATTCATTGTCGGAAGACAGTCGTTGCAGGGACGGTACAGCAAGTCGTAATTTCCAATCTGTCTCACCATCCAGTTGATCGGTACGAATAAAGCACGCTCCATTTTCTTCAGTAGTCCGCAGCAAAACCATATCTGCTGGAATCTAAACGAAGCCGGCGTTAATTCCTGTTGACACATATGGAATCGAATTTTTGTCCATGGTGAATGCTTTACTCGTTGATCTTTTTGAATCAAAATCATATCACCGACTCGGATCTTGGAACTGGGGATATTGCGTGTGCCGGAAGAGGTTAGACATTGGTACTGCTGTGAGTTGGCTTCTTTGTCGCGTTTGTATCGTTGGTAATCGTCCATTGCTTCTTTACTAATGGTCACGAGCAAGACAAAACATAAGGGACCAAAGTAGGTGACGATATAGCCTTTTTTTTGATTTCCATGTTCATTAATACGAGCGTGTCGGGAAGTCACTTGATTTGTATCAGCCATTACCGATTTTAAGCGCTGGGACAAATTGGGACAAGGCGACAAGGAGGAAATAAAGGTTGAAAAAAACGACAAACTAAAAGAAAAAGAGAGAGACGGGAACATAAAAACCAATGAGCCAAAAGGATGCGCGAGCATTCAACCAACTGTATATGCCAAGAAAGAGGTTTTTTACCTGTTCGTAAAGCACCATTGGTATAAATGTAATGAAGTTGTACTTTTGGTTGATAATGATATTAGGTGCAAACTTTTTCTTTTGTTTGTCTGTAAGAGGGCATGTAAGTAGGTGAAAAGAAAACGCACACTAATAATCCATGGGCTTACCGTCGCATTGAAATGGCACCGTTCTTGGTTTCAATTTGCGTGCAGGCCGCCAAGACAGTGAAGGCAACTTCCATCGAGAAGGTTTGGTTGGTTGTATTCGTTCTCGACGGGATAATGCCGGTGAGGAGGAGGATCCTTGAAGCTGCGAAGCATTAGACACACTGTGTTGTTGGTGGGGTGAAGAGAAAGTAAATTGCTTACCGCTGCTTCTTCGTCAATGAGCGGATCTTCATCGCTGTGTATTGAGTCGGACGTCCTAAACTTTCGGCTGTTGTTGCGACTTGAAAAAGGCATGAGTCTTTGAAGGGCTATTGGCCGAGAATCTCTCCGCATAGCTTTTTTCACTCTAGGCCCGTCGAAGAAGTTCCGTAGCAAAGGCTGGGTCTATTTCCTGCCGCTTATCCCTACCGCCGTCCAAAATTTTCCCTTTTTGCAAGCTCGGCATTAAAAATCACGCGTCACACTCATCCGCGGGGAAGCAAGCGACCGCATTGTATAGACATTTTCTCTTCAATCATATTTCAACATATCAACCATACACAAGTAGAGACTTTGTAAGTGAGGACTCGCTACCTTACTCACGCTTCGATGGGTATGTGCGTTCTCTAGGCGTATTCATGGTATTTTATGTATGATATCACGTTTACGGATACGATATACATTGGTCTAAGTATTCGTTTAGGAATCAGAATCAACAAAGAAAAGCTAGATGTTGCATTCAAAAAGTAAGTTGTTTGCGTTTCCAAATATAGTCCCAGCTGATTTGAATAGTAATATTACAAAATGTGATTCGTCCGTATAACATTATCCGCTGCGCTATATGTCAGTCATCCTAGATGAATAAATGCGGCACATTTTAAAGCCATGGTCCTCCTCAAACAAAAAAAGTTTATCATCGTATGTTCCCTTTTCCCAGCGTAAGTAATAAGATCATGTAAAGTAACTATACACGAGGACAGCAGATACTTGGCTTTTCAACAAGCTGTTTTATATTTACTTATTATTTATGACATGCCATGATTCCATAAAGTGGAAGAGAAAATTATCTTTTATTTCCATTGAATATATACTGACACTCGCAGTTCAGATTTCCACATTGACCGCAGCGTATCTTACAATGGTGCGGTCATTTATTCACCGTCTGAAAAAAAGAGACAACACACCTTGGATCCATAAACGCAACCCATGCCGAAATTGCCGCAATATGGAGGACAATCCCGGGCTGCTTTTTGATCGCTGGCGTAGCAAATGGGTTCTTGACCGTTAGGGCAGACAGGATTCGCCGGACATTCCGAGCACCGTCGCCATACTATTCGGCATTACACATGGTGTAAAGACCAAGCCAAAGAAAGGCCAAAATCGTCAGTTGTTGATGCATAACGTTCAAGATTTGGGGACGATTTTTGCTTTTCTTTCATATCCAATATGCCCATTTTATATGCTCTTAAATAAGGCTGTTAATAACCCAGTATTAACCGTGATTATGCAAAGGGGTCTGAATAAAGCATGATAACAATATTTTGATGCACGGAAAGCCTATTGCACCGCACCTGATACACGTTAGCCAACTGCAAGCACAGATAGTAAACCTTTATACTCTAATGACATCCCTAATTGTTAACGGAGTTAAAGTATTCCAAGTGTTGTCCACTGTTGTTGACTATATACTTTGCGTTGTAAATGATTATAAGAAAGATTAAGCAATTCAATTATGTCAGAGTCATCTTTATCTTGCACTTAGTCGTTCACAGCACCCTTAGATATGGCGTGTAACCTCTTGAAAACATGGATAGTGTCAATAGTTCGACATGCTTATAATATGAACGTCCAAGTATGGTTGCAAAAATGCAGTGCGCAATCATCTTATAATTGTATACGGTATCCAATATGGCATTTACTGAGCTGCGTGAGCGTAATAGTTTGGCACATGTGTTATACACTTTTAAATTGAACTTTAGCCAACTGATCAGCGTAGATTCTCTTATTGATCCAGCTTTAAAACACTATAAACTATGCGCACGGACACATTTTGCCGCAACCTCCTAGAGGAAGTCTCGGCCAAATCATAATAAGCCGAAAGTGACGGAAAGGAAAAAATGCCAATTGCCGAATCACATCCCTTGACATCAGAAGTTCATTTCAACTCGGTTGAAGGTGGTTTCCGCTTGTCATCTATGATCATTGCGACGCAAAGTATAGAGTCAACAACAGTGGGCAACTGTAGAATAATTTAATCCTGTGAATAATAAAAAGACATGGAAGCATAAACGTTTGCTATTTATGCTTGCATTACTACCTGCATCATGTGTGTTCCCATAGATTTGCCGAGGATCAAGACATTGTCGTTGCTTTTATGTAGAACATCTTTGCATAATATCGGTCAATGCCCGGTTAAGAACAATGGTTATATAAGAGCGTATCCACAGGACATAGTGAATATCAAAGAAAAAGAAAAAACGCTCCCAAATCTTGAACATTATGCATAAACAAGTGACGATTTCGGTCCTCCTATGGCTTGGTGTTTATACCATGTGTAATGCCGAGTGGTATGGCGACGATGCTCCGTTCTGTTCCTTTGATCCTACCTGTCCTGATGATCAAATGCCTGTTTGCTACGCATCCGATCAAGATGAAGCCCAGCTCTGTCCTCACGACTGCGGATATTTCGGCGACAGTTGCTTTTTTGGAACCAAGGTGTGCTGTCTCCCTTTTCCAGATCGTCAATAAATGATAGCATAACTGTAAATTACTCTGTGGTCAGTCTGGAAATAAGAATCGCGCGTGTATATTACGCATTCAATGGAAATAAAGATACGTTTCTCGTCCATTTTTTTCATGTCACAAATAATAAATAAATAAATCGCATCTGAAAAACCCAAATATCTGCTTTCCTCATGTCTCTTTTAAGTGTGACTTGTCAATGCATGCATTTTTTTGCATGTCTTTATCCTTTGGGGTTCTCACACTTTTATCTGATTAACTTAAAATATCCTTTTATCTTAACTACATTACCTCGCCTCTTTTTTACTCGATTTGGTAAAACTTTTTTTATCCAGATTCTTCAAATAAACTATACAATAACGCAAGAAGTGCAGAAGAGAACTGAACAACGTAAGCCAAAGGATGGCAATCCACCACTACATTCGTTGATAACGATGTGCACACATCAAAATGCGGATGCGGGTGTATACAGTGTATGTCTTTCGATTTGGATAGCAGAATGGAAAAAGCTCTAGCAAAGGTTCTCACAGCAACCTTTCTGCCAAATTTGGATGTGTGATTGGATAGCAAATGTTTGCATTTCGATCATTCTCGATAATGCGTTTAGTGTCTTCAAGGGTGTAACTGAAGCTGAGAACGGAAAAATGCTCGCCAATTCATGTGCAGCCAACGTTAACCGAACTTTGTCACACCGTCCGTCATGCCTATAGTGTTTGGGTTTGGCATGGTGACATCTCTTCACAGTGCACAAGTCCACTTCATCTATACTTCCTATTATTTCGGTCCATATGCAATAACAAGCAGTGACGCCATTAGTTTCTAATGTGTAGCTCACTGTTGATTTACAGGCACGTCAAATCCAATAAAGCGCCCATGGTAATATGTTGATTGGAAAAAACTCCTTATCATCGCTTTATTCTGAAAAGTCTTTGTACTGCTCAGCGAGTGACGCACGCCTTTTAATATAAGCCTTCGGAAACTATTGACTTGCGTCTTGGGATCTGAACGGAACGCCTGGGTAGCAGAACATCACGTGATATTTATTTTGGGAAGCATTTTGATGCTCCGTCCATAATAAAAAACCTTTCAAAACGTTTTGCCGTTACTTTTCTCTTCCTCATTTATCAATTAGTCATGGCAAGCTATCAGTCAGTGCTGCAAGGCGGTTACCATACACCATTGAGTCGTTCGTGGCAATGTGAACGTTCTTTGAAGAAGGAAATGCTCATGTACCCTATTTTCATTACGGACAAACCGGACGACTTTGACCCGATTCCTTCGTTACCCGAACAGTACCGTATTGGTATCAACAAACTTCAAGGTTTTATTGAGCCTTTGTACAAAAAGGGGCTTCGCTCCGTGATTCTGTTTGGTGTGCCGCTGCAACCGGATGTGAAGGATCCGACGGGTTCTCGCGCTGAGGATACCGATAGTCCGACAATTCTCGCTGTCCGTTTGTTGCGATCCGCGTTCCCGGATTTGTTTGTCGCTTGCGATGTGTGCTTGTGTGAATACACTTCGCATGGTCACTGTGGTGTGTTGCGTGAAGACGGTACGCTGGACAATGCGGCTTCCATTCAACGTATGGCAGATATTTCCGTCGCATACGCCAAGGCCGGTGCTCACTGTGTGGCTCCGTCGGATATGATGGACGGTCGTATCAAGGCGATCAAGGAAGGTTTGATCGAAGCTGGATATGCGCACAAGGTCATGCTCATGTCTTATTCTGCCAAGTTTGCTGGTCCTTTCTACGGTCCTTTCCGTGACGCCGCCGGTTCCGCTCCCGCTTTTGGCGATCGTCGTTGTTACCAATTACCGTCCAATGCCCGTGGACTGGCCCGTCGTGCGATTAAGCGTGACATGGCCGAAGGCGCAGATTGTATCATGGTCAAGCCCGGTATGCCCTACTTGGATATTGTCCGTGAAGCGGCTGAATTGGCCTCGGATTATCCTATTGCCGTGTATCAAGTGTCGGGTGAATATGCCATGCTTTACCACAGTGCCGCAGCGGGTGTATTTGACCTGAAGAGTGCGGTGTTGGAATCCATGACCAGTTTCTTGAGAGCAGGTGCAGGCATCGTGCTGACATACTATACCCCGCATTTGTTGGATTGGCTGGACGAAACTCAATAGCCGCAGAGATCTATCTACAATAGCACAAAAAATGTAGTGTACGAAGAACCAACTTGACTGTTTGAAGCCAGCGTTGAGATTTCTTTGTCAGCAATGATTTTTTTAATCTCCTTTTATTTTTATATTTCTTAACTAGTCTTGGGCGTTTTGGCCCACTGTTAATCCACTCAAGCTGAGTGGGACCATAGGCGTATCGCTTCGGATAGCCTCAATAGTGTTTGTATCGTTATTCTTTTTGAATAACACGTTGTCATTGCTTTCAGGTCGCGGATCGAATTGCGGCAAAGTGACGTTATCTTGTGAAAGCAGTCTGACCGCACCTGCCAAACCAATGGCGAAAGCAGCTTGCTGATCACGATTCCGTGTCGCGTAACCTCTGCGCACGCCAGGCCAGTTTGGATTGATGCATCGGACTGCACCAAAATCTTGCTTCATTTTTCCATCCGAGAATCTTCGTTTCGCTTACTCTGTTTGTTGGAAACAGAATACACAAATCTTCGATGAGCAAAACTCATTTGTTATAGCGACTGTCGTATTTCTTGAGTGTTCTGTCCGCATCTTCTTCCCCTCTCTTCGTGCATGGCCTCTGATGCGAGAGCCCACACCGGTTCCAGCGTTTCCAATGCACATCACTAAGTTCGTTGGAACATTTCGATCGGTCATTTGCGCCCGTTCGCTTGACGCACGCTCGCTTTGTACGCAATGACTGCGTATATGCTATTTTCTTTGACTTGCGATTATGATAAAAATTACGCAATGTGTCGCTTGCATCTTCTTGTAACTGCAACAATGACAGTGTGAGTTTAGTATATCCACTTGGTTCAAGAAAAATCTGCATACTTTGAAACTATGCAATGCTTGTTCCTGCGTCCAAGCGTGCGAAATTGGGTTACGGCTCAACATTTCTTCAGTGCTTTTGATCGAAGGAGTCATCTATTTTCCAGTCAGTCAGCCATTCTCTAGATGTGAATAAAACAATACCTTTTTTAATTTTTCACGTCGTCTTCGATGTCTTCTTGCAAATGATATTTCTTCGATGTTCTTGGCACGGATTTTAACCGGTTTCGGAAGTAACAGCTCAGAATCAGAAAGGGAGTTTTCTGCTTCGACATAGGCGCAAGTTTCAAGACAAGCATATCTGTTGTATAAGCGTAAATGCCTGCTGATGGTCGGCACGCTTAGAGGCACTGTCACTGACATTGTTTGAATTCCAAAGTCCGTTCCCGATAAAGTGACAGCATGCTGTAATTGGGAGATGTCCAATCTTTTCGCCTCGTCCATGCATTGAGGAAATGCTGCTGCAGGCACTGTATCACGTCTTTCTTCCTCTGTATCTTTTTCTCGGTACAGCTATCAATACGGGTTGCATTAGTTCAATCAGCCGTTGATTCAATGTACAAATTAACGTACCTGGCCTTGCAGCAAATAACGTTCATTTTTTGCCTTGCGCAAACTTGTACGGCATGTCAAAAGCGCCTGATTTGCCCTCTGCATTGCAGCCTCTTTATCTTGCCAATTTCTGAAATTCAGGTCGGAACGGTCTTCATAGGATCGGCCTTTTGCCAGTTTCACCTCGTTTTGTAATGATTGCCTCAATTTCACGATCTCTTTTTGCCGTTTTTGCAAGCCATCAATAACATCAGTCAATGAATCGGTCTGATTTTTCATGTCGTCGTCTTGAACGGCCGGTTTAGCACTTGCTTTTTTTGCGTTCATGCCGTCTATCGTATTTCGACGTCATTTCGTACGTTCGACGATGAATCAGTGATCCTTGGAGGATCGCCATTTTGCCATTTGCTGAGATTCGGTGTTGGAACGTCAATCCATAGCTCACGCAGATGTCCTTGGCTTTTCCCAGATCAAATATTGCTGCAATAATGCCGACAGGATTTTTCCGCGCTTCGACCAAGGATGTGATGGGATTGTTGTTTCTTGAAACGAATTGATACATGCCAGAAAATGAACCGAAAAGCTCGTAGATACTTGTTTCGTCTAGGTGGAGTGTTTGTTCGGCGGATGGCGAGACCACAGGATGAACTAATTTGGTAATTTTGTCGTAACCCGCCAGACGAAAGATCGCATTACCGTCATGAATGGTAACAGGAGGGCCGGGTGCTTCTGCAATTTCCCGTACTTTGGGAAATAAGGGGCAAGTTGGTCAGAAATCAATGTAATACTCGGTATTCCTCGGTTGTCCATGAGATATTTCTAGGTGTGTGCTTTTGAATACGCGATTCAGTGCCAGTTTCTTCAGTGCTTGATTCCGTAATAAACTTCTTGACCACCGCTTTTAGAGCGTTCAAACCACGACAGCTCAGGTCCTTTAACAAAGTGTTAAATGCAAACTCTGAACTGGACTTCCCTTTTCGTGACTCACCTGATGGTCAACGAATGTAGTTTTATTGTTCTTCGGTTGACGGATATCTATCCCCTCCTCTTCCTCTAATCTTTCTTCTTCAACGTCTTCTTCCTCAATGAGCTCCAACAGATCTTCTTCATCGACATTTGGCACATCCGATATATACAGCGTTTCGATTTCCATCGGTGATATCGTGCATAGTCACCTCTCTGTCTGGCTCAGATTGTACATACAACTGGCGTAACCTGATCAGGAACTTTTCGCTATTCCGAGCTTGCGCTAAACTTTTCATTTCTTGCTTGATTCTCCATTTCAGCGCCTTCTTTGTTGCACGGGGGCATTTTCGTTTATCCTTTCTTTTACAAATCGTCGACTTTCTGAGTTTTTCCTGGTATGCTTTTTCGCGAACAGGAGCCAAGTGGATTCGTAATAAAGTGCGAACCACTCGATCCAAAATGTTTCCGGGTGCTGCGCGGGACCATAGAGTTTTGACTTTGGTCGAATATTCCTTGATTGCAGCATTGATCGTTTGAGAGCAGCCAGGCATATCCGAAAACGATTGCGTCATTTCTGGTAAACTCTTGCACCAATCGAACCTGAGGGAAGGAAAGTTACTTTATTCTTTTTTCGTTGTTGCGGAACTTATGAACCGCGAATATAAAAACTGTAAATGCCGCGACGATAGAAGATCATCATGCGCATCAAACTGCTTCTTGCTGCTACCGTCCTTGACTCTCGCATGCAGTCTATCTTGTAGCCCATCAGGTATCGGTAGAATCGGTTTCATTTTGAAAGTCCCGAGAAATTCGCTTTGCCATTGAAACGCTGACGGGAAAAGATGATGAAAATTGAATAAAGGTGGTGGTGTCTAGGTGTTGGCGGTTTGCTGTAATTCAAGCAAGTTGAGATAAGTAAGCGTTGATAGTTTGGAGATGATGCCGATAAGGTGAACTGAAAACTTGTTGATGCTTTGTAAAAAGTTATCGCGGTTAGGGAGATGGGAACGAATGACTCGTGGAAGTGGGACAGAGCAAGTACGAATAAGTTGTTTGGATTTTTTCGGATCCGTGACAGGATCGTCCGTCTGCTGATCTTCATTCTCGTTTGCTTCAATTTTACTGCGGATACTGTTGAAGGTATCGTCGAAATGATTCATGACATACTCGCGCCAAAGTGCCATGTAGTCCATCTTTTCTTTGATGAGCGTTCTTCTAAACTGCTCCCCTTTGAGGTCATCATTTCCTTTTCAGCAAGCGCCGTGCACTCTTTGTATACTCCACGGGTGAACTCCATTTCTAATAATTCGGCCTTAATATCCGCTGAAGATGTTTGCGCGTCGTCATCTTCATCGTCATTTTCTTCATCGTCCTTGCTGTCATCGTGCCAATCAAAATTGGTCATATCGGTTTGCACCTTGGCCTTTTTCTTGCCCTTATTTTTGGTTCGAGGTTTTTTTTTCGTTTCTTCTTGTTCTTCGTTTCGAGGGCATGCGTGACCCTGCCTTCAAGGTATGTTTCGAAAAATGTGGTCAGAGTTTCAAACAATATTTGGAGCTGAGGATGACTGCTGGCATTTTGTCTTTTCGGCTTGTTGTACTTCGCACTTGAGCCACCGGAAGATGACTGTGAGGTCCTGTTGTATGCACAGAAAGCATGGACGTTGTTTTTCTCAGACGATTTTGCTGCGGACCAAGAGGAATAAAGGTGCTTTCTCCTAGATATGTCGTTATTTAGCAGGTATACATGAAACATGGATATGTTTTTACAATACCTGTAAATGAACTGACGTTATGGAAAATTCTGATCCAGCAGTCTCCGTTGCCAAAGACGCGTGTGTGGGCACGACTGGAGAAAAGAAAAATTTTGACATTGAGCTGCAGAGATATGGAGAGCAACATGAGGTGCGGTTCGATGACTGGAACTAAGAAGGGTTCATCTTTTCTCGATGTATTATCGATGCTGTACAAGTGATGTTTGCGATCGTTCAGCAAGCGAGTCACATCCGAAGCGAGACTCGGGCTATGTTAAACCTTCTTGCCAAGATCCGCAGTGCGTTCTTTGTATTATCATTGGCTAAAGCTGTTACTTCTGTGGTCTCATATGCATTTCTGAGCTTCTGCTTCCATGTCGATTGATTCAGATGACGGGAAAAACAATCCGAAGGGGTAAGGGAATTTAAGTATGATGACCAGCTCCAATCGTAGTGAAATCAAGAGGTTAAATCCATCAAGAATAGAAAGAGAGCAAAGAATCATTTTTTTTTATTATGGATCACTTTTATTTGATGGATTCGGCAATTAAACCACGAAAATCCTGCATGTGACAGCCATGCTTTCCCATCATTCGTCTCAAGCGAATGGCTCGAAATTTTGTGGGATCAGAGCGTTGCTCACGCCAATGGAGCTTCAGTCGATAAGCCTCCAGACGTTGAAGACAGGTAACGTGCTGGATTTAATGAGTTCATGGAGTATTCTAGTAGCTGGAAAGGACACTCGTTTGAATTCCAGACGTTGATTGTTTCTTTCAAAGGTGCTTTTGGGCTGTTATGACGGTGGCGTTGCTGACTTCGAAATTGCCATAATGCATGGTAAATAAATAGCTTTTTCGAAGAAGAATCCTCCACCCAAGACTGATAAGAAAATCGACTTTATCAATGTTTACAAAACATGTGGGCCATCTAGTACTGAAAAAAAATTATTTGATGATAAATAAAAGTGCCATATTCGTGCCGTGATACATGCTCAAACTCGGTGCCCAAGCTTGTGTCTTCAGGATTACGTTCGATCTTATGTCAGATCATATTCCAGCTATGCTTCAGGCACCATGGACTTGCAAACAGGTTTTTAACATGTAAAAAGTGGATCTCCAAATTGAATTGATCTGCGTGCTCTGATGATGAGGAATGACAAAAGACACAATCAAACCATGTACATTCGTCTAAGACAACATATAAAAAAACGGGCAGTTGAAGTGAAAAAACTATTATCAGTTATCGAATATGAATGAAAGTAAAAGAAGCCAAAGACATCTTCCTTTCTCTTTTGTTCAAAAAAAGAAGAGCAGGCACACACACACACACAAACACACTTGACTTTTTAACCAATTGGCAGCGATCCATGTGATTGAATATGCACATCATCATCATCAAACACATATTAGGTTAAAAAGACTTGGAGAACAGGTTTTTGTTTTTTTGTTTTACACACATCGGTGCCCAATCAAGTGTACTGTTTTTGCTTTTTATGATAGCTAATCAGAGACCGTGCACATGGATTTAGCGTGCATAACTCTCCAAAGATTTTAATATACAGTAAAACCAAATGTGTTTCCTTTTTATCACCGTAACCCCACTGCTTTATAAACCTGTTCTATGTTCTCATTGGCGACAGCATTTGCCTTTTGTGCACCGGCCTGCAAGACTTGTTCCACATAACCTCGATCATTTCTCAGTCGCTCAATGTCTTTTTGAATGGGGACCAACTTTTCAATGAGAGCTTCGGCCACCATATCTTTAAAAACTTTGGTGCTCTGCACATCCGCCACCGATTGGATAACTTGGTCCGCGGAAATGTCACGAACCGCGGCGAGAATATCAACTAGATTGGCGACTCCCGGTCGCTCTTTAGGATCATACGAAATACCGCGGACGCCATCCGTGGTAGCACGACGAATTTTAGACTGAATCACAGACGGTGTGTCCGTTAAATTGATGCGTGACGAATCAGATGGATCGGATTTCGACATTTTTACTTGTGGATCCCGCAACGACATGACTCGTTTGGTTGACGGGGCTGTAAGCGGACCGGGAAATGATTATATGAGAAAAATATGGCCAATTTGTTTGGATTGGGCTATTAGGAAAACTTACGGATGATGCCAGTAGGTTTGGGGAATAGTCGAGTCTTGAACGTTGTGTTGAACAACTTGGCAATATCGCGCGCTAATTCAAGATGCTGCGTTTGATCTTCGCCTACAGGAACATGAGTGGCCCTGGCAAGCCCCCTGGTCAATCCAAAGCCATTCCCATGCGTAGGCTGCAAAGAAATACATTACTTGTATAACAGAATATCAGCGGCCATCAGCACCGGGTAGTCAAACAATCCCATTCGCAACCCGGACGTGAGCGATTCGTCGGCCAGAATCTGAGCATGTGAGATACTTTTCTCTCGAGAAACATCCATTTTGCTCTAGTTGTAGAAGAGAAATCGTGAGGACAGGAACTGGTTGGCATAAGCGTGAATGAAAAAAGGCAATGCGAGTACCTTCCACTGTGTCATACGACCAAGCCAGCCCACCGGGGTAATACAGTTGAGAATCCAGGCCAGTTCCGAATGCGCTCGTACCCGACTTTGTTCGAATAACGCGCTTTGTTCTGGGTCGATACCGCATGCCAGTAATGCCGTGGCCATATCAAATTTGGAAGCACGAAGTTCGTCAGGGCGTTGAGGCATCGTGATGGCATGAAGGTCGACAATCATGTAATAGTTAACGGGTTTCACTTGCGTAACAGGATCAACATCCTGAAGTCGGACCCAGTTATTGACTGCCCCAAGGTAGTTGCCGAGATGCGGAATGCCGGTGGGCTGAATGCCTGAAAGAATGGTTTTCGACTTGGCCGTGGTCGTTGTCAAGGCCCGCTATTTGTCAGGAGAGCTATTGTTGAGTTTCAAACAATAACGAAATATAGTTTTTGGGATATACCTTGAACATCATAGCTTTCCGTCTCTCCAATGAGAATGTGTACCGAAAAGGAAAAAATGAGGGGAAAAAAAGGTATATAAAAGTGTCGGAAACGGTGCGGTTGGAGTCAGGAAAAGCAGTCCCAACCGCGGGAAGGAGAGAAAGAGGACATGGAATCTGGTTGGTTTACGATATATTTCAGAGGATGAGAGTGTTTCGGCTGATAACAACACTTGAAAGTGAGCCATCTTCTAGCGTTTAATGGAAGAAAAAACACAAAGCTTGACGAACCTATACCAAAAGCAACAGGCGGCGGGTTAACCTTGTCTCACACCAGAGCAGCCATCACAGGCTTTTTGCTTGGAACCGTTTCCGCTTGAACGATGTTTCAAAATCTTGAATTGTGATTGGACAATTGGTGGCGACTGATTGTCAGGTGCCGACAGGGGGAAAAAAGTTCGTGGTACAATAGCGGAACGTCATGAGCTACTTTGAAAAAAGTTTAGCATATCAGAAGCGGCATTTATTTCACTATTTCGGGTCTTGTGGAGAAATGGGGTAAAAAATAAAAAATAAAAAATACAGAGGTCACCGCGGTCTGAGTTTATGGGAAGATCTGAAAAGTGCGGGGAAGGTTTGAACGAACAGATGATGTGGGCTATAAAAAGACCCAAAAGAAAACGAAAGAAAAATAAAAAGGGAAAAAAGAAAAAAACGATCGCTGATGGTCATTTCACCCCCTGCTTCTTTCTTTTATTTTCAACTTTCAATGCTTTGAGTATGACCCGATTCAACTTGACTAGTTTGTTTATACCTTCTCCATCACAATATCAACGTGATAAAGAAAACGTTCCCACCTATGTTGCCATTGTTACCAAGAAAGATGGCACGGCGGTGGCCAAGTGTCTCAACTCTTACGGCGGTCGACGTCGATCATCTTCCTCCGTGTCGTCAGAACCGTTAAAAAAACGATTTGCTACGTCTGCCAACATCTTTTCGCGCTTAAAACAACGGAGAACGTCATCTGAATCCTCCCTTGTCGCATGCACCAGTAAGTCTAGCAGTTACGTCAAGCCCTATGAAACTGGAATTGTATTGACCCGAAAAGCTTGTGTTTTCTTTTCTGATTCTGTTTTTGGCAGTCTCTTTGACAACGTTACCTGCCGAGCTGGTTCATCACATCCTGTATCATCTGAACTGCCGTGATATCATCCAACTTTCCTGTACATCGCACCATTTTCGGCGTCTCTGTTTTGACAACCATTTGTGGCAGTCGCTGTTCTTTGCGGACTTTTTCCCCACATCCAAGTCTTTCAACTTTTATCAAGCGTATCGAGATCAGTGTGTAGTGCAACGGCGATGGCTTCGAGGCGAGGTGGCCACGCGGTATTTCAAAGGACATCAAGACAACATCTATTGTCTTGCGTGGGTGGGGCCTAACAAGGTGGCAAGTGGGAGTCGGGACAGGGCGATCTGCATTTGGGACCTGCAAACAGGCCAGTGTACTCGTTTCGACAGTGGCCACACTGGTAGTGTGCTCTGTATGCGAGCTTCGCGTGACTACAGTATCTTGTTGACGGGATCGTCCGATGCTACTTGCAAAATTTGGAGTCTACCCGATTGCCGTCTCCTGCTGACATTTCGAGGCCATGGTCACGGCGTATTGGATGTATGCGTCATCCAGGATTACATCGTTACGTCTTCGCGTGACCACACCATCCGTGTGTGGGACAAGACAGGCCGGGAATTACGCCAACTCACAGGCCATACTGGGTCTGTCAATGCACTGGAACCCCTGGATGATCGTCGCGTGATCTCCGCTTCCGGTGATTCGACGCTCAAAGTGTGGGACATTACAACGGGTCAGTGTTTGCGAACCATGAAGGGCCACACCTACGGTCTTGCTTGTGTTCGTTATGATGGGGAAAGGATTTACAGTGGAGGCCAAGACAGCCAAATTCGTGTGTGGGATCCCGAAACCGGTGAATGTCTAATGACGATGAGCGGTCACATGAATTTGATACGCACTATGGACTGTTTCGACGTAAGCATTCTTGTTATTATTATGGAGAACACAGGGTTGTAAGATGCTGTTTATTTACTGGTGTCATTATTTTGTAGGGAAAACTTGTGAGCGGCAGTTATGACCGTACGTTGCGTGTATGGGATACCAAAACTGGAGCATGTCTACTTAGTTTCCAAAGTGGCCATTCAAGCTGGATCTTCAATGTGCTACTGAGTCGTACAAAGATTGTCAGGTAAATATCCAGAGATGGGACCAGGGTCATGACAAATTGATTTCTCATAATCAATCACCCTTTAGTGCAGGACAGGATCGACGAATCATGATGCTTGACTTTGCTCAAGGAATTCAAACGGCCAAACTTTTCAAAGAAATTCTATAACCAACCCTCTTTATGTAACTCCCTCTTTATGTAACTCCCTCTTTATGTAAATCACTCTTTTCTATTTGTACATACTGTTGACATAATCAACCTTTTTGAAGCCATTACGTGATTCCCCTAATCTTTTTGATCACAGGAAAAATGTTTCTATTCACAAAATTTTCCATGAGACGATATGTCTTAGATTTGGAGATATACAAGGTTTTTTTTTATTGTGCGGGGTCAATTGGGATTGCCAGCGTTGGCGTGGTGTTTACAGTTCGTGTATAAATACAGGAGAGTGCATGTTACGTGGTATTAGTTCTCTCTTTTTTTCTTTATATTTTCTCTTGGTACCATTTTTATTCGCGTTCCCAAATAGCGGCCATACCAATACCGGTACCCACGCACATGCTGTTATTGTGGAAAAGAAAAGAGAAAGTAGGGTTGAGTTTTGGATTCGGAAGAGGGTATATCCGTTTGGGTCTTACCTGGTAATACCGATACGTTTGTCGGTTCTATGCAATTCGGGGAACAGCGTGGCGACCTGTCGTGCGCCAGTGCAACCCAAGGGATGGCCGAGGGCGATGGCTCCACCCTTGGGGTTGACTTTTTCGTGAGGAATGCCAAGGGCCTTGACGGTGTAAAGGGCTTGAGATGCAAACGCTTCGTTGATCTCGTAGATATCGACATCATTGATGCCTAATCCGGCACGCTCCAAAACGACAGGAATAGCGTAAGCTGGGCCGATGCCCATTACGTGAGGAGGCACACCCACCGAGCATGCTGTGACATACTTGCCAAGTATGGGCAACTTGAGTGCCAAGGCAGTTTTGCGTTTCATCAAAAGCACCGCGGCCGCACCATCTGAAATCTGCGAAGCATTGCCGGCGGTGGTGCTGCCGTCTTTCTTGAAAACTGGCTTCAGCTTGGCCAGACCTTCCAATGACGAATTGGCACGAATGCCTTCATCCTGATCGACCACGATAGTCTTGCTGTTACCGTCCTTGTCCACAATAGTCGCCTCCACAGGCACAATTTCTTCCTTGAACCACCCGGCGGCCTGTGCAGCGGCGGCCTTTTTATGAGAATCTACCGAAAAAGCATCCTGTTCCTCGCGAGTGATGCCGTATTCCGTTGCAACATTCTCCGATGTCAAGCCCATGGGCAGTTTACAATCGTTGGCTGCAGCCGATGTACTTGCGAGCTTTTCGCTGACCTTTACTTCGCGGCTAAAGTAATCGTGAGTCATGGACTCAACACCAGCGCCGATACCAATATCAATCAGGCCGGCTTGAATAGCCGTGGCAATCTGAACACATGCTTGCAATCCGGAAGAGCACTGACGATTCAAGGTAGCCACTGATGTACTTTCAGGGAAACCAGCATACAAGGCCGCCATGCGAGCTGGCGTGGCTAAACCGGCCTTGGCAGCGACATTGCCAACCACAATGTCTTGAACCAGAGCGGGATCAATGCCAGTCTTGGTAAGAAGGGCCTTGAGCACGTTGGCCAATAACTCTATATAACAGGGAAGAAAAATGTAAATTATTACTGAATTTATCGTTGCCATGGTTCGAGCCAACGTACCATCAGCCAAGGTATCCTTGAAACCGCCTTTGCGACCTTTGGTCATGGCCGTGCGCACAGCGGAAACGACCACGATGTCTTCGGGCGACTTTTGACCCACGCGGGTGAGCTGAGCATCGGCCAAAGCGGGCAAACGGATAGGGTATGGAAGAGAAGACATGGGTTGAGAGGGTCGAGTAAAGTACGATAAAGAAGGCAATGTTCAGGTTTTTTAAGGCAATAAATACCCACGCAGGCTCCGAATTTTCAATGACTAAGAGGTTATTGCGCTCCGTGAATATGTTTTTCCTTTGAATGTGTTTGCATAACCTCATAAAAAAGTTGTCTCTATGAGCATATGTGTCCGGAGGAAATTAGTAAGCCTCTTTCAAATATTGTATGAATCATTATAAATCTGCTCATCATTTTTGTTCAGATTTCAGGAGACTAGAGCAAGCAAGGATGGGAAATCGCTTTTGTGTTTGAAGCTATCTGAGTTTGATTTCCGTTCCCCGCATGGCCATTCTTATGCTCAGGTGCGGGGATTTACTTGCGAATTCCAACCTTATTCTCTCACGGGACACCTCGGCTCAAGCACTGTAGAAAACGTTGCGCTCAACTTTGTTGTTGTTTAACAAGATTAACATGTCCTGCCCAAGCCATATTGTCTATTTAAATGACGTCCCGCATGGTTTTTAATTCGACTGCCTGCGTTGCGAAACACATGTAAAATGACAGGCACCAATCATGTCAAATGACGAAGGATGACGGGGAGAATTGCCCCTGAATAAAAACTAAAGTGTCGCACTGTCGCCATTAATTTCATTGAATATTCATTATTTTCAATTCACAGTGTATTTTTGTTCTGGACTTTTTGTATCTGCAATAAATTATGATGTATCCAGTCGTCTCGTCTTCATTTTTACACTAGTCGGTAATTGTTAAATGATATCTTTATGATATGTAAGAAAGCTGAACAGGGCGGTGCTTGAGGCAAGCCTTTCCCAAATAATGTAATGCAGCATGCTTTAAAATGGTCAAGGTACGATTTGAAAAGGAAGGCTTTTTATTCATTGAATCGTTTGTCGTTAGAGCGTTAAATTCGAGCATAAGTCGAGACTATTTGCGTGCACCAACCATTGGCCTTTTTCCCTTTTCTTCCTTTTCTCTGTCCTCGACTGTGGTTTCATACTATGAATTTCCCTAGTATAAAGGGTAGTCCTCTCGTTTTCTCTATACACAAAAATTTCCATCTCTGAAAATGTATCCGAAAATCCTCAAAATGGGGATTGGTGGTGGTCTTTCACGTCTCTTGGTACGCGCAAGCAAAACGGATGGTGCGCCAATAATGCATTGTTTATTGTTTAATGTTGTTTGTAGTGCTTAGTTTAGAAAACATGCAACGGATCAAATAAACTACATAGCTTACAAGTATTGCTAGAATCCAGTATTGTAGAGTGGATTGCCCAGTCAGGTTATGTTACTTGGATCAATAAATAGTGAGCGACCTTATCGCACCGCCAAATCGCTGGTGATCAGTGACAGCCCCATCTATCGTCTCACCAAGCAGGAACACTATCTGACAGTAACAGCTGTGGGAGTAACAAATTCGTATGACTACAGTATACACGATGCAAGATACAGCAAAGACTGACGCTGGTAATGCAAAGCCAATCGTTGTGAAGAATAAATAGTGTTCGGCGATGCAACCAGGAACGGCGGCTTTCAAGTTGTCATGAAAAAACGTATCATAACTTGGTTGTTTTCCATTTCCGCGGCAGTTTATCGCATCGGATGGAGTAGCAAATTATGATTGTGGTGGAGATTATTTTCAGGTTTTCGAAGATATCGTTTCTGATCATAGGATTCGTGGGTTGTTGGCAGAGATCGTCGTGAAAAAACCATAACGTTTCATTATTTTGGAAAAAGGGCCAGGTTGATGGATTGGGGTAGGTGGATAATCTGTAAAAAGAAATTCATTGACATAAATTGGACCAAGTTCACGGCAATCATTTCAAGGAAAGGGAAAAAAGCTAAAATTGGGATAATCAATCATCATCATCATCGGAGCAAAGGGGTTACAATGACACCCAAATGAAGCCATTGATTGGTTGCAAAAATGAAATGATCTGATTAACCTTTCGTGGAAAGAATGCCTGCCAATCTGTCATTCAAACGCGAGTCAAAAAGTAACCGTGACCCAGCCAATGTTTGTCTTTCACTGATGTAACAATGTTAAACGTTGCTTATTCTTGATTCGCAACATGCAATGAGTGATCTAACTAGTAGCAAGCATGTAGGCGCCGTTTTTGCATGAAAATTCAAATCAGCAGGATGTCTGTTCGTCATTTGACCTCAGTTTTGGTTACACATTATTCAAAGCTCCGGAGCGAATGAGAAGTGCAGAATCCAACAAGGTAGAAAGAGAAAATTTTCAGCCAAGACAATCACTATATTTGGCGCTGACCGTTTGTTGGCGAAATCTATACACAGGTTATTAGGTAGGTCTTTCAGCCAAGCAGTTCAATATCCGATCGACAGGCACCTTGTTAGTGTTTAGTCTAATCTATTTAAAAAATAAGCAACTCTTGGCTTTTGGCTATAAAGAGCATATGCTGTTTTTCACTTGGCACATTAGGATTTGTGCATTGAGTCTTGGTTTGTTGATTGTGATGGAACCAAAGGCGGACCTCCTGAACACGAAAAGGTTGTATCTCCGATTGAGGTGCCGGAGTGATCTGCATCGAATCCATAGAATTTATCTCGTCCTACGGTGAACCGACCATGTTATTGAAGTACAAGCAGCGTCATTTGGGAAAGTGCGTATTCGTTGACTTTTTTTTTTTTAGTTATAAGTCTTAACCCAGCTTAGTTCGAGAGCCATCGGTTCTGACGTCTGGAAGATCTGTTAGGACAGAAAATTCCATAGTCACGCGCGCCTCCTTTTCCATCCAGCAGAAGTTTCAGGCGAACAAAATTGTCGTTTCTTTTCCTCTTCTTTACTGCTTTTTTTTTTATATTATCTTACAAAGCATGACGACACTGAATCCGCCCTCTTTATTACAAAGTTATCTAATGAACGCCTTTTCACCTACGACTAACGGTAAGCCATCCATCCTCCACGAACCAAGTGCGTGCGTGAGAGAGAGAGAGAGCCAGAAAAATAAATTCAGCACAGACACAACGAAAACGTGCTACAACGATTGGGTCAAAAACCAAGTTAACGGAAAAATGCAAAAAATTTCCTATGGCATAGGTGGTTCTTTACACGATTTTCCCATCCTTCCCGATTCACTGGTAAACAGCCGACTGCGGTCCAAAAAAGTCTTGTTGTTTTTCCAACAAGAACTTATCGTACTGACCCAACCATTTTCCACCCCCATTGTAGCCTGTAACCATCGTTGTCGAACGCATCGGCCATGACCGATCGTGGTCAGACGAACAGATCCAAAGCGATCTGGAAATCTTGAAGTTCAATCGACTCAACACAGTACGTTGAAAGGCGAACTGGGTTTCCTTTTTTCATATGATAAACCAAGTTCCTTTAAAAAAATTCTTGATAGGTGCGCGATCTGCGTTCGCTCTCCGATCACAGCTGGTTTGTAAGTATTTGGGAAGCAGAGGCCAACACACATACACACCCACCAAGCGGAGATGAAAGGGTCCATTTTTTTTTCCTTGACCTGTGCCTTTTTTTTTTCCTGCCCTTGCTTCTGGTGTTCTTGTGTTTCTTTATTTGGATGGTATCATCTGACTTGCAGATTTATTGATATAGGTAATCGAGTTATTACCACTTGTCAAAGATTTGATTCGAAAAGCAGTGGATCCATCATGGACGTTGCACAGTAAGCATGCGGATTTTCCGAGTGATTTTTTTTTAATCCATCTGATTAAGAACGATTTTTTTAATTTAAAAAAAAAAGCTCCATTCATCAACTCTCCTTCCGATGAAAAGGGGAAAAAGAAAAAGGATAATGCGGAGAAGAAAAAGAAGAAGGAAAAGAAGAAACAAATGCTGCGATTACAACCAATCAATACCCTCGGTGAACCCGTTTTTCCTACCCACCACATCGCCAACAGTGCCTTACCTGGTGACCGTGAACTGTCTCCTGATGTATCCGATCAAGAAGATGACGAACTGACCCAGGACCCACTCACCATTCGTAATACCATTCGCAACGGCACCATCGACACACGAGCCATTCTCGCCGAAGCATCACCGATCTCCCCAACTTCAGGCACCAAGAAATCCGTGTCGTTTGGATCAGAGACCACCATCAACTCACGATTCGACAGAGACATTGAGAAGGAGCAAAAAAATTTAAAGCGACGCACCGTCATGATCGATGGCGTTCCCAACTATACCCTGCAACATTACGGCCCCTCTGACCACGAATTCCGTTTCCACAAGAACACGATGGACATTGAAAAAAAACCTACCTCTCCAGATACCCTTGATTCTCTGTCCGTACTTTACGGCGGTCGGCCGATTCGGGCCGTCAGTGACACCCGGATCCACGTTTTAACGGCGTCGGGCCAAGCGTACGAATGTGACCGATTCTGTCCTCAACAAGGAGAAGATCTCGTAGACTGGGGCTACGTAATTGGAAACACTGTGGTCTGTACAGGACATGAATCAAGTCATCTTCTTGATGGAGAGGGCACATCCCTAAACTCACGGAAAATCGATGCATGGTAAAAAGGGCGAAACTCCAGAAAAAAACCCAGCCCAGCAATATTTTCTTTTTATTCCTTCAACAACAATGCCCCTCTGTTTATTTCCTACTTTTTGTATAGCTTTATTAAAACCCTTGCACACATCCATTTCGTATATATAATGAACAAGTTTAAACAAAAAGTGCTTCCTTTTGTTCATCCTCAAATCCGGCTGTTGGCTTCTCCAGCTGTATCTCAAGCTGAAAATGTCGATTGTGGTAACGCCAGTTTCTTGTCCTGTCGTCACAATGATACATGGTCTAATGAGTTTATTGTCATGCGCACAAGTAACACTCCACGATGTCGTGCATCACGTAAATACTTCATGTTCCATTATAAACCCGAACAACCTACCAGTGAGGATGGCTTCCAACCTTTGAATAGGAAGATCTGGAGGCCATGGTGCAACTCAACTTTACAGTGGATCTGTCATTTCTCATGTCGCATGTGCATCCACGCGTTCGCAATCGTATTCCCATTACTGTCATTCACGGTCATAAGTTCCCCGAAAGCATACAAGCCATTAAGGTACGCGAGCGATAACCAAAAAGTCAAACATCGCACTGATCATCACTTTTGACCAAAAATGGTATAAAAAATAGACTGCCGCCAAGCAATGGCCCAACATCCGATTGATCAGCCCATTTCTCAGTAATCGCTTTGGTAAATTCGCATAAAAAAACGTCTGCTTTTAGCCAACAAATTCAACCAATCTTTTTTTAATTTTTTTTAGGTACACATCATACAAAGGTGTGTATGGATTATCGCAACAAGGAGATATAGATTCTAATCATTCTCAACATCATATTGCCAGGCCATGCTGCTATTCTTTAACAAGAATGGGACAAAAACAGCCCAAGTGGCGATCATGACAGCCAACATGTGTCGCGGGGATTGGGAGTAAGTGCGCATGAAAATTCATGCTTTTCCTGATAGCATAATGTGCCTAAAACGCTTGCATGGTAGGGATATGACTCAGGGTATCTATCTTTCTCCTCGCTGCCCTTTGAAAGAGGACGCACCATCGCCGGTTCCCGGTACATTGATCAACTCAGATTACGGATCACCTTTTGAGCGACAGCTCATTGAATATCTCAAGACGTACAGTCCTTCCTTAATGGATATATGTGCCACCTTGCGATTATACGATTGGTCACAATGCAAGGTATCACGGTGCGTTCCTGTCCATTATTCTTGCATGCTTACTAAGGCCAATCAAAAGGTCATTCTTATAGGCTCCGTGCCAGGCTATCATCGAGAGCATCAGTTTGCCAAATGGGGGTTGGAGCGTCTTTCAAGAGCCCTGAGGGATTACGTCCAATTGCCACCTGAATGCTGCCGCGAGTCAACCTTGATCGCCCAAGTACGTGAACTAAGCCCTGAGGTCCAAAATTGCCCAATCTGATCAATCATCAATCTAGTGTTCAAGTATGGCCAAGTTTACACAGCAATGGTTCCAAAAGGATTTCGCTACCAAATTGTCCAATGCGGCCAACGCGTCGGAAGCACGACCGCCACATCTCCGTTGTGTGTACCCAAGTGTTCGGGACGTAGCACAAAGGTAAAAGTTTTTGTTCTTCATTGGGGTCTTCGCGCCATCATCTAAAATATGCATTGGGCTACAGTCACACAGGCATTATCTCGAGCGCCGGCTTTCTAAGGTTTGAACAAGGTAAGGTCCAAGACAGCATGCATGTAGCCGAAAAGCACACTTCATGGTGGTTACTTTTGACAGAAATCTATGATCAAAGCCGGGAATGGTTTGATTCGCATCTGTGCCGTTGGCAAAGTGAAAAAGCAGGAAGACAAAAAGTGATGCCTCATATCAAGACCTATACACGTGTGTATGGTCCGGATAATGACCCTCAAATTGCGTGGCATCTGTTGACTTCGGCCAACCTGAGTCGAGCTGCGTGGGGAGAATATCAAAAGAACAAGACACAGCTATTTATAAAAAGTTACGAACTTGGCGTCCTGATTTGTCCCAGTCTATGGCAGGTAAGCATCGTATTAATTAAATATCAGTTATTTAGAAGAAAACAAAAAGGAGTGTGTCAATGTTGATGGTATATAAACTAGACCGAAGAGATTTCTGAGGTGTGTCTTGTGCCTTCTACCGTACCAAACCCTCATCCAGCCTCTTCTTCCAAAGAAGGTCCATGCTTGACAGTGCCTATTCGGCTACCGTATGATCTTCCACTGACGCCCCATGAGCAACCCGGTCAATGTTACACGCGACGCTATGCACAGCAAGCCATGGAACGGTTCGGCGGTATAGAGTTGGAATAAAAAAACAGCCTAGACCTTTTTCTGTTTCTTTTTCTTCTTGGCCGCTCGCTCGTTGAGATACATCGATAAGAAATCGCCTTGACCTCCAATCTTTTTATCCTTGGTCGGCCTGGCGTCTTGTTCGGGGGTCGGCTCGCTGAACTTGTTCTTCTTTTTCTTGGACGCCGTCGTCGTTCTTGAGTCCTCTTCGTCATCGTCATCGTCATCGTCACCTTCATTGCCTTTAGATCGTTTGCTTGTTGACCGAGCATCGTCTTTTGCAAAAGCTGCTCGTCGATTCTGATTCAAAATCTTGTTCTTCAACTCCAGCTCTTGCTTGGACATGGCGCCACCTGTCGCATTGTTCATTGCTTCAGCATGTGACAAATACTTTGCTCCAAGTCCCAATCTTTACAAACACATGATCGGACATTCATATGAGCTGACAATCCCATGTACGATCGAGCTTCTTTTTCTTTTACCTGTCTGGGCGACCGGTGGAATATCGTTTATATGTTTCTTCGTCGTCCTCGTCGTCTTCCAGCTTTTCTCCTGGCTTGGGTGGAGGAAGCCAAGAACTGACAATGGATCTTGCTATACCCATCGACGCATCGATTTGGGTCTTGAGTACCTCATTCGCTTCGGTATCAATCTTATCTTTAGGCATGTGCGTTGAGACGGTACAATACACTTCTGTCAGTCAGTGCGCAATTTTTTTTTTATTCCCTCCTGTCACCCTCCGAAATTCATCGTCACAATCTTGCTCGAATTATCTAGAGCCAATATGCATGAACGTCAGGGTTATTGAAAATATCCAGATGGACTTGACGGACAGCCAACATGATGCCAAGGTGTTGACCGTCAAAGATAAAGTGAAAAACAAGTTATGTGGTAACGATAATTTATTGCGGTCTGGTAATTTACAATCCAACGTGAGACGTGGTTAATGCTTGATTTTATATTTGCCATACTAAGAGAGCAAGGGATGAGTAAGACCGTTTCCAATTCAAGCCTACCATCCAATAGCATGCTTACATCTTTCTTGATATCCAAAACTTCCCATCGACTGGCCGGGAAAATATGCTTGTTACGCTCATACCATGCTCGTTCCACCACTTTACCGGCATGAGACTATCAAAAGCACATCCAAAATTAGCCCATCAAGCACACCAAGACGCTGCAATGCAGAACCTTACCTCATCCTTTTCAATAGTAGCGTCATTCACGAGACGAATATCGTCGTGCACATCAAAGCTGAACAGTGGCCCCGATTTACCACGTGTTTTGTTGATGATGAAATCATAAAATGTGAAATGCTGTCCAGGGGTAAGAAAATGTTGGTTCCACGCTGATTCACATTGCCTTGTCTTTTGGACTTACGTGGGGAATGATCAAATCTTCTTTGATATACAGCAGATTGTCGACATTGACGCCTCGCAGTTGAGGAAACTGCTGACGGCAAGCTTCCAGAAACTGGGCAATGGTATCGCCTTTCTTGCACTAAAGGCATAAAAGATTAGTTACATACACGCTTAGCAAAGGACATTACATCCCCAATGGGATCTCCGGTGATTTTCTTACCTGGACGACTTTACGATGGCCACTTCCATCCCAATACGAATAAGTAATGCTGATGTTTTCGTCTATTTATCACCCAATCAATTGCCACTGGAGCCCATGAGTGACCTCTTTGTTTTGCAATGCTAAAACCACGAATCCACTCACTTTTGATCTCTTCTTGCTTTCTCAACCATTCTTTCCGTAACTCCTCACGTACTTGGCGTTCTTCCTCCTCTCGATCACGGTCAGGTAAGAAGCTCGTGTCAATGGTCGGATCCTTTAGCATTTTGCGCTTCTTTTTCGCAGGCGATTCATCTCCATTTTCCGAATCCGCTTGTGGTGTTCCTTGGTCGTTCTCCCCTTCCTCGTCTTCCTCCTCACCGGCAAATGATAATTTCATGACCTGTTTCTTTTTCTTTTTCTTCTTCTTTTCTTCCCTATAAACTCACTGGTCAATCAACACAGATCTATCATTCGTTCATCCAATGATGCCATTGATGGAATACCCTAGTGGTGCTGTCTTGGCCGCCTCTCGTTGTTGTTGCTCTTCCAGGTTTTCTCGGATTTTTCGATAATCCCTCAGTTCGGTCAGACCAATGGTGCTGCTTCTCAGTTGCGATTCTATATCGCTTTTTGCTGCTGCAAATTTATCCGATCCAACTCTCACTTCATTTTGCTAACGATCCATCGATGAGTTTGCAGTTCATGCAGTTGAATCCCACTCGTCCAGCGCACTGTACCTTGGCAATCTTGGCTCGTTCTCTTTCCGATTCTTCATAAATCTTTCGTCGCGCCTTTTCCAAAGCTTGCTGACGCTGTCCTTCCACTTTGGAATCCATATCGCTGTACGTTCGGAATCAAAAAAGACACACACCTGCACCTTTCACATATGGCGGTTTTTATCCAATCGAAAACCCGCAGCCGTGACTGCTTACATGGATGACAACTTCTTAGGGAATGGCTTTGGTAAAAGGGCTCACGATGCTTTTTTGATCAGCGGCGCATGGAGTGTCATGTGGTTTCTTTACCGAATTGAGCGAGGAAGAGGTGAGCTGCCGAGGTTCCATTGGGAACAAAAAAATACAGTATCTAAACTACACACGCAGACACCGCGCATAAAACCCTGCTGCGGCCGGGCAAAACTTACACGGTCGGTCGAAAAGGTAACGATCCACCGGAACCGTTTTCGCACGAAATTAATTTCAACGGTCATTGCGAGAATAGATACTGACATTAAGCTGGCTCACGACAAATCGGTTAGCCGACAACATGCTTCCATTTCTGTGGAAACCACCACTTACGAAGACACGGTACAAACCTTCGACCAATAATAATTCAGTATTTTTACCTTGTATGCTGATGAAAACCTTATTTTTTTTTTATGACGATGGCAGATCAGCATAAATCATCGGCCTTGCATCAAGGTTCACGATTCGTCGAAATATGGTACCTTTATTAATGAGAGGCGTGTGACAGAAGATGTCAATGTGAACGAACTCGATATCATCAAATTCGGTACACTCAACTCGCTGATGCGGTAAGCTATGATGACGACATAAAAAAGCGGATCAATATGTGCTAATACTAAAAATATCAGACTTCGATGGGAACCTATTGTGCTTTTCCGTGATTCGCTTAAAAGTGCCGAGAAGAAAAAGCTGTTTGAACAGTGTGTCATTTTGGGTAAATTAAAATTGCATGTTTGAGCTGACGATCGGGAACGTGCTGTTGATGCATCTCCATAGGCGTGAAAGTGTCTGACAAGTGGCGGTCCGAGTGTACACATATGTATGTGACGGCCTTGCGAGTGACGAGCAAAGTGTTGATCAGTCTAGTGAATCTCAAACCGATTGTTTCTACTGCATGGCTGCAAAAGATGGTGGACACCACGACCGATGACGGATTTCAAATACCGGAACCAATCCTTCCACCTATCGAACACGATCCAACCTATGATGCATGGGGCACGCCTGATTTTTCTCCTCAATCCGCTCGAGAGTCTCTGTTTGCGAGTTCGGAATTTTGGTTCTTTAATTCGGTCCAGGTTCGTCTACGAGAAAGCAAGTTTGATGCGCCTCGACTAAAACTTGGTTCTAGTTCGAGCGAAACGTGAATAACATACAAATGGCCCATGGAAAAGCCAAACTACGCTCATCAGCAGAGAACTATACAGAAAAACAAGTATGTGCGCCTCACCGCATTCTCGTCATACCTCCTTCCCCAGCCGATGAAGAACCTGGATGGGCCACTCTCGTGTCCATGCTACAGAGACGGTAAGCGGTGGTAAATCCTGCAACGCTGCAATCGTCATATAATGGAGTCTAATGTAACAAGGACATAGTCAACGGCGCCCTATTTCCCATGACGAAATCGGCTGGGCCATTATCTATTGTTCAACTTCGCTCTTATGCAATCCAACTGTTCCCAAAGCTCCGGCCGCGTCAGCACCCAGGGAACAGACACCGATCTCCCCGCCTGCCGTACCTCAGTCTCCTCCAGCCGCACCGCATTCCCCACCATCTACCACACAAGGTTCCCTGATTCGTGAAAGCGCCAGTCTCGCAGATATGTTTGATGATTTTATTGGTGATGATGGACCTCGTTCACCACCTCCTGCCGTTGTCAACACATCGCCGCCTCAGCCGGCACCTGCTACCACTGTTCCATTAATAGAGCCTTCTTCATCCTCTGCGCTTGATGCGACATCTTCCTCCACCCCCGCCTCTTTGTCCAAAAAGCGACGACAATTACCTTTTTCCTCCCAAAATATTGAACCTCTTTTATCGCAAACAATGGAACCCCAAGACAGTGTAGAAGAGACATCCACACGAAGAACACGTCCTCGTTTATCAAGCAAAGAACCACATGAAACGACGGCACCACAACATCTTATTGCCGACACCGAGCCCGGCGGTATTGACATTGACCTTGATCTTGATCTGCCTACAACGACAGTAGATATGGATCCACCGAGAGAAACAGTGACTGTGGAAACTCACAATGAATCAAGGGGTCATCCACGAGAAACAACACCTTTGGCGCTTCCCCAGACACCCCGCGGTCGAGGGACCGCGTCAAAGAGACAGAACAAAAGAAACACAAGAACCACGAATATACCCACCTCTGCTTTGAATCTGTGGAACGACAATGAAGCGCAAGCGAGTGAACACGCACCAGAAAGCGGCAATGATGAAGAAGAAGAAATCATACCGGGGAAGCAATATTCTGTCATCGAATTTGCTGCTATTGTGCGTCCACCAGCAGCGGCCCCTTCCAGTCATTCGTCCAACGAAGGAATTAACTATAAGCGATTCCGCAAAGTTCAGCCTATCCAGCCTCCTGATTTTATGGATTTTGTTCCCATGACATTAAGCGATGCGGAAATTCGGACACGACAAGGTAAACCGGCCTTGGAAATGCTTAATCGGAACTGTGTCTCATTACTTGCTTCGTATAGAACCGTCGGTTAATCTGTTTACCAACACCGATGCTGGCAATCCACAAGCCATTGTGGATCCTGATATTCAGATTCGTGTTAATACCATTGCCCACAGAAGACGACGGTGAAACCTCAAAAAGAACACGAATAAAAAAAACCCCGAGAACGCATGCGCACCTGAAGTTGAAAAAAGGATTATTAATGGCAATTTGAAATAAAAAAAAAATCAGTTTTGCGACTCCATCCAACCCAGCCATGGTAATGCATACAATAAAGGCATTCCTGTTCATGACACTAATCCCAAAGACAAAAAGAACTTGTTGACCATCTTTTTGGTCTTTGTGGTGCTGCTTAGCATCTTTGTCTTTATCTTATTGTTTGGACAGAGCCCTCAATTCAGGCAAGTCCTATATATTGCGACCCGGTTTCACTGTAACGTGGAGGACAACCAATTGAATGATAATCTGTTGGTGTAGACATGGTGTACTGGGGAAACTCAACTGGATCCTCATTGCTTGGTTACCGCGAAATATTTCGTAAGTTGAAAAAAAGATGGGAATACGACAATGACGTATTCTATAAAAAAAAGCCCCTGAATAGACGACTAGCCCACCGTGTGCTGGGACGAACCGTCGTGAACAAGATTTACGGTGCATGGTTCTATTGCTGTGAATCACGCAATCCATTCTTGCAGGTACCTTTTTGCATGAGAAAATGAGAAAATTCATGGTGTGTTGATGTGCCTGATTTAATTGTGCAGATATTCTTCATCAGTTTATCGGGTGCTTCCATTTTATTGTTCCTGAAATTTGCACTGCCGCATATACCTAATATTTACCTGTCGAGTATGCATAGGTAAGATCATCCCGTCGTATACTGTCCCATCCCAGCTTTGATTAAAATCTATTCCGCAGATTTGTTTTGATCCCGGGTCACATCTGCTGGCTGTACATCAGCTACTACATCATTTGCACTGCCGATCCAGGCACTATTACAGCGGACAATGTACAGCAGTACCTAGATCACTACGCGTACGATTACATTCTGTACGAACCGAAACAATGTCGGACTTGCCGATTAAAAAAGTAAGTCGCTACAAGACTACGCTCCACCGTAACCATGGATTTCGTTTAATGACGCACAATGGAAACAGACCGGCTCGATCCAAACACTGTTCAATGTGCAAGGGGTGCATTGGTAGGCTGGACCACCATTGTGCATGGATCAACCGCTGTGTGGGGCACAACAATCAGCGTTACTTCTTCCTGTTCCTGTTCTCTCTGAGTGAATTCTGTATCTATGGCACCTACCTGTGTTTCCAGATCTATCGCAGTATGATTATCGAAACAGGGTTAGATCAAGCTATGATTCTCGATAGTGCCACAGGCGCCCCCAAACGAATCAGTTTCCGCAAAGCTATGATTGTAAGTTATTGGAGTGGGAAAGGGGTTTTCCCCTCAGACCGCGTTATTAACTAGGGCCACGCCATGCAAAAAGGTTATTTTACAGCGGGATCGTATTATTGGCTCCATCGGTATCTTGGCCATGGTAGTGGCGGTAGTAGTTTTTGGCTTTCTCATCTACCAGTAAGTGCTAAAAGACTCGCATGGATGGTAGGGCATGTCATGGATGGTCTCAACCTTTTTTTTCGATTTAGATTATATCTGACGGCACAAGGCCTTACTACCAACGAAGCTATCAAATGGGAGATTTTAGAAGATGCGATGGACTGTGGCGAGATTGTCATATTAGCCGAGGATGCCCCGAAACCCACGCCGATGGACAACAAATCAAGACGAAGGAAAGCTGCCTCGCCGCGGTCTGTATCATCCACTGCTGCCCACTCCCATGACGTCTTGAAGCCACGAAAAATTTATGTGGACGATCTCAGTAAAGTCGAGGGCAGAAATTTGCGTTTTGAAGAGTTGGAAAATATCTATGATCATGGCATGATGCAAAACCTGTGGAATGTCTTTTTTCCCAAATCACTTTGAAGGTGCGATAATACACCTGATCTGTCACTATCCCTCTACTGTACCTGTATTCTCATATTTATGTCAATAAAAAGATGTATTGAAGTATTTCTTAATTTTTTTTATACATTCGTTCAATCCTATGCGACACATAGAATTGATAAATAAATGGTTGCAAATGACAATCAAACCCTAATTGCATTTTTTTTTTTTGCCTAATTAACCCATGAGCATGGTTTCGGGACCAGCGCCGCTTTCCATCTGCTCCTTGACAAACATTTCAAAGTACTGGAATACAAAAATAAAAAGGTTGAGTACATGAACTTTCGTATATACAACTTACGCCAGTTCCTTACCTGGAAGATAATGGTGACACAGAGCAAAATGCCGGTACCGGAACCGATAGCACCCATGAGATCGGCCAGGACAGAAATGGCTCCAAGACAAGCGCCACCGAAAGAAGCAGCAATAGGAACAACACGTTTCAATTCCTTGTACATGGAAGCGTCACGGTAACCAGCAATCACCAACTGTTGTTCCTTCAACTGATGAGCCACAGCACGAGGCGATGAGCCCGAGATTTCGGCCCATGATTTGGATAACAAAGCGCAACCGGTCACCATAATGGCGATGTAAATCACGGTGTGAATAGGATCGAGAATGGCGTGGGTCAAATTGCGAGGAGCCGAAAGATAATAGGCGACACCGTTGGTAGCGAGCAACTGATTGGATTCATCAATGGGATGCCACACACCGAGCAAGCGCACGAGAAGATTGGTACCGAAACGCTGGTAGAGCATCTGAGAGATCATGAAGACATTGGCAATCATGGCCGAGTAGAGCATGATAGGCATGCTGGAAGTGTAGAACAGTTTGATCGGATAGGTGCCGCGTTGGCTACGCATGCGGTTGGATGTGACGGGAAGTTCCACACGGAAACCTTGCACGTAAACGACCAGACCAAAGATAAATACGGCTGACAACAGACCCATCACATTGGGAAGGTGACCACGATAAAAGGCTTGCTTCAAGGCGCGAGCTTTGTTGTGACGGGATGTCATCAAATGAACCAATGAAATCAATGCACCCTCGTACTCATCGCCACGACCGACATTCACAGTGCTGGGCGACAAGGCTTGCCACATGATGGTTTGACAAATGTTGGCGGCAATAAACAGATTGATACCCGAACCCAAGCCGTAACCCTTTTGCAACATTTCATCCATCAGCATCGTGATCAAACAAGCTGCCACCAATTGCACGATCAATAGCAAACAACCACCAGCACCAATATCTTTGGGATTGCCATACAATCCCGTCAACACAGACACAGTGGCGTGACCAATCGCGATAAGTACGGCAAAAACTAGAAAACAAGAAAAAAAGAACCATAGAAATGAACCCGGTAGAAAAATGAAAAAAAGTCAGAGACATGGTCATTTGCTGCCATGGTATTTTCGTATTTCATGGGTGTGTGCACTTACGTTTTTGAGCTCCAGCGAACAAAGCACGGTCTTCCTTTAAATTGTAGTCGACCTTGATAAAGTTGGCACCTGCGAGAAGTTGCATAATCATACCCGACGTCAGAACAGGCATAATACCGAGCTCCATCAGTGTGCCACGGTTGGAAGCGAGAATGACGCGCATCCAGTACAAAGGATCCGAGGAATCAGAAGAAACAATGCCGTAAAGACGCACTTGCGACATGACCAAGAACATAAGCAAGGTGCCGCCAGTCCACAGCACCTTTTCATTGAATGGCACCTGGCATGTACAAACAGACAATGGTAAGCGTGGGTACTTTGATGAAGCAAAAATACGGTTGTCATCACTTTTTTTTTAACCTTACCTTTCGATCGGGGGTGGCAATCTCGGGCAAAACCGACATGAACGGCCGAAGTAAATGCAGTACTCGAACTGAAAAAGTATTACAGTGTGAGATGTGATGCGTGAGTCATCTATAAAGGCTTTACACGACTTACCGCCCATGGTGTGAATCTATTATGTGAGTGGAAACTCGAGCGTACAGGTTTTTGTTGCGTCTCGCTGAATTTTCTTTTTTTTTTTTGTGCAGTGGGGGAAGTCAAAAATTTAAGCCAATCACATCCATCCACAGTGAGTTTGATCCACGATCATGAATTTGTTTCGGCATTGTTCAATTTGGATGAATACATGCATCGCCTTTTATAGTATTTCCTTTTCACCGTTTTTTAAGGTTCTTATTGTTTACTTTTCTTTTACTCATCTCTTATCCACTGACAAAAAGGCGTATATTAAAAGAAAAAAAGTAAAAACTCATACAAACATTGAAAAAATAGAAATAAAAAAGATTTTGTCTAGAATTTGAAATTGGGAAAGAAACAAAAAATAAAAAAAAGGAGACGAGAATGATCTTTGAGCGAACCACTCGATATGTTGCTTTCAATTTTTTTTCTTTCTTACTTCGTTTTACATGAAAAAATATAGGTAGAATACGCGTAGGGGATGATGGAGAAACGCTTTTTTGGAGATTCCACTGGAGGCGAAAGGATGGAGAAAATTAAAAAAATAAGAGAATAAAAGAATAAAAAAAAGAGGCCAAAAATGGAGATGGAATGATGCTTGTTTTTTTCCTTTTTTTTTTCTTCTTTAAACAAAAACGAAGAGACCAAAAATGGCTGCGATGAAAAGAGGAGCATTGAAGGCGGTGAGGGTGGTACCATCGCTGGAAGTGCCTGAAGCGCCGGGCATGATACCGGAACCGGTGGCCGATTTGATGTTCTGGTTGACACTCTGATCAAAGCTGGGGAAAGTGATGATATCTTCTTGATATGGATGGGAGATATTCATGCAGGTGGCTACATCAAGGACATGCTTGTATGCATTCTTGATTTCAGGGTAATGCTTGATAGCGAAATCCATCGTCATGTTATTAATTTCATGCGACAACACAATGTTACCGCTGTTGGCAAAGCTACCGTTCTTTCCCATGGTAATGAAATCTTGGTAGTGGCCATTCACCGTATCAGCCGTCACACCAGGTGTTGTGCCCGCAGCCCAGTCATCCGTATCCAGGTTCCAAAGAATAGCCGTCAAGTTTAACTGTGTAGCAATCCATCGAACACGATCATCCATATCACCCAAAGCCTACAAACATGACCAAAAATAGCCCTAATTAGCCACATCCACATAAAAAAAAAAGGAGGGGGTTCTAAAAAATGTGCCTCAAACAGGAGAAGGGAAGAAGATGAAAAATGAAAGGAAAGAGAGTAAAGAGACTTACGGGACGCCAGTGAAGAGGAGTAATACCAGTAACGTATTTGATGGCTTTTTGAGTATAGTACAATTCGGCGAGCACTTCTTGGTTAGTCAATGTCGTCATCATCTTGTGAGACCAAGTGTGACCACAGATGTGGTGACCATCCTTCAAGCCGCGGAGAGCACCGTAAGGCCAGTTGATGACATTGGAACCAATGTAGAACATGGAAGCCTTTTGGTTATTTTGTTCCAAATAATCGTAAAAGGCATTGTGAGAGCAATTGGGACCATCATCAAAAGTCTAACCAAAAAAAAAAATAAAAAAAAAATTAATTGTGCCGTTACTACACCATTGGATCAACCATCAACTTACCAAACCCCACGTTTCCGGTTCAGGACAAGCGTAAATATCGGCATTGACACCTTCAATCTTGGGCTTCACACATTGACTGGCGGACCACCAGCAATCGGGATCTTTGGCGTTATCGTAGCCTTGCATGTTCAAACCACCGTCGGGAGTCATGGATCGCACAGGGATGTTGGGTGCTTTGGTCCAGTCAATGGAGTTATACAGTTTTTGGAACTCTTCAGATGTGTTCATGCCGTTGCTGGTAGCAATATCCCAGTTGGTGGGCCATTCGGCCTTGTTGATGGTAAAATTGGATTGATAGTATTGACATTCCACTGCGGGATCGTGCGAAGTGGTTTGCTGGATGTTCGGAATATCAATGTGAGTGGGATCCGTGTTGCTAGAGAATTTGGTGTCAGGTACGGCAGCTTGGGCCATAAAGGCCGTGGCAGCGACAGACAGAATCGCAGCTTGATACTTCCACATCGCGATTCAATGGACTTTTTTGCAAGTGGAAAAGAATAAAAAAGAACAAAAATGGAGAAAGGGGAAGACGGGAGAGGCGAGAACCTGGACGAGATATTTATATTTTTATCCAAAGGAGGCCAAAAAGAAATCAAGAAAAAAAAAAGGTCAAAACACCTATTTTCGGTAAAGACTAACCTTTTCATGCTGCAGAAGCAGAGGGAGTTTGAATGTCTAGAAGGAGCTCGTTGAAATTGCCCTTTTTGAGTTTAAAACGACCCATCTACCATTGGAGACCTTTTAGTCTAGTGGCTGCTCGGTCTTTAGTTACTAAGCTAAGCTAAATTGGCCTTTTTCCTGGTTCTGAAAAAAAAGGCCAGGCGTGAACAACATAACCCAGGTATTTGATTTTCTAAATATAGAAAAAGAACGCACTTCACTGTTTTCTTTCTGGGCCCCTACATCTCAACCACGATACCATGATATATGGTAGCCAAAGCAACATTAACAACATCAGTAAACAAAAGAAAGTGTCGATTTCTGTTTTTAGGAAGAAAAATAAAACACCAAAAATTATCAATTTGTAAATCATATTCAGAAAATGATCATTGCCATGACATTGCCTAACCTTATTTTTTTTCCCGGTTTATTAAGTATCACGGCAACCTTCCTTTTTTTTTTCATCAAGTGTCATCTCCTCTTTTTCCTTTTTGTTTACCTGCTTGCCCCTTCCTGAATCTCACAGCTCCCCCTTCTTTTTATATTCTGGATCTCCTTCTTCAAGAGACCATCCGTTTTTTTTCTTTCTCTGATCTCCATGGCTGAGGTGCCTTTTTGTTTATTCTTGATGATATGCTCCTTGGAATGTTCTCGCATGGTTCACTTGCAAACTATGTCGTCCGGATGGAGTCTAGACACCATCTGAAACCTTAATAAGAAATATAGCGAATCACCATGGCCCATTGCAACTTGCAAAAAAGCCCGGTGCAACTTGAGCTGAGTTTGGGCTGTGTTTAGGGCCTTCGATGTGGGATCGTCATGATCGTCAACTAGGTGAGCTCCGACAAGTGATTGAAATCCAATTTGCGCCAATCAAAACAGCTCACGAATGTTCTTTTTTTTCCTTGTATTCTTTGTGCCCAGGATTTTTTTTTCTGCTTTCTACATTCATCTAATGCCGTGTTTCCATGACCGCGCGCAGCTAGACTCAAATAATGAAAAAGCCAAGAATTATCTTTTTTCATTATTCGCGCTAGTTTGTTGACCTTCAGCTGTCATGATTACTATTTTTCGCTTAAACTCGAGATATTTTTATCTTTCATCGGTTTATTTTCGTTTTGACCCGGAACATATTGCTCGTTAAAATAACAGAAATTGCCAATTTTGAAACCAGTCAATCGCCTGGGTACATCCAGTTACACAAACTACCAACCCTTGGGGACCAAAACGTTTGAATAATCTTATTTTCTTGGAGAGAATCGTGCTCAAAAAATGCTTCATTTATACAGAGAGCAAACACAGAAAGAAAGAGAAGATAGAAAAAGCTTTTTCTGGAGGCAAATGGAATACCAAAATAGACAACTGGAGATTTCAAAGCATCAAAAGGCATGGTTGAAAGTAAAAACCAAAATAAAGAGGAAAGAAGTGGGGTGTGGATATGTGTATAACGTGTATATGTGCTTTGAGTGAGAAGAGGTAAAGAAAAGAAAAAACGGCTTTATGAAGAGATTATTGTGTTGGAATGTGAGTTTGTGCTGTGTAATGGTGTATCGTGTATCGTGTCGTGGTGTACTGTGCTGTGTTTGTGGATTGGAATTTGGATTTTAGAACTCAAAACAAAGAGAGGGGGAGACGAGAATGATCAACGATTAATAATAATAATGACAAAAAAAAACTAGGGGACCAGGGAACAGGAACTGAGGCATCGCTTTTTTTTCGGATGAGACGATGAAGAAGTCCTCTATCTTTTGGCAAGTTTAACGCTTGTGTGACGTTGAGGTGAAGCGCGTTCTTTCAGGGAAGATCGAGTGGTTCGCGAGGTTTGCTGGTACAAGATGCCAAATTTGCGTTGAAATTTCACGACTTCGCGGGTGAGTCGATTCATGATATCCAGCGATGTTTCTTCTTCGGAACATCGCAGAGAGCTGGTCAGAGGGACAGGTGTAGTCGGACTGGACGCCGAAAGCACCGAGTTGCACTTGGTGGAAATGAACTCATCATGATCTTCATCCATCAAAGGTAACGTAGACGCACTGCTAAGGGACGACGATGACGATGAGATGGAAAGCGACCGTGATCGACCCATATACTCCGCCTCCTTCAACTCGGCCACATCCACATTGATGTGCGTCACATTGTCATAGGAACCTAGTTTCATGGTACACTCGTGATTTTTCAGCCCATGTTTTCCCGACAATAGCATGTCTTGCTGCATTTTCCCCACATAATCCTGAATTTGTTTCGCTCGTCGGTTCATATCTGCTAGACTCATCTTGGTGGTCGGCAGTTTCACTTTGGTCGGTGGCGAACTTTCACGTGTAGGAAGTCCGTGTTCATCCCAATACGGAGTGTGTGTCGTGACGACCGACACGGTAGGCTCATCCGATATTTGGGGTGTCGATGCTCGCATCCCGACCTTGGTTTGTTTTCCACTATTGGATCGTGCGACAGAGGGACTGGATGACGCCGCCGGGGTGGATCCGGCTCGTTTGCCACCATTCGTGTTGGGCTTTTTTCGTCGAGGCGAAGGAATCTGAATCTCCAAATCCTGCATCTCTTCCAGGGGGGATGCCATCTCGTTACCGCGTGCGCCACGTCGTGAACGTGTCATTCGTTCGGTTTGTTGATTATTTTCTTCTTCTCCAACGACACGATCGTGATCACTCAATTCGTCGGTATTTCCCTCTCGGTCTTCTGACCGAGCCACTGACACCTCGGTCCATCCATCTTCTTCTGCATTCATCTTATCCACGGATCCTACCGACGACGAAACCGAGCTTCGCCTCGACTGAGGAGATGCCTGCGACCGCACATTAGTGGAAGCCACCGCTACCTTTCGATTGGCTTTGGGCGGTTTTTTTCCATTCGCAGGCTGATCCGTACCATTCGCAGCTCGTTTACGTCGTTTGGGTGCTCGGTTTCCATTGGTATCTGAAATTTCTTTCTTGGTCATTTCTGGTGACTGCGAAGATAACGGAGTGGTAACTGAATTTTGGTGACAAGAGTATTTCGGTCAGTTTATGCAACCCGCACTGAGACGATGGACTGCTCCCCCTTGATTCTACTACCCCATTTGGTTCAAAATCAAATATTCAGCCACTCACCTTGAGGAAAAGTATCGGTACTGCCATTAGGATGGTATACACGTTTTATTCTACAATCAACCAAAAAGTCAGATAACCCACAGCCTGGTGTGTCCATTTTAGCATGAGAGCCGAGGGCAGAGGAGCACTTACCGGCCGTGGACTTTGATATAGATATGATTTTCAGGATGACATCGTTCACAGTAATAATGATCGGGGATGCGTTCTTCGGTCAGACCAACACAGTCACAATGCTGCCACACCTCGCACTTGTCGCATTGAACCATTAGCCCAACGTTGTCTATGGAAACCGTGGCATGGAGATGAGTAACACGTTTCACTTCTTTACTCTTTCTGACTTAAAATACATCAGCCACCCCATCGCCTACCCATGCCGTCATATCTTTTCTTTTTTCTTTCAGCTTGCGCGGTTTAGTCAGAGAGGCACAGATCGGACCGTCTGTTCCGTGTTGAACGGGAATTTGGTGCAGTCATTTGATCATGTACCCGTCCGCCTCCCCTTTGCGACAAAGGCACCCACGACCACCTTTTTTCTTTTTTGCTTTTTTTTTTCTTTCCCTCCTTTCCTGAATTGCCACCCATTAAGAATAAAGAGAAAAAAAAGCGACCATTGCCAGTCTGTCCTACTCACGAATTTCACCGCAAACACACCGGGTAACCGACCCGCCATCGGTGCTTTCTTCTTCGGATGTCAGAATCTCTGCAGTTTGTCTGAGCGGCTTGGGTTTCGGGGTCGCTTTACGGTTGCGTCGTGAAGCTAAGAGAAAGAGAGGAGAGGAGGAGCAGATTGGACATTAATCTTCCATTTTGACATTTTCCGGTTTCCTAGCCCGCCCAATGACGAAACAGCAGAAGCGCGTCCCCGATCGATTTTGCTGTGTCTTTTCTGTCGTTCGCAAAGGTACAGGCATGGACTTACTCATGGTAGCAGAGGGTACGATTGAAAGCAATGGGTATAGTTGATGGTACGAAAAAGTGGGGAAAAAAGTAGGAGGTATGTCGAGAAAGAGAAAAGATTTAGAGAGCTCGAATTTATAACGGAATGGAGACGACGTGAATAAGCCAATAAACGAAGCGAAAATAACCGAGCTGTCAAGCTGTGCAAGGTAACAATACAGAAGCAAAGGAATGTTGAGACTTCTTTTTTTTTTATACTTTTCCCTTCAGTCCAAGGGGCACGTCGAGGAAGAAGGAAAGCGGTACGACGGATCTTGAGAATTTTTACAACGAAAAAAAAAAGGGTAAAAAAAGAGGCTCCGCTTCGGAGTCTCCCGAGCAACATCACCCAGGATAATTACAACATCTTGGATAAGGAATAACCAACATACTTTACAAAGTCGTGTACCAGAATTGAACAGCCCACACATTACATTGCTTTATTCTAAGATTGACTGCCGTTGCTCAATGGTCCCCTTCTTTTTTTTGTTCTATACTTGGAGGAATACCAAAGGCAAGATAATAGAAACGGTTCTCGGTGGTTCGTTTTCATTTTTTGAACTCAACAGTTTTCGGACGATGCAAAGAGGGTTTTTCCAACATGAAAACAGATGCTCATTTTGATTGGTTCAGGTGGGTTTTCAATGCGGGGAAAATTCTATCTTGACATGAATCTCACCAGAATCGGACGGATACAGTCGCAACCATTTGTCCACCGTCGTCGCACTGCCACTTGGAAGCAGTTCCCAAATATTCCAGCGACATTCGCCCAGGTCCACTGAATGACTGAACCGATTGTAATCCTTGATCTTAAAGTCAATAATTGTCGGTTTCCTAGCGACCGTGTAGTTGAAACTCTCGTTCCTGAAAAAAAAAAGAAAGGTGTCAGACAAATATAAAACAGTGACACCCGTGAGTCAATGACGTTGACGATGTTAAACCTGGGAGGACATTGCGCGCAAATCACGGAACATCATCCGAAATGGACAAAACTTACCAAACCGGAGTTAATGATTTTTTGATTACTTTGGATTTGAACACGGGTTGTTGGTCGACCGTCACTCGTACATATGGATCGCTTGTACCGCTTTTATCGACGCCTCGAAGTCCTCGGGCTTCCATCAACGTCACCTTGACAACACCGCCCGCATTCCCGGTTTCACTGGCGGTGATTTCATGTTCCTGGCTGCGCAAAGACGTATCGGTCACGGCCAGCGAAGGTGTGCGACTGTGTGCCGAAGCATTGGCTCCTGCACGGTTCGAAATCGATCGCGCCGGTGAAATAGTGGGAGGGAGGTCAAACACCGAGGTCGTGTGCGACGATGTCAGTCCCATTACCCCCGTCAGCATCCGTGTGGTGGACGATAGCACCGAAGTGTGCGTTTTTCGTTTCGCCAACAACTGAGGTTGCCACAGAAATCGGACACGTACCGTGCCTGTCACATCCGGAGGTCCCGCCAACGGAATCTGGACATCCCTTGCCACAAAACTCTCGATAAATTCGCTTGCAAGGGAAATTCCCCCGGATCCTATATTCAAAGACGTTCACTGCCTCTGTACTCTCGTTTCATGGCCCCAAAAGTCGGGCTTTTTCTTTTCTTTACCTAGTGATTCGTCTCCTTGGAATTGGTTCCAATCGAATACTTCAATACGGAAACTTGAACATCTTCGTGATTGCTACGGCGCAGTGAAAGGAGATGAATAAATTTGACATCAGGAAATACACGTTAGAGCACACGATCCATTGGTGATTCGACTTACAATGGGGACCACAAATTGCTCGTTTCTCCATACAGGGCTCAACGATTTCTTGATGGTGATACTCTTGTGAACCCGGGCACCATCGATGGTGAATACCACATAAGGATCACTGGTACCTAGCAATTCATGATTTTAGCCTGTGAACATGCTACTAAGAAAGCTCTATCAATTATCTACCTGATTTATCCACTGCCTTGAGATTCCTTGCGCTGAGTAACGTTACGGTCAAATTTCCCTGATCTACAAACAATGATATCTAAGCGTTTTGCGGTGGGACAAATATGGAGGGGTTGCGCTCCACTTACTTTCCAGGCTTTCATCTGGGCTCAAGTGGAAATTCATGAGTGGCGCATAGCAGAAACTCAACCGAATCTCTGCACCGTCGGAACCGAGCAGCGGGTACCAATCGCCATCGTCGTCGTCGTCTTCCTGTCTATCCGCGTCTGTGCGAGGAATTAACCTGCGTTGGCGCTGTTGTATATGACGAATAATGTTGCTGGCAGTGTCGACCCAATATCCCAGTTTGATGTCATCATTCTCATCGCTATCACTCGGTTTAATTTCCACCACCACGCGTGAAAATTCGGCTTCCTTCACAAACGCATCACCCGCTTCGTTGAAAGGCAACACACGGCCTTTGACCTTGGCTGTTTTGAATTGCGGCGTAAGAGAGTCGACAAGGATCTGCGCGTACGCCTTGGCCACCCGACGCAATCGCACTTCATGGATTCGGACCGTCAACACGCCACAATCGTACGTGCGCAGATCAATCACGTTATCCGGGGTATAGTTGACAGGGAATCCATTCAAATCGTACAACGGAGCAGTGGTCTCGATGTCATTATGGTTAGGTGTAACAGTCACCGTTTCCGGGGCATCGGACGGTTCTGACGAGGATTCTGTTGTTGCAGCGGGTTCGGAAGCTAGTTTTGGCAATGCCATCGTAGGATAAAATTCAGCGCTGTAGTGCAATTCGCCTTTGGCTGACTTTCGTCCCACAGCTCGAAGTGGAGCCCATCTGGCAGTAGTAAAATAAAAATGAGAAAATCCGACCAATGAAAGGAGAGTCGAGAAAATGATAGAGGACAGCGAAGAGGAGGCATACTTACTTGTCTATCTTTGGCGGACTGGCGATGTACCAGGTATGGGTAGTTCCATTTTCTTCTTTGGTCTGTTGGTATACAATGTCTCGCATGTGGAGCACCGCGGAACCGAGCGACTTGTCGCTTGTTTTGGCATTCCAATCCATGACTTCCAAGACGAGATCTTCCTTCATCGAGTGCACGGGAATGTAATGAATTTCGGTCCATTCGGGATTCAAATTATTGTCAATGGCCTCGGTCCGTGCACAGATTCGCGAACCCGACATGACACGCACATAAGGGTCCGATTTACTGCCTGTGGCTGCCTCGACATTCCGCAGATCACGCGCTTCCCACAATGACAATCGAACCACACCAATGGGAGGATCTAGTTACCACGGTTATCTTTTTAGGTTATCTGTTTCACTCGATGATGGTTCGCAATACTTACTGTAGAGACCAAAACCAGTGACACCTAACGCTAGTTCTTTCATGACCACCGGTTTCCATTGCATACTGACGCGAATCCGGCCGCCGGTTTTCCGTTCCCGCAAATAAAGGTCCCACCAGCCGTCGTTCTTGGCTTGTTGTTGCAACATGTCCATAAGATATCCACGCCACACTCCCAACAACGTATCCTCGCCAAACGCCACGCTGTCCTTGATAAGCACGCGAAGGTAGATTTCCGTTTTGTCCAACACCACCACTTCGACGGGCCGTTCAAATTTAGGATTGGGATTACGCTTGAACACTGGCGTTGTCATCTTTTCCGCCCCATTAATCATCACTACAGCATAAGGACTGACCGTCGTTCCACCCAAATGTCGGCATTCATGCACCGTCAAACGAAGCACACCGGAATCTAGTTGCTCATATAAGGAATTCGATTCGATTGTATTGTGACCTGCGTACGCGTCGCCGCTGATTTATGCACTTACTTGATTCTGCCGCGGGCTCCACGGTGCCGTCAGGCAAGTAGGTTGGTTTTGACACTGGCAAGAACCGCATATCTGCTTTCAAGTGGCAAATGGGTTTGCCACGTCGTGTCATTAATAGCTCCCTAAGATACGGGCTTCTGTTAATACGTGACATGTTGTTTTTCCTGGAGATCGACATTTACAATCCAGATGCTTCTCCACTCGCTTCCTCCGATAATTCGTGTAGATCAAAGTGGGTTCTTGCAATGCGGCGATCTTTGGTGTTGTTGTTTTGGCTTCGCAGTTCAAGGGTGAGTATCGAGGTTAAATTGTTTAATAGAAGGAAATGGGTTTCATTCCACCGTGGTTCGAGTGTGTTGGGCAGAACACTGGTTCGTCCGAGTTCCTGGGCTTTATCCAAATAGAATCGAACAAACGGACTGATACTTGCTCCCGAAAAGTCACCGGATTGCAAAGGTGTACAGGAATACACAGTAATAGCCAATACACCATTTGCTTGTGCTGTCGCCGAAACATTTACAGTCAGAAAAACAAAGAGGAATTAATGGTGGTGCAGTATCCTTACTGATATCGAGTTCTCCAGCAAAGAACTTTTCTAGATTAAAGCTGAATACATTGGGGTAATACATCATTGGCCCAAGGATCGTATGTACTTGATCGCGCACAAAGCTCTGCAGCCCTGGAATCTGTAGAAAGTAAGGGACGCTTAAGCAATGATGAAAACAAACACTGTATACCAAAAGGGCACTTACATTGTTCACATCGAAACCAAATGTTTCTCCACCAATCGGTTTAAGCACATAATCAAAGAGCGGTTTGTTCATAAAGCAGGCTTCGACCATCTTGATGTGCGGGAATTTGCTGGTAAACTGGAGTTTGATGCGCATTTGGCCCTTGAAACTCATGTCCTCCACGAGAACGGGGATCCCTGCCCCAACCATGCCTTTTCCCAGACGAATATTAAGCACGACCTTGGGATTCATTTTCTGTTCCACTTGCTTCATCGTCATTTGCGACGTATCGTTTGGCACAAAAGACACTGTCCAATCCATGCACTATATAAACCGTTTAATCATACGAACTGGGACCCCACATCATGATCACAAAATACTGCAAAAAGAGTCTCACAGAATGCGTACCACAGTGTCTGGTTCGGTGTTCAAAAAGGTCTTTACATTGTCGACTCGAAAGGGAGTGGAACCGAGAGTAAAGGTGGTTAATCGAACGGAATCGAGGAACCCAGGAAGATAATCGACCAAATAAGTGTCGATATTTTCAATGACATAGGCGCTCATGACCGGTTCGAAGATGAGCCAAAATTTTTGTAGGAAAGTGTTAAGCCAATGCACGGTTTCGGCATTGGTTTCCAGGCTTTGTTTGACCATTTCTCGATGAATATCATCGCTTGCTTGTCGATGAAATCTTTGATAGTCCAATTGAAGGTACAATCCTAGAACCAGCGTCCGCATTAGACTTTAAGCATGCTGCCATGATTGGGTTTTTTGGTCAGGAGCGGTATTTTACCTACAGCAAGACACAGAAATAGAAACGTGGCCACTCCGAATCCAAAGGTTGCCAGTGTCCATGCTCCTATGCCTACGACGAATATCATTATCGTATCTTGTAACCCTTCCCCACGAAAAAGCAGAAACAGAATCTCTGTGGTAGGGTCATTGTTCTTTTCATTCGCACGCAGATGAGTGGCTCCTCCTGGGTTAGGACGGGAAGACAGGGATGTCCAGCCAATGTTCCAGTGGTCGGGAATACGTGCTGATGGTATAGTGCCGTTGGTTGGGCTTTTGGGTGACCGTGGCGATGCCGTTGACATTCTCCGTGATTTTGTACGTGACACTTGAATGTCGGTCGGCTTGATGGGTTTGAGCTGAGCGCTTGCGAGCGCTTGCATAACTTCGTGGACATCGTAGGTCCCTAGTTCGGTCTGCAAGCCTTTGCGATGACCTAGATTACGAAAGTCTGGTATCAAGTTTGGGGGAATGTCTCTTTCGGCTTCGGCCCGTTTCTGTTCAGGGTGGATATCTGGGTCGAAAACGTGGACGGTGGTATCTGAGGTTTGCATTATCTCTTTGTCCATGGCTTCCTGAGCGGCGAAAGCCTCTTCTTGGTATAGTTTATCCATGTCGGGGCAGGGTAAACGGAAGCGAAACGCTGGGCTTTCGGAATTGTATGCCGGATCTCTTGAATTGGGTCACCGAAAGTTGCTCTCAGCTACAAAAATATGGTTTTTAGTTTTGGCCTCGTTCTTTTTTCCCCTTTGACTTTTTACGGGTTGGGGCTGGATCCAATCAGGAACACGCAATTGCGTTGGTTTTCCGTTATTGTGCCATCTGCACGCATGAATACGATTCTTGCATCAATGTGTTAAGTGTCAGTTATCTTTTTCTTCCTACAATGGCAGTAAAATTGGCTCATGCATTTGTCACACGCGAAAAAAATAATATGTGCCAAGGAATATTTTGACATCCAGACTTTCTAGTGGTCACAGGGTCACAAATGCTGTCATCCTCATTGTTCGCTTTCTATCAATAGAATAAAAATGCATGTGCGCAAATAAACACGCTTGATATGGTAAATACAATGGACACAACTCGCAGGTCAATGGAAGGATCCATCGATGCTTCATCTAAGCAAAATCATTATAGCTTCACAACGGCCATTGGACTCTTTTTTGAACTACATTTTATTTTTCATAATGCAAGGATGCAATGACAAAAGATTTAAGCAGAGTGAAGGGTTTCCAAGAACTTCTTGGAGGCAGCAGTGCTGGCACCCTTCTTCTTGGGCTGAGCCTTGGTGACCTTGCCAGAAGCGCGCTTCTCGGAAGCCAAGATTTCGGCGCGACGGAGGACCTGAGCGTAGGGGTTAAGGCGGTTCATAACACCCTGGTTGCGAAGAGGGTTCTTCTTTTGAGTGTAAGGACGCTTCTGGATCTTGGAACCAGCAGGACGAACGACAGACTGGATTTCGTCCGAGTTGATCAAGCGAGCGACATCAGGGTTGGTCATGATGTGAGCAGGCAAGACGTAGTTGCTCTTCAAAGAAGCAGGGGTCTCGTAGGTACCGTAGAGTTCGTCCAAAAGAGCGAAAGCACTCTGGGTCCAAATGATGAAACGACCCAAGTGACCGCCAGGAGCGAGCTGCAACAAGTTGAGGCGACGGACGTTGACGAGTTCGACACCGGGCAAGTTACGGAAAGCCTTGACGATACCGTTGTCCTCGTTGTAGATAACAAGAGGACCACGGCGTTGACGATGACGACGGTTGCGGAGCTTACCGAGACCAGCACGGAGTTTACGAGAGTTGGACACCTTGACAACGTCAGCATAGGCTTCAATGGCCTTCAACAAGGCGACGGCTTCCTTGGTCTTGCTCAACTTCTCGACAGCGTCGCCAACGACAAGAGGAACTTCCTCAATTTTTTCAACACGATGACCGCGAGCCATGACCAACGAGGGAAGAGCCGAAGCAGCCAAAGCCGAAGCAGTGGCGAAACGCTTCTGGTTCAAGTTGGTCTTGATGTGCCACTTGCGCCAGGTCTAAACATTTCCGAAAACAGAATCAGTTAGTTTTTTGCAACGAGAAATCCGTTGATCCGTCAAGATTTGGGCTGCGCAAAAACGAAAAATCCGCAGCAAGACGGATCTATTGGCAGTTAATTAGCGAGATATACGGTACCTTGGTGGGAGCGAACATACGACCACCACGGCACATGTTGCCAAAAGCGGCTTGACCAGCACGGTGAGTACCGGAACCATTGACACGGGGAATACGAGCAACGGCACGACCAGTACCCCAAGATTCGGCCGAGGTCTGGTGACCGGCCTTTTCAGAGACGGCGTAAGGTTGACGCTTATTCTTGGCCATGTTGGTGTGGACAAAGTTGACAATGTCGGGACGAATGGGAGCCTTGAAAACGGCGGGCAAAGGGACAGTGCCCGTGGTACCCTTGCCGGATTCGGCGTAAACGTTGATGACAGGTCTAGCGGCTGCGGACTATAGTACAAAGACTCTTTAGTACCATGATGCAAACACTCGATGGATGGATCCTTGATGTCTCACCATATTGAGGATGTGTGAAAAAAATAAAGAGAAAGAACACTACTGGAACCATCACCCACCAAGGGCTGGCCTAAGCAAGCGAGAATTTCGCTGTCCGGCAAAATCCGAATCAGCCCACGGCAAATCCGGGGTTTACGCCCGCACCTGTCCGGGGATTATGAGGCGGGCGGGATACTTGGTGAAGCCTCCATCCACGAGCTTGGACATCCTTCCTTTCCATCCATCCTAAAGTAATACACTATGGTACGTGCCGATATCTCATGCATCCTTGCGTGATTATGCTATAAACCAAGTACAAAAGATACAGATGAACTGACTATTTGCTGTTATTAGGGTCGCGTTAGGTAAAAACGAAGAAAACGATTTATTTTTAATCGACACGGATGGATCGCCTCTTGCGGAATTCACCATCGATTCATGTGAATTGAAGAGACTTACGACTTTTTTTTCTTTTTTCTTTAGAACCAAGACTGTCAAGAAGGCCTCGCGTGTCTTGATTGAAAAGTACTATCCTCGTCTTACGTTGGACTTCCAGACCAACAAGAGAATCTGCGATGAAGTGACCATCATCCAGTCCAAGCGTCTCCGTAACAAGATCGCCGGTTTCACCACCCACTTGATGAAGCGTATCTCTCGCGGTCCCGTCCGCGGTATCTCCTTCAAGTTGCAGGAAGAAGAACGTGAACGCAGAGACAACTTCGTTCCCGAATTCTCCGCTTTGGACACCTCCGTCATTGAGATCGATCCCGATACCAAGGATCTTCTCAAGACCCTCAACTTTGAGAACCTTGCCAACGTCCAGGTCACCAACCCTGTCGCTGCCTCGGCCCACGCTGACTTGCGTCGTCCTCGTCGTGACAACCGTGCTCCCCGCAAGGCCGCCGAAGCCACCGCTTAAGTAGAAGTACTTCCCCGATAGTTCTTCGCCAACGCGAAACAGCATTAAAAAAACGGAATCCAACTTTCTCTTTACTTTTTTTATCTGCTCAGTGAACCGATGAGCCATGAGTTTTGATACGCGCTGTTCGTAATTGTGTGAATTGTATATAAACGTAAAGCGTCATATGAGTAGCATGCAAAAGTAAAAGCTTTCTTGAGACTACAGAGTGTATTATTTTGAGGTTTTGAAGGGTAATACAATAGGATCTGAAAGGGAAGAACGACGAGGATATTTCAGTTCACCGCAACAATGCTTTGCGAGGTGTGTTTTTTTTTCTACAGAGACACGCCTTTGGATTGTAAATCAGCTTTGGCAGCTTGAATTTCCTAAAATGAACGTGTTAGAGTGAGCGGTAAAGAACCCGTGCCATGGTCTCTTGAAAGCGTACCGTCATGAGCTCTGCATACGCCTCTGGACAGTCACTAAATGTCATAATATGCCAACCGAGGTTGCCTAGACTGTAAGAACCGAAAGAAACAAGCGCCCACCATGGGAACTATGCAACCCACGTGTTAGTATTCATATGGCGCGTCATGGAATACAATTTGTAATCTTTACCACTGGCACGATTTTATTTTGGATGACATCGGGTAAAGGCAGTAATCCTAAGAAAAGGACAATGTACACAGTGACAGCAATAGCTAATGTGGTAAATGCTTCTGTGGCTCTGGTCATCTTTGCAAAGAAAAAAAAAAAGGTATGTGAACAAAGACGTAGGAAGCGGAGCCCAAGGCACACAAAAGTGGAATGCCGGCAGAACGGTGACTGGCCATTCGGCGGGGTGCCAGTGGGCGGTTTTTGCACTCAGAGATCCAAGTCATCTCCAACACAGCGCGGCTAGACACGTATAACCCAACGGTGCACTCTATAAATGTATCTGGTTTGCAGCAGCTCAATGCCTTGATATACGACGTAAGAATCAACAAGCTGTACTTTTTCCAAGCGTACGCTTTTCGCCAGTATAATTGAAGGAGGTCGCTTTTGTATGGTGCCTGGATAATTACACGTACACAGACAATGCTTCACATACCACACAGCTTTTATTGAACAAATTCCTGATTATCACCAGGATCTCTATACCAATCCTGTTGTTTTACCGGTGTGTTGTCTTTGGAAAATGTAAGGCCATCAAGGGCATGCGTAATTTGGTGCTCCGATTGTGACGGTGAGCATGTGGCAATGCAAGAGCCACGCTTCAACTCTACCAAAAAGGGTCGCTCATTTTATTCTATTTTTTGTTACCGTTAGACGCGCATCATGGTAAGCGTGTGGAAACACGGCAAATGTGAATGTCTGGTTAATTATCGTTGCTTTTTTCTCAGGGTACAGGTGCAGATAAAACTGTAGGAGCGGTGGCCTTTTTTTCCGCGGTCACCATCTTTACCTATTACACCATCTGGGCATTGCTCATGGTAACAAAAAAAAAAAAAAAAAACCAACTCATTTCCGCCTTTGACAGCAGCTTGACATTTTGACCTTTTTCGTGTTTTCTTAGCCTTTTGTAGATGAGGGCCATCCTTTGCATAATTATTTCCCTCCTTGGGAATACGCTATCCGCGTACCACTGATTATCCTTATTGTGGGTCTGACCGTCATATTCACGTTTCTCGGTCTGGTCATGATCAAGAGTAAGAATAACCAGACCAAAAAGGCAAAATAACCATGGATACGGTTCTCCAGCCAGCAACAATCTTCCTTTTAATGTAACTGATACGATATCCTACTATTATTGTCCCTGTTTTTTTTTGGCACCAAATCAATAACACACTCTGTCGCAACCAATCGCATCATTGTTTATTGAACTGCACATCCGGCTTATTCGGCTTTCAATGTTCGTTTCCGCATGGTTTGAGAGGTCTTGACTTCCAGGTCACTGAGCTTTTTGTCTTCCGCCTTTTCTGATGCCTGCAGCCGTTGTTTCTGTAGCTTCATGAAAAACGGATAGCTAAGCTTGTAGAATCCCCACAGCAACGCGGCTCCCCATAGATGGTAGTAGTAAATGCCGCGCCATATGTGTAAAATACGCGAGATGTAAAGCAAATCGAATGCTCCAATGAGGAAATTGATCACAGTGTAAGTAAAGAACCATCCAACCACATCGTATGCGGATTTCCAAAACGGACGAGGCGTCTTTTGGTCCGGCTCCAGAGTGAGAGGTCGGATCAGACGTCGGCAACTACGACTCAAAGTCTGATACACACCCACAGGGATGAAAAAGACTACACAAAAAAATCTTGGTAAGAAAATCTGTGTGCGATGACTTGGCTTTTTTCAGTCATGACAATGATGAGAGATACTTGCGATAGTAGCCTGGATGGAATCCGTGCCACATGGCCGAGATGGCATAGACACAAAAAGTGTTTTTGATGGCCGGTTTGGCCCCCGGAGGCGTGAGACGAAGATAGACATAGTGACGGAGCCAGATGTTGGCTTTCATGTTCCAGTTTTCCGTGTAGTATTTGACCGAAGGCGCGGTTTCGCACTCACGGATACGAACATTACGTAAACGATCCCATTGCGGTTTGCCCTCACTATTGATACCGCTGAATCCCAATCCACATAGCACACAAGCTCCCTCGGCCATTACCCACACCGAGTAATACTTGACACGCGTCATGAAGCCACAAGCCTGCAGAAAGAAAAATCTGCCACCCTTCCCGTTCAGTATCCTTGGCTGACGATGAAGATGGCTTGGTTAACTGCTTACCTCTGGTAGAATGGCATCGCGAGATAGGCGGGCTCCAGCGCCGCATAGTAGTTGTAGGTAGGCGCAAAAAGGACGAGAATGATGACAAGTATAATACTTTTGGTAAGGACGAACATGGCCGGTTTCCAGGTACTTAAATTAGACGACACGGGTTTTTTGGACTCGTTGGGAGCGGTCTCGACCAGGGGAAGGTTGGTGAAGCGAATGTAATCCATGTATTCGCACACCGGGCCCGTCAGGAAGCCGCCAAAAAAGAAGGCCCAGCCAAAGAATTCGATCAACGTAGGGTATCGTGCGATTTTCATTCGCTGATTGTATTCAGTCAGGTACCGGTCCTCCGTACGTCCATCCAGTACGTTAAACCCAAATGAAGACAGCTTGATCGTCAGTACCATCAACGCTCCTGAATAATCCAGTTGACTGTCGCCCACGTAGCCTTTCAACTGACGATCGATGTGACTAGAACAGACGGCGAGAGCAAGTACTGGAGATCAGTCGGACTGCCCGATGAGCGAAATGAACCAAAAACTTACCAAAACGCCATACTTGCCATGACCAATCCAAAGTTCAACCAAGGACCCGCCTGCCCACGGTAGTACTTCATCAAGAAAAAGGTGGCAAGACAAGTGGCTCCTATGTGCACCATGCCAAAGTACAGATGGAGCACTTCCAGCATGATAAATAGGATAAATGTAATGGACAGTAGATGCTTCACATTGGGACGACCCGGTGGTAGATAAGTGTAAAGAACGGCGCAAGGATAGGTAAAGAGGATCGATGCCACCAGCTTCAACTGGTCGGCCGAGACCGTGTCTCCCAGCAACGATGCCGCTTTCTCAAAGAGCGCGTCCATTCGATCTAGATTAGTAAAGTAAACGAAACGAGGTACACCGAATTTAACCGAAATCAGGAACAAAAAGAAGAACGAAGACATGTGCATGACAGTGACTGACATGGTTTTTTATGCGATGCAGTGGCGTGACTCGACAGAAATAAGGTTTTTCAAAATGCAAACACAGCAAGGGATTCGTCGACACGGCGGATAGGAGGTGAGTTCTTGAACACGGGAATCCGAGCTCCACACTTCCTTGACACTTGCTTTTTTGCTTTTCCTCTTCCCCTGAAATTTCTCCCTTGACTTGCCATTGCCCACTCACCCCGTGCGGTAAGCACGGTCTATGGAACCCAGTGTAACGTCTTGAAACAGACAGTGTTTTGGATGCAGCTACTCATACACACGTATAAAAGGTATATATACCGTTCAAACGATACAGCACTGTAGTACAGATTTCAGGGTCGCTGCATAAAAACCCGTTTGTTGTCATACACTGAAATGAAGATTCCCGAAAAAGGATGCCACTAAGTACTTGGAATTATATGTTCTTCTGTCATTTTACAAAATCCATTACTCCCTGGAGCCCCTAGACTTTTCATTGGAGTTCAACCACTACCTTCACTATATTGATACCATTTGCATCATGCATGTATTCTGATTCGCACGTTGCGCACTGTACACACATACAGTTTCAATGCTATACATCCGTTTTCATCGCCCATGTTATTTAATCATTCACCCATTTTTTTTTATGACGCAATAAGTGGTTTTATAAAATTCGGCCAGATATGTTGAACACATTACAAAGGATACCTTTTTATTTCTCCTAACGCACAGAGTAAGTGGATTCGCACTCAAGGCATTGAGAATATATTACTGCGCCAGTTTAATAGACCAAAGGTCTCACGCCAAGGTACAGTTATACAAATGCGAACATTACTCAATCATGTGGTTAATGTACTGTATACTGTAATAAGCACGGATGTTTTGCGTCAAAAATTTCCTATGGTACTCAAGCGTTCTCTCGACATGTTTTGCTGAAATAATAATTTCAGGAAATTTATAGCATTGTTTATCCCATTATGTGGATTGATCATGGGTTTTCATAATGTTGGATACCGTGCATATAACACATGAAAAGGAACTGATCCTATCTTGTTGGATGTTAAAGTCATCATGGATGAATATCACAAGAACGAAACAATATACTCATACATTGTCCAGCGGCACGAGGAAAATCCAGATGCAGATTTACCATGTACCATTCGTAAAAAAGAGGTGGAGAAAAATGCTGTTGGCCTTTCCGTTGGCTTTCTTTCCAAAATCACATGAAAATTGAAAAAAGCCCAAATGATATGGATTCATCATGATCTGCATGTGATAATAATCCTTTCTTCTACCTCTACCTTTTTTTTCGTTGATCTTTTTTTTTTTATTAATCGGATGCATGCATTTTCGAAACCACTGGATATTCGTTCAGGGCCACTACGCAAGACTCTCCTCATCGCCGCCATGGTGACCATCGGATCGACGGCTGCCATGTACCGACGATCTCTTCCATCATCGCCATCGTTGATCAGGACAAAGGGTCCCACAAGTGAACAGAACTCCAACGATCCTACCGGTTTTCCTATTGTGGATAGCCAGACAGAAGTGGGCGTGAATAGGGAATTTTTGCGCCAACTGCGCGCCATTGCCACTATCCTTTTTCCGCGGTTACGGACCAAGGAAATATTTATTCTCTTCTTGCACACAGTGTTCCTCATTCTGCGAACGTATTTGAGTGTAGTGGTAGCCCGACTGGATGGTCATATCGTGAAGAATCTGGTCAGTTTGGTCCCATTTTTTTTATGCCCCACATCAAGGCTAACCATGGCCGCTTGCATAGATTAAAGGTCATCGACAACGATTTCTGAAAGGATTGGTCTACTGGTTCGTTATTGCCATTCCCGCCACTTATACGAATAGTTTGGTAAATACACCCGCGATTGTATAATGGCTTCTTTTTGGCTTGATTTGACGTAGTCTGTGTTGTGTGTCAATTAGATTCGCTATCTCCAATCGAAACTGTCGATCGGTTTCCGCACACGCCTCACAAAGTATATCCATGACCTATACTTGGACGAACACAGGACCTTTTACAATATTATTCACCTCGATAGTCGTATCCAGGGAGCCGATCAGTAAGTGCAATATGAACAACATGGTATTCCACGTACGCAACGTCTGATTCATTTTTCCGTTTCCGTAGATACATTACGACAGATGTCGCTAAATTTTGTGACACGTTGGCATCGCTTTACTCGAATCTGGCCAAACCTCTTTTGGATACCATCATTTTCAATTACCAGCTGATGAAGTCCATTGGCGTTTACGGTATGCTGGGTCTTACCGTCAACTATTTCGTGACGGCTCGTCTGTTACGGGCCGTCACTCCATCGTTTGGTAAATTGGCTGCCATGGAAGCGAAGCTAGAGGTAAGCCCGGAATCAATGAGCGACTAGGGGAAGGCAATCCCAACTTTTTTTTTTTCTTTATGACGGGTCGTAGGGCGATTTCCGAGCGGCCCATACGCGGTTGATCACCAACGCGGAGGAGGTGGCGTTTTACAATGGGGCGCCATTGGAACTGTCCATTCTGAACAAGACATATATGCAGCTTATCAAGCACATCAATTACATCTATAAACTACGGATCAGTTACCACATGTTTGAAGACTTTCTTATCAAGTACGCTTGGAGTGCCTTTGGTTTGATCATGTGCGCTATCCCTGTCTTCAAACCAGGCATGGTCCACGCCCTCAACGTCCAAACGGAAACAGATGAAAATGCACGAGTGGGCGCTCGAACCCGCGGTTTCATTACCAATAAAAGGTAGAGTAAGAAAAATCCGCAGCGAAACACTCTATCGCATGGGCGATGAGCGGATGGCTAATACCCGATCGTTAGACTCATGATGTCACTGGCCGATGCGGGCGGACGCATGATGTATTCTTACAAGGAAATGGCCGAATTGGCCGGATACACGTCGCGTGTGTACAATTTGTTATCGGTTTTGCATGCCCTACGACGCAAACAGTACGATGGACCCAAGGAAGCGCAACGATTTACATTGACAAATATTCAAGGTCATTTGAAAGAAGGCCACGACGGTATTACGTTTGATAAAGTGCCCATTGTGGCCCCGAGCCCGGGTGTAGATCGTACCGGCGAAGTGCTGGTCAACCAGCTATCGTTCGACATCCATCCAGGGCAGCATGTTCTGATCACGGGACCCAACGGCGTGGGGAAGACGGCCGTCGCGCGTGTCCTTGCGTCATTGTGGCCCACATTTGGTAAGCTTGCTATTTGTCAATGGATTTCGTAATTTGTTGGGTTAAAAATTCGTAATGCTCAGAGGGGGACCTGTCAAGACCGCATGAGAATGACATCGTTTATATTCCGCAACGTCCATATCTCAGCATTGGCACCCTGAGGGATCAGTAAGTGAAGAAAAGATGCAAAAACAAAAATACACTGTGGCCATACTCACCCTTTTTGTTTAGAGTGATTTATCCTTTCTCGGAAGAGCAAATGAGAGCGAAAAATATCACCGAGGACCATCTGATGGCCATTCTAGACATCGTGCACTTGGCCTACTTACCAGGACGTGAAGGTGGATGGGACACTGTCAAAGAATGGAAAGATGTGTTTTCCGGCGGTGAAAAGCAACGGGTAAGCGGACTATGAGTATCATATCATGATCGAATACAACCGGTGCTCACGAAGAATGTCTTATGTTTTCAAAGATCAACATGGCTCGATTATTTTTCCATCGTCCCAAATACGCCGTTCTGGATGAATGCACCAGCGCCGTGTCGAGCGATGTCGAAGGGTTAATGTATTCACAAGCAAAAGACATGGGCATCAGTAAGTACCCTTATCATCCATGGAAAAACAATATGAAAAAAACTGAGCATGTTGTATTTAATATGAAATTAGCACTTTTGACTATTTCTCATCGTCCCGCTCTTTTCAAATACCATCAATATTTGTTGCGTCTGACCGGTAATGACGGACAGTGGGAATGGGAAACCATCGGGACCCGTGAACTATTGCAATCGGTCGAAAAGGAGAGACAAACTCTAGAAACCAAGCTAAAAAGGGTTCAATCGCTTGAATCTCGCCTGGCGGAAATCAATAGTGAATTGAATTTGAAGACCATCTAGGATAACATGCCATAAACTATTTGATTCTACTATGTAATTTATGCTATTTGCCACTCTTCCTCCCTCCTTCCATCACATCCCTTGCCCAACCTTCCTTACATAACCGTTCGTTTGTAATTGCTATCAATAACCATATTCTATGTGTGAACTGCTGGTTTATTGAGATAAATGAATGTTTTTTACGGTAATCCAAGTGGACGCCGTGATGAAAGGTGTGAATGACAAAAGCGGAAATGCAAGAGGGTTTGAGGAAGAACGAACAGTTTACTGGGTCTTGTTGCCTCTAAATCGCATGCGAGGATCAATCTATACACATTGTAAAAAGTCAATTGACTCTGATGTGCTCCAGTACATGGACAGAGAGACGGCTTACCATGCCTCGTTTACATTCAGCAAAACTTCGGCGGATGCTTTGACATTCAGCAGGTACGTCGGCTTCGTGCTCCTTCTTGAAACATTCGGCCACTGTATTGCGTTTGACTAGTACGCAATTGGACTTGAGCATGCACTGAATAAGCTCTTCTCGAATTTCTTTACAGCTTGAAGGCATAACGAGTGGAATGAATGATCTTGAAAGTGAATCGCAAAAAGGGACCTGCAACCATGTTTATCTTTGCGGAGTCCTAATTCTTCCTTTCGCTCATCCACTCAAAACGTCTGCCCACATCCATGGAAAAACTTCTGGCTTTTTTTCCTTGCACCAAGATGCCCATCGTCAGTATTGCTATTGCATATTGATAAGATTTTTTTCATGAATATTATTCAAGTTTCTCACAGACGATCTTTCCAAAAAACAAGCTCAGATAAGGTTTGACAGAAATTTAATAAAGTTTTGTGAAGGGAAATTTATAAAAAGCAGGACAGGTATGTCCACTCTGTCCACATATCTACACACTGAGCAGGAATGTCTTCACCGGCAAAAATCAAATATTATTTTGAATGGGATGACTAAAATCGACAAAGGATGAACTTCAATGGGAGCACTGACTGTTTAGCTTCTCAGCCAAAAATTCAGAAACGCCACAATAAGAACCTTCACAAACAACAGCACAGCATTAGTGACAAAATCAGGCGACATCACGTAAAAATACATGATATATGCAAAAAGTGCTGTACAATCACTAGATCGAATACAGTATCAGCATATTTCAGAAGTAGCGAGTATTCAAGCCGGTTATGATACCTCAGTCGAGGCAATAATCGCAATCCGTTATACGAAGCACAAATCCCAAAGAAATATTTCAACAAAAGTCAACAGGAAGCGGGCCATTGGCGATGATCAATTTTTCTATCTGGCAGCGATATGATAGTCGTATTTTAGCTGTCGGGACATGTCAACTTTCGGTGTCAAACATGGATTACGGCCACTGGGCAGCCTAGCTTGTTCCTTGAGGTCATGGTACTGGTGGTTCGGCACTGTACCGAGAAATGACTGGATCATCTGAATCCGCTAATATCACTATCCTCCTTTTTTTCTGTGCATTTGTAGTGTCTTCTTATTGGCGTTGTGGTATATCCACTACTTGTCGTATTATCCATCCTAGACTGGTGTTCCCAAACAGGAAAGATCGGGATCTAGACGTGTTTCCATTCTGAGTGAGCTTCTCCATTAGAACACCGATTGAGCCTCTTCATCCATAACTTGGATCTATCGCCGAGATCAATTCATACGGCTAAAGCTGTCACATCACAGCATGTGGATCCTTCCTAATACACCTTATAACCGAGGACTGCTCACTGATAATTATTAATTCCGACTCAAGACTAAAGTATAAATAGGCAGAGCACATTAATCAAAATGAAAACCATCCAACAGTCTCAAAGGATTCTCACTGTCTCTTTTGTTCAAAATTCTCTCATATATCACAGGGACGAAGAAGATCGGTGATACTTGAAGATGGAGATCTGGGTCTCATGGGACCTGAGGCTTGCGGCTTTGAATTCAACACCACGTTGGCGCATTCCTTTCATCGGCATGTCGTCAAGGTTATCGTTGCAGTTTATTGCCATAGTGCACTTTCGGGAGGGTAGCTGGCCCGTTGGTGTCGTTTTATTCGCACTCGCTGGTTGTGGTTCCACGGTGCTTTTTTTCAGATCACCGGTACACATGCTGGTGTTCATACCGCTAGTCAGTGCAGACTGCAGTACAGCTCTTTGGCATCGGGTGTCTAAGGAACGAAAGTGGGCTATATGCCAACAATAGCCACAAAATTATCATGTATGGCAAAAAAAACGTCGCAAAATTGCATTACCTAGAGCATAGATCCCGATTACGGATAGGTTGGCAGAAAACGGGATATTGTGACAGGATTCATGCATTTGTGGCGGCAAAAGCGGGTGCAGCCGACGGGAACGCCGGAATGTTCGCTGATATGAAAACAACCTTAATTTACGCATGGACGGCGGCAAACATTACCATGACTTCCCTAAACATGACACTTTAATTTTCTTGCACCATTCGTTCCGTCGACTTCGATTTAGTAGGATTTGAGACTTCCCGCGTCTTTTTATATTGAGATGGGGGCTCAAACGACTTGATTGTTTTTTCAGGATGAATATTTTTTGTTTTCATTTTAGGAACAGGTTTCAGATAAAATCAATGGGCCAAAGCAAATTTAGGGAAAAAAGAGGTGATATTATGCAAAAAGGTTCACCAAGACGTCCCGCCTCACACAGGGACGTTCCATAACAGGGAAACGCGTCTGGGAACAATGAAAACGGAATGCGACCCATTGGATGGGACTGCCATTTTCGAATATAAAAGGTTCTGGCGTTTTTCCTTTTTCCCTTTTCTCTTTTCTCCTTCCTCTTTAGTTTTTCCCCCTTTTACTGCCTTTTCCCGCTTTTACCTCACTCCAACTGCCTTTACTGCCCGCTCTCTTATCTCTCACGTTATTATCTTTATTATCTCGTCCTTTTTTAACTTTTACTTATCTTTAACCCTTAACATGCTCAAGAGCATTGAACAGTCCTTTACGCCGACCCTTGGTGAGCAAGCAGCCTTTGACCAGAAGTTGTTGCAAGCGACAATTAAGTTGAAGAACCTCACCTTGGAGGACAACTTCCAGGCGCAATCGTCTTCACCGAGCAGCCCGAAAGCAGTGGGCCATTTCAACAACGCCGTTTATCCATGCAAGCGCGGCAAAGACTTCGATGACCTCCAGTCATGCGGCGTAAAAAAGATTAAGAGTGCGGACGAAGGTAACTTTCAAAAAATTCTCAGTAATGCTTGTTGCATATGAACACAAAATAACTGACCTCCCCTTTTTTTATGTGATTTTGCCATTTTAGACCCCGCCATTACTGAAGTTCCAAGAGGCACAGTCGAAACCGAATTTGACTTCCATCTCAGTTACTAACAAATTTAAGTTATTAGTGGAGATTGAAGAAGTTGACGGAGAAGAAGAAGAGATCTTTTACGACGCGATGGACATTGATTGGGGTGAAGGTGAAGATGCAGAATTTTGGTTTGACGCGATGTCGACAATCCATATTGGTTGGCGCTCGAAGTTCGCGTGATGGAAGTAAAGGAGAAGATGCTCAAGGAAGAAGCGAAGAATGCAATGGAAGTCGACGAGGTACAAGAATGCAGCTGCTTGGTGGGAGAGCAGATCGTTTAGGTGGTAGAACCACTGGCCACAGTGAGCCACGAGATGCCGATGCCGGCTATGCAAGTGTAAGTTATATTCCAAAACCCACTCTTGCGTAATGTCCATATTAACAACAAGGATAATAGTTCCAATGCCATGTTTGTTGACAAAGATGTGGAAGAAGAACCGGTGGCCATTAAGAAGCAATGCTTTGGCGATATTGATGAACGTGCCGCATTCGAAGAAGAAGAAGAGGAGGTTGACCGTGAAGAAGGATTCGTTGAAGATCGTGCGGTGGAGGCCGAGGAAGAAAAGCAAGAAGAACCCGAGGTAGATCGCAATACAAAAGAGTCCGGTGTTGAAAGCACTGGCGGCCAGGAAGGAGGTCATCTCGCAAAAGATGATCGCGTGGATGAAGAGAGTGACGGGCTGTCAGAGGAGCTTGACTGATACATGCGGTGAAGAGATTGAAGAACGACCGGTTGGAGAAGCTGAGGACGCATATGCAGCATTCCTCAAAGAAGGCCCGCAAAATGCAGCCACGGCGTTCGCAATGTTGGCGGAGATGGCATCCGACGAGGAGGAAGAGGAGGTCGACGATGCCTTCATCTTTGAATGAAGGCGAATGAAGCCACACAAGCAAGAGATCAAAATACCCTAAAGTAAGTCACCATACTTTGCACACGAAAACTGGAATTAACGGGGATATGGTTATCAATTTAGAACAAACCTCAAGAACATATGCCAAAAGGAATGCAAAAACAAAGACAAGAGCAAAACCAGTGATGCAAAGTAAGTGAAAGTAAACCCCCATCCATATGAATGGCCATATACTAAGTAACAAATAGGTCGACGATGTAACATTGTCAATTGGGTAGCAAGGATACGGTCAAGAATCTCACCCGACAATCACAGCAGCCATATTAAATCTGGGGATAAGTTTACCACAGCTGCTACAATTAGCTTCAGATTCGAATTAATCTTTGTAGTATCAATCTAGCTATGCTTCTCCTATATCGACGACTAGAATTTGCACAGCAGCGGTGAAGTGAAAAGATAATATCAAGCACCAAAGAAAAAGGAGACCGTCTCCTGTCGATCCTGGCTTAGTGATCGTGTGTTTTACGATCGTGTATTTACTACCGTTTTCCCAGTCCTGCCCGGTCCTGGCTTTGCAATCGTGTGTTTTATTACTATCTTTCGCGGTTTCCAAATGTGCGCCACCCACGATCGAGTATCAATATGAATCAGTACGACCCCGGTATTATGGGTGTCACGATCAAACCTGCCTCTACATCACGCGCAGTCATACACGATTGGAGGTAAGCCTAATTACAACTGCCACAAGCAAATTCAGATTCAATGTAATGTGTGTGATATCAGCATAATTTTCCTATCATCACATCCGTAATGAAAATTTGCAAGCCAGCAGCGATGGGCGCTATTCCCGATCGTGAACGAGAACAACGAAGTTGGGCAATCAATATGCCAAATTGAATTGTCGCATCCGAGTGTCACAAAAAAGAATCCGTGTCGTGCTCATTTTTTCGCTCTGCGCCGTCCATCCTTTTACAACGCACATCACGTCGCCCAAATCTCAGTTGGCAAGAGCTCGAAGGTCGTTCTTTTTCCGAATTGTCTCTTCCCGGCGATTCCCATCTCGTCATCCACGCATCAAGGAATCGGCTGTGCATTTCAAGTTTTCGGTGACAACTTGGCTCCTGGCCTAAGACGTATAGGCGATCTTCAAGGATACGACAGCACGAAAGAAACTATGGGGCAATACACGCATATGAGTAAGTGAGCTTTTTTTCTTTTTTTGTCTGTGACCTGCAATAACCGTAGCCTCATGAATTTAGGGATAAATGCATATCAAATCACACTGTCAAGACCCCCATCTGGCAGCCATGGCAAGTGGTTTGTTTCCAATATTGTACATAGTAAGTAGCTCACATTCAAGGTTACTGCAGCATTGTACTAAAGCTTTTTATGCAGGTTTCATTTGAATAGGGCACCATGGCTACATGAAGAGAGAGAAAAGAAAAAGAAAGGTTTTGCCGGGTGTGGTAGGGTTCAGGTGGAGTTCCTAAAGTACTGCAACGTCGACATTAGTCCTGCCAAGAAACTAGTCCCGCCTAAGGTCTCACCCGCGCGTACCTACCTTGCGGTATCTGGTGCGGACAGTTCTACCGAATGGTTCCGAGTGGAAGTTGTGGCGAAGTGAGTTGCAAGAGGTGGGGGTCGGGGGCTAGGGGTCAGGGGTCAGGGGGAGAAGAGGTCCGGGGAAAAGAGGTGGGGTGAAAAATTGTGTAGAGAAGGAAAAGAGGTGGGATGGTAAAGATGTGCAGGGTGGGGAAAAGAGGTGGAGGCGGGGGCCGGGGACGAGCTCATTTCAAAGCAATGGATACTTTGGGATTCGACTGCTGTGAATTTGTTCCGTCGATAGATGCCTGCATGTTGTAGAATGGCAGCAGAGAGACAGCGAAGGACAAAGACGGCGGTGGGACAAAATTAGGCGTTGCAGGAAACAGGGACGATGAGATCGGATCCTTCCACAATCAACCCGATAGACCTAAAGTAAAAAAAATAAAAATAAAAAAAAAAGAATATCGCCATGGTGCCCATTTAGTTTAGTCATTGTTTCTTTATTCCTTTTTTATTCTTGCCTTAGCTGTCAGACGATAAATAACAAACATTGTATCATATACTGTATGTCTATACCACACCTTTATTTGATCTTTTATGATTATCAAAAACAAACAGTATAGAAACCAGGTTCTTATTGGATGGGAAGAATGAAGCTTTGTGGAGAAACAAACGAGGACAACTAAACGAATCTGATCCCCAAGAGAATGACAAGATCGAATAGCCATCAGCACTTGAAAACATAGATTCATCATCTTTCCCATGTCATGATTTTCATTCCTTCTTCTTTACTATCACGTTTTCGGCGCTGAAAGATAACATCGAACAACTGCTGCTGTGATGAGTGAGATGCTGATGAACGATCGCGACACAGTTCGTCGATTGGGTTCTTGTGTTGTCATTCAATAAGAATAAAGGCTGTAAGAATTTAAGGTGCGTATGAGGCTGGGGTCAACGATTCTCTGAATTTTTTCACTAAAACACATGGCGAAAACGTGGGAAACAATGTCCTAAATGAACACATGGCCGTAGCAAGAACGAGAATAATAAAGGGACATATGTATTTTCTATTAAGAGTAAATTTTTCTGATCTTTTTGGGTTTTTACATTCTGAAAACGCCAAAGTTGGTCTTTTCGATGGGGGCGTTCAAGCTGGCACTCAATGCCAGGCCGAGAACGTGACGGGTATCGCGGGGGTTGATGATACCGTCATCCCATAAGCGTGCGCTAGAGAAGTAAGGATGACCTTCACGTTCATACTTTTCCCGAATAGGTGCCATGAACTTTTCTTGTTCTTCCTCGGGCCACTCAATACCCTTCTTTGCCTTGCTCTCTCGGGTAATCTGAGCCAAGACGTTGGCACTCTGCTCACCACCCATCACGGAGATACGAGCATTCTATGACATCCAAGTCTCATTAGTCACAGAGGTTCCCCACAACCTACCCATATCGCGGGAAAAAAAAAGTCAGAAAGCAAACAAAGACACTTACAGGGTACATCCATAAGAATCGAGGGGAATAGGCACGACCGCACATGCCGTAGTTACCGGCACCGAAACTGCCGCCGGTGATGATGGTGAATTTGGGGACCTGGGCGCATGAAACGGCTGTGACTAGTTTGGCACCGTTCTTGGCAATGCCACCAGCTTCCGCGGATGAACCGACCATGAAACCAGTGATGTTTTGCAAGAATACCAAGGGTATACCTCTCTGAGAGCACAGCTGGATGAAATGGGCACCCTTGAGAGCAGATTCCGAGAACAGAATACCGTTATTTGCCACAATACCGACAGGGTAACCGTGAATGTGAGCAAAACCTATCAACAGCGCGCGTTAGGGTTATTATCCGTTGAAGTTGATGTAAGTGGGGGCATCGTTTACCTGTGACGAGAGTAGTGCCGTAGTGTTCCTTGAATTCCGCGAATCGGCTACCATCGACAATACGTGCAATGATATTCTTGGCATCAAAGGGTTTACGCAAGTTGTCACCCACAATACCACCAATTTCACTAGGTGAATACAAAGGTTCCTCGGGAGTTCGCACGGCAAGCTTATGGATGCAATTGAATATTAGCTCACCGACCGTAGGAGCACACAAGTCTCATTATTCTTCTTACCTGAGGCTGCTTCACACGATTCAAGGAGCCCACCACACGACGAGCAAGGACAAGAGCATGCTCATCGTTCAATGCGTAATGATCGGTCACACCGGATGTACGACCTATGGTGTCTTAGTTATCTCTCACACGACGTTAGTAAGGATGTAACCACTTACAGTGAAGATCGGCACCACCGAGATCTTCGGCACTAATGTTTTCACCAATCGCTGCCTTGACAAGGGGAGGACCGGCCAAGAAAATAGTACCCTGCTTTCGGACAATGATACTTTCATCGGACATGGCAGGAACGTAAGCACCACCCGCCGTGCATGAACCCATCACAGCCGCAATTTGTGGAATACCACGAGCCGACATGTTGGCCTAGTAAGAAGGGATTGATTACATCACCTAGCTTAAAAAACGCCGCGTCTCTTTCTTGGTTTTTGTTTGTTTGTTTGTTTTTTACCTGGTTGAAAAAAATACGACCAAAGTGTTCACGGTCAGGGAATACATCAGCTTGACGAGGCAAGTTGGCACCTCCAGAGTCGACTGTAATCCATTAAAAAATGTATCAATATCTTGTTTCAAGAGGACATGCAATCACGCTTTTGTACATACCCAAATAAATGCAAGGAAGATTGTTATCTTTGGCAATTTCCTGAGCACGAAGATGCTTCTTGACTGTTCAACCATGATCATCAGACTCTACTTTAATTTGTGCACGAACTGCAACAAGTACCTGTAATGGGGTAATAGGATCCACCCTAGACAAAACGGTTGACGATAAGCGATTCGTTGCTTTGACGTTGCACGAGCTAAGCATTGACTTACCTTGACGGTGGGATCATTGGCCACAATCATACATTCCACACTTTTTCACCAATGACATCAGACACATGCGTACAGGATGATCGCCACGGTTGATGAGTCACTTACCCATTGACACGACCGATACCGGTAATGATACCACCCGCTGCCACTTCTTCGTCGTACAACTGGTAACCTGCCAAAGGAGACATTTCAAGGAAAGGAGTACTTTTTTTTTTTGTTTCAACTCTCGGTTAATGATCTGTTTTCCAAGCAAGCAAGTCATCGTAGGGCAAAATCACTCACTTTGGGTCCAACAAGCGGTTGATTCTATGAGATGAGCGTGAGAACGGAGATCCAATATTCACATTTTTTTTTTCCCATTTCTTTTTTTGACAAGCAGTTCCAGTCTTACCTGTCTCGTGGTAACATCTTGTTTCTAGACAAATGACGTTGACGAGCCGTTTCACCACCACCTAAGAGAAGAGGTCACAGTTGGTTAACACTGTGCCAGTCTGGTCCAACGAGCTCAACCTTACCCAGTTTGATTTTTTCAGTGACCAATTCGAGATCATCGATCAGCTTCTGCATCTTTTCCGCATTTTCCTAGTGATTTTACTTCATGATGAATATCGTCACGCTTTTCAATGTGTTCATGCGTGCAGCGTAATCAACTCACCTTGAAGCTAGCACTGGCGGTTTCGATTCTGTTGGGAAGCACCGTGGCCTCTGCTTCGTGCCACATATGATATGCGCGAAGAGCCGCGGCCTTGTTGACAGTAGCCTTTTGCGAAAGCAGGCGTGAATTCCGAAGTAAAGAACGCGACAGCATTGAGTTGAAAGTAAAAAGAAAGAGATAGAGAGGAAAGAGAGAGTAAGAGGAAAAGAGGAGGTTGAAGAACAAGGAAGAACAGTAAGTCGTGGGGAAAAAGAAGGATATTTCCCACGGTTCATCCAGAGCAGGACGGAATTTCCAAGTCACACGGAAACTCCGCCTTTTTGGAGGCAAACCTGACGCCGCGGTGAAGACCAGGCGAGCGAGCCCAGTCACGTTGAGATCCAATCCGGTCCCACAGGCGTCGACTCGTTTTCGCTCCGCTTCACTTTGCAAAAAAGAGCACCAATGGGCAATAAGATCTCCAATGTCACTTCCTCTATGGAAATTGACAGTTTCCTCACTGGCATTGGTGATATTTACTATGAAAGAAGGTACACTTTGTGTTTGTGCTAATGCCGTTCAAAAACGACCTGTCCATGCTTTATCACCATTTATGCATTAACGCTTTTTCTTTTGTTTTATCTATTTGTCTTGGTCCAACTACAGCATTGGCCGAGGTCGGTTCCTAAAGACTATTCGAGGACGACATAAAGACACGGTGATTGTGGTCAAAATATTTATCAAGCCAGAAATCGGCATGTCGCTGCGAAACTACGTAAAACGGCTACAATGTACGGATAGCTGGATCATCTCCTGTATCTCCGACTGATTTTAACTCAACGTCACCTTTTTTTTTTCTATCTGCATTATCATACAGCGGAATACGATGCGCTTCTCGATATTCCCAACGTTTTCTTCTTCCAAAGAGTCCTTGAAACCGATCGAGCAGCGTATCTCATCCGACAGTATTTCTACAGCAGCTTATACGATCGAATCAGGTACATAGATGATGGATAGTGGACCTGAAATGGGTAACATGACGGACTAACAGTGATTTCAAGCACTCGGCCGTTTTTGACCTTGATCGAGAAGAAATGGATTGCCTATCAAATTCTTCGTGGTATTGCGGACGCCCATGCGAAAAAGGTACATCTTGAGATTTCAGTTTGCTTTTGATGAATAAGATTACTCAAACCTTGCATAAAGGTGTACCATGGTGATATGAAGACGGAAAATGTATTGATGACGTCCTGGAATTGGATTTATATTGTGGACTTTGCTTCGTTCAAACCGACTTACCTTCCGGAAGTAAGTAGACGTCCTCAAAATGCGACCTTTTTCCGTGTCCTGACATGCACAATTTTCCAAGGACAATCCCGCCGATTATTCCTTCTTTTTCGACACATCATCGAGGCGTACATGCTACATTGCCCCGGAGCGATTCTACAAAGCAGGATCAGAAATTGAGCAAAAGATGGTATTGCACGATTGGACTTCAATTTGACTGTTGTGCAGCATCGACTGACTCTTGGCTTTCTAGAAAAACGTGGACTGGATGGATTGTGTCAGTGAACTGACGCCAGAGATGGATATTTTCTCGGTTGGGTAAGGGCTGCTGACACACAAGCCTAGAAATGGGCAGTTATCATTGACAGCAACCATGGTAGATGCGTGATTGCAGAGTTCTTTTTGGAAGGCTCGCCCTTGTTTTCATTATCGCAACTTTTCAAATACCGAAATGGCAATTACGATCCAACCCCGTCCCTGGAAAAGATCGAGGATAAAGATATAAGGGTAAGTCGCCTGGAACCTCCATCCAGCGATTAAATATATTCAGCCTCTTTTCGTAGGACATGGTACGCCATATGATTCAAATTGATCCAAGTGCACGCTATTCAGCAGAACGATATCTTTCCGAGTGGTAAATATGCCCACGACTTGATGGATTCCAAAACAATGACTGACATAAATGTCCGTTAGGCGAGGAAAAGCATTCCCTCATTATTTTTATACCTTTATACATCAGTACATAAGCTCCATTACCGATAAATGCGATCATATACCCACCACACCGACCAGATCACTGCCGAAATTACCTTCGGCGTTTCCAGGAGTGGCTCCGTTGAATAAGCGATTGACCGATGCGGATGAAAAGATTGAGCGTATTTACCACGATTTTGACAAGATTGCTTACTTTATATCTGCTCCGACTGAACAAGCGCAACAATCAAACACAAAGCCTACATCACCTACGGAAGCTCGTCCACCGCTTTTGGGCGAACGACGGAGGACATTAACAGGTAACTTTGCTTGAAAAAACTCGCGTCACACAGGCAAGAATTAACGCTCCATGGAAAATGTGTAATTGATGACGAATTAGATCTTCCAAATACCACGGCATCCGCAGTAGGCGTAACACCTCATTGGACCAACGTAATGAAATGGCTAAAAGTTGATATCGCTATTAGATTATCCTACCTCCCACCTTGAATATCCCAAATTATGAACCTGACCAGAACAACAAGACCCCAGACAGCCCATCCTATGAAACCAACGGTAGATATATGCCACATATTGCTTTTTGGAGAGGTGATGGGGTTGCCCTGAGACATGAAGGAGTATTCATTACATGTATTCTTTTCCAGGTCAAGGCTCGCTCATCTTTTTATCCTTTGTCTCTTCATTGGTGCAAAATACGTCATATCCAAGTTCCAAGTTAAAGGCTCTTGATATTTTGCTGGCGCTAAGCGAACACTTGCCGGATGATGTTAAGCTCGACCGTTTGCTACCCTATCTCATGACACTGCTCACGGATGAGTCATCACTTGTTCGTGCAAGTGCTATCAAGACATTGACTCAAGTGGTAAAAGCAGAGACCAACGGTCGACATAATGCAATTGTATGAATCTTACTAATCTCATATATTATTCAGTTGTGTATGGTGGAATCCATTTCGCCTATCAATGCCCGTATTTTTCCGGAATACATCATGCCGAGTGTGCGTGAGTTTGTCACCGATCCCGATGTGCTCGTTCGAACCACCTATGCTAGCTGCATCGCGCTTCTGGCAGAAACAGCTCTTCGATTTCTTGAAATGACACAGGTGAAATTACATTGTTATCATTCCTCCTGCGTAGGTTATGTGAAACTAATTATTTTCTTGGAAAGCTTATTAAAACCGACAAAGAATACCCCCGCGACCAAGAGGACGAAAATCCGGATCTCGAAGTAAGGAGTATATCACCAACGATTCCAAGACGCATCGAGTTATTAACTTGGAATGATTAGGAATCGTATGACTCTTCTCTGCAAGCCTTGCAAGGACTAGTACAGGAGCAAGTGACCATTTTGCTCATTGACAGCGAAAGTTCGGTAAAACGAGCGTTATTAACGAATATCACCTGTTTGTGTGTCTTTTTCGGACGCCAGAAAACCAATGATATCCTGTTATCCCACATCATCACCTATCTTAATGACAAAGATTGGATGCTTCGAAGGTAATTTTGACAGGATAGCTTTTATACTCTGCATTCTCATTACTTGCATCATTCGTAGCGCTTTCTTTGAATGCATCAAAGGTGTTGGCACTTTTGTCGGAGCTCAGAGTTTAGAACAATACATCCTTCCTCTCATGACCCAAGCATTAACAGGTAACATTGGTTTTTACAATGCAACCGAAGAAGCCTGCCGCTCTTTGTTCTAATAAATATCATGTAGATGCCGAAGAATTTGTGGTGGAAAAGGTACTGACTTCATTGACAAGCTTGGGAGACCTTGGCTTGTTTCAAAAAATGAAGCTTTGGGAGCTTATTGCCATTATTGCTCCACTTACCTGCCATCCAAGTGTATGGATCCGATACGGTAAGTCGACGTTCCCTATTTTTTAAGTGCTTTCCGGCCGCCTTATGTTTGTTGAATTTTTTTGTCACCATTTAGGCGCGATCAGCTTTATTGCATCTACGGAAAAATATTTACCGCAAACCGATTTGTGGTGCATCATTTATCCTCTATTGAAACCCTTTCTCAAATCAGACATTGCAGAGATCAATGAAGCTTGCCTACTCGAAAATCTAAAGTCCCCTGTAAGTCATTTGTCCTGCAGCCAGGCGATTGTATTACTGACAAAGATCATGTTTTTCATGCTCCCACAGATTCCTCGACAAGTATATGAACAAGCTATTACATGGGCTAGTAAAAGTTCTGGCGATTCTCTTTTCTGGAGACAGCAGCGCGACAAGCGGGTGCGAACTGGTCAAATGTCGTTAAAGAATGCTAATATGGGGCCTGCCATGCTCATCAGACAAGGTATTATTCGTACAATTAGAACTATGTTCCTGGACGGTCGATATTTAAACAGGTCTTGCACTCAGGATCGTTATTCAGCAGTTTCACTGTAGGTGAGCAGGTGCGACGATCTACAGAGTAAGTCACTGTTAGCCTCAAGTAGTACAACCAATTGAACTAATTAATTTTCGAATGTGTCTGGTTAAGGGACGATGCCTATCTCGATCGGCTACGTAGTGTTGGCATGACATCCGAGGATGAAGACAAACTGATGCTGATGAGAGAATACATATTCAAAGTATCACAATCCAAGTTGAGGTAGATACCCAGTGCCTGCAATATCTATTGAATCATACTTAGTGAATGTCTTCTTTATATGAATGGTGGGTAGTCGACCAAAATCTACAGATGACTTCAACATGCAGGTGAGTCCAATTTCGTCCATCACCAGCTGATGACATCTGCCTCACTCTTTGCTTCTGCAGAAAGATGAGATCTACCTCAAAAACCTTGGCGTCACGCCAATGACCGTTTTCCTGCCTGACATTTCCAAGGAGGCCCATCAATGGAGCGCCAAAGTAGAAAAGCCAGCTATTAGAAAGGCAAGTCGTGCCCTGATTGTTGAATGAAAAAAGACATCCACCACTAACATTGTTTTATAGATATCTCTCGATGATCAGTAATATCCGACTTTTTATTTACTGTTTGCCACGCTGATATAAAAGACTGATCGTTAATATCCCAGTAGGCCATGCCCCAGTGATGTCAATGCAAAGAAAACTACAGCAAGAGCCGATGTCTACAAGTTGAGTCGAGTAGCAAGTCAGCCTCACGTGCAGGCCCTCATGAGTAACATTGGCACGGGAGCAGCGGACAAGCCAATGGATCAAGAACTAAAACAACCCTCCTCGTCCGCCTCTGCTCCTCACACCACCAATCCACAGACGTCCACAAAAGGTAAAAGCTGTGAGCACACAGTATGAATCTATGGACTGCTCAGGATGGGACTGACATGCGTTTTCAAGCGAAACGAGCCTCCACTTCTTCAAAGGATAATCGGGAACGATCTCCGGATGCGTTAGAATTACGATCAATGGATCGACAGAATGGGACGGTTGCTACGCTCCGTGAACCCGCAGCAATTAATAGCTACCGAACCATAGAATCATCTCTTCGAAAACCATCAGGTACGTACCAGGGGCCGCAAAGCGACCGTGAACAATGTTACAGACAAAAAAAAAAACAAAAAAAAAAAAACTAATAATATGGTTGTCAGCTGGTTATGGTCATTTACAGAATCTGCTATTCAAAATTGCCATGGGGGCTTTCCCCCCACACATGCCAGGTAAGAAAGTTTTGGAAAAATCAATCCATGTGTATGTACCTCGATTCGCTTATGTGCGCAAATGTCAGAATTCACCGGTGATCCCGCTATTATGAAACGCATCCGTCGATTACCTCAAGGGACATCGCCGTTTCGCACCATCAGCAATTGGAAACCTGAAGGTAAGTTTGTGGCGTCTCCTTTTTTGCATTAAAAAAAAAAAAATAGGACGCTCATTGCTCTTTCAGGAACATTGGTGGCGCATTTTACGCAACATACGGCGGCTATTAATCAGCTGGTCATATCGTGGGATAATCTTCTTTTCGCGTCGTGTTCGGACGATGGATCCGTCAAGATCTGGGATTGCTCTCGCTTGGAACGCAATGTTACCAACCGGGCAAGGGCAACTTACAACCAACAAGGTGCTTTGGCTCTTTTCTTTTATCATCCTCGTTTGAAACTTGACATTAACTTGATTGCTATCATGCTTTAATTTTAGGCGGCCGCATAAAATGCCTGACATTTATTCAACAGACATACAGTATTGCTGCAGCGTCGGATAATGGCAGTATACATGTTTTCCGGTAAACAGACATTCATTGGATGGATAAAGGTGATGGAAAGAAATACTGAAGGATCTTTCATGACGTACATAGGGTGGACATTCGGAATGCTGGTTCCGGTCTTAAATTCGGCAAATGTGTGACGGTCAGAGAATATCAACTTGAGGACGAATTTGCAGTGGTGATCAAACATTTTACGAGCAGTGAGTATGAAACGAAATATCTGTGTCTACAGCTGTGACTAAGCTCTTGGTTGTAATGATAGATGCTTCCAATACCATGGCAGGATCCAAATCCATTTTATTATTTGCGACTACGAAAGGCGCGATTTATGCCATGGATCTTTTAACTATGGGGATTCTTTGGAAACTGCAGAATCCTAAAAGTCATGGTACAAACAAAAGATGGCATATGAATTATTCCATCTCTTTACTGATAGTCTGTTTTTGGCAGGTGTAATCACATCCATGTTGACGGATCGTCTGCATACCTGGCTTTTGGTGGGGACGACGCGGGGCATCCTTACATTTTATGATCTACGGTTTCAGATTCCGCTTCGATCATGGCTGCATCCCAGCAAAAGTCGAATCAATGCCATGATCCTGAATCATGATCCCAAAGCGGAAAGCAAGCAAGTGATTATTGCTGCAGGGAAAAACGAGATCTCGCTGTGGGACATTGTGAAATTAAAATGTCTCGAAGTATTCGTTGTCAAACATGGCGATGAGAAGCACAGCGGGCCTCCCAGCCACATTTACCAGGTAATGAGAGAGATTACATTTTGTTTTTGCGAACCAGTTACTGATCAATAAGAAAAACCTGTTAATAGCCATTGGAAGCACCGACGGATGAAGAGATATTGGAAAAGGCTTTCACGGATCAAGAAGCCAGTATTGCGGATTATTCTGTGCGCGCTATTGTGTCTCCTTCCGATTGTCGCTTCATTATCAGTGGAGATTCCGATCGACGTCTTCGGTTCTGGGATACGGTACGCGTGGAACACTCAGCAATCGTTCTAGGTCTCGACTACGATGAGGTAAAACCTCGATACAGGTAAGTGCAAGGTTCACGAGAGCAGGAAAGTAACGTTTTTTTCACTCATGATCTTGATGATGATGCAGTACGTATACTCAAGGCGACATAAAATTTAATGTCGAATATACCCAACCCCATCGAAGTGCTACCGGGATGGGCCATTCTTCGCGAGCCAGTTCCACCGCTGTGAATCCAGCCAGCGCCAATGCGGCCATGATCCAGCAGCAAAGCCTGATGAGGAACCATACAGATGCCATTACGGACGTGATCCTGACCGAAGTACCTTACCCAATGATTATCAGTGGTGACAGGGATGGTGTGATCAAAATTGTCTCTTAATCTTGACTGTCCAAGAGTTGGTTTCCTTCAAGAAATGTATTTATTAATCCATTCGAAAGTTTGAACTAAGTTTTGCCCAAGTGTCTAGTTTCTATTTCTTGGCAAATGGCAAGTAATATACAATGGACAGGTCCGTGTGGCACTCCCACAAACAAAAAGGACCATAAGGCAGTTATTATATATATTGTATGCTACCTGCAAATTCCCTGTTGACTATGTAATAAAAGAACCAGAAAGAGAATGGTCCCATGATCACAGATTTCGTGCGGTAAATTGCCAGGCGAAACTCGTATCCGTACCATCCATTTTGACATGGGACTTCTTTTCTTTTTTGAGAGCTTGTTTTGTTTGTGATTTCCTTTATTTCAGGATGAATTCTTGTGGCCTAATTTGGGAAAGCCAATGCATGGTGTCTACAAAAGCGAGCTATCGATCATAACAATAACGCACCCTCGCTTTCATGGCGAATCAGTCAATTCTGGTTAACACAAACATTTCCATCGACAATAGCTCAAGTAAAATGCAGAGCTCAGTTGGTAAGGCGAGATTGTATCAGAGACAGCATGACAGGATGTTGCGTTTTTTAAAAAGAGCAGCCGTGAGAATCAAAGGATGATCATTGATGCTATTTTGCAGCTGAGTAATGTGTATGCACTTCCGTTGATCATTATGTGTGAGATAGTTGAACATGACGCACCTGTAAGCCGGTACGAAAGGTGTTGTCAATGAAATGATGTGTTCTTTTTTTTTCTACCAAAAGTTGGGTCACGCCGTACCATGTAGAGGCCAATGTCCATCATACAGCTTCTACCGGAATTCGACCGGAAGTTCAATCTTTGTCCAGGGATAAAGATGCGTGAACAAGAGAACAAACAGAACAGAGCACATTACTTAGGTACGACCAGAAGTTTTATGCATAACACTAGCATTTTGTCTGCGCAATGGAAAACTGAAAAACCTTGGCATCATGTGATACTAACCATGCAAAGAAAGGGAACAGAACTTTATTGTACTTGGCCTATAAGAAATGAACAAGGTGATAATACAAAAAGACGAATGAGATGCGGAAAGGTAAGCTTTTATACAATGTGCGGCTGTGTAGAATAAATTGGGTGGTTGATGGTGGGCCTTGGTTCAGAATGAAATATGTCTGAATACTTTGGCGGAGACGCTAGAGCAGGAGGTGGGGTTGCGATGACTGTTGCGGTGGAGGAGATTGGTAAAGACGAGGCAGATGGGCACAGATCGCGCAAGTGAAGTTGCAATAATGATTGCGATAAACGAGAGACGGCCTCATCGCTTAAGCGCATACTTGGGTTGGGGGGATGGTAAGGTGGTGGGCTGAGCGTGGGCGGGGCTGTCAAGAGGGAGGATGAACTGATCATGGAAGGTTGAGCGGCTAGAGCTAATTGCGCTTCGTGCGAATACAGGGCATGTTCGACCATGGAATCTGTGCATAACAGCAAATTTTGCCGTCGTTCCGCTTCCAATTTTCGTTGTTTATTTCGTCGTCGAATCCCAAAGGTGTAACATCCGACCACCACACTGAATATAAAGATGGAAAACACGACTTCAAAGGCTATAATGAGAGTCGACGAGGTATTGGATTGTCGGTCGTAGTTGCCTCGATTGGAACCGTACCATCGACCGGACGGTTCGTTTGGATAATAGACAGGATTGTCCATGCTACTGTTAAAAGTGATTCGTAGCTAGCACACACTATATTATATTTACACGTTTCTCCAAACGCTGGAGGTTGATTGAAAAAAGGACAAACGATGTAGGTTAAAAATAATGATGTGAAATCAATTCAAGCCAAAAGCAGGAAAGAAGAACAACAGAGATAAAATGAAAAAAGAAACGAGCAATGATGACTTGCTTTTTTTTTTTTTCCTTGTCGCAAAGTTGTCGAATCCGCGAATCCGCATTGCCAAATACCAGAAAAAAAAAAAGTCATCCGGCGAGTGTGTGCATGGACGGAAGGATCCGAGTCACAAAAATGGGGTGGACAAGTTTGGATCTCGACACACGGAATAGATCAAATCAACCTCTTTTTATTTTTTGGGTTTTAACTCTTTTTCCAGGATCTACGCATGGACCACTCTACACGGGATTTGCCTTGTATGACATTACCGTTCTTTGAGATTGATCCATCGACGCAACAATCGTTTATGTCCGAGCATCGATTGGGCCAAGCAACAACGGATCCTTGCTCAAGTCTGCTAAGTCCGTATTCCTCATTGTCTTGTCAATCGACGTTGGGTGACACGCAGAATACCTTGGCGGAGAATGCGACGATGCTGGGATGCTTTGAAACGAAGGAGGTCGATCCGCTCCCCCTATTGCCTCTTTTGCCGTGTGGTCCATCCGGCGCCATCCCTGATTTGGTTCCTGCTTCGCCCACCGAAGAAACTCCGCCCGACTTGGATGTGGATTCCGACGAAGTGCCGGATGATCCATCGACTCAACCCATCCAGCTACGAACCAGTGTCAAACGTCAAGCCCTCTTTTTCGACTCACGCGATGACTGGTACTCTCTTTGCTTTCAGTACCAGGGCACCATAGATCAATCCAGGTCTCTCTGAAGAAAATCTTGCTTTTTTTTGACTTTTATTTATTTACTTGACGTTCCACTTTAGAGAAACTTTGATGTCGGCTATCGAGGAGACGGTGTTGGTCATCTTCCGAAGCATTCGTCGTGGAGAGCCAATTGAATTGCCTAGCTTTACTAGAGCCTTGCCAATGCGATCGTAAGACTGAACATCTCTTTTTTTTTTGAAATGCATTGTAACTCATGTATTTTTTTTTTATTTTTTATTTTTCATTTGTCTGTTCACCAGAAGGAAACGCCAGCGGTGTCAAAACGACACCGACACGCAGTCCGACAATCTCAGCAAGCAGCCATTATCCCTTGCCACTTCTACATCCGCATTGTCCTTCGGTGAGATATTCAAGGGACGACACAACAAAGACCTTTCTAACACAGAGATGCTAGCTCGATATCTTCGCATACTGGAAATCATCTATGAAGCAGTGGCCATGAATCTAATTCTTACCAAGCGCGATATATTTTACCGCGATGTGGCATTGTTTGGCAAACAATCCGTGGTCAACAGAGTAGGACAATAAGACTGGATTTGGATATGGAGATCACATTGACCAATAATTTTGCCATGAATAGATGATAGATGACATATCTTTTCATTACAACGTTCCTCGCTCTTCTTTGAATATTGTAAGTAAATACTACAATAAGGCACTGAATATTCATGTTGAATGCGTTATTTTCCTCAAGACCGCAGCCTCCAAGGGTCTTATTTGTGGACCAGCAAGAATCATTATGAAAAATAACAAAGTAATCGACTGTATGTCCTACATGCAAGACGACGAAGAAACTCATGGTGATGAAAGGGTAAACATGACAAGTGATCCATGCTATTTCATCAGAACAGTCATTTACTTATTATCTTTTCTAGGGAGCGCTGATACCACCTATTGATCAAGTTCGAGAAGTGGAATGTCGCGCCAAATTGATGATCGTCATTGAGAAAGAGGTGAGCGCCGTTCATCAACAATCCAAAGCCCGTGGTCACACACAGACACACACACACACACATACAAAAACCAATTTCTAACGTCTGTGATTTCCATGCTTAGGCTAGCTTTCATAATCTTATTTCAGCAGGATTTATCCAATCTTTACCACAGCATTCAATATTGATTACGGTAAGTGCACCTGGTCCGTGATTGATTCGCAAAAAGAAAATACCAGAAACCTCATTGAATCATTCGTAGGGCTGCGGATATCCGGTAACGTTTCCATTAAAGATGGTCGTCCCTCGTCAGATCGCTAAAAAGAACGGTATTCAGGACATTTCGACACGCCACATGATCAAATATCTTTCTATGCGTAATCCTTCCATGCCCATTTGTGCCTTGATGGATAATGACCCGTACGGTTTGGACATTTATGCGGTGTACAAATGGGGAAGCAAGGTAAGACAAGAAGGAACCAAAAGGCATGGCTGTTTATTTATCTTTCGATCCACCAGGCCCAGGCATTTGATGCTCGGAATTTGGTGATCCCAGATATCTTATTTATCGGTATCACTTGCCAGGACAAAGCATTGTAAGTGAACTTCCTTTTTCCATTTTGCCTCACCGCAACAGGATATTGATGGGGTTCATCGTCAGGTTTGGGCTTCCCGACGAAGTTTATGTACCACTGACAAAGAAGGATCGGGAAAAGGGATTTCAAATGCTAAGCAATGAAATACCCGGTAGTACAGTCTCAAGTTCACAATACGATGACACGCCGTATCCTACTTCACAAAGGGATTCACCAGCGTACAGAGCATTCATGTAAGTAAGCACAAGTGATATATCTAGACGTGGAAACTCATCACCCACGCATCCATGTAGGAAAGAAGTATGTGCCATTCTACATACAAACCATAAGTGTGAGCTGCAGGCTCTATGCTCCAATGGTCCCTTTGGCATGGTACAATACCTACATTACAAATTACATCACATACTCACACAAAACATGTCTTCCTTTTAAATAAAACTGACAAAACAGACGACCCATCGTCTTCATTTTTTAGAGTGATAAGAGCGGATAAAAGGAGAAATACAACCGAAGCGTAGAAAGAGATAATAGAGAGACAGAGGGTGGAAGTAAGGTATCGAAGGTCATAAGTGAGAAAAAGAGAAATAGTGGCAAGTTCGTCTGATGCATAGGATCGGTGGTTGGGAAAACCTCGCCCCTTTAATCTTCGCCAACAGGAACTTCTTCTTCCATGTATCGGATCAATTTCACTCTCAGTTCTGTGAGGTCATCACCTCGAAGGATATCGCTCACAAAGTGAGTCTCCACTTGCATCTGAACCTGTATTCTCTCATGTTAAATCAACCGTGTTTTTTCCATACAGCCGTTCATTTCTGAAATACCATTTCAAGAGCGCCACGGAGGATACCGCAAAAGATGTTCGAGTACCATAAACCACCTTCCAGTGCATCTTCGGGCAATTCCACAAATTCCGTCAGTGGGTTTTCATCAAAAACGAGCGAGAATTCTTTGGAATCCGTAGACCAGTTGGTGACCAAGGGCGTAATATTGAGGAAGATCTTGAAGCCTACTTTGGATATCGCTTCGGCGGTATCTCTGAATTCGGCACACCGTCCAATGCCGGATTTGGCCAAAAAGTCCTCAATCAAACGCTGGCCAATGTTATATCCCCTGACCCATACAGAAGACAAAGGATGAATAACACACGATCAAACCCAACTTTATATAAGGTGCGTCTACTCACATTTTCTCGAGTTGTTTATTGACCTCGCCATAGTCCTCGTAGTCTTTGACGAGTTGCACCACCATGGAACCATACGTCAACGTGAAGAGTTCGGCATTCTTTTTTTTTTCCCAACCGTGAAAAAGCGTCAATTACAACCGCATGAAACGCGCGCGTACGTTGGCCTGCTGTTACTTACGATTTTCTCGACCTTCACTTTCCATACTTCGTCTCCCAAAGCTTTGTACTGTTTCGCGGCTGAAGACGATGCCATGATGAGGTGAAATGAAAATTGGTAAAGTTGACCAAAAGTTACGAAACCGGATTCGCGGTTCTGGAATAGTGTGACTTTATTTGCAGGAACACGAAAAATTTCCTCTGTCTACCGCTCACTTTAATCCTATCTATCCTCCTCCCAGCACTTGGGCAAAAGTGCCCGACATGTGCCGCAAGCCCCATTGTGCATTTTCGAATCCTTCGCCTGCATGGTCTTGCTCTGACGCCACGTCTTGTCGAATGTGTTTTTTCACACGAGTCGAGTAAAACCACGAAAACAGGCTCAGTAACAGCGTGGCAAGACCAAAGATGATGTAACCGTAAATCTCGGCATTCCCCGTGTCGGTATTGGTGAGCACTACAATCACCTTGATAATAAAAGCCAGAACGAGCGTAGCCCCCCACGCTGCCGTCATTACCCGCATATCACGTCGGAACCGCGCCATGTGAGTATATGCCCAATCCAACTTTTGCTGCCTATTCATTGGGTGTGCCAGACGCTGCTCGTCGCATTTTTGGAGCTCTTCACTCTCGTCTTCTTCGCGTGGCATGATCTGGTTGGCGAGTTGATAGATCATTGGACGCAATTCAAACGAACCGAATTGGATTGGCAACAAGGACAACAGACAGAATACACCCACAAGCAAAGGAATAATCGATTCGCAAATAGCAGCCGTACGATCATCCGGTTCAGCAATCGACTACATATATTGTGCAACGCTTGAGTAAAAATGGGCGTCAAATTTTTGGAGCGAAGCATGCTTACCAGAATGCCTGAAATTAAAAAACTGAGCCCTGCCACCAACGCCAATGGATCGAATTTTCGGCTTTTCACCATTTCGCTGACGAAATCGATGACAAAAATGGCAATGCGGATAAGATGGTTTGTTTGATGACTTTCTTGATTCATGACATCATCTACGGATGGCACTTACGTTATGACAGCAAGCAGGGGTGGACATGCGGCGATAATCATTGCTACGACTTGTCCTAGACGTGGCTTTAAGAGGTGATAGATGAGGATGGGCAACCCGATACTCCAGAGAATAGCGAGAATGAAGTTGGTCACCGGTCGTCCTTTGAAGAACTTGAAACTGAAGATATCTTGCAGTTCACCTAAGTCGACGGGTCGGTCTTCGTCTTGAGGTTTGAGGGTATATTGGTTGTTGTGGAGAGGAGAAGTGTCGTCATGTTGGTGAGAAGTGAATTCTTGCCGAGTCGCATTCACTTTGGCATGTCCAAATGGCATGATCGATTCTTATTTTACATTCCCAAAGTAAAAAAAAAGGACGAACCGACCATCCTTGTCGGCATGCTAATGTATTTTCCTTCAGAAAGTGGTTATTTTTTATTTTTTACAACCAATGAACGCGGCGCTCGGTGGATGATCTCCCGTTCCAGTCAAGCTCAATAAACAATCGGAAAAGGAAACAAAAAATTCCTTGGCGGAACAACAGAGAGATAATGGAGCTATGCGAAAAAAAAAAAGTTGAAATAACGGAATGCGAACAAAGAGGACAAAGAACAATAGCTGAGTGATGAACCAGATGACTTCTTTGTTTTTTCAAGGTCAACTGAAAAATAAAAAGATTTGTATAGAATGGTTTTCATGGTTCAAGTTGAATCAACTGTTTAGTCTTGGCTTTTTTTTTTTCGGAATCAACATTTTCCCGAAATCCCCCGTCAACATGTCCGAAGGCTTGGATTACGAACTTGGGCATAATAGAAAAAGGAAAAAAACACCACTTCTCTTGGATAGAGAACTGACTCGCAATTCTTGACACTTCGATGTTTGCACCTGAATGAGATGTATTGTGTTAAGCACACAGATATCCTATTAAAGATCTAAACAACTGCGGTGCTCCGTCCGAATTATGCAGTATTGAAAGGGAACTTAAACAGAAGATATCCGTATGATAAAAGCAAATATAGGACAGGAGAATACACGTTATGGTGTTTAGGATGACTTTGGACTTTTCTTCCTGAAGATTAAATAATGCGCATATAGGAGGATCTTGATTGAAGGGAGCAGGGCAGAGATAGACATCGGTCTAAGAGATTTGGACATCATTTTTTATTGGACACGGACATGCACTGTGACTTTTGACTGGTGGAATCACACCAGAATTGCTTTTTCAATTCTTCCTTCTTTTGCGCACAGACATCATGGGTTTTCCCAAATACGCATCCATCCTACTTTTATCTTTTTGTATCTCATGTCTTTACTTGTTCCATATTGCTGTGACGCGAAAATTTGCAACATTTTACAACGATTATTCTGCAGCCGTGAGGAGTATCAATGTCTCGTTGTCTCATTCACTTCGGTATCACCATCCGACTCTGTGTGATCCTTTTGTGAAACAGGTGAACAAAGCCAATAAAGAGCCAGGAGTCTGCAAAGCATATTAATACGAGTAATCCGGAATATTTCAGATGAGTGGTTATGCCGATATTGGCTCAGGAAAGCATTTGTTTTTCTGGTTCTTTGAAGCACGGAGAAAGGCCGCTACCGCACCTACGATCCTGTGGCTCAATGGTGGGCCTGGATGTTCCTCTTTAACAGGACTTTTCATGGAATTAGGGTTGGTAAATATTTTTCTTTCGAAACATGTTGGTGTTGGCTTCATCGAGACTAGAAAATGTGTTATGTACTAGTCCTTGTCGAGTAACAGGAGGAGGAAATGATACAGTGATCAATCCACACTCGTGGAATGAATATGCCAACATCATATTTCTGGATCAGGTAAGGAATGCAATCTGTTCCCTCGAAATTTGATCGCTTGCATGAAACTTGGGTGTTGAACCGATTAACTTAGCCTGCATCCGTGGGATATTCTTTTGGTACGGAAAACGTTGACAATTCCGTCGCTGTCGCCAATGATGTATTTGCCTTTCTGCAACAGTTCTTTGGCGACTTTCCAGGTAAATTGAAGCCCGTCGAAGCATTAGATCAAGGTGGCAAAGACTAATCAAAACGGAACATGTCGCTTCCAGAGTATGCTAGACGAGACTTTCATATTGCCGGTGAATCATGTAAAGTCCCATGGAACATAAAGTTTAGCATGAAACGTCCACTCACGCGTACCTTCAGACGCAGGCCGATACATCCCTGTCTTGGCGGCTCTTATACAGCAGCATAATCATCAAGTTTCGAAACCTTTGGCCGCTACAACCATTCCGCTAGCAAGCCTCATGTTTGGCAATGCTCTCGTGGATCCTCTTGTGCAATACCGCTACTACCCGCAGATGGCCTGTAATAATTTTTACAAGCCAGTGCTTAATCAAACCGAATGTCAATTGATGCATCATCGCGTTCACCCTTGCGTGGACCGTATCGAGCAATGCTATAAAGAACCAACAGTTGCTTCATGTTATTCTGCGACTACCGAGTGCAATCTTCACATTGTCCGTCCATTGATCGATCAAGCTCGTTATAATCCTTATGACGTACGAGCAGAATGTAAAGGCAGGTCCACAAAAAGCTGTTAGTTTCGAACATATTTGAGGTCTCACCCTTTCTACAGATCATACTAGTATCTGCTACAGCACGTTTCATGACGTGGCCCTCTATTTAAATCGGGAAGAGGTCAAACAAGCGCTCGGTGTGGGTCATCAACGGATTTTTGAAAGTTGTTCCACTGAAGTCCAGATTAACTTTCAGTTATCCGGTGACTGGATGAAACCTTATGTGGATCATCTTGCTCCTTTATTGGAAAACGGTATCCGCATTCTCGTCTATGCTGGTAACGCGGATCTGATGTGTCCTTGGATGGGCAACAAGGCATGGACACAATCGTTACGTTGGAGCGGCCAGAAAGCTTATAACCAAGCGGAAGATAAACTGTGGTCGTCATCAACTACGGGTCGTGAAGCAGGCCAAGTTCGCTCCACTCAAGATAATCGTCTAAGCTTTGTACAAATCCACGAAGCAGGACACATGGCTCCCTACGATCAGCCTGAACATTTGCTAGAAATGATGAATCAATGGATACACAATAAAACATTGTAATCTGCTATCATAAAGATAAAGTCAAAGTAGAATTTAGTATATGCGACGAAGCATCTCTATCCTTTTTTGGTAAACCAAGGGGTCACAAGAGCTTTGTACTATACTTTACGTAAATTAGCAGCACAAGGTACATCGTACTCTATTTTCAGATAGCAGGCTAGCAGTGCTCAGTAATATGATGTTTACTTTGCGCATTGGCAGTATGGGATTCTTTGCCTCAAGAAAAAAAAGTTCATTTGACTCTGGCATAGCCCGTTTATGACCATGGTGGACCATCATGTGCATAAGTGATCGCGGTCCACAATCTGCGCAACACTCCCTATATGGTAACCCGGTGCTTTGAAATGCTTGAATGGGGATCTCAGAATTCTTTGGCCACCGCTCTGCGTATGTCTCCGTTGATAGATTGAACGCCTGCAGTACTCTTTGCCAACGAATGCCGGAAACTATGGAGAATGTGTTTTATGGCAACGGCTCTACCAAATTGAGAATCCCAAAAACAGCATCATTTAACAAACTCGATGAGAAACCTAAAATGATGAGATGATGTATCACTTTTATCACGAATTATGCAAACCTAACAGCGCCTCCTTCACTCCCGCAAGTGATTGTCAGCACCTGATCCTTTGTTCCCATGAACAATTTTAGTGTTCAGTTTATGCAATGATTCCGATGAGATTGAACTGCAGGATTGCACAGATACCCATAAAAGGTTTACCGTAACAATGAAATTAGCTGTGGAGGACATGCATAGACGTACGTACGATACGCCATGATGTATGCGTTTTTTTTTTATGGGATAAGATGCGGATATATGATTTAAAGAGAGAAAAAAAATGAAAAAGGGTATGACATACTATTTACATACAATGGATTGAATGGCTTTGGTGAGGGCGGATTCGCTATACACAGGTAAACCGTCATCCGACCAAATGCCTTGGATTTTTATGCATTGAATACCGAGCTTTTCAATGCGTTGGAGGTCAACGGAGACGGCGCTGTTATGAAGGTAGATGAGATGGGTGATGAAAGATGAAGGCGGGCTTGGGAAAAAAAGATTATCAGGAAAAGGAGGATAATGAAGCGTCGGCGAACCTGCCATACTGCTGACACCGAGACCGCAGTAGGATCCCATGGAGGAAGCATGAGTGCCACGACTATCATGGGACGATGAACTGTCGGACGAAGTGTTTCGATCATCGGATTCGCTATCATCGCACGATTGGTAAAATGCACGACGGGCATCAATGCGTTGACTTTCGTTCAGCGCCAGCGTGACGGTTTGGATGAAATCGAGAGCGGTATAATCGGTGGTCTCACGATCGTTCGAACCGTTCAATAAAAATATTTTATGCTGAAGAGAGGTGGAGTGAGCGATGGTGTTGCCGACGTTGCGCAGGACCAAGCATGGAACGATGGACGTATACAACGATCCAATCGAGTAGACGAGGGTCTGTTTTTGTGAGAGATGACTGATAACTTTGGGATTGGGGATCGGGTAGATTTCTTGAGCATATTCATTAATGTAATGGATGCGTTGGATGCGGGAGACCAATTTTTCTCCTGCTTCTTTTGAGAAGCACAAGTTGTTGGATTCTTCAAAGAAAGCTTCGTCGTCATCTTCGGTCAAGTGAGTAAAAGCATCGATAGGATTCGTTCGTTTTCGTGCGGCACAATTTTTGGAGATTCGGCTCGATGGCGATGGATGTGAAATTTCGCATTGTCCTACCAACGTATCACCGTTTTCCAAGAGGGCGGCGATGGTGGCTGTGTGATTAGTGTTAATGACCGGTACCACGGTTGTAGGTTCTGAAATGCCCGTGATGGCAGAGAACAAGAATAAGGCGGCTTCCAGTGAACCGAAAAACAAGCGAGCCCCCGTTAAGAAGAAATTGCCGATACTGCCGTTGCAGAATTTGAATCGTTTATGCGCTCTTTTCAAAATTTCAAAGTTGAAACTCGTCAGAAACCCCCTGATCGCTTCTTTCTTCTCAACCGAAATAGAATCCCACAATCTAAAAAATTAAAAAAATCCCCAAATGTTACATTTTTTCCGTCAAACAATATAAAATAGAAACCTTGACATGAAACAAATGAATTTGAAACCTACCGATGGCGGCCCTCGACGATACTTGCCCATTCGTCTTTAACAGCTTGTTCAGGTGCATTGGCTGGAAGTCGGTGACTTAATAGTTCTTTGATCGCACGTCGTTCAGGTGTTTGTGTATCGTCCATAATATCCATCAACTTGGTTAATCGTGAACGAAGATCACCGATACTGGGACCTCCCAATACTCTGAGAATTTCACTCTGTCAACAATAACAAAAAATATGAGGTTGAGTCTCGTTGACGCCAATGGATTGATTTTTTTATTGCTGTATTTTTTGTGTTTGGTAGACGTGATGCTTACGGTTGATCCTCCATTGTCGGCTATTCCCAACACGTAGCACACATTGTTCTTGCTGTTTTCATGAAAAGCGCGCGCGACGTAATTACAGGCGGAACCGCCTGAAATTACAACAAACGATGTTGACATGATAAAAAAAGAATATATGGATATTATACTTTGACGTTTAAAAAGATATGTGGAGAAAATAAAATTGATAAAATGATAGAAAGAAAAGTGATGTAAAGGCCAAAGGGCAACTTTAAATATAATAGTGAGTCATGACTTGGGTCGCTGTTTTTGTTAATGCTGGGAACGAATGGGGCAGTGTCGGAGATCAACGGCTGGTTCGACCGTTCAGCGTAGAATTGATAAGAACCCGCCAATGAGAATGTTACTTTGCAGGAGATAAGAAAAAACGTTCTCTGTAAGGGTAATTCCTTTTCCTATGATAAAGTTCGATCATCACATGTTGACAGGGCCTTTTCCTTAATAATGAGTGGTATCATTCATCACCATCATCATCTGTTTCAATATGCAGTGTCAATGACTTCATCTTCAACTACCTAGCTGGTCTTTCACTTTTTTTCCGACCAGTTCATTCCGTTTGTAGGCTTACCGTAATACGCAAAGGCAAGAAACAAATGAAGCCGTTGCATCACTCACTTGGACTGATAAAGTTTGTTTTCAGCTGGGATTATGATAAACAATATGCATGAAAAATAGGGAAAAAGGAGTCGCACTAAAAAATAAAAAGTCATATCATAGATAACAGAAATCGAGACATTGTTGATCCAATAAACATACTCATTCCATATTAAATTGTGGCACGCTTTGCCCAATCCACTTGAAAACGTTAAAAAAAAACACGAAACCATATAGCGTGCACTTATCCCATGGAACAATGAGATAACCATTCAACCATTTAATGAACAGATTCTGTCATTATGCTCGGCATGACGTTAATGTAATGCCTAACTGTATATTTTTACTTCTCCTATCTTTTTTTTTTCTTTTTTTTTTTTGGAACAAAAAAGTGTCCTTTCACATGTAAGGTAATCCTAAACCTACCGGAACCCGCTGACCTTGCTCTTTTTATTCCCTTGGTGATACGGTAAATTCCCCGTGCAGTATATGGCTATCGTTACTCGAAAAATAACGTTTGCCGGTATTTTGACCAGTTCTTTTGAGGAAACGGCTATAGTTCAAAGCGCTACTTCCAGCCGTGACCATTGGAGTTTGGATCCGGATGCGACGACGAACATAATGTAAAGGCATGCTTCATGCATGACACATATCCTATTACCTTGGTGTTTACGGATGATTCACGGAGACGACTACCATTTATAGTATCTTTCATAGTCTGGATTTGCCTTTATCTCTGAAACGCAGTTCTTTTTATCACAGACTATTCTCTGATAGCAAAATGTATCGTTCTGTATTCCCTATGTTATATCCTAACTTCCATGATCATACCAGATAAGCCTGTTCCTAAAAAAAAAAAATCCAGCTTGCGTTGTCTTACCCGCATCTATATGTGCAACCCGTGCCGTTTATACCGTCCAATTCCCTAGATTCCCGTTTTTGGGAGATATGCCATTTTATTCATCTGTAAAATGATGAAACTTTGGCGTCAACGAACACTTAGCTTTTTGAGTTTTTCGCCACAAACAGGAATGCCAGGTCCGACAACTAAAATTGAATGTCAACTAAAACACTTTCGGTTGCCTCGGCATGATGACACCTTGGCAACTGTGATAGCACAAAACATTTCCCATATCACAACAGTTTCGTTTGGTCTGTCGGTACAAATTATGTAAGCGTGCGAGGTACAGTAATTATTGACAACAGTAATAAATACATGGTCATCTGTTTATGTACACAGTACCGCAGCCACCTTGGACATGATTGACTTGCAGGTTGGACTCTTGGAGGCGCGAAAAGTTTGGTTTTAATGATGATTTAACGTCTGACATAATCGGATATAACAACACGATGACTCAATGACACCCTAAAATACGCTTTTAAAAATTTGATTGTTTCCGAGCTTTAAGTAACCGGGATAAGGCATAAACCGAGCGATATATCAAGTTAAAAAGTTACAGAAGAGCCACGAATGGAGATCATCAATTAAAAAAAGCATGAAGAGAGGCTGTTCAACAAATGACGAACGGGTTCCAGAACTTTCCTTGTGTATCCTGAGATTGTAATATTTGACAACCGAGTAAAGACAAATGCAAGAAGAAATACTTGTGAAGTCGTTCCCCCACGCAGAATATTGACAGTGCAGCTTCCTATGTGGTGATGCTTATCAGCAGCGGCTAACAGTATCCAAGAAACTGGTTGGGTCCCTCAAACCAGTCAACCTAAAAGCCTACTCATATTTCCATTCCCGATCCTGTAACCATATTGGCCGCTCTTGCAAATAGGTGGCCCTTCAAAGCGTCGCGCGATACTGTAATATGACACAATTAGCTGATCAAACCGTCCAGCCGACATCCACTCCAAAATTTGGGCAGGCCGACTGGATGCCTGAATAATTCAAAAATCGATGGTGCTCGATGATACAAAACGAGCCCAAAAGCAGCCGTAGTTCATAGCGTTCACCGGCTTTGACGAATGATGCAGCAATCATTGGCCATTGACGGCATAATGCCAATCATCGAGTCAAGTGCCATTGCTTGATGGCCCAGTGGGCACAACCGAGACACCCACTTCAACCGTCTTACCTTGTGCTTAGCTGTGCGTACTGGCTTATGTGAAGGAATACGACCGGGAGCCCATGGTATGTACGTAATGGACTACTGTGTCGAAATGCGCTTAAGCGCCCCGGATAAACTGCGCGTGTCGTTGATCGTCGCTCTGGGGTACTTTAAATGGTGAGAACTGGGCACGCTCCCGATAGCTTTCTTAGGTCTGCTGGGTATGAAATGAAGCACTGGCCCTATTTCGTGCCATGAAAAAATTGTTGCATTCTTGATACGTCCTGAGGAAGCGCCATTGAAAGTGACCAACCGCATTTTGTCTGAATTGTATAACTTGCTACATAGTGATTCAAAAACTGATCACGTGCCTTGGTGCATAGATGAGTTGCTTACTATGTTTCGCTTACTCAAAGAGAAGGGAAAGCGATGTGTCCTGAGGCCTTCATTGTAGGTACACAGTCAATGAAGTCGTGCTGAATAGACAAAAGTGCACATCGTTTGACTAGGACTTTCCTTTCATTAATGTGGGCCGTTCTGGGCATTTGAGAAAGATTACAAAAGGCCGCTGAAAATTAAGTATCTTCTTTTTCTTCGTTCGTAAACAGGAATTCGAAATCACGAACCAAAAGAGCGCATTAGCGGATTTCGTTTGCGGCATCGCAAGGCCTTCAGGAGTCCTGCTTTCAAATACGGCACACAATAAATGAATGAGAAAAATACTTTCCAAAGCATAACAAAAAGTGTACCAAATTGTACAATCTTATTACTTTCACTCCTGTGATTATCCCAACAACCATTTCTGTCCAAGTGAAAACGTGATACTTTTTATCTTGGAAATAAAAGAAAAAAGAAAGGAGATGGCCGCGTCAGTAAAAACCTCCCAAAAAACCCAGTGGGAAAAAAAAAGTTGAAGACGAAAAGACTGCGACCACGCCTATGACGAATAATTTACATGATTGAAAAAGAAATGTCAAAGGGGGATAACAAAGGGATACTAAATCTAAGTACGGGAAACCGGCCAGTCAACATCGCACCAAAGGAGGAGGAGGAGAAGGATTGGATTGGATTGGATCTGCTCTGCTCTCAACGTCAATAGCGATACATAAATTGACCTACTGAAAAAGAGACAAGAAACACCCTCCATTTGATCAGTAACCAAACCATTCCATGATTTACTGACCTTTCTGTTCTGTTCTGGTCCGGCCCGGTCGGATCTGCTCAATTACACTGTAACCGTACCCAAATTGACCTATTGAAAAAAGCCAAAAAGGCTTCCATTGATCAGCAACCAAACCCCCATGATTTTATTGGCCTTTCTGGTCCGCTCTGGTTCGCTCTCGTCTTCATCTTCTTGGCTTTTGTCTTCTCGGCTCTGGTCTGCTCTGGTCTGCCCTGCCTTGCTCCGGCCTGCGCTGTCTGCTCTGGTCTCTTCTGGTCTGCTGTGCTTTGCTCTGGCCTCTCTGGCCCGCTCACCACCATCAAATACGATACCGAAACTGGACCTATGGAAAAGAAAAGTGACTTCCAAACGATCAGTAGCCAAACCGTTCCAAAATAACACTGACCTTTCTTTAGTTGACCAGAAAGAGGTGCTCCGGCCGAAGATTGGTCCCGCTGCTTCTGACACGTGGGTCTTGGATTCCTTGGTAACCTTCCTTACTAACTCCCATGCTCCCGTGGATTACTCGCGTGGCTGGAGTGGTTGTTTCCGGGGAACCAAACCGCGGTTGACAGTCGTGATATTCCGCATTCCCTACAAAGATTAAATAAAGCTTACCTTCAGGTTCACTGTCGCCAGTCTTGGAGGCGGGTAGCTTTTAGGCGGCCGCTGTGTTTTAGGTAGCCTTGATTTTCCTTCTAGCAACGAAGCGCATCCCAGCTTAGGGCTCCAACAGGGTTGAAGTACCGAAGACTCACATCGTGTGTGCCAATGTGTGTTTTTGAAAGCAAACATCGTGAAGACTCTGAGATGCCGCAAGCAAAATCCGATTACAGTATGTGCTCTTCAACCCAGAGCTTGGGCTTCCAATTTCGAATTATAATTTATAACAGAAGAAAAGAAAGCCGTTAATTTTGGCGGACCTTTTACGTGTTTTTTTTCTGTAGCAAGCGCGGTACCGTGGACGCGAAAAAGAAGTATATGTACGGCAAGTCCTGCGGTCTCCACTAACCCGACAAAAGTGTAGCGGTGGGCATGGGAATGCTCTCCTCATCTTTTGACTTTGGCAGACCTGGGTCTTTCATGGCTTGGGGGTCACTACACTTTTGTCGGGGCCGGTTTGGTCTTTGGTATTTCATTTGGTTATTCTTTCACTTTTTAGGATCCAGTAACTGAAATATAAACTATTCAAATTGATATAAAAATACATTATTGGTACTTGTCTCCACTCTATATACAGTGCCATAGCCCTACATGACGATAAGTTTTCTCAAGGATGTAGCCAGTAGCTGTGACGAAAGTGAAGCTCTCATGTGTATTTTGGCAAAACCTTCTTGCTAAAAAAAAAAAATCAAAGAGCAATCATTAATATCTTACAATTGTATATCTATATTCGATATCAGACGATCCATTTTATCAACTAGTTGCTGCAAAGGAAAAGACGAAGCCATGAATTTGTTTCTTTGCCATTGGATAGATTTTTCGACTTTTCTGCTGACGGCGAATTTTACTTCTCTGAAAAAAAGGGTGGAGGAAAAGTAGTCACGATGAAAAAATTTGTTTTTGGATTCGCGGCCGTTCCATCTCACTGCGAGTTTCCTCCTCTTCCGTTTGTCTATCAACTAGGTATGTGCCCTTTGAGCTATTAGATGCCATGACGACCGATGGGCTAGTTTCCTCTAACTGAACTTCTGTTGTTTTGACAGCAATGGCTCCCATCAACAAGAAGTCCAAGAAGACCGCCGAGTCTATCAACTCCCGTCTCCAGCTCGTCACCAAGTCTGGCAAGTACACTCTTGGTTACAAGTCTACCTTGAAGACTCTTCGTCAGGGCAAGGGTAAGTGATCATATATTCCTCTACATCCGGGGGGACAGGAGTCCAAAAGCTTTTTAAAAAAATATTCCCCATCTTTTGAAATCCTGTTACTGGGCAGAGATCGTCCCCCATGCTCCATTACTGACTCGGTTTCTCGTTTTTGCTTTTTGTCAATCTTTTAGCCAAGTTGGTTATCATTGCTGGTAACTGCCCTCCCCTTCGCAAGTCCGAGATCGAGTACTATGCTATGTTGTCCAAGACCGGTGTCCACCACTACAACGGCAGTAAGTACCCGCTAATTCAGCCATTTCGGTTTTTTTTGGGGGAATTGCGTTTTCTTATGGATCTTTCTTTAGACAACATTGACCTCGGTACCGCTTGCGGTAAGCTCTTCCGTACCAGCGTTCTCTCCATTACCGATGCCGGTGACTCCGATATCTTGAGCACCCAGTAAATTGGACCGAATCAATTGACGGGTTCTTGATCTTGTTCCTATTGTTAGTTCAATAAAGAATAGGATAGGATTTGCTTCATTCCAAAATGCTGTGGCCTCTTCTAATTGTTCGATATCTGGCCCGCTGAGTTGGGCCCGCCCGTATTAATTTGTTTTCGTTTGTTACGATCTACTTGTCATCTCAATGCTGTGTCCCGTGCAACTAAACTCAATTGTTTGATCACCATGGTTTATGCATGGAGTCTATTGGCGGTCTTATTTAAAAATCCAAGGAGACAACGCCACCGTAACAATGTCAGGCATGATTAGCAATAATAATGAAAAGATACAAGAGAATTGGATGATCAACGAGCGCTTTGTCGTATTATCTTGAGCGCTTACCTTGTGAGCAATTTTGTATCGAAAAACATTTACTAGAAGACCTGTAATTTCTAATCCAGCATTGTGAATGCACCGACGAGTGAAGTTCGTCTCATAAGAAAGAATTTGGTAAAACCGAGAATGAAAGAAGCGCAGATATTGTGATTGGTTTACAATGATCAAGAAAGTAAAACGACAGCTGGACCACGAGGATACCATTTTTGGAGCAATCAATCCGCATCGGCACGTTTATTGTGTACACTTGAAAAGCCTGCTGCTGCTATAATTGCTACATTGCCGCGCGGAGATCGGATACCGTGGCGAGCAAGGCAGCAACTGAGCTTGTTGACGGTTCCGAAATCCGTGCGTTGATGTATCACGGATTTCGGTAAGCGCCCACACAAGGACCGAATCTTTTTATGTTTCGGATGAATCGTCGGGCCTCATTTGTGCGAGGTCCGCATATTGTCAAAGGTTCTCGCTACAAGTGCAAGGTGCAGATTGCATAGATTTTGTGTAATACGGTAGCGGGGCTAGAGTGGGTTTTATAGCATGGTAGCACTAATGGCTCGTGTATAAGCATGTACAATAGATCAGTTAGGAAGCATAGAGTCACAAAAGCCAACGGACGTGAACACAGATAAACGATCGTTGTCTCACTCCGCGCGGAATCTGCAGTATATTTAATGGGAAGCGTCAAATCGCAGTGGGCGCCTTCCTTTTACGTTTTACCCACTTTAATCCCTCCCCTCTCTTTTGTTATTTCTCTCTATTCCGTAAAAATTCAATATGGACCATATCCACATACAAAAGGCGATCGAAATCGTGCATCAAAAGACACCCAAAGCGTTACTGCAATTCTACCAGCGTTCAAGTCGTAATGAGCTCCTTCTTTTAGGAGGCACGGCCTTTCTGACCATCTACAACTTGGCCAAATACATCAATGCGAAACGACAAAAACTTCACTTGCCTCCGCGTGTAGCTTATGCGTTACCCGTGTTTGGTCATTCCTTATACATGTTGTACGATTCCAACCGATTCCTGGATTGGTGCACAAAGACCTATGGCGAAGTGTACGATATCAAGATGTTGGGCAAAACGATTACCGTAGCTGGCGGTCGCTCTGGTGAAGAGGTTTTGAAAGCTGAACCTGATTATCTATCCATCAAAGAGGGAATTCTTACAGGTAATTGCCCGGATTTCAGTGGACAGAGACTGGGCTTCCAAGGAAGTTGGGTAGAAAGTCTTATACGGATCATTTTTATGATGTCTAGACGTACTTTATTTGCATTACGCGTTTGATGAAATGACTTTCAAGATTGCATTTACGGTGAATCCGCCTGTGGCTCGCAGTGTTATTCCTAATTCGAAAATGGGTGGATTTACGGCCAATATTTTGAAAGGCATGGATCAAGGTCTGGAGGATCTATTGCCGCAAGAGGTTACGACGGTCAAAGACGTGGCGTTCTTCTTGCAGCGGTTTGTGGCGTATATGAGCGTCCCTTCACTTGTTGGACCCGAAGTGGCGACAAATCCAGAAGTGCTTGCGTCGTTTGCAGATTTCACCGGTGATATTACCAGCAACATTGGCATTTTCATGGCCACACCCAAGTGGCTTCATAAATTCATTACACCTTACCTTCAGTCGTTCAGCCACCATCGGCGCGTCATGGTCGAACATGTTATTCCTGTCATCAAAGCCAGACGTCAAAAGATGGCCGAAGCAGCTGCCAAAGGCGAACCTCACAACTTGACCCCTACTTTCCTTCAAGGCTTAATCGAACATGTGAAACCCGACGGTACCACCATTCCGGAATTCGAATTGTCCCAGTCCGTCCTGATGATCGCTTTTGCGTCCGTGCACACCACATCGATGAATCTCAGCTTTTCGTTGTATTGGTTACTGGCGCGTCCTGACTTACGAAAACGTATGATGGACGAAATTGAGACCGTTCTGGGTGACGACCCGATTACCATGGAAGGCTTGGAGAAGATGCCGTTTTTGGAAAGCTTTGTTCGCGAAGTGTTGCGCCAAGGTGTGGACAAGCTGGCCAACGGAAAGAAGGCATTAAAAACATTCACCTTTTCGAATGGTTTTCAAATTCCTAAAGGTAAAAAGAGAAAGAGAAGATGATGCATGCATATTGACTTTATTATTATTATTTCATGGCATTAGGTCGATTGGTGGAATCCACTAACCGTCAATTGAACTTTGGATCCAATAGTAACCGTTCAACGATCGACAGCATGAACCCTGATATGTCGACTGGCCGCGCCGCTACCACGCCAAATCGCGATTTTGTCAGCTTTGGTTTGGGAAAGCACTTGTGTCCCGGCCGTTTCTTTGCAGTCCACGAAATCAAGTTGTCATTGATCACTTTATTGCGTAACTACGATATTACCACCGCCAACGGCAAACGCCCTGAACCGATCAACTACCTTGGAGGCATCGTTGCAATGAACTGCACGGATCCTTTGGTCTTTACCAAGCGTCACTAAAGTTCTTTGCAGCTTATTGGATTTTTTAATCGATCAGTTTATACACTGGCATTGGGTTTAAGTCGTACCATACATTATTATTTATCGTTGTCATTTTTTGCTTTGTCTCTTTTGGGTTCACTGGGTAGATTACATAAAATTGTATTAAATGGATAGACTCTTGTTTTTTTTATTTTCTTAGAGAAATCACTTGTTTAATGAATTCGGTGAGATGGAACGTATTAGACTATTTTCGGCATATGATCTCTTTTTTTTCTGCCACCTAATCAATAGTTCAGGCATATTACAAGTATGCGTTCACCATATGCTCATTTTCAAAGAGTCATGCAGTGCCGTAATATACGTATACTGTATGGACTGACAATTGGAGCTAACAAGTTATAGCGTTCGAACGACTTGTTTGACCCACAGACTTTGAGCGTATGAAAAAGGAGAATTCGTCACTTTACCGAATATCATAGATGGAACTTGGGCTCTTACAACTTTACCGAGTTCTTTCAATAGCCATAAGATCACCTTCCGGCTAAATAATAAGGAGTGGAAATGTGCACAGCAACGCCCATAAACCTGTAACTAACGAATGACGTATCGTGTCGACCAAAAAAAAAAAAAAAAGAAAAGAAAAGATGTGCCCATATTGACGTCATGGGTTTTTTTTCTTGATGAGACATCATCCGAGTAACGAGCTGCATAATTTGTGACTTGTGGCTAAAAATTGAAAGCCGGAAAAAATGTTGAGAAACCGCAGGGTTCCCCAAATTTTTCGTATTTCTTTCACACCATCGAACGTTATGTTACGACACCTCACTTCCAAGAAAGCTATCTATTGGTATAATTTCCCCACATTCTTGGAATCGATTGTCGTTATTTCGATATTAACTGTTAAAACGATGTAAAAAAAATATAGGGGATTACCGTTGACTTTAATCGCTGCGGCCACGTATACCAAAACCAAGACGGTAGGCCATCCGTTACAATATGTTCCATCCGGTGAACAACGCCAAGACACAGAGAACCTTGAACGTGTGCGAGCAGAGTGGCGAGAACGGAATAACGGGATTGGTCTCCGTGATGTGAAGTAAGTTCAGGGAGAAATAAAGAAGAAAAAAAAGGAAGGCGGATAGAATCAGAATGTTTGGCATATTGATGGATACGAATTTACCTATAGTCGTAGCGGCGGCGGCGTTTAGTGGGTCTACATTTCTTTCCTTTTTTGTTATTGTTGTTGTGTACGTGTGTGCTTCGACATCTCTCTTGATCTTTGATTGTATGTTATGATTCCCTTTTATTCTTCTTTTCCTGTATGTAATCTCCAAAAGAAGTTTGGTCGTCATCAGACTAGTTTGTGTATACTCGTTCTTCTTCTTGTGCTTTTTTTTCATAACTGATTTATCAATCGATGTCAGGCAATGAAAGAAAAAGAAAAAAATAACCATATCAACAGTGTCGGTTACTCAAAAAAAAAGCGAGTTAATGTGGACATTTCAACTAAGCATGGCACGAGATTGAGTGATCTTGCCATAACAGGAAAAAAATATTCCACCCCAAGCCATATGCAACATGAAAATGGGAATGTCAATCCCCCATCAAGTCATTCAATAAAAAAGCCAACCAAAATCTACATTTAATTTGCCCCTTTCGATGACCATGTACTCCAACAGTACATACAATATCGCCTCATTTTCTCTGCCTGATAAACAGGTTATCTCATCCGATCCTAGGCAAGAGCATATCTTGCATGAACACAAACACGAAACGAATTACAACAAGGATGTCACATTGATAGACCTCCTGTGTCGCCATGTTAATCGCCAATACAAGTTGTTACATCAAGTCACTCGAGACATTGAAGTATGTCAGGACTTGGCAGAACCCAACTGTTCAGAAGAAGCGGCGCGATTATTGGTAAATCATGTAGCCCACTTGATGCAATCTTCCTTGGAAGTCCAGAAGGAGATCACCGCCGTTGTTCAAACATCCATCTATCAAACGCAAGCGCCAAAGTCTCTGTCGACTGTTCATTCGCCGACACCTACAGCAGTACAAGAGAGCAGTGCATACGTATCTGATTTGGCAACACAGCATACAACCTATCGTTACATCCAAGATGACAAGCATTCCACAGAGTCCGATTCAGCACTGAAACTATGCAAGGAACAAGGCACACGAGCTTCGCTGTCACCGTCACCGTCACCGTCTAGCCAACCAGTGAACCGACATCAGCGTTGGCGGCTGGTCTTGTCGCCTTCCACACCTGCCCTTGGTTCGAATTCACCAAGGACTCCTCCCTGTGCCCAACCGTTTACGCCTGCCTGTAATTTTGAGCGTATCTACGGTGACCGTAGCGCACCAGGCACTTGTTGCTATTGCAACCAAGCTATTACTTTTCAAAAGTCTCAATCAGCCGAAGCGGTGCTTCAAACACTGCACGACTCTTGGATGGCGAGCGATAAAGACAGCAATGGCAGTGGTAGCAGTACCGTCTTATCCACGCAAATTCACAGTCTGTCCGATTCAACCACGCTCAACAGCATCTTGGATACGTTTCCGCGTTTGGAAACTTTCACTAGAAGTCGGTCCGTCGCTTCCTCCCTAGAATGCCTATCATCTGATGAACACGGTTTCCGTTCGCTGTTTCGACCCGTCATGAAGAAAAAATCATCCCTTTTCAACTTGTTTCGGCCCAAGAAAAATAAAGTGACGATCCACGACACGAAACTGGAAGTCTAATAACTTTTCAAAAGTAACCAAACAAGAAACAGACATCAATAATCACCCTATTCATTGCCATTTGCCGAAAAAAACATTAAATTGTATTGGGACATGTATTTAGCCATTTCGCGTAGTATGTTTTTGGCACCGCTTTTGTATCATTAAATATAATATCTTTTCTTTACAATGAATTTACTCATCACTCACTGAACGAGGCCATAACGGTTGACAAACCATAAAAGGAAGCATTCAGTCACGCACCGCTGAAACCAAAACCGGAAGAAATGGTTGTTCCTATTGCAAAAAAGGTAACCCAAGCATGGCATTGAGTATTGCTTCTTTAGCGTTGATATGTACCACGGTTCATATAATTTAGATCAATGATTTTGTCTAGTATTTGGTCCATTTGCTTTGCTCTGATCCTGTCGTGGAAAAAGAAAATTGTATTTAAAAAGTTATGTTTCTACTGAATGGAATGATCCATCTTATTTTCTGCACCCGGAATTTTGTGATCGGCAGGGTTGGCGTTGGCCTCGTATACTGAACAGAAAATGAAAAGAGTCAATAAAAACATCCAAGCACCATGGAAACCCAAAAAGTGACGTACCTGTGATGATGGGATCTCGTTTTACCTATAAAGCGACAATGGTCAATGAGTCAGTAAACAAAAGTCTTCCATAATTAAATAAAACCAAGATAATACCTCGGTCCATTCTCCTTTGAACCCAATAAACCGAATGATGCTGGTATCCTCGCCAAAGTTTTCTGGGAAAAATAGCGTGATATTTCGTACGTTTGTGAATTTGGTGATTCTGGTGAGTTGAGTGGTACGTGTATTAGCTTGGACTCAAAAAAAAAAAAAAAAAAAAAAAACGGAGCATTATATGTCAACGATACCTTGTGCCATATTCAATCACATCATCCGATCCCTGCACCAGTTCCCACGTTTGGACCGGTGTATAAGTTTCAGCCACATCAAAGTCGACATCCTCACGGTTGATAAATCTATATATTCGTCAGCTGGGCTTGCATGATCCCATTGGATATTTCAGTATATTCATACACTTTTAATTGGGAAGGCGCTGCATCGCCACGATCGGTTCGCAAACAAATGGATCGAAGTTTAACGTTGCCTGTGAATCTATGCAATCGTCATTGTTAAACGGTTCTGCGATCAGCGTTGAACGAACGGAGTAACCATCGTACATACGGAACAAACACAATAAGTTGTTCGTCGGCATCGCTTTCCAAAAACTACGAGAAATGCTTATTAAACTAGCTGCTCGTTGAAAATGTGGGTTGGATCGATCTTGTTACCTTGGCATTGTCCATGCGTTCGTTCCAGGGTCGAATAACCTTTTTTCCACTTTCCGGTTCTTGTTCGTTCAAACAGCGAACATTATCATGATCGATACGTGAATACAAAAGAAATTGTTCTCCTGCCTCGGGCAAATCTTCGTGTTCGTGATCGCAGTGTTCGTCGTGGCAGTGACTCATTTGGTATCTTTTTTCACTGTTCTACGGGATGAATCTTCCAAGAGGTTCCTTTCTTCTTCATGCGTCAAAGTATTCATACTCCGCCTACGTGATGACGTCGCACGATCGATTTCGGGTTGTGGCAAATTTTCGAACGGGGGGCAGTGGGGTCATCACCAATTTTTTTTTTTTTTTTTGTGTGTTGGCCTTTTGGTTGTTCACTGTTTTCTGCAAGTCCCCTTTCCCTCCCCACTCTTTGGAAAATGGCCGCATTGTCCCGTACTTTGGTTTCGAGCGTTGCTCGTCGTTCGTACACCCCTGCTTCCGTTCCCGCATTGAAGCAAATGTTCCACGTTTCCACTCGCTCCGAGAAGGAAGAAGACAACCAACGTTCCGCTGGTGGTCTTTTGAACCGTTCTAATGCTGCCGGTACGATTCTTGTTTGCCGGTCATTCGCATCGAATGAAGTTTTCACGGCAACAACCTTGGATAATAATAAATAAACTAATGGTGGTTTTCAATATCTTTTTCAACAGGTTCCTCGAACAACATGACCGTCCGTTACAACCACACCACGACCGTTCCTGATTTCTCAAAGTACAAAAAGACACAGACTGGTGGTGACAGCAGCCGTGCTTTTGCCTACATGATGGTCGGTACCACCAGTTTAATCAGTGCGGCTGGTGCTCAGGCCACCGTCAGCGATTTCTTGGCCAACATGTCCGCATCGGCTGATGTGTTGGCTTTGGCCAAGGCCGAAGTTGATTTGGCTTCCATTCCCGAAGGAAAGAACGTCACCATCAAGTGGAGAGGAAAGCCCGTTTTCATTCGTCATCGTACCCAGGACGAAATTGCCGAAGCCAACCAAGTCAATGTCCAAGAACTTCGTGATCCTCAACAGGATGCCGAACGTGTGAAGAAGCCCGAATGGTTGGTCATGTTGGGTGTATGCACTCATTTGTAAGTATCTTGGTTTGATTTTGACCAAAAAAGGATGTGGGCATGAGAGCCACGAAAACGAAATAAGATCTAATTACTTTCTTGATTTGTTTTCGAAATTCAGGGGTTGTGTTCCTATTGGTGAAGCTGGTGACTATGGAGGCTGGTACTGCCCTTGCCACGGTTCCCATTATGACATTTCTGGTCGTATCCGTAAGGGTCCTGCCCCTCTCAACTTGGAAATTCCCGGTAAGTAGATTCTTTTGATCCTCCATCACTCAACTCACGCACTTACTCATTTGTTTGCAATAGAATACAACTTCTCAGATGATAAACTTATCATCGGTTAAACACCGTATATACACACTTCAGTCATCTTGTTTTCTCACTAGACAATAAATTATCAACCATATATTATTTAAGCTTCCTTTATGATGATGCATGAGTCTGACCGGTCTATGTGAATATGGTAGGACAGTTTGTTTGATAGAATAGATTTCGGAAGAGATGGTTCCCGCTGTCATACTGAGTGAGGTATTCCATTTTTTATATTTTTTTTTGGGGGGGGGGAGACGAGTTTTTGCCACACTTTGTTCTGGATCCGTGATTTGTTTTTTTTTTTAAGGTTTCGTTTATTATGTAGGCTTTTTTTATTCTTTTTCTCAAAAGGGAGTTTCCGCAAAGACGAATGCATGTGTGATCTGTTACCGCAGTAATTTTCGTCGCCTGCTTGGGATAGTTTTTTATTCCTATTTTTGGGCGGTTGGATATGTGGATTGTTTCGCATGGGCCTCCATGGTTTCAACAACAGCGTCGTGGGCAACAGCGATTTCGAGCACCAATCAGCTGACACTTTGGCCTGTACCACCATATGATAATGGCAGTTCATCGGCTCGGGTGATACCTCAAACCATGTCCGAGAGCCACAAAAAAACAAAAAGTAAAGGCCAAGAATCATCGGTTGAGAAAAAACATGTGGTTTGACATATGCATGACGGATGACAGAATGCAAAACAACTACCGGAAAAGAAGGTGGAAACCAACGTAAAACGCGCATGGAAGGAACTATGTGGAACCGTGCGATAAACAATCCAAGCGGGATCGGCGAGGGAACAAGGACCATCGATCGAAATAGCATCAAGATCCCAAATTGCCGATGGGTAACATGCAATACTTTTCCCGCTTGTGATACTCTATCAGGCGTCTGGCTTTTTACGCGCAGCCATTCAGTGAGCCTTTGGTGAGGTTGGTATGTCTCATACAAAAAGTAAGTTACTGTCCATAAATGGATAACAAAAACAAAACATGAGTCAATCTCGAAGGAGACAGAATCCATCAAAGAAAAAGAATACTACTCTTTCCCCCCTCCTCTTTGCCCACGCATGGTCAGTGGCTCGACAACCAACTTACAACAAATATTCACATCAGTGACACCCATCACCCTCTGGAGGCGAATCCCTGCATGTATTTTAGCCGTCAATAGCTGATCAAAAAGGAGGGTTCAAAAAGCTAAAACTGGATGATTCAACAAAATGGAAATATTGAGATGGAGAGTAAGTTCCTTGTGAGCCCATAAACAAAATAACGTTTGTCGCTTTTGGATTTTCCTCAAACACTGTTTTTTTGCCATTTCAACTTTTTTTTTTCTCTCGCTCACACTTCTAGGCTCCCCTTTTTTACTTTTTTTCCCCCTCTCCTCCCCTTCTGAACCTGCTCCTCTTTGTGGCCATTCCATTTCATGACGGGTACATTCAAATGGCACTCATGCTCGGGAGAAGACTTCCCGCTAAAGCGGTACAAAGTACCCAAAGCTTGCAACATATGTCGAGCCAAGAAGATGCGTTGCGATGGCAGTAAGATGGACCGTTGGCAAACTTACCGGATATTACAGTATCAGTCGCTTAATTTTTTTTCTTTTCTTTTTTTTTTGGATCGTAGAATTGCCTTGCAGCCGATGCAAGCAGAATAAATATCCGTGCAATTATGACGGAAATACCACCAAAAATAGGCCGACGGTGAAGAAAGCATCTTTGAACGGTAACACGACGATGACGACCACGGCGTCAAATGACCGCACATCGCCCGAGGATACATCAATGAAACGCGAAACATCATCATCATCTCAGGAACGGTTTTGTCTTCGATCGTTACGGAAACTGAAAACGCCCAACGATCTGTTTGCTTCCATTCGTTTGAATATCAAGCAGTATTTATCCAACAGTCAAGTGCAACCACTGTTGATGGATTATTTTCACATTACTACCAAACCTCCATCCATTTGGACGAAGTTCATTCGTCTGTTCCGTAAATGGCATGCCTCGGGATCCATCATTACAGACACCGCGTCCGAACTCATCAAAGAAGTGATGGCCATTTTCATGACCCATAATAGTCTGTACAGCACCTTTATCGATTATCAAGAAGTCGCCGTCTTTCTCGATCTGTCGCCGTTATCCATCCTGTTACCAGCTTCCAACGTGAACACCACCATGGCCACCCACACCCCATCGGAAGGTTCCGTTCCGATCGTGGACATGGCTCTGATTTACAGTATTTTCGCTCTCGTTTTTCTCGCCGCTTATCAGACACTTGAAACTCCGGAAGATCTGCTAAAGTACGCTTACGCTTATTACCGGCAGGCGCATCAACAGTTCCTCGAAGCGAGCTTCCCATCCACCACTTCGCCATCCCTTTCATCCTCCTCTCTCCTCAAGCTAGCACAAACCTCCATTTTATTATCCCATTTTCAGTGTTCCGTGATTTGCGAGGAACAGGCACTGATCATGGTCCGGATAGGCTTAGGTTTTGTCCAACGATGTGATCTCCCGTCCGACATGGGAGATCATGCGACGAACCGTCGTTTCAGCATCACAAATACCATTCTTACAAGCTGGCATGTCTGGCTGTCGTTCTATCTTCAACGTGACAATTGGATCACCATGGATCCCCAACCACCGACGCCACAGTTACCGATGTCGGAGATTCAAGGCAAGGAAGGAGAGGTTCGCTGGACAGCCTATGTGCTCGAGCTCTATACGCAGTTCTTGACTAAATATTTGCGATCCAATCATCATCGAGAAAGCCCCTCCCATACTGAAGTTCAGGTACTGATCCTTTTTCTTTTTATTCTGCATTTTTGCGAAAAAAAAAAAAAGAACGGGGGAAAAAAAGTATAACATGATGTATGCGTATAAACGTTGAAGTATCATAGAAATGACCAAAAAAAAAACTTCCCCCATCCCCTTACTTTCTTTCTTTTCCCCCACAGAATCGGCTCAAAACGCTTGAACGTGCTTCGAACATATTTCAAATCAGTTCAGCGAGTCCGGACCATGATCGTCAGATTCATTCTGGGATCGGTCAACGCGCACACATCGTCGCTCTGTATCATGAAGTACTCAAGATCCAGTTGTTCGCCACCCAACTGCCGCAATCCATCCAGTTCTTTTTAAACGATAATCGGATCGGGAATAAACCCATAGCTCCGGATACCGTGATGCATGACCAAGGAGTCAACACCAGCACCGTCCCCGACAAATTCAAAGATCTTGATCGATTCTCTTTCGCCACGCTCGAAAAGACGATGCATTCCGCCAATCATCCTGCGCTCCAAGTATGCATTTCTGCGGCGAATGCCATTATCGATCTGATCCACCAAGACATCACTCAACATCAGGAAACCAAATCCCACTTTCCCACGTGTCAATCCTGTTCCTTGTTTTATCCTCTCTGTTTAGCAGCTTCCGTTCTCGTGTTTACTTTCCGTCAACAAAAATTCACGCCTGTCAAAGAATCCGCTAAACCGACCGATCACGATACGACGACAACATGGGTCTCCCTCTTTCATCTTCGCGATGTCTTGCGACATTTCACCGTCCATAAAGAGGTGGCCAATATGCTATTTGTGCAATTGTCGCGGTCGCTGGTAGTCACCGCAAATCCACCCTGGCAGCAAGCCATCAATGAAGTAAGAACAAACAAGTACAAGCCAGCACCCATGGTCGATACACCGTCGTCCACTTGGGTTTCGAACCTGTCGGACGAAGCGCTGACATCCATGATTGTGCCGACCCAAGGCCGGTTTATGAACCAAGCAAGCATGTCATTTCCTCCGCTCGACGTGGTGTCTCGAGCGGATGTCGACCGAGAACAGTTGAACAAATTATCACACAACATGAAACCGGCTCATCACCATGGTCTGTCCGTGAAAGCACTGTCAGGCCGGAAACGCTCGGCCGTATCCCGCACTTCGGGGAATCACGACGGGTCGTTGGGTCAGAAACGGGACTATTTCTCCAGTACATTCCCAGATTCGACCATGCCGCAAGCCAACTTGACTCCAGTCCCGACCAGCAAAAAGCTCTGTCCAGACAGAACCTTTGATCACGATACGCTGATGCGTGGACGGCGTCCATACGATCTTGCCATCGATTTGAATCCTCATCCACACGTATCGAATGACCCTTCGGCCGCAGCGCTTCATATGTATACAAACGAGTATCTGATGATGCTTCCAATGCAACATCAATTGGAATCCTCTGATCCCATTTTCTATACCACGACCATGCCCCACCGTGACCGGGTCGTTGTACCGCCCACTCCGGGCAGCAGTAGCAGTAGCAGCGGCAGCAGTTTCAATACAATGATCACACCGAAATTGCCACTTCCACAGCCCACATTGCAAAACACAACATCGAAATACTATTCGTCTCGACAAATGCGGTATTGGAATGAATGCTTCACATCGTCTGTTAGAGAAACGTTGCACAATGGACCGTCGATTCCATTGGAATCATCGTTTGGTACCGCTCTTTCCATGAGTTTGAATGTGGATGATCCATCCACCTTGGATCCTACAACGGCTCTGGTCTCCCCGTCGACAGGCCAGCCGTCCATTGATGGAGACAACGATCAGGGAATGGTATTTTTATTCAATGGCACGGAAGAGCAGTCCTTGTTGAATAGTCCTCCCAGCTGGATCTCCTCTCAAATCGAGCAACTGAGAAAATCGACCACAGACAAGGCAGACCCACGGTCATTGTCACAACAGACGTCTTCTGGGGATGCCGAAGAGGATAAGGATCACACGCATTCCACGGCACAGACTCCGTCTCCATGGTCTACCTTTTCAGCCGTTAGCATTGCCACCCAAACCCAAGCCTATGCATCCTCGACTGTGCTGATGGACACCATCGTCTCCCCTTCCGTCACATCGACCACCCCACGAACCGTCGAAGGACCGTCCGTCGATGACAGCAATACCATGTTTACGCAGGACAATCACTGGATCAGCACAAAGATATCCGATGGTGATGTTCTGTCGTGGAACTAATCTACTTGGCAACTTTTTTTTTGTACTGTATTTCACTTCCACCATTGGAAGATGGCTTTATCTTTTGTTTTTATCCCTTCCATATATCTATATATTCTGCTTATATCATCAGTATACAATTTCTTTTTACCGGCTATTTCCGGTCATTTTATCCATTTACTTTGTTTTTCCTTCATACATTATCTTCCCATTTTGTAGATGTCCTTTTGTTTGTTGTGCCATAGGTTCAGTTTGTCCATTTCATATCCCTATTTTCCATTTTTTTCTCAATACAAAAAGTTGATAGTTTTTTTATTGCACGTTATTTTCTAGCTGTTCTCGAGCGGCTTGTTCTTCTTTGGCGAGAGTTCTTGCAAAGTCATCTTCCTCTGCTTGACTGCTTTCGCGTGGATGTGTCCTGTAAAATTCTTTTGCCGCATCCACTTCATGGATAATCGACAATAACCGTGAATCAGGCGGTAACCCTTCACGCATCTTTTGCATGCCGCGATCGGCTCCAAGGAATGCCCCTAACGCCAAACCGGTAAAAAAGCCCACTAAAGAAAAAAAAAATAAGTTCCCCACCACCAAACGAAAATCCGGCATTTCATTCTGCTTACGAATGGTTGGAATGCCCGTTCGACGTTTCGGCAACGGCCGCGATTTAGCTGTCATCATATATTGAGCCCTAATTTAGTAAAAAGGGAATAAGAGAGAACGACCCATGCGTCAATAAACTTACCCCAGAGACGAGCTGACATACCAAGTGAGGCAGCGCCCAAAGTGGCTAGTGTATTCAAGTTTATGAGACGATACAACTACGGCAACAAAACATGGCGACGAGGCTGTCAATGACGAATTGTCGACTTACCGATAGTGACAAATTGGAAAATGGCGGACCGAATAACCGTTCTGTCTGCTTCGGTTGGAACATAGTTCACGAGTTCCTTTTTAATGGCTGATTGTCTGTCGCACATTGTGGAGTAAAAAATATGTCACCCTATCAGAGAACACACAATGAATGCCCTGGCGAGACACTTGCCCAAAGCATTGCCTGCCAATGGCCACACCGGGTATTTCAAACTCCGTATGTGACTCTGGTTATCGGCAAGCGTTCCGTTGGGTCCGTCTGTTTCTCCCATTTTCTCAACCTGCAGATCTCTGTTAATAACTGTCGATGTCCAATGTGATAAACTTATAAAAATATCAGCACATGATGGAACATTCCACCTGTAATAGGAAAAAACATTGCATGAAAATTGTAATTCAAGTTTGTCTGCTATTCTCGTCGTATCGGACAATTTTATTTTTTGGCAATTTCAAGAGAGTAAGCTACTTATGTTAAGAGCGTATCAGGCCTGACAAACAGACATCGATAACGTTCTAATGTAATTATTAACTTATCTGTTATTAGGCTGGCCAAACACAAACGTATACAAGTGTACACGCATGGGCATGCTTATTTTTTTTTTCTTTTTTTGTTTGGTATCTCATGCACGTTACCTTTTTTTTTGCTGATCAGCCACTGATAAGGCAAGTCTTGAGCTTCATACTTCTTTGATCCATTGCTCTATTTGCATACCAGAATTCCCCTCAAATCCTACTAATCCTTCTTTTTTTCTTTTCTGATTCGTCTTGTGCTGCGGAAACATATTGCCCATCTTTACTGTGGATCCGGATGGTGTCCATTCGGGCACGTCGCAATGCTAGAGTTTCAGATTGACAAGGTTTCAGTTGATAAAGGAAAATATCCAGATATAAAAAAAAAGCACTCGCTATTATGCCATTTCTTATTTTTACTCTTTGTTGCTGTTGTTGTTGCTGGGATACACAAGTTATGGATGATCAGCAGGATCTTACGTTGGATTTAATTGCTACGCCGGTTTTTCAATATACGGATGCCCAGTTTCACGCACTGAGGCTCACGAGCATCATCGTCAGCGGTATCGCGCTAAGCTGTGCCGTCACCAGTATGACTACGTATATTTACATGCTGATATACGAAAAAAAGCGGGCCAATCGCGTATCACTGCGGTGTGTTATGTTATCAATTCTGGCCTTTATTCCCAACGCGATCATGAACCTCATAGCCGTTGTGGTGCCTCAAAACTCGCGCTTCTGCCGAGTTTGGGAAATTCTCGGGAGCTTTCTAAGCGTTGCCTCCGCCGCCTTTCTCGGGTTGGTAGGCTTAAATCTCGTGCTGGTATTCGTCATTGGTGTCAAACAACCGGAGCGATTGGAGTGGTTCTATTACCCTGGCGTGCTCATCTACTGTATGATACCTACCGTGGTTGGCATCGAAGATGTTTACAAAGTATTATCCACCAATCAATACAACCATCAATGCTGGTCAGTGCTCCCTTTTTGCAAGTAAATCTAACGTATTCGCACTAAATAAAATCATCTATTTTTTCTAGGTATTATACTAACTATATTGGAAGAAGTTACGCCGACTTGGCCTGGGTAAGCCATGTTTGCATAGTTCATCCTAAAGTGTTTACGAAACATTACTTATGAAGGTATTTCATAGATTGTGTTTTACGGCTTTTTATTTGCCATCTTTCTGTTCTCCACCATCTTTTCCTTGGTTGCCTTGGTCAAAGTATTCCGTGAACGACAAGCATTGGTCGATAAATTGACTGAAATGTCAACAAATGCAGAGGACTGCGGATCCGTCCAACGACCGACCAATCAAGATATCAATCGGCATGTCCATCGTCACACCAACGATTTCAGCAAAATTGTCATTCGTTGCATTGTATATCCTTTCGGTGAGCAATGGCAAGATGCAATTGATATCATGCATTCATCGTCTAAACATCATTTTCTGTAGTGCCATTACTTGTCAACGTGTGGGGATTTATCATTCAGATGATGATCGTTACACCAGACAGCGTTACACCTTATTGGCTCTTGATGTTAGACACGATCTTTGGATGGTTGGAAGGTAGGGTCATCCGTGTGTGCGTGTGTGCGTGTGTCTGTACGTGTATTAAAAGAGAGAAGGAATAGAAAGGGGGAAAAAAACGGTGTGGGAACCCATGTTAACGACGAATTCAATTATAGGAGTGCTCGTGTTCATGATTTTCTTCAGTGATCCAGCCGTGACCTCCACGCTCAATCATATATTGCGCGATCTGCGTCTCTACTTTGTAGATGAATACAGTCATATTGAAGAATACCCAGATGGACGCATCAAAGTCACTGTTTCCGGATTAAACCCGACCACTGCTCGTGCGAGGTTAAGGCCACGACCAAAGATATCACATCATGTACCACCGCCAGCGGAACAGTGGCCGCCAGACAAAGACAGCACTCAATCTCCCCCAGTTGACAGTTCATTTCAGCAGGAAAAATCCAAAAGTCCTACAGACGATACTTTTGATCAACCACGCCTGCGCGTGGTAGAGCGTACAGCCTCACAAGAATCCAAGGACGATAAAGAAATACCATCGAACAGAATGGTTATTCGTCGCGTTAGCGCAGACGCTGTCAAGGATAGTCCTAACCGATACTCAACGAGCCCTTTCGACCATGTGTCGTCCCAGATTACATCTAGAAATGGTAGACAGTTCGAGATTCGGGACATTACATGGACAGACGAAAATGGCATCTATGTCTCTTATCGACATCCTCGACTGGTGACAGTCGTTCACTGGATACTCATTCACATCTTTCGTGTCAAGCGTGACGAAACGGTTGAAATCTTTTATCCTGAGGGAATGGCCCGAGGTCCTTACTGTGTCATGATCCAGAAATGAGAGAATCCTTCCTAGACTACTTTATTCTCTGGACGAAGCCCTCCCGACTGCAAACTGCCACAGGTTTCACTCGCAGCTGAAGGAACTCTGATTGGTCGAACCCGTGACGGATTGTAGGTTTTCCGGTTCGAGGGAAATTTTTGGGTCTGTTCTCTGTGTTCTCGCTCCCTTTTGAGTTCCTTCACCCTTTGACTCATGGAAGACGATGATTCTGCGCCAAAATTCATAAGACGGTTGGCTCGCCCCGTTCCATTTGTTCCGGAAACCAAGGAACCAGTGGACATTCCCTCTTCTTCGTCGATACCCAATAAAGATTCCGGCGATGAAGTAGCCGATTTTTATTCCAAACTTGTCTCACAGCCGTCGTCATCCAAGGCTGGTGCTACTGAATCGATATCCCCAACGACGAATGAAGAAAAGGATCAACCTCAACAAACCGTATGGTGTGAAAGCTGTCAAATGGCTCTTCTTGTATCCGATTATCGTCGCCATTTAAGCGGTACTGCTCATCAAGTGAGCGCCGATCTCACCCAAGCGCCCGATTACCTCGTACTGAATGGTTCCAACGTTGGATTTCAGATGCTGCGATCGCAAGGATGGCAGTATGAAGAAGGGTTAGGACCTAAAGGTCAAGGACGACGACATCCTATAGCAACCGTGCTCAAACAGGATCGATTGGGACTCGGTCATCAACGCACCGGTCGCAAGGCAGTGACTCACTCTGCGAGTGAAATCGAATTTCGGACCCAGCTGCGGCAGTTGCAAATGAAAGCACGCCAACCTCTGTCAGGCAAAGAGATTGCCAAACGCGCCCGTCGAGAAACTGAACAGCGAAAAGCCATGCTCGATTATATGAATCGCTAAATCATGCTTCTTCTCACACAAAAATTTCTTTTATCACATCATTCTTTCTTGTAAATAAACAACATTCAGCATCTTTTTGTACATAATTCAAACCCAAAAAAAAAGCTGAGGTGGTCATGCTATATACTTTATTGAGGAGGGTTGAAACCTAATGGACCTTCCGTGTCACCGTCGTAACCTGAAGAAGGAGTGGGAATATCGTTGCCAAGTGAACTGGAGGCTTTGGATGTTTTGGTAGCGATTCTCAGATCCGGTTGTTGTTTTGGCTGGCGCTGTTCTGCCGCATTAACGGCGCCTGCGGCTGCCAAGTCCCGTTCGTGTTTGGACAACTTGGACATGACTTGAGCTACTGAAGGGTCATTGACGTCATGTCGTTTGACACTCATAAATGCACTTGAATAAGGATCCGATGTCGTGGTGGAAGATGACGAAGAAGGCGATCGTTTTAGGGATGGTGAATTATCATGTTTAAGATGAGTATGCGATGTACGTCGAGCACTTCGTACGGCTTGTTTGACAATGGATGAACTCTCAGTGTCGTCAGCTGTGTCACCTTCTTCGCCTGCAGAAGAAGCAGAAGCTTCCACTCCGGACTCGGACTCATTGATGACAAAGTCATTGTTGGCTGGTAATGAACTCGACGCTTGACGTTGCATGGTTTTGAAAAAGAAGGATAAAATAGGAAAGGTGTCTTTTTTTTTTTTACTGGGTGAAGGAGATAATAAGGCAAAAAGGCAACAAAAATTTTCCGCGACTTGAAGAGTTATTCTTCAAAGATCACTGTAGAAGAAAATAAAACACAATACTACTGTAAGTAGCTGGGAAGCTCAAAAAAGAGTCAAGCATCCATCTTGGTCAAGCTCAGTACCCAGCCCAAGCAAAAAGAACAATGCATTACAGTTTTACGCGTGTTTATACAGCTACAAATGTAGGTGCGGATGTACGCACAGTACACAATGCGTCACTTCAAAAACGTGAGTGAGTGAACAGATGCATCTGCGATCGAAACCCCAAATCGAAAATGTAAAAATATCCATACTTTGACATATTCCCTCGCTTCCATTCCCTTTTTGAAGGAAATTCCCAAACTCTCCAAACGAGATGTTACGATTACACAGCACCGTTTTTTTTCTTTTGTAGTGAAATCTTTCCTTTCCCCTTTTGTGCCTTGAAAGTCATGGTGATACATGTAGAACATTTTTTTTGGGATGGTTGTCATCTTGAATTCAATCTTATTTTGCTGAGCTAAGCGTTGACCAAATGGTTTACTATACATTCTTGTCTCTTCTTTCGCCCCGCCCGCGCGCCTTTTTCCCCCGAAAAATCGGCTAGAAAAGAAAATATAAACCCCGGCATCAAGGCATCGGTGCAAGAAAAAGGCGTGAATTTTCTGCCTGTCTGAGTATTGACCAATTGGGGAAAAACTGCCAGATAAAGCATTTTTGAAAAAAAAAAGAAAAAAAAGAGGCCTGGAACCGGAGTCAGTGAAAATCAACCCGCTGGCGAAGTTTCCGTCTTATCGCGTTCGGTCACAGAAGGCCAATCGTGTTCACTATCTTCTTGGGCCGAATTATCAGGACTATCATGTGCTGGTTGCTTGTACTTTTTCTTTTTCGCCAGCGCTTTTTTACGCTCCATTTTGGCATAATCTATTCACTCAATCGTTAGTACTTATTTTGGTTCAGGTCTCATTGTATCCATTACTGTGAAATAAGCTTGAAGTAAGAAAAAAAAAAGGAGGGGTGGATTTCGAAATTCAAATAAAGAAAAAGAAGAAAAAAAAAAAAGACACAATGATACTTACGTAAACCACAGGCATTGCACAAGGTACGTGCACCGTTGGGACCACGTCGCCATTCAGGCGTTTCAGAGATATGGCAAGAATGACATCGTCCTTGGAACGTTCGTTTCTATTTTATTTTTCCCAAGATTTCGGGTTAGATAAGCTATATCATTTGGGCTGTCTTTTTTTTTTCATTATTTCAGTTGACCAAAAAAGGATGTCTTTTCCTTAAGTATACTTTTTGGGAGACCAAAAAAGAAAGGACCGACTTACTGTGTGCTGCCGCTGTGGTTTATGTCTCATATCTCCTGACGACCGAGCCTCGGTGTGATCTTGACGACGCTGCGCGGCTTCCACGGCGAGTTGATATTTCCGTAGTCTCAATAATGCATTCAATACTTTGTTGGCTTTGCCGACCATATCATCCAACCACGGTCGACTCATTAAATCTTGGTGATGAAACGTTTCGTGATATCGTTGTGTTAATGCTCGTTTTTGATGCGTCATATTTTCACTTAATCCGTGACATTCATGAATAATCTGTTGATAAAAAAAAAAAAAAAAAAAAAAGCACCACCCATTGTTATTTTGTAAGAACACGGTCAAATGGGGATATGAACCAGTGATCAAGATTTTACCTCGTCAATATCGTTTTCAATGGTACGTTGAATCGATGGGGAAGGCGTGGAGTAGGAAGGGGAGGATGTGGCGGGCGGTGAAAATAACGTGGACGTGGATGATGCAGGTGAATGACCGTTATCAAGGGATGGCGTTCGCGGTAATATGAAAAGACTGTCTGATGGCGGTTTATGATGGCGTTGTTGTTGCTGCTGTTGCTGTTGCTGTGATGGCGGGGGTAATGGTATGGATTGTGGTTTTACGGTGGATGACCATTGATCAGGTTGAAATGCTGGTAAAGCGGGAGGTGTAGGAGGCATGGGCGTCGAGTAGGGTGGCCAATATGGTCGATTCGCAATACAATTATCGAGTGTGGATATCGGAGGAAGGATCCGATCAACATCCTCCTTGGAGCTGTCAATGAAAATATACAAACAATCAAAATGTACATTATGTATCAGATGATGTGTACGCATGCAAGATTAACTGTTTATCACATTACCTGTGAAATATAGGTTGCATAACAGATAGAAACAAAGATGAAGAGGGAAAAACCAAAAGAAATGAAAGATGACAAAGATATTTGAAACACAAACGAATCCACGTTGAAAAGAACAAGTGTTATTTAAGAAGAAGAAAAAGAAGAAATCAAAGAAGAGATGGATGGGAAAATGCGGCTGAAACAAGGCAAGAAGATAAAAAAAGAAGAAGAATGAAAATAAAACAAGTCGAATTGACAAGAAACGTAAAAAGCGTGTGTGGATGAAAAAAGCGGAAAAGAAAAAAAAGATTGTGCAAATGATCGATTTTTATGATGATGATGATGATTTATTTGTATTATATTTTTCCCTTGCCGACAACCTTAAATGTAGCAAAGCAACCGTATCGTAGAGATGGATATATTTCCAAGTGTCACCAGGGAATTCTTATGAAACAAAATTTCTGTCTTGATCGCATCACATGTCCTTTTTTGGGGGATCGGTGTTACTCCAGATGAGGGCTTCGCCACACTTTGGTTGACCCACTTGGCTGGTCCCTCTCTCCACGTGGAATCATTGGAGATATCCAAGCTTATGGGATCGTCTGATACACATTGGCCACGATTGGTTCCAATCCTTGTTTTTGGCTCCGCCGAAATACCCATTGTTCTCGGTAAAAATTCATCTTCCAGCTTTTTGACGCAATCCGTTGTTGACCATCTGGATTCAAAACATGATAGGCTTATTTGTCTTGCTCTATATGGCTTTCTTCAGTTACACATCTATCCATCTTGATCAACCCTTGCATCATTTTTTCCCTTGCACGTTGGTCCTCATTTTTATCTGTTTTAAGTAAATCCCCCATGGGGATGAACGGGAAATACGTTAGATAACACCGCATCCATATTTTTTTTTGGGTCCAACCCATCTCGTCGTATCTCAATGGGAAATGCACTTTCACTTATTCATTGTTATCTACGGTATCTTTGCTTGCCACTATCTTTTTTTTTTTTTTCACTGCACCCGGTTTCCCGTCCTCCTCTCTCTTCCCCCCCACCCTTTTTTTGAGTTTGCCTTACCATTGACCTCACGTTATTATCCGTCAAGAATCGGATGATCAGAACAATGGGGCTGTATGTAGCTCATTCCAAATTGCAACAGTTTCAATAGATAAACCATCGACCCTCTTCTTTGATTGGAATTGATTGGATTGCTTTCCGATGGTTTCCTTTTAATTTTTTGAGTCGCCAAAAAGGGGCGATGACTCGAAATGACACTATTCTGTAGAGTCACTTGCCTTTTTCGGAGATGATAAATGTTTCCCTCTGGGGGTGGAGGTTTCATCCAACGGCTTTGGGCATCTTATTTAGACATCTAAAACCATTCCACGATCAAGGTTCATGATCAAGTCACTTTATCTCTGTCCGACCAACCTGTTGTCCAGCTGCACACAACCAGGCTTGGCTAAATCCCCGATCCGGAAAACCTGCAGCTCTAACACCTGTCAAACCTCGTGTGACGGATGCAGACCTTCCATCCGCCCCCTGTGTAACCTGTCGACCGATGGCAAATTCCATGGATAAATCCGATCAGCGCACGGTTGATTGTTACTTTTTTTTATCTTTATCACAGCCAATCCCATAACGTCCCAAAGAATAAGCAATTTTATCTTTTTTTCTGATAACCATCAGTGATCGGAGCTGTCACACCCAACCACCGATGCAACCACAAAAGAAAAAAAAAAAGATTCCGACCCAAACATGTGTACAGGCACCGTTATGCATCAATGATATTGCCGGGCAAATACGATCACCCAAACAATAGATGGTAGCTGAATCATGCAAAAAACATTGGTTTATGATTGATCCATGACAATGGTTTTTCACTGTGGACCATTCTTTCCTCCGGCTGGACGGGAGTAAACAACTATACAACCCAAAAGACGGTGGTTGGCCTTTTGTTAGTGTTTTCTTTAAAATACGACGACAAACAATGGCTTGAATTACACACTGCCATCTTTTTGATGTTTGAATGGAGTGAACGGCCATTTTTTAATTTTTTTTTTCTTTCTGAATTATCGTTTTACCAAACTCTCCCCCGACCGTTGCCTTTATGAAGGTGCATTACATTCTGTGTATTTTATCTTTATGGTGTCCGGCCATTTACGCTTGTGCAGGCAATTTCATGTAAGCTCTCTTTTACTTTATGATTTTCAAATTTTCCGATGGTCCATTGACAGTTTTGGATTTCTTGAATATAAAAAATATAGTTATGATGTTTGCATGACCGCTGCGCAAAACGCGGTAGATGAATGTCGCACTGATGCATCTCCTGCCTGCCTTTGTTCAGCCCAGAAGCAAGTGTTAGCGTGCTATGCTGAATGCAAAAACGATGAGACGATTTTTGGTAGGTGGAATAAGCCTTATTTCGAGGGACCGGTCTAACATCTTTACTCTTTTTGGTTTTCTCAGAAATCACGGGCCAGCAATTGCTTCGGATCAACGAAGCTTGCAGCCATCCCAGCGCTGAAATCGAAGCCACTATTACTGTTGACAGCGGCAAGCAATTGAAAGCGGCCTCCTTTGACCAAAACATGGACGGTGGCCAGGCCGCCGAACCTATTCGCGTGGACGAGCCAGAGTTGAAACGATCCCACGTGTCAAAGACAGACATCCCTAAGGAAGCCGAATCGAAAGACGTGAATATGAGTCCTAGAATGCAAACCTCGTCTACCTTGCCTTTATCAAAGCATTTGCATGATGCGTGGCTTGTTGCTTTATTTACCGTGTTAACCACCTCTTTGTACGTTCTTCCCGTCCCCATTGGTGAAATCTGTTTCTCCTAGACATGACTCGCTTTTACTCATCTTACTGCTGCTATCTACCCTTTGATTTTTAACTGAATACAAGCATTTAATCACTCATTGACGACTTCTTACGGCGTGTTCAGCCAGTGAATCAAATGACCATACTGTCGCTAGAGATACTTTCTCTGTATAGAATACACATTTGTTTTTGGCATATGGCGTGGTAATTGCATGCTTGAATACAAGAGAAACTACAGGGATCATAAAACATTGTATACTGTAATATCAAAGATCACGCATGAAAAGTCACCAAACATACGCTTATCTGGGTGGACTTGGCAGCCCACTCAATCCTCTGGCCTATTCTAGAGTAATTGATACTATGCAAAAGTGTAAACACTTTTTCATACCTTTGTTGCAAACCCTTGGACCCGTATACTAGCTCTATGCAGCACTTCTCACCACATTCACGACTGGAGTGCTTGTATTTCTATCTGACTCTTGACTATTCTTGCAAGGTCAGTAACTCAACGTTCCTTGCGTCACGTGACTGGGAAATTTTTTTGTTTAGAGGCCGTCGCGCTTGTCGAGTAATTTTTCGCTGGGCAGCGCTTCCAGAAAAAAAAAAAAGCAAAAAACTTAACGGCAGAGCACTCACTTCTCTTGCTTATCTATTCGCTGCACAAAATGTCTGCCAATATCTTTGTTCAGGAATCCTTTGAATCGCAGGTAAAAAGAACATGATTAACTACAGTTCAACACCCCCTTCTCCATCCGTGATGCATTTCAATGTTTGATTTTGTGTCCTGATCTACGGATGTGGGTCCGCGTGGCTTGGACGATAAGCTTAGGGACAAGTATCCCGTTTCCAATCAACCCATCTAACGCATGTATCGATAGGTTAACGATCTCGCATACTATATCTCCAAGCTGAGAGGTGAGGAAGGAGATGAAGAAGCTCCCTACATGAAGGAAGTGGCTTCTCTGCTTGAATCGGACAAGAAGGACGACATTTACTGCAAGCTTGCCAAAGACGCCTCGGTCTTCTTGACTGTCATTGATTCCGGTACGCGAGCCTACGAACTCATCTTTGAGTGAAAATGGAATTGACGGCTAACACCATTTTTCAAAAAAAAAAAAAAAATAGAGGTGGAAGGTGCCTTCAACTTGCTTCTTGTCATTGTTCTCGAAGCACCTGAAGCTGTGTTGGCTTCTGCTGTGAAGCAAGTCATTGAAACGCTTACCAAGACCGAAAGCTCAAAGACAAGCTTGAAGCAAAAAATGTGAGTAAAAAAAAAAAAAAGGAAACTTCTTTTGAAATAGATGGCAGATCCACTCATTTTTTTTTTAATACCTGACAGTTTGTTGAACTTGTACAACGCATTGCCCGGTACTTCTTCGCTTCGTTATGACACTTTCATTGGTTTGGTCGACGTCACAGCCAAGGCCGATGAATTAGATTCCTTGTATCCTCAATTGGAATATGTTGACACATGGGCCAAGCAATGGGGCATTGACAAAGAAGCTGAACGTCAGCTGTATAACCATTTGAGCGAGAAATTGCTTCAAGTCGGTGAAGAGTAAGTATTGAGCATATATGCGTGGACAAAAATGATGTTGGGGACATAAAGAGTTAACGGTGTGTGAAAAAAACTTCATAGACGTTTATCACTTGATTTCTTATTGAAGAAATTGGCTACTTACGTTGAGGACGATGCTGCCGCCACTGAATGTGCCAAGGAAGCCGTGATGCGTTCGGTCGCTATGGATAACTACTTTGCTTTCGAGGATCTTTTGCAATTCAGCGCTATTCAAAAGTTGAAGGGTAGCCCGGAATATCAGTTGTTGGATGTGTTTTTGAACGGCACTTTGTCCAGCTACAAGACTTTTGCGGAATCCAACAAGAACATGATCAAGGATGCCGACAGCTATTTCCGAAAGATGCGTTTGCTTTCATTGGCTTCCTTGGGATCGGAAAACCTATCGCGCGAGCTGACGTATGCCGAGATTGCAAAGAACTTGGAGATCTCCGAGGACGATGTGGAAATGTGGGTGATTGATGTCATCCGAGCTGGTTTGGTTGAGGCCAAGCTGGACCAGTTGAACAAGACCGTCATTGTGCACCGCAGCATTTACCGTGTGTTTGGCAAGGAACAATGGCAACAATTGAGCACCCGACTTCGCACCTGGAAAGACAACTTGAACGAGATCCTGGCTGTCATCAGCAACGCAAAACTTATTGCCGGTGGAGCTCTGCAGGGAGGAGCAGCAGCTGTGGTAGTAGAGGATAAGACAAGCGAGATTACCGTCAAGACCAAATGATGTTTTTGAAACCTAGTTCATTTTTGTACGCATTCTTTTTTTTTCTCTCTCTTCTTTCTATACACGCCTTCCTAAAAAGTTTAGGAAAGGGAAATTTGAAAAATCTCTCTCTCCCGAAAGAAATGTTCATAATAAAAAAAGTTCTCAGAATAGCTTTCATTACCAATCAGGGTATTCCAAGAAATCGCTCTGCTGGATGAATTGAACAGCTTGCCATGAAAATTTAACTCTTTACCTTTTCGACATTCTCTTGACTTTGCTTTCTTTGTCATTTTCAAATTACTACAATGAATTTCGGAATAAAGTGTAATGTAGCATGGTAGAAGAAGTTCTAAAGTAGATAATACTAGGGAAAATAAAAAGAAGCATGTCACACACATGAATGCCTAGAGGCCAAAAATGAAGTAGGCGGGTTTTTTCTACCATCATAGAAATTCGAAATGAAAATGAAGAAACAGAAAAAAAAATAAAAAATATTGGTTGAAATGAAATAGTGCAATGGGAATCATTATTCGATGGACCAGCGTCTGGAACTCGCCTTCTCCAGTCCCATGGGGCTCATCGAATGGCCGCCCGTACTGGATGCGGTGGCGTGAGAGACTGCGAAAAGATTGACATGTCAATTGCCTTGCACACAAAAAAAGAGTTACCAGCACTATCCCACTTACTGTGATTCATCAAGCCTAAATTAAAGTTTCGCGTACAAATGATCGACACTGGTACCGAGACCTATTTGATGAAAATTAAATCAGTCAGTCAACCACCCTTTCCTCTAAACTAATTTTCGACGGTTATCTGTCAGCGTACCAAGATAAGGACTAAATCCACACATACTAACGAACAAAAAGAGTCAGTATCCTTTCTCTGATGAGTTATCAGTCAATAACAGTTTACTTACAAAAGAAGGTAAGGAAAGCTTTGGAGCCGAGGAACCGATCTGGATTTTGTGAAATTTGCACAAGCAAATAGATGTAGTAGCCCATACTCGTCAGGGCTAGAATATTGAACAGATACATGTGCACCTTTTTCTCGAGTCGTAACTAGGAGATGCGCGAGTAAATAAATAGACGTAAGATAAGCGAAATAGGTGGATACTTACACCATAGAAAGCGAGCACCAGCATGACGATGGAAACGACGCAACTCAGTAACACGTGCTCGATCAGTTCGACGACCAAACTCGACCGTTCATCTGGCGTTTTGGATTCAGGCCACCAGGCTACGATCAACAGAGCCAAATACTGAACCGAAAGTCCCAGAAAGAAAAAGAAATCAAACTTGAGCAGCATCATGAAAATCTGGTACATTTTATATCGATCTTTTTTTTTTTTTTGTCGCGAGAAAAAAGAGAAAAAAAGGAAAATCACATGAATACGTGTGGTCGATAATTCGTTGTGCAGTAAATATATGTACGTACCGCGCATGGCTAAATCGGCACCAATCTTTTTGTAAATATGCCAACCGAATTCGAGATAAAGCTTGTAGGCAAGGAAACAAAAGATCAGACTACTTAGAATGACGACGCAGATCTGAGTTATCTCGGCCCACTTGGAAGCATGATAGGCATCCCCAAGATAGGTGACGGCCAACTGGACGGTGCCATCGTTCATGTTGAATAAGGTGGACGATTGATGATACTGAATAACCGAATACGCACTCATGCCCAATTCAAATGCGACCAGCGCAATTAATTGGATGGTATTCTTCTGGTAAATCTGTGTCACCGGACGAAACCAATAATGATTAGCTTTACCAATGACCTTTTTACAAATAGATTTCACGCGATTTTTTTTTTCTTTAGTGAGCATATGGGATGATTGAAACTTACGGCATCAACGACAAGGATGACGGTGAATACTTGGGCAACGATAAACAAGACAAAGTACACCAATAAAGATCGCGCATTGGCATACGCAGTGGCCAGACTGATGCCGAATTGTTTCTGATCGAATTGACGATCGTTGATGATGTCGATTTCGTTCGACAGGTAGTTAAAGATGATCACTTCAAAGACGATGGCTAGCAGGGCTTGGATAATGACATTGCAAAAGATCGCACGCGTCCATCGTGATTCGCCAAACTAGTAGGGTGGGGAGGTTAAACGAAAACCGGTTTGCAAGTCGAAAAAAGACGAGTAAGGTAGGTTGAGAAAGCAATGCTTACGACTCGCGATATGATCCACATGTGTACGTTATCTCTTTTTCGATGCTACTGAAATATACTGTATATCCATGGAAATGAAAAAAAAAAACGTCTTTTAATGTTATTGTTGATAGTTTGGGCCATTGGCGTGAAATTCGCATGTCGGTGGACGAAATGAAATATACCTGACGAAGAAAGGAGGACTGATTATTTCACTTTTAATAAATATAATAAAAAAAAATAAGCGTAACAAAGAACAATAAGTCCTGTGCGAAGACAATAGAAAAGAATGGTATGGGGGTTTGAAAAAGCGTGATTCCTTTCGTAAAGAGAAAGAGAAAAGAAAGGAATAAAAAAAAGTATGGTGTTTCTCTGTTGTTATTTGATGATGGAAGAAAAAAAAAAGGGAATGAAGAGAGAGAAAAAGAAAGTGGTGAGTAAAAGAAAAAGGAAAAAAAAATATCTGATGGAATGAAAGGAGATGTTACGAAAAAAAAAAAAGAAAAAAGAAAAAGAGAACAAAACGAGGGGGTTAGGTGTGGCTCACGCATCGCAGCATTTTCATAATGGAGCACAAACACTACATCATTGCAACTCAGATAATTGTACAGGAAGCCCATTTCGGTTGCTGGTTTTACCTTGGTCGGCATGGACGATACAAATAGAGATCATCGTATTGGCGTTTTCTACTCTGTGTCAGTCCGTTCATCGTTCACGTAACGCCCATTAATCGATTTTATAATCTATCGGGTCATCTGGCCAGTGATTTTCATGTTAACACTGGATCGATCGTCTCCTTATTTTGGTGCAACCACTGTGATAATTTTATCCACGCTGTTACCATTTTAAGTGCGGACTCGTGAATGGTTTCCACTGAATCAAAAATATCTATTCATGGGGATCCATTCATTTCTGGATACTTTTTCTTTTTTTACATGACAATAAGTCTCAATACTTGGGACACTATCATGATATTACTTGGTATCTGCTTTCTGTTTTTTTTTTCAAAGGTCTGCATCTGCATTTGATACAGTCATATTAAAAAAGAAAAAAAAATAAACGTTCATGTGTATGAAGAGAAATGCGCCAACATAAAAATGGGAGAATGTCACGCATTTTTGTTGTCTATTTCAGTAAGCTTCAGATCCTCGCGATGTTACCTATTGAGGCGCGTAAACGGTTGATCATAGATCAGCTGTCCTACAGGGAATAAGTTGCGTAAGCTTCTTCAAGAGGCAATCCGTTTTTTTCTCATGACACTATGATATGAGCTGCTGCGGAATCGAGGAAACCGTGAATCTGGATCATGCACGTCATTCGACACGGAATTTATGCTTCTCATTTTTCCTGCTTTTCTTTTTCTTCTATCCAAGGCCAAAGATATATATTTGAAACACTCTTCCGCAGCATTTCTGATGTGTCCTCTTTTTGCTGTTACGATCCACGGCGAAAAATCCACAGCGTTCATTGTGCTCGCAACCAAGGAGTGGTTGCAAAATGAACATCGATCTGTATCATATGATGGAATTCCGGCCGGGAACGTATTTGGTGGATTTCATAAAGTTTTATTGGCCTTTATTTTTACTTTATTTTTACATGCTTTGGCAGGCATCCGTGGTAGGCCAATGTTGGTGGGAGCAGGTGAGAGAGCAAAGGGATAAAAGGAGGTGACGGGATGTTTATCCCGCATGGTCATCGCTGTTTACCAGATGAGTGCAACCTCCATCTGTAACAAAACACTCGAAAAATCCATAGCCAAATTCGTCATGGCAATTTTGTATCAGTGCTTGTCGCCGTGCAACAGGTCGCCTTGACGGGCGAATATATTCTTGCCTAGATCCTTGAACGGTATCGCTTAAAGGTATGTTCTGTTTCCTGGATTATGGGGTCATTCTGATGAACCTGTCTGCCCACGATGCCATCCCAAACCCTTTACACATTCTTCAATGGCGATCCGGGCTATATTTGTCTCAAACCACGGAAACATTGAAAGAAGATTAACTCGCATGCGTCAATATCAGGGCCCTGGACCACGGGGAGGGGAAAAAATAAGTCAGGAGAAATCGTTGCCGCTTACACCATGAATTTTTTTCCCTTCATTCTTTTATGTCGTGCCGTGCATTGGGCAATCGAATGGCGAGTCAATTTACCTCGATAATTGCGCAAACGCCTTCACGTATCGGGAACCGCACAAACGCATAGATTTTATTAACACCAAAGCATCATTTGGTATATCCTTGCATATTCTCGACGCAAAGGAATCTTTTTCGCCTGTCCAATCACTATCAGTCCACCCAGAAGCACCGCACCTACGGACGTGGCGACGGCCGTCTTGATATGCATCATTCGTTTTTGTCGTTGTTGTTCAACAATATGAGCTTCCTTGGCTTGATTCAGGTGCTGACCTGCTGATCGTGCCTTCTTTCCCTTTCGCTTAAATACCGCTTGCGCTCCACTCACGATATGATAGGCGGTGAAACCCACCAGAGCCACATGGGTGGTGTAAGTAAACAAAGGCCGGTTCTGCAATCCCCAGGCAATCAATCCAAAGTCGACAAATGCCGAGTCACCGAAATGAATTTGCGGTAATTTACGAGCTAGATAGGCGTGAACAAAGACAAGAGGTACCAAAGCATACCCTGCCTCGCGATGGTACTTGAACAAATGACGGGCCTGTGACGTGGTGGTCGTCGTGGAGGTGGAGGTGGTCGACGATGCCCGATGACGATTCCAGTAAGTTCGAATACCTGCTTTGGCCGCACCAGCTATAACGTGAACGGTAGCAGCATTGAGAATGATGTTTTCCACATGTTTATCTTGATAAAACGGACGGCCCAACAAAAGCCAGTTGTTGGCCTGATCAATGCCGCCTACAAGACTGACAGCGATTTGGGCACCGTGGATAACAACGAAACCGACAAATGTAGCGGCCGATACGTTTTGAAGCGTTGTTAGGTAACCGTGGACTTTATACAGGTTCAAGGATAGTCCTCGGTTCGAGCGTGAGGCGGAATCTGACATTTGGATGGGTTCACAAAGGCTTTCAACTCCTGGGTCGAAGGGGAAGCCCGTTTGAGACCACCGAAATTGCGTCGATTTTCAAATCTCTTCAATCTCCGCATGTCACCCAACCATGACGATCATCTTGGGCAAATGTGCCAAAAAAAAAAAAGGCTCTTTGGTAACAGTTCCTTAAAAGGGAGCAAAAAACGGAAGCGACCAAAGATTCCCGTCGGTCCTTTCGATTTCGGGCAATTTCTCTTTCGTTTGTTATTATAATGACAGTGTATTTGATTAGAATCCCATCCAACTTTAATCACTCGGTAATATTTAATTTCCTAGCCCTCGCCATAATATGTGGTTATTCCATATCATCATCTCACTCCATTATTCTTTCTTTCGATTTCACTGTATATCATGCCATCACTAGATATCACATCAACATGCCTGCTACTGCTATTCCTTTGCTGGTTTGGGATTGCATTAGCACAACCAATGACCGCGTCCTCACCAGGTAAGCGCACCCGTTCAACATTTAATGACCCCGCCATATCACGAAGAAAAAAAAAAAAAACGAGCATCCCATCCACCAAAAAATAACTGGTTTTTTATTGTTCTGTCTTTAGACATAAAGATCCTAGATGATGTATCAGAAACATTATCATGCAGTCTTTCATGCTCGGAAACCAGGACAAGTACGACCACCTCATCCACATTTACATCCGCATCCACGACCCTCGTATCGTATTCCTCCAGTTCCACATCATTGATCACAGGACTCACCTCCATGACTACCAGTGTCAAAGCAACCAAAACGATGACCAAGACCAAAACCGCCACGGCAACCGTGATGCCAGCCGTCTCAACACTGAGGACCATCAAAGTTGAAGAAGAAGAGGAAGAAGAAGAAGTGAGTTTTCACGAAGCAAGACTTGTTCGACCTCAACCACACGAGAAAGATCCGTGGCCAGCGTTGGCTCGTCCACTGACAACGACAAAACCCGCACCGATTCACTTGAACCACGGATTTGATCCGTCTTCTTCAAGCCATTCGTCTGACAGCGGATCGACCCATCAGGAAGAGGAAGACGAGACCATGGTGGGCCCAGATCAGCCGTCGGAGCAGTCGACTCAACGAGACGAAATGAGCCCCTCGGAAGGATTAAGTACGGTACATACCGCTTTGTTAAGTGTTGGAGCCGTGTTGATTGTCGGTGGAGTGGCCGCGGGCATCCTCGTGTATAAAATCCAGCATCGCGCACGACAAGCGAACGAAGCCTTTTCTTTGGATCTGAAACGACAGGATTTGGGAGGCAAGCCAACCACTCTGGGTGGTGGTCATGGCGGCGGACGAGCCATGTCCATGATTCAGTTACCTCTGCCGAGATTTGACTCAACCGAGTTCCATTGCGGACTGGAAGATTATATTGTAACCGAAAACGAAGAAGCATATATCAAGGAAGGCATCGATGATATCGAGAACAACCGTATCGCCATCTCGGGAGCATTGAAGAAATTCATGGATCATCCGCTGCCTTTGCCACAAAGGCAACCGGAACAACCGGCACCTCCACCGCGACCAAGGATCCCACTGGACCGAGGCGGTGGTAGAGAACGGCCTCCTCATAATCGACGGACCATCCACGGCACCAGTGGTGTCCAAGTCGCCATTGAACTACCTTCGGATCAGTTTGTCCCTCTGCAGGGATCCGACATGAAACTCGCGTCGCGACAGGAGATTCTCAGTGATCCTGTGCGTCGCCGTGGATTCGACGAACTGGCGTTTTGGGAAGCACAAAAGAACAAGCGACCCAAACCCTCGTCACCGCCATAATTGCACCTACGTTGTTTCTCGCTATTGCATTCTGTCCACTCATATATCACTCTTTCGTTTCCTAATTTCTATCTACATGTAATAATTATCTTATACTGTCCTTGTTCTTGCTACTTTTTTTTTACATATACTTTATAAAACCTTGCGAAGATGCTTTTTTTGTTCAACGAGTTTTTTATTGTCTATAATCAGCTGAAGGGAACACAAGGCGCATCGACTTGAGATCTTTTCTTTTTTTTGACACTTGCGCATCATCATCGGCGCCTTACGTCATAATTGTTCTATCATCCACGGATGTGCCTTATTTAGGTTTTGGGTCAGAATTTTGCAGGTTTCAAAAGAGACGAGATTTTCTCTCTTTCTCTGTTTTTCTTTGTTCTCCATCTTTTTGATTACACTTTTTACTCTTTAAACCATGGTTGGCGATTGTTGTCTTATTTTCATCATCATCTTGTTGCCTCCTCTCGGCGTATTCCTCATGAAAGGATGCACCGCTGATTTCTGGATCAATATGTAAGTTGGAGATTTGCTGTTCTTCTTCGGTTTTTGATCTCTCTTATTCAATATTTCGCCCACAATCAACACCACATAGTTGTTTGACCATCCTCGGTTATCTTCCAGGTAAAGTGTCTTTTTTGTTTGAGTAACAGGTGTGGACATTTATCTGACCTTTTTGTTGCATCTAAATAGGCCATTTGCACGCTTTCTATGTCATGATCAAGAAACGAGAACAACAAACCCCGTACGTCGCTGGCGGTGGCTATACGGCTCCTCCTCCTGGTCAGGGCTATGGTGCTGTGCCCCCGGCATAAAGCCGAGACCCATTGGCTCATGTGTTTCAAAGACATTTCTTATACCTTTAAGAATATTGATATTTTAATAAATAAGTATATAATGCAGTATTGTTACAAATCCAAATTACCAGGCGGGCGAGCGGATTGTATGATCTTTTCGGTTGCCTGGCTCTGTATTGGAATAGGTTGATTATTTCGACAACAGGTGGTGTGTTGGATCACAGAATGAGCTGATGTTCGATTGAAAATTCAGTTGGAACATTAATACGCGCGAATTTTAAGAACCGATGGAGGCTCCTGAAAAATGACACCGATCATTGATTTACTTTTGTCTCTCATTTCATATTTTCTCATTTCATATTTCTTCAGGACCTGGAAGTTGGATGATATATAATAGCTATTGCACTGTTTTATGTCATTTTCAACAAAGATGTAAGCACGATATTTCCACATGTATCAATATACCCAAATAAAGCCAGCAACTGCTGACACAAGCATACGTGCTGGTATGCATTGCTTACAAGTTGTGTCAATGATCCATTAATTTATCGCTGAAGATTCACGCACTTGGCTGAAAAAGTAAATCTATCAATTACAGTATCATTGATGATATTCAAATTATAGTTATGAAAATAAGTACCTTTTAGACCTGGAAAAAGGCACAGGCGGAATCGGTGCACTGTTCGCTTTGTTGAATTTGTTCATCTAGGCACACTAGGACAGAAGTTTTCTCATCAAATAATTCTCTCAAAACAATACGCTTTTAGCTGTAGTAATATTTGTGTAAAATTCAATGCACACATCAATACAACAATCGCTTTTCAAGATGGGGTCTACAGTGTTTGGGAGGGTGGTTTTGGCAGTTTCTGAGATTCAATCCAAGGGTCGGCCAATGCCTTGGCCAATCAGAGGGCTGTGACGATTTGTTTGGTTTTTGTGACGGGGGTAAACAAAATGCTTGTCGTAAGTCTGGTTCCTTGACGTCCCCTTTGTGCCATCGTTCATTCTCCACCGTCCCGCCCTTTTTTTTTCGTCCAATGGCTTCCTTGCTGCGAACGTCGATCCGGCAAGTACGATCCTCAGGGATACTGTTACGATCTTTTAGCACGACACAGCACGCTTCGTCGTCGCATGGTCTTTTGCGATTGAAGGAATACTATAACAATGTGCTTGCCGAAGATTTGATGGTCCTCGGTTACGACCATGCCCGTGTTTCTCCTTGCACATCCAAGTATCCTGATATTCAGGCTCAAATTGATAAAGCTTTGGCAGCCACTGAAGCTTCGGAAACACCTCGATCCAAGGAAGCCGCTCCAGCTGTCACCCGTACTCGCAAAGGTGGCAAACCTGTCAAACCTATCCAACCTCCCAAATCGCCTAGCACTATCCCACGTCTCGATAAGATTACATTGCATACCATGGTCAAGGATGCTATCGGTAACAAGGGCAACCTACTCTCTGCATTCATGGCACTTCAGAGTATCACAGCCACTCGCCCTGAAGTAGTGTACGCCAAAACCTCGGTCGCCAACTGGAAATTACGGTAAGTTCATTGGGGAGATGACTGTTGCGATGGCGGAGGGAATCTTGATATTCATCTATACAAAATCTTGGTTAGTGAGGGCATGCCTATTGGTGTCAAGGTGACACTTCGTGGAGAAGAGATGTATCAGTTTATGGATAAATTGGTGGAAATTGTGTTGCCACGTTTGAGAGAATGGCCTGGTTTGCCCATTACCTCTGGCGATGGTAATGGCAACATTGCTATTGGTTTCCCTCCTTCCGCACTTGCTCTTTTCCCTGAAATCGAAGGCTCTTTTGACGTTTACCCCAAGATGACCGGTTTTGATGTCGTCTTCAACACCACCGCCTACACCAACACGGACGGCCGTCTTTTACTTTCTGGATTTTCCGTACCATTTTCAAGCAAAAAATAGACTCATATCATGTATAAAATTGTTTTAGAGAAGAAAAAAAAACCTTCTAAATCGGACTGTATAGCATAGGAAACAGTAATAAATCGCTTCATAGCATCATTCATCATGCCTCTTGTATTTTAGTTTGGCAGATTGACTACATGCTTGGAACATGAGCCTGATTGAAAAGAAACATTTACTTGTCCATGCACCTAGTATATAAGTCTTGATCCCTTCCATTGAAAGTCTGCACAGTGAACGATGAACTCAATCATTCTTTGCATGGGATGAAAAATGTTTGCATTCTTTTTTATTTTATTTTTAGGAAAATAAAGATGACTTTTTCTGTCTTTTTTTGCTGAGTTTTGTTGTTTTTTCGTATACGTTCATATAAGCTGTCGCTAATCTGTGTGGAAAAATATATACTGTCGGACGATGCGATATTACATGAACATATAAAAGATGGCGGCCAACACCATGATGTTAGTATAGTGAGCAAATGCGGGAATTCTGATGTGGGATGAAGTCATGGATGCGGGCGAATACATAATCGTAGTTGTATCAATATTCAACGAGGGAGGGAATGGATGATTGTTTACAAAATGAAAATCATTTTCGGTGTAGGCATAATGATCGTCATCGTCTTTATCGATCATGCGGGGACATTGTTCGGTAGTAGTTTGGCATGACAGGTCTAGCATACGCTTGGGGTATAAAGATTGCATGACCGGAATCTCGGTTTCGATGGCTTTATCCACTCCTCCAGGGCGTAAAGAGAGTTCGGATTTCAGCGCACAAATACTAGCTTGCAAATCTTTTATATGAGCATCCCTTTTGGCGAGCTCCGTAGTGGATTTCGCTTGATCATGCTTCAACGAGGAAATCGACTGTCGCAAATTAGTGAGTTCTCGGTCATTTTCCTTCATTAAAGCTAGCTCATGTTCCAGAATGATCATGCGGGCCTGCTGGGTCTTGATTTTTGTCTCGTAAATTTGCAGCTGTGTATGAGCGTGCTTCAGCTGGTCTCCGGTGGCATCTTGAAGGGACTGTAGTTCCTTGATCTCGGTGGCGCTGGGTGCATTGTCTTGATATTCTTTCAGTTTCTGTTGCACCATGGTCAATGCTTCCGATTTCTTACGAAGCTCTTCCTGCAGTGTATCCATGCTTTGTTCTTGTGTTTGGATTTTGGCATTGGCAGTCTGTAGTTCAGTCATCAAACCGGCCATTTCTTCTTTCTTCTCTCGCAGAGATTCTTTCCATCGTTGCTCCATAGTTACGAGTTGATCTTTGGTGCTTGAACTGGTCTTCATGACATCGTTGCGTAACTCCTCAATCAAATGATCTTTTTGGTTTAAACAAGTTTCAGATTTGAGCTTCCAATCTTGCAGTTCGTCCATCGTTCTTTCGTACTGCAAAATGATGTCTTTTTGGTTCATCATCATATCCCGCAAATCGTTTAGCTGGGTATGCTTGTTTTTAAGTGCCGCGCTCACTCGAACGTTGACTTGCTTGTGTTCCTGCGCAATGAGCTTGATTTTGTTCACGACCCCGTGCCGCAAGTAGTCCATGAATCGTTCGCACTTTTCAATCTCCTCATTCTTTGACAAGAGCTCTTTCTTCTGAGCTTTAATCGTTTCTTCCAGTTGCTGGATCCGCTGACATGCTTCGTGGTAATTTTCCTTGTGCGTATCAATACACACCATCATGTATTCCAGCTGTTCATCATTCTTAGCCATGGCTTGTCGCAGTTGCTCGTGTTCCTGTTGTAAAGCAGTCACTTCTTGTTGGTATCCATCCAATTCCGCCTTTAGGCTTAGCTTTTCTTGCTCATGGCTCGCTAGTTGAGCTGAAAGGCCTTCTTCACATCGCGCCACCACGTCGCGCATATTGATCTGATCCAAAATCATACTGTCTGATGGAGAAGAGTGTGCCTATGTAAATAAGGACGATTCAACGCTTAGATACAAACGTTTACGAGCCAAAATAATTCATCAAATCACACACTTACCGAGCTCATGGGTGAGAATGTGTCTTGTGAACTCGTCAAAATAACACTCAGTAAATGGTTTAATCTATGCCAAGAATAAAAAGAAGAAAATGTGTCAATTATAAAATATCTTCGCCGTGAAAATTCAGAAATAAAGTACCGTTGACGTGTTTCTGCTTCTTGCTGGAGAACATGAATGATTGGATTTTAGTGTTTATAACGAAAAAAACACAATAATTACACACCGATGGGCTTACCTCATCTTTCACCTGCATCTTGTGTTGCAGTTCAGCAATTTGCTCCAAGTAGTTTTGCAATTGTGAATGTGAATCGATCTGTAATAAGAAATTTTCCTGTCAGCATGACGATGCTCTCTTCCATAGGGTCAATGATTTTGATTTACCTTGGTCAGTTTGGCGGCTGTTCTGATCATTTTTGCTCTCTGAGCGAATCTCAGCGTATTGAATGTTTCGTCCTTTTGCTGTAGTGCTGGATTAATTGTGCAGATGACACAGATGCGTGCATTGCCTGATAATGCCGTTTGTAAGATTCGTGTGAGTTTGGAGTTTCGATAAGGAATATGAGTGACTCTAAATCCGTAGCATGAAAAAAATAAAAAATAATAACTCGAGCGTGAGCAATAGAAGCTTCAGCAAAATTGACATTGATCAACCTTACCCTTGCGCGCTAGTAAGCTTTGAGATAACGTTGCCGAGCGTCAGCAAACTGCAAACGGTAATGAGCATAGTGCACATGGGAATCAGTATTGTGCTATGGTGATCGGATAAAAAAAAAAAAAAAGAAAAAAAGAGACAGAAATAAGACCTTTTGTTGATATAAGCGCCTTCTTTACGACGCTGATTATCGGAAGTAACTTTCTCGGAACCCGCTAAATCAATGAGATTCTAAACCACCATGAGCATGCTGGTCATTTTCGAACATGTATTGACTGAATTTCAGCTTACCAGTTGTGATATTCGTACGGAATTATGATCAGGATCCAAGGCGTTCTTGGGTCGGCTTTCAATGACCTATATACCATGGATTATGTTCCGTGAGTGTGAAGATTTTTCTCCGAAGGCTAAAGTTAAAATTACCATTTGAAAAATGGTATGTGATCGGCTACTTCGGGCATTATAGTCTGTGGCGCTAACATGTCGATTGGCTGTCACGCAATTGAAGCGATTTCGTCAGTATGGACATTGAAGAATAGAAGAATATGAGAGCATACATACATTCGCCAACCTTGATAATATGCATCACTTGCTCAGCACTAGATACAACTTCTTCCTTGAGGTTTGAAACAAACACACCTCTCTAATGTCCAGGAAAATTAATGATTGTAAATGAATAACATGAAAATGAATGTGTGGCACAGTCATACGATTACCTTTTTATCTTCGTGAACAACAGGGTTGGGGCCGTCGACCCGTAGTAAATCTCGAATCTGTTCGTTATAGATTTCCAGGTACGAAACTCGCAATAAAAACTCTCGACCAGCATGCTTTTTTTGTCAATGGTGTAACAAGGGTCAACAAGCAATGCATAATGTTATTATCAAAGTGTCAAATTTTACCTCTTCAATACATGCAAATATATCATCGATCGCTCGTGGAATGACACCAGGCATTGATTTGGTGCCTAGAGGAACAAGATTTTAGACATTGGCGTTTTCTTCCGGTGAAACGTTACACGGGGATCGAAAGTGAGAAGCTTACCCATCTAAAGAACGATGAAGAAACACACCAAAATATACCAGTGGATCAATAAGCCGCTAAGCACGAAAAAAAAAAATAGTCATATTTACCATGGTCTAAATACAATAAAAGATTAGTCATGAAGAGCCTATGAATTTGACAAGAACTTACATAGGTTTTGCCACTCGCTGTTTGGCCATAAGCAAAGACCGTTCCTAGGTTTCAAAAAAAAAATTCGGAAGTTTAAAATCGAGGCCACCCATAGGACTTTTTTATCTTTTTCGGCTAGTGGCCGAGATTATTTTTTTTTCTAGCTTTATTTTTTACCATTGTAGCCGGCCATAGTTGATCTTTGAAAAAAGCAAAATCTTATCAGCTTCCGAATCTGGGGAATCGGCGTGATAGAATTCATCCATAACTTACTTTACAAGATCATGAATTCCCGCATTATATATGGATTGGTTGTCAACTCCGCCAATGACATTGTCTGGTTACACTCGTTCAGTTCTGTCTGTCCCAAGATGGGGATTTCTTTTTTTTTTTTTTTTTTCTCCTGGTCTCGTGCACTCTTTTTTTTTTATATTCTTATGGAATACAATCCTTACCGTATTCGAATATTCGCTGTGAGGTGCTTGAAGTACTTTGTGCGAGTTCAACGGTTCGATGTTCCGGTCGTAAAATCCAGCAAGGTTCGTCCGCAGCGTCTTGTTCTTTCGATGAAGGTGGACGACAGCGTACCATGACTTGGACATTTTCACGAATCGATATGGAGCGCGTAACGGATGGACGTAAGGACTGTGAGGACATGAGTGGGGTGGATGGTGGGGTGATGGGTCCGATTGTATAAGGAAAACCGGAAGGGGTCTTTGAGGAAAGGCTGGTATTGAGACTGATCGTTTCAGGCTTGGTCATGGTCGCTTGACTTTGGATGGAGGAAGGGAAACCGGAAAGAAAAAGGATCACAAACTCAGCTCGAATGCGATTGTAAATTTTTTGACTTTTTTCCTTTTTTTTTCTTTTTCCTTTTTGATCATTCAGCTTCCCGTTGCTGCTTTTTTTTTTTTAATTCCTATTCGCAGGTTGATCCTTTTCCTTCTTTCAATAATCATGAAAATCCCTTTTCCCCCCAATAGAAATCATTACAACTAGCAAGACCGTTTCCTTACTGTTGGACGAAAAAATACCGATAATTCATTTCCCCACTCACAAACACAGATGACTCAGCAGATCGACATTAAAAAAGCTGCGACATTTATAAATCCAACTTCTTTTTTTTTTCCTTGCGCCTTGCAGTTGTGTTTAGACTTACTTGTCCAGTATTGAATGTCTATTAAAAAGAAAAAACATTCTTTTTCGTCTCTGCTCGATGTTTGGTCAACACCCAAAACAGTCTGCGAAAATGGAAGTTGACAAAATAATCACATAAAAAAATGATATGTAAGCTTCTGAATGTACGAGGTTTTCCTTGAAAAAAGAACTATAACAATCTTGTGAATGTTTAAGCGCATGTACACATTGCAGCCCGCCAGAATTTCCCAATCACTGGACTCCCATATTCAAAATATAAGCGGTATAGTTGTTGTCAAAATCACAAACAACCTTGCTCACTGCAGCTGGTGTGCATTGTTTTTCCTTTGTGGATACAGGATGCAGGCTTGCATACGTGCCAGGCGGAAAGGATCAACTACACAGTTACTCTTTCAAACCATTTGTTAACAAAGGAATAATGGAAGCCGTCCATCCGAGGAACCGCGGTGCCAAACATGAGTGACTGTTCGCTGCAGCCCGTGTGTGATATGCAGAACATATCAGGAGTCCATCCTCTACATAAGACTTTTTCTAAAAATAGATTTTGCCAACGACCCACTCGGTGAAGAATAAAAGTTGAAACTCGGTTGATCAACATTTGAACATTGGCATATCACCGCAAACTTGTTAAAAAAAAGTCATACTGATCTCAGAGACAAATCAAGGTCATTTTATGGTATTCATAGTCTCTGTATCGGCATGCATCACATACTGTATACCCTTGCATACTACAGTCACAGGACACTGGCTTTTATCAACAGAATGCTGCAGATTAAGCTTCTCTTTTTCCCGAAAGGAAGAAAATCAGACAAAGAACGACAGTCTCCATGTAGGATTTATATGATTCACGCCATGGCTTTTTTTTAGGCTTAATGTTTACAGTAGTCGCTAATGAGCAGCACAAGGTTATCCGTATGTACAATTAGTATAAATGAGTGGGTTGTCTAATTGGTGGGTTGAAGAGGAACCCGTTTGGCGTATTCTTCAATGTTTGACAAAATTCGTTCGGTTACATTGTCACCTTGATTTGACACAATTTTCAAGATATCCAGCTATCATTCCATCTGTCAGAATAATGTCACATGTGGTTCATTATCTTCATTAAAAATCACTTACCGTCATTTCCCAATTTCCCAGAATATCAACATGGTCCCCTGCTTTGCTTCCGCCACGAACGTCCAGCTTGCTGTCGCTTTGCTCATGTCGATACTCTTTGAGTAAGACGGGACTGCGTCCTGGGTTATATAGATCAGCGTGCTTTCTCCATCCTCCGGAGGGTGTACACATGTAGCCTAATGATAATACAGGAACCGTGCCATCTCTGTGTCATCACATACGCAATGGTCAGCTGTCACATTATTGGGAACATTTTCTATTTACATTGTAACGTACCCATCGGAGAAACGCACCCCTGTTTCAACTCCTCGAATGGGGTCATGAACCGCACCGTCTATGTACTGTCACATCGAGTGAGTGAGTCTTTCATTTGCCATTACGTCCTTTTGATGGTGCACCCTTACCAAATTGGAAGGTGGCACTTTATCGTCGTCAAGGGATAGTTTGTCGGAAAGCACGTCGGCTACATTTTCTGTGGCTTCGTCCGATGGATTTATCCCTGTTTCGTTTCGCCTTCCAGCATCCTTATCGATACAGTCGGTATCATTGCCAGGATAACACGTCACTTCCGGATCATCCGTTTTAGCATAGTAATAGCTTCGTTCAGTATTCAGGCCAACTCCGTATAAGCAAAATATTTTCATGTTTGGCGCTGTTTTTGGTTGCGGCATAAATTCAGTACTGCTCAAACGATTTACGTGCGTATTTTGCATCATCATTTACCTATAGGTAGCGCGGACTCCAACGGGTTGGACCATTTGCTTCGATCATTTTTCACTCGATCCAGTTCCTTTTTCGACGTAATCGCTCCTAGTGAGTAGTTGCTTCGGATAAGGTCGTTGTATTCTTTGGGCGAACTGCGTAAAAGTAGATCGATGGAGGAATCTACAGTGTATTGACGAGTAATGGCATCCTTAATATTTTCCACCGCTCGCACCGTGCGATTTTCATCGTCGGATTTGGGGGTGTTGGCAGGTTTGGTAAATGACAGCATGTTGCCAAACGAATACTGGTTGGCATGATTTTCGTCATCCGGCGCATCCTCCGTGGTCCCCCAAATAAGGTCACCACCTTTGGGTAGAATCGATGAACTGCCTGCCCACGTTCTCATTAGCATCGCACGTTCTCGCCGCGAAAAGAATTTTTCCAGCAAGTAAGCGCCAAAGCTTCCTATGGCCATGGTGTCACGCGATTCCCCTATCATCGATATGCCAAGCGTCAATGTTGACTCATTGTCGTATTTTTGATTTTTTTTTATCCTTCCAAATTACCTGATAATAATGCAGTGAGTGCTTTCGGTACCCCAACCATGGGCCCAGCAATGTTAACAAAGGCTTCAATGTGGTTTTCTGTCCAATGGGGTCCCCCCTTTCCACCTTCGGGGCTTTCAGCCCATTTGAGGAAATAGGGAAATAACACCGATCCTATTGTGCACCAAAAATTTTCACATGTAAATACGCAATGGCTGCACGAACTAGCGTTGGTTTCACTGGCCTACCCATGGAATGAGCCACAATGACTGACTTTCGTCCATCTTGCAACTTGGACGTTTCAATAAGCGATTTTAACTTGGTGAAAAATTTGTCGCGTACTTCGAGATTATAAAATGATAATCGCCAGTCGTAACTGGCAAGATGCATGTCGTTGCTGTCATACCCAATGGCGGCTAAATTTTCAATCACTTTGGCCCACACCCAGAACCTGTAAATGCATATTTGGATCATATCAGATGAACGTCTAGATCCAGCGGGGTATCATCTGGTTTTTTTTTTATGCCACAGCAACAAAAATATAAATGGAATCGGCAATACTTACCCTGTAACAAAATAATCGGCTGCATCCATTCCTACAATGCCACGTATTACGTCAACCGATCGATCATTCCATTTTTTTCTTCAGAAGAAGACTTTTTATTACCTTGAGCTGCTCGTACTTTGATGCCAGGTGGGTCCAAACCTGTGACAGGATCGAGTCGCATATGCTGGGTCCAACTTTCTTTGTCCAACAAGACAGACCGAAACATTGCTATTTGACACGCCAAATAAATCCATACATGTGTCAGTACTGTGTTTTCTTGTTGAAGGATACGTTATCATTTCCTCCGCCTTACTTGTCGTTCCCCACATGCGTTTTCGAAAATACTTTCTCGACTTTTCCGATGTCCCCCAACTTTCCAATCCGGATGTCACAATGCCTGGCAAAAGCACCACTGGAAAATGCGGCTTCAGACCCAATTCCTCCCTGATTCCGCGAGAAAAAGCCAAATCGGCATGAATATTAACACTGCTGTGACCTGCATTTTTTCATTGTTCAAGGGGAAAACTTACTTGGCTGCTAAAGCGGGCATGAAAGGTGTGTCCGTGGATGGTGCCGGTGTAAAGAAATTGGTCACATTACCGAACAGCTCATCAACTATATCGGTAGCAGGAATGATGCTTGCGATATCGAGGTCGGCAAGTTGCAGTGCGAGATAGGCTTGCAGATCGTTCAGATGAATTTGTGCGGTCGGAGTTGTTGAGGCGCCATAAGTGGCCAAAAGACCTACAGTCAGCCCGATAATGAAATGGAACCGTTTACGTTTCCAAAAGGGTGGGTGGTCTTGACGGAATATAATACAGTCAGCCATAATATCTTCTGGTTGTTCCATAATGGTGTCAGGGCCCAATGCTGATCTGGATCTCCTCTTGAGCTCATTGTCATGAAGTGTTGAATGTTTCTTGCGCGGGTCAGATATCTTGGTTCTGCGTTTTATAAGCATGAGTAATAAAACACTTTAGGAGACAATGGATTGCACAATAGTTAAAAGAGAGAAAAGGTGAAATTATGAAAAGAAAAAGGGTAAAATTTCGCCACAAAAGTGCGCACAACCCTTTGATGTCAGCGTTCTATCCGTTTTTGGAACGTAATACAATGTTCAAACAAATCAGCCAAAATTGATGTCGCGTCGCAAATGGTTTCAAAACAAATTATCAATGCAGAACCACCAAACCCGGCTTTATATTTTATGCTTTCCAATACTTGGGTAAAAACGCTAACGGCCTTCCATTCAAAGACTGCAGGACGTTCGACGCTATAGTTACACGCCATTAGTGCGGCGTCCGTGTCTCCCTATTCCACACCATGCCGCACCATTCCGCAATTTGGCAAGCGAGAAATATAAAGATTCGATGAGAGCATTTTGTCTTGTAGGGAATGTGGTAGGAGTGACAGATCTGCTAAAAACAAAAATTCATCAACAGTGACGACCCAGCCGCTTTTTCTTCTTTTCTGACGTATCATTAATTCTTCATACAAGGTTTCCTGTCACGCCTCTTTTCTGCTTAGTTACATCTGGTGCACAGCTTTAACGAGCCCTTGACGTACACAGATAAAAGGGATAATAGTTTGCATTTTTGATTGTTCAATGTCCCTCATTTGTTTTTCTCACTTTCGAAAGCATACAACGATTTGTCCAAACTACAAGGCATGGATCAGATCCAACTGTGTTGTTGTCGTCGGTGACGGTCACGCTAAACATATAATCCATATTCGAAAAATTAGTTTCACACCGCACGAAGAGTTGCTCCCAGGTGTGCACGATAGCAATGACACTCAGTTGGGTATTCGTACTTTTTTCGATGAGGCCATGGACAATGCTATCAAACGAACAGTCAGTGAAATCATGCAGTAGAAAATGTTACCTACTGGGCTCGATCACTCACATACAGTATACCGTGTCCAGAGTGTGGTTTATCGTTTCAAAAGGAAGCTGGATGTCTCGTTAGCACATAGCATATCAACATTGCAAAGTCATACTCGTTTCATTGACGAAAAGCAATTGAATAGATTGTAAATACAAATAATTATGCTACAACGCTTTCTCGATTACTGTAAATAGTTAAACAGTGCGTGTTCCTCTTCTTCACGAGATCCACTATTTACGAGTGTTTTTATGGAGGGGGTGTCAGCTTTATCGATGTGAAAGTTGACTTTTTCATTGACTGATCTTATTCCGTCATCAATGGTAACCCATTGATAGCCAACAACTGAAGCCATGGCAAACAAGACGCAAATATTTATAATCCAAATGGTCATTAATTGATGAACAGCGAGGAGGATACAGTTTATTGACGGCATTGAGGATTATTCGCAAGGTGATTAGATAGGATAACGTATACTGTATGCGAGATACAAGTGTTGTGAGAATTGATGAAAAAATATTTACATGGAAGATGGATTATGGTAACATAACATATGAGGGAGATTGAGAAAATGGCGATGAAATAATTTAAATGAATGAATAGAAAAGCATTAACTTGATACATGTTGAAAAAAAAAAAAGCAGATCAAATAAATTATGTGAATTTGACGGGATCTTAGGCATTGGGGCGGGGGTTGTCTCCATAGGGTGCACATCGAACCGTTCGCCACCGCCTACGATCCCAGCCCACTTCCCTCATTTACTACGCCGGCGAACTCGCCGTACATCACCCACCTTGCTCCCGTTCCCTCTTACAGCCTGTATTGCATACGATTCTCCATTATTGCAGACGCTCACCTGGCGTATCTTCTTTTTGACATGCACACGATCAAGGTTCACCGGGGAGCGGGGCTCAATGGACGCATGCTTGGCCGAAACCAAGCATTTCTACATAAAAAGTTCTCGTCCTAGTTAGTCAATCTGCCACAAGCATTCTTTCCTTGACATTGATTCCGATACTTACTTTTTCTGACATATCATGAGTGCCTTGGATCGTGTCATGTCTCATGCAAAATGGATCGGAATCGCGCACTGGAATTTGGCATGGAGAAACTCGCTCGGCGAGATCCGCACAACGAGAACCCGCGTAAATGTATCGGTCGCGTAACAGGGATCGCGGCGACTACTAAGCCCAGTATGCACCCTCTTTTTTTTTCCTTTTTTTTCTTTTTTTTTTCCTTCTTTTTTCCTTCTTTTTTTTGCCCCTTTTCTTTTTTTTACTTTTTTTTTTTGCCTACCATGTTGGGATCCCGTCAGTAAAAGAATAAAACAAAAGGAAAAAGAAGAAAGAAGAAAAAAAAGGCCGCTGTATCCTGGTATGCCTCGCGGTTGGAAGAAGGGTGCTTCATCACAAGAAGCTTCTTGACTGTGGTTCGGATGACTGATAGGAGGTATCTTGTCCTCCTATCAGCCTTTTTTTTTTGTAAGGTCGCTATGCCTACAAGAGGTTAAACAGAAACACGTAAGCAAGGAGACGGCATTACGCTGCAATCAATAGAATACTTACCAGTTTGAATACAATGCGACCTACTATCGTACGTATGGTTTTGCTGCCAAATTGTTGGCTGCAGATCCACCACAGAGCAAGATTGAACGGAAGCTCTGTGGTGGAAGACGGGACTCCAGCGCAAAGGCTTTCGATCGGTTCGATCTATGATTCAAGATTTTCATATGGCTATTCCTTTGCCATAGGAAAAGTTTGCAATTACCTTGTTCTTGATTCTTGTTATTTGGTTTGTGACTGGATGGACGTCCCTGGATGGATGCTTAATTGCAATCCATCCAGTCAAGAAGTTCTTCTTCTTTATCCACTTGCATGGGATCGTTATTTTGTTGAGGATGACGAGTTGCGCTTTCTCTAGAAGAAACATTAGTATAAAAGTATGGCAATGACCTTATCGCTTTACTTACGGATTTAAACTGGGACATGGTAAATAAATAATGAGGAAGACTTGCCTCAGCTGGATTGCGCGTTTATATCAACAACGCGGGATTGCGTCAACAGCAGTCACGTAAAAAACGACAGACGTCTTTGAATGCCTTCCAAGCCCACTGCAAGCTAAGTAAGTGCTGTGAACTTGAGTTTTGTAATAATTGCCATGAATCACGATTCCAGATCCATGTAGTCTGTAACATTCTCGTTTTACCCCGCTTTGGATCTCAGTGAGTGACACTTCTCTCTCAGGAACACCAGTCTATATTGCTTGAGATGCTTATGATCAGCGTTTATAAACCAAACGACCTTTGGGAATTGTTACAATTTGCCTTGACAAATAAAAGGCGTCACTAAGCAACTCCTTAAAACCCGCATTGACCCTTCCCCTGGACTTGTCATCTATGTCACACAGTGAAACATCGCCAGATATATTTGACGACTCCGCATTTGAGACTCCATTTCCCTAATCGCGATATCCCGCCCAGTTTATGATTTCCCCTCATTCACAGTACGGTCATTTTCATTTGATGCCCAAAACGATTGAAAAGCAACCTGTTAAGCCAAGAAAATGGGCCGGCCGAAAAAAGGCAGATAAATGAAAAACAAAATGATGACTAGCTTAACCTAGAAAAACATACAATAGGATAGACCTTTTTAATTTGTTTGTCGTTCATCTGTCGTTCATCTGTTCTATATTCAATAAAGACGTACATTAAACTCTTCTTGTCAAAAATTAAAACCAACAACTGTCCTTCTGATTCACGTTTTCTGCCCGCCGTAGCTCATTCTTGACCAGGCCACTTGCCTCAGTAACGTCAAAGTGGCCTATTGGTTATTCGTTCCAGCTGAGGGAGACGGCCCGTGGCTTCATTCATCAAATGTGGATCGCAAACGCGAGTGGCAATGAGGAACTACGTTGGCAGCATTAGATCAACAGAGGTACTTTTTTATAGTGATTGATATTCCAAGGTTTTTGCTCATATAAAAAAAAAGAAAATAGGCAAAAGGGGGTACAGTTCACAAGCGGTAACTGCTGCAACCTGAATTGTCAATGCCATCGCTTTTCTATCCTCTGCAATGACGTTTCCGCCGCATTCTTATGCCCTTTTCGAACGTGCTCAGGTGTTGGACGTATTTGATAATAATAGTAAAAAAAGATCCAATCGTGAATCAAGAAATTTAGGAAAGGATACGATCAATGGATGCTTCATTGTATCTGTTATTGAAAATAAGTGGTTGTAAAAATGCTAAGGGAAATCGATAAAAATGTTGAGTTTTTTCTTTTTTTGGAGGTTTTTGTTCTATGTCTATTTCTTGGATTTCAATGCTTTCTTCTTGCGCTCCAGTTTGGCGACCTAAAGAATGATAAAAAGGATCAAATAGTGAGTGATCCAGCCCAGCAAAAAAAAAAAAAAAAAAAAAAAAAAAAAAAAATTGCTTCCAGTCCCACGCGAACAAAATAAAAAAATAAAATGTTTACCTCTTCTTCCTTCTTCTGTTTGCCGTACTGCATCTTCTTGTACAGCTTTCTCTGCTTGTTGGTCATCATTACGTGAGCCATTTCCTTTCTTTCCTCTTCTTCGATATCGGCAGCTGTTCGCTTCTTCTTTGACGCAGGTTTGTTGGCTGCCTTGGCGGCATCAGCTTCGCTGTATTCTGAGAATGTCACACCTTCGGCTTCCGCCTTGAGTTGTGCTTCATATTCATCCTCTTCTGTTCCTTCTGCTTTGGCAACGGTTTCAGCGGTCGCCTCTGGTTCCGCTTCCTCGTTTTCATTTTCCTTGTCCTCTGATACTTGTTCAGCTTCTTCCTCACTTTCTTCCTCCACCGCACCGGGCACGTATTCGCCTTCCTTAGCTTCCACGAAGGGACTCAAATGAGGAGGAAGGATTTTACCAGGCTCGTATAACTTTTCGCGAAGAATTCGGCGAGCATTGATACAGTCGGCAATCCACTGTGGTTGAATATACGCTCGGGACAAAACACGGTTGCTCACTGCAGGTCGATCACAGATTTGATGGGTAATGGTTTCGTCAGTTTCGGGGTAAGGAGGATTGGCACCGACCGTAGGATCCCAGCTGACTTGACCGCCACAGGAACGGATCATGAATTCCAAGGCATATCGTGGGGTTTCACGCGATAAGAAGAATTTGCAATTGCTGAACAAAGTCTGCAATACATTGGTCTCGTTACTGGCTTCCTGGATCTTGCGCAAAGTCACTGTGTTCTCATCCTCCTCTTCGTCGTCATTCACGGGTTTGAATTCGTCGAGTCCAGTATCGGCTTCATCGGCATCCACAGCAGTATTAGTAGCAGTCGATGCAGAAATGGCTTCATCCAAGTTGAATGTTGCACCATCTTCAATCTTGGGAGGATAGGTCATGTTAAGTTCGTTGAACAAGCGGAAATTCACGAAACCGACAAGTGTACGATAAAAGTCCAAAAAGGTCAGCATCACACGGAAATCCACATCGGTAGGAACCTATGTTGTACGCCATCGTATTTTGTTTAATACTTGATTTGAAAGAAAAATCCCAAAGTTTCACACATTACCGTTTGCGCAAATTGATAGGGAACGATCCAAGTGATGGTTTGTCCCTTGATTTCGGCTTGATAGTAGATACCCTTGATCGAGAAGAAGACCTTGCGCAAGCTCTTTGATTTCATGACGTACATCTGGAATTCGGCAATCAGTTGTTGACAGTCCTTCACAGCTTGAGCCTTGATTTTGTTATCGGCGGGCATTTTCGAGAAAAGGAAAAGCATAGACAATGCGTCATCGAGATCACGAAGAGCATCGATAAACGAAGGGTATCTAAAGAAACAAAGAACCATGGATTGCTCAGCTGAATGTCCGATTCCCCCCGTTCATTCTACAATGTCCCAAAGATCTTACCTCTCTTTGACAATGTGATCCAAGGTGAACAAAGGCTTATTCTTTTCCAAGGTTCGGGCAATGCTGTATTCACCCTTGTGCAAGACTTTGTTCAATCTTCTCGCAAATGTTTTGTATTCACGGAATTTGGCAATGAGAGGTTCGTGCATCAAGTACTGGATATCCTTGGCATAGTAAAAGGTGACTGGGGCAGTGGATCCCTTGTTGGCCTTCTTCTTATTTTTGGGTTCACGAGGATAGATTCCTTTCAGAATACATAAACGTCTAAAGGACATTGGCAAAAAAAAAAAAACATGTGTAAGTTTATCACCCAAAGGTTGATCGGTTTTGAATGGGTCAGATCCGACAATGTGACAGATCTAAAAGTATTTACCTAAAATCGGCAAGCGAGACCTGAAGCTTGTTCAAAGCCTGCTGACGAGTGATATAGTTGGAGGCAGCACCCTTGACTCCTTTCTTAATGATCTTGCCCATGACTGTTGTAGGAACTTATGAAAGGAGAAGACGAAAAACTGGAGGGAATAAAAAAATCTATTGGGAATTTTTTTTTCTTTTGTGCCGGGAAACGTCCAAGGAAAATGAAAAAATGTGGCTTGTGAAATCAAGCGCTCGGTTCCAAGCTGCCCGACAAATGAATCAAAAAAGTGATCCTTCTCTCTTTCTCTCTCTCTATCACTTTTTTTATTTCTTCCCATACATCCAACAGGTAATTGTTTAATTACATCCATTCATGGAACCCATCCATCCATCTATTCATGTCACTTGCAAAGCCATATGGTGTGTGTATGGCCACTTGCTTGAGACTAGCAGCGTTATGGCTTTTATGAATCGCCCTTCGATGTGCGACGTGATGTTGGGGCGACACTCATTTAAGCATGCTGGCTAACCAAGGTTGGTTTTTTTTTCTTTCTTTTTTGCTCGTGCTACATAGATCACCATGGTCAGAGTTTCCGTTTTGAACGACTGCTTGAACAACATCAACAATGCCGAAAAGCGTGGCAAGCGTCAAGTGCTTATTCGTCCTTCTTCCAAGGTCATTGTGAAATTCTTGTCCGTCATGCAGAAGCATGGTAAGTTTATTCAGTTGCCTTTTTTTTCTGATACGTTTGGTGTCCATGGTTATTTGCGTCGGCTTGGAGAATGTATCATGTGTACTGCCCCCGTAGTATAACTGATTCAAAGTTGCCTTCCTTCACGACTTTGGATTTTTAAATCTGCGGAAGATTATTATTTTTTTCCACGCGTGATTTTTCTCTGCCGTGACGCTCTAACCATGATGCTACGGTGTAAACTTGTGGGACAAACCATCTCATTATTTTTAATTTCTAGGTTATATCGGTGAATTTGAAGAAGTGGATGACCATCGCTCTGGCAAGATTGTTATCCAGCTCAATGGCCGTCTTAACAAGTGTGGTGTTATCTCTCCCCGCTTCAACATCAAGGTTTCTGAACTTGAGAAGTGGACCTCCAACTTGTTACCTTCTCGTCAGTTCGGCTACTTGGTCATGACCACCTCTGCTGGTATCATGGATCACGAAGAAGCCCGTAGAAAGCACGCCGGTGGTAAAATCCTCGGTTTCTTTTACTAAAAAAAAATAACAATAAACAATACAAAAACAATGTATTCGTCCTGTGCGCTAAATGATTCGTAAATGTGGATGCCTGTTATATTCCTATTATCAATGGCTGTTGTCATCGTGGTGTTCGCTGGGACATGGATCGTTTCAGTTTTGCTTGCTGGGTAAGTGGTGCTGGCAAATCTGTCATGATGCTAAAATGACGGTCAGCTTCACAGGATAATAACTCTGAAAAGAAAAAAAAAAGTCGCTTTTACCGCATCATTTTTAATCGTGTCTTTGCCGGTGACTAAAAGTGAAAAGAATCACACCATCGCATGAGCTTACACAGACTGAGATTAGGTTCTTGGTGACATTCATACCTCGTCATCTTTCAACGAATGCAGGGCTAAAAGGGAGTATTGTTGAAGCGCATTGGCTGCCGCTTGCTTTTTGAGTTGTGCCTCATAATCATTACGTCGTGACAGATGATCTACTGCATTGTTGTTCATGGCCAAAATCACACCGAGTGAATATAGCCAGTGCAAAGAAGGGGGATTTTTCAGAAATTTTTGGCTTTCTTTTTTCCTTTGGGTCTTTGATCAAAACCACAGTTGCTTTTTTTTTATTAAACATGGGGATCCCAACACAACTGATACGACAGTTCAAGACACGTGCAAATACAGTCGCCATGGCCTACCAGGCGCCAGCCATTGCGGAAAAGCCTACTCTATGTTTTATTCCTGGATTTCGTTCCGAGTTCCAAGTTTCCAGCAAAAGTCATCACGTGTACAACTGGGCGAGGCGCCACGGCTGTGGATTCATAACATGGGATCACGCGCTTAATGGCTCCTCTGTGCAACAGTGGAGTGAAGACGGTTATGACATATTGCAGCAATTTACGACCAAAGACAAACTGGTGCTGGTGGGTGCCAGCATGGGATTATGGATTGCTTTATTACTTGGTATACGATTGCAACCGCGCATTCAATCAATTATCGGCATTGGCGGTGGGCTCAACTTTACAGAGCGATGGCTGCAAGAAGTTCCCGCACAGTATCGTGACGATAGAGATTACATCTGGAAACGTCCCTCCACCTACGCGGCCGAAGGCTATTATGCTATCCCTGTTCGCTTTTTGCTTGACTCTAAAGCTGCGCTTTTCGCGGCACCTAAACTCCGCGTGCCAGCACCGCTGTACCTCATTCACGGACAATGCGATGCTGATGCCCCTTTAAGTCATATTCAGGAATGGGTCGATCATCGAATAGAATGCCCTCAGTTGACACTCAAGGTGGTGGAAGATGGCGACCATCGACTGTCCCGACCTCAGGATTTGGCACTCCTTGATTCTGTTCTGAATAAAATGGTGTAATGGAGGGGCTGGGCTGGGCTTGGAAAAAAATAAAATGGAACTTTGGAACTTTCTACAGTTCTGTGATTGCATGTTCAATGGGAAAATTTCAGGGGGCAGTCAAAAGCCACTTGAAAATGATTGGAGAATGTGGGTCGCTCCTCAAAAATTCGTGACTGTGAACGAGGGCCTGCAAAACTATAAAAGAAAGGTCAAAGCGAACGATTGCAACTCATACTTACCTGGGTCGTGTGTCCGGTGATCAAGGAGGCCGGGTACACAGTTTGGCTGGCCGTCATTGCACGGCGATGGTTGGCCTTGCTGCGAACACCTTCGGGTGTCTCGAGACCACAATTTTTGCTTTGGGGGAATGAGCGGTTCGCTGCTTGCTCCCCCGTCCCCACTATGAAAAAAAGGAAAATGAAAAATAACAAAGCAACATGTTTTGCACCAACAAACAGTTTAGAGAACTTTTTTAGCAGCAAGCGTAAAAAATAATAAAAAAAACGGGCGTTCTCACGCCGCAGGCATGCCGTTTACGTCACCATAGGGATTATTTCGACCAATCAAATGGCTTTGATCGTAAATGATCGGTTATTGAAAATGTAGTTTTTTTTTTTGCTCTTTTTGCTTATTTTGGATTTTGGTCAAGATGGGGTCGTTTCTTTTGCTGTGAGTTGATGTCTCCCGTACGGAATAGAAAAGCCGGCCCCCCTATTTCCTAATGATATTGTGTTGTTTTTGGAAGCAACACGAGCTCACACGCGCACACTGCCTGAAATATTTTTTTTTTCTGAGCCCCCCTATTATCGGACTTGCACGTCTCATTTAAATAAGGAACGTTGGTACTGACTAACTTTATATATAATCTTTTTATCTGCTCTTCTTTTTCCCGTTTTACTTCTTTTCTTTCATTTTACTTCCCTCAATGAAAGAAGGTAGTCCTTTGCGCCACGTTTCAGGACCTTCGTTTAATACAAGGCAAGTCTCTTGTGTTTTATTTTTATCTCTTCACGCCATTTCAACTTGACTCATCTGTCTTTAGGGATCTAGATATTGTCTTTGAAGAAAGTGACGGGAGTGGTGGTGGGATGCATTATAATGACCAGGCAACTGTAAATGGAGCCAGCGGGCTTGGCTTTCTAAGACAGTCGCACGCCAAAACGTCTGCATCCTTCTCGTCTATATCCACTCACACCGCGCACGATATCTCTACTTCGCGTAATACCCATACCGCTTTACCTACGTTGCGTCGTGCTCGTGCAGGTACTATGCCATCATTTGCTCACTTTTCTGAAAGCGATGCAGCGCAAAGTATGCATTCGCCTTTCTTGTTGACGTCTACCACGGTGGAATCGTCATCTGGCAACCGACATCGTTCAGGATCCCTCAATTTCCCACCGCCCAACCTTCAGTTGGCTTTTGACAGTTCCACTTACAGTGCTTCTTGGAATAACCGGTCCGAAACCTTAACTTCGACGGCCACCCCCGAACAGTTGCTGCAAAGTGAGAACGATTTTTCCATTGCACGCACGCTTCGATCGCTGGGTCTAGAAGACGATGATCGGACTACAGTCGGACAATCATCGGAGACCCCATTGTTCCATCCTCAAGCACCTCCCGAATTTCATTTGCCCAGTCGTTCACTCCTCTCCAATAGTCGGAGTCGGTCCTACAGTGTTAATGCCGCTGCAAAATATCAGCAAGAACAGCAGCAGCAACAGCAGCAGCAGCAGCAGCAGCAAGCAGCTTCCCTCGACGCTTCTCGATCCCGCGCAAGTTCCGTTTCCAAAGTCTTTGCCAGTCCTCTCGATGGTTTCCGTCAACAGAATAGGCCTAGATCCTCTAGTTTAGGCAGAATGGAAAGTGCGCGTGGTCCCATGCCTCCCTCAGGATTGTGGCAGATGCAAACATTGATACCCCTGAAAAACGATAATTTTGACTATCAGGAGCGCAAATCACCTCCATCAGAACTACCACTCTCGTTGGGTGATTCCGAATTATTGGCTAATATGATGCAAAATTCCGCCTACGCCGATTCCTGTTCCAACGACGCACCGGATCAACCTATCACCAACGGCTCGATATCGGCAGCTGAGGTAAGAACCCGTTTGATTGCAATTTTTTTTTTTTTTTCAGGAAAAAAAAAAAGGGAATTAAGGGAAAAAAGAAAAAAACAAGAGATGTATATGGATAATGGGAGTCAAAACTAATGAGATCATTATACACTAGCCTTACATGCATTACAGTCAATCGACACCTACCTTTCGCGAACACCCTGTTTCCATGGCAGCTTCTACAAGCACACTAGCTCAAGCTGCAACACGTTCCCTTTGGATCGGTAATACTGACATGTCCGTTACGGTGGAAGTGCTTACGCAAGTATTTTCAATGTTCGGTCCTATTGAAAGTGTTCGCCTCCTGCTTGAAAAAGAATGTGCCTTTGTCAACTTTTTCCACGTCGAAGATGCTATACGCGCCAAAGAAGAAGTCCTTGGACGCATGGGTGGCAGAGTCGGTAACAGCATCGTTCGTATCGGTTTTGGTAAAGCCGATGCGGCGGTCCCGGAAACAAACACCCTTCAACCTACCCGCGCTCTCTGTAAGTTATCCTTGCACTGGTCATCCACCATAGTGTATGGCACAAGCAAGATCGCCTAATCATTGTTTTTTCTTTTTTTTTTTTTTTGGTTCGCAGGGCTAGGTAATATTCCAAGTTCTATGACAGCGGTGACGCTTCAGCGGATTTTCTCCACCTTTGGTAGCATTGAATCTGTGCGTGTTTTGTCTCATAAGAGCTGCGGTTTTGTCAATTTCGAAACGGTGGAGAGTGCCGTGGAAGCGAGGGATGCACTTTTCCAAAACAAGATTGCCGCTCAAGGATTTACCAACGTACGTGTGGGATTTGCCAAAGTGCCTCCTGCCAAAACGGGTACAAGCGAGAATGGCTCCAAATCACGGTCCGTGTCAGATAAAGAATCGGTCGAAAACGATGAAATGTCCCGGTTGAACGATCTGTGGAACATTATGGTGGCACTGGGCGCTGATGAAGAAGCAACAACCTATGTTGACGGTAAGGTGCCTTCAATTGGTGTCAATGATTTATTTGGGAGACTCATCAGATTATCCTCTGTTTTTGTTCCTTCTGCATTCGAAAAAAAAAAAAGCTCTGCTGAACACTTCCAGTTACTTTGAGTCGATTCCGCCGGTTCCTGAAATGGGCACCAACCGCAAGTTTGACGCAGGCCGTCTGCGAGAAATCCGTAAGAAGCTCGATACCCTCAACCAAGGCAGCAAAGAAGTGGATGCCATTGCACAAGATTGTATGGTGGAAATTGCTCAGCTTAGCAGTGGTAAGTGATTCAGTACCCATAGACCGGGAAAAAAAAGAGGATCATTGAATAACATATTACTCGTAGATTATATTGGAAATACAGTCGTTCAACGATTATTCGAAAAATGTACAGAGGACGTCAAAACTAGTATGCTGGAACGTATTGCGCCCCACTTGGCCGCCATCGGTATCCACAAAAACGGTACTTGGGCAGCTCAAAAAATCATCGATACCATTAAAATGCCTGCACAAGTAAGTTCCTTTTATCTGGTCTTTGCCTCGAACGGTAATCTAAACTATGCGATCATCTTTTTGCCCTAGTTCAAACTCGTGAGCAAATATCTCAAGCCTTACGTTCCTCCCCTCCTACTTGATCAGTTTGGTAATTACGTGGTACAATGCTGCTTACGACTTGGAGAAAAATACAATCAATTCGTGTTCGATGCTATGGTTGAAAAACTGCTCAGTATTGCTCATGGACGATTTGGTGCACGAGCAATGCGCGGTACACTTGAGAGTCAGTTTGTGACGCGACACCAACAGGTGAGTTTACGGGGAATTGATTTTTCTCGATTGAAATGGGGTTCTTATATGGATGATTATAAATAGCAATATGTAGCTGCTGCTCTTATTCAAAACTCGGTGTCTTTGGCCGTTAATGCGAATGGTGCATTGCTTCTATCTTGGCTTATGGAGAGCTCTGACCTTCCGAATCGATTACGTCTAATTGCCGAAAGATGTATTCCTCATTTGGTGCAATTGTGCACGCACAAACTGGGATCCCAAATGTTGCTGAAGCTCCTGGCCCAAAACGAAGACGAAGAAGCCAAGCAAATGATCCTCAACAATTTAATGGATGAAAAGACGTTGTACGAAATTTTGTCGGATCAAGTCCGCGGTGTCACCATGATACAAAAAGTGATCAATACTCCTTCTCTTTCGTCCACCCAGCAACGAGCGCTTGGCGAGATAACCTGTCACACTCTTGGCAATCTTAGCGGTCCAGGTCACAAGAAATTGTTGAATGATTTACTTGAAAAACCATCATCCGCATCACCGTATCAAAACGCTAAACAGTCGCAGTAATAAGGTCCACCATCATTAATTGGACGTGTGCATTCTCCTTTCCTCCACCAGCAAACCCCTGTCATCTCCTTTTTACTTTTTTATGATTCTTTGGTTTTATCTTCATATTCTTTCGTTTCCCATTCCATCTTCCTTTTTTATTTCGTGATTTTCTGTTTCGCATACCATTTGACCTTCTGAAATAGAGCGTATATTTATTTTATTTTCGTTCCATGTAACTACCAAATATCTCTCCCTTTATATTAAAAAAATCATTGAATCCGACCATGTCATAAACTGGCTATCGCTTAGCCATTCGTAAGTCACAAGAGCTGTAAATGATATAGGATCACTATTGGTGAATGAAAACGTGGTAAATTGCATCGTATTACGGTTGTGGCAGCTTGCTTTCAGCTGCTCTGCCGCGCACGCGGGGGGGATCGATTGACGGCAAACTATGTAGATTAAGTAGGCTATAATGCCCTCTCTTCCATGTTTTTGCGCTCTCCGTTTTGGAGTTTTTGGTCTTCAGAGCTGACGCTTGATTGACATGGAGGGCAGAGCCTTTTTTTTCTTTGAAAAAAGCTCAATGACTACATGGCCACATCTAATTCAATAGCAACGCTTAGTTTAATTTTGCCAGCATTTATGTTTGCAAGTTCCATAAAACGAAAGCTAACGGATCGCTAGGATATCCATTGATTAGCCACCTTACTACTCTCTTATTCGTGCACCCCGCAGGCTTTCCCGTTTCAGACTTCTTTTTTTTGTGAATATTTCTTCTATTACTTGAGTTCAAATAATGAACACTTGCCAGTGAAAATATTAGAGAATCAAAAGAGTAATATTTGCGATCAAATGATATTGACGTGGCGACAACGTCGGGAAGGAAGAATTCCCTTTTCTGATAGAAAAATTTGGACGAATGCCAAGCCAAGATTTCGCAGAATTCTCGATATTCAGGACAAGCAACTGTTTGGCTTTTTTTTTTAAAAAAAAAAAAAAACATTGTCACTAGTTTTCTTTCAATGACATTGGACGATCCGTACAAAGTAGTCATTGCCTACGACTTTGGCACCACATTCTCTGGAGCATCGTACGCATTCGCCCACAATACACCTGAAATCTATGATGTGCAAAAATGGTAAAGAATGGGCTCGAAGAATCATTTCTTAGATTCAGGGCACAAGATACATGTCAGTAACAAAGCAATAGGCCGCATAAGAATGGCAGTTACTATCCCAAAGTACCCACACTATCGGTATATAAACGAAGCAATCCAAAACACTTGCTGGAGTGGGGCCATGCTGCCAAGAAAATCATGCTGAAACCACAAAGCACGGAACACAATATTCTACTGTCAAATTTTAAACTCTCGCTGGACGAACATTTACGGGAAGGGGCCCTTGAAAATGGCATGTACGTATATTTTATAATACCAGGAATTTCATGCAATGGCGAAGTAGTTAAAGCGGGCATGGTGGTCGGGGAAACGGGATTGCATAAATTTGGTATTGGGACCAGATCAGTTAACGATAACATGGATATGCTTAGATCTCCTGTAGAAGCCATTGCTCATTATCTTGGGGCTCTCCATCAGCATGTTCTCGACGATGTCACTCGAGGGTTTGCCAAGAACTACCATCCAGATACATTCCGCTATTGTCTTACTGTGCCTGCTATGTGGTCCGACAGAGCCAAACATACCATGCGTCAAGCCGCGCTCAAAGCGAACCTGATTCGTGCCACTGATCCCGAAGATCGTCTTGTGCTTATTTCCGAACCTGAAGCGGCCGCACTCTACTGTGAGAAAATGTGTGATCAGATCAATTTACGTCCTGGCAATCGTATTATGATTTGTGACGCGGGCGGTGGCACCGTGGATCTGATTGTGTTTGAAATCACCGACGCGAGCGCGAACGGGATCAAGAACGATCGATTGAAAGAAGTAACCCATGGCATGGGCGAAAGCTGCGGAAGCGTGTTCATCGATCGTCACTTTCAGTCGTTTCTGCAACGTAAACTCGGAGACCAATCAATTCCACCGCTTGCCATGAATATGATGATGGATCAGTTTGTTGATAATATTAAGCCAGAATTTGATGGTCTGGAAGATCACTATCTCAATCTTCCTGCTTCCCTGTCGCTTGATCCACCCGAAGACGAATGCCTGGACGAAGGTACACTGATCCTGCGAGCAGGTGAATTGCAGAAACAAGTATTTGATCCTGTGGTAGAGAAAGTAGTAAGTACCGTTTGTGTACCTATATAATTTTATTCCTCTGCCATTTACCCATGTGCGAAAAAAAAAAAAAATTTATTACGAAATAGTTGGATCTTATGGAGCGCCAATATCGCCAAATCACGGATCACCGATTGGATTGTATTTTCCTGGTAGGAGGATTCGGGTCATCGAATTACTTGTATCAATGCGTGCAAGACCGATTTGAGTTGCGCGTGGGTCAGATTTTGTGTCCTCCCAGAGCGGCCATGGCCGTGGTTCGAGGCGCGGTCCTTTTCGGACTCAATCCTCGGGTCATCGTTTCTCGGGTATCTCGAAGAACCTACGGAATCAATGCTGGTTTGCCATTCGTTGAATCGGTTGACCCACCTGAATCTCGGGTGATCCGTCCTGACGGTAGCATGCGCTGTATTACTCGATTCTTACCATTTGTGACGAAAGATGACGAATTTCCCATTGATCACTTTATCGCTGAAGAAATGTTTGTTTATTACGGTACAGTCGCGTCCACCGATATCATGCTCTATGCTACGGAAAATGATCGTGTACCGCGTTATGTCAACGAGGAGGGGCTGGAACAGGTCGCCTCCATCACAGTGCCTGTCCCTACGATTCCAGGTGTCGGTCACGGCGAACGGATTTCTTATATAGTCAGGTAAAGGAAAACAAAAATGATTGATATGGTTTCGACAAAGGACTCAAGCATCGCTCTTTAGAATGTTCTTTGGAACTACTGAAATTCGCATGGAAGCGGATTTTGGCACCGGGCGAACGTACAAAGTCTATTGCGACTTTGATGCTGTTAATAAATACGCTTCCACTCAGCAGGAGAATGCGTAATACACTCATTTCAATAATTCCCCATTGTCAAATCTTTCTTTTGATTTATTCCTTTATGATTTCTGAATTCCCCAATCTCCATTTCAATTTATCACTGCCAAAACTCACCTTCAGCCTTAAACATTTTGCATTTGTTTTTCACCTACAAAAATAAAGAAAAAAGAATAACAAGAAAAATGGAACAAAACCATTCATCAACATCCACAAGAAGAGCAAGTGACCACCAATGAATGTCCCCAAAAGAAGCATGTAAAACTAAGAAATAGAACGAGTCTCGGAGATGCTTCAATCAATGACTATAGTGATTGTTATCTTCTTTGGCCTTCAGTTCCCATGGTAATCCGCATACAGTCATGCATTGAAAAAGAAAAAGAGCGATGGAGATCGATTTCCGTTGTCCGTTTTTGTCAACTGTAAAGATACGGCAGATCTAAAGAAAGAAAAGAAAAAAGAGAAAAAAGCAAAGTACCGAAAAAAAAAAGAATGAATATCGGATAAACACATAGACGGAATGTGAAGAATTGAATGAGAAGAAACTATGACTAACGGTATAGAAATGATATATGCAATGATGCTGATGAACGTATGGTGTGTAAGATGGTGATTATGTGTTGTTTCTGTAGACGCTACGATTTTCTCCACTTTCTAGTCGTCAGGGTCTTTCACCCAAATACAGCCACTGGCATTCGATGTCTTGTTGTTCAGGTCTTCAAATTCTTCAGCCGTCACCCATCGTCGCCATGCTTCTGAATAGCCTTGTTCGAGGTTTCGGGTCCATCGCTGGGTATCAAACAAACGGCTTCTTTCTCTGGTGAAGAAAAGCTCTTTGCGAAGATCCATCAAGGGTCCGTGGCCTCTGCGGTGCATTTTGCCATGGCGATCCGTTTCATACTTGTACCGGAGACTTTGCGCATATTGAACCGCCATTTCTTCATATTGTTCTTCACTCGTCGCCACCATCTGGTCACCGTATCCAGTAGCCAACGCAATACTGGCACCCACACGAGAACACATCTTGTGTACATACTTTGGATAAGTAACGATCGGTGTACCTGACCATAAAATATCCGCCGCCGTGGTGTGTGCATTGCACTCGGGAGTATCCAGGAAAAGATCGGCCACGCGTCCTCGATGAATGTGAATATGCTTCGGTGCTACATCCGTGAAAATGACGCGCTGCGCTACTTCGGCACCTGCCCATTCAACAGCACATCGATGCAAATGTTTTTCCCCGGCCGGGGGAAACCGCAATAGCCACAAGATGGAATTGGGGACCCGCTCCAAGATGCGAAGCCATAGATGAAACGTCGTCGGTTCAAGCTTGTACAGTTGGTTAAAGTTGGCAAAAATCACCACGTCGTCTGGTAACTGAGGGAACAACTTGTGCCGCATCTTCCATCGTCGGTCCTCTTCAATCATCCACAGATCCTCTTGGCTCAAATGACCATGCATATGTTGTTTGATCATCACCTCGTCATCTTCTTCGCGGAATCCTTGTTTGTGATCGTTCACGAAATAGGAGTGAGGCATATAAATAAACTTTTCCGTGTACACAAAATCGTTGGTGTCTTCTTCAGGATCAATATCGCCTTCAAAGTCGCCGTTCTTTTGCCCTTTTTCGCCGTTTTGCACTCGCTGATCCTTTTGTCGTCGACGCCAAACTTCGCCACTGACCATCTCGGGAGGGCACACAATCGGATCGGCAATGATCCAATCGCACCAACCCCCGCCCAAAGTGCCAGCAAAACCCATAAACGAACATTGAACGGGACTAGGACGAGCAGCAAAAATTTCATTGGCGGCTCCTTTAGTATATCCGTTCAAGTTGACCAGGACGTGAATACCATCGCGAATCACTGTTTCCACTACTTGCTGATGAGACCACGAAGAGACATCGATGAAATGCTCAGCTTCCGCGGCAATTTTAGTCCGATAGGGCGAGTTATCCGAAGCAGTGGTGGCGTAGCAAAAGACTTCATACTTCTTTTTATCGTGGAATCCAAACACTGATTGCATGAGATGCGCCAGTGGGTGGTTATTGAAATCGGACGAGATATAGCCAATCTTGAGCCGTGGCGAGGGAGGGGGAGGGGGAGGATAGACGTGAGACGGCACCCACGCAGCGTTCATTGTGGTGTGCGAGATCCGCAAAGCATTCCGATGAGAAATCAGTCGCACTTGCCTAGCATTGAGTGGATACGTAAATGTGTGGAAAGGCAACACGGTCGGTAACGGTGGCATTGGTAAACTGCTGGGAATCATTGGCCGAACATACTTTTCAGCGGCTTCCTTGGTGATTAAAATAGCGGACCGTTGGACATTACTCTGCACCACTTCTCCGTAAGTCTCAATATACCACTTTCGCTGCAACCGTCGAAGGATACGTTCGATGAGTCGAATCAACCATCCGCCTTCGTTTTTCTTTCCTTCCATCTCTGCAAAATACTGTAATCGCTGACGCCAAAGCTGATTCAGTCGGGTATCATCGTGCTGCCCTTGGACACGTGATGCACGGATAATGATTTCCTGTAGTTGTTCGCCGAACAGTTTTCCTTGACCATTCACAGGCTGTTTCAATGTACCAACACCCCACAGAGCGCCGTCGTTGAGCTGCTTCTCGACGATATCCACAACTCGGCCAATCCATCCTTGTCGTGTATGGGGATCCTTGCTTTTCGGTAACATGAGACCGTAATTATCGACCATCACTTCGGTGCCTACCCCACCACGACCGCGCCAATCGCAAACCCCCATAAGAGCATTCACTAGACCGCAGACGGCATCCACGAAATCCGGATTGATTTCCACCGCTCGTCTGTACCACTGCACCGAATCCTGGACACGACCCATATCTTTCATCGCGTTGCCCAGGTTGGCCAAGGCCACGTCAAATTGACTATTGTACTCGACCGCCTTTTGATACATGGACACCGCTTCGTTCAAATGACCCATGTCCTTGAACAGAGAACCCAGATTGGTATACAGATGCGCATGTCGTGGATCGATTTGTAGACCGTACATGTAGTACTGCATCGCTAACACGACGCCGTTCAGACCCGGTTGACTGTGATTCGCAGGCAATTTCAGCGCCGTCAAGGCCACGGCTTCAGGAATATTGCTCATGAGGATCCCCATGTTGTTGGCAGTGGACGGACTGGGATGAAGGGCCAAGCTAAGGTAATACATGAGGAGGAGGAGGGATAAACTAGGAACAGGTGCACCACCGTGACTCGCGGCCGTCACCATCACAGGCGTCGAAGGATTCATCATGTCCTGGTATAGCTTGGCGAGGGTCAAAAGAATCGTCGATGTCGTTTGATTTGTCTGTTGTACGGTGGCCAAACTCTCATTATCATGCATAGGACAACCGAGGGTCACGAGACCGGGGAGAATACCGCCCGTAGAAGCAAACACCACTTGAAGTAAACCCAGGGCTTGTTCAGGCTGCAGCAACATCAAAGGAAGCGATTGGATATCAAGCACACGATTGGATCGAGAAGCTTCCATGGCCGCTCCTGATCCGCAAGCGATCGCCAGCTGATTTGCCACAGAAAGCAGACTGGCTCCAAAAGCGAGTTCAAGGCCTTTTTCATACTCTCGCTGAGCTCCAAGAACATCCGATAACGCGTACTTTAAATTCCCCTTGGCATAAAACAGATTCTGTAAGCGTGACAGTTGATAGTGCGGTAATTCCTTGGGCGGCGTGAGCGAAAAGGCGCTGTCGATCTCCTTGAAATAGTACTGTTCGACGTATTCGCAAACGGCCAATGCTTCTCTTTGTCGTGAAACCAAATCCACCGCTGCTTTTTCCGCTTTCGATCCGTGGCTCGCTTTTTCCTGATCGTGCACCGCATTTGGTGAGCATAAGGCGCCTACAAGGTTCTCGATAGCGTCGAAATAACTGGGACGCAATTTCACGGCTCTAGACCACCAGTGCTCCGCCTCGCTCAAACGACCCATGCTCTGCAATGTCGTACCAATGTTACTCATGGCTTCCACGTACTCGGGATCATAGCTGAGAATCAGGTGATTGTATTGCAACGATGCATCGTAGTCTCGATAGGCAAAGTAAACACAAGCCAGCAATAACAAGATAGGCAAATGGGTTGGAAACCGGCTGTGGAGCGTATGCAAGAGTTCAAGTAACTCGGGACTTTCGGGGGCAGTAGCATACAGTGTATGTGCATATTGGAGCATATTGTCACGCCATTCTTCCGACAAAGCTCCAGCTGGCAAAGGAAGTGAAAGCGAGGACGAGGATGACGAGACCAGTGCACCGGTGGTACTGTGTGGTAACAAGCCGTAGGCGTTGTAGTGATGCTGTTGTTGGAAGCCTGATACAGGATCATGGTGTTGAGGGGGGATCCCAGAGACGTGAAAATGGTCGGTTCCATGCAACTGCGCAGGGACCGAAAAAGAATGATGAGATGCATTTTCCGGCAGAAATACATCCATATTGCCCCAAGTAGATGTATTATGCACGTCGTTCAAATGCCGTATTTTCTGTCTCTTTTGAGCATCCAGATCGACACGGCTAGAGAGACCCTGACGACGCTTCGATTGGTAATAATGATCGAGCCACTCGTTGTAATTTTCGTGGTAGTAGCTGGTCAGCGTTGGCGACTGAGGCGGTATCATGATGGACGACACATGCAGGGAGGAGTTGGAATGATGATGCGGGCTAGGTTGTTGCCACTGACGTCGTTGCTGGGGTTGATATTGATGTTGAGAAGGAGATGGTTGATGGTGGTGGTAATGCTGTTGCACGTGGTTATACTGAGACTGATGTTGCTCCGTAACAAGAGGGTACCAACGAGAGGAGGGCTCGGTGTTGGCAAGTTGCGGATGCCAGGAACTGGGAGGAGGCGCCTGATAATGTAGCGAATTACCAGCATAAGGTAAATGAAGCTTAAATATGACACGTTAGTTTCCAATACTTGAGAAATAGTATAGCAGGTCGTTAACTTGCGCATTTGCTTACCGGCAACAATGCTTTCTCTAGTTCCTGCATTCTCAATCGTCGCCGATCAGGAATGTATTTTTGCAAAAAAGGTTTCTCTGCCAATGGAAAAGCGGCAGGCATGTATGCTTGTTGAAATAGCATGGATCTGGAATAAGGGTAGAAGTACTTCCCGAGTATAAAGAGGGTAATATAAACAAACGAAACAGAAAGACGGTCGAAGAACAAAGAAAGGAGAAGCAAGATAAAAAAAAAAAAAAATTGTTTATCGATCTTAAATTCAAAGACCGATCAATGGGAAACCAACTCTGGATCGTCATGGGACCTTTTTTTTAACCACGGTAAGTAAAAAAGGGATATCTTATGAGAAAGGGATAGTTGGAAAAAAATCACGTATTATCTATTTGTACTGATTATTGCGACATCATATCGTCTTGGAGTATGCCCACATGATAATGATACCGATTTGCTTATATCATACAGAACTGTTCCAATCATTTATCACCCCAAATTCACAGCTACCTCTTGATCATTCCTACTTACAGGGTCCAAATTTGCACCTTGTAGGATATTCATCAACTAGTAATGTTTCCTTGTCTTTCTTTTAGCCTTGAATACTATTTAAAGTTTGGGTAGCATCCATCGGCTGATAGGCCATCTCCAATAAGGTTAGCTCTAAGCTTGCCGGTAATAAATGAAACAAGTCATTCTGAGCAATATTCTTGTCACTTTGCACTATTTACGAATAACAATTACTCACAAGTATGGTGATGAACCCCAAGATCGATACCTCTCATAGTCTGCGTTTTTGTATCGAGTGCTCGACAGCCTCCCATGTCTCGAAATTGGTGACACCATAAAATATGTACAATCCATGCGCAACAAACACTTTTACTGAATATACTCTATTTCAAGTTCATGATTTCCAAGATTATGCAAAACAATGGTTCACGCCGATGACAGCTGCGATATCAATAATATGAGAGTGGATTGGCACTTTGAGACAAATGATTTAACTCGACCAACTTAGCATAGAGAACAATCTCACCTGTAATTTTTCACATATGAAAACTCAACCTTCGAGCTTGTTCAACTAAAACATCACCGTCCTTCTAAGCTATGATATAAATGATTTCATTTTTCCCTTTATATTCCTTTTTTTTTTCCCTTATGCCGCCCCATGCTTTTGATGCATGGTTTCACCTTTGTTTTTCTCAAGTGGGTTTTTCCTAATTGAACATTTTTCTATGAATCCTAGGGGCGCGCAATAGTCCGCAACGAGCATCCACTCACTCATCGCTAAGAAAAAAAAATCATTTACTTTCATATTTTTCTTCTCTTCTTCAAGACGCATTTGAATATAGCCAGCACCTTCAGCGACTTGCAGAAAAATAAATAAAAAAAAGCTCTTTAATGATTATTGCAAAAAAATAAAAAGAATTGCCTTCTGCCAGAATCGAACTGGCGACCTTCTGCTTACTAGGCAGACGCTCTGCCAACTGAGCCAAGAAGGCTTTTTTCCTTAAAATCAGCATGCCAATGTTGGCCCGCTAGGTCACGTGACCTTTAAGACGGCTTCTGATTGGGTGGCTGAGATGGGTTGCTGGTATATAACCTTTGATTGGCTGGTTTCGACGATAAAAATACTCTTCCTAGGACGACACACATTTCTTGGTTACCGCAACGATTGGCATGGGCGATGGCTTTCATTTTGATGTTGTGTAAAGTATTTGTTTGTTTTAATTGTCTCTGATGCGTATTTTTGAGAGAAGGAGTCTGCCGGTATATCATTACTAGCTTCTCCACAGCTTCTAGTGGCCGCCGTGTACGGAAGGCGTAGAGCAACGGTGCAGCTCTGAAACGGCTTTTTTTTTGGAGATCATAGCCATGACTTCTGATTCTGTGCAACAAAGGGAGTTAATTGCAGTGAAAGTAGCTTCTCATGAAGAAAGAATAAATCTGGTTTTTCTCTGTCTTTACTAGCCGCGCATGCAAGTTCAGAAGATCGCTGAAGCAGCGATTGATCGATAACAGATACAGATACATAGTTTGTGAATATTTAACAAGCCGTACACCCGCTGTGCAATGGATGCCGCCTGCCACCGGAGGTCGCCCTCTTACATTGAGCGACTTTCGTCAGACAAAAAGCCTAACGCATACACGGCATAACCTGGGCGAGAACTCTTGACGGAACTTCGGTATATTAATGACAACCCTATGGCATACGTTGCAACGTGATTTGTTTCTGAACACGCGCAGGGCAGCACTGGTTCCCCCCCTCAGTTCCATCCCGCCCAGGCTATGATAGATCTAGAAAGATGTGTGGGTATGTTGGGTATTTAAAAAAATGAGTTAGTAAGCTCTTTGATTGATTCAAATTTTCGTCAAGATATTTTACCTTTGTTATTTGAGTTTTCGATAGCCATTGATCGCTTGACATGACTTGGATTATATGACATTGAAAAATTTTCGAATTAGTATACGTTCATTATACATCATAGCAAAGGAAAAGAAATTGGACTTGCCTTTGAACCAAATGGTGAACCGGACAAAAAAAAAAGATGATACGGACCGCCAGGTAAGCTTCTTCTTCGATGCGGAAAATAAAATTGCTTCCAGGGACAGTTAAGCGATGGGTCGGTGGTGTCAGCTTGAGCAGGCAAAAAATATTGACGTGGCCAGAAGTGACGGTAACTTCGAGTTGGATTCCAGATATCGAGAGTGCCCCGAATGAAAAGAAAGAAAAACAAATAAAGCACATGATGATAAAAAAAGCAATGGTCGCGTCAGTAAAAACCTCATAAAAAACCCTGTGGGAAAAAAAGAGGAAAAGACTGCGAAAAGAATATGTACATGAAATATAAAATACAAAATACAAATTATAAGCTAAAAATACAATAATCGGGAAGACAGCTCGAATACCATATGATGAGAAGCAATCCAAAGGAGAGGAACATGAAGAGGGCACGTAAGCGTTGCTGATTAAAAAGAGCACACCACCGACGATGGCCTTTGATGTCATCCGATTTCGCCAGATGGATGGATGGATGGCGAGAGAAAGTCAACTGTAGTATCCAGAACTTGTCAGGCGAAAAGAAAACGGAAACCGGAAGCTGGAAGAAGGATGGAAGTAAAGGAGAGGTAAGTCTGTTTTGCCGGAGCAAAATCGATGGTAGACCACTCGACGCTTACCCTTTTGAGGATGGTGGTCAATTTAACCAAGTTAGATACACGGGATAAGAATCGTCTGGATTATGGATGCGGATGGGATCTTGATACAATGATAGTAGTGAGGGTTTATCAAGTAAACAGAAAGAGAGAGAGAAAATCAAAAGAAGAAAGATAAAATTGAAGACAAAAATATATGATTCTCCATGGATGAAACAATAGTCACCCCACTGATGCATGAATTCATAGATCGAAGCACGTCTGCTTATGTATTATTCGATTCATTGAAAATTGAAAGAGAATGAAAGGACATATATAGTATAACTGACAAAAAAAAACAAATTGAATGATGCTACAGAAGAACGCCAGTCGTATCATCAACCACTTTTCTTCAAAAAGAGCTCTACTCACATTTTATTCGAAAGACGACAATGCTCTGTTTGACCACAACTGGTGCAAACGGTATCGTGCTGCTGATTGTTTCGCCTATTATCGTGAAAGTGGGCAGCGAGGCATGGTTGAAAGATGAAAAAAAGGTTTAACAGGTCCTTATAACTTAGTGTAGATCAGGTGATTTACAAATTGCTAACTTTCCAAAGATTTTAATTATATAGATTCTAGACTTCAATAATTTGTACTTTAGGTTATTTGATTGCGAGACAATGTCCTCATAATAATGTTTATGTTTTCAAACGTTGAAGTTGCAGATTGTCTCGTACACTTTTCCTCTAATTTGGGCTTCTACCCGCAATTCAACGTCTCCAAAATAAATCTAAGTGAAACGGTAAGGCTGGCGGGTTTGACTCGACTTCTTTGTTATTTACTTACTCTAATTTCAAACTCGACGCGATCACCCGGTTTCGCATCCTCAATGAATGGCATAGGTACAATAAGTTCGAATATTTTCTTCACTCCTGGTTGCGTAATGTATCGAGGCTCGTCTTCTGTATCGGCGGCATAAATGGTACAAGCAGTTTTGTCTGGATAGTACGTTTTAAACCATCTTGAAACACATTGATCATATTCTAGAGAGAACAATATCAGGTTTTTTTTTCGTGCAACGCAATATGAATTACGGAATATCATACCCAAAGACTCGCCACGACGAGCGTATGTGCAGAAACGATTGTCACAGCGTACTTCACCATCCGCTCGAATGATCTTGAGTTCTGGAGGATCCAATAGCGGGTCAAAAGGAGTGGTGTAATCGATGCCGTACCATTTTCTCAATACACGCGTCGTAATTTTCCTTGGAGTCATTGCATAATACACCGCACCACGAGTCACGGCCATTTCTAAACGGATCGAATCCATTTACAAACCACTTGTCATAGAGCTTTTGAGGCAAATAGTCGGTGACTTACCAGCACGTTGAGGTACGTAAACGTTGATGTTTTTGCTTTCGAATTCATCACACACTCGAGAATACAAGTAATTCGACCTTGAGAAGCCGCCGACCATCAAAATGGCTTTCAAGTTAGTGGTTTGCTCCTTTTGTTGGTAAATCAACTCTATGACTTGGTCAACCACAGGGTCAATGATCTTTTTGTATTCTTCAGGGCTGATGTATAAATGATTATCTTCCAGTCCAATGGATGGATCGCTTTCACTGGTAAGCCTGAGAACATGCGTCTTTATAGTCACACCATCGATACCGTCCATAGCATGCTTCTGATTCTCTAAAGAAAAAAAGAAAGAAGAAGGTCAGTCACAGTGAACTCGAAAACTTTGACATATTGATGTACTTACGAACAAATTCTTCCATAACATGTTCAAATTCCTTCTTTGACTTTGGCGTCATAAGGTGTTTTAATTTTTCCTTGAGATACAATCGCATTCTTCTATCGATGAATACCGATCCGCATACACCTCCAAGACCCTTGGTACTTTCTTCAAAACGACGATTGCCTTTTTCGTCGATGCGCGCTCTAAAAGCAATAAGATCTACGGTACCACCTGTAATAAGAAAGAAATAGCCCAATTTCAATGCAAAGCTTTCAAAACGCGCCTCATGCTGTCGTTGCCCAAACCTCCTGCGTCGCAGATGATAAACTCGTCCCCGTCATTCATGTTGAACGTTTGGCAATGATTTTCACAATAAAGAGCCGCCGCTTCAGGTTCCGAGATCAACATTAGACGATCCGGATGGTCGTCTTCATTGATAAGACCGGCGAGTTTAGCGACTTCACGCATTTCGCTTTTCGCTTTATCCGACCAAATAGCTGGAACCTGTCAAAATAGGTGGAGTCAGGAACCGTTATTGGCAAAAGTAAAAGCCCAATTGATCCAAGCAAATTATATGAATAGAAGCCTACCGTCAAACAATAGCGGTATCGTTCTGGCGGAAATGAACCGAAAGCCTTGCTAATTTCGTAAGCCGCATGGTCATGAAGTTTTCGAAGAAAGTCTATGAACAATCAGAATGTTGGGAGAGAAGGACCTTCCTACATTGATTTCTGTTCCGCTTACCCGCTGACAGCTTCATATGATCAAATCCTTCCGGTAGGGGTTTGAGGTGTTCCGACATAACTTCATCGTAATACAGCTTAAACTGCCGGAAATGGTGATGCTTGTCATTGGTTTTTCGAACGCTCGTTCGAGCCGCATTACCCCAATAAGTCACTTTCTGTGCCCACAGTTACTATCACTCCTTGGATCGGATATCCATACACACTAAATATACTTACATGAGTGTTTCTGTCATACATCTACAGGACAAACATACATGTTAATCCAAGTGTACTACATCGATATGACCCAACATCCGCTTACAATTTCTGTTGGTGTCTAAGTAAGAAATGATTCGCGAATTAAATTTTGTTTTCAGAATTTGGCAGCTTTTCAGTTAAAGTAAGACCTACCTTGCTGTATGAATGTTGGATTTGCTTTGGCCTTTACATTGATTAGTTGGAAACGGAAACTGATGATCTCTTTTTTGACATTGCATACCACAGAGTAACATCGTATACATCTCTATTGTCATTGGCAGTGAGCGCATACGCAACTCCGGAATACGTGGTTCCTGAACGGTCGTGCAACACTGTCAATAAACACTTCTACCGGGAAATAATACGGACATTGCCTACCAAAGTCAATGCTGACGACTACTGGATACTCTAATTCAAGCGATGACTCCATTCAGTAGAGAGATCTGGGTTGAGGGAAGAACACTGTAGCGGTTATACCGGTTTAAAGATTTGTGTTCAGGCTTAGCTTCACACGTGTAACATTAACTGATGGATCCATTGCCACAAGTCGCATATTCTGCTCCAGCTGTATCAAAAAAATACATTCCCGTCTACCTTCCTAAAGTGGGCGGAAGAGTTCTATAGACCAAGCTGGCCTCTGCATTGACGCACTTTTCAACTAAAATGGTCACGAATTATGAAAAAAAATGAGAAGACCAAGGCTATTCTTGTAATTGCATCGGGATAGCAAAAAGAGAATTACAGCGCGCATTATATGATGTGTAGCAAAGTAATTTTCTTCTGTAGGGGACAAAATGGCTCAATAGTTAACCTACAGAGTTTGCAATTATTTCTAAAAGACATGGTAACACAGAGAAAAAAGGCAGAGATTATTGATATGCACTGTAGGATGTAATTGGGTGTAATTGGATGAAATGAGTGAATATGAGGAAGTGATGCAAGGTGAATACATGGTTAAGGACGGGTCAAGATGATTTAGGGGATGGATTCTTCGATTTGGTCCTTTGATTGCTCCTTTGGCGGCTTGGGTCCTCCGAATCGGGTGTTTTTGATACATAGAGCACAGATCACACCAATGCCGCCTGTAACGATGGGGATAATAAAGACAGTATGAAGAGCTTGATAGTAAGCATGAATAATTGGCCGTTGCGCGTATTCTGGCATATTGCGGATATACAGGTAATTTTCAATGGCACCGTGGTCGTTGGCAATAGCCTGCAGAAAATGTGGATGCGGCAATGAGTTGATCAAATCTTTGGTAAAGGATGTACTCAATGAAACTTACCAGAATACTGGAATCCACGTTTTTGAGGTTGTTGCCCAGAAAAATTTGGAATAATGCTTGGTATACAGCCACGCCCTAGCAGGCATTTGTTAGCATACAACGTACGCTTGCATTCATGTTTAGCGAATCTGCTACTTACCACGGATGAAGCGAGCATGAGGAAAAAGTTATTCTATCATTTATGGAGTAAGCTATCCATCTGATCATCTTTATCTTTGCATACACAGCGAACGAAAAAAGAAAGGAAATAAGAATTACCAAGCTTGTGGCGACTGCCATGTTCTTTTTTCCGGCCTGGATTTGCACACCAAGGATAACATTCGTCTGCGATAGACCGTAGGCAAAACCGCAAAATGTAAGGAAACCCACTTGCTGACTGTAAGAGCTGTATTCATTGACAGTGTAAAAGAGACCGTAGCCGAGAAGGTTGCTCACAGCACCAATGACAATATACAATTTGACATATGGGAACAAGATCATGAACCAGCTGCTGCCAATAGAGCCAGTAATAAGCAGCACCATGTAGGGGATAAGACGAATACCGGATTGCGTACTGTCAGCGCCAAAGACGGCTTGGAAAAGAATAGGGCCGAAATAAAGTGTGCCGATGAAGCCCACTCCCAAACAAGTAATGTAGAGATAGAGCACAATAATTCTTGGGTTCATCATGATCTCTGCCGGTAACAACTGATGGAAATCATCCAGGCCTTAGTTATTGTGTATATTCAATTGAGCTCGTAGAAGCACTTTTTCAACTTACGGGTTCGGGCGCAATCCATCCTTCGGTAATAACAAGAGCAATCAGTGATACAGCCGCACCAACAAAGGGTCCAACAGAGTGAGCGCTGCTCCACCTAATATAAAATCAATGCGTTAGGCGAGCCAGTGCTTATACAGGTAGTAACTCGGTCTACTTGCCCGTAGGATCCGCCCCAATTGAGGCCTAACAATAAACAGCAAATAAAAGAGATGGCAAAAATAGTACCGAGCCAATCAATACGCTTAATCTTTGATAGAAAGGAGGAATTGAGTGAATCCGTCGGTTCCTTTAACAAGAAAAAGATAATAATCCAAGAAATAGCGGATAAGATCACATTGAGCCAGAAATCCCAATGCCAATCCACTTTATCCACAAATGCTCCTCCTACACCAAAAAAAAGGAAAGAATTCCCCAGTGAGTGACACAAAGGATAATGGCGAAAGTGCGGGGTCACAATTTACCGATCAGCGGTCCAACGACACTGGCAAGACCATACACGACAGTGAGCAAGGATTGAAACCGAGGCCGTAAATGCAACGGTGCAAGATCGGTAATGAGGATAAAGGCCAACGACATGACGCAGCCGCCACCAAAACCTTGTACGGTACGTCCTGGGATCAAGACACCCATGCTGTAGGATAGCGCGTTGACCAAGGAACCAATGAAAAACAGCAGAATGCCAAATAAAAGCACGCTTTTCCTGTGATCATTAGAACCGAAAATCAAGGTGAGCAAAAAGTTCCGAAACGCCGGACATCATATATTGTGGTGAAAAAAAAAAAAAAAACCAGCAAATCACCTGCCAAAGATATCCGAGAACTGTTTTGTTTTTCAAGCAAACACAAAAGCAGAAAACGGGATGTCAGCATAATTTTAATGTGGGAGCAAAATAGTTCATCCGTAATCAGATCATTTACCTTTCCCGAAAGAGGTTGCGATGCATTGAAAGCAACAAGGTAAGCTGTGGCAATCCAAGTCTGAGAACTTAGATCATTCAATTCTGTTGCAATAATACTCATTGCAGGAGCGACGACGGTGGTGTTGAGTGAGACCATGAACATCGAAAGCAAAATACCCAGGAACAATGTTAGCTTCTTTAACGTGGATATAAGATTCGACGACGGTGTCGTCTCGGGAACAGTCGTCGATGCGTTGGAATGGTGGCTTTCGTCATTATGTGAAGGAGGTCGTTTTTCATCCAAGCTGTGTTTGCAGTCTTTCTCTGTCATGGTTGTAAAAATGCAAAATTTTCAAAGAGAATACAAGCAAAAAGTCAATTGGAATGGACGAGCTTGTTTATATACCGTGTCGCTTCATTTGTTTTTGGTGTTACTTCTTGGTGCTGGCAAAACTATTCTCCCTTTACCAAAACGGCGCAAAGAAGCTCAGTGTGACTCATGCTGCCTAGTTGCCATGATCCAATCAAGTTTATGCGGCCACGCTAGCCATAGCCGAGGTGTTCATCCCAGACCGAATCTTCAACAACCGTGCTAGCAGCAATTACAGCAGATCAATCACTTTCTCCTATATATCTAACTTATCAACATGCGCATGCCATGATTTTTTTCTTTTTTTTTTTTCATGGATCACACAAGGACTCGCTCAATTCTTTCAATAAACAGTTTCATCCTAGAAGGGCTAAAGAATAAGGGCTGGAAATATCAAGTTTCAGTGCGGTCATCAGCGGTTCTTTGATTTTTGGGGGGGGGGGGTGGAGGGGAACACACCAAAAGTTCTTGCCACCGAGAACCAAAATCGGCCATCTCACCGCACCACATTGCACCGCATCGCATCAAAGCGCGATATTACAAATGTCGGCACCGGTAGTCCATGTAGCGCGAATGATGGCTTTTTATCTCATCAAGCACATATTAGATGAATCTTGCATCTGACTGTAAAGATAGGTAGACCGATCGATGGGGATCTATAATTTAATCGTTTGTCATTGCCAAGATATTACATTGCTGTGAATTCATGGTATTTGTAAGCGAAGAAGCGCGTGTTTCTTGCGTCTTTTTTTTTTTCTGCATCACTGTTTATAGATCATGAAGCACTGTTATTCTGCTGCTGCATTCTCGTTTTCAAAATCATTTCCGGACTTCGGACGAACTTGGTGCATGAACGTGCTCAGTTTTCTAGAATTCTTAATTGGAAACAAACAACAACAACAAAAATCAACGTTCCCGCACATTCGATATGTTGATGACAATGTTGTAGAAAAGATGAATAATAATAGTGGATCGGTCTTTCTTCAATTTCCCATGCTAACATGGACTTTTAAGAGATACTTCACTGACTTTGAAATGGTTGGAGGAGCACGCTTCTTTCGCAACGTAGGGTCGAACGGACAGATTTTCGGGAACATGATTCGTAACCTGAATTACCAAAAACTGTATATCACTTCGTTCTGTATCATTCAAGAAGGTTCCACGTGATGAAAAGAAATATAGAGAAATGCTCCTCCTTTTCTGGGTTTTCATGAGCGGATTTCTGTTTGCAATCAACAGCCATTGCTCGATCGTTGTGTTTGATATCGAGCCATGTCGTGTGATAGTAGATTTAGATGGTTGTTTCCTCGGTTATATTTATGAAGACCAATATTATTCTGCAGAAAGATCGGAGAACTTTTTGTTATTCAGGATTTCCGAGGAAGCGTAGCCCCTCTGATCCACTTGTGCATATAAAGAGAGGGAAATCATCGTGGGAAACTGGGTGAATGTTATCCCATGCATATCAAATATCCTGAAAAGGCACAATTGACGTGTTTGTCTTTCTGTTATATGTTTTGGGTTTTCTGGTCCTATTTGGTTGTAACTGTAAAATCTACACCGTTATTTTTTTTTTCTCTTTTTCTTTTCACTTTCAGTTTCTGTTGCACGATCAGAGTGCGGATCACAAAATTACGAAATGACTGTAACCCAGGGAATCTCGCAATTTTTTCAAGATGTCGGGGACGAAAAAAGGTTCGCTTGATCGATAGACCCATCCGCCACACCAATCAACAGTGAATCTCGCCCCGATCACGCATCCAATTGCCATGGTAATCCCGAGAATATCTGAGAATGTCTTATATCGATGGAAACTCATCGTTCGGCTTCATAAGTGAGAAAGGCAATTTCGTTCATCTCAACAGTCAATAGAATGAGGAGACAAGGTATTTTTGTAATACAGTACAAGGACACACGTCGGTGTATTGCTATAAGACTGGTCGTGATAAAGCATGGATCATCTGGCGGATGGCAAGCTAGGTAGAGCGACCAAGATCGTGAAAGCTCAAAAGTAACCTAAATAAGCATCACTCACAGTAAATGATTATGATAAGCAGCATAGATAGAAGCTATTTTATTTCGGCAGATAAAAAGAATACTAGGCAATACTTGAATCCTATCCACTATTTCTATTCAATCAAATATCATAAGCATAAAAACATGAGAGGAACAGAATGTAAAAAGGGATATGGGTCCGGGTGTGGCAAAATGATAGTCATGGAAATCCATGGAAATTCATTATATAGAACCATTCCAGCAATACGGTAATGGTCATAGAAATTCATCCCAACAAGAGCGTTCCAGTAAAAAGTCATGGTCATGAAAATTTCATTCCATTTTAGAAATAGAAATTCATTCCAGCAACATGAAATTCATCTCGTATTACTGCGATAGAATTTTATGCTCATGGAATGGCCATTACTTTTATGATATCCCGTAGTCTAATCCAATAGAAAGCAAAAGCTAAACATCTTGGCTTCTGGTTATGCCGTAATCGGCACAGATCCAGATAGGCCTACTTCAAAATATGTTAGCTTAAACAAAACAGCATCTAGATTTTTCCCATATACGTCACGATTGCTGGTTATTGATATGTATTGAGAAAAATACAATACAAATTTTAGGGCGCGTTTTGACCTAAGGATTGTAAAATGGCCCTTACTGAGATCGATCCAAGGGTATGTAGTTTGCACATTCGCGATGTAAATCACTGATGATTGATGATGACTGGTGTGCAAAATTTTTCGGTGCTGGCGAATTTTTCTGTGCATGAAATAGGTTTTTAAGTCAGTTTTTGTCGTTGTCTTGTATTTCGATCCATCGTGTGATTACGAACATGGCGGCTCCTATGGATATTACTTTCTTGGGCACGGGCAGTGCTCAGCCTAGTTCTACGCGTAATCATCAAGCTATGGCTTTACGAGTTAACGGCGACATTTGGTTATTTGATTGCGGAGAAGCTACCCAACATCAGCTGCAAAAAAGTCATTTGAAAATGGGCCGCATCACCAAGATCTTTATTACTCATATGCACGGCGATCATTGCTTTGGCCTTGCTCCGCTCATGTGCTCAATGACTGATAACCTGAATCCCGGCAAATCCACGACCGAGCAACCGCCCATTGATGTCTATGGACCGTCGCCACTACGGAAATGGCTGCGAAGCACGCTCCAATCCACTTACTCGCGCTTGGGTCGTTCGTACAGAGTTCACGAGCTGTTACTTGACAATGATGTATGCGACGTATCTACCGATTACCACGAAAACGAACTGCCAGGCGAGAATTTACAACTGATTGAACATCAATATTATCGCTTTGGATGCAAGCAAGGCAACGTTGAATACACGGTCTCGGCAGCCCCCATACGTCATTCTATCCCATCGCTGGGCTACATTATCCAAGAACCCGATTGCCCGGGCAAATTGGACGTGACTCAGCTGATGCCCATCTTGAAACGCAATACAGAGGCACTTCAACAGCAAGGATATAAGAATCCCATGGCGATTTTGGGGAAACTTCAGCGCGATAACAAAAGTATTGAATTACCAGACGGCACCATGCTTGTACCACCGCCTTCGCGTCCAGGAAGACAGATCGTTATTCTCGGAGACACATTCGATGCTTCGTCTATTGTGCCTTTATGTCACGAGCCGCATCTATTAGTGCATGAAGCGACCAATGCGCTCACCAGTTTGGACCAAATGAACATTAAATCGGGAGAGAAAGCACCCACTTATGAGGAAGTGAAACATAGAGCGATAGAGCACGGCCATTCTACGCCACAAATGGCAGCAGCGCTGGCGAAGCAGATCAATGCCAGGAAGTTAATACTGACGCATTTTAGCGCAAGATATAAAGGGGATGAAAGCGAAGAAGGGGTAAAGGTGATGGAAGAAATCCGACGAGCCGCTCTAAATGAATTTGATAACAGAGACAACGATGTTTACTGCGCAAGAGATTTGTGGTCGTTTGAAATAAAATATAAGCCAGAGGAGCATTCATGATCAAAAGGCAGTACTCGTTTGCATTTTGCCAATTGATTGTCCGACGTGTTCAGAAAAGTCACACCCACACACATTTGAACTCCACGCTTGAGAGACTCAGTTCGAAAGAACCAAGTTCTGTTCTCTCATCTACGAATTCCTACTCAACCATGGCCGATTCGTAAGTTGACCCTCAAATCATTCTCTGAATTATCAGCCACGGTATTGCTTCTAGCTCGTCCAGTACAGCTAACTCGTGTCTTTCTTCCTCTTACAGCATGATTCTCGATCCTGGCAAGTCTTCTCTGTGTATGCGTCCATCCGACGAAAAACGACTAAACCATTGCTTTTCTTAGCCATTCGGGATTGGGTACTCATACCTATTATGATTGTCATGGTACTTGTTGGTGTACTTCGTCATCAAATTACTATGCTCATTACCGGTGCACCCAAGAAGCCGCAGTTGAAAGCAATAAAAGAATCGTGAGTACAACCACACAGACAGCATACGAACCTACCATGACTGATGCTTTGTCTCTTTCACTAGCAAGGCACTGTTGCGCGGTATGCGCTTAAGACTGTTTGGTAACAGTATCCCGCAGCACGCATTTGCGAGCCGAAAAACCTATCTTGCGCAGGCCTATGAACAGGGCAAATACTTGAAGAATCCAGATGCTGCTAAAGAAGGTCCTGTTGCGCCGAATCCAATGGACCCTGAAATGATGGAAGGCATGATGGAGGGTATGAAGAAGCAGATGATGAATATGGTGCCGCAAATGGTGATTATGGGATGGATCAATTTCTTTTTCCAAGGATTTGTTGTTAGTAAGTATCGCGGAAACAAGTGATCCAGAGTGAGGTGCTTATCATCGTATAAATCATTCAGTCAAGCTCCCATTTCCCTTGACGCCTCGATTCAAAACCATGTTGCAGAGTGGCGTCGATACACGTGATATGGATGTCACCTGGGTATCATCGCTTTCCTGGTATTTCCTAAATCTGTTTGGTCTCGGTAGTGTTTTCGCTTTAATTTTGGGAGACAACAATGGTATGTGTATTCAATAAGCCATAATCTCTTGATGGAAAAAAAGAAGAGCCTGGAACTCAGCCAACATGATCTTTTGTTCATCTAGCTGCTGGTCTCGATATGGCGGCCATGGGCACTATGCCCGGTGTCATGCCCGGTATGGGACAACCGGGACAGCAACAAGATTTTAACAAGCTATTCTTGGCCGAAAAAGAAAACGTGCTTATTACGCCACACAACTGGGAACTGGACGATGTAGAGGAGCGATTATTGAAGAAGTATGGCAAAGCCATCAAAAGCTCCCCTGCCGAGAAAACCGGATCTCGCGAAATCAAGAAAGAGGCATCCATGAAAGAAAAGATCAAGGCTGCCCAACAGCAGAAACAGAGTGGTCGTCGTCGATAAAACCCCAATCATACTATAGATCATGTTCAAAATAATTTCTCAATCTTTCTTTATCAAGTAAAAAGAAGAAAAAAAAGAAAAGGAGCAGTGATTAATTTTCGAGTCTATTTCTTGGCAGGCGCCAAGCCCACACGACCTTGCTCGAAATCGTACACTGAGTAATAGCTTCTCAAAAAAGTGTCACCCATAATGATGAGCGGAATAGGTGCTTCTGCGATTCCCGAGTAACACAGATTCATGCCGTCTTGCGGTGGAGATCTTTCGCGGATCAGATTAGTGACCGAAATAGGGAAATCGTAGCCACCCAACTTGAACGAGATAGTAGCGTCGGAATCTTTGACCGTGCAAGGAATCTGCCAGCCGTAAAGCGAACTGAACTTGGCACCGGGAATGGCGTCATGGATGGCTTTAGCAAGGGCTGGAGGAAGAATAATCAAGGTTGTGCCAGTGTCCACAATAGCCGCCTGAGAAGTATTTGTGATGGTTTCACCATTGATCTCGATTCCCTCCATCTTGACTTCCCAGTATTTTCGACTTATCAAAGAGATCCATTTGATCTCGCCTTCAAAGTGATTCGGATTCACGTCGCCGAATATCTGTAATAAACAAACAAACAAACAAACAAGAAACCGTCAGTGGTTAGATAATGTCAGGCAGAAAGATGAAGAAGGAAAAGAAGACAAAATATGTAAAGCACTTACAATTTCACCGTGACCACCATCACGAGCGCGGCCTAACCATACGCCCACTAAGGGTTGATTGATTGTCCCTGACTGGTGCATAGCAACGACGATGGATTCCCTTTGTCCTGTGTATGATAAGCTAGGGAAACCGAGGCCAAATATACCATCCATGTATTGATCGCGTAGGAAATCATTGGATTCCGCCGTAGTGAGTCCTACCAGCTGACCGGGATGTGTGACGTCCCCCAAATGCACAGTATCGTGCCCAATGACCCCAGTCACCGCAGAGCCATCACCGTACCGCAAACTCCATGTTTCATTCCCGCCACCTTTGAAAGTCGATGATTTGGCGGGATCAAACCGGCTATGATGGTTGCACTTGGCGCATTTTACGGATGGTATCCATATATCTGCACTGCCCGTGTCGAAATCCATGTTGAAGGTCTGTGGCGGCGTGCCAAAACCAACTTTACCAACGTACTTGGAACAAAGAATTGGATATCAGTAAGTACCGTGTAGCGTTCCCATAGTACTCAAGTCAATTACCTCTACATCGACGTAAGCACTATCCAGTTCAATGATGGCCGCGGCGGAGCCGACATTGATACGGCCTTTGGATTGATCCACACCGTACTTGGCTAGAGCACGGTTCAACTGGGCTGGTGTGTTGAGTACACGTCCTTTTTTCTGTTCAAGTGTCATGCTGCAAAGAGATATTTGCATTGCTTCAGTCCCGATTTCAAAGTCGACCAATACCACGTATTTTGTTTCTTTGTTTGTCAGGTTTACCTTAGCCTTTCGCTCTCGGCTAGCTGAAAATTAGCACACAACGCGGTCAATGCAGCAACGTAACCAAGTGTAAACTTCATATTGACAAAGGTTAGGTTGGAACAAGGAAAATTAAAACCGGAAAACCTAAAGCTTTGCCCTTTATACGACCCTCATAATTACTGGCCGAGGTGAAGCGAACCATTCTCATCGAGATCGGTGAATCAATTTATTTCACCGATGGTGAAACAGGGGAAGGCCAGACACAGGGACACCGGTTTTCACAGGAGTAGCATGAATACTGATATGTATTATGCTTCAAAAAGACTATCTGAATAGCCAAATCACCATATAGCAGAGAAAAACAAGAGGCAGAATGATAATATAACTTGAAATTTTCTTTCGTCGAATCGGCATTTTTAATGAACCTGGCCTGTTCAATATGAGATAGTCCACGGAGCCTTTTCGCCGCGTGCCTTTTTTCTTCCCACCTTCCTTTTGCGCAAACTGTCATTCTCGACACTTTATAATACACAATATGCGGCCGCATAATACTGTTGCCATTATTGGCGCTGGATCGGTAGGTGGTACCATCGCTTACGGTTTGGTGATGCGTAGCGTCGCTCAAGAGATCTTGCTCGTCGATATGAGTCTCGGTATTCTGCAAGGTCAAGCAGTGGATCTTTCCGAAGCCGCTATCGACACGGGTGTTACTGTGCGAGCAGCAACGTTTCACGAAGCAGGACGTTGCGATGTTATCATTATCACAGCCGACACACCGCAGCAGGAATTTGAAGAGAGACAACGATGGATTCACCGGAGTAAAAAATTATTGCATAGCATCGTCCATGCCATGTCGCCTATTCAACCGAAAGCGCTAATTATTCTGACCGCTGAGCCTATGGATGCACTTGTGCGCTATCTAAACGACCTTACGAGTCTACCATCGCATCATATCTGCGGTGTAGGCACTTGTTTATCGGGGCTACGATTAAAAGCCCACTTGGCCCACCTGAGCAATGTCTCTTCGGAACACATATCTGCCCATGTTCTTGGTAGTCTCCAACATCCCGTCGTCGCATGGCACAGTGCCACCATTGATGGCAAACCAGCTGTTGACTATGGTATCATTAATGAGCAGAAGGAGACACTGTATCGGGTCTCTCATAATGATCGAACCGCATGGATCAATGGCCGAAAAGGGGGAGCGTGGTTTGGTGTCAGTACTGTTGTAACCAATCTTGTAAAATCCGCCTTGACCTCCAGTGGGTCCACGTTTGTGTTATCAACGTATGTCGACCAATTTCGTGGATGTTTGTCTGTCCCTGTCATCGTCTCTACCGAGGGCTTTCAGAAACAGAACAAAGTTGAGCTCTCTCGTGAAGAAATCCAGGAGCTACACAGTGTCGCCAGTACGAACAACAAAGAATACCAAGAATAATATAAACCTAATTGACCCCGCCATTGTAATCATTATCCTTTCCATACAATAAATAGCATGTTAATCAACCGCCACCGCAACAAAGCACAGTAATACTCAACAGGCAAAACGCAATGGTAAATGGTCCGGTCATTTTTTTTTTTATTCAAAAGATTGTTTTTTGCGGGAATTGTCACCGCCTGCGTGCACAGATGGAATAATTGGTGATGTGTTTTTTGTCATAGACAACAAAAGGTCAAACGAATCGATGAATATTTAAAATCTAAACGGGAATATAAAAAGCTGGTATATCATGCCATGCCTTTGGAGTAGCTTATCATTTGGCGAAAAGCTTTTTTGCGATAGGCGATTTTTTGAGCTGTGTCTTCATACCAAAGGATTTGGTCGGTTCAACAACGATGGTAAGTTCATCAAACGATTTCTTGCGACGGTTTGCCAAAGGTTCGATGCGTTTGGGTGCTTTCTTAAAACGCCAGCTGGATGCCAACTTTCGTCGCTTGACAATAGTCTCTTGAGCTGTGTCTTGCTTTGGCTTTTCTGCCAAGATTGATTTGTGGTTATGGAAGAGCTGTTGAATTTTGTGTTTCAGCACGCCATTTGCACTCTGAGTCGAAGCGATGGTCGCAGTGCTTAGCGTCGAAGGCGATACCGCGTTGAGCAATTTTGTGCCATCCAGAGAATGACTGAGAGGAGTCAAGGCGGTTCGAACAGAAGTAGGTAAATCGGTTTCGTCCCATAGATCCGAGGGGAACGAGTAAGGGATTCCGATGCGGTCCGTCGTCTCTAACTCTGAATAGTCGTCGGTAGCTACCAAGGGTACGATGGCAACCTCGTCTTCGTGTTCCGCGGATTTTGGTTCCTCTGGTGATCCATCTTTCCTCACTGAATCGTATAGGACACCGGTCAATTTTATTGGTTCTTGGGGGCTCAATGTCGCAGATGAAGAAACGTCATTATCCGATGCCGTGTCATACAGAGCAGGAAGTTCCACAATAGGAAGGACGGACATAACCGAGGACGCAGAGAGTGGCTCTTTGGCCTGCCACGAATAATAAGCGCCGATGACCTGAACCCCTTCCATAATAGCCAACACTGTGACAAGCGACACGAGGCAGATCAGGTGGCGTGCCACAACCATGGCCATTTTCGTATATTTAATTGCCAAGGAATAATTTGCAAGTGACGCGGCAGCCCCGTTATGAGATCCTGCTGCAAGAATCACAGCACATGGTAATGCCAGAAGAACATACGTAAACATGTTTACAACAAATAGCCGTTAGAAGCGATTGAAAGGAACAAAAGGAGAAAAAATACCGGAATGTGGTTGCTTGCAAGAGAAATAAGCGCATAGTGGACGAAAATTTCACCACATTGTCCCATCGGAAATTTATTTGAAGGGCTTGCCTTTACTTCAACGCCACAAAAAAAAAAAATAAAAAAAAAATGGACGACCTGATCCTCCATAATTTCAGCCTCAATATCTTAATGGTTCAAAAAAAAAAAAGAATAAGTATTTGCATAAGCTGGGATGTATTTGGGAGTCTATAGATTCTATATAGTTATATATATATACATAATGATGTGTTGAAGATAAAACAATATACAGCTCTCGCCAAGCGGCTACGAGATACAGGAGAAAAGGAGATTAGGATACAAAGAGGTTATTTACCACGCGGCGTGGGGGAGAGGATTCTATAGAAGAGGTGGAGTTCCTGTAAAACTCGTCTTGTTCACTTTTACGGCGATTTTTCACTTCGACACTTTCTTCGTTGTTACTGGACAAGTTGCCCCATTTCTCGAGACTGCTGTGACTTGAGCTGCGCATGTTGATAAAAGGACGTCTCGAGGCGCGCGAAGGAAGTACAATGGTGCCTGCGGCCGCACTCAAACGACGACCTGGATTGAAGGCTGCAGTGGGAAACCCGAGGAATGGTGGATGGTCGCCCAATCTTTTTTCCTCATCATGCGTTGACGGCACTTCGATCTCCTCTCCACTCTCGTCTTCCTCTTCTTCTGCATCGGATCCTTCCATAGCCCATCGTTTCCGGTTGTCCTGCAAGTTGACAAGTAGCTCTTTGGCTTTCGGAAATAACGAAACAAATAACTCGAAATAAGGTCTCACAATGAAATCGCTAAACTGGGCACCAATGGTGGCCTGATTGACCTGATGGCGATCCATGTTTGGGGAGACGGGCAATCCAGCCTGCTTCTCGGCTTCACCTTGACGAAAAAACTCGATGCAGACGAGATTGGACCATTTTAGGCATATGTCCCACGGTCGCACCGCATTGCTGATGTCCGCAGCATGCAGTAAAATTTCACATAATGCTTGACGCTGGCCTTCTGTCAAGGGGTATTTTGGTGATACAAATGCCGCCGATTCGACAGTTTCTTCTGCCGGGAGAAATTCGCATGCACTCTTGGGGCGAGACCGGGAACAGCATGTCGAAGATTCGGAGAAATAGTGCTCTTCAAAGTAAATCAAGGGAGAATCTTGACCCCGGGTCGAGAAAAGATCAGTGACGGTTGGCAAGACTTTATGGGAATCTTCCGCGGATATGAATTCCAACAGTCCGTTGAGGTTGGCTTGCAATTGATAATGACAAATCATATCCGTAGCGAGTATGGCCTTGACAATGAATTTGCGTATTTTCTCTTCGCTGGTGGGTATGCCATGCTCCTTGCCGATTTCTTCGACGTTATATAAAAGTTGGTGCTTGGTCAACAGATCCATCGCAATAGAGCATGAATAGCTTTCGAGAACAGAAAGATTATGGTAGCGCTGTGAAAGTTCAGTGTTCATATTGACTTGATAGTTATTATTCATTCCGGGCTAAAATTAATCGAAAAACGATATCAATGAGCCACGTGTTCTTTTTTTATCCAAATGGTGCCCTTTTTTTTTCCCACTTTTTGTTTTCATGACAAGAATACTCACATGGCCTATGTCGTGACACAAGGCGGCAATCATCAAAGCTGCCATATCGATGCTTGACAAGTAATCGGAAACATCATAATCCTTTAACATATGGTATAAAACCATGGCGACATCCGCAGCATGATAGAACGAGTGGTAAGGGTTATCCTCATAGCCATGATCTACGTCGATCAAAAAGTCGAGAAATTCGGACGTCGTGATACCCAACGAAGAGCAAAACCCGGTTCGTTTTAATAGCCCGATAATGGAACCATACACTTCCGGACGCGATTTACTTAAAAGATCGTCATGCAGTGACCAGTCAAAGGGTTGTTCGGGATCAGCCAACTTGACCATTTTCTATTATCGTTTGGCCCCATCATGCCACTCATTAGACTTCTGATGAACAGGAAATGAATTCATTGCAAAAAACGCATAACGCTTACTCGCTCAATGAGAAATAGATCATCGGCAGATAACTCGTTGTGCCGTAAAATAAGCATATCCAAACGGGTAAAGTAGAAAAAAAAGACAGGAAAAAGAGTGTGGAGGCCAAAAGGAAAAAAAAAATAATATGAAAAGGAAAAAACAATAACAAAAACTAATGATTGTCTCTGCTGATAGCTTTTGGAGGGGATTGGTCGGCTTGAGGAAAAGTCCGTGGATCCGTTCTTTTTAGAATGAACGTAATAGGCTATGTTTCTAGAAGATTGGCGACGTTTTTCTCTTGTTTCTCTGATAATCCCATTTTTCCACTCTCTTCACCTTTGGTGATGTCCAACGGTATACAGTATGCATAGTTTTATTACGATCATTAAATTTTAAAAAAGATGATATTTAAATTCTAGAATGGATTTCATGAACAGGGATTTTGGTACCGTATGCTTCGGTGTTTGGTGACCACATTTGAGAAGAGACATATCGTACAAGAGCCTCGTTATCGAGATCATGGGTTGTCTGAGCCAATCCTTCTTTGCAAGCTTCAGCATACACAGCGGCCGCAACAATAGCTGACACATCACGAATACGTGCAAGTGAAGGATAAAGCCATCCTTGGTTTTCTTCCTCGGGGGTCAAGGAATCCGCCAGTGCTTTAGCTCCCGCATAAATCATTTCATTGGAGATGTAACGAGGTTTGGCGAGAATAGCACCGAGACCAAGACCTGGGAAAACATACATATTGTTGCCTTGACCTGGGATACGTACTTCACCGGTCTTGGCAATAGTATAAGCAGGGAAAGCCGTGCCCGAGGCAAAGATGACCTTGTTATTCGTCGCTTCCATGGCTTGCTCGAATGTACACTCAGCTTGTGTGGCTGGGTTTGAAAGAGGGAAAACGATCGGCTGATCATTCAGTTCAGCTACGCGACCCAGCACCTGCTGATTGAACGCTCCAGGAATAGATGAGAGACCTATTAAACTAAATGCCATTGGCCCATGTGAGCACTGGGTATCACCACGATGATGTTCCTGCGCGAGCATCAGAGGCAAGAAAAGCAATACTTACGCAGTAGGCTTAACGTAGTTGACGATATCGATCAATTCCTTGTATTGCTTGTCATTGTCGTCTCTGGCATAGTACACCTTGTGCTGGGCCAGTTTATCACCACGATCCTTTGTTACCAAGCCCTATTGAACAATGCAAGGAATTTAACTTAAGCTGAACGCGTGTTGAACGCGTGATTCCTCTTTTGAGTAATGACCACTCTACCTTGCTGTCACAGATCCAAAACAGCTTTCTTGCTTCCTCTTCTGGCATTTGATGTTCAATTTGGAAATAATCCTGGATTTGACGGGCTACACCAATGGCAGCCGAGCCAGCACCGTAAAAGACGATGCGATGATCACGAGGCGACACGTTGGACTCTTTGTTGACCTTGCGGATGGCGTTGATCACACCGGAAAGGATGACGGCACCGGTACCCTGAATATCGTCATTGAAACAGAGAGTTTGCTTCTGATATCTCTCCAGAAGACCAAACGCGTGTTCAGATGACCAATCTTCGAACTGAATAAGGAGATCAGGATAAACAGTATGTAATGCCTTCATCACGTTGTCGACAGCAGCGTAAAACTATAAACCCATGATTAAATGATCGTTCATAAGCCATGGCGGAATAATACCGGCTCTTCTGCCTTACTTGGTCGTCACTTGGACGAGGCTCTCTCAAGCCAAGATAGAATTCATCTTCACGAAGCTTTTCATTGTTGGTTCCTAAATCGAGGATAATGGGAAGCGTGCGACGAGGATCCACACCAGCGCCAGCCACGTACAATTGCAATTTGCCAATAGGAATGCCCATACCGTTGACACCCAAATCACCCAAACCAAGGATACGGGAACCATCGGAAATGACCGCAATTTGAGGAGAGAAAGGCTCCGCCGCAAATGGACGGTAGTTTCGAATCATGTCGCATAAGGTAGGCACATCGCCTTTGGTCAAATACAGACCATCGGGCACGCCAGGTGCTGCCAAGAATGGGTAGATGTTGCTGTATTCGAGACACGCCGTGCCCACCGTCGGAGTATAGATAATGGGAGCAATTTCCTGTGGAGATTTTTCCAAATTAGTCATGCAATATTTTTAAAGTTTTACTTCAATGTTTCCATTCAAAGTAAGCCATCCGAGTGAAAAAAAAAAAGAAAAAAAAAAGCTATACTAAATACGTACTTGCAGTTCATCGATCACGATTTTGTAGAAAAGACGAATGTTGGTGCTGCGAAGTTGGGCGAGAAAGACGTACTTCTCCAACATGGACTCTTTGCAGCGAAGATGTCTCAAGGCTCGTCTTTTCTGGATTTCGAGTGTTTCGACACGCACAGGCGCCAATCCAGTCAAGCCAAGCGTTTCCCGTTTTTGGGTTTCCATGGCTGTACCTTCGTTCTCGTAACCAGATCGAGCCACCAATTCAATAATGGCGCGCTCTTTTGAAATGGCTTGCGAGGATTCCATATTATTAGCACTGGGGGCCATCTTGTTTAACAGTTCCAAAAATAAGAGAAGAAAGAAAAAACAAGTGGGAAAAGACGTAAAAAACCGGGTATCAGGTGCTCTTTTAGGTTTATATATTTGATAGGTTAAAATCCACGCTTGGCGCCAGGTAGTGAAAAAAAAGGGACCTGGACTCGAAAATCGTTTATACCGCATTCGCGCTGTGGCAAGTGGATGACGAAGATGGTTTTTTATTGGCTGCCGCCAAGGTGATCCGTTGTTTTCTGATGATCCCCTTTTCGATTCTAGCTTAAGGAAGAATATTCTCCTTTAGGAGATTTACCACCATTGATTTAAATTTTTTTATCTTTTTTTTTTTTTTTTTTTTCGCACGCACTGGCGTCAATTTGTTTCTTTTGAGGAAGGTGTTGCGTACAAATAACTTTGGACGACTTCTTTTTGGGAAGTAGCGGGTCATTGTTGGGTTCTTAAAAAATGCTATATTCAATTTTCTGATTCCAGCTGAATGTACCCAAAAAACCGGTCCATTGACTTTGGGGTAAAACCATGACAGCGCTCAAAATTTTTTTTGGGAACCCCATGGTTAACAGGTTCTACAAATGAAAAGCCTGTTCTTGTCGGTCAAAACGACTTGTTTGTCAACTCAGCCGAGCCGAGGCTTCCGAGCCCTCTTTAGGGCAAAAACATGACGCTCATACTTCATTCCGCTCCAATAAACATCACCGACTTTAGAAATCAGTGTCACTTCGGCATCTCAATTTCAAAATTACATTCTGGAGAAAGCGAACTCAATTCGGCGCTTGTTTTCCCCGGCAAACGGTCGTAGCACAAATATACGGGGAAAGAACGCAATGGATAAAGACAACTGACCATGCAATGTCCCCTTGTTCTGGTCATCAAGTACATGAATGTGTGTTTAAAGAGTTAGTCAAGGGCAACAAGGCGTAAAACAGTGTGAAACATTGATTGAGTGATATTTGTTTCTGACACGGTGAAATCTCCGTGAACTGACAGGACACGTTCTCTCAGTGATCAACGATGTGTGTCATATATCACATTGCTGTTTAAATTTTCGTTGCCATTGAGATATACTTTGCCTAAAGAAGATACTGTATGGAAAGCGATCATTGACTGAGCAACTGTTCAATTCAAAGGTGTCGCGTCTGCGCACACCGCTCATTTGGATCACCAGAAACTCCTACAACTTCCAACAATATCCAGCGAATAGCAGTGCCGAATAAGGAAACATGACGGGAAAGGTTTCAGGTTCAATATGATGCAATTTGTTATGATGTGCTTTCGGCAATGGTTTTTTTACAGCTGCATAGCTGGAAATCTGCTGTTTTAGGCAGCAGATCAACCATTCCCAAATCACAATATGCAAGTGTCTTGCGAAGTCTAGCAAAAAAACAGGGATACTTGAAAACGCAGAAAAGGAGCGGAGATGGAACGAACTCTGTTCCCATGTTATCCTTTCGGCCTGCCGTTACCGTCGATGACCGTCTCGATCCGAAGCGTATTTCGGGACACTGGTGAGGGGCCATAACTCGCATTTTTGAGTGGACCGCCGTTATTCTGGCAGCGCGTTTCGTCGACGGAGACTGCAAAATAGAGGTGTTGTTGAAGAATGTTGACACCACAGTTTGCATCACGACCTAGGTGGGACACGCAACGCCTTCACCATTAATTCTGTTCCAAAGCTGCTACAATTCAACAAACCGTTGAACCAAAAGTTAGCCATTACGATCAGAAGGTCGAAACTCAAGAATACAGTACATACAAGCATATTTTTTAAACTCCCAAAAACAGCGTCTAGTAGTACAGCCACGACATCACAGAGGATCAGTTTATCGAGAGATACCAACCAGCTCAGACCACACTCATCAACAAATGAACGTTTGATAACGCATACGGGCAATAGCAATTATTCCTATTATTCTAGAGCGGATAAAACAGTAGCATGTGTGTTTTTGCCAAATGAGCATTTTAGATACAATACTATCCAACTCGCTTGATCATCAACTTTAGGCAACGAAAGGATTGCACACTAATCGTTGTTAAAACTTCGTACACGGTTGAGCGCCAAAAAGGGAATCCTCTTGTTCGTCCCTCGTCTATTTGAGTCGGTTATTAGCGATCTTATCCTCTTCATCATTGATTCTAGTCTGAGTTTTGATGAAAAGAGAAATCAAATACTATGATGCGCTTCGATGACTTTTTGAGTTTATAAACCGACAAGGTGTTGATTTGAGACCATTTTTTGCAGAAGCGGTGCTGCGGAAATGAAGGTGGATTCATAATGATCGTCACAATTCACGTGGCGCCAACGGGTTTTCTCGACCCGCAAAAGCGCAGCTGACTCCAAGAAACGTTGACTTAATTTTCACAACTTATTTTAAACATGAAACGAGAAGCAGTGCCTATGGTGCAGGAAGCACAAGTATCCTTGAGTGCCGACGAACTCGAGGTAAATCCTATTCTATTTCATATGCTCGATAATAATCGCTTAGACTTCGATGCATGACAGGTGCTTCGACGACAATATATGAAAGAAGGCGAATACGTCACTGTTCAGACAAAGTTCAATTATGCATGGGGTCTTATTAAATCGTCCAAAACCGAGCAAGTCGAGCATGGCATTCAATTACTCACAGGTAATACAGAGCAAAGCTGCCAAGTGGTCATTGGACTAATTTGGGGTCGTTAGAAATATATACGGATGCCCCCGAAAGACGAAGAGAATGTCTGTATTATCTAGCATTGGGCCATTACAAAATTTCCAATTTCAACGAAGCTCGTCGGTTCAATCAACAACTGTTAAAATTGGAGCCTAGAAACGAACAGGCGCTAGGATTGAATCAACTTATCGACGATAAAGTATCCAAAGGTAAATGATCCAGGGGGAAAAACAGTGGAGTCCCGTGAAGGATCAAAAATAATAATTAATTGTGCCATTTTTATTTGTAGAGGGTGTGATAGGTCTTGCCATTGTCAGTGGTGTTATTGCAGTGGGTGCGGCATTGGTGACGGCCGTTGTCAAGCGAACGAGATGATCGGTGCGTGTGCTCGTTCCGCATTTCCTACCACAGGAAATTTGAATGCAAGCTTGAGTGACTTCGGATTATAAAAAACAACTGTATTCCCCTTTCCAAAGATTTTTATTGCTCAGAAAAAAAGTTCACATAACATACATATACACTCTCCATATATACGCGAGTCTTTTGCTCTCATGTCCCATCGCAATCATGATAAATCCACTCAATTAGGTGAAAAAGCCAAACTGGCGGACAAAGCCGTGGATCGAAAACGGGTCAAGCATGACACCGATGACAATAAAAGTGTCACGGTGAAACAATGGGCGCATGGTCTCAAGAGGGAAGAGTGTCCCGCCCACGGTCACCTAGCGATCAAAAGAGAACGTGCTAATAGTCATTCTTCAGACGATACCTGTTATCCTGCATCACAGCGCGTGTCAAGTTCACCGTCGTCGGCTGGGATAGAAAGCCCTCGCAGGCGTCGGCGTTCGTCTCCTCGTTCACCCAGTCAACCACGCTGGCACAACCAATCGTTTATGCTGTTTTTGGCGCTCCGGCAACATCCTGCCAAAAGCTTACCTCGCACGGACTTGATCAAAGCCGCTTTAGCCCTCGACAGAAAGATCAGTGAAGAGCGAGACCTCCCAAAAGTATTTCGTGGCAAGGTAAAAATAAAAATAAAAAGCAATAAAACCTGCGCATGATCAATTGCAACAGCCCATGGCGGAAAACGAGCCTATATATTCACACACAAAACTTTCCACACTTAGACGCCGATGAATTCCGCCTCGGCCATTCTCACTAACAATAATGATCGTTACTTTGTGCCTTTCAAGCCCGACGGGAGTCGGTCAATGCATTTTCGACTAGCCTTTGAACCAGGTGACCTTACGGACACGATCCAAGAATACCGTCAATGGGAGAAAGCATTGGTACAGGACGAATGGCCGTATTATTTCGGTGCGAAAAGGAGCCACGAAGAACAGGTAGTTGCGCTTGAACTGGCGGCGTTACCTGTGAAAGATTCTCCGCATCACACCGTCTACATGACAGAATTCGATGAATTCATGGCCAATCGACGACGCCAAACCCAAAATGAAGCCAAAAAAGAAAACTATCCCCACTCTCATCATCATCAAGAAAAGCGCAAGAAGAGCACAAAAGCATGGATACCAAAATTGCGAGAACACGATATTCCCTTGGACCAACTAGATCTGGCCAATGTACCAAAGTCCTGGAAGGACATCATTCGCGTGGACGAATCTAGAATAAGACATGGCGGCAAAGGTGTTTTTGCCACACGACGCTTACCTGCGCACACACCTCTGGGATTCTACTTTGGCGTCCCTATGACCGAAGATGAATTTGATTCTATGAAAGAAGACGTAGGCCGCGCGAGTGAATATTCCATGATGTATCGAAAAACAGTGCTGGACGCTACCAATGCGGAGGGCCAACCTTATACCGATCCAAATGGGGACATTTTCTGTCCTTTCCATTTTATCAATGGAGCGAGCGAGACGGAACCGAACGTTGCATTCACTGAAGGAACGATAGCCAATCAGATGGTGTGTTGGACTAAAAAAGAGATCAGAGCTGGCGAGGAATTGCTGATATGAATATCCCCACATGTATTTACTTTGATATTGCGACAATGTTATTTCCCACTTCTTTACCCTATATCAAATGAGAAAACCACAAATAACATTATTATGTATTTGTCTCTCTTCTGCATGTATTTCTGAAAGAAGAAGCTTGGATCTTGACAACGCGTGAAACGCGGTTGACTGCAGACAGCCCATAAAAAATTTACCAGTCACTCCACCACGCGCTTTGTTCTCTTCCCTTCTTTTTCATATTATGCATTCAGCCCTGTCGAACCTCTCAGAGCGTCATCGACAGCGATTGCTGGCCCGTCAGCGTGGATCAAGGTAGTTTTGATAGTGAATGCGAAAGCATGTCCTCTTCTCGCTGAACAAAACTTATTGTAGGTTGCGTGATCTGAAAGAGGTCAAGGCTTTTGTCGTTGATCCAAACGTGTATGGTAAATTTAACAGCCAGAAGTCTGATAAAGTCGAGTATTTGTTACATGCTTACACGCTCACGAATAGTTCCTCCATACATAACGCACGGAGATGAGGAAAGCGGACGATTTTCTCTTATAAGTGAAGATTCATTTAGACGGGAGCCCAGCGTTGGAACGATAGGATCTGATCACGGGCATGCTATGACAAACGAAAACATTGGGCATCCCGAACGGCAAGCAGCACATGCTGATCTTGCGTCGACGAAAACGGACCATGAAGCCACGACTTCTATCCCTCATTATTCTAGACGGGAAGAGCGCTTGCCGTTACCAAAGGCAATAGGTCGATCTTCCCTTTCCTTGGACAAATTCTCCGTACATCCACCCATTATACCTTCCAAACGCCCACGAGAGGAGCTAGATGAACAGTCTCGATATCTGGAGCAAACAATATCACAAGCATCAGAATCTGAATTACCAGATTCTGCACAGCCTCCCACCTCAGCCCAAGCCGAGCATCCATCCCCTACAGAAAAATCTGACATTCCTACACAACAAGTCCAACACTTGATACCGAAAGAACCATTTGGAGAAAGAGAAGAAAATGAAAGTGAAGCAGGAGTAGATACTCTGACTGATATCCAAGTGCAAGAAGTTGTCACAGTAACGCAAGAACAGATTTCGGACAAAATGCCACATGAGGCAGGAACCCAAATTCAACCGACACAAACCATGCATGTTGTATCCTTGATGGAAACTTCTTCAACGAACGTCCGTGGATCAGTCGAGAGGCACGACGAAAGACATAGCGTGGAGAGAGAAGGTCATGTCAACGGTTCTCCAGGGTCGCCAACGCAGATTTCTCTTGATGAGCAGCATAACGACTCCATGCAGTTGGATGGTCATGACGCTAGTCCAACTTTGCCCAACGACATTATCTCTCAGAATACACCCACCGACGAGGATATGCGCCATAGGCAGGGAACCACAGAATACGTAGCTCCGCCAAAGCAGCCATCCGTCTCACCAAAGGATACAGCACATGCCGCAGAAGACGATTTCATGGATTTAGAATACGATAGCTATGTCTCACCTTTGCTCGGAAACCAATCACCGCACATTCCTGAAGATAATGTTCAACGATCTATGACAGAAAATGATATGCAACGATCAGTGTCGGCTGAAGGAGTGGAGTTTCAAAGCAGGGACGAAAAGACTGCAGAGGTAGAATGTGATACCCGGTCCGAAATGGACGAAGATCGCCACACCAGCCCAACACCGGATTTAAGAAATGATACTACCAGAGATTCCGAGGTCATAGAGGCCACTGTCAAACCACTAGAAGCGACGTTGAAAGATGAGAACGGCGTTACGAGAGTAACGGAACCTACCAGCGGACAGGAGGCGTCTACCGAAACTCCCAACGCCGATGATAAGCACGAGCCTACTGTGTCTCCAGAGAAACCATCGGCACAAATCGAGACCATAGCTGTGAGCGGACGTGATAATGACATGAAAACGTTATTGGGCATAGATGACCCTTTTATGGAGGTTTCGCCTCCTCCAGAGGATGTGATGGATGAATACGACGATCGTTTGCAGGAAGAACGTGATGATATGGACGCTGCCCCTCCTTTTGAAGATGTAAATGAATCGGTCTTGACCCAATTCATGGATCAGATAAAGATGGAACTGGAGGAATCTGTGTTGAATGAAAAGAAAAAAGCCCAAGCGGACCTCGAAGTACAATCTCTCGCTAATTCAATCGTCAAGACAATGCTGGAATTTGAGTAAGGATCCTTCTCTGCGCTCTGCAATCTCTAACCATAATGATTGCTTTCACCTGGCTCAACGTTTTCGCTTCTTTTATAGGACCACGCAGAGCGATCCAGATGTTCTTACAATTGCAAGACAGTTCAGAAGCGAATTGATCAACGTGTTGATGCAACAGGTACAGTAACGCAGTCATTGATCTTTAGCGGAACCATTGGGTCCTCATTTTGGTCAATCGATAGAAAAACCGGTACGGGGAGCACATGCAACTAGAGTGGAAATTAAGACGTGTGAGGCACACGAGAAAAGGGATACGAAATCGGCTGCTGCTGCTGCGGAAGAAGCGTGAGAGTGTCACCCAGAAACTGAAAAAGACTCAGGAACGTCACAAAGAACATTGCGCTATCCGAGATGTAAGTGACGATTACGGTAATAAGATGTTGGACACATATCCTAATTGCACGTTACGTTAGACCTATTCGGGGTTGCACGAATTTCTAAGCAACATCAAGTCCTTACGCGACACTGCTGGTCAGAAGTAGTAAACTCATTATATCATGTAAAATATCAGGAAATCTGTAGCAGCGCAATACCCTATTTTGGGTCCCATCGGATCCAAACTTGTACTTTCAAAGTCTGTAAATAAATTTTTGCATTTGGCACACCCTATTCAGAATTATTTGATTCTTGCAAGGTACTATCATCTCGGTCTTGTTTCAATTGCTCTGAGAAAGTAGGCTCCATTTCGTCTAAATAATTTACCACTTTTCTTCCTTCTTCTCCCCAGCATCAGCGTTAGTTCACTCAGTGACACGTCCACCTTTATGTGACGCACGAAAAAAAAGTTCTCGTTTTTATTTACATTCCGTAAAGGAGTCTGCAAATTTGATGCCTAAACAGGGAACCTTTGCGATTGTGCTCACCAGTCAAAGATTTTTTAGATGGAAATACTTTACGTCGATATATCCTCATATCGTTTATGAAAAAGTCTTATGTTCATACGCTTTTTGGCCAAGAAATGACTTGTTAGAGAGCGTCCTTTCGCGGGTTTTGCTTTATCTGAAAATTACTGCACTGCCGGACGTTTTCTGTCGACAGCTCTGACGAGATATTGCCCATTCCGATCTGAGCCATATCGCTGTTGTGCAAAAGCGATTTAATCATCGCTGATAATTTCTAAGTAAACGGCATGGCAAAATATTCCGTTCAGTGACACTGGACACTTGTGTTTCTCACTTGATTGTTGCATAAAATTATGGATCACAAATGAGGGGCTTTATTAGCGGTATACTGCTCTTAACAAATTTATGTAACGAGCAGTTTACGAAAGGAGTCATCGACTTGCATCGAGTTCATGACAAAAATAATGAATCCTTCAACAGCAAGCGTTATGGATTATCTACAAAATTGTTGGTGGACGAATTCAACATATTCGAAAGCCATCCGAGTGGCCGAATTCAGTTATGTCGTTGGCTTGATTAATGATGTATTCGATGGTAGCGTTTTTGTAGCTCATATCCAATAAATCTCGCGACGCATCTCTGTCACGCATCAGGGTCGGTCCAAACACCATGGCCAGATTTTTGGGATGTTCTCTCGGAAGATGGCCCCAAGGCCGAACCCATAAAGACAGTCACATCAGCTTGAAACTGCGCCAGTCTGGTCGCCTTTTCATCTCCCCCTGTTGATTGAATTTCGCTTTTCTTTTTCGTTCTTAAAATTTTTTTTCTTCTTCTGTTGAACCCCTTTTTTCTTTTATCTTTTGCCTTCCTCTAGATAGACGCGTCTTCCTGAAATGTACAGCAACAAGACGCCGATGGAACGTTTGACGCCAGAGATCTTGATCAACTTAGCCATGCACCTTGACGTGCCATCCGTTTTCCAGTTATCCCTCGCAAACAAACATTTCTCCAAATTGTTCAGCGATGAGTTACTGTGTCGACAATTAGTGGAACGTGATTATGGCATCAATTACAAACATCCGGACGAAACGTACGCTGGACTGTTACATCTCTTGTATACAGGCGCCATCCGTCCCAGTCGGTATTTGAGTGCTGTACCCGATGAGGTAACGGATGCCAAACGGGCCGTGTATCGAGCATCGCTCGCACATAAAGAAACGGCGAATTGCGATCTGTGCAAAACAAACCCTGCGGAATACCTTAATATGGACCCAGCGGATAACACCCTAGGTAAAAAGCCCTTTGGATTGGTGGCAATGCTGAAGGCATCGGGGAAAGGAGATTTTTTGCATAACATGGAAAAGAAAAGTGGCAGTGATTAAGCTTTTGATGGTAGTATGCAGCTCATGTGCCCAAGAAAATAAGCAACGGTATGCCGTTCTGTTCAGTCTGAGCTCAGAGGGACTGTACACATTCATGGAAGATGGTTCTAAACACAAGGTAACCACGCTAAAGAGAAAATGACCGACATATGGCGATGCTCATCGACGGTTACTATTGTGATGAACAGCTTGGTGACGATAGCGCTGACCGTAACGAAGTGCACAAGGTCAAAGGCATTACCGAGAGTTTAACATCCAACGACACCATCAACGATTTAGACCGGCGACGTCGAGCGGAACATCAACTATACATTCAGGAACTTCGACGTGAAGATATGTCACTAAAGCATTATTTGATTGAGAAGACGTGGGGTCGATCATGGATGTTATTCCGAACTCGTAAGTATACAAGGAACGGTCTCATCATGGGGCGGTTGTCTGACCGGAAAATGATTCATGTAGGCGAAGGCTCACCGTTACCTGGACGCATCACCAATCAGAAACTTGCACGTAGCAACGGAACATTAGATCCCAATATCAGGTTACCCATGGATAAATATCGTCCAGCCCCAGAAACGCACGCAGATATCGTTAGTGAAAAGTTATGGTCTTATCTTGAAAAGGCCTATGGTGTTCAAGGAAGAGCCTACAGTGAAGGTAACTTATTGCAGAGGGAATGATTAGATGCAAAATAAGGTTCAAGAGCAAGTGTTGACTGTTATTGTTGCTTTTCAATAGATGATATGCAAACGCCCGAATACGTCCGTCTGCGGGTATACATGGATGATTACAAGAAAAGCATCCATTCTTATCCTTGATCAATCAAACAAAGCTTAAATTCCATCTCATGCTTTTTTTTTTTCTACATCCATGGAATCCTCATTCTCCCGTGTTATAATCTTCCTGTTGGTGATCGTTTTTTCGGTTTCTTTTCATTCTTCAACTTTATTTATCACACTAGATGAAGAGGAAAAGGAACTAGTTTTTGTACAGTAGTGGTCGCCCCTCCTTTTTTTTTTTTTATCCAATGTTCATCTGAAGTAAAACTTGTTTTCAGTCCTCATCGAACAAATGTCAAAAACGAACGCTGTATAAGAAAGGAAGGTTAACATAATGATTTTTATGTCGCTTGGCTTTTTTGGGACATGAATAATAGGAAATGCAGAGCATGAAGTAAAAATTGAACGAACAACAAACTACTATATCATACGTGATAAAAAGGGGAAACACAAGGTGAGAAATCATGATAAATAACAAATGCCACCAGATAGATCATTAAATGGGAGGGAAAAAAAAGAGGATATCACGTAGGACATCGCCACCAGATCATGTCAATATTGAGCAAGGGAGATCAAATGCCGAGTTGGCGCTTTTTCTTCTTCCATCCTATTCAATCGTCCTCATCATTATCATACTTGGAAGGATCCCATCGACCAGGGGCCAAGACGGCTTTTCTAACGACCAGGATCTTGGATTGACCGTGCTCGAAGCGTAGGATGACCGATACACCGGATTTCCCGTATTTCTGAGCCCGTTGAGCCAATACTTCCTTTGCGAAACAATAGCGGTGAATGGTATCCTGCACAGGTAGTTCCTCATGTTCCAGACATCGTTTCAGGTAGGTGACAGGCAAAGCAGCATAGATATCTGCGAGGTCCATCAAGGCCCGAGCCAGTGGTCTCTTGGAAGGCATATAACCATCGGCCGAGTGATGTCCAATATTGATATTGCCCGTCATTCGAATGGTGGAAGGCGTAGCATCCAACTGAACCGACAATCCGACCGTAAGAAAGTGGATAATGCGCTGTTCCATAGCCTCTACCCATCGACGTTGTTTATCACGGAAAGGATGCATCTGGGTGATCCAATAGTGAATGGACGATTGATTTAAGCTTTGACCAAGTGCATGCAGGAGCATGTCAAGTAAACCATCCAACTCCAATTCCTCCGTCGCTTCCAACAATTCTACGCACAAACGCGGTTTTTCGCTGACCAGATAAAATACTTCGTGCTGAGTGAGCGGTTTGTAAAGATATCCAATCACCGTGTGTAGGGTCTCTGCCGAAACGGGAAGATCGAGCTCGAGAAGTCTGGGCTGATGAGGATCAAGCTGAGCGAGGCGACGACGCAAGACGGGTGAGCGCGATAAGTTCAATGAATGCAATGCATACGGTTTGGACAAGCCTGGAATGACGACATTTATATCCGAAAAGTAGCCTAGAAAAGAATAGAAATAGAAATAAATGAGAAATTGCTTTTTTTTTCCATGAGGACCTGTCAGTCATCCATGGACAGAATTGATCCGTCCAGGTTCCAGGTTGGGGTTCCACAGAGATGGAATACTTGCCCTGCATAAATCCAATGTGATATGTGTAGTCACAGTAGGCTTGGGGGCCTTGTTCTGTGTTATACACTGTCTGAAAATGTGGTGGTGGGGGTGGGTGACCTGTAAAGAAGGCTTGTTGGTGATGAGGCACTTGGCCCATCATTGGCATGGGCATGGGTATAGGCATCGGCGGATGAGGAGGAGAAGCGCGAGGGGTGTGGACACCGTCATAAGGCGGGTGATGGCCATTGATATAAACTGATTTGTGATTATCATGAGCAATTGGAGAAGCCATATTCTGAACCATCACTTGTTTGCGAACTAGAAGATTATATGATACACGAAAAACCTGAAAAAGAAAAATAAAAAAGCTTATGACGTTATTTCCTACGCTTGGCGATGTTATTCGAGACTAAAGCTTGGAAAGCGGGTTGACAAAGTTTACCTTGTTATTTTTTTTTTTATATACAATCAAAAGAAACAAGTATTAATCGGCTCTTTCGAGGGATGGAGGAAATGTAGAAAATGTACAAAGAGAAAAGGAGGAAACGATTCAAAGTGAGTGGAAAAGAATAGGCCCCAAAAAACAAACGGGAAATCGCGAGCCCATCGAGCTCACTCACGCCGTGACTGTCATCCGATACGCGCTCCATTTTTTTTTCTTTTCGCTTCCCTCGATTTCCACGCTCTTTTCCCCTCACTTTTCACCTACAGCAGCAGCAAAGTAGCTGCTTGGGTGGGACGAAGCTTTTTATGATGATGTTCTACTGAAAGTTCCAAACTACGGATCTTCTTTCAAGCACCAATTCTTCCGTTCAGCGTTCACAACCTTGCGTCGAGTCATCGCCACTGCCACAAGTTATCACGGAAGCTCAACATCGTTGATGCAATGAATTTCATCACTGTTATCAGCTGCCTTCCGTTGTATTAACCATCGGGTCTGTGCTTTTGGAGAAAGAACCAAAGATAGAATGGACGAGGGCTATTTGCAAGTCAGGCCTGCTACGATTTTTTTCTTGAAGTTGATGCTCGTGACAGATATTCCTTGGTATTGGGTTATGAGACTTGACATACAGTATAATATGCCAAGATTGGTATAGATAGTTATGTTATGTAGCAGGCCCAAAGGAAAAAAAGGGGGGAAGCGTCAGTGTCGGATATCAATTTTTCAATGAGTGCGTCTTGGTTACCGTTGTATTTCATTTGTGTATTCATTTAGAACCGGTTTCTGCATGATGCAGATAATCACAATATCGGTGCATGCGGCAACGACAAGTGATCGCATAACCTCTAAACGGATATGAATACTACTATGATTTGGTGTGATAACAGCAGCCAAACAATGGTTTGATTAGATCATAACCGCTCAGTCCATTTCTAAAAATAAACATCTTATGATAGTTTATGGAGATATTCAGTAATCAAGTTGACTTGTGACATTTAGAGTTTACCTAATGAATATGTGATGTTCGAAAATATGCTTCATAGTAGCGATTGAGCGAAAATAAAAGACTTTGCGAGCGAAGAAAAAATAAAAAACAAATCGGAGCTTGTGATTGGATCGCGTTTGCAAAAGAAAAAAAGAACAGAGGCGCGTCGCTTTGCGATTTACGCTTTCCTTTCGCTTTCAGCCCAACCCATCGGTGCTCTACCTCTTTTTTTTTTGGGAACTTTTTGTTCTGTTTTGTCCGAAGATGCTCCCTCCCAACTGGCGTGTCTACGATGACATGGAGTTTTTGGCCGAACATTTTGGTTTTTTGCCAGTACACGTTTCCGATGCGATCTACGATGCCTGCAATGCCGTAGTGTACCTCGCCATTGAAGGCCTTGAACAGTACCTAGTCTCCATCAACGGAATGAATCCTAAGCAACTGCACGACGTAAGACCTAATGTGAAACGAGACTTGGTCACCATGACGCTAACCCCCACAGCAGGAATTGGGCAACTTTGAACAAAAGCTAGAAAGCGTCATGGACTCGTCTTTCAATATTTTTGAACAGTATCTGTTCGACAATGTATTGAAATTACCCAAAGACATCGACATCACCCTTGATCACCACAAGGTACTTAATATTTTTGCTCTACGGAATTTTTGTATAGTTGGTTGCTTAATGATGAAGTAGGATCTAAAATTTGACTATACCGCCGAAGACGAAGCGCTTTTGGATCTGGAACTGGAAAAGGCCCGTAGAGCTGTCATGGCTCAAGAAGCGTTGCAGTATAATTTGGAGGTGGAAATCGATCGATTAGACAAGCAAATCCAAACCGTGGACGAATATAAAAACTCTCTCGCCTTTTTAACGAAAATAGCCAGAGAGCAAAAAGGTAAGTGACGATGATTCTAGGACAGGTTGGTTACCAAACTGTGTGAAACTGACTTTCTTCGTATAGTCTTTCCCACCAAGGACACCATGCAACTCGTTGCCGAGCAACTCTTACGTCTGCAAGAATTAATCACCGAAAATGTCCAAATCGCCAAATCCGATCGCACATGGAAGAATCTCCAAAGAGCGGATGACAGAATGGCGTATCTTCAACGCGCTGTCCAGAAACAACTCGATACCCTTCGACAAGTTTCACCCTCGCACTAAATTGTGTGTCCCAAATCATCTCATTCCTCGCATCCTCTGCATATGTCGTCATCAAACCTCCTACGAAGAACTTATTTTGTGCCGCGCACGTCATCAGTTTCTGCACGAAAATTGTAACAATAAACAATGATACGCGTTCTTTATATCCTCCTTTTTCTTTCTGCCACCCGTTTCTACGTAAGTCATGTCCGTCCTGCAAGCCTTCAACGATATCACTGCTGCTGTTGTTCAGCCCGCCGGCCCCTTCGCCGCTGAATCCCCTGCTGTCTTCATGCTCCGGCAAGACGACATTGCTCGCTCGTTAAGGAACAAGAAGAGAGGTAAGTCATTTCCTATCGTAAACATCTGCAGGTAACTAATACGTCTTGTAGCTATTACTGTACTTTTGTACATAGGTCTTACTCTGCTCCTGGCGCTCTCTTCATTCGCGAGCATTATACCTGTCATCGTGCTGGTAGCTACCACTCCACCGCGACGCATCAAGCCTTCCATCCGTTGTGGATGTCAAGCCCGAATCTCTGTGCCTCCTTTGAGGCTGACAGAGTTTTGTCAAGGTGACCTATCATTGGAAACATGTGGGCCACATCGCAGGACAATTTGGAGGACCTGATCTGGGCATATCAAACTGGATAGAAGAGCAAGTGCAACGCAAAAACACTTAATGAGATGGCTTCGTTTGAACAGTGACACTTTGACTAAGGTATATTATGGGTAACATAACTAGATAATACTCATACTCGTCATGTTTCTTATTCAGGTGTGGAATGGTGAGGCCCTCATCCCGATCTCCATCGGCTACATGCATGTGTACAACGCGATTCAGCGACTTCTGAAGAACTCGCATCTCCATGATCATGTGAATGAGAGCTTGCGTTTGTGGCAAGTGAGTATTGAAGAAGCTGGCCATTTCTGCAAGTACAATGCCGGTGATGGTGGGTGCTGCATGTAGGCCTTTATGAGCAACATGGCAGATCGAGGTAAGTGGAAGAGTATCATGTTTTATCATAGTTTGAGATTAGTCTATTCTTTTCAAAGCAATAAAATAAACTCGGTATAGCTTTTGACGAACAACTCTGCTATTGTGTGTATGGACGCCACGCATAACACAGTTAGGAATGTGGATGACAAAAGATTCTATCTTAAAACGATTGTTGCCAAGTCTACGGTGATTGGCAAAGGTGTCACATTAGCGTGGATGGTTACGGGTACTTTATCGATGTTTCCTGTGCGGAAGTGACTCCGTTGGCTGAAGGTCGACCACGGCATTTACGCACAGGCTATCATGATGGACAATGATGATAACGGAGTAAATGTCATCGGTGCTGTCTTTGGATCCTCGCGCTCGGTGTGGCTCTGCCATTGGCACGTCATGCGCGCCTAGGATAGGCATGTTTGTTCGGAACGAACCTCTATCTATACTCGAAACAAGAAAGAAGGCCGCTTTGGGTCACATAGTAGCGTCAATGCAAGCAGAGGATGCAAACTCCTTCGACCTTCATATTCAGGTGCACCTTTAGACATGTCTTCTCGATCGACTGATAAATAAGGAAAGTTCATTGGGCACTTCTGTCTTGAAAATGAAAACGTGTCCTTGAGGAACTAAGCATTGAATATCGCATGTATAGATTCTGGACGATGAGGCTCTTTTCCTTTCATAGCTTTTTGATTGGCTGTACAAGGTATTGTTCAGAGACTTTTGAAGGGGATATGGTTTTATGACAATGTCACCAAGAAGATTGAGACGAGCCAACCTTTCTGTAATACAGCCATTTCATGCATTTTGAATATGGTAATAACGAACAATCGCTGGTAGCATTTGTGAGCCTACAGCAGCTGGAGGTAACTTTGTCACATTAACAGTTCAATCGTTCAATACAATATGCTTTTTTCGATATAAAAAGAAATGGTTTCCTATAGTTCCTAAGAGAGACAACCCATTTCTCCAATGTTTCGCATCATCTATATCGGTCTTCTTTATGATTCAGTCCTTTCGCTGCCATGTCAGGCCTGTGATTCTTAATTCAAACAAGTCTGAGATGGATTGCTTCGGTGTAAATAGGTTCGATCTCGAGTGATGCATGAAGCCATGACGCATGAATAAAGTTAGAGCAACGATGTCCTCAAATGTTCCAGTACGCGAGGGCGACGCGAGGCAAACAGGCGACTTTTTTTTTTTGAACGGTTTGATCGGCATCAGGCTTGACTTACTTTACAATATTTCCAAAAGAACGATTGGTTACATAGTGCAATATGGCAGAAAATGGTCAATTGTATGTGCGTGACTTGATCTGTCATAATACGACGTCCGAAATTTCTTTTATCTCTTATCTTTTCTTCCCTATATATGGCTCATCACTTCCTGCCTTTATATCTCTGATCTCTTCTTATCTTTATATATCTTATTTCTTTTTCCATCTATATCTCAACTATACTCTGACCAGAGCTTTACCACACGATGAACACCGCCGAAGGCTCCTCCTCAGGACGCCAGTTCACGCCGCTATCAATCAGAGATTTTAAATATCTACAAACACGAAAAATCAAATAGACCACAATTTTAAAGCCAAACGCATCTTACAGGGTGAGACGTCCCTATAATCCACCGTAAGAATTTTTTATTGATGGCTCCTAAAAAATAGCAACTTTTTCGACGACTGGCCGAAGATTATACCATATTGAAGCGGGATGCAAATAATCTGGCGCTACTGCATATCTTGCGTTGGACGGAATCCAACAATTTGTTTTCCTTTCCGCCCATAAAGACAGAGCTGTTTTGGAAGAAGTGTTTAGGGTTTGTTGCGTCTTCATGCAATGAGGCGAAAGAACCGGTAACTTATCCTCAACGAACGGAATATTTTTAATTTGGTTACTGTATCCATATCAATTCCCTGTATAGGTGTTTCCAGAGCCGCGTCGGAACGCGACCTGCGGTGCACACTTAACACCATTTTTAAACCATCTACCAGAGGTATGACGCTGTAGAGCGGTTGAAGTAGAGACAAACATCGACTGTGGTTTTTTTTCATGCGGGATGGTGCACTCCAGGTGAAGCCCGCCTATCCCTTGTTGGGACTTTTTTCTGGCTCCGCTGGGTGCCAAAAGTCAGTCACACATGAGCACATTTTTTTTTCCTTCCACATTGAAACGGACCGCATGAATTGGAAACCCTCTTGATATTTCGAGCGGCTTTTGTTTTGCGTTTCCCCCCTGCTATGCGGCGCTCTTCATCTCTGTCACGCTCTTTATCCTCGTCGTCGTCGTCGTCTTCGTCTTCAGCACTGTCGGATTTCTCGGGCAATGCAGAAGAGAAGCATCCAACGAACCCCAACAACACTTCCAGTTCCGTCTTCTTCTCCAAGCTAGCCGACACCGTGCGAGATACTCGGTTCAGGGTCGAAGCGAAAAAGTCGGAACTTAATGCCACCATGCAAGAAAAACTTCCCGAATGGAAATCTCGCGGAGTCATGTACGGCCATTTAGCAAGAGAGACAAGCATTGAATGGGGTCGCAAGGGGAAAGAAGCCGTCGACCGCTGGAAAAAAGAACGAGCAGAAAGAGGTACGCAGAGATAAAAGGAGAAATGCCCTTGGACAATATGTATTAGCTTTTACACAGAGCCATCCATGAATTTTATTATTAATTACGTGGTGTTCTCTCATTATTTCAGAAGGCTCGTCTACGGTATCACTACGGACGTCACCATCGTCACCTTCAGAAAATTCTATTTTCGGCATGCCTTTGGAAATTGCCGTTGCTTTAACAAGGATTGAAGATGACGATCTTGTTCCCGCGGTCTTTCGGCGATGTATCGATTATTTAGATACTTATGGTTCGTACTTTTTTCTTTGATATTGAAGCGAGGCCTATATTCATGTCTGGTTCTAATTTTCATGATCAAGGTATCCACGAGGTTGGCATATACAGGTAACCATGGTGTAGACCGATGTCTTTTTGATGTTCTCTTTTGTTTATCCGAGATTGGAATAGGATACCAGGAAGTATAACTACTGTCAACCGTTTGAAAGCAATTTTTGATGATGGTAAGCATTAAGAGAACTTGACACGGATGGTCGTGATAAATAACCGCCAGATATGCTAGGCTCCGACATTGATTTCAACGTATCACAGCCGGATCCCCATGCCGTAGGCACTCTTTTGAAAATGTACCTGAGAGAATGTAAGTATCATCCGACTGTCGTTTGTGGGAAAGAGGAAGATGCGAAGTTGCAGTGATAGATTACGGCATCATGATGATGAACCAACTAAAATCAATGATATACAGTACCAGAACCCATTGTACCCAACGATATTGGGCGAGAGTATAATCGACTGATCATGGAACTCATCAAATCACAGCCGATCGATGAAAAGCAAAAAGAAGCGATGGAAAGCACCGTCAGTCTTTCAAGCTCGTTTGCACGATCGGAGGATGGCCAGTTACCTCCGATCTCTCGTGCATTACTGACATCATTACGCAGTATCACCAACCGTCTTCCTCCTTACAATCTCAGCCTACTTCAGTCATTATGTCGGCATTTGAAACAGGTGGCCGACCATGAACCGGAAAATCGAATGTCAATATCCAACCTTGCCCTCATCTTTATACCAACGTTGGGTATTGGCCGTGCTTTGTTTCATTGCATGGTGGAATATTTTGAAGAGGTGTTTGGCGACGCGCCGGCTGGTCCGGCCCCGCCTCCACCTTTGCCTGTGCGACCTTGTCAGTTACCGACTTCATCCAAACCCTCCCCTCTCGACGGCGCGCTCGCCGGTCTGTCCTTGACGAAATCGAGCGAACAGCAACACAGCAAAACACGATCCGATACGGATTTATTGCGATTGCCGCTTTCCCCCACCCGTGTGCCTCCTCCCAAACCTAGTCGATCGCCCACGCCGAAACCGGGGACGGAGTACTTTAGATCGCCCGAAGGCTCGCCATCCACCTCATACCATGTACGACAACATTCAGAACAGCACAGCAAGGCCATGTCTCCTGAATTAGTACGAGAAACCACCAAACCACGATCTAAATCTGTCTCTTCCGCCCCACTTCCTTTCACCGATCGTTTACCCGTACGAACCACATGGAAACGAGCTGGTAGTCGCGTGGAAGCCATCGGTCGTCAGTTTGAGACAATGATCAACAGCAACTCTCAGAAAAGTCATCATGGATAACAATAAAAACAAAAAGAATGCAAGATATCCCGTCTTAAATCTCAAACTCAAACACAAACGCAAATGTATCAGAAAATGAAGTTTTGTAAATTATATACATTAATTGTCGCCTATGAATTGGATGATGTTTTAACTGAAAAGATAATTTGCCTCTTTAGATCAGACAGTGAGAAATATTAGCAGGCGTATCGAATTTCCACATAACTCGCCAAACGGAATTCAGCGTTGGTGAGACCGGCGATGATAAGAGAAAGAAAGGATTGATGCTGTGTCCCTTCTTTTTACCATATTTACACTGCTTTGAAGTGATGCACATCTCCATCTTCATTTATTCTGGAAATTTATTTCCAGATCTCACTGTAACTACAGTATGTCGTGTAGCGGCCACAAACACAGTTTTCTAATAGGCAAATAGGTTTTTTAATTTAACAACTTGTCTTTAAAAAAGAGGCGACACATTACGGTAATACAAACATTCCAGGCAATTGGGTCGATTGAACGAGTTCTCTTGACAAGAAACGGCCCCCTTTTTAAGCTCCCAAATATCTCCATTGACATTTGTACAGTATACGGAATGCCTTTTTTGTCAATAGGCAAAACAGATCTGACCCCCGCATCGGCTCGATCCTTAGTATCAATTGGTCACACTGTACAACATGAACCCGCTTGCTTTACCCTTATCTTTGAACATTTGCTGGCGATGTCTGCTCCTACTATTCAGGAGAAAGAAGCGGAAACTTGATCCCTCAATCAACCAACTAACCAACCAAGCAACCAGGTGCATTTACTGTTGACGTTTGAAGCTTCTCAATCGGATGCAAGAAACCAAAAAAGGTTCTTGTATCATAACACTGCCCCTAGTTTTTCGGTTCTTCCTCATTCGGTGGCAAGGTAGTCTTTTGTTCGCACTTTTGGGATTCCTGCCCCATCACCTCTCTTGACGTTTTGATATTTATCACGAGAATTCCCGAAAGTGACCCTTCACACTGCAGTCTATAATTAAAGTCTATAAAAATGCGTATCATCGCGTCTGTCAAAGTCCTTTCTTTTTCCGAAAAACACTCCCACATCTGTCGAGGTCTTCATCTTCTCCTAGAATTCCCTTTTTCTTTCTTTTCTTTTTCCAACAAAACAAAAGCGAGCTCAACGACGTTGATGCTGACAAATAAAACTTGTATGACGGTTTATAAACCATCAACCATGTGCCCATTGACTGCGCTGCATGGCATTGCGTGGTCTGCCCAGACCATTCGGTTGCTTGTCCTGGGCAACAAAGGCTTTTGAGGGCTAAAGGTAAGTCCACATTTTGCTTTACTGCCATACAGTAAATGCTTGGCATTTTTTTGTTTGATTGTTCTAGTGTTTTCAATGGTTTATCTATTTTGACCTTTCATATTTAGCTAGTTGCTTGACTTTTAAAAATCTTGGAAAAAGTTCAATAAAGTGTACAGTAATTGTATGTATGAGCACCGAACAAACGGGGAAAAAGAAAATTGTAGATGATGAGACATGCAAAATAGTTTTAGGCGGCGGTCACCGCTTCTTCACCTTGGATTTGCTGAAGCAATCTTGTGGTGTGATCGGAAGGCTTCAGGTTGTACTGATGCAAAAGATGATAGTACTCTAGCGCTTTGTTGGGATTGTCTTGCTGCCAATAATACTGAATCATGTGGTTGAAAGCCCCAATACGTGGCTGGTATTTCGGCGACGACACCATCTCGTTAAAATATCGTGTAGCCTGCGCTTCGTCGTGCTGGTGGAGACAAGCGGAAATCACCGCGGCGTAAGTGACCGAATTCGGTTGGAAGCCTTCAGCCTTCATGTCCCTGAAGATGTGTAAAGCGTCGTCGATACGATTGGTCTTGACCAGGCGAGAGATGGCCACATTGAAGAAATACACGGACAGACGGACCTTGTGTTGCTTGACTTCTTTGTATATCTTCAAGGGATCCATGGAGGCATCATCCGGCGAATTACCGGCACATGCCAACAACGACGCGTAAGCGTCACCGTCAGGAAGTAAGTTCTGTTCACGTAGTTTCTGGTAGTAAGACTGGGCCATGGGGAACTGGTTGTTACGTGCATAGGCGACCAGCATGGTATTCAGAATGACCTGATTGCCGCGGGTAAGACGATGTTTGTCCAGACGATGCAGGGACGGACCCACGGTTTCAAAAATGGATTGAGCGGCTTGCAAGTTGTTGAACTTGGAAGCATGTTGGATCATATCACGTACAGCTTCAGGGGTCGGTACGTAGCCTTGGTCGATAATCTTCTCCTTCATGATACTGATTGCCTTGTCAAAATCGCCACTGAGAGCCGCACCAAGCGCTTCGCCAGATTGCATATCCGAAAGCATGGTCACCGCAGGTGCAGTCGATTTATCGGAATCACCAATTTCTTGCTGTTCTTGAGCAATACGTTCTTCAATGACCGGCAAGAACGGCGCGAACTGTTCCTTCCATCGGACCTCGGCTTCGTATGTAGCGTATTTCTGCAAACGCGCTTGTACACGTACGTACAGACTACCGGTGGGCTGGACGCCAACGGCAATCATATCGCTCAGCAGTGAAAATGCCATGGTGATGAATGTTTCGCGAGAGTCTTCTCTTCGGAATGCTGCTTCATACAATGTGTTGAATGACAATTCGTTGGCCGTTCGTGTGAAAGCGGCCCAGGCTTCAGGATCCCGTTTGGTCATTTCGTACTTGCGAGCAATCTTCTCCGCCACCGTACCGGACGAAGGGATCTTCCACTTCATCATGATCTGCATAACCTTCAACGACGTCGCGAGATCCTTGGCTTCCGTAGCGACTTCATGCACATAGTCCACCATGGGACTGCCATTGCGAACGTAGGTGTGTCGGAAATACAAGTCGACAAACTTATCCAGGGTGGCCGTGACCTTGGCCCAGTTGCCAGCCTTGATGTACGCCGAAATCACGGTGCGGCTCAGGTTCACATCCAAATTCAAACCACGTCCACACATGTCGGTAATTACGCTAACGGCTTTATCCGGTTCGCCTTGTCGGGCACACAGTTGGATGTAGTTGGCCAAATGGCCAAACTGTTTGCTGATATCCTTTTGGATCAGTACTTCGTAGGTCTCGGTAGCCTTGGCCAGATCGCCCGCGCGACAGTACGCCGTCAACAAGTGGCTGTACGTGTGTTCGTCCGGCTTGGGCAACGATGGATCAGAGACCAGCTTCTCGATAAGCTCCGCCGCCTTGGGAAGATCGCCGTCACTGCACACCTTGCGGATGATAAGATTGTAGGTGAAGATGCTAGCTTCCACCTTGTCATTGGGCATAACTTGGTCAACGACATTGATGGCGCCCTGTAAATCACCAGCGTCAATGTAAGCGCGGACCAAAGCGTTGTAGACGACCAGGGGCTCGTGGTGGCGGTCAAGTTTCTTCTTCAACACCTGGTATTCCATGAAACATTCGTTGATGGCGCCGAGATCGCCGGCCACACCGAAAAGAGACACCAAAGCAGCAAAAGTGACACTGTTAGCCTTGGCGTTCTTGGCATTCTCCAACTGTTCAAAGATGTAAAGACCATCCTTGGTATTGCCTTTGTGCGAAACAGTCTGCAGCAGCTTGTTGTAGAGGTCAGTGTCGAAATCCTGGGTCTGGTTCTCTTGGACGGCTTGATTGAAAAGAGCAATGGCTTGTTCAAAGTTGTTCTCGGATTCAAGATCGGTCAAGTCATTGGCTGACACAGTGCCTGCAAAACGAGCATTGCGGTTACGAAGCATGGTCAATGTCTTGTTGACCTCGCGATCCCGCAAACATAACGATCGAATGAGCATAGCGTAAGTGTGAGAAGTGGGCCGAATACCGTGAGCCACCATATCATCGTAGACACTCAAAAGAGGCTTCAAAGACTGGTTCTCTTTGCGAAGGGTGCCGTAGGCCTTGACGACGGCTTCGTACGTCTGCTCGGATAATTGAGCGCCGGCTTCTTTGCCCGCCGTAAATTCAGCGACAACGGCCTGAGGATTGTTCTTTCGTGCTGCTTCCAAAATACGGGCATTCAGTTCGCCCACCGAAGGCGCCTCCGACAAGACCTCAGTAGCGGCATTGAGCGTCGATCGGAAGCGCAGCTGCTGGGTAGTGGATAATTTGGAAAGTGGCCATTGGTGACGGCCCTGGAAACGAGATCGAGAAGAATTGTCATTCTGATCTTGTTGCTGCTGTTGCAACGACGACTTGTTGGGTCCAAATTGTGTAGATGCACGGCTGGTGGTATATGAAAACTTGGCCGACACATTACGAGAAGGGAATGAGTTCAGGTACGCTGTGGTTTTGGGAGTGGCGTGAGCTGCGGTAAGCTGTTTGGATAGCACGCCTTGGCGTGCTACGGTATTGATGAATGATGTCGTTCCCTTGACACCATACATTGTAATGAAATAATTGTAACGAGGTACAACGTTAATAAAACAAAATAGCAATCGAAAATCGAAGGAATTTTTTCACGAACAGGAAAAAACGATTAGGCCTTTTTTTTTTCTTTGGCAGAGGCCGTAACCGGCGTTTGAAAAGCACTAGGGCCCCAACATGTGTTGACTGTGCTAATTTTTTTTATTTTTTTCTTTTTGACTCAAAAACTATCCGAAACCTATAGGCGGCTTTTGAAAAGTGGCAATTACGCAACATGATTGGACAGAACCTTCTAGGCCAGTCGAGTTTCTTCGACACTTATGCCAATGAACTGTCTCAAACGGCTGAGTTGGTCAGCAAAAAAGGAAAACTCTTTCAGCTCGGCCCTTTCAGGGACCCGTTATCCGGCCGAAATAAATCGACGAGAAACAAGAAAGAGCGCAACATGTTGCAAAAAATAATCTGAAACGGAGGCGAAGATCTGTACGATTCGGTAGAGACCAAGGATCGACTGTGCAGATATTTAGTTGCCATTTCTTCAATGCACAGGTTTTATTTTTGCTAATGTAATCCATGCCAACGCAGTCCTTAGATTGGGGCAGGTATCCCTTGGGTGCATAAAAGGGGTTCAAATATCGCGCCGAATCCTAATCAAATCATCAGTAATAGATTCTCAAGAAGAAATATTAATATCATTAAATTTTTAACGTGTGATTTCGTGTGTGAGGATAGTGCAAATGAAACATGAAAGAAAAATCATGCTCTCAGCATTGCCCGACTTCGTTCCTGCGTGCCTGGGCCAATCTTACGATGGCAATGTGCAAAGTGGACGATTGTATAAAGATAAAGGCGCAGTCATCCCATTGTTCTGTGGTTATGTAAATCGCCACTGCGGGTTCCTGTATGGGCTCAAGCACATCATTGTTTTTTTTTGGTTCCGGTTTCGTACGAATAGCGAAGGCAAAAGCCTGTTTTTGTTTATTTCATCCACCAATGTCACGCTTTTTTCATATGTGAGGTTCATGCGACAGTAGGTCAGAAAAACAATCCAAAAGGACAAACAGAAAATTGCCGTATTAGATATTTTTTCAATCCGGGTTGTTTGAGCCCCTCGCTGGTCACGGCTTTTCCGCTTCCATGTCGATTTTATCCACCCAAACCAAACGGCCTCACCGACTCTCCTCCTCCGTGAGTACCACCACATACGACTCTGACATGATCTCCGCTTCCAGTCGACGAAGGCAGTCCAAAAGAGACGAGGTAACAGTTCACCTCGATCATACCGTCTTCTTTGTTGAAGAAGGAGAAAAAAAAATGAACCACTTTACTCAACCATTGAAAATCACAGGCGATTCGCAAGAAAATCGAGCAAGAACTATCCAAGAAGCGAGGAGGACCGACCAAAATACGATACCCTAAAAGAATTGCAGGCACGGTGTCGGCACTTCAGCCGGCTCAGGCCGTGACAGTCAAAGAAACTATTCTTGTCGTCGAAGCCGCACAATTGATGGCCGCCAAAAGAAGCGACTGTGTGCTCGTGGTCGATGAAGCGGACCATTTAAGCGGCATTTTTACGGTAGGTAGGCTATTCGATGCAACTCCCCCTCAAAAAGTGACCACCGTACTTACAGTTGAACATGTCGCACATCGGTATAATTAGGCAAAAGACCTGGCGTATCGTATTGTGGCAAGCAACTTGGATTCAAGGTAACAAAAAATTGAAAAAGGAGTGAAGCTCAGCTTCGTCTTTTTTTTTTGTTTTTTCTTTTTTGGCCGCTTGTGCGTATTGAAATTTTTCTCTCCGATAGAGCTTTAAGCGTTTCTGATATCATGACCCGAAACCCTTTGTGTGTCACAGCTGATACATCAGCACAAGATGCGTTGAACTTGATGGTATCTCGTGGTTTCCGCCACTTGGTAAGCTGCACATCGTTTAAATAGCTTTTTGAACTTGAGATGCATTGCCACTCACGGTGCAAGTTTTTTTTTTTTTTTTTTTTTTTTTTTTTTGGTTCGCCGTAGCCGGTTTGTAACGAGGAAGGTGACATTTTTGGATTACTGGATATCACCAAATGCCTGTATGAAGCTCTCAACAAGATGGAACGTGCTTACGGATCATCCCGCAAGCTTTATGACGCATTGGAAGGGGTGGAACGGGAATGGGCCAACAGTCCAGTTCAGTTTGTTCAATATCTCGAAGCGCTGCGCGATAGAATGTCGTGTCCCGATCTCACCACTGTGCTTGTTGACCAGGCTCCCCCAGTCCAGGTACCTGTCAAAGCAAGTGTCCGTGAGGTTGCACGCTTAATGAAAGAACATCACACGACCGCTGTGCTGGTGATGGACCATCGCGAATTAGCAGGCATATTTACGGTAATCATCATGCCCCATACCCTCCATACTCTAGTTGACCGACTCAATTGCATTGTTGTTTCGGGTTCAACAGTCCAAAGATATAGTGTTGCGTGTCATTGCCGCCGGTTTGATGCCAGAAACATGTTCAGTCGTTCGTGTCATGACCCCGCATCCGGATGTCGCTTCTACCTCGACAAGTATCCTTGATGCGTTGAAGAAAATGCATGGTAAGCTCTCGAGTAACCGGTTAAAATCGATCATCTAACGCAATGGCTGACATTTTGAAAGATGGTCATTACTTGAATTTACCCGTGGTGGATGAAGACAAATCCATTGTGGGACTCGTGGATGTGCTTCGATTAACGTATGCAACTTTGGAACAAGTTAAGTCTACCCGCTAAGCTCGTAAAAAATCTCGCTTTTCGACTGATGGATGCGGTGCTTGGCATTAGATCAATAGCATCGAGGGACACGATCAAGAAGGGGCCAGCAAATTTTGGAATAGTATAGCGGTGGATGATCCTCATGAAACCGAGTCTGCCCTGTCCGATTCACTTTCACAAGGAGTTCCTTCCTCCATGCTTCATCATCAAGGGTCGCCCATGGGCACGCCTAATCCAGATCACATTGGCCCACTCCACCATAGCCAAAGTCCGGTATACACGGGTGTAGCACATGGTGAAAGTACCCCGGATGGCAGCGCATCGATGCTCAACGACGATACCGACACGCGGTCATCGGTGTCAACCCAGCCTCCCGCCACTTTTGCCTTCAAATTCTATTTTAACAACAAGACTTACCGTATTCGGCACGATTACTCCAGTTATACCTCCTTGCGCGATATCGTGTGCCAAAAGATTTTGGGCGAGCACGCTTCTTTGCTGGAAACGCGAAACGCAAGCGACACCAGTTGGCTTAGCATATCGTATTTGGATGACGAAGGCGACCATGTTTTGATGCTCTCTGACAATGATTTAGTGGATTCGGTGCAACTGGCGCGCAAATTAGGCCAAGATCGCGTGCGATTGTTTGTTTATGATGAATTGGCGCCAAAACCCGAAACAAGTGGGCCGAGGTTAACGGAAACACCTAATAGGATGCTATCACCGGTACATCCCACTGACAAGGAATCTGAGCCCAGTGAAATACCCGACATGGACCGACGTCGACGAAACCGCAGCATTGCCCTGAGGCGATCCAGCCGACCAAGTCGACGAGAGTTTAGTGAAGAGGAAGAAAGCAGTAATCACAGTGACGAGGACAGCAGCGATGCCGAAATCAGCTCGCCTCATACAGGCAACCATCACCATAAACGGCATGCACGGAAACGGGATTGGCTGAAGAACATGGCGTGGAACCAACCGGAAGAACTATTGTTGCCTGCCGCCATTGCTTTTTTGGGGGTGGTGATTCTTGGTGTTTTTACCATTTCCAAAATGACAGGATCCCGACACCACTACTAAATATTCCGTATGACAATACTTAGAAATTTTATAAGGAGAAATGGGTTAACAGCAACAAACACACTGCACACGTTATATATACATATATCACATTCTATTCCATAGAAGTATATCGGGGTCATTACGATAAAAAAAATATAAGCATTTTGTTACTATACGGCCATGTCAGTTGCAGTTAAAAAATGCGGAGCCTGTTAGTTGTGAAGTCGCAAACCACACTCCCCAAGTGGTGACATAAAAAAAAAAGCGCCCTAAGATATTGATTTTAGCTCGAGGGTATTGACTCTTTTTTTTTATTGTTGGCAAAATACGTGCCAAGGTGGTGGATCGGATGGGTGACATTGACTTGTTGTGGCTGTAAAATAATGTTCCAAGATTCATGAGAAAACGTGGTCCTTTTGAATATACCGAATACAGCAACAATAACGCGCGTATGTGGCGAAGGGACCAGCTCGGGTGGAGGCCGCGCCGAAACGCAATTGGTGTGCGAGGAGTTTGATCAAAAGTGGTGGAAATCACCACAACACTCCCCTGACTCAACTTTTGCTTAGTTCTCCGGCTGAGTACAAAAATCCATCTTTGATATGAACATCATGTCTCCAGTTATTTTTATTGATGACATACGATACTTGATTTGATTTGACTTGAACAACATATTGGTAAAGTAAGCACCGCCGAAAAACTGTCCTGTGCTGATAATCCTCCAAATACGTGTTATCACATCAGCTTGCACGCTCTGAGTCTGTAAAACCTTAAATTGGATATGTTCCTGTATCCACAGTACAAGTTAGACCCGTATGCGACTTCTAATCATACATATAAAATCTGGGAATTGTACACAACTTTTCCATAAAGGTATACACCTGTTCTTCACTTTATAGTGTGATTTACGAGCTGTGTGGTAGAAAGAAAAAAAACACCGAGACAGCGCACTGACTAAAATTAAGGGATGGTAAAAAGTAAGGGGTGACATCTGAGGGGGGGGGGAGAAAGGAAAGCGGTATCAACAACGTCCGTTTGATTCCAATGACCCAGTGGCAGAATGCTACCGTTGCTTATTTTTCAAAAAATTGTGTGCATGAGTGTGATCTATTTAGTAACTTATTTCGATGGGTTCTTGCAACCCAATCGAGAATTTCTTTCTTTCTTTCTTTCTTAACTTGGCATTTTTCTTCTACCTCCCTAGGACCCGATCCTTTGGCTGGCTTTCTTTTTTTATATATTTTCTCAAAATCATGCCGGAATCCAAAAATTATGAGACCGAGTTAATGTGAATTTATGAAATAACTTGCTTTGACGGATGAGGTTGTCAAGGCGACAGAATGATTTATGCTGACATGTCTAAACAAAAAGTGGCATATCGTTTTTTTTAAACATCATTTTCCCAAGACGTCAGATACGATTACCATAACAGTGACAAGCGGTTATTATTACTTTATACTGAATACCGCTTTATTTGTTTACAACTGATGATGAAGCTTTCAATTCAGTGTTGATATGCTGCGTGGGTTGCAAAAGAAAAAAAGAAACAAGGTTTTTCGGATTGACACCGCCCATCTTTATTTTTGTTACTATTTCTTGGTTGGCCTCTCGTGTTTTTCTTTTTCCATTTGTAATCCTTCTTTTTTTCCTCTTTCCTCTCTTTTTTTCCCTGTCATTCAATCCTTTCCGTTACTCACCTATTTCCCCCCTCGTCTTATTATTGTCATCCTCGATCCTTTTTGCTCATTTTCTTTTTAATCGTGGTCTTCAGTCACGCCATCCCACTCACTACAGAAACAGTCCATTTTTACCACCTTTCCTTTCCGAAACATATCGTCATCCCTTTCAAGCCAACCCACGGCCCTTTCAAACATCATACCCTACTTCAATCCATCATATCTAGTCATGAGGTCAGATCAGTGGGTTTACATAGGTGATTATATGATGGCTTAATCCCATTTAGGAACTATCACTCGAATATTTCGCTTCCTTCGCCGCCAATTCACACGGAAAGCATGCTGCCGCCATTATCTGACATTGCCCCTATCCATTACAGTTCGATGTCCGGCGTCCGTTCCACAGACCCGTGGTGGGGTAATACAGAATTGCGGCCTATCCTCAATCATCCTGCCAAGCCGTCAACGGACCCCCTCCCGTTTAACCATGATGCCCTCACCCCTTCTGCCAGTCCCTCGCCACCCATCAATGATCACATCAATTGGTCACCCAAGTCATCCCAGTGCAACAGTCGCAAAGGGTCGATTGCTTCGCTCCTCAACACAGACCCGGAACTCCGTCAGTTGGACGAAGAAGAATTACGCAACGGGTATCAGTCGCATTTCGATGCCGCCACAGATGACCACGACGACAACAGTGACCATGGATGCAGCAGAGATGGAGGTGTTCAAAAGCGAGGTCGACCTTCCGCTACCGTCTATTCATCCCCCGATGCAAAGATAAAAAAGCGCAAATGCGCTACCAAAAAAAAACTGAAACGATCCACTCAAGTTGATCCCGAGCAGCGACCCATTCATAAAGGTCTACGCCACTTTAGTAAACAGGTTTGCAACAAGGTGGCTCACCATGGTGTTACCACGTACAACGAGGTAAATCATTACAAAACTCTCCTTTTGACCGCGGTGAACCGCCCAACTGACAATGGATAATAGGTAGCTGATGAATTGGCAATGGAGTTTCAATACGCGCTTGATGAGGTATATTTTTTGCAATTCTTTTGCGTAGAACATTCGTGGGCTGACATGTGTAATATAGGATAAGCCGGTGTTTGATCAGAAAAATGTGCGACGTCGGGTGTACGACGCCTTGAATGTTCTGATGGCGATGGATATCATTGCCAAAGACAAGAAGGAGATCCGATGGCTCGGTATTCCATCGTGTTTCCGATCCGACAACGCATCCGAGAAGCATGAAGCGGATCTATTAGAAGAAATCAAGAAAGAGCAATGTCTTCAAGACGAGTTATCAAGTACGGTGGACCAGTTGCAAACCACAGTACGGGACCATATTTTTCGCCAGCTAATCTTACGTCAGTTGATTTGGCGCAATGTCAACAATCCGTGCAAGGACAAACAGATCTTTCCGCTTCCTTTATTTCTTCTATGTCCATCCTCAGCAGATGAGGTTCATATCGAGTTATCCGAGAACCAACGATCGGCCGTCATTACCTGTAACAGCTCCCTAGACGGTCGAGCAATATTTGAAGACATTGACGTTCTGGATCGGCTGAACCTTGATTCCTTCCGTCCCCAAGACTGGCCATGCGACGCTTCACCATTACCGTTATCCAAACCATCGATCAACAATCTTCCCACCTCGCCGTCGTCTTCAACCTCCTCTGATGCATGATCCTAACCCGAAATATCCGTTTCATTTTTTTTCTTTATGTTCATTTCCCTCTTGTTTTTCTCCCCTCATATTGCCTCGTTTTCATTTTTTTCTTTTTATGATCAACAGAGCAAGGTGTGTTTTTTCTTTTACCTTTTTTTTTTTTGTTTATTTCCTTTAGTGTATGCAAAGTTTTTTTAGTCTTCTTTTTGTCACATGGAAATTCTTTATTTTATTTTTTTCATGCTGCGGCCTTGGTTTAAGCACTTATCAAAATGAATAAACACCTCATGCCCAGCTAACAACTTTCAAGAAAAAATCATTATAAAAAGAAGAGCATAAATCATTATTCACCAAAAGTCAGATCATCCTATTATGTATTTAGTGAAGCTTACCCAACTTTCTAGTGCAGCATCGTTGAGTCATTTATTATTTACCAATACTACCCCGCATTATCAAGATCTCCTTTTCATGTGAAAGTTCACTATCTTGTCTGTAATCCTCTCAAATTGCAAATTTCAGCATCTACAAGATTCTATGCATCATTTCCAACTTGAAATGCAGGCTTTGATCCACTTTTTTTTTGTACGCTTTTAAGGGATTCATGCCATTCAACTATCCTCTCGTTTACTTCTTGTAAAGGCAAACGATCGCCTTCCAGATCTGGCAGTCAATGTCATGCATCAATCCACTCTTGATTCGTTTATACACCATACCAACCAACGATGTGTTGAAAAAAAGTTCAAGTACAGCATTTGTGGTTGCTAGGATAAACGAGAGAACAGAAAGCATTATCTGAGGTTACAAGCAGTGGAACAGGCGGCCAACCTAGATGACTACATAATTTTATCTCTATCGTATTCCATGAGAATGACAGCAGACGTCAAAATTGCAATCGCACGAATATTCAAATTTGGATACTGCAGTTCAAGTGCATAAATTTCCATCGATGCTTCTGAAGGATCCAAAAAAGGAATGAAAGAGATCTCTAGGTTTTTTGAATGCAGGCAACAACATGCTTATTGCTTCTATTTTTAAGCCTCAACCGACGCATTCAGAGATGCTGTGCATCACACAGTCTAGGAATGCGATGTCGAATCTTGGTTCGAACATGGTGTGTTTAAGGGGTTCGCAACTTTAAAAATCTTCCATATTTCGCACGTCAACGGAGAAATCTTTTTGCCCAGAAGAAAAAGGTTGAACTGATTGAGAATGATGCAAATGAATGGATAAGCATGAAAAAAAGAGGGGGAAGAGTACATGAAATTCAAAAGGTAAAATTACGGTGAATCTTCTTTACTTGGCAAGAATGACACGATCTTTACCAGCAAGATCTTGCCATACCTCGATATCGGTAAAATGATGTGATTTTAAAGTGGCTGCCAAGGATTCGATCTGATGCGACCCGCCAATTTCCATAATCACACGAGGAATATTCCACTTTGGCTGTGTGAGCCGACTCGCTACATCGATGATTCTACGATGCACAGCGGTGCCGTTTTCGGCAGCATACAATGCTCGTTTATCCTCCCATTGTTTCACATCGGCATCCAAGTCACTGTACTCCTGTCCCGTGATATACGGTGGATTGGCAATCACACAATCGAAATCCCCTGTCACCGGCAACGGCTCGTCATAGATATCGCAGAGGTGAAACTGCACCTGATTTTGGATGCGCGATGCATGGACGGCGTAATTTTCCCGTGCCAAGACAATGGCGTCCGATGAGATATCCAGCGCACAAATCTCGACACTATTTTCCGGTAACTGCGAAGCCAAGGTCAACGCGATACAACCGGTGCCCGTGCACACATCCAGGATGCGAAGTGAACCTGCCGAAGGTTGCCAATTGGATCGTATCACCTCGCATAACCTCGATGCCCATTCTTCGGTCTCCCAACTATCCGAACCCACCCCACGCGTGTTAAAACTCGCTCGATAAATATACGAAAAAAGAGTCGACTTGATTTACCGAGGAATGAGCACGGGCGGTCTTGTGATGATGTCGAGTTCACAAAACGGTTGCGTACCTGAAAATTCCACGTTAGCATGGGGCAATGTAACAAAAGTGGCTGCCTAGGGTGGGACATTTTTACCTAGAATGTATTGCAACGGTTTATGAAGGTCGACCCGTTGACGAATGTAGTCTTCGAGTTGTTGTTCCTCTTTCGGTGTCAAAGGAGCATCGGAAGGCTCGGAGCGGTCCGCCTGTATCTTTTCCTTCAACCAGATCAACTGACGTTTTGCCAAGGAGACATCCCCGTCACAAGCTGGTAGTAATCGCTTGATCCATGCTGCTTGTTTCAATAACCGAGGGGGCATTCGTTTAATAGCAGGCCAGAAATCTAAGGTGAGTCTTGTGTCACAAAAGGCATGTATTTTTAGATGAGAGGACACACAAGCCACGAAACACAAAGGGATCTCGAACGGAGACGAAAATTTATCACCCCACATCCAACATCCCATAGCCGAACAACCTGTAGCCCAGGAAACCAATGTTTCCATCAATATCACCATTGCGCCTTTTTACAGTTAAAAAGTGGTGCCATACAACTTATTGCATAAGGTCTTTCTGACCGAATAATTGATTCGTGGACTCATCTCGTGGATTGACGCCATATTCTTACTGTGAGGAACCCACATCCCTTTTTCATTGGATCGTCGTCTCGGGCTGTTGCTAAAAAAAAAAAAAGAAAAAGGTGGGGTGAAAACCAGACACATCCGTTTTAAAGCCAGCTTTCTTTCATTGCCTTTCCTTTTTTCTATTCTACATTTCGTGCCTTTTTGCATTCCCGTCATGGCTACGCCCATCGCTGCCAGTAAGTGTTGCATTGCCCAGAATAAAAGTGAGAAATAATAACTAATAAAGATGGCACTATTACCATGACAGATTTACGTATTTGCTGTGTGGTATGTATTTATGCCGCCTGTCATTTTTTTCTTGGTGATATATTATCTCCTCAACCCGAAAATGTCGATGGGAATGGAGCGGTATAGAAAATGAAGGCTCACTCACTTGTGTAGATGGTAGGGTTGCCTGCTAGAGGCAAAACCTATATTTCGCAGAAAGGTACGAATAAAATAATCCCTGGAATATCTAGTCAATTCGCTGTGAATGGAGCTTTTTTTTTTCCTTCTTTTCCTTCAACACCCGTGGATCATTATTATTGTCTAAATGGGGTGAAATTTTTAGTGTGTCGCTATTTGACATGGCTCGGGATCAAGACCAAGGTGTTTAACGTTGGAAATTATCGACGTTTGCTTCACGGTGCCCATCAGCAGCATACATTTTTTGATCCACACAATCCTCAAGGAAAAGAACAGCGTCGGCAGGCCGCCCAGGAAGCGTTGACGGATCTCATTCGATGGTTCCATGAAGAGAACGGCATGGTCGGTATTTACGATGCGACCAATAGTACTTTGGAACGGCGCCAATGGCTGTATGAAGAATTGACAAAGGAGGATGTGCAAGTGTTCTTTATCGAATCCATTTGCCAAGATGAATCCATCATTCTCGCGAATATTAAAGACGTCAAATTATCATCACCTGATTATGCGGACGTCGATCCCGAAGAAGCAGCCAACGATTTCATGGCACGCATCGACCATTACAAAGAACAGTATCAAACCATCACTGAAACTGACTACAGCTACATCAAACTGATCAACGTCGGAAGCCAAGTCATTATCAATCTCGTCAAAGGATATCTGGAATCTCGCATTGTATATTATCTCATGAATTTACACGTCGCCCCACGTAAAATTTACATGAGTCGGGTAAGCCCATGAACATACAATTTTCGACGAGCCCAAGAATTCCGAGAAAAGTTAACGAATTTTATTTATTTATTTATTTCTGGTGTTCATTGCACATTGTAGCACGGTGAGTCGGCTTTTAATTTGGAAGGCAAAATTGGAGGGGATTCGGTGTTATCACCACGAGGACGTCTTTACGCTCAAAAGTTACCGGGGCTGATCAACGAGCATCTTGGCGACAAGGACCTGATCGTGTGGACTTCCTCCATGAAACGCACCATTGAAACCAGTGAACGGCTTCCATACCCCAAAATGCAAAGAAAGGCTCTCGATGAATTGGATGCCGGGGTCTGTGACGGAATGACCTATGAGGAAATCGAGGAAAAGTATCCCGAAGATTTTGCGAATCGTGACGAGGACAAGTTTAATTACCGTTACCGAGGTGGCGAGGTAAAGACGGTTCAGCACCATGGGGACCAATGGAGTGAATGGGATGGCTCACTTTGTGTTTTTTGTGCAATGATCTGATTTCTAGTCGTACCGAGACGTGGTGTTAAGATTGGAACCTGTGATCATGGATTTGGAGCGACAGGGCAACATTTTGATTATTGGTCATCAGGCCATTCTTCGTTGTATTTACGCTTACTTCATGGATTATAATCACGAGGATCTGCCTTACATCAAAATCCCGCTGCACACCGTGATTGAACTCACACCAAAAGCTTACGGGTGTGAAGAGAAACGATACAAAGGTGAAAGAAAATGCATCATGTTTGGCAAGTTTTTTTTTAGTCAGTGCTGGTGGTTAAATTTGCATGTGTTTAGTGGACATTGATGCCGTCGATACCCATCGTCCCAAGCCGGTTCACTCCAACTCTTTGCGTAAAAATAAATCGAGTGACCATTTGCAGGTCAAGACCAGCACGGCCGGAGCAAGCGGCGAAATTGTCAATGACTCGGCCACACCCATCCTTCCCATCAGTCCTCAGCTCTTCCCTCGACCACGCCATCCACCGACCTCTCCCCACGCCAACGGTTCCCACGGTCTGGACAACGATATGGCCACCCTCGATCTAGGTGCAGCAGCCATTCGCCCCGACCAATAAACTATTTTGATTTTTGAATGAATTGTGCGCTTGTGTGTCCGTGTGTGTGCGTGTGCGTATGTGCACTGTGAAATATTGGGAGAGTACTTTTGAGTGCGTGATTAAAGCCAGTGAGGCGGGGCCTGTTCATAGCCGTTGCCAAAAAATCAGAAATGGATATGGTTACTTGGCAGCTGTAAATGGACAGTTGCTATGATTCTATTTTACTGGCTTTATTGTACCATTTGCCGTAACGACTTGGTAAAAACTTGATGCAAGTTGACGATTATGAAAATATACGCTTTTGCCGATGGCAAGCCGCATAACGCCAGAGTGCCCACTGTTGCAATGCGGCTTGACTTTTTTTTTTTTTTTTTTTTTTTTTTTTTTTTTTGCCAAATGCGACTTTTGTTTTTGGGCAGTTTTTTTGCGCTGTGCCAAAATGGACAGAACTAAAAAAAAAAAAAAAAAAAAAAAGGCCCGAATAAATTAGACAACTTCGAACTCGTTTGACTTCACCTTGAAATCGCATCATGAGACGAGCACTCACAGCATTGAATTGCTTGTCAATCGCCATGCAGCGTTCACAAGCTATTCATTATCGTTGTTCACGCCCATTACTTCGTGTTCTGCCACCTACTTCCACGGTAGCATCGGCTACGCGTCTCTCATTACCGTCGTCGCACTATGCAACACAATTGCGTTACAGCTCGACAGCCCACAAGTACACCAATCGTTTAGTTTACGAAAAAAGCCCTTATCTTTTGGTACGTTTTTGTTCGTTGCGTCTCTTTTTTCATTGACAGAAAAAAAAGCTAACGCCAACTTTAGCAACACGGTAAGTCGATTCGACGGCTGGTTTAATTATTCAGTGGACTCCTGCTATTCATCGTCCTCTAATCGAAAACCACTGACATTTGTTAAAAACATGTCATTGTTCATTTTGCTCAATATCGACATTGTGACACAATAGCGCATAATCCCGTAATGTTTTTTCTGTTTTCTCGAAAAAATTTGGTCGCATGAAAAAAAAAGGACCATCCTTTTCCTTTTTTGGAGGCTGACCTGTTACTTGTTCTAGGTGGATTGGTATCCTTGGGGCGAGAAAGCGTTTGCCAAGGCAAAAGCGGAGAACAAGCCCATCTTTCTCAGTATCGGCTACAGTACATGCCAGTAAGTGGAACTGTTAGGACGACGTGGCAAAAGAAAAACTGACTTGGTGTTTCCACGTCTAGTTGGTGTCATGTCATGGAGCATGAATCTTTCGAGAACGAGGAAATAGCCAAAATTATGAACGACTCTTTCGTCAACGTCAAAGGTAGGCTATCTGCTCTCAGGAAAAAACTGTGTGTGAATACATCGTAGAATAACATGTTTTTGCGCGCTTAGTCGATCGGTAAAAAGATCACCAACCTATTTGTAAATGCTTGTCGGTCAAAAAATTCACATCACTGGTTGGTTGGTTTTTAGAGAAGAGAATCCCGGTGTGGACAAATTCTACATGACCTATGTTTTGTTAACAGCTGGTCGCGGGGGTTGGCCCATGTCGGTGTTTCTAACGCCGGATTTGGCGCCTTTCTTTGGTGCCACCTATTTCCCTCCCGAGGATCGTCAGGGCATGGCCGGGTTCAAAACGCTGCTTAAAAGAGTCGCAAGTACCTGGCTCACGTCTCCGGATAAGCTTCGTGATAATGGTGAAGAAACTGTTCGACAGTTGCGTGACTACATTGCGGTAATATGACAGGAATTGTTATGGCTCAGGAACCAGGCCTTTCATTGACAGTGGGGATATGTGTTTTGTTAGTCTGGCGCGTCTTCCAGTCCAGACGTAATACCTCCTACCGTGCCTCAAGATGCCTATAAAAACTATTCGGAAACATTTGATCAGGAGTATGGTGGTTTTGCTGAGGCGCCCAAGTTTCCGCAACCTGTTCAGCTCAATTTCCTACTCAATTATTACGGATATTTACCTCAGAAAGAAAGACACACGGACAATGCCAAGAAGGCCTTGGACATGGCACTTTTTACTTTGAAGGTACGTGCACTATTTTCTACAAGGATTGAATTTACTTAGCCAAAACGATTTCCTGTAGCGTATCGCAGCAGGCGGTATTCACGGTAAGTTGCTAATGCCACATATGCGGTGTAAGATGGTCATGTTCATACCCAGTTGCTTTGTAGACCATGTTGGCGGCGGATTCCACCGGTAAGCCCCGGGAGAATTTCTTTGCAATGTTCTGTTGTGCTCTAACAGCAGAGTGATCACAGATATAGTACCGATAAATACTGGCATGTGCCTCATTTCGAGAAAATGTTGTACGATCAAGCTCAACTTTTGTCGAGTTACTCGATGGCATACCAGATCACCAAAGATCCCGCTTTTGCCGAGACAGCCAAAGACATTGTGAACTATGTTACGCGCGATCTTCAACATCCGGAAGGCGGCTTTTACTCGGCCGAAGACGCCGACTCGCTTCCTACAAAGGACGCCAAGAAAAAGCTCGGTGAGCGTTACTTGCAATTTTTTTTGTTCCATTGGGAATATAATGCTTACGATTGGTTTCCACAGAGGGTGCGTTCTGTGTGTGGGAAGCTTCGGAATTGGAGTCCATCCTCGGTAAAGAAAATGCCGATATCTTTAGCCGACATTATGGGGTGCAGGAACATGGCAACGTCAATCCTATGCAGGATCCACACAACGAACTAGAGGGCAAGGTATGAAAGGGGTGTGCCACCATGTGTGAAAATAAACTCACCTCTTGCAATAGAACGTGTTAACTGAAGAGTATAGTCTGGATGAAAGTGCCAAAGCTGCCAATACCACCCCTGAAAAAATTGCACATATCTTGGAAGACTGCAGAAACAAGTTATGGAAACATCGTCAGCAAGCTCGACCAAAACCCCATCTTGATGATAAGGTATAACCTTGTTCCTGTGTATGGGAGTTCTTGGTCCTAACGCGCTCTCTTTTTTCTTTGTAGATTTTGACCTCATGGAATGGTAAATTTCAAAACTCACTAACACGTTGTTCTTGTTTGGTTACTGATCTTGATTACTATAATTCTGCAATGACAATGCTGTAGGATTGATGATCTCGGGGTTAGCTCAAGCTGGCGTAGCATTAAACGATCCGACAATGCTTACTGCTGCGACAAATGCCGCCTCTTTCATCATGAACCAGTTGTATGATAAGGAAACGAACATCTTGTTACGTAGTTACAGAGAAGGACCATCCTCCATTGAAGGCTTTTTGGATGACTACAGGTAAAATCTTTATAGTGTTGTTATAGCGAAGCGTTGATTTCATATGACTTACGTGACGATGGATCAGCTTTATGACCCAAGCTCTCATCGATCTTTATGAAGCTACTTTTGATGAAAAATGGATCCAGTGGGCCTATGACTTGCAGGAGAAGCAGAATGAATTGTTCTATGATGAAGACCACGGTGGATACTTCAGCGTGCAAGAAAAAGATAAAAGTATTCTCGTTCGCTTGAAAGAAGGTAAATTCACTAGGGTCGTCCATCATCTGACGTTCAGGAACTGAAAAAGTTGAAATAGAACAAGATGGCGCAGAGCCTTCACCGTGAGTAGAAAAACAAGATCACCTCATGTTGCGCTACCAGTTAACGTATCACGATTTTTATTTTGTAGTAATGGTGTGTCTCTCAAGAATTTGATTCGTTTAGGCACCTTGTTGGAGGATCAATCGTATGTGACCAAGGCGCAGGACACACTGGCCGCTTTTAATGTGGCGGTCACCAGGTTTCCGTACGCTGTACCATCTTTGGTGACCGATTTTCAGCTCATGACACACGGTACCAAACAGGTAGATTATCCTCTCTTTCATCAAGCCAAACACGGTGAAAAATAGGAGTATTCAGCTGACATGCGTTCGTTTATAGATTGTCCTTGCTGGTTCATCGCAGGATAAGAACATGAAAACGTTTGAAAAACTGGTTTCCCAAGTCTTTATGCCCAACAAGATCATTGCCAAGGCTCAGAAAGGAGGTTTTTTAAGCGAAAAGAACGCAACCATTGCTCAAATTGCGAATAATCAAGACAGTAACAAACCTCGAGCTTACGTTTGCCAAAACTTCACCTGTGGTCTTCCCATCGACAATGTGGACCAGCTTAGAAAAGAAATCACATACTAACGCCAGTTGTTCCAAAAAAACATCGCTCCACTTGATCAACTGAATAAAAACAAAAGCAAGATGCCCAAGAAACGTGCATGTCGTGTCAAACAAAAAAGTACAGTTTAATTGAAAAATTCTGGATAATTTTTTTTTTTTTTTTTTTTTTTTTTTACAAATCGAATTAAAAAAAGAGGCAAGGTAATGTTATTTTAAGGAATCAAAAGACAGCAAACCAACAAAGACATACAAAAAAAAAGATGGATGCATTAGACAAGCCACACTTACTCTTTCTTGTTTTTCACATACAAAAAAACTGTTTTCACCATACTGTGGGAGCCGCCACCATACACCGCCGAGGCATGGGCTTTGTTCGTCAGTTTTAAACTACACAGTAGAAGCACACAAAGCAAGTGAGTGATTCGGCATAACATTCAAAAAGTAAGGAAAACACTTGAGCACAAATACATTACCTAAGTTTCATTGTTGTCGTCAAAAAAAAAAGAGATTTTTGGTGCACAGCTACAACATAATATACACGGTTGGATCGCTGACAATTGTGATAATCTTTTGTGTATACATATTCAGATCGTCACGCGAGTAAAGAATAGAAAAAAGTGATAGAATACAGGATGTGTTTGCGATGGAGAGCGCATGTGTGTATTCAATTGGTTTCATTTGGCAAAATAAAAGTAGATGTGCGATGAAGAAAGAAAAAAAATGGGTTGGAAAAATGCGCCGTCTTTATAGCCTGCAACTATCCTGATAGATGGAAGCGCCGGCCTTTTCTGCCCAAGGTTTGTACAAGTCAATACATCCCGTCCGAAAGAGTTTTACACTGCTGATATGACTCGTATTGGCGTGTTGACACAGCAACTTGTTCCATTCTTGCTGACCGCTTTACCGCCTGTGATTTTCCGTGGATGCACAATTCGACAACGGCAAAGCGGGCACAGCAGCGATGTGTGTGCCTCGTTTGTAATAAGCACAATACCTTGTTGCGCGAAAAATCTTCGATGCTTTGCCACCATATTTTAAATGACATGTGATTCTTGTGCCGACCTCAGTGCCAGCGTGTCCGATGGCCCTGATGAGGGTCATCGGTTTGTAATGCCGGTTCTCCTTGGTGACCAGGAGTCTCCACATCTGGTTATCATACCACAAGGCCCATCGCCGGTGCCTGTGGATCCAAATTTGGCCGTAAAGTTTTTGCAGACTGAAGCCTTGGGCCCGGGCTTGGGCGTACCGTCCCAGGAAATCTGTGACATTCTTCGCCAGGCAAAGACTGTTGTTGGCGAGAACGGCTCCAGCAGCTGTGGCCTCTTTCCCGGCAGCAGTGTTCTAAACCACCCCAGAAAATAAGTATTTACATGGTTGTTCTTCAGTTACATTCTCTTGATTGGCATACCTTCTTTCGATTTCCAAAGTTTTCTTGGAGAAGTGGCACTGGCCTGTTCCCCAGTGTAGGTCCTTTGCCGTGATTGTGGTAGGTGCAGGTAGCTTGACCCAGTCGCCATTCTTGATTGCTTTTAACTGCTCAACTGAATGCGCAACAGTCGTCGCCAGGGTCACCATACCGTAATTGGTACCGGTCAGTATTACATGATCCAGATCCAAATTTAGAGTGACATATCGGGGGTCCTCCTCTACTCTTGATATTCCTACGGGAATCGAAGGCGGCGGCGCAGGTGGAGGATCTTTTTTCTTTGGGGCCTTTTGTGTGCTCTTGTCGATCGCCTACATTCACCAGATACACAAGTTACGGTCAATTGAAAAAAAAAGAAAATGAAAACGTCATAACGACATAACGGCATACCTTTATCAACGTATACTTTACTTTACGAGCTTCGGATAAGGCATCCAGAGCAGAATGGTGTGCACGCATGGCAGTCTTCTTGTTGGCATTTCATCTCCCTTTCGGTCTCCTTGTAACAAATTTCTTCAAGTCAGCATGAATTTCTTGGCCGTTGTCATGGTTGCTATACGCTTCAATAAAATCCGTGCATTTTCGGACGTATCGATGTATATGCGGTTGATCCGCGGCTTTATCCAGGAGATTGGAATATGGGCTTTCAAAGACTTGAAAGAATAATCACAACGGAGCCGTGCTTCCCTCTTGGCTGCTCACCGGTAACGCTCTATCCAGTTACACTCGCAGTGGAGTTTAAGATACAGCTCGAAAACGTGCCCTGTATCTTCTACCACTTCCTGCAAAGCGGATTTTGATCGCGGGAACGGGATGACTGTCGGATGCATCCCGGATGAAGAGCTTCAAACAGTGGAATAGCATCTTCCTTCGATTGCTCAACCATATGGGTAAGGCGTCCACCATCCGTCTCTAGCAGTGCCAGCCTTGAAGTACCTTCTTAGTCCATCTCCGGTCTTCATCGTTCCATGGCAAGGGCACTGGAACTCGCTCACCATGATCGACATCCCTGGTCCTTTCTTTCGAATGACAGTTTTGCCAGACGCAAGCCACATGTCCGTCTTCCCATCGTTCGCGTAGAAAGTGCTTTCATCATGGGTTACCAACACAATTTTCTTGACCCCATCTGGCAGAACTGGTGCCAGAACCTCGTCCTCTTCATCACCGGCAAAGAAATCCTACGTTGCACGTATGTGACCATGCGTCTCGACCATTCGTTTCTGTAGGCCACATCATCTTCGCGTTCATGGCCATCGAAATATATGTCGCGTTTGTTTTTCTTGTACGCGTATCCCCAGTCAAGCAGGTATCGTCCAATTGTCGTCAAGCTGATGGATCCAGTCACCCCAAGAACAGAAGGCATGATTTCTTCATCAATATATTGTTTGATCGTTGGGATTGAGCGTTGTCGTTGTTCTGGTTTCGTTTTTGGATCATCGTCAAAATTTTCATCTTGACATCTGAGTCGTCGAGAAAGGACTGTCTCTTACTGTGACAACCCTGACGATGAGGGGTGAGAAACCCATTTTCCAAGGACTGCTTAGCCCACAACGTTATGATCTTAGGTCGATATTGCTTTGAATGATCGGGCCACGTAAGAGAAGCAGCGATGTTTGATGCTTCTCCTTTATTCTGTCCGTCCAACCGTTGGCAAAAGTACTGGTAAACTGAGGAATAGCGGTAGTACTGATAAAGTGTGTTCTTGTTCGTAGCTGAATTCATATTCGGCGTCACAAAAGGTTTAATTGCTTTCATTGCTTCTTTGATTTAAAACCTCCTGTTTTGTTAGCGGCAAGTCAATTGTCACATTGGGCAGCTGGAACGGGAAGTTATAATTCCTTGAAAATTCCGGGGGTTAGAAATGCGGGGCATCATAGAGTTGATACGCCGTTATCGCGTTAGACTTTGTCTGACGAACGTCACTCAATGCAAGAGTATGACATCCCAGTAGCAGGCGACATCATACATGGATGTACGGCTTGTTAATCACACTGTCCATCAAATATATCACTGCATTTTCCGCTTTTCTTTGAGAAATAATTTTTTTTTTCAAATTCCCATAGTGACTTTTGGAAAGGATTATACGTGAGAGATCGATCGATCGGGATGTCTTTATTCAAAATGTTCTTATATTGGCTGATCGGGTACGCAGGGGCACACAATTTTGATAGGGAAGTCGCGTTTTATCGCATCCAGCACCGTTCAATATGCAGCGCAAAAGGTAAAGTCACTTAACAAACAATAACAATATGCTAATTTCCATCATGCGCTTAGCATCGGCTGCGAGGCTATATGGCAGAAGAGGTGGCGGACGAAGTCGAAAGCAGGCGCGTGAAACGACAATGTCCGGGCGGCCCGTCCAGGGGGTACCATCTTGACGGTGACGACGAGGGTGACGGTGAGGGTGATGATGAAGAAGACGGTAACGATGGCATTTGGTGCGCCTGGAAAAAGCTTTTCAAGAATTTGAAAGAATCTATTGCTCTTCCGCCATTGAGGTAACCTAACCCTTTTGCGTTGCCAATGGTTTTGTACCAAATTGCTTATTATCTTAGCCCGGAATGCCATGACATAATCTGGTGTGGTAGACAGGTCCATCGACGACCTATGTATCCAATTCAGCTCTATTCTCAGCTGAACAACGAACTTGCCACTATCACTTTACAGCCCGTCGATCCTTGTTTTCACACATCATTATCCCAAGTAGTAGATGCGGTAAGTGGACACAGGTTGCCGATGTTTTTTTCAGAATAAGGCACTCATTTTGCTATGGTGACAGGCGGACGGCGAAACATTTTCAAATGCAGTTCAAATTTTTCGAAGCCGCGGGACAGCTTTAATGCAAAAGCAAACACTCATCAGCAAAAGTTCTTGAGATTTTGTAGGTGTCATAAAATTAAGGTTTTGGCAGACGACATTTAACCACATTTTATATAGTCTGAATCTCTATGAAGGCGCAGGGGAGACATTGTCCGCTTCTGAAAATTGCTTACGCTTTTATGTTGTCGATCCTCTGTTACAAGCGTGCAATAGATATCTGGAGCAACAAGGACATAAAGTCCTATTTTTCCCGGGCGAAATAGAACTGACAGCAATGACGAAACAACTGCGTTCACAAGGAATCGTGGACGGACGCCTGAAGTACAACGCCGACGGAAAGATCCAGTTACGTGGCAATGGACTTGAGTTACTGCTGTCAGAAGTCTCGTCGTCATATGGCATCAATGACAAAGGCAAAACCAGCTTCGATCATTACAAGGCCATGTTTGGTTTATTGGCGATGCTTCGTACTATTGCTGCTCATCATCAATATGCTGAATTTGCGACGTTCAGCAAGTTCAAAGTTCATTTTATCCATACACACAGTAAGTAAAATTCAGATTGGCCTCGTATATGTCTGGATAACATTTTAACAACTTCGTAGATCGTGCCATTCGCCACTGGACAATGTTTACTCCTGAACCTGGCTTATATGTGATGAACAAGGAACAAAAAGTCGATATTGTCGCAGATTTTGAGCAAAAGGAGACAGCAATTGTCCCACTCATTAATTTTACGAATACATTGGCGGTATGTGGTTCTTCTGTTTCTAACGTCAGTGATTTGAGATAAAGCAACTGGCTCGCAGAAACACCAGGTTTCTTTGGTGGACACCGTGGACGTGCTGTCCACGCTTGCAGAAGAACATGGTGAAGTCATGAAGGACACCAGATTTGAAACTCAGAGGAGACGACCATCCTTGTTGCAACACATCCGACCGGTGATTGTACGCCTCAATGAGAGCAAACACACAACTGACATCGCCGATGATGGCCCGAAGAGCCCGGTCTATATCCCTAACCATTAATCCCCCCCCGTATGTATGCATTTATGTTGCTTGTCACTCGTCGGCTTTCTTAAACACTCAAATGGTTTTGTCTTTTTAGACCATTTCACTTCATTTCATTCCATTCATCAGAAACACCGACACCATCATCTTCCTGTCCTTTTATTTGCCAGCGTCTGCATCCTCGATTTTATGTCAATAATTTCAATTACGTCCATCCACATGTGACACTCTAATGAAGCATACACATGTTTTGCATTAAAAAGTAGTTGCCCGGCGACAAGGGATAACAAGTACATACAAAATAAAAAGGCCCAGATAGGAAAAGCTGTGGTGCCATGGGCGCCATAACAACAGTGCAAACCTCTATCGACTAAAAAAGAAAAAAAAAAAAAAAAAAAAGGAAGTCAGTCAACTGCACGTTAACCCAATTCGATGAATTCTGAACGTGCAAGAAGAGGATGGCAACTTCCCACTCCCAGCTGGAGACAACTATAACTAGTTATCTAAGCAGCCAGCGAATTTCTCCGACGTATGGCAGGGTTCAACCGTGCCAACCTCCCCACAAAAATCTAGTGCGGCTCCCACTCCCAGCTGGAGATAACTATTAACTAGTCATCAAGGCAGCCGGCGAATTTCTCCAACGTATGGCAGGGTTCATGTGCCTAGATTTTGTGGTTTCTTGCACGATTACCTTCAACGTATCTTCAAAGACCATTCACACGCAATGGAGCTGGCGAAAGTTGTCGTGAACAAAACGGAAAGAAGCGCAATTCTTCAGATGACGTGAGAAAATTTCGTCCGGTCAAATTCGACGTGCATATAAGTTATACCTACCACAGTTCCTTTTTTCCATTCAAAAGGTAGTTGCTCGGCGACAAGGGATAACAGTACAATACAAGGCCCAGATAGGAAAAGCTGTGGTGCCATGGGCGCCATGCCAACAGTGCAAACCTCTACCGACCAAAAAAGAAAAAAAAAAAAAAAAAAAAAAAAGGAAGTCAGTCAACTGCACGTTAACCCAATTCGATGAATTCTGAACGTGCAAGAAGAGGATGGCAACTTCCCACTCCCAGCTGGAGACAACTATAACTAGTTATCTAAGCAGCCAGCGAATTTCTCCGACGTATGGCAGGGTTCAACCGTGCCAACCTCCCCACAAAAATCTAGTGCGGCTCCCACTCCCAGCTGGAGATAACTATTAACTAGTCATCAAGGCAGCCGGCGAATTTCTCCAACGTATGGCAGGGTTCATGTGCCTAGATTTTGTGGTTTCTTGCACGATTACCTTCAACGTATCTTCAAAGACCATTCACACGCAATGGAGCTGGCGAAAGTTGTCGTGAACAAAACGGAAAGAAGCGCAATTCTTCAGATGACGTGAGAAAATTTCGTCCGGTCAAATTCGACGTGCATATAAGTTATACCTACCACAGTTCCTTTTTTCCATTCAAAAGGTAGTTGCTCGGCGACAAGGGATAACAGTACAATACAAGGCCCAGATAGGAAAAGCTGTGGTGCCATGGGCGCCATGCCAACAGTGCAAACCTCTACCGACCAAAAAAGAAAAAAAAAAAAAAAAAAAAAAAAGGAAGTCAGTCAACTGCACGTTAACCCAATTCGATGAATTCTGAACGTGCAAGAAGAGGATGGCAACTTCCCACTCCCAGCTGGAGACAACTATAACTAGTTATCTAAGCAGCCAGCGAATTTCTCCGACGTATGGCAGGGTTCAACCGTGCCAACCTCCCCACAAAAATCTAGTGCGGCTCCCACTCCCAGCTGGAGATAACTATTAACTAGTCATCAAGGCAGCCGGCGAATTTCTCCAACGTATGGCAGGGTTCATGTGCCTAGATTTTGTGGTTTCTTGCACGATTACCTTCAACATATCTTCAAAGACCATTCACACGCAATGGAGCTGGCGAAAGTTGTTGTAAAGAAAGAAAAAGACGGAAAATTGCGCAGACCGCAAGGCCAAGTCGGGGGATGACGGCGTTCTGTTATGACGCGAGAAAATCTGGTCCAATCAAATTCCGACATCCATTAGTTGTACAGTTTATTCACATCACCATGCGCCTCAAAACCAATGTTTGTTTTGACCGAAACCTGCTAAATAGATAGATTATGAACATTGTTCAAGAGCTCTCTAACATTATTTTACCTTGATCTTTTATTCCATCTTTATCTCTCAAAGAAGCTAGTTATCACACAAATTATTTTAGTCACTCAGCTTCAGAGCATATGCGACTTCAGTTTGCCCACTCTCCTCCTAAAATTTGTGTTTCGGTCTTCGTTCATCGCCAAGTTCAGAATAGTGCAGTAAATCGACATGCCCGCGTCCCCTAAGCAGCGTTGGACCGAACTTGACTTCAACGAATCTCTTACCTGCATGACGCTGTTTCTTAACTATGATTTTATGCAAATTTCATTGACCCGGAAGTCATATGAGTGGAAAAGCAATTGTCTGCTGAGATAGAACATTTATATCAAGAGATACATGTCGCTCAAGATTCATTATAAACAAATTTGTATTTTTGTTCCGTTCTCAATGCCTTCAATGACCGCATAGTTGCTGCTTTGGCACCTGGTCGCTATATGTGCATTGATGGGTCCATGAGTTCAATCGTTTGACGCAAGTATGCGAAACCTGAAGAAGGTTTCTAGGAAACCATCAGCCATTTAGGTTAAAAATATAAGTGCATTGCCAACAATGCCACCCGGTGTAAAAATATTATACAGCTGCAGATGTAAGTGATTACCTGCCGAAGAAGTTTAATGGCACGTAAAGAAAACTTGTAGAGACAGTTATGGGTTTGTGTGGACCCTACTTCCATTCAGGAAGGAACAATAATTGCTGATTATTGATTGGGCAATCCGTCCTTCGTCAATACGAGCGAGCAAAGTCCCTTTAATACCTGGCCATACAAATTGTTCTTCTGCTGCTTTCCAATGATAAAGCAGCCTTTTCCTTTTTCTTGCTGCTTCTTTCTTTCTGTTCCTTTTACTCGTTACTTATTCCAGAACTTCGTAGTCGTCTGCTAATACGTTTGAATATACTAATATAATTTTGATGGAAATTACTATTCTGAATTCGCAAGTACAGTATCTGGGACTGCCAGTCGCTGGAGTTCTGCATGTCATACGATGACGTTTTGCGTCACCATATCTCATTTTCTTAAACCACAGGTGACCTACTACGTGGCCAATACGTACGCATGATTGAAGACTAAACCCACATTTCCGTGCTATTTCCGGTGAGGAACCGTTAGTCAATGGACCGACAGATGGAAGAAGGGAAACCCAATGTACAAGAGTAGAAATAGCATATAAGATTCGGCAATACAATACAGTACAGGAAAAATCATTCTTGACAGCTTGAAATGTACTTTTAAGAGACTTATGCATAATTCTTACGTGGATAGCAGGTTTGGATTGAGAAACCCGCGTGGAACTATAATAACTGCAATCCTATTTTCGACTTTGATAGTGTCGTCAGTAATCCCCTACATAAGTTTCATGCAAATGCATTTGTGACCGGGATCGTAAGAGCATTTGTTTTGCCTCGTTCTAATTACAGAAGCCGTCGAGTTTGCAGCATTTTCGATACTGTTATATGTCGAGGTTTTGCCGTTGCATGGTGAATCGTGAATGATCCACATGATTTACTATTGAAAGGCCGCAGTGATTGTGATTTCAATATCTCGCATGAAAAGTCGTCATCCTCCCCTTCATCCTTTTTTTTTTTTTTTTCTTCGCCACGTCTCGTCGAAAATGATTATTGGTACTATACAAATTTACTAAAATATGTTCAGAATGGACTAAATGCTTGTTAGTAGGAAGTAACGAGCGAGATATTTGTTTCCGAGCGAATGCTCTAGCGATGAAAACAAGTAATGGACAAGTTCCCAATTCAAAAAGGTTATCAGCTTCCCTAAAATCTTCTAGGTTCCGATAAATAGGGCACAGCCAACCCATTCAATATTCATAGTCCTTTACAACTATTGCATCTGGTGGCACAAGCGCCACAAGGATTGATACCCATCACTCTCCGGTCATCTATCTTCCAGCGTCAAGCCGTTACACAATATAACGCAACAAGGAATCAACCAAAGCACCATCTGCAATTCCTAAAATCAGCCGGCGGTTCCTACCAGTATGACTAGCGCTCATCAAACAATTAGGCCCGTTCTGCCATCGTCATATGCGTTGCTTCATGAAATATTTTAAAAGCGCAATCAATGTGGGTTCCCTCCCATTGTTATACGTATCTTTGCGAGAGACTGATAGTGTTGTAATAATGTAGGTTGTACAAACGGAAAGACGTCAATGGGATGCGTGTAAATGTCCTTAAAAATTGGGATTGCCAACCGACACCGGGTTTTTTATAGCGCAGGCTGAATATGAACAATGTCTGGTTAAAGAGCGGACGTCGAAATCATCTTTCAGGTATGGCAAACCTAGCAAACAATCGGATTTGTTGCACAGCTCTGGTTGCCTTTTGGTACTTATTTCACATCGTTACTACGCCCAACGGCAAACCGCCATATTTAGCAAATACCTACACCAGTGCAATACGTGAATCACTTGTACTTCCAGGTAACTATGTTTTATCAGTGTTTATGCAGAATTACGTGCTTAGGTCAATTCTTCGTTGCAGAATTCTTCGAGTCGGAAGCGCCTTGCGAATGGAACGCGATTGCCTATCTAACTCAATTAGTGCAAAAAAACCCGACAATTCCCAGTCGCAGCGGGAATAAGGCGCTTTATGATGATCTCGAATTGATTCGTAATCATGTTGTCCCGGGAACAGCTTCAGATTCGACCTTGAGGCAAATAGAGATCTCCATGAAGGTAAAAAGAAGTGCAGACTCAAAATAAGAAAGCTGCCTTAGTAACGGTGCCTTAACAGACAAGAAAATCCAAGGACCTTATTTCGGATTTCTGGAAGTCGTCGCGTTTTATCGCATCCAGCACTGTTCAATGTGCAGCACAAAAGGTAAAGACACACAAACAATAACAATATGCTTATTTCCATCATGCGCTTAGTACCGATTGCGAGGCCCAATATAGAAGAGAATGGCTAATGAAGTCGAAAGTTAGGCGCTTGAAACGACAATGTACGGGCGGCCCATCAAGGGGGCATCATCTCGACGGTGACGACGAGGGTGATGATGAAGAAGACGGTGACGATGACATTTAGTGCGCATGGAAAAAGCTTTTCAAGAGCTTGCAAGAATCTATTGTTCTTTCACCACTAAGGTAACCTAAGCCTTTTGCATTGTCCGATGGTTTTGTACCAAATTGTTTATAATTTTAGCCCGGAATGCCATGACATAATCTGGTGCGGTAAACAGTTCCATCGACGACCTATGTATCCAATTAGCAAAGCTGAACAGCGAAGTTGCCACTATTACCCTTACAGCCCGTCGATCCTTATTTTCACACATCCTTATCCGAAGCGGTAGATGCGGTAAGTGGACACAGGTTGCCGATGTTTTTTTCAGAATAAAGCACTCATTTTGCTATGGCGACAGGCGGACGGCGAAATATTTTCAAATGCAGTTCAAACTTTTCGAAGCCGCGCGACAACTTTAATGCAAAAACAAAGTTCTTGAGATTTTGTAGGTGTCATAAAATTTAGGTTTTGGCAGACGACATTAACCACATTTTATATAGTTTGAATCTCTATGAAGGCGCAGGGGAGACACTGTCTGCTTCTGAAACTTGCTTACGCTTTTATGTTGTCGATCCTCTTTTACAAGCGTGCAATAGATATCTGGAGCAACAAGGACACAAAGTCCTATTTTTCCCGGGCGAAATAGAACTGACAGCAATGACCAAGCAACTGCGTTCACAAAGAATCGTGGACGGACGCCTGAAGTACAACGCCGACGGAAAGATCCAGTTACGAGACAATGGACTTGAGTTACTGCTGTCGGAAGTTTCATCGTTGGTTTATTGGCGATGCTTCGCACCATTGCTGCCCATTATCAATATGCTGAATTTGCGAGATTCAACAATTTCAAAGTACACTTCAACCATACACACAGTAAGTAAGATTCAGATTGGCCTCGTATATGTCTGGGTAACATTTTAAGAACTTCGTAGATCGTACCATTCGCCACTGGACAATGTTTACTCCTGCACCTGGCTTATATGAGATAAACAAGGAACAAAACAAAGTCGATATTGTCGCAGATTTTGAGCAAAAGGAGACAGCAATTGTCCCGCTTATTAATTTTACGAATACATTGGCGGTATGTGGTTCTTCTGTTTCTAACGTCAGTGATTTGAGACAAAGCAACTGACTCGCAGAAACACCAGGTTTCTTTGGTGGACACCGTGGACGTGCTGTCCACGCTTGCAGAAGAACATGATGAAGTCATAAAGGAAATCAAATTTGACACTCAGAGGAGCCGACCATCCTTGCTGCAACACATCCAACCGGTGATTGTACGCCTCAATGAAAACAAACGCACATCTGACATCGCCGATGATGGCCCGAAGAACCCGTTCTATATCCCTAAGCATTAATCCCCTCGTATGTATGCATTTATGTTGCTTGTCACTCGTCGGCTTTCCTAAACGCTCAAATGATTTGTTGAGTACCTTCATCTCTTTACTGATTATCACCGTTCTTACAGTTGACTTTATCGACCGAACTGTATGCTACTGTTTCTCGCCTCTCTTGATCAGCTATACACTGAAACGACTTGGTTCCCAGGTGCTCGTGCTTGGCAAATGAAGTCAGACCGTTCATCATTGTATCCAGCAATGACAGCAAGCATGTCGGTAAGCTTTCCAAGACACCCGGCGGACTTCAAGTGAAGGTGATCTCTTGCTCGGCTTTGAGAAAAGTCGTGTACTTTTCTCAGGAACGGATACACACCATGTGAGGTCGCTCACAGTGCGGTTTCATTTTTTCTCGATATCAAAAACGGCGCTATCTGTAATGGATGGCACAGTAAACTGGCTTTTTTTTAACTCGTATCGTATTATACATTTCATTGAAAAATAAAAAGCTCATCCTCGAGAAGATGGCCTCTCTTTTGATGAACGAAATCGTCAGTTTCAGCGCATTCTCCATCCTAATTACGCAGATATTCTACAAGGCCAAAGAAATACGAGGACATCCACCCACTCCCACCAATAAAGGAACAAAGTCAAGTTCTTTTGTATCCTTGCAATGTATCTTATTGGCGCCTCCTCATTTCCCGAGAAGAATGAGTTGAAAGATGATGATATCAGACTACAGTAAGTCAATAAATTTTATCGGTATTACTTTGAATTTTGCCAGGACACTGTACTTGTACCCACGATTGGTGAATAGCTTTTGCCGTACGTGACAGTTTTAGACATATGTATACTGTTCAGTTGCATGTTTGTAGATACGCTGATAAGACGGGTATTTTCATTTCTTTTCTGTTTTTTACAGGGTCTTTATGGGGGGTGATTTTTTTTTTGAGGAACGAATAATAGATTACGTTACTGTGGAGATTTTTACTGACCAAGCCATTGTTGATGTGACTGATTATTTAAAGCATGACAGCAGCAGCAAAGATAGCACCAGCTGCCATGGCGGCGATGGAAACCGATAAATGATCGGCGGCGGAATTGGCGGTTGAAGGAGAAGGTTTCGATGCCGAGGAATTTTCCTTGTTGGCGGGTGTGGATGACCCGGTATTGGAGGAGGATCCGGTCACAGCTCCAGAGGGGGAAACGGAGCTGACAGCAGGCGAACTGGAAACGGCGCCAGCAACCGGCGATCCGGTGCTGCCAATATTGGTACTGGCCGACGAGTTGCCAGCCGCACTGTTGGCGATGCCTGGGGCGGACGTCGAACCATTCGTGGCGGGAGCCGGTGGTTTATTAGCGTTGGCTTCTTCCAAAGAGACCTATGAATTGCCCCCAGAAAAAACCTGAGTCATGCATCCAAATACCTGGGGGAAAAAAAAGGGAGAAAAATTCAACTAGACTTACACATGGTTTCTCCATGCAAACACAATAAGGCTTGCCGTCATCCAAATTATCACAGATCTATTTTTTTCAAAAGAAAAAGAAAACATGAAATCATATTAACATCGATGGTCAGTCTTTTTCATCATATTGAGGAAACTCACGTGGTTACCGGCGTGATGCAAACCGGGATTCTAATGGTGATACGGACACGATTGAGATGGTCAGCCGTCATTAAAAAAAATCACGTCAAATAACTATCCATTATACCATCTTGTAAAAGTCATCAATTGGTAATTTGAATTGAGCTGCCACCGAGTCGCAGGAATCGTTGGCCGTCACTGTGCATGGATTCAACGAGAAAAAATGAGCACCTGGTACGACAAGGTAGGCTGAGGGCAACATGTACCTGTGTAGTTTTGTAAACAGCCGGGAGCAGGTTTGGCGGCCACTTGGAGAATCAAGACGGATAAAGCGGATAATACAGCGATCTTCATGTGTGACAAGGCTAAAAAATGAGTGGACAAGGGAAACAGTAAAAGAAAAGAAAAAGGATTGAAGTAGGAATGGATAAAGAACAATTGAGAATGATATCTGTGAACAAGAAAATCTTGTAGTATTTAAGGCAATACAAGCAGATAAATCAAACACTCGTGCTGGTCCTCTCAAACAGGGCAATTGTTGGATGGAGAAATCACCAAGGTATCACAAGTATCACCTTGGAAATGAATTCACGCAGAATATGTCCAAAAACGTCCAAATTCTGTCCTTGAATACGTTTGACAATTTGTTTTTTCCTCTTTCGTACCGTGGATCAACCATCTCCCGCAAAACGATTGACCGTCATTGCATGATCAAAGGAGACAACGGTTGTTTTTTGCCTTCTAATGAAAAACTTCGGAAATGGTTTGTCTCCTGAGTCCGAAATCAAGTCCAACCGCTCCTCGCAAATAAAATAATAGAAACAATATCGAGGGTGGTATGGGATAGTGACGCATTGATTTTTCCTATTCTATTTCTGTGCAAGGCAGCTATAACCGAATCGTTTGTATTTCGAACCATAAAGTTTGAATCAAAAAAAAAAAAAAAACAAGGGGGAATAAGCGTACAATCATACATAAATATCTACAATGATATGGGTTTCTGTAGTCTTTTCTTGCTCTTCATCTTTTAGTCCCTCTGTCAGATGAAATTCATTGATCGCTATGCCAACGCCTTCATCTTTCTGATGATGAGTTTTTCTACTTCCACAAATACAAATAAAATAATACAAGCGACCAAGATCATCAACCAAGACGGCCAAGAAAGATGGGTGAGCTCCAACCACGTGGAGATTCCTATGCATAAACACGATGGGTCAGACCCTGAACACTTGGCGCGATTCTCCTACGTACCTGGTGCGTAAATTCCCAAAATCATGAACCCAAATGAGAGAAAGAAGGCACCAATCATCCATCGGTTCGCCAAGATGCCCGTCTTGAATAGAGATTGATGAACACTACGGGAATTAAAAGAATGCAATAATTGCTGGGTGGTGATCGTTGCAAAGGCCTAATCAATCCATGGTCAGTAACCAGTGGCCAACTTTAGCATAACAGATAATTTGTTTACCGTAGAACGAGCCATCTCGAGGCTGTAATTCAAGACATGCAAGGCAATTAAATAGGCTGCAATGGTATTCACGGCAATCACCATGGATTGCAAAAAGATGACGGTCCAGGTCACTCGGGTAAGTACGCCCATCTTGGGATTGCGCGGATGTCGTTTCATGATGGCTCGCTCGGGAGGCTCGACACCGAGCGCCATGGCAGGAGGAATATCAGCTGTAAAAAAGAGAGTGAGTGAGTCGGTCAAAACGCTGATGTGAACCTTCACATACCGATAATGTTGGCCCATAAAATCATCATGACCGTGAGTGGTGTATCGAAATTGGCGACGGCACAGATAAGCATCAGAAAGATTTCGGCACCGTTGCAGCTGAGCAGGTATACAATAAACTTGAGGATATTATCAAATACATGGCGCCCCTCTTCAATGGCGGCCACGATCGTGGTAAAATTATCATTGACCAGAATCAAATCGGCGGCTTGCTTGGTAATCTCGGTGCCGGCTTGACCCATGGCCACACCGACGTCGGCACTTTTGATAGCGGGGGCATCATTGACTCCATCGCCTGTCATGGCTACTAATTCGCCACGTTGCTGAAGCGCTCTCACAATGCTGAGCTTGTTGTCAGGACTCACACGAGCAAACACGTTGGGAAATGGATCCAGTTCTTGGATCGCGTCATCTGACAGCAATTGCAGCTCTCGGCCCAAGATGGCCCGATTCTAACAGATGCGGTTCGATTAAACAATGATGTCTCTGTATGTATTGCAACCGGAACGTCTATTCACTTACCATGCCGGGAACATCTTTCTGGAAAATACCTAGCTGAGTGGCAATGGCGGTTGCCGTCTGGACGTGGTCGCCTGTAATCATCATAACACGGATACCGGCTTGTTGACACTTGGCGACGGCTTCCTGTACACCTTTTTTTGGCGGATCAATAAGACCAATAAGTCCTACAAACACCAAGTCAGATTCTGTAAACGCGGCTTGTTTGGCCGAATCGGTTTCGTCGGTAGGCACAGGTTCTTTGATCTCTTTGAACGCTAGACCAAGCACGCGAAGACCTTGCGAAGCCATGCGCGAGCTTTCATCCGACACTTGGGCGGCGAAATTCTCGGAAAGCTCAATGGTTTCCGGCTTAGATTCCGTAGGTGAAGACAGAGCCGACTCGCCAAGGTAATGGGTACATTTTTCCAGTAGTTCTTCGGGCGCACCTTTGCAGAGAAGCAGCAGTTCGTTCGATGGCTTGCGAAAGGTGGCACTCATGAGTTTTCGGTCACTGTCAAAGGCATTCTCGTGAATCTTTTGGAAACCGCGCTCGGCCCAGTAGGTACGACTGAGCCCCGCTTTCTGCGCAGCGACGACCAAGGCCACTTCGGTAGGGTCCCCGACTTGTTTGTAACTGCCTGATTCGGCATCCCATTCGACCGACGCATTATTACATAATCCTGCGATCATCAGTGAATGGAGCAAGTGACTCGAGTACGACGATGGCATGTGTTTCTCAATTGGTTTGGGGCGCAGTGAGGCATAGTCAACACGCTGCTGACTCGGCGGTGCATGGGCTTCGCTCAGTTTTTCACTATCTTTGGACGAAGGATCAGTCGAGGTGGTGCGGCGAAGGTGGATCATGCGACGTCGCAATTCAGCCGGGTGTTCGACAATATCACCCTCCTTTGGATCCATGGACGTCGGTTCGGTGAATTGGTAAAGTGTATTATCAGCTGTCCAGAGCTCCGTGGTAGCCATTTTGCCTTCGGTCAATGTACCAGTCTATCGAAATATGACTTGCAAGTGAATACCTTTGATGATACACCGCAAAATTCTTATGTTTTGTCAGAGGGACTTACCTTATCTGAGCAGATGACGGTAACACTACCCAAGGATTCCACCGCCGGCAAGGTACGCACGATGCACTCTCTAACATGACGATAAAAAAATTTCATATGCATGCGTGAGTTTCCAGATTGGGACAACAGTTTCAACCGCAATAGTGACAACTGTTGGTTTCTGTGTGTGATTTTTTTAGTTGTTGTCTTACTTGGCGGCCATACGACGGACACCTAAAGCCATGGTGACGGTGGTCACTGCAACCAAACCTTCGGGAATCACCGAGACGGCCAAACTATGTAAATATCAGGCATTTTTAATATCTCAAGTATTGTTCATGTTGTCGGTATCATGATGCATAAACATAAGAGCAATAAACATGACTTTTTTTTGGGTTTACCTGAGACCAATGTTCACCATTTCTTTGATGTCTCGTTTCCATGCTACACCGATAATGACAACGAGAGCACAAAGTACAACGGCGAGGATGACAAGGTAGATTCCCAAACGAGCTAGTTTGCGTTGAATCGGGGTCTTGGATTTACGTTTGGAACCTGCTTGAATGGCGGCACTGATTTTTCCAATCTGAATAAAAATTGCCAAATTAAGCTTACTTCTCTTCGGGGTAAAAAAAAAAAGGGGGGGGTTGCCGTAACAAGAAAGTGTAAAGAGACATGGTGCAGGAACACGAAAAATGATCTTTCCATCTTTTCTTGTCTGACTTGGTCTTACCTCGGTTTGTTCTCCTATGCGGACCACGATGCCTTTCGCACGGCCACGCGCCACGGTGGTGGACATGAAACCATTGCCTTTGCAGTCTCCCAAGGGGATGCGGCGCATCTATTCAGTGAGAAACAGATTGAATACATCTGCAATCAGTCGATCATTGGCGCGACTGAAAAAAAAAACCTTACTTTGGCTTTAATAGCATCTTTGGATTTTTGCACTGGCACACTTTCTCCTGTTAGAATGCCTTCGACGACGGCTAATTGAGCGACTTCAATGAGTCGTAGATCGGCGGGAATAGCATCACCCTCCTCAAGTACCACCAGGTCACCAGGCACTAGAAGCTCCGAATCAATCATTTGCTGTTTGCCATCACGGATCACCCTAGCCTAATGAAAAGTTGGCAGCCAACAGAAATAAATAAACAAACATGCACACACAATAGACAAGCGGACGAATCCACAAAACGAGAAATAAAAAGAAATAAAGAAAGTAGCATGATTATTGACAAAAAGTAATCACTCACCTGTGGTACAGACAGGTTCATGAGAGCATTGAGTGTTTTACTGGCTTTCCATTCCTGACTAAAGCCTATAATGGTATTGAGGACAATGACGATGAGGAGAACGATCATGCTATTGAAATCTCTTTCGCTGGCTTCGATGATGGCCGCCGCCAGCAGAATGAGCACCATCATATCGGTGATCTGACTCCAAAGCATGCGAAGCGCGCTGGGACGAGGTGGATCGGGTAATTTGTTACAGCCATACTGCTGGCGTAAAGCGGGTATATGATCTTCGTCAAGGCCACGATCAGGATCGGTGAGAGGGAACATTCTCAGCAGTTTTTCGACGGGCCGGTCAAAGTACAAGGCTTGAGGGGGTGGCAGCATAAGGTTGGGCGCACTGCCAGGACGAGGCATCTTATTCTTCTCTTTGGCGATTTCCGCCGCCAACGGAGACGCCAATAAAGTTTCCATGTCGCTTTGTTCGTTCTCCTTAACGAGATCCCGCCAGTCGCTGAATTGGGGGAAGTAAGTCGTTAACAACTGCACCATGGCAATCGCGCCTCGTTTCTGTTTGCTGGACGACGAAGGTCGACAACGATAATGGATTTTTAACTGACTTCGTAAATCGAATGCATCTTGATCGCCGACAACGGAGCGAAATTCAACGGCTAAAAAAAAATACACCAAATAAGATCATTAGGGGGGGCTGTGTCTCTTCTTTTTCGCCTGTCATGGGCGGCAGGAGTGCATGAAAAAAAAAAAGAAGAAAACTCGTCGCGGGCTCACCTTCCTCAAGGAAATCGCCGAAGAGAAAGAAGGCCATATCAGCTCCAGGTGTGGTCCGTTTGCGTAGAATATGACCTTCGGTATGACCTGTATTCAACAGGAGGCCTTCACATAATCGTTTCATGAGATGATAATCCAGATGAGGCTGATTTCCGCCTTTGATTCGGAAATCCATCACGTAACGTAATCCTTCCAGTACTTCTTCCAGTGAAATCGACTTGTTATCATTGACATCAAATAGATCGTGCACTGAGGATTCCGAGTGTCCAGGAAAAAAAAAAAGTCAATACCGAAAAAAAACAAGACGTAAAATGAGAAGATATGATCGGTTGAAAATGGAATTCATCAAATACCATGCACTTCAATCTGCTGTTCAATGGATAATTTGCCGTCATTGGTCGACGCCATGTCGACAACATGATGATTTAATTCATATAAAGGTGGTTTAGACATTCAATCGGTGCAATTGAAGGAAATAAAAAAGAAAATAAAAGAAAACAGGTATATTAACAAAATATAAAACGTCTTCACAAACGATCAAGAACAAAGAGGATATAAGCAATGGACGGAAAAAAAATAAAAAAGTATGTATATATAAAAAAAACCTCCCAAGAGAAGAGAAAGGATAGAAGGAAAGGGAAAAAAATAAAAATAAAAAAAACAAATGCATATTTGTAATATTATTGGGATGGAAGCAAACTTTGAAAAAAAAAATGATAAAATGATTCCATGCCATGCAGATCGGATCGTGACTGGTGGACCCACTTGGGTTGTCCTGTGACTCTGGTGTTCCGGTAAAGAAGGTTGGGGTAGCGAGCGGAGGAGGCCATCAAGATGCTTCGGCAAGGACACACGCCATTCGTGCCACCATGACAATGCCGTCATCGCAACATGAGATGACGGTTTCCACGGGAAGTGATGTCTGGTTAGTGTGATCGACAATCCAGTGAAACCGCAGTCGCACCACCATATCACTGCTTTTGGCAATACCGATCTGCATACGAACGATATCTAGGTCTTCCGGTGCCACGAAGCTGAACAGCGATCGTCCAACGAGGTCACTGTTACTGGTATATATCAAGCTTTCGGCGAGATGCGAAACGAATATGATGGGCAGCTGGTCCGAATACCGATTCAAAATGAGGCAAAATCGAGGTTCTTGCTTGTGCGCGACTTGGTTATCCACCCAACGGGCCGACGAGCGCAACAATGGACGGATCTGGGTTTCCGACGATCGCCATGTCCCTACAAGACTGACACTCCGGCTGATGCTACGGTTGCTGTTAATGGTGTACACATCATCGGCCGAACTGGTGTGAATCTTTGATCGCGTCGAAGTCTTCCCAGGCGTCTCCACAAACACCACCACCACCAACAAATCGAAGCAGTAGTGCACCGTCGAATGTACGTGAACAGGTTGCCCGTTTTTATGGCGCATTCGGTAGAATATGACAGTCGCCATAGTTTCATCCATCACACAAGGGACGTGCACTCGGTAAATTCTCTCCATGTCGCTCACCATGGCAAGTTGATATCCATCCATGCCAACCACTTCATCTACAGTATATCCTAATGCGTCAGTGATGCCTTCGGATGCATAAACCACTTTGGCCAACGCCGTATTATCGAAAATAACAATACAATTGGCATTTTCCATGACTCGGTTTCAATCGTAAAAAAAATAGAGATTGAGCGATAAAATAAAGGGGAAAAAAGGGAAAAAAATGTGATCCCTTCCGGGATAGAAAAAACACACAAAAAAAGAAGTAGGAACCGAACTGTTGGGCACAACCTTAGATGTTTGTCATTTTACGCCTATTTTTTTTTTTTTTTACTTTCTTTTTTTAGATTTTCATCTGATGGGTACCTGTGGTGATGTGTGTTTTGTACGAATGATGAACGGGCGGGGACCAGAATGCGCGTCATCGAACTCGAACGGGCTTCGTTGATGATGCCTTTCCGGGCGGCTTGCGGAGGCAGAATTGACTATTTTTTTTTTTTACTTCGTTTTCGAAAAAGTTGAGGGCCACTGGGTTTCGTGTTACCGCTCGTTTTTGACCAAGCACCGGACTCGAGATAAACAAGATTGATAAAGAGAAAAGGACCATCATGAGTGATTCCTCTTCACACACAAACACGTTCTTGAAGAACCTGTCACAAAAAAAATATGCATGGATGCAGACGCCTACGGCACCCTATTCGCCTCCTGCCAAACCGTCGTCCCCAGTTGTAACTGCAACACATTCTACCCACCCACCGTCCACCACCCATACCACAGCCAAATCGTCACCTTCTATACGACACACACCTTCCTCTACTTCCTCTAGCACATCTGCCTCCACCTTCGGAACCGCCCCTGAAGACAGTCCACGAAAAAAGCAACGCCAGCACAAACGACCTTTACACGAAGATCGTGATCATTCTTCTTTCCATTCTCGGATCAAGTCGTCTCCTGTTACTGTACCCACGGCATCACCGTCCACTGTCACGCCACTCCCCTCGTCCCCTTCCATGGATACGCAACACGACGACACCTCATCCAACCAAGCTCTCGATTCCACTCCGCAGCCCGATCAACCGCGTTTCAAGTATACATCGTTCCCCGTCAAAGGATTCAACATTCTGCCCACCCGTAACATTACTAGCACATTTGTCCGATCAGACACCACCTACATTCCTGGAAACAAAGCCGGCTCTGAAGCCATTGCCCCTAACGTAAGTCTTATTTCTGTTTCTGCATCTCTGTGTATGTGTATGTGTGTGTGTGTGTGTGTGTGTGTGTGTACTTTGTAAAAAAGACCATTGCGGTGAAGTTACCGTGGTCATTGTTGGATTCACCGTTTTAATTATGCAGGCTGAAGAAGAATGGCGTGACACGATCATCATTCATCCTGGATCGCGTAATCTACGTATCGGTTTGGCTTCCGAAGCCTTCCCACGGACCGTGCCTCACGTTATTGCTCGTCGAATGAAAGCACCAAGCGCCGTCGTCAATAAACAGGCGCAGAAAATGGACATTGAACCTTTACCTACGGAAATGGATACTGATGAAGCAACGGCTCAACCTCCCACCGTTGATGCGGAAAACAGCATGTTGAATCGTGACGATGCTCTATTTGAAATCAAGAATGAGCTCAAGTGGCGAATGAAAAATGCCAAACGACGCGCGGTGCCCAACGCGGAAGCTCAAGTGAGCAGTTTTAACCGGCAAGCCGTTCAAGAAACGATTCCTGATCACAACGATCCCTATAAAGTTGAATGGACAGAAATACCGCAAACGGGCGACAAACCGGCTTACTTTGTAGGCGACAAGGTAACGAGATCCTTGGACTCTTTTTTTTCTAAAGCGATGACCTTGTCTGGATGGAATGATTCTTTGTTCGCTGACCATTGTATGCTTCTAGGCTCTTAATCTTCCCATTGCCGATGATTCCGAATATCGCTTGTTTTATCCTTGGCAGCATGGTACACTGAACAAGCTCGATTATCCTTGTTTGGAAGCCGTATTGGGCGATTTGCAAACTATATGGGCTGAAATGATCTATCATGAACTGGAGATTGAAGACACCACTTTTGAGGTAAACAAGCCCGCTCGTTTTCACAAGGACGCACAATGTATGCGAAACTCGAAGTTTAAACTAATCATACCCTGCAGAATTATAACGTAGTGCTGATCGTGCCAGATTTGTTGGAGCGTGCTTATGTCTGTGAATTAATGACGCTCCTATTACGCTACATGAAGTTTCGTGGCGCGTTTGTGCAACAGGTAATGTATTACTTTTTTAAACCATGAGAACCCGTTTTTGAAAGGCTCATGATAAATGTCATTGTTACCTAGGAATCCATTTGTGCCACTTTTGGTGCAGGTGTATCTAGTGCTTGCGTCGTCGATATTGGCGCACAAACCACCAAGATTGCATGTATTGAAGAAGGCGTCTGCTTAGCAGACTCTCGGTAAGCGAACAAAGAATCATTGCGGGATCGGCTGATCTGATGGTCGATATATTTTTCTTTTTAGTATGTCCATTCCCATTGGCGGTGATGATATTACGAAAACGTTCACCTCGTTTCTACTGTCTAACCACTTTCCCTACGCGGATATCAACCTGGCCAAAGCCTACGATTGGCGAATCGCAGAAGAACTAAAGGAAAAGTGGTGTACAATGAACGAAGCGGATATTAGTGTGCAAGTATACGATTTCTTTGTTCGCGCTCCCTATAAGCCCACCATCAAGTATCAGTGCAAGGTTTATGATGAAGTGTTTCTTGCTCCTCTTTGTCTCGTGTACCCTGCCATCCTCGATACACATACCAAGGAAGTGGGCTCATGGACCAACGCAGATGTTGTTGATGACATTGCCGAAGAATCGACAGTAAGCATTATTTGTTCACTATCCCTCTGTCTGTGAGATCGTGTTATCTGATTTTTCTTCGTTCCTGATTTAGTCTGGATCGACGCTTTCGGCAGCCGCAGCATCGCTGGCTTCACGTTCTAAACCGACCGTCACCTCTTCCCAAGCATCAACTCCCAAGCAGACAGCCGATTATCCCGATACTCCAGTAGCTTCTTCTACCTCGCTGGCTGGTACAGCATCTTCCCCTCCCGCCTCGCATCTTTCACTGCCTATCGCCCCTGCCCAAGATATGTATCCCATTGATATTGCTATTGCGCAATCCATTCAAGCCGCTTCTGTTAATACCGATGAACGACTGAAGCGTCTCTTTATCAATATTATTCTTGTCGGCGGAGGAGGCATGATCAGCAATTTCAGCCGGATTCTGGAGGATCGGTAAGTCATTGCTTCTTGGTAGGGTCAAGGAACCGGCATTCCTAAATATGATTGCGTTTTTTTCTCTCAATCCCCATAGTATTTTGTCCACGGTCATTGCTCAAACCGCACGCGTTGAAAAAGTGGAGGTATTACCCGCCCCGCGTGAACTCGATCCTCGTCTACTGGTGTGGAAGGGTGCCTCCGTATTTAGCAAACTCGACACCGCCAAGGATATGTGGATTGGCCAGGAAGAGTGGAACGAAGTGGGAGCACGATGCTTAAAAGATCGAGCTTTACTTATTTAGATGCTCTCACATACTAGTTTACCGCTGCTTTGTTTATATTTTTTTTTCATCAACCTACATTGTGCACATTATGAATACATGCACAGCAAGGATTTATACATGCCATGGAAAACATACTGAAATCGCTATTGCCCAAACCTTCAGAAAGAAACTGTTCACACTTCATCTGTTACGTATCACGCAGAGTAACCTTGTTTTTCTTTGTCCATGAAAATGAAATAGTTATTTGCTGCTATGAACTGTTTAGATAAGCAAAACTCCTTTACAAGACATGCCGCTTTAGGTGACACTGATGTAGAGTAGACTCCTTTGGTTTTGCTGTCTTGGTGTAGTATTCTATTGATGTCTGTGCTTAGGAAACATGCCACTGAGATATAACCCGCTGGATAGATCTTCTTCCCAAACAGTGGGCACGATCATTACAGTAGGAATCTACAAGAGACTCGATCTATCCCCCTTCCACAGGGAGCATCAACGAAATAAGCTTCTTCCGTGTTCAAGGAGAATCCTCGCTTTCGAGCCCCCGATATGGACGATGACTATAGTACACCCGGCTTGATGGAAATCGGCTTTTTAGCGTTTGTTATTCTAGAACCAAGACAACCAACAAGCTTTCCTTTTGTTGCGGGGAAAAGGAGTGGCAATTATTCTCTGACAGTTTAAACTTCACATTCAGATAACCCTTTTGTCAATAAGTTCGATCCTCCTTATTCATTTCATTATCTGTAGGGGATATTCATCCTGTTTTTTGTTCAAATCACGCCAATTAACCTGGAGTGCTGATGAAGCAGAAGCCATTTGACAGTTATGGCAACAGGAGTCGTCTTGTGGGCTACCAATCAGTGATTCATTGTATATCACTATTGTCAGGATATAGAACTGGCTTCAACCATGGATCGGCAGTTTATTATCAACAAACAATGAGCATGATCAGCATACTCGAACATAAGTCGCTTAAAAAAAAAAGAACAAGCACAGGCACATATGTCATTGATCGTGATATAATTAATGAGAATGTCAGCTAAAGATATCGCGGCGCAGACCATGCATAACCGTTTGATGTTCCTATGAAAATACCATTTTGTCATTTTTGCGGTGGTGAAATAAACAGTTTTGTCAATCAACAACTCTAGATAGCCATAACTTACTATTCAAAGATACCCACTAAGCAATGGTATCCAGGAAAGACATGACAACCGAAATTAGTTGTTGTTGAGCATCTTTATCCGTATAGCAGTGATCGCCGTCGGGAATCACTTCGATTCTCTTGATGGCCGGACTGAATGACTTGAATCGTTCCAGCAAGTCGAGCATGCTCACATTGTCAGGAAAGCATTCATCCGCACTTCCATGCACAAGCATCATGGGTCGCTCCACACCAGAGTACAGTTTCTCAAGCACATCATCCGGCAAATCCGACGAAAACACATCGTCATCGCCTCTATGGATATGCCGTTTTAGCAAGCTGATTATAGGGGAAGAAAGGCGTGTGTTTGTGCGTGGGCAGAACATGCTTACCCAAAAGCTGCCAAAGAATAGTATCGGTCCGCCGTAATAGGCGTGTCATCTACGATGGGCATCAAATGCTGCCCTTTCCCTTGAGCACGCATCTCTTTTGCGATACGTAACATCTTTTGATAATCGGGCATACACTTTTGCATATACTCTCGATCGGATACGGGCGCTTGCAAGATGTATCCAGTTATACGATCTCTTGTCTCGCCGTATTTGTTATGCCAATAACAATCCTGGCTTCCTTGATATCAGGAATATCGAAAAAAAGAATCACAGCAAGCTCTGTAAGAATGAAACCAGTTCCACGCATGATGCTGGCGGGTTGTAGGTACCTGTTGAGTGACCCAAGAACACGATGGTTGATTTTCCACGTTTTTCACAGAGAAACCGAACGAGATAATCAAGTTCTTTTGTATCTTTTTGCAGGTTGGATATGCCGTAACCAGAGTAACTGGAGGACAAGTAGACTTGGATAAGAGACCAGCCGGCTTCGTTCAATGTCTTATTAAGAGGCACGAGAAAAGGCACAGCATTAAAACCATCACCCAACCCTCCAACAAACACTACGGTTTTGGACGAATCCTTTGGCCCGCTTTCAAAAGCCGTTAGCCGACCAGGTTCATAATACGTAAACAACGATCCTTCAAATTCCATGTTCGCAAAAAGTGTCAAAAAGCCTCAAAACGCTTTCCCCCCGTCTCCACTGTCTTGCCCTAACAGCCGACGGCGGACATCAATTGTGACCGTTCATTCGAAACCAGCCAATGCTTTCGGCTCATGCCGTGAATGCTTTCATTCCACTGCATTTTAAATGAACCATTTATTACTGCTAAGCGTTACAATTTGGAATCCAAGGATGGTTTGATCTCATTGTTTATCGATTAATGGTATTGCGGTACCGTTTCAGGACGTGATGACTTTCGAAAAGGTGAAATAGGGGCTCGGCCTATGCAATATGCGCTGAACATTGGACAACTGCTCGTTACACTATAGATCGAATCTCCTGACGACCAAGGTAGGCTGATGTTCACGTAGTCTTGATGAACTGAGCCCAGAACGCTGGATGAGTAGGTGCCGCAAACGTTCTAATGGTGAGCGCGTTCTAATATCGTTGGCATGGGGCGAATCAAGTAACCCATAGCTGTTTATCGATGGACGTGGATGCGGAACGGAACGGTTCTTTGTGGTACAGATCCGGCGCAGAGCTTTGCCGAAAGGAGGACGGAGTAGCTTGTAGGCAACACCGATGGCAATTATATAAAGCCAGTGCCTTGTTGCCATGTAGAAAAACATGAATAAAAACGAAGACCTAATCTTGTGAAGCTCTCTTTTATAGCTTAAATGACCATTGTTCGAATGTTATTTTTTTTTTTTTTTTCATAATGGGGACTTTTGGGCTCTTCCAAACAAGGCAATTTTAGTGACGGGGAATGAAAATATCCATAAACGTCACAAATGAAAGCTTGTATAAGGCTGGTCAAGCACCAGGATATACAATTTTCTTTACTTGACCATTCCACCATGGTGTGCAAAAAGTGCGAAAAGAAACTGACGGCATTGGCTGCGCCTGATAAGTGGAAGGAAGGTTCCAACAACACCAAAAGTAAGTGAGAGAATATTTTTATAGACGACATGATATTGACGATGATGGATAGCTGGCACTGAGGGACGGAAGCTCAATCAGAACAAATTACTGTCAAAATCAGCCAAGCTGCGGTAAGTACATTGGGTATTGAAGGATCTGTGAAAGAAAACTGAATGTGCTAAACTGTTGCTTCTGTAGATTTTCGCCATACGAAACCAAATGCAAGTTGTGCAAAACCAAAGTGCATCAAGACAAAGCTAATTACTGTCAAGGTAAGATTGCAGTCCATCGAATGTCCGAGAAAAGCTTCTGATTGCTCACTGTTTTCTTCGTGTTCTTTACAGCCTGCGCCTACAAGAAAGGCATTTGCGCCATGTGCGGCAAACAAGTACTCGACACAAGCGCATACAAGCAGTCATCCAAATAATTTTACCCACATCATTACTCGTATCTTAAAACAACGTCATCCATGCATCGTTCATCTCACATCTCATTGTTTCATCATCTTCACAAAGGTCAATGGATATTTATTTGGGGGTACTTCTCCTAAAAGCACCAAGCAAGCCAAAAATGACGTGATAGAGAAAGAAAAAGAAATTGTCAGATCAACGGGCCAACGTACCTCTTCCCAATTCGACAATATACAAAAAGACGCTTACTGTTGCTTATTGGCATCGGCTCGAAGCCAATCGATTGCTTGCTGTTCAGTCACCATTGTAGGATAGCCGGAAAATAATTGCGCAGCAAATCCAGGGTCGTTTAATGACATTGTACTGCTGAACATGTTGAATTGGATGTTGTTGGATGGAGATGGAGCCGCCGCCGCCTTGGCTGCCTGGGCCGCGGATTCTTCTTCCAGCTGCTTTAATAAAAGCTTTGACCGATGTGAATAAAAGATTTCTCCCTTATTTTTTGTTACAGATGGCTGGAACTTACTTGGCGTTCGGTTTCTAGACGTTCCGCTTCTTCTCGTTTCCTTTTTTCCAGCACAGCTGCTTGTTCTTCCCGTTCTTGTTCTTTCTGGATCTAACGATCCGTGAATTGAGCGATAATGAAAAGTAACCTGCGCGGATCATATCCATCTTACCACCATGGTGTGTCGTTGACGGTAGTTCTTCAAACGTTGCTTCATAGTCTGAATGTGGATTTTACTTTCTTGTAAGGCTGGCAGTGGCTCATTCTGCGCTGAAGTGGTAACGGCATGTTCTGTGCCTGCCATGGGAAGCGCAAGTCTAGATTTTTTGAGTGAATTCAAATTATTTGCGTGCGCGACGGAAGTTCAATCATCCGTACAGACCAATCAGAATCCTCCGGATTTCCTCACGGTGTTCGCACTGGTTTCTTTCTTTGCAAAAAAAGAGGGTCCATTACAGAACAGTTTATCTATCAGTAGATAGTCCATCAGTAACACCATCATTGAATAATATCAGCTAATCTTAGCATTAAGCTCTAGCTGCTCACTAATAACCACTCAGCACTGACTAAGAATTCGGATCAAGAGCAACATGAGACACGATTGACCCGCATATACATTATGATTAATGCTCAGCAAACACAACATAGACACAAGTTTTATTGAATTGGCATGCAGTTCTTAGATGTGGGCGATCGGTCTGAAAGAAAAGGCATTTGCCGTTGAACCCGATCGTTCCTTTCAGCCGGGAAAAGAAGATTGCGGACTTTGAAGTGTGCTCCCCATTGAACATTTCATGAAAGAAAAAAAATAAAATAATGCACCATCATGCGGGAGTAACTGGAGGCTGGGTTATTGGAAAAGACACGCGATGATGATTCACCAATTCATCGGCATCGGAGATCCAAAGGAGAAGAAGCGCAATGGATTCATGTATGCTCGATGTACGAAGATGCATAAAGCATTTTGGATAGAAGATCCCATTGAATGCTGTGAGGAGCACGTTTGGAAATGTTGGATCGGACAAGCCCTACTTTTTCTGCTTCTGAAAGTCTTTCTTTTTTTTCGAGGGGAATGCATGATAACTGGCAAAAAGAACTTGTAAGGGGACAAGGAGGGGAGTGACCCAGAAAAAAAAAAAACAGGGAGAAGCATTCGAGTGAAGTCATGGAAAAAAAATGGGGTTCCTTGGGCTTGGCACAAACTCCGCACTTATAGTTTTCTGGTCGTTCTTGATCCCGGTGGGACGATCACAAGCCATTCTTGCTTGGAATAGTTAATACCGTCTTTTTTCGGACCTTTGTTACTTACTCAGATTATAACGACATGTGTCCATTTATTTGTTGATTGCCAACCTTGTCGTTTTGTTGTCAAAAATGACCGATGGGAAAAGGAGATCCAAGTTTATATAGATAACCAACTCCAAGAAGAAAATAAAAAAAAAGCGAGATGATAAATTAAAGCGGTGGGGAAGACAAACAGGAGAAAACAATGGCAACTACTTTATTGATCCAATTTCCTTTTTCTCTTGCATGATCATCTATAAAAGGTATACCATATGTTTAAACTGCACTGTTTCTAATGTTGCAGACAAGAACGTGTTTCCATAGAGGCAAATCAGTTGTAAACAAAAAAAGAAAAAAAAGAACCTACAAGAACCACTCTGTTGGTTTCTATCGTTACCTGATTCTGCCTAAGAAGTGCGAGAATAAATAAAAAAAACCGGGTTTACAGTTTCTTTTCCCTTTTATTCAACTTTTTTTTTCTTGCTTTGCTGACTTCGAAACCGCCTTTTAATTTAAAAGGGTGTACCAAGTTGTCCTTCTTTTTTTTTTTCGACCTTTTTGCGTTACGTGAGTCTTTCAAAACGGATAAAAAAAGACAAGTGAGAAAAAAAAAATTAACGTTACAGTTGAAGAAACTCGTGAATATTATATTCTATTTTCTTTTCCTATTCCTCTTTCTTTTTGTTTTCACCAAAGTTATCACCTGGGGAACAATGAACGATATCAGCCATACCTTCAGCCACATGCAACTCGTCGAGAAAGGGACGCCGCCTGTCAATGCACGCGACCGTCTTATCGAACTTATTCAACACGTTAACGATGATCAAATCGTGCAGGCTATGAAATTTGAGCTCAAACGCGTTCTGACCGATCACGAGCGGCTTGTTACCATGCTGCAACAACGGTCCGAAATCCTCGAACAGCAAAACGATGACCTGAAAACGGTGTTGGCTGAACAGCAACGACGGTACGAAAAAGCGGTGCGTGAGATGCAATTCTTCAGGAGGAAATATGATCAAGTGGCCAAACTTCAGAATCCCGGTCGAAAACGGAGCGATTCCAATGGATCGGAAACGTCCGCAGACAGTGGAGCGAAATCGGTTCAACGACTTCAAAGTTATCCATTAACTCCCACCAGCACCGAACCTTCCAGCATCTCCGTCGTCGATTCACTCTACTCTTCGTACGATACACACAACACACACTCCGACTTTGGCAAACCCAAATCATTCAGTTGCCGATCCTCCTCGGCTGGTCCTAACAACACTACCACCACCAATTATTGGCCACCGCCTTCGCCCATGTCCCACACTTCTGATACCACCGCCTCAATCCCCCGACAACGCCAAAACTCCTCCGCCACCGCCAGTGTCTACAGCACCATCACAACTAGCACCGATCAAAGTGGATACTCTCAATCCAGCAAAAAATCCAATCCCCAGAAATCATCTTGGCAGTTCTTGCGTAACCCTGCCATGGCATTATCTTACTCCTCTCCTTCTGCCTCTCCTGCCCCACCAATGTGTGGGTCCTCCGTCTCGTCGGGGGGTTCAGTCTATTCAGTACCCATGAATCCCGTTCGATCAGCCACAGCCACCAACGGCTACACTGGATCGTCGCTCATCCAGCAACGTCGCACAGATCCGCTTATCTTTGGAGGATCGGATGGATTATGGGATACAATCGCTAAAAGCAAAGGTTCAGATGTCACCGTGGAGAAAATTACCAGGTAAAACCCCATTTCTTTCTCTCTACAGACCAGATCAATATGTTCTTGTGCTTTATTTTTGATTTTACAATCTACGACTCACCCAACATTGGGTTTGTTTCGTGCCATGATGAGATGCTTATCGATTATCTGCATAGTAATTTTCTTCGACGGGGTGGATCGCCGAACACTGCAAAGCAATCACCTTCGACCAATGCCGTCAAATATGGTTATGGTATGATTCACGCGCTGATCGTGACCAAGGCTCCTGGATCTTTGGACTTGCTCCTTCAACAAGGAGCAAATCCCAACGCAGTGACACTGAGTCAAGTCGAAGAAGACCGCGTGACTCCCTGTTACTTGGCCGCCAGTGTGGGTTGGCTTTCTGGATTGCAAAAACTCGTTCAAGCGGGTGGTGATTTAATCGCAGCTCGAGGTGGAGGCGCCAAGAGCAAGACAGCTCTTCACGTCGCAGCCGAACACTGCCATGCCGCGGTCATTGAATATATTGTCAACGTAACACAGGGAGCCCTCAACTTGGAAACCGATAGCCAAGGTAAAGTGAACGTTTTAAACTTTTCTCAGATTGGCCAGCTTTTGGACACAGTCAAAACAGACCGAGTGAGCGACCAATCAAAGTAGGATTCATAGTAACTTATTGTTCTCCGTTTATAGGTGCCACTGTAATGCATTATGCATGCGCATCCGGTCATACAGATTTGGTATCCTTGTTAGCACGCTCTTGCCAGATTCCTGTCAATCAGGCCGATCATAAAGAAGAACTGCCACTCCATTGGGCGGCGAAACATGGACGTCTGGAGGTCGTGACTTTGTTGATCGAGCGATTCAATTGCGATTGCAACGCTTACGTTTCGCGTAAAGTCGGTACTCCCCTGGATTTTGCGAAATCCAACGGCCACAAGCGGCTCGTCGACTATCTAAAGGGCATTGGCGCCTTAACTGCCAAGAAGATGGACAAAAAGATGGAAGAAGAACTGTCAAAACAAGTACCACGCCACCTTGAAAGCACCCTTTTGAAAAACGGTCTCTTTGGCGACGATAACTCGTTCTTCTAACTGCCCTCGCTTCTCGACCTCGGTCTATTTTCATCGTAAATAGATGCTCGTGGGTTTTCTTCTTTTTTTTTTTCTTTCCCTGGTTCTTGGATTATCCCATTTTGTTGTTTCTTTATTGTCCTCCTATTCATTTTATTAGCGGCGTCTTGGAGCGTTTACCTTGTTTTGCTCGCGAAACAGGAATCACTCACATCGGCAAGCTTATTATCACTCCTGATTTCATTGTTTGCTCTATTTTTTGTTTTTCCCCTATCATTTATTTTTTTTCTACCATTGTCATCCTTTCTACGTTCATCATATTGACCTTTTTTAGTGAATTGTGCGATTGTAGGGTTCATTTGTCTAGGACAAGTAACTTTTTATCTATCGAATTCCCTTTTTTTCCTTGTCATCTTCAATTTTTCCTTCCCATTATTCGTTTTATCCTATCCAGATCTTGTCTTACTGCATAAATGTACATAAAAGCATAATTGTACCATGCATACATCAAACCAGGTGCTTTGTAGGCTATTTCTGGCAAATCCTATGGATCATGCGTGAGGTTGATGGATAAATGCAGCGATCTATTGTTCCTCATATTCATGCAAACGATTCCTAAGAGCCGGATACACCGACTTACCTTTTCGATGAGTATGCAATGCAAATCCATGTTCCTGTCAGAAATTTTGACTTTTTAAGCTGCATACACTGAACACTGAAAAAGAAGTGTGCGATTAGCAGCATTGCAGAGCATATGCAGAACAAAGGAGATTGCTGCTTTGCGGATATTGTAGGATAAAGTTAAAGTTGGAATGCCAATGCCAATGACATTTCCTTATCCGTCAATTATTGTCCTCAAATGAAGGAGCCACCTTCTAAAATAGAACAATCACAAAACCTGCAACAACTTTATTCTTCCGTGAGTCAAACTGCACCGCCTGCGAGATTAACGTTCACACTTTTTCGAAGGAAACACAAATAAAACTGTCAATATTGGTTAGAAAGATCATCCATCCATTTTATTTAAACATCTTCGACATATAACACCCCACACAATAAAAAACAAAGTTCATGACTTGCGTTTCTAACCGGTTCTCAGGCATACAGATCCTGGGAGGGAGGTCGCATTTGTTGACGTCCAAGCGGAGCGATTTCAGAATATGATGGCTCAATATTTTGTCTACTTTATTTTTTATTCATCGACGTCGTTGTTGCAGTCATTGACCGATTGTATGAAACATATGGAAAAAAGACAATTACAGTTTATTCACTGACTCGAGAGCCAAAATAGAAAGTCTGACTGGCCAAACATAAGAGCCATGCTAACTCAGCGGAGCTCATTTTTGGCGATCTTTACATACGGCTATGCAAGGTAATCATATCATTTGACAAATATAAGGTGTGGTAGATGTTGATACGACGGATAGACTGTTGTTGTGTGTTTTTCCGGTCAGGAAATTAAATGGGAAATCAGAGAGAAATTTTCGGTCGGTTCAGAAATGTGTGGGCGCCAGATATGTTCGTCGAAATGTATCTGATCGGATCAGGTTTTCAGAACTTATTGTCTGGAATAGGAGTTAGAGAGAAAAGTAACAGCGAGGAATTTCCCTGCGTTATTAATTAAAGAAAAGAAAAATGTGCGCTATCAGAGCGGATAAATAAGTCTCAACAGAGAGAAAAGATGTGTTGGTATGTTATTTACTGTTTTATTTCGGACAATCATTGGCGATATTCCTATTCATCAAACTATCTAATTCTGAGGTAGGTAATACTTCCTTCATCGATGCATAGAACATCACGATGAGGAAGATCGCAGGCAGATACACCCCAGGTCGAAGGACCGCATAGGGATGCAACGCGAATAAAAACATCGGTCATATGTCACTGGTATTCTGGCAGATCTGACTTCTTGGTATACGTAGCCACCAGTGGCACAAGCCTTGTTTTGGTTAGGGTGAGTTCTTTCTTCACGCAATGGATACCAAAGGTCTCGATCTGACACATGGTAGCAAAGCGACATTGCGATGGTTGTTGATATCCGCTTTGAGCATCGTGATCGAGATGTGTATTTGTTTCAACGTATCATCCTCCGTATGTTTGGCGTTTCTTTATGCTCCCCGCTTGATGATTCCATCACCATTCTTTCGGTATTGGATATATCTAGGCCAAGACCGTCCACGTATTGTACCACTCCAGGAATCGCATCTGCGTGCGCTTGCAGGTAAAGTTCACACCATCTGAAATTTAGGAGACCCGGACTGCCAAAGTTGGTCGCGATCTCCAAGGTGAGTCGTCCGTTGCCGCAGCCAGTCAATTAAGGCCAGTTCTCCAAGAACGTGCCACATCGTTTTTTTTTCCCGCCATTGTCCGCTGTTGAAACTGAGAAGCCAATCAGCCGACCAGTATGATACGTCCCACATCCAAAGGGTCATTTTATCCGTATCCTTCGTTGCTCAAGTCGAGAATCCGAATTTCCAGTCAACAGCGTCGTAACGAAAGCTATTATGTTGACGTATGGTTCGGCGTGGGTTGCTTCGGTAACTGCTGGGATCGTGCCGGTTGCTGGGCGAACTTGGCACTCTTCGGGCACCCAGACAGTGGTTGACAGAGCGAAACCATACTTTAATCATGGTGTTTGCGTTCTTACGAGGAGCCTTGCTGCCATTCTCATCCCAGTAAATAAGCCATGGTGACATTCGTTTCTGTTCCAGACACCTGAGTTTCCTCTCAACTATTTCTACTGGTGGTGGTTATCAGTTCGACCATACTCTCCCACTTGTTTTATTGAACCATACACATTCTGTTTCTTGGACTCCATAGAACTGACTTGAGTGAAAGTTGTTCACTGCCGCGTCCATTGCTAGTAAATTAAAAAAAAAGAGGAATTTCCTTTTATAGGCACATGGTCAGCTTTCTTTGTTTGGGAAAGCCCACAGAGATCCTTTTTGGAGATCGTGTTCATGCCAGAGTGGTTTGGTTTCGGAGTGATAAATTTTCGCATCGCGTGATTCGTCCATTATTTTTTGGTCGATGCCGCCAAGAGAGGGCCCAGCTCAGCCTTTTTTATATTTCTTCCTTTTATCTGACACTCTTTTATTCCTTTTGAAATATGTTAAACAAGTGTTGTTTGTGTATTGATTTAAGGTAATGCGTTTGGAAGCAGTGAAGCCAGAGGTGATTTTGCTCACAAACTTTACGTAGAACGGCAACTTTGCTGCTAGCTATTCTGGGTGCATTCACCCATCTGTATGGTGGGCTTATGCTTACTGCCATTTCCGATGAATTCGATAGCGAAGACTTTGGTGCCGTGTTTTCCTTGACTGTATACTCCTTCCTTTCCGGCATTGCATGCATTGTTGGCGCTGTCGGTGTGTTCAAGGTAAAAATAAAATCCTACAGCCGAACATGAATGGGTGCTGCGGCATCATGCTAACATTCGTCATTGCGGGTCATGTGTAGAATGATGTGAAACGTCTTCGTATCTTCTCTGCCTACTATTGGGCCGATCTTGTATTGCATACGGTATTTGCTGTCGCTAGTGCTGTTCTTTTGTTCAGCCTCGACAGTGAAGTTTGCTCGGAATTGGCAAGCGAAGCCGAAGAACCGTTCGATATGGAACTGTGCGAATCGGTCTATGTCAAGAGCGCCTGGGTGGTGGTTCTTACCATGGCCATCAATATGTTGCTGAAGGTATTTTCCATATGATTTTTTTTTGTGGCATTATCAATAATTTTTATCATGTTACTCAACCTATAAATAGCTTCACTATGCTTTTGCCATTCGTGCGTACACTGTGCGGGTCCAACAACAAGACCAATCCGATGTGGCTGTTGTCGGCATCGTAGCTGCGCCTCCCGCCTACACCCCCGTTCCCGCCATGGAAAAGGATCAACCCATCTATGTCGCTGGACAAGAATATATTCCTGATGAGAAGAAGCAGTCTATCGTTTAAAAAATTCGGCATGGTTATTGTTGAATAAAATTATCGAATCGACGTTGTATATCTCCAGATCTCCGTTCCATGCCAAAACTATACTTTGTTCATGGATGGCTCAATGGCCCAAAATTGTGAGATTCAGATGCGATTTTCCACACAGTCGTTGACAATATCACTTTGATTGCCGTAATCTGATATCATGAATCCTGAGTTATTTTTGGAATGGGCGCCAACCATATTCATCGACCTTGGCAGTGAATGAAATGAAACCATTCGATCGTCGGTTGTTTATGGGTTTAAATTTGCCATGCCTTATAAAACTTGTAAAGACGATCTTTCGCGATATTTACAGATCCAAGGACATTTTTCCAAGAATTGCCTTATTATCTTTGTTTCGCTTCTTAAATGACTTGAATTTTTTAGCAACACTCAGCTGAATTTTCCAGACATAAAGGATCACAATTGCTTTTTCTTGCGCTTATCATGCATTCTTAAATTTGATAACAACAGAAGGGATTTAATCCCAAAGAAGATAGTTTTCCGGTCACAGCGCTCAATCTTGATTACAAGAAACCATGTTGGCTGGTGTCAAACGAGAACAGGACAGATGAGTGATAGACGATCTCTTAATAGTTTATTTGCACTATCTCGATCTAAAACCTTGGCTTGAAAACAGTTGAATCATTATTTCAACCAAAGAAACTATGCTTTGGATGTCTTGTTGCTTTTTCTGACGGGTGGGATGGATTCCCGGTATTCAATGCAGGTTGTGCGGAGCTTGGGTGGTTCATGACTGCGTAAACTGGAGTTGAAAATTTGGGGTGAAAATTTTTTTCATTATAAAGAAGAGCCTGCGCGGGTGAATGTGGGTTTCCCTGTTAATGACCATTTGGTAAGTTTATCTTTTTACATTTTTAGTTACAGGATGTGGTTGAGTTGCAGATGATGTGTTTAGCAAAATTATTTTTGTTGAATTTCTTCAAATGAACCAAGTATGATTCGAATTGACACCCTGATGCACTCAGTCTCACACTATATCCTGTTTGAATACATTATTCGCCGGAATTAGTGCACAGGCTAACCTTTGCTTTCCTTAGATTATGATTTGTCAAACCTGGGACGATGCAAATGTGTAGTAAATTGTTTCCTTTTTTCAAATAAATAAAAAAAAAATTGTTATGATTATATCCTCGTGCCCACTTTCTCGTTATCATCACGCTAGTCGTATAAAATGTTGAACGGAATGGATAATATCATTGAATTTCTTGGTTTATTTTTCTTTTTCTGTTTATAAAAAAAAAAAAAGCAGTGAAGAAAAAATTTTTCCGAAAAGAAGTGGTCAGTCAGTTACAAGAGTTTTTCTTTTTATAGTCGGAAGGCTGATAAGGACCGAACTGTGTGTGCTTATGCACCCAGTGTGGGAAATGCGTGGGCATCGGAAAGGTTGACATCGCGTTGACCGCGTCCACCACGACCTCCTCTCATGCCTCCACCGCGACCACGACCTCCACGACCACGACCACGTCCTCCGCGGTTGTCTTGACTTCGGTGAGGTGGTTGCTCAATATCCAAATACACCTTTTCTTTCTTATTTTTGTTCCTTGCCTTGCCGCTTTGCGCCTGTAAACAAATAATAATAAAGTCGGTGTCAAAAAAAAAGAGTCCAGATTGAAGCCGAAAGGCATATTCTAAACAGAAAATCCTTCATGCTTTTACCTTTCCAGCAAAGAAAACGGAATCATCTTCGTTGCGTTCCAAGGGAACCGCGTCTTTCCACTTTGAATCGTCGCTTCCTTCGTTGGGAGCGCGGGCTTCAGGCAAGCGGGGTTTACCGGCGGACTGAAGACTTTGCTTGTATTCGTCCAATGTCTTGACGTTTTCTTCTTCGTGCTCGCCAGTGCCTGGAGCGTGAAAGTCGGATGAATCAGGATCACCGGCAGCAGGGTAATCATTGGCACTAGAATAAAAATCCCCATTTTGTCGCCAACCGTTAATGAGATGATTCCAATCTTTTTTTCGATCGATCGACAATGACGTAATACTTACGCTTCCAGTTCCGAAGTACCAAGGTGACCCCAAGCTTGATTAATCTTCTTTTCGTTATCACTGTATGAGCAATAAAAATGAGCGAAGGATAGCACAAGAAACGCAAGAGATAGTCAAGTTCGAATGAGGATAACTTACACCATGCCAGTGCCGCTGTGACGATCGAATTGACGACCGCGGCCACGCTGACCTCCGCCAAAACCACCTCGACCGCCTTGACGAGGTTCGCGGTCGTCTGACTTGAATCTCGGTTGTTCATTTGCTTGTGCGTTATCATTATCGCGTCTAAAGTAATCGCCACGACCGCGAGGTTCACGTCGAGAAGGAGGTGATACTGAATTGATAAACGCAACGGTTTACATTAAACCTTGGTAGATTTTGGACTAAGCGTTTGGACTTACCTGCAGGTTGCGTGTGCAACTTGCGTGTATCTCGTCTTGTCTTGGGGTCTTCCTTCTTGTCGACAGGCTTGACGTTACCGAGCTTATCAACTTCGGTTTCTTCGTCGCCCAAGAGCGCTTCAAATCGATTTATACCGGACATAATGAACTTCTTTCTTTCTTTTTGATTGGTTGTCTGTTATTCTCCTTCAAGCAGACCAGAGAAAATAATAACAAGGAAAAAAAAAGGAAGAAGAAAGAAAGGAAAGGTAAAAAGGGAGAAAAGAGTAAAAGAAAAAGAAAAAATCACCTGTAGAAAAAAAAATTGAAAATAAGACACGTTTATTATCTGCATGGCTTTCGGGAAAAATAAACCGTTTTTCCCATGTGGGAATTTCGAGTCAAAAAGCCTATTTTTTCTATTTGTTACCAAGCCTAGTTTTTTTTTCTTCTTTTGTAGGTCTTGGTCTTGTTCTTTTTTTTTCACGCAGTCAGCAGAGACCAGTAAGCGACATGGTAAGCTTCAGCATCACAATGAACCCTCGTTCTTCAAAAGGTTTTCACTGGACGGCTGTTCCAGTAGTAAAAAAAAGAAAGGTTTGCCGCACATCGTCCCCGCATCCGTTTCAACTTTGCAACACAGAAAAGTGTTGGATGTCAAACTTATTTATCCTCTTAAACTAGTCGACTCTCTCATACTAATGCTGTAGAACTCACTTTCACGGCCTCGTTGACGCTTTTTACATGGGTCTTGTCCATCATCGGTTTGTCCCTCCTCACACTGACTGACCTTGCCCCTCCGAACGGCACCATTCCAACCTACTGCAAGCTTAATCTGACCCCGTAAGCCTTTTATATCCACAAGATGTGGTCCTCATCGAACCATCCATGCAAAAGCTGCAATTATCTATCCTTTAAAGCAGCAGTGGACATAATATCCATTCGCCGGAAGGGAAACAGCGGGGCGTCGTTCGACGTTCAGCAATGGCTGTCACTCTTTTTTATGCAGCTTTTTTTTTTTAGCAGGAATTCAAATTCCGGTCAACTGTCGTTCAACCCAACAACCCTTTTCCCCAAAACAACAGCATACCCAAATCTGAGTTTGAATCATTGGAATGAACATATTGCAGAGCCGAACTATTCAGCGAAAACTTCTTTGATTTAAGTAATATGTATCAGGCATTTCCACAGTGTAAGCTGGCCATGCGTGTTGGATACTCCCATTATATGCCAATCTACAGTTTGATATGGCTGGATATTGGACTCACTTCAAAAAGTTGACTGCAAGGTAATTCGATAGAAGCCCTTCTTCTGACGCATACAGTATCTTATGATGAAGACGATCCAACGCTGTTACTCAATTTGCTTGAGGATTTGACCATGTTGTTTGTCTATTTCTGGTACCAGAGTCATATCTTACAGTATTAGTTACGATGGAATGCTTCAGGATTCTTGTCAAATCATATCAAACTAAGAAATCTTGGCGTAACCAGCTCACATGGGCCAACCTCAAGCAGGCCCCAGTGAAGTTCTGCCGCTGATTGGTATACAGTACCAATTTGTAAGTGGGGTTATTTGGTCTGCATAGACACTCTGAAACTGAGCTGCTCACGCGGCGAACGTTGGCATTTTCTACCTTCCAACCGTGCTGTAAAAGTTGAAAGAATATACCGCCTAATAGATCTTGTTGGCGTTCCCGTGACTAAGCGTTGGAAACGGGACCACTATTACTATATCATTCAAAGTTATATCTATCTGATCTGCGGGAAAAAAAAATTTTGATCTCAATATGAAGGCCACTCTTATCTTTGCTTATGAATATAAACTAACATAGAATTCACGGTGACCCTTTTTCAGTTTCCAGGCATTTGAAAGTTTTTACGTGCTAAAACTTTTTTTTTCATGAGCCGATGACACGATCTATAAAATGCTTAATTTTCTTGTTTCATAGGATTAGCTGTCGCTAACCTGGTTTTTGATATTCTGTCGTACGTTTAAACAAAAGACATCGATTTTGAGCTCATATGCCAGTTTATTGACGGGTAGTATGTAACTATGATAAACAATGTGTTCACAGACTGTTACATGAATGCACCGCGAAATGCGGGTCCAGCGGATCACAGATTTTATTATTGGACCTGAAAAAAAACCAATAAATAGTAAAAGATATTTCACGATCAGCAACTGGCACAATTCTTTTTATTTCATGTTATAGAAATATAAAATTTTAAAGAGGAACGAGCAAGCTGTACAGTATAGTAAAAGAAGCAAAAAATTATTGCTATTGCAACATTGCTATAAAAAGTATCACTATGGCAAACCTTAATGTCGCTGTCCAAGTAAAAATAGCTCGCTATCGGGACATTACCAAAAGGATAAATTTTTTTTTGAGGCAGTGACCGATCGGGAGTGAACAGATCCTTTTGGCGGCGGGCGGAACGCATTTGTCACGTTCCGAATTCCCGATAAAATGGAGTCATTCTTTTCCTAAAACAGTAATGAGCATTGTCCTGAGTCGTCCGCATTTGATTTTCAGCTCTTCTCACACTGAAACAATGATGTGTGAGTTTTTTCTTTCTTTTTGTGTTGGAGATTATGCGCGCAGTTTTTCGATGCCATGCATTTTCCCCACATCAATGAATGTTATAATGATGGCAACACTGAGTGTTTGATAAACAACACGATCCTGTAATTACAAGTATCGCGTGGATCCCCACGTTGATCTAACAATGTGTACCGTTGATGAAGCCATTACATCATTATCCAAATATGGGGTGTCGAAGTACCATCCGGGGTGGCGATCCTCAAAGTAGCCTTCCTTAAGCGTTAAGGGCAATGCATCAAGAGCTTCTAAAAGAAAAAGCACCGATATTTTTCTACGTCCTTCTAGTGTGTGATGTTGGTCTGTCTCTTGACTAAAATAATTTTTCCGTCGACCATAGTGAAAAATGATGCAGAGCATAGCTCATAAAGTATTACAAACATGCCGCACAACATAAGGAGCAATGTCTCGAGATACCATATGGTTCAATAAGTATTATAGGACGATAGTATATGACGACAACACATCATAACTTTAATTAACAACGAGCATAGAAAATACATGATAGATTACAAAAAGGGGTGAATAAGTACAAAGGATTAAAGATTGGAATACCAACATCCACAGAACTTTGAAATAAGAAATCTATCGATGTCTATATACAAAAATTCAACAAAGACAGAAAATGAACATTGGAAGATGGAAATAAAATAAAAAGAAAAGGACGTGGATTAAAGGACGTTTTCAGGATATATGAAACTTGAAAGGGAATCACTCTTGATGGCGACGGGTGTCGTCAAGTTGTTCAACGTAGCTCTTAGAGATTTCTTGACCCGTCGTACCCGAGTCGCTCGAAGGATCATCGTCTTTGCTTTCAAGATCGCCAATCGTGGATCTTCGGTCTTTCTTATGGTGATGATCGAGATCTTTACCGGTGGTTTCTGGCATGCAGAAGAAAATGAAGACGAAGCCAACAAAGTTGATGGCGGCAAACACCGTGAAACTGTACTCCTTCAGGTTTGCATTCATCACGGGCCACACAGTATTGATGACGAAATTAAGAAGCCAGTTGGAAGCATTACCCAAAGCCGAGCCAGGAGGAAGAGCATGCATCGGCAACAATTCAGGTGCAATCAACCACGGAATCACACCACAACCCATACTGTACGTAAACGTGAAACAGAGAGCTATACATCAATTTCTGTTAAATCACCATGTCTATTTTTTTTTTCGTGGCAGCCAAAAAATCAACAATACATACCAGCTGTGATGACAAGAGGACCCAACTTGGCGGCTTGAGGTGCGGCTGAACCAACGACAATCATGATGGAGGTAATACACATGCCACCCGTAGAAATCAACATGAAACCTTTACGACCCACACGATGCATGAAGATGACAGCGATAAATGTTGCCACAATATTGCCCGTGGCGTTGGCCAAAGAGACATCGGTTCCCAGCATTTGATCGCCGTTGAAAATCGAGGTCAAAAAGTTGACGGAATACACGGACATAGGACCAATACCACCGACTTGATTGTACGCTTGCAATACCATGACGATAATGGTGTTCCAGGTAATGTGACGATCCTTGAATAAAATGATATCGAGCATACTCATGCGTGGTTGACCTTCGGCTTCCCGTTGTCGAGCAGCAACCATGTTGGCGAATTCTTCGTCCACGTTGGCATTTCCTCTTAGCTTTTGCAGGGCTACACGAGCTTGGTCGTACTTCCCTTCCACACACAGGCGTCGAGGACATTCCACGGTGATAAAGAACAACAACACCAATTGGATAAACGCAATGATACTGGGAATGGCCCACAAAAGTCGCCACACCGGGACAAATTTCATGTAAAGACCGCACACCTGGGTCAACAGAATACCAAGATTCAGGAATAATTCAAACAGAGAACCCAACGCACCACGGCTCTTTTTTGTGGAAATCTCGGAGACATAAATGGCGACGGACGAACCAGACATGCCTGCAGCAATACCGACAAACGCACGTCCAATGGAATACTAACAATCCAATGATTGGTGAGTTAAACTCCGCCCATGTCCAATGATGATGAATTTTTTTTTTCCGTCTCATTTCTGCTTACCATGCCGATATTAATGGACGTAGCTGATAAAATACCGCCAAGAATCATCCAACCGCAAGCAATCATAATGTTATCACGACGGCCAAACCAGTGATTCAAGTACATTGTCGATAAACTACCGGCCAGACCACCCAGGGCAAAGGCACCGACCGTGAAACCCCTTTTTGAAGAACAGCAACATAAAAAGATGAATACGTTTGAAAATTGCAATTAGATGATCTCAGTGACCCAAGACTTACCAAGAGGTGTCTGACATTGGTAAACATGCAGGTAAATTGTTGGGACTGTCCATGCCGCCCTCACATTTACTAATTACATTTTGAGGCATATTTGGTACACCTTGATGTCGTACAAAATGTCAATCCATGATCTGTCAAAAATATAAAAGAACAATAAGAAAAAACCTACTGATATGCCAGCCAACATTGAATCCGGATATAGCTGCAATAAGTGCACATGCAGTCATGTAGGGTGGGAAACGTAGTTCGTGAGATTTAGACTCTGTCATTGTCGATGTGTTTATCGCGTAATGGGAATGCTTTGTGAAAAAAAAATTGCAGGGCCAGGGAGAGAGTAAGTGGAATCGAACAGATCAATGGCTGTTATAAAATGGCACAATCAAAAAGTGAAAAAAGGTGTCTCAATGTAAGGGATCGTCAACAAGTGATTGAATCGAGAAAGAATAAAAAACACAAGAAAATTATTTCGAGATGTGAGCTTTTTTTGACGTTTGCGAAAACGAGTTTGCAAAGTTGGATCTAGTTTATATAGGATGGTGTAATAGGTTATTTCAAGTTCCTATTTAGGTCTAAATTGTTACGCTATTGCCCCGCCCAGGCCGGCGGAGCCATGATTCGTTATGATGCGTGGAGAAGTGGGCGGACTTCGTCATCGTCATGGTTTCAAAATCATTTTGCCACCGACAGCATTGATGTATCTACAAAGCTAAATCCGCCAAAATGGCGCTCTTCAGGAGACAACAAATCATCGCTTCCTGGAGACATAACCATTGGCTCATTGGTGAACATGGGATCAAAGTTCTATTGTTGACATGATTAAAAACCAAGTTTTTTGGTTGATAACAGTGGATGATTAATTAGCCTTTTGATTTCCAGTTGCCTTTTTTTTTTTTTTATACCTCTGCTGCCTCGGGGTCGATCTAATGACAAAAAAGGAAAGGTACAACAAATTTATATCAAGGGCAACTACGTATTACATTTTCCTTTTTTTGTTACTTACCACAACAGGCACGAGTGGCGGTTCCACTTCACGTCGCACTAAAGCTGCCCAATCAATCTTTCGGAAAAATCTGTGCCGCCGTATGGCATCTGCGCGTTTAGGTTTTGCACCAAGACGAGCATTGGGATTTTTACGCAGCAACTACGCAGAAATTATCATCCATGGCTCTCCAAAATGGGCCGAATTCAGCCATGACAGCCATTGCAGCCGAGCTTTTCCTTTTACCTTGGATAGTAAATCTTTGGCTTCAGCTGTCATATAATATGGCATCATGATTTTCTTGTGAAGTACTGCATCGATGGTTTTCTGTCGATTGCCCGAGCTGAAAGGTGGCTATATACCATACAGATCAGTTAGTTTACATCGTACAAAAAAATAAAAGTAAGTTATTGTTCTTGGTGTCACCATACCGAACCCGTCAACATATCATAGAGAAGAATTCCCAGGCTCCACCAATCGACGGTGTTATCATAATCCAATCCCATCAGAATCTCTGAAAAATGAAACATTAGAATGTCGTCCCTCCGCCTATTCAAAAAAAAATCTGGGCAAATTTTTAATTACCTGGAGCCATATATTCCGCGGTGCCACAGATGGTATTGGTTTTACCGTTCACTGCCACTTTGGACAGCCCAAAGTCAGTCAACACAACATGACCTTGAGCATCCAATAAACAGTTTTCCGGTTTTAAATCTCTATACACAATTCCCAGGCCATGCAGGTGTTCCAGTGCCAGCACCAGTTCCGCTGCATAAAAGGAAGCCATCGACTCATCAAACATGCCCTCTTTTGGTAAAAAAAAAAAGAAGAGCGATCAAGTCAGCCATGGCAAATTCCAACAAGAAAATAAAATGTTTAAAATGATGCTGTGCTCACCATGATCCAAGTGGCGAAAAAGTTCGCCACCTACAGCGTACTCCAAAATCATGTGTAATTCACGAGGGGTCTGAAACGCATAATATAGTTTGACAATAAACGGATGTCGGACTTCTTCCAGGATTTGACGTTCGGCCTTGACTTGTTCAGTTTGTCGTGCTTGCACCACCAACGATGCCTTTTTCAACACCTTCATTGCATACAAAGATCGTGACGCACGATGCTTTACAAGAAAGACCTTGCCGAATCTACATTGTCATCAAATAAAGGATCTGAGCAATCACGATCTACAATGTCATATTTTGTAATGGACGCTAATCGCTTACGCTCCCCTTCCCAGAACGCATACATGTTCGAAATCCTCGGGACCGACTTTTTTGACGTGGGCTTTGGAGGAAACAAAGTTGTTGCTGAGTGGAACTTCATAGTTGATTGACTTGCCGCGCTTTCGAGGCATCGGTTCGTCGGTATCACTGTTGTAATTGCTGGGCGGATTGGAATCATTTTGCAAGTAACGTTGAATGTGGTGGTGGCCGGACGCGGATGGAAGTTGGGCTTGTGTAGCGTCATTCACAGTGGCCGCTTCCAAATTGTCTGTCACGGCCTGCAACTCTTCGTCAAACGCAAACATGGGGGAAATCGAGAAAGAGAGAAAGAGAAGAGAAAGGAAGAGGAGTGTAGGAGTAAAGCTGGGAATGAACCGCAAGCGTAGAAACTAGTAGTGAAAGCAAGAAGGAAGACACAAAGCACAATAGCACTGGGACCCAAACTCGGGTTTTCCTCTATCCCCTGCTTAATGACCGCTTTCCATTATCTCGAGATCAAATAAATGGTAATATTCGCCGTTGTGCCTTTTTTACTTGTCAATTATTGGCTGCCCCGCTAACAGGTGGCTTGTTATAATTATTCTTGTTGACGTTGTGGTCCTTTTCACATTGTTTTTTATAGCACTCCTTGTAACCCTGATTCCTCCTGCATGTAAGCATAGCAAATTGCCTTTCATGGAAAGACCGTGGGCAATGAAATGCACGGGAGACCAAACGGTGTACGGGCTGAATGCACTTTATTGGAAATCATCATTGCCTTTTATGGATGGTATACATCCATTTTCACAGGTGCGCTTTCTCGTTAGAGACGTACCAAGCCATCTGGCACTCTTTCTGCTGGAATCCACACTTTTCATAAAAAGGGATATTCTAAACAAGAGGGGATCAGTCAGTTTTGCCTTTCTCTTTTACTGTGCCGAGCCCCCAGACCCATCAAAATTTGCTCAAAATGAAATGAAATTTTTCATCCGAAACCTATGACTTCTTACCTTGACGGCGCAGTCCAAAATGACTTTGTAACAGTTTCTTTGTGCACCAATGAACTTTAACGCTTCGATGATGCGTAAACCCAGCTTTTTGCCTTGTTGATGCGCATCCACGGCAATGTCTTCGATGTGTCCCACCAGGCCGTTCTTATGTACAAATTTGCGCTCGATGAGGATCGTTCCCACCGCTACAATGCGGTCCGTCTGATCATCTGTCACAGTGACGCTGTAATCTGCAAAATAGACATGTACTTCAGTTCAGTCCACAGCTCAGCAATGCGTGTCCGACCCCATCAATTGCTATGCCGCAGCTCAACTCACATATATCGTTGTGTTTTTTCATGAATTGAAATTGGTCTAATAAAAGAAAATGGAGTATTTTATCAACCTCTGTAATCCTATTAAACCTTCCAACCACTTGATAAAACGATATGATCATTTTACTTACCCAGAAAGTCTTCCTTTGTATGATCGCCCACTTCGGTTAACAGTTCAAGCACCTTTAAATATCCCCGTTCGTAATCGTTGGATCGCAGCGCCTGTAATGTGTATCCTGTAGGCAACGCCGCTTGTACTTGTGGTGATAAGAAGGCTTCATCGAATAGACATTCTTCGGATTCCATAGGCTCAAGCTCAGAGACATTTTCCGGCGCACTGTCAGATACAGACACAAGTTCAGACATGATGATAATAATCTAAAGTAAAAATAACAAATAGAATAAGAAGAAGCCAGAAAAAAATAAATGTAGGGTATGATGAATATATGATAAAAAAAGGGTAAAAAAGATGCAAAGGATAATAAAATAAAAAAAAGAACGGTGTTTTATAACGAATATTTTGTTGCAATGAAGTAAATGTGTTTTTATATTCATTCCGCGGAATGACAAAATCCAAAAAAAAAAGTTGCTATTTTTAAAAAGTACAATAATCATGCAAAGGAGATAAAAAAAAAGAAATAAAGTAAAGGATATACACATGTTAGAAAGGATTCTATAGGTCGTTCATCTTATAGAAAGGACGGGTGCCTGAGCTCTGCTTTCGACGGTAAAGGAAAAAGCCAGCTACGCCTGCGCCCGCTACACCTGCAATGACACCAATGGCAATACCCACTTTGCCACCCGTCGACAACCCGGACTTTGGATTGCTTGAATCGTTATCTCCGGAATCACCAGTGTCCGAAGGCGAAGGTTTATACACACCGGATTTGCACACGGTCAAACGTTTAATAGGATCTGAGCAGCTAGGATACGTTGTTTCAGACACCGTCTTGACGCTGGTCGATTTCGCAAAATTGCGCATCCAAGTAGCCCGATACTGCTGATCGTACGTAGGATAGGCCATCTGAATCATATCTGAATTCAATGCCATCCATCAGTTCTGTATCCCCAAGATGTCGTTCTAATAAATTGGTACTCACCCCTTAACACAAGATCAGGTCGAGCTGCGGATCGTTCGGGCCAATCTAATCATCTCCTGTTCAGTCCAACGCACGTCATCCCGCGGGAAGGTCGGGAAGGGGAAACGGGTTAACCCCGCGTGGCACTTACCAGAGTATCCTTCATCGTTCACTAACCCATCCATACGGAACATTTGACGATAATCTCTGAACGGTTCCGTAAACGCATCTTGTCCCGGTAAAAACCCTCCTAATCGCAACCAATCGCTGTACGAGGCACTTTGTTCGCTGTTGAGATTTTCCAGAGGCGTAACATCAATGACATATTGAATACCCTTCATGGCTTCGTGCAAATCACTGATATTCGTAAACTTGCGTGTGCCGTCGACAGCTGATGTGAATCCAGCGTCAAGAGTCAACGAACTGTGGTACCGGTCGCCCAGCAAACTCCATTCCCGTTTTCCCGCATCGTAGTATGTCCAGGCAAGAGATAGATTGCCTGCGCTAGCGATATTGGCTTTGTTGCAATTGTAGTCCATTTTGATGTTATGCATAATACTTGTGGCGTCGGTTTCAGCATCCAAAAATTGAGCAATGTACATAATCCATGCTGCTTTCTGTCGATTGACAAAGAGAAAAATTTCGAAAGTCAGCAGCAAATCTCCAAAGCAGATGGTCAAAGCGTCACTGACCTCTAACGGATGCAAATCGGTGCTCGAAGACGATACGCCTACAATCGGTGTTTGATCCGTCGAGTTATTGTTGCGCACGGGTTGATCCATAAACATCACGTCCACTGAACCATTGGTAAAATTCCCATAACACGGCGACGTGACATTAGCGGCCGGCGTGACCGAAACCACGATATTCTGTTGGGCGAGCAACTAACCAATTTTTTTTTCAGTTTTCCCTTTTTTAGTCTCCAGCGACCATCTTGATGCCGTTCGCAATTGCATAAATCATTCTGCGTCTTACCTCAAATAAGGGAAGGATATCAAGCGCATTCGTCACGCCGACTCTCTTGACAGGTACTTGAACAACCGCTTGATACCCGGAAAGATCGTCGGTGACATTGCAAGACACCAGTGCGTATCGCTCATTCAGGATATTGTTTGTCAACACTTTGTAGCAGTTGCGGGTTTCTACTGTGAACCTGTTGTCGAAATCTGGTGATTCGAGGACCTGCATTTAGCGACATGTCCAAGGTTATGGGGCATGGGCGACTTACCAACCCCATTGGATTGCTGATCGGAACCATTTGCTTGTGCCAGCACAAGTGAGGCTATCCACAATAAAGAGCAGCCAACAAATGGGAAAAGTTGCATGTGATAAATATGGGGAAAAAAGACGTTATATTACGGTGGTTGCATTTTTCTTAATTTTTTTTTCTCGATCTTTTTTTTTTTTTTTTTCTAATGTTTCGTTGCACCGTGAGCGGGATGCAAATGACCTGGAGTGGTCTGCAGCAAGTGAACCAATCCTTCGATGCGATAGTATTTTGCCTTTTAAAAAAAAAGTTAGTGATGGTCAGATGATGATGTGAACAATAGATTATCCTAATATATTACCTCTTGCAATAATTCCTGGCAACTATAAATTGAAACAAAAGAAAAAAATAAATAAATCGTGTGAGATGGTGCTATTGTTCATCATTTGTTTATTATCCACTTGCATCGTCTTATCTTGAATAACAGCGGGCGGTATCTAAAAAGTATGGTCAAATCAGTTGGGTCAGATGAAAAGCCACCCATCCTCTTTGGAACTTACTCGAAGGTCACGCAAGTAGTTCAAGACCAGGCGAAAGTGGGAAGGATCGCGATCAATGAAATAAGATCCATCTCTTTTTTCCTGGGTGATACCGTGACGCCCTGAAAACATGGTGGCTAACAAGCTTTTCTGATCGCGGCGGAGTGTGCTCAACGATGTCTAAAAACAGAAAGTATCACACATCCCACCATCTCGTTTAGATAAAAAGGACCTCTTTTTTTTTCCTTCCTCTACTTTGATGATTGCCGAACCTCAAAAACGCTGCCCCCGACATTCAATCGAATTTTTTCGCTGTAAAACGGATTTTCTATCGAAAAATGCTCAGTGTCAGGTACGCAGAGAGGCAGATGCTTAAAACACCTTACTTTGTATGGGACGATGCTCTTGTTCAAAAGCCAGCCTTTGTTGTTGCAGTTTTTCGCGCTTTTGTTGCAGATCTTGCGACAGTTCGTGGTAATCATTTTCGATTTGATCTTGGATCACAGCTTTGACGGCTTCAAAATCTGTTTCCACCGCTTGCAACTTTAGCATCGTCTGATTGATGTTTTTGTAAATGGCTGTATGGGACAAGGGATGATTAATGAGAGGGGTAGCGCGAGGCATCGTTATGATCATATATTACCTTCTTTCATGCTTTGATAAGATTCATTCAACATGCGGTAATCTGGCTGGTATTCTAGAAAGAAAAAGATGGGCAACATTAGCCTATAATTCAAAAAGGGGTACAAAGCGGAAGGGCAATGTACCTTCCCACACGCCCCAAGGCATGGTGTCTGTGCTCGTAATAGTGCTGGTTTCTGCATTAATTTTTCGGTAGTCCGATTTTTCTTCAAGGTCCTGCGCCCGATAATCATGGGAATACCGGTTCCCATTTGGGATGGTCACTCCTGTCTCTTGAACAGATTGATATGTCTTTCTATCTTGATGCTGGGTACCGAGCTGGTGATCGATAGGGTCACCGTTTTCTTCTTCTTCTTCTTCTTCTTCTTCTTCTTCTTCTTCTTCTGCCTGGCTAGCCTCATACTGCTCATCGTCGGAATGCGGGTATGGTCGTTGGAGATGGGTCATGTGATCTTCATGGTGAGTCATCATACCCGATGACGCTGAGGCCAATTCAAAAACATGGCTGGAATTGGAAGATCCTGCCGAGGGAATGGCTTGACGCTCTAGATAAATAGGATGGGTTGACGCTAGACTGCTGAGGTCCAATTTACCACTGTCGTAGTCGTCCAAGGCAAACGAAGTTAGCGACACTTGTGGAAGGTCCGGCGATTGATGGGTCGGCGAGTGTGGATAATGGGCCCAATATCTAGGCTGATGCTCCATGCCGTATCAAAAGGCACATAAAAAGAAAAAAGGAAAGTGAAAAGAGAGTAAAAGAGAAAAGATGATGCCCTTTTTTTTGCACAAGGTCAATTCTCCAATGAAATAGATAGGCTTTGGTTCGGTCCAAACCACAAAGTCGCGTTCATCTAAAAATAAATGTCGTCATGCTGCCTAGTCATATGCTACATCCTGCAGCAGGTTGTAGGGTCACACGAGGTTCATAAAAACTGCAAAGACATATTTGACATTGACTGTTGATGTAGCGCTTTCTTCACTGTTACTGTTTTGATAGTCTGTTTGCTAGTTTCTTAGTTCGATCGGTTCTGCGGTACATCCGTAGCTCGTAACCTAGTCAACACCAAAAACAACTTCTGAGCATCATATTTTGATCGTATCCATGAATCTTTAAGACAAGCTATCTTTTTGACAGTGCGTGGAGAGACCCTCAAGCTCACCGAGATCCGTTGGGTTCAAGGTGTTTCATTGGGGATCAAATCTTTGCAGGCAGTAGTGCTTCGATAAATGTAATCAATTCTGGGACCCTCTTGCTCTCTCTTTTTTTTTTTTTTAAAAAAAAAAAAGAAAAAAGAAAAACTGGTATTCAATGCAGTAATGTCGCTCGTTTGCCTTCCATCTTTGCGTGCAAACGCTCCATCCCTTCCTCAATAAACTATTCAGCCGAAATTCTGGTGTGCCAGACAACTGACAATAGATCTGCATAAGACAGCTCTTTTAACACTGAGCGTACTCCTAGCTAGACTACTACACATGCCTTCAACTTGGTCGAATGATTTGCTTGCTTCACAGAATCAGGCACACTACTACTGCTATGATCGAGAGGTATATGAATTAACAAGGAACTGTATCCGAATTTCAAAGTCTCCCATATAACCCAATTTAAAATAATTATCTTCATAATCAGCTGAAAGGCTAATGTAAGCAAGGCAAAAGCGCACAAGAGAGTTGCAGCGAGTCGAGGTCGGATAGAAGAGACAAAAAAGGCTGATGTGGAGTTTACGCCCAAGATTCCAAGACAATCGAAACTCCGCCATTGGACGCTGAAAGCCAGCCGCAGCATGACTGGCAATAATAAATCAAAAAGGTGCTGATGACCACAAGCTCGGGATTTGATCGTTTTCTCCTCATGAAGTTTCAAGCGGAATTGCAGGCGGATCAGTTGAAAGGTACATTTGCTGTTTGTCATGGTCAATGAACAATGACTGAATGGAGTTTACGGTAGCCTTCGCGTGTAGCTTGGATGCTTTGGCAGGCTTTGGCGAAGAGTTGCATATAGAAGCTAAAAAGTCACAGGTAAAATGATCGCGATCATTTGCTCTTGGACTTGATGTTAATCTCGGACCTACGATACAGTTTATACTGTGGAGTCTTAATATGTCACTGACGGCGCAAGCTATTATACGTATCTCTCCTCGCTTCTTTGAAAAGTATCAACTTAAACGCCCTGTGATTATCGGACCCGATAATACCCGTTCGAAAAGCTCGAGTTTGACATGTCGAGTTCACCTTAAAGTAAGCTTGACCGAGAAGCATGTATTGCATGTAAAGACCTGAACTTTTGACAGCAAACATCTTGTAGACATTGCGTAGCATATTCAAGAAGAATCAAAACATTATTAATTCCCTTGAAAAATGTGAATTGAGTTTAATCGATGAAGAAGGAAGCAGTACGGATCATCGTCTTCACGTAAGGCTGATCTCCAAAAACGGTAAGCTGCGGGGTGTAATAACGATGCGTTTTGGTTCAGCTGAATTAACTCGCCCGTGGAACAGGTGTTACGAAAACGCATTCGCTATGGTACGGCGATACGGAACCTACGCGACCTCTCTATAACAAGGATACCTCTTTTTATTTTTCGGTGGAGCCTGGCCTGCTGACCGATTTTCTCTGCTATTTCGATCCCAAAGTCTTTGATCTCGCGCTCGAATGTACAGCCAATGCGACCAAAGTGAAATCCTACTGGGCCGAATCGAGCTCAGCATTGTCTGGTATCTACTGTGGGACACTTTCTTCTCGAAAACCACACGCAACTCATCCCGCCATTCCATAGATGAACGTCCCATGCACAGTGAATTTAGCATTCAAAGCACCGATTTTATGGAGTACCGTATCCCAAGTCCGGTTAGCATTATTTTTAATATGAAAGAGTTCAAGGTAAGTTGGATCATCCTTGTTGAGGTATTTGAAAGATGGTGACTAAATCGCACAAAAGACGGTGTTGTCTTATGCCGAGGATATTCATTGTCAGTTATCAGCATCATTTGATGGTCCTGGCAGGTGATTTTTGGTGGTATCCTGTGGCATCAGAAAACATGCTGATCAGACCCATTTTAGAGCTGTTATTTTTTCTGCTAAACAAGCGGACAATATGTTGGCTGATTTCGCAGTAATGACGCACGCCAACGACCAAATGCTGTCCGACCTTCATAGAACATCACAACCGCCAGGTACGTCGGTACAATCCGTATCGACCACACAACGTAGTCGTTCGTCTTGTGGACCACCGCAACAAGGTATTCGCCGGACATCGTCTTCCAGTGCCCAACGTCAGGCAATTGCGCACTCCTCCCCTCAAGGTCATTATGAAAATGCGCGTAGTGCTGCATTTACTGAAGCTCATGATCTACAACCAGTCATGGGTGAACCGGGCTCTCGTGTGAGTGAATATTCTTTGACGGACAATATGGAGGAAGAACCGCTTTTCCTTCATGAACAACCACGAACACCGGTGCGTAATACAACGACGGCTGGACCCGCTTCGCGTCGCCACCCACCATCCGTCGGCGGCTTGAACCAATTACCGGTTGGAATAAATGCAGGGCAAACACTACGCAACTCTAGTCCTCCCTTGGAAATGCTGGGACCATCGTCGCATGGCCCCATCTCTAGCGACAATAACCAATTGTTCGCTTTTGGATCTCCGCGTCATGCTACTCAAGAAAGAGTATCCCGATCGGTTGCACCAAACCATGCGCTGCAACAGCCTACCCACCGTTCAAGACGTCACGAAGGAAGCAATATTGTGCTAGCAGACAGTGACGCTTCCACCGATGATGACTTGGATCAACCAAATAACAAGGTAGTGTGGCATTGAAAAGATCATCAAACGCAAATGCTGTTACTGATCTTGTTCTTCCCATTCTAGCGAGGACGCTTTTTCCACGCGCATTCATGACGCCAAAGGCTTGTAAATAGAAACCAAAACTTTTGACTCTTTGTAAACAAAATTATACCACGATCTCTCACAGCAACACCATCATTCATCCTCATCATCTTTCTGTCATATGCTTTTTCCTTCAATACAGCTAACCATCACGATGTTGCTTGGCCCACTCGAAGCAGAAAATATATCGATTGTGAAAATACTCGAATGAGAGGCCGACTCTCATGATTGTCGCGTGGGTTCAGCTTTTTTTTTTCCGACACGTCAAAAACTCGCACACACACATTTAGCAAATTTAGGGAGATCATACACAGTTTATGAATGATACAAGAATCATTTTCAAGCCAATCAAGTCACTTTGATAAGGTGCCTTTCGAAAACGGTCCCATAAAAGTGAACCATTGCATCACCATGATCCTATTACGGTGAGGGGATGTTGATGCGTGGCTGTGATCCATAGATCGACCCTAGAATTCTTTGGCAGATGCAGAAAAGTAGAAAAGTACCGAGGTGCCAAATTTTTCTTTGAGAAGAATATCATTGCTTTTGTAGACTAAAAGGCATGCCAATTGGTGGCATGGAAAGTTATAGTAATAGAAAACTTTTTTGAGTGTTTCAACGAGTTCCGCAATTTCGGGTGTGATACTTTGTTGTTAACAAAGGATGGCGGTGACTGATGAAGTGCGGTTTAAGATTTGGTTTATTTTTCTCACGAAAAAGTTACAGTTATGTCGATTTTCGTTTTTACAGAGTCCGTTCATTCTTATGACCACATGCCAGTGCTGGTTATCTGGAAAAGGTTCAGATTGCCATATGACCCGAAACAGCCTTGGAGGGAAAAAATGTGACATCCAGGTAAAAAACTCTTCGTGGTAAATTAGGAAAAATGCAACGTCAACAGCCAATAGAAACCCCATGATGACAAATCACTCACATCTCACGGCCAATCGTGAATAAGTGTTACCAAAGATCTGGAAACATGGCCAATATGTGAACTAAACCATATCAAAAGAACAGCCACGCTTTGCTAGGCGACCAAGATTTCATTGCTTACTTTGACACAGTGGAAAGTTTCAAAGAAGAAGTAAAAAAGAAGACATTCGCTGTTTGATGGCAACCGCAAAGATAAGTCGCGGATAAATACGGGAGAAATGGATACACAATATCTGATTAAAGTTGCAATCGTGTATAATCTGTCAAATAGACATGCTGTGTGGTGGCGCTTTGGGGAAAACGGTTACTATTATCCATTGGGAGAAATATCAGGGTTCCAAGTTTATTCTTCAACGTATAAAAATGCAATTCTCAGGCTGCTGTATTCGTTATCCTTCAACCTCTAATTCTCACTCACATTCATACTTCCAACATGTCGGCATCAAGTGCTTCTGTCGAAAAGCCGACTGAAGAACACGTCGAGAAAGGATACCTTGACAACATGAATGCCGATGAACGGTTACTTCATGAACTCGGCTACAGACAAGTAAATCTATCTCCATTCATCCTTCGGCTTTCGTGGTCAAACTCATCAACCCATCCTTTTTTTTTTTTTTTTTTTTTTTCGCAGGATCTAAGTCGATCCATTTCGGCATTCTCCAATTTTGCTATTGCTTACTCATGCTGCTCTGTGCTGGCGGCCTTACCACCGGTAACTTGGCGACGGTCAATGATTGCAACGTAACCAAATATTTTTATTTACTTAAGTCATAATAGATGTGGGGCGACGCCATGATCGATGCAGGCTCTTCCAGTGTGATCTGGGGTTGGGTCATTACCAGTATTTTCACCATGTTAGTAGCCATGTCACTAGCCGAAATTTGTAGTGCTTATCCAACCACTGGCGGTAAGTCATGGCGCGAACCCATGAAGTGACCGGTGAACCAATCAACTTATATAATTTTAGGTCTTTATTTTTGGGTATCAAGGCTTGCCACTGCCGAATGGGTGCCATTAGCGTGCTGGCTCACCGGATGGTGCAACTGGATTGGATTAGCTTGTAAGTGAGATAAGACAAAAAGAAAAAAAAAAGAAACCTTAAATCGTTGCAAATCGGCCGTCTTAGCTAAATATGGATTTTTATTCAAGTTGCAATCACATCGATTGATCTTGGGCTTGCACAATTTATCGCTGGTATTATCCAAATATGGTAGGTCGTGTTTCCCAAGATAAACTCTTATTTTTGAAAGCCTTGAATCACGGCAGATCTCTCATTCTTTTTTTGCATTACAGGGATCCCGAAGCCAATACATCCGTCTATATGCAATACGGCATTTTTATCGGCATCATCATCATTCACGGTATCCTCAATTCTGTCGCCGTTAAATGGAACGGTGTCATGAATCAGGGCGCTTGTAAGTTCAAACACGAAAAAAAAAGAATGGTACAAGCTTGAATGTAACGTACCGCGTATTACCGTTTCTAGTCTTTGCGAATATGGTGGGGATTATTATCATTGTTATTGCTGGTTTAGCCATCACCCGACCGTTGAACACCGGTGCATTTGTGGTAATGCATTGGCAATCCGACAACTAAAAAAAAAAAAAATACAAACAGACGAATTCTGGATCCTGATTCCGATTTCCCTTTTTCATAGTTTGGTCAATTCTTTAACGGATCCGGTTTTGCCAATGATCCCTTTGCATTTTTGCTGGTCATTTTGCAATCACAGTATACATTATCTGGATATGACAGCGCGGCTCACATGAGTGAAGGTAATGATTTTGATTTGATTTCGGCTCTTTTTGCGGCACCTGAATTGAAAATCCAACTTTGGGTTTTACAGAGACACAGAATTCTCAAAGAGGATCGGCCAACGGTATCCTGTTGGCGGTGGCGGCCAATGCCGTATCGGGATTTGTGTTCCTTATCGGTATTGCCTTTATGGTCAAAGACTACGACCGTCAGATTCTTGGTGAAAGCGCGATCCAGCCCCAGATGGTTCAGGTCTTCTTGGACGGCGTTGGGCCAGCATGGACCGTGGTGTTCTTGGTCTTTGTCATGGTTAGCATTTTCTTCTGCGGCTCCTCTTTAACATTGGGAAGTTCGCGTATGATTTACGCCTTTGCTCGCGACGGGGCCATGCCTTTTTCGAAGCATCTGCACAGCTTGAACAAGCAAACCAACAACCCGGTAATCGCTGTATGGTTCAACATTATTGTGGCCGGTGTCATCGGTATTTTGTATATGATCAACAGCACCGCCTACGAAGCCATTGTCTCTGTCAATACCATTGGCGCACAACTGTCTTATTTAATCCCTATTGTGCTACGGATCACTATTTCCCGCAAATCCTTCGTTCCCGGTAAGCAGCAGCATGTCCGATAGTTGAGGCACTTTTTCTAATCTTTATTGCAGGTCCATGGCATTTGGGAAAATTCAGTACACCAGTGGGCATTATTTCCTCGTGTTGGCTTGTCTTTACCTGCGTCTTGTTCGTGTTGCCGGTGGAAGCTCCTGTAACGGCCGATAACATGAATTATGCCATCGTTCCATTTGCAGCCATCATGCTTGTTTCGTCCGGCTACTTTTATTTCTGGGGCCGTAAATGGTTTACTGGTCCAGTCCGTATTGTCGACGGCCAGAAAGTCATTTTAGAAGACGACGAAGACGCCCAAACTCAACCTTACGCCTTGAAACAGGAAGTGGCCCCCGAAGTGCAGAACAATGAAAACAAATAGTACCCCTTTACTACCATATCTACTATTACAATTATTTATTTATTTATTTATTTATAAAAGCATTGAAATTCCATGACAACTGTACGTGTGCCCATGATCGCTCAGGTTGGCCAACCAAAAAAATGATAGTGATGAAATGGGCATCATAATACGTTTCCAAGGAAAAAGAAAACAAGAAGATTCAATGTTGACAACCTTTGGAATGATGAATAAAAAGGCTAGTCTATTACCACTTATAAACGCAGGTACCTTTGCCAATGAATTGAAAAAGATGCTGTTGGTCGTCGTCTAATTTTTCCCATTTCGGAAGCGTGCATGTCAACTCCGTTTATCAAACACTTCTTCACCGTATCGACAGCAAGAATTTGGACAGGTATAGGAAAATGAGCGAGCTAATCTGAAGTCTATGATTTCACAGCTTCCTAGCGAGTGCGGAAAACCTAATTGATGACGTCTATGACGCTCAATGGTTTTCAGAAAAATACTATGCATATCCATTTCCCCCAGCTGTCATTTTCCTTTTTTTTTTTGGTGAATTGCCAAATTTGGATCGCTTTTTCAATGAGGCGGTGTCAAAACTACGGCGCCTGCATGTTATATTCTTTTTCTCTTGTTCCCGAACTAAAAGATTTCCATGGCACACGAATCAAAGTGGAGAAAAGGGGGGTCTCGAGGCCCTCGGCGCGATGACTGGGGAAGAACCAGAAAAGACTACAACAAAGAATATAGCAAAGACTGGAGCAAGAACTATGACAACAAGAGCGAAAACTGGGCTTCGTCTACATCCAATACAGGCGATTGGTCCACCGGTTGGCAAAACTACAAGAGCGAAGACTGGACTCATTCCACACCTAATGCAAGCGATTGGTCCACCGGTCGACAAAACAAAAAGAGCGAAAACTGGACTTCGTCTACACCCACCGCAAGCGATTGGTCCACCAGTCAGCAAACCTACACGACTGAAAACTGGACTCCGTCTACACCCAATGCGAGCGATCAGGCCGGCGGTCTGCGAAACTACAAGAACGACGATGTCACTTGGGGTCAAGAACCCTCAGCAACAACAGAGGCGCCCGAGGTTGCCATTGATCAATGCCATCAGTTAATGGGCAATCGATCCGAAATATCCATCGAGGATGTCTACGCCAAGTACATTCCTCCACATGCACCTCCCCGTTCGCCTGCCCCTTCGGCTGCCCTCTCAGCTACCGCTGCTCCATTTACTGCTCCACCTACCGCGACAGCAACAGTTCCACCTACTGCGTCAACAACGGCTACACCGACAAGCCCATCCGCTGCCCCGCCTACCGCTGTCAGTAATCCCTTTCCTGATAAAAAATCATCACAATGGGGGAGAAGACCACCTCCAGGGTTCGCCCGATCGCCGGCGCAAGGAGACGATTCCCGATACAAGCTTAACTCCGCTGCCAGTCAGTGGTCTAAAGAATCCAAATCTTGGGCACAATACGATAGAAGTGCCAGAGATCTGGGCGCTTCAAGTTGGAGAGCATGTAGTTATTCCCAATAATAATTAAACAAAATGTAGAAGCAAACGCGTTAAAGCTAACTTTGTGGTTATTTCAGCTGCACGGCCAGTTTCATCTCAATCTGGGATGCATACCCCGAAACAACAACCGCATGCGGAAGAACGCAATAATCGAAACGTGCGAAAAACAGTATATAAGCCGTTTATGGATGCGTATTCAGTTGAGACCATGTTAAAAACCAATGATCTGTATCGTGGAATCATACGCATCAATAAGCGTATCCGAAACGATGCCTATGTGACGTCCGATGAGCTTGATGCCGATATTTATGTGTGTGGCTCTTACGACCGTAATCGTGCCCTTGAAGGTGATGTCGTAGCCGTCAAGTTACTGGACGTGGACACTGTCTGGCAGAAACGAACGGAAAGAGAACAAAAGCGCCAAGGGAAATCCAATGCTTCCGCCAAAAAGTCGTTGGGCAATAAGGAAAACGGAGCCGATAATAACGACAATAACTCGATCCAAAAGCCGAAATACTGTGGTGAAGTAGTGCTAATACTGGATCGCGCGGAAGGACTGTCATTTACAGGGTATGTTTCCCGGCTCTATGGTCAATACTCGTCAATGATTACTTTTATGATGTCACTGTGAATCTGAACGGTTTCTATTCTTTGCATTCAGAACTGTTTCCTTGAACAAACCGGGACCGCCAGGAAAAAACGACCGCGATGATCGCGCTCCAAGAAGAGCGTGGTTTAGACCAAAGGACAATCGGGTGCCTCTCATTGTCATTCCCCTTCCATGTCCGCAATTGGAACATATACTCCACAATGAGGACAAGTATAAAAACGTCCTTTACGAGGTATTTCGGCCATGCTTGCAAAAAACGTATCATTACTAAGTTTCGCCTCTAATCAAATAATATAGGCTCAAATCACTCAATGGGGTACATCCAGTCTCCATCCACTTGGCGTTATTGTGCATGAAATTGGCAATTGCACCGATTTTTCGGTGATGACCAAGGCGATTCTAGTCGACCATCAAGTGATTGATACTCCGTTCAGTCCTTTGGTCACGCAAAGTTTGCCAGTTTTGCCCTGGACCATCCCTGGCACAGAGTATACCAGTCGACGCGATTTCCGCAATGACCTTGTCTTTACCATTGATCCGGCCACCGCCAAAGGTAAATTTATGGAGGATTTGTCACCAGCGAAATAATAGCATGGCTTACAAGGTTTTTTTTATTTTTTATTTTTTCCTTTTTCTTAGATCTCGACGACGCTGTTCACTGCAAACTGCTGAGTGACGGTACCTATGAAGTAGGCGTCCATATTGCCGACGTATCGTTTTTCGTCAAGCCGAATACCATGCTTAATACCGAAGCTCGTAAACGAAGTACAAGCACATACCTGGTGAATGGGGTCGTTCCTATGTTGCCCGCCATTTTGTGCGAAGAACTTTGCAGCTTGAATCCCCATGTAGATAGGTAAAACCTTATTATGAGTCCAAGACCTATCACTATTGGATCATCTCACAAAGTTTGTAGATTGGCATTTTCGGTGGTCTGGATAATGCAAGCGGACGGGGCCATCTTAGATACCTGGTTTGGTAAATCGATTATCAAGTAATGTACTTTGAAGACCAATATTCACAATGAACTGGTATTAATCTACAAATGTGGACGCTTAGATCCTGCGCCAAGCTCGCCTATGAAGATGCCCAGAGTGTGATTGATGGAAACGGTTTACCCTCTACCACAAACATGGATAAAGCTCACATTTCGTATGTGGAAGATGCTATTATGGCCTTGTTCCGTTTGTCGCAACAATTGCGACAAAAACGTTATGCAAACGGCGCACTATCCATGGATTCCGTAAAACTTTGCTTCACGTTGGATGCAGAGGGACAGCCCGAAGACATGTGGATTTTCGAGGCGAAAGAAGCGAATAAGCTCATTGAAGAATTTATGCTTTGCGCCAATAAATCGGTGGCAGAAACTATCGTGCGCCACTATCCTGACGAGGCCCTCTTGCGTCGACATGCACCTCCAATTGAACGGCGTTTGGTAAGAACAAAATGTATGAAAGCAAATCCCGGTGTCGGTCGAGATATTAATGAAAAGGTTAATAGAACGAATTCATTGATTTGGCCAAAGAGCTGGGTTACGATTTTGACGGTTCTTCTGCAGGCAGCTTGCAAGAAGCGTTCAACGGCATCACCGATGAGCATGTCAAGCAAGTTCTTTTGGTCCTAGGTATTCGCCCGATGCAACGCGCAAAATACTTTTGTGCTGGTGCGCTAGATGTGGCCAAGTATAAACACTACGCATTGAACGAGCCCTTCTACACTCACTTCACTTCGCCTATTCGACGTTACGCGGACGTGATTGTTCACCGTCAGTTACTGGCGGCCATCGAGGATCAAGGTAGAGAAACTGTACCGGTCATACCTCATTTATTCTCATGTGATTCATCTTAACTGATCGAGGGTTGCATATATCTAGATCATTGCAATTTAACCACTAAAATGGTTCAGAAAATGGCGTTGGAGTGCAACCGAAAGAAGGATGGCGCAAAGAACGCTCAGGAAGCTAGCACGATGGTGTATCTTGCGGTATTCCTTCATCGACTGACCTTGAAACAAGGACCCATCATTCGTCCTGCCGTGGTGTTGGGCGTGCATTCCAAGGCGGTCGAAATTTACGTACCTGATTACGGCCTGGAAAGAAAGATATCCATGGATTCTTTGCCACTCGAACGTTTTGAGCACAAAAATAGGACCTTGACGGTGTATTGGCAACACGGGGTTGTAGTGGATATGGCGCTTGAAAAGGAGTTGTACGGAAAAACAAGAGAACGAAAAGACGACTATGATGAAGAAGAGGATATGAATGGTATGGAAGCATCCAAAGACGAGCTAGACGATGTCGGATATAGCCTGTCGAGTATGCAAGTAACGGATGAATTCGTCAACAATTCGCCCTGTGTGGGCCACGAGATTGCGCCTGTGGATGATAGTCTAACGCATGAACCGGAACTGGACGAAGCTACATGCATGCAGCGATTCCGCATGTTTACGAAACTGCAAGTTCTGGTCCAAGTGGACATGGAACAATTCCCGCCTAGCGTTCGCATATTCCTCATGAATCCATTCGTCGATCCAGCCTCGCTTTATCCGCAATCAGCATCTTCTTAGAAGGCACTTGATGTGTCTTGGAAAAGAAAGAAAAACAAACAAACAAATAAGCAAAGTTTGAATGGACCCTTGGTTGACTGCATTTTCCTTCTTTCATTCAATAACAGAGAAAGGTATATTTGTGATAGGATGATAAAGCCAAAGGGTTCATTGATACCAAAAATGTAAAAAGCGACACTCGTACGCCCCTCCCCCGCCCCAACTTTCCACTGATCTATTGCGAGTGAATAAACACCAAAAATCCCAAGAACCATTGTGTATATGCGACAGTGAAAATATTATTAAAATGCGAATATGGAGTAATGATCTAAGGGACTTGACGGGACAAGTGCTTCATGAAATGGCATGTAAAAACGGTATCATTGGCCTCCATGGCATCGCGATAGCGACCAGCGGCTAATCGCCACAGTGATGGATGCGTTCCCGTGCAAGTGGAGGCCATTTTGGAAGGGAGTTGCGACGGCAATGGAGGTGGATTGGGATCCGTCAAGTCTCGAGCGGCTATGGCCGAGGGTAAAATTAATGTCTGCAGTTCTTGCATCACCAGCTGGCGCGAATCATCAATGGAAAGAATATCGGCAATGTTGCGATTGGCGTTTCGGAATCGATCCTTCTTTTTGGTACTAGATGGAAATGCTTTTTCATGCATGGAGCGTGACATGCCCAGCGCCAATTGAAGCTCGTCGTCCAAAAGATCCTGCTTTCGGCTGGGTTTGATGACGGTTTGTGCGGTGCGATGAATGACGACCGATGTACTAAAATCATCTTCCATATCATCGTCGACAAGGCTGGTGGCGGCCATCTTGATGGGTATAGTTGGCGGAACGGGGGCGGGAGCATGCGCAATAGAAGCGGTAGTGGAAGAGCCAGACAACGGTTGATGTCCCCATTGAATCCACTGAAATTTGCGAATGAGCTGAGGCATACTAATGTTGCGGCTGCGTGCACATTGCTTGATATGAGTCACTTTTTGCTTCAGGGTCGGTTGACGGACAAAAGGTTCAATTTCGTGACAACAGGGACAGATCTCCAGTTCCTTTAGAAAGGGAATATCTTGACCGGCAAAAGACGTCAACTGCTTTTCTCGCAGTTCCGTTTTTTCCCGTTTTCGGTTTTCTTCTTCTTCTCGAGCCAATTCGTCAAGGCACTGATTGACATGGGAGGTGCGAATGGTGTCGCTGAGTCGAGCAATGTCTTTGCCACAGAACACACAGTACTCGAATTCGAGTTCTCCTGGAACCGATTCAGACGTTTGGACTGGTTCATGAGGTTGATCCAAGCACTGCTCGACGTGCCTTTGCCGCAAAAGACTCGATCTGACAAGAGTCAGGTCTTGGCCACAGATGGGACAGAGATACGTATCGAAATGCGCGGACGGCGCAGCTTGATCTGTCGATTCCACCGGTTCCTCTGGCAATAATGTCGATGGAGCCGTTTTTTTACGTGATCGAGACATGGACAACGATTTCTGTCGTTTCAATGAAGGATTACTACTCTGGCCATTGGTGCTGTCATTGGGCATTATATGCCACTGATAAGTGAACGAGAGAAAAAAAATAATAAGACGAATCGCAGGGAACAACTGAAGCGGACCTTTCGTGATCGGAACGTGAAAAAAAAGGGAATTTCATTACGGTTCTCTTTTCATGCATCCATTGACGACGAGCTGCTGATATGGTTGACGTTATCTGTTGCGATTTGGCCATGTGTACGGCAATTTTTTTTATCAAATTATTGGAACACATTACGAAGCATCCTGCTTTCCTTATATCATGGCAACCCTAATGTATTCACTGAACAGAGCTTTCAAGGCATTTTATGTTTCCGCCGTTACGCAATTGGATACGCAATTGGATTGCTATGGCACTTGGCTTTTATGGCATCTGTGGAAATGTTGACCGTCATTGAGAAGAACGAGCACACTTTGTAGGCGAGGCACTGTTGGGTGACAAAAAAAAAAAAAAAAGAAGCAAGACTTATTCACTACGAGCATTCGCCGTAATTTTACAAAGAGTTGGCTACAAATACAGTTATATTTTACAATAGAGATGCAGACGTATTAGACGCCACCAGATGCCATCTTCAGGAACAACTGATACATTGACTCGGCTCACTGTTTCTTGGACCTAACAGGTGCGCATTGGTGGGCAAGGAAGGTTGCCGGATTTTCATACTCCGCGAAATTGGCAGTGCGATCCGGAAATTGGACGGATCGGAAAGGAAGGAGAAACGCCGCTCAATTTTTGGGAGGGGTTGGGCAGGCAGGCGAGCTTGCGGTGTTGAGTGGTCATCGTCCCGGCGAGCAAGCGAACCTTCCTTTTCTCTTTGACATATCTGCTGCACCATGGTCAAGTTCATCAAGGCTGGTAAAGTACGTATCGTCCTCGTTTATAGATGTCGCACGATACTCGATGGATGAATGCATTTTTATCAATGGATGCGATGCGATTTCATCGGTTTTCTGTGTGTGTCACCCGATGGTTGAACCGTGTCATTCTCATACTTTGGCTTCGCATTAGGTTGTTGTTATTCTCCAAGGCCGTTACGCCGGCAAGAAAGCCGTTGTTGTCCGCAGTATGCATCGTTCTCCATTTTCGTTATTCTTTTTTTTTTCGGTTGCCAATGTTGGGAGGAAAAAGGCGGTGGACATTTTCCTTTTTTTTTTTTGTTATTACTTGCCACGGGTCGACGACACATTACGAATCCGTCAAAACAAGCGAAATCAACGCCACCCTCCATTGACTGATCAGTATTCACGTTGTCTGATGAAAATCAGACAGACAGCACTACTTTTCGTTGTCGACATGGAGGGAATCGTCGTTGCGCTTTTATGATGGATGATTCGCTTTCAATGGGAGCGTAACGAAAGAGAAAAGGGGCAAAAATAGGCGGAACGAAAAAAAGAGGACAACAGTACACCGACGATTGGAAGCATTGAACTTACCCGCTTTTCCTTTTGTTAGACCACGATGAGGGTACCAAGGACAGACCCTATGGCTATGCCGTTGTTGCTGGCATTGAACGTTATCCCTTGAAGGTCACCAAGGCCATGGGCAAGAAGAAGGTTGCTAAGCGATCCAAGGTCAAGCCTTTCATCAAGGTCGTCAACTACAACCACATGATGCCCACTCGTTACGGTTTGGAATTGGAACAAATCAAGGGTACCATCTCGGCTGAAACCTTCAAGGAGCCCACTCAGCGTGAGGATGCCAAGAAAACCATCAAGAAGTTGTTCGAAGAACGTTATCAGACTGGCAAGAACAAGTGGTTCTTCAGCAAGCTCAGATTCTAAGTTAAATAACCCTGCAGCTTTTTTTCTGTGGTTGTCGCCTTCTTTTGTTTCCTAGCCATGCATAATTTTCTTCTTCAAAAATTATAAACAAGGATCGTTCTTTTTACACCATGGGATAGTTATGGCCGTTATTGTGTCTATTATTTTAGAGGATTCCTGTCATGCCAGGATATCCTGATTGAATGCATTGACCACGGTACGATAATATTACAGTCATAGTTCCAAATGAACAGAAACAACGACGAGTTGGGCGTGTTTACTACTTTGGGTCACACCGAATCTGGTACTGCGTAGCTCAGATTAGGCAATACAAACAAATAAATTAAACAGTGTTTTTCAGCGATCAATTATCGCCTTGCTTCAGGTTCCAATGAAAACGCAAAACAACGACTACTTTTGATGTATCTATGCTCTCCAAATGATCTATAGTAAGGACGACAGAAAACTTGTCACGATGCGGACCGGAATAACAGCAAATTCGACCAAAAGTGGATCCAGCTCGCCTCTCCGCTTGGGTCGAAATTTTGAGTGTCCGTCGGTAAAAAAGAGGTAGCAAGGATGGCAGAATAAGGATCCTTCTCTTTTCCTGCACTTCTATGTAAGTATAGGGCTAGATGTCATGGCGACGAGAGAGGGTCACATGGGAGATGGAGATGAACACCAAACGTGATAATGCGATCATCCACTTTTGGCAAATGGATGGATTTCCTAAACAGATGGATGATCATTTCCCTTTTTTGATGATACGACTTTGGAGAACAAGACCCCTTTCGTCCGCCCGAGAAAAAATCCCCCCCCAGTATTATTAACGATGTTGTGAATTTAGAGTTGCCATGTCTCGTCTTCCTGCCATTCTCAGCCCCTCTGAGGAGGACATTCAGCTCTTGTTGAGTGCACAATGCCACATCGGTGCCAAGAACGTCACTGCTCGCATGACCCCTTACGTCTACAAGCGTCGCGCTGATGGCATCAACTTGATCAACCTTGGCAAGACCTGGGAAAAGCTCATCTTTGCTGCCCGTGTCATTGCTGCCATCGAGAACCCCCAGGATATCGTTGTCATCTCGGCTCGTCCCTATGGTCACCGTGCTGCCTTGAAGTTCGCCAAGTACATTGGTGCTGAAGCTATTGTTGGTCGTTTCACCCCTGGTACCTTCACTAACTACAACACCCGTTCTTTCCGTGAACCTCGCCTTATCATCTGTACCGATCCCCGTTCGGATTTCCAGGCCATCAAGGAAGCTTCCTACGTCAACATCCCCGTCATCTCTCTTGCTGACACTGATGCTCTTCTTCAGTTCGTTGACGTTGCTATCCCTACCAACAACAAGGGTAAGCACGCTCTCGGTTTGATCTACTGGCTTTTGGCCCGTGCCGTTCTCCGTCTTCGCGGTACTCTCGACTACTCCACCGCCTGGGACGTCATGGTCGATATGTTCTTCTACCGCGATCCCGAGGAGATCGAAAAGGAGCAGGAAGCTGCTGCTTTGGAAGAAGCTGGTGAATTCTCCACCACCGAACCCGCCACTGGTGACTGGGCTGTTGAAGGTGAAGCTGCCGATGTCGCTGGCGTCGCTGCCGACTGGAACGCCACCCAGGCATCCGCTGACTGGGCCGAAGATGCCGCTCCCGCCGCCACCTCTTCCTGGGAAGCATAAATTTGTCAGGAATTTACAATAAAACACGATTTTTGATTGACGTTCTTACGAAACTTTTTGGGCTTAGCATTCTGATATATATATATATATTCATGGCTAGGTTCTTTCAACAACGTGGCAAAAGTTTAAAGTATCTGGCAATGGCAAGGGGAAATTGGTTATTAATGTCTAGCTGATGTGGGTCGCAGAATTCAAATGGATTCGACTGATACATTGGTGAAATGAGGAAGCGTTTTAATGCTCATGGATTGCACATAAAATGTGCAAGCGAATTGAGAATAGAATGTTGTTCGGCAATGTCTTGCGAAATCTTGTCTTTGTAAAAGCGAGAATGTTCACTGAGGTCTCGAAAAGGTAAATCGCCCATAAACTATAAAAGATGAAATATTTGACAGGAGCAAATGCCGCTAAACTTACACAATTTCAATAAAGCCTTAAAGTAACGCCATGAAACCATTATCGGTCTTCATGCCTTGCGACAAGTAAAAAAAAAGTCGATCAATGAATAATTGACATTAAGAAAAAGGGCTTGCCCCTCACAGCATTGGTTGTAGTCGTCTCATCAAAAAAAAGACACGGTGGTGAAGAGCGTGGACAAAGTTTATCGTTTAATCGATCGAAGCTTATTTGTGATCAAATTAGTAACCTTTTTTGGTTTGACATGGATTTCAGGGACTGGAACTCCTTCCTATGATGGAGATAGTGACACTTGATTGTCGGATGGTTTTAATTTAGATACAGTGCTCTATTCTCTGTGGAAAATATGTTCCTGACCTTCCTCCTCACCACTCCTCTGTCCTCTCCTTGTTTTTTTCTTCTCCTTCTACTTCACTCCATCTTGCTGATTCCACCATCATGACCACCGATGACTTTGGCAATCCTCTCAAAAAGTTCAAGCTCGTTTTCCTTGGAGAACAAAGTGGTAAAATACCAGAACAACCACTGACAAACAGCTTTCATAACATATCATGCTGATCAATAGTCGGCAAAACGTCGCTCATAACCCGCTTCATGTATGATACCTTTGATAACACCTATCAGGTATACTCATACTTTCGATAAAAACAAATTCAACCATGACTTAAAAAAAAAGCGATGTGTTCAGGCAACCATTGGCATCGATTTCTTATCAAAAACCATGTATCTAGACGATCGAACCATCCGATTACAACTTTGTAAGTCTCTCTTGTTTCTAAAAAAAAGAAGTAGCAACTCTGAAAGGGAAAGCGTTCATACTCAACAGATTTTAGGGGACACTGCTGGTCAGGTATTTTTTTTATCCGCGGACGAACAACAAAGGGTATCTGACAATGACCAAACATATATAAAAAACCTAATGCAGGAACGGTTCCGCTCCCTAATCCCAAGCTATATTCGCGACTCTTCTGTGTGCGTGGTCGTCTACGATATCACGAGTAATACCACAACCGCAGCATGGTTTCTAATAAGCGCACTGATCATGATTTTCTGTATCTTCTTTTTGGTTTTACAGATCGTAATTCTTTCACACACACGACCAAATGGGTAGATGATGTACGCGCTGAGCGGGGATCCGATGTGATCATTGTTTTGGTAGGCAACAAGACCGATCTTCACGAAAAACGGTAAGAAACGATGATATGAAAGTAAAAAAGGGGAGACTCGAAACTCATGAACGTTCGTGTTGGATTAGCCAGGTGACAACGGAAGAAGCTGAACGCAAGGCAAGACAGAACAATATCTTGTATATCGAAACAAGTGCCAAACTTGGCCATAATGTATGTAATGGAAACCCCGTGGATCGATGGGTCGAAAACATTGTTGACTTGTCATTTATAAAAATCCTAGGTAAAGGCCTTATTTCGCAAAATTGGCCATGCTTTGCCTGGCATGGAAAACCATCACAGTGACGATAAAGAACAACGTATGTATTCAAATGTGGTTCTATGAATACAAATGCATTTTGCTTTTTATTATACCTAACATGCAACTTAGTGACCAAAGTGGATTTAACGGATACATCGGAAAAATTTCAGGAAGAACCAAGCTTTTGCGCATGTTAGAAAAAGAGGGGGAAAAATGATGTAACCTTCTAGAAGTAGTACCGTATTCTCTTCCATATTTTTTTTTACTTTATTTCACAGCAAGGAGTTTGACCTACAGGAACGGGTAATCAAGTTAGTTAAACATAAAATAAAAGCACCCAACTGCTACAATCCCAAAATGCGGAAACTCACCTCAAAGATAAGAGTGGCATTACCGGGAATATCCGGGGGAGCACCACGTTTGCCATAGGCCAAAGGTGCGGGAATGGTAAGCTTACGTTCACCGCCAATCTTCATACCGGCAACACCGATATCCCAGCCCTTGATGACTTCACCACGGCCCAAAAGGAAGTTGAACGGTTTGCCGGAAACATTCTTATCAAACACCTTGCCATTTGTCAATTTGCCAATGTAACGCATACCGACCTAATGAAAGAGCAAAATTAGCTTCTGTACTCTTGTGTGCAAACGGGTCCTTCCAAGCATGTCACTTACGCGCTTGCCGCTCTTGGCCACTTCACCGGTACCAATTTTGATATCTTCGATTATTAAACCATTAGGAAGTTTCTTGACCGTGGACTAAAAAAAATGTGATACTTGAATAACATTATTCTCACCAAAGAAAGCTCTGCCTTTTGCTCACCTTTTCCTTGGCAGCTTCAGCCTTCTTCTTTTGTTCTTCAGCCTTCTTCTTTTGCTCTTCAGCCTTCTTCTTTTGCTCTTCAGCCTTCTTCTTTTGCTCTTCAGCCTTCTTCTTTTGCTCTTCAGCCTGCTTTTTTTGTTTTTCAGCCTGCTTCTTTTGTTTTTCAGCCTCCTTCTTTTGTTCTTCAGCCTGCTTCTTTTGTTTTTCAGCCTGCTTCTTTTGCTTCTCAGCCTCCTTCTTTTGTTCTTCAACCTCCTTCTGCATCAATTCGGCAGCCTTTTGTTTCTTGGAAGCGGGCTGCTGCTCGTTGGAGGCTTCGGCAGGACGCTTTTTCTTATCACCGGATGATTCAGCGACAACCCATTCATCTCCGCTTTCCTCCTCTTCGTCCTCGTCTTCATCATCATCCTCAGAATCCTCCTCTTCATCATCTTCATCGAGTTCCTCATCCAACTCCTCGTCGTCAAAATCCTCATCATCTTCGCTGTCCTCGTCACCATCAAGATATTGAGCTAAAACATATGTGAGCGCAATGATTCCAAAAAAAAAAGTTCTAGTTGGTCTGACAACATACCCATCTGTTCGGGGTCCATTCCCTCGGGCATGCTGTGGGAGGATATGATTAACACATGATCAAAGTTTCTCATTTTTTCACCAAGGTAACACCTACTCGGCCCAATTTTCTTCATCGCTCTCCATTTCTTCATCATCATCAGAGTATTCATCCTCATCATCTTCAAAGATATAGTTGCCAGTGAGATGGATAGTGCTAAAAGAACAGTAAGTCGTCAATGTGCTTTTGGTTGTGTTCTCCTAATTAGCGTTTGCCGTCAACTTACTTGTCGCCCTTTACGTAAAAGGTCACTTCCTCGCCTTCGACCAAGGTAAGATCTAAAGGTTGTTGCTCGGTCTATGCATAATGATTAGAACCATGCCGATGGTTGTGCTACTAGCGGGAATGGATCTCACCTTTTCGGGAACCAAAGAGCACAAGGCAAAATCATTCTTGTCCACCTTGACACAAAGGGTACTACGGTCCTTGCTGGAAATGGTGTCTGACAAAGCAGCCTAAAAAGACGCACATTGCAGAAGATGAGTTTTCCGGGACACCAAATGAGTGCTGAATGTCACAATTAAGGCTTACCATGGACACACGGAAAGGTGCCGACACGATTTGAGTATAAGTTTTACCGGGAACACACTGAAGACCCCAAAATCCTTGAACAGACATAGTAAAAAGATAAAAGTGAATATGATCTGGGAAGAGATGTCAAGCCAAAAAAAAAAATTGGTTTTGGACAATAAAAAATTTAGTATCGTTCGAACGCTGTGGTGACTGCTAACGAATTTATTGTTTCAAGGAACGCCCCTTTTTCTTGAAAATGCATGCTTCATCATTCGTTGTTCACACTTCTACAACTTTGTTTGAATATAAACATATGCTCGATCACAAATAATTGTCTTCAAATTTCTTAATTTATGATATTCAATACGCATTACAATCAATTTTCTTACGGTGCTGATCCTTTTCCACGATATTATCCTTTTGTTATATTGCTAGGTGGAAGATTTCGTGGCAGTTGAGAAAATTGGTCTGTAAAGGATTTCCTTCCCTTTGTGAAAAGTTAAAACTGCTTTTTATATCATGTATCAATCAAATTTTTTAATCAAGAGGTAGCTATTTTATGCGATGCTCCAATTTTGGCGCCAGTGTCGGCCAGCATATGGTTTGCTGGATCCTTGTATACCAAAGGCGACAGGAGCAAAATAGAAAAAGGTGCCTGTAACAGCAATGAATGCAGCAGCGTAAACCGCGTTTCGTACGCGCGCCGAGCTCTTGCTGGTTGCGTAGTCAAGCAGGTACGGAACCATGAAGATACCAAAGTAGAGGGCAGGGAAGTAATGGTGCAGGTACAGAATTCGGCCCATGATAAAGAACGGGATGTAGTGAAGCAGCCAACCCGACAAGATGATTTTTCCAACCGAATAAAATCTAGCCCATTGAGCTGGCCAGCACCGCGTAATTTTTTAGTGAGCGATCTCCTCGTTTCTCGATGGATTTGGATACCTTACCTTTCGAAAAGTCTTTGATATTTCGCCGCATGCGAATGAGACAGATAAAAACGGTAGCGACAAACGTACTGAGGGCCAGACCCGCCGACCACCATACCACGGGATTGCCCAGCATGTAATACTTAGGTTTCTCATCGTCCCAGGAGCACATGCGAAGACCGACTGATAAGAATGGCCAATCGGTTGGCTTGGACGCAAGATTATCAATTTTCTCCGGGTCCAAGACCAGCGCATTGTTGGATCGCCACATGGCAATATTGAGGTGCAAAAAGTCTTTGAAGAAAGGCGATTTGAATGTGTTTTTCTCCGCCGGAGGCACTGTAAAAAAAAAGAAGCAACGTATCAATGGCACGGCCATGGCAATTGACCTTGGCTACTTACAAGCGTCATGTTTATGTTCTTCGATATTCCACCAAGTGCGAGAATCGTCTGTGTGATTACTTCTGTCACATCCTACTTCAAGTTGTCGGAAACCCCAGGCCGGCAAAGATACTCCGTTGGTGGTCAACAAACAATCCAGTAGGACGTGTCGTAGACGGAACGTTGTTTTCAGGGCCTGGACACGCTGATTTTCATTGGTTGATGGGTCCTTGACAATTTCAATGCGCCAATTATCTTTTAAATCGCCAACCGTATCGTTGCCATAACCACTGACTTCCCATTGGCTTGAAGTGAGAGGGGCAGGGATACGATGACTGTGAAGATTGCGTTGCGTGGCGGGATGGTATAAGCGTATCACATCCCCATTTTTAACGAACCGTACGACGGTTTCCTCTGATGCCTCTTGCACTTTCAAATTCTCTTGAGGACTGTTTCGAGCAAAGCGAACCTGCCACTCATTGTTCCTATCTTTGTGATGATAGCTTGTCACCTGCTGTTGTCGGGAACCTTCCGGATAGGTTTGGACGTGAGAGTGGAGTAAGCCGCCGCCATAACCGATATTCTTTATCGTTACAACAGATCCGTAAGCCAGCTCTAAAGTCCCAACATGTTAAATTAAGTTACCCACAAAACAAAATGCATAGCCTTCAATGAAAATTAGCCATACCGAGCGGATTATTTGCCAAGGAATTTCCTTCCAATGTGGACTGAAATAATGAACTCATGACGGCATCGCCCGGCCCGGATTTGGTGAGGATCGCAAAATGAACTGCGAAACTGGCAATGTAAATCATGGCAGGCAGTCCAATCAAGCAAACGGCTCGCGCGATCCAATGGCACAAGTACGTCTTTTTGGGCATTTGTACATCCCCCAGCAGATCCCACAGTTCCTCGACGGTGTAAAATCCAACCAGGGCCACAGCAAATAAACCGACCCACTTGACACTTATGGTAACAAATGAAGGACACCATTATTACAGATAAATGGGAATTAACCGTTACAAAAATTTGGTTTTGGGAGCTTACCTTAGCACGCAACCCAACGACAAACCGGTCAAGGACAGCCAGGTCCACCAGGAGCGCGAAAACGGCTTGTCTGACTGATTACGAAATGTCGCCAGAGTATACAGGGACGTGCTCGTGAAAAACAAGAGCAACGAGTCCAAGAGAATGAATCGGCTAATGCAGAGATAGGCGGTATCAAAGAGAACCATGGAAGCGGTAAGAAGACAAGCTTTCTGGCTCATGTGAAATTGCTGCGCCGTCAGATAAGCCAACGGCACCAACAAGGCTCCCCAGGTGGCAGTAAATATGCGCATCGACGTGTAGTTGACGGTGTCCGGATACATCGCCGCTGAATCAAACCCAAATGATCCATCATAGCCTGTCAAGTACCCTGATAATGCAAGCAGCATCTTTCCGAGCGGAGGATGCACATCAAAATAAAACTCCCTTTTCAGATAATATGAAGCGAACTGAATCCAAAAGCTCCTGGTCAGTAACATCCTCTAGATCTACTCAAATAATTGGATCTCACCTTGCCAAAATGAGCCTATTGGCAGCATGTAAAAAAATATATGCGCATGAATAAGCGAAAAAGTAAAGATTTAATAGTTTTTGATCGACCGTTACCTCGTCCCACACGACAAAATTGGATAATCCGATCAAGCGAAATCGGGTCCACAGAGAGAGCAGGGTCAATGCAACTGTTGTCAGCAAGCGTTGTTTCTCCTGGCAGTAAAGCAGCCACTATGCATAAATTTTAATGATCCGATCGTCGCTTATTGCCGTGTAAGACAAACTTACGGTTCTGTTTGGGGATGGCCCTGATTTCAGTGTTTTTTCCTTTTGTATATTGTCATCAAGATCATCATGGTCCGGGCTCTGCAAAGGAATGGGTTCAAATGGTCCAGGTATGGGTGATAACTGAAACGCCTGGTACGGATGTCTTCTTTTGAGATTATCCATTGGAGAAGGAGAAGCTCAGGGGATAATCGCTGTCGGTACATGCCTGACGAGTTTTTTATTTGCCAAAAAAAAAAAAAAAAAATTGACGGCAGCCATACTGCATTTTTTAATTTGCCCCGAAAGGGGACATTAGCTATGTTCGTGCTTTCCATCTTCTAGTCGCTATAAAAATCAAACGTCCACTCCATGATTGTCATGGTATGAACGAGTCTTGCAATTCCCCACCGCACTCGTACATTTATTTGTGCCTTGCTTTTGTTGCTAAGCATCAGTAGATCGCTTTAGCACGGATTAAATTAGTTCCTAAATGAGCTTTTCAGTTTATTGTCATTGAAACTGAAACAAGGCCGCGCTAGATCGTCAAGTAGGCAATATAAAAAAAAAGAGCACCGTGTGCAAAAGGGCTCAGTAAGCAGTGGCGCTAACACGGCCAATTCGTCAGAATTCTGAACTGACTATGAAGCTGACTGAGAGGTAACCATTTCCATCTTAACGCACCAGTACTCGATCCTCTGGCGATGATTACTTTATTTTCAGAAAACAAAAAATAAAGCGCGCTCTTTGGAGCCCGCAACGATATTTTTAATATGCACAATACAGGAATTTCAAAGTTCATTTTTATTATTATTAGCAGCGTCGGTAAATGCGTGGCGATCTGCAAAGGAAGAGGTATACATTTTGAAATATTTGTTATCCGCCTTAACCCAACCGAATGCAAGGAGCCGATATGACTGGAGAGGGTTCGGCTTGCATAAAAAAAGCTGACGGCCGGGTCGACACATGTTTGTCAAGAATATGGTAGATAGCATCGTCCATATTGTCCTTGGCTTCTCGCGTCAGCTTGGAAAGACCATCCGGAGTTCACATCCCCCACGATATTTGCCGCCTCAAGACAAAGAAGGTCGTGTTCTTTCCAGGTGAACCATATAGCACATGGATGTCCTCCTTAAAACCCACATTTGCTTTATCGCATAGTCGTTTTCGAGCCACCACACCAGCCTTCGGACTTGACCTTGTTAAGCTTTCGATAGTCGTCGCAGACTCGTAGTTGGCCACGAAAAGTATCGGTGCGATCCATTCACCATTAAAAACCGTAGGATTCGCCAATCTTCATCGTAAAACCCATGAACGTCAATAATGGCTTTCAACATAGGTGTTCAGGCTTGAGCAATAATGTCGTTTTTCGTGACGCGGTCAGCGTTGGCAGGATCGAAAAAGGAAATCATCAGAAATGACATTAAACAATTTTCTCACTACAAAGAGCCGACCTTGTGTATATATTCCTACGGTGATATCTCATGTTTGAATAACCAATCTCAGCTAAATGCGACTCGATTATACGGCATGTGGCAGCGGGTGGTTCGGTAACTGTTTCCCAAACAACATCATCTTTGCATTTGAGGAAATGTTTGGTTGATGACGCATCGCCAAGAATGGAAGGCAGACCGCATTTCATCCAACGACTTTGATTTTTCGATATGAGGCACCACCTTGCAATATCTTGAAATATTGAGGGCTCCATGCTTGATTTTGATGCCTAAGGTAGAATTTTGAAGATAGATGTCATCTCTTTAATAGAGGCGTAAAAACGGGATTGGGTTGGCTGGCTGCGTTGCCTTCTTGTCATCTGCTTGTTTAAGATAGGATGGATCAAATCAGTTCAATTTGTTTGGACCAATCAAACATACTCCACTGTCTAAAACACAGCGAATAATGATTACATACGAGTCGATCTAATGAATATCGAGCAGTTGCACTTACTGATATGCAGCATCAGTGGCGGTGAAGATATGACTCTTTCTCTGTTCCTTGTGGTCCAGGACTCTATCCGTGTCACAGCTTGTGATGACCGATCGCAAGCTTACCATTTTCATCCATTAGTGTATGTAAAATGGCATCACAATTATCAATAGACTTACCGGGGTCGATTTCGGTGACGCATGCTGTAGCATCGAGGTCATTTGGCTCCTTTCGCAAAGGATAAAGTTCTCGGGTCCAGTTGGACATGTTGGGCTTGCGCGGAAGTAAATCGAACTCCTTTTGGACGATGGATAAGGAGCTATCGGTGAGATCCTTTGAATAAAATACAATACCTCCTAAGGAAACTTACAACGATCCCAACGTTCGCAAAACTTTGCGCTGGTCATCGCCCTGTCTGTTTCAAGGCTATTGGCAAATTGCGTGTGCTTCATGACGTTGTTGTCAATATGAGCTGGATTACCAATGACCAGATAGCAATAGCGGAGTGATAAGTATAATAAGGAAGAAGAAGATGCCGTTTTATCCTTTCCAGCTTTGTGGATTTTTATATTGATGAATGGTATGGTGGATAAACTCAGATAAAAGGAAGGTTACAATGGTTATGGGGTGATGCCGAAAAGGATGAATATTACCTGATTGATCAACAGAAAAAGGGTCACCACAATGGGGCCAGCTATTTTTTATTGCAGAAAAGTAACACGTTAGTTGATTTTCAAGGTATTATCAGTCATTGTCATGACCTGTTTTCACTCCCAAGTGGCAGCCGTTTTGGACAAACTTTATCGAGGTCAAAATAGTTTCCCATAGACTTTCTTGGATTGTTTGATTTTGGTAGGATTTTTCAAAGGAGGTTTTGGCAATGAAACGTTCGTGTGGTTCAAGTTCGTACCTTCCACGCTTCATATGCTATGATCGTATCTTGCTTAGCCAAGTCACAGAATATTCCTGTATGTTATTTACCGACCTTTAAGCCTGCAGGCACATTGTAGACTGACACACATGCCACGTTCAGGAAATAGAATAACCCCAGGTGTAAGTTGAAGTAATGGCCGGTCACTGTACCCCCTTTTTTCATCTCTCGTAGTCTCGTTGATTCGAGTGTTTTTCCTTTTTTTGGACGAAGGCTTCACTTTTGGATGTCTAACACAAATATTGACAATGCCATATGGTGATATGGCCCCAAGAATGGTTGTCGTCTTTGCTCTTGTCTTAGGCACCTTTATATTAGCAAGTTTTCCTTTTTGTCCATCCAACGTACATTTGGGGTTTATATGGAATGCTGCCTCGTCAATAAAACACAATTGCTTGTGAAATCAAAATCAGTCTCCAACCATCGAGTTACCCAATTGGATCTTCACCAATGTTTCACATTTTCTTGATTGTTCAATGTGCTGAAATTCGTGCTATACGCCAAGCACTGTATCGTATAACAAGGCCAATTCACACTTTCCTGGTACTGAATTTTCTGTTATACGCCAGGCACTGTATCGTATAACAAGGTGATTTCACACTTTCTCACAGATGATTCGCTGAGGACTCGACTGTGCAAGCGTGTTATACTTCAAGCACTGTATTGTATAACTAGGCGATTGTCGATTCACCCCTGTTCTTTTGTCCGTTCATGCAGTTTTTCTATTGTACATACTGCGAATAACATACAAGCTTATTTCATCTGATACTTCGACCCTTAGTGTAGCGCATTTTGTTTCTTACCTTATGGAGTTCCCGGTTCAAAACACAACGTGTCTAACTCGCTGATTTTTATGTCGTCTTAGGAAGTCTCTATCTGTATCAGGCCTATGATTGGCCCTGACACGGATTCGATAAATTCCGTGTACAATTCGTCATGCAATTCAAGCGTCAATGCCAAGAGTGCCTTTTACCAGTAGCGACTCCGTCCTAAGGAAATGACATGATACTGGTCCAGCTAGGGCGACTTTGCTCCTTGATGTTTTTTAGAGCTGTAGAATCCCAAATAACCAACATCTAGTTGAAAGGGCAACTCTTCTGATGTTGAAACAAAACAAATATAGCAAATCCTAAATCAAGGGCTATTGGCGTTGGATGGATTACGCAGCGGCCGCAAAGGCACTCATTGATGGAGGTCACGAAATCTTTTTCATTTCTTGAAAATATTTTCGAAATCTTCATTACAGCACTTATTTAAATGGTTGGAGTTTCTGGATAGGAATGTCTGATAGCCTTGCTCTTGAGCATTGAATGAAAAACGAATGAAAAAAACTCTGGTCGCAATTTCACGCCTGCATAATCCGCGCCAGTATCTTTACTGGTCTTTCTTCACCTGGAAGTATTGCTCTACAAAGGGGACCACTATGCAAGCCTGATTTTGACGGCGAGACAGCAACAACATCTGTCGGCTCAGCTCCGGGTTTATTCAACAGTGAATTGTTTCCCCTTGCCCACCCTTGCCACCCGAAAAAGCTTGATGACTTTTGAATGCAGATAAACGACTTTACTTTCTGAATTGATGGACATGGCGGCCTGTTTTTGCTTCGATGTTCCAGGAAAGGAAATAGATACCTATAAAAGGAAATGGTCAGCTGGGTGGACGAAATAGAAGAAAAGCAGATATGGCTCAGTCTCAGGTTTTCCCCCGCTTTCAATACCCACTTGTTTTTCCTTCCTCCTTTTTTATATCTGTGTGGGGTCTGTCCGAAATGTACTCACCGACTCAGCAAGAATTCAACCTGGAACCGACCGACCACTTTTCTCAAGCTTCCTTGGGCACACCACACACTACCGTGGGAGCGGTCCCTGTGGGACGCAGTAACCGAGTGTTCAACCCATCTCAGTCTTATCAATTGCACCAGCGGCAAAATAGCTTTGGTGCGGCTTCCATAGCCATCAGTCCTCCCAACGCCGCCACCGCAGGAAGGGGCATTCCGTTCACGGATCCCAACAACTCGGCATGGTTTGGTACATCCCTCGACTCGACGAGCTCATCATTTGGTCAGTCACCTATTTTCGGGGGCAGAGACGTTATTGTATCACCCTCCACATCGGCAAGCCATTTGGACGGGTTTACAGGCACAGAGGATGATGAAATGCAACAAAGAAAGTGAGTATAAACTGTTCTGCTTCTTCACATACAACTTGGGCTGCGTCCTATTGGATTTGCTCATGTGCCTTTTTTTTCTTTTTCATCTGCATATAGTTTACAAGAGATATTCGAGAAACGACGTCGACGACGGGAATCCCACAATGCCGTAGAAAGAAGACGACGTGACAACATTAATGAACGAATCCAAGGTACAGTATTCAAGAGAAACTAAAGCATGAAAATTGGAACCCATCACTCAATGGTAAATGCATGACCATGGTTTTTTCCATGAACTTTTTTTTTCGCCTAGAATTATCGACACTATTGCCTGAACATCTACTTGAAACGGCGCCGACCACGTCGAATGTGATGGCGGTCGCGGGAGCGCAAAATGGGGCAAATGGAAAGGCTATCAACAAAGGCACCATTCTGAAACTGTCAGTGGATCACATCAAAGAATTGCGTGAGGAAGTGGTGCGATACAAGGAAAAAATTCAGGAATTGGAACGCATGGTGGAAGCCGCTAAACGGGGAGAATTCATTGACGACAGCCATCTCGACCAAAAATACGCACAGCAACCAAGATTATCCAAAGCCGATCCCTTTTTCACTCAACCGCAGTCACTTTCTTCCCACCCACCACCACCGCTTCATTCATCATCCCAGTCTCAACATCCTCATCAACAGCAACAGTCGCAACAGCAACCATCAGCCGTTCACTTGATGGACACTACGCCTCGTCCAAGGCACGAACGTATGGGATCGTTACAGTTCCAGCAACAGTTTGTGAATATGCATATTGGGGGTGGCCCTGATGATACTAGGCAAGCGTAGAAAAAATTCATCGTCCATTTCTACTTGTGCCATTTTTGATTTTTTTTTCTTTATAAATACGTATCTTCTGCCATTATTTCTGATCCGCGCACATGATCTGATCACACTGGATCGACGATTTTCTACTAACGTCAATTTTTTTTGTTTATGTATGGATACGCTTATATAATTAATGGGAATACATTTGTTTTCTTATTCTATGTATCAAAACGTGTCATCAAATATTCGGTGGTTCATACACAATAACTTTTTGCGCTGAAATCCGACGCATAAACTGAAACAGCCGCTTGGGGGTGGGAGGGAAAGGGCTCTGCTGAGTTGACTTTTTCTTCAGAGCTTTATTCCTTTTATGCTGCTTCATTTTTTATTTATTTATAAGCACTAGTTCTACATTATCCCTCGTTTATGCTTTTATATAAGAAGGGCGGCATCCATGGCATCAGAAGATGGGTCGTGTCGTTTGCCGTCTGTAAACGGCGAGTGGTATGAAAAAAGCGGCCGACAGTCCGGATGCGTAAGATACTGATAGTCTAACCTAGCGCGACGCTTGCCTGCGTGTCTGACTGAACTGGGAGGTTGTTTTCAATCCAGTTGAGAATCCCCCCTTGAAGGTCATACACATTTTTGAAACCCAGTTCGATCGCCTTGGCAGCCGCCAACCGGCTACGTCGTCCCGAACGACAATAGATGATCAACTGAAAATTAACAAGCAAGCATAGGTCAGTACCTAAAACACACAGTATAATCGATCTTTACTAATTTACCGGAATCTCTTTGTTGTGAACAAGAAAACGGGCGACGAGCGCATTCGAATCGTGCTCGGCTAATCCCCACGGAATGTGGATAGAATCGTATATCTGCCCCTGATTTTCAATCTCGTGCTGCTCACGGACGTCGACCAGAGTTAGATGGCCAGCCCATGCATCGCGAGAGTAATTATAACGAGCTATCCATTCATCAAGTTCTGGGGGCGATAAAACGTTCATGATCAGATGTGAAGAAAGAGGAGAAAAATAAAAGAACTATGGCATCATTTAATATTGCATCGTTTTGATTCGTTCGAATCAGCGATTCGAGCTCCTCTCCGCCAAAAGCAGAAAGCGTGAGTGACAATGAGCAGTCATCCCAAGTCGGCCGAAACTACGACAGCGCAAGCAGGCCTCCATCCCTTTTTCCATGGGCGTCACTGCACAGAAAAGGGGTTCACTATGGACTGTTGCATTCTATTTGACGGTTTACGATTACACAATTTTGATTTTTGAACAGCATCTTGGCTTTGTTCTCCGCACCCATCGTGCTCAAAATCACCCAGATAGGTGTGATGCTTGCAACAAATAATGCCAACATCGAGCAATGAATGGACTGTCAGATATCTTGTATACAAATTACGATAAGTACCCTGCCAGATACCATAAACAACGGTATTTCCAAAAGCAACCCTGTCTTTAACATGTCCACCCACGGCTCTGTGTGCGCGTATCGGTTAATATAACATTTGTGTCACTGACATTGCCGAGGCTAGAGCTTGAACCCATGCCCAAGTTAACCTGCTCAATCCAAGAGAGTGGTACTTCCAGAAAGGTGCCATTCCAGTTATTTTTTGGATGCACGAAATCATCAACGGTTACATGATATTCAGTTTTTTATGATGTGCAATGAATTTTTCTATTTACCAATGATCGATGGATGGATAAGGAACGATTTCTATTTTGCCGTTCTTCTTTTTTTCTTCTTGCCACTTTTTGAAAAAGGCGCCCATTTTCTCTCGACTTTGTTCGCTTCCGACATTGACGGTGGGAACGATTCGATGGATATCCAAACTGGCGATAAAAGCCGCCAATTCACGGAAACTCGAATGCTCGGAATACGGTACGCCAAAAATCTTGATATGTAGGCTGGAATACGACGGTTTCAATGAAACCGACACAGCCGAAGGGGGAGCCGTGATTTCAGCCAAGCTCGCAATAGTCATAGTTCGTGACCGACTGGCGGATGAACTAAAGGTCCATCCTGTAGGGCGAAAAGCAATCATTTCCGTAAAACACGGTTGCAGGCTGTGAAAGTAGGCAGAGAGGTTCTGTCATGAACATGGATTATTAGGACCATTGCCCGTTATGTTTTGTAAAAGTGAGATGCTTTTACCTCGGGTTGGATATGTTGCAAGGGAATAACATGCACTTGGGCAGATCGTGGATCGTCCGTCAGCATGGATGACAGCTCAGGGTTATCCAAGCAGTCAATGATGTATTTTTTCTTATCGGTAACAAATACTTTGCTATTTAGTGTCTTGGCAATATCTGTAAAATTCAAGCATCCTAATTAGCGAGTGACACCATTTAGGAATAAAGCTTTTCGGGTGGAGCTTACTATAAAACATCTTTTCTTTGCCGATAGAGTAGGTTCCCACGACGACCAGTAATCGCTTCTCGGGAGTTTCCGCGGCCTCGGACGAGGTTGTGGTGAGGGTGGTGGTTGTTTCAGTCACCAGTGTACTTTCCTCATCCGCAGTTACTGCTGTCAGTTTCTTTTGGAACCATTTCTCGATCCGATTTTGTCCATCGTCCATTTCTTCCATGCCGGCGTATTGGCGTACGAGTTTGCACGCCGCTGCCACGGATTCTTCCTGAGCGGGAAAGGCGTATTTTGGATTGAGATAGGTAGTGTCGAGGTATAAGATATCAATGATGGGGTTCTCGGGTTGTTTGATGCTGGGATGGAGACACATCCGTGGGTTCGCTCTAAAATCGCCCGTGTGCAAATAGCGTAGTGTTTTGCCATGAGGTTGTGGTACTTTAAATAAAAATAGGACAGAACCCGGACAGTGGTTGGCATCAATCAGCGTTACCGTGACATCCGATCCCTCGAGTTTGCATTCTTGGTCCATGGGTAACGGATGCAGCAGAGCAGGATCCACGCCCAGCTTTCGATGGCACAAATTGATGGTGATCTGCGAGGCGTAAATGGGACCATGTCTCCATGCTTTCGATAGATAGGTGTAATGATCACCGTGGAAATGCGACAGAAAATAGCCTTGGCAACCAGGAACTTCGCCATAACTAAAAGCATCGACAACAAACGAAGTGCCTATAATGCAACCGTGTTTCAGTAGCTTGTCGCCATCAAATCGTCTCAGCCAAGCGATTACCTGGCAACCGTTTGTACATCGGACATCCTCGCTTCTTATACTCTTGGAGATGATGTGTCTGCGCTGCTGCCTTTCTCGCTGCTCTCTGTTTCTTGGTTTCACCAAACCAATCGGTGCTAGAGGCCGGTTCTCGTAGTCCGGGAGCCACATCTTCGTTGGACGTCCAAATGCCACTGATCTTTCGTGGAATATCTTGAAACAACTGCGTCCACGACGACGCTTGGCCTTTTTTCTCTCGATCGGACGATTCCGATTCCGTAGGTTCCTCACCGTTGAAAGACAATGCTTGATCTTTTTTCTCGCGATCCGACGATTCCGAATCTGCACGTTCGTTATTGGAAGACGAGCGATCGTCATCAAGACACTCATTCACATGCACTTCGAATTCGTTGTCAGACACTGAAAGGACTTTGGCGCATACGGGGCATACTTTGCTGCTATTTGACTTCTCTGTATGCTCCGTGGATTCGCTATCGGACGAAGGTGTTACTTTTTCAGCTGCTGACGCTTCCGCCGCCTGCAGTGAGAGAGCAATGGCTTTGGCTAGATCAGCATCATACGCATGAGCCGTCGACGATGTTTCACGATCGCTGGATAACGGTGACGCTGCGGAACCATGATTTGAAAAGTAATCCTTTAGCGTGGAATGGCGTGGTTTGCTGCTACGACTCGCGGAACCAGTGGTCGATTCCGCTTTCGATCGTCGTCGCTTTCGATCAGCGTTTGCTAGATCGCTCATGTAAAAGATTCCGCAGCAACTGCAACCAGTCCTGTCGTTCAATTTTTTTTTTTTTTTTTTCATCGGACGCTTCCCAAATTTGTTGTTTCTTTTTTTATTTATTTACTATGATACAGAGCCAATAACAATGTGGGTGAAAGCGATCAGCTGTAGTTCAACGGAGAACAGCGTTGCAGTATCGCTTCACGCCAATGAACAAAGTCTTTATATTGTTTGGATTCACGATAATCCTGTCGTCCGATCATCGATACAATGCCAGTAACAGGTTTTGCAGTATATACAGTGGGGGGCGTGTCCTTTGCAGCCTTGGCTTGTCGTTTGCTTGATGAAGATGATTTATGCTGTTTTTGTTCTGCATCTTCTTCCTCTTCTGCTTCTGTTTCTGCTTCTCCTTGTCCTTCCTTTCCTTCATTGTCCTTCGCTGAATTGGCTTTTCTTTTTTTACTTGTCCGAGCTGTTGCTGGCTTGGTGTTTGTTTCTTCCTTTGCTGTTCGTCTTGAAGGTCGAGGAGGTCGTCGCGACGTGGTGTTACTTTTGAGCTCAGCGATCGACGTGTCACACACGTCTTTTATCACCTTGATGCTCTTATTCAGTTCTTGTAAACTACATGAACAAAGCGCATGCAGCTTGGATTTATCCAAGGTTTCCTAGATCAAAACAACATATGGATCAATATAGAGGTTTTAGGTGAATCACAGACATGCACAGTTAAATCTTACGCCGAATGCTTTGGCACACACGTAAACGGTGGCGCCTTTCCACTGTGGCTGCTGCAGCTGTTCTTTGGCGGACTGTCGATTGGCGACACTGAGTCTTGTAATATATTTCTCGGTAAATGTACTGTATAAGGCTTCCACTTGCTTGATCATGGTCGTGCATCCAAGTGCAATGGTGAGGGTATTAAAAGACACGGTAGGTTGCAGATTCAATTGTTTGCGCACATTGCTGATCGTGTTTTCGTAGGCGGCTTTGGTGCACGTAGCCAACTGCGCAGCCAGCTTGTTATCCCATCCCGTCTTTTCCAAACTAGATCGTCTAGCCATTAGTCTATCCGTCACTCTGCTGATTTGTTCTCGCTCCGTACCTTTCGAAAGCCAAGTGAATGCTAATTACGGGTTTACAGTTGGGACCGGCATCGAACACTTTGGGCGGTAATCGCGAACATTGTTGCTGAAATCGAAGTGCGCGTTCCTTTAGCTGCGTATCGTCGTCCAAATGAAGACGTTCCAGACAATGCAGTAATGCGTCGGACATGTCTGACGATGGATATCAAAGGAGAACCAAAAAAAAAAAAGAGGCACAGGTCTTTTCTGTAGAAATTCGTGTAACAAGCCACTCTGAGCCGATGACATTTTATGCAATGGATGAAAGACTTTTTGAATGTATGATTTATTGGTAGTATTTAGTGTATACAGTTAAGTGCGAGTTATTTAGTTTACATTGGCGGTCAAAATTAGTCTAGTAAATCGTCCGCTTCTCCTTCCATGAGTCTTTTGGCCACGACATGCTGCACTTCTTTCCAATGCACGCGTTCCTGATCGCCTGTGTCACGGTCACGGATCGTCACGGTATGATCTTCCAGCGACTGATAATCCACGGTAATACACCAGGGAGTACCAATCTCATCATGTCGGTAATATCGTTTGCCAATCTTGAGTTTTTGGGATTCTACCACTGTATACCATCCATGTCGTCGGAGGGATTTGGCGACTTTTTGTGTGATGGACATGAACTCGGGTTTTCCGGTGAGCGGCATTACCGCACATTTAATGGGAGCGAGACGAGGATGGAGTTTCAGCACGGTGCGAGGCGGCTTGTTTTTGCCCGAGTCATCACGGACTTCGTGGAACGCATCACAGAGGAAAGCCAGCATGGCTCGGTTTAAGCCGCATGAACTTTCTACGACATGAGGTACATATCGTGCCGGCCTCTCCTCGGGTATCATCGAAACATCGCCGTCGACATCAGCAGAGATTGTCGGCGTGTCTTCGATCACTTCAAAATTGGCATTGCTGTTGTTCATATGCTGTGTGAGATCGTAGTTACCACGGTGCGCCACGCCTTCCACTTCGCCCCATCCCCATGGGAACAGATACTCCACGTCAGTACATCCCGTGGCATAGTGGGCCATTTCGTTAGCCGAATGATCCCGTTGCCGGAAATTGTCGGGATGCGAAGCAAGCTCCATCCACCACTGGTATCGCTGTCGTCGCCAGTAATTATACCAATGCCGGGATTCCCAAGGCGCAACAAAATACTCGAGTTCCAACTGCTCAAATTCGGGCGTGCGGAAGATGCCATGTTCCAAGCGAATTTCGTTGCGGAATGATTTGCCCACCTGAGCAATCCCAAAAGGCGGCTTGGTCTTCATGGTGCGCACCACTTGTTCAAAATTGATAAACACCCCTTGCGCGGTTTCCGGTCGAAGGTACACCGTCGAAGGTCGAAGCACCTCATCCACCGCTTCACGAAGCGGCAAAGAATTGTCGGGAGAATGATTTTTGGTGGTCTGAATGACGCGATCGATGGGATCAATGGGATCGAGAAACGTCTTGAACATCAAGTTGAAGGGTCGGCTATCGGTCAAAAAGGGCGAGTTACTATCTGGTTCGACGTAGCCGTGGTAGTTGACGTTGAAAGGCTGACCGGATTCTGTAGCAAAGGCGATCATTCCACCCTGACCCTGCTCATCCGGCTGAGTCAATGCTTGCACTTGCAGCAGCAATTGATTATTTTTCAAAGTCATTAGAATACCAGGAGCAAGTTGTTCTTGGATGAGTTTCTGCCACGCCACCGCCGTAGCTTTATCAGGGGCGGTCAATGGAATATGGCCGCTTTTGTTTTCCTTGTCTGCAATAAACGTGAGCGGGGGTGCTTTATCGGGACGAAACCGTTCCTTTGTCAACGTGCAATCCACAAGCAAGTCGGTGAATTCGTCGACGTGACCGGATGCTTTCAGTACAGGATGAGGTGTAATAATGGAGGTGTCAAGACCCACGACGTCGTCGCGAAAGTAAACGTGTCGTCGCCACCATGAGTTCAAAATGTTCTTTTTCAATTCCACCCCCAAAGGACCGTAATCGTAGGCACCACGAAGTCCTCCGTAAATCTCAGCCGACTGATACAAAAAGCCTCGGCGCTTGCACAAATCAAGCAGTGCACGGAAACGTTGCGCCATGAAAGCCGAATCAACTGAATGAAAGCACGGTCCACTAAAAAAAAAAAAAAAAAAAAGGAACTGAAGGAAAAAAACGGTTCACCCCCGGTTGGACCGATTTTGGATACGCACAGTCACGGTCACGGTCGATCGATGTGGTTCCGACGTTTTTTTGCTTCCTTTTCATTATCAGCGATCCGTTGCCGATCACGTCAGTCGTCCGTCGTTATCCTCACCATGGCTAATCCGCGCGAACGTCCTGTAACGATGAATGCAGAGCAACGAAAAGCCCTCATTGACTCTTACAAACAATCGGGCGATTGCCAATTGTACGAACTAATGCAGTATCAATGCGAAGTGGGAGTGGCCAATATCGAATGCACTCCTTTTGTAAGGCTGTTTTTAAAGTAAGCCCATTCAAGGATCTTTTTGTCCTGCATGCATGCAGAGACAATGGTGCTGACCCATCACTATTTTTATTCTGGGGATAGATGCGCAGGCAAGCCAGCCACTGAAGTCACACCAGAGTACGACTATGGAAACGACGTTACCAGGTACGACTATATTTTATCAGTGTGGGTGGTCGATTTGAAACTGACAGTCTCTTCTTTTTTAGCGTACTGCCTGACTTTGGAAGTATTGACGATCGAAAGACACCACCTGGTGTGGTCATGATGGACGAAGATTCTTCAAAGGACCGATAAAGAAAAAGTTCACGGCCCCTATTCCCTCCTATCTGAGTTTCATCCCTCCAATTCTCTGTCCATTTTATTCTCTATTTTTATGCATACGCGTCTTTACCCGTCCCCAAGGTTTTCCCTTTCCGCACGTCATCCATCCTCTTTCCTTTAGAATGATGTATATATTGATTTTTCTGAAAAATGATCCAAGCATCTCATTTGCTGGGATCCAGAACGGAATGACCACGATCTCGATTAAATAGCAAGTGGCTAATGCTAATGCATCTATCAAAGCTGATAAATCGATCCAGTATCGTTTATCACTGAGCTACAACGACAACTATAAAGGCTCAAAACCATTCTGCAAAAAAATGTTTTGTTGTTATTTCAAATTACATCATGCGAGTTATACCGGTTGTGCTATTATTGAGTTTACTACTGATTGCTACGACGTACACCCAAGAAACACCCGACGCCGCGGCTGCTGCTGCCGCTAGTCTTTCGGATGCTTTGCACGGCGCTCTAGGTAATGCAATTCATCTGTATTGAAACGCCAGTGGCGTGGATTCATTCTTGTCGTAGGTTCCTTTGCGCTTATTGTCGGCCGTCAACCCACCCCGGCTGACGCATTGACAGGTGAACACCAGGTCAACGGCGATGTGACCATGGCTGGTGACCAAGCACGTACCCCACTGACACTAATCATTGGCGAAGAAAACATGGTCCGGGCCGTACAGAACTCCTTGAAAGGCGAAGTGCCCATGTCGGCCATCCCTTTGAACGATATATGGCAAAGAACTGATATTGTGCCCAATGCAGCTGTCGACACTACGGAACAACCTCCAAGCATACCCGATACTATGCCTGAACAGCAAGCCTCACAACAAAAAGTCTCACAGCAAGACGCCTCACAGCAACAGGTCTCACAGCAACAGGCAACGCAGCCTCAAGACACCCAGTCTCAACAACTGGCAACGCAACCACAAGCTGTTGACCAACCAGCACTGAATAATGTGGCACCCATGCCGGCGGAAAATGTGGAATCGCCGTCTCAGCAACAACCGGTGCCCTTGCCTGTGCCTGTGCCGGCTTCGCTTCCTCTTTCTCCAGGTCAAACGCAAACGCCTCTACCGTCACCCGTGACTCCAGTAACTCCAGTGACTCCAGTGGTATCTCCTACTGTTGCACCACGCATCACCACCGTGACGGACGTAACAAGGGTTACGGTGTTTACGAGCACCAACACGACGGCTTTTGTCACAGCCACTTCGTCCCAGCATTCCGTGCCCACCGTGAATGGGTCGTCCACTGTTAAGCAGTCGCATCTTGCTGCTGCCATTCTTACGTTTTTATCGATGATCTATTATGCCATCATTACTTAGAAGACTTGTTGTCTTTGCGTACCCAGTCTTTTTTAATTCCCTGTAATTCTTTTACTGTATAACTTGTGGACTTACTTTTCAAACTCGGTTGATGTTTTTTTGTCGGTACTCAACCCTAATAAATGCAATGATGATGAACTGATAAATACGTCAATCAGAGAGACCACCCTACCCTAAACTATTATTACAAGTGCTTCATCTCTGCATCAAAATCGGGCGATGTATCCCTGCAACTGCAGTCGAGCTGTAGAATGCACGAATTTAATAGGTTTGAAGGGGATTTCGTGTTACGATCATACGGCATGTTATCACAAAGGCTGGAGACGAGGATATAAAGTTAGAGAAAATTATGTGCGATGGCAAGCTTTTTATTCTCCAATGGGTAGATGGATGTAGGGATGCCAGCGTTTCGTGTCTTGACAGTATATTTAGATTTCTAGGGAAGGGGGAATGTTTAATACATGTATATCTGAGTAATGCGTATGAAGAAATACAGAAAAAAAAAGGTACAACAATAAAGACAAACAGAACGAAGTACAAGGGATTGCTTTCCGGTGAATGGTGATGGGAAATAAGAAAATGAGTATAAGATAAACTGGGTGCGAAAAAGGGCGCAGTTCCATCCAATGCAATGCGAAGTAAAAAGATCCAAAAAAAGCAGTAGACAAAAAGTGTTAGACGGCAAATGACTCTCCGCATCCGCAAACACCCTTGGCATTGGGGTTATGGAATACGAAGTGGGACGACAGCTTGTCTTCAACGTAATCCATTTCTGATCCGAGAACCGTAATTAATGCCTTGGAATCCACCAATACAGTAACACCTACAGGAGGATACAAAATATGAATGAACTGAGTTGCTTGCTCAATGTTTTGCACTTGTTACATACCATCTTGATTCACGATCTCGTCGAATTTCCCTTTGGTATCCGTAAATTCAAGCATGTAAGAATTGCCGGAGCAACCTTTCTGTTTCACACCCACTCGCAAATATTGAGGCGTAGGACCTTTGGTTAAATGCTTCAATCTGCTCACAGCAGCCGGTGTCTTTATCATAAAGAAAAACATTAGTACCCATGCTTCCTGAAGGCGAGAGTTAAAAAAAAAGTTGAATTACCAAAGTCAAAGCTGATTTTCTCAAACGTAATCGAGACGCACCAGCAGCAGGTTTTACAGAGTTGGCTGCAGCCTGTTTCACAACAGCTCCTATCGACATTTGAATGTAATAATTGCGAGAATGAGAATTCGACACACAAATAAAGACGAGTGGGAAGAGCCTCAACAAATCCCGAATTTTAAGGATTCGGACCTCCAAATATTTAATACTGATGACGTTGTTCATTTCTCCGCGTTTGATTGGTTATTTTGATATTTTGGTTCTTGCTCGTTTTGTGGGGTTGTCGTATTGATGATTCAGCAAAATGTCAGTGGTTCGTAACCATCGGGCGTCGAGATCGAGAATGCCGTACCACTTGTAAAGAACAGGTTGGGTTGATTTGAAGAGATTTACAGTGAATTTAGCCTATCATGACAATGGTGGACATGGGGAAAGGAGAAGGATGAGCTTTGTTTTGAACAAAGTGGTCGACCAGTTGTCCCAAACACAATATCCAGTATCAGCGCATCAATTTAACTTTCTGCAACAAAAATGCTTGGCATAACTGTAAACTATAATGATATTTTTCATTTCACTGCATAATCGACAGTTGATATTAGAATGGAAAGACTCTTCTTCAGATCGCTTTTGATTCGCTCTGGATGACGAAGCTTGGTATTTATTGACAAACTTTGGAAATCCCCAAACAGGGATCACCATCACAGCAGTCCATGCATTTTTAAACTTTAAATCGGCTAGTTTTTCCTTTACTGGAAATAAATTCTATGCACTGTGACAACGATTTTTTTTTACTTCTCTCTCCTGCCTCACCGTCTCTCCCCCGAAAAAGGGTTTCACAGACACTGTCTTTGTCTTCTTGAGCTGCTTTTCTACTCAAGCACATATGCCCTAATACTGTCACCCACTACTTCTCAAACTTTTGTAACCATCAAGAGAATTGCGTATGCAATTTGTACGGTTTACAGAGTGACATCAAACAGATGGCATGAAACATGCGGCAATGGTTATTGAAAAGGGTCAAAGGAGAAAAAAAAAGCTTGTCCATCCAAACCTGTCGAAATAAGATTTGCTCGCGTTTATCCGAAACAAGATACACAGATGAAGCTACTGGTATACACCCTTGGTACAACGACCGATGGCCGAGGTTGCAAGAAAGTACGAGTTCTACTGAAATTATCGGGTCTTCCATATTCCACATTGATTCCGATTCAATGTTACATATTTGCGGTAGGGATTGCGCCTTCCATATCCGTACATCAAGCACACGTCAATCCCTGAAAAACACTTGTAGTTCCACCGACATGTTGCCAAGTGTTGTCTGAATCAAGGGATAGGACGATCGTCGCTCATCATCGTCGGTCATGATCGCCCAATGTTTTATCGCCTGACCAATTATCACCGTTCTTTTTGAATAAAGTAGAAAAGCCAGAAAAAAATAATTGATGCAAAATGAGCGTAATGGCTCTTCAGAGACTCACCGGACTTTTGGACACCAATGATGGATGGATGACTGACATTCAAAAAAACTAGACATGAGCCATTGAGACTGGCTCCGCTTTGAATTGACGGAATTGACCGAAATAGAAGCCAATCCGTCGTTATCTTGTGGCACATGCCTCACCATATCATAAACTCAGATTCTGGCCTGTGATGATCGATAGAATATTTCTAAATGCTCTGCTTGATTTGCAACCACTCAGGTGATTAAACCCCAGATCATTTGGTTGATGTTGTTGTATTTATTTCCTAGGTTATAGATCGACAAGCATGGGGAATTTGCCAAGTGACGGGTGCACAGTTTTGATGACATGGACATTTGAAAGGAGGTCTTGGCAACGCTCCAAGTTGCAAGAAAATTACAGAAACGGGATGAATGTCGGAGAGGGTTTTTTCCTGACGGAACTCGTGTAGAAGCGTGAGTTTATGGCTAGGTCGAGATTCAAATTGCGTATAAATATCGAGTCGGAAAAAGTTTGTATTCCTTTTTCATTAAAAAAGGCGGATGAAGCTCAGCCATCCAGCGACGGCCCTTTAAGTAAAACATACAAAGAGCATGAAGTTCGCTAAACAGCTGGAGACACACAGTGTCCCAGAATGGAGAAAGGCCTATATAAATTATAAAGGATTAAAAAAAAAGCTCAAAGCAGTAGAAAAGGTAATGCCTTTCATTTTCAAACATCCTGTCTGGTTTTTTGCATCACCCATTTTTTTCTGCGGGCTCACGGAGAAATTCTACCTGCCATTTTCTTTGGCCAACACGAAAATAAATACCATAGTTTCGCAAAACGCATGAAGACACCGCCGCCATCAAACTCGATCAAGCCATTCTTCAACAACTCGACACCGACAGTGAAGCCGAAAATAGTGCAGATTACTATGATCGCGAACCGTGGCCAGGTGTGATGCGCCAAAATACATCGCCGGCCATTCTAAGCTCGGACCCCATACGTAAACGACCTTCCAACTTGGCTAAAGACGTCATTCGAAAGTTGTCGCTACGATTCTCAAAAGACGGTAATGAAGCGCATCGGCAAAGGTATCGGCCAAGTGAGTAGGAAGTTTTCAGTCTCTACTGGAACGTAAAAGAAACTCATTTTTTTTTCTTTGAAATTTTTTTTCCTCTGCTTTGATTATGGGAATGCATTGGGTCTATCAGTGTCACTGCACAACAGAGCATCATTGCTGGATCAGGTGCTGCTTCATGCAAGTGAGCCCGAACGCATGTTTTTTACTGCTCTGGATGACGACCTGGGAAAGATTTCTCGCTTTTACAATGGTAATCAAAAAAGAAAAAGTTCTTTCCCCTTGTTTGCATGATCGAATGGCATGGTAATAACTAATGTTTTGATTGGGATTGGTTGCTATAGAGAAAGAGCAGGAAGCCAAAACGAAACTTCAAGCGTTGAAAATGCAAATCAAATTAATTACGGATTATGCAAGTCAGCTATCGGATATGGGAGTATGTATGCCGAAAAGTTATCCGCAGTAGTCCAATGCATTTTTTTAACAGTGAGATATGTAGCCCTTGGATATGGCATCATATGAGCAACGTTTCAACCCTCTTCATTGGTTCAAAAAATCAAATCATCATGCTGCTGCGTCGGATGCATCAAGGCCTGTTCATTATACCGCCCATCATATGAGCTATAACGTAATAGCACCCCTATTGCATTCCCATATGCATATTGCATCACTCACTTTTATTTGAATCACTAGGTCGCTCGAAGCCGATTAAAAAAAGCAATTACTGAATATTATCGCAGCTTGGAGCTCCTCAAGTCTTACAAGGTAATACCTAAAACAACTGTCTGTTGATTATTTTTTACTAACAAAAAAAGACATCATAGGAACTTAATTTTACGGGTTTCCAGAAAATCCTTAAAAAGTTTGACAAGGTAGGAAAAAAAGAAGCTCAATGGACGACGAATGATTCCGTGATTCATGTGTACGGATAATAGACGGCGGGATGGAAAGCAAGCACGCTTTACATGCAAAAACTGAAAAAGTTTCATTGGGTGAACACGGAAGACTTGGAAGACGTTATTGAAAAAACCGAGACCTTATTTATCAATGAATTTGCGGATGGTCGACGTAGAAGAGGCATGGCCAAATTGCGCGTGCCTGAACAGGACGAGGTAACGTAGATTTCACCCGTTGCAGCCAGTGAGCGACATGTCGGTTTTAATGCGATTTATTGCTACGCTTATAGACTTACACCTCCAATACCTGGCGTGTTGGATTTTATCTTGGTCTGGTGCTCGCTTTATTACTTCGTGTATATCAAATTGGTAGGTTTTAAAAAACGAGTGCCGCAGCATCCGTCGTCCAATACATGTATAATTTTGTAACACTGATGGTTTGCCACAGCCTCCGATCAAGGCACGCCAGAAAAATTACCCTACATGTATTATAACCTTCAAATCTATGCCTGCATTGCTCTGCCCATCTTGTTCGCCCTTGGATTTTCCGTCAACCTACTTGTCTGGACGAAATCTCGAATCAACTACAAGTTTATTTTTGAATTAAATCCAAGAGACAACTTGGATTACCACGAATTTGCAGAGGTAACAGATAAACTCTGAACAATCCCTGGCTTGCGTGTTTCCTCATCAACGCATTTTCCTACCTTATAGTTACCCGCCCTCATGTTATTGATCGTCTCCTTTATTGTGTACCTGGATTTTTCACAAACCTTGGCTCCAGCCGTTCCCTCGGAGCTGTGTCCACTTTTCCTTGTCATTCTACTCCTTGCCATTATGCTTTGTCCATTCTCTATTCTATACTATTCTTCCAGAAAATGGCTAGGTGTTGCTTTGGTAACTGCTTAATGGTGGATACAGGAAATGGAGGATTCGTACTCATCAATTCCTTGTAGGGCCGCATTGTTCTCAGCTACTGTTACCCTGTAGAGTTTCGTGATTTTTTTATCGCTGATGAACTGAATAGTTTGTCGTACTCTTTCTGGACATTGGGTTACTTTTTCTGTGCTTACTGGCGGCATTGGACCGATTTAGGTATGTCTCTGGACGGCACAGGATGCATTTTTTTTAACTGATGCACTTTAATTCGCTACTGTAGATGTCCAATGTCCGGTTAGCACAATGTTGATTACACCGTTTGTGGCATCTTTACCACCATGGTGGCGTTTGCTGCAATGTATACGCCGCTATCAAGATTCGAGGCAGAAAGTACATTTGGTGAACGGTGTAAAATATACCACCAGTATATTAGCTACCATGATCACTGGTTTTCGAAGATCGTATCGTAAGTTGCATTGGACGATAGATAAGAAAAGGCGATAAGAGGTTGACCAATGGTATGTGCTTTAGCTTCTGGTATCATGGATGTTGCTTGGGTTTTGTCCAGTATCCTGAACTCTTCCTACACCTCGATTTGGGATATCAAGATGGATTGGGGCTTACTTCAACCCAACAGTCAGCATTTCCTGTTGCGCGACGAATTAGTGTTTGCCAGCTGGGTAAGCATTCACATTGATGACTAATTTTTTTGGTAATGATGCCTCATACTCTTTAATTATTAGACTTATTACGCTGCCATCCCGATCAATATCATGTTACGGTTTGCGTGGACCATCAATGCGGCCGGTCTTCGCCTCGATGGACAATTGCTTGCTTTTATCTCGGCGGCTTTGGAGGCCGGCCGTCGTCTGCAGTGGAACTTTTTCCGTCTTGAAAATGAGGCAAGCCGAGAATTCGGACTAACTGTGTATCAGACGCAAACATTTAATTAACTGGGTTCCTTTTTCCTTCTACAGCATCTCAATAATTGCGGCAACTATCACGCTATCAAAGAGATTCCGTTACCGTTTGTATTGATTGATACAGCCAAGGTGGCTCATGACGAAGAAGGCGCCATTCAATTGCCGATGGAACCCAGCGAAGCCGTGGCGATAGCGGATTCCATGACAGAAACGCCCACCGTCACACGACGTAACACTATCCAGCCCGTGTCCTTTGACGACACATTCTATGGTCGCCGAGATTTCGAAAATAAGCATGATCAAGAAGAAGCGACGCTAGATAATATTCGAAAGCCCCTTGGACGTCAACCTTCTGCTCTTGGCAATGTGCTTGAACAGATTCGGTACCTGACGGAAACCGAACGAAGCGATACCGAGCCGGATCATGACATCCATGAACTCGCGGAGGAGGACGATGATGATGACGATGACGACGAAGACAGTGAAGAAGACATCCATGCCAAATAGACTCATTCGTAGAAACCCCCTTTTTATTTAAGCATATATAGCATCCCTCGCATGTATGATCGAATCAATTTTTGTCTTACTCATCTGTTACAAATTTTAGAATGGGTCGAAATCGCATTGTATAACATGATTTGTGTTGTCCATATAAATATCATATTCCAGCCCTGTCCATCCGTTAGTCCATTCCTTTTAATGACCTCTTCTACTCAACTATCCAGCGCGTCTAATTTCATCATAGATTGTCGATTTTTATTGCCTCTGGATAATCTCGAGATCACTTTTTCACAATCCCCTTGTCAATTGGAATTCCGGATCTGTCAGCGGAACATACTGCAGAACAAGCGTTGTCATTTGATCCAATGTCGCTTTTATTTCCTAATCTTTTGCACTTACCATGACGCTTAACCATTTCTTTTCGGCAATAGTTCCGTCTTCCTTCTTATCATATACCATGATCGATTGTTGGCTTTCGCCCACCGGCGCAAATAATCTGACCGGACAACCCTTAACAATAAGAAAATGGACCATTTCTTGCACATGATCTATACCTTCCAGGTGCCTTTAATTGGCTTAAAAGCTTTTCCGGACGCCCTGCAGCAGCCGCACCGACATGTCTTAAGGGGGAAAACGTGAGATGCTGCTCCAAAAATTTGAATTCTTGTCCTTACATGCAATCATAAGGTGCATCTTCAACATAGCCTTCTCTGCCATCGCCGACAACGAGCTTGATATTGCCATTGTCAAGCAGTTCCTTGTCGTTTTTGGAGACGTTACGAATCGATGCTTCCACTAATCCATCGATATGATCGATGCCAACTACTCGGCCTTCCTTTCCGACCTAGAAAACCAAGGGAGCAAGTCAATTATCGTAATATGCTTTTCTTTAGACTGTCCAGTTGTAAGATTGATTTACCATTTTAGCCATGCAAGCCGTCAAATAACCTGATCCTGATCCCACGTCCAAGGCTAAACACGTTCCTTATTTACTACCACGTATTTGCGAGAATGTAAGAGGTTATAACCAGGCTTTACCTCGCATTCCCGGCTTTAAATAACCCTGAAGATTCTCCAATGCATATGCATGCATGTGGCTATTCGAGAATATAAACGTGAAACAGCGTTCGATCGGAGTCATGCTTTCGTACTTACGGCGCCGAAATAGTGGCTCCGTAGCCAATCGACTGCGGAGAGTCTTCGTATGGATACTGACGGCTGTAATCTCGTCTATGGATTCGCGTATTGGTAAGCAAACCCGATTCTTTCATTGAGTTTACGTAAAATATTACCTGTCTACGGCTTTCATGGCTTCATAGACACGCTTGCTTGATAATATGGCATTTTGTGCCAGATTTTCTACGAGTTCAGCGTTCGTTGCTCCTACAGAAAACGTCGATCCAGACAAAAAGATTAGCGAGTGATCATCAATTGACAAGCTGCTAATGAATTACCAGAGGATAACCAGGACATGATGAGAAATTTGGAGAAAACTAAAAGAAAATATAGTCTGTCAAAAAAAAGTGTGCCCAATCGCTTTGTGACTCTGTCGATGCATGAATCGGTGTGAAACCAAAATTGCCAATGACGTCAATAACACGCTTGCGCTTGACTCGAACTCGGAAACTCATCCGTTGCGTTGGACTTGATTCTTCCTATCAACAACTACAACTCTCTTTCATTTTACTATATCAACACAATGTCCGGTAAAAAAGTGATTGTATTTTTGGCCGATGGCACCGAGGAAATGGAATTTACCATCACAGGCAAGCACTCTCCACAGAAATGACAGTCTGAAGAAAAGCTAACAAGGAAATGCATCACAGTCGACGTCTTGCGTCGTGCACAGCTCGACGTAACTGTTGTGGGTGTTCAATTGGCTCACGGTACCTATGCGGAATGCAGCCGCAAAGTGAAGATTGTACCCGATGTTCTCCTCGAACACGAAGGTCAAAGCTGGAATCGCGTAAGTTGATAACCTAGTGATGTAGTTGTGTTGCTCGGATACTCATTTAATTTCCTCCAGTCTGATTATGAGGCAGCCGTTATCCCCGGAGGTGCTCCCGGTGCCAACACCATGAAAGACAATGTTGAGGTCCAAGATATTATTTCTCTATTGTATGAGAAGCAAAAGATCGTGGCTTTTATTTGCGCTGGTAAGCACAGACCACCCCGTGTCATTTTTTTTTCCCTTCTATGGTGACAAACAGACTGACGTTTCTTTGAACAAAGGTACATTGGTTGCTAAAGCCGCCAAGATTCCCGAAGGCCACAAAGTAACATCTTATCCTGGTGTGAAGGACCAATTAACAGATGGTATATATGCAGTATTTTATAACCCGTAAATATAAGCCATTGACTCTGACAATGGGTTATTGTAGTCTACAAGTACAGCGAGGATCGCGTCGTGGTGGATCAGAATGTTATCACCAGCCGTGGTCCCGGCACCGCCATGCTATTTGCTTTGACGATCGTGGAACAGCTTTTGGATAAACAGGTAAGAGAGCAGCTCAACATGACCGTGGCAATAGTTGTGCTTTTTACTGACACTGGTATGTCCATTCGCAGGTTGTTGAAAAATTGAAACAGGAAATGCTGACCGCCTCTACGCTGTAAATATTTGAATCTTCTCTTCAAAGTTGGAAACGGAAATAAAAACATAACCTGAACAAAGCAGAGAAGCGTGCTGAACGTATCAAGTTCTGCATTTGCACAACCTTTGCACAAATTTCTGTACAATGTTTTTCGCATGGTTGGCAGTGTGAGGAACCATTTCTCACAAAATAGTGGTAGGGGTGTGATGTGTATCCATCTGCATGTGTTAAATTCATAGCATTGTTGAATATGGTCTTCTCGTGAGAGCTCTGTGTTTAAACGTCTTTTTAAGCGTACGATGACACGCGTCATTGCTTGGCGGTTTAGCGTCCAATGAAAAAGTCAAGAAATGAGTAGTAGGTTGGCGATCCTACGCGAACTTGTACAACCGACGCTTTCTCAATGACCCTTCCTCGTTGCTGTCTAGCTCAACCTAAAAGGCCCACGCCTTAAAATATTCATTAATATGAAGATTGATTAGCGTCTCTGCGAAGCCCAATATCACTTGAAATATATAACAATCGCTGAGGCGACCATGGATTGATCAGTGCAGGATTCAATCCCCGAAGTTGGCAAATGACTTTTTTGAGGTTTTTCAGCGGGCCTTTTTTTGGTGAACGCCTGCTTGTCCACCATTGACGTTGATTCCCATTCGGCCAAAAGAAACGATTCAGACTTGTCCCCATTGCTGCCTCCTTTGCAATGAGTATTCTGGGTAACCAAAACTTTCGTCCTTGAGCGTACCAAGGCTCCACCATCCTCATGTCTTATTTGTCCCCATTTTCTTTTTTATAGTCACCACTACCTTTTCACAAGGTGCCGTTTTTTATGCGGGCGAAACTCTTTCTTGCGTCATTGCATTCAGCAATCCATTGCCGAAACTATCCAAAGGACCGAGCGCATCCACGTCGTCACCTTCGTCCATTCATACGAAACGTCCCGGCACACGTCACCAATCCCCTCCGCCCAACACAGGAACCTCGTTTCATCACAGTCGCTCCCAATCCGTATCCTCGGTTGACATGTCAAAAGCACCAGCACCTCAACCAGACATGGATGCATCGCTACCAAACGAGCAAAGCAAGACACGGTCGCTGAGCTCGCTTGCGTCATCCACTTTTGCTTTCTTCACGGGCTATCCAACAAAAGAAGAATCCGAGGTCTACACTGCAGCACCGACAAGGACCAGTTATGCTTTGCAAGGTAGAACTACACGCTCTGTGATATCTGTACACGGAAATACGATAGTTTTATTTGTCGCAGCATCTATTCATTCGTTAGTATAGATAATGAGGATTTGAAACGGAATCATGCAGACGGAACACCAATATCCATTGAACTTGGTTCCAACGATACCCCGAGATCCAGCACTGAGGTTCTCCATTCATACCAAAGAGAACCTTACGATGTGAGTCGACGAAGCTCGATCGATTCACTCGCCTCCAATCCCTATACAGCCAACCAGCCGCCTTCTTCGCTCAATACACGACGATTATCGTACCTGGTCAAAGCACCCTCCACCCCTCCACTGTTGAAAAAGAGCGAGCACTTACTGATGGGATTTGCCCAAGTGGTCGGTCACTTCATTGTCGATCCTACGCTAATCAACAACAGCGAATTCGCGCCACTAAAAAATCGGACCATGTATCGGCCACAGGGTTCCGGTTTTGGTGGAGGAGGAGGAGGCTTGATGCTGACCAAACCGGATCAACAGTCCCAAATACTAGGTAATTTTTTATTGAGACAACTGGGATCTGGAGAAAGATATATGTGTCATGGTGCTTATGCTATGCTCAGGTGCCCGTAGCACGCCCGTCTTCTCTACTCCGCCTTCCATTCTGTTTGTCGATCTGGATTTAGCACCTGGAGAGACTAAAAAATGTAAGTCCAAGGTCATGCCACCTGAAAGAAAGAAGGGAAGGGAATTTATTCATCTTTCCAATGTTGGCAGTCTCCTATAAGCTGAAGCTACCCAACGATATTCCGCCTACCCACCGAGGCAAATCTATTCGATTCAATTATTATTTGATCATTGGCACACAGCGGTCCAACGCACGTCCTGGAATGCAACCACAGGGCCAGGTAGTACAGATTCGATTTCGTGTACTGAACCATGTCTGTGGTAAGCTTAAAAAGGAAACTGACCAATATGAAAAAGCATCGAACCAACTCTGTCATTTGTAGAGGATGGATCAAGGCCGATCTATGATCTCATGAACCCGGTCGTTTGGTACAAAGACGAAGCGGCCATTCAGAGCTTTGGAGAAACCGATAAAAAGCCGAAAGCTCCTCATAAACCGCGCAACAAAACAGGTAAACTATACAAACTGTCATGAATAAGTGATGGATGGTCAGTGGTTAATATTGAGTCAGAGGATGAAAAGGAACGCCAGTCTTTTATGGATTACATTGAAGAGCTTTTGGATAAGAGCACAGAAAATCAATCCTCAGTGGAAGAGATTACCCGACGTGAAAGTGATGCCTACGATGAACGAAAACTGGACAAGGAACAAACCGATGACGAGGAAGAAAATATGCCCGGTTATATCTACCGGAAAACATGTGTACAAATAGTATCAAGGATCACCAATAGCAGTCGAAAAGGTAGGTGACGGGACGGGCCCTGGTATGGTTTTTGTCCGTCTTTCTTATTGATATCGAAATATTGGTTTATTACAGCAATGTATGACTTGTGCAAAAACAATCAGCGAGTGGCCCAGCTTCATCTGATAAAAACAGCTTACCGACTTGGGGAGCCTGTGATGGGGGTGCTGGACTTTGATGGGGCGGCTTTACTCACGTACAAGGTAAACCGGTCATGGCAGACAGGGTATGAGAGAAGATAGGGTAATTGACCGAGCGTGCTGTTTCAAAAGGTATCCATTCTACTTGAAAGCGTGGAGGTGGTCGAATCTAGCATCGCCCTTCGTCAACCACAGCATATCGCGCGGGTTTCGCGAAAATGCCACGCCGAGTTTCATTCATTTTGTCTGTACAATCAGCGATTAAGCTTCTCCCTTCCCATTCCTTCCATTGCTTCACCCGAGTTCCAAACGACAGGAGGTAAGCTTGCACTGCCGATTGATAATGGAGATGATCATATCATATTCATGCAATGACTGGGGGTTGATTTTTTAGTCAAACTACAATACCATTTGAAATTTCAATTTGTCACGAATATCCAACCGCCTGTCACTGAAGCCAAACCTTCCGCCTCCTCTCCGGCTGCACCAAATATTCCTATTAATACCGATGAAAAGCATCGACATTATCAATGTCTTCAAGATATAGAAGTAAGCACTTTTGATTGTCAAATCCCTATCCGCGTGTATGGGTCTCCCGGCGGGGCGGATCGTGCTCTGTATGGGCAACCGCATACCTTTGTTGTGTCATAGCCGTGCGGCTGTGGTAGAACACGAATACGGCAGAAAAACAAAGGAATCATCATACCACTCACTATTACACTATATATAAAAATTACACATAAAGGTCCACTGTACGTTTCTTGTACATATACTCCTAGTTCAAGGTTGATTTTTGAACCGCTCGCCATCAAAATTGAAATATGCGTTTCAATTTTGAGTATATAATTTGCACCAAGCTTACGACAGGCTTACCCTATGTGAGGCTAAAAAGTAAAGTAAAACTCGTATCCACCACACAACCGTGAAAATAACAATCAAAACGCTTCATCATCGGCTTCTATGCCGACTTCTGATATGTTTGCGCATCAGGGCAAAAATATGACTCTTTAAAAGACCGAAGGAAAATTTTGTTTGCTTTTTCCCTTGCTTGCTTTTCTTACCATGGTGATTCCTTTTTATTCTGAAAAGCTAACCAATATTGGCGTGCTACGTGCTACTTTGTTAGTCAATGCCGAAGCAGCAGCCAAGGCCACGATCACGGTTCAGGATAATGTTCTTCTTGTTGGCAGCGATCCTGTTGTTAATTTCTCAGATGTTGGTGTGGCATTGGCTTCCGTGCCACCTGTCGTTACGCGACCAGTCGAAACACGGACTGCCAATCAACGCGTACCTATTGACGTAAAGTTGACTTTAACCAAGTCGTCCTCATATGCCTCGCCGGACAGTGAGGAATGGTGGCCAGCCAAGGAAGTGCGTCATTTTCAGCACATGAACTGCCGTAACTGCGCGAATCGGCTTTTGCAAACGTCGTCAAGCTTCCAGTGCAAAGATCTGCCGTCAGAGCATTGGTACGAATTGGTGGAATGCTGGATCTGTCACGAGACCAAACCAGAAGAACATCGTGCAAGGATGCAGCCGATTCTTGCTCGTCCAGACGCACTATTGGTCGGCTCCACTTATTTTCTCGTCCACCCAGACAATATCATCTCGGACGCGGTAGTGGTGGACAAGCCATTAGCGTCTCGTGTCAAAGTAAGTGAAATCCTCTTGATAATATTTATTCCTCTTCTCTTTCCCGTCCCCATTTCTTTTGTATTATTTTGTTTTTTCCCTGACGGATCTCAAGAAGGCCATCGATGTTAAGTACTCGTCGCTTTTGGTCGATACAAAGATCCAATATCAAACCTTGTTCTTCAAACAGTTTGAAGGAGAAAAGTCCATCTCTCCTCCATTATTCAAACTACTACAGGAACATACATTTATTTTAACATAGTTATTCATTTTTTTCCTTCTCTTGTTTCTCTTTATTTGTATGCGATGATGTGCGATACTCATATCTGTTTAGTGGGATAGAGGTACGATGTCCAAGTGGATCATGTTCAACTGCAACCAATGCGGTCATCCTATTGGTGAGGGACAATACGAGCAACGAGGTATGAAGAAGGAAAAAGGAGGAGGTACCCCGGCAAGAACTTCCTGCGGACCCTGATGGCTGGCATCACAGGTTTGGACTAACTGTTTCCGTGGGTGCAATATAGATGAAGAAATCAAGCTGCTGGCGGCGAAATTCTTCAAATACTGCGTCTCTATCTTACCATCCTTGAAATATCAGCCCACATTTATCGACTTTTTTGTATGTGATCTATTGGAAGCTGCCAAAGTCCATGCAACACATCGGTTCATCATTCAAGGACGCAATAGTTCCCAAATATATGCACTGGTATTTTCTACATTCATGGGTAGGATGGGGTTGTTGAAAATGGGGCTCACTCTTGCTTGTAGTTATGGCTGTTTAATTGGGATACTACTGTTGTTTACAACAAAGGATTTCTCGATTCATCGAACGAAAACTCGACTGTTTATCAAGAACGAGGTAAGTTTGGGAATGACCTGCTGCCGTGGTTTGCAACTGACTTTTTTGCCCGCTGTTTGGTGTATAGTGATGAAAGTGCTGTACCTTGATTGCAGTCATAACGACGACATTCTTGTACAACGGCATTTGCTGTCATGGGGAAAAGACAAGACAGCCGATCATTTACTGTACCCTGACGCATACTGCAGGCAGTTGGTCACTGCCATCTGCGAAACCACCAAGTTGCTGCCGTCATCGATGCGAACCATGAATCACCCTGCCATGACGATGACGCAAAATTTCTCGGTTGGATTTGTGAATCGAAATTAATAGTAGGTAGGCCGTTTTGTATCATTGCATATATCCTGATTTGATGGTTGCCAAAATAAGCCCACTGATGGTTTCACTGGAATGACGATCCAAAAAAAAATCATCTGACACATCCCAGCCAAATTGTTAGCGTAGGGGTATACAAAGGAAAAAAAAAAAAAAAAAAAGTAAAAATAAAAGTGCAATAGAAAGAACCCGACGCATTGTCGATGCATTTCTCTTGTTTCATATTGTACAACTGTAATGACATGCCGTTCTATGCTCGATTGTTTGCCGATGGAGCTCATTGACAAGATCCTGGGGAAACTGTCAATGATGGAGTACGCTGCATTGATCCATGTCAACCGAACTTGGTACGCTATTGCACTTCAATGGTTATACCATACGCCGCGAATAGAATCGGAACGCCAAATAGACCAGTTTGTCAACGTGAGCGGCCGTGCGCTTCAGCATGTAATTGAACTGGATTTGACCGCCGTCAGCCAATTTGTTCGCGACGACCACCTCATTCAACTCAGCGAAAAGCAATGCAATCGTCTGCGTGTGCTTCGACTGTCAAATTGCAACGTATCACCCGAAGCGATCAATCGGTTATTACGACTCTCGGTCAATGTGCTGCAAACTGTTTTACTGTCGAATTGTAATTTATCGTCGGAAACCTTGGAAACCCTCGGTCAAGCCAGCGTGCATCATTTGCGCACACTTGATCTGAGCAACACCATGATCCGGCCATGTGCCACGTTTGATGCGCCTAATCACTTGGAACCCATGACTAAAGGTTATTTTCCTCGTGATAACCAGCTGGTGGAACTCGATTTGTCCTATTGCAGCTGGGTGGATAACCAGACCTTGAAAAATGTGTTTGTTGGGCTGCCGAGTATTCAGCGATTAAGTCTTTGCTGGTGTCATTTATTGGAGTATTTATCCATTTTTCACCTTGTCCGCAACCTTACCCAGCTCCATATCATTGATTTGCGCTTTATTAATGCCATCTCATGCGCTGCGGCCTATGCGTTACTGGAAGCCAATGCCAATCTCTCGCAAGTCTTATTTACCCATCGCCTCAAACCTTCACAGGTTCGACGCAAAGAACGAATGGCTTGTCCTGCATCGCGACTGGTGGATTTATGAAACCCTTAAAAATCAACGAATTGTACCATAGCATCACTGTAACCATACTGTAACAACATTGTAAATAAAAAGAAAACTTCTATTGTAATAGTAACATATAACAGAACTGTAACAACGAGCATATTAAAAAAAAAAAAATACAGATAAACGGTACTTTTTCATGATGAGTGTTGAAGGCTATTTGAAAAAGCGGGGGTGTGGATCGATCAGCGGACACGAATGTGTCGGAGATACAATCAATTTCACGTAATAGTTGCATTATTCATTTCGTTCCCATTTGAGCTTCATGTTCTCGTCAATTGTGAGAGCTACCGCTGTACGTACCATCTTTCGCCCAAGAGTTCTCTACAAGCCTTTTACTTTTTCTGCCATTGCCATGTCAAATTCCATGCCAAAGTCTGATTCAGAATGGCGTGCCATTCTTTCTCCCGAACAATTTCGAGTATTGAGAGAAAAAGGTGAGGCATGAGACAATAAGACCCAGGTTGAATGGAAACCACTCACAGCAGAAGTTAGGCACAGAGCCTCCCGGTACTGGAGAATACAATAAACATAATCAGAAAGGTATCTTTATAACAGAAAAAGCTTCCACCACAATGAGAAATACTCCTCCCTTGGCTGACTGTGCTTTCAATTGACAGGCGTGTACCATTGTGCCGGATGTAATAGTCCCTTATATGTTTCGGATACCAAATTCGACAGTGGATGCGGATGGCCTGCATGTAAGTGTATCTAGTCCTCGAGGATCCAAGGAATCGTACTCACAAATCGATTACGGATAACCATCTAGTTTTTGATGCTATTCCCGGTGAGTTTTCTCATTCTCTAGCGAGTTTAAATTGTCATTTTCTCATCCAAAAACTGCATTGATGTAGGTGCCATTGTTCGTCATGAGGATAATACGTTTGGCATGAAACGCATCGAGATTTGCTGTGCCAACTGTGGCGGCCACCTGGGGCATGTTTTCCAAGGCGAAGGTTTTAAAACTCCTACCGACGAGCGTCACTGCGTCAACAGCGTCAGCTTAAAATTCCACGACAAATAGAGATATGCACGGCATATAGTTTAAGTAAAGGAATATGTCAATTATAAACAAAAGTATGTCGATATTTTCTGACAGTAAAGGGAAGGCAAAAGACAGAATGTTATGCGAATACAGTGAGGTGGACGCGTACAAAAAGGTCATTACATTTAGTGGCTTGGACAAGGCGAGATTTTTGAAAGTCCGCAGGAAAAAAACACAAAGATGGGATGGGGCCGGAAGCCATAGCAACTTTCTTCTTCTCTCATTTGACTTGGTCACCGCTGGTATGTAACTTTTAGTGTTGTTGGAAAAGAATGAAACTCATGCTTTATGGCGTTTTATTTTCTATAGAGATATTTTAAAAGAAACAATGTCTTACGTCGTATGTATTTTTTACTGGGCGAGATGGTTTTGTGCAGGAAACCGTGAAACTAACCGTGGTGTGTTTTTTCGTTGATATAACAGGCTAAGAACGCCACTCAAAAGCCCGGTCTTGAGGAACAGCAGCCTCAGCCCAAGATCCACCGTATCCGTATCACCTTGACTTCCCGCAATGTCAAGAACTTGGAAAAGGTGTCTGCTGATCTTATCCAGCGTGCCAAGGACAAGCAGCTCAAGGTCAAGGGTCCCGTCCGTCTGCCCACCAAGGTCCTCCGTATCACCACCCGTAAGTCTCCTTGTGGTAACGGTTCCGAGACTTTCGACCGCTACGAGATGAGAATCCACAAGCGTTTGATCGACTTGCACTCTCCCTCCGAGATCGTCAAGCAGATCACCTCCATCTCCATCGAACCCGGTGTAGAAGTTGAAGTTACCATTGCTTAAATGTGTATCAACGCTTTGATTTTTTTTAATGGAAAATAAATGTACCATACATTCGTTGTTCCTTAACTATTTGTCGGCTTGAGAGTGAATGATGGTGGTGGTATAAATTGTGGCTTATCCTATTGTATGAATGAATGATTTTCTCATATCCAGCAAGCCCTATTGGTATGTCGATGAATATGTCATACAGCTTGGATAATAGAGAGTTGCAACTCACACGAGAAATAAAAAGCACTTGTTTTTATTTTGCTGTGATGCCAGGGTCTAGACGTGCATCTATTTGAGTCCTGCAGCTTGGATTTTGGACCTGCAGCCACATTAGTAGCCGCCCAAAAAAGATAAAAAAAAAAAAAGCAAGGCAAGCGCGACTACCCTGCATCGTTAATATTGTGCCTTTGACCTGTTCTCTTTCTGTTAAATGGAAACATGCTGCTTTTAAGGGTTCTGATCAGATACATTGGTCATGCATAACAGGTAGCAACCATACCAATGTTGCTGATGATTAGAATAATTAAAATCTTTGAAAAATTAGCGATTTTGTAAATCACATGATCCTACACTAAGTTATCAAGACCTGTTAAACCTTTTTTTCATCTTTTAACCATGCCTCGCTGCCCACTTTCACGATAATAGGCGAAACAATCAGCAGCAAGATGCCGTTTGCACCAGTTGTGGTCAAACAGAGCATCGTCGCCGTTCACATAAAATGTGAGTGGAGCTCTTTTTTGAAGAAAGGTGATTGACGATACGACGATCTGGTGTTTTGTAGCATCATTTAATTTGGGTTATCTGTCAGTTATACTGTATATGCCCTTTCATTCTCTTCAGTAATCGAATGATACATGGAGCAGATATGCTTCGATCTGTGTAGCTCATCATTCATGCATCAGTGAGGTGACTATATTGTTTCATCCATGGAAAATCACATATTTTTGTCCGAATTTTTTCTTCTTCTTTAGTTTTGCATCTCTTCTGTTTGCCTGAAAATCCCTCACTATCATTGCATCCATCATCCATCATCCAGACTATGGCGTGTATCTGATCCGGTCGATTCGATTATTATGAAAAAAGGTACCTTTTGTGTGATACGACTATCCGTTTTTCGACAAGAAAAAATTTACCTGTCCTTTTTCTCTATTCTGTCTTTAGCTTTTGGTTTTCTCTCCGGTTTTCTTTTGCCTGGCAAGCCATTCAAGCCATCCATCCCTCCAAAACCTTTCTACTTTGTTCGGGCACCAGATTGTGGCCAAACCGGTTTTTGTCGTCAAAGGCATCGTCGGTGTGTGACTCTCTTTTTCATCGGGAAACGCTGACGCGTCCTCCCCAGGTTCCTCTCATATGGATTGCTGCCCGTGGTATCGCCTTCGATATTTCTTCCCGACCATTTTATTTTGTAGTTGTAGTATGTATTTTGTATTTTAGTGAATAGTCTTCTTGCAGTATTTTCCTCCTTTTTTTTCCCACAGGGTTTTTAGGGGGTTTTTACAGACGCACCTATTGTATTTACTTTTTTTTTTATATTTGTATCCTTTCTTTATTTCTGTCGGGAAGCCCTCGGTATCTGCTGCATCAAACATCAAAGGTAAAATATCTCAACGAAATTTGAATCAACCAAAGAGCTTACTAACTCATTTTTTTTAAATACCCAACATTCCCACACATCTTTGTAGATCTATCATAACCTTGGGCGGGACAGAACGGAGGGGGTCAATAAGTGCTGCTTTGTTCATTAAAAGTGTTTCATGGTATGCCAGAGTATTGACATTAATATACCAAAGTTCCATCAAGAGTCTCGCCCAGGTTATGCCGTATTGCGTTAGGCTTTTTGTCTGACGAATGTCGCTCAAGGCAAGAGTGCGGCATCCAGTAGCAGGTGGCATCCATTGCACAGCGGGTGTACGGCTTGTTAGAATAATAATAATAATAATAATAATAATAATAAAGAGAGAGCGCACATTACTGTGTGAGTATGGCCTTTGCTCGTACTGTAGCTTGATCTTGATGGATCAACGCGCGTTCACTGACACGATGCAATTATCGTGGATAAAGCTATGTTACGGTGACAAAGGATGATGAGAAGGCGCGGGTCACCGCCCTTTCGAGGGGTTGGTTGAATAGATGCATTAATTTGTCTGCCATGCGGCGGTGGCGAAAGGAATTTATTTTTCTAGAACATCTTCAAAAGATCGTATTGACACCAGACTGTCGTTGAATTAAAAAGGTGTAATTTCCGTCTTTTTTCTTCTTTGATATTCGTTAATACTATTCACGATGGCACTAATAGTCAGGTATGAATGGATGCTACTGAATGAGCAAGGTTTGAACCATCAATGCTACGATTTTCTTTTGGATATTCAGATATTGACGGCCTCTGTAAATACAGCAGGCACCCTGATTAAGGACCAAGATATTAAGACAAGCGTAAGAGTCATCGATTAATGATACAATGGACGATTAAGATTTCTCTACATGATAAGGTGGAAGTAATGGATTTGAGGTGGGTGCGTCCAGGAACATGTCAGGCGACTTTTCGGATGCCACGCGTGCCACTGCCGGTTCATGGATAAATAAGCTGACATAATCTTTTGAACCCACATCCTTATGTGTTTGTTGAACAAGGGCACTGTATCGACCATCGACATCGATTTGAATTGCCTATATGAATAGATTGGGATGGAGTGTTAATATCCCAGACCAACAAGATTGCTTCTCGATGGGATGACTTGCATAAATCGGTTTGACGCAGATGTTGGATGGGAAAGATGATTTTTTGCTCACAGGCACTCCGTTCCTGGTCAGTCGATAATGGGCGCCACGAATATTCCCCACGGCGTTGATCTGATCACACGTCTTCAGTACAGCTCTTTCAAACTAATTCAAAGCACAAAGCACAGTCAGAAGATGCATGGCAAAAACAAATCTCATAGTATGTATTACCTTGCATTGTAATGAGCAATGTCTCCATGCCGCCAAGATACTGCTGCAAAGCATCACTGCGGGAAGAACGAGGAGTACCCATGGATCCTTCTGCAGCTGGAACCATGCCATATAGATGGATGCCGCCGTCAGTAACCAGATGGCTAAGAGAGTTCCACACCACATCGATTTATTGTCGGGTGGAGGGGCTCGTCGAACTGTGTCATTCAACAAGGCAACAGCCGCTTGAAAGTCTCTGCGTGACAGCTACAGTAGTCAGTTAGGAATTTGGTCGTAACTAAAATTCAAGCAAGTCGGCTTACATGATCATAAAGATCAAGTACATATTGATCATCAAATTTTCTGCGTGTCAGTAAGACTCGAACCGACTTCATTTTGTCAATTGTAAAAATCAGTGGGAATATGTCAAGTAATGTGAAAATGAGTATAAAACAGAAGAAGAATAAAAATCTGAAAATTGTGAATGATATGTACAAGCAGTAGGATTATTTGAAGTTAAACCAAACAAGAAGAAGAAAAAAAGAAAGGAGATCCATTCCTGTTGCGCTCTATTGAGCCCTTTTTAAATCACAATGAGATAATAATAAGGGTTTTCCTTTTCCAAGGAGCAGGTCATCTCTGTGAACTCAAACTCTCGTTATCCAGTGATGTGGATGGACCCTCGGCCATCCAAAACCGCTGAACTCTTAACATGTCTTGCGGACCACAATCGTGATGGAACAAAAATACTATCCTAGCCAGTCTTTTACGGTCTGTGGAATAATTACTACAATTGGCTTTTTATTCTTTTTATTTTTACAGTAAATGAACTTTATATCCTATCAGACGGGAGGGATACAACCCAAGAATAAGGCATAAATGATGTTTATCTCTTTGATGACACACGGTCCAAATTGAAGGCGGCTGTAAAAGAAATAAGGGTGGATTATGCGCAAAAATAAGTCAGAAATTTGCATGCGATTGGTCAATTTAAATCAAAGCCTTACCGCTGATGAAGGAGATATGAGTGAATGCTTGCGGGAAGTTACCCAGCAATTCGCCTGATCGAGCCACTTCCTCTGAAAACAAGCCGAGATGATTGCCGTACGACAGCATTTTTTCAAACATCACCACCGCTCGATTTAGCAATTTACGATCGTATTTACCCGCTCGCGTTAAAGCCTCTACCAGCCAGAAGGTACACATGGAGAAAGCACCCTCCAAGCCACCCACACCATCGTCCGTCGTCAAGAAGTTGTAACGGAAAACGAGATCGTTGGCTACCAAACCACCTATTTTTTTTCCAATCCATGATTGAGTGATTTCATGTTTGACTAGTATCAGAAAATAGAAGACCTAATGCTTACCCTTTTCCGGTGGCAATAAGATACGCTGAACAGTGTTGAGCATACGAGGGTCTACGGGACTGGTGAAAAAGACGAGCGGCATGATCAGGCAAGAAGCGTCGAGCGCCTCTTGTTGTTCAATGCTCTGAGTAAAGATATTCAGTTCCTTATTATAGCACTTTGTTTGCACCAATTCGTAGATTTCATCACGCGTAGCCGCCCACAATTCTCGATCGGGACAAGGGAACACTCTCTTTTCGGATAACCGTAAACCTAAAAAAGCAACTCTTGATGAGAAAAAAAAAAACAATAATCGACCAACCAAGGAACACTCCTTCTATTTTTTGCTTTTCTCTGTGACATACCTCTGTCAATGGCTACCCAACACATGACAAGGGAGTAGGTAAAGTGTTGCTTCCTTCCTCGTACTTCCCAAATAGACATATCAGGCTGATTCCAGTTTTTGATGACATAATCCACCAGTTTACGGACGGAACACCACATATCGTACGATACAGGCGAGCCATACTTGTTGTACAAATAGATACCGTCCAAGAGTTCACCGTAAATATCCAATTGAAGATGATCATAGGCTCCGTTGCCCACGCGAACAGGACGCGACGAACGGTAACCATCCAAATGATTCAATTCATATTCATCCAGCCGCTTCACACCGTCAATACTGTACATGATGCTGAGTGATCCATCTTCATTCTGTATAGCAAATGACCGTCAGTCTCTCTGGCTAATTCAACTCATATTCTTTCCTTTTTAACTATTTTAGCCTACCAGATCCTGACAACGAGCTTCGATGTATCGCATGTAGCTGCGTGCTTCTTCGGTGAAACCAAGTTTCAGCAAGGCATAAATGGTGAAAGCGGAATCACGGATCCACACGTAGCGGTAATCCCAGTTACGGGCACCACCAATCGCTTCGGGAACACCAAAGGTCGGCGAGGCCACGATGGCGCCTGTCTGTAGGGAGAGAAAAAGGCCATGTTAGAATAAGTACAATATCATCTTTCTTCGTGGGGCGGTTTCAACTTACAGGCTCATAGAAGAGTAATTTCAGAGTCAGCGCGCTACGCATGATATTTTCTCGCCAGCGGCCTGTGTAAGTGCTCTGCGAAACCCACGATTGCCAGAAATTGGTCGTTTGCCGGAATAAGGCATCCATAAGACTCACGGTCAATGGTGGATCGTACGAAAGCCGCAAACGTCGTTGCAAAGGTGTTTCATTGGGCTCAGGCTTGGGTGGAAGTTCACGCAAGATAAATGTCACTTCCTGAGTCTCTTCCAGCTCGAATTCGGCCCACACACCGGGACCTCTGAACCCGACATCTTTGGCTTTGTCGTCCACATGGAATTGGACAAAGGGACATTCAAAGTCGCCACAACGTACAATATAACGTAAATCCATGGATAGGTTCTTGGACTCGAACACCACCTTCTTTTTGGAAGCATAGTACGAGGTGTCATCTTCCGGATAGATTTGTGCCGCCAAACGTTCTTTCTGCTCGTCAGACGTTTCGTATGTTTCCAGTCTCGTCGTGTGATCGTCTTGTGCGTAATTAAAAGCTGGATAACATTCCATGGAAAATTGGACCTTGCCACGAATCACTTCTACCGTACGGATGATCCATGGTAACAATGGTTTTGTGGACACACGTTGGTTCTTCTCCGGTACGTGCATGTAATCCGTAACTTGGGCTACGCCTTCTTCGGATAGGAAACGCGTAGTGAGAATATTGCTGTTCGGGAGGTACTGTTGCTTATTGCTTGTATGCTCTTTGGGAGTGATGGAGAAATGACCACCTTTGTCTTTGTCCAATAAGCGGCAAAAAATGGAGGGGCTGTCGAACTTTGGGTAGCAACAGAAGTCGATAGAGCCATCTGTGCCGCATAGTGCGACAGTGCGCATATTACCAATGAGGCCGTAGTCTTCGATAGGGAGATACCCATTGTTGCGGATATCGCATCGCGTGCTCACAACATTGGAACCTTCTGCGGCATGGTCAGGGTTCATTTTCTGACGACGTGTATCGGCCACATAGCGCATGCCTTCGGGACATTCTTGGATAGGACTTTGGTGCTCTTCGAGTTCGGTCTCAAACTCAGACCCATACGTTTTCTCACGCGTCTTCTCCTGGTCGGGCTCGTATGCTTTAGACATTATGTACGTTTAACAAGGAGGAATTGAAAGTCAAATTAACCAATGGGTAGAAGTAAGGATTTGAAGGAAAAGAAGAGAAAGAAACAAGCAAACATGCAAAGAGTCTTTTTTTTTGGCTGTTTCAAATAGCAGAACATTGGCTGCGTTTCTCCTTGCAGAAAAAATAAATTCAGCAAGGGAATTTTTCCGCTTATGGCAAAATGCGCTGTCAGCACTGACCGATACATTGTGTCATAATCCAAACTTTAAACTGCCTTGCACTGATGATTCCTCTGATAACATTTTATTTTATTTTTACTTTTGTTTCTTCTTCAGTGACAATTGCACGTACAGCACAGCTTCTAGTCGTATTGCTATACCCTTATGATGAGTAAGGGCAAGGAAGAATCTTGCCATGACAGTCACCGAAACCAATACGGTAGGAATCCGTTTCGCAGAAGCCTGTAATGTTGATTTCATCACCATCTTCAAGGAACATACGCTCTTGGCCATTTTCAAGTGCAATCTTGTCTTTGCCATTCCATGTCATCTCAAGCAACGAGCCGAATGATCCCTTTTCCTAATAAGGAATGGTTAATTTCGGTGCGATTTTGAAACGGTAATTCGTCTTGGTCATGTATGACTAAAGACGAGGGAAAAATGGAAAAAAAAGAAACTGCAAGGCATAATACTTACAGGACCGGAAATGGTTCCCGTAGCGCACATATCGCCTGGCTGCATGTTGCACCCATTGATCGTGTGGTGAGCCAGCTGCTGAGTGATAGACCAGTACATGTACTTGAGATTGGACAACACAATATTTTCAAACTTGGAACTTCCGTTGGCTATGGTTTTGATGATCATAAGTACTAAAATTTCGCGAGCCCAAAAAAAAAAGTTACAAATCCCACTTACGCTTAATTTGTACTTCCAACTTTACATCATACGCGTTGGGACCCTTTTCTTGCAAGTAAGGTAAAGGCTCAGGTGACTGTGGCGGACCTTGAACCAAGAAGGGTTCCAAAGCGTCCAGCGTCACCACCCATGGAGAAATTGTTGTGCCAAAGCTTTTACCGAGAAAAGGACCTAAAGAACATACAGTCAATCTTCCAGAATATTTACACTATGGATATTCGTTTTTGATGGCATTCAATGACTTACCTAATGGGACATATTCCCAAGCTTGAATGTCGCGAGCTATTCACACCCATAGAATAGCAGAACACTTAAATCACATTTCTTTCGTGCACCCGTGTCCATCGATTGCAGTTCTCACTTACCGCTCCAATCATTCACAAGGACCATGCCAAAGATGTGATCGCGGGCATTTTGGATATCAATGCGTTTACCAAGTTCATTGCCCGTACCAACGAACCATCCCTATGTGAAACCCTTGTTCATTCCAAACTTCCCAAAAACTGGGTTACCATCGCGTTTTTTTTTTTTTGAACCCTACCACTTCTAATTCGATATCGAGTTTGGCCGAGGGCGCGTAAATAGGAGGTTGATCTTTTGACACCAATCGTTGACCTGCAGGACGGTGGATGTCCGTTCCAGAGACCACAATGGACGATGCACGTCCGTGGTAGCCGACAGGAATATGCAACCTTTCATTATTGGTTTTGAGTTGAGTTGCCAAGGGAACAAACCGTCACTTTTTCTGGTTCTCTTACCAGTTGGGTTGCAAAGCATTATCCTTGCCTCTAAACATGATACCCACGTTGGTGGCATGCTCGCGGGAACAGTAAAAGTCGGTATAATCACTACAAGCCAAGCATGTGAGCTTCAGGTTTCTTGTTGGGCTTTTCTTCTCAACGCTTCTTACCCAATCTTGGCGGGCAAATGCATCTGAGCCTTGTTTTGGGGAATCAAGGCGCGCTCTCTCAATGCGGCATCATCTTTCAGGGTCGGTTCTTCGCCAGAAAGAATCTTTTGAATAGCATTTCGAGTGGCACGCCACACAGGTCGACCAAGGGCCATAAAGCTATTCAAGGTGGGCTAGTAGGCAAAGAATGGGTGTGCGGTGAATATTCCGACTTCAATTTTTGCGCTTTCTCGTCTTGCACGGAAGATGTTTCCTTACCTGCGCAAAGATAGCCGCCGGATTCGCGACGCCAATGTCATTCAACAAACCGACCAAGGCAACTTCATGGACATCCAAGATTTGATCCCCGATAGCCACACCAACACGAGGACTCTACAGCCGAGCAAAGGGCAAAGAAAGATATGGTTGATCGAAATATCAGCCAACGCTAGATCTTCTTTGTGTCCACAGAATCTCCGCTGAGCGCGTTTTTCTTACCTTATCTGCGGTGGAAAAGATACCAAAAGGCAAATTTTGAATAGGGAAGTGGGAGTCAGCAGCCACAGGAATAAAGCTCTTCAAGGTAGAAGCCATGATAGTGAAAATAATAAGGATAAAGATGAAGGATCAGGAACGTGAGAAAACGATGCCCCTCTTTTTTACTTTTTTTACCACGCCCACTGGCACCAATCAGCTGACCGTGGCAAACCCGGAAATCCAGATCCCGAGCATCACACAAACATCCATCTTTATGCGACCTTACGTCTTGGGCCTTGCAGAAAGTTAAGTCGCCCTACCTGAATAACTGATGTCGTATTCCATCTGCTCGAAAGTGGCCATTTGTAATTTGCAAATTTCTCTACCTTATTTTTCATCCAACGACTATTTTCACCAACAAGCAATTTCCCGTGTTGAAGGCGCTCTTCAGATTGTACTCAAGCATACCTGGTTCTCTGCGCTGTTATGCTGTGGTACCCAAATTAACAGTACATTCGTATCCATTCATCTCAAAAAGAGCCATAAACTATTATCTAGACAGATAAAGTGATATTCTCCTACAAAAGAACAGCCTCGCCACTCGAGGCAGATGGAACAGGGGAGTAATGAAAAATGGCGGATCATAAGTGACTGCTTTTGGAAATGACCGCATATTGAAATTCAGAAAAATCCAAGGAACTGCCCTATCTCCACACTTGGTCCATACAACATTTTTGTAACCAGTCAACCTAATGCCTCTCAGAGGTACACAGATATAGTTTTAGTCAGGCCTTTTTTTTTATCTTATTGTTTTTCTGAATAAACTGTCTGTAGATCCTGTAGGTGGTAGAAGAAAAAGAGGACGACCTCCAAAGCGAGGGCGGCCCCCAAGCCGACGCCTAGCTGAAGCAGATACCCAGGCCGATCTAAAGCACACCGCTATGGAATCCGACGTGGATGAAACCCTTACACCTAGAAAACGTGGACGATTGCGACGACGCGGTGACGTTACTGAAACGCTGGAATCCAAACGAAGAAAAGAAGAGACACCATCCGACCATGAAGTGGTAGAGGAAACCATCGACGAAGCAGGAGAGACCAAGATCGATCAGAATGGTAACTTACTGGGAGGTAAGGGACGACACTCAAATGGGACTCGCATTTTTGTTGCTCATTTAAGCTGTTCACAGGACGTGAATTCAAAGTGTCTACATTTACCCTGCCTACGCGTGGTGATCGCCATTTCATGCTGGCCATGGATCCCGCCAGAGTGCTAGGCTATCGCGACAGCTATCTGCTTTTTCAACGCAATCCTATGCTGGAACGTGTACGCATCGACGAGGACGAAAAGCAATATCTCAGAGACAATGGCATTCTTTTGCAATACTTTCGCAATCGCGATGTCGCGGTTGTCACGGCCCGCTCCGTCTTCAAGTGCTTTGGTGCAAAAATCATTAAAAAGGGAAAACGTTGCACGGATGATTACTTTGAAGCGCTCGCTCGCGAAGAAGGTTACACGGAGAATTCCACCAGTGTAGACAATACAGAGGACGACGGTGACACGTCCATGGGTTCAGCCGACGTCGCTCGTCGATCCCTTATCGCTAAAACCGCCCGCTCCGAATCTTATAAAACCGCCTCTCCGGTCACCAGTGCCACGTGGATGCATCATGCAGCCTTAGCCGTCCGAAGTTACAATGCCCAGTTACATGAACGCCGCATTGACAAAGCGTCCTTTTATGACGTGCATACCGACATCCATCAGATCCCGTCCGCCACCCAACCCCGAACGTGCACATTCCAACCGAACGATGAAACGCATGATACGTCTAGTACTGTAGCTATTGAGTTCCAACATCGTTCACAACATCGACATGGTATTGGATCCGACTTGTTGGAAGGAACTTATGATGTCGATAAAGCGCTTGATACACTTCCCAGCAATATCAAAGAGATCGCCATTGCCAAATTACGGCGAGAATCATCCGTTGGAGTTTCCAAAGAAGATCAAGATGACTTGTATCCATTGTCATTACTGGATGGACAATTTCAAGCATCGTTTGCAGTGTAAGTAAATCGATTGGTTCTTTTGGGGTGGGGAAGATCAACGTCATAATCTAAAAGATAATGGTAGTCACTTCAGCCGGTTCAATCAGCCAGAACCTGTTCCTCTTCCTCCCTCTGCAGCGGTAGCCAAAGCGCAATCGTTCTATGCTCAGCAGTACTACTTGAATCAAGTCTACCAGCTCGTCAATCGTAACATGGCCAATTATCTCGATCCTACTCGGCAGTTCCAGTTTCAGCGACAATCTTCTCCGCAGTATCAAGCTTCTCCCCCTTTCGCTCCGCCCCCCAATTTTTATCCTTCGCAATCCATGGTACCTGCATCATCCCCCATGCCCATGAACCAATCTACAGTAAGCGTTGGAAGAATAACTCCTATTTTTTTGGAATTGGATAATTGATCTATTTGCGTAGTCCATGGCTCCTTCCGTCTGCGGTTATTTAACACCTAAAGGATTATCATGCAAACGACCCGTGGCGCATCCCGGTGAAAAATGCCAGGTCCATGCTCCTCTGGTAGCTGCAGCCGCAGCAGCAGCAAAATCGCATGTAAGTTCACTCCCTAGAGGCTGCATATGACAAGGCAAAAAATAATTGAATGAGACTTTGCCAGAAATTTGCAGAGAACAAATGCGCTGATTGTCACCAATTGAGTGTGCCCGAAGAACTGACGGCCAAAGAAAATGCTCCCATTTGCGATGTTTTTACCATGATCAAATGCACCAAATGCACCCGAAAATATCATCCTCTTTGTGCCAACCTGACCACGCCCCGACAGTTGGCCGCGGTGGAATCCTATCCTTGGTCATGCCCCGAATGTAAAATCTGTTGTGTATGTAAGGATGCAGGCGATGAGTCCACTTTAATGATTTGCGATGGTTGCGATCGAGGGTGGCACACGGGATGGTACGTATTGTGACTAGCATAAATGCGATTGATCCAATGGTTGTGTTGTACTGATTTCGTTGAATTATATAGTTGCAATCCCAAAGTTGACGATGTTCCTGAAGGTAAATGCGGATAGCACTTGTGAGTGTTGAAAACGTGCAATTGACACTTTTGTACTTTTGTTACTTTGATCCGTTAGGAGCTTGGCTCTGTCCCTTATGTGCTGATTGTCATGGCTGCGATGAACAGGGAAGCGACGTACAATATCATCATGCTGTCGCGCCTCCAAGTGATCGTTACAAATATCCTGCGTATTTGGCCACTTACTGCAATCGATGCTACAACAACTTCACAGAAGATCGATTTTGTACAGTGTGTATGAAACCTTATTCTGATGAAGATGGCGCGGACGAAGAAGACAATGAAATGGTGGCTTGTGATACCTGCGATCACTGGATTCACACGCGCTGCGACGAAATATTGACGCCCGAAAAATATCAAAGTCTTTGTGATGATGAAGAAGCCAAATATTCATGCCCGTTATGTTCCGATAATGTTAAGCCTTTGATTCAAACCAGCACGGCCATTATGGCACTCAAGGGCTTATCAGCGCCCAGCGGTTACTGCGTAGGCATGATAGGTGGAAAGGTGAGTCCAAACTCAATCATCTTATAGGAATATGACATTGATATATGCCTTTATTAGGTGGAAACTCGCGGTGTCGTAAAATATAAAAGCATTAAAGTGGGTGTACCAAAGATCAATGGTACAGGCATTGCAGAAATGCCGATCCTATAACATTGAAACGCATGAACAAAATAAAAAATCTGCTGATAATCAACCTATCCCCCAGCGCGTACTAATCCGTACAACAGCGTGCTATGATTATATATGTATACAGCGAGTATGAGAGCTTCAGGTCCCTGAAATGACGGATTAACCTCTTTATGTCGTACCAGAGGCGAAATCTTAATATGTAATTTTATTTCTCAGAATCTATGTAGCAGGCGAGATGACTTCGGTTGGCGATGTTCCTGATACCGATCGTTGATTTACGAGTGATAAATACGCGTTCCACCCCAAAGCAACGACATTGGTGACCATAAGACGATGATTCAATGGTATCAAATAGAAATTAGCGAATTGGACGGCTGGCCACAACTGATGGTTTGATAATTGAGCTTTAAGCGTACGATTTTCTCGGAACTCTCCATTCGCGTATCCTGCTTACCTTGTAATTGCTGATGACGGCGGTCCCATAGTTGGTTTGAAGTTTGCTTCTAATTTCATCCACTGATTTGCCTTCGAATAAGCCTTGAGCGCAGAAGAACACTAAACCGTCGGGTTTTAGCAAATGGTTCCCATTGTTCGTCGTCAATTCAGTTCGTTACCTCCAATGAAAAGGGGCGCGAAAAGACACTGATCGATGGCAACTTTGGTTGCCAATGCTACAATGAACTGATTAATAGAGCTTTCAAGAAAATTTCACGACAGTGCATTGTACCTCGGAATGGAGTAGATCCTTTGACGTTTTTCTCCAGAAATCGATACCAGGTACTGAGAACCGGTCCCGCTACTACACCACCGAATCCAATCATACGAACTGTACGGTCAAAGTCATGGTTGCTCAGACCTTTTTGTTCCACGGCCTGCTGTGCAATAACATCGCCTTGACAATGACTTTATAAGCTGTTCATTTTCTGTAAGAAAGTGGGGTTGTTGTACCTGTTCCGAACAAAATCGCTACATCGCAACCATTAGCAAAGACCTGGAATTTCCGAGATGTATATTGAGTCTTATTTACCGGTTTGCACACTTTGGGTGAGGATGGGATAGCGAGACAATAAACGGTTATATAGACCAAACATTCTGCTCACTCTGAAACTCCAAGTATCGTGTGAACTGGATTATCAGGACTTTTATAAGCCACGATCAACATTATTCCGCTTTGACGGCTCTCCTCTGTCGTGGCCTGGTATAATCCTAATCAAGATAATCCGCTTTTACGACGCCTCTTGTACATATTGCGAGAAAAAAATAATGGCGCGCATTTACATTTAACCATTGCCACTTAATTCACTGTGATCTCGTCGTAATTGTTCCAGCTAAATTTTATTTGATCTTATTTGAATTATCCAAGCGAAGAAATATATGCTCTGACGATGAACTGTATGAAACGTCCAAATTATGATACATATGTTGATCCTTTATTTGAAGCAATAATGATGCCGACGATAGAAATCAGAGAAAAAAAACCATTTTATTTGGCTGCAAATAAACGTTGTCGACATATTGATTGAGTCAATGATCGATCTAAGTCTCATCATCCTTATCATTCTCAAACCCTTATCATAAGATAAATGGTATTTCCATGCGAAGATGGTATTGGTCACAGCTTGGGATGAGAAGGCAAGTTCTTCGTCAAATGGGTGGCGATCCGCAGTGATGTCGGTGTGAATGTGTGAAAAGAAACCATTATCCATGGCAACCCAGCCATATTCGTCAGGCTTAATATGCCCATATCGTCCCAACTTTCTACACAACGATCGACCGAACAACAGATAACCAAGTGCGAAGGCACACATCCTAACAGAAAGAAAAAGATATATCATTAAATTGTACCACAATCGTTGGGCTCAATATGCCCCATATCGCCCAGCTTTGTACACAGCGATCCACCCAACAACAGTTAACAAAGGCGAAGGCCACATCCTGACAGAAAAAAAGGGTATTTTATTAAGCCGTTTAGTTGTTTAGTCGAAAGCAAACCTAGTTGTTCCGCAAAGCAATGTGACAATGTACCGCAGTGGAGATACTACATGTCAGTTGGCCACGAAGGAGTCCCTGACTTGTACAAGTACACTAAACCTTCCCTCTTTCCCTCTGATCTTGCGGCAATCATCCTGCCTATGCATCAGTCTATATTCAAGAGACGGACATTGCTTTTTGGAACCAGTTGTATGCATGGGCGTTCAAGGGGGAGGGACCTCGTAACAATGTGCGGCCTACGGACAGAGCTTAGAACAACCCATATAAACTTTTCAAATTTCCTTCTTCACCTCATAGCTTTCCATCTCCAAGCGAGGAAAGATATACTTTTGCAAGGCCACACAAGGAGGAAAGAAGATGGAAGAGAAAAAAATTACTCGCAGAATCCCAACACGTAGTGAACATCACACGCGCAAATCATGAAAATGAAGGCTTGTCATTGGTCAGGAAATGATGGCTTGGTGTTTCAAATCATGCGTTCCTGCCGTTTGAGATTTTGGCCAACACTTGGTGCACTCCGATCCTTTGAGCAACATAAAAATTGCAACGCATGTCACCATTTTGCCGCGCGTCTTTATTTTTTTTTTTCTCTTGCTTTAATTTCCTACCTGCGCAGGCATCTTCGTTCAACCACTGCGACGAAGGATAGAACGACCCTCATGCGAAGGAGAAGGAAGGCCGTTTGAATCACAAAGATGGCGTTAATGCAAGCAGAGGATGCGAATTCCTTCGACTATTTCTGGGAATCCTTTCGATTTTTGGAGTGAATTTTGGGGTATACCACTGGTCTTGACTCTCTCCTTGTTATAAACTTGCAATGTCGCCAATTCACATAACTTGCCACAGCAATTCAGCATCACTGAAGAAGAATACAAAACGTTAAAAGATTCCTTTGCTTTTCAACACACTCTGTGCAGATAAATGGTCTGACGTTGACAAGGTAGTGGACGAGTTAAGGCCAGTTTGCACGTAAAGAATGCCAAGATCGCAAAAGGCACACTTATCCAAGCCATTAACAGCCTGACGACGAATCAAAAGTACATTCAACAAATCAAAACAAGATGTCCTGAAGCTGAACGGATGCTTGCAGCATTGGCCACGTTAATCGACATCTTTGCCACAAATACGTTTATGCTCGACCTCACAACACGGCCCGTTTAACCGAGTATGATTTCATCACGCAAGTCTGGGCACCCCTGCTGAAGTCATTAACTGATATTCATGTGTATTGCGCATGAAGATTGGCGAGCCCCAGCCCGGCCCAGGGCATTAATAACCGCAAGCGTTCCCACAATGACACTAGAGTTGGACTTGCGGTTGCTATTTGATTCGCGGCAAAATGAGCACGGCATGCTCGCCCTCGAAGCAGCAAAGACAGGCGACGCCTCCAAACTGTGCCATGATATCTGCAAACTGATGCGCGAGACGAGAGACAATTCGATGCTGCCGTGCATATCCTAAAACGTTACATTCAACCGCCACTCTCGTTCCGGTACATGCACACCAATGATGTCGTTGCGCATGTCGACATAGTTCACCTTGCCAAACCTGGCCTTTATTTTGGCGCTACATGAATCAAAAACTTACTTTCCAATAAACGTAGCATCGCTTCAAGCATTCAAGAAGGACTTCGTTATATTCATTTCTATGATGTTTGTTTTGGAACGAAATGCGCTTATAATTAAAAAGTCCATGGATTGTCGCGAGGGTTCGGGGATTAGCCGCCACGTTGACTCTGACGATCGGCTGGATTCCAGCTCTCTTCCCTGTCGTTATTGCGACCAACATTCTACAACCCTCCGCGAAACCAGCCGTCTTTAGCTGTCACTCCAGCCGACTTGTTTGGAACCACAAACTCAGCCCTTCTACCATCTGCGGGATCTCCTTCTTTCCACACCGAGTCCAATGAATATGGTTAGATTGCGCTGGACAATGGCTTGTTTTACCATATTTCTACGGACAACACTGCGGATTGCTTTTGCCATCCATTTTTTCGTGTTCGGTATAATAAAATAATGTATTTCACATATATCCATTCCTCTTTCATCGCATTATGCACATGTCGACGGATAAATTCCATACTAGATCAATATCCTCGGAACGCTCGCAGTTCATATAAACCGTTCTGTATAGATAACTCATGACCATAGACCTGTGTATCGATTTATCTATCCCTGTGCCTTTCCTTGGTTTTATTCTTAATTGATTATTATTATCAAAGTTTATAAATGTATTATCTTTTCCGATCATAATATTTAGAATAAGTTTTCCATTTTTTGATTTATTTAATGGAATTTTTACTTCAAAAACTTCTAAATTATCATTTTTTTCAATATATCCACTTCTTGTGGTTTATCGTCATTGATACTGCATTTACTTTATTATTTTACTATTTTATATCGATTGTTTCTCTTCATAAACCAAACAGCATTCTCTAGTAAAAAGTAGGGTCGAAAGAAACAATTGTCTTTTTCTGAATTTTTATTCACTATCGGCCTTTAGAATTGTGGTTTGCAGCATTTCGCTTAATAGTGATTGGTTAATCAAAAGTTGCGAGTGGAGCATAAGAAGAGATTTAATGTGTGGAGCTCTTTCTGAAGAAACGTGGTTGGTGATACGACATCTGGGTGTTTTGCAGCGTCATTTATTTTGGTTTTTTGTTACTTACACTGTATATTCCCTCTTCAGTTTTCGATTATCGAATGATACATGGAGGAGATATGCTTCGATCTATGAATTCATGGAAATTCACATATCTTTGCCTTCAATTTTTCCTTATTTTCTTTAGTTTTTTCATCTCTTCTGTTTATTGAAGAACTCTCACTATCATTGCATTCCCTCGCATCCATCATCCATCATCCAGACTATGGTTTATCCAGCGTGTATCTGTAACCGGTCAAGTTGATTTTCAAGCTATTTTATATCTCAATAAAATTTAATGAATTAACTTGTATGGTGCCTAAATTCTCGTGGCCCTTCTAATCTTTCATTTAATTCAAATTTTCCTTTCTCTTATCTGTTTCTTGGGTATTGCCTTCTGCTCCTGATCGTGCGATCTTTTATTCCTGCCTGTTTCTGAAAAGCAATTACAAGAGACAAGGTATACTGCTCTCTATCAAAACAACTCATGTGTGGCGAACTTTGTAAGGATCGAAGGCGAAACTTGGAAACAACAACTTTACAAAAATATAATTAAACATAATTAAAATTTTTGGGAAATTAGCGATTTTGTAAATCACATGATCTACACTAAGTTATCAAGACCTGTTAAACCTTTTTTTCATCTTTCAACCATGCCTCGCTGCCCACTTTTACGATAACAGGCGAAACAATTAACAGCAAGATGCCGTTTGCACCAGTTGTGGTCAAACAGAGCATCGTCGTCTTTCGAATAAAAATGTGAGTAGAGCTCTTCTTGAAGAAAAGTGGTTGATGATCCGACTGGCGTTCTTCTGTAGCATCATTCAATTTGTTGTTTTTTTTGTCAGTTATACTATATATGTCCTTTCATTCTCTTTCAATTTTCAAAATCGAATAATACATAAGCAGACGTGCTTCGATCTATGAATTCATGCATCAGTGGGGTGACTATTGTTTCATCCATGGAGAATCATATATTTTTGTCTTCTTTCTTCTTTTGATTTTCTCTCTCTCTTTCTGTTTGCTTGATAAACCCTCACTATCATTGTATCAAGATTCCATCCGCATCCATTATCCAGACCATTCTTATCCCGTGTATTTAAATCGACTACCATCCTCAAAAAGGTAAGCGTCGAGTGGTCTACCATCGATTTTGCTCCGGCAAAACAGACTTACCTCTCCTTTACTTCCATCCTTCTTCCAGCTTCCGGTTTCCGTTTTCTTTTCGCCTGACAAGTTCTGGATACTACAGTTGACTTTCTCTCGCCATCCATCCATCCATCCATCCATCTGGCGAAATCGGATGACGTCAAAGGCCATCGTCGGTGGTGTGGCTCTTTTTTTAATCAGAAAAACGCTTACGTGTCCTCTTCATGTTCCTCTCCTTTGGATTGCTTCTCATCATATGGTATTCGAGATGTCTTCCCGATTATTTATTTTGTAGTTTATAGTTTGTATTTTGTATTTTATATTTCATGTACATATTCTTTTCGCAGTCTTTTCCTCTTTTTTTCCCACAGGGTTTTTTATGAGGTTTTTACTGACGCGATCATTGTTTTTTTATCATCATGTACTTTATTTGTTTCTTTCTTTTTATTCGGGGGACTCTCGATATCTGGAATCCAACTCGAAGTTACCGTCACTTCTGGCCACGTCAATATTTTTTGCCTGCTCAAGCTGACACCACCGATCCATCGCTTAACTGTCCCTGGAAGCAATTTTATTTTCCGCATCGAAGAAGAAGCTTACCTGGCGGTCCGTATTCACCGTTTTTTTTTCCGGTACACCATTTGGTTCAAAGGCAAGTCCAATTTCTTTTCCTTTGCTATGATGTAATGAACGTATACTAATTCAAAAATTTTTCAATGTCATATAATCCAAGTCATGTCAAGCGATCAATGGCTATCAAAAACTTCAAATAACAAAGGTAAAATATCTTGACGAAAATTTGAATCAATCAAAGAGCTTACTAACTCATTTTTTTTAAATACCCAACATACCCACACATCTTTCTAGATCTATCATAGCCTGGGCGGGATGGAACTGAGGGGGGGAACCAGTGCTGCCCTGCGCGTGTTCAGAAACAAATCACGTTGCAACGTATGCCATAGGGTTGTCATTAATATACCGAAGTTCCGTCAAGAGTTCTCGCCCAGGTTATGCCGTGTATGCGTTA